CTTACTTTTGCTCCCATAATCAGTTTGTAACCACCAATCAACCCACTCAGTATGATTCGACATATCATAAAGGAAGTAGTTTTTTCTCCGATCTGGCCCGACGCAGGTAAAAGAGGGAGGATTTTGAGGAAGAGGAAGATCTGGTGGAAGGAATTCGTGGTGAAATTCAGATATAGCTTGGCTACCAGAAGGTATTGCTGCTTGAATAGATGGTGTAAGGTATGAGAGATTATCTAGATCTCTATTATAGATAGACGATTGAAAGTCAGAATGCTGGCTTTGAGACATGATGGGTTATTAAGGATGACCCTAGGTAGTAAAAGGTAAGGGGGAGAAAGACTTACAATATTAGACACTGTATAAGGTAGATAGAAAAGGGAGTTAGAACAAAAGTAATATAGTCTAATAGCTATTGATTGGCTAAGTAATGAGAATTAATATGGGTCTAACCCAACAGAACCCAGAAAACCCCAAGGAAACCCCAAGGAAACCCCAAGGAAACCAAATAAACCCCAGCAAAATCCAATAAACCCCAGGAAAACCCCAAGAAAACCCAATAAACCCCAGGTAAACCCCAGCAAAACCCAATAAACCCTAAGAAAACCCAGGAAAACCCAATTCCCACCCCAATTTCCCCTAAGATCCCTAAAAATATTTCAACTCCATGAAAGAAGAAATCTTTCTGTTCAATTTTCTACCGCAAGAAATAATGTTTATCTATTCAAAAAGAAACAAATTGTAACAGAGAAATTTAGCTTTCATTCTATATAGAGATCATCTTAATTAGAGTGAATATGTAAAACTTTTGTTTCATTTTCACTAATGTTCTAAATAATATACCGACTACTTCATATTCAAATATATATTTCTATATGTTCTTCATAACCCTTTCCCTATTTTGTGGAACTACCACCATAATATACTAAAATCCAACGTTTTTCTTTTGTAATTAATAGAAAACCAGTCTTTCTATCTTCTACTCTGCCTTTATTACCTAAAATTTCCTTTAATTGAACCTATAACTAGAAAGAATCTTAGAGGGAAACCAGAACACCTGTAAAAAACAGTATTTTAATTTGATTAGTGAGTAGGGTTATGCATGCCAAGACCTCTTTTTTATGCAAAATTGGGTTTTCTTGGGGCCCCAACCCAAACCCAATATGGGTTTGGGGTTGGGTTGGGTTTTCGAAGTCGGACCCAAACCCAATATGGGTTGGGTTTTGGGTCAAGACCTTGGACCCAAATTGGGTTTTGTAGAAGTCTATATAGGTTAGCGGGTGGATTTTCCCATTTGCCCCCTACCCTATAAAATCGAGTCCTATCATCATACTAATAATAAATACCGTATAAGAGGGTATACTAGCGGAATGAGATACGAGGCTCAGTAATATTTTTAACGTCGTATGCGAAGACAGCCACAGCCACAATATGTTCATTCAACTAGTATTCAAGATACCAATCATCGCCAGGATATACAGGATTTTCTAGGGTAAGCTCGATATTATCCATTTTCACAATAATCTGCAGACTATGCTTCCGAAATATATCTTACAGGGTGATTATATAGGGAGTATAGGGCTGGACTTTTGGCTTAACATACGCATAACAAGGATCCAAACCCTCTTACCCACGAAAGAGGTCAATAATCGCTTTATCTTTATGTTAGCCAGTCTTCTAATTCTTATATATAAAGGCAGTTCCCGGCTCTGGATGTTTGAAGTGGAGCGCCCGCTTCATTTTCCCTTTTAGAGCGATCTATGGAGTACCCTCACCACCCTCTGCCCAGTCGTCGGGGACCTTAACGGGGCCGGTTAAGTCTCGCTCGGGGAGTTCAAGATACTTCTTAGCCTTTTACTATAAGTCCGAGTCCAGAGGAGGTAACTACATATTATCTCTCCCTTCCATAGCTCTGAGTATGTGACTCGTAGAAAGACGCTTTTTCGCCTTAAGGTATCTTTTCCTACCCTCTTCCGTTTGGTTATTCCTGCTGCTTTATAGTTATTCTTGGACTTTATGGTATAGTTATTTTGAAGATTATACAGGTACATTAAAAGCAATAGCCCATTCTAGAAGCTCGTTCTCCCATTCAATGCCGAATGTAATGATTCTTAGCGGGACGGGCCCCATTTGCCCAAGATTATTCTCATCATCCCAGCCATGCCGACCTTGAACCAAACATTCGTTCCATAGCTTGATTGCCATTAAAATGAGCTTCTCGATAGCGTTATATAACTTTTGATGATCCGGGTGCAAATTATTAATATAAGAGATAATCTGTACCTCGGTACTAGAATCTTTCAGAAACTCGACCTCGCAGGGAAGGCATTAGTAATTTGAACTCCAGCGATAGACCTCTGACCATAAGTAAATAGGGGAAATGCCCCGACCCGGGATATGGCCGTACTTATTTATATCTCTTTCCTCCAATTCTGCAGAATCCTCCCGCTTATCGAAATATTATAGAGCGATTATAGTATCTTTATAGGATCTTAGGACATCCTGCAGGTCTACTTACCCCCCATAGGACAAAACTAGGGTTCTTCCGTAGACCAATAGGAATAATAAAGGATCGACAAGGGTTACAACCTAATCGGACTACCGGTCCCTATTCTCCTACTCTTGCTGCTGCTGCTTAATTAAGGGGGTAGTTATTGACCTAAATAATATACTCAGAGAGTGTGAAGTTATCGTATCCGATTTACACATATATGAGCCAGCTTCTAGGACCCGGATATGTTAGTTCTCACGTAAGTAGACGGCTTTATCACGCAGCTCCTTTAAGCACCAGCTCCACGCCTTATCACTTAATAGTGAGCTTGTTTCAACGGCCTCTTTTCGCCACTGCGCTACAACTTGATCATTGAAGACATCAATATGCCACTCCGGCTGATCAGTAATGTTGTTCATGGTAGCTATCATTGCTAACTCGCGAGCTGTCACTGCAGGGCGCTGACACCATTCATTCATTCCATGTGCAAAGCGGGCATCGCATTAGATCTCATAATCAATCGGGACCTCTCCGAAGCCTGGAACTTGGAGCGGGGCACGGCCACTGTTGTCCAGCACCATGGGAATGTGGCCCGATGTTTCGCGTGTTGTGTCCGCTGGCTAGTCCATTATACCTAGGGGTGTATCCACGTAACCAAAAACACTTGCTCGGGAAGCGCATAAACTGGGACTCTTAATGCCTTGGGAATCAAGAAGAAATGGGTGTTGAATGACACAAATCGCGCTAGTAAGATTCTCCTCACTTTTACCGATAATATGTCTTACCGCCCTCGATGCGCGTGGCCTGAGATTTTGCCACTCGCTACATCCCTAAATATGTGGGCCATGTATTATCGCCCAGAATTACCGTTCTTTCATTTCTGGGGAAATTCAAGAAATCGTTTACACAATGTGGAGTCCAAGTCGATTGCCAATCATTTTAGTTCGTCATATAGAGGGAGCGTCAATCGACTGGGTCTCGGTGGGTCACCAGTTGGGCCCACCAGGCGACGAATTTAACTCTCCACCGCGTTGCCTCAACGCTAGAAGCGGCGACTAATGTCATTTTGAGGGCACATTTATAGTTCAATAATCTAGACTGAGATCGCCGTTAAGTCACTGACATGAATTTAGAGGTACAGAACGTTACGAGGAGAGGTGAAGTACGAGCGGTGAAGAGAGGGTAGTGAAGAGAGGGTGGTAAAGAGAGAGGGTTCTCTAAATTATTTTGTGGAGAGCTAGACTTTTACTCGCTGTCGGTTGGCACCGCGGAAAGGTCAGAGTGCCAGGAGGGCTAGGGACAGTTAGTGGAACAGTCAAACCGTCCGAGAAAAATTGAAGACTCTTACCTTATACAGATTTATTCTCCCTCCAAAGCCTGCAGATTTGAGCAGGCGGAATTGATGGTGGGATTCCATGACCGAAACGACTCGTTGATACGACGAACCTAAAGAAGCTTACCCGGTCAGTATGGAAAACGCACTTTGAGCGCTTAGCGTAAAGCTTATAGGTTCTTAACCTCTCTAGAACGCTCCTTACATACTTAATATGTTCTTCTTCTGTCCTCGAGAAGATCAGGATATCGTCTAGGTATACTATCACATAGATATCGAGTATATCACTAAGAGCTCTATTTAGACTGCGGCATATCCTCTCCGCTGGATATCAGGTTCAATACCATATCCGCAAATTGAGGATAATGGATATTACTTCCATACCATATCCTCAATGAGGATATCCATGGATATCCGCGAGGATATGAGGATATTTTGCGGATATCCGCACTAGCATAACTCTCGCCTGATTATCTACTTAGGGGTAGTCATGTGCCTCTTATCCAGCTGATTAATTTATTTTTCAGAACAAAAGATACACAGGTTTGGTCCTGACCATACTACTAGCCTTATTTATCCTAATTCCTCATGAAATATTAAGAAATATATTTGTATTAAGCAATTTATATTCATTTTATTATTACTTATAGCAGCAATTTGATTTTTGAAGTAGATTGGGGGATATACATGATTTTTTGTAATTCCACTTTACTTTACCATGGAAATATATATTTACTCAAGGCAGTAGTGTAGGATCTTTTAGCTAAACGATGTACATATGACTAAACTCACCATTTCTTGGTCAAATTTAACTAGCCTAGCTTTAAATTAGTTTCCTAAGCCTATCTTTTAAGTATATTAAGTTTTTAAATATATCCTTCTAAGAAATACCGGTCGGAAGCTCTAATGTTGTGGACAGCGGATTTAGTGAGTATGATAGTAAGGTCGAGGATATCCAAGGATATCCATGCGGATATCCGCGATATATCCTCAATTATCCTCAATTATCCTCACTGGTGATTAGTAATAGCCAATCATCGTCATTAAAAGTAAGAGATATGTCGAAAACGCACCCCGCAACTTACGAGTTGCAGCTTATTGCCATAACCCTGATATTTTCAGCTCGTCCTATATGTACGTTTCTCCCTTTCTTTCTCTTGTATAGTGATCAAGTACAATATGTCTTACTCACAGGCATCTCAGTCCCAATTTTCCTTCTGCGCCGATTCAGATCTAGGTCTGAATACCGACCTCCTTTATTCAGATGATATCTCTGAGCTCATTGGCAGTCAGGCTTCATTGACATCCACGTCCCGAATTTCATTTCCGATTGCGCCCCTCTCGCTTACGCGTGTTGGCCTCCCTCTTCAACAGTACTGGGTCCTCTATTCCTCCGAGCCTGGTAGCGAGATGGATGGATCTCGTAAGCGCTTTATAACGTGGTGGCTAAATACAGAGTCTGGATCAGCGCCCGAAATACAAGACTCGATCCGTTGGGATGGGAAAAAGACATCAAGTGTCTGGGATAATTTCAATCAGGTTGCACATGAGAAGACTGGCAAGCCAAAGGTTATGTGTACATCATGTCTCTGTACCCTTGTTCATCCAAGCTATCGCCGTGCTGGGTCATCGCCAATGAATGCACATATTAAGGCAGGCACTTGTACTCGGAAGCCAGTTACCCAGAGGATCGATCAGCTACTCAAACATATGGTATATTTCTCTTTCATCAAGACCCCTAATATCTCTCTTGCTAATCTTAATAACTATCCCAAAGCCAACTATCCCTAGAAACCAACCCTTCTCCCAGGAGCGTCTGGTGAAAGCGATACTAGACTTCATTTCTACAGCTCACCTACCCTTCCGAATCGTTGAACACACCCAATTCAAAGATCTAGTAGAGATTATTCAACAAGCCCACAGCAAGATCGATATACCATCCGCGCGAAGCATACGACGTTATCTTGATTCTGCAGTCAGAAGTGACCAGAAGGGGGTTCTGAAAAGGCTTCCAGATGGGAGTCGCCTCTCACTAGCGCTTGATTGCTGGACATCGCCATTTCAGCAAGCTTTCATGGCCATCACAGGTTACTTCCTTGATCAGGACTAGAATTACTGTGAAGTTCTTCTTCGGTTTGAGCATCTTCATGGATCTCATACTGGTGAAAATCTGAGCAAGACCGTAATCCAGCTTCTAACTGATCATGGAATCACTGATCGTGTGTTATCTGTGACAACAGATAATGCAACGAATAACAATACCTTGATGATGAACATCCAAGAGACTATCCAGTCGCAAAGCCAATCAGATACCTTGATTTTCCGAGTTCCATGTATTGCGCATGTGATTCAATTAAGCTTGAATGAGCTTCTTGGGAAGCTAAAGGTGACACCACCTAACAAAGAGATTGAACTAGAGTGGTCTGATGAGCGGACCCATTCATTTCAGACCAAAAGATCTAGCTCAACTCGGCAAATTGCAGATACCTTAAAGAAGGCAAGTTCTATCTCCCTAAGGCTTGTAGTTTATTCTGATAAAAGAGTTTTAGATCCGAGGTCTTGCGGTCTTCATCAATGCAAGCCCACAACGCCGGGAGGCATTTATGGCTCTACAAACTAAGGAGCCTCGTTTAGTTCCTGTTCAAGATGTCCAAACCCGATGGAACTCGACCTTTATCATGCTGAATCGGGCCAAAAGGCTACAACCATTCTATGATCAGTATTGTATAGACCATCAGTATCTTCACTTCAAACTTGATCAAGAAGAGTGGCGACAGATTGAATACCTTCTTCTTCTCACAAAGCCTTTCTTCGACTTCACAAATATGTTGTCTAAGACTAAGGATGTTACTACACATAACATCTATAGTATTTACAACAAGCTTTTCTCTCATCTTGATGAAGCTGAGAGTAAGTTGAAGAATAAAGGTGTTGTCTGGAAGAAGCACATGCTCGAAGCTCTTCAGACTGCTAAACGGAAGCTCTCAAAGTACTACACTGCGACCGATTATGAATCATATGGTGATGTCTATGCACTCGCGACAATCCTTTGCCCATCAAAAAAACTTCGATATTTTGCATCATCAGACTGGCAAGGTGAAATTAACTATGTTGATCACTATCATGGAGTTCTTAAGCGAGAGTTTGATCGATATAAAGAGACACTTCACCATGATTCAAACAATACAGTCTTACAAGATACCACTAAAGAGGCCCTGGATGATGATTATGGTGATCTTGATGCTGCTTGTGCTTCTCAGAGCCAGCCACAGCATAGGCTCTCAAAGCCCGAAGATGATGAGATTGCGAGGTATCTTGCCCGCGGGATCGAGGGTCAGAAGCCTAGAGCATTCTGGAAAGACCATGAGCATGAGTTTCCTATTCTTGCGAGGATAGCACGGGATAATCTCTCAATCCCAGCTAGTGGCGCAGGCGTTGAGCGATTATTTAATTGCGCTCGCGATATGTGCCACTATCGTCGCGGGCGATTGAAACCAAGTACCATCCGAGGACTGATGCTTCATCAATTCGCCACTAACTTTGACGTTGAGCAGAAGGAGATAGAGGTTATCAAGGAGTATCTATCCATTGGAGAAGCTGCGTTGTTAGATCAAGCTTGGAAACCAATGCCCCAGCTTGAAACACTTGAGCCAATTAGTGATAACGAAGAGGAGGATCAAGAGCCTAGCATAGAGGATACACAACAGATAGAGAGCTGCGATGATGATTTGGGTAGTGGGAAGAATAATGATCAAAGTAAGCAACTGCAGCGCAAACGATCAAAGAAACGATCATCCGAATGTTTTGATGACGATGACGATGACCTTCCAGAAATGCCAATAGATGAGGGCATGCAGGGACGGTCGGGGCGAATTCGGAAGCAACCTAGGTTACCTGATGGATTTCAGATTGATTTAAGGTAGTTAGTATTAAGTATTGATTAGAAATGACAGAATCATGTTTACCAGATTGAAATCTTTAAAATGATGATTACACGAAGATTACTTCAAAAATACACAAGAAACCGCATAATTTATACACGCTCAAAAAAGTCACGAGGCTAGGCGTGTTTGGCTGGTTTGATATCCATTGGATATCCTCAAATATCCAGAGGATATTAGGTGGTATACCATATCCGCAAAATTGAGGATTGCGGATATTACGTGACATACCATATCCGCAATTTGCGGAGAGGATATGCGGATGTCCGTGGATATTGAGGATGTTGCCGCAGTCTAGCTCTATTGATATACGATTAGAATGTGGCAGGTGCGTTAGCCAATCCGAAAGGCATCACTCTATACTCAAAGTGTCCATATCGTGTTCTAAAGGCAGTCTTCCACTCGTCTCCTTTCCTTATTCTTATACAGTGGTACGCATCTCGAAGGTCCAGCTATATAAAGATCTTTGATCCTGCTAGCCTGTCTAAGGATTCCGCTATTAACGGAAGTGGGTGCCGGTTTTTGATAGTGATCTTATTCAGTCCCCGGTAGTCTACGCATAAGCGTAACTTATCCGTCCCTTTCTTAGGTACGAATAGAATCGGAGCTCCTGCTGGGCTCTTCGAGGGTTGAATCCACCCTTTTGCGAGGTTCTTATCGATATACTCTCGCAATGCTTCTAACTCCTTATTTAAAAGTGAGTAGATCGGCTTGTATAGGGGCTGCTTCTCAGCCTGCAGATCGATTGCATAGTCGTGTTCTGCATGATCTGGTAGGATGCCTGCCCTCTCTTTATCGAAGACGTCTGCGTACACCGCGTATGCGTCGGGGAGGTCCTTTACCCCTATAATACCGGTTACTCCGAGTCTGATGGTCTCTTCTCCGCTAATCTATAGGTAGATGAGAGAGTAAGGGGTTCCTCCTAGGATCTCTCCTATTACCTTATTAGCGGATAGTTCTTCCGTCTAGGGCGTGCCCTTACTAGCATAGAAGCCCTACGTCTCCGTTCTCTAGTCTATGTCTGGGTTTACTAACTGTAACCAGTCGTATCCTAGTATAAGGTTAAAGCCCTATATATCGACTACTTCGAAGATTCCTATATACTTCTTCTTATTACCCTCGCTATCTGCGAGTTTGAGTGTGATCCTCTAGGACCTATACGACTATATTCGGTATCTATCAATCGCCTCTATAGTTCTCGGTATAGAGGGGTCCTCCTATAGATTCTCCTTTGCCTATTTTTGGCTGATAAAACTTTTCTACGCCCTATAATCTATTAGTGCTAGTGCTGTTCGACTACTCTTCCTTAAAAGGAAGACCTCTGCTTCTACCGCTAATACTAGACCCGTGGTCCGCTGCTTTTTGGGGTTAATATCTAGTGCTACTACGGTAAGGAATACTAGGCGAATCATTTTTTTGATTATTTGTCTATCTCACTATTTATATCTACCTGCTTCGAGCGGTATTCTGACGTATAGTGCCCTAGCTTATTATAGATAAAATACCTAAGCTCCTGCCCGTTATACTTGCGTTTCGCCCCCTGCCTTAAAGCGTGTGGGGTTGAAAACCTGCCTGCATGTGCCTGTCCTTTGGCGTGGTAGTTTCTTTCTGCGCCCTTAAACTGTATATTCTCCTTTGGGTCTTTGCTGAATCTGCCTCTCTTTTTGGCTATCTTCCTCGCTGGGAGACGTGATTCTAAATATTAAAGGTGCTGTAGTATTGCTTCGTATATGTCCCTCTTTACTAGGTGGTCTACTAGTTCGTCCTATAGTTCTTTCACTACTGATATCGCTAGCTTCTATATACGCTAGTACTCGTCTGGCTGTACTAATAGAGAGGTGTGGATATTTGTTAGGTGAGCTGAATACTCTATTACTGACTGATCGTATCTCTACTAGGTCGTATACTACTATCTTAATATAGACGTATGGCGTGTTATAGGGTCCGCGATAAGATTGTGATACTAGTCGCTGAACTCCTTCTAAGTGAACTTACGTTCTGGGTCCTTCTTCTCTAGCTCTTTTATATATCTCCTCTATTATACTATCAGCTTATCTATAAGGTACGTTGACACTTATAGTACCTGTTTATGCTCCTACTTATAATAGGCGGCAAACGGTTTAATATGCTTTGGCGTTATTGGCACTTTCCCCTTAGGGTTAACCGGCTTAGGTTTATTCTACGCTGCTTCTGCGTCTAGTATTGGCATGTTACCTAGCTCCTGGTCTTACTATGGCTGAGTACTAATGTTAGGTGCTAGGGAAGATGTCCTAGACCTGATTAGCATAGATATATGTCCTTAAGCCTCTGACCTCTCTCTCTGGTGGGTAATGCGTGTATTTTCTCGCTCCGCGGCCTCTGCCTTGAGTTCGTCTATTTCCCTCTGGGTAGCTGCTGCTTCCCTTTAGTACTATAGAAGGGCCTTAACCTCTTCTAGTTTCCTTACTGTAATTACAGTCTTTAGGATTCGCTCCGTGATCTCCTTAGAGTTTTCGACGGCATCCTTGATAGCTTATTAATAACTGCTTCCTATTATGGTGGCATTCTCTAGGGTTTCTGCTTAAGCGTCCTTAAGGTTCACCTGCTCCGGGCTAAGGATCGTGTTAGGGGCTTCTCCGACTGAGGGGGCATCCTCGGTCGTAGACTCCTGCACGTCCGGGCGAAAGTCCTTCTCTGCTCTGGTATCCTCTCGCTGCTTGTCTATCGGGTCGTTAGGTTCTCCTTGTCGCATACTATGGTTCCTCGTGTTATATGATATGTTCTCCGCGTGTCCTCTCGCGGTTCTCCGTAAGTCCTTCTGCGGTTCTTCGTAAGTCCTTCTGCGTGTTTTCCGTCCGTATTACTGGTCTTATCTAGGGGTGAGAAGTGATTATAATATTAAGACTAGGGTCTTAGGGGGTTGGATGGATAGGAGTGATAATATAGCACAGCGTACCCCTATACGGCTGCTGTCTGGATTGATAGTAATATAATCACTAGAGAGCTGTTATATAGCTCTCCCGCCGTGCTATTTCTGTTATGCGGCTTAGCTAAGCGGATCACCGGCATACTGGGTTAACCCTTCTCCGGCCTAACTCCGTTAGGGCCCTTCATATATAGAAGTATACTCCTCTGCCTATACTCTTGGGTTCTGGCCCCTCTCGTATAGGTCTTCCTAGACGTGTCGTAACATATAGGTACTAGGGTAGAAAGGCTTTTTAACTTAGCACGTGATATCTGCTACTATCGGCGTGGTCGTCTGAAGGCTAGTACGATTAGAGATCTTATGATCTATAGTCGTGCTACCAAATTTGAGATAGAAGAGATAGATCTTGCTTTTATCCGAGCTTTAGAAGAGGGTGAAGAGGGTGAAGAGGGTGAAGAGGGTGAAAAGGGTGAGATTCAAGGGTAAAAGGGTGAAATTAGTGATAATGAAGAGAGTGTGAGGTCGAAGAGAAAAAGAGGGGTTTCATCCGAAGAAAGTTCGGTTGATTCATCCGAAGAAAGTTCGGTTGATTCATCCGAAGAAAGTTCGGATGAAAGTGCGGATAATGGGTATTTGCCCGCATCTCGCACATCTGGTCGTGTACGGAAGCGCCCTAACCAGCCAATTAGCTTTCATGTAATTAATTAGGTGTTTTTAGTTATTATTTATTGAAATTTGTCTATTAAATTTTATCAGATCAATAAGGGTTACCGATTTCTACATAAATGATTGACTCCTGAAATTTCAGGCTGGAAGGTTTTTATGCACAAAAACCTATCTCTTAGTAGTAAAAGTATGTATTTTATTTATGGTAATTAACAGCTAGAATACTAAAAATACAGCATATTTTCCATAAATTATGCCTAAAAATAAGCTCCACTTTCACGGGCCTTACGGGCTTTTCTTGGCGGGCCTGTCCACACGGGCATGCCCACGGGCCTGCTAAAGTCTAGTCACAATTGGTAATTTTATAGCCCTAGTTCAAATCGTAGATCCATGGATGCCTTCATCCGCGGATGGCTCTGCGCATGACACGATTGAGAGGCTGCCATGATGTTACCTACTAATTCCTTTAAGTAGCTAGACTAGATATTGAACTATACTTCTCGGTAATCCTTTCTTCTTTCACGATACTATCGACTATTTGAATGGCTGCCGTCACACTTGCTCGTGAAAAAAAGAAGTGTATTACTGCCGGTAGTAGTGCACATAAGATTATTTTCACTTACCGTCGCCAGTGAAATACCAAAAGCAGCACCGACATTTGAAGGTAGTCTCGACTCTCCCGGTGGCCTCAATTGGTATGTAACTAAACTCAAGCAGCGACGTTTTAGAAACAAGATCCAGCTCTCTATCTAAATCATAGTTCGCAGGAACCGACGACAAATTATAGGGTACAGAAAACGTTGAGTAGACGTGATAGTATTATCCAATCCACCAGGCACGGCGCTTCTGGCTTGCGTCATCAGGATAGCGAGCCAAAAACTAAATATAACACCTTTAGCTCCATCTTCTTACTATAGTTCATCCCCCGGATTTAGGAGAAAAGCCTATTGAACCGCCTAAACCTCCACCTCACTCCACTGGCGAAATATCGATAGGTTAGGTATCAATATGACACGGCTGGATTTGGCCACAAATGTCATTGGCCCAATCGTTCCTACTCCCTGGCTTTTAACCTTTTTGGAAATCGCCATTTTATTACTTACCCCGCAGATCTTGGACCTTCCCGGGCGAGATTTTAGCCGCCCCTGTATGCCTAGGTGGATGTAGACTTCTGCATGGGCCGGAAAATTATGTCCAAGGCCCAACCCATGCTAAAGCCTAAGTAATATATACATATATTACATATATTACATATATTACCTAGTTAATACTAATGTTTCTGACAGAGTACATGGTAATTACATAGAAATTTAAATTTACCGGCCCATGGGCCAGAAAATTATGTCCAAGGCCCAGCCCATGCAGAAGTCTAGGTGGATGAGGGCTCCCGACCCGGATGATTGAGTAAAGGATGCTCAATTCCTGACTCAGTAGTAATTGTTCAAATGCTAGGTTGCAAATATGATAGTGAAGCCTAAAAACTTGGAATTTTCTCATTTCGTTTCTGACTTCCCAGTGTCACCTCTCTTTAGTCGTTAACTCTATGCTCGGGATATACATTATATCAACCACCTTGGCAACTGGAAAAGTCCACTCACCGAAGCTAATAGTCCCACCATAGAAAATGCCAGGAAGATCGTACTTCTCTTCAAGTTTTCCTACATCATTTTGGTATCTCCGGTAGGGCCCGTGTAGGACTGGAGTACTCTGTGGTCTCGCTCCCCACAAATTGATATAACTTTAATTTCCCCAGGGGTAAAGATGCCCCTACTAGTTTCCCGTCCCAGTCCTCCTTTGGCCCGTTCATTTTACTCGCCATACATCTCGACGATGCATATCTAGTTTTGGTGAAAATTGGAGCAACACTGACGCGGCATCATTCGCCTCCTCAATGACTGCCTTTTTTGTTGAATCAGCCGAAATTTTTGTGGCACTCTCGAGGCGCGTCTTGCAGCAGATGACGACGCACTCTGAGCTAACACTCTGCAGGACTCGAGACTTTGTCGTGATTTTAGTTCATGTGATGGGCCCGGCTCAGTCAACACGGAAAATAGAAGGTCAGCAAACAATTTAGCAATACGCTACATTCATTATGGTTGATGTAGCCGTTCTCTTGTTCTCGTTTCTTTCCTATCAATACCAATTCCTCGCCCCAAGTCCGTTCTAATTCCGAACATCTGTTTTGCCAACTGATTTAATTCAAATCATTGCTTAAGTCTTTCTTTCCGGTTCACACGCCATGCGTCCTCGGTCCAGCGCAGCTGTCGTGGCTTTCGTCGCCGCTTACGCTGCAGCTGCGAGTGCCGAGTCACTGGCCGATCTTTGCACATTGTCCAATCTCAAGTCTGTTCTTTGCTCCAACGGTACTCTCCTTGGTATCAACCTGATCTCATCTGCTTCTACTGCCGCCGTGGTCTACAATGGTACCGTTGGTGGTGGAATGACCAGCAGTTCCAGTGAGACCTACGACTACTGCAATGTCACGCTCACTTATATTCATCACGGCAAGACTGACAATATTATTGTCAAATACGCCTTCCCCGAGCCTTCAGATTTCAAGAACCGCTTCTATGTTGGCGGTGGTGGAGGATATTCCCTGAACACCGACGCAACCGGCGGTCTTACTTATGGTGCCGCTGCTGGAGCCACGTCTGCTGGCTACGATGCCCTTAATGGTGTTGGCTTCGATGATGGTGTGCTCCTTGGAAATGGCTCTATCAAGTGGGATGCGACCTATATGTTCGCCTATCAGGCCTTAGGCGAGATGACCCAAATTGGCAAGTATGTCACTAAAGGTTTCTATGGTCTTTCAAGCAGCGCTAAGGTCTATACCTATTACGAGGGATGCTCTGATGGCGGACGCGAGGGCATGAGTCAGGTTCAGAGATATGGCGATGAATACGACGGTGCGATCACAGGTGCTCCTGCTTTTCGGATGGCTCAGCAACAAGTGAATCATGTGTTCTCTGCTGAGGTCTAGATAACCTTGGATTATTATCCTCCCCCTTGTGAACTGGCCAAGATTTTGAACGCTACTATTAAAGCCTGTGACCCTCTCGACGGTCGTACCGGTGGTGTGATCTCCCGTACCGATTAATGTATGATGGAATTTGATCTATCCTCTGTTATCGGCGAGGAATACTACTGCGCTGCCTCGACTGCCTCCTCTGGTTCCCCTGGCGGCGGTTCTTCTAGTAGCTCCCAGCCTATTCAAAGCGGCAAGGTCTCCGCTTAAGGTGTTACTGTTGCCAAGACTATTTACAAGGGTCTCCACAATAGTGATGGTCAGCGCGCCTACCTCTCATGGCAGATCGGCTCTGAATTCGGCGATGCTGGTACCACATGGAATAATGATACCCAGGCCTGGGAACTCTCAATTACATCCACCGGTGGTGAATGGGTCACCAAGTTTGTCGAGCTCGTGGACCTGGACAATCTATCGACCCTCGATGGAGTCACCTACGATACTCTAGTGAAATGGATGGAGACTGGTTTCGTTCGCTTCTACGACAGTCTACAGACCACCGTCCCTGATTTGTCTAAATTCAAATCCTCTGGTGGAAAGCTGCTGCACTATCATGGCGAATCTGATCCTAGCATTCCCTCTGCTTCTTCAGTGCACTATTGGCAGGCAGTCCGCTCGGTTATGTACCCTAATGCCACGAGTGAGGCTAGTCTGAAGAGGCTCCAGGATTGGTACCAGTTTTATCTGATCCCTGGCGCCGCACACTGCGGAACCAACACCCTACAGCCAGGTCCGTACCCTGAAGACAATATGGCAATCATGATTGACTGGGCCGAGAACGGTGTATCACCCACATGCCTTAACGCCACCGTCTCTTCTGGTGATTATGAGGGTGAGACTCAGATGCTGTGCCAGTGGCCTTACCGCCCGCTGTGGCGTTCTATATCCAGCTTCGATTGTGTCTATGACGAGAAGTCGATCGAGACCTGGACATACAACTTCCCTGCTTTCAAGGTGCCTGTGTACTAGGTGCAGTCTTGGCACATCCGGAATGTTTTGTTATCACTCATGGTCCTAGGTGTATCCATTTAACTATATAGAAATATGACCTAAGTGCCTCTTTCTCTATTAGTGACCATGGCAGACGAGACATTCCTCACAAATTGTAGCAATTGAGGTGTATTATAACCGCTCCCACAGCGTATTGGGGCGCTAAACTAATACAGGCAGGTCCGCCGCTTATATTAGGAATGGCCCACAAGTCCTTTTGACCCATACATCTCAGTCTCACTCCCAAAATGTCCGAATATTTCAGCAGTCTAACCAGCTACTCGGCTCTCAAACGGATATGCCATGTAAAACAGGCGCATCTTTGACTTCGGCATGACACATGTAAATAAGACAATATTGTGCAACGCTGTCAATTCTTTGCTTATTGTGTCTTCAAAGCTACTAAATCAAACAGCAGAGTTTCTTTCCCTATGGCCACTCTTCGGACCGATGAATCGCAGCACCCAGATTGCCGCCCAATCGCACGACTTCCTGGTGAAATTCATCGTCCTTTTTGAACGCATGTTTAGAAATGGGATAGACTAGAGCTGTTACAGCGCCACCAGCGGCCCCTGCAGCAGGAAATAACCTCCAAGGATAGCTCCTCCGACAAGATTTATGGCCAGCTTCAAGTGACCACGGCGCTTTTCCTTGTCTTCTTCTACTTGCTCCCCATAACGCATCACTCCTGAGCCCAGCTACGGTATCAATGTAGTAGCCTCTTTTACGGCCACGAAGCTGAACGGGGATGTCGTTAGCTTCTCGGTATAGGTGCTCTTTCATTGGGCCACCGTCAACTGGTATCTCTGATGCGACTGCCATGATGCGGCTAAAAATCGTCCGCACGAAGTCATCGTTTTCGTCACAAGCGAAGGCAGGTTCATTGCTGATGTAAATTGCGACGAGATTATGGGCAAAGTTGATCTGATTCTCAGTGCCCTCATTTTGCGGCCCACGTCGGGCTTCGATGGCAGCGTCCCGTACAGCTGCGCAGGCATCGCCGCGTGAAAAAGGGGCGTCCCGAACCTATCAACTTGTTGATTCTGTACAGGTCCTTCAACTTCGTGTTTAAAATAGCTTCAGAGAAGAGATAAGCATGGCCATAGCACCCAGCGAGAAACAAGAGTGTCACTGATGGCGGCAGGCGGTAGTGGTCACTCGGATGAGCGGCTTCTTTGGCAACTTGGCCTACTAGCGCTAATCTTAAGGTTAGAGTTGCATTGGTCTTCTTCGCTCTTTCGCTGCCTGGTATAATCTGGTTGTATTTCTACCTTCCCGGGTTCAAAGAACGCTCCTACCTTGAGATGGAGGAGATTTTTACCAAGCGTGTTCCAGCGCGGCAATCCAAAAAATACAATTGCGAGCTCGAGATAACACTACGGAAGACGGCGAAAAAGTGTGGCTCGTTCGATGAGCCTAGCGACCGGGATCAGGCGGGTCTTTGAAGTGGCCTCTGGGGCTGGGTGGAAGGACTGCCTTGCCTTATCTCATCTACAATGTTCAGAAATCCTGTTCTAGTACACAGATATATCTTGAAGACCTATTGGTTATATTATCAATATGTCTAGGGTTTTGTATCTTCACTAGAAAGAGTTACATGTATTTCTGAGAAATCTATAGCTTCGGAAAGCCGTCTACCGAAATTGAACTAATCCTGGTCTAGATGTATAAAGATAGTTACTAGGTATTTTCAGTTATAAATCATAGGGTGAATCACCAGTTTACCAAAAGGATGTTAAGGGAGGATTAAGGAATAAGGGAGAAGTTGTGTATTAATTTGACTACTAAACTGCTGATGCTATTAAGTTATCTTGACGAGACCTAGGTGGTGAGCAGCTTTAGCGAAGTAATCTTCAGATAAACCTCCGAGCCTTATTTATAAATGATCTGGGTCTCGAGGGTTGTACCACTGATACTCCCCCTTAAATATTAGGAGTGAGGCTCCGTAGTTTAGGGTAGTAATACTCCCCTAACTTCTAATATTAGGCTCTATTCAGCATATCTTGTATTGATGTATGTTGTGAATGGATGGGTAATCTTAAGAAAGACATCACTTGTACATATTCCCGCTTGACTTATATAGCTTTTGAAGAGGGGAACGCTCTCGGCAGTACGCTCATAGACGGAAGGTCGAACAACCAGCACCAACAACCAATCTTGCTCCGCTAACCGCGAGAAAGACCTTCCGGGACGACCCATAGGGGTGCTATCAGAGATGTGTGGGAGCGTGTATTGAAATACCAGCTAGAAACTGACATTTCATAGAATGCATACGGAACGTGACACGTAATCGAGACATGCGGGTGAATACCATACTATTGAGGGCGAGGTTTTCCACTATACTATGTAGATTATCTATATGCAATCTGCTAGGTATAACACTTCTGGTCGCAAGTTTATTATATACAAACTAACACCGATTCATACTAGGTAATGTAGATTGTAGATGAATTAGAAGAGGCCACAGAAAAAGAATAGGCCTAGAATCATCTGCTCACGACTGCCGTGTCTATGCCACTTTCGGCTTGACCACTAATGACTCCACTGAGTAGGAAACATTCGGAAGAAGACCTGTCATACTCCAAATAATTGCATGTAGACTTTGCTGCACATGCGTTCACACACTCTATGAAGGTGACATAGAGGTCCAAACCGACAATTTTGCTGGAACTATAGGAATATTCATAGTTGCAGTCAATATAAACTTCCACGCCATAAGCAGAATCATAATAAGGACTTGACAGTTGGGCACAAGCCGTGGGAGTAATGGTTGCTGTGGTGGTCTCTGTTATTGAAACAGTGCTGGAAGCCGTTTCGAGGATGGTAGCAGTGGCAGTTATGGTAGTTGTCGCAGAGGCAGTCTCGTCAATAGTTACAGACTCAACGGACGTAACTCTGGTGCTGGCCGTTTGATCGTTGGTGGCAATACGAGTTACTGTAGCATATGAGGAGGCAGTGGCATAAACATATTTGGTGGTTGGTGTTGTTCGAGTCCGGGTGACAAAAAGGGGGATGGATGAAGTCTCGTCAATAATTGTAGATGCAGACACAATAACGTGACGGCTGCTGACTTGGGTCTGATAGGCTGTGACGCGACTTGTGGCAGTTACAAATATGGAAGGCTGCTTGTAATGATCAGTTGATTTGCTCATACTGGGAAATGGGAAGGGAAAAGGTGGCAAAGCAAGGCATACCGCTGTGCTCTGAGAAGCAGTCGTTACGATGGTTGTCGTGGTGGTAGCAGGTACAACCAGACAGGAGCAAGCACTGCTAAGGTCGCTAGTTGCGATTGTGCTGACTTCGGCCAGCCAGCTGCTAAATAGACACTCGGAGGAAGTGCATTCCGGCTCTGGTTCTCCACAGTCATCGAACTCTTCTTCTTCTTCTTGATCATCCACCGTCTCGATCTCGACGGATCTTTGGGCAAGAGTGACCGTGGCAGTTTGAACACTGGTTACCGTGTTGATCACGGTAGAATCCGTAATTGTCATACTCAATGTCGCGGTTTGCGTTGCATAAACTGTGGTGTCTGTCGTAGTGATATCATCGGTGCTTACCACAGTGCTGGTTAGTGTAGTATCGGTTACAGTCGTTGTCACCGCATCAATGGCAGTACTAATTGCTGTGGCGTCTGTTGTTGTGATGAACTCGGTAGTTTGGACAACATCCTCAACCACGCTCGTAAGAGTGACTGGGGCAATGTCCGTGCTGGAGTACCACGTGGTGACCGTATCTATGATGTTTGAAGTGTCGGTAACAGTGATATCGACGGTTATTGTGTCAGTGATTGTGGCGGTCCCTGCGGTTGTTGTCGGGTATACAGTAACAATTTGAGTCGCAGTCTGTTCGATATATGCGCTACAGAACGCACTCGCCTGTGCTTGCAACGATGATTCCTGGAGTTGAAGCCAAACTGCATCATTCGCACACTGGTCGTTCTGTCAGACACCATGTGGAAACAATAACCGAACGCACGTAATTTGTCACCTACCTGAGGAAGAGATCGCTTAACGATAGAACCGCTTCCAAGTGGTCGAGCAGATGAGAGCAAAGCTCCCCCAAGCCCTAATAGAAGTGACAAATGCATTTTAATTCTCAACAGCAAAGAAAAATAACGAGTGACTAAAGTTGGACAACTGTAAAGATTCAGACACGAATAACTTCCTCCGGACCCAATGCCCATTCATATAAGGCCCTCCGTCGCTTAAGATTGCCTATCCATATTCAAGTTATTTTTGGTGGCGTTCTTTTTGGCTCTAAAAGCCCCATTTGAATGGGGAAAAAAATCGGGTGCCCCTGAATGAGTCGTGATTATTGTCTGAGCAAATCAGCTAGCTCTAATCCCAAATGTCGGCTAACAGGCCATGATTGCTGACTTTCGTAGATGTAGATAATAGATGTACATATAGAGATAAGAGAATGCGTGAAGCGGGTGGGTGGTGTATTTCATTTGCGACAGTATGTCAGAAGAATTCAGAACGACAGCCAATAGATAAAGTAGTTAACGAACGACTCCCTCCGGATCTAATCTCCCATTTTTTGGAAGTGTAGTCGTCAGTCTGGAAGATTGAGAGGCCCTGAACGAACAAAAAAAGGCGGTCGCATAATAGTAGCTGTTGGTGAGCCAGAGCCATTGTGAAGCGGCTGTCGTCGGTTCGAATATCGCGTTGATGCTATCTCCTCGTCTGTGTGAGCCCAATTGAAGAGATAAGTGGGTCTTCCCGTTAACTAGTACTGTTTGCTACATATACATATTCGGGATAATCCTTTAGAAGCTTAGCTTGGAGGTGGGATCAAATGATCGTTGGCTATTTCATACTAAAAAATTGAAAAATGGGGTTTCCATAAACTAAGCCTTCAGTAGCATCAAGACTTCGGCATTTTCTTGGTATAATCTATCTTCTGAGCTTAGCCTTCGATTGATTCTAGATCAGTTATCCAGGTCCATCATAGAATACAGCACAGTAGTGGGGCGTCTATCGGAGACGCCGATGCTCGTCAATTTCTATCAACTTTTCTCTATAATTCAAAAGACGGGACTTACCAGAATTCTCAAAGGAGGCTGAGAGACAGGAACCGTTTACATACTTTGGTCCGACTTCCTCGAACTTAACATTATCAATAAACCTATATTATTGCATGCATATTGCATATTCCGCATTGCGAATAAAGCGGCTCAATAAGTCTCCGGCAGACGAGTAAGATGCAAAAATTCTTTGACCAGCAGTTTCATCGCCTGGTCAATTAGATAGAACTGAGAAGCTATTACGATATATCCCAATAATTAGCTAGGTACAGTTCCTAAATTATGACTGATTAGAAGACTATTCCTTTGTGTGCCTCTTAAATATTCTTTTAAAAATCCTTCTGTTAGTACGCTATGATATGAGGTGCGATCGGCTTAAATTTCCCTAGGTTCTTAAGGGCGTTCCTACTTTCCGCTAGACCCGCTCACCTGCTCGCTTATTATGACCTACAACAGTCAATGACTCCTTTTGTCTCCACCACAGCCACATCCACATGAAGTATTTTGCGAAAAAAAAAAAAAGTCTCCTGGCTGCACGACGTTGGATTTACAGGTTTTATATAATACGTTAGTTGAGGGGTAGACAACTCACAGCGCTACTACCTACACCGTAACGGTGCATTTCTTAATTACGGGGGAAAAAGTAGGGCAGATACCGATAGAGCTGAGTCTTCATGAGTTAGATGCCGTTACATTCTGGCCTCATGGGAAGCTGATACTTGAATGTATTTTTAAACACCCTCCGCTTCATGCCGAACTTAAATTCTAAAATATTTCGAGTACCAGAAAGGTTACCAGGTAATAGGGGTCCAAAGTTAGTGAATTTTTGTCACGGGGTGCCAAACCCGCCCGCCCGTGATGCATCACAGTACGAATACGGATACCACTAGGGGACTTATACCCTCAGTACTGATGTATGTCCCCGACCGCTTCCGTTCTGCTGTCCGCTAGCTCACAAAATCCATGTCGCAATAGAGACTTCGTAACATAACTAATAAGATCATTAATGGGTGATGTTCCACTTCATCACTAATAGTTCCAAGGATCAATTCTCGGTCTTGAACGCTTCATTTTAACACGCAAATATCCAATCATGAATGATTCGAAATGCTGCCCTCTACTCCTTGGGTGTTCATCACAATTACCCCATCGTGTACCCGCCCTTTAAGCGTCCAGCGATCGGAGATACATCGCCAAGCAATACGCGAGAAAGGTGCATCTCGACGCTCTCCTAATTAAAAAAGAGCTGAACGCCAGCCGCATTCAATACAGGATGACTGGGCTTCGGTAGAAAGTCTTTCTCGTAGCTATGAGTAGGCTTCATCAGGACGCAAGACCCAACCCAATTTTGCATAATTTACCCCTGAATTTTCATAACTTTATTCTCTTGTATTCTCTGTATTTTGCTAGTTCTATCAGGTGAATTTGAATAAAATTATAAACATATATAGGAGGGACTTGAATTAATGTATAACTTAATCTGTATTAAATCCGATTGGTAGAAGTGGAGGTAATACTAAAGACTGAATTTTCTGAACTTGAAGTTCAACATATATGTTTGGCATCAACGGCGGCTCCACCATTTTCTTAGAACCCTTTATAATTTATTTATTTTATAAATCAATAAATCAATAATGTTAGAGTATATTATAGATCGCATATATATCTAATGGGCTATAAAGAGAGAATAATTAGTAAAATATTAAAATTTCATTCATATACGGTCCCGTAACATGCTACAAACATGCTGTATTCAAAGACTTGGCATGTTTGTTATGTTTACAACCCAATTGGGGCCTAGGGATGTCAAAATGAAATTTCAAAATTTCGAAATTCCTGAAATTTGGCTGCTTGAAATGTAATTTGAAATGGGGCTTGAAATCTTGAAATCTAGCTAGTCCCAAAGTGGTAATGATTATCTTCCATTCTTCCAATCAAAACAGTCGAACGTAAAGCACGTGACATAGACATCATGTGTCATCTATCCCCCGCCGTCGCCGAGTTGGCCGCTTGGAATCATCTGGAACTCCTTGAGGCCATTCAGATACACGCTTCGACCTCGTCCGCATAAGATGAGCTGAATCTGAATTTGTTGTGGGTTTCGTTGAAGGACTAAGGGGAGGCTCCGAAGTTGGCTTCAACAAGGAGTTAAGCCTCGACTTCAACGCAGAAATGAGGGCAGGATTTGTTGATTCTGAAGCTGAAGTCAAAGCTGAATTCAATGCTAAAACCAGGGCAGACGTTGGTGATTGCTCTGTTGGTTGCTCTGGTGGTTGCTCTGGTGGTTGCTCTGGCGGTTGCTCTGGCGGTTGCTCTGGCGGTTGCTCTGGCGGTTGCTCTGGCGGTTGCTCTGGCGGTTGCTCTGGCGGTTGCTCTGGCGGTTGCTCTGGCGGTTGCTCTGGCGGTTGCTCTGGCGGTTGCTCTAGTGGTTGCTCCGGTGGTTGCTCTAGTAGTTGATATGAGCCCCCTGATAGATCGTCTAGCACTTGGTTTCGCTGCAAAACCCTCTCTATCTCGTTATCCTCTTCTTGAAGGAGTGATTCTTGCGCAACTTCGGGAGGCCGTTCTGTCCGGAATTGTCGTTTATTGATCTGCACGAAGAGCAGTTTTTCAACGCGGTGGGGCTCGAGCCTATTTCGGACTTTTGTATGCTGAAGGTTCATCTGTGAAAAGGCTCTCTCCGCTGCCGCTGAATTTGCCACAGTATTGCAGAGTCGACGAGCAAAGGGTGCAAGAAGCGGAGCAAAGTCCTCCTGTATAAGCATATCGTAAGTAAGTCCTTCGTTTTAATCGTTGATAGTATAACGTACTGCCTCAAGCCAAAAGAGAGACGGGCTCTGGGCCTTCCAGCAGGAGGCATTATAAAAAGCGCCCGTTCTCTGCCTGAATGACAGAAATTCATGCCAAGCGGAAGAGCTTTTGTCGTTGTTCTGTAGAGGCCGTAGCACACCGATATAATTACGAGAGCTCTGGTCAACTTTCCCAGGGACTCTAGCGGGATCAAGATGATAGGCTACCCAGTGGATAGGCTCAAGCTGACGTAGTATTCGACTTTGCCAGCCTATGCCATCCAAATAGGACAAGAAATCGTCCTTAAGAGATGTTTGGGAAGCCAATGTTCGTAGATCTTCATGGAGATCTAGCCATCGCTGCGTTACCTCCATAATCGACGAGTTCCGAGCTTCGGACTCTTTTTGGGCAACATGTAGAGGCTTAAGGATTTTAATCAACTCCTTTAGTTGCCACCAGAACGAATGCGAGTTCGCTATCCGAATAATCTCCCTCCCCCTAGCAGTCGAGGTAGCAGGAGTGATAAGTGTCCACTCACAGATAGCTTCTTGGCAGTCGTGGAGCGAGGAGAGCATATTATATTGCGTTCCCCATCTTGTAATGACTGACGCAATAAGAGCCTTCCTATATCCCCACTTCTCAATCTGCTTTCCTTGCATCCTTGCGTACTCGAGTGGTGAGTGGTGGAAGAAGACGACTATTTCAAGGGCCGACTTAAATACCTCCGCAGCCCGTGGAACCTTCGAACCCTTAGCATCAACAATATCCTTCATGATTAACTGTAGGCCGTGAGAGTCACAGGGAATCATAAAGCAGTGTTTGAGCTCTGGTGTGTTCTCTAGCTTCTCCCAGACCGATTTCATGACAGAACATGTGTCTGTCGAGATAGAATTAATTCTTTTCCAGTCAATCGTTGTATCCAGTTGTAGTAGGAGACATTTGAGACTATTCAAGATCCAACCACTAATAGCAGGAGCATCAAGAGTCTTGTCTTCCATATCATTCAAGTAGACAAACCATGACTTTATCGGCGTTGTTATAGTCATCACTATCACCCGTTGAGATCTAATGTTAGTGGTCTCATCCACTGTGACATTTAAGAACTCAGTTCTCCGTAACTCTTTAATAACCTTCTCTAGTAGTTCATTATATGCTTCATCCAGCAGGTCATCGGCGACTCGTTGGCGGGAAGGAATTTGATACGTCGGGCTTAACGCATGGATAAGTTCTCGCATTTCTTGCTGTTCGAAAAGGTTGAATGGTCTAGCCCCGGTGAAACAGACCTGAGCGATTAGCTGATCAATGCTTCTGGCTGGCTGAGATGTAGAGAAACTTAGCAATTTCTGTTTCTTCTCTGCGGCGGTCTTGGGATCCATCAGAGCCTGTGCTTTTGTGCATTTATTAACATGCTCACTCTGGCGTGTAGTATTTTTGGCGCGAGTCTTCAAGCATCCAAGACATTGTGCTTGAGGCACCTGAAGAAGCTGCAATTAGGGGAGTAGAGGATAAGTTTATGAATTAGTTCTTACCTTTTTATCACCCTGTATGATTTTGAAGCATCTCTGAAGCTCGAGCTCTGAGTAGGAAACCTTTCCGCAAGGATGATTAGGAGCCATTTCGAAGGTGAGGGTGCTAGGAAGGGGTGAGACCTTGAGAGTATTCTAAACAAGCCAAAGATATATATTCTTCCACCTGTTGCCACGAGCTACAGCATACTTGATGAAGACTGGCAGAAAAATGAAGTATAGGCCATTATTGGCTATAATAGGTTACCGCTTCTGATGACTCAGCAGGCGCCAGCCCCTTGAAATGTAATTGAAACGAGAAAATGAAATGAAATTTCAAGATTTCGTAATGAGTTGGCCAATTTCGTAATTACAACATCCCTATTGGGGCCCCAAGGGTTGGGTTGGGTCTAACTTGGGTCCTGATGAAGCCTAGCAATGAGTCGTTATCACCTACACCTAAGCCGCTTCTTTTCGCCCTAGTAGCTCCATCGCTATGGGACGGTGACTTCCGAACTCTTTTATAGCATAGTCTGCACCCATTATATGTCATGCTTATATTCATCAAACTAACAACATATATGCAGTGTTTTCCACTTCCGCATTTACCAAGACCGTTAGTACCCCGCATGTATTACGGACTTAGGTGCATTTAACTAAATGTTAGCGACCTACGCGATGCGCTTACTACTATGGCAGCAAACTTCTGTTGGTGCCTTCGAATATTTCACTCTTACGCACTATGTGAAGGCACTACTAAGTGTGTCTGTGACTGCAGACGAAATCATGGCTCACATTCTCTATAAACGTTTCTCCAAAACCCGCTAAGCTCCGAGGAATACAAGATTGATCACTGATGAGGAATATATCGGACATCCGTGACGAATGGGACCACCAAATTTGGCGACTCTTTCGGCGGTTGGTCTAATGACCATTGCGCTTACCATTGACTTGCAAAGTAGCCGCCTCTATAGCCAAGCTCCTTGAAGCCTGGATGAGAATGGTTTACCTTCTGTCAACGCACCCACTTATCCCTAGAGCCAGACTTTACGCGCTTCGGTGACAGCGAAGTAACGATGCGGGCAACTGGCTAGAAAGAACGGACGTAGTAATGTATTAGGGGCAAAGCGATTCTACTATACCCTGGAAATGGAAAGCTATCTACCGAGTTAATATTTAATAAAATGTGGAGTGGCCAAGTATCGGAATCTAAGTGCTGGTCAAACTAGGGGCTTATTCTACTAGGGTACATAAAGCGGCTCTCACCTATTTCTCACCCTGGCGATACCCACTAAACTACTGGCCGCATATAAGCCACACACCGATAAGTTAGTAGTATAGTAGGTGACCACATGCGAACCCTGACTACTGTATACTTTTTTAGATATTTGATATGTCCTCATACATTAAGGAAACAGTCCTTGCCGCCCTACTATTCAGTCGCCTGCGACTGACTACCTGAACACCCTCCTCGCATCCAACTACCCAATCTTGGATACTTATCACACCATTACAATCTCTATCCTAGCTTAAATCCAGGGGTCTAGGAACAGTATTCCTTGTTCATGATGTAGGCCAACACCTTCAAAAAATACATTACCGATCTCCAAGGTCGCATCCAGTAGGAACAACCAAAGTGTATTCCGGGGCATGTTGGTATACCTTATGTAAAACATAAATAAAAAGAGATATTAAACCGACATACTGGCTTGTCGCCGTCTTTCTCTGACAATCGCGTATTCAGCATCTTGAGTTCCAAGGTCAGATGAGGTTGATCAAATTCATTCACGTCATGTCCAAAAAGATCGACCTCTCGTATCTTACACATGGGCAAATTTCAAGGTTCCACATACTTATCTTTCCGGACTATTGCATTCATCTTTAACCATAAAGGGGCACAGGCCATGGCTGTATGGTCTTGACTTTCGTTGATCAGACTGGTTCCATCTTCCGTTGGTCCCAGCTGAAATTCAAAGGTAGTCACCAGCCTGGCAAGGACTTGTTTCATCTCCATGTAAGCAAAGGCTTTACCCACACAGTTGAATGGGCCCACACTAAATGGAATGAAAGCTTTCGAGTTATGGGTTTCTAGGTGGTCGATCCAGCGGAATGGATTCCAGGTGCTTGGGTCGGTGAAGTTTTCGGGGCCTAATCAAGATCAGTCACTCATTGAAATATATGGGTGCAGATGGGCACTATGAATTTGCTATACTCACTATGTTGAATAGTCCAAGTTGGACAGCTGACGGTGGTATTACCAGGGATATGTATGCCTTCAATGTAGACGCCCTCTGGAGGAGTTAAGCGTGGTAAGCCGGATGGTACGGCTGGGTGGACTCTGAGGGTCTCATTAATGACGCTTTCCAACAACGGAAGGTCTTGCAACGCTTCAAAAGCCAAGTTGGCGGGATCTGCATGATTCACAATCTCTTTGCGAAGGGCGAGTTGGATTTCTGGATTGATCGCAAGATGATACATGGCGAAGGTCAAGGCAGAGAGCGTCGTGTCGCCAGCGGCAATCTGCAACATCATGGTATCCTCGATTTCTTCCTCGGGGGTCAAGGTTTTTTTGCCCCGGAAGACGTAAGACAACACGTCCGGCGAGTCTATTTTGGCAGCCTTCCGCTCGGCCAAGCTAAGTGTTGCGAAGTCTTTAAGACCCTGCATCGGGGCTGGCAAGCCAGGAAGACTGGTTATGATTCTCACTAGCCACGGAAGTGGCGCCAGCAACACTCCTGTTGCCAAAAACTTCTCTACCTCCAAAAGTCCTTGATGAATTTTGCCAGAATCTAGACATCCATATGATTTGCTGTATCCCAAATCGCCCACCATATCGAAGACAAAGCATTTCAGCCAGTGATTGATTAGAACGCCTCTCTCGTCTTTCCCGTCTGCTTTGGTGATACAGTCAATCATCAAATCGGTCAGACGGTATAGCTTAGGAACATATTCCACGCATCCTAGAAGGCCCCCATGATAGTCAGCTTCTGGACATCGATTTCACATTAATCACTGCGTGTGACCTAGGGTGTGTATACATACTTTTGGCGCTCAAGGCCTTGTCCCACGCCGGTCTACGGGCTCGATGTTTCGTAAATTCAGTCTCAAGCTGCAGACTCTTTGCATCACGTAAGCCGTAGAACGTATTCGACTTCTCGCACTTGGTACCAGGGCCATAAATGACCGCAACAGCTTCTTGGCTATTGATGGACAAGTAGTTGGGTGCTGATTAGAACGTATTGAATAAGTTATCAGGTCCAAAGTATCATACGGATACACTTACCTATCCGTACTATTTTTCCATATCGGCGGTGTAGCTCATGGTGGTGTTGGTACCTCTGCTCTCCCATCGCAAGCTTACCAACCCCCCACCATGTTGTTAACCGCGCCACTCTAGGACCAGGGAATGATCTTAATGGATGAAAAAACAGACGATAGACAGAGATGCTAGCAAATAGTGGTGCAAAGAAAGCTGCATTGGCAAGCCAAAGAAAGGTCACTGACTGGGAAGGACCACTCCAGATGGACAACAATAGCCAAAACCCAAATTGGACGAAAAGATATGGAATAAAGCCTGTCCCTACCAAGCGGTCGACATTCCGATGACGAATAAAGAAAAGATGAGAAGCCAGACCCAGAAAGGCGAGGGAAGGGAAGATCCGAGCCTCTGCCGGCCCTCCCGTAAGAACATTACTCATCTGCAAAGAGAAGATTTCCATGGTAACTGTCGAAAGGATTGAACCGAGGCTGCGAAGGTGATAAGAAGTGAAAAGGGGGGACGAAGACCAAGGATTGGGATGAAAAGAAGTGGGGAGAGAGAAACAAACGGCGCCGAAGTCCTGACAAAGCGCAACCACGGACCACGCGATCGGACTATATCAACCCTGCCAGTGTCAATAGTGACTTATTTCCTGTCGATGGCTTTCTGCTTCTTTTCTTTTCGAGGGCTTTGACTAGGCGAACACGATAATCATTTCTGGAGAACGTGACACTTCGCAGTGCGCACCCCACTTTTGCACATGTAAGAACTAGTCCTAATGAGGGTAAGCATGAAGTCACCGCTAATCCAACTTTTGAACGTTATGATTGGTAATAGTCGTTATGCAGAGGACCTTCTGAAAGTCGACAGAAACGTACCTGGTATGGAATAGGAGTGACTACCAGGCCTAGAACTTCAACTTCCGCCGGATCTTATTCGCGCATTGATCGCATATCGTGTGCGACCTACGGCATGGAATCCGCCTCGTTCAATGGCACGAATTTGGGGACTCAGGTGGGGGCACGAAATCATCTCATACTAGCTTGTAAAGGCGACTACGAAGGCAGTTTAAGGTAATTACCGCACAAAGGAGCCATAATGAGCCTTCGCATCCAATATCCATGAGCTCTGTTAGGTATGGCAAGCAGTTTGATCCCGGTTCTATGTATTCACTCTTCTTGGTGTTCGAGCAGGGCAGTTGGAAACTTCTCTTATATTCCTATAATATGTCGCTATCTACTTATATTAGTTTTGAATTATAAAGAATTCAATAGCCCCGATGGAGTCATACGTTGCCTTCTAGACTTAATATAAATCTTTATAGTATATTGATATTGAAGAAGGATATATATCGAGTAGCAGTAGATTGAACTTAGTATACCGCTGGAATTTCGTTAGTATGCTAGACTCAGCTGGAGGATTACTAAAGCTTATATATCGCAGCAAAATTCACGAAGAAAAACTCCAGCGGTCCCAGAAAAAGAGATTTATTGTCAAGGAGGAGAAAGGAAAAGAGGAAGATGATATAGAGGGATTAATAAAGATTTTCAAAGCTAATAGAGACATTCGATGTTGGGACGGACATGTGAATGCCCTATATCTCAGCCGCCCATTAAGGGGTTTGTAACTTGATTGTTTTAGTGATGAATATGCCATTCCAACTGCTGAATTTTGTTAATTATCCTGCGCTTTGCCCCTAAACATCCTTCTACTTATGCCACCCGGAGAGGTTGTATTGTGTGTCCTAGTACACTATAAGCCCAACTACCATAACCAGCCCAGTTAATGTGATCGATTGCACCGGGAAAAATGATGTAGCTAATGAGCACTTTGCAATATCTAAAATCAGTTAATATTAACGAACTTTCTTGATTTCAAGTTTCAAGAGGCCACGTACCCCCTGTTGCCCATAAATATATATTTTCGAAGTTAACTAAAACGTTCTCGTAAAGTGTAGTGTTGTAATAAGTCGAGTTATAGCAATCATTTTTAATCTTATAAATCTCCGATTGATTCGTGGTTTTGAGCGTGAACGAGACGTGCTTGCATAAGCACTTTATATGAGACCGCTTTGTACTAGACGCCCTGGCAGAATAGTTCCCACATTTAGCGGTATTGAAGATTGCATCATAGTACTGTTCCCTATAAAATGGCTGTATGCAACTTTAGAATCCGTCTACCTAAGCATCGTAAGAACAGGGTATATATGCGGTTGCACTAAAAGCCCAGCAAAGCACTAGGCAGAAATATGCCAGTCGAGGCCGGAGTATGACTTAAGAGTCGAAAAGGAGGGCAGGCAAAATATATTCTAAGAGTATTCTAGATTGTGACGAGGGTAGCGTTTGTTTTGAAAAATAAATACACGAGAATTTTCATCGCACTTGCATTTATTTAACCTAACTATATCAGTTAAAGTGGCGACCAAATTTCGATTACTACTAGTCAACCGTAAAAGTCTCTATTCATTTTTAAATAGCACCTATAGCTAACCTCGGGAACAACTCTATATTATCTACCCCGCTACCTACGCGGTCCAGGTTCGTTTAATCTCACACTATTTAAGCGGCTAGGAGCTTCTTAAGAGTAGAATCAACTTAAATCAAATGTCAGTTCTTTAAATTCTTTACGCTTTTTAGAGGTTAAAATGGATTGGAGTTTGATATCAGATACGAGCCGCTAAAGAGAAAGTCCCTAAACATTCCCTAAAAATATCAAAGCACACTACATAACCTCTAGTCTATTATAAAATTAAAGTGAATATTAAACTTTTTAAAGCTTCTTTACTGGCCCAGCTAGGATCTCGGTAGTCCACTTCTCCTGAGCTAGTCGGCGGCACAATTAGCGGTAGATCTTCAGACGTTTCTGCTCAATAACCTAATCAGATATAGCGGACCCCACGTACGAATTTCATTCCGGTATTTTAGTGAATATTTCATCGACAGATCCGCCTCTATTCGTCCCTTTTTCCCATCCTCACTACTACTCTATCTACACCACAGCGGCTTAAACCACTGATCAGGGGATTACAAGCGCTTTTACTATAGGCGGAATTACAGCGACTTCAAAGCGCTTACGGTAGGGTAGCTCAGATATATAGCAGAATTATATTTGTCTGTATTATTTATCAAAAAATATACTTACAAGGCACTATCGGTCAATCACACAACCTCACTTGAACATTTGGTCGGTTCGCCTTCCTAATTATGCTTAGTCATTGTTTAGGTGACATGCTCTCGCCTCCCGAGGACGATTTGGTTCTGCCCCAAATTACAAACTGTATGCAGATGATTCCGGTGGCCAATGGAACGTTGGCGAGGGGCCCAAAGATTTCTATACATCATGGGCTTCTTCCTCGCATGTAGACCCTTAACTAGGATCTAGTCCCAAGGGGTCTAAGGGTTCAGGGTCATGACAGATCCCATCTGCAGGGCTCAAGACCACCACCTATTGCTCGATAATCGTTAACAAATAATTTACTCTATAATATGACTACAAAATGTTAGTTCATTACTTTGACCTTTCCTAAGCAATCTCAGTAAGGCCCAACCGATATCTACTAGCCAGTACGGAGAAGGCTAAGTCAGAAATCATCCCCTCGGCTGCAGCCCGCGAGTGCACTAAGCCTAAATGGGTTTACTCTACAAAAAATAAATGGATACGGAGTAGAGAAAGCACCAATCTCGGGATTGCGGCAAAGGCTGGCAACAAGCCATCCCGCTTGCCACTGATGGGCCGAAATACGCACAGGCCATGTCCGCTCACATCTAAGACTTTTCGTGGTCAACTGAATGACAAGACTTGCCAGCTAATTTCGATCGGCTCCACCCAAGAGTCACGTGGACACTATGGTTATTCTTAGACCTCGCCAAATGGGCGGGTTGGGTTTCGACCCTTGACCCAAAACCCGCCAAGAGATTAAAATACACGTAACATATACCTGATTACATCACTCTATATCTGGTATTGGTTGTATTTCAACAGTAATACTGTAATATACAGGTAAATGGGTTCTTGGCGGGTTCGCGGGTATTCCTTCGGGTACCCAAAAAAGCAATATGGCGAGGTCTAGTTATTCTGCAGTTAGCAACAGAATACCCACACAATACAGTAGGGCAATACTCCGTCTTGGAGGAGCGACTCGTGAGGGAATATGGCAAAAGGCAATGCAGAGAGGTGTAGTTGAACAATCAACGACTAAATGAGTGTCTACCACCTATTCGTATGACTGGGTAGCCATATGTACATCCGATCATTGGTCCTTCAAGTTGAAGTCTAAACACCCGTCGGCTATGTAGTCAAAATCATTCGGCAAATGCACTTGCGGAAAATTTGGAGCTAATCAATTGGCAAGAACCATTTTGTATCCTCGAAACACTTTGTTATTTAGGTAAGGGTGGTTTTCGAACCATGGTTCCAAGTTGTTCCGGCCCCTGGCTTCTTTAGCACGGTTTGTTTACCAGGTATCATGTAAGATTGGAGCCAATTCCAGGGCGAAGTCTGCTTGGCAATACCGAAGTACGGTGGACTCCGGAGACAGCTGCTCCGCGCTTGCAGCCACCTATAATATTACTTAATATGATATTGCCAACTACAACAATAACACATTGGGCTGGCTTGGCTTCATGACTTCAGGATGGGTACGATATTTGTCTCAGCTCCGGTGATCCTCCTTTCCCTGCCGCTGTTTCAGGCGCCGAGAGCAGTCCCCAAGTCCCCAGCAGCACTTCGAACGGAACTGATTATGACACATGGGCCTCACCGAATCCTTTTCTATTGAAATGTCACTCCTGAATTTTGTACTATGACAGAGTCTACCACTGGAGCACCTGGTACCGCGGCAAATGGTATAGACGGCTGTATATTCAACCGTGGCACTGCTATCATAAGCGATTCTGATGGCCCTAGTGAGTTTTATTCTATTGTCGAAGCTTTCGATGTGGACCGATCTTTTCTTACCATGGACGCTTAATTCATTAAAACGGTCAAATACACTCACATCATTCTTGCATTTGGCATTATCAACTCGGATAACTCTATTACTATCAACCAGACAACCCAGTTTGAACAGTTCTTGGCCCTCGATGATGTCAAGAAAATCGTTTCCTTCGATGGCTGGGATTTCTCTACCGATGTTGACGCATATATGATCTTCCGTGAGGGCGTCACCGAGGAGAATGGCAAATCTCTGGCTCAGAACGTCGCAGATTTTGTCTCTGACAATGACCACTTTTTTATATTTGAAGGTTTCCTCAGGGTTAGTGGCGAAGTTGATAATGGTGCTGAAAAAATGGGGGACGATAGGTTAGAGGTTCCAACTGTCCGGTTCGGAAAATCACTTTAATCAGGAGGATAGCCTATAAGTTAAACAGATTTAAGCCAATTCTACTATCGCTCACAACTAATCTGAATACTGTCAGTTCAAGGGATAATGTACATTGCCGGAATATACAAATATCGGTTTCCGGAATTTCCGAACAACCTAAGACCCTTGGATCCAGAAATATGGTAATTTCAAAATAGTCAAATCTAGTGAATTCAATCAAGACTAAATTATATCAGAGTGATTTTAGCAGACTGGATTATTAACTCGAACATTAAAGGAAACATACAACCGGTTAATCATACGCTTAAGGGTTCAAATGCTCCATATGGGTTTCTTTAATTGATTAGAAATAACACGTTTGTTGGATTAGTGCATTCAATATGAAAATGGTATATATACCTAATTTACCCTAATATAATAATTTACTCTGTTCTTTGTCTAGGGTTAATGCCCATCAATCACCACAGGTTCCCGAGATCTGCTTTAACTCCATTAACAATCAAATGAGGCTTAAAGTGGTCTTCTAATAAAACATAGATTCTTTCTACCAGTTTCTCTTTGATGATCACAGAACAGATAGCATGATAAACACACGGAAGATAGAGTAAAGATTCCGAGAATAACCGGAATTATTTACAATGATGGTTTGGTTTCCAGAGAAGGAGACATGGCGGCAAAAGAGAAGACTAAGACGAGAGCCGACTCAGCCGAGTTTTCCATCCAAAAATCCAAGAGACTATAGGGAAGCTATTTACATGTCATTGAGACATTGTTTCAAAGGGCTCTCAGACTGAAATATCCCGACTCCTGCGTACGAAATTTTTCCAAACCTCGGAATCTCACAGCATGACTAAAGATACTCCAAACGGTGCAGGCAGCACTACGAATGGGCGAGGGCAACTTAGAGGGTCTTCCGCCTTTATGGAATCATTTGATTGACGACTATCGTCCAATCAAGATCGTTGTTATTGGCGCTGGTCTGTCTGGTATTCTGGCAGGAATTCGAATTTCCCAACATATTCCGAATTTGGACTTGACGATCTATTATAAAAATGAGGACGTTGGTGGGACATGGTGGGAGAATCGGTATGAGAAACATCGCATTGACAAAGAAAGAGTTACTGACCTGTAACAGATATCCCGGTGTGCGATGCGATATTCCCAGTGCCTGCTACCAATACACCTTCGAAAGTAACACCCAATGGTCCGAGTACTAACTACAGCATCGGACCAGAGATCTTACGATAATTCCAGCGTACTGCGTGGAAGTTAGGTGTCTACCGTTTCACCAAATTCTGTCATGAACTACGTGGTGCTACGTGGCGAAAAGATCTAGGTAAGTGGGAATTGAGATAGAAAATCTGAGAACAGACGAGGTAAAAACTAAACAACTTCCCCACATGAAGCTCCTAGATTAACCTTTTGAAATAGGTCTTCGTTGACACTTGTGACTTTTATGCCAGTGCCACTGGAATTCTCAATAAATGGAAATGGCCTGATATCGAAGGTCGAGAGAACTATAAGGGAAAGTTGGTTCATTTAGCAAATTGGGAAACAAAGCTTACACTGCAGTCGATGAGCGGAAAGAGTGTGGCTCTGATCGGAGCAGGATCAACTGGAATTCAAATTCTACCCCAAATTCAACCCTATGCCAAGAGCGTTGATCACTATGTTAGTGGAAAGACCTGGATTTCTCCGGTTGGATTTGGAAGCGAGGAGCTAAAGGAGCGCGGCGTGTCCAGTGGGAACTGTGAGTTTTCTAGGATCTTCCTTTCCTGAAGTGGATTTTAACTTTTCAATTGCAAGTCAAACACCCCAAAGAGGAGCTGAAGAAATGGAAGAATGACCCCAGCACTTATCACGCCTGGCGGCATAAAATTGAGAAAACTGTCAATGGTGCGGCTTTGATCACCATCTTTAGCACTGAGACCCAGCAGGGATTTCAACAGATGAATCAAGAAGCGATGAGAAACAAACTGGAGAAAAAGCCAGAGATCATGGAGGCACTTGACCCTAAATGGCTCCAGGTTGTCGTCGACTTACCCCCGGTCCAGGTTACTTGGAGGCTCTCGTGGAAGACAATGTGAATTTCATCTCCGAAAGAATTACGCGTTTTACACCGGATGGACTCGAAACAGCAGATGGGAAGGAATACAAAGTTGACATTATTATCTGTGCCACCGGATTTGACACCACCTTAGTCCAACAAATCCCCATTCTAGGGGAAGGGGGAGTGGACTTAACCTCAACGAGGTATTGGATCCGTATCCCGAATCCTACCACGGTATTTTTGTCCCCCATATGCCAAATATGCTCCGGTTTGTGGGACCCAACGGAGCACCAGGAACAGGTGGTCTTGTCCATTTGATTGAATACGCGTGTGAATACATGGTCAAGACAATCCAAAAAGTGCAGCGCGAATACATCAAGTGCATTGTTGTGAAACCGGAAGCCATGACCATGCTCACTCGCCATATCGATAAGTATTTCACAAAGACCATCTACACTCAGCCTTGTAAGTCGTGGATGAAGCGAGGAAAGGAGAACGGTCGAGTTATCACCCTCTGGCCGGGCTCGGCGATTCACGCGGTGGTTGCTCTCGAGAACCCCCGATGGGAGGACTTCAATTATAACTACCTACCAGAGACCGAAGACAATCATTACAGCTATCTTGGAAAAGGTCTGACGATTGCCCAAGAAGCAAATCTGGTGACTACCGAATATCTCGACACTGTTAGCAAACCCCGGTCACAAATCACAACTCTATTCCTGAGCCTGAGAGTCCATATCTGGTATTGGAAGAACGGAAGAACGGTCAAGCTGTTTGAGCGGAATGCGCTATGTTATTTCCTATTTATCTTAGATAGACTAGCTCTATGCTTATTCTGACTTTGCAAAATTCATGCGTAGATACTCCTAAGCCCAATCTTGAAGACCAAAAAACCAGACGACAGACGCGTATTTTCAACCTCGAGGTATCGAACCAAAAGGAAGATTATAAAGATAGACCATATCTAGTTCGTGTATTGTTTTTGCAACAACTTGGCAATGGTAGTCAGCTGGATGTTGCTAGTGCCCTCATAAATAGCACCGATCTTGCTGTCACGGAACATCTTCTCGGCAATGCCTTCACGGACAAAGCCCATACCACCCATCCACTCTACTGCAGACCCTGATACGCGACCTGCAACCTGGGAGGCATACAGCTTGGCCATGGCGGCATCTTGAACAAAGTCCTGGCCAGCTTCCTTCTTACGGGCAGCGTTGTAAACAAGCGCCCGGGCGGCAGCGATCTCAGTGTAGGCCTGTGCGATCTGGTGCTGCATACCCTGGAAGTTACCAATTAATTGACCAAACTGCTTTCGGTCATTCCAGACGTAGCTATTTTGAACCGGATTAGCAAGGTGAACGAGTATTGGATAATGGAAGAGCTTACCGAGCAGCGTTCTCCCACGCGCCAAGAGCCAGGCCAGTCATCTGGGCGGCAATGCCAATCCGACCCTCGTTCAAGATATTGATGGCATATTTGTAACCCTGGCCCTCCTCGCCGAGGAGATTGCTCTTGGGGATAGTAACATCGTCAAAGTTAAGCACGCAGGTGCTGCTGGCACGGATTCCAAGCTTCTTCTCCTTCTTCGCAATGGAGAATCCCGGCGTTCCCTTCTCGACGATAAAGGCCGTGATACCCTTGTAACCCTGGCTGGGGTTGAGGTTGGCAAAAACGATGAAGATGCCGGACTCCATGGCATTAGTGATCCACATCTTGGATCCATTAATCTTATATCCATCCGCAGTCTTCTCCGCCTTGGTCTGTAGAGCGAATGCGTCCGAGCCAGATACGGGCTCAGAAAGACAGAAAGAGCCGAGGGTGCCGGTGCTCAGCTTAGGCAACCAGGTTCGATGAGACTGCGGGTTACCATAGCGCAGGATCGCCGTATTCACCAGGGTATTGTGGACATCCACCATAACACTGACACTCGGGTCGACACGAGCGAGTTCCTCGATCGCCACGATCGCAGCGGTGAAATTCATGCCGGCGCCTCCGTACTCCTCAGGGATCTCGATTCCCATCAGTCCCTGCTCAAAGAGTTGCTCTACCAAGGCTGCGTCCATGGTTTCAGCCTCATCCATATCCCGGACCTTTGGGGCGATCTGCTCTTGTGCGAACTTGGAGACCGAGTCAGCCATCAGTGATTCTATATCGGATAAATGGCTGATCGGCGTTGGAGTGAGTTCTTCATCTCGACGGCGGGGTGTGGTTGAGAAAGCACAGGCACTGAAGGGACAGAAAAAGGTCAGTTGATTCAAGGTTAGATCTTGGGGAAGTAGACGGTAGATCAGTTACACACCTGCGGATAGGGCGGTATGTAGCGAGGCGTTTAGAGGAAAGGCGAACCGAGGGAGCGGAACGCGACAAAGGTCGAAAAACGCGAGAAATAGAGGCCATTGCGATTGAAGCGCCCAGGTGGTGAGAAGAAGTGTGTTAAGTTAAGAAGTGAAAGGGACAATCACAAGGGAAGCAGTGAGCCTCGGTTATCGGCGGCGCTTGGGGATTCGCGGGGAGAAAGTCCAATGTGGGGCTTATCTTACCACATTGAGTTAACCTTGGCTATTCAGCTACATCTCTACATGTCAATAATGTATCAAGACTTTAGAAAGCTTTATATGGCAAAAGAAAGACTGAATTTGGAAATATACTTGGATCTTCAAGAAGAAAATTCGTCAGGATATGGACAAACCAATAAAATTATATGCAATGGATCCTTTTAAGGAGCCAAAACTATGTACAAAGAGCATTTCTATAAACCAGAAAACCTCATGTCCGTGACCTGCGCGGATCAGTGGCATCCTGTCGTCGCCACTCGCGAGATTCTTTCGATCCCAAGCTACCCACACCTCCTTCAAGTCGTCGCTCCCAACCGCCTAGTCGAATAACAAGACAGGTGGCATTGTCCCCCTCCTTGGTAACCTCGGTCGCAAAGCTGACAACGTCACGGGCTCCTTGTTCAGGGGTCTTGGCTTCTTTGATGATATCTACGACTTCCTGGTCAAGAAGCGTGCCGCTAATACCGTCGGACATCATAACCAAAAAAGAAAACTCTGCAGGGCCCATCTCGATGCGGTTGACTTCTGGCTCGGCCGAAACGCCGATCCGCTTCGACTGCACATCACCGAAAGCGCGGGTGTTTGCGAGCCCGCTCATGCGTTCCTCGCCGAATGAGTCGGTGACAAAGGTTGCTGCATAGCGTCGAAGGCGACCGGCCTCGATAGGAGAGGATGGGTGGTGGTTGGCCGTCAAAGGAATAGCCTCACCGGTGGCGGTTGAGCAGAGCAGGACTTTGGTGTCTCCCACGTGCGCGACAAGAAGACTGGAGGGACCCGCGGGGTGCCAAAAGGGGGTTGGGCTGGGAGGAGAGATCATGGCAATGCTCCCAGTGCTTCCACCCTTGAACCGCGACCGGCCGCCGATTTTCGGGGATCTGGTGAGGCTCGGAGAATGGAGAATTTCGTCTTCGTTGAGGGGTTTCTCAGCTAGCGCCAGATCATCATCCCGCTTGGCCGCTTGCGCTTTCACAAAGTCCAGATCAGCCCGCAAAAAGGCATATTCCATGACTTCCTCTATGGAGACACGGTCTACGGATGCGGCATCCTCGGGATCGGTACCATAATAGGCGAAATGAGGTGGTTTGAATCTTTTGAAATAACCACCCACCAAGCGCCTCCAGTTGCTCACCAGGCTTTTCTCCAGGTCTCCGATCCGCCGTCTGTTGCCCTCCTGCATCAGGGGCAATGAAGCGCAAGCCTCACCTCCGGTCATCGATTGCTGATTTGGCCGCAGGCTTGATTTAATCTCGAAATTGGCGGCCGCATTTTGGATGTACTCATGCAAATAGTCTCTCAAGAATGCACTGCACTCCGAACCTCCGTGACCATCGAAAATGCCAAAGTAGAAGATCTGGGGGTCGCCGCTGGCGGTGTCTGCGGCGCGCGACTCGCGGACTGAACTTGAAGAGTCTCGCTTGATCGTCAAAGACGCTGGAGGTCGCTTTGCAAATGCGGGTATGTCAATCACCCCGGCCTGGTAGGTATCTTCATTTGCGGGCCGAGTGCCGCGGGCAGTAACGGCACCAAAGTGATGTTTGGCACTGCGCAGGGGAATCCGCACCACAGTAGTCTCGCGGTTGACCAAGTTCTGAAATGATGTTGGCGAATGTGATGTTTCCCCGGTATGTGGTACCGACTCGGACCGAGGGAGTTTGTGAAAGGGTGAGGTCGGCCCTCGGGGATCGGGATGCAGTGACGACGACGGAAGGTGAGTAACGAAATAGTCGCGGAACTGGGGGCGTTTTGGGAGGGTCGGAGGCTCATTGGGGGGTGCATCTTCCGAACTGTATTGTCGTAATCTTCGGCGGTAGAAAGCTGCTAGATTCCAAACTCCGGGTCAGCAACCAATCGGGGGTGTTCAGGACCTTCCAGGACCATCTATGATTGGCATTCACGTACTGTAACAGCCAGCCAAGGTCCATACCCGGCCTGTTACTCGCCTTGCTGAAGGGACAATCATGAATGGCCCATGGATAGCGAGAGGTAGTGAGATGAAAGGTGGATGGGGGAGTAGCCGACATCGTGGGGAGAAACGGGGACTGGCCCGAGCGTCGGCAGATAAGGCGACTCGTCCCGGCAGATTAATCGCGTCACTACAAGTAGATGTTACAGCCTCTCATGGATTGAAATGGAATTTGACTCAAGTTGAATAGCTTGGGTGATTTCTTATACTTCTTGGGTTCTTTCAATTATGAGCTTCTTCAACAGAGCTTACATCATTACCCGATAATACATCAAATAAGTCATTTAGCAAGGTAGATTCGGGTTGAATTTGAGTCTATTCAACCTTCAATATTAAGATCTTCCATCTAGTAAGGAGTGATTTGTGATACTTTTCTCAACATTTGTCTTCGCTGTCTGTTTGGTTTGATACTTCACCTGTGGTGTTTAGCCTTAGGCTTAAGGCAGCAACAGATAAGACGATAACACCAATTTTTCCACTTGGTGAGGGGCACACACAACCTACAATGGAGGACGATTTTGATACTGGTGACCTATTCAAGGACCCTGAGGGGTTCTACCCTGAGGAGAAACAGCCCACATTCGCCGAACACCACATGTTGTCAGGACAGACGGTGCGCGTGCGTCTTGTGGGCAGCCACCCACTTTACGTATGTTCCTTCAAGGTCCAATTGCTTCAATTCAAGACTTGCTAATCCGTCTTTAACTTCAGGGAAATTTGCTATGGAACGCCGGCCGAACAACTGCGCATTATATTGAAGAGCATGCGGACTCCCTCGTTCGCGGCAGGGATGTCCTTGAGATCGGCGCCGCGGCGGGCGTCCCTAGCATTGTCAGCTCGATCCTAGGGGCTCGCACCACGGTGATGACTGATTATCCGGACGCGGACCTGGTGTCCAATATGCAACACAATGCGGATCTGTCGGTTGATATGATTCCATCCAAGTCGCAATTGTTTGTTGAAGGCTACCAATGGGGCAAACCTGTGGGACCGCTACAGGCACATATTCCTTCCACCCAGGAAGCCCCAGCAACCTTTGACGTCTTGATCATGGCAGACGTGGTTTACAGCTGGCGTGAACATGGGAACCTTGTCAAGACCATGCAGATGACTCTTAAGAAAGATCCCAAGGCTGTGGCTTTAGTCATCTTCACTCCCTACCAGCCATGGTTGTTGCCGCAGACTGAGAAGTTCTTTCCGCTGGCGGAGGCGGGTGGGTTCACAGTGACTAAGATCTTCGAGAAGCTCATGGATGCGGTTTTGTTCGAGGATGATCCTGGTGTAAGTACCCCTCTGCCCCTGCATGGTTGACTGGATGCTAAGTATGTTGTAGGATGAAAGGCTTCGGCGGACAGTGTTTGGTTATGAATTACGCTGGGCACTGGACCAACTGGAGGACACCACTTGAAGTTCGGCACGATACCCCATTCAAAAAAGTACATAGTAAAATGATAAGCTCTCGTGTAGTGATACACAACTTCAGCACTGCAATTGAAAGTCTCAAAGTGGAAAGTATATAATTCCAATCCTTCCAGATGCCCCACCTTTATTGCACCCCGAATTCCTCAAATTCAATTTTTTTGCAAGTGACTGATCAGCTCATTGGTACGAATGGTTCGTAGAACCAACCAACCCTTTGTCGACCTGGCCTCTAAACACTTGAGACTCCAAGGTTGCTATGACAGTCGAGTGCAGGAAAAAGGTTAACCAGAACCAAGCCCTACTCCTCAGATGTGATTGGCCCTGGGCGGGAGGAACCTTAATTTAGAAGTCGGCCCGACTTCTATTTCAAACCTTCCCGAAAAACATACGTCAATATACTCCGCATTTTTACTGTATGTTGAAATATAAAAGCCCCATTCCAACCCCACAAACTTGGGGTTTCTTAAACATCATCTATCAGTACCATGAGTTCCCTCAGAAATCTCTCAAAATCTGCCATTCGTGCAGCGTCGACATCGACAGCCCAAACGACCAAGGCGGCTGGCGATATCTCATCGGTGTTCCCCAGTCTGCAACCGGGATATCAACCGGAACCTCTGCCATCTCGATTCCAGGAGCTTAAACTAAGGCTATTTGAGAAGAATGCAAAGGCTTTAAAAGAGAGTTGGCATAGACTTCTCCCAAGTTTGGAGGAGGAGGTAGAGAAGATCAAGGCCAAAGAAAGTGATGTAAGTGAGATATTTGGAAATTCAAGGCCGACACATTAGCTAATTGAAAAAGATCATTCCATCTGTGAAGTATTCAGATATCGTGTCCGGCAAAGTCTCTGAGGCGACTTTGAAAGAGATCCGCCATCGAGGCAGCGTGGTCATTCGAAACGTGCTCCCTCGGAATACTGCCCTCGGTTATAAACAACGAATCCGTGATTATGTCGCCGCAAATCAAGAGCGCGTCAAAGCATTCCCACCGGATTCACCCGCTGTTTATGAACTGTATTGGACTCCATCACAAGCCGAAGCTCGAGCGAATCCTAACGTGCTCGAGACACAGCGCTTCCTACAGCGGTTATGGCACTCGTCGGACCCAAAGACAAAAATTTCGACATCGAACCCGCTCACATACGCAGACCGACTGAGAATCAGGAATCCAGGAGATGCCAAATTTACTCTTGGTCCCCATATCGATGGCGGGTCGCTCGAACGCTGGGAAGATCCCGAGTACGCCAGTGTATACAGCAAGATTCTCAAGGGTAACTGGGAACAATACGACCCTTGGGATGCCAAGCATCGTCTGTCGGCAAAGATGGATCTATACAACGGTGCAGGTGCCTGTTCGATGCTGCGTTTCTTTCAGGGATGGCTCTCCATGTCTGACACTGCACCCGGCGAGGGCTCGCTGCACCTCTGCCCCATGGTTGTCCATAGCACTGCCTATACCATCCTCCGGCCGTTCTTCAATGCCCAAAGCCAGGAGCCCAACTTAGATGCCAGCTTCCCCGGCTCTGTGCCAGGAGCCTGCCAGGAGTACAATCCAGTGACACACCCTCACCTTCAGCTCGAGAATACCATGGTCCCAGTACCTCGAGTTGAGCCTGGTGATTTTGTCGCTTGGCACTGTGATTCGCTTCATTCCGTAGACAAAGAGCACCGAGGCAATGGAGACTCGAGTGTGATGTACATTCCGGCTACGCCCCTTTGCGACATGAATATCGAATACCTCCTAAAGCAGCGTCAGGCCGCTTTGACATACTCTCCGCCGTGGGACTTTCCCGGCGCCGGTGGTGATGGTGAAAAGGGATTCCAGGGTGCATTAGAATGGGCCTCCATAAATCCAAATGGACTGCGAGCTATGGGTCTTGGCAATAAACCTTGGGAGGCGACCGAGGCCATGACTGAAGGCGAGAAACAGGCGGTGAAATCAGCCAATGAGATGTGTTTCTGAGTATAGCAAAACACCTGGGCACAGATCTCGGCGGGTATCCGAATACCTGTTAGGAATACAAACATGCGAATGTGGTGGAAGGAATAATCAGTTTTCTGATTGCTATAGATGGACGCATATCAGAAGCCACAATAGAACCTTGGGAACATACAATAAGCAATTCAAACCACTCAATAAACCACATTACTTGAGGAAGGAGGCAATCTGCTTTCTTACATTGACTTTTGTCTTCCTCGGGAACTTGAAATCAACGCGTTTTTCGAAAGCCATCACACAATCCGAGCCACCAAACTGAAAGTAGGATATCTGATCTCCCTTTTTAACTGTTTCCCCTTGCTTGACCGAGATAACAACAGATGACACTTGGGCCATTCCGACAGGTAGGATGGCAACCCTGCCATACTTCTCGGTTTGGATAACAATCAACCCCCGGGTTTGACACCACTGGTAACCAGGTCTGTCTGGAGCATCAAGGTTTACGAATATCTCAGTCCCATTCCCTTCACCTTCAGACTCATACTGAATCCGCATACCTAGCCGGCGTGTGATTTCTGCTGGGGCGCGGATCATGGCTTGATCTTCACGGAGCCTGCTACTCTCGGCCACATGCAGATACACCTGGCCCTGGATAACCCTCGCCTCAATGACTGTGCCACTCACCGGACTATGCTGACGATGATAGTCCGCGGGACTCAAGAAAGAATGTGTGAAGTGTCCCTCGTCCCAAATAGTCTCTTTGGTTTGCAGCAAGTCTTTGATCGGCAACTTGTAAACAACACCCTTGAATTTGAATTGGAGATCAACCTTGCCCTTCTCTATAGTCCAAATCCCATCATAAACCGAGTCAGCAGGCATAATGATCACTTTGTCATCGTGGGGTGAGTCTATAGGACGCGCCCTGCTGATGTCTTTCCAGGAACGCCCGAACCAGTAGTTGAAGGACATCCATCCCGTCTCTGGTTGCTCCCAAAGCGATGCCTCCTGATAGTATTTGGAATTCATATAGAAGGTGTCAATCCTTCCAGCTGACTCGGGTGTATTCATGAACTCGCCCTGTTGTTGGGCGAAACAGACCATTTTAGAATATAAATAAAACCAAAGAAAACAAAAGAAAAAGAGAAAAAAGAAAATAAACTTTGTTAGTGAGTTCGGCACCTAAAACTAATTGTTAACATTCGAATTGTTCTCGGTCCAGACGCCGATCCTCTATCTCCTGAACTGACTATAGCGAGGCTGCAGGAAGCCAACGCTTAGGCGAGCTTTACTACTCCAATTTGAGTATAGTATATCACCGAGGGGACGGAACGTGGAAGCCACACGAGAAATTTAAAGAAAGATCGGCGCTGTCAGAATTATTGACCTTGAAGCCAAACTCAACAGCACCTGGAGTAGAAGGATAAAATTAAGGAGAATCCTATCATCTAAAACATGAGGTCCTAGTGAAATGGTATCCAGAACCGAAACCTTGGAAGTGGGTAGAAAGTTAGTAGACCAGATTCAGTACTCAAGGCGCACGTTCCGTTAGCGTTACCCCCTGTCGGTTTCAAATTCGAAATTCATGCGGGAAATTCGGCGGGAACCCGGTAAAAAACCCTGAGTTAAGTCATAAAACTCGACATTCTGAACATGAAAATATCATAAAACTTCCCAAGTCCCGAATAAAAAAAAATTGAACATTTGAAGGTTGATTAAGGGGGCCCACGGCTGGGAATGGAATCCAGTTCAACAGGAGATACTCCATACGAATACAAATTTGCATCTCCCAGTAGCACTATTGGATCTTAGTATCTTTAAACATTTGACACATTCCTATCACTTTTCCCCAAGGACAAGCCACTTCTTCAACCCTGAAACTTTTGAACCTGCTAAAGTGCTTGGACTTCGCGTTATCAAATCGATGGCTTTACCCAGTCAGGGCATGGATGGATTCAAGGTCCTCATAGCGGGCGGGAGCCTCGTGGGTCTTGGCCTGGCCCTCTGCTTCGAGCGAGCTGGTATCGATTACGAGATTTTTGAAAAGGGAGATTTTGCTCCGCAACTCGGGGCCTCGATCGGACTTCATCCGCATACCATACGGATTTTACAACAATTAGGGGTATGGGAAGATATTGAAAAACAGGTCATCCCTCTGCAGCACCGAAAGCATTACTCCGGAGATGGTTTCTGCTTTGAGAACTCACATGTGTTAGTTGATATTGAACAAATGTAGGTTTATATGCTTTCTATCCTGGAAAGGCTGTTAAGAAATTTGCTAACAATATTGCTTGTAGTCTCCAGCGTCCTATTATTTTCATGGAGAGATGTCAGGCGTTAGAAGTTCTGCATAGCCATGTGAAAGATAAATCCAAGCTGCATCCTCAAACTGCTGTCGTTGGGTACGAGGAAACCGTGCAGGGAGTTATACTGACCACTGAAGATGGCGAGCAACACCACGGCCACATTCTGATTGGCGCGGATGGAATCCACAGCAAAGTGCGAAAGTTGATGGCCGATAAAATTGGGGAGACGGACAAGATTCTCGCCAAGGAGATCAACGAAGGTATGTCTAGTCTCCTTGCCTCTGAATCTGGAGACCGCCTAACCAACACTCGAATCCAGCCTTTACCAGTGAGTATAACTGCATTTTCTCTGTTTCTCGAAACGATCCTGAGAACCAATTTCTACCCGACGCGATGGTGCACAACGTGTATTACGATGGATACTCTGCTATTGCCGCCGCCGGCGTGCATGGTCTTGTGTTTTGGTTTCTTTTCGTCAAGAATTCAGAGCTCACAAAAACCCCCAACTGCCCACGCTTCACGGATGAGGACGCAGAGGCATATATCCAGAAGTATGGAAGCTCTCTCGTAGGTCCGGGTTACACCGTGAAAGATCTATGGGATGCCCGAGTCAAGGCTACCATGGTATCCTTGGAGGAGGGCATAATCAAACAATGGAGTCATAGCCGAGTCCTCCTGATGGGAGATTCAGTTCACAAGGTTCGAATTTCCTATCAACCTTCAAGCTAATTTGCAGAAATCCTGACTTCCTTAATTGCGATAGGCTACGGTCAACCCTGGATTGGGTGGCAATTTAGCCTATGAGGGCATTGCGCGCTTCACCAATGGCCTGGTTCCTTTGCTTGAAGAGTCTCCTACGCCATCCCTCGAACAATTGACCGAAGTTTTCGATCGGTATATTACCGGCCAGAAGCCCCGAGCAGAAACAGTCGTGGGTCTTTCCGGTCATATTACACGCTACGAGGCCCAAGACACATGGATTCTCAAACTTGCCGCTCGTCACATTGTTCCCAGGGTTGGTGACAGTCTCAAGGCTAGATTCTACGCCAGTTTCTCTAAAGGAGGTCCTTGGTTAGAATATCTACCGTTGCCTATCGAAGATGTAGACCTAGCAAAAGGCGCCACAAACCCTGGCGGAAGCACAGCTGGCAAGTTGATTGTAGGAACACTCATTGTGGGAGCCGCCGCTATCATCTGGCAGACATGTCGAGGACCTTTGGTCTCTCTCTAGGCTAGATGGCCACCTAGAATATGCTGAACGCCGGATAATTGGCAGAATAGGAGAAGGAGGAGATATATTCAATACAGATCTGCTTTAAAGGGGCATAAAAGATGTTTCAAGTGGAAGGACTTAATTTTAGCATTTTCCATTAGATTTAGTAGACTTGAATTCATGAACTTCACGCTCATTTTTCGACAAGACACTATGAAGTACTCTAGGGTAAATGGCATTGAATTTCCCCCAGCGGCAGTTCTGAGCTATCGGTATATCTTCCAAACACCGCGACATCATACATTGTGTTCACTGGTATACCTCATACCTAATGTATGTATGTACCAGATGCCTATTTATATGCAGAATCTCAATCAGATTCGGAAGCTGAATAGACGTTCCCCCGACTCAATGCTTGAACTTGGATAATGACTCCGGAATTCCTCGGGATTGATGGCATGCCGCTAGTTGCTAGAAGTGTTCTTATTGGCAATCTCCACATGGCATATAAGTAATGATTTACATCCATGGAGTATTACTGCGAGGACCTCGATTGCTCTTCAAATGCAATATCTTTCCTAAATCTGTCTGCAACACCGGCCTGTTCAGCCTTTGGAGATGGCAGAAGAAAATCAAACCATTTATTGCGCCCACGCGGGTCCCATTCCCCTCGAAGTGGAGAGAAAAATCCAAAGCAATAATTATGAGGGAGAACTCTTCAATGATTATGGTTTTGTGATTCGCGCAAAAGCTGAAAAAGGAGAAGACATCCATCTCTGGCCCATTATATACCAGCAACAAGGAGATGAGGCAGTCAATTCGGGTGATGTCTGTCAGATTCTTGTGATCTATGGCAAGTTCTCCGATAATGAGAAGAAATTCATGCATCCCAATTGCTCGACAGTCAACAAAGGACAGAATATCGAGGACTACTTTTCTCCGGGTTCAATCAAATGGACGGAGACTGAGCAAGACGTGAAAGTGGGAGCTTGGAGGCCGAATTCATTGGGGCGCTCCTCCAGAGTGGCTTGTCTCTGGCGATCATGCTGGAGTGAAGTTGAATGTTCTTTTCACCCAGATAACCCGGCTTTCTATCACTGCGGCCGCTTTGAGGATGCCAAAACTCCGGTGGCCAAAGCAGGCTACATTGTACACACACGAGTCAGCGGAACCATCGAAGTGCATGGCAAGGCATTGGTGATCAAGGACGGCTTTGGCATCCATGAACGTATCAAACAGCATGGGAAAGTAGCTGATCGAACGCTCTTTATGTCCGGTCGTGGTTTGCATTGGAAGCACGCTTTCAGTGAAGGATTTACCTGGTATCTCATGCGGAGAGATATTGGTCGCGGTATGTCATCAGCCATGATCAATATAGGCGACCGGCAAATCTTTCTGGAGGACCCTACAAGCTCTGGCGTGGAAGAGGTGGCGCACTGGGTCGACCCTGAGAGTCGAATCTTGTCTCCCTACAAGTGGAAGATATGGATTCGCACTGAGCAAGGCACGCACGAGTCCTTGATTCATGCATACGGACAGCAGTATTACACTTGGATCCGCCGCAACGAAACCCTCGTGGTTAATCAATATTGCGCCGATGCTGAGACTATCTTCAAGTACCTCGATGGACGTGTTCTAGGATTCCAGCAGATGATCAGCATTGAACATATGCGTACCCTCTACCGTCAGACCGCGAACTAGGCAGATTGAATTTTTAAAAGCTAGTTTCAATTTACTTGACACCGAAGACGTCTTCTAAATTGCTCTATCTAAGAGAAAGCTCAACTTGGCTTAAGTATGAACCTTTTGCATTTTACCACAGAGCGTGGCAACCCCACGAACCAATTCTAGTCTTGACCATCCAATGAATCCATATGTACATGACGAATCTTTCTGAGCTCGTACTTGAAATCAAATGATAGATTCTCCAATATGATACGAGAGAAAAGCCCCTTCTGGGTTACCCCACACTATGTAAAAATGACATCTGGATGTTCCGCGTATTCCGTAAAATTCGACAAAGGACAGTCTTCGGAATGAAAATAAGAGGCCCTTCTCGTACAGAGCTAACTCTCAGATCATATTCCTATACGTGATTCCAAGTATAATATAATCCTCTTGACGCCAATCTTGTGGTTCCCAAACAGTGCCCACGGCAGTGTCGTCGGTGCACCTGCTAATTCTGTCCCTGGCAAACCAAGTTCTTCGTTGGCGTATTACCAGCAATTATATACCCGACTATCATGAGAACTTTATTTATGTCCAGAATCTGGCCAGATTTAATTCGGTTGATTTAATGTCTGATGTTGTTGTCAAGGGTCTTCCCCTTCGAACACCTCCTGGCAGAGAATCATTACCAAAACGGACAAAGGCATTTGCTATGGCTAGATATTATTTCGATACGCTCAACCGATTGTTTCCGATATACGACGAGACAGAATGCGTGGCAACTATTGAAAGGGTCTACAAAGGTTTCAATCCTCCATTTTGCTGGTGGGCAAGCTTGCATGTCATCTTTGCGTTGAGCCTTGCAGATCAGGCCGAGTCTCACGTCGATGTCAAAACTGGCCATCAATATTTCGAGTACGCTGAAAACAATCTCGATTCAATTATACTTGCTCCAAACAATATTTGGAAAGTTCAATGCCTCGTTGGGATGGTATGGAAACCACTCTTATAGACGCGTAACGTAGCCCCATTGGAATGCCTGACGTTCGTTTTAGGCTCTTTATATGCAAATCAAAAGAAATCTTGCTGCTGCCAGTCTTCTTGTAGGAACGGCAATTCACTCATATTATTGCCTTGAGACACATAGGCAAATGCTTTCAACTCGTGGCGATGAGATAAGCAAAGAGGAGCGGATCTTCTGGGTTGCCTGCACGTTGGATCGAAGGTGAACTCAACGCGACTTGATATTAGTTTTACTCAGGAATTGTGAGCTAATATGGAACCTATCTTGCAGTATAACTATCGCAACTGGAGTACCGCCGCACTTGACCCCTAGAGAGGCCCTGGTCGAACGACCTGTAATCCAACTGGGTGTACCACTCGAGTCTTTGGGGCTAGAAGATCTTGAGAAGTTGTCATTTGATATGGTCTGCCGACATAAGATCATACAAACGCATATGTTTTGAAATCTTTATGTCGCAAAGACCGGTAGTCGGAATACGGAGCGATCCATTGTAGCGTCCGTTAGAATATAGTGAGATGCTCAGACACTTTCCCCAGCCCGGGGATAAGCTGAGCACCACTAGATCCGTTGCCAATTACAGCCGCTCTCAATCCCCTGTGATTGATGGAATGGTCCCATTGAGTTTTGTGAAAGACGTGGCCCTTGAAGTCTTGAATTCCGGGGAAGTCAGGGAGATTTACGGTCGAAAACAAACCGACTGCACTAATAATTGCATTTGCCGTGATGAACTCGATACTTCTGTCCGGTAGTTGAAGTGTCAAAGTCCAGGTTGCGCACGAATCATCCCACTCTGCCCGAATAACTTCAAGGTTGAACATACAGCGCCGCTTGACGCCATATTTGGTGGCCACATGGTCCAAATACCCACGCAGTTCCGGTGCTGAAGGATATATCTCAGTCCAATGGTAACCGCTTTCAAATTCGTACTGAAATGAGAAGCCAAGGGTGTCAACACGCGCCTCTGGATAGGTGTTCTGCATCCATGTTCCTCCAATGTCGGCTTGTCGATCCACAAGAGTCTAATTGATGCCCAGCCGGCCGAGGCTCACAGCGGCAGAAATACCATTGATGCCGCTACCGATGATGACAACCTGGAAATTCTCAAGGGTCTCTGGGCTCGGCTTCTTCGACCACTTGACCTCACGGGAAAAGGCTTGAAATGAGAGCTCCTCGTAGCCTAAAGGAATCTCGGCCTTGGTGAGCTCCTCTCCACGAAAGGTCTTCATCAAACCCTGGGCATGCTTGAGAGATGGCACATGCAAGCCTGACACTCCGGGCACTTGGGTTGATGTCAAGTATTCCGCGGCTTTGCTTTGCACAATTGCTTCATCCTCTGGACCGAGAACGTAGTCTAGCATGGCACCACCACGTATGGCTTCCTTGGTCACCTCCATCTGGCCTAGCTGCACATCGCCGGTTAATTGATAAAGGGCGAGACGGAGAGCATTTACATGCGAGCTTTTGAGTGCGCCTTCGATAAAGGACCTGTCGACTCCAGGTCGCCCTGATCCCCCAGAAGAGATTGCTTCATCGATTTGTTTCATGGTGTACTTTCTGGTGTGAGATATTGGCTTCCTTTAATTGATTTTCTCAGCTCGCACGTGTCTTGATCCAATATAACTCTCGACTTTATTTCATCGGCCTAAAACAACTATCTCCAGATCATACCGGGCTAGACCATGAGGCCGTGAGGCCGTGGCCCGTGAGAAGAAGCTAGGAATGATCGGAATTTCAGAATCGGAAAAATCGCTGTCAATGACGATATTCCCGGGGTCAATGATCCTGATGTAGGATATATGTAAGACCGGCTCCCGGAAAGAATCCTATTTTGTGCCGGATGAGGTAAGGTATCCATCAACAAAGCTGCCTCGCAAGGTGTTGACCGAATATTTGAAGATCAAGAGATTCATAGATTCAGGATGTTATGTTCCCGGCTTACTCAGCCGAGAGTTGTGGATATGGTGCCTGAGTTATTAGGCAATAAGGCTGCTCCTATTCTAACCTAGCAATTACCTGTCAATACCTTCAGGGCAGGGTTACATTTACGTATGTAGATACCTAAATTCAATGGATGTTCCAAAATAAGCATAAAATACTTATCTAATTACATCTTAATTCGAATTTGACTCATTTTCGTACAATTTACACTGACTTCTTTTCTTCAATATTCAAATGTTGTAAGACTTTGGAGAGCAACCTTGACAGTATATGAATAGCACCAATGTAACATTGATTAAAAATTCCTTAGAATAAACGATTCAATCTATAGATTGTACCCAGATATCCAAAGTTGCGTGCAAATCATCAAAATCTGGATAAAAATGGCTCAAGAATACATCATTCCTGTCGAGTAGGAGACCCATTAGATATGATCCACATCACTTCCAGAGTATTAACACTTACCACCATCACAAATAAGAGTTTGTCCAGTCATGACGTTCGAGTTGTTGCTAGCGAAAAAGCTAACGAGCCCTGCAATATCTTCTGGAAAGAGTTCCCGCTCAAGAGCATTTTTTCGGTGCGAGGATGCTTTATATACCTCCTCAACACCTGTCAGTCCCTGCTCTTTGGCGAGCCGCTCAGCAAATACAAGTGACATGTCGGTCTTCACAGACCCGGGACAGTAGGCGTTGACATTGATTCCGTATTTCCCGAACTCCATGGCAGCAGTCTGAGTTAAACCACGCACTGCCCTTTTACTGGTGAAGTATGCTGGCGCTTTACCACTAGGCCGATAGCCTGAGATTGAACATGCACCGATCAGCTTGCCCTTGGTTCCTTGTTTGATCATTTGTTTCGCGGCCACCGTGTAGCAATGATAAACACCGCGAACATTGATTGCTGTACTCTGTCCCAAATTTCTGGGGTCATTTCTAGCAAGGGTGTCACCTCCAAGACGCCCGCATTGGCAACCATGACATCCAGTTGACCGAATAGGCTGACTACCTGGTTCACGATATTCTCGACGTCAGCCTGGATACTTACGTCGCCAACAACACCATGGGCACGTTTGCCCATTCCTTGGATCTCTTGGACTAGACTATCGATTGCTTCTTTCTGGTGGGCAATATCGTTTATCACCATGTCGAATCCATCCTCTGCTAGGCGAAGAGCAATTCCACGCCCAATTCCCCGTGAGCCTCCAGTAACAATAGCAGTCGGCATTGCGAAGATTTCCTATATCTGTGTTGGGTGAGAGTGATATACCAATGTTTGATGACGTGGATCAGTATGATGGGAATGGCAGATTGATATGGCAGGTTTCGTCGACTTATGGTCTATAGGTAAGAATAGGGGGGAGTGCTCGGAGTTTTACAAAGCTGAGAAAAGAGAGTAAAATCCAACAATAATCTAAAGCTCAACCAGATGTGACGCCAATGTTGATTTCCTTTCCAATGCCCGAGAATCGAAAAAATCCCGTGAATTGGCAAATTTCCGATGCCTTAGGAATTGAGACCGGAATATCCATGGATGTACCGTTGTCACCCAAACAAGCGTGGAACCTTCAAGTTGGCATGTTATTCACTTCTGAGAACTATTCTCGTCATAAATCGTCATGAATATAATGATTCCAATGCATATGTTCAGCGTTTCAAAGGCCATTTCGCATTTCTCTTGTAATCTCCTCCTGTCTAGTTGACACCAATGTATTCGGTTGTGCCTGAAGGCTGAGGCCGCTCATGTACCTACATGAGATACAAAGTCACTTCTCCATGATTACGAACGCTGTGCGTCTGACCAGCTGCAATGTAGGCTGCATCTAACTTGGAGAGCTCACTGTTCCCCTCACCCAAGTTCAAAAGAGCCTTTCCTCGTATGACCAAGTAGAGCCCTGCCTCCTTGAGGCGACAAGGAACAGACTTTTGCCCTGGCTCCAGTATAGTCACCCCGATTGCTACCTATCTGCTGGTCATAGCCGTAGAAGAGTTGAAGTTGTCGAATTCTTCCGGTCCACCAACCCAGTTGACCACCCAACGCATGAACTCGATTTCTTTGGCCCGGGGCAAAGAGTAGTTGGGCTCCAAGTCGGCAAATGGAATAATCGTGATCTCATCTACCTGGGGTTTGTCGGGCTGTTCCCCTTCAATGATGTAGGTGGAAGTGCCAATCTTTTCGATGCCATCGTGCACCCAAATCAGGTCGCAATCCTCTGTGCCACAATTTCGTCCGCCGTGGGAAACACCGGCGGGAATGTACATGCAGTCAAGCGGACCGGCTCTTGTAATATACCCGTTGGCATCGTAACCCTCCAATTCGCCACGCAGGATAATATAGATCTCCGCTACCGAATGTTAATGAATCCCCTTGTGTTTCTGGCCGACGGGTAGAAATCATCAGACCGACTACCATCTCCATGCTGATGGCTGCAGCATTTTTGTTTGGGTTCACATAGCCGGGAGGCCCGCCAACCCAACTTGTGTTATTGAACGGGATTCAAAAGGTGCAATGTGGAAGTCAAGGATCGAGATTTTTTTTATACTTCAAAGGGAAAGAGTATTTGCTTAAAAGGCTCCAACTCCAGAGCTGTTCGGTTTAAACAACAGATAGCCCGGATGAAATCGCCAATGTGTTTTCAATAATAACACTATTTTGTCTGCCTCGGCAGGAATTCGATTTCTCATCTCAAATATCCGGACATTGTGTAGGGACTAAGTGCGGGGTTTCCGATAGGTGATAAAGTCGTTGAGACATGGCCCCATGATATGAAATTTCCATAATTGTGACCCCAACCTTCAACTCATAATAACATGACTCGCCCAAGATTCGAGGATTTACCCCTTCGTGAAGGAGACCCTCTATGGTCAGCGTGGGGCTTGTACGGACCTCATGACCAGCTAGGGACGCGAAACCTTCTGACACCGGAGAGAACCATCGAGACAGCTCTGGAGATTCGTACTGGTCGTCGAATCGGCCTTGATTTGCCCATTGATTACCTCGGGAAGCCGAGCCACGGCCGGCAGGGGTTGGCGCATAAAATCATCTGGAAAGCGCCACGCTCTGTACACGATAATGAAGTGGCCTTTAATACCCAAGTAAGTGCACAGAATCGACCGGGACAGCATTGGTTGACTTACGTTAATTGGGCTCATAGATCTCAACCCAGTGGGATGGACTGCGCCATCTGGGCTATTATCGCGAAAGGTTGTGGTACAATGGGATCAAGCAACCCCAGATATCGGGCACGAATGAAGACCGCACAACAATCTTAGGAATACACGGTGGGTAACACCTAATACCACATTTTATTAGTAACGTTCCAGATACTGACAGACTCCAGCAAGGGCAAAGCAAGGCATTGTGGGACGCGGTGTGCTAATTGACTACCACCGATGGCGTCTGAAGCAAGAGAGGCCATTTGACGTTATAAGCGCTCACCCGATAACATATGAAGAGCTCATGGAATGTGCCAAAGATCAGAGCGTGGAACTTAAGCAAGGCGACATCTTGTTCGTAAGGTCTGGCTGGCGAGTGGGATATGAGGCGATGACGTTGGAAGCGAGAGAAAAGTGGGGTTCAAGTCCACAAGCATGGGTTGGAGTTGAGACATCTCTCAAAACCTTGAAGTGGCTCTGGGATGCTGGTTTCAGTGCATGCGCCAGCGACTCTCCAGGCTGGGAGTGCCTTGAAGGGGGCAAAAACCCAAATTCAGAGAAAGGTATGAAAGGATACATAAGCCATGAGATTATGATGCTGGGTGGGGTATGCCACTAGGTAAGAAACTTATTTTTGTCTGCAATCTTGATTTCACTGACACTTTCCTCGTAGGCGAGTATTTTGACCTTGAGACACTTAGTGAAGAGTGTCACCAGCAACAACGCTATTCCTTTTTCATATCAAGTATGCCTTTGTGCGTAACAGGAGGTGTAGCTAGTCCTGCCAACACTGTAGCCATATCCTAGTCGTCTACCGTTCCTTTTCATTTTTGAATTTCAAAAATTTATATTGTTTTGTTTCTCTTTGACTATGATATCACCAGTAGATTTCTAGGGAATACGCCCACGTCAACAATGGTGGGAAGGTCTCGAAATGAACATCCAATTTCTTACTTGGCAATGAATCTGATAATATTGTAATATTACTGGCATAAATCCTCACTTTGAACTCGGATTGTCTGAAGATTACACATGTTCAATACACAGAGGCATGCGATTCCTAGAACTGTGATATAAACACATTTCTTGGAAATATTCAGGAAGTGAAATTTATTAGCATAAAACCTTGGACTTAAAGTCCAGACTGAGTTTCATTCCTAATCCGCTCTTTTCATGAACAACAGATTGTGCTGCTCGGAAGAATATCAAGGTCAGATGGCTACCGAGATCTAGAAACTGAGATGGAAGAGCTTCTCGAAGAGCGCGTAATGTTTCCTTCGCAGTATTAATAATGCCATGGTAGTGGTCTGTTTCTGTTGTATGCCGAGATAAAATTATGATGGTGCTGGAGATACGGACAGCGAGCAAGAAAGCGTCAAGCAGGATACTAGCCCAGTTAGCTTAATCATCTCGTAACACCCTTCTCGTTTATAGATTGAGTACTACCTGATAATGAAGAAATCCCCTGCAAGGAGTCCGCCAAGTTCGATGGATTCCCAGGCTGCATGTCTACATACCTCCAACCGAGCCTTCCTGAGAGTGAGCAGGTTTCCCAGAATAATATGGTCCAAAATTGGTTTTTGATTGATCAAACTATAGAGTTGCAGTAAAGAACTCGGTGTCGAATTTTAAACAATTTTTCTCTTCCCTTGATTCCGGAACGTAAAAAGGGATTCCTTTGTTTCCACGCCTCGAGCATACTATTGAGGATTTTTGCGGTATCGTCTATCTCAGAAGTAGTACTTCGCATGGCCCCGTAAATGCACTGGCTATTCAACAAAATGCCCTACTACCGAAACTGGTTCCTATATGCAGCCTTCGTTCGCGGATTACAGCTGCCACCACTCCAAGTGGCAGATCCAGACTGGCAGGCTAAAGGAGGTCAGGTCAATGAACGTAACGACACTATACGCAAGGGGCTCACGGGGCAAGGTCAAGGGAGATCCGGAGCTGATGGCCAAATTGATCCCAAAATACGCCCCACTGGTACACCGGCTGGTAGTCGACAACGGATACTACGACACAATCATGCAGGACAATGTTGATCTCGTTACGGAGCCTATCGAACGCTTCGTTGAGGATGGTATTATGACGAAGGATGGAGTGCACCGGCCGCTGGACCTGGTTGTGCTCGGGTGTGGCTTCAAGCCCACAAGCTTCCTCTACCCTGTTGAGTTTCGTGGGCTCAACGGAGTCACACTCGACCAGACATGGCATAAGGACGGTGCTCGCTCTTACTTGGGCCTGACAATCCTTGGATACCCCAATCTCTTCACGCTCTATGGACCCAATCACCAGCCACGTGGAGGTCCCAGTCTTCACTCCTGGTCGGAGATTTGGGGTCGTTACGCAATCTCGACAATTGTCTGGATGATGCAAAATCAGGCTAAGTCAGTAGATGTGAAACAGTCAGTCTATGACTCGTATCAAAGTTCAGTTGATGAAGCCCAACGCCCTCTCATTTGGGAGGGTGAGGGTCGTGGATATTTTGTGAACGAGCATGGTCGGCAGGGCGTCAATATGCCATGGACCAGTGATGTATATGATGCTATGGTTTTGCAGCCTAATCTACAGGACTACAACTTTCCATACTAGTTAGATAGGGTTACTCACGTTTTATTACCAACAGTTGACGTCTTATCCTGCCTGGGCACAAGTGCCCTTCATGGATATCACACTTGTGTAATCCATTTCTAGCTCAATATCTAGACAGCACTTGAGTAGTGCCTAACTATGGTTCTTCCATAAGTTCAATCACCGTGCGCTGATGATCAATGATACTTGATACACGATTCAAATGTTATCTACATGCCGAGTTTATATTACACAAGAATACTATACATAGGCCCGCGAACCTGCAGATCGCAATGACGGCAGCCAAGTACATATCTTAGTCCCGTTCCTGTTCTCTTCTCCCCTCTAGTGTATTGGATGCCCACTGGTAACTACCCAAGAACACCGCACCCCCAATGCCAATCCATGCTACTCTTGGCCCAATTCCACGCCAGAATGCACCTGGGCCCTCCTGCGCAATTCCACGGATAATGTCTTTGACCCGCACCGGGGCATTCCCACCGTCCTCACGACGGGTCAACATGACACGGGTTTTAATCACATCCAACGGGGTGGTTAGACCCGCCGCAATAGCACCAGCAACGCTGCCGAACATGGCACTCGTGGACGCCGGGATCTGAGTCTCGGCCAAGGACTTGGGATTCGCAGCCGAAGACGCAGGCCGAAGGTATCGCTTCGCGTAAGCCTCCTTCATGGATTCCCACATCGTGAATTGAAGGACAGTAAAGGGAATTTCACGGGCAATGGTGATTCCTGCGCCACGGTACAACTCCCGGACAACCTGTCCATATCCCCGTTTCATCGACAGTTGATTTGTAGGGCCAGAACTAACAGACGCGTTGGTCCCGGCGGCAGGAGGCTGGGTCGTGGCGCATTTTGGAGCCGCATGGCGCAGGGATAGAATATCTTGTAGGGCGAGGAGACTTGAGCCACCGAAGAGACCGGCCTGTGCGCGCTGCTTGATAACTTCTGTGGGCACCCGCACGGCGCAAGCGGCGATTTCACCTAGCGAGGAGGCGATGGAGTGGGTAAAGATGGTATGAGCACGGGAGGGAGTGTCGGTGGAGCCTGGAGGGAGAAGGGAGCGTTTTACGCCATCGTAGACGATAAAGAATGAGGCTGCCGAAGGAGCAGAGCCAAATAGAACAGAGGGAAGGCCGGCGTAGATACCGCGGATGGCTTGGCGGAGGGATGGGCGGGGAACTTGAGGTGCGCTGGGGTCGCGTGCTTTTTGGAGTCGGGTCTTGATTGTGTCAAGGGGGTATAGGGAGCAGTCCACTGTGAGACCAGCGACAGCACCGGACTATGAAGCGAAAGTAGTAAGCAGGAGAGGTTCGTCAAAACGGCGATGGCATAACTCACGAGTAGGGATCTTGTCCATGGGGAAGAGACCAAGGCATCCCCGTCGGGTTGTTGAGCCATGATAATTAGTTCAAGGAGATGATGTCTATCGTAAGAGCATACTCCGATGTCTATTGGGGGCCAATTGCCAAGGTGCTGTTGTATAATGAAACTTTTGTTCTATCCAAGTTCAAAAGTTGCGGGTAAACCAGAAGCTCCGATTTTGCTCCGCGGGATCTCGCTAGTCCCCGGAACAAACATAAGCTTAATAGACTTAATGAGTTCAAATGTTCTTACAACCACTTTATGACATATCACGAGGAAAGAATAGGAAGTTCCATGTTCTAGTCATCAATATTTACTAGAGACAAGAGTTACTATTCCTCATCTTCCATCTCGTCATCATCGTCATCTTCTTCAAACTCCACTCCGATATCTGCGGTGATATCCCATCGATCTCCCTTAGCTGCTGCACTGACATACTTGACGAACTTCAAGGTACCACTGTCACGCAGTACAATGCTGAGTCGGTTCCATCCTGCCTGGGTGCTGAAGAGAATTCCATCATCCTCGTCGGCACCGGCAGATCGGTAGATAGCAGGGTCGGCCTTGGTCTTCTTTCGAAGCACCTGGTCTGCGTTTTCTTCATCTTCATCCTCTTCTTCATCATCGTCACCAGCCATATAGATTTCATAACCACCCACGGACGGGTGCTCGGCGGCCGCGCTCTCGACCTTCTCCTGAGCCTTTGATGAAGACGGTGGCTCTCCATTTTCATTATCATCATCAGATTCCTCTGCATTGTCTTCTTGCTTCTCCCATCCAATGGTAGGAGTCAGGCCGAGAGTAAACTCCAGCCGTGGCTCCTCACCACTATAGCCACTGGCCAGTGTGTAGTCGGCGCCGCGACGGAAACGGCGGGCAAGGAAATTATGGCTCTGGAGGTGGTCTACACCGGTGATCAGAGATAGCCATTTCCGGAATGCCTGTGATGGGAAGACCACATTCAGCAATTCCTTGATGGGGTTGGATGTATCATCTGCCGATGGTTCCTGGTACAGGTACCGATGCTTGTGCGGCGGTCGAGCCACGGTCCACTCGGTCTGCTTTTCAATTTCTTCCGAAGAGGCGGGCAGGGTTTGTCTCTCCTGATCCTCAATATAGGCACTGATACGGGAAGCAAATTTCTCGTTGAGGAAGCTCTCAAGGCTGAGTGAGGATTCGCTGGCGAAAGCGTCGGACATCTCCTCGGCAATATCGGGTGTCAGGTATGACGGCGCGAGATACTGCACAAGGAATTCCAAATCGGTCTCATTAAACTCATTGCCCTCGTTTTCTTCTTCCATTTTACCCTTACCCTTGCCCTTAACCTCGGGCTCTTCCCATGATACCGGTTGAGGTTGAGGCAGATCGTAGATATCGCCTCGACCTTGAAGCTGGGCCAAACTGCTGCGTTCAGCGAGTTTCTCTTCAAGACCTTCCTCATAGCCGTCCTCGCCCTCTTGGGGAATATGGAACCATCCGCTGATGGCCATACGCACGCGCTTCTTGGACTTGTCCTCCCCTTCGCCGTGGTGGTACACTTCCTCGACATCGTGGAAGCTCTCGCCCGGCTGCACGGTGAAAAAGCTGAGTTGGTTGAATGCCGGAGGAATGGAGAGACTGTAATCGGGGCTAGGAATCGTGACCGCTTCACCCTTGGCGTCCTTCTCTGTTTTGGTCGGGTAGAGACGCAGGGCACCACCCCACTCCGCTTGCCAGGGGGTATCGGGGTCGGTCAGATAGAGGATATAGCTCACTCGTCGACTGCCGATGACATCGTCGTGGCACAGAAGGTGACACCCTTCAGTGTAGACATTGATGGCCATGTCGGTCTTGCGACCGCTGAGCTTGCCCGAACCGGTCACGGCAGACAAGTATTCCCGAAATCGAGCCGAGTACATAGCATCACGGAGCTTCAGAAGATACGGCAGCTTGGCTAGCGATTTGTCGTCGAGACCATCCAGGTTGGCCAGGTCGCCTGACTGGAAAATTTTATAGATGTCGGTCTCCTTCTCGGTGAAGTCCACCTGCGCTTGAATCTCCTCACGGACTGATCGCAGCAACGAGGGTTCGATCAATTCGTGAATGACTCCATGGTAGTAGCTAAATGGGTCGAATTGGTCAGCTCTAGGTCTTGGAAAGCTATTTGAGATTTGTAGAACACACGGGCTCGACTTTGCATATTCGTCGGTGTACTTCTGCTGCTCCTTAGCTTCGAACAAACCATCGCGAAAGCGTGCGATGGCTTCTTCACTGGAGAGTGCACGCTTCTTGGACTCAGGAAGTCCATTGGCCTGGGAGCCTGTCTCATCTGTCTTGCGCTTCATTTTGAGTGCGATTCAGAGTCGAACATGCAATGCAAAGGAGCAGCAGTAAATTTTTCGGGCTTCACCGCCAACTGGGCGGTCAGTATCCATTCCTCTAGATTTAGTACATATAGGCAATCTTGGAACTTGGATGGCTACTAGTAATATTCTAAATCAAAAAGAAGAACCAGAACAATGGATAATCTCTTTTAAAATGTTGCGATTCATCCCCCGCGATCGGAATTCTGGTAGGGGTCCGGCTAATACGATGACGGATGGCTGGAAGCACTCTTATAGAACCTCTTGATAAGACATTCACGAAAGGTTTGAATTGGAGGTTAACAACGACTAATAACCAGGCATATATTCCCTGGTCCTAGTTCGCGATACAACCCAAACTCGCTATCCATCTCGACCCACAAATCCATGCGGGAAAAGTCGTGCATATGTTACTTTCGGTAATAAATCTGAGTTCACATGTTAGCGGTCTTGCGTGCTAGCAGAATGATACAAGATCTAGGTCACTTACTCTCTTGAATTGGAAATGGAGTTGCAGAATACCCTGTATTTAAAAGAATAAGACTCGATTCGTTAAGGTGTTGGATAAAACATACCTTGTCAAATGTGCTTTTGAACCCACGCTCACGCTTCGCACTATAGTCCCATTCCTTGTCGACAATCCGAAAAGCGATGTCTTCGTAAGGGGGACCTGCCATGAATCTAATCAGACAGGTGTCCTCCTCGCCAGCCTCGGCGAATGATTGACCACGCTTGCGGCCATTTTCCCGCTCAATCCGATACGTCGGCGCTTTGGCCTTATCGATGAGGTCAGGGTAGAAGATGTTGAATTTGTAACCTTGTACAACCTTGGGTGGTGGGTTGTCATGGTCGTAATGGGTTTGATTGTATTTATTCCATTCATAGCCCATCTGGACCCGGTTGAAGTACCGAGGCTTGCGAGGTCGGTACTTGCTCGCCCATTGAGGTTGTGCCGCCGTGCTCACGGCTTCTTCGCCAGTGAAGATCTCTTCATTCTCACTCACTCCCTTGGCCAGTTCCCGCTCGTACAGCGCTTTGGTCGCTTGTGAAAAATCGTCGTTGGGGAGGGACGAGAAGCGGCTGGACACGGCAGGGGCAGCCATGCTAGATGACTCGGGGTTGATGATAGCTGTGCTCTGCTTTTCGGCCGATCGCTGCCGGAGAGGAACGAATCCCATTCGAATGATCTTCTGACGCTCGCGGGCTACGTGTCTAAGGAACAGGGACTCATCCATGATTTCGAGGCTTTTGTCTTCTGCGCGCACTTGGAGTAACGGGTCAGGATCCAGTCCCGTGTACTCGGCTGAGTCTACCAGGTTTTCATTCCCAGTAATAACCGGTGCAAGAGGCGCCAATTTTTCCCGGATCAACTCGGCCTCTTCTTTCTGCTGCTTCCGTAACTCACGAACACGTTCCTCGATGACTGACTGGTACACATTTCTCAATCTTGCACGTGCCTTCCAGACCGTCAGGCTGCGGAGCAGCTCCTCCCAGTAATCTGTGTCGATAGGTTCATTTGAGTTCAGCTTTCGCTTCACTTGTACCTCCAGGTTTTGCAATTGTTCGTATGTTTTCGGGCTCAGCAGTCGATTGATGTCAGCGGCGACAGAGTTCAAGGCCCGACCCTCCGACGCATTAGTTTTCAGACGATCTCGACAGATGACTTGCATGGTCTATAGAACATGGTCAGCTCAATACATAGCGGGAAAATAGGGGGTGTTCCATACCTGCCAGTAATCTCGATTTCGCGCATTTGTCTCCAATTTCACAAACGTCTCGATGTCATGTTCTAGCTCCAGCAGTTGAGACTCCGATAACCCCTCAAAGACACCGTCTGGGTCCACCACATCTAGCTCCGAGTCTGCGATCTCGTCGTCCAGTGGGTCGCGCGTAGGATCGATCACACGAAGTGTCACAGTCAGCCAGTCGATCGGCTTTGCGCGACCGTCCTTCACCCGAATCTCAGCCTTCTTCTTGGCTTGTTTCAGCACGAAGACGTCTTCCTGTGCCACCCATTCTCGCACCTGCTCATCCTCTTGTAGCTGGTTGATACGCATCTGGTCACGCATATTTCGGTTTGGCTGTCGATCGTCGTTGCGACTCCGATCGGAATCCTGGCGGTCGCGCCATTCTCTGTCACGGGGATTGCGCCTGAAGTTTGGGGAGCGTGAGCGGTCGTGCCTTGTTCCTGACCGGTCTGGCATTCGGGAGGACATTTTTTGCAAAAATCCTTCAGATTGCGCGGAGGATGAGGAAAGATTAGCTAGAAGTGGTCGCGTTGAAAGGTGGTGAGGCGGGAGATCGGCGGCCCGCCAACTTTAGCCTGCAACTTGGTCCAACGCGGAGTCTATGACCAATGTTTCCTTCAAGTGTTGGTGATACTGTAAGAGGTGTTTATCTAATTTTGCTTGCATCACCAAAATTTCACTTGTCTTTTTCTTCTTTTATGAAAGTTGACGTTTTGTGTTTACTTTCCTGCATACGTTTAACTATATAAATGTACATAATCGATGTGTGACTGCATGGAAACCTTCTCGTCCTATACATAATCAAAATTCAATGCAGCCATGTTCCACACGTCATCTCTTGATTAAAAAGGGAAGGTACTAGTATACACGACTGTTCGTGTTTCTAGAAAAATGTAATTGATGTAGTTGGTGACATTACTAAACCGACATGATCCTATACATCAATCTCAGCGGCACACATCTCCAAGGGTGGATTGATTATGACAGTTGCGTCGGCCCAGGCGATCCCTCCACAGGTTCCTCTGCTGCAGACACCGGAGCTACTGTAGGAGGTGATACACCGGCTTTAGGGGGTGGTGGAAGAGGGGTCCCCTTCCGTGAAGGCGCAAAGTCCTGCTCTCGGCTCTTCTGTTCACCCTCGGCAAAGTAATCATCAAACGCAATGTTTGTCGACGCACCATGGCGCAATTTGCCTCGACGGTTCGAAGGTGATCTCCCATCTGGAGAAGTCACTTGTGTGGGGGCCGCGAGGGGAGGGATAGATGCCATGTTTGCCGGCACTAAGAAGTTACCAGCGGCGCCAGCGGTTACACCGGGGCCAACAGGATCAGGCATTTGTGAGGAATTTTCATTCTCACGTGTCTCAAAAACAACTTCACCAGGTCCTTCCACCTCCTCTCCCAGCCCGACGGGGAGTCGGTGCAGGGCACCGTATCCTAATTCGGCACCAACGGCGCCTTCACCACCCCAGCCACGAGTTGGAACAAGCTCTACTTCCCGAACGACATCAAATTCGCTATTATAGACCCATAATATCAGGCTGCGATCGAGGTGGTCCTCCACTAGCTCCCCAAGCGCAGATTCCCCGCGCAGTGTCCCGCTTGGGGTTCCAATAATGTAGTCTGAATGAGGAAGCAGTCCTGCGCGGAAGGCAGGGCTCAGTGAAGAGGGAATTGCAAGCACATGCCAGATATTTTGGGTGGAGTTCAAAGGGGCCAGCTGTAGCGCTAGGCCGAGGGATGGATTTGAGGGAACCGGCACGTTGAAGGTATGAGTCCGTTGGCCCTGCGTAGAGGATTCTGATTTAGCTAGATAATTCCTTCCAAAAAACAAACATGAACTTTGTACACGTACCTTGGCACTCCAGACTTCCAGGGTCAAGTTTGTGCCGGCGCAATTGCGGACTTCCGTCGCAAAGAGGTTTGGGTCTGGGTCTTCCTGGAGGGATGATTTAGCAAGATCATCGGAAATTTTTGGTTTATTAACTCCATACAATCGGATGACCGTTTATTCCCACAATAAAATCAAACCAAGGCTCCAGAGGTAGCTCGGGGTCTTTGTTGCGAAGCACTTGAAATCCGAAGGCGTTGTCACTTGGTCCATTCCGAGGGTTTTGGCTGGGCTCGCCGTCAAGCCGGCCAATAAAACGATTGAGAGCCCCGAACATGAAGGCTATCTGTTCTAGTAAATAAATCAAGGGAGTGTGCTTAGAGTTGTATACAGTACAAGCTGTGTGAAGCTGTCGCGGGCAAGCTGGCCCCGTCCAGGTGCAAACGTCACAAACACCCTCCTTATCCTTTATCGTGGTTATCGCGAAGACTTACTCTCGTATTGGACCTTTGTCATGGAGGACTTGGAGGCACCACCAGAGGTGCACCATTATGAGAATCTCCATGAGGTCCCGTGGGATATTCAGAAGTAATACTCCTCCCCTATCCATCCTCTGTTTATCCCCGTACTCTAGCTGACTTATTTTACAGTTATTGGTCTCAACGATACCGCATTTTCTCAAAGTACGACGAGGGAATCTGGCTTACAGACGATGCTTGGTTTGGAGTAACACCAGAACCTGTTGCCAAGTAAGTGAACAAAGCTTTGAATACATACTTAGAGAACGCTACTAATGTGGAGACTAGTAAAATAGCTTCTGATCTAGCCAAGTCAGCTCCTGCTGACCGCAGTATCTTGGTCGATGCTTTTGCAGGCGCAGGTGGTAATACTATTGCATTTGCCAAATCCGGGAGATGGAAACGAGTGTATGCAATTGAGAAGAATCCGGCTGTTCTGCAATGCGCCAAGCACAACGCAAAGATCTACGGCGTGGATAATAAGATCACTTGGTTCGAAGGTGACTGCTTCGAGATCCTTAAGAACCAACTCAAAGACCTTGCTCCTTACAGTATCATCTTTGCAAGCCCACCATGGGGAGGTAAGACTTTGTCTTTTTCCGTTGAATATAAATATCTGTTTCTAATCATGGATAGGTCCTGGATATCGTTCGGATGAAGTATTCAATCTGCGTACCATGGAGCCATATTCTCTGGCAACTCTTTATAAGGAATACGCGGCATTTACTCAGCACATGGCTTTGTACTTGCCTCGGACCTCAGATGTGCAGCAGATGGCAAAATATGTCCCAAATGGGCGCCAAGCAACGGTAATGCACTATTGCATGGAGGGCCATAGTAAGGCACTGTGCGTTTTTTATGGCGATTTCAACATTTGATGAAACCTTTGAAAGTTATTATTACAATATTTGCTATTGTTCTGTGGAATCGAATCCGCTGAAGATTCACAAGTCATCGTTCACATCTGATTGATTCGGTGTCAATTCATACCTAAGAGTCTAGTGGCGCACAATACATGATACCAGTCTAATTGAGCAAATATGTGTTGGTCGAATATAACGTAATAGTACGTAATGTATTTACTTATTAGATATTTTTGATCTAGCCTCTAATAATGAAGAGGCTTCATGGATTAAACCTGGGACTCACTGGCACCGGACGAGCACATGTGCATGATCCGGGAGAATGAAGCAAGACAACTTCAGCTAGGAGCCTCAGCTTTGTCAAGAGGTCATCACCGTCAGCACGACTTCGCAGGGAATCACCATATGTGATAGTAAGTATCAAGCAAGATTGACAGACTGGGCGATGAAGGATGAGTCAGTGCATCTACAATAATCCACATCTCACTCTATAAGCAAAGTATTAGCCCCAGCGGGATATCTACAAGTTGCGCATTATTATAACACTAACAGTTGGTAGACAGTCTATACGGCACTTTCGCCCCTATGCCTGATCAAGTTTTGTAAGTTATATCAGCCGGTTGGAGCAGCCTGGGAGATCATGACCATAGCTCACGCTCTCGTTTACTGATCTTCCTCTTAAGCGGGCCGCCTAACCATTCTGGCCAGGACGGTATTAAATCCCGGAAACTGGTATTTTTCCGCTGAAATTTGGCTAAAAAGGCATCCATAACAGAGCGTTTACCCCATGGCCAAGGGGTCGAGGGCCGAGAGAAGAGTGAATGAGCAGTGCGCCGCAGCGACGCAAATGAGAACGACGAAGGGGATGAAGACCACGGAAGAGAGCCTGGAATAAGAGATTTCCATGCACGTTTTTGTTGAGGGCTTGCGTTTTTTTTAATCGCGGTCAGGATGCGTTCGAATTGACGGTCCCGGCTTTCCTGTGCGCGATGCTGTATCTGTGAGCGCCATGAATCCTGCTCAGCGGGGTCCAAGCACCAGACCACAATGTCGCCGCGGCGTCGCCAGTCGTCGTGCCAAGCGGTGTTCCAGATACGCGAACATTCGCCATAAGAAGAGCCTCGGATAAGCTGACGCATGGTGGGCTCGAGCTGAGCGAAGAAGACGAGATAGTCGGGCCACTCATGGAGCATCGAACTTTCGAAAGGGCTGGTCATTACTCGGTGCCCAGTCACATAGCTTGGTCGGCGGGGTAGATGTCGAAGTCCCCCAGCCATATTTTGGCGTAAGAAGGCATCCGGGTCGTCGTAGAATTGGTCAGCTTCGTCGCGGTAGGTCGCCTTTTGTGTCTCATTGAGGCTGATTGGAGGCTCACAAGAGAGTGCCCAGGCGTGAATAGAGGGATATACCATGTGGGAGCGCCATGGGGTACTGTGACAAGGCATTAAAAATCCGACTGTAATCCCGATTTCAGGCGCGGGGGGCACTGAAGATGAAGGGTAGACCATATCCTGAGACAATGAATGAGTTTCATGCTGATGTCGGAGGTAATCAAGGACCTTCATGGGTCCTGAGGCATGAAATATAGATGTGTATAGCGCAATGGTTCCGTTGACCAATAATAGGAAGATGAGTATTAGCCGCTTCGGAGTATGGGTGTGGGAGCTGGAGGTCAGAGCTGGCCAGAAGAATTGCATCAAACGAGGCGCAGCCAGGATGTGTAAGGATGGTAGTAAGGGGTAGATGAAGCGGACTTCCTTGTGCGAAATAAGGGAGAGGACAAACGGCATCAAGATGCAGACCATTGCCAATTGCAATTTAATGGTAGTCTGCGCTCGGTTGGAAGCTGAAAAGTCCCGACAAGTCAAAGCGACATGTAAACCTGGAATAGCAAATGGAACCAAGGTGGTCAAGATGAGTGGATATCCCTCAGTCAGATAATAATGCCATTTGTTGCGCCCATAGAATACCGCCAGTGATTGGGCAATATTGAAGTATAGGAACCGTAGTGGAGGGAATGTCCAAACTCCGTAAAATAGACGGTCTGTCATGGCGGAAATAGTCAAGATTATCGATCTATGACACAAGTCAGCTCACGAGATACATTTTCAAAGGGCGGGGACAGACCCGCAAAGCAGAGCCTCGCGTACAAGATTCTTGCGCTGGTCCCAGGAACCTCGAAGCCAAACGACCCCGGCCAAGGCTACCCATATTATAACGTTGGTTGGACGAAGAATACAAGCAACTGCCGCCAGCGACAGACATCGGCGGAGACTGTTAGAGGCGTCAGCGGTGAATTGAGTAAAGTTTGCACTGATCTTGTCATACTTCAAAAGTAGTTGAGGGGTATTAGCTTCAGGTGCTTCCTTGCCGTTCTGAAGGATATCACTAGTGACAGAATAAGACCATTGCCATGGCCATAGGTTCAATGCAACAATGGTCAATGTTGTTTCTAGGCAATTTGAGAGGGTTCTGGTTGAGCAGAACCACTGCCAAGGACTGATAATCGTGGTAATTAACTTTCAAGCCATTAGCCAGTGTTCCCCCTCCCCCCCCTGCGGAATTTAAACGGCCTGATTTGCGACACATACCGTTGCCCATGCGCTATGAGAGCCCTCGCCGTAGATACGACTCGCAAGTCTCCAGGTATAGAAATCACCGATTGCTGATAGCACGGCCTGCGTGGTTTTCGGACTGGCGATCAAGAGCTCGGCACGGATCGTAGATGGAATACAAATAACGGACGAAAAGAAGTCAGTCATTTTGTATGTTGCCGCGAAGAGAAGAGGATGTAGTGAAGATCGAAGTTGGTGTCGCCATTCCTATCCCAGCCGTATCAGCATTCGAGTCGCGTAATTTGGCTCCCTTACACTCACCCACGTTATCCAGGCACCCTGGTCTCCTCCAAATGCAATCTGCCAAGCCGGCTCAAGGGATTGAAAGAATTCATCTGGTTGAAAAAAGGTACGAACAGTCAGCGCATTCACGAGGCGAAGGCCGATCAGGTAGATGAAGACGTTGAAAGCCTGAGTTTGAATTAAGCGATAACGCGGAGAAGATAAGCTGAAGGGAGGCATCATCAAGTCCAGATGAGCCACAAGAATCGCAATCCTTTGAATTTCTTCATCAGTCGCGAAGCTTAGATTGTCATGGATGATTCGAACCTCGGGAAAACACCGAGATGCCTGGGGCAGAAACGCGGAGTGATTATGTAATTACTTCACCGAAATCGGATTTGTTTCCATGAAGCTCCAGAGCTTCAAGCCAAACTGTGAATGATGATGCTACTTCGAACGGCGCTGAGGTCCCGGGGACCACGGCCTATCCTCTTTCGTGGAGCTCGCTCGGTATCATCTGCGCCACTCATTCAAATCCAGGATGGCACATTCTACCGGCAGTATCCGACAGAAGACAATGCCGCGACTAATCCACCTCTATTTCCAAACTTCAACTTCACCCTCGCCTCTCAAACATCACCTTTGGGGAAAAAGGACAAATCCTTGCAGCATTGGGCGGTGATTGGTACATCCGGACGGACTGATCTACTAGATGTCCTCGGGGGCAAGCATATTTGTCTTCCACCTGATGCGCGATCGTATCCCTACCTTCTCACAGACGAACTTGCCGCCAAAGATCCACAGCTACGCTATGTGAACAATGCAATTAGGTATATTGGTTTCAGCGGAGAAGGCTCGGGAACCATTGGTGGCACCCGGGGCGCATACTTGAGTGCCCGCTATGAGAGCCTTCGGGAGGAGACCGACTGGACAGTGGAGCAGTTTCTCCGTGGGCAAACGTCGCTGAATCCCATGGAAGGGGAAGAGAACGGAACGATTCACGATGAACAGCTCATTCAAGAGGTGATCAGCAATCTACATCTATCGGAGTTGCTGGACATGCCAGTTGCAAACCTTAGCAATGGTCAGACTCGACGCGCTCGCATCGCAGAAGCTCTCCTCAAAAAACCCGAGCTACTTCTTTTAGATGAGCCTTTTAGTACGTTCACAATTATTTCTCTGGTGGTTTTATGGCTGACTTGTAATCTCTAGTGGGACTGGACCCGGCTACCGTTCGAAGTATTTCCGGTCTGCTCCATCGTCTGGCTCAAAGGTCTTCTCCTCGATTGGTTTTGGCATTACGCCCCCAGGATACAGTACCGGAATGGATTACCCATGTAATTATAGTGGGAAACTCTCACCACGTTGTCCAGCAAGGCTCGCAGGCCGAGATTAGCAAAGTGCTGGAGATCTGGAAGCAACTCACGGATGGAAAAGCCTCGGTTGATTTTAAGGGCGCAAAGGGAAAAGTTATTCTGAACCAGGCTCAAAAAGATTTAAAGTCGGGTGCTCTTGATGAACAATTGGTCCGAGACCTCACTGCCACTAGAAATCAGAAGCCTGATTGGAAGGAAATTTCACCCTTACTAAAAGGAGAGCCACTAATTGAAATGGATGGAGTTCGTATCCAGTATGGCGAGAAAGTGGTTCTGGGTAATTGGACTCAAAAGGTGGAAGGAGAAACCAAAGATGGTCTGCATTGGCGTGTGCGTCGAGGCCAGCGCTGGGCAATTCTCGGTGCCAATGGGTCTGGCAAGACAACTCTACTCTCACTCATTACATCCGATCACCCGCAAGCATACGCTCAACCCCTCAAAATGTTCGGTCGGTCCCGTCTTCCCGAATCGGGCAAACCTGGTATCTCCATCTTCGAGCTCCAGTCCCGCCTCGGCCATTCATCTCCCGAGATTCACGCATTCTTCCCTCGACAATTAACCGTGCGAGAAGCTATTGAATCCGCTTTTGCGGAGACTTTCTTATCCAAACCAGTGCTCACCTATGAGCGAGACCTTGACGTGAACGCGGTCCTGCGGTTTTTCAAGGCTGAGCTGGATCCAAATGCCACGTCGGAGGAAAAGCCCCCTATTATTACAACCAACACCGATATCTTCCCTCAACTCGGTCCCAGCGGGAACAACAAGTCTTTCACCCCAGCGGACTATGATATCGAATACGCTGACAATATCACGTTCGGCCAACTTGCTACTGCACAGCAGCGTATTGTGCTTTTCATCCGAGCACTCATTCACAATCCAGACATTGTGGTTCTTGATGAACCCTTCTCGGGCTTGTCTGCTTCTCAGCGCGACAAATGTCTACACTATATTGACCACGGCGATTCTAACCTAGGCTCGGGTCGAGGTCACATGCATTATAAGGGTCTTTCGGATGAACAAGCCCTGGTGCTGATCAGCCATGTCAAGGAGGAAGTTCCTGAAAGTGTTCGTTTCTATATGCGGCTGCCGTCGGAGTCAGACGATGGTGCTGAGCCATTGGACTTCCGTTTTGGTACGCTCAATAATGGCAGTGTCCTGAGTGACCCAAAGGTATGGGATACCGCGTGGTCTCCACCTTCTCAATTTTTGAAATCCGCATATCGAACTCGCAGACGCCGCGGTGAACAATCCGACGTAAGCGTTTACGAGTGGTTTTCGATCTAGATGTGTTGCGTCGAATCAGTACATCGCAGCACGCTCCTGGTGAAACTAAAATATCAATAGAATATGTATGGGCATTGGTTCCAAGTTTCCAATATTGTCTCCACAAGTATATAGACCCCAGATACATATACAGCCTTGGCAGTCCATTCTTAATCTGAAGAACCATATAGTAGAGAATTATTCAATGTTTGAACTCGTATGGTACATGCTCGACCTGGGTATAGATGTACCTCAACGCAGCTTGATACCCCGCATTATGGGAAATTGACTCTCCGTGAACTTTAAACTACGAACTATAAATCATTCAATCGTTGAGGTTCGAACTCGCAGCTCAACGGATACAATCCATTCCATCAATTGATTCTATACTGCTTCACGCTGACTTCAAAATGTCTCTCCCTGCGAGTTGCGACATCCTAGTGATCGGTGGCGGTAATGCCGGGTTTAGCGCCGCCCTTTCAGCCGCCCAAACAAATTCCAAAGCTAATGTGATCATAATCGATAAGTGTCCCTCAATCTGGGCCGGGGGAAATTCGTTCTTCACAGCTGGAGCATTTCGTACCGCACATAATGGGCTCTCCGACCTTCTTCTGCCCATAGTCAACAACACCACTGCGGAGCAGGCGTCCCGCATCGACATGCCCATCTACTCCGAACAAGATTTCACTAATGACCTCCTTCGTATGACAGGTTGGCTCACCAATCCTGCTTTATCAAAGACCTTAGTCCAGAACTCACGCTCCGCCATCGGTTGGCTCGCCCAAAACGGGATCCGCTTTCAGCTATCGTTCAACAGACAGGCTTACGAGGTAGACGGTCGAATATAGTTCTGGGGTGGTCTTGCGTTGAAGACCCAAGACGGCGGTAAAGGTCTTGTGGAAGACCACCTCGCCGCTGCGAAGAAACATGGCATCCGTGTGTTTTTCGATACGCCGGCTACGAAGATCCTGACAGACCCTACCACAGCCGCGGTGATCGGGGTTGAAGTCAGCAGTCACTCTTCTGGATATTCTCAAAAACAAATCATCCGCGCTGCTGCCATCATCCTCGCTGCCGGTGGCTTCGAAGCTAACGCTCAACTGCGGGCCCAATACCTTGGACCCGGCTGGGATGCCGCGCGTGTCCGTGGAACACCTTATAACACAGGTGACCTCCTCCTTAGTGCACAGCGTGATGTCTCTGCCAAGGCCGTGGGTAACTGGTCCGGCTGTCACAGCGTCGCATGGGATGCCGATTACCCCGCGCATTCAGGAGACCGAGAAGTCTCCAATGATTTCACAAAGTCAGGGTACCCACTAGGTATCATGATAAACCGAGACGGAGAGCGGTTCGTGGACGAAGGATCCGACATGCGGAATTACACCTACGCAATGATTGGACGGCGGATTCTAGCGCAACCGGGACAAATCGCATTTCAGATCTGGGATGCACGAACGACGACTTGGCTACGAGCTGAGGAGTATCGTCCAGAAGTTACGAAACATCTAACTGGATCTACGGTGGAAGAGCTGGCGGATGCATGTGTGAAGGCTGGATTGGTGAATCGGCAGCGGTTCATAGATACCCTGGTCGAGTATAATGCCTCTACTCGAGAAGGAAGTCAAAAGTGGGATCCTTCTGTGAAAGATGGGTTGAGGACTGTTGGTTTGGGGATTCCGAAGTCGAACCGGGCGTTGCCGATTGACATGGCGCCTTTTTTAGCTGTGCGAGTGACTTCTGGAATTACATTTACATTTGGGGGGCTCGCAGTCACTCCAGAGACAGCGGCTGTAATTTCGGAGACCACAGGCAAGGAAATTCCGGGCTTGTATGCTGTTGGAGAGATGCTGGGTGGGATTTTCTATGACAATTATCCCGGTGGAAGTGGGTTGACATCTGGTACTGTCTTTGGACGACGAGCCGGGAGGGCCGCAGCTGAGCTCATTGCTGGAGTAAGAGGATCGAGACTATAATGAGGAGAATTCTTGAAGGTTTAAATATGTTAGAATGGAAAAAAGAGGTATATCGATTTAGAATATCAACGACTGTGGTTATTAAACGCCCTGCCCAATGCCAAAGTGTTCCCAAGAATCCATCTGAAAGTCCATGCAGTTGTCATGTCCCATATAAGAGAAACAGAGCCTCAAACGCCTGAATAATATATCAACAGGTCCTATTCGCCATGACCAGCATCACGACCAGACCGAAACGAATCCCGATGTTCCCCTATATCGGATCCTCATGCTCGCTGGTGATACGCATCCAAAGCCTGTTGCATATCTTCCAGGCTCTCTTTGCTTCCATAGGCATCCATGAGCTGTTGGTTCATCGCAAGGCGTTTCTCTTCTTCGCGCATCATCTGCTCGCGCCGTACTTGGACTCCTTTATAGTAGTTGTATCCGGCGAATCCTAGACAGGGGTCAAGTCAGTATTGGCCAAGTTGTATCCAAAGCACGGAAGAACAAAGGCTCGAGCAGAGCATTGGACACCACATACCGAGACCGATCACCGCGACCAGAGGAAGATACCTATATGCCCCTGATTAGCAATTAATCCCGACCGCAAACCAACGGGCTTCCACGTACCGGCCATACCTCGGCTTAAAGCTTGGTCCGCTCGGAGGACTTCTGTACGTCTTGGGGCCTGAGAAAGCGTACTGAGACATCTCGATTGTATTGATATTGAGCCCGGGTTATATTATGAAAGTGGGTGATTAAAGGGGTTTAAGGGGTGTAGAGGGGCTTCGGCAAATAGGTCTGAGGTTGGATAAGCGGGAATTTAAAGATCGGCTACGAAATGCGGGAAAGATAAATGCGGGGATTGCATGACGTAGCGAAACATACGTTACATGTAACATGATTGAGGAAGTCGACCGTGGAACCGATCATACTACTCGATTCTATTGCATGATCTTTTGACTTATTCACGAAGTGGCAATGTCTAAGGTCCAAGGTCCAATAGCTGTGACTTGTGACAATTTGTTCATAAAAAAACATATAACATTAAACGTCCATATAATCATGTGAAGATATCCAATTCCGGGTCAATTCCTACTGGCTGAAATTCTTGGGTGCAGCGGCCGCAGGGCCCTCCGGGGTCACGTACGCCTAGGGGTTAGTGTCAGCATTGCAATCTCACTCTCACTCTCCCACCTCAATCACATACCTTGCTAAGTCCACCATCAACAACAAAGTCGGTTCCATTCACGAAGCTGCTCTCGTCGCTAGCCAGGAAGAGGACAGCCTGGGCCTGCTCAACGGGCTCACCAAAGCGGCCACTGGGAAAGTGCACCTCGCGACGGAATCGCTTTGCCTGATCATCACCCAACCAGTCCTGGAGGAGAGGAGTGCTATTGAAAAAAGTCAGTCACCGCAAAATGAAAAGCTATGATACATCTATATATCTTACTTGAGAGGACCGGGGCAGAGGGCATTGAAGCGGAACCCCTCGCGGGCATGCACAACAGCCAATTCTCTTGTCATGGCAAGTACAGCTCCCTTGGAGGCAGTGTAAGCCAATTGAGGTGTAGCGGCACCCATCAGTGCAACAAAGCTGGCAGTATTGATCACAGATCCACGGGTCTTCTTGTTGCGGCGCAAGCTCAACACAGCATGCTTGCAACCAAACCACACACCCTTCACGTTGATGCTCTGTGTCAGATCCCAGATCTTCTCATTGGTATCAACAGCGTCCGCGTCGTCGGCATGCATGATGCCCGCGTTGTTGAACATCACATCCACACCGCCCCAGCTATCCTGTGACTCGACCATGGCCTGCACGTCGGCCTCCTTGGATACATCGCATCGAATGGTTTCCAGGCGGGGAGCATTTGGAACAACCTCCTTGACCTTGGCAATAGCTTTGGCCAGGGCGGGCTCGGAAATGTCAGCCATCAGGACGCTGGCGCCCTCGCGAGCGAAGAGGATGGTGGTTTCGAGGCCGATGCCACTGAGACGACCGTATTAGTGGCTTGCTATGACTATCTTTTAAGATGAGGTTAACATACCCTGCAGCACCGGTGATGATAGCATTCTTTCCTTCGAGACGGCCCATTGTGAATGTTAAAAAAAAAGTTTGATAGGAGCTGTGTAGTGCGTAGCGGATATGTTAGCGGGAATAGTCGAGCACGGGCTTGATAAGTTTAAATAGAAGATTGAAGATTCAAGACTGAAATTTGGCGGTCCTTTTCACTCTTCTTATTGTTGCAGAAACCCAGACTCACCAGATAAAATAGTTGACAACAACACTTAAGAGTCAAGACTCAAGGGAGCTTGTATACGCGGGGCATATAGTGGATAGGCGGTGACGGCGGTCCGGGACCGCGCTGCTCTTATCTCTTATCTTAGAGCGCCGTGATCAGCTTCCTTGATTAGAGACGGTCATCACTCAGTCGTATCAGTAATCCTAAGCTGAATTGTCTTCCCTTGATTTATCAGGTCTACATTTGTATCTGCGTTTCCCCCCTATACCCTTTTGTTTTACTATCATAATTCTTCATCATGTCAGACCTAGACGAGGTCACCGTTGATAACATTGCTAAGGTGCTCCACAATGACCGCATGGTCAAGGTAGCTGGCATTGATGTGGACGGAGTGCTCCGTGGCAAGCTAATGCAGAAATCCAAGTTCTTGTCTATTGTCTCTGATGGCTTTGGCTTTTGCTCGGTCGTCTTTGGCTGGGACCAACATGATCAAACCTATTACAAGGAGCTCTCTATCAGTAACAAAGAGAACGGGTACCGCGACCTGGTGGCTGTGCCAGACCTGCGAAGCTTTCGTCGCATTCCCTGGGAGAATAATATCCCTTTCTTCCTGATCAGCTTTCTTGATCCAGACACTCGTGAACCGGTCTGCGCGTGTCCACGGGGTTTGTTGAAGACCGCCGCTGCCAAGGCAGAGGCCGCAGGATACCGCGCCATGGCAGGAGGTAAGCCGCCTATATATGTCTTGGAAACATCTGAACTCCTACTGACCAATTTTCTAGCGGAGTATGAGTTCTACCAATTCCGTGCCCCAGGGGACCACCTCACGCCCGAGCGGACCGCCTCCCACACCGCAGCGTTCCTGCAAACAAATAAAGCAGATAGCCTTCCTCCTATCACAGAAGGCATGTTTGGATACTCGATTACTCGTCCCCTTCACAACCAAGATTACTACTATGGCATCTTCGACGCCTGTGAGCAGTTCCGCTGCGATATCGAGGGATGGCATACCGAGAGTGGACCGGGTGTTTATGAAGCTGTGAGTTTCTGTGCTAGGTGGAGAAAAGGTGGTTTCATCCAAGCTGACATCTGTTCTTATAGGCTTTACAATTTGGTGAAGCTAAGGACATGGCCGACAAGGCCGGCTTATTCAAGTATGAGACCTCCCCTCGGTGGAAATTGGAATCAGAACTAATGTACTTGCAGGTATGTCGTCAAAGCCTTTGGCATTAAGCACGGTATCACACCTTGCTTCATGGCCAAGCCACGACAAGGACTTCCTGGCAACAGTGGTCACATGCACATCTCGCTCGTGAATGCCAATGGTAAGAATGCCTTTATCCGTGATTCTCCCGACTCCTCCCCACCATACCCGGATGTTGCACACCTGTCCGACCTAGGCCGGCATTTCCTGGCGGGTCTGCTGGTCGGACTACCGGATATCATGCCCCTCTTCGCACCGACTATCAACTCCTACAAACGTCTTGTTGAGAACTTCTGGGCCCCGGTCACTGTCTCTTGGGGATTGGAGCATCGGGCCGCTTCCATTCGCTTGATTACTCCGCCAACAGCCAGTGCTAAGGCGACTCGCTTTGAGGTTCGCGTGCCTGGCGCCGACGCGAACCCACACTTTGTACTTGCGGCTATCCTGGCACTGGGATGGCGCGGTGTCGAGAAGAAGCTCGAGATCCCTGTACCCCCGCTTTCTAAGGGTGAGGATATGGGTGGGGCTAGTGATCAAGGAGTGCGGTTAGCCAAGACACTCAAGGAGGCGATTGCTACATTTACGCGACCCGACAGTATGGCACGTGAGGTCTTTGGGGATGCCTTTGTGGATCACTTTGGCGGAACACGAGAGCATGAAGTGCGCCTGTGGGAGGAGGCTGTCACGGACTGGTGAGTTTCACTTGTCTCCCTTTATTTTTGCGGTTGAGTCCTTTTACTGATGTTCTTACAGGGAAGTGAAACGGTATATTGAAACCGTATAGAAGCTATTTTGATATCGCGCAGTACGACTGTTTACCAACGATGGATTTTTTTTGTATATATGATGCCGGCGTCAACAGTTGAAATCCATCTATTTTTTCCATATCCATTTCACCTGCTCTCTTATTTCTCTAGGATTTACCAATATGATTATTACGACTACCCTTTCGAAGAAATCGGCGATATATATGGAAACCTTGGAAATCACTCCATCGGCTGTATTAGAATCATGAAGACGACCGACAATTGGTGGAAGTTCATCCAAAGTAAGCACAGACATAAGAGTTGACGCTAATTGGGTGCCTGCATGTTTTGGGCATCAACATCTAGGCACTCGAGCATTGGGATATTATTTTCAGACACATCACATCCATGGATGCTGGCGTTCAGAAGACCAAGCTCTCTGGTCGCATCGACTAACGTGTACAATCCCTTTCGCCCCGCGTTTCTCTATCAGGCTCTACCCGGCTTTCGGTATCTATGTGTAACGCAAGCCTAGCCTCAGCAACTGCCGAATACGAGCCAAGGAACAGGTTGCAATTGTGTCTTGACGTTGCTTTTGGAAATCAGCGCTCAAGACATGTTTCGTATAAATGCTCTCCAGCATGCCGCAAGAAAGGGTGATACAGAAACAGTGCGACTGCTTCTCCAAAATGGCGCAGACGTCAATGCTAAAATCAAGAATTATGGAACTGCTCTCCAGGTTGCAGCAGAAAGCGACACTATAGAGACGATACAACTGCTTCTTGAGAATGGCGCAGACGATAACGCTGGAAGCGGCCAAGATGGAACTGCTCTCTAGGCTGCAGCAGTAAACGGTAGCATAGAGACGATACGACTGCTTCTTGAAAACCGCGCAGACGTCAACGCCGAAGGCGGCCATCATGGAACTGCTCTTCAGGCTGCTGCAAGATGCGGTGCTGTAGGAGCAGTGCGGTTGCTTCTTGATAGTGGCGCCAACATTAACATTTATGGTGGTCACTATTGGAGTCCTCTTCACGATGCTGTAACATTAAATAGGACAGAGACCGTGCGGCTGCTTCTTGATAATGGTGCAGATGTCAATGTAGAAGGAGGCGCAGATGGAACTCCTCTCCAGGTCGCCGCATTGGGCGGCAACATAGACATCGTGGTGCTCCTCCTCTAGAAAAGCGCAACGTCAACGCTCAAGCAGGCTTGCATAGAACTGCTCTGCACGTCGCCGCTTCTAAGGGACACATGGAGGTGATGCGACGACTGCTTGATAAAGGGGCCGACTTCAACGCTCAATAAGGCAGCTACGGCCGAACACCACTTCATCTCGCGGTAGAGGCGAAGTCTTTCCCTGCCGTGGCTGAGCTTATTCAACGAAATGCTCTTACGGATCGACAAGATTTCACCGACGCACCCGGATCCAACTTGCAGCTCAACAGCGAAACCAGCAGATTGCAGTACTACTTTTTCCAAAAAGCACTGGTAGTCTCCGCTTCCTGCAGGCTTCCACGTGGAGTTCCCTTTTTCCGAGTTCTCATTTGCGTTTGGTAATGACCAGCGGCATTTCAGCGACTGTTCAGACCAAACTGGAAATTGAGATCAGAAAACAAGGCTATCCACTTTCTCGGACGATTACAGAGTTGGATTTCAACGGGGACCATTTCATGGAAACCGATGTTAGCGCGAAACGTATTATGTAGGTATATGCACTCTTAATTTCTGCTTCTGCCTGCTCACTCAATACAAATAGTCTTCTTGCTAATCGGAATTTACTCTCATCCTTCTCGACTGGTCTCCGTCGTCGTTGGTGGTGTAAGGTGGAGAGGCTACCTGAAGTGGTGTGGTACGGAAAGCAGATAGAGCAAGTATGGAGTGTCCAGCCCAACACAGTGCCCAGTCGAGTGGCCCTGGCTCAGGTTTCAAACGACAGTTATAAGTCCCCTCAATCCAATTTGTCTATATCAACTTCTGAATGATCACAGATTTCATTGAATGCAGCTTCACTACTCGCGCAATAACGCTACCAAGTCCTGAACACTCTGAGTGGCCTGCCTTATCTGTCACCTCCAAGTTGAATATAGGGGACTTGGAGAAGACCCATGGAATTCTGTGGATCATGACGAAGAGCCAGGGTCTGGGCGGGGACAGTTTAGAGTCAAGGGAATTTTTTAGCACATCTGAATACGCGCGAGTGCCACCTAATGCCACGCATCTTTTTATTCAATTGGTGCAGAGACTCTTGCAATATTGGGAGTGTCCCTTTCGCGCTGCTGAAACCCGTCTGGCAATGAAGGTGAGGAATGTGAATTGCGTCGAGGCCTGAGCTAACAGACTATAGCGAACTGAGTTGCTGAGGGCGAATGGAGGAAGCCCGGACCTGATTCGTGACTTGCTAGGTGATGCCCAATTATGGGATCTGATAAGACGGAGCTATAACAAACAGTTTGTCGAGCTAAAGGCATTTTTGAACTGCTATGTGAGTCGATCATGGTCTGTGCTTCGTGAGAACAAGACTGTCGGACGTCGTTATATCTATGAAGGTGAGGAGGAGTTTTTTGAGGAGATCAACAAAGGGCATTTTTGAACGGACTGAAGTCATTAACAGAAACTTCCCACGATCTTATTCAACTGGTATGGCTGAGTCCTTCATTCCCTTACGTGCTGACGAATTCATCAGGAATTCAATTTGACATCTATCTCGGAAGCACAAAAATCGGCATCAACAAACGTCTTAGCTGGATTACGGTAGGTCCCTGATCTATATGCATTTGCCGATTGCTCTCCAGTCGCAGTTTGTTTTTCTCCCATTGATGTTTATCGCGGTACGATTTTCGAGTGTAATTTGTGCTTGCCAGTTGCTGATGCTTATGCAGAGTCTCTAAGGGATGAACATAGACATATTGGCATCCAATCCACCTTGCTGACTTTAAATCCTGTTTGCCATCCTCACCACTTTATAGACGCTGCTGTGTGGTGAACTTAGCGATGATGTAAGTCCATCTTTATCTTCCGGGTGGGGCGATGCTGATAAGTCGTAGCTGGGGAACAGTATAGAGCGTGGAATCAACCGTTTGACAAGACGCCAGCCACAAGACCCTGAGAAGGGTAAATGAAGCAATCTGCTTCGGGAACGAAGATCGAAGTTTTTTGCTTCTGGAAAAAAACGGAGTTGATATGGGAATCTTGGTCAAATACTAGGAGTGACGTTGTTCCAAGCGCACCCCGCACGTGACGTTCCCGGGACTATATCACTTACAGCTCTCATATTGGCTAGACTTTACATGTACAGATGTACAGAATGTTATATCAAGCTTCATCCATTTAAGATATTCACATGTCGTCACATGTCGATCCTCCACAAGTCGGAAAAATTCGGTCAAATCTAAATTGACATTTGGATTACCGAAAACCGATTCCAATCAGGTTGAACCGCGGCTTGAAATCGGAGGAGAGCAGGGATAAGCTGCAGACCTCGGGTGGGTTAGGGGAGGCGAAAGCGAAACATTCTGACTTTCGAACTTTGTTCCGATCATTTTAAACATTTGTTCAAAACCATTAAATTCACGACAAATTCCACCTCAAAAATTTATATAATTTCAATCGACCGAGAAGAATTGCACATCCGATCTCGCGATAAGAGCACGGCGGACGGCGCGCGCCGACTTTAAGTAGGGGCGATTGCCGATTAACTTATGGACGACCACTTTTCTATGTGGGGAAAATGGGGTTTTGGAGTGAGTTTTCCGATAATTAACTAGTCGGCCGAGTGGATAGTGGACTTTCCCGTCGGACAAGAAAGAAATCTAATTGGTGAATTTCATGGGAAAGAAAACAACCGCGGTAACTAATCTTCTGACGTATTCTATTCTCTATCTCCGCCTTCGGTCGGATGGCGATGCTTAGGTACCTAGTATATATAACAGTTATAGATCCACGGGTGGAAGGAAGTTTTCCTTCTTCTCTTTTATCAAACTTTGAAACAGCTTTCACTGTGAATCCTGGAAATTGAACTGCATGGACAATAATCATATCTAATCCTTCTATACCTATACCTTCCAATACCTACACAATGACCTCCCAGATCGAAACTCAACTGAAGGATGTTGCCATCCTCGCTAATATCCCCAATGACGCTCGCAAGATCCTGACTAAGGAGGCCTGTGCCTTCCTCGCCATCCTGCACCGCACCTTCAACCCCACCCGCAAGGCCCTCCTCCAGCGCCGTATCGACCGCCAGGCTGAGATTGATAAGGGTAACCTCCTCGACTTCCTTCCCGAGACCAAGCACATCCGCGAAAACGATGCATGGAAGGGTGCTCCTCCCGCCCCCGGTCTCGTCGATCGCCGCGTCGAGATTACTGGTCCCACCGACCGCAAGATGGTTATTAACGCCTTGAACTCCGATGTCTGGACATACATGGCCGATTTTGAAGACTCCTCTGCCCCAACCTGGGAAAACATGATCAACGGTCAGGTCAACTTGTACGACGCTATTCGTCGCCAGGTTGACTTCAACCAGGGTGGCAAGGAATATAAGCTTCGCACCGATCGCACCCTGCCCACCCTCATCGCTCGTGCCCGTGGCTGGCACCTGGATGAGAAGCACTTCACCATCAACGGCGAGCCCATCTCCGGTGGTCTGTTTGACTTTGGTCTGTACTTCTTCCACAACGCCAAGGAGCTCGTCGCCCGCGGCGCCGGTCCTTACTTCTACCTCCCCAAGATGGAGTCTCACCTCGAGGCCCGTCTCTGGAACGACGTTTTCAACCTGTCCCAGGACTACATTGGCATGCCCCGTGGTACCATCCGTGGTACCGTTCTCATTGAGACCATCACCGCCGCCTTCGAGATGGAGGAGATTATCTACGAGCTGCGCGACCACAGCTCTGGCCTGAACTGTGGCCGCTGGGATTACATCTTCTCCTTCATCAAGAAGTTCCGCCAAAACCCCAACTTCGTCCTCCCCGACCGTTCCGATGTCACCATGACTGTGCCCTTCATGGAATCCTACGTCAAGCTGCTCATCAAGACATGTCACAAGCGCGGTGTCCACGCCATGGGTGGTATGGCCGCTCAGATTCCCGTGAAAAACGACCCCGTCGCCAACGAGAAGGCCATGGAGAGCGTGCGCGCCGATAAGCTCCGTGAGGTCCGTGCCGGTCACGACGGTACCTGGGTTGCCCACCCCGCTCTCGCCGCCATTGCCTCGGATGTCTTCAACAAGTACATGCCCACACCTAACCAGCTCTTCGTTCGTCGCGAGGAAGTCAACATCACCGCTAACGACCTCCTTAACACCAACGTGCCCGGCAAGATCACCGAGGAGGGTATCCGCAAAAACTTGAACATCGGTCTTAGCTACATGGAAGGCTGGCTGCGCGGAGTCGGCTGTGTCCCCATCAACTTCTTGATGGAGGATGCCGCCACCGCCGAGGTCTCGCGTTCGCAACTGTGGCAGTGGGTGAAGCACAACGTCTCCACTGCCGAGGGCAAGCGTGTTGACAAGGCATATGCTCTTCGTTTGTTGCAGGAGCAGGCTGACAGCCTTGCGTCCCAGGGTGCCAAGGGCAACAAGTACCAGCTTGCTGCACGGTACTTTGCCAGTCAGGTTACCGGTGAGGATTACGCCGATTTCTTGACCAGCTTGCTGTACAACGAGATCTCCTCGGCTGGCTCGGCTGCTAAGCTGTGATGATATGGATTTGATGATTATGAATACCCTTTTTCCTTTTTTTTATATTTGGCATCGTTTTGGTGAATTTGTTTCTTTCATAGTGGATTAGCACAGTTGTACAAAAATCCCAATATTTATTTCCACACTCAACTTTCCCTTAATATATCGATAGATTGTTAACAACATTCGATTTAATGACGTAGAGACCGAAACGCAATGAGCAATGATCGTGTCGAGGTTGATATGTGGGGAAGACTCGATCGAGTGGCCCACATCGAGTGCCTCGAGACGAGGAGCGGGGAATCTTGACTAGTATATAATGTTATAAGCCAACCTTGGACGTTCTTTCACAAATCATCTCATCTTCTTATCTTGGAATCATCCTTCATCATGAATTGGCGCGACAATAACAAGACATGTCAGATCTTGGCATTGGCCGAAAAGGGCGGATATGGTGTTCTGGCTGCCATCGTGTAAGTGACATGCAAGTCTTCCAATGTGCATCACAAACTCACAATAGCAGATACAATGTGGAACATATCACTGCAATGGTCCAAGCCGCTGAACAACGTCGCTCACCATTAATCATTCAACTGTTCCCTTCATCCCTCAAGCAGACTCCGTCTCTGGTATTCGCAGCTTCAGCCGCCGCGAAAAGTGCCAGCGTACCCATTTCAGTACACCTGGACCATGCCCAGGACTATGAACAAATCAAGCACGTGGCAAACAATCTACCATTTGACTCTATCATGGTAGATATGAGTCACTGTGAGAAGGAGGAGAATTTGGCGAAAACAAAGACCCTATGCGAATATTGTCACGCCCGCGGGATTTCAGTCGAAGCGGAAACCGGCCGGATTGAAGGTGGAGAGGATGGAATTATGGACACTGGGGATCTCGCTGGTATCTTAACGAATCCCGAGGATGTGGAAGAGTTCATCTCATCAGGAGTGGACTTCCTAGCTCCGAGTGTTGGGAATGTCCATGGTGATTATGGACCTCAAGGGCCTGAGTTGGATATGGAACGGCGAGTATAGAATTCTAATGGGGCACAGAACTCGACTGACAATACTTCTTTAAAATATAGACTCCGTGACATTTTCAAATCTATGAATGGCCGCGTTCGTCTAGTACTACATGGTACAAACGACTTTCCACCCAAATTGACCCAGGAATGCATCAAGGCCGGAGTGACAAAAGTTAACGTGAATAAGCTCGTATTGGATCCCTGGCATGACAATCTACGAGCCAATGTGACTCGGCCTCTGACTGACTTGATGGACACGGGAATTCAAGCCTTGAGGACTGAGATGGAACGGTGGATGGATATTATCGGTAGCAGTGGAAGGGCCTGAAATGATTACTCTTTTATTGCAATATACATGTATTTGGTAATGCATATCTTCAGTAAAAGGTGCCCAGTAGAAATACAACATAAATGCTACTAAGACCCTAAATGGGTACCTCGGTACCTGGCATACACACTCGGTGCTTGGTATATACATTAAACTGGACGTACTTGAGAGACGTTGTAAAACAGAAACTCAATAAATGGCTTGACGTGAAACTATTCAAATGTTTATAGCTTGAGTTAGTACATTGACCAGTTGCTTCTACAAGCGGGACAAAAGTTAACCTTCGGAACACCGGAAACATTCCGCGTGCTACGCCCTGTGGTTGACACAAATCCTTTAAATCTCTCTCTAAGTCGCCTCGCTCGGTTATAATTGTGCCTATTTTCGCTCCATCAACCTCTGTGAAGCCTCAGCTCCCCACCCACTCGGTAGACGACCCACATTCCACGCAAAAAAGAAGAATGGACCGTGCAGAGTTCAAGGCAGCGGCTCATTCTGCCATCGATGATAGTAAGCCCCGCCAATTGGCCCAATTGATCCAACGAAGCTGCCACTAACGAACCACTACTCCAGTCCTCGGCTATTTCGATAGCGTCCCCGACCGAAGAGTCCTCCCGGCTGTCGACCCCGGATACCTACGCCCTCTGATCCCCGCCAATCCCCCGACTGAGGCGGAAACATGGGACCAGATCCAGCAGGATGTGGACACGAAGATCAAGCCGGGGTTGACCCATTGGCAGTCGCCGAACTTCATGGCCTACTACCCGGCCAGTGTGACTTACCCTAGTATTCTGGGAGAGATGTATTCTGCGGCCTTCACCGCGCCCGCATTCAACTGGCTCTGCTCGCCGGCATGCACGGAACTGGAGACAATCGTGATGGACTGGGTGGCAAAGGCATTGGGCTTGCCCGAGTGCTTTTTGAGCACATCGAAGAACCTTGGTGGTGGAGTTATCCAGAATAGTGCCAGTGACGCGATTGCGACTATCATGGTCGCAGCACGAGAGCGACGGGTGCGCGAGATGGTACTGGCCGAGGGTCTCGAGGAAGGAACCAACGAGTACGACGAACGGAAGATGGATCTCCAGCCGCGGTTGGTGGCTATCGCCAGTGATCAGACACACAGTAGTGCGGCCAAGGGAGCTTTGATTGCGGGAACCCGTTTCCGCAGTGTGTCGACTAAGTTGGAGGAGAACATGGAGATGACAGCTACGCGGCTGCGAGAGGTGTTGGAGAAGTGCGACCAGGATGGATTGACACCGTATCATCTGACCATGACCTTTGGTACTACCAATACCTGCAGTGTTGATCGCTTTGCCGAGATCAAGGCCGTGCTGCAGGAGAAGCCTGCATGGCAACGCATCTGGGTGCATGTGGATGCGGCATATGCAGGTGCCTCTTTGGTCGCCGATGAGTGGCAGTACATTACCAAGGACTTTTCCGAGGGTGTAGACAGTTTCAACATGAATATGCACAAATGGTTGCTGGTCAACTTTGATGCAAGGCAAGTGCTCCACTTGAGCCCCTCCCTACATTGACAGCCAAGTAGTAACGGAGAAGACTAACATTATGCAGTGTCCTGTTCATCCGGAATCGCCTCGATCTAACAAATGCCCTCGACATTACCCCAACCTACCTCCGCAACCCTTATTCCGATATGGGCACCGTGATTGACTACCGTAACTGGTCCATCTCTCTTGGCCGCCGTTTCCGAGCTCTGAAAATCTGGTTCGTGATGCGCAGCTATGGCTTGAATGGCATGAAAGCGCACATCCGCAAGACGATCGGCCTTGGTAATATCTTCGCCGATTTAATCCGTGGTCGTGCCGATCTGTTCGACATCGTCACCAAACCAGGTTTCGCTTTGACTGTTTTCCGCATCAAGAGCCCGGGCTCGAAGACCGATGGCAAAGTCGTCAAAGATGAGGTGGCTGATGGTATCACTAAAAAGGTTTATGAATTGATTAACTCGCGGGGCGAGATCTTTATCACCTCCACTGTGGTTGATGGCGTGTATGTGATCCGTGTGGTCAGCGCCAACCCGATGGCGGAGGAAAAGTATGTCCGCAACGCGTTTGATATCATCGTTCGCACAACCGAGGAGGTTTTGCAACAAGAATAGAAACAAAAGGTGATCGGGTATTTCGTGAATTATGCAATCTATATGCCAATCCTAGAGAAGAATAGAAACTTCAATGTTTTCTTTATTTGCTCACTCATGCAAAGTATATTAGCAGATATAAGTCTATTACTTCGATCTTTCCTCGGTCTCCTATCAGTTACAACAGTTTAGCCTTTTGCTCGCCTTCAAGAATCAGTGCCGCTGCCAGTGCTGCTCCAACTCCAGAGGCATCCTCAGACGCATTGAGTGCAATCAATTCTAGCTCGGTAGGCGGCCAGTCAAAGATATTGCGAAGTCCCTGTGCTGCTCGTCCCTTGAACCCACTATACTTGTTGAACACAGAACCATCCACACCAACATGACACTTTTTTATATTCTTCTTCTTGCAGATAGCAGCTATATCACACGCGTATAGACGCGCCGCCCGCGTAGCAACGAGACCGATCAGATACCGACATACCTTGAGATTATCGAGCTCGGGCGACAGGCTCAGACTCTCCTCAAATTCTTCTCGTATGTCATCCAAGTTCTCTGAAAGGTCCAACTCGGTAACGGACAGAAAGGACGTCTCGATAGAATTCTCATGTCGAAGTCGTGTGGCATCCAGGCCCTTGAAGAGCCTGCCCTGCTCGTGCAAATTGATGAGAATCAGACGAAGCATCTCTCCCATATACTGCCCCGAGACCATCTTCTCATAGATCTGAGTCCCCGGTCGTGCCGATTCCCTGTCGATCTGCTGATCGAACGAGGTCAAGGGTAGGACTTCCCGATCATTATCGAAGGAACCGTATTCGGCGTTGATGATGACCTTGGAATTCGCTGGTAGTTTATCGCCTGCGATCTTCGGGATGAACTTGCATTCCTCCATATAGGCGGCATTGACGCCAGTACTGATGATACTCCCAACTTTGACTTGAGGATCCCGGTAGTGGGATGCGATCAGGGTCCCCGTGGTATCGTTGATCAGCGCTACTATCCTTACTGGAAGTTTCTAGAAGCAATACCAGCGGAGGTGCCACCACAAGGTTGCCGAGAGCATCGCAATATAGCGATGATCCTGACTACACTGACCTTTCTTTGAAAAGCGGCTTCAAGCTGCGGAACCACATCATGTCCCTCCACCCCAGAGACATTGAAGTTCTTTGTCCAGCGTTGCAGAATTCCACTTCGTATGGATATCTGCTCGATCGGAAAGGAAAAGGTAAAAGACAGGGGTCAGATGCAGTCTATTTTAGACACACTATTATATTCCGCTAGGAATAGCTCCAGACATCCAGCTATGAAATCCCACAACTGCTCTCCCGTGCCTGTCTTGACTTCATCTGGGAATTTTAATCCCCGCTGGATCTGTTCAAATTCTCTCTTGCGGTTTGACAAGCAGACCTGGCATACACGCAAGTTGGTTCCGCCCATATCGATCGTCAAAACGTCTCCTGTTTCATGGCCGGAGGGGTAACCCATCACCCAGGTGACGTCCATGGGCTATATGGTCAGAATCTTGATTCTTTGGAGTCTACTGGAGACCACTAACGATATTACCCCCCTCCTTTGTGAGTCCCTTTTCCAATTCCGTTACAAAATGTTCTGTGATCCGCTTCAGGCCTTCCGGCTCGATGATGAACCAGTCTTCGTATTGTTTTAGATACTCTATCTGGTGGGCTGGTATCCCCTCTAGAATCTCTGGGTGATAGCGAAACCCCGACATGCTTTTAATCTTCGCAACCGAAAGACCGTGCAAACGAGTTCAATCATTTCACGAAAGAGATGGCCATGTCTGGGGTGAATTTGCCGTACACGCCATGGTGATGGCATTATGACTGTTGACGGAGAATGACTGCGAGAATTCCATTCCGATACCTAGTATGTATTGGCTTTTGATTACTATTGGTTTAAAGATCAACTAATACTTCCCCTTGAGGCCTTGGGATAACGAATGCTACAGTGTGCCCCATGGCTACCATCTATACAGCACGTTGCCTATTGATTAGTCTTTTGTCCTATGCAAATCTCAAACAAATTCTGATCCAATCATAGAATTTTATCTAAATTGAATCAATTCCTGTCTACTCAACGCTCTCTTCCCGCACAGACATTTTTCTCTAATTTTACTCCACAAAACAAGAATGAAAGTGGGATCCAATCAGACGTAAGATTTTACTACTCATCGCATGTTGAAAGGTCCATAGACTGATGGCCATTGATGGTACTGTTATCGCTGACCAAATGGTGTGGTTTGTATGGTTTAAGGGTTTTGTGTTGTGGCATGACGGGAGAAGGTGGTTGTGTGCGTCATCATTGACATTTTAACCACTTTTTCTCCCTACAAATTGATTCAACTTTTAGTAACTTTTCTTTTGACCATATGTGGCCATTTGGACTTCAATTAACTTGATTTGATTTTCTGACGGAAAATTTCCAAGTTGTTGAGTTGCGGAGCTGCAATCAATTCCCCGCAGTGAGGGGCAACGGACAAAAAGAGTCTCGTGCGCGCGTCATCTCAAGTCCTGTAGAGAATTGAGATTGAACTCCTCGCACAATCATCATGAGACACAACACTTGTCACCTCCCAAATGGCATGACATTTAGCGTGTCGCCAGTCTTTGGTGGGGTCACGTTCAAATCCAACGATTTGAATGTTCACAACTCCACCTTCCCGCCGGGATGGACGATCATCATCCACAGCGAAAAGACCGCCAAGCAGCCAGAGGAACAACGAGGTCGAACTGGCTCAGAGGAGGGACGTCCATCTTCCAGCGATGGCGACCAGAATATCTCCCGATTTACCACCCCGACGTCACGGCGCGACTGTCTTTACATCTCCTACATCGTCAACCCACCGTCTAGCGACTTTAAACCGGCCTCCTCGCCCACTCGCCACATTGCCATGATGCTCTGGGCGACCTTGTGGTGGTACTTTCACGAACCGGAACCCGATCTCCATCTGGACAATGCGGCATGCAGCGCGACCCCGAGCGGTGGACGTCCGAAGGGGGAATGGCGGGTGAATATCAAACGAGAGGGGATTTTCAAGGGCCGGAATCTACTCCAAAAGCTGGAGCGCATGAGTCTAGTTACGAGCGAAGACTCCTCGGTCGGACTGCAACCCGTTGAAACACGGGATTCGAGCAGCTGGTCGAACATGTTCGTCAGCCGACGAAGCTTCTGGCAGCTAGATCCGCGTATCTTTCTCTTCACGCTGACTCCGCGAGGAGGAGCTCCATCCCCTTCTCTGACCCCGTTCCAATCCCGGCATGCTTCGCCAGCGCGGGATGGCCTTCCTTCCTCAACGGTCCTGTCGCCCACCGAGGCAACATTTCATACTGCCAGTCTCGGTCCCTACACGTCAGTCGGTCCCTTCACATCTGGCAGCCATCTTCCAACGTACTACCCGCCCGCACCAACACAATATAAGTTCACTAATGGTATCCGGCACCCGATTCGTCCGAAGCCACCGCGTCAGGGGGAAATTTTCTATACGCGGTATATCCCGAGTGTAGAACAATATCTCACATTCCGGATCCCGTTCGTGCCGATGACGAAGCCCGAAATGGCACCTGGCAGTGACAGCCGGCCTTCCACGCCAGTCAAAGTAGTCGCTTCGTCCGTGACGGGTGTCGAGCAGCATCTTTGGCAGGACATCCCGTCGGATTTGGATACCCTGCATAAGTGGATGAATGAGCCCCGTGTCGAAGCAATGTGGGGAGTCGGGGGCCCCAAGGAAGTACAGGAGAAGTTTCTCTTGACTAATCTGACGAGTCGACACAGTTTCCCCGTCATTGGGTGCTGGGATGGGAAACCATTCGGCTATTTTGAGATCTACTGGGTGAAAGAGGATCCACTGGGTCGTCTGTTGGATCGAGTAGACAATTATGATCGAGGCATTCACCTGCTTGTCGGCGAGCAGGAGTTCCGGGGGGCACATCGAGTGGTGATCTGGTTGACAGCTCTGGTACACCATTGCTTTTTGAGTGATCTGAGAACGGATTCGGTGGTTCTGGAGCCGCGAGTTGATAATATAAAGTAAGAAATGAACAATTCTTACTGGACGATGAATGCTAATCCATATTCAGGCTTATCAACTACCTCCAGCAAGTTGGCTTCCATAAAGAAGGAGAGGTCAGCTTCCCGCATAAACAGTCCGCTGTGATGAGGATCAAGCGCGAAACATGGGAAGCGCCGGCTCTGTAAGAGCAGAGAAGTTGACCATATCATGAATAACGAATTGTTGCATTGTTTTCGCTTTCCATCTGGGCCATTGGCTGTGAAGACATAGACGAGTCATTTCGTTCCAGAGTACAAATGCATTCAACATTGAAATAAGCCTTCAGCCTTTGGCATTTTACTTACTACTGGTTTCCAGTAATTACTTTACCACCTAAAAATAATTGAAGTGGGGATGTGACGCCAAGCATGTATGAACCTCGGCTCTTTTAGCTGTATCGCTTACCCGCTGAAAAGTGGTGATCGCCGTCATCCGAACTCCGCTAGCTAATTACAAGTCCTTTCCTTCTCCTTTCTTTTCAATATCTCTTTTGAAAGCCATGACAAAACACAGCACTCTTTTTGAACCTCCGCCACAGGACGAGTCCAGAGCTCTAATCGAGAATGTGCTCGACTTGACTCCGGTGGTGGACCTCGGCCCCGTAACCACCCCTTGCGCAAATTACACCAGACCAAAGAACTAACGTACCATTGTCATAGGATGTCTTCACGAACACTCGCCCACTATGGCATCCTCCCGGGGCTCGAGGAATCTACGGTGGCGCCGCTATCGCCCAGTCCCTTTCCGCGGCGATGCGCACCGTCCCCGCCGACTTTGCCGTCCACAGCATGCACTGTTACTTTGTCCTCGCCGGTGACTCTGAACTACCCATCCTATACCATGTCGAACGTGTGCGCGACGGACGGAGCTTCATCACCCGAACCGTACAAGCCCGGCAACGGGGCCGTCCAATCTTCACAACCACACTCAGTTTCAGCCGAGTGGGCAGCGGCGGCGAGAAAACATTGAACCATTCGACTCCAATGCCTGATGTCTCACTCCCGGCGGATGCATTACCGGGAACCGTCCAGGCTCTTAGCGACGCCGGAGGTGGTCCATTCGAGTCAAAGAAAGCGGGTATCATCAACCGTACGTTATATCCTCCCAATCGATGACATGGTAGCTCACCATAACGCAGGCACTCAGAACCCCGAAGATAAGAGAGTACGGCGATTTGTCCGGGCTCGTAGCCGTATCTCCGATGAAGGAGGTTTCCAGGCCCACTTATCCGCTCTGGCGTATATCACCGACAGTTTCTTCATCGGAACGGTCTCTCGTGTCCATGATATCCCTCGCTTCTCATCCCCAGCCGACCTCGAAAAGCTTCTTAAGGCACTTAAAAACCCATCCGATTTGGACGATGAAGATATTACAAAGGCCTTCAAGGAGTTGAAAGAGGAAGAAGCGGCAGATCTACGACGTCAACTCGAAGGAGCCTTAAGTAACGCCAGTAAAGAGGACCATAAAGAAGTAGGCATGATGGTCAGTCTTGATCATTCAATCTACTTCCATAATCCCCGAGCTTTCCGCGCCGACGAGTGGATGTTCCATGAAACAGAGAGCCCATGGGCCGGAGAGGGACGTGGTTTGGCGATTCAGAAGTTCTGGTCGCAAAACGGGACATTGATTGCCACATGTACCCAAGAGGTATGTACTCGTCTCCCCCTCCGTCGAATTAACTTGTACTAACCAGATAAAAGGGTGTTGTGCGATTAAAGCAGGACAAACCTCCACTGTCCAAGATCTAGACTAACATTATATAGTCGACCCTTCGTTTGTGAATATTCTTACCTTTCTCCGTACATATTTCAGCATAAAATTCTGTTACGCTCTGTTGCCTATCTATTTGACTTGATTTAAGACCGAATGCGGCGAGGACAGAATATGATAATATCGATTTACGAGTATGAAGCCATAAAGTTAACGTTAGACCAGCCCATTACTATGTGGAGAGGTCCTGGGCTATTGTATTGAGCCATATAAATAACCTAGGTCATACTTAGCTTGGTCCATTCAAAACTCGAACAACCTGATGGGTCAATTGCACACTATGATCATGTCAAATAAAAAGACTATGACAAAAAGATAGTCGCGCCCGGGATCGAACCGGGAACCTTCTGAGCATATAGAGTTATCATGTGAATCAGAAATCATGACCATTAGACCACGCGACTTTCTGATGTAATCCACCCCTATTTTCTGTACTATAACCTAAATTCTATCTTGGACATTATCATAAGTGCTTGTTTCAAACCTATTTTTCAGCCATGAAAAAGAAAAGATATAAGCTTCAGCTTTAATAGACAAGGGCTGTATAGCTGTAGTATCAGGGAAATTCCCCACCTCCAAATAAAGAAATAGGAATTCAAAAAATTAGTCGCGCCCGGGATCGAACCGGGAACCTTCTGAGCATATGGGACTATCATGTGAATCAGAAATCATGACCATTAGACCACGCGACTCTTATTATGTAATGTGTTCCGTATTTTTTACTAACAACATATGCTACTCTCCGTATTCGACATATGATCCATCATCACTTCCGCTTCGCCATAATAATATTAAGATACAAAATCAATAGTTGACTTTATTGGAAATATGAAGTCACTGTCCTGTGGGTACAAAAAGAAAAAAATTTCTTTTGAAAAAATATACGATTGATAAAAAATAGTCGCGCCCGGGATCGAACCGGGAACCTTCTGAGCATATGGAGCTATCATGTGAATCAGAAATCATGACCATTAGACCACGCGACTCTTGAATGAAAGTTTGCCCAAATTTGGCTATATGATGTATAACTAGTCCGCATCTGAGTTTAATGCATGTTCTATCTCATAGTCCCCAATTTCGTCTCCCAATTCACCTCTCTTATATATGTATTATTTATTGATCTACATCTATTCAATCTGTAAAGTATGGTAGTAAAAACATTAATCAATCATTAATTGTTTAGAATATCATATCATGCTATGTATGCCAAATACTTTTACATGCACAGATATATATGTAGAAAGCTTAATTAATATTCACATGTGTGCCCATCGACATCCCATGACATTTTGAAAAGTATTTGCCTGCATTCTAAGGTTGAATTAAACAACAAGCCTGAGGAATTCCTACATACATAAAGGTTAAAGGTTTGATTAAATACCTAGGTAATTTGTTTAATCTGTTATAACGTGGGAGTTCTCTGGATCAAAGGAAATCTTCCGCTTTGCCTCCCAGATTTTGTACGTCTTCAGCGGAGTCCACTTACGCCTCAGATGCTTGAGGTCGGAAATTTTAACACCGTAGCTTTTCCCAAGGCCTAGTAAGCACCGCTGGACGTAAAATTGAACTGCCGAGATGTCATGTTGAAAGCGTGACATTCTTGCCTGAGTGTCTATGCTTCCATCAATGAGGAAGTATTCAAAGAGTATGTCGGCATCTTCCAGCTGCAGGTTGATGATATGCTTATGCTGAAGTAGATAAGATACCAGTGCCGTCCTCTGATTCTCACGGACTTCAGCATTAGCCATTGCGAAAGATGTGGTCTGGTCAGCAGAGGTGCTCGCTTGGGTAGTGTTCAGCAGAGATTGGAGGCTATCTGCAGCAGCGAAGAGCTGTAGATTGTTTCCTGGTAACGCCAAGTCTGACAACTGAGAAATTGAAACGTTGCTGAGACGGAGGTCATCTAGATAGCGCAGTGCTGCAAACAGTTTGAGTAGATTTGAGCCTTCTTGTAAGTGAGACACCAGCATGTTCTCCTGCCAGCCGGGAAGTTGCACCTCAAGGAGCACTTTGAATTGGTCCTTCGACCACCCAGACAGTGTGGTTAGCATATCGACCAGACTGACGGGTTTATCCCGCCGTCTGAACCACTTAAGAAGCTCCAACACGGCTTTGCGATTTACCAGCCAAATTGATCGCGCAATAGGACATAATCACACACTTGAGCCAGAATTATCCGGGCGAGGGCTTGAAAATTGACTTGCTGGAAAAGCCGGTTTATCGTAGAGATATCTCCGGCCTGTACATCGCCGAAGAATTGGATCTCATCAAAATCAAGCTTGAGAACTTGCATCACGGTATGTTGCTCTATCGTTTTTGGAATGGAAGAAGCAGGATCGCGAACCACACTCTTCATATCCCGCAGTGCCCATCCAGCGTCCATCAGACGCTTCCAACTCATTATCGGTCCAAAGTACTGGAAGGACACTTGTAAAGGTCGCTCTCAATGAATGAGTGCGTCAATTCGGTGTACTGCTGCAAAGGTATGTTGAATATTTGGCTCACGGACGTAATTCGGTACATCTGTGAGAGACTAGCCATGGTGAGTGTCGAGTGTCCATTGAGATGTGCAGCTTTCAGAAGCTCTGAAAATTCTCTGGTATTCACATTCATCGCAACCATCAATTCATTGGCAACATTCTCAATAGAGACTTCGGTTTCAGGTCCAAGATAACGCCCCGCAGCGTCTTGGTGTCGGAACACACTATTAAAAAAATGGCATTGAGGGATCAAGAAGAGGCGAGCATAAAGAGACCCAGGTCCATTCGTGTCCATATCAGCCTAAAGAGGCAAGAGTCAAGCAATTTCTTGTTGGCAAAGCTCACTGAGTCGCTTGATGCTTGCAATTTCTTCGACCCAGGCCGCTGAGACACCTTCGCTAGAGCTTTCAGTACATCGTACAAGAGAACTGAGTGTGGCATCCAGCAGGTTGGTACTCCACCCTAGCTTCCGCCTGAGGCTCAGAAAAGCCTGTAAATCGTTGCAGACCTGCTGGGTCAAGGTTCCATGTGGGCTGATCCAAATGGAGCTGCAGAGACGCAATTTCGCCAGGTCACTGCAAAAGAATCGAGCCGCCATCTTCAGCAGTCAAGATGAGTCGACCCCCTATGAACTGCGTACGAAGGACTTCACTTCCGCGATATCTTGCAAGGATAAACCAGTGCATGGCATCAGCTCCCGTGGAACGTTAGTCAGACCATTAGAGGTGTCCATTTTCAGCATTTCTTCATCAGTGGCGGACCCCCATTAGCATGCCACTCCTTGATAGCGAGGACAATTGGAGGGGAACCCAGGGGGAAATGCGGATTGGTAAATTTCCGTCTCAAAGCGCTCGCCTGTGATGGCAATCAAATCCTCCTCTAGCAATCCCAGAGTCTCTGTGGCGATGGAGCGTCGTAGCACTTGATCTGCTAGACTTGCAAGATTCGTATTGGAGAAAGACTGATAGCTAGGCCATCTCTTGCGGATAATCTGATGGCAATTTCCCATTGCCACACGAGGATCCGCCAAGTTAGTGCCCATAACAGCTAGCAGATGCCTTGTGCGGTCCACTGCTCGATTGTAAGGGAAGACGGTCGCTGGGTAGACCGCCGCACTGATGGCTCGTTCATGGACCTGAGTTTTTACGTGATCTAGCAGTTGCAAGAACTGATCAGTGGCAGGAGAAGCGGCAATCGGGCTGAGCATACTGCGGTCGGCATGTTGACCAGGGAGCTTCGAATAGATATAGGCCTCCATAACTTCATTCACCAAGTCGATATAGGCTAGGGATACGTTGTTATTTGCGTGGGATAGGTCTAAATATTCTAAATCGGCACGGTGATCAAGAAGTTTGCTCAGGAAGGTTCCTCCATTCTCAAGCGTCACTTGTCCTAGGCTCTCCAGCAAGTCTGCGAGATACGCCGCGGGACCAGTTGATCGATTTGTGATCATCTGAAACGATATTTGTCGGTCGGGACTTCCCGCTATCCTGTATGAAAGTCAATATTGGTTCGAATAAGAAGATGTGATAGTTTGTCGATGTGGTGCTTGCCTGGCCTTGAAATGTCATAGTAGTAGGTCTGATGTTGTACAGAACCTTGGATGAGATGCTCGGGGATGGATCAAAGAAGAAAGTACTAAGATCAATAATCGGGGAACTCACGCTTGTATTGCATTGTTTGGCTTTCTGCTCCTAAGCCCTCGGCCTAAGTTGCCACAACTTGTGGTGCTGTTTGAGTCTCACGCGGGCCATAGTGGGGCTTGAGTTAAATAGGTCAACGTTGGCGATAAAGAGGTCGGAAGAAATATGTAAAAGACAAGCCACCCCAGTAACTACTCCTTCGATCAATTAGCAATCCCTAAATCCCCACTTGAGCTAGCGTGGGTTAGCGTGGAATCGCCTCGCCCGACAGTCTTGGGGCCCTAGCAGCTGTGGGGAAGGAAAATTCCATAGCCTGATGATTGCTGGGAAGGGAAAGATTGCAGTCAGTGACAAGGCTTATGAATTACAGATGAGTTCTGGGAGGTAGGAAAACAGATTGAGAAGTTGAAGTTGAAGTTGTTCTCATTGTAAACAAGAAGATCACGTCATATGAAAGTTGATAAGCGATAAGAGATAAACATAGTAGATCAAGGAACCATGTGGCTTCTATCGTTCCACGATAACAACATCCGTACCCCTCCCATCAGCAAGCACTTCAGCCTTAGGTCATTTATCTGCTTGAAATTCCCAAGAAGCAAAGTGCTCAATTGAGATTCATTGATCTGTAAGCTCAATAATTATAGCAATCTAATGGCTATATCATCCAATATGGCTGGGGACAAGACACGTCCGAGCAAAGGTTTGCGCTACTCCATCAACTCCAATGACACCTAAGTAACAGTCGCAGTATGGACAACTCTCATCACGAACATCGCCTATCTGCCGGGCCTTCTGACTCTGGACTACTCGCTCAAGAAAGTGGGCTCCAAGTATCCACTTGTGGCTCTGTACACAGATTCATTCTCGGCCGAGGGCCACAAGGCCTTGGATGCGCGCGGTATCCTCAAGCAGCATGTTCCCCAGCTGCTGCCATCCATACCAAGAGAATATAAAAATGACCCACGTTTCTATGACTGTTGGTCAAAACTTGCCTCGTTCTCCCTTGTGCAATACGACCGTCTGGTTCAGCTCGACAGCGATATGCTTGTTCTCAAAAACATGGATGAACTGATGGAATTCGAACTCGACCCGCCCTCTGCTGCCGGTAATGGCAATCGAGTCTTTGCAGCTAGTCCTGCTTGTGCTTGCAATCCGCTCAAGAAGTCCCACTATCCTTCAAATTGGTATGGGGAAATCTATTCTGTCAGTCTTGAAGTTTATATCCAGTCTAATCATCGACAGGATCCCGGCGAATTGTGCCTACACCACTCAACACTCCACCCCGGACATCGCACAAACTACTGGCCCGGGATCGGACGCTGGCTTGGGCATACTTAACGGCGGCCTTCTAGTCATAAACCCGTCGAAGGAAATCTACGACAAGATTGTGAACCAGCTCGCCACCCCGGCCACGTTAGAATATGATTTCCCGGATCAAAACCTCTTGGAAGATATCTTCCGCGGACGTTGGGTATCACTTCCGTACAGTTACAATGCGTTGAAGACTCTTCGGTGGGAGGGAGTGCACGATGCCATCTGGCGTGATGAGAGTGTGAAGAATGTGCACTACATCTTCAGTCCGAAGCCCTGGGATGAGTGGGCAGAAGGCAAGACGGCCCACAGCAAAGATGCATTGCATGCCTGGTGGTTTAATGTGAACGGAGAGAGGTTAAAAGAGGAGGAGGAGAAGGGCATCAAGGATGAATTGTGACCTGACTCGATGCGCTTATAATAGATCTTTACCTCTTCCATGAGCTTACATACACGATGTGTATTGAGGAACTACCTAGGTAGTCCTGGAAGTGGACATGTGTTGATAGCACCACTTTGTCATTTTCTATATACATATTTTGGACACATGCTATATCTTTCAACGCCTTATTGCAGCGCCGCAACCAGCTCATCGACGCTCTTCATTTGACGATCGTTGTTTTCACCCACATCAAGCGCCACCAAAAACCGACTCACACAGTTATATCCAGCAATACCAGTTGTCAGCTCAACAATCTCACGATCATTGAATCCAACATTCTGCAACTCGATGAAAACCTCCTGGTCAACCTTGACAGTCACAGTCATTTGATCGGTGTAGCGTAGCACCGCCCGTTGCTGGGGGGTAAGTGGGCTACTTTCCAATTGAGAGAGATCACCCTTTGCAGTCGACGGCAAAGTGCGGCAAGCATGTAGCTCTTCGGGCTTAATGCCACCCTTGAGTGCAAGCGGCGCATGGGCATTCCATTCGTAGACGGCATCGTTCAGTACAGCTACACGGCACACAGCCAACTCCAGGATACCAAGATCGACAATTGTGCGGGTGCGGATGGCACCAAGGAAGCTGTTCCAGCCATCGGCGACGGGTGGGCTGTGGAGGAGGGATAGATCGAGGGGGATCAATGGACGAGGGTTTCGGCGGGCGGCGATGCGGTTATAGATATCAGCCGTGTCGGCGGACGCATCGGCAGGTGGGGTATTGGGGGCGTAGGGGAGACGCATTGTGAAGGAACTTGAAGTTTTCCAAGGTTCAAATGTATAATGTATAAGGTTCAATGGTTCAAATGTTCAAATGTTCATTCAGTGATGGAAGGAATACTGAACGTGACGTGGGTTTGAACCGCGGGGCTTACCGAGTGGTTCCCACACGGCGGATAAGCCTTTTACCAGTACAAACAGAACAGAGTTGGGATAAATCTGTAGATGCAATGTTCCAATGTTGGTCTAAATTCATAATCTTGATCCAAAGACCAAAGATATTAATATGTTTTCTGAGATAGATAACTTTCTTGAACTGGTACCCAGGTATCAATTAAAATACATATTATCTCAGGTAATCCTAGCCTGAATTACATAGATATCCACTCAGCCAGAACCATATACTTCTACCATACTTTTATAGTCTAGGTAGAGTAAGGACTACATCCATTCTGTAGAGGAGGACAATTTCATGTGGAGAAAGAATTCCGGGGATTTTACAAAAATTGTTCTCCAATTTCCCCACCAATGACGTTCAAGGGATTCTAATGCGGCATTTGAACTTGCCTCGTTGGGCCTTCCAGTCGCCGTTCAATTGACACCCCCACACTTTTGTGGTCGGCGATTTCTCCGATAACTTGTCTTTCCTTTATAATTTCTTCCCTGGAGCATCCAACTGGCTCCAATGATACAAAATGGCAGTATTCGACGCAGCAGAAGGTATGCCATATTCTCCGTACTTCCTCCTGCGCCCATTTCTGACGTCAATCTAGTCGCAAAGCACAATACTCGCGAGAGCTGTTGGGTCGTCCTATATGGAAAGGTCTATGATGTGAGTCTTCGTTGCCCCTTATGGAACCTATGACCATAGCTGACCCTAGAATAGGTGACCGACTTCCTGTCAAGCCACCCCGGTGGTGCCAAGATTATTTTAAAGCTTGCAGGGAAGGATGCTACCGAGGAATATGATCCAATTCATCCTCCGGGTATTCTGGAGGAAGAACTCAAACCGGAGCAATGCCTCGGAACTGTGGATATGGGCACATTGCCCAAAGAAGCCCCGGTTGAGACACAGGAGCCCGCGCAAGGACCTCCCCCTATTGAAACCCTTCTCAATCTAGATGAGATCGAGGAGGTTGCCACCAAGCAAGTGAATAAGAAGGCATGGGCATACTACTGGTCCGGCGCCGATGACAAATTTTCCAAGAATTTCAACAACCAAGTCTATCGGTCAATTCTTCTCCGACCACGAGTGTTCAGAGACTGTGAGCGCTGCGACTTCTCCAGCACCGTGCTAGGTCATAAACTGGGAATGCCACTTTATGTGTCTCCTGCTGCCATGGCCCGTCTGGGCCACCCATCGGGCGAGGCAGGAATTGCAGAGGCCTGTCGCAGTTTTGGTGCCATGCAGATCATCTCCAATAATGCATCCATGACCCCGGAGCAGATCGTGAAGGATGCCGCCCCGGACCAAGTATTTGGATGGCAGCTCTATGTACAAATTGATCGAAAGAAGAGCGCGTCAATGTTGGCGCGTATCAACAAGCTAAAAGCAATCAAGTTTATTGTTCTGACGTTGGACGCTCCCGTCCCGGGAAAGCGGGAAGATGATGAACGAAACAGCATGGCGGGAGCGGCACCAAGTGGAGTGAAGGAGGCCGACAGGTCCAAAGGAACCCCTGATGTATCTGAAGCATCAGGAGGTGTGGGCAAGACTCTCTTTGCAGGCACAGACCCAACCTTGACCTGGCGAGAGACTTTGCCTTGGTTAGCCAGACACACAGATCTGCCCATTGTCCTCAAGGGTCTGCAAACACATGAAGATGCTTATCTCGCATCATTGCACACTCCACAAGTCAAGGGAATTATTCTCTCCAACCACGGTGGACGAGCATTAGATACAGCACCACCAGCGGTACACACCCTGCTAGAGATTCGGAAATACTGCCCCGAGGTTTTCGACAAGCTCGAGGTCTATGTGGATGGTGGAATCCGTCGTGGCACCGATATCGTCAAGGCGCTCTGTCTGGGTGCCAAAGCAGTGGGCATTGGACGTGCTGCTCTCTGGGGACTGGGAGCAGGTGGTGTGGACGGTGTCCGTCGGGTATTGCAGAGTATGTTATCTTGTCACCTTTCCTGAACCAAGTCTCATTCTAACCATCTCACAGTTCTGTCCGATGAAAGTCAGACATGCATGCGTCTGCTTGGAGTGGAAACAGTGGACGCTCTCGGACCTCAATACGTAAGTTCAAACTGTCCTGGTCTTTGTGACGAATCCTGACTTGAATCCCCAGATCAACACGCGCATGACTGAACAACAAATCTTTGACGGACCCTCGGGCCTGGAATCTTTACGACATGATTTCCGAGCGAAACTTTAGATGAGTAACATTTGCAATGTGAAGATCTGGTCTATTCGCTATGTAAACTTTTGTTTTCCGCATGTTAATACCATGAACAAGATTCGAGCGACTTATCTTCCCCTTTGGCGTACATTGCTGTAACTATTTGCAGGAACAAGAAAATGACAGATGAGTTCATAACTTCATATCCAACTGAAAACCCTTTACATAAAGTCGTCAAGGAAATCCGGGTCCCGGTCCTGGTTGCTGCTGCCCTCCATGTTCTCCTCACTGAAGATATCATCATATGCATGGTCCTTCTGCCACTTGAGTTGTTCGCGCTCCCTCTTCTCCTGCTTCTCCTTCTCCTTCAGCTGTTCACGAGCCTTCCGCTCGAGTTGGCGCTTCTTCTTCAGATATTCCTCCTTCTCGGCGCGGAAATCGGGGAACTTCTCGACACGGGTCTTGTTGAGTCGGTTGACGATCGGGTTCTCGCGTGCGCGCACGAGCACCTTGCGGACAAGCTTCGGGTTGTGGAACGAGACTTGTCCGGTAGCCATAGAGCCATCTTTCTGTAGGTTGGACCATGGTGTGTAGATGATTGTTATATTATCCTTCTTGTTTCCTATGCCCCATAATTAGTCTTAGCTTTAGCCGGGGACTGGAATTGTTCGCAAGGCATCGACTGACCCTCAATCGAATTGGCTTTGGTCAACTGTGCGCAATCCTCCAAAAGCTTCTCTGGGATCTGATCCCACGTTTCTCCATCCCGTAAGCGTACGTAGACGTGAGCGCTGGACAAGTTATCGACGTGGAACTAGACGGCTGTTAGAATGATCGCGTAGGGGATAGTTACGCAGGCACTCAAGAAGACCGACCCTATTGAGAGTTGTTAGTCTTTGGAGAGAAGGCAAATCAATAGCGAACACGTACCAGACATCTGACTCCAATCCAAACTCGATCAAGTCCTCATCTAGCGAAACTGTTAGGCGCATTCCTTTCGGACAGGTTTGTGGGTGGCATACTCTCGAACTTGTCCTTTCCAACGTAGATGAACGCAGGCGGACTGACAACGTTTGAGGTGAAGTAGTAGACCATCTTGGCGCTTCCTAGTGCCTCACACGTTCAACCTGTTGACCTTGGAGAATGTGACTCTTTTCGTGGGGGAAAGATTTACAGCTTAGTCATCACTATATACAAGCAAACATTCGCAAGTCGACGCTATCATGAACTTATAGCTCGAATGTTGACATTGTATTTATTCATTTTAGTGGCTTCTATTCCACTCAATACATTCATCAAAGGTCACTCCGGATCCACCAAAGATATCCAAGGCACTTCCAATGGTTAAATCCACTTTGCCCTTGCTGCTAACATGCACCTTTTCCAGATCTTGGATACTCCGAGCACCGCCAGCATAGGTGACGGGAATTGTGCACCATTCGGCCAGTCTGGAAACCAATTCTTCGTCTACGCCTTGCTGCAACCCCTCCACGTCTGCGGCGTGGATCAAAAACTCGGAGCAGTAAGGCTCCAGGAAGGCGATTGATTCTATCAATTCATCAGTACCCAATTCTCGTCATGGGGCTCTTGTGTCCTACCAGCGTTGATTTCCATCTCGGTAATTGTCTGCCAACGATCCATCGCGACAAACCAGGTGTTATCCTTCCGGCGACAACTTAGGTCCAAGACCAGCTTCGACTTGTCACCACCCAGTGCGGCAAGGACGGATTGGAGCCGTTCGAGCGAGAATTTGCCCGACGGGAAGAGGAATGATGTGATGATAACCTATTATGTTCAATTGAATCCGATTAGAGCTTGGAAGTTCGCTATAGATTGTCGCAATGCGGGGAACTTACCTTCTCTGCACCTTGATCAATCCAATATTGGGCATTCTGATCGGTAATGCCACCGGCAACTTGCAATCCGTTTTTCCATGTACTCAATGACTCTTTCGCTGCCTCATCATTGCCCGGGCCAAGCTTCACCACATGTCCTCCACGCAGATTGTGCCTCTGGTATAAATCCGCATAGTGGCTGGCCGGAAGCTTGGATACGTAGTTGGTCTTGAGATCCTCAGCCACATCGCTGAGGGTACCGCCAACAATCTGTTTGACCTGCCCCGAGTGCAGGTCAATGCAAGGTCTGAATTTAGTCATTGTCGCAAAGTAGTAGAAGACGAAATGTGGATTTCATCACTCGACGAGGGGCTTATCGTGTTATCGCACGTGATCCAGAGCTTCATCGGAATGGGTTTCTCCAATCATTGACATGGGATCACTATGGTTATAACTCCATGTACCTATGAAGATTGCTCAAAATTTCACAAATAAAGATATTTCATAAGCCAATAATGGATTGTACGTGATACCAGAACCCCCCTGTAACCAAGTGCTCGGTAAGCATCACGTGGGGGCGGGGAAGCCGTCATTGATCTCCGCAGACCCCGAACCATTTGCCGTCAACATCCACTCATCACTTCAATCACGCAGACTCTCTATCCCATACATTATGGCCGCTCCTGGTAATTTTACCTCCCCCGCATTACATCTTTTTGAACTGAACTAATTCGCATGTAAATTTCCAGGAGATTCCGCACCACAGGCCGAAGTGTTTGTCTCCCCAACCATTAGCTTCCGAGCTCAATCCCAACTGACTCAATCACAAACAGAATGTCGATCGCCTCCCCAATCAACCTCATCCTCCTCTCACTTTTCGTCGTGTTGGTCTACTTCCACTTCCGCCCCAAGCAGGCCGTCGAGCTCCCGCGCGGGCCGCCCCCAACGGTCTTCCGTGTATACACCCCCAAGACTCTGATCGAGTTCAACGGCGAGAATGATCGGCCTGTCTACCTCGCTGTGCGTGGTCGCGTATTTGACGTGAGCCCTGGTCGGAACTTCTACGGACCGGTACGTTGGTTGTGATAAGAGGTCTTTGCATTGATAAGCTGACAGTGATGTATTTAGGGCGGTCCCTACGAGAACTTTGCGGGCCGTGATGCGTCCCGTGGACTGGCACACCAGAGTTTCGATGAGGAAATGCTGACCAAAGATCTATCGGCCCCGCTGGATGACCTGAAGGACCTGGATGCGGATCAGCTGGAGAACCTCCAGTCATGGGAGGACCGGTTCTCCGAGAAGTACTTGGTTGTTGGCAAGCTGGTTGCTGAAGGTGATCCCGAAGCCGCGAAGTCTTAATCAACAAGCTCATGCCCTTAGTTGGGCTGTGAAACACAAAAATAAGTGGATATAAGCACAATGTCCGGTTTTACTTTCGGGGATTCATTTGCATTACAGTGATCCAAGAATTATCTCCGCGTTAGAGCGCTCAAGTACATTGAGATCATTGCTTTCGAGAAACAATCCTCACTCTAAACCAAACTTTCAGACATAAACGCTTGCATGTCTAATACATATAATGGCTGTAAGTAGATGATCATCTATAGACCAACTGGCTAGACGGGCGCTTATATAATCATCCTAGCTACTGGCCGAAGTCGCTTGGGCTCGACCTCGGACCGAAGCATATACTCCGAACAGTAATATTTAACAAGTTGGCGAATCTGATGATAAATTTCTTCTTTGAAGTTATCCTATGTATGGGATTATATATTGCTAAGTCTAGGGAAATGCCACGTTCATAAAGCGACCGTTTCTAGCCAGACGGCACGATTCGGCGCTAACTGGACCATGATAGTCTTCACATGGCTCCCAGCTTTCTTTGGATTTATGCTCAAACTACTACGGAGTATAATTATTAAGTTCCATACCGAGCACGGAGTATGGAGTATAATTAGCCATAAAAGTAGAATTAAATGAGCTTGACGATCATAACTATATACATACAGCCGCACTCGGCGAGCCGGATGAGCGGGGAATTGGCAATCACACTCATTATGATTGGTTGAATGTAGATCCCTGGGCCTCGGGTAGGCGGTTTTCGGCGTTTCCTGTGAGAAACCCAAAAAGCTACTCTACTCGGCTATTGAAGGTTGAAGATTGGCACTTTAAGCTTTGTGATTGAATCTTCGATGGGTAATGATCTTTTCCTATAGCTAATTTCGTTGTTCTCTCGACAAAACCTTCCCGCCCACTTCCCTAATTCTTTGCGCCCGCGATGGCGTCCAAGAGCGCCATCTTGCCTCTGCTGAGGCGTGAGATGCGATCATCTATGCGGATTGCACGAGCTACTCCCTCCGTCTCCTCCGCGCTCTCTTCCGCTCGTCCCGCTCGTCCCTTCTCCCGTGTTGTCCGAACCACATTCGCCTATCCCCAGACGCGTGCATTTTCCCAGTCAGTAGTACGGAGTTTTACTGATGAGAATGGCAACTTTGATCCCCGGAAGTTGGACCGCGAGTCCGACGAGGTGGACGTGTGTATTGTGGGTGGTGGTATGTTCAGGGCGATCCTTCACATGCCGTGGGTCACATGGCAATTCCATCCCAATCTAACGAATTTCATTGCTCTTTAGGTCCCGCCGGTCTTGCTGCTGCTATCAAATTGAAACAACTCGCCAATGAAGCCGGCAATGAGGATTTCCGCGTCATTCTGTTGGAGAAGGCTGGTGAGATTGGTTCCCATATCGTGTCCGGCAATGTCCTTCAGCCGACCGCCATGAACGAGCTCTTCCCGGACTGGCTGTCCGAAGACAACCCGTCGCGCTTTACTGGCGCAACCCCAGCAAAGAGCGACAAGATGCGATTCCTCACCAAAAACGGCTCATACCCGCTCCCGACCCCGCCGCAGATGCACAACGAAGGCAATTACATCATCAGTTTGAGCGAGTTGACGCAGTGGATGGCTGAGCGAGCAGAGGAGGTTGGAGTGGAGGTCTACCCCGGTTTCGGCGCCAGTGAAATGGTCTACAGGTCAGATGGGTCCGTGAAGGGTGTGGCTACCAATGATCTCGGTCTGAACCGCGAAGGCAAAGCCAAGGATACCTTTGAACGGGGAATGGAGTTCCACGCACGAGTCACACTTCTCGCAGAAGGTTGCCACGGAAGTTTGACAAAGCAAGTGATTAAGAAGTACGACCTGCGCCGGAACAGCGACCCCCAAACATATGGCCTGGGCATTAAGGAAATCTGGGAAGTCCAGCCAGAGAAGTTCCGCTCTGGAGAGATCACCCACTCTATGGGATACCCGCTGCCAAAGGACACATACGGCGGTGCTTGGATGTACCACTTCGGCGACAACATGGTCAGCATTGGCCTTGTGGTTGGTTTGGACTATCCCAACCCTTGGCTTTCACCGTACGGTGAGTTCCAGAAGATGAAGCACCACCCCATGTTCAAGGATGTGCTCGAGGGCGGCAAGTGCATCTCATACGGTGCCCGCGCTCTCAACGAAGGTGGTTTCCAGTCCATCCCCAAGTGCGCGTTTCCAGGAGGTGCCCTGATCGGTGATACCGCGGGATTCCTCAACGTCCCCAAGATCAAAGGTACACACACCGCCATGAAGTCGGGTATGCTTGCCGCCGAGGCAGCATTTTCCGCTCTCAAGGGCGAAGACAAGGGCACAGTCTTCCTATTCGACTACGAGAAAGCACTCCGCGATTCCTCCATCTGGAAGGAGCTATACGAAGTGCGCAACATTCGGCCTTCCTTCAACACACCCCTTGGTTTCTTCGGTGGACTTCTCTACTCCGGACTGGAAGCCTACGTGTTCAAGGGCCGCGTCCCATGGACCCTCAACCACCATGGCACCGATGCCGAGGCTACCAAGCTCGCCTCGCAATACAAAAAGATCGACTACCCCAAGCCCGACGGCAAGATCAGCTTCGACATCTTAACCAGCGTGAGCCGCACGGGCACCAACCACGAAGAGGACCAGCCTGTACACCTCCAAGTGGAGGACTGGGACAAGCACACAGACCTAGCATGGCCCGCTTACAAGGGCATCGAGAACCGATTCTGCCCTGCCGGAGTGTACGAGTATGTCGAGGACCCCAGCAAGAAGCACGGGGTCCGATTCCAAATCAACTCCCAGAAGTAAGTTTTCCCCTCCATTGAATTTGATCTGGATCTATCTCTAACTGGAATCTAGCTGTATCCACTGCAAGACATGCGATATCAAGGTCCCTACTCAGGATATTAACTGGCAAACCCCTCAGGGTGGAGAGGGTCCCAAGTATATCATGACTTAAGTTAGTTCGGGAGGAGTTTTAGGATCCTGGTGCATTGGAGCCCGGGGTTGTCCATATTTACTGTACATATCCAAGAATACCAAAAGAGAGCGTTCAACTGTTACATCTTCTTTCAGAGGGATTTGTAGACCTCGGAGATATAAGAATAACCAAGGACATGACTCTAGCCATCACTTTGACACAAGGGCAGTTACTTTAAGTTGCTACACTTACTGACTTTGTCTCAAATTGTACATTGAATCATCGGTCAAAGGATAAAATGCTTGCATTGCTATCGCAAATATAGCTGGGTAACAATATGCTAGCAATATCATGATCATGACCATCGTGGACTGTACCGAACGTGTTTTAAAAAAAACATAAAAAGAAAGAAAATAATTGAAACGGCCCACTTTAATCTTCTTCATCGGATTCATGCGCAGTCCATCGTCGAGAGTTCCGCATCTTAGCAGCCTTCTTCGCACCCTGTCGATCAACTCCATGACTGTGATCCGTGTTCCGCAGCATCACGGGCAAATTGTTCAGAACAGCACGGTTGCCCTGGTAATAGTGCTCAGTGAACCCTCCCTGCAAAGTTCGGCGCAGTGCCGTCAGACGAGTCCACTTCCACCACCGATCAATACTCATGATGCCGTGCCGACCAATCTTGACCGACAAAGTGCTACCGTAGTGTTGGTTCGTGTCCTGGTTGATGGCCATATTGTAACGAGGTCCACGACGAGGGTTCTCCACTGTAGTGAGAATTGAGGCAAAGCTGCTGTGAAGGGACTTCTTGTCGCGCTTGCTGATTTGTTTCGAGTGGATATGCGCCAGATTTTGCAATTGGCGCTCTAGTTCGGGAGTGTTGTGGTAGGCGTTGTAACGTTTGACGAGCTTCGGCCCGCTCGAGGCGGTTTCGTGCTCGTCACTCTCTTCAGAGTCTTCGTCTTCGTCATCGTCATCTTCTTGAGGTGTATAGCTCTTCTCGTAAAGCAAAGCGATGTTCTCTCCCGCGGCTATCTGTACTGCGGAATCGCTGCTGTCTAGCTGGTCCATGAAGATTTGCACTGCTTCCTCGCTTTCGTCTTCGAAGTCGTCAATCTCGGTTACCAGGAATCCCCAAGCCTGTAAAGCCGCCGTCACGCTGACTGGATCATCTGCTGCATTGATCGAGTTCCCATCAGAGGCGACAATATCCAGCAAAAAGGTCATTTGGTCTAGGATTCCATCTTCACCTGCACCACCGAAGATAGTGCACGCGGCGAGAGACTGAATTGCTGCGGCTTTAACGGCGTTGGAAGAGGAGTCCCGAATGGTTCGAGATAAAAATGGCTCGATATTTTCATAGATCTTGTCGTCGCTGGCCGTGATGGCAAGGAGTTCAATCGCTCGCAGCGCCAGTGTCATCTCTCGAATGCTAGAGTCTGAACGCGCGCTCTTCGAGAAAGCACCCAGCAGATCCACGACCGATGCGTAGACTTCCTCCACCGCATAATGATATTTTGTAAGTCTGCAGAAAGCCGCCAGGGCCTCCTCACGACCCTGCACACTGGAACGCTTGCGATCGAGGATTTCTTGGATCCGATCGGCCAGTTCCTGGGGCCAGTCGATATTGTCTTGCTCGGGATTCTCGTCATCAATCGAGCCGATACTATACGGATCATTCAGTCAGTGAAATGCTCTATTCATATGTCAAAGAGAAAAAAACCCTCGTCAGCAGTGACATCATCCCGCCACGAAGTGGAACTGTGGGGATGACTTGAAATGCGCACAGACGAGAAAAAAAGATGAAATAAGAAAAAAAAAGAACGATGGAAAAGTGCTGAAAGGCGCTTACCTCATGGCAGTTTCATCAGAAAGATACCCTGCATCCTCCTCGTCGGAGGGCTGCCTGCTCGCAGCTCGCGAAGACTGGCGTGAAGTCGGCTTGGAACTAGCGCGAGAGGTGGCTCTCGAGGCCTCACGAGATGCTGCTTTGCGAGAAACGGTCTTGCCGCTCTCAAAGATCTGGCGACGAAGATCAGGCATAATGGAGGGGTTTGGTTAAAGAAGGGTGTGAGAAAAGATAATTTGCTCTTAGTTTGGTGAAAAATGAAAAGAAAAGGTTTAACCTATGGGAATAGAACTTTGATAAAATGAGATCTCAAGGTTTAGAAGATAAAATAGCATATCGTCTTGCAGGACAAAGATGGATAAAATTCTTTACAAGAAGTTGAATGATGAAGGGCAAAGACTGCGACGTCATGGGACGAATCGGATGAGTAATTGTGGGCACGGGACTGGATCTTGAATGTCTGATCCCTGATTATTTAGGCCACAATTACTGCCCGCATCTCTGCCCAGGTGCGTCGTGTATGATTACTCGTTTTTACTACATAAATCCTCTATATAATTATCAGGAAATGAACATTTGAATATGATAAGGTCATCGCTGAAATTGGCTGAACGCGAGTTTGAAACGCTAGAATCACCTTAACCAGGCTTGAGCACCAAAATGCATATCTATACTTCGCAAGGGTATCACGTTTTTTCCAATGAATGCAGGGTTGCATCATCCACTGTCTTCCAAGGGGGTTTCCATCTTATTTTTTTTTTAAATTGGTGCCATTTTCGCCAATTCTGTAATGGTGGCTAGCAGTCTCCGACGCGCATCAAACTCCGTCGCTTCGTCGCGAACTCGATAATATTGTAAAGTGACTTGTGACACCAGTCGGTAACATGAATACCTGTGGAAGAGAAATCGTCAGCATTTAGAGAAATAAGCAGCATTAACCAGTCCACACTAACATTAACAAACGGATCTCCTCTCCCTTTGTTCTGGATAATGGTAGGCCTGCTCCTTCCAGAACTGCAGGAGTGGGATCCTCAAATATCTCTGCCATCAACACGTCTCCCCAGAAAGCACTGCTGAAATCTACCACCCCAGACAGTTGATGGGATTGTTCGTCCAGCAAGACATGACATGGTCGGCCAAAGCCAACAACCGCAAGACGGGGCATAGTCACCTCGCCAAGGGCACTAGATAGACGGGATATTTCTTGACGGATTTCGGCATAGGGAAGGTGAATGAAGATATCCTCGGCGTCACGGAGAATACTTTCAAAGAGACCACAGAATGCCTCTCTCCAGGAGCGTTTCCCAGCGTTCATAGCGACTTGTTGCAGAGATCCAAAGCTGGGGGCCACAATTTGGCCGATAGTGCTAGCCAGGAATCCTAGGTGACGGTCGATATCGTGTCGTTGCTGGGTGGTAATATGATTTTTCATTTCCGTCAGACTGCTTCCTCTGATATATTGTCGTATTAAATAGGCAGAACCAAGAAGAGCCCCTCGCGGATCGTAATGATAGAGTTGCGGGATGCAGGGGTTGGCACTTTGGCCTAGGAGTACAAGGAAACGGGCCTCGGTCTCAAGAAAAAACCGCTCGTGCCGTAAGAGGGGGGTTCCGGGAAGAGGTGAGCCCTTGAGAAGGAGTCGACTTCCATTTGAGAGGGTGAGGAGCCGTAGCGTATGAACCCGAGCATTGATATTCTGCGACTGTTGCACTTGAACTGTAGAGGGGAACAGCAAGGAGAGGATATCATTCAATCTTTGGTATTCATCAATATCGCCTGGCCTTTGAATGTGAGGAGCGCCCATGTTGGATCTTCTTGAAGATAAAATAGTAGGATGAGTAGCCATATTGGACAGATGCATTTTGATATGTAGTAGTTCACAACGAGAGACCCTGGACTTGGCACATGAGTGAGAACCAGGCCTCTCACTCCGAGGAGAAAGAGACTCGGGTTCAGTGTCGCTTATCACGAGAGAAATCCACAGTCATAGTCGAAGAGCAAACAGGGATCCACTAGACCGGCATCTCGTGGCAGGCCCACGTAACCCTCTTGATTTTCAGGGAAAGTAGCCACGGGCCGTTCTCCAACTTGACAGTCCGACATGCCCCAGTAGGTTAAGGTACGCGAAATACGGGAAGGTGGAGGACTTGGCTTCCAAAGTTCGAGAAGACGGGGACGGCGCTGATTCGCCAATCTTAGTCGCAAGCGAGTGATCGGCCATTACAACCTCAAGGCCAAGCAAAGTCGGTCATAGCCTGTAGAGTACATAAGAACCATGGAATGTTTAGCGAATCAGAAGGAGCAAAAAGCGTAAAAAGTAAAGAAAGATAAAGCAGGCCGAGAACTCTCGCGTAAGGATCCCGCTCTCAGCGATGCAGGCATCTGAGCCCCGGAGTGTCCACCAATCAGAGTTGCGTCTTGCCGAATCCCTCCCGGGTGGGGGCTACCCGTGCGGAGCTAACCAAGGCATCACACCGTCCCTGGAAACTGTAGTTAGCCATGGTTCAATATTCAATGTAACCTAGGGGGCAAACTTATAAGAAAAAAAGGCCGCTTCCCTCCACCGAAGTAGGGGAAACGGCAGGTCACCCAGCACCCACCCGACTCAGAAACGCTACCAACCAAATTTCATCCAATGCCCGATTTCCAACAATCTACCAGTCCTACCTTAACAGCAAGAAATTTGTTATGATTTTCATCGGTCGCTTCATTCGATCCGTTAAAGAGACTGGGTTGTAAGCATACCGCACCAGAAGGTAGCATGGACAAGCCAAAACTTTGATCCTCACTCGAGAGAGGTCCCATGCTATCCACTGGATCGTGCGTTATGCCGCAACCACAATCGGAAGGTCAGGATTGAAGAAGGTTGAAGAAACAGAGAGGAAAGTATACAAAAGATCAAGCCATAAGAACTGTGATTGGTTGGAAAAGCGATGGACTTGGCGAAATAGTTCATATACGATTAGTATCAGGGCGAGGCTAAGTGTGTACGACTCGCATATCCTAATCCCGGCACAGTTGAGGATAAAATCAAGATTGGGTGGGGGCGTAATATAATTGATCGAATTGGGTGATGGAAAAATCGCTCCTCGGGTTTGATGAATTCGCAAAGATGAAAACCCTCTGCCGTCAAGCCAGTCTCTTGTGTGTGATACAGAACCATCGGGGACAAGTTTTTGTTTCCTTTCCAACGAGGGAAGGCGAGGTATTGAAGCGCACAAAGAACATCCTGAAAAAAATCGCTTCCTTCTCCCGTCGGGAGGAACAATGAGCGGAGCTCGTTGTTGGAATAGTCGTCGCCCATCGATCAATTTGCAAAGTACATTGCAAAGAGATGGTTGACACGGTTGGTCAGGATCTCTCAGTGAAAGTAGAATCAGGTGGGCTGGTGCCGAGATTCCAGGCACGTAGTGGCCCTTGGGCCAGGAGCGGATCAAAGAGGTGAAAAGCAGGGGCAGATACCCAGATACCTCCTTCGTAAGAGTACGTACGGGATGGCTGATGGTAGACAACGTCGAAGAGAACACACGGAGGACGAACTCGAAAAACATTCAACTATCATGGGAAGAAACATTGCCATCCGGAGCGTGCCAACGGTCTAGAATGTTTGAAGTGGTGAGCAACAAACAGCTTTCACGACAGACAAAATAGAATGGCCTCGCGACGACCCTGACTGTGAAAATTGCCTGGGCAGATTCAGGGAGACGAGGATAGATTCCGACGAGTGGACCATGGTAAATTGCTGCCCGTGAGGCGTGTGTGATAGAACCCGTCGTGCTCTAGCGCCGAATCTCTGAACCACTCTAGAAGGATGCCCATGGATGTTCGAATCGAAACGCCGCTTGAATCCATCGTTACTCGCTACGCAGTCGTTGATGCCCCCAAAGACAGCCTCTCATGCCGAGGCGTCCGACGTGCTCCACCTGCTTTTTCTCCTTGAAGTCCGTCCTCAACATACGTTGGCCATCCAATTGTAACCTGCATACTGACCCGAGTAGCAAACTGACGCCTGGCTCTTGGAGCTCTGACATAGTAGGTTTCTGGACAGATGAACCGAGTTCACTTTCACAGTCTTTCTGTCAAGATCGACATGCTGGTCGTGAGTTCGGCATGCATTTCCCGCGAAACTTGTCTCGAAAGACACGACTGAGTTGCTGGTTAGGGTGGTTGACCCCAACTGCCCACCGTAGTAGAACAGTTGGATCAAAAGAGGGTTTGGCTGTATAAAGTGCCTCGGAAGGCAGGAGACTGGACGGCTTGACGCGAGACAATTCCTGGACGACGACGCGTATCAACAAACCCTTGGTTGGGCGAGAGTTCCTGGGGAATCATAATTCAAGCTGATCATTTCATTGTCCAAGACCTTCATGATAAAATTACCTAGACTGTGTAGGGGGGAGTCGGATGAGACGAGCGTTTCTGAAGAGAAAAAGAGAAGGTAGTTGTTGCATGGCTAAACAAGACACCAATTGAACGCGTGATCACGTGATCCCTTACATAACCAGGAGTCCATAAGAACCAACTACGTTGAATAACATCTACTTGCCTCTCACATTGACATCAATTTCATTTAATCTTAGAAGCCTCTTGAAACTCAGTGATGCAAGTCATACATAACGATGCAAGTCATACATAACCTGAACTGTAACACTCAGTCTGATTTCAATTTCACTTCGCCAAGAGCGACCGATGTTCGCTGATTTTAGCTGACGGCAGCCGCAATAGTGCACCGCGAGGTCACTTTTAATAATGTTTTAGTTAAGAATTCAATTTCCAAAATTATAACTAGATCTTTATTTTTCCCTGAAGCGCTGACGGCATGGTATGTATAGTGGCGCAATCGCATTGAATCTATTGATCTATAGCCAATCTGATCAGATTTGATTTCCAAAAGATCGTCAATCTTAAAACCTGCCTAACGATTATCCACTGGATGTATTTTCAATTACGAATATGGAAGATCCATTTGTCAAGCAATACTTAAATTGCATAGCCACAACCTTAGAACCCCCATCGCCAAGCTCTGAGGCCACACGAAACTTCGGGGGATAACAGAAGTTCAAGGATATGGATAGCGCTATCCCCGGAGTGATGAATGTATTCCGTCTTTTTTATTTCCAAAGAACATAAGGATTGTGGCTTGTAAAATTCAGGTCTACTTCTCTATCACACCCGTTCCAGAACTTCTCCAGGAAATCTGCCAGCAGGTGTGGGGTGCAACATGGGCCGCCACCTAATGTTTGCAAGCGAAGCCCGCTGGAGATCCTCCCAGAGGATTGGTAATCTGTCATACTTGATGCGGCATCTCAAGTGCTACCGTTTTCAGAATGTGCTTGCTTGAGTTAGTGTCGGTCACACCAATCCAATCAGCGCTGGAGCAATTTGTATAACTCTAGTACGAGGTCGAACCTTGAAATCTGGAGTACAAGGAATTCACGGTTGATATGGAGACTGGTCTATTGATTGAAGGCTTCTGTGTAACCAGAGCCGTGGGATCAACCGTAACAACATTTTGAACGTATTTAGGCCGTGATCTTCCCTCCAACAAGACAATAAAATCAATCATACGTCTTAAGATGATGAAAGTCTATCTATGTTCCTGGTTTCCTTGGATCATGGCCGTGGTGGCTCAATTCCAAACCTTTACTCCGCTGGGCTCGAACGGACTCACCTATAGTATCCATATTCCCGCTGCCACTGCCATCTCCAAAACCGGGCCCATATATTTTCAAATGAATTCCACTCGCCGGATAGAGTGGTTTGCGTTGGGCCAGGGAGACCATATGGCGGGGGCCAACATGTTCGTGGCTTATACATATGGCGATAATGTGACGGTTTCCCCACGGTCCAGTACGGGACATACCCAGCCCCTGTATAACCCTGCGGCGCAGATTACGGTCATGAATGATAGCGGGGTCCACGGGTCTATGATAACGGCAAATATCAGGTGTGACAGCTGTATCAATTGGGGGTCTGGCAGCATGAATATGACTAGCTCGAGCAGTTCATGGATCTGGGCAGTTCGATATGGGATGCCGCTGAAATCACGTAGTTTGTCGGCAAACATTCTTATGCATGATGTGTTGGGCGTTGAAACAGTGGAATTGATGAAAGCCACCGGAGAGACCAGCGTGAATCCCTTTGCCGACATCGTCAGCACCAGCGCTAATGCCAATGCCGACTATCCATTTCCAGAGGCTGTCTTTCATGGGAAAAAAATTGCTCATGGGGTGCTCATGGTGGTTGCCTTTATCATCCTGTTCCCTTTTTCCGCGCTACTTCTTCATCTGTCTTCGGCATCCAACACTGTGACTATTCACGGGGGTCTACAGCTGTTTGCACTTGTTGTTTCCATCGCAGGACTTGGTCTGGGAGTCTCAATGGCCCAGCAAATCCACAACTTAGTGCACTACCATATTATCATTGGGATCGTGGTGATTGCCGGATTGGTTCTATTCCAGCCTGCCATGGGCCTCCTACAGCATCGGTTCTTTCGTAAAACTGGCGGAAAGGGGCCTTTCGCCTACATACACCGCTGGTTTGGGCGGATCATGATCGTTCTGGGAGTGATTAATGTCGGACTGGGATTTCAATTCACGGGCGTCGGTGACCCTGATGCTCCTCGGGGTGCTGTCATTGCAGTTGCGGTGATTGCTGGAGTGGTTGACGTGTTTTATATTCTGACATTAGGATATGTGAACATGGTACGACGACGAGGAGCATCAGCCCAGAGAGAATAAAAACCACCTCTTATCGCCTAAAGCAAGTCTATTTCGCACGCAACGCTACAAGGATTGGTACGAGGAAGGTAGTACTTGAAAGTCAGCCTATGAGAATCAATTTTTTGTGGTTCTTTCGAACAATTTCAATACCTGTGACGAAGCATGATCCTGGTCTACTTCTGGCCCGCCATAGGCTTCGATTACTGCTACACCTGCATCATGCGTATTATATGAATCAAAAAGTAACAGATCAATTGCAGATGAAAAGGGTCATCCGTTATATACTACCTGGGATTCCCAAATGTGGCCAAAATGGCTTCGATCAGGGAGGTAACAACCTTTGTGGGCCAAGTGGCAGTCAATATGTGAAAGTAAAGAACGTTGGCACGCTCGCAAATATTGGAAGTTTCCAGTTCAAAGTGAACAATCAATGCAAGCATACGGAAGCCATCGGGATTTCTTCCCAAATTCATATGTATACTGGTAGACCCAAGCCCAAGATGCAGGGGAATTACTACCTAAACAATTCGAAGCCGACTATCCACCCATTGTTAGCGAAACAAATTCCTCTACCTATCGCTCTCGTCAGTGGTGCCGAATCTTCAACTATTTCGAATCACGTCGACTTGGCATTGAGAAATATATGTTGTCTGCAGAGAAGGACTGATAATTTAAAAGTACAAAAGGTTCAAATCCGAGAGGATCAGCATGTATTTGAAGAATTTACGTACTCTTGCCAGCCCAAGGACAGGGGCAAAACAATACCGGGCCTTCGTGGCATGTAGATTACTTACATGATTCCCAAGAATATTCTCTTTGTGATTCCCCTTCCGCCTGAAGAATCAGGCATGAGTAAGGGGTACCAGTAGTAATCTCAAGACAACCTAGAATCAGCATTACTGTATCATTCGGAGTAAACGGCCCGGCGTATCGAAGCTTGTCATAAATGATAAGATAAATATTCAAGGCGACCGGTGAGAGTTTACCAGGGTAATCACCACATGGTAGGCATTCTGCCAAGAATTCTCTCCGATATTCGGTGATCACGGCTTGGCATTTGCTGGATATTTTTACTTCAATTCAACATTTTGGACGGAATGGCGTTGCAGATTTATTCAGGAGATCCCGCATCCTGCGTACTGCTGGTCATCTGTTGTCTTCCCATAATTATACTATGCTATCATTCTCAACGCCAAATCCGTCCGAAGGGATGTCGACGGCTCGGTCTTCCACCGGGTAAAAGCAATCTGCATGATGAATTCGACCCCAAATATAACTCTGGCGTCTCACCAACAGACAAAAATGGATATATCCCGGCCTGGCGTGTCAAGGCCCTCTTCACCTACCCACTGAAATCATGTGGAGGTATCGAGCTTCACACATCCAACATCGTTGCTACAGGCCTCAAATTCGATCGCCAATTTGTCTTCGCCGAGCGATCCGCTGACGCTTGCACTGTCCGTACACTTCGAAATGCCGGTTTCCAACGACTGGCTCTTATTCAGCCAGAGATATGGTTGCCCGACCCTTCTGCTCGAGATTACCATCCATCCCTCCCTGAAGTCAAATCGCAGGGAGTAATGGTCATATCCTATCCTCAACCTCTGCCAAAAGGTCATCTGAAAATCTTTGCAAAAATTGGAATGGCAATTGGTATCCTCCGATCCAGAGCCTGGTTTCAAGTCCCTCTTTCCCCACCAGAAGACTCAATGTCAAAGTATCCCCTTCGACCGGTTACGATCTGGAAAGACAAACCACTGGCAATGGATTTCAGCGACTTTATTCCACCATCGCTGCACGCCTATCTAGGCTTCAACCCGTCAAATTCTCCTCTCACATTCCTCAGAGCAAGTCCCGCTCACACCCGACATATTTTCCGAAACGCGCCCCGCAAAGAAACCCTAGGCTTCCAGCCGAATACTGCCTTCGCAGACGCGTATCCCATCCATTTACTCAGCCTCTCAAGTCACAGGGATGTGGCTGCTCGCTGCGCCTACGCAATCCCGAAATTGAGCATCGTCCGATTTCGGGCAAACATCATCATTCAAGGACCCAGTGCCTTTGCAGAAGATCATTGGAAACGAATCTCGATTGGTGGTGTTGAGATCCACGCTGCTTGTCGGACAGTGCGGTGTAGATTACCAAATGTGGACCCTGTCACAGGGGCGAGGCATCCTGCGGAGCCGGATCGCGCGCTGAAGTCTTATCGAAAAATCGATGATGGGGATCGCACTAATGCGTGTCTCGGAATGCAGCTTGTACCTACCATTGAGGAGTTTGTTATGAACGTTGGTGATGAGGTTAAGGTGTTGGAGATTGGTGAGCATCGGTATATTAAGATGTTGGCGCCTGGGGAGAAGGTTGAGGGAGTGTAGATTTCATGTCTGGATCTTTTGTAGAACATACTATCAATTGTATCATAGAATCAAACCAAAGCCATCATGACTCAGAAGCTTGGGATTTTAATATATGTAGAATTAAGTTTGAATTCTCAATAGAACTGGCTGACTAGTCAGACTCAAAAGCTGGTATGTTTTGAATCAGATCAGTCAAGTGCGTCTTATATCCACGCACCTGCATCCTTCCGTCACAAACTAACGTTTCGCCCCTTCCATTTTCTTTCATTGACATTCACATCCAATAGCAGCCGCAAACATGCCTTTCAATGAGAGCAAAATCGAGATTGATGCCCCTCCAGCTAAAGTGCGCGAAATTGTAGGTAACTACCGCTTCCAAGCAAAAACAACGCTTACCATGTCAGCTCCTCAACTTCTCCACTTACCCAGAATGGCATACGAAGTGGATTAAATCCATTGAGACCCAAGAAAAAGACAAGACGCCCGAGTCCCTCACCACAGGAGATAAAGTCCAAGTGAATATCGAAGGATATAAGTTCGTTGCCGATGTCGTGGTATGTGCTCATGAAGATATCACATCACCTCTACTCACACTATGATAGGAAAATAATGAGACTCTCTTTTCCTGGCAGGGCCCACCTGTGTTCACCATTGCCGGCCTACACAAGTTCCATATCGAGCCAACGGAGGATGGTGCGGGAACTATCTTCACGCAGTCACAAACATCCAAGGGATTCATGTCTTTTCTCTTCAGTCCATTGATAATGGGAAAGAAGCTGCGAGCCGATTATGCAGTCTTTAATCGTGACTTGAAAGCTCGGGCGGAGGCTTCCACCTAAATTTGGCGTAGGGATCTGCAAACCTGTTATATCCACGCATCTTACCCAAGTATTGTACCCTGGATGGTTTGAGGTGCCTAGATGTGCGAGTTTCAATTGCCAGATAAGATGATACGGAATGGCTTTCAACCTGACTATAATTGAATCTTAAATGTTTGTTAAATAAATTGGCTGTGACATTATGCATGTCAGCTCCCACTGGTAACCCATTTTTAGATGAGGCGTGCCGATCATTGATTCCGAAGTTTCGCAGGTGTGACACAGCACCCAATACCCCGAAATAGTTAACTAGGCAGGAGTTTCTTTCTAAGTGATTGAGAATTTAATTAGCAACTTTGGAACTGACTGTCTGTGAGAGGAAAATTCGAAATTAATGTCTACATGTAACTACAAGGTTGGCTTCTCTTCCGCATTGAACATCGAGTTAACTTTTTAACAATCACTGGGCTACCTATGTAAACGTCAACTATTGTAAGTCTAGGGTCTCGCGGGCCGGGCCTCTTCCGTATACATCCCAGATAGTGCACTATAACGGATCAACTCCGTCCTCGGCAACAAATCCGTTAAGCTTGGAAGCTTATAAAAACCCCATACCCAACCAAAAAAACAAATCTTCAACTCAGAGGTACCTGGAAAACCCCAAATCAACATGTCAAAACTACACCTCATAAACCACAACGACCTCCAAAACTTCATCAACCAAATCCTAATCGCAAACGGAACCTCCCCCACACACGCCGCCATAACCTCCAAATGTCTCGTCTCCGCCGATCTCCGCGGGGTAGACACCCACGGCAGCAATCGTATCCCCTCCTACATGGAACGAGTCCGCCAAAAAGCACTAAACCCCTCAGCAATTCCAACCATGCACCAAAAAACGCCCATAGCAGCCCAAGTGGACGGCCAAAACGGGTTCGGCTTTGTAGCCGCACACATGGCGATGACGCGCGCGATCGAGATGGCTCAAATCTTCGGAATGGGCATGGTATCAGTTAAACACTCGAACCATTTCGGGATGTCAGCGTGGCTTGTCAAACAGGCCTTAGAAGCGGGGATGATGTCGCTTGTTTTCACGAATAGTTCACCCGCGCTTCCTGCTTGGGGTGGCCGGGAGAAATTGATGGGTGTTTCGCCGATAGCGTGTGGGGCGCCGAGTGGGGATGGGTCAAGGCCGTTCATTTTGGATATGGCGCCTTCGGTTGCGGCGCGGGGGAAGATTTATAAGGCTTTGAGGAGGGGGAGAAGATTCCGGAGGATTGGGCGTTGGATAAGGATGGGAATCGGACGGATGATCCTGCTAAGGCGCTTGAGGGAGTTATGTTGCCTATGGGGGGACCCAAGGGATCTGCTTTGTCGATTATGATGGATGTCTTCTCTGGAGTGTTTTCTGGGGCTGCTTTTGCTGGACATGTTACCAATCCTTATGATCCGTCGAAGCCGGCGGATGTTGGACACTTTATCGTCGCTATCAAGCCGGATCTGTTCATGAGTATGGAGGAGTTTAAGGAACGGATGGATTATCTTTATAAGAGAGTGGTGGAGAGCGAGAAGATGGAAGGCGTGGAACGGATATACTTCCCTGGAGAGTTGGAAATTATTACTGAGGAGAAGAGGTTGTTTGAGGGTATTCCATTTGCAGAGGCTGAGATTGCAAGTTTAAACAAAGAAGCAGATTTAGTGGGCGCTGAACATTTAAAAGTGCAATGATATGTGGTCCGATAGACAAGTTCATTGGCATGCTATTCTATGTCTATCAATAGATTGTAATCTTTAAAAAATGGAAAAGTCCATTCAGTCCCGCTCGTATTTCATAATTCAAACCAAAATCAAGTCAACTATAATGACTTATGACTTATTTCTTCAAGAGACCCAAAAGGTTGATACTCTTGGGACGCTCAATGGGCATTCCCAGAGCACGGTCCCAGATCAATTGGACAAGAGGTCCAAGAGCACGACTCACACCAAAGGTCACAGTGTAGTACAGGGGTTGCTGGAAGCCGTAGTGGTGGAACAGCACACCAGAGGCGGCATCGACATTGGGGTGGGGGTTCTTAGTCTGCCAGGTCATTAGTAAAGATGGAAAATATCAACGGAGAATCACATACCTTGCCATGCTCAGTCAGGACACCGGGAGCAATCTCAGAGTTCTTCTTGACCAATTGGAACACCGGGTTAGCAAGGACATCAGGGCGAGTAGCAGCAAAGTCCATCAAAGCCTCAAAACGCGGATCTGGCTTGCGGAGAACACCATGTCCATAGCCGGGAACGACGCGGCCAGACTTAAGGGTGTTCCAGAGGTAGGTTCGGACATCCTCGTCAGTGAAATTGGTGCCAATCTTCTCCTGCATCGCCAGAATCCAGCGCAGGACCTCCTGGGCTGCCAGTCCGTGCAGTGGACCAGCCAGACCCAACAAACCAGCGCTGTAGCTAAGGAAGGGATCGCTCAGGGCGCTTCCAACCAAGTGAGTGGCGTGAGCGGAGACATTGCCACCCTCATGGTCACCGTGCAGAGCCAGGTAGAGACGGAGCAGGTCATGGAAGTCCTCATGCTCCGAGCCACCCTTACCCAGCAATTCAGCAAAGTTGTATGACCAATCCTGAGACACATCAAGCTTCTGGCTCCCAACAAGATCAACCTCATCGGGTCGGAATACGAGTGCGGCGACACGGGGAATTTTGGCTAGCAGCGAGATGCTGTCATCGAAAGTAGGCTCCCAGTAGTCCGCCTTGTTAAGACCCTTCTCATAGGCCTGAGCGAACTCAGACTCGGTGTTGAGTGCGGCGACCGCAATGGACAACTGAGTCATCGGGTGCATGGACTTAGGGAAAGACTTGATCAAGTCAAGAATGTGAGGGGGTACGTGTGACTTCTCCGCGAGCTCCTTGGAGAAGGCGCGCACCTGTGCGGTCGAGGGGACCTGGCCGGTAAGGAGGAGCCAGAACATGGCCTCGGGGAGCATCTCGGTTCCTGATGTACCCTTGGGAAGCTCCTTCTGGCAGTCTTTGATCGTCTTTCCGTGGAAGCGGATACCCTCGTCGGCGTCGAGCACAGAGCCCTCCCATAGCATGGCCTTGAGCCCGCGCATGCCACCAATGACGTTACCGACCTTGACCTCTCCGATAACTTCATCGCTTTGAGCCTTGACCTGCTTCAGAAGCTCCCGTTTAGCTGGGATGACTTCTTTCAGGGTGGTTTTCAAATCCGGCTCTGCGGTCGCATAGCGTCGGGCCGAAAAGAGGGGGCGCGACACCTGTCAATTGGGTCAGTCAATTATCGAAGATGCTATCGCAAACAACAGTAGAATCAAAACTCGAAAGATCTCCTTACCTGGGCCAATTTGGAGGCATGACGGCTTGTTCTGAAGCTGAGAGCCATTGTGGATTGTTAACGTTAACGGGTCCGGGGTAGAATTGCGGGGCCGAGAGAGTTGTTGGATGCGGGGAGAATTGAAGGGAGAGGTGAAGAATGAAGAGAAAGGATATTAACTTTCTGTTCCCACCAAGTTACAGGGATGATTTCAAGAATAAGAAAGACAAATAGGAAAAGAATAATGCGAAATGTGTGATCAGCCTTTAGTACATGACATAGCGACCTGCATTGCATAAGTCGGTTGAACGCGGGCCCTCTCATCAGCTCGGCTCAACCGAGGCTCGGGCTACCATGTGAGGGGTCGGCTACTATTCTTGTTATGGCTTAATGACTTCAATTCAATTAACTATACAGATTAAAAGATAACTAGGCTCGCGTCCGCACTAAAACCCATGTATAATATCCCAGTGTAGAAACTGTTGCCACCACCGATGCCAGCGTGATCACTCCACCAGTAATGATCCCTTGTTCAAAGAATCCAATCTTAAATCCCGGTCGCTGCTTAGTAGGAGCCAAAGGCGCGATAGCTTCTCGCCAAAGCAAATCCGACTTGACTGTATTCGCACTGTCGAGAATGGTCTGAGCCACTTCTGCCGTGGCCGAAACCGAGATCAATTGGGGCCGGGGTCGCTGGAATTGAGCGGTCGCATAGCGGGTTTGTGCATTGTACGGTGAGTTTCGGGGAATGGTCGGTCCAACTAGTGCTTGTTAGTGGTTGATCGACCGATAGTTGCCCTTAGTGTCATACCTAGCATGTGGGCCGGTACGTGGTTGACCCACGAGATGTGGGCATCGATGAACTGAGTCAAGTATTTGGCTGAGGCTGGAGCCGCAAAGGCGTAAGTAGCAGCCAAAGTTTGATTGCTATGCTGTATTAGTAAATTTTCTGTTCAGAGATATCTAGGGGGGACAAACAAGTTGACATCAATGGCATCGTCCAGGCTGGTGACAGGATGCACCAGCAATACCTTCTCGTCAATTTTCTTCTTCAGGAATGGCGAATTTCGATCTTGAACTTCCACAATGCCCCAATTGCTTCCAGAAACGAGCACTCGTGCATTTCGGTCCTTGGAGATCGAATCGAGCAATGCCGATCGTCGAGATGAGCCAGATCCTTGTCGCGCCTCGCCGTTTTCACCGGCAAGATACTTGGACGCATGTTGAATGACTGACTCGACGAAAGGCTGCATCACAAATTCATTTACCAGAACGACATCTGGCGCGTATGGGGATCGACCGCCTAGCGCGAATCGCGCCGCCACGAGTGCCTGTGCAGCGTCAGCGATTTTCGCTGTACGATCAACCACTGCGACAGTCCTCGCTGCCGCCGGCGATAGTATTCCACTTGGGGAATCAGACTCGGTTTGAATAACCATCAACGCTTTGCTCAAGAACGAGCTATCGGGTCGCTGTGAAGTAATGGCGAAAGTGTCGTGGTCAAGCGCATCTGGTAGAATCTGACGCAGAACAGCAGGCAGTGCAAGCATAGTCTGTGGAAGCTATTTTATTGATTAGCTTGAGTTTCTTTATTCTCAAGAAATCTACTCACCTCAAGGACAATGCAATTTCCCGCTGCAAGGGCCGCAGTCAATGCCGAGATGACCGAGAAAAACAGAGTATGGACACATGGCACGATATACACGATACCTACACCGCGCGAACCACCGAGGTTGTCTTTGCCCTGTGCAATTCGATATTCAACCTCCAGATCCTTGGCAAGATTCAGCGATGTATAGTGCGTGCGAAGCTCCTGCAGCGCAAGTACGACCTCCGCTCGAATTTCCTTTGTTGTATGACCGGAGTCGGCGCGGATTGCATCTTGAATCTCTGCAATATTCTCCACAAGAGTAGACTGGAGGCGAAGGAACTGTGATTGGCGGTATCGTGTATTCTGGGTACGGCCGTCAATGTTAGCGTTAAGGATGCGCGAGAGATCCATGATTGCGGATTGGCGTTGAGAAAGAAGAAAAGAAAAAAAGCAGAAAAGTGCCAGAAGACCCAGAAGACTTCAGTCAACGCGTCCACTTTTCCCTGTATGATAACTCTCCGCATTTTAGTTGTCGGAGCTAAGCTGGTGATCTCCGAGTGTTTATCGGGATGTGGGGGAGAATGTGGGCGGAAACGAGATGAACAGTCACGCAGTCACGGGTCACAAGTCACGCGCCTCAATATTATAGGATTTCCATATACATTCAGCACCCATGTTTAATCCATCTATCTTCAACTTCATCATGTCTGTTACCACTACATCCACTGCGACATCGCTGTCGGTCCTTGCCGACTATGAACTACATCATAGCGAAGAGCGGTCTACTTCCACTCCTGCTCCATCCGTGAGCCAGCCAGTCGACTGGCCAACTGATCACCGCCGCATGCCTGCTTATCGGCCTGCGAACCATCATCTCGACTACAATGAACGGACAGCAGGCACCAGTGTTCCAGAGTTTGTGTTCATTCAAGTTATGCTGCATGGGGTGTGGCTCAACGCGGTATGTTTTTGTCACTCGATAAGCAAGTCAAGTTTACTAACAAATTATAGGCTGCTTCACGTCTCTGGAGGTTTACTGGAGGAAGAATTAATAATAAGATCTTTCACTATGAAGTAGGAGGGGAGTGGTAGCCAATGGAAATGTTACAGTTCAGACTACTTATAATTGATCCAGTCAATTCGCATTCAAATGTTTCTTTTCTGTTTTGTTTAAATTTTGTGATCATTCCATGTTATATATCTAGCCTTTGCCAATCAAGATTCACTATATACTGGAACTGAAACTGGAACTAGAAGTACTCAAGTGCTAGCTCTGACACCAATCCCATCAACAACCTCTCCCAACTTCTTATCCCCAATAAATATCTCCTGAGCCGGCGCAAGCACATAGAGCATACGAGCCCACTGTGGTGTCTTCTCTCCCGTGGCCGGATCAACGACATCGGGGGTAACATTCCGCCACGCATGGTTGGTCCCGCGCTGCACAGCAACATCTCCACGCTTCAAAAGCCTAACCTCGCCCGAGTCCAGAAGAAGCTCAACTTCTCCCTCCAGAACAACACCATAGTCGAGGGAGACAGTACGGTGCATGGGACTTGTAGCACCGGGCTGCATGTCCACGATTCGGCAGACGTTTCCGGTTGAGATGGTGATACCAGGTGGGCTGTTGAGGTATGTGTTGTACTCGGTGATATCGGCATCTTTGTTCAGCTGAGCGGGGAAGTGGGAGGAGGTGTAAGCGAGGCTGAAATCTGCGCCGTCGCCCATGCGTTGAACGGGCATTTCTTCGGAGAGGGCATCGGAAAAGATTGCCTCGCCACTTGAGTTGTGGGTGGTGATGTATCGGTTGAGCGGGCGTATGTTCTTGGGAGCTTGGTCGGCCATGGTGAGTGGTGCAATGGCTTCAACGTTTGTTTGAAATGAAATTTGGCGATCTGTACTCGATCTATATGATTTGTATCGGGTTCCCCTCACTCGGGACCACTTTCGACCACATCGGGTGTGGGGAACAAGTTACCATGATCTCGGGGTTTCAGTCGAGAATAGACGGCAGTTCACTTAGCCAAGGAAATGATAATTCTGTTCAAACAGATTGGTAATTCATCCGGATATCGATGAATTAATTGCAAGGTTGTTGATGCAAAGTGCAATTAAGAAGGAAAAGTGGCTAATTTGACTCTACCCTTGTAAAATAGCCTGAACATGACATAATCTGAGACTACCATCTGAGACTACATGTATTTCATGACTTCACATATCAAATTGAATTCCGGGAATATTGCTGTAAGTAATATCAATGATAAGTTCATTGGGATTTGATGAGATAGTAATCCATGTATTCATAAACCTTTACATCTCCCGCCCATACGTACACAGACTGCCGGTTTCGATCGCAACCAGCCAAAACTAATGTTCGCATTACTTTGACAGGCCGTATCACTCCGCAGCAGGTCCCTTATCTGTTCATTTTAAACATGACTTCTGTTCCCTTAAACACCGGTCCTACCGGTCCATCGAGGCTACCTGACCCAGATCCCTGATTGGTTAGATGACCGCTTCGGATCGCGGGATCAATACGCTGACTGCAAGTACTCCGGGCCCTGATGTCTCCAGAGCTCCTGGGAACCATTCTGAGTGACAATGTTTCAAAGCATTGACGGATTGTTCGTTTGTTGCCTATCTGGCCTCAACTGGTCTACCGCCTTATCTATACACTGACTAGCACGATGACCTTGAAAGCGATACGCATGACGGTTGAATCAAGCTAATGGAGCCAATAACAACAAGCTTTCTCGATATCTAAGGTTTACTTTGGCCTTGGAGACCAACTAGACATTGGTGGGCAATTGTTGAATACGTCAAAAGTATTATCACACAGCAGGGGTGCCAGTGTCACTGTTTTCAGTTTTTCCTGGCCCTGCCTTCTGCGAACGCTGATCTCGCATTTGATATATCGATCTTTCAAGAATACTTCGTTTTGTTATGAGGCACCCGGGGGCTTGATTCGATCATAGACGTGACAAGGTCAGATGCTATCGTTTCTCAGCTGTTGTTTGAAAATGCGAAGTAAAGCGAACAGATGGAAGGAGATTGAAGGTTAGAAATGCTATTCATCGCCATGAACTGCATTTTCACGATTGAAGGCTCACCTGACGAATATATTGCTAGACATTCATGATTCGGAGAAGACGCCCACCTGGATTGCTCCTCCCAATTCTTTGATGATGCAGGGCTTCGAGTGGCATGTCCCGGCCGATCAACGCCATTGGAAGCGTCTGAAAAAGGCAATGCCAAGCCTCCGAGATATTGGGGTAGACATTGTCTGGATTCCTCCAGGGTGCAAAGGAATGGATGTATCAGGAACTGGCTACGACCTATACGATCTGTGGGACTTGGGAGAGTTCGATCAAAAAGGATCTCAAGCAACGCGTTGGGGACCAAAAGAGGATTTATCGGATATGGTGCAAGCGGCACTAGATGTTGGTATCGGAATCTGTTGGGACACTATATTGAACCACAAAGCCGGAGCAGATATGACCGAAAGTTTTCAAGCCACGAGAGTGAATCCTAATGGTACGTGAATCCCGAAGGTATGTGTGGATGAGAAAGAAAAGGTCACTGATTATCGTTAGATCGAAATGTTGCGCTTTCACCGACCGAGCATATTTCCGGTTGGGTAGGATTTGACTTTGCAGGCCGCAAAGGGAAGTATAGTTCTATGAAATATCATTATCGTCATTTCAACGGTGTCGATTGGGACGACACACGGAAGGAAAATGGAGTCTATAAAATTGCCGGAGCTCGGAAAGACTGGGCTCAGGATGTGAGCGACGAGCACGGTAACTATGACTATCTGATGTTTGCCAATCTGGATCACACCAACCCGGAAGTCCGAGCCGATATCTTTCAATGGTCGGAATGGATTGGAACTGAACTACCAATCACCGGCATGCGAATTGATGCAGCGAAACATTATTCGGCCTCATTCCAGAGAGACTTTGTTAATCATCTAAGGCGCACGGTTGGTGCCAACTATTTTCTTGTTGGGGAGTACTGGCGGGGTGAAGTAAATCTTCTTCTGAGATACCTCAAACTTATGAACTACGAAGTCTCTCTATTTGATGTGCCACTCCTAGGTCATTTTGCACTCACTTCTCAGACTGAAGGCGCCGACCTGCGGAAGTTGTTCAAAGGCACTTTAGTCGAGCAGAGCCCAAAGCATGCAGTAGTAAGGCTATATCCTATCTATATCACCAACTCATACTAAGAACTTGCAGACATTTGTGGGAAATCATGACACGGTAAGTCTATCTTGTTGAGGCCTTTGATGCAAGATCCTGATCTCATTCACATAAGCAACCTGGTCAATCCTTGGAGGTAATTACTATATCTGTGGGCACTTGCCGGTGGTAACTAACATTATAAGACAATAATCATACCTTACTTTAAGCCAATTGCCTACGGATTGATTCTCCTTCGCAGCCAAGGCCAGCCATGTGTCTTCTATGGAGACTTGTACGGCGTCCGAGGCGGTCCAACAGCCCATTCCCGACCCTCTTGCAATGGCAAGCTCCCGATCTTGATGCAAGCTCGCAAGCTTTACGCCTACGGAGAGCAACGGGACTACTTTGATAAACGGCATTGCATTGGTACGTTTACTTCGATGACTAACATCAGCATACTGATTTTAGAAAGGGTTCGTGCGCTACGGCAATGTCAATTACCCTTGGGGACTCGCTTGCATTATCAGCAATACCGTCGCAACCTACAAGCGCATGTATGTCGGTGTCAAGCACGCAGGAGAGGAATGGACGGATATATTGGACTGGTGCATTGAGACAGTCATCATCGACCATCGTGGATATGGAATATTTTCAGTTGCTGCAAAGAGCATAAGCGTTTGGGTTAATGATAAGGCCAAGGGAAGAAAGAGCCTCGCCCGGCCTTTGTGAGTTTGCGTAATTGACTTTCTAAGAACCACAACTAACGGTATTCCAGCGATACTAATATCTATGATCTTTGAATGGAGGTAATACCTAATCAAGTATGCAATAACATATCATGCCATGCCATTACAAAAGGTTATTTACATGTAGAGCATTGGGGATGTCAATGACTCTGCAAGACAAGCTGAATAGGCAGATAATTCTGCAGGCTTTATGTTGAATTTGGTTGCGATATGCATCATTTCGGCAACATGAGCACATACTCGCGGGTACTTGTGCCGAATCCCATCACGTCCTTGTCCATAACCTCAACATAACGACCCGCCGGAATTTGTTCCTTATTCACAGTAGACCCATTAGCACTCTCGAGGTCGATTAAATACGGCTTGACCTTTCCAATGCGATCGCCGTATTCATTTCGTTTCTCAATATATCGGAATTGGAGTGCAGCGTGCTGCTTGGAGCAGCTGGGGTGATCCAGAGGAAAATCGACCACCGCCCTTTCACGACCAATCAGCCAGCAGCTTCGCTCGCTCAGCTCGACCATCTCCAGTAGATCATCTCCCTTGAAGACATAGAGCCGCCAGGGCTCCTTGGCTGGTGGTTTGCGAGCCTCTGGAGGTTCGTGGTATTTCAACACGATTCCTTCGCCACCTTCCACTTGAATTGTGTTGGTTTCGGCTGCAAGTCGTCCGCTGTTCTTGTAATTTGGCTTCTGCTTCTCTGGTAGAGGATTGTCGCCGGACTGTGCTACTTCGCCAGTGAATGCATCAGATTGTGAGGGTAGAGGGCCACTTCGTTGTAATGCGCGCTGGGGGCTGCGTGATTTTCGCGGAGAGCGTGATCTGGGGCGGGGGCTGCGATGTCTTCTGGACGATCTTTCTTCGTCTCGATCGCGGTCGTCACGGCGTCGGTGACTTCGGTGACTGCGATGTGGGCGTCGCTCGTCCGCGGAGCTAGTTGATCTGTCTCTGCGTTCGCGATAGCGTCGATCGCGATTGTCACGGGCCCTTCCGTCTCTTGATATGCTACGAGATGACCTTCGCCGCGGGCTGTGTTTACGAGAGCTTTCACGGTCATCATCTCGTCGTCGGGAGCTCCTTGACTCTTTGTTTCGCTCATCTCGTCGTCGGTCGGCGCTTGGATCTGGGGAACGAGAAAATGGGCGACGGCGCTCATCGCGACCGTCTCGGGAATCGGCCATGGCGACCAGAAAACAAAGTTAGGTGAAGGATACAGAATGAGGCGGAAGCTTCATGTGGATAAAACCCGCCGATTGCATGGAACTCACGTGACCTCCAAGAGCAATATGCAATCAACGACCATTATGAATCATTTGCTTGAATTATATATTTCCAAGTGCTGATATTTGCTGCATTTTATGTTCGAATATCGTATCAAATCTTTGACGTCTACGGAAAGTGTCATCGATTCAATGCAAATTTGTGGAGAACTGTTGGCTATGATGTCATTTTGCTTATAGTTCGTGCATATATCGCAGGAACATTGAATCGGAACATTGGGGACTTGAAATTGATTGATCCTATTTGATCTTCAGCTTCAAATATTGAGAAATCAAACCTCGCATAGTTTCCCCAAAGTTGGTAAATCTCCACCCAAATACTTCTTCCGTTCTTTGAGCGTCGAGCCTCCACTTGATTGTGGTCAATGAACCCTCCAATGGCAGAATCTTGCTGTTGACCTCTTCTTGGAAATATTTTCTGCAAGTGGCACGCACGTCTGTATCCCAATTGACTCCATTTGGGGTATTGGAAGACAAAATAAATTCAGAGTTTCCAGGAACCAGACCAGCGTCTATGGCGTCCACATGAGCCCGTGCCACATCTGAAACATGGACTGGTGTTCCAACGTAAGGAAATGTGGAATTCAATGTAGAATCCAGTGCGGGAGCAAGAACGGCTGCTTTAGTCCCCTCAAGTAGATTGTCGATGGTTGCATTGGAGTCTGCATCAAGGCGATCATCTGGCCCAACTACCACGGATGGCAATAGATTGACAAAATCGAAATGAGGACGCTCTCTGAGAACAAACTCAGTTGTCGCAGCCCGGGATAGAGCCTTGGAGGCCCAGTAAGCCCCCATTGCACTTGAGAAGGGGCCGATGACACTGGTGTTGATATCGGTCACTGTCATGTAGCATCAGGATTTGCAAACAAGCTCCTTCATTTGGGTCAAATGCAAACCTGAATATAGACGCTCACTGTCAGGCTTCATGTTCCAGTCGAATGGAATGAGGGTTACGCCTGTGAGATTGATTAATGACTGTTCAATGCCGTTAGACCGCTTTCGTACATGAGGAAGTCAAGATGACGCGTCGAACCGATGCCACACGATTGGCCGCTTCTAAAACAGTCGTAACCATAGCAATAGTCGGCTGGATAATGCCAGCATCATAATCGTCCACCTAGCAGTTAAGTTATAAGCACTAGGGCAGGATTTTTGAAAGCGAATATCTCACCTCTTTAGCCAAGGGGGATGCTATATGAATAACCACATCTATCCCATCAAGAGCGTTGAAAAATGCATCCTTGCTGGAAAAATCCGGAATCACAATGAATTCCAGTTGTGTCCGGTCTCCAATTTTGTTTGTCAAATCTATCACATTGCTTTCGGACCGAACAACAGCACGAACACGAAAGCCTCTTTCCAGGGCAGTGGTGAGTGTTTTGAATCCAATATAGCCCGTGACCCCCGTAATCTGTAGTCACCTTAGCATGTTTCATTTGGGGAAACGCGAGGGGCTTGTGGCTCACCAGAATATGATCATGGCTGACACCACTCGTTTGCTTCGACATGATGTGTGAAAACTTTGGTTGGCCCTTGAAGTTGGACCACTTCTGTTATTTGAGTTACGAAGATGTTTGACGGACTTGCTGCGGACACCGCTTGGCGCTTATCGGAACACGAGCTCCGATGATCAAAGTGGATACGATCCATTAATTAAAGACGAAATTTGAACAATGGGGATCAAATGAAGACAGAACTCGATAAGCGAGAATTTTGACGATGGCTTCTGTAGATATCCACGAGAAATAATAAGGCACATGAACTCTACAAGAAGTGACTGATAAGGCCTGAATGGTAGCAGAATTCCAATATTGAAGACACAAATGAAATTAATCCTGAAAAAGAGATACAGACACACATAGCGTAGTGATTGCGTTTTAGGAAGTAGCAAAGTGAGGAGGTTTTGGAGAGTTGACGAGGATGTAAAGGCAAGTCAGAAGAACCATGTAAAAATAACCTTTTTGAGAATCAATTCCAATTTTGTTGAGTGAAACGAATGAATCCTTGAATGACTCGCAATATATTCAATCTTTTCACATCATTTAATCACTTTGGGACATACACAGCTTCGACATTATTCCCATGCAAGTCCAGGATAAAAGCTGCATAATAAGGCTGTCGACTCATTTCCTCCCGAATCCCCGGTGCTCCATTATCACGACCTCCATGTTGTCTAAAGCAATCTTAGTATTGCATTAGAAAAGGAACATAGATTTGACTTACAACGCAAGTTCATAGAAACGGTCCACAGCATCGCGGCCTAGTTGACTCGAATGAGCAGTTTGCCAAATCTCTCCACATGTGTACTCACTTGGCGCATCAAAGGCAATGTGTGTTGGCATCGTGGTCTTATCCGCAGGCAATTGCTTAAGCCAAAAGTAGGGATAGTCACTACCATATCCGATAAGACATTCGTCGTTTACTCTGATCATCTCATTATAGCCAACTGGCTGTAGGACGGCACGATAGAACGCCCGAAGAGACTGAAACTTGGCAGGAGAGCCCCAAAGAAAGACATGATTGATTGTCATCTTGAAAGAGAGTGATGAGATGAGACTCAAAGATGCACTTTAGCAAGGGAATCGGGAGTTATATGTTAGCATGTCAACTCTGCCCCACTTTGCGGTAAGGAGTACCAGTACCAGTACCAGAGGACCGGACTTACAGTCAAATAACCTTTCTCACAACATGAAGTCCGCCATGGAAGAACCCCAGAAACCCGAATCGAACGAAATTTGAGGTTCTACAAGGCGGACCGGAATTCCGCACCGGACTTCCGGCTACCTTTTATCATTTTCTACTGCATCAGTAATCACCATCCATGGAACAAAGCCAGAAGCCCGAGTGTCCATTTTGTGCGGCCCGGTTTAATCACCGTATGTCTTAACCAGTTCTTCCTGAGCCAACTGACGGTGGTGCAGGGTCGTCACTTTATCGACATATGAAGAAGGACTGCAATAGCCAATCTCTTCGCCAAAAGGCCTGCACTGAATGTGTCGCAAAAAAGACGAGATGCAATCTTAAGCGCCCAATTTGTTCACGGTGCTCCCTACGTAGTGTCCCTTGTCATTATAAAAATCCAGAAGAATTCAAGTCGTCAGAAACCGACTGTGTCGATTTGAATCAACCCGAAGCTGCCGTGTCAGAAGATGTCGCCTTAACATTTCAGCCACAATCACTGCAATCGATCTTCAGTCCTGATCTCTTCGATTCATTCTTCACAGGCCTGGAATCTTTGGCCATAACACAGACATCAGGCCCTGCTGCACCGCCCCAGCGCGAAGAAAACTCCGAAGACTTTGTCTCGAACGAGGTGGAATGGGACTCCCCGGAGCTCGTCCGAGCCATCACACCTCCATTGCATCATTTTGAATCTCCGAGCCAGACAGATGCAGTCGCTTTATCAAACCACAGCATGGAACTCATCTTTCGTGTCTTAAGATCTTGGCCAAGGATGCTGGCTGAAGAGTTCCAGCTTCCTCCCTTGTTTCATTCTACTCATATCGCACAGAGGAATACATTACCATTACCGCTAGCTAACTGCATAACCCTCACCAAAATGTGGCATGGGCGTTGCGGAGGTGCAGACGAGATCGTACGGAAAACAATTATAAAAGAATTGGACAGCATTGCAACCCAGGTACTACTGCCTCCTTTTTATTTGAACAATGTGACTGACAACAATATTGCCGCAGTTTGAGATTATCGACGATACAAACCTACTAGCGGTTCTACAAGCAGTGGTGATATATGCCATCATTTTACTTTCCCCGTCAACGGAGTCGCAGCGTCCATCAGCCGACCATAACGCCATTTTCCATAAAGTAGAGCTACTTGTCTGTCATGTCGTGCACAGTGGCCTCTTCCTTCAAGAAGAGAGAACACAGGCAATACCTTCCTGGGAAGCATGGCTGCATGTCACGTCAAAACGTCGCGCGGTCCTCAGTTTGTATCTTCTACACTGGGCGTACTCGGTCTTGCACCGAGTACCTTGTTTTGACTGCGGCGATCTAGGATTTATGCCTGCGCCAGCTGCGAAAGTGCTTTGGGAGGCACAGACGGAACAGGAGTGGAAGACTCGATATATTCATTGGCTGTCTCGTTGGAGCGGCCGAGGCTACATACAAGCTGAGTTCGGGAACATTCGACCCGGGGTCATTATGGATGCGAGGGCGGAAAAATGGTTGGAGGAAGCTGATGAGTTTGGATTTATCATGATTTCTATTCGTAGGTTCACTGGTTAGTATTGCCTGAATTGAAAGCTAACACGGTATAGTCAACGCCACGGATTTCAATCCACCGTCTCTCAAAGAGTTGGCTCGTTGAATTTGCCGATCTACAGTACACCGTATTAATATGACATGCTAAAACCCCTTGAACCACTTTGCAAAAGAGCTGGAATCATTTCATGAATATTGAACCAACAATCCCCTTCGAATTTTATCGTTATCATGATTAACCCCGAACACCGGCTTTTCCCCATGACGCAGGGTTATTTTGGCCCAACAGACAACCCCTTAACCAAAACTGAATGCAACGTGTAAGACAGGGACCAGCTGCGATTTATCAAGTTTCAAGGAACCTTCAAGATTTTCCCACCTGAAGAGATGTCGAGACTTAGATTTTTGCCAGCTCGTGAACTTCCTCTCGCCTGAGATTCGAGCAATCACCGTCAACAATGATGGGTTTCCCACTGAAGTCTCAACCAACCCAGAAGAGAGGAGAATGTGAATTTTTGTACTATGTTTGGTCCTCCAACGTAGTTGTTATTGATTTTCTTAATGAGTTCTACAGTTTGAAAATTCCACAAGAGAAGGGGACCGTAAAATCGCATGGCAGATACGTAGCAAGAATCTTTGTAGATGGCCTTGCTGGTGATGATTGATTTTTACAAGAAGTTTGTTCGCCTTCTTGAGTTTAGACAATCATCTCGAGGATTTCCAGCACCTGTGACTTTTCCTTGAGAGGCATTGGGTTCGATTGACACCACCGATCATGTAAGCTGTGTGCCGCGAGTCCGTCGAGCTTCTCGCGACCAACCCGCACATCGGCTAGAGATCTGGGCATTCCAAGTTCACGAATGATAGCATCCAGGATATCACCAAGATCTGCAATTTTCACATTCACGGAGCGACTTTGAAGCACCGCCAGAACAACAGGATCACGAATCAAAAACTCGCGCACGGCCGCCTGACGCTCTCGATTCGCGTTGTGTCTGGCATTGAATTTGCACACAGCAGGTAGAAGAATACAGCTAGTCTCGCCGTGCCCAACGCCTAATGGGCCGAGCTAAAAATGGTCAGCTCGGGTTTCTCATTGATACAGATCCAAAGCATATTGCTCACCTGGTGACCAATACCATGACTAGCCCCCAGCTCTACTGACCCACTTGTACAAGCAGCCATTGCGTCGACCGAGCCAAGCTGACATTGAAGGTAGGCTTCATGATTGGCACGGTTTAGTTTGCACTGCAAGAGACCCGGGACCAGCTGGCCTAGTGCATACCTAGCCAGCTCATCCGATTCGGGCGTCACGCCGATGATCGCGCAAAGCGTCTCGACGCAATGATCAATAGCACGCACACCTGTACTGAGCCAAATCGATTCAGGTGTTGTCTGTGCCAGTGTGGGATCAAGAATGATGAGTTGTGGGCAACGCAGAGGCGCTTGAAAGCTAAATTTCCGGCGGGAGCGATCATCCGTGCCACCAGCAAAGTTTGAGTACTCCCCAGCCGAGAGAGAGGTCGGGATCGAGATAATAGGAATTGTGGGCGTAAATATCTGGGCGCGTTTATTGGGGCCTTCTGCCAATGTTTCTAACTCCTCAGCAGTATGTACCTGGTTCGCCAAAGCCTAAGAACTGTTAAGATGCTATCACGAACCTGGATCGCTAAACTAAACATACGAATGCAACAATCTTTGCACCATCAGTCAAGCTGCCAGCTCCAAGTGTCATGAGTAGATCAGCTTGCACGTTTCGTGCATCTTCAACAATTTCAAGCACTTCGGACCACAGTGTGTGGGACTTCATTCCAATTCGATACCCCACGACATTTTCCGAGCCCAATGCATTCCTGAGCCGGTCAAGCGAATCGGTGTTACGCGACAATGATCCCGAACAAATCACATAAACTCGTGAGGCCTTGAATGTCTCGGAGACATGGCGGGCTGCGGCGGCAGGGAAATCGATGCCATAGGAGAGTAGTGGGCGTTCACGACCTGTGAATGCCGGGCGTACGGTTTCTGATTGTCCCATTTCTAATATATGAAGGGTGGATGTTTGACATGGTGCAGAGAAATAGGAACAAGACTGTTGTTGCTCTACGTGGCGATGTGGGGTCTCGATTCGTCATGGTGGGGCTGAACCATATTGTTCAATCAATGCAAGGTATATCCAATCGATGTATACAGAAACAAAAAGAGAAACTGCAACTGCCTTAAAACATTCTCAAATCAAAAAATAGATCCTTGGAAGCCTGCTTCGATATGCTAGTAGTTGAAAATGCAAACACCGTCGTTCCACTCAGTGGCACCAACACATTGCCAACCGTCGCAGCAAGGGTCTCCACCTGACTGGCAGGAAACTGTGTAGCCTGGAGGCAGTGAGCTATTAGCTAGACCAGTTCCTTGATTTGTACAAATAAACTCACTAGCTACGCAAGAGCGCTTCTCGAACTGGGCATTGGCAACGACGCCCAGGGCAGTAAGGTAGATGATGATGTTGATGAACTGCATTTTGAATGGAATCTGGATGGACTGGTAGTGGATCGGGAGGTTCAGAATCATAGAAGTATTTCCCCTATAGCGAATCTAGGCACCTCTAAAAACAAGTCTATTAATAGTATTCCTTAGATCTAGTTTTCTATGATAAATAATAGTACTAAGATAGCTAATATCATAGGTTATATTACTTAGTAGAGTTCTAAGGTTTATTTATTATTATAAGTATTCTAGGAATTAAAAGGATCAAGGAAGGGGTGAATAAAATATAAGAGCGACGCAGGGAAGGTCTATAGGAAATAGAATAGTAGAGGAAGGTCAAAGAAATCAAAGATTACTTACCCTAATAGTAGCTCTGACTAGGCTTACTTAAAGTAGATAAGTTGCTTAGGTCTTCCTTAATCATCCCCTTCCTTTAATTCACTAACCCTCTTTTAATTCACTATCCTCCTTGAATTTGCCACCCTTCATTTATTACTCTCCCTTAATTCATCACTCTCCCTTAAATTATCACTCTCCCTCAATTCATCACTCTCCCTCAATCATTGAGTGATTAATCACTATCGTCGGTAGCGCAAACTCCATAGATACAGGACCAGGGATCATCACAATCATCGTCAGTATAGCAAGTCGCTCCTAAATTGAATGTAAGCAACGCAGATTATAGGATTTGTAGATTAATCAGGTGAATTACCGGCACAGTGTCCCTCCCAGTCGCATGTTATGCTTGAATCCACAGCACACTCTCCATCAATGCAAGCCCAAGGATCAGAGCAATCGTTATCAGTTGAGCAGATGGCGTCTGCAAGACTATCAGTAAAGGCTCGAAATTTGTTCAGATATTACAGAACCGACCTAGGCAGTGATCGTCCCACTGGCAAATGGCTGTTGGGTCATAATTGCAATATCCATTCACACATGACCAGGGGTCATCGCACAGGGCGTCACTTGTACAAGGGTCACCTTCAGAGAATATTTTAGTAACTATGAAACTGAATTAAGCAGCTGCTATACATACCAGCACAATGTCCTGCCCAATCGCATGAAGCAACGGAGGTAGGCGATGTAGTGGTAATTGTTGCAGTAGTTGTCTTGGTGGTTGTCGTTTTCGAAGTGGTGGTCGTTTTCAAGGTGGTGGTTGTGGCCGAAATCCCCAATTCCGACACAAAAGCATTAACCAGGCTATCACCCATGCTCCTCAATTTAGAGAAGTTGGTGATGTAGTTATTGCCCAAAGCACTGCTGGGCAAAACAGAATCACTTCCAGTGAAGACGATATCTGTTGATTAAGTTAGTAATCAAATCTCATAATTAAGACAATATGCAAGGCACGTACAGGTGACATCGGCAGGGGTATGGCCTACGCCTCCGTTCAGATCCTCGTCAGGAAAACAGGTATTAGCCATCAGCCAGGAAGCTTCGCCAATAACTTCCGGGGTATCCCCATTAGAATCACCGAAGATACCGTAATACATTTTTCCATCGCTGGGGCATATAATCAGCGCTTCGCTCCTTTATCGCATAAAGCGTGAGCAGACATACCAGATAACAGCCACAACATTATTTCCTGGGAGGGCAGATTTATATTTCTCATAGAAATTGCTAGGGATCACAATCCAAGGTACTTCATATGCTGCCAAAGCGCCAAAGTTGGTCTGAAGTTGGCCATCATCATTTCCCTTAATGCGAATTTAGTGAGTGCACCGGGGCCACAGCTAAAAAAAAGTCTGTCACTCACCTTGCAGTTCGAGTCGATTCCGTCACAGTCAACATCCATGTCAGCGACAAAAACATAAGCAGCTCCCTATTTGAATTGAGATCAATATGCTATGGATGACCTAAGACAAGTCTTTATCGAGAAGTACTTACAGTGCTGAGAGAAGCAAAGTCAGCATGAATAGTAGCTGTAGGGGAGTCTCCATCATCATAGATTCGGTATGTTGCGCTCTGGGGAACGACACTGGCTTTTGCAACAATAGAGGCTACAGCAGCCACTGGCATAGTGGTGGCCGCTGCAAAGTAACTTCCCGGTGGACCTGCAGAAGGTTTGTTGTAGTCTGATCCAACAACGGTCTGACCCAAGGCTGGATTCAGGAGCCCTATGGCCAAAGCTAATTGGCGAAGATGGTGTTTGAAAGGCATGATGCTGCAATAACGTCAGCTTTGGGCCCAGGATTATCTCAAAATGTTTCTAGTCTCTCTTGCTTGAGTTAAACCGCCATTGGGGACGCGATTTGATTATATATATAAGAAATGCCATGTACCATGTGCCCCCCTCGATATCGGTATTGTTCACACGGCCATTGCCTTGAGTGTATACAGCTAGGCCGCCCCACATGTAACCTTGGAATGAAAAACTAGGATCTTTCGAATGGGTTTAGCGGAATGGGAAATGAATTGGAATGAGAAGTTTATTGGTCTCAAATATTGCACGAAGCCAGGTGACTCGTATAGAATTAAGACTTTTCAGTCGAAGGGTCCACCTCCTCGTAAAAGCGGGCCGGCTTGCGCTAACCGTGATGGCTTACCGGCTAGAGGATTGTAGGACCCACGTGCCATATACAATCAAGGGAATCACGAAATCCATAGATTTTAGTTTTCATCTATACAACTATCACTAGACGATAGTTTAACCAATTCATATAGGGAATAAAGAATCAGTCTTCTGTGAAAGCCTGAATTTATAGAGATGAGCTCCGATTATAACCAGCGAGGTGGCTTTACTACCCTGAAACTAGCGTCAGGGTCAACCCGCATTAGTATACTCCATTAGGTCAAGCGAGGTTACATTCCAGTAAAGCGTTGAAATGACTCCTTTTCAAGAGAATACCAAACATGCGTGATGGTGCTTTCCACGCTAGAGGCGGACAAGAATTGGTATTTTGGAAGGGGTTTCGCAGTGCTTGGGCCTTACTTTGTAACCTATCTACTAAGAACAGCTATTTTCTGCTCTGTGTCCATCAGATATTGCGGTTAGCCGATCTTTATGTCGAATGTCCATTAGAATCCTTTCCTGGAAGTGCGTCAGCAACCTCAGAAACCTGATTCATCGACACCATAGTGATCGTGCAGTTCCCACTCAGCCAGAAGCTAGCAAAACTTGTATCCCAATGACGAATTCGAGGTCTGGCAACCTGAATAGCTCATTTTGACATTGGATAGTGAGTTCAGGTAGTCGGCACTTATTATGTCACTTTGACTTTGAGACATGGACTACTGTTCGTCATATTGAGCTGCTTGGCTAGATTCTATGGGCAATTGAGCCAGTAGTGGCGGGTTGCTTACCACTAATTCACTAGCTGCTCGTGTATGAGGATTCCAGTCTCCGCTATTTGGCAAACAGAGGCTAGATGAATTGTTTTGCGACGGAGGTGGCAAAAAAGGTCAGTGAGTGCCTAGACCGTTATTTATAGTCTACTTTTGGAAGCCGAGTGTGAAGCAAAAATTATCTTGGAAGGGGCTACCAGAAAAATAAGCGAACTTACGTTGGTTAAGTAGAGATTCTCTTACATCTCTTTTGTCAACTTGTCATCCATGAAATTTTGGTAGTAGTCAGCAACCAAAACATCTCTTTCAAGGATTCTTGTCGAGTGATCCCATGAACAACTTCAAGGATAAAGGTCAAAACGTTGAGCAAGAACCTTGGGAGCTCCGGTAGTAATGTAACAGAGGCCGCTAAGGTCAATGCTTTGAACTTGGAAACGTGCGAGGCTAGTCTATAATGAGACAAGGCACTTCAAGGGTACGTGAAGTGTCTACAAAGCGGCCACTCTCTTCAAGTGGATTGATCATTACAGGGGAGTTTTATCTAGTCGATCAAAGCTCCAGATCAAGATTGAAGATATTACACTGTCTCGCCATGGTGTTTTACCCTCATGTATGCCTTTTGGCATACTTAGCACCCGTGTTCTCGGCGTCTCTTCTGGTCTTTTCTGCTAGTCGCGGAGAAGATCCCTCAATCCTTGGCATCCGTGACCTCGAAGCAACGCGCGGTGATATCCTCTCTTTGAATACTGCAGGTCTTCACATTGAGCCTGGGGCAACAAGAACGGAACCGCTTGATTGTATCACCAGCGGATTGAAAGTGATATTCGGGTAGAATATCACTCCCTGTCAGGCAAGACGACATCGGATAAGACCTATTATATTGGGTATCAATTCTCTCTTGCTGAAATTGAGGAGAGCCTGATGGTCTGGCAATTGTAGGTTTTCCTTCCTTTCTTCTATATCTGGGCAGCCCATTCTTGCCTTATGCTCAAAGGATACTGCATGGTGCATTCTATTACTTGGTCACCAAAGCAAGGAATATACAGCCAACAACGCTGCAAACGGCGGAGCTAATGTTCCACTGTCTTTGGAGTTCAAGAACGGCCAGATCCACCTGGAATACCAGTCTTCTTACTCCCCAGAACGCGAATTCAACGGTCCCAGACTCTTAAGACGGATAAACTTTACTCTTTTGGTATAGTGGTCAACAAAGCGACTCCAGGATGGGCCGAGTTATATTTCAATGGCAAACAGCAGACTTTTTCCACGTCTAAAATTACTCGCTTGGCTGCAACCGCCTTCCCTGGTCAGGCTGAGCCGAACTTTGGGGCCTATCGGGGCGAGGCTGTGGGAATTGATACCTACGTCTACCGAGTCCAGATTGGCACATCCTTAGCGGATATTGAGGCAGCTGCTGGGTAAGGAGGATCTACCAATTCCACCACTACTGCCTTAATGACAACAACTATAACAACATCCACAACTACGCTGACAGCCACATCCACGGCTACATGCTCCTGGGACGGTCATTGTGCAGGTATCATAAAACGTCCACACCCAAGCTACATAGCTGCCCATTAAGTGGTCACATGTGCTGCTTGCGTTGAGGATAGCGACTGCTCTGATCCCTAGTCTTGCGTCAATGACATTTGCAACTATGATCCGATAGTAGCATGCGAGTGGGAGGGCCATTTACCTAGGTATGATACATTTAGATTAAATCCAGCTTGACTGTTGATGCAAGCGAGACATGCTCGTGGGAAGAACATTGTGCAGGTATATCTTACATTAAACATATACTTATTCTATATCTAACATTAAGTATAACTTAACTAAGTGAACCTATCTAGCACATCCTATTACGTCTATCCTATGAATTCAAGCCTATATAGGGCCTAACATTAGGTGATTCTTGGTTCCTAGATGATACTTCCCCGCTTATTAGGGAATTGTCGCACCTACGTTTGCGTATATTACCAATTGAGCCAAAAGGCTATTATGATGCTTCTCTTAGAAGAATTCTAGATTAATGATGCGCAGGTTCCACTTATATACGACAAATTCGTACGGATAGAAGCGACAACACACACATAAATAGGAAATTGCTGAACTAACTCAAAATTGCTACAACTACATATTAGGTTTATTCGGGCATTTTTGCCGATATAGAACTAAGATTATCTAACACGCCAAGGTAGACTTCTAGCTCTCACATGAGAACGGCCTAGAAACTAGGCACTGAGATCTCGTCTGTGAAAACCCATGTTCGGTGCTTTTTGCGTTATGTCAAAGGAAAAAGGTATTAAATTTGTTGGTTGCTACGGTGCTATTACTTTATCCGCTTAGGATTACGTAGACCCCGGATAAATCGGGTCAGCTTGGGTGGGGTAGTTGGAACGAGGTCATCAGAACAACAAATCGCGCATACACCCCGTAGTTATATTTAGCTATGCAGGTGGTGGTACTCTAGCCGAAGGATGATAGGGTAGGGAAATGCAAGTAGCTCAGGTGAGGCTATGAGCTCGAAGGCAATCATTTAAATGTGCACTGTACTTGTATAGAAAGAGTTTAAAACCTAGGAGACTGTCTACTTGGAGAGGTAAATTTCCAGGGAGACAAGGTCTTCAGTTTTTGATATTCTTCAAATTATTGCATATTTGAGCAATTGATTCGAACACTCTATTGACGATGAAACATGTATTGTCTTAGTGCACATGTGAGGCATTTATTGCCCCTTACTATTGAACGATAACACATATTGGAGGTCCCAGTGGCGGTCATCCTTTGGGCGACCGCTATGAAATAAATTAAATGTCTCATATGCCATGCGGCTACTCGTGGAATCAACAGAAAGCTTGTATTCCCGTTCTTCATTCAATCATCGAGCGGTAAGTACCTGGTACATACTTCACTTCTTACAAATTGTTTTCATTTTAGAGCTTAGAATAATTTCCAATTTTACCATGTGGCTCCAAGGAAATGATTAATCTCTTATGTAGCAATACATCACGGATAGGTAATTTCATGAGTGATATCCTGAGACTTCATTGCGATATTAATCTCCTGTAAGGCCTCCCATCGAGATCAAGATCCTCTCGTCGGGCAAAGAAAACATCAAATTCACCCAATCATCGACCACGTGGCGGCTGGGGGATTGACAACGGGACCAATCGGGCGTATAAATGTTCATTATGCAGGAACACTTATCAGCCTGTGCCTCGGACTAGTCAAGTATAAGTACAGGACGTTTTGCCCTGGATCTAGCTGATAGTCCCACATACTGTGTATGTCTTCTTTTACCCTCATCGTCAGAAAGCCGTCAAAATGATTCGTGGCATCCTATGCTCCGTGAGTTTTTTTCTCCTCAGCCTCGGGCAAACGGCAATTGTGCCTCTTCCTTCAAGCACCGGACCATGCGACGTCACGCTTCATACACGCGAACTAGTCGACTTGTCTCGAATCGATCCATACGACCCAAAAGGGGGCAAGCGTTCTATCATGGTAACCGCCTTTACACCTGTCAATTGCGGCACTGTACTCGCCACATCGTACATTCCGAATGCAACAGCCAGTTATTATGATAAGCTTTTCAAATCTCTTGGGCTTGGACTACCTCCCGGAACATTCGAGTCCCTTCGTATCCAGACTCAGCAGCAGTCACCGCTTTCCAGACGTCGCGGAAATTATCCAGTTGTGCTTTTCACACCAGCTGTGGGCTTCTCAAGATTGATGTACACATCGTTGCTTCAAGACATTGCCAGTAACGGATTGGCCGTTGTCTCCGTCGATCACCCGTATGATGCTGCCATAGTGGAATTCCCTGATGGCCGCACGGTTCTCGGAGTACTCGGAAATATCAGTACAGATGCAGAATATGTTTCAGCAATGGATGTTCGTGTTCAAGACATGAGATTTTTACTTGATCAAATTCACGACGAAAAAGTGATCGGAGACATATTCCCTTTGTCACTGGAAAATTCGAGTCTACTTTCTCTTGACCGGGTGACGATCGTCGGTCATTCCTTTGGTGGAGCAACAGCAGCGCAGGCCATACTCGTTGACAATCGATTTGTCGGGGGTATCAATCTAGATGGTAAAATGTATGGGTCTGTCCTGGACAAAGGCCTGTCAAGTCCGTTCCTGCTTTTCGGAAACGCAAACCACACCCAGGCAACAGACTCCAGCTGGGCAACATTTTGGTCACATCAACGAGGATGGAAACTTGAGCTACAACTCGCACAGTCGAAACACTATTCTTTTTCTGACTTTCCTGTGCTTGCCGATGCTCTGAGTATCTCGGAAGAAGCTAGAGAAGTTGTTCAGGCCAGCTATACTGGGACGATAGGCGGTTTGCGTGCTAAGGACGTGGTAGCTTTATACATCATTGCCACACTGCGGTACTTTATTTATGGGCACAAGTCAGATTTACTCAGCGGCCCTTCTGTGACATATCCTGATGTGACCTTTGTGTCTTCCTGAATAGTGAAATGACATCTCAGAAAATATCTGGAATTTAACCCAGATGTGTATAGGTATCCTTCAGAGTTGTTGCATTTTCAGTATCGCTGCGCGATAATCCCGTCATAAATAAAAGGGCCAATCAACATTGAAGCAGCTTGTTGCTCATAATGGGCGGTGTTCGGGATTTACTCAAGGACTGCTTGGCGAGAGAGGTGAGTTGCCTGCTGTAGCCCTGAGCAGTCGCCAGGATCCTCTTTCTTGGGAATTGGTCGAGACAACGATCGTATCGCTTAATCACAATGAGCTCTTCAAACCGAATATCTGCTAGATGCATAGAAATCATTGAATCTCTAAGTTATTAGCTAGGATGCTTAGTCAATCATGGGATTCACTAACAAATAAAACCCTCAGAATTCCTCTACTATCAGCAAACATTTGAATGCAAAATTTCTATATCATGAACTCAAACGCTCTAGGACAGTAACGGAAACGTTGAAATTTAAGTCCTAAGACTGATAAAGTGGTGATCTTGTAATCAAGAACTCGATACTGTTAGTAACGGGTTCTGACCGCCTCCATTCTGCCAAGTTCGTCCAACATTGAAGTCTGCAGATGCACATCTGGAAGTCTTCAACATAAGGAAAATTAGTATCAAGTCTCTTGTCATGCATGTATCTTGGGTTTTTGCAGATTAGTCTTTCAAGCAGAATGATGAATTGATGTGACTATATACTGAACTATTTATACATGTTGTAGATCTATCCCGCAGTTCTACCGGCAAATCAACTCCAAATCCCGCTTTTCCGCTTTCTCTCCCTTGTTCTCTCTGCATTTCGTCTTCATGCTTCGGCCATGGCTCAGCGGCAGCGCTGTGCGTTCTCTTCGCCGTGCTTCAAGCTCATTACGCCCATTCTTGATTCCTCGCGTTAATTTCTCTTCCGCTACAAATCTCCAATCAGATCGCATCCCTCTTCGCAAACAACTCAAACAGGAAGCCAAGAGCCTCAAAGCCCAGAAGAAACAGCGCAAGGAGAATGAAGAAGCCTCGAGGCAGGAATGGGAGCTCACGGTAGGCGTGGAGATTCACGCTCAATTGGATACAGCTGCGAAGCTCTTCTCTCGTACGTCAAACAAAAAGTCCTTACTTTCATATCTAATGCGATACTTCTCCACAGGAGCGGCCACATCGACAAGTGACACCCCAAACTCCAATGTCGCCTTATTCGACCTGGCATTCCCAGGTAGTCAGCCGCAATTCCAAGCTGCCACCCTCCTTCCAGCCCTACGCGCCGCAATCGCACTAAACTGCCAAATCCAACCGGTCAGCCGGTTTGACCGAAAGCACTACTTCTACCAAGATCAGCCCTCCGGGTACCAGATCACCCAATATTACGGTTCGTGTTGTTCCTCGATTGATCGACCATGCCTGACTAACACCCCGCAGAGCCCTTCGCGCGCAACGGTTATATCGACCTATTCGACTACGACGGAATCGCACCAGAAGATGGGGAGCGTGTCCGCATAGACATCCAGCAGGTCCAATTAGAACAGGATACCGCCAAGTCTCAGGAATATCCGGGCCCAACTTCGATACAACTTCTCGACTTTAATCGCGTATCCCATCCTCTCATCGAGATTATCACCTTACCCCAAATCCACACACCTGCGACGGCCGCCGCCTGCGTTCGAAAATTACAGTCCATTTTACAAGCATGCGGGGCCGTAACAACGGGAATGGAATTGGGTGGTCTACGTGCTGATATCAATGTCTCGGTTCGGCGGCGAAGCGAGGCACAGGGTCCTCTAGGCCAGCGCACGGAGATCAAGAATCTTAGCAGCTTCAAGGCAGTCGAGGATGCGGTCATTGCTGAGAAGAATCGCCAGATCGCGGTGCTGGAGAGTGGTGGGAAAGTTCTGGGCGAGACGCGCGGGTGGACAATTGGTAGCACCGAGACCCATCTACTGAGAGGAAAAGAGGGTGCAGTCGACTACCGCTACATGCCAGACCCAGATATTCCCCCACTGGTGATTGGCGACGATCTAATCGCTCACTTGAACGAAAGCCTACCCATGGCCCCCGATACTTTACTGATGCAGCTTATCGGGCCGGAGTATGGTCTTCCGATTGAAGATGCAAAACCATTGATCGACCTGGACGATGGCGCTCGTCTCGAATACTACCAAGATGTTGTTGATATTCTCCATAAGAACGATCTAGACAAATCCACACAGGCAGCTCTCGCGCGAATGGCGGGTAACTGGGTCCTCCACGAGTTAGGCGGTCTCCTAACTAAAGCCGACCGAACCTGGCACGCGGATATCGTGCCGGCACAGTCTCTGGCGGACCTTATCGACCATGTCCAGCGAAAGCTTATCACTGGACCTACGGCGAAACAAGTGCTCGCCGCAATCTTCGACGGAGATCGTCGTCCGGTGCCGCAGCTGCTGGAGGAAGATAATCTCCTACTTCGGCCCTTGTCGCGCGAGGAATATATTACATTGGCCGAATCCGCCATTGCCCTGAATCCGAAGATGGTGGAGCAGATCCGTGGCAACCAGCTAGGGAAACTGGGCTGGTTTGTGGGACAGATGATGCGGACAGGCGAAAAAGGTCGCGTGGAAGCCCCAAAAGCCGAGACCATCCTACGCGAGCTTATCCTAGGAGAAAAGGCATAATGTCGGAGGTGAACTCGATGTACTATACAAAATCCAATTACGGTGTACCTACTAATGATACCCTCGTGTATTTCTGAATCATCAATGGCGTTCATCTGCCAATGGTAGATGAATGATAAGAACAATTGTATATATAGTTTCGATTTCTCGATATCATGCAGTATGTACTTGTATGAACAAGAGATGGGAATCGCAACGGGGTATTGATGAAAATAATCAAGAATGTCAATCATGAGAAAGTCTCAGTGAGTAGAAAAATCTATGCAAGTTGGTTGAAATTGACTTCAACCAGGCTCAGGCAAACGGATCCCTGACTTCCCTCCGATGAATCGCTCAGAGCCAGATTGCGGGATCGGCACGGAAACAGAAGGTCGGACGACGACGATCAACAAGCCCATGGCTGAGAAACAAGCCTTCGTAAAGGGTGTTGTTGTCCCCAGGATTGTACGGATTGGTGCCTAGGCGGGGAAGTTCTTCCGGGTACGCATCTGCCATATCGTCTGCCCATAATACTTGGGTCAGATCCTATGCGGAATTTCTTCTCCCTTCAGAGGGATTCATGCCCCACCGGCAGGGGAGGGAGACTCCTTACTGGTGCTCTCAGATGATACGGGGTCTTGGGGAGGGGGAGATTGACCCGGGTAGTAACGTCCACCAGGATGAAGAGACTGCGCTGTCTACAAAATGATGAGTAAGGACGTGTGCCGAAACATATTGCAAAATGATACCGGTGTATCTGTCGCGCTTGCCAAATCGGTTATGGGTTGCTACTGACTTCGCGGAACTCCTCTCCCTCCACCTCAACTTCACGATCCCGAATTCGGCGCATCAAAGCGAGGAAGTTGCTCTGTTGGAACTTTTCGCTTTGGTCATGACGAACGCTGTTGAGAAGTTGCCCGGCTGTTTGTGCGAGGGCATCCGCGTCGTGAGTGCGAGATTGCGGGTCCTGCTGCTGGTTGGACTGAGGGATATTATCAGATCCGATCCGGAGCTCTTCCTGAGCTTTTTCGAAAGGGTCGATAGGGGATGCGTCGAGGACGTGTTGTTCGGTCGATGTGGCCTCGGCTGTCTGTAATTCCATATCTGCTCGGGCTTGATCAAATGCGGCCTCAAAAGCAGACTCATCAAACTTCTCCGCTGGCACAATATGTTGCGAATGAGCTTGATGAGGGGCCTGATATGCACTCATGGGGGGATTGTACATTGGGTAGTTTGTGGCGATTGCGGGTTGGTATGCATGATGTGTGTTCGGGTGGTTTTGTGCAAGATGGGCTGTTGCTGGAGATTTTTGACTCTGTTGGTACTTGAAGAATTCATCCTGCCATCCTCGTTGCGCTTGGATCCCCGGCGGGCCTTGTACCTGCTGTTGTAACTGCGGGGGCGCAGTACCGGAGATGTGGAGGTTTTGGAAGTCCGATGCCCAGCTGGCGTTCGAATGAGCGGTGGTTGGTAGCTGAATCGGTCCCCCAAAATGAGCAGGATGTTGTAGATTTGGTAAAGCAGGACCCCCCAGGTTAGCCTCAAATGCGGCAAACTCCGGGTCAAGGATACCATCCCGCTGGCTTTGCGATCGGAACCCCTAGAGATAGAAATATGTTAGAAACGTCCTCCATAACTCAGTTGGTCAACTCACCTGAGCTGATGGTTGGCGAGTAGTTAATCGGTCTTGCTGGAGGGTCCGGTCAACCGATGTATGCTTCTGGAAGTTCTGCAGTGCATTGGATGGGCCGCACAGGGAATCACCCATGGCTGCGGATTTGTGGTTCTTTGTACGTGGGAAACTCAGGAGAATCGTGTGCAATGGCTTGTGCGGGTTTATTCAAGGCATTCCAATGTCTGGAATGGTAGGAAAACCAATATGTCCGGTGAAGGCGGGATAGGCATGAAGATGAGTAGAAGCGTGGGGATGCCGATTAGACCGAGGCACCCCACCGCTAAATCATTATGCACGTGACTTATCACAGGTCTATCTGTATTCATTTTATCTACTCCTTACGTACCATGTCAGTTATTCATTAGAAAGCCAAATCATTATATACGACTATATACTCTGTACCTTACTACCATCCAGCCACACGTTGCATTTTGAGATGCATACCCTCCACGGGCTTAGTGGTCACTGCACCTGCAATGTGGATCTCCTGCTTCGGGTCCTGCATTTCAAAGGCAAAGCGACCCACCAGACCAGCAACTCCGCAACGAAGTTCCGCTCGCGCAAAGTCTTTTCCAATACATGATCGCTGACCATGAAGGAAAGTGATCTGGGCAAAGTTTGTTGATGCACCGCCATTGTTGTTGGGCACGAGATTCCCATTCTTGTCTGTGTCGATCCAGCGTTCCGGTACAAATTCTTCGCCGTTTTCGCCCCAAAACAAAGGACAGCGGTTAATCGCGTACGGACATAAGATTATTCGAGTTCCCTTGGGAACACGTTTTCCTGCCACCATGGTGTCGCGAATGGCCTCGCGGATTGTTGCGGGCACCGTCGGGTAGAGACGCAGGACCTCCTGACAAACACCATTGAGCAGAGGCAGGGATTCCAAGTCGCTATAAGTGATGGCACTGCCAGCCGAGGGGATCTTCTCTCGAATTTCAGCACGCAAACGCTCTTGGATATCTGGATATTGAGTCAGAAGATAGCAGGCCCAGGTAAGAGCAGCGGCGGTGGTTTCGTGCTATTCACTGGTTAGCGCTATAGTGAACTCTGGCATATGGAAGACTTACTCCTGCGGCTAGGAAAGTCAACATCTGATCCACTAACTCTGTATCAGAAAAGTCGCCCCCCAGAACCATTGCTCCGAGAATATCAGCCTCGAGATCCTGTACGGAGACTTTGGATTCGGTCAGACTCTGGCGCTTTTCGCGTACGATATCGTTACAAAGATCCCGCAGGAAATTTGTTTCATTGGTAATCAGGTCGTTCATCTTCCAGGGAATCCGCTGGGCAATTGCAGGGGGCACCACAAAATTCATGGCTAGGAAAGCCACCTTCTCCGGAGTAGGCTCGAGAATTTTCAAGAAACTTTCAGCAATCTTGTTATCACTATTTTGCAATGATTGAAAATCACGCCCCATGGCCGCTGGGCCAATAATGTCGAGAGTGAAACGACTAGAGAGCTGTTAGCTGCGACACAAGGAATCATGAGCAAGATTAAATGGGACTGACCTTCCCCACACACCCATTTCAACCTTCCCAATTTCTTCAGCCGGATGGGTGCCTTCCATCGTATTCAGCTTGATCTCTTTCTCTATTTCCTCCAGCATCTGATTGGTCTTTTCCCACATCAGGGAGTACATGGCTCGGATATTCTTGATATTGAACGCCGGAGTCAAGGCCTTGCGCTGTTTCTTGTGCGCGGCACCCTCTGACAGGATCATACCGAAGCCGAGGATTCGAGCCAGAAAATTGCGTATGCGCTCGGGCTTTTCAAAGTCATAAGTGTTAGTGCTCATGATATCCAACAGAGCCTGGTGGTTTGTAGCCACCAAGTAACTGTGACTGATGAGATCACGCATATGGATGAGACCATCATTGGGGACCGTTTTCATCCAGTGGAGCGGAGTGCGTCCTCGAGGCGAGTCAAACAGGATGGTCAAATTGCTCATCAGTCCCTACGGATAAGGTTAGCATATTCCTTCTTTTCCCGAAGTACTTTCGATACGCACCGGGATGGTCGGGAGATGCCGCAGCGGATTCAGGAAGAAGGGCCATATCACCACATTCCAGATACCCAGGAGCGATAAGTTGACACACAAAGCCCCTAGGCAAATTGCTCGGAAGCTTTCCTCAGCAAAGACCGTGCGTTGCAAGAGATAGGTCTCCACTAAGGTAGCGATCACTAAGGACGGGAAGATCTCGCCGGCCATTCTTTATGCCCCAATATACCGATACTTTCCATTCAAGATTCAACTAGCCGTAAAGGAGAGATGCAAGAAGTAAAAGGGTCCACGGGTCCACGGGTCCGGAGAGATATTGCCCAGAATTGGGATTGACCCATTTTTGCCCCAACTGTGGACTAATATACCCTGACCCATTAGACGATCGACACTCAAATGACAAGGTTCCAAGTGTGGTCGACCTCGGTATGTCGTATCTATCTCTTTCCTATGTATGATAAAGTTGGTGGGTAATCAAGGAAACGTATAGAATTTGACATGATCTACATTGCACGTTGTATTCTAAGTGCCTAGATTATCAACAGGCGCAAAATATTAGACGGAATTCAAGTTACAACCGATCCACTGGGTGCATATACATAGTGATGCATGAGATCATTATAAGGTGTGAAGATCGCACCAGCCTCGGTCATATGGCGTATAAGGTAACAGTTCATAGAATCAGAGAATAATCAATTGCGGGGAAAGTCTATAACAACGGGTTTGCATGTGACTCTTAGGAGTACGGAGAAAAGCCCCACAAAGGATAATCGATGACTAATCTATATTCGGTTTAGCCTCTTCCAATTGTGGATCACATTCGCATCCATTTCCCCTTTCGTTGTTTACCTTCTCATTGGTTCGTTAGGCCTCGGCTTTTGTGAAGATCATTACCATCCAACATGCGTAGATGATCATCTTCAACAAATAAAGTCCTCCCACGCCGCACCTTCTGGACCTTCATCCTTTTCATTCACCTTCTACTGACACAATGGCCGCCTTTGATCTGATTCAGCAATATGCGCAAACCGCGCTAACGCGGTTACCCGGTCCCGCTCAGCAATTGTTGCAGAACCCAATCGCCCAGAAAGCTGCCGGGGTAGCTCTCGCGTTAGGAGTGTTGCGCTCAATCAACAACTCTCTAACACAACGCGCCCTGAACAACTGGGTCTCCAGCGACCCTTGGAACCCCTCTCGGGAGCTCATTCTCTTGACGGGTGGCTGCAGCGGAATTGGCAAGCAGGTCATGGAGGACCTAGCGCGCACTGGCGTGCGCGTGATCATCTTTGATATCACTGAGCCGAAATTCAAGCTTCCTGTCAACGTCTCCTTTTATAAGGTCAATATCACCAACTCGGAGAGCATCGCTGAGGTCGCCAAGACCATCCGCAGCGACCACGGCGAGCCAACAGTGTTGATAAACAATGCCGGCGTCGGCCAGGATGGTCTTATCCTCGCGAAGAGCGAGGCCACGATTCGAAATACATTCGAAGTCAACACGATCTCGCATTTCCTCATGGTGCGCGAGTTCCTACCCGCCATGATCCGCGCCAACCATGGACACGTTGTGACTCTGGCCAGCATGGCCAGCTTCGTCGGACTGAGCGAAATTGCCGACTACTGTTGCACCAAGGCCAGTGCCCTGGCTTTCCACGAGTCTCTACGCCAGGAGTTACGTCTATACTATAAGGCACCAAAAGTGCGCACGAGGTGAGTTCTTCCCCTACACTTTACGAGCGACAAGCTAATGCTCCCATAGTATCATTCACCCTTGGTGGGTTCGAACCCCTATGATCACACTCCTGACAGATTACGAGAAGGAATTTGGTCAGCCGATCATGACCGTGCAGACTGTGTCGGACGCAATCTGCAGTCAGATTCTAAACCAGAACAGTGGACAGGTGATTCTGCCCGCCTCCAAGACAATCGCTCGCCTGTTGAGAGGGCTCCCGCTCTGGCTACAGGAGTTTATCCGTGGGAAGGAGTCCCAAAAGCTTAAGGTTGCACGCGACGCCCAGATAAGAGCGGAGCGTGAGGCTGCGGAACGCGCAAGCAAGAAATCATGAAGGAATTTGCATCCTCTGGAATATAATATGAGATATGCAGACTTTATACCAAAGACCTTCGTACATTTTACAGCAATTTTCATTTGGACCTTCAATTTAACCCCGCAGTATATGTACACTGAGACCTAGGCAAGCTTTTGTGCCTACCTAATAAATACGGCGTATGCAAGATAGGTGTTGATATTAAAGAGGCCTATGCTGCTATGATAGGTCGTAAGATCCACTGTTCACCATACAAGGCCTACAGTATCAGGAAGCAACTCCGGAGGCGCCAAGGCGCTAATTCAGGGGCCATGAGACAAGTGCGGACCCTGAGATTTGTTATCGCTACCTAGCCCGTTGCCTGGTGCTAGGTGCATCACTAGGGCTCATGGGGCGCTTAGCGGCTTACCGGCTCTCACGGATTTCCCGGTCCCGGTCCGAGAGAAATCATTTGAGGGCACACAAGGGATTCTAATTGGCAATAGATGAATAATTTCTTCATTATATAGTGTAAGGCCTTGGAAACGCTACAATGATCCTTGTTCAACTAACCCCATAGAAAGTACTATGTATCAACATCTATACTGACTGAAACTAGCAGTCTTTGGCTCACTTGGAAGCGTCGTGGCATATTTTGAACGTATCCAAATTGACGTACCTATTACTTGTAGGTGGGCAAGCGAGAGTTATTTAGATACAGAACGCAAGCCCGATCGCTTTATCGGTCAGACAGGGTCTCGTAAGTTTGAATTCCAGCCTCACGCAATCATGCGGAGTCCCCAATCGGCTTCTTTTTAAATTCCTATCATTGGACGGAGGTAAACGCTCACCCACTGGGCTAATCCTAGTAGAGTTAGACAATATCCTACAGTCTAAAGCTTTTCATTAAACCCGGAAAAGGGTCAAATAAGTGGTCAGGGCAAGCCGAGTGGCGTTCGAGGTAGCATCCGAAGGCTTAGTTCAAACAAGCTCCAAGATAAGAACATTGGCATGCACCCTGCCTAGCCTGATCTTACTTGTCTCTATCCCATTAATTTATATTGCGCCTTTAGCGAAGCGACCTGGGGTTTAAACACAGTGACTTTCCTTATGATTGTGGAGCTAGGAATAAGCCCATTTTTTCCACATCCCTTTAGTTCAACCCTATCTCCTACTTCATTTGAACATTCTTCCATATTTTTACATTTTCCTTTTACATCCTTCCAAGTTCAATTGAATCCCTATCAATCAAACCTTACACTGTTTAATCATGGTCGAACCTATGATCCTGGGGGAAGAAACCCAACTTCCCCCCAAATACCCCAAGTCATCTTTGAACCGGACTTCATTCTTCAACGCGTACCTCCTCTTGTCCTCTCTCTGCGCAATCACCGGTCTCATCTTCGGTGCAGTCTCGCTCCACAAAGCGAACGAGGTCAGGGCCTTTCAATCGTCCCAATTTATCATGGACTTGGACCGTACCTTCAACAGCACCATCTACGCCATCGCGAACAATGGCACGGTCAATCCATGGTGCGATCGGGCTCCCATAGAGCTGATCACAGGTAAAACTTCTATCCCAGGTCAATGTGTTACTGTCACTGCCAGCTATACGATGTGGGTGACACGGCTGGCCAATAATTGTGTTCCTGTTGCCTACGAGAGCGCAAATTGCACAGGAACTATGAGAGACCTTGGTAACCTTAGTACTCCACAATGTGTGGTAGCAGCTGGTGCAGGTGTGCTGGGTGGGGATGGTGGTGATGTGTTCGAGAGTTTCAAAGTGTTTTGCTCTTGAATTTGAGATATTTCATCTCTGGGGCCTGGGACAATATGTACATTATCATCCCAGTCTCCAAATAATTAAGGAGCCCCAAACTAGTATGAAAATGGGATATGAAAATGATTGGATTTGAGATGCATTCATATACGTAGTGAAACTCCAATGTTACTAGGATAGTGGAGTAGTGGAGCTGGATATGTGCAAATCTTTAGACTCTGAGCACCAAGAGATTGTCAATGTTTGTACTATATTTGATCTTCCAACGTAGCTACTATTTCTTCGGTTCTTTCTTTCTTTCATTTCTTTCCATAGACAACTTCAATAGTTCCACTCCACTCTTTGATCATGACTGGAAGGAAATCAAGATCGCCACACATCATGTATACTGGGCTGAATAGGACAGCCAGTGGGCACGACGGAAACCCGATTTTCACCAGATTCCCAGGTAACCGTGCCATTAGGCTCAATCTTGTAGTACTTGTACTCAAACGGAGTGCCGGCGGTAACCAGTTCCAGACTGCCAAACCACAAATTATCCGTCTCGGTGTAAAGCGATGCGTCGAGTGCGAATCCATCAGTGGTGTCCCAATCGCCGAGCGCACTGATGTTTCCGGAAATATAGACATTTTCTCCATAGTATGTGTTCTCGATCAAGTAGAATGTAATTGGGACGACATCAGTCGCGGGAATGCACCCAGCAGTGGAAGTAGGGAATGTCGAAGTGGCAGCCTTGTAGGTTCCGGTCACAGGTGAAGCGGAGCAGGTGGTGGGGACAGTGTTGGCGGATTTCTCGCCCCATGAGCCAGGAACAATCGAATCACGACGTTGAGCTGCTGTCAAAAAGGAGGCAAAAGACCATGTCAGATCATTAGCTGAGAGTGGGACGCTGGTGTTCCGGTTGTACTGCTCGGCCAATGAGCCGTTAGCAGGGGTATATATCTGGACAAGGCCAACGAAGCCGTCGGCATAAGTTCGGATGGCAGATGTGAGTGTCTTGTAGGTTTGACTACTCGCCGAGTAGGAGCCAGTCTTCACCGATGAGTGGAAATCCTTGAAGAATGCCAGCGAAGTGTCTGTGATATCAAGGGTGCCAATTTTGTTCCATTGATATAAGGCATCATAAAGCAATTCTGCCGATGCCAGGGTGGCGAGATACCTGTGTTATATCGTTTCATTAGCTTCCTAGAGCAATGAAATATAAAGATATTAGGAGACAACTCACCATGGGTTACCCCCTTGATAGACGTCCTCTGGGTAGCGGCCAACATTGGCGGGAGAACCCTCGGCAATGCCATCGTTGATCTTATAGATCGAACGGAAAGAATCGACATAAACCTTGTGATTGGCCAGTGCCCTGGCCGAGCAAGGCTGGAAGGTCGAATCATCACACAAAGCTTCAGGGTCGAAAGTGTGGATGCTTCCCAAAATGGTGTTTGCATCAATGCCAGAACGGCTTGTGTCGAGATTAATATTTGCAGTGATGTATTCACCATTCCAAAAGCTCTGCAGGAAGCAAAGGACCTGAGGTGCTTGAGATGAGCAAGCAGCGCATGTCTTGCCAAGCTTCTGTGCAAGAGTCGCTCCCTGCACCAAAGCACGATGCTGGACGGCCAATGTGAAGAACGAAGATCCATCCATCTCTTCCCAGAGGTCAAAGCCGGTCTCATTCCAGTACTGACCAACATATGCCAGATCATTTGCAATAATGGGCCACATGATATCTAATGCTTCAGACTTGTGACCCTGAGAAAGGAGGTAGTTCGTGTATGTGATCAAAGCAGTTGCCCGGAGAGCCGGGCCATCTCGCTGCGGTCGACCCCAGGATCCAGTGAAGGGATTCAAATCGACTTCGAATTTGGGTTCACCAAGACCACTGCCATCCTCCAAGGTCCCAGATGGATTGGATACATTCTGGAGAACTGCCTGTGAGGAGACATAGTTCCGAATATCGGTTTCCAACTCGCTCTTCTTTGCGCCAAAGTCGGAACTGCCGCTCTCGAATAGATCAATCAAGCATTTGAAGGTCAATGCAGAATCACGCGTCCATGTATAGAAGTCTGCAAATCATCAGAATTAAATAACACCCGCGAGTTCATCGTCTTTTGTTCACTCACAGTCTGGATTCGCTGTATTGGGACTGGCAACAAATAAACCAGCGGCTGTACCGGGTGCTTTAACGCCTTTATTTCCCAGGTTATCAAGTATACCTTGATACGATCGCGAACCCTCTTTCGATATAAAAGAGTTTAGGGAACTGGTCGGGGTTGCAGATACCAACTGCCCTCCCACAAGGACTCCAGCAACGCTGTTAAGAAGAGTTGACCACATCTTGAATGAAATCAAAAACAATGCGCTGGTTATTTGAGTACTCATGCGATTTCTAGTATTTATGTTTTTCTGCTTATGCAATGCGGAGATTCAACCCCACACAATTACCGACAATTTCCCGTGGTCCAATCCCCGAGATCCCCACTTTCCCCCAAGTTGGACTGGTAAATGCCGCTGTTCTGTAGCGATGGACGGCAGCGAGCGGCAATATTAATATCCTAAGAACGTCATAGTAAGTGCCGCTAGTGACTAGCCAAGACGCCAGTGAACTAGCGGAACTAGCTAATTCTCAACTGAGAAAATTACACACAAGGTCTTCTTCAACGAGTCAGGCTCATTCGATTCACTCTGGGATCCCTAGTCATGTAGGGAAATAGGCCTTCCACGACAACTATTAGGTTACACCGTGGCGATCATCCGAATTTTGACCTGAACCTGCCGCGACACACAATACCAGAATGGCTCAAAGGGTGCAAAGTGTGAAATGGTTAGATTCCTCGGTTGTTTCGGTTTCAGTTCGTGAAGGCTGGGTTGGTGGGCCTTTGTCCGTTAGATCAAGTCCTTTCCTCCCGTTCCTGCTATCCCAATGAACCGAGGAAAGACACCATCACAGAATCTCGATATCATAATCGCATATGGGGATTCACCGATAGCCAAAAGTCAGGCTAAATAGTCCCTAACTTAGACCCCCAAACGTTTCAGTGTGTCCCCAACCGTTGAAACCTTCAGAACATCTCGATACGTGAGACTTGTCCTCGTCTCCCGGAGATACCAACCGGCATTGTACGAATCTCGTTCTCGCAACAGATTCCAATTGCAGATAGAATGAGGTCCCAGATCATCATCTTTGGTTGTCTCCGCAATTCCATGCAAGAAATCCTTGTAAATAGAGTTCCTCATAATAAAAAGACTTCGTCTTTCCTGAAGGATCCGGAACTGCGGTGTCTCATGACTGGGACCATTGGAAATGTAGCTCTCGTCTTTGTCATGGCTGTCCTTTACATACAGATCAAGGACAATGGGACCACCCAAACTCACAGTCGCAACTACTGGGTGGTATGCAGAGCCGTCTTCATGGGGCATAATTCCTTGTCCTGGGCTGTACTCATTTACCAGAACATGATTTGGCGCGCCATGTGGGGCGTCGGCAAATATCCCTAGGTCGTTGAAGCGGAAGGAAACGGGATCTGTAAGCCAAGACGGTAGGGGTGATGAGAGAAGAGTATTTGATTTTGTTAGTGTCGATGGCCAGGTTTGGAGGCGCCGGTGAGAGAGATGCGTCCAGCGTGGGCGCGGAGCTGATTGGACCTGTTGGCGATGTCAGTATAGGCATGTAATCTATCAAAACACGGTTGTGAATGGATAGTTTAGATAAATCGATCGTGCCAGTGAGGAACAAAAACCTGCCTTTTGGATCAGCCTGGACTCTTCGTCTTCGGAGATGAAATCGGATATGTAGAAGGAATCTGCAGGCAACGAGTCAATACGTGCCCCATCTAGGCCGCACCCCATCGAACTAGGTACGATTTGGGTGATTCTTCAACACTATGGACTTCAAACGACTCAGGTGCATTAAAGAGGCTGGCAGATGCAGATGATTGCGAGTAAGCAGAAGGTACATACAAACCGAGTGCGACGTCACGAGAGATCCAATCCGGGCAGAATCCGAATTTTACCGTAAAGCACGGTAAAGCCCGTAATATTCGTAAATTTGTCTATCTCCTCCCCCTCCCTCGTCAATATAATATCATCACGTATTGATCTCTTTCCTGTCTACAAGTAATCAAATATTTGCCCCCACAGCGGGGCACGAGTGTTTGAATCTCTGACTGCAAAAAAACCATCACATACCCGTCATCCATGGGCTCACTCGAGATAGTATGATGCAAAAAAACATTTACCCTGCGCACTTATGGCTTATGGCCTGGCGGAGTCCCATCTGCTGTTTGCTTGCACCCCAATAGTGGTTTAAATGAGGATCACCCGCAAAATTCACAGGATGGTGGCAGTTTTTGAAGGTATATATTTTCAGCCTTCGGAAAGTCTTGAAATAAGAGAGTACGGCTGGGATCGACTAATAAATATGGGATGGGCTGAGTATATTCATAGTCGCTATGCCCGACAGCTTGCCGCAGTGATGGGACGAGATTCATTTGAATGGCCATTTGGGTTCAGATCATTGCTGGGCCACTTGAGCCAAAACACTACTTACCAATTCCAAGTCTCGTTCCACATCAACCCGCCAATTAGAGATAGCAATTCTAGTAGCCGGTCTGCCCTGCCAGCTAGTCCCCGAAACATACATTCGTGAGGTTTCGTTGATCTTCGCAGGAAGATTCTGATTCAAAGCATCGTCCTTGGCACAGAACAAAACGACCATGAATGTCTGGTCAACAAGGTCGGCCTTTGAATTTGCCTCTGGCAAGGCTATGTATGCTGGGTGGTCAAAGATCCACTCGTATATGGCTCGAGCAAGGTGTACCTGGCGCTTAACAATGTCTCGATAACCCTGTCTCCCGTATCTCAGCAGGTTGGCATAAACCGGCAACGCCCGAAAGCGACGTGAGTTCTCCATTCCAATATTCAGAGGTGAGGGGATAGATGGACCATCGGTCGCACCCCCGCTCAGGTAAGCGGCATTGGCATTCTTGAACACATGGGTGGCCAAGTCAAGATGGCGGGAAAGGAAGAAACCGCAGTCATAAGGTACGTTTAACAACTTGTGTGCATCTCCAGTGATGGACTGGGACAGTTAGCTGACTCGATTCAACGAGTGGAGGGAGAGAAGCTTGCTCCAAATATGAAGCGTAGGGTAGGCTTACATCAACCAGTTCAATCCCATCGCAGCCCTTCTTGATCATGGAAAACTCCTCGCCGTCTTCCAAAACGCGAGCAAAGATGCCAAATGCACCGTCAGCATGTATCCATGCCCCATACCGGTCACATAATTGGCGAATTTGCGCCAGTTGTTCCATCCCGGATGTCGCAAATCGGCCAGTATTGACTTCACCGCATGAGATAGCCACAATACTAACCTTGTCAGTTCTGGCAAGCTCCTTCTCGAGCTGTGTCATGTCGAATTGAAGCGGGTCATCAGCAAGGCAGATGTTTCGAACATTGGCGCGACCAATTCCCAAGACACCAGCAGCCTTCACTAGGGAGGAATGTGGCATTGTTGAAAGCACTTGAACTCCAGAAAGACCCAGCCCTTGGAGTACTTCAAATAGGCCATGTTCACCGACACTGCTAAGTTGGCTTCCCTTTCTTTCTGCGGCCTTCTGCAGGACAAACTCACGTCCACAAGCCAGGCCGATAATATTCGCTATCAACGGGATGTCAACTCGATTCGGGAAGGATCACAGTGACATGACCATGAACTTACAACCTGTTGCGCCCGTAGTAAAGGTTCCATTCTGCCATTGGGCACGCTCCAAGTTGAATAGGTCGGTGAGAAGGCCAAGCGCCTTAATGATCGGTCGTTAGATATATTTCAATTTCGAATATTGCGCTCATTCTGTTCAGTTTCTCACCTGATATTCAACGTCGGTGACAATAGAATGGTTTCCAATGTGTACTTGTACATTCTGATCGTAGGCGGATACGATATTGTCTGCAAAAAGAGCAGCAGGTGTCACTCCACCCGTAATGAAGCCATAATAATTCGGACTAATTGAGCCACCGTTAAATGCAGGTACAATGTCATGTAACAAATGGTTTTTGACAAATTCCAGGCTGGACCCGACATTGGGTAATGTAGTGATAAGAGTTGATCGAGCACGTAATATAATGTTCTCACTAGGTAAGACACCAGAATCCCATGTCCCCTGGGCGACTCGCCATAGATCTTGAAGTTGATCTTGCATTGTGAGAATGAGAATATGAATTAGAATATGACTCAGATAAGGGACTCAGGATTCATTTATAGTGACGATCGGGATCTAGAGTTCGGGATCTGCAACAGAATTCAGTTTTCCCGGCTGGACATCCCGAAAGATCTCTAGTGGATTTCCGGATAAACGGTTGGATCCTATAGCGTTGGCATTATCGCGTTAGTTGAAGAAGAGATACGTGGACAAACGCGGGATCAGGAGCAAGTTGACTCGGATTATCCGCCAGTCACACAGTTCACGGCCCGTGCGCTCCACTTCAATCTTTCCATCAGCAACCACCATGGCAATGGCAGCGAAATTGATTGATAAAAAGCTTCACAGCTTTCCCGGTTCGTTATGAGATGAAATATCATATGCATATACTGACTGAACATGTAGGCAAGATGCGGGTGGCTGAGTGGTTTTTCGACGTTCCAGTCGATTACAGCAAACTACCCGCAGATGGTGGTAACACACTGAGGCTGTTTGTTCGCAGCGTCTCACGTCTTGACAGCCCTGTTGAGCAGCAATCTAAGGAAGAGAACAAGTCTCCCATTCCATGGCTTGTCTACCTCCAAGGTGGACCAGGCTTTGGATGTGGTCCCCCCCAAAACTACGCTTGGGTGGATTCGGTGCTGAATAAGGGGTACCACGTATGTAGCTCGAGTACCCTGTCCCATTGATGTAACCAATTGCTGCTAACATTCAACTCTAGGTCTTGTTTCTAGACCAGCGTGGCACTGGTCTTAGCCAGACCATTACAGCAGAAACTCTTGCTCGCCAAGGAAATGCCATACAACAGGCCGAGTACCTCAAGAATTTCCGTGCCGACAGCATTGTCAAGGATTGCGAGGCACTTCGTCTGGACTTGACTAAGAACTATCCAGAGGACCAGCGCAAATGGAGTATCATGGGTCAGAGCTTCGGTGGTTTCTGCGTCACCACTTACCTCTCGACATAGTACGCCGCATCGATCCCAGCCTATGATTTTGTAGCTAATACCTCTTTCTCACAAAGCCCCGAGTCTCTGAAGGAAGCCTTCATCTGCGCTGGATTGCCTCCTATGGTCAATGACCCAGATCCGGTTTACGCTCGGACCTATGGTAGGTTTTCTCCCCTTACTTGACCAGCCAAAGGGACTGTTTCCTAACAATCGAATAGAAAAGGTCGTGGAGAGAAACAAGGTCTACTACGCCAAATATCCCGAAGATATAGAGCGAGTCAAGACCATCATGAAGTACTTGACCACCAATAAGGTCGCCTTGCAGTCAGGATGGCTCACTCCAGCTCGATTCCAACAACTTGGAATTCTTTTCGGTTTCCACGGTAAGAAGGACTCGTTTGTCACAAACAATTCATCAATTCTTACATCTTATAGGTGGTATCGATACCGTGCACGGTAAATAAAGTTTTTTCCCCCAAGCCAGAGGCATTATTCTCACTATCGTCTAGACATCGTTCTCCGCACTTGCCACGACCTGGAGATTTTCGGATTTCTCACAAAGCCTACTCTGGCCACTATTGACAGCAACGGTGGCATGGATAAAAACATCATCTACGCCATTCTGCATGAATCCATCTACTGCCAAGGGTAAGCTCAAGCCACTATCATCCATCCCGAGCCATTGATAACACGAACTAGCAAATCTTCACGCTGGTCTGCCGATAGACAAAGAAGCGAAGACGTTCGCTACAAAACCGATGGGTCTCAGCCCGAGATCTACTTTACCGGAGAGATGGTGAGAGCCAGAAACAAGCGCGTGCCACATTGTGATCGGAGGAGTCTAATACTTCGAATAGGCTTTCAAAGACATGCTCGACTCGTACTCGGAACTTGACCAGGTCCGAGACGTGGCACACATTCTCGCTGAAAAAGAGGATTGGCCTGCCCTCTATAATGAGGAACAGCTGGCAAAGAACGAAGTTCCCGTCTACGCTGCTACGTACATTGATGATATGTATGTGCACTATGACCTGGCCGCCAAGACTGCTACGAAGATTAAGGGTATCAAACAGTTCATCACCAACACGATGTACCATGATGCTCTGCGGAGTAAGTCTGGGGAAGTTATGCGTCAGCTCTTCGCCCTGCGCGATGATACCATTGATTAAAGATGTTTGGTCATTGCATGAGCCTTGCATTGCGGACTGGATATTATACCAGGATCATCTAAGCGAGAGTAGAAATAAAGGTCTATCAATGATATATTGCGATTTATTACAAGTTGGCTTCGTGGTTGGTTCATATTGCTAGATGTCAAGTATGGCGTTAGAAAACCTAGGCTGCTTGTTAGCTTTCATGTAAGCTCAATGGTATCAATGCTGTACATACCGCTCCACCAATAATGAACAGCCTTTCTTCCTCTTGCTGTACCCACTGGGCGATCTTCGCGGCACTCTGTACCAGGGCATTTCGGTTCGCGTTGGGCTCAGCGACGCAGTAAAGCTCGAACAATGGAGTGATCCAACCAAATGAGCTCGCTGACCGAGACACACAGTGGTGCACCTTCACATGGGTATTTTTGGCATGAACGCTCGAGTGAAGGTTATTGTATATCGACATCAGTCTGGGAAGTGTTAGGCCGTGTAACAGAGGAACTGATAGGGAGCAAGGGAGGATAGGAAGTGCTGAGAAGCAGATACTGACCTTCGACGCCGGGAGATCGACGAGAATGTTGGGGCAAAAGATGACATAGTGAACTGCACATTCGCCCTCGATTTGTATAAGAAGTGATGAAGGACGGCACCAGGAACAATATCGGTCGTGGCAGGTCGACCTTCGTCAATGGCAGCTCTTATTACTTTGAGACTGCCATTCTTCTCCATTTGTTCAACAAACGCGTCCCGCATCCCTTGCATTTCAAAGAAGCTCTCTTTGTCCGGGCTGATGAGGACAATTGCAACAGACTCGTCTTTCGAGATTTCATCATTTTCGTCGACATCACTCCGGAGATCGAGAAAGCTGACGTACATATATAAATAACCGCTGCTGTTAAACCCAGGTAGGCATATAGGAATCCAGCTTTCTCCGCCACCGGCTTTGACTCCGTCGGCTTCGAACACCATATTGAACAGCAGCTGAAGATCTCCCGGGTGTAGTGAGTGCTTCTTTGGTCTGACAACGCTGACCAGCCTTCCGCCCGCGACGACCAGTCCATAGAGCAAATTTTTCGCCTTGGTCTTCAGCAGGGCATTATTAATAGACAGACGGTGCTGTTTGCGGATCTTGAGGCATTCCAACGCTGACAGCAAAGTCGATGGTGACCCGCGGGTAAAGCTATCAGCCAGCGAAGACAGAAGAGTCTCCGAGCCTTGCAGCGGTCGCTTCAAATCAGTAGAAGGTCGAACAGAGAAGAGATGAGTCAGGGATGGAAGTGTCAATGTGGATAAGATTTGCATGTACAACGCTTCGAGTTGAAGTGCAAGTTGGTGTTCACTCTCCATCATCCGACTGATTGCAACCAAATGTAAGGGCCCATGTGTGACAATGACAAACTTGACGTCCCCGGCAGTGAAAGTTCGTAGGTGGTCCCCGGCTTCTTCGTAAAATGAAATGATCGTTTGAATCACCCCGACGTAGCTGGATATCAAACCCCCATCGCCATGTCTTGTCCAGATGGGCTTGCCCGCTGCAGATAAGATCAGATAGTGCTTTTGCTTAGCCTTGAAGCGCTGGAGGAGCAGATCTATCATGAATAAGTATCAATGGCATGCCCCTAAGTGTTCACACAATGTGGATACCTACCCTCGTTCTTCGCATCTTCATCGATCTCCCCGACCGGCTCAAACTCGGTCAAAACCCCATCATCATCCGCATCCTCGGCAGGAAACTCGGGAAAGTGAAGCAAGCTCCCCGTTCTGGAGTTACCTCCGGGAGCAGACGTGATAAAGTCCTTGAATAGGGCCTCGACATCTCCCACATCGCCGTTGTGAACGTAGCTCCGAATACTCGCCGTGTCCCCTTCACTGCCCCGCGGGCTCGCCAGGTGACTTAGGCTCGCTTTCGCTTTCAATCCTTGCGATAGACCGCGGATTGCTAGTGACGAGTATGCACTTCCTGTTCCCTCTGGTGTTCGTGAATCGATCTCCGCCCGCGACACGGCTGTCGTAGCCCCGGCTTGGAGGGTTGCTCGGGATGCCGACTCGTGGTTTAGCAAGTTGAGGGTATTCGGTCGGGGAGGTAAGGGAGGCCGCTCCCCCTCTGAGCTTGGGCTGTGATCTCGGACTGCATGTGGTGCATGGGGTGGACTTGGGGTCGCCGGTGCGGGCGGGTTCTCGACCGCATCCCGGTCGCTCTGGGGGTCTGGTTGCGGCGCACTCATCCCCGCGATGGGCGTGCGATTTTGGAGGTGGTCGCTGGGCGCGGAACATTCGTTCATGAAAACCCCATGATCGAATGTTGAAAGTCCCGTCTCGCCCTGGTGGTCTGTCAGGAGTGGGGGAGATGTTCTACTGACGTCGCGTCGGAGCTCAAGGCGGACAAAACACTTACACGTTCATACGACTACCAAAATCCTATTTATTTCAAGGTCTAGGATTAGATATAGCATGAAAAATCTCTGGTATAAATTATTTAGATACGGGCTTACATGAATTTATCTTTTTACTTACTCCCATCCTGGGAGGTCATTTTTCAGCTAGGCATAATGACATACACGAGTCCAAGGCTAGACACTCATGAAAATGATGGATACGAAGGAGCGTACTTCATTAATTGAATTATTTTACCAGCGAATATCTTAAAGGATCCTCAATTTACTAAAAGTAAACCTACAGTATGCCATGTGGGTAGAGGAACTGGGCCGAGGTTGATGTAATCTGGTGGCACAACAGTGGTTGATAGTTCAAATGTAATATAGAGCGAGATTGGAAATCTATTGAATATCCAACAGATCTGCCTATACTAGTGGATATCACATATCACGCATGAATGTAGACAAAAGCAAGTTCAGGTTCGGTGGAGTACTCAACTTGACCCTGAGATTGTCTCTTCTCCGCACTCCACAATCGCGGGGGAATCTCTTTCTTCTACAATATTTTCGGTTTATTTTCCCTGTCGAGCGCTTCTTTGTCTCTTTGCCTCTTGAATAAATCCTGGCTGATCTGTGATCTGATCTGATCTGATTTGGTCTGTCAATCACAATGCAACTCCCACTCGATCGCCTCCTATTCCTCCTATTTCTCATCCTAACGCCCGTCACTGCCGTCGGTCCCTCATGCTTCAAGGTCGTCTCCGCCCTAGTCGGGCGACCAGGTCACCTATTTAATAAATTCCAAAGCGAAATCTGCGAGCGTGGGTGCCAACCTACCATCCCGCACTGGGACCTCTGGACCCGGAACAACTCTTTCGTCCCCGCAGTGCGCAGCCTGATGACCCGCATGAACGTGCCTCACAAAGAAGAAGCTTTGCTCAAGATGGGCGACGACGTAGCAGTTATAATCAAGGACCGTTGTGCGCCTATGCTACATGGTCGACACATCTGCTCCGATCCGACCACTCTCGCCGACTTTGGAAACTGCTTCAAGCGCAACTTTGTCAAGGCTTCCATCAAACATCTCCCTGTGCTACTGCCCATGGCATCGGAGTCGGCATGTAAAGAACAATATCGATTCTTGCAGGGCGATGAGTTGTGGGAGGAGACTATTCCGAACAACATGCGTGAATACGCTAGTGTGTGTGATAAATTGGGGCCATTTGAACATGATGAGCTGTGAAATGCATCTCAAACATTTTAAATTCGAGTTTATGTATATTTAGGCGAATGAATTGTGTATAGTGATCGATCATAAACATGTAGTAGCTACTGGCGATACCCGGAATAACACATTCCGATAAGCCTCCGCAGACTCTCCACCTTTCTTCAGTGAGCTGTCAACTCGAATCACGTTGGAGCTGATTCAGATCATACGCCTTTGCGCACTCTGCGCGCCATATCTACCACCCAAGCTGCCTTACTCGTCTGCAAGCTCAAAATGAACGCAATCGTGCAATCCTCCTTGTCGGAAGTCGAATCCAAGCTCAATGCGCTTCTGACCACCCTCACCACCTCCCCCACTGCAGCAGGAGCGCCAGCTGCTGCAGTCGCCTTACTCCAAGCCGACGATAATCTATCGGCTGCCATAATAACACTCCGTCAACACCAAGAAAGCTATGCAAAAATCCTACAACTCCGCGCCGAGGCAGAAAAGTTAGAAGATCGCGTCAAGGGAATCGTGAGGAACGTGGAACAATTCGACAAAGAGATCCGAACAGCCTGCGGCGATGATGAAGACAGCGACAGCGAACTCGATTCCGACGAAGAGGAGAGCACCCGCAAGCCATCCCGGAAAGAAATCGACTACAGACTTCTTCTCGATTTCGCTCGTCGAATCAGCAAATATAACCACGAAGCCGCCGCGGATGCTGCAAACGGAGCTGCCAACCCCTTAAATCGAAAATCCTCGCGTTCACAAATTCTCGACAAAGATGTGACAATGTCGGGTACCAATGGAGAGCCAGCAGACGCAGAACCTGTCTCGGCGGTCACGAAGAACGCGACGCAGTGGCTGGACGACTCTGCGCATGTCACACGTGAAGTCTACATGCTACCATACCCGATGGAGGAACGGATACGAATGGGGCTGATGGCTCAGGTCCAGCTTGCCGCGGGCGATGACCCAGATAAGGAGGTGGAACGATTGATCCGTGAAGCCGAGGGTCTTGGTGCTGCGGAACCTCTGGTGCCAGCTCCACCAGTGGATACCCGAAAAGAGGAGGCTGCCAATGCGGCTGTGCAGGCTGCCTCTGCGGCTACTGAACCTGTACGACCAGCGGCATCTGGCTTTGCTCCAGCACCAAAACCAAAACCACGCGCGACGCTTGATCTTGATCTCTACGACCCCGATGATGACGATATGTAAAATCTCCCCAACTCAAGGGAAATACAGATGATAAAGAAGGCGTTCGACCTCGCCAAGGATATGGACAAGCCAACTAACACGGCTGAACTACATCCCCTGGTCAACGGCGGTATGAGCAAAATGATTGTGAAGGTACTGGAGAAGCTGCCCTAGTACGAGAACAGCTTGATTTATAGTCCCAGGCATCTTGCAAAATATTCAACTGAATCAAGCTATCATGGATTTGACAATCTTCGCCCACCATATAAGAAAGTTCAGGTACTATATACCTCAGGTACTTGAGAAACTTGAATAAGGCCTTTGATACTCATGCATAGAATTCCTAATGGCCGTTAAAGACAACGGCCTCGATCCATAATTTATCCAATTGAATCGCATCTATTGATATACATATAGCAAAACTTTGAGAGGAAAATGTAGTGCATTTCGCCAAGACTCTACGGATTTGACATTTCCATCTTATCTGATCGATAAGGACAAGCCATGATCAGCTCAACGAACTTAATGAGTAATCATTTCAACCAGCACTTGAGGATTACAGTATTTTACAGCTTGATGTGAGTAAATTGATGATAGTGAGAACAATGTTCTTTCACCAATTAATTTGCCAAGATGAACCAAAATATGAACAGAAATGTCTGGTTGGGGCGAGAGCCATGTGGGTCTCATCTGACCCAAGCTACTCCGATCTCTCCGCTCTTTTCTCCTCTTCCATCTGATAACCATGTTGCGTCTCAAATGGCTAGTCATCCTAAGCGCCCGCGCTTGGGGTGACTTCCTACCTGTAGATGAGCGATGTGTGACAGCCATCTACTCAGCATACAACTACGTTTCCTTTGCGGGGGAACCGGCCACCGGCATGTGGGAGACTCGATGCCAGAATCCACTCAAGGTCACGTCTATATATGCTGCCTCCGAAGTATACTGTCGGGATGCGGAGCGGGCGGCGGGTCTGGCGCAGATGGCTAGTGAATGTGAAGAGTTCGGCCATCGACAGCTGCTTCCGAGGGAGGCCGTTGCGGAAAACCTGACTGAGGATGCGATTCGGAATATGAGAACTGTGGCCTATCTAGAGATGGCTGGAGACGAAGTGTCTGACTTGCCAATCATGCTTTCTGCTTCTTATTTCAATCGAATGTACAATACTATCGATTATTGGCAGTTTGAGAGCTGGTCCCATCATGCTTTTGGGTAAGTACATTCACTGTATGTCAATATTCCACCATATATGCTGATACTTGACCAGTTATATTGGATATGCTTACTGGGGTATTTTGATCTTGCTGGGGATGAGCTACCGTTTCTGTCGTTGGGCAATTTATCATCGAAAGCCTCGGATGCAACGGGGAGTGGAATCACAGACATATCCGTTTCTCAATAAATGGCATGCTAATCCCTGGGTGGGACAAAGCATCCATTGGTTACAAACCCATCTCATTGTGGCAGCTCCGCTAGCATCACGAGGGCGGCAACTGCTTCTATGTACATTCTCGAACCGGGCAGAGGCCCTTGCCGTCGGAGGATTCTGGATCCTAAGCATTGTTCTCAGCCTGGTCGGGTACAGGACCTTTACGGGAAATATTTAGTGAGGAGACAATACTACCTCAAGCCGCGGATAGCATGCTAACAACGTCTAGCTGGCCGGATGTCCCCAGTCAACTTCTACGATATTCAGCAGACCGAACTGGCATCATGGCATTTGCCAACTTGCCCTTACTATGGCTCTTTGGTGGTCGTAACAATATCCTGATCTGGGCTACGGGTTGGAGCTTTGCTACATACAATATCTTCCATCGACATGTCGCCCGTGTGGCCACACTGCAGGCGCTGGCACATGCCACATTATACTTGGTAATTTATTTCAGGGGTGAGTTATGATCTTCTTACCTACTTCATCTGGACTTTATACTAATCCAAATTATAGCCAACAAGTTGTGGAAAGTCTTCTACAAGGTCTATATACTTTGGGGGATTCTGGTGAGACCTTCAACCTGCGGCTTATGCCAATGAAGACTAATCGTGATAGGCCGTCCTTGTGATGTTTCTCCTATCATTGGCATCGCTAGACCGACTTCGATTTTCTAGCTACGAAGTATTCTTGATCATACACGTCGTGCTTTCAGTCCTTACCCTTGTTGGATGCTTCTAGTGAGTTTCCGCACAGCAATTCAAAGTTGACCTTTCCCCACTGACCTAGTAGCCACACCACCATCTTCGAAGGGTATGAGTACTGGCAGTACCTATGGCCCTCCGTTGGTATCTGGGCATTTGATCGATTCTTACGCGTAGTTCGGTTATGCTATTGCAATGTCCATGTCAGCCTCACTGGACGCAACCTGATCCGCACTTCATCGGGCCAAATGACCTACGATGAGGAGACCGATGTGGTTAGGTTAGAAGTATCGCTTGCTACTCCCTTCATTCGTCCAACCCCAGGTGACTATTTCTTCCTGTACCAACCATTTCGTTGGAAGGGCTGGGAAAGTCACCCATTCACCGTTGGTGCTTGGTCATCAAATTTTGGATCGGTGTCACCTTCCAAGATGTCGAGAAAGTCCAACGAATCTTTGAGTGTCTCGCAGATTCCCCTGTTGCCGAGTAGGTCCCATGACCAAGAAGATCAAATACCCACAGAAGGATCGAATACGGCCAATGTACCACCTCTAAAAGCGATCTTCTGGATCCGTCCATACGATGGCTGGACGCGACAACTGCGCCAGCTATGCCTTCGCTCAAAATCTCAACCCGTCAATACGACCATCCTCCTCGAAGGACCATATGGACACCACTTCCCACTTTGGAAATATGAGTCCGTACTTATGATCGTAGGAGGCACGGGAATCGCATCAGCAGTACCATACCTCCAAGACCACCTCCAACGATCAAGACACGACTGGGACGAAGGAACCGGAGAAAAGACCCGCATCCGAGATATCGAATTAATCTGGACCGCGAAACAGGTCCCCTTTCTCAAAGATGTAGCTAGCAGGGAACTCAAGCCCCTGCTGACTCGCGAAGACTTTCAAGCTTCCTTTTATAGCACTGGATCCACTACCCCTGAGGATATGACCGAGTTCGGATATGGAATTATACCCGGTCGACCCCATTTGCAATCACTCATCATGAGTCGAGCGTGCGATACGTCGTCTGCTGGAATCTCGCTGGCTGTTTTGGCCTGTGGCCCGGCTGAAATGGCTGATGAGGCGCGAGGCGCTGCTCACCTCGCTATGCGACAAGGATACCGGATCAAGTATGTAGAAAAGTCATTTGCATGGTAGATGTTTGTTTTATACCAGTTATTGCGATATATTACGAGCCTTAGAAATGAATTAGCATGATTATACCCTTGAAGCACTCCCTCTATCTGTGCCTGGAATATAACATCCCCGCGATTGGCGTTGGCTAAATCTAGTTCTTACAGATAGCCATGGCCCTCCCTCAACTTGTTACCTATTACCGAATACCTTTTTAGAGGGAATGAGCTCCCTTATACACATTACAAAACAAAGTTGGAAAGTCCAATACATGTACAAAGATCAGAAACGGATGAAAATGGTACACTTTTATCTGCAATATTGAAATCGACATCTACCTTGACAACCTGTGCTTTTGGTATAAATCACAACTTTCTCATGACGTGCAAAGAAAAAAAGGCATAGTATGCGCTCGTAAATGTAGATGAACCAAAAGCCCAGTTATTAATCAATGTATTTGGGAAGTGTCTTCATGATACCGTCTCGGGCAATATCCTCCATGGCCGTAGTCATCTCCTCAATGAACCGCTTGTCATTTCGAAGATCATCACCGAACAAATTCTTAATGCTCAAAAGCTCAGCCGGGTTGGTGCCACCGGCGCGAGCCTTAGCCTGGAGCTCTTCACGCATGGGATCCTCAACCTCGAAGGCTTTGCCACTGTCATCGTAACCATTCAGGTAACGGAACCAAGCAGCCGCGACGAAACACAGACGGCGGAAGGGGGCAGTGTCCCAGATTGCCTCGGCGATAGAAGGCATGATAAACTGGGGGATCTTGCCAGAAGCATTAAGGCAGACACGAGGCAGCTGATCCATGATAGTTGGGTTAGAGAAACGCTCCATCAGCGTGTTACAATATTCATCAATATTAACGCCGGGAATATCAGGCAAATGCGGCTTGACCTCGTCCTGCATCATTTGCCAGACAAAGCGGCGGAAAAGCGGGTTCTCCATCACTTCGTGAACATATTTGAAGCCGGCAAGTTGGCCTGGGTAGCCGATGGCGGAATGGCTACCGTTCAGCAGGCGCAATTTGTGCTTCTCGAACTCCTCGACCTTGTGGACGTTGGTCACCAGCTGAACACCGACCTTATCGAATGGCGGGCGACCATCGGAGAAATGGTCCTCAATCACCCATTGTGTGAAGGGCTCAGTGACGACGGGCCATCCATCCTCGATACCGAACTTATCCGCGAGGGCGGTCTTATCAGTAGCGGATGTCTGCGGGGTGATACGGTCGACCATAGCATTCGGGAAATGGCCTTGCTCGTGAATCCAGTCGGCGAGTGTGGGATCGCGCAGGCGCGCAAATGATGTAAGCATGTGGCGAGTAATGGCGCCGTTCTTCTGCATATTATCGCATGACATAACAGTGAAGGGCTTCAGACCGGCCTCACGGCGGCGAGCCATAGCAGCGTAGAGGAAACCAAATGTAGTGCGAGGAGCTTTCTCATTTGCGGAATCGAGATCAAACTGAATATCGGGATGTTCGCGTTGAAGCTCGTGGGTGTTCTCGTTGTAATAGTAGCCACTTTCGGTGATGGTCAGGGAAACAATGTGGGTATCAGGGTGGGCCATTTTGGCGATAACGGCCTCGCGATCATCCGGGGCAAAGAGGTAGGAATTGATGCTACCAATGACGTGGGAAAAGCTACCCTTGGCGGACCGTTCAATGAGGGTGTAGAGGTGATCCTGGGATCTCAAAACATCACGCATAGTAGCGTCGAAGGGCTGCAGGCCAACACCGCAAATCGCCCAATCAGTCACACCTTGCTGCATCAGAAGGTCGACATAGTATGCCAAGTGTGCTCGATGGAAACCGCCCACGCCAATGTGGACAATTCCCTCCTTAACAGCGCCACCTCGAGAGTAGGTTGGGACCTTGACTTGCGCCTCACCTGCCGCAGCAATCTGCGAGAGGTTCTTGTTGTTAAGCTTTAGGGGAGCCATGACTGGAATTGGATGGCAAATGAAGGTGTAGGATGAAAAGGAGGAGGGGAAAAAATGAGTTAAAGAGACGAAATGTAGGTCACCGCCAGGTCCGCCACTACAGAACCGGAAAGTGTCCAGCGAGTGATATTGCATCATAAAGTGGGGCTGGATCCGGGGCGTTGTGGAGTACTGAAGACGTCTTTGGCCTCTCACATCTTTCCTTTCTTTGACATTTCTAGCATTCCCAACAGGGCAGAGATCCAGATCCGTGGATCATGGAACGTGCGCGACGCCTTAGCTTTGATTATTTTTGCCTCTGAGATAATAAAAAAGTTGTATGATGTAATATACCCAGTTTTGTACCTGATAACAATTCATTGTACTCCGGTCTTATCTCATCACAACAGATCATATAATTCTTAGTGGTGTAATCCCCAATACGGGCCTGGTTTAAAAAGCACTGACTCCGGGATATTCCTAACATTCCTAGCAAACTTCCGATTTCCTTAGCCGACATTCCGCCCGCACATTCGACCGTTTTAGCTCATTATGTGCACAGCCGATTGAATGCAGATGATTCTGGGCATTATAAACTCTTTCTGAACACGTCTCATTCCATCCTTGACATACTCATTCAAGTCGTACAGTTCGCGCTTAAAATTCGTCACCGGAAGCGGCAAATGTGGGACCAGGCATTTGGATGAAATCACAATGCAGCTGTTCGGATGGGAATTCTACTGTCCGTGCCTCCAGTGAGTATTCGGCAAGTAGGTATACTACATTGTGCCGTTTAAACATCATGCTTGAGAAGCTGTGTTTTTGGTAAGATCTCGCAGTCAAAGATTGACTTGAGTATGGCTATTACTTGCTGGAACATCTCAGCATTAAGATTGGTATTTCACCATAGCAGGAAGCACCTTCCGAATCGATGACAGCGAGCAATGTCTACTTGAACTGATTGGTTTCCAGATCGAAGTACTCTTGAGTACTGAGTACATGATAAGGTAATGACGTGTTTCTTTCTCATAGCGTGGCTTATCTGGCGTACCTGGCTTATCGCTTCTTCATGCCTCAGGTGTCAATTTATCCGCGGGACCGGAGCCAACTTTTCCTCTTTGGGAATTTTCTTTTTCTCGAAGTGGCGTGAATCGAGGAGGGCTTGTCCTGCTGGGCGAAGGAGAAATTGCCAAATCTCTCCTGCTGGTCCATATCATTCACTAATTTATCTCATTCATCATGATGAGCGCTACGGAGGAGCCTATCCACGGTAAGTCAAAACACGATCTACAGCTCTTGAAGATAGTGGGACTGATAAGAATGTCTCCCTTGCGCAGTGCTCGACTTACCCCAGACCTACGAGAAACCCTCCGGCACCGATCTCCTCAATGCGCTGACACTGTTAGCCCTGCAGCCTAAGGCCTTTGGAACTAGCCCCGAGGTAGCGAAGGGCCCAGCTGTGCAACCTGCGGGGGTGAATCGGTATCTCACCCAGATCATTTCGAGCCCGCTATCATGGCTCGAGACCGATGAACTGCGAGAGGCAGTGTGGGATGCGGCGGCGGCTCGTTTGAGCGAGCGCTCAGGCCGTGCTGGTAAGTGTCGCCCGGTTGGTTCTCAAATGATGCTTGCCAGACTGACCGGTCGCCTTTCGGTGTAGCGATGCCGGCCATGTCGCGAGTTTTCTCGGTCCCCACTTCCTCCGGCCAAGATCACTCAATCACCTTGCACGAGCCATCCCTCACGGCGGATAACCTGGGTATGAAGACCTGGGTCTCTTCATACCTCCTGTCCCGCAGACTCCATAAATTTATCGAAGGACCCGCGGATCTCGTGCCATCTGGCCCCACCAATCCCTCAACCACACCCGCAAAATCAAAGAAGCCGGTCCGAGCCCTTGAACTTGGATCCGGTACAGGATTAGTCGGACTTTCCTTCGCAGCCCTTCAAGGCAAGTCAGCAACGGTGCACCTGACCGATCTTCCCGAGATTGTACCAAATATCGCACACAACTGTGCTCTGAACGTTGAGCTTCTCAACAAAACTGAGGCAAAGGTAACCACTGGTATTCTGGACTGGTCTATTGTTCCCACGCCACCCACAGCGGAAGAGCGATACGACGTGATCCTCGCTGCTGACCCGCTGTACTCGCCAAGCCACCCTGGATGGCTTGTGCAGACGATTGGATCCTGGCTGGGACGTGGGCTTAGTGCACGCGTTATAGCGGAAATGCCCCTGCGAACTCCGTATCTTCCCCAGGTGCAAGAATTCCGCAAGCGGATGGCAGATCTTGGTCTGGCGGTGATTGAGGAAGGTGAAGAAATCGGATACGATGACTGGGAGGGAGCCGATGGAGATGTATTACCAGTGAAGTGCTGGTGGTCGATCTGGGCATGGAGCGAGAAGGTATAACCCCTGGTCCAGATCAAGCCCCGTCGTAGTGGTGCAACATAACGAATAGATGATACATGATAAACCTGCTAGAGGTTAGATATAGATGAATACATGGAGTCAAGATCGATAAGGTTGAAATTGAGAAGTAGAGGTTGATGTTGAAGGTGAAGAAAAGCCCGCACACGGTCACATCAGGTGGGGGACAATGACGTCGATATAAGGAACAGTAAGACTGGTGATTTTTCCCAACACATCTCATTAACCACAGGATTATGTTCTAATTTCAATGATAATGATTTCTATTTCCGAGATTCCAGACCTTGGGAGAACTCATCATACATTGATTTGAAAGTCAAGTTACCCCAGTTCCTCTCCTCCCAATGACCCAATAATGTCGACCTGAAAGCATAGGATTACTAAATAAACACTCCAATCTGCTCTTGTGTAGCTTTTCCAATCCAATCAGGAACATACAGAGGCCTCGATTGAGTCACTTCAATGGCATCTAGAACATCTGCCCCCGTGCCTACTCTTGTAACAATGATATGTACCAAAGTGTGACAAGAGTGAATAGAAAGTTGTGGATTTAGATCTTCAACTTGCCCCTCCATTTTCGCTGATCTACTACTTATTTTCTAGGGCAATGTCATGTAAATCAAGGGTGATATGGGACGGTGGAACAGATCGTGCAACGGAATCTGGGGAAACTTAAGAGGCAGAACTGAATATTATGGATGATTTGTAGCAGAGCTGCGGTGCCTTTACCTGATGATTGGGAATTTTCGCCCATCAGCACATATTTCCTGGCAGTGATAAGTTTTGAAACTGCTGGTGTACTGAATGTCCTTCCTATCAAGGCTATTCAGCATTCCCTACTTGTGTAAGGAGGATTGACAGTCTATAGGCGGGTGAACTCGGTCTTATCAAAACTGCGTGCTACGTGTGTAATTAGGCAATGTTCTGGTCGATAAGCATTATACGAAGACCATGGATACTTTTTTGGGGCATCGAACCCGCTAAACAAAAGAATCTCTCTATCATCCTCTATAGTACATCCAATCGGCTTCCCTCCCGACTTCCCTCCCGGCTGAGAACCCTGGTTATACTACCCAGTTTGGAGAATCATTTGCCAGGAGAGTTGAAGTAACTCTTATCGATTCATCTAGATTTGCCACCTCACATGCCAGGTGATCAAGTTCAAGCCACAATCGACATCTATCTATCATCGAATTGACATTTTGATCGCTCCCATTATCTTCCAAGAAGTCATATCCAGCACATCAGTGTGTTGGAGCTTTTGGGTGAATCTGATCCTGCAGACTGAATAGGTCTTAGTTATTTCGAACTGGCATTGGGACGTAGTGACAAGATGTATGTTGATGCCCATTTTGATATCGGCAAATATGACTCGTTCATCTTCGTCGGCTGACTCGTTCATCTTCGTCGGCGGGTTCTATTACCTTTATCGGTACTCTGGAACAGTGGCTTCCCACCTGACCGGAGCAAACATTGAAAAGCCGTTAAGCTAGATGAGCTAAACATATAAGGGCGAGACATGAATATTCTCAGCACACTTCAGCTTCAGGGACATTTCCTCTCAGATTCTCCAGCACCATGACTACCATGCTGCACTATCTCGGCTTCGGGAACAAGGCTCCCTCCAAGAAACAAGTGAAAGACACCCCAGTCCGAGCTTTACCTGCATCATGGTATAAATCACCTGAGATGTACGAGTTGGAGCGTCGAGCCATCTTTTCCAAAAGATGGCTTTTCATCACCCACAGCTCGCGAGTCAAACAACCAGGCGATTGGCTTCGTTATGAATTCGCCGGTTTCGACTTCATCATCACTCAGGGCCGGCAAGGGGATCTGAATGCATTCCATAATGTCTGCAGGCATCGTGCGTACCCAGTTGTTGAAAAAGAAGGATCTGGAAACTGTAAGATCCTATCATGTCGCTATCACGGCTGGTCCTACGGATTAAATGGCAAGCTCGCGAAAGCGCCTGGATACAAAGACCTGAACAACTTCAACAAGGACCAGAACAGTCTATTTCGAATCCATCTCAAGATCGACGTCAACGGGTTTATCTGGGTCAATTTGGATGCAAACGAGGTCCCGGAGGTGCCTTGGGAAGAGCACTTTCGTGACGTGGACACGCAGGAGCGATACAAGGAATACAACTTCAATGATTATGATATAGATCATACTTATGAGCTGGATGGACAGTACAACTGGAAGATCCTGGCTGATAACTTCAATGAATGTTACCACTGTCCCACAACACACCCCGACATCCCCGAATTCCTCAACCTCGACTCCTTCGACAGTGACCTCAAAGACGGACATATTCAGCACCATTGCATTTCAACCCCCGAGCAGAAGGCAAAGGGTCTTTACACTGCCAGTACTTACTACTTTCCGATGTCAGCTATGGTTGTTTCGTATGCATTCCGATTTTTATCCTACAGTTATCCAATCACATGTTTGCTAACTCGGTCTACCTCTAGGCCACATTTTATCATGATTCAGAAGTTCCTCCCCATAAGTGCCAGCTCCTCCAAGATGGCGTACGAAATCTACCGAAACAAAAATTCCTGCGACGAGGATTTCCACGCCATCAGCGACATGTACGAGCGTGTCATGAGAGAAGACAAAGTTCTTTGTGATTATGCACAGAAGAACCTTGACCGAAATGTTTTCGTCAACGGCGAGCTTCATCCTAAATACGAAAAGGCTCCGCTCTTCTTCCAGAGCACTGTCCGCGAGGCTATCACAGAACAATTTGAGCGGGAGAAGGCTGAAGGGCGGGAAATCTGGCCAGCTAAACAGAAGGTATCGTGCAATTCCCAAATTAGTGACAAGGATGAGGAAATTTGTGCTTCTCTCAGCTGCGGAGCTAAGAGAGAAGTTTTGGCTTGGTAAGGACATTTGACAAAGTAGCATAGATTGATTATTTGAAGGAAGCCGTTATATACAAATTGAGTATACAGTGCATGATGCTATCTTCACAGACTCTTTGTAGTTCATTTTGTTGTCTTTTTAAGTTCGGGCTGTCGGGCGGACATGTAATTAAGAATCGCCAATACAAATCCTTCCTTCCCCACCAACTTTCTCCACTGTAATCACCAGCCATCTCCTATGAGATAAAGCCCCTCAAAAGATATCTATCATGGATCGCTCATCTCCAGAGCGTTCCCCACGTAACTCCGCCAACCCATCCACATCCAGCAGTTTGAGCTATCGTCCCAGTCCCAATCAACCTTATCCAGATTCCCCAAATATGGATGCTCCAATTCCCGACGACCAGCATGGCGCTGATTTACCGATGAATATGACAGCATCGATCATGCTTACTGGTCTACCTCGTGATGCCCAGCAAGCACTCGTCGATGTGGAACGTATCGATGAAGGCAAAGGTACGTTGTACCAAGCCGATGTTGTCCCTCCCATCACCAACCGTGATGGACGCCATATTTCCCGGTAAAAGCGACATCCCTTTATCCTGCGACTAATGTGAAGCCAGTTACTGTCCGTTTTCAACCTTTGCCCTCGGCTCCAATTCTCAAAAATCGGGTATTCAGGATCAGCGCGTCGCAGAAGTTCGAAACAGTTGTCAAATTCCTTCGCAAGAAGCTAGACTGCAAACCCACGGACTCGGTGTTCTGCTATGTGAATAGCGTCTTTGCGCCCGGTCTCGATGAGGGCATTGGTGGACTCTGGAGGGTAAGATCTACTTCATTCCTTACCGCCGTCACATCTAACAATCCACAGTGCTTTAAATCAGACGATCAATTAATTGTCGCCTACTCGATGACGCCGGCATTCGGCTGAGCCGCTTCAACTAGCCACCCAGCACGAACTGATGATCTTATGTACAAATGATGACCCATGACATGTTACAATCGTTATTTTAATATTTTGCATCCACCTCCTTTTCGAACTTAGCTAGTTCTTCCGGTGAGATTGGGTATGTGTATTCCTTTGAAGGAAACGCGCGACTTTTGACCTCGTCGCGATACTGTACAGCTCCGCGTGTGGCTTCGGCCCATACATCGGCGTATTTCTTGACGAATTTCGGCACGAACCGACCGGGCTGGAAATTACCCATCATGTCCACTTGCACGAGGACCTGGCCTGAGCATCCATTGCCAGCACCAATCCCGATCGTCGGGACTTTGAGCTTGCTTGTGATAAGTGTTGCGACCTCCGCAGGCATTGCTTCGAGAACAAACATGAACACGCCTGCTTCTTGCATGACCATCGCGTCGCGCATGAGCTGCATCGCACTGGCACATGTCTTTCCTTGGACTCGGAAGCCACCGAGCGCATTTTGACGTTGTGGTGTAAGTCCCACATGGCCAACGACGGGGATCCCAGCCTGGGTGATCCGCTTGATGGTTGGGCCTAATTCCTCCCCTCCTTCAATCTTCACGCCATGCACACGACCTTCCTTCACTAGACGAAGTGATGACTCCACGGCTTGTTCTGGGCTCACCTCGTATGAACCCATAGGTAAATCACCAATCTGCACCTGTCAGTTATAGTTCTTACCAAGCAATTCACCCTCACTTACAATCAATGCAGTTTTTGCGCCGCGGACGACACTCCGACAATGCATGATCATTTCCTCCATCAAAACCTCGGTTGTGTTTTCCAATCCCATCGCCACCATCCCTAGGCTATCACCGACTAAGACGACATCAATCCCGGCCGCGTCAGCGACATGGGCACTGGGGAAGTCATGGGCTGTAAGCATAGTAATTGGTTCGCCCTTTTTATAGAGGTTTCGTATTGTTTGGAGGGTAACCTTCTTGCGCGTATTAGGACCATGATCGGGCGAGGAGTAGGAGCTGTATCGGATTTGAGAGGAAAGCGGCGGCGAAGAAAGGGGAGAGGGAGAGCGGAGGCAGAAGGTATTGGTCTGGGGTCGTCGAGCAGTGCGCGATGCGCCAGGTCTTAAAGACACTGCTGTGCAAACAGATCGCGAGAGGGGTCGCATGGTCAATCGAGGGGCAGCCATAGCGGCGAAAAAAGGTGCTGGAGCTGCGCGGAAGCCCAAAGCAGTAATGAAAGTAGCTGAAAGAGTTCGAAATACACTGCAAAGCACTTGTCCTTGAGCTTGAACCTCCAAGAATCGCGAATTCCCTTATGGTAGGCAAAGATGGAAACAAAGAGCTATGTCGCGATAATGACCTCACCAGAAGCCGAGGCAACTCGGCACGCGCCTCGATAGAGGCAAAAAACAAAAGTTATACCTAGTCGACGCGATCCAACATAGGGACAGTCGACTGTTATATAGTATTTGTTTTCCGTTTGTCCGGACGAACGTGCTGGGCTATGCGGCGTAGACGGGAGCATCTCCATAAAAAAAAGGTGATGCAGTTCAGAATTATCTGATCGGCAAAACTGCACCGCAAGAGCTCTATCGTATCGGCGTTTTGGTATTTCACACACGTCACGTAATTTTCATATCCGCACGGTCCGAGTCCTGTCATTGTACAATTTTAATATTAGCAACTGGATTTATTGTATTCTGTGTGTAATCTAATATTGAGCACTCTTTTCAACTGTCATTGCATCTTTTCCGATATCTATATGCCTTCTTAATGTATTAGCGTAGCTAATTTGCCTGTCTAGAAGCACTTCAAATTTTGAGAACATTCGGTTTGTCTCGGCTTGAGGCGGGTGACAACAGTCCTCTACAATCGACACAAAACGAAAGCTGTACAAATTTCAATAGAACTTGGTCGTTAAATAGCAATTCTTAGGCGTTGACAACGTTTTTCCATCTCAACTTTGGTGCCGTAGTTCAATTCCTTGATCCGTTAACGACATTACTACTGGTAGGTTGGTGGTCAATTGCGGTGAACAGTCCTTGACCTCACTACGCTTGACCCGTACAATAAAAACTGTCATACAGGCACCATGTACCTATTAATCAAATGGCACTTTTTATTACTTTTACTTTAAAGCTCGATAAACTATGGCCTAATCCCTATTGCTAACGTTGAACTTCATACTAAAAGTATAGGGAAGTGGTAAAGTTGAGATGAATTTCTATGGTGATACGGATCTCTGCATGGAGTAGGACTTATTACTGTAGATAATTACCGTAGATAGATGATTGCTCCTCATATTTTGGACCCTTTTAGTTTTAAAGTATGTGGGAGTGGCAATTCCCGTCGAAATCAAATTCGACTTGATTCCGGGACCGGTACTTAGTCAAGGCAGTTAACTTGAAACCCCGCGCCACATGGAGAGTGATGGGCGTATATTATATCTCGACTCAAACGAGTTACCTGCATTCCAATGGATTAGTGTTGATGAGGCTTTATCCGAAATTGAAATACTTAAGACTGCTTTGTCGATCTCTTTGGTGGAGTTGTGCTATAGACCGTGACGCGAGCCTTTTTTTTTTCCTAGTTCGTGCGAACGCAACACCTGAATTCATGAATAGAGTATGCATCATTCTACTTATATACCGTTCATCTCATCTATATTCCTTTGAAGCGGACTTTCAGCATCTGTGTTAAGAGTGTTCGGTGAGTAAGAATAACGGTTTGGGTGGGTCAGTGAAACTTGAAAAACGGCAGAATCAGATCGATTTTCGATTCGGCGATTATAGCAAAGGCCGTGAGTGTCTATTCAGACCTATCTTTCTAGATCTAGATCACATAATGTATATTTAAATTGGCATGGAATTGGATTGTGGAAGGAGTCAATGAAGTTGGTGTACGATGTATTGTTGTTGGAGTAATGTGGGTCATGTCGGCAGTCTCTTTCGAGAAAATTCTCTGAATTGCAGCTGTGGGACTCATTTGTCATCGCTTCGTCAGAATGTATGTCTGAACACCGATGCCGAGCGCAAAGTTCCGCTGTGGGTCAAATACTTCAAATGGAGTTCAATGGTATAAGAGACCCCTGTCCTGCACGTGAACCTTGTTCAATCAATACCCAAAGTTTCTAATTATACAACCCATAAAATATGTCTCTCAAGCCAATTGTTCTCTACGGCCATGGCCCCGGCCCAAACCCGTGGAAGGTCGTCATGCTCCTCGAGGAGCTCAACATTCCCTACGAGTACAAAATTGTCGACTTCGCCGACATAAAGAAGGAGCCCTTCGTGTCTATAAACCCGAATGGCCGTGTTCCCGCCATCGAAGACCCCAACACTGGCATCACCCTCTGGGAGTCTGGCGCCATCCTCGAGTACTTGGTCGAGACCTACGACAAGAAGCGCACCGTCAGCTTTGAATTCGGCTCAAAGGACTACTTTCTGGCCAAGCAATGGTTGCACTTCCAAGTGTCTGGCCAGGGCCCTTACTTCGGTCAGGCCGTCTGGTTCACTCGCTACCACTCGGAGCAGCTCGAGAGCGCTAAGGAGCGTTACTACAAGGAAATCCGGCGTGTCTCTGATGTCATGGACAAGTACCTGGCCGATAAGGAATACCTTGTTGCTGGCAAGTTCAGCTATGTCGATCTTGCTTTCATTCCCTGGTTCCAGATGCTCGGCATGATTGGTATTGATGTGTCCAAGGAGTTCCCTCACCTTGACGCGTGGTTGACTCGCCAGAAGGCCCGGCCCGCTATTTCTAAGGCTTTGAAGTTGCGCGGGGAAGCTATAGCTGCTCACTCTCACTGAATGGTATGATATAATTAGAGCCTGGTTAAGAACTTAGAAAGATGATCCTACATCACGGGAGAAAGATATTAGAGTAGACATAGAGAAAAGCTCAATGGAATCTCTTACGCTCCAGTAAATTGGAAGCATGATATCGCGGACCAAGTATTGAATTGGCCTCTTTCCAACGAGTACGAGAATGATTGTATGACGGGCATAGTTAACTACTTCGTAGACTAATTATTTACAACATTAGAGTAATTAGTATGGAGAACTGTGGGAATGTACTATTCCTCTTTGGGAAGTACCGTGACGCCTCACGTGCTAGATCCCCGCGATAAGCTGATAACCTCCTCATCGTCATAGCCTCCAGTCACATCAACCCCGGTTTACTCGTCTATCATCATGGCTCATTCACGTTCACGATCTCGGGGACGGTCCTGGCAGGGACCAACCCTAGCTGGTCTCTTTATGTCGGTGGTGCTGTTTCCTGGGACAGTATCTGCTAACTATCGCCTCCCTTCTATGCAAGCCCCCATCTTACCGCCACAGATACCGTTGGGGGAGGCAGAACCATCAGACTCCCACGAGTTTGTAAGTGAATCCAGAGGGATGTGTGATGTATTTTGTCTAATAAACCTAGTCACTTCGCCATATTTTCCATCGAGGTTCCTCCGAGCAGCCTGACCTCCATGCCCGATTAGACGTTCGCCCCGATACCCGCCTGTTGACTCTCTCCGAAGATGGCATCGAGGAGGTCATTACGGCACACACCCCTTTGATCGCTAGATCCAGCCCTCTCACTATACATCGCATGGCGGATCGCCGTATATCAGTTATTGAAGAACACCTTGCCACAGCACGGCTATCAGGTTCGGTGGAGGCCATGTCACCATCGGAATGGGTGATGGACACCCTTCCCGGCCCAAACGTTACAGACAAGGATACAGTTCTCACATTTGCTAAGATGACGGCAAATGATTATATTGAGGAACCAGGTACCGCGGACTGGGAGACCATCCATGGCAAATTCAACTATTCGCAAAGTTTTGGTTGGCAAACCGATGGACTCAGAGGGCATATTTATTCCGACAAAGCCAACAGCACAATCGTCATTTCCTTGAAGGGTACTTCTCCAGCCCTTTTTGATGGTGCGGGTACCACGACAAATGACAAGGAAAACGATAATCTGCTTTTCAGTTGCTGCTGCGGACAAGGAGGATCATACCTGTGGAGACAGGTTTGCGATTGCCAGACTACGACTTATACGGCCAATTTAACTTGCATCGTTGAGGCCATGAACGATGAGAATCGATATTACAGAGCTGCCATCGATCTCTATACCAATGCGAGCGCGCTTTACCCTGGTGCAAACATTTGGCTAACTGGCCACTCCCTGGGCGGTGCCCTGTCAAGTTTGCTTGGCCTTACATTTGGAGTACCGGTTGTCACCTTTGAGGCTGTACCGGAAGCGCTGCCCGCAGCCCGATTGGGTCTTCCAAGCCCTCCTGGCCATGACTCACGGCTTCCGCAAACCCGACAGAACACGGGGGCTTTCCATTTTGGACACACGGCAGATCCGGTTTATATGGGCACCTGCAACGGCATCAACTCGATCTGCACATGGGGTGGATATGCCATGGAATCCGCGTGCCACACCGGTCAGATGTGTACTTACGACACGGTGGCCGATAAGGGCTGGCGCGTGGGCATTGGCACCCACAAGATCAGGAATGTGATCTCTGATGTTATAGAAGTGTACGACGATGTTCCACCATGTGTTCCCGAGGAGGAGTGTTATGACTGTGTACTGTGGAAGTTCTTCCGCAGCAATGGCTCCGAGGTCACCACAACCACTTCAGCGACGACCACATCGCCGACTCTTACCCGAACCGACACTTGTAAAACTCCAGGCTGGTGGGGCTGTCTGGATGAGTCGACCACTACAACGACCACTTCGACCACCTCTACATCCACCTCAACCTGCAAGACACCGGGTTGGTTCGGATGCAACGACCCGACAACCACCACTACCACGAGCACCATCACCAGCACATCCACGTCTTCAATCACTAACCCGAGTTCAACTTGCAAGACGCCCGGTTGGTTTGGTTGTAACGACCCGACAACTACGGCCACAGCCACCCCAGCGCCTACCATGGTCACAACAATCCCGACGGCAACTTCAACCAGCTGTCATGATCCAGGATGGCTTGGATGTAATGACCCGTCAACGACCACTGATTCAAGACCGGCATATTCAACATGCACAACCCCAGGTCTGCTGTGGGGATGCTGGGATGAGCCAACAAGCACTCCCACCATCACTTCTCCACCTACATCGATACCCACCACATCGTCTCCCAATCCCAAGACATGCACTCACAAATTCCTTGGATTGATCTGTCTGGATTGAAATTATTAATCCAAGATATTTTCCCTTTGCAGATTCATTGAAGAACAATCCGCCTTGGAGAATTTGAACTTGATATACAAGACATATGACCATGCAAGCGTACATTCAAGCATTTGGTTTCACTCTTATTTTTTTTTCACTTCTATTGGACGGCGTTACAGTTTGGAGTTAATTTTTTGAGCCTACTTTAGAGTCAGATTTTGGTAGTATCATACCCAGTCCTAGACAATGTAATCTCTTTGGAATTGCAACATTACAAATTTGGCCAAGCGCAGGGTTGGTGCGCGTTGAGAGGAATCGGTGAGTTGAACCCCTTGCATGGACTGCGGGAGGTAATAGCCTTTACCGACAGATTCATCGACAAGGCACCTCTTATAAGTACGTTCAAGGCGCACTAGCAGCAAGCTAAGATTCGTTGTTCCCTGTTGAGTGACTTGCTTGCAGGGAACCTCTCGATATGCGAACCTCTGCGTTACATGACTTGCGACGCGTGGCTGGCTCCGCCCGTGCCACTGACGCCTGCGCCGCCCAAGCCAAATCGTTAAGACTCTCCAACTCAGTTGAAATGACGTATCTGCAGGTCTTCCAGCATTGACAAAAACTTATGCATGTACAGTCAGCTTTTAGTTACCTCCCATTTACGGAATACAGGGATGACAAAAACAAAAGCATTTCCACCGTCTAATTCAGTGAGAGTCAGGGCATCAAGAGGATCACAATATGAAGGACCTAGGTACCTGGTGTCTGTTGAGTGAAACAAAACAATATCAAAGTCGCGAGGGAATTCCAAGATTGTGGCAAAGCAGTAAAGCTTGCCGAGCCCAGCCACACTAGCGGTGACGTCGAAAATTCAATAGTGCAATCGGGGATCCTCCGACCTGATCCAGCCCAATATTTGGCTATTTTCCAGGATTTTCTTTACCGGAAGATCTGACTGTCGATCACCTCAGCGCCATCTGAGACTACTTTTCTCTTTGTGAACGCGTTCTAGTCAATTGGACTCGAATTGTTAGCCAATGGAGTCCTGTCAAACGTGCAGCGTTCAAAGACTGGGATTCGTACTGGAAATGAATCCTGCAGCCTGAGAATACATCATAGCTCGCAAAGCTTTACCTCCAGTCCTGGGAAAATCCTTGAAAGTCAAATCCCGCGCGCCCAAAGGGTTCCACAGGGGTCTTTAGTTAATTCAGACGAGCCTATCGGGATCAGCGCCACTGTGGGGCATATTGGGAGCAAGCTGTCTCCGCTGACGATCAGGTCCCAATCGAGGTCTCGATCATACTATTCATGATTTCATTTCGACTCCCCACAAGGTCTGTGGGTAGATGCATCCTCTCTCCAGCCACGTTGGCTGGGTAGCACTGATGCAGGACAGCAAAGCCAAAAAGCTAAATAGAGACGCGGAGACCAACCAGGAAATCAACACAGCCGATCGGTCTGGATTTCGGTTTGTTTTTGTTTTTTTTTGGCCTTTATTTTGTTTTTTTTCCATAATCATTTCCCCATCTAGTCTAAGGGTTGCCGGTTCAGATGGATACCTGCAGTTTGCTCTAAGCTGGAATATCCCAGTTTTCCCTTCTTATAAAAACCTGGCGCACCACTGGTGACATCTCACTTTTGTCTCTCACTCCCAACCATTTCATTCTCACCGGCCCCTTGAGATACCCTCTCCTCACATCAAACCGACATCATGAAGTCAATCTCCGTTGCTATGGCCATGCTGGCCGCTGCTGGTATGGCCTCCGCTAGCGTTTCTGCCTCAGACTGCGCTGTAAGTGCCTGAAAGTGAGCAAGGTTTTACTAGACCTTCCAGCTAATGAAGCTTGTAATAGCAAATGTGTATCTCCAACATGAACGCCAAGGCCTCTGAGCTCGGCTGCACCTCTGGTGATATGGATTGTTTGTGCAAGAACCAGGACTACGCCTACGGTATCCGCGATTGCACCAAGGAGGCTTGCCCCAGCGACAACGCCGAGACTGTCCTCTCCATGGCATTGGCGAGCTGCCCCAGTATGTAGACCCATTCTCTAAATGATAAAATACATGACTCACGATCTACGCAGGCAGCTCATCCACTGCGTCCAGCACTGGCACCGAGTCAACAACTATCACCTCAAGTGTCTCGGGTACATCGACTACTGAGACCCTACCTGTCACTGGCATGACCACGATCACCACAAGTGTTTCGGGCACGCTCACCACTGAGACCAAGCCCATCACCACTGACAGCACCACGATCACCACAAGTGTTTCGGGCACACTCACCACTGAGACCAAGCCCCTCACCACGATCACCACAAGTGTCTCGGGCACACTCACCACTGAGACCAAGCCCATCACCGCTGACAGCACCACGATCACCACAAGTGTTTCAGGCACACTCACCACTGAGACCAAGCCCCTCACCACGATCACCACCAGCGTCTCAGGCACACTTACCACCGAGACCAAGCCTGTCACTGCCAGTGAAACGACCATCACCACCACCGGCAAGACCACGCTGACTACCTCCGTCTCGGGAACCCTGACAACTGAGACCAGCGCTGTCACCAGCACTGCTACATCCACTGGCACTGAAACAGCTCCTTCCGCAAGCACAAGCACCGGTGCGGCCGCGATGGCTACTCTCGGCAGCTCTGCCTTCGGTGTTCTCGGTCTGGCTGCCATGCTGATCCTGTAAGGGATCTCCTGCGGACTTGGGTAATAAGTGTAATAAGTGGTGTGGATATGGATACGGGATGATGAATATGGTATCTTTAATGTCAATCTAATGAAGTTATGCTCTACATGGGCACGCACAGTCAATTAGCCTTTCAGGACCTCAGTACTACGGAGAGGTGAAGTCTGCCTTTATGATTATAATGAAGCCATTTAAAGCGATGACACATCCTACAGTAGTCAAGATAAGTACACTAGTAGATACCCCTAGCATACTGTAAGGAGGTATGTACGTTAGCATGTACCCCAAATTCCAATGACCGGCCAGTCTAGGACTACAAGGGGCATTTGACTGAATTTTAAAAGTCTAGATAGCACAAGTAAATTGGTAGTACCAACAATGTACTCGCGTCATTTTCCAGTCCACTGTCTGTCCATTCAGTACTCCAGATATCTTTGTCAGTCCTCCTTTGTTTTTTTTTCTCCCCTGTCCGCGCTGTTCCATTGTCTCATTCATCTTTCAAGCCCACATCTTCTTGAACTTCTCATCAAATTCAGTCTGGAGGGCGTTGAATGCCTTGTAAACCAGGGTCAAGGATTGCAGGTTGTCCATCTTCCGCCCTGGCTGCGTATTTGAGGGCTCCTGTTGCACCGGAGCTTGTTCCTCCTCATCCATATCGTCTTCCCAACTGTCCAACGGTTGAGCAGTCCGAAGGTGCTTCTTAACCGAAGCAGATGGAGCTACCGACGTATGAACTTTACCTGCTGGGGTCGTTGAAACCTTCTTTCCAGGCTCATCCTTCACCTCAACATCAGCTATGTTGTCATCAGCCTCAACTTCACGCAGTTCACCGCCACCGGTAACATCAAGCATGTCTACATCTGAGTTTCCTCGAGGGTTGAGAATATTCCCTAAGCTAGCAGTGACGACTCTCAGAATCATGGAGAAATCATTCAGTTCATACCAGACATCACCCCTGCGGACGCCATTGGCCCTCTCCAGCTCATGAGCATTTCCATGCTTGAAAAAGTCAAAGAGATATGCATTCAGTGGATGATGACTTGAAGAGCCTGGTACGTAGGGAACGACAGACTCCTCAAGCCACACACCGTCACGAATGGTTTCACATAGATCGGCAACGGTACTCTTGCCTATCCGCCAATCTTTATGTCCCGAGAGGGCATAGAATGGAGAGATGATCTTCGGAGCAGGGTTAAGAGAATGACTCTTCATAACACCCACCTCGAGAGCTGACGTGTCTCCTCCGCACTTGGTGTGACTCAACGGCAGATCGCAATCAGGAGTGTCAATATGCTGGTCGATAAAGGTGGACACATAACCAGTGTAGATATCCAGTACTTGACGGTTGTGGTTCTTCAGTGCCTGTGCTGCCTTCTTGGGCAAATGTGGCAGTACCACAATGGAGGAGCTGCTTTTTTCTGCCGTGCGATATGACTCTAACGTTGACTGACGTAGACGTTGACGTTTGAAAATGTGGCACATGACAAGCATGAGAGTCTGAAGAGTAGTTTGATTACTTTCGGGTGCCCGACCGAAGTCTTTGCAAACATCTTCGAAGTATCCCGAGGAAAGGAAGGCATGGAAAGCAAAGCTAGAACTCTCTGTGAAGTACAAATGAGACACACAGCCTGCAAAGTTTAATGGAGCTCCAGTGCCGTCAATAAGGTCGTTTCGTCGAAGGTATTCGATAGAAAACCGGAGATAGTGTAGCACAGTGTCCTTCGTCTCTGAACCACCGAGACAAATGCGAGGACTTGACAGGAGTGAGTTGATAGACTTCACGGCAGATGCTGCCTGGTTAGAGCCATCCAAAAGAATAAAAAGCCGCAGAATCAGACTGGTCGTAATAGGGAAATGGCCATTGAGGTCTGGAAGCCTTGAGCTAACCAGACGGTGAATCTTGGCTGTGGGAACATGTTGAAAAACAACGTTTCCCAGTAAATCAAATCCACGACGTCCTGCTCGTCCAGCAGCTTGCCGAAAGTTAAGTGCTGTGAGAAACAATGAATCGCCTGAGAAAACGACCGTTTTGCAAGGCATATTGATACCCAAGGCTAGTGTGCCGGTTGCTATAACCACACGCAAAAACCCTTTGCGGAACAACATTTCACAAACTTGACGGTATTTTCGATTCATGCCCGCATGATGCACACCGATTCCGCGCTCGAGGGCATCTGTCAGCCAGTCTGGAATATCGCGCCATTTGAAATCCGTGATGTACTCCAAGAACTCTGACCGTGACAGCTTCTTAGGATCGGCCAAACTGAACATTTCCACGGGTCTTTCTGGATCGAAGAGCTCCAACATGCTGCCTTCACCAGATGCTAGATCTCTGATTCCATCGGCGTGAGAAGTTGGCTGGTCCTCAGATCGTTTCTTCTTAGTTGGTTTAGCAACCTTCTTCTTCGATACTGCGTCCGCTTTTTTCCAGTCTTTCCACTTATCGACCTTTGCTTTCCATGCTGAGTTTTCTGATTTCCATTGCGATTCAGCTTCGCGCAGCTTTTTCAGTAAATGCTTGCCTATTTTTTCACATTTGCTCCGGTCGTAATTGAAGAATAGTGCGGGGAGAGCACGGTGGTCATGAAGCGAGCAGATCAATGGAAGTGTGGTAGAAAGAAGCACGTCATCCTCATCATTCCCATTGGTATGCGACATGGACGAGCCCTGCGGTTGAGAATGACTCAATGAAGCTTTCTCTGCGTTGTCAACGGTGGTTGAGGAACCGGTACTTTGTCGACCTAGTTCAAATAGAAGAGCCTCGAAAGGAGATCTTCTATCGTTCTTCCAATTGTTGACTAGTTCAATCAAAGGCTTCTGCCACTCAATAACATCCTTCTTGGAGATTATGCCCGAGAAGAATGAAGACGGACTGAGAGACGAATTCACGGGGAAATCATCAGTTTGTAGATCACTCATTGCTTTCCATAAGCTCAAACAGTCCCGTGGCTCAAGGCTGAAGTCAGTCGGTATCGCTCTTGACCGATCACCTAAGCTTAGGACAGGATGCATGAACTTCATGTCACCAGCCTCGTCAAGACCCCATTGGTACGAGACATCAACATTTGAAAAGCCCTTGAATGAAAAAACCGGAGGAGGGCAATACACATAGTTTCTCAGATCAGAGTATCTGTGTTTGTGCTGAATCATCTTCAATTCGTGGCCATTTGTGCGTTGAGCATGCTTGAGCCATTCGTAGAACTCCTCCGGATTACCGACAGTAGCTGACAGCGCGATGATAGGACACGGAGCCAAAAGAAGCAATTGTTCCCAAATAACACCATCCTCAGCTTGACCGATACAATGGATCTCATCAAATATGATACGTCTCAGTCGAGGGGTCCATGATTTCGCGTGGATTGGGGAGAGCAGCATGATTTGGAGAATATGAGGTACTGTAATGAGAATTTGACACCCTGTCGGACTGTTAATTCGATGGTCTCTTGTGTGGATAGCCCAAACCTGCTTTGCGGTAGCCTTGGCGGGATATTTTTTCGAAAAACGGGCCTGCACTTCAGCGGCGATCTGATTCACCAGTGCTTTGGTGGGAGCCACATAGATCAGAATGCCCTCATTGTCTTCCTTGAGGATCTGCCTCATAGCATAGAATCTGTATTCATTTAATATGGGTATTGTTTATATGATCAGGTAACTCACGAGATGAACGTTTTTCCTGCACTGGTTGGGGCGACGATGAACGCGCTCTGCTTTGTATCAATCTGGTCTAACACTTCTCTTTGCCATCGATCAGGATCAAAGTCGGGTGTTCGGGGGTCTGGCAAGGAGCCTATGCTACGTTCCATGAACGGACCCCCGTGGAGCAGTTGGAATTCCACTTGAGACACTCCAATCATGGAATTGGGCTTCTTTGGTAAAGTCACAGGCTTAAATGAAAGCGGTTGACCGGTCTGCTTTGATAGAGAAACGGCAGGTAATTCGAGATGCTGACAGACTCGCTGGACATAAATTCGAATATCATTACTGATTCCGCGCTTGAGTTTCATAAGACGAGAAAGCACTCCCCAAATGTGCGTCATGATCATTGTGTGACTTTGGTCAACCTCGTGTCGAGAAAGGGCTTGGACCGACGTATCGAGCAGGTAAGCGAGAACTTCTGCCTCTAGAAAAATGCGACTGTCTTTCGATAAGCTTGTCAAGTACTCTTCCATAGCATGGAATCGATCTAGTGGATCCAGGGAGCTTTTTTCCATTAGTTTGAGCTTGGAAGTCCACTTCGCCCTTTGCTTTTTTTCTTCTTCTATTGTCTTCTGCTGAGAAGCTGTCGCAGCCTTCTCCCTGCCGGAAGCCTTTCCAGTTGCTGGCTGAGATCTCACTTGAGGTGATTGGTTTGATTTACTTTTTGCAGTTGAAGTTGATCCAACAACGACGATTTCTCCCTGGGATATTCCTGCAGAGCCAGACAAGCTTTCCGCATATCGTAACATCTCTTTCATGTAGAACTGGTTTCTTTTGTTTTGTTTGAGAAGATCCTTTGGCGACAACTTAGGAGCCTTTTTCGAGTCAAGGGGCCTGGAGTTGTGCCAATGGGTATCTTCCTTGAATCCTTTGGAGCCCTTGGGATTGTTCTCTGCACCTGTAGAGTCATCAACCTGAATGCGGAAGGGTTTGAGGTGGTCATCGAAAACCGGGCTCTGAAATGGGAGCACCTCTGCGCCTTTCCGAGATTTGGCATTGTTCTTGGATGAAGGTTGCTTCTTGTCTTCTTGATTTTTATCGGATTTCGACTTTTCAGGTCTGTTTTTGTGTTGGATAGCTACTTCGGTAGCTACCCGGCTATCTGCCAATTGAAGCTCCGTACCTCCAAGATGATTCACCAGAGAGATGAGGTCGTTGAATGGCAAAAGAGTTGTCGATGAAATAACGCCGTTGATACCACATGTCTCTATCATTGTGTACACCCAGAAGAAAGTTCTTCCATCAAACAAATCTGCAAGATCACAGGGTAGATTGTGAGTGGCCTTCTCCCAATGGGCAGAGCTGATGATGTCTTTTGCCAATCGTAAAAAGGAGTTTAAGAACTCATTTGAATTCTTTGAGTTTGAAATCTGTACTCCTCGGTCCCCGAGCTTGGTATGTTGCAGAAGCACAAGGTGCAAAATCATGGATGTGGCTCCCATCGTGATTTTTCGGCTGGAGGAGGTAATGTTCCCCAACATAATTCCCAAGGTGACGACCAAAAGACATTGTCGTTGTGTCAGGGATGATTGCTTGTGAATGACTTTTTCGATCATGGTTTTCACTTCTTCCAAGTCCAAACTTCCATGACCTGAACTCTCAACTGAGTGATCCGAGCTTGGTGTACTCTCTAGGGTAAGGGTGCTTAGTCCCAGGGTCTCCTGTTGTAGAAGGATCCAGTTCTTCCGCGTGAATGTACCCTCGATGACTATTGACATCACCTATTATTTGTCACTTTTTGCCATAGGTGATAAGCTCACTGGTTTAAATACCTTCGTATCCCGAAACTCCAAGCTGTTGATAAGAGAAATGTTGCGTCCACGAGCAATGAACCAGTGAATCATTCGCCTGAATTCGACTCTTGATGACTCTTTGCATGGAGAAACTTCAAATCGATTTTCGTCAACTTCCTCCTCACTACTATCATCGGACTCAGTGCCTTCGGAACCTGAGTCCTCGGAACCTTTCTCATCACCGTCTACTTGGTTTTCGGAAGCTCCATCGTGACACATGAATAAGTAAGCCCCCGATTTCACCAAGTGTTCTTCGAATTTCATAGACCGGAAACTTTGAAACTTTCGTACCCTGAGGCAATGTGGGGACCGGAGGGAGATTGAAATGAGATGTTGTATGATGGCCTCCCTGGCTAGAAGATATCGATCATGCAGAGCCCGGTCAATAGCCGTAGGGACGCAGAGCTGGGCGCTTTGATCAAAGAACACGATTTCACAGACACATCTGCGCTGTTGGAGTTTTTGCAAAAGTCGTTCGACCAGGTAGGTTGCGTGCAGGACCTGGAATCCGGGGTGAAAATCGAGCTTCTTATTGGCAAAACACTGGAGCAGGAGCGAGTCACCGTCGATGATGAAAGGCTCACGACCGACAAAGTCCCCAACGAGATCTACAGTCCGCGAGCCTTCTTGGTGATACCTGCACTCTCACAGTCAGAAACTGGGTCGTTCCAGATTTGGTGGGGGCCAAATCACCATTGCAGCAGGCTGTTTTGATCCATCATGGCGTGATTATCTGGGCGAAATGGGTAGTAGAGGGTCTTAGAGGGTCGAAGTTACTGGAAGAGAATAGGGGAAACTAAGTTGAAAGAAATGAAAAAGTGCCAACGCAGTTGGCAGCAAACGCCAACAACAAGCATGGCAATTTTGCGCCCGATAAGCAAACGCTCCTACTAGTATCGATATGGACTGGCAGAAGTGGAGTTTTACGGTACATGAGTATCTGTACTCGGGCACATACCCCCTGACACCCCCATAACCAACATCTAAAATCGTTTTCAACTTGTTTTCACTCCAGCTCATTACTGAGTATAATTTGGGGGAGTTCTTCAATTTATAACCCATATGATAAAGACCATGTAGGAGGCAAGCCAGGTAAACGTGTAGGATGTATAGTAGCTTCCTTGTACTACGAGTAAATTTACTAGGAACTTGTTCTAGGCGCTTCGCAAGAGGCAGATGACCTCTATAATTGTGTTTTATAAATCACAGCGGTAACTTTCAGTGTCGGTCAAAATCTATGAGCAATTTTGCCTGGTTTTATCCCCCACTCTCTCATTCAGCTTTTCCAGGAATGTTTGACCCCACCGTGAACTAGAACATCACTTATCAGCGGCGGAATTACATCGCTAAATAACTTGGGAAAGTGCCTACCTGGTGTACGTATGGACGAATTTTTGAAGTTTCTCGAATTTCGACTGGCGTTCTTCAGGATCCAAAGTAAGGGCCTTGAAAATTGCCTCGGACATTTCTGTCTTGTTAGCAGGATGGAAACAAATGCTTCCCTCTCGCATAAACGAGGCAGCACCAGCAAACTCAGATAGAATGAGAACTCCATGCCTTTTCTCCTGACAGGCCACATATTCGAAAGAGACCAGGTTCATTCCATCGCGAGTTGAAGTGAGCAAACATGCATCGGCGATCGAGTATAGTGCGGCCAGTTCATTGAAAGGGACTGATCGATGCATGTACAGCAATGGAGTCCCGTCAGGCGTGGCTTTTTGGTCAGCTTGTCCATATTTCTAGTACTTCGAATTGCATCTCGAGACATACAGTGTTTCCCGTTGATCTTGCCGGCCAAGGTACTTAGCTCGGTTTCTAATTCCTGATACTCCTTGACATCCTCACGACTGGGCACTGCGACCTGAATGAGAACTACCTTGTTCCGCAGCTCTGGATGGTCATCTAGGAAGGAATCAAAGCCTTTCAATTTCTGCGTGAGGCCTTTGATGTGATCTAGCCGGTCGACACCAACAATGACAGTCATACCCCTATACTTCTCCTTCAACGTCTTGATCCTATTCTCGACCTCGGGGTTTTTCAATGTATCGGTGAACTTCTGCGGATCAATTCCAACAATGAACTTGCCGATACAGACCAGCCGGTTCTTATACTGTATTTGGTTTTGAATTTCCGTGCGGGCGTTGCTATAGATATGTCAGTTTTGCTCTTGGACTATGCAGACCACTCACAGCAAATTCCCACAAGTCTCGATGAAATTTTGCTTATACTCATCCGTATGAAAGCCAATCAGATCACTGGCTAGCAAGCCCTCAATCAGATGCTTGCGAACAGGAAGGGCCCTCCAAAAGTCACCGGCCGGGAATGGTGTGTGCAATGAGAATCCAATTGCGCAAGACTTGCCCTGCTGCTCTAGTCGGGAGCGTAACAATTCCGGGAGAAGCATCAGGTGGTAATCATGAACCCAGACCAATTTCCCGGTATCAGCAGCATCGGCGATTTGATCGGCGAAAAGTTCATTGACCCGTTTATAGGCCTGCCAGGGCCCATCGTCGAATGTCACACCTGACTGGTAGTGCAGGATAGGCCATAGCATGCAGTCTATGGCCAGGGTCAGCACCTCCTTTACTACTGTGAAGCCACTCACTTGAAAATCCGTTATAATGTTCATGTGCAAGATGACTGTCCAGAAAGATGGGACAGGCATCATATTCCGCCAAGCTTTGTGATACCTGTTCTCTGTCCGCAGGGTCTTTCACTTCGATCCCCGGCCAACCGAACCATTTGAACTTAGTGGATTTCAATCCGGATAATGCTGTGACTAGTCCTCCACTGGAGATTGATGATTGATAACCCCCATCAACCTTTTTGACAGATACGGGAAGTCGGTTGGAAACCACAATCAAAGTTTTGTTCTTGTCGATGGACATGATGACCATATAGAAGATCAGGTATGGCAGGCAGTAAAAGATAAAATATGTTACGGGGTATCCATGCCGGACGTTGTCTAAGTAATGTAGCCAAAAGCCGACATCTGGAGGAGATTTCCGTCGCCTCTTGCCTCTATGGCAATGGCAAATCTACGTCACTATGAATATTCTAGCATGCTGGAATTTACATGTGTAGTAAATATTTACGGAGAGGAATTGGAAATGAGAATGAGGTTTGTGGAGTTCACTTTCCCTATGGATTAAGTTTGAATCACATCGGAGCTAAAAAGTCTAGAAAGTCTAGAAGGATAAACATGTATCGTTAGCTTCAAATGTTTAGTGGGGCCCAAATTCAACCGACTATTAACAGAGATCGCATTTAGCCGGAATTTCGAGGATAATTGTCAGATTGAGATCCCATGATTCAATCAAGATCGCATGATCAATTGGAGGTTAAAAATGGCATTTAAACGTTCCATCCAAATGTTCCAAACAATGTTAGTGAAATTAACCTGAATCGTGCCAAGTGAGCGGGACAATTGACATCATGCGGACTGATCCTCCCCGCAACTCGTAGTTCACTTGCCAGGATAAATTCATTTATCCCCCACCTTCACCACTTTCACATATAAACCGATTCATCCCTGATTTCTTTTTCTCGCGGGTTAGCGACATTCTGATTTCAAGTGCTTAACATGGCGTCTCAATCCCCCCTCTACATCGGGTTTGACCTATCAACCCAACAACTAAAGGGTCTGGTAGTCAACTCCGAGCTAAAGGTCGTCTATATCGCCAAATTCGATTTCGATGCCGATTCAACCGGCTTCCCAATTAAGAAGGGTGTCCTCACAAATGAAGCCGAGCATGAAGTGTTCGCCCCGGTCGCATTGTGGCTACAGGCCCTTGATACCGTGTTGGAGAACCTCCGCAAACAAGGGCTAGACTTCAGTCGCATCAAGGGTATCAGCGGGGCAGGACAACAGCATGGGAGTGTTTACTGGGGTCGCGAGGCGGAATCACTTCTTCAAAACCTGGATCCGGAGAAGTCGTTGGAGCAACAGCTCCCGCCCGCTTTCTCCCACCCATACAGCCCCAATTGGCAAGATTCAAGCACCCAGAAGGAGTGTGATGAGTTTGATGCGATCCTGGGTGGACCAGAGGAGCTCGCTCTAGCTACCGGAAGCAAGGCGCATCACGTAAGTCTCCCGGTCAGCTTTGTTGTGGACAGCTAATGACATCATAAAGAGATTCACCGGTCCCCAGGTCCTTCGATTCACGAGAAAATACCCCGAGGTCTACCAGAAAACAACTCGCATCTCCCTCGTCTCATCCTTCCTTGCGTCGCTCTTCCTCGGCCATGTCGCCCCCTTCGATATCTCGGACGTGTGCGGCATGAACCTGTGGAACATCAAGAAGGGCGCATACGATGACCGTCTCCTACAGCTTTGCGCCGGTGAATTCGGAGTCGAAGACCTGAAGAAAAAGCTCGGCAATGTCCCTGAGGATGGCGGACTACATTTGGGAACTGTCCACTCATACTATATCAAGCGGTACGGCTTCAGTCCCGACTGCACGGTGATCCCGGCGACCGGCGACAACCCAGCAACGATTCTCGCTTTGCCCCTTCGGCCTTCAGACGCCATGGTATCCTTGGGTACTTCCACAACCTTCCTGATGTCCACTCCGAACTACAAGCCCGATCCTGCCACGCACTTCTTCAACCACCCAACCACCGCCGGCCTCTACATGTTTATGCTTTGTTACAAGAACGGAGGACTCGCGCGGGAACATGTTCGTGACGCGATCAACGAAGGTCTGAAAGATACCGCGGAGGAGCCCTGGGCCATCTTCGACAAGCTTGCGTTGACTGCGCCTGCACTGGGACAAGCGATCGCAACCGAGCCAATGAAGATGGGCCTCTTCTTCCCACGGCCAGAGATTGTACCCAACATCCACTCAGGACAGTGGCGGTTCACCTATGACCCGAAGAATGAAACCCTGACCGAGACGACGGAAGGATGGACTGTTCCTCAGGACGAGGCCCGAGCCATTATTGAGAGTCAGATGCTCTCACTCCGACTCCGCTCTAAAGGCTTGACACAAAGCCCTGGAAATGGGCTTCCGGCCCAACCACGACGGGTGTACCTCGTCGGTGGTGGATCCAAGAACAAGGCAATTGCCAAGATTGCTGGTGAGGTTCTCGGTGGCGCCGAGGGTGTTTATAAGCTCGATATTGGAGACAATGCCTGTGCGCTTGGCGCAGCATACAAAGCGGTATGGGGCATCGAGAAAGAGCCTGGTCAGACCTTTGAAGACCTCATTGGTCAACGATGGAATGAGGATGAGTTTGTTGAGAAGATTGCGGATGGATATCAGGCTGGCGTCTATGAGCAGTATGGCATGGCTGTTGAAGGATTTGCGAAGATGGAAAACCAAATCCTGCAGCAAGTGCGAACTCGGAAATAAGAAGCCGGTAGAAGCGTCAATGAAAGCCAAAGATTAGAATTTAATTCTAAAGATCTGCAAATTCAATCCTGACTATACTAGAGGTTGGAGCAAACTCTCTTTAAACCAGGGCGAGTGAGATAAGTCGAGTATTAACGCTTCAGCATAGCTGATCTGCGGACCGCGGCTTGCACCTGAAGTTCACATGAGCCGAGACTAGATTCATCACTTTCATGTGGATTCCAAGTTCTTAATGCCGCTTTTTAGGTTCTTTAGTTCCTGGGGAAATGTATACATGCGGGGAAACCAGACTTCATTTAACTTAGTTTGTACCCCGTACTCCCCATTTGATTCCCAAACATTTGAATACAGAATTTACAATGTCTCGCTCTTCAAGTTCATCAGAGGATGAAAAGGCCGGAACTCTACCAGATTCCCAACATGAATCCAACACCGATTCCAGCCGCCTCCACGCCCTCGAGCAACTAGAGATCCTCCCCCAAATCCTTCAAGAAGGAATCCTATTCGCCGGTTCCGGCGCAGCCCTTCTCCTCCAAGCAGCGATGCCCGAAATCCGCAAAAAAGAAAGCAAAAATGAAAATGAAAACCCACAGGATCTAGCTACAGAACTCCTCGACGCCCTTCAAGCCCACATAAGCTACACCTCAACTCTAGTCTTCGGCACCCGCGCCGAACGCAAAGCTCTCCTAGAACTGTTACACAATGAAGCCACCAGTCTAAGCGGACGTAACAACCGATTCGCCGACCACCCACCTCTCCAACTCTGGATGGCCGCAACGTTGTACGCCACCGCAACAGACTTCTACCAACGCGTCTACGGCCGAGTCAACTACCAAACAGCCCAACAAGGCTACTCCGAGTTTACACTATTAATAAACTGCCTCGGTATACCAACAGGTACCTGGCCCGAGACCAGGCAGAAGTTCTGGTCGTACTGGGATGATCAAGTAGGAAAGTTAGTTGTGTCGCCTGATGCGGCGCGGTTTGCGAGGGATTTGAGGGAGAGTACTGATATGCCGAAGTGGGTGCAGAGGATTAAACCGTTTTGGCGCGTTGTTACTATTGAGATGTTGCCGCCGAGGTTGAGAGAGGCTTATGGGCTGAGGTCGACAAGGACTACGAGGACTTTGTATAGGACTTGGATGGGGTTCTCGGTGGCTGTTTATCCGGCTATGCCTAGTAAGGTGCGGGCTTATCCGTTGAGGTATTATCAGGATAGACTCAGAGAGAAGTTGAATGTAGCTTGATGCTGGTTCTGTTCTTCATGAAACGCCTGCCAAATGAGATACGCTTTGTGATAAGAGTTTTCCAGTCTGTTGAGAATTACTTAAATGTATGTGCATGCATAATTATATCTTTAAATCATAATTCCTATCTGTTTGCATATACTGTAACTCACTATCTCCTATCTTTGGTGGGAAACAGAAATAATTTTCAGGCAGCAAGTGAGCTTGGGTACTAGAAACTTTGCCGAGATAGTTACATCCCAGCGTAGGCAGAGGAGACCCATATCATCACCTTCACGCTATTCAGCGGCAATATAAATGTGCCTCGGGTGGAACTGTAGTACCTGTATGTGCAACCATCCTGTCTTGATTTCTAACGAAGTACCCCTGCATTTCTGTGACATCAGTGATGAAGCCTCAAGCAGCAACTGCTTTAAGAAAAGGAGAAAGTCTTTTATTCCACCAATCTTGACTTTCAAAGCTGTCTTCCATTGATTGAAACGAGATCAATAAGATCAACTCACATATTCAAATTGATTGAATTGCATTCAGACAATATCTTATGCCCAGTAAGCGCGAATGAGCTAACAACAGCCTAAAGAGGCCTGAGGAATAGTCATGGCAATGTCGCACAAGATTACATTGTTCTATCAAATCCTTCCGAAAAGAGGGGTCCAGACATATATCACCTTCATCAATACCATGAAGTTGAAACCAGAGAATAAACCCCTTACATCGTCACTGAGCGCAGACTTGAAAGTCCAGTCATTGGGAACCCTAAAATGTCATCCAACTCCGCCCAAGCATCTTCTCAGGCGGACCAGGTCCTCCGAGACGGATATTCGAGAATCTACCAGAACCACTCAGTCCTGCTGACTGGAAGCACTGGCTCTCTAGGGGGATGTCTTTTGTATAAACTAGCATTACAGCTACCCACACGAAATATATACGCCTTAATCCGCGGAACGCCTGAACAAGCAATTGCAAAATGGAAGAAGTCTATGCCGAGCCACATCCAAGCCATCCTCGCCTCAAAGAAAGTGGAATTCGTGATTGGCAACATCCGATCACCAGACTTCGGTCTCCAACCAGCCGTCCTCCAAGAACTACAAGAGAAAATCACCCTGGTCATCCACGCGGCAGCAAAAATAACCCTCGACGCAAGTCCCCGGGACGCATTCGAGAACAACTGCCTCCCAGCCCTAGAGCTCGCCCGCATAGTCTCCCGATTCCGCCGACTAAAGCTTCTCGTTCAGGTATCAACCGCATACGTGAATAGCTTCCTCCCCGACGGCCCAGTCCTAGAGAAACTGTACAACCTTTCCAACGAAGATGCCGAAGCAGAACTAGCATCCGTCCTATCCCTCGACAAGTCACCACGCACGGCAATTTTCTCATCCAGCTATGCCCAAGCCAAGTATGTAATGGAGCGAGTCATCCTCCAGCGGTACCCTTTACTCCCCATTCTAATTCTTCGTCCAACAATCTTCGGTCAGGCTATCCGGGACCCATACCCACTCTACGGACTGGAAAATTCAACACCCATGAACAAGTTCTTCCAACTCTTCATGGAAGACCGAGGCGCATCACAGATCTGGCACTCTGCAGAAGGATATAAAACCGGCGCGAATATAATCGACGAGATACCTGTTGACTTTGTCGCGAACGCATGTCTTCTACATGCTGCAGCTCGCACGACGGGAATAATACAAGTGGGATCAGAACTTTACGAGCCGCTTACCTTTGACGGGTACTTGAATATTGTGCTCAGTAATGCCCCACCGGCGATCCGGAAGGAACTTCCTGAGATTATTTTCACGGAGGATAGGGATGTACCGCAGTGCTTCTTGGCGGAAATGGTGCAGATTGCGTCGAGGAACTGGCTGTTTGATTGTGGGAGGTCTTATTGGTTGAAGCAGGTTGGTGGGCCGTTGAGTATGCGGGCTTGTAAGTCTGAGGTGGATAGTCTGAATCATAAGCGGATACATCGGATCTATGGGCGGAGGCTCGAGAAGGCTCGTATGTGATATGTGTGATTTTCGGATATGGGTTGGAAAGATTTGTGTTTGACTTTGTTTGTGGTTGATATTGATGATTTTTTTGCAGTGACTTGATAGCTTTGACCTGCATCAATGGATGTTTTAATTTGCAATCTTCTAAGCTTTGACAAATAAATGGGATATTCCAAATAAAGAATGAAAAGATGCCGCATGTATATTTATTATGCCAATGACAACTTCGGAAGACTTTAAATGTTACGCATAAGCAAACTGACCACAAGCGATATATCAATCCGTCATCTCAACTGTCGCAGCCGGTCGCTATACGAACTATATCTCAAACATCTTGGATAGATATTTAGCATATTTTGAGTAGATCTAGGTATTAGATTGAGATTCATATCTTGGTACTAGCATCTATGGAGTTAATTGCCCTTCACCAAGCGAACAGCAGAATATGGAAGAGCGCAAACCACCTGCCAAAACATCCACAGAAAATCCACCATGGGTCCATTGGTATATTCCAATTCACGAGGCACGATCTCCGCCGCAGTCAGAACAGTATTCACAAGTGGTGCTGGGTAGTTCTGGCGGAGATACTCAATCATGAGGTCATGGCCATTTGTGATACCGCCTGTTTTGCATAGCCAGGTCAGTCAAAGATAGATAGATAAGAGCTAAAATTGAAATCGAATAGATAATATTACTCACCACACATCCAAAGGTTGCCATCTTTCGTAACGCGCACCGTGTCATCCCAAATCGTGACATCGGGGAAGTTCTTCCTCAGCTCCGGAATTAAAAACCGCGGCGCAGTGACTACTCTGCCTTTTGTTAGACCCGCGTGCGCAACTACCAATGCCCCAGTACAGATACTGAGGATTGTCACGTTTGCGGCATCGTGCTTTTGTAGGAACTCGAGGTACTCCTTTGCCGGCGGCATGCGCTTAGGTGGTGGCCCGGGAAGATAGATCAAGTCGAGTTTACCTGGTGCCACTTCTGCATCGTCTAGTGAATGCGTGATAGGAATTGAGGTTTGTGATGTGAGATCACGGCTTCCTGTTGGTCCGTCTAAGGCGATATAGGAGATCTTGCAAGGCCGGCCGAGGTCTATGATGGGTTTGGGAACTCCCAATTCCGTGAGATACTCCGGGCACGTCATGAACAAAAGGTCAATGGCTGCTAAATCGAGGAGCTGGACAATGTCCACAAGTAGAATACCGACATGGATTGTCTGGGAAGTCATTGTGGTATTTATTTTAGAGAGTTGAAGAAGTGAAGAAGGTCAAAGTAAACTCTTGTAAAAGATAAAGATATGAGAAGCAATGGAAAAAAAGAGGTTTTGGGTCTATCTTTTCAATTTTCCATCTTTAATCTGATTCAATGAAGTCGACACTTTCTACCCCGCACCTTTTCCTTTCTAGCCCAGGTCCATTATAGATTAATGAAGGAATTTGATAAACGATGTCAGCGAGGTGCCCCTCCCGCGGTCAGCGGATAAAAATAATCTGCGCAATTATGCGCAAATACATCAAAAAAGTACAGAAATACGATAACTAGACTAGGCGTGATACATGGATCCGAACAGTCGTCACACATGCACAACAGGGTTTTATATTCCACCGATGCCATTCAGTGACTCAGCAAGTACGCTTCAGTCTAGTCGTCCAAACATTGCATAATCATAGGCAGGACTAAGGTAACCTGCATATCCTCCAAATCCAGCGGAGACACTGATAGATCTTCATCTGCTCGCTGTATGAAGTTGAAAGTGCGCCACTCACCCATGAAACACTTCAGTTGAAACAATTAAGGTCACCCTGCCTGATGTACTTATGTAGAGTCTGTTAACAATCTGAGATGCTGATGTGCCACAATGTGGTGCATAACCCAGGTTACAGTTACATATTCGCCAAGTTTTAAATCGGATGATCGATGGCAAAGTATTGGCAGAGGACAAGGAGATCTGGGTGGATCGGAAGTTCTGCAGTGTAATCAAGGCTTCCGGTCCAGCCGATGTAATCTAGTCCAGCCCAGCCCTCTTGTACTCGGTACTCGGACTTTTTTGCGGCCCTTGACTGAACATTTCTTCAATGAAGTACGGAGATAGCTGCTGAGTTACTTCAAGACTGGAGTAATTTAGCAAATTGCAGTTGAAGCTATATAGTCCGTGGTCAAAGGAACCAGTTGACGACAATGCGGGACGGAACAACCCGCTCGCCGGAACATTCATGTCGGACCACCACAAAGCAGTCCGACTATACACCAATCTCCGACTTGTACTCGATATTTCAGGCTTCTCCGCTAGACTCTGAAATATGAGTAATGCGGTAGGAGCTGCATGGCAAATCCCATGCTCGGGGTTCAGATCCTCGAGCATCTTGTCGACCTTCCGCTCTCAATGTCGCGATCTTCGCCTACACCTACAGCCGAGCTTACACAGTAACGTGCGCTGGTCTAGCTCCGTGAGCTCTTTTACTCAAATTGGACGACCCCTGATTTCATCTTCTCCGCCTCGATACTCCTCGGCCCCTTCTTATTGGACCAGAAACAAAAGAACTCTGGCTCGCAAACCTACCCGAAAAGCATCCGACCCGTCAACAGGCGCAATTGTCGCCTCCGAGGCCGAGATTAAAGCTGTCTTCCCCCATTCGCAAATATCTACCAAATTGGCCAACCGCACCCTGGCAGTCTTGCATGCGCGGAGGTTAGAGGGTACCCTGGATCTAGATCTTCCCAAGGAGATCACCCGGGCTGTAACTCAACCACAGCTTGACACTGCTTTGGAATGGTTACGGCAGAAATACCCAATCGATGAAGATGCCGCGATTCTAGCTCGAATTGAACGGGAAGAGCGACAGGCGGAGGAGAAATTGGTGCGCCGCGCCGAGGAGCTTGGTCTTTACAAGCCACAGAGCGGTTCATACGGGGCTGAACTCGGCGAGGAAAACTCGGTCTATGGAAAGAGTGTCCTCAAAGAGGTACGCGAGAAGAACGAGAAACGCTTGCTGGGCGAAAAGGAACGCAAGCGCCAAGAATGGTTGGCAGGTGAACACGAAGAGCAGGAGCGACTCCAACGCCAAATCGAAGGCAGCAAGGAGTTGCAGCAATACCAGGAATCGGCTTTGATGGCGGGTAGGTTTTAAAATCATTTTCTTGAACCATCACACTGACATCTTTAGCGCGTCCGCGGGCGGACCCCAACGAACGGCCGTACCTTGCTTGGGTCCAAAAGCATCACATTGCGGGGACACATAACCAGGCTGATGCTGTGAATATCACGACGGTATGTATGGTGTAGATCTATATTAGATGTGCTGTGTTTAACTTCTTGCTTCATTTCAGCCCCAGCGGCTGTTGTCGTCTATCCTGTTCACTGTCGCTGTCCTCGGCCTCTGCTTTGCATTTTCCCAGACCTACGAGGCGCCAGCAAGAAAGGATCGTCTATGGCCCAACGTTCCTCCGGCTGCGGCAACTGTAGGCGCTATCATCGGTGCCAATGTGGCCGTCACATTGATGTGGAAATACGTTCCACCCTCATGGCGACTGCTGAATCGCTTCTTCATTATTGTTCCCTTTTATCCCAGTGCGCTTAGCATGATTGGTAGCACATTCAGCCATCAAACGTGGAGACACCTTACCACGAATATGCTGGTACTAGGTCTCATGGGAACCCGAGGTAAAGACCCTTCTGTCCTTTGCTGAATACCAAACTTACCATGTTTAGTTCATGATGAGCTCGGTCGTGGGAACTTCTTGGCCATCTACTTCGCCTCTGGCGCGGTAGGATCTTTGGTGTCCTTATCTCGCAGCGTCTTACTGGGAGCTCTCGCCACTACCTCTCTAGGTGCCAGTGCAGCTACCAGTGGAATTGTTGCCGCATGGTGCATGTACCACTTTGAGTATGTAAATCGTGCCAGATGTTTACGATTGCCAAACTAACTCTCCTCTAGCGACAAAATCACCATGTGGATTCTACCCCATCAATTACGAGAGATCCTCTGGACCCAGGGCTGGATATTCCTCGCCTGCATTGTTGGCACCGAGGTGTTGAGTATGATGACTCCAGCTCGCTTCCTCCAGGTCTTCCCCTTATCCAGACTCGCCAAAATGGACCACGCTGCCCATCTTGGTGGTTACTTCGTTGGTACTAGTTGTGGTTATGTTCTCACACAAAGGAAGAAGGAGAAGAAAATTCGAGAGTCGAAGTGGCTTGAGAACCTTGTCCGGTAAGGACCTGTATATCTGTATATTAGATCGCTATTAAATGATCATTCGCAATGTATAAAGTGAGGCTCATGAAGTATATTTTTACCTAAATGGTAAATGGTACCCGCGAGGGGTCGAATATTCAATGTGGGGCGGATTGTCTAAAATCTTCAGTCTTCAATTAACCAGCTTTTTCCCTCAACACATTTACAACTCCACGCCACACAACATGTCGCAACAACTTGTGACTGTCCTTGCGACTTCTATCGCCATTGTCGATCAATTCCAGGATGCTATTTCCCCATCCACTCTTGCGCAGTCCACCCAGACACCAACCAAAGACGCAAAGCCCCTGCCCCTCCTTTCAGCCTCATCAAGCGCTCTGAAAGCCCAAGTCACCAAATTGTCACTACTATCCATCACCACCCCCTTCACGCACTCTGCAGTGACCAAGATACTCCGCGACTGCAACGACTCCGTCCTACCCTCGTTGTTGACCGCAATTCTCCTCGTTAACCCCGCCGAACACACGAAAACATTCCACTCCGAGACCCTGGCCTTGGTCAGAATCCTATTCACCGAGCTCGCCACACTTCTGAAAATAGTCAAGGCTATATCCGAGAAGAAGGATCAAGCGAAGAAAGAGGACCCAAAGAGTAAAGAGGAGGAGATCGTCAAGGCTGAGAAGGATGCTATTACCCTCGCGACTGGTCGCGTCTGGGACGCATGCGACTCGGTAGTCCAAGTCGCAACCAATGGTGTCGTTGGTTTCATCACCCGTCGCGTCGAGCAATGGAGGGATCTTGTCCGTGACGCCGTGGAGGAACTTGAGAACTGGGATCCAGCAGAAGACGACGATTTCTTCGACGATATTCTTGGCGATGAGAAGGATGAAGAAGAAGATGCTGGATCCAAAGATTCCGACGACGAAGAGAATATCGCCGCTATGCAAGAACAGAAGAAGTCTACACTCCGCTTCCTGAAGCCTATCGCCCAGGTCTACTCTGCCATCATCACATATCGCCTGAAGAAAGCAAACGACGCGCCATTAGCTTCCGCTGGAAACGTTGCGCGATTGGAGAAGTTGATCGTCAGTCTGCAGAGTATTCCTGACCAGGTGGATGAAGTTGCTGGGGCCTTGTATGAAGAGGATGCGCCCCGGTCTGTTGAATTCTTGCAGAAAATACACGAATTTGCTTCACAGGCTGTTGAGTCAGTAGCGGCGCCCTGGAGTGACGAAGCAGAAGACAAGTTCACCGTCTGGTCGCGGACCTGGTCCAAGGTCATGGAAGAAGTCAGCAAGTCTATCAGGCCTGATGCTGTAGCCGAGGCATAGAAATAGTATTACCAAATGTACAACCTTGCATTCTGAATCCCATAATTTGGAAAGACTAGGCAACGTTCTATTTATTTTCATGCCTCGTAATACAGTGTCTAATCATACTCATTTCTTTGCCTTCAGCGGCGCAAAGATATCTGTCCACAACTCACTCGCCTCACCCAAGTAATAGGTCAAGCTCACATCAGCCAAGCTAGCATTCTCTCCTCCATCCATAGTCTCCAACTGGGAAATCAAATTTTCCAGACCGAAAGCCTTCCCAGTTGCCTGGGTAGCACCAGCCTCCAACATAACATTCACGACATGAATATGAAAATGATAGTAAGTCGGTTGATCTAGAAAACAAGTTAGCAAATCAGCAATCCCCCGAAGAAAATAGAACAAACACAAACTCACAATGAACATAAAGCTTCAACTGATCCTCATCCAAATCCGGATACTTAGAAACAGTGGCCTTCAGAACCCTTTCCCTCAAATACTTCAACCAAGGAATATGGCTCTTTCTCAAATCCCTCAAACTCCAAATATCCCTCCGGTGAACCAATGTCAACAAATGCAACGAACTAATAGTCTTCCGATCCCAATTCAAATCAGGCAACATCAAAAAAGCATCCTCAACACCATGCCCATCATCCCGCATGATAATATCATCCTGCTCCGTCCTCCCTTCAAGGATATTGAATATCCAATTCAAACGACCTTCATCGCGCTTCGCCTGAATATACGGACGGATGTACTCCTTGTAGATCTCCGCCGTCTCAGTAACCATGCGAACCTGCTGATCGGAATATTTCTTGATATGTTGCTCGGTACATGGCCAGATCAGGTTGAGCTTTAGGTCATGCTGGAGTTTGGGGTTGGTGCTATCTCCGTTGGAGGCGAGGTACCAGCGGTAGATGTCGTTGTCGCCTAGGTTGGTAATTCGGGAGAGGGCTGCTTGGAAAGCTTGGATTACTTCTAGAGATTCGGTTGCGAAGGCGGCGCGTTCGGCTGTTAGGATTCCTTGTTGATTGTCGATTGTGCCGAGGAGGGTGATGCGGCGGCCGTTTTGGTCTGGGAGGGTTAATGTTGGGGACCTTGGGTTTGGGTGGATTTCATACCTTGCTTCAAAAGCTTGGTAACTTCGAATTTGGAGATGAGAGCTTCTGGGGTTGCCATTTTGTGGGAATATGAGGATTGGTATGAGTTCGTAGCTGTGAAAGATCTTTATGGTGGGGCCGTTTAGCTTATCGCGGGGTAGAAAGATCCAGGTAGTGGCAGGGACACTAGTTGATTGCTTTATTGTACGGAGTTCGCCTTTATTTGCCAGTTCAAATTGTGAAGCTCAGATATTTCTAGAGAATTTATATAAATCCGTTATCTAATTTCATTCAAAGTAGTTTTCATATATAAAGAAGCTCTCTCTATTCCTGTAGAGGTTCTCCCATGCCGCCAAAGGTAACGCTCTTAATGGTCATAAACTCATCGATACCATACTTGCTGCCCTCGCGGCCAAAACCACTCTGTTTAACACCACCAAATCTGTATAATCGTCAGTCCATAGTCATCTTTTTCTATTGAGAAGAACTTACGGTGAAGCAACATCACTGATCAATCCAGTGTTCACACCAACCATGCCAACCTCCAGGGCCTCAGCGACACGGAAAATGCGGCGCACATTGCCGCTGAAGAAGTAACCAGCAAGACCAACCTCGGCCTTGTTGGCCAGGTCAACAACCTCCTTCTCAGTCTCGAAGGGGAAAAGACCGGCCACAGGGCCAAAGGTCTCCTCTGAGGCAATAAGCATATCCTTGGTCATACCCGACAGAACAGTGGGCTCGTAGAAGTTGGGGCCCAGAGCAGAGGCCTTCTGGCCACCAATCAAGACCTTGGCGCCCTTGCTAGTGGCGTCCTGGACGTGCTCGTGTACCTTACCGGCAGCACGTTCGTGAATGACAGGACCGTGTGTAATGCCCTCCTCGAAACCAGCACCGAGCTTGAATTCCTTAACCTTGGCGGTGAAGCGCTTGGTAAACTCATCGTACACGCCCTTCTGCACATAGATTCGGTTGGCACAGACACAGGTCTGTCCGGAGCTGCGGAACTTAGAGTTAATAGCGCCAGCAACAGCAGCATCAAGATCCTCAACATCATCAAACACAATGAATGGCGCATTACCGCCCAGCTCCCAGGAGACCTTCTTGATAGTAGACGAAGCCTGCTTCATAAGCAACCGGCCGACATTGGTCGAGCCAGTGAACGAAACCTTACGCACATCCGGGTGGGTGGTAATCGTCTCGCCGACAGCAGGGGTATTCTTCGACGCAGTAACAATGTTAACAACACCCTTAGGGATACCGGCACGGTGAGCCAGCTCGGCCAGCGCATTAGCAGTGAACGGAGTCTCCTGAGGAGACTTTGCAACCACGGTACAACCAGCCGCCAGGGCCGGAGCAATCTTCCGAGTGATCATGGCAGCCGGGAAGTTCCACGGGGTGATCAGACCACAGACACCGACAGGCTGCTTGAGGGTCATGATTCGGTTACCGGGCACCGATGACGGGATAGTATCTCCGTAGATACGAGGGGCCTCCTCGCTAAACCACTCAAAGAAGCCAGCGGCGTAGTTGACTTCGCCCTTGGCATCGGCCAATGGCTTGCCATTCTCCCATGTGATCAACTTGGCCAGATCCTCTGCATTATCGATCATCAATTGATACCATCGGCGGAGCATACGGGCGCGGTCGCGGGCGAGTGTTGTGCGGAATGAAGGGAAGGCCTCTGAGGCGGCCTGGATGGCCTTTTCGACGTCCGAGGCGTCAAGTTCGGGGCATTTGCCGATGAGTTGTCCGGTAGCGGGGTCTGCAAGAAAATAATACAATTTAGCGTATATGCCTCCCTGGGTGTTTGTTGGTATTTACCGTGCACTTCAAAGGTCTCGCCAGACTGGGCACCAACCCATTCGCCATTGATGTAGCATTTCTCAATGAACAGAGATTTATCTTTCAACTGGAATCGATGTCAACAATTGCCAACTTCCAGTCTTCTTCCAGTCTTAGAGTTGACCACCCACCTCAGGCTTGCTGTGTCCCATAGTGTAGAGTCTCTTCGCAATAGGCGGGGGAGGAATGGCGTAGGGGTATCGTAGACAAGGTCGCAGAAGTTGCCGAGAGACGGGGCGGATAAGTCGGTCCATTATGATAAACCGGGACTCAGGCGGGGGAGGGATATGATTTACTAATACAGGAGGAGAACGAGCGGAGTCAAAGTTCGTGCGGGGAGTTAGGGACGCGCGCTTTAAAGCACTTTGATAGTTTGCGGCGAAGGGGCAGAATGAATTTCAAGCTTCCATGGGGCTCGATGGTGATTGATCTTTAAGCCCGAGAAGCACCGAGGACGGAGATGGCGCCGATGGTCGAGGGATGTTCAAGCTCAGAAGGGAAGCTGGATGCTGAGTGGGGTTGATGTCATGGTTCTGGGGATTACCCCCAATTTCCTTGTTCTCCAAGCCTACGGGATCTTCTGTCATGAGTAATGTATAGATACAGACCCCTACGCTATATCCTACTTTAATTTCTGTTACGACATTGAATATGTTATATCAATTCTGATCATTTTGGATAATTCAACTTTCATAAATTTGTATTTTGGTTTCCTTTGTTCTCACCGACATCCACAGCTTCGAAAGTATTGTATTCTAATTTCATATATTACGAGATTCGGCGATTTGATCAAGCGGGAAGCTTGTACCGAGGTTTATTCGGCGATTTGAACCAATGGAACTTGACTGATCCTCATCGGCGGAAGATAACGTAATCGTAATACAACATCTCCCAATTCCACAGATTTAGAAGGACCAGCCGACGAGTAGTAGGTACCGAGTCTGGTGTTATGTATGGATATGACTGTCCATCTAAGCATAGTTATTTGAAGATTTCATGGCCATTGTCATCGAAATTTTCATACTTCCTCAAAAGACGCAAATCCTTCCAGAAAGCCTTAGCATCGGGGTATCGATCTTCATGTATATCCAACCGTTCCTGAAATAGCTTCTTCAACTCTGTGTCTTTCTCGGTCCAGCCCCAAGAGGCTGAAACATATTCATACCATATATGATAATATGCAGAAACCTCACAGTCAAGTATTCCAGTCACAACCCCGTCTTTGACCATGATGTTGCCTAGGTTTAGGTCGCAATGAGTGAGAACATTGGGCTCACACTTAGGCAGTCGGTTTTTGAGACTTTCCAAAGCTTGCTGAGGGATTGAATGCTAAAGTTCCCGGCTTAAGGCGCCCCAGAGCTCGGTATCAGAATAAAAGGTCCGTGAGGCTCGCAGTCAGAGATTAGTAACCCAGGATAGCAAGCACTCTCATCAACACCTTGTATAGACTTCGATGTGATGGATCGTAACTTATTGCGAACTTCAACCACTTCATCCGCGATGGCAGATTCCTGGTTTCTGATAGTGAGCCCCAAGCCTGTTCGAGGGTTTGTCCTTTCATTAGTTCTTGAAGTATAAAGTATCGCCCGTCACTATCGCCCCAGTCACGCAGAATCTTTGGCGCTGGGATCTCAGGATATTTTGCAAGGTAATTCAGCGTGCCCACTTCAATTTTCGATCATCGGGCCCTGATCGGAGCGTTCTTTCATTATCACATCGCTCCCAATTGACCACACCCCTCGCTTACTTGCACCTCAGAATATTTTGACATGACTCGAGGAAAAACATTGGCCTTGCTGCTCTGCGGTCCACACACATGCTGTGCAGGGGCTGGATGATTCCTCGGCCAAGATGGAGAGAGAGAGAGAAACAGTTGACAGTGGGTGTTATGAGCGTTTCTTGTTATTTGAATGTATTTACTCCGTATTCACCACCCCTATATGACCGCCCAATAGGACCCTGGGATATAAACATGCATGGGAAATACGTTTCTAGGTACAGGCACAATTCTTCATTTAATTGATCTGATTCGAACAGGGGTGATTGATCAACGTGCGATATCTTACATCACGGCAATATGGAAATCTTAAGTCCAATCTACATAACTTGCAGGAATATGATCATTTCACATTATGGTATTCATACATTCTGCCTTACAACCATGTTTAAAAGGTCGGTTCCTCTCAAGATTTCAGAGCTCCACTCAGGGTGCCCTCTCTCAAGGCTTCAGATTCACTATCCTCCCCGAAAGCTTTCTTGCCTAGCCACGTTATGACCTTCTCACATAACGGATCCACGTGCACTATCCACTGGTATGCAACCCACACCAGCAGAATATAAAATGACGGTATCGCGATCGCGAATGTCATAAAGCCACCTCTCTTGAACCACATAGAATTCCCTTCTTCGTCCACGGGATGTAGTCCTTTCTCTAAAATGGACTTCCGATAGATCACCCAAGATAGCACAGTTCTGATAAGAGTATCATGAAGAAGATATACGGGGAACGAAATACGGCCAAGGAAGTTCATGAAAGGGTGCGACAGAAGTCGACGGCCATCACGAGAGAAGAAAATCCCGTAGACGAATAGCGTAGTTCCAAGAGAGTCTATGTATCGACTCACTTCGGCCCCAGCGGGAACAATATATTGCGCCATCGAGTCCAAAGCACGGCTCCATGGCGCCCATGCTACATTGTCATCAGGAAAAGAAGCGAGGAAAAGCCCACTGAATATCATCATTGTTGATATGGGCGAGGGCATGATCGAGGGGGCTTGGGATCCGTAATCAGCATGTAACTCGGCTAGGAACATTCCAGCGTAGGTAGTCATCTCTATGAGAGCTGTTTCATTATTGATTGTGTTAGACGAGTTTAATATGTGGATTTCACTCGCCTCGGGACTTACGTTGACCGTTCAACCAAGACAAAGAATAAAGGAAAATGAGAAGCAATTTGGTAAATCTCGGGGTGGCGAATGTCGTTGCCAGTATAGTCACATAGACCAACATAGACCCTTTCAGAAAGAAAGGTATCGTCCAGTAAGTAGGATCATATGGTGAAGTACCACCTTCCCAAAACAACACCCAGTTGCGAAAGAGGCCCGCAATCGCATCATGAAGTGTAGGACCGGGCGCCGCAGCCACCACTCTTATCCAGGAAGAATCAACCTGGCTTGCGACTAGAAATCCATTTAGCTGGCAGATAAGCCAAGTCATAAAGATTGCTATGTTCGTTGGTACAACGAGTCTACCAGCCCGAGCAATCGTGTTCTTAGAAAGCTTCGACAGAACGAGCCCATGATCTCCATTGCGTTTTAGTTTAATAAAATTGACGGAATTAACATATCCGGTGATGAGAAAAAAAAGCGAAACTGCAAATCGACCGCCGACGATAAGACGGAAAAAGGGTTGCTGGAAAATGAATACTTCGCCATCTTCCGTGATCGCTGGTGAGTTCAACCACTTTGCGAACGCAGAGCAAAGATGGTAGGTCACGACTGTAGTCGCTGCAATCCCACGAATTCCCTGGGTTTATTTCAGTTTCTGAGATGAAATGAAACTTGAATGGATTCAAACTCACGTCGATCCAGTTATTAGACCTCTGGCGGGACATATCGGACTAGCACTTGAGATGTGTCGCTTCGCTAGATCATGAAGTGAAGGAATTTCAAAATGAATATGCGAGATACTGACTATTTACCTGGAGTTCACTTTGTTTTCCGAATGCACGTACTAATCTTCAGGTCTTTACCGGTTCCGGCAATGACAGTGATAGTGTCAATTTCAGTGGATGGCCCGGCCAAATCATATTTATAGATTCGCAGACCAGAGAAATATCCCTATAACTTCGTAAACGCGCTCTTGTGATATTTAATTTACGAATACAAAGATTGTTCCCCATGTCTTCGTGGGATAAAGTGGTCTTCTGATGCAACTCGGGTGGCTTGGGGATGAGACGCTTGCGGCGGACCGCGTCTCGACATTCCAGGATCTGCTAACATACACGATCAGACCAGATAGGCCTGTGAGCGACCGAGACCTCGAATAATTTGACCTTTAAAGTACAACATTAATGCAAATATACTGTTGCCTACAAGTGTACGTGTCCTTTACGATAATCGTAGTCAATATTGATAGTTCTACATAAAATCTCTCTATTCTCGATCAAATCTCGTCGGGTAAGCCTGATCCTCCCTGTCTTTTCCAATCTCTGCAGGACCATCTTGCGGCTTGTCTGAACAGATGCAGGCACTTTAACTTTCTCGCGCAAGTTCCAATACTAACTCCATTCGGTTTTGCATACCGGGTCATCGCCACAGCCTGCAAAATGGCCTATATGTTCACTGGGTGCCCAATAATCCCAAAGGAGATTGTAATCCGGATAAGCATTCATCGAATGCTGGTTCATACAGACCGCATGATTTTGGACTCTTTTGTGGTGCTTCCATATGTAAGTCCATGTATCATTCTTAGGAAATTTCCATCCTTGAGCGATGTATAGGGGCTCAATTCATAAGTCTAGCAATTAATCACTCCAGGTGCCGCGACGCATAAGAAAGTTCCCTATGACGATACCCCAAGAGTCCAGCAAGATAACGAAGTTGATATCTTTGTGTTTGTATGTTGATGGCGTACTGTAGCCAAGATCAGCACCGGTAGCACCATGGATAGGCCCAGAGCATTACGCGCCTTTCCCTCTGGTGAGAGGATATGATCTTATATGCTGAGAGACATTTTCATGAAGATAATATCCATGTCCATCCGCCAACCTCGCTCTGCATTGGGGAAGCGCACGAACGTTTCCTTCAAATAGGAATTTTGTTCCAGTAGATCGGGGAGCCGTCGCGTAAGTTGTAGCTTGTCAGGGTCGCCCACATGACTCGGTTCGTGCATTTTAACCTATGTCTCTCGGTCCTCACAGATCATGTCCTTCATATGTGGTATCGCGAGCATGCGTTTTTTAAGGAACTTCCAATCACAATGACGACGCTTATCGATTTTTCGGATGAATACCAACCTGGTAGGATCTTGTGGATCTTCTCTGCGCTTGATAGGTGGTTGACTCAATGGACGTCTTGGTTTTAACACTTTTCATTCCATCGATGCGTCCTGTACAAAATATTCATGTTGGCCATGAAGATTGACGATCGGTGGGACGTAATATCAGCTAACGTAACATGATTAATTTTTCCTGTTTCAACTGAAGACGGGATTTACCCACCATGCATAAAATCAGGCTGACCACAATCAGTAAGACGTAAAACGGTCCGAGCGCGTGAAATATGCCCTACTACTGATACTTACTCATCTGCTCTTGAGGACTGTATCATTTAAACCAAAATCATTTCCAAGGTGATCGGCGGCTTTGGAATGCTTGGAGTGTAAATCCCAAACTTGCCCTGGGAGTAAATGGTGGATGGTTGTTATTCAGACAACCACAAAAAATTATTGAACTGATCGCCTACCCGAGATAAAAAAAGGTAAGAAAGAGAAATGTTTTCCATGTACAGTACCGTAAATCTTGAAGACCATTCAATGGAAGACGATGTGACAGTGTTGCGGCCTGAGGCCGCATCCGGTAAGCCACGAGTCACGACGAAACAGTCGCAAACGTCTTAAAGAGCCAGGATTCATGATCCCAAGCGGAGAAATGAGCATCTTATGGTCCAACCGCTTCCGGTCTATGAACATGAAAATAAAATTTCTTGAAAAGATGCCCCAAGGAAACGTGGGAAAATCTCGCCTGTCACTTTTCTCTTACCCTTGTTCGTTCCTATAGAGCTCCACTATCAATGTCGCCCCCTGTCCAGAAGACTTCACCATGATGACTCGTCGATTTCGAGTCCTAATTTTATTCTGTCTTGCTGCTATATCCATCTGGTACTTGACTAGATGGACTGAAGTTCCCAATTACCGGGTTTATCTCACAGATCGCTTGTCAACAGCGAGCTCTCGAAATACAACAGAGCATATCGATTTCTGGCGTCATTTCCAATCCCTTTTGGTGACACACAAACCAACATGCGACCCTCCAAAAAGACTCGGAAAGGTGGAGGTTACTGGCTTCAAGTCATCTGATGCCGGTCCCCGTCCTGATTTGCTGAAAATGACAACTCGCGACATTCGGACAATGAAAAAGGCGCACGAAGACTTCGTCGAGGCTATTCAGCTTTATCCACCCGCACTTTCTTATACGCCTGGAACGAGAGGGCTGGTCACTACAGCAGGGGGGGCTTATCTCCCAGTCTTGGTGATATCCCTGCGCATGCTGCGCCGCACGGGCTCGACTTTGCCAATGGAAGTCTTTTTAGCGACGCCAGACGAGTATGAGAAGTTTATCTGCGACAAAGTCTTACCTTCACTGAACGCGCAATGTATCGTGCTGTCCGACATTCTAAACGCAGTGCCAATTGTTAGCGAGATTGAAAAGTACCAGCTGAAGCCGTTTGCGATGATCTTCTCCTCATTTGAAGAGATCCTGTTTCTGGATGCCGACGCATTCCCAATCGCCAAGCCAGAGACACTGTTTGAGCAGGAGCCATTTCGAAGCACAAAATTGCTCACATGGCCGGACTTCTGGGCATCTTCTGCTTCGCCTTTCTACTACCAGATTGCCTCACGGAGCGTCCCGCCGATGGAATCCCGGCAATCGACCGAATCCGGCGAAGTGCTCATTTCGAAACGAACACACTTGCAAACCCTCCTTCTCTGCACATACTATAACTTCTGGGGTCCAACACATTACTACCGTCTTCTATCCCAAGGAGCAGCAGGAGAAGGAGATAAAGAAACCTTCATCAACGCTGCGATGGCAGTTAACGAGCCATTTTACCAAGTCAGTGAACCTATCTGCGCCATGGGTCACAAGACAAAAGGGGGTCTTGCCGGATCCGCAATGCTTCAATTTGATCCGATTGAGGATTATCGACGGACTCAGAAAGGGGAAGGGCGTGCGAAAGGGTCTTCTGCTACTCCTAGAGCATTTTTCATCCACGCCAACTTCCCCAAGTTCAATCCCGCGACTGTCTTTTCGAAGCAAGCTGTCAACCCGGCATTCAATGATGATGGAACATATACACGTGCTTGGACGACCCCCGAGGACAAGATAGAAGCATTTGGGTCCGATGTTGAGAAACAATTCTGGGCGGAGATTCTCTGGACGGGTTGCGAGTTGGAAAATAATTTTCGAAGCTGGGAAAACAGAACGGATATATGTAGGGAAGTGAAGAAGTATTGGACCGCTTTGTTTGGATCTGAAGATCCAGCTAGGGTATAGCTTGTGGAATGCAAGAAGCCCTTCAGCACAATTGTATAAAGTAGACTACATCTAGGTAGCTTGTCTCCTTTATTAACAGGAATTAAGTTATCGATTACACTGTGCATGCTCGGATTTAACAGAATGACGGTACCTGATCTGGAGAAGACATAGTAAGTAACAATTTAAGATGCAGCTTCCTTCCTTGAAAGCTGTCATCTACCGGTATGCAAGGGACAGAATGATAGTAGTAGGTTCAAAATGTCTTGATTACCTTGGAGCAGTCTAGTATGTGGGGTTTATAGATCTGTGAATTTGATTGGGACCCCACGCCAAAAATTACTGCACAATTCAATGCAAAGTGTTCAACATTTTTTGGCTTTTTTGCGCTCTACAGGGTACCCATTTGGGTATTGGGTTGGGCAACCCGCCCATGGTGATTAATACAATCACTGGAGAGCTCCAGCGGCTATCGACCATGGTACCCAAGTAACAGAGAGGGGAGACGATCCACTTTTCAGGGACCCCGACCAATGAGATTCTCATAATTATCCAGGGTAACAACCCGGGGTAACTATACTCCATCCCGGTTCTCCCTTCACCGCCTAAATGAGCCACGGAAGAAGATATATCCGAAAAAAAAGACCCCGATATAATGTTCATACTCTGATATTGCGCCAATAAAATACACCCAGGTCTCCATGTTTTCCCCCAATTCTATTCGTCATTCAAACCCGACGGGACCACCCGTCCGTGTACATCCCACTGAACAAACAAAGCGCTTTCACGCATTTACGAATATTTTCTTGGACCTATTCTTCGATTTGAAATGCAAATATGATGGATTCCATGGACGCCATGAGCCTCATCGATGTCATGGATGAAGCCTACAATGACGCAGCCACCCAGGGCAGCACCGTTGAGGCTTATCAGCCGCGTGCGTATCAACTTGAGATGTTGGAAGCCAGCTTACGACAGAACATCATTGTGGCTGTACGTCATCCTCCATTAATCACATCGTGCTGTATTCACTGACATCTTTGTGTTCAGATGGATACAGGTAGTGGAAAAACTCAGATGTAAGCAATCTTGGACTTGTCGCGTTCTGGGCCCTGGTACAGATACATTAGACTAACGGACGGTTAGAGCGGTCCTCCGCATAAAGGCTGAGTTGGAGAATGGCGCATCCGAAAAAGTAAAACAAGACCGACTTGCCGACTTGATCCATACTGATCTATTGGGTAGCTTGTGTGGTTTTTGGCCCCGACCGTCGCACTGTGTATTCAACAGCACGACGTCATTGCTTCACAGCTCTCGTCGGTCAAGATCCGAACTCTAACAGGCTTGGACAACGTCGATCGCTGGACAGAGCAGGCTACCTGGAACAAGGTTCTACGGGATGTGCGCGTGGTTGTATCAACCCACGCGGTCCTTGCAGATGCCCTAAGCCATGGGTTCGTTCGAATGTCCCAGTTGAGTCTGATTGTCTTCGATGAAGGTGAGCCACTCTTGAAAAACCATTTGAAGCCTGTGAGCACTGCTGAATACCATGACAGCACACCACTGCATGCGTCGGCACCCGGCGAATAAAATCATGCAAAATCACTATCACCCTACCCTACTCAAATCCGGCCGGGAGGCAGTCCCCCGGATTTTGGGCCTAACAGCCAGCCCCATCGTCAGATCTAATCCAACAGAGCTTGAGTAAGTCATTTCAGCACTGTATGTGATTTGACAGCATACTGAACTGACCGTTCAGGATTATCGAGGCCAATTTAGACGCCGTGTGCAGAACCCCACTTACACACCGAGAGGAGCTCCTTCAACATGTACATCCGCCACACTTAGAGCGCATCTTGTACTCTCCGAGTGAACCACAGAATCTGGGTGCTGAGAGCAACCTGCTTCTCCCGCTTTTGCGTTGTATCCAATCCTATGATATCCGACAGGATCCTTACATCCAGATGCTCAGACAACTACCCGAGACAGAAGCCGAGGCAGAAAAAGTCACAACCTCTAGCAAAACATATTGTTCTGAACAGCTGACAAAGCTTCGGGAGCAAAGCTGCCACATTTACGAAGAGCTTGGCGGCGATGCGGCAGACTATTTCATCAAAGCTTGCATTGAGCAGCTGCAGGAATCAGCTGCCAATGAGATGGAAACGACAAAATTGGCTCGTGAGGAGAAGGCTCATATCCTTGGAATCCTTCAATTAATGCATATGCCTTCTGAGACAACTCACAACTTCAGTGCACCTCATATCTCCCCAAAGCTCCAGCAATTGTTACGCTTTCTTGAGAAGACGGATGATCCGGTCTTCTCGGGCATAATATTTGTCCAAAGGCGCGCAACGGTCAGCGTCTTGGCGCATCTCTTATCCAAGCACCCCTCAACTAAGGATCGGTTCCGATGTGCGGCATACGTGGGGTGGTCGAACAATGGAGGTCGTAAAGATTCTATTGGGGATCTGCTTAGTCGAAACACGCAGAGGGACACGCTCACGGAATTCCGTACTGGAAATAAGAACCTCATTGTCGCCACGGATGTCTTAGAAGAAGGCTTGGATGTAAGTTGCTGCAGTCTGGTGATATGTTTCGACAAGCCCTCCAATCTCAAGTCTTTTGTCCAAAGGCGGGGACGGGCGCGGCACGAGAAATCGACATATGCGATTATGGCTTCGACAGATGATAAGACCTTGAATGTTCGAAATTGGGAAGAGTTGGAGCAAATGATGGTCAATGCCTACAAAGACGACGAGAGACAACAACGGTGCTTATTGACCCTACAGGATTCCGAAGAGAAGGTTGTGGAGTACCTGAGTGTTCCATCCACGGGGTATGCATCCAAATACTAATTCTGGGGCTCTTGAGTTGCTAACGATGGGTTCCAGTGCCCGATTGAGCGCAGAAGACGCGATACAGCACCTTCAGCATTTCTGCAGTACTCTACCTGTTGATGACAATGTCCACAACATTCCCGTATTCACGTTTAAAACTAATTCCAATGGTCTTTTTCGAGGCTCGGTCACGCTTCCCACCTCCGTTCATTCTGCTGTCCAACGGACAGAAGGCAAGACCTGGTGGCACACAGAGCGCGCAGCCCGTAAGGAGGTTGCCTTCCAGGCGTACAAGGCGCTATGGGAACATGGTTTGGTGAATGACAATTTATTGCCGCTCACCAAAAAGGCTGAGCTCAGATTCGGTGCAGATAAGGATATTCCCGCGCTCGTGAAGTGCTCTGAGCAGTACGACCCTTATGTGGACCTCGCACAGGCTTGGTCATCCCCAGATTTGCACCAGACCGATATCACATTCACCAGCAATGGATCGGTGAATGAATATTTGAGCATGTCAATTCTGTTCCCAAAATTCGTCACCCTACCCAAAAACATTCCACTTCACTGGGATGGTGATACGACCTACAATGCATCATTCTCACCCTTGAAGCCGCTTCAGTCACTCACACCCGAGGCCCTTGAATTGATGAGAGACATCACAGCCATGTATTTGCAAGCACCATCTTCGCGTCCACAACCTCCGCTTCGAGACTTTGTAGTTGTCTTCATCCCAGCGGTCTCCAATTTGGCATACTGGGCAAGCCAGAACCAGGGTACCACAAAGCTTCTGGAGTACTTCGAAGGGGACGTATCAATCCACCCAGTGGGGATCATCCGTGATCCAGCCAAATACAGTGAGCCACGTATATTTCGCCGGTGGATTATTCCTGGAGAAGGGAAGACTCGCATTGAGGTTGAATGTCAGTCAATTCCCAAGAGACGCAATTTCCTGCAATCTCGCACGGCAAATGAGATAGGCGAGGAATCCGAGAATTACCCACCGAAGATCTTTATTCTTCCCGCAGAGAGTTGCACGGTGGATAAGCTTGATGCCAAGAATGCTATGTTTGGGCTGCTTATATCTGCAATACTCGACCGGATGGAGGCCACAATGGTCGCCCAGGTGGCAAATAACATGATTTTGAAGGACGTTGGAATCAACGACCTCGGTCATGTTCTCACCGCTATCACTACGCCGTTAGCGCAGGCTAGTACTGATTATCAGCAGTATGAGTTTTTCGGCGACTCGGTTCTGAAATTCACTGTTGCCTGTCAGCTTTTTTTCAAGCAACCCACATGGCACGAAGGTTATCTTTCTGAAAGCCGAGACAAACTTGTCCAAAATAAACACCTCGCATACGCAGCCTTAGAAGCAGGCTTGGATAGCTTCATCCTGACCAAAAGGTTTACTCCGCGAAAGTGGGAAGCCCCCTTTATCTCCCAAAAAGCAGCGGCACCACCGGCAAAGCGAACCATTTCCAGCAAAGTGCTAGCGGACGTAGTCGAGGCTCTCATCGGTGCAGCGTATCTAGATGGCGGAATTCACAAAGCCCAGGCGTGTCTCCACCACTTCTTACCAGAAGTTGACATCTTTTCGGACGAGATCCCTGTTCACCTCAGTCCGACCCCGGAAGGTAAGAGCAATGTGATCGATCCGCGCGCTCTTTCACCTCTGCTAGGATACAATTTCAAGGATGCTTCACTTCTCACCGAAGCACTCACCCATCCTTCATGTGAGCATGATATGAGCACACAGTCTTATCAAAGGCTGGAGTATCTTGGCGATTCCGTGCTCGATATGCTGATAGTAACACTGCTTGCCAAGCACCCAACTGTGATACCACAGGGGCAGATGACACTGATCAAACACTCGGTGGTGAATGCAAACCTCCTTGCGTTCTTTTGCATGGGTCTCAGCACAACAGACAACTCCATGGATGCAAAGCAGCCCGCAAGACTCTCTCGCGGAAATGGAATCCACCTCTGGCGCTTCCTCCGATTCGGCAGTACGGTGCTCGGATCTGCCATCGACAAATGCTTGGACAGGTTCAACGCCCTGCGTGACAAGATCGCCGAGAAGGTAAAGCATTCAGCTGGGTATCCATGGGAGCTTCTCGCAAATCTTCACCCTGACAAATTCATGTCAGATATTATGGAAAGTGTCCTTGGCGCCATTTTCATCGACTCCGGCGGTGATCTCAATCAGTGCGAAGCCTTCATGGAGCGGACTGGTCTGCTCGCGTACGTACGGCGCATGCTCGCAGATGGAGTAGATGTGATGCATCCGCGCAATGCGGCGCAAACCTTGGTGAAGTTCGAGGGTAACCTCGTCTTCAAGCCCAAAAGGATGGAGAAGAATGGCAGCCCGGCGACTTACCATTGTTCGGCGATCCTGAACAAGGTAGAGATCGCATCCATTGAGGGATGCGTCTCCTCTGAGGAAGCGGAGGTTCGGGTGGCTTACTTAGTCATCGAAAAGCGTACCGCATCCATGAATGGAAACGCCTAGTAAGTGATTCCATCCATCGATCGGACCGATGCTTTGATCTAATCCATCAAAGGTACAAGGAAGATTTTGATTTGAGTGGAACGATGAATCTATGTATTGTAATGTAGAGAAGAGCCGCTAGCTAAGAAAAATCTATCTTTGAATGAAATGTACAGTGATACCTCGAGAACATCCATTTCTTGGTAAAGGGATCATGTAATAAATATATCATGAATATATTAAAGAGGGAAGAAAATGTACAAGAAATGACATGGAAAAGAAAACAAAAAGAAAAAGATAGGTTGGATGGGCCCGAGCCGGGATTTGAACCCGGGACCTCGCACAATAGGCTATTAAATAGACTGGGATTATCCCGAAGCGCGAATCATACCACTAGACCACCCGGGCCAATGTTGCATTATTACCAATATTTAGCATTTAACACCTAACGGTTGAATGCTGAATACACATGGGTGGATCAATGAAGTCATACTCGTATATACTCACGTGCGACCTTAGAGTATTTACATGTGATCGTGCTTTCCTACGGTTATCCTCATTCTAACAATCCTTAATACATCCATTTACCCACTTTATATTCTTGTCATATAGGTCATGCCCATAACCCAGACAAAGCCAACATTGGCGGGAACCTCCGTCGGAAAAGTGGAATACAACTAAGTTCCCCGGCGTCCTCCGAATCTTGTCTACGTGCAGAAATAAAAATCCAATGAAATGCTGTGGAACTACAAAGCTATATCCCTCCAAGGATTTTACAATATATACAAACACAAGAATAATCCCTTTGATCCGTGTCGCATGACATAAACGGTAAGCCAGTTTCTCCGGATGCCGAGCCGAGGCCCATCGCAACAGTCCGGGGGACATCAAGCTGACTCGGTTTCGGTCCCGCGTGCCTAGGCCGATCTGCTTTCAAGGTTTAAACTACTTTTTGATTGAATCATTTTAACTTCATTTGTTCACCTCTTTGACTCTACCCTGCCCTGTCTTTGTTCGAGGTCGTTCTTCCACATCTCACTTCCCCGGATTCCCCACCACCATTCACCATGTCCACCTCTACCTCTTCCCCGCAGCAGCTCAAAGATGAGGTTAAGGCTGTTGAGGCCAAGGCCGTGAATCAGACTATTGTGCAGCTGCGATCACTCGCTGCGGGCGCAGTTGGTGGTCTCTGCGCTGTAGTTGTCGGTCACCCCTTCGACTTGGTCAAGGTGCGACTGCAGACTGCAGAGAAGGGTATTTACTCTAGTGCGATGGACGTTGTGCGCAAAACTATTGCCCGGGAGGGATTGGCTCGAGTAGGATGTCTCTAAGTTCTCACTTGAAGATAACGTATTGACAGACTGTAGGGTTTGTACGCTGGTGTATCTGCCCCGCTTGTGGGTGTGACTCCAATGTGTAGGTGCTTTCTGCTTTTCGAGCTCCAATGGCTTCAACCCCATTCCAGTGAATCTTGACTGACCATTTTTTCACAGTCGCTGTTAGCTTCTGGGTATGCTCTAACCTCTATCTCTGACCGAATCGACTCCGCTCCGACAATACTAACAAGAACAGGGTTACGATGTGGGCAAGACTCTCGTGGAGAAGATCTCCACCGTCCCTGTGAAAAACAACACCCCTCAGTACTCCATTGCCCAGATCTCCGCCGCTGGTTTCTTCTCCGCCATCCCCATGACCCTGATCACAGCACCCTTCGAGCGGGTCAAGGTCCTCCTCCAGATCCAGGGCCAGAACCCTCCCCCACCCGGCCAGAAACCCAAGTACTCCGGTGGTACAGATGTCGTGCGCCAGCTGTACAAGGAGGGAGGTATCCGCAGCGTGTTCCGTGGTAGCGCCATGACCTTGGCCCGTGACGGTCCCGGATCGGCTGCTTACTTCGCCGCATACGAGTACATCAAACGATCGCTCACTCCCAAGGATGCTGAGGGTAATGTCACTGGTGACCTCTCTCTCTCGGCTGTCGTGTGTGCTGGTGGTGCTGCTGGTATTGCGATGTGGATTCCTGTTTTCCCGGTTGATACTATCAAGTCCCGACTGCAGAGTGCACCGGGTAAGCCTACAATTGGCGGAACTATTCGTGCTGTGTATGGCAATGGTGGTTTCAAGGCTTTCTTCCCTGGTTTCGGACCAGCGTTGGCTCGTGCTGTTCCGGCCAACGCGGCTACCTTGTAAGCATCATACTCCCTATCTTCTCTACAAAGTGCTAACAATCTACTAGCTTGGGTGTCGAGCTTGCTCACAAGTTCATGAAGAAGATGTTTGACGAATAAAGGGGTTCTTGAAAGTATTCCGGAATGTCGTGTGTAAATATCTGATGTCTATTTCTTTCAGCGTTGGTTTTGTCTGTTCTGGCCAATTAGACTTGGAATCCACTGGTTTATAGATGCTCTCTCTCTCTCTCTCTCTCTCTCTCTCTCTCTCTGGGGTTCTTTGCATAGAGCACTTAGTGTCATTTCAATTTTCAAACCGAAAATCTACCAATAACGAACAGTATTTACATATAATCTATATATCCGTGAAGACCACCTATAGCTTCGACGAGTCCTTAGGTCTCCGCTGCGGTGCAGGAACATGCTTCAGCCACTCAGAGTCAATAGTCCTCCTCTCAAGCATGCTCTTCCCACTCCACCCCTTCCGGAAACTTTCCTCCTCCTCCCTCCACCGCTTCAACTCAGGCCCAATCCAACAAACCGCCGCATCGGCACATTCATTAACAGCCTCCTGAGCAAGCAAATGACCAAATTCCTCCAAGAAAACCTCCCTTACCCTCCCAGCCGCCACACCTCCACTCCCCCCAATTCCAGTCCCCGTAGTAGCAAGCTTAGCCGCGCGCATATCGGGTAAGCACATGTCCGACTTTCCAGCAAAGATATACAAGACACTAGGTCTCAAGAAAGGAAGTTGCGAGAATATGCGCGCAGGCTCAGGTCTATAAAATGGATGCGAGTCAGGATGCGTAGCATCGAGATCAGGGTGCGTAACACGGTTCACGGGCCGACCGCTACCAGGGATATGAGTATAATTTGGTCGAGAGAATGTAAAGACTTCCTGGTGGAGAGTTGTGCGCAAAGTAACGGGTGGGTCTGCAGCTTCAGGCTTTTCGGGATGAATGGCCGTTGGGAGGTCTCGTAGACCGTATTTTACCCAGCGGTCCAGGACGCGGGGATCCCAGGCTTGATAGAATGGACTGCGCTGGAACCCTTCTGCGGCTGCTTTGCGAGAGGGCCAGATGTCTTTGCGGTAGGTTGATAGTTGGGTTGTCTTTGCCATGGCGCGCTTTTTCTCTTTGAGGGTGAAGCCGTCGATTTGGGTAGACTGAGGCTGGACTACTGGGTCTAGTAGGACTAGAGTGTGTAGCAAGCGAGGGTGCATTAAGCTTAGTTGTGTGCTTTATGAATTTGTTAATATGTGGGTTTGTTAGAGGTGGCAGGACTGGTACTGACAGGTGTGCGCCGCCGAAGCTGTGACCGATTCCAATAATGGGTCGTGGCATTTCAGCTGCCTTCACATTGACCAAGTGGAGAAGGTCGCGCGGGTGATCAAACCAGCTTGCTGTGATGTATTTAGTGATTATCGCCAATTCCCTGCGGAGGTGCTCATACGGTCATTTCCTAGACGCTCTTCATTGATCACGCCGCTCTCGCCTTGATGCGCCACGTCGGCCATCCAAATACTGCGAATGCGGAATCCAGTCTCCTTTGCGCGGGCATGGATCTCCTCCCAAAGAGGCTCATATAATTCCTAATCGCTAGTTAGTCTAGGCCAGATTCATGGATTGGATACGACCGTGCCGGTCGCATACTGGAACTAGAGCATCCATACCTTCGGGAAGCCATTGGCATGGGCAGCAAGAATAGTCACATCTCCTGGTTGAGGACTGGGATTGTCGAGCGGAATATATTGTTTCACGACCAGTCCCAAGGGCCGATCTTGATCGTCTGCAATGGCACCGGGGTACTCGCGGATATGCTGGGTAGGCACCACATGCTCAACAATACGAAATGGAGACATAATGAGGGATGTTGAAAGGTGGAAGTCCAGGAACCCCACAAGTTTAAAAGTATGGAGAAGCTGGGCGGCCGAGCCTCGGCCCTTTTGTAAAAATCCGTGGCATTTGGCACAACTCAACTGCCGAACTCCACTACAACTACACAACATACTCCCGTAAGCACTACAAATGGAAATAAATTGGTCAGTGTAATTTGAGTCAATGCATTTTAATTTTATGCCCCAAACGCCCCCAAAATCATATCGAAAAAGAAAACTGAATTTATGCAGACGAACACACATGCGTGATCATAAAAGCGTGGCGGGTATTCATAGAACAAGGCATGCGTGAAGTGGTTATAAGGCCTCATGGCCCTGACTAGTGTGATGGCTCCCAGTGACAAAACACTTTAGTCGAAAGGATAATTCGAGACCAAAGCGCTCCTTCGCCACAATATTGAGATTTTGGATGAAAACATCACAACTGTTCCGTCAAGGGACAGGCTGGTATCACAGAGCTTTAGACAAAAAACTCTAATCGCAGCGGAAGATCACACCAATCCAGTCATGAGGCTGGATGCTTGGCTGACCGAACGATGGATCTATCAGCGGATATAGCTGGTGGCAGAGGAGACCGACAAATCACTGCAGAAGAGGATCACGGAAGTGCTTCTGGGAGTTGTTCTGTTTCTGAATGCGAGCCAAATATTTGTTCTCTGCACGCTGTGTGCGAGTTCTATCACGGCGCTCTGAGATGAGAGCAGCCTGCTTCTGCTCATCAGTGGCAGCAATCATACCATCGCCACCATTGGCACGAGTGATGAGAGCGCGCTTCTGGTTGCGGCCACGAGGCTTCTCTTCCTCCTCTTCGATCTCACCATTCTCAATAGCAAGCTGGCGAGTAGCCCGCTCGTCAGGGCTCGGATAGTTGTGCAGGTTCTGGCGGTAGTACTTGGCGAGGGAGCGGTGACCAACACTCTTGCCGGAAGGCAGGTGAAGCTCGTAGTCATCCTGGTAGATGAGGGGAGCCTTGCGGCGGGAATCAATCTCATCGTCATCGAAGGAAGAAGCAGATGTTTCGGTTTCCCAGCCTGCCTCGTCCGCATCCGAAGACTGGACCTTCACGCCACCAGCCTCAGCCATCGTCTCATCTTCATCGTCCTCCTCGTCATCGGAGTAGGAGCTGCGGAAATCGTAGTACTGGCCGATCTCGATCTGCTCCTCCTCAGCCTCGAAGGCAATCATGCAGTGACCCTTGTCGCGCATGTGGGTGCGGGCACCATCAGCATTGTTGCGGATGGCATGGCAGTAGAGACATTCGTGGTTGTCGTTGATCTTGCGGTAGAGGTAGTTGATCAAACCCTCCAGGTTGACCAGGTATTTGCGCTCGGGGATAAACATGCCGTGGTTCTTGAACATGTGCTCGACGTTTGCCTCGATGTCGGAAGACTCTGTACGGCAGAAAAGACAGTGAGATGAGGAGAACGCATCCTTCTCCTCCTCCATTTCCTCATCCTCCTTATCCTCTGCGATGGTAGCGGCCTTAAGGTCATCTGTGACGTTGGAAACATCGGCATCCTGCGCCTTGCCAACGGGCTCTCCAAGTGAGAACGCTGAGCTCATGACCGACGCATTGTCATCCTCTTTGCTGAGGCGGGCTTCACGCTGCTTGTGCTTGGAACTCTTGACGTGGTTCTGGTAGGAATTTTCGCTGAAAAAGGCCTTCTGGCAGGCGTGGCAGCTCTTCTCATAAGAGGCCTTAGCGGCGGCTTCAGTGGAGTTAACCTTGGCGGCGAGGACCTTCTCGTTGAAGGTTTCCTGGGAGACGGGTGGGAGGGCTGCGATCCGACGCTTCATATTGTACAAGCTGCGCCATTAGTATTTGGTGCGATCAGACGTCAAAATGGGCACTCACTGCCAGTCCTTGCGCATATGATCCCTCTGTGCATCGCTGCGATGGAACGCAACGAGACAGGTGTTGCAGGTGTATGGGAGATTCGACGACATCTTGTGCTCTTTCAAATGTGAAATTGGTGCAAGGTCTTGGTGGGATAAGAAAAAAGTGTGTGGGTGCCTTTTTATCGTAGGCGGGGTACGATAAGAAAAGTTCGATCGCTAGTGGATTTTTCAGTCACACTTGAAGATCTTGAGAACACAAGCAGATCCAGACCAGGCGGAGGGATCAAGGCCTTGATATAGATTAGTTACGGAGGTTTATGAAGATTTTCTAATTCATCAGATCCATGGCACGAATCTGTGTTGGTTATGTCATCGTGATTACCAAGCCTCGATGAGTCATCCTGACTGGTCATGGTTAAGGGAATAGCGTCTTTCTTAGTACTGGAATGATCATAGATGAGTCAGATACATGTAGGATTCATCTCTCTATTCTATCAGATAAAAAGTAATAAGCCCCAGTATATGAACAAGCAAAGGCGAACACAGTATTATGTCAAATGAAACGAAAAGTCTCTCCAGGAGATCAAGATCAAATCATGACATGACATGAAAGGAAAATCCAATCCAGGTCAAGTAAAACGCCCCATAGATCAATATATATATTATACAGATTCAACAAGAATGTCACCAAGAGCAAGGCTAGAAGCCATCGCCTTCCTTCCAGGGACGGCCAGCTTCAAAAGCACGATGCTTAGGGTCTTCACCACGTCGAAGGGCATCGCCAAGCATGTCAGCAACTCTTTGCTCTAACGTACTGACGTCGTCCTTCATTCTACCGCCGGTACCAAGCGGCGGGATATCCAATTCCCTTGTTTCGTCCAATTCCCCTTTCTCCTCCACATCCTCAATCTCATCCGCCAGGAAGGACCAGTCCGAAAAGTCTTGCCCAAGATATTTCGCCTCATCGGCTGCATCTCGATAAGCTTGGAATTCTTCTGGTCCGCCAAAGCAGATACCATAACCATCACATAGACAGATATTCTCCGCTACACAGACGACTGGTTCACCAGTGAAAACGTATTGCCAAAGATATTCCCAAATACGACCTGCAATGTAGTCGCTCAGATCGGTCTGCAAAAGCCAGTCGCGGTAGTAGATGAAGCGGGCGCGAGGCACTGTCCGAATCCGATCACGCGACAGGGCAAACTGCGCACAGCACGGCTGTGCGAGTACTGATGGGACCTGATCATCGGGGAAGAGCTCCCCCCATGCGCGGGCCAGCATCACCTCTTCTTGTTTTTGTTCATCTACTACCGTGGCTCCAGGGTGCATCCATGCTGGACAGCCTGGAGCCAAGCCGCAGCGCAAATTCATGTATCCCTCCCGAGCGACTCGAGCCAAGTTCAGGCGGCGGAGCATCTCAGCTGTATCGCCGTCGAAAATTTCATCGTTGTGCCATGCGTTCTGGTGGGAGTGTATGAAAACGGAGATGTCTGTCAGGTCGTCGTAGTAGTCGATCACGTAGCTCAGGTAGACCATGACCTCGTGGCCTTTATTCGATGGGGGGTGGAGTGGCGCGTGGGGGTCGTTGGCAACATAGACGGCAGTGTCCCAGTCAGGCAGCTCTTGTTCAATCCAGCTCACATCCTCTGTTATCGTGCGCGGAACAACGAGTCTCTTCGTGTATTCGACCCCCGGCGGTTTGGCGACGCCGGGGATGAAATTCGGTTGGGGGGCGTATAAGATTTTGTTCCCCAGGCCCACGGTGGCATTGAAGGCCTTGCCGGTTCCGTTTTTGCCAACAGGGTAGACGAACTCACCAAGGCCCAGAGACTGTGGAAGCTTATTCCATGGCTGCGAAAGATGTCGGGCAGTCAAGAAGAGGACAATGAAAAAGGAGAGGCCGAGAGAGAGGACTGCGCGCCGTGGGAGAATCATGGAAGGAGCCGATAGGAGTTATACGCGGGGAATTGATCTATTGCAGATAAAAGTCAACGGCTGCACCAAGGGGCGCAAGGATTCAGGAGATGTCGATCCAAGGCAGATCCATGCGATTGCTCACATACACACTCAGGGAGATCATTGCAATTCAACCATTTGGCGCCGAATCGCAGGGATGGAGGGTATAGTGAGGAGAATTAAAAGAACTTTGAAGGGGGTGAAGGTGGCTTGACAAGAGCACAGGGCCTAGAATGGAGCCGACGGTCCATCATATTGACTTGCTTTGCGGCCATGGACGAATGAACGGCTGAAACACGGGTGTTGGTGGATCAGGGATTGCGCACCGCCCAAGGATGACGACAACTAGGTATCATGGATCCGAATTGTTCACATTGTAACATTGAATGATCGTGCTCCGTAGAGTAATTAATAAATGGAGATCAGGATGACGACACAAACTCAATGTTTCAAATGTACCTTTGTGATTGAAGTTTTGAAGGGGCATTTTTAACCCTTGAACAGTAACATCAAGTGGGGTAGTCATCTACTGGAGATGCCGACGACTCTCTACATATTTGGTCAATTTCATATATGTATGAACAATCTTGCTTGGAATTCATGAACTATTATATACATCGTTTATAGTTTGGGTGTAACCTTATCGAAGACAACTCGGTTAACACAAGATCCAACACCCTCCAATGACACTTCAACCTGGTCGCCATTCTTCAGCCACAGAGCGGGCTTACGGCCCATGCCCACGCCTTGTGGTCTATATCATGTCAGCACCGATCAGAATGTGGGGAAACAAAGAGTATACTCACGTTCCAGTGAAGATCAAATCTCCAGGCAAGAGGGTAGTACCCCGTGACAAAAAGGCAATGGTTTTGGCCACGCCAAAGATCATATCCTTGGTAGATGATGACTGCACAGTCTTACCGTTCAACTTGGTTGAGATCTGCAGAGAGTTCGGGTCGGAGATGACCTTAGAGGAGACGATACCCGGACCAAATGGCGCCCAGCCATCAAAGCCTTTACCCAGGTTCCACTGGCCTCCACCACGCTTGATCTGCCAATCGCGGTGGGAAACATCGTTACCGACCGCATAACCCAGAACATAATCCAATGCCTTGCTCTCGGGCACGTCGCGAGCCTCTTTGCCAATCACGATGACCAGCTCGCACTCGTAATCCAGACCCTCGCCCTCTTGCGCCATTTGGGCAACTGGGATATCATCTGTGGGGCCTGCGATGGCGGTGATGGGCTTGAAGAACAAGACAGGGTACTGGGGGATTGGCAGATTGGATTCCTTGGCATGCTGCTCATAATTGAGTCCCAAGCAGCGAACTGTCTGGATATCCTTACGAGCCAGGGGGGACAGAAGCATCCGCACATCAGCCACCTGGTCGGTCACACGATGTTGACCAAAGATGTCGCCCTGAATAACTTTGGCCTGAGTAACCTTGGAGAGATCTATCACTCCAGATGGGAGCACGGCATCTCCGTAGTAGACCTGGCCATCCTTGGCCAGGAAACGAACCAAATGCTAGAGAGGGGATCAACATTGATGTAAATGAAGATAATAAGAATGAAATTCTATAACTTACAGTGAATGTAGCCATGTTGTGGAGAGAGATGGAAGTTGAGGAGTCAAGAAAGTGTGGAGATAAGGATTAATTGTGGTTCCTTCTCGGCCGGAAAACCTCCGGGAAAACGGAGCTCTTGCTTTCCCCAGTTTCATCCAATCCAATGATCCGCAATCCCGCATTTCTTCATCATCTTCATCATGGCTAGACTCTCCGGCCTTCAGCGGGACGTCTTATCCCTCTACCGCCAGTGTCTCCGCGAAATCCGCAAGAAGCCGATCGTGCGTACTCTCCACTCGTAACCAATTTTTGCAAGGCGACTGACTCGCCTGCTCTTCTCTCAGGATTCTAGAAGTAATTTCAAAAACTATGCCCGGTAACTTACCTTTCCGCTTCTTTCCCGCTAGTTGTTGTCGGTGCATCCCGGACTGACGCGATCCTAGGGCGGAATTCCAAAAACACCTCTCGGTGAGCAAGAAAGACTTTAGCACCGTCGAATATCTACTGCGCAAGGGCCAGCGCCAGCTAGAAATGTACGCTTCCCCGGGAATTCGCAACATCCGATGAAGTGGCCCCAGAATTCAGAATCATCTGTTATGACACATCCCGTAGGTTTCGCGTGGCTCTTCCTCTTCTGTACATCAGTGGAGAAGCTTATTTATTGGACAGTAACCCACGGGCCTCCCGATTGCACCCGATATGATCTTGGTCACGCAGCTATTGCGCTGCTTCAAATGTTGTACGATATCCATGGATCTGAAGTCTCTCCCTGCTTGAATGGCAGAAACTGTCTGTACATTACATAGATGATTGTGGATCTTGACATGTGCATTTACCAGCAGTTGATCAGTATATGCAAATCTAATTAGACTATCCACTCATCTTTGGAAGACAGCTGGCTAACTACATACATCGTAATTTGAATGTTGCGCAGTTATTATCCTCTCAATTCAATGTTGCCGTTCACGGATATATATCCACGTGACTCTGGGAAAAATCGGGCTCGTAGACAAGCACACCATTTTCGAATGATTAATAATTCTAGGAAGTAATTCGAACTCGGGCTTACATTTCAGTAAGGAATTCAGCTTAGAAACCATCTGGAAGATTCAAGATTATCGATGATTGTGGCGAGTTGAAATCTGGAGCGTTGGAGAAGATGCTGGAACGCGCCACTCCGTTCCAGTTGGTTCTGACCAATCACCGACCAGAACGCCCCCCAGAACTATATATACCATCAACAGAACGACTTGATATAGCATCAGATCAAATCAAAGCCTCCAAACAAGCCTTTCAAACAAGCCATTTGCACAAACCATCTTTCTCCTTCAAATCCCTTCAAACCCACCTCTAATCTCAATCACCATGTCTTTCCTGACCTGCGCCTCTGACCTCTCCCCGCTCTTCCGACTGCTCGATAACTACGAGCAGGTCGAAAAGAATGAGATCAAAGCTCGCCCTACTCCACGTCGCAGCTTCTCACCAGCTTTCGATGTACGTGAGCTCACCGATGGCTACTATCTTGACGGCGAGCTACCAGGCGTGAGCCAAGAGAATATCGACATCGAATTCAGCGACCCCACAACCCTGATCATCAAGGGCCACGCGGAGCGAAACTACAACACGGAGACCTCTGAGCCCACCCAGTCATCTCCACGCCGACACCAACCTACAGTCGAAGATGAGGATGATTCCGATTCCGACTCGACCTCCTCCACCCGTTCGGTGACCTCCAAGTCCGTTGCAGTCCCAGCTCAGTCCAAGCCCGCAAACTTCCACTATTGGGCTTCGGAACGTTCCATTGGTGATTTCCAGCGCACCTTCAGCTTCCCCACTCGTGTTGATCAGGATGCGGTACGTGCCAGCTTGAAGAACGGTATCTTATCCGTTGTCGTGCCAAAGGCGACTGCACCCAAGATCAAGAAGATCCGCATTCAATAGGGATATAATTTCTGCCATTGGATTGGTCCTATAATGCGTTAATGTCTCTTGATTGCATTGGTTTGGCGCGGGGGAATCTGCGATATTTTCTTATGTACTGTTATGAATTGGGCTTTAGATAATTTGGAACTTGGAAATTAATATACAACTTGCAAAATTCAACTTTTTCCCCGATATAAAAAGTAGCATGATACTGGAGGCTTCACGGCGCCTATCATAATTAATTAATGCTTCTAGAAGAAGTAAGTATTGGTTGAAATGCGTTGATTTCTTCACCGTTGATACATGGTAGTAACCCTGAAGTAAGGTACATGACCATACCGGCCTAATAAAGACACGACATGATAACCACAGGGTGAGAGAGACATGATAGCTCTGGACAGACAAATAAATCGTGCGCGGTAATTAAATTTATCTGATAACCACCCGCTATTAAAAGAATTCAGGGTCCACATGACTAACGAAATACTCATCTGAATACAGCATCGCAGCACGTCTGGCATAAGAATCTGCGACTGTATTCCAATATCTTGGGAATCACCAGAATTCAACCGACAGCCCGTCCTCACCCCAATTCTTCAATTCGGAAAGGAGAAACTGCCAGAGGTCTCGGTTCAGAACTGGGTGTCCAGCACTTGTCCTCCAGCCATTCTCCTGCCACTCAGAAATCCCTGATGTAATTCCATTGACAACGTAGGAAGAATCCGTCGCGATGACCAGACTGTTGAATCCCTCAAAGGTCCATTCGCGGTAACGAAGAGCTGCAATGACGGCTCGGAGCTCTGCGCGGTTGCTTGTCTGGGGGTATAATACACCCGACTGGCCGCGGGTCCCTAGTCGAAATTCGAATGAAGGACTCTGTGCGAAACCATTGCAGCCTGTGAAGTGTTCCCCGTGTTCCCCATAAACAATGGCACATCCAGCCCTTGAGGTGGGGCCAACATTGTCTAAACAGGAACCATCTGTGTAAATCAAAAATTGGGCTGGGTCGTTGACGTTGATGAATCGAACGGCAGGCGGGGAAGCGTAGTAGTTTACCTGAGGTAATGTGCTCGTGGACTCAATCGGATGAAGAATAGAAGCGTCTAGATAGCGGGAAGCAATTCATTGTGGTTTGTGTGGGTAGATATAAGTTGGTCGAGTTGGTCGAGTTGGTCGAGCTGTGTGGTTGATGTGATTCGGGTGATTGATATGACTTGTATGGCTAGTTGGAGACCTCCTGAGGTGGGAATATTCGAGAGACTATCCACAATTAGGGAAACTGGAAAGGACAACTCGGGTTCTCGAAGACATCTTGCTTCTGGAAATGCGACAGTTGGGAAAACATGGTGGAGTAGAGACGGTCCAAATGTCATGTTTAATGTTGAAAGCATATTAAATTTCCCCTTCCCTGGGAGCTCTTCGGGCAGAAGCAGTGATATGTGACGGCCTATTTGCAGAATTCTGCTATATTTATTTATGTTCCATTATGAAGAGAGATTTTCAATGTTACTCTGTGGTCTGGCATCGGCTACATTTTTTTCGAAGCACGCGCAGGGGTAGAACACAGGTAGTGGAGAATTATTTTTCCATCTTAATATTATCTCCTGGTTTTGTTTTAACAAACAAAAAGAAGAAGAGAAAAAACATCTTTAAGGGGTGGCTTGTGGCTATGCATTTTCGACAAACGAAGGGTCCATATGGAGAACTTGGTGCCAGTCCGCGCCCCAGATTGCTCAAATGAGATAGTAAAAGTACCATGCAATATGATCCTGAAACTTCAGATGTAATAATTCAAACAAAATAGCCATGCACATTTCATCCCGTGCGCCTCATTTCATTGCTCATTACCTATTCCAATTGCGACCTAACATCTGGCAGCCCCATACTTGCTGTAAATAAGCCGAATTGGAGTTTCTAAGTACGAAAGATGTCTCAACGCGCAATAGTAACTCCTATCTGCCCAAGGTTGGTTACTCCACTTCTTGACAAATTTGCCCTCCCTGAGTCCATGTCTCATTAGCTTCTATACTACAATAAAGCACATATAGAGAGAAACTAGTTCCGCGTAGAGAATGTACTCACACATCCAGTTGTACAGCAGGCAGTGCCCGACGGACATTTGTTTTGAGGACACGCGATGATACACACCGCACTGTGGTTCTTGCACGCCGGCAATGAAGAACCATAAACCACTCCGAACACAAGAGTGTAGATAAAGAAGGATAATTTCATAGCGAATATCGAAGCAAGCAAGTGAAGACACGGTACTCTGTTGCTTTGGTAGACTGATGAAAAACTGGCCTGATGAACCGTCAAACTTCGACCTCTACTCTTTTTATACTTGTGTGGAGATCGCCCGATCGCTACATCCTTGCTTACCCTCCTGACAGGGCCTTGCTTACCCCTACTGACAGGGCAATCTATACCAATAATGCAACTTCTATTTACACCGCTTGGATTAATATCCAAGGGCCATACATGTTGTGGAGTTCGAAGAAAGCTAGTGCAGAATGGCAGATCTGCTACAATCTACGCAGTGAGAGTTTCGCGGATCGTGCTAGGCTTATGGCGATGACAGATCGTTCACTACCTTCTAGTTCTCTGGCTAATTCAGAAGCCATTTTGCTCTCGCTGCGTACAACATGGAAAATAATCTCAAATTTCCAGGAAACGAGGTTTTCGTCCTATTTTGCTTTCCCTCCATGTCTTGGGTACAAAGCCGCACTAGATTTGCCCCTGTGAAACCCATTCCCGCAATGGTGTAGAATATGTAGATCTCACCTCACTAACGAACTTACCGAGATCCTCCGAAGACAATACAATTCGAAGCAATTTTGAATTCACACATTTGCGATTCGGTTCCAGGATCCTAAGTGGAGGCGCGCTAATCTAATTCTAGATCTACCCCTAGTAGGGGGTTTTTTTCACTCATCATTTTAAGCGCTTCGTTGCCTACGCTGAAAAAGGTGGAATGTTAGATGGGTACAAGGATGTGCCAGAAGCAGTATGCGAAGAATAAAATATGTAAGAGCAATTGGGACAGGAAAGAACAATCGCGAAGGAGGACATTTCACTGAAAATGGAAAACTCTATCCTGCTATCAACGTCAATATTCTTCCCTCGCAGTCTTCCGTCTCTACGGCTGCACAGGCTTCTGCCGACTTGCAGCTCTTCAGGGGGTTGCTGTCATCGACAAAGCATGTGTATATAAGGGCACATCTGGCCCGAGGTGTCGAGCCACTGTTCCCTCAAAATCAACCGTCTGTGTAAATGAGAGATTAAGACGGGTTGGTGTTGTTGATGAATCGCAAAGTTGGCGGTGCACCACTGACTTCTCTGAGGTTTCCCTGAGCGGAAAAATTTTTGTGGCTTATGAGAAACATCAGGCCAAAACATCGTGACTTCGGTGATTGGTGCAACTTGTGTAGTCAGCTGAAGGGTTTGAAATATTCGAGGAAAATAGTAAGCGGGTGGCAGAAGCTGGGTAGGTGGGACACACAGCACATGCTAGTATGGCACCAGGATGTGACAAGTCACAAGCTGGGGAAGCTGTGAGTGAACGAACTAATGGAATGTAAGAGATAAGAATGCAGTCTACATGTCTCTCCTCTCTAAGAAGTCATCCATGGATATGTCTCCAATAGTATTCAATAACTGAAAATGATACATTCAGAAATACGCTCATTATTTGTTGATCAGTGTAGCTCGACCTTGGAAGTTCATGAACTCAATGCTGGGTGGGATGGCCAAGTATTCGACATTGAAGTGATCAAAAGGGTTGTTGCTCACAGAAGGAGTAAATAAAATGGAATATTTACTCTAAATTCCATTCATTGACTGTAATCCATGGTCTCATAGTGAGCCTTGTGCGGAGTAAGCTTCCATGATTAGTAATGCCGTTTATTGCTCCTCACTTCGAATCCTCTTCAGACCTTCACTATTTCCATAATCATACATCTACAGTAACCAGCCGTGCCGTGTGGGTATTATATATGTATATTTGGGAGCCTTTCAAGGTTCCTTGTAATGAATCCCCAACGATCGGCTGGCTCCGCATCCCAGCATGTACCACAGCCAGCAGACTCTGAGCCACAAGAACTGACTGATGCAAACATCCTGGATAACTGCTGGGCGTCGGATCATACACCGGCGGACTGGAATGACTTCTACTTTTGCTCATCAGAGTCTATCCCTGCGGAATGTTCATGGAAAAGCCATGAATCACGACATCTCGAAACATTCGACCATTCATATCTTCAGGCTTCAGATCCTCTCAATGCCGCAGTCGGAGATGATACAGATTTATTTCAGCCGCAACCTCAAAATCTCTCAAACGTTCCTCAGTGGCTTGATGGGGCTTATCGCCCATCGGTTCCATGCCGTTATTGCCGCAGACATCGACTTCAGTGTCTGATTCTTCGCACCACATCAGCAAATCCAAATCCTGTCTCATCCTGCTCTAGCTGTGTGGCGCTATTTAGAGAATGCAGTCTCGCAAAGGGAGAAAAACGATTACCCTCTGGATTTGAGACTTTTGCTCCGGTACTAGGCCACTTACATGGTCTGCCGGAGCATACCGAGGATAGCGTAAGTACTAACCCTTATTGTCGAAAGTCCTATTTGCTAAAGTGACACAGGAACAGGCTCTACCTAGTGCGGAGACCATAGAAGAGAGAAAAGAATCTAAGCGATTTGTGCGAAAGGGTGCCAGAGTCTTACGAGAGTGGTTCTATCAAAACCAAGAATGTCCATATCCGACCGAAGACCAGAAGATTCAATTCTCGCGTGAAACCGGATTCTCAGAGAAACGGATTACCACATGGTTCGCGAATGCCCGTCGTCGCCAGAAACAGAAAATCCAATCATCAAATTCCGCATCCAACATTCGTACTCGTGCGGGGTCCCCGTTAATTAGGAGTACCCTGGACTCGCTGACCCCCCTGGAGCGGTGGAAGGCATCCCCACCAGAAGATGAACCGGTGTCGGAGTCTGTGATACAAGATGCGATTGCGTCTGCTGGATTAGATGCAATAGACCCATTTCAGCTCGATGAATCCGCGATGGACTGGTTCAATTTTGACCAGTCATCGTCCCATCTTCCTTCTTCAACCTCTAGCTTTGGAAGCCGTGTATCAGAGACCTCAGATAGTGTCTCATCAACCTGGAGTCACCAATCAGGAGAGGGTTTACCATTCCCAATGTTGCCAAAGACGTCGCGCTCTCGCAGACGAGACCACTCCGAAGAGCATCAATACCAGTGCACTTTTTGTATTCGATCATTCAAAAAGAGACATGATTGGATTCGACATGAGAAAAGCGTACATCTTTCACTTGAGACCTGGATTTGCATACCGAGGCCGAACGAACTCCAACAAATTTGGCATTCTCAGGTGGCTGAATGTAGCTTTTGTGACACCTTGTTTCCTGGCCCGGCTCATTTAGAAGAACATGAGTTTTACGTCTGTGCGGAAAAGCCCGTAGCGGACCGGTCTTTCACTCGGAAGGATTACCTCTGGCAACATCTTCGAAAGTTTCATGGCTGTACAAAAAATCCTGTCTCTGACCTGGAAGCGTGGCGAGAGGCCGGTGCCAATGTTCAAAGTCGATGTGGTTTCTGTGATCAATCACTGTCAACGTGGACTGCTCGAGCGGACCACCTGGCGGAACATTTCAAGAATGGAATGCGAATGAATATGTGGGTTGGCGATTGGGGACTGAGTCCAATTGCGATGGGGGTCCTTCGCAACGCTACGTTGCCTAATCAGCGATCTTTGGCTACTTGAAATATTGGCACTTGCTCCACGTAATCTAACTCATGTTTCATATAGCCTACCCAAGCGCCTATCCTTAGTAATTTGCACTCCAGCACCTACTCGAGTCGCTACTATAGCACCTACCATTTCAGCTAGTATGCCATAAAAGTGTATAGAAAGTATACACTCAGGTTTGTGTTTCAAGTCCAATGCGAGCACAACAAGGCTGCCAGCACGGGTTTATGTATTTAAGAGGAGTAATAGTGGCTAGCACTCCCTGCTCCATCAATCGACATCCATGCTGACTCATTTGTATGCCAAGCGTGACGATAGTGATGGTATTGGCGAGTAAGGGATGGATGAGTCTGGAATGGGCAGAAGTCGCTGGTTCTTCACGATCTACTAGCTTCATAGGCTTCCGTCACCCGTGTCCACTTTGGCTTCTGAGCCGCTTGTTAAGCCGAGATTTCGCCGAAGTTGTTACTTTTGGTGGAGAATTGTTAAGAGAAGATGAAAGAAGACGGAGTTGCATGGAAGTGGAACAAGGTCCGCGAGCTAAACTTATCAAGGTTAGAATGATGATGAGTCATCGCCGAGGATCGGCAGTGGGATAATTATTTCATTGAATTGAACCGACACTTTCTCTGTCAATTGAACTCATCTTCTTATACTTGTCGCATTCAACACTGTCGCTTGTATTCAACATGGCACCCAGCTTCATCCTGACCCTCTCGGGCCCCGATCGCCCAGGTATCGTCCACGCCGTGACCGCATTCCTGGTCCAGCACAACCTGAACATCGTCGACTCATCGCAGTTCGGTGACCCCACCTCCAAGCGCTTCTTCATGCGCATGCAATTCGCCCCCGAAGGTACCACCGACCTCCCTGAACTCGAGCAGTTGCGCACTGCCTTCAAGCCCACCGCCGAATCCTTCGCCATGGACTACCAAATTCACCCCACCTCCCAGAAGCCCCGCGTTTTGATCATGGTCTCCAAGATTGGCCACTGCCTCAATGATCTTCTCTTCCGCCAATCCACCGGTCAGCTGAGCATTGAGGTCCCTCTCATCGTCTCCAACCACCCCGACTTTGCGCCCCTCGCCGCAACCTACAACATCCCCTTCCACCACCTTCCCGTCACCGCCGACACCAAGGCGCAGCAAGAGGGCCAGATCCTGGAGCTGGCAGCGCAGAACAACATCGATCTAATTGTGCTGGCTCGCTACATGCAGGTTCTGTCGCCGAAGCTGTGTGAGGCTATGTCTGGTCGCATCATCAACATCCACCACAGCTTCTTGCCTTCTTTCAAAGGTGCTAAGCCCTACCACCAGGCTTATGACCGTGGTGTGAAGATTATTGGCGCCACTGCCCACTTTGTTACTAGCGACCTTGATGAGGGTCCTATTATTGAGCAGAACGTTGTTCGTGTTGGACACGGCATGAGCCCCAAGGAGCTTACCCACGCTGGTAGCAACGTCGAGAGCAACGTCCTTGCTACTGCTGTCAAGTACTTTGCTGAGCGCCGCGTTCTCCTGAACGGACACAAGACCGTTGTCTTCGACTAAGTGCCTTGGAATATTTGGCCCGTAAAGGGATTTTGTGATGCCTTGGTTTACAAATATAGAACTACAGGATATACTGCGATGACAAGGAAAAAACTTGACGCACATGACGAACAAAATGAATATTTACATGAATGCAACGTATACGGAGAAAATATGGAGACTATAATGGACTTATGAATACTATCATAAGACAACGGACCCTCAACTTCGTACTGATATCACCGTAACTCGTAGCTCGAATGAGTAAATGCATTACCCATAAGACATATCGAAAACCTCTATAAACAAAAGACCCCTTCAAAAATCATTCCAATCCCTTGACACCATCCTTAAATGGTCTCAGATCATACTCATCCGGATAGGTTTCCAAAATCCGCTTGAGCTCACCCATCTGCTCCCTCGCCTCCTCGGTAATATCCTCATAAACATCCGTAAACGCCTCACGGAGAGGAGGCTTCTTCTCCCTTTCTGCCTCACTAAACTCCTTCAATACGGCCTTCCTCAATGATTCCTTCGTCTCCTTCTCCTGCTCCTCACTCCACAACCCCTTATTCTCAAGCCACTTCCGCAACCGGATGATCGGATTATCGCGACGTTTCCAGTCTTCCACTTCCACGCGCGCCCGGTACGCAAAGCTATCATCACTCGTACTATGATGAGAAACACGGTAGCTCATCGCCTCGATCAAAACGGGGCGGCCTCCGTCACTTAACGCTCGTTTTCTTGCTTCTTTAGTTGCTTCGTAAACGGCAAAGATATCATTGCCATCTACCCGGATCGTATCAATGCCGTACCCTATACCTCGACTGGCGATTCCATCGCCGCGATATTGTTCCAGAGTGGGTGTAGAAATAGCGTAGCCGTTATTTCGACACAGGAACACGATCGGACAGGACCGGGTTGCGGCGATGTTGAGTGCTGCGTGGAAGTCGCCTTCACTTGCTGCGCCTTCACCGAAATAACAGGTCACGATGCGAGGTTCCCTGTTAGGATTCTGCAAGTCTTGAATTTTCAGTGCATAGGCTGCACCAGAAGCTTGTGGGATTTGAGTAGCCAGTGGTGATGAAATTGTGTGCTGTGTACATGTCAGCATAGCTCAAAGAAGGCTACGTTGTGATAGAACTCCAGGTAAACTGACAATGCGAGGATACTTTTGGCCATAGTGCACAGGCATATTTCTGCCACGACCCTTGTCATTGCAGTTTGCGAATAACTGACTCATGAAATTCTTGAGCGTAAAGCCTCGTTGTTGGAAGACACCGGTTTCTCGGTACTGAGCGAAAACCACGTCGTCTGGTGTCAATGCTGCAGCAGACCCAACAGCAATACCTTCTTCTCCGGCCGAAACCTATAATCAAGATTAGAAATCTCATATAGATGCCACTGACCTGTTAATTGATTTGTGGAACGGTCTTACCATATAAAAACTCAAGCGCCCTTGTCGCTGTGCCTCGAACATCACCACATCCATGATGCTGACTATTATCTTTCAGCCAAAGGCTCCTATCCAGATTGAGCAAAACATACCAGTCATCATATTCTTGTACCATGTCAAAACCTCCTCATCAGACACATCGGGAGGTCCACGCGTCTTATCGACCAATTCACCGTCTGAGTCGATCACTCTGTAGGTAGGGATTGCAGGAAGATCCGAGGCCTTGAGAAACGTCATATCGGTGGTAAATTTACTATCCACAGCACCTGGAAAATGCACTCTGTGAAGAACGAGGTTTTAGTATCCGTTTCTTTGAACAATACTTTCCCCACACTCACCGATCCGAACCAGGCCGCTGTGAGATTGAACTTCCCCATCGACGAGGGGCAATTGAGCATGGCCGGAGCAGGCCCGCTGTTCGCGATACTCGCCATGAACGCGTAATACTGAAAGACATTTTGATGAGAGGAAGTTTGGGATCGAGGGGATTCATTGATAGTAAAATGCGGAGTCTCGGTTGTCGTCGGGGTGAACGTCACTATCCGCTTCCAACCGAGCGGCTCTCGGCGATAGCAGATAACGAACTATGAACCAGACACACAAGTACTTTGCGGCCAGAGATATAATTGATCATGGCGAGAAACTCTGGAATCATTTTGATAATTACTTGATCCACCATAACATCTGATTGCCTGCCGACGTGGCTATATCAGTCATAAGGGAAAGCGAACCGAAACCGAGATTGGCTTAAGTTGTTCGGCAATGAATACCTGCAAATCTGATACATTCATCTCACAAATGTCTGTCTCTAAAATAATAATAATCCATCGAGCAAGTCAATCTGCTACATTAACAAAAAAGGTCGATTGTCAAAATACTGCCAAATCACCAATACCAAATGGATCATTCCAAAACATGACCGTGAACTTGTCCTATATGTAGAACATCGTATCCTTCACATTGGGGTGAATAAGAACATTCTCATCACCACCCACCTGTCCAGCCCCCTCAGTGCCTACAACACTCGCCTCTGGGTTCGACAAACTCGGGTCGAACAGGTCGCTCAGGTAGCAGCGCGCACGGGTACAGACCAAATCCGCATAGTACGCAGGAGGGCATACACTAACAGCCTTTGTCGCACGACCGAAAAGGTAGCACATCTTGTGCGTCAGATCCTGGAGAACGTCCGCTGCACCTCGGGCTCCGTTAGTACCCGGGTGCTGGGGGTAGAAGATCTCGTCCCAGATGGTGAAGTAGTGAGCTGGGCGAGCGGTTCCTTGAAGTGCGGAGTGTGCCTGGAGGAAGAAGTCCCAGGACTTGGACTCTGAAACGCCACGGTCGACCACAGTACCAGGCATTGGGTTTGCGGAGCGATCCGCGTCGGCATCGGAGGTCGGGTAAAACCGAGTGTTGTGGCGCTTGCCGACGATGATAATGGACATGGCTGGGAGGCCTCGCTTGGTTTCAGCGGCGGGGTAGACGGCGGCGCAGGCACGCTTGAGGAGTGGGAGTTCTTTGTCGAGCACGAGGTTATACTGGCCCTCGGAGACACCGTCGCGGTAGACGACGATGTTCTCGGGGTACTTGTTCTTGTTGTGCTTGGCCCAAAGCTTGAGGCGAGATTGCATGAGAGCGTCAAGGTCAGCAACCATTTCGTTGCGCGAACCCTGGATCCGAATCTCGGCAGGCCATTGTGCGAGGGTAGAGTCTACGGATGCCACGATCGCTGCGACACTAGGTGCGTTGCTGGAAGAGCCGGGCGAGGGATGGGTGACATCAAGACCAACGAGCATCGTCTTGTTGTTTCCGAACAGGCCAAGATCAGAGCTTCGGAGGGACTGATTACCGCCGCCAAGCTTAAGGTTGATCTTGAGGCCCACGTTCGCGCAGTATTGATCTTGCGCGACAGCGAGCTTCTCAGCCTGGACATTGACATTGCGCACACCGCAGCGCACATCGCACACCTGCTTGATCGTGTTATACAAGGTCGTGTCCTTACCGTGAAGAACACCGAGAATCATTGAAGGCTTATAGCGATCTTGAAGTTGGCGGACAGCCCTTTCGATGACCTCGGTGTCGCTTCCGTTGCTGCCGGTCAGCACAACGCGCTGTCCCTCCTTGGGCATTTCAGCTTCGATGCCCATAGTTCGGAGCACCGAGGTGAACTTCCTCAGAGACTCCATCATCGCTGCGAGGTTTTGCCAGTATGTCCTTGCACGTTTCGTAGTAACGTAGAGGTACGTCCAGTTCTTCAGAGGCACAGGCCTGGAGAACTGGATGGCCTTCATATTCCACGAGCCAGCCATAGTCATGATCTCCTTCTGCTTGGCATACATGATCTTGGGAGGTGGCAGGACACGGCCGTGGACCGTAATAAGGTTGTTGTCCACACGGACACCAAAGGCAGCCTATAAAGTTCAGTATAAATGGCTCTAGAGTCCAAAGGAAACACGTCTTACCAGCGTCGCGTTCAGCGGCTCCAGACCTAGCAAGCCCGCACCCTTATTCACAATGGACTGGGCGTTTTGTGCAGGCTTACGGCCCATAACGGCAAACTTGAGCATGTCAGATGTTTGGTTGGGGGAGAGCTTGGTTCCAACAGGCTGGCCAGGCTCGACCATGCATACGTCCACAGGGAGATACATGGGGAATTGACGGTTGCCAACATTGATCACAGGCATGTCAGGGTCCAAGTCTTTCTTGTACTCTCTTTTGAAATAAGCACCGACAGAGATATACTGGCCAGCGGGGGCAGGGCCTGCCTTGACGGGCTTCTTTCCCTTCTTGCCCTTGCCCCCGGGCTGCGCAGCTTGCGCAGCTGGCGGTTGCGAACCGGGTGCTTCCAAGAAGAATTCCACATCAAAAGGACCGGCACCGTGACGCGCGACTTTAGGGGGGTTCACGCTGGACTTACCATCGGCAGGTGTTGCCAATCCCGCGATACTCTTGACAGCGGGAGGGCGAGACTTGCCACTGCTTGTCTTGCGCACAATATGATTGGCGCGAATACGCATGCGCTTCAAGAAGAATTCCAGGCGGTAAGGGTTGCGTGGATTTGTGCGCAAAAACTCTCCAATCACCATGGGCAGAGGGCCTTCTTGGTAGCAGGCTAGATATTTGACCTGAACGTTCAGCAAAACGCGGGCAGTGGCAGCACGCACACTGACAAAGTATCCACGCAGGGCCTCGAGGCCGCCGCCCAGACTCATCCGCTCAGAAATAGCAGGGTTCAAACTGAAGTGCTTGTTGCCGCTGAGTGTGACCACCGACCGGTCGGTCTTTGGCTGATGACCGATGATGATGTTCATGGCCCCGATGATCTGCTCCTGGTGCATCAGCGGAGTGGTGACGCTACTCGATGTCAGGTAGTTGACCAGATCCACCGGGTCAAGTGTGCCCGTTGCGCCAACGGTAACGTTGTAGACCTTCGGTTCATCCATGTATTCAACCTCATTGTCGCTTTTCCACCGCACATCGAACTTCTTGTCGTCACCTCCCAGGCGCAAATCAACACATGAAATCAACGTGGACCGGTAATCCGTGGCGATGTTCTTGATATCGCTTGCAAAGTGCTCTTCTAGCAAGAGTCGCACGACCTGACGGGCCTTCTTGACCGGGAGGTCCTTGCCCTGATCCTTCGCTATATAGACATGATAACGGAATACAGGTTTGCCAACGGCAGCGAAAGGCATGTAGTTCGCGTAGAGGGTGACAGGCTTGCCTAGGGTGCCATAGCCTGGGCGATCCGGATAACGAGCTGAATCGGCGGCCTTCTTGCGTCCCCGAGTCAGAGCCTGGGCGTTCGCAATTTCGACCTTTTCGACCCGAGCATCAGGTGCAGGAACCGGTTGGCTTTCACTGTGGTCAAAATAAACTAACTGATTTTCGTACTCAGGATGTCAAAGTACCCACTTGAAAATTCGTGGACCTTGGTTCCCACCGCCGCGAAATCCTCCTCTACCACCATGACCTCCGAAATCCCCACGCCCAAAATCCCCGCGACCACGACCCCGGAAATCACCTCGGAATTCTCCACGTCCCCCTCGATCACCTCCACCACGTCCTCCCGACCGGAAAGGAAGCTCCGTGTCACCACGACCGCGACCACCACGACCACTACCACGATCTCCACCACGATCTCCACGGTCACCACGGCCACGACCACGGCCACGACCACGGCCACGACCACGGCCACGACCACGGCCACGACCACGAGGGTTGTCAGACATACCTAAGATATATATAAAAAATATCCCTCAAGGAGCCTTGAGGGTTGAGGGGGAAAACGGAAAAAGAAAAGCTCCAGAGCAGGGAAAAGGTGTCGTTATTTAGCAGATGGGTCGTCATACGTGACGGGTTTATCAGGGAGCCGCTACGCCTACGCCATTACAAGTAAAACATCAATACGAGCAAACAAAGAATCTAGTCATTTGTTTGGCTCAAGCTTTCCAGTCAAACAAACGAGGTGGGTAGTGTTGACAGGGCGCTGACGTTGGCTCCAATTAAACCCCTGTTCAAGCCAACGCATCAAAGAAATCTAACAATCAAAGAAACTGAGCGGGGAACTGCCGTGTGATGTATCAATGTCGGGCGGCAAACAAGACTGTCAAGGCTTAGAGTCTAGGCTGACATGATTCGATGCAGCGGCTTGTGCTTCGTGACTTCAGTTCAAATGTTATTATGTTAGTTCTCCGTAGAAGTTTGAGCTTAAATTCGATTTTATGGTTGTAAACAAAACTGAAAATTCAGGCACGAATCTGGAATCTGATATACAGGGCCTGTAAATTCAGGCATATATAATGACATAAGCAAGGGATCTCCCACTCTTCTTCATCTTAGTTGAAACTGTCAACAGTGAGATAAAAATGGACAAACTAACTTATCATGGATTAGTCCAGTCTGTACGAGGTGTCTTGTCTGAGTTATCCTTGATCAAATGTTTCGCGGTGTTGATCTTTGCGTGCATCGCGACCCGTGTGATCACTGGTCTGCAAAGTAACCAACGGAAATCTGACCCGACAGGGCGAACACCACGGCTAGCTCCTTACTGGTTCCCCTGGTATGGTCATGGACCATCATTTCTGTGGAATCATGTCGGTCTCCTCGAGTCATTACGGTAGGTCACCTCTTTCAGCTGTACTGTCCAGCCGCTGACCAAATGATAGGGACTTTATGGGCGAGCCCGTATTCAAGGTCTACCTGCGAGGGGAACGCCACAATATCGTGGTGTCACCATCGATGATTAAGACAGTTTTGTCGCAAAAGTCATCTGACATCACCGTGCTGGATCAGGCAATGCGATATGTCTTTGAAGACCGCAGCCTGGTGCGCAGCTTGCGTTCAAATCGCAACAAGGAGATCAACGATGATGTCGCGGGGTTTATCAATCAAGACTCTTTTATTAAGGATGCATCCGCGGCGATCACTCGACTATTGCAGCGCAATGCTCCGAACTTGGTGACCTTCTCCCGGAGCCCGGTGGATCAGGTCGCATGGGAGCGTGACAGCTCAGTGATGTTATCTGAACATGACCAGTCAATCTGCGAGGTGAACCTCTTCGCACTGGTCAGAGATTTTGTGGGCCACAATATCACCACGCTTTTGCTGGGCGAGACCTTTGTCGAAGCGTTCCCTGGTGTTCTCCCGAATTTCTGGACACTAGATGCTAATTCTGTATCCTTGTTTGCGGGATTCCAACGATGGATACCGACACCTGGCATCTCCTCGGGACATGCTATGAAGGATCGTCTCATGCATATCATGTCGGTCTTTTACCGTGCGTTTACTGCCTGGGACGATGGCATTGACCCAGGCATTGAGCTTCGGGATCTCGACGATGTCTCAGAATTATTTAAGCAGCGAATGCGCACATTCCACAAATTGGGCTTATCCCCCAAGGCCAGTGCGGCGGGAAATCTGTCACTTCACTGGGACTTGATGGAATACATTGTCAAAATGACCTTCTGGAATCTGATCCACATCTTCGCCGACGAAGAACTACTCAAGGAAATTCAAAAGGAAATGGACCCAAGCGTGAAGTCTTCGCGCCCTAATCGACGAGAAACCGGGTTTTCATTCGATGAACCGCCAACCCTGAACCTCGACATTGAGAAAATGCTACAAACCTGCCACTTACTGAAAGCCTGCCACTACGAAACCATCCGTCTCCATTCCGCAGGAATCTCTCTTCGAGAGCTAGACTCTGATTTGAATCTCACCGAGTCGGCTGGCGAAGCCTTGGAACCTCGCACATACAAGATGCGCAAGGGCGAAAAGGTGCTCATGTCCCATGGAGTCTACCAGAACGATCCAGCGCGCTTTTCAAATCCACACCAGTATGACCCGTTGCGGTACATTGTTACGAACCATACATCTGGCGTTAAGGAAGCCAATCCGGATATCCTTGGACCGCTCGCGGATGGTCTGTATGCACCGAAGAACAACGCTTTTAGCGAGCAGGCGATTTTGGCTTTTACTTCTACAATCGTGTCTATGTGGATTATTTCTTCGGCAGATGGGAAAGGTATCGTTGTACCCCCTCACAGGAAGACATGGGGTGCTTTCCTGCCTGCAAAGGATGTGAAGGTACATATCAAGGCAAGGGTGTAAAGCGTTTTTGGAGATGATTGTTATCGCGTTCTCAAAAACGGTGTCTGTATTTTAGTGCTTATTAAACCATGCATATGTGTCTGGAATTTTAGACATGCCTGATCAAAATTCAATATTTCAATGTTGGAACGACCACTCTCGTGTCAGACAAATTGACTCTTGATAGGAGATGATATCTCGTACAGCCTTGTTCTATGCATTGAAGACATGCCCAAGGCGCAGATCGGTTTTTCCCAGCTCACTCAATGACTGGTTTTTCAGAGAGCTGTTCAATTATTTAAATGATACAGTCCATGAACGAAGATAGAAAGGACTCCATATTTCGCCGTTGTTACATTTCTTGCCAACATGAGAGGTACGTCTCATTCGGGCTATCTACTCTGGTTGCTTTCAAGCTTGTTCCCGAAAAGAGCCCCGATTAATCGACAGTCAGGTAGTAATGATATCTTTTTTTTTCTGTGCATGGAATCATATTTCATATTGATCTCATGTAGTTTCATTCACAGCTCGCGTAGCTCAGTTGGTAGAGCGCGGCACTAGTAATGCCGAGGTCTTCAGTTCAAATCTGGACGTGAGCAGTTTCTTTTTGCCTTTTTGTTAACATTGCTGTGGGTCGATGGGTCGGTGGGTCCTAAATCCGACATGCATTCCCGTTATGATGTTAAGCAGAGAGAGGTAATTAGAATTGAGTTGGCTGTGAGGTTGGAATACAAGAACAGAAGTACGAGTACTTGGATGTTATACATGTAGGGAAATGCGGGTGTCATACGCTGGGAATCTGGGTCCCTTTGTATACGCCTTGCAAGGGAAAGCCTTGGATGTTATTGGATTTTCCTTTGTCAACGTCAAGTGACTTCCATTTTTCATCTTTCCTCTTAAATCCCGAGTCTTTGATATGCATAGTGCTTGACGACAGGATAGCTACATATGTATGTTTACTTTAGAGCCAGGCTCGTATGATTTGAGGGTGGTTATTCGTAACTAATTGCATAGCTTACAAATACAAACAAGAACATCGTGAATGTAGGACGAATTCCTAAGCTAGCGTCAGGAACTATCAAACGTTCGAATGTTACGAATTTCTTATTTTCTAATCAGTTTTAACTGTTTATAACATACCTATGAGTATGTTCGCCTGGCTAGTACATAGTGGATTCACTTGTTCAAACTCAGATTATGATTGATGATCGCATGAATGGAGGCATTCTTGTACCTTAGTCGATTGGGGGATTATATGTATCCAGTCTAGTGCCGTAAAAGTTGGGAGTCATGCAGGTTGGAATCTATATTTAAGCAGAAACGCCCTTAATGTGGTAGCTCTTCAGCTTCGTGAATCCATCGTATGCTCGAGGTCCAAGAGTGCAACCAAGACCGGACATTTTCCAGCCGGTCCATGCGAGATCCTGTCACGATAATTAATACACGATCATATCAAGAAGAGAGAGAAAAACTTACGGGAGCAGGGTAGTCACAGCGGTTGATAAACACGGTGCCAGCTTCGATTCGATCAATCAACTCCTCACCCGCGGCGATATCCTTTGTCCACACGCTGGCAGTCAAACCGTAATCACTATCGTTCATCAATTGAACAGCCTCGTCGTCACTGGCCACTTTCATGATCGGCATGACTGGACCAAATGTCTCCTCCTTCATGGTAATCATGGTGTGGTCAACATTGGTCAGGACGACCGGGGCAAGCCAGTTGCCCTTGTCGCTCGTCTTGGCCACAGAGAAGGTATTGTTCTCCGGGGTCGAGTCGACAGCACCCTTGGATAGGGCGTCATCGATGTGTGACTGGATCTTCTCCTTGGCAAAAGCAGAAATGACAGGGCCGGTAGTGGTAGTCGAATCCTGGGGGTCGCCGAGTTTGTATCTGGAGGTTATTAGCAGTGCAAAATAACAGTTGACAGGGAAGTTGAAGAACGCACGACTTGAGCTCCTCTTGAACGGCAGCCAAGAAAGCATCATAGACCTTCTCGTGAACATAGACACGCTCAACAGAGCAGCAGCTCTGCCCAGAGTTGAACACAGCACCGTCGACAAGGTTCTCTGCTACATCCTTCACATCGACATCCGGACGCACATAAGCCGGATCCTTTCCGCCAAGCTCCAGGTGAACAGGCTTTACCTGGCGGGCAGTGGCCTCGCGAAGTCGAAGACCACCGGCAGTAGATCCTGTGAAAGAGACAGACTGAATCTCGGGAAGTTGAGCGACTTGATCGAGAACATCCAAGCTACCAATGTGAATAACCTGGAGAACATTTTGCGGCAAACCGGCCTCGGTAAAGATCTCAAGCAGTCGATTACCAAACAAAGGCACCTGAGGCGATGGGCGCAAAATAACCGAGTTGCCCGCCAGAAGTGCCGGCACCAAAGCGTTAACGGTCGTCAAGTATGGGTACTATGAACGAATTAGCGGTCTGGAAACCTCCATTTACAACGAGAATCCCTTACGTTCCAAGCTCCAGCAATAAGCACCGGGCCAACAGGCACATGCTTGACCATGCGCTTGAAATTTTCTTCTGGCTTACCAGGCAAATCCGCCAGGCTCTGCTCCGCAATATCGATCATGTGTTCCGAACGAAGGATGGCAGTCTTGATTTCACCGGCGCAGTATCGGATGGGTCGCCCCATTTGTGTGGTGATCTCCTTGGCCAGGTCATCGATCCTAGAGGAAATGATCTCTAGCGCCCGAGTGACGATTTTCTTCTTCTCATCGAGGGAAATGGTGCGGTATGATTCAAAGGCTTGCTTCGAGGCGGTGGCGATCTTGGCGGCTTCGGCGAGGGACGTGCCTGGATGGTCGAACACGACCTCGTGGGTGGCAGGGTTGATTGTGCGGACTTGATTGGACATTTTGAAAGGAGGAATTTACTGGGAAGAGTGAGTGTAGTGGAAAAAGAAAAGTTGGCAGGTGAATGGCGTAGTAAGAGGGGCATGGGATTTATAACGTGGAGCTTCTTATCGCGCCTTCCCCGCGGTCCCGCCTGTATCATGAGCCAAGCAGAACAAGATATCTGGTATCTGCTTCACTACACACTTTCGAAATTGAATTAAAAAAGCTTGAAATATTTGGTCTGCATGTAAGCGATCCACGCAGTAGCCTAACATGAGCTACGAGATCAATGTGTGGAAGCGTTCAGGTAAAAGACATCATGAACGCACTTGACCGATGCATCGTTCAATAAGAAGTAGTGAAATTCCTCATATAGACATGGGAAAATGTTCGAAGCACTTGAAATCGATATCTTTAAACCTAGAAGTATCCAGTCGATTCGAATTTCATTGTATAGAATTGTTCGTTACTGTCAATTGTTAATTGTCTAACACGCGGTTCGTGAGCGCGCTTAGCCCCACAGCGCGGTCCGAGGACTCGACCAATGGTGATTGCCACCAGTTGGCTATGTGCAGACGATATATGGTTTTTGCAGGGCATATAGTGTATCAAAACTGTCGATGATGAAAAAGATAATCATTCAGTCATTGGGAAGTGGAGCAGATGGTAAAATGGAGTTTCCGTCGCTATTCCAACGCACGACCAATTTGCTGAGTCAGCCAGCTTGGTTACCGCTCTTCGTCAAGTTGGCTTCTCCGATCGAGACTCAATTACCGACATCCTATCATGTTATTCGCTCGGACAACTGCGCGAAGCTTCATTGGCGCTCGCGCGTTTTCTACAGCTCGTGCGTGCCGGGCGGAGCTGTCCTACCAGGTCTACGGCCCCGAAAAGGAGGAAGCCGTTCGCGATCCGATTCTATTCCTGCACGGACTTTTCGGTTCTAAGCAGAACAACCGGACTATTAGCAAGTATGTGACACCACCGATTGTATGGATGCCTTTAGACCTAACATAAACTGTAGAGCTTTGGCCAGAGACTTGAATTGTCAGATCTTCACGTTGGTACGTGTTGCATACTCTCTTCCAAAAGTGGAGGGACATTATAAATCTCAAATCTATACTTACGCGCCTGCAGGATCTCCGCAATCATGGCCAATCTTTCCATGCCCCGGAGCACAATTACAGTGTCATGGCTGAGGATGTGCAAGAGTTTATAGAGCAGCAGAAGCTCAAGAAGTGTGTCCTGATTGGCCATTCGATGTATGCCCTCTACGCTATAGCTCTGGCTTGATCTTTTTAACCCATACTGACTACCCACAGGGGTGCCAAAACTGCGATGACAGTGGCCCTTCAGGCCCCAGAGAGCGTTTCTGCTTTAATCTCTGTCGACAATGCCCCGCTCAATGCGGCATTGAAGAGTGACTTCCCCAAATATGTCCGGGGAATGCAGCACGTTGAAAGAGAGCAAGTGACGAAGCAATCAGAGGCCAACAAAATCCTCGAGGCTTATGAAGAGGTATGGAAAGAGCCATTCCAAGTTGGAATCCATCACTGATCCTAAAATAGTCCCTTGGAATTCGCCAATTTCTTTTGACAAACCTTGTGCGCTCCGATGATGAGCAAAAGACTCTGAAGTTCCGTGTACCGCTCTCAGTGATTGGTGACTCACTTGATAGCATGGCAGACTTCCCCTTCCGCCAGTCGGATGCCGTCAAGTATGATGGCCCCACACTTTTCGTTCGGGGAACCAAGTCCAAGTATGTCACCGATGAGACCATTCCTGCAATCAAGACATTCTTTCCCAATGCTCAGATTGCGGACGTCGAGGCAGGACACTGGCTCATATCCGAGAACCCCGAAGCTTTTAGACAAGGTAATTGTTGAACTTCTATGTCTGATACCATCATAACTGACATTTTCGCGCAGCGGTTGTCAAATTCCTAGGATCGTCATAAATTCAATAGCAGATGAATGTACATTAGACCATCGATAGACCCTTCAAATTTGACTTTAAATATCTCCATAGACCCGAGGAACCGATATATGATTTCTAATCCCGGACTTTCTCACTCATCATATTACATTAATTCAGCGGAACTTCAAATCCCGCACAGGGGCTTACAATATAAGATTGCCCGGGCTGGAAGACAAACTTACCGATATCCACTTTCGGCTCAGACACTTCCCGGGATCTAATGTTCTAGAAGGTTGCTTCCGATTAGACATCCGGTCTTGAAAATCCAGTGGCGATTGGTACAGCTGAACTAATGAAGAGAAACGTAAGCATAATGGATCGCACAAACCCACTTTTTTCCTTTGACCCGTAAATATAGACGGGTCAAGTGGATCTAAAGGCCCGGAAACACCTCGTCAATTATTTGGTTAAGGACGATGTTTCGCACTGTTCATTGCTAGTTTCAAGGGTCGCGGCCTTTCACCCTAATTAGTGATACAAACAAAAATGAATTTTTACATGATCTTGTCGCATTAATGGTAAAATTTTGAATCTTGGAATCAAAAATTGAAGCTAGTCATTGCATAATAATTAATACTAGAGGCTTTCCGCCGTTTCACGCGGCGCCTACTAAGGTTTTATACCTTATCTCCTACCATATCTCCCACTCAGTCTCCCACTCAGACTTACACTCAGACTCCTACCCAATATTTTACCTTCTTTCTTACCGGATTAGTTAAATAGTCGAAGGACTCTCCAAATTCATATATAGTGGAAGTGAAAAAAAAGAGAAAGAAAAGAAAAGTCGGGGGCTGGGGGTGTCGAACGCAAGGGCAAAAAGTCTGCGGTGTGCCCAGGTAATAATGGGTTAGAAATGAAGATACCTACATTCGAAGAAAACTATATATCCAAATTATCAAGTATCACTTAGCCGGCTTGTAATATTGACATTACACAAGAAGAGGATATCTAGGAAGACTATGAATACATGATAAAATCAAGAATGGAGAGGGAGCGCAAGACTGCACTCAAAATTATACAGATCGGTCATTAAGCAGCATATCCAAAGGGCAATGGCTGCGTATCATGATTCGGCATCGAATAAGCCTCCGTCGACACCTGGCCGAACGGCTGCAGAAACCCTTCCCAGTCATCGAAGTCGTTCCCTATGCCAGTGAAGAGATCGGAAGGCATAGCGTCGTCTTTGGTAGGATACTCGAGCGGCAGACTACTCGCCTGGACATCATTGCACAATATTTCCGTGGGACTAGCAGGACCTCTCATATCTCTTTCAATGGAATCATCGACCCTGCTGCTGGAAACTATTTGAAATGGACTGTGAAGACCGCTGGAATCGGCAATAGTCTTCATGGATGGCAATGAGTCATCCCCAGTTTCAGTATTGTGATTTGGATGTATCCCAGGCGAGGATAAAGGATAGTTGGGGGTAATTGGTGAAGCCTCGACTGGGGTGAGGCTGTGCGAAGTTCCACTGGAAGATTGTGGTCGTTGCAGGGTTTCGACCTTGGGATTTTCAGGCCTTTGTTGCTTGGTTCTCACAGATTCTCCAGAATTTGATCTCCCAGCTTGGTCCAGGGACCCTAGTCTAGCGAGTATATCATGTACCAGAGGCTGACCATTGGCGTCACAATTCAAGGGTTCTCCAGGCCAGCCATCTCCAGCCTGTACATGTTGATATAACGCTCTGATGCCGTGTACAAGCCATCCTTGCTGCTCTTCCAAGAATCTTGTATATCTGAAAATGCCTGGGTCAACAAGATATTCATGATGTTAAAAATCGACCAGATGTTTTACATACCCCTTGGGATATACCTTTTCTCGAAGCTTCTTCCGATCAGCAAACACGCAATTGGCATTTTCACTTTGACATCTTTGACAAGGACTTGATCCATCGCACTAAAAATAGTAAGATAAGGGCTTTTGGAGAACGCGGGGCGATTTGAGACGCATCGTCGTACCTTTGTCTTTTTGCTTCTACAGCGATCACAAGCCTTTTGTGCCCTTGAACGAGGGCAATTCTTGGAATATGGCCAGTCTTTCGACACTGGCGGCTTCGAGTCCTTGCGGGGCATGGTTAGGTCTATGTTTGTTCAAGCAAGGAAATGAACTTCGTTGCGAGAATGAGAGTTGCGTCTCCCTATTAGAGCCTTGGACATTGACTTGATAAACCCGCAACAAGAATGTCAAGAAGCAAGCAAGTATCCGACAGTGAATTGAGGATAATGATTGCGACGTGAAAGATAGATCGTGACGAGTCGCACCATGGATCAATTCCTTAGGTTTCGTGGCTAATACTGAAAAAGTCTGGGCTGCTTATCCGTATATCCAGCATTATTAAGTTATGGGTCTTGGGTCCCCCTTTTTCGAGATTTCATGTATTTTCCCTTTTCGGATATTGTATTTCTTACAGCACTGGCATTCGGCAACGCACTGATACTTTGTAGTAGGCAAGTGAAATCTTTACTTTGAATGCTCAGCTACCAAGGCCTTAGACCAATAATGATATATTCATGCTGGACTTTATCGAATAAGAAGAACATATTCAAATAACCATTGGCTGAGAGGCGCATTCCGCGCACTTTTTAAGAAGCCCCTTTTTGATGAGGTGAAATTGAATTATCGATATCTTTGTTATCCTACTCTATTGACTGCCAGTCTTGCTTTATAATTCATTCGCTTCTGATATTTGGGACTGGAATCTATTCTCAATATTCGAGGATGAAATAGAATAAATTACAAGTAGAATGATTTGACCAATCACAGATGATACCGATGAATATTTCACCGGAATCTGTAGCATCCGAGCGTAATGAGAGCGTAATTTCGGAGATCTACAGGTACCGTAACCGACCCACATGGGTGGAAACCCGTCACTGTATCCGGACCACATAAAGAATGGCTATCAAACTGGAACTTGTTATATGATCTTTTTCGATGGATCTATTGCAGTTGAGACACCGGTTTTCAATCATATCTCAGGACAACCAGGCTTGGCGCCCCACATTGTATCTTTGTGGTTCGTGATCAATTGTATCTAGAACTAGTGATAGGCAGATATTCTGTATCCACAGCAAGTTTCCTTAGGGTCTCCGGTTCATGATTCATGAATTGCCGGGAGTTGGAGTTGGCAGCTTTGGATTGACTCATTAGCTAGATTGGTAATCGAAATGTTTTTGGTGTGTTCCTACTGCTAAAAGACTTGAAAGGCCCACGTAGATCCTGTCTACCCTGAATCGAATCTGGTGCATTAGTCTTTATACACCATGTCGGTTTTGGGGGGAATTCCCTCCCTTGATAGTTCACAGCATCAGCAGCGTCTAGTGACTGGTTTTGAAACCAGAGAAACATATTCTTCGACTACTACACTTGAAAATGAGACGAAGGAGCAAGATTCAGAGGTTGATATCGAGGAAGAAGTTGAGGAGATGGTGAGAGAACTTACTCGTCACTCCACTCACTTTTCCTCGGCGAATGCCAAAAACCCTTTTTTCGAAGAAGACAAGGAGACTACTTGGCACCCTGATAGTCCTTTCTTCAAGACAAAAGATTGGATTCGTTCCCTGATTGCGGCCCAATCTCAAGACCCTGAGCGATTCCTGCAACGTTCGGCAGGTGTTGCGTTCAAGAATCTCTCTGTTCATGGCTTTGGAAGTCCCACCGATTACCAAAAGGACGTTTTCAATGCCATTCTGAGTATCGGCGGCTTAGTGCGTAACCTTGTCGGAAGCGGCAAGCAGAAGGTTCAGATTCTCAGGAACTTCAATGGGCTTGTCAAAAGTGGCGAGATGTTGTTGGTCTTGGGTCGTCCTGGAAGGTGAGTCTACCCGGCCTGTGTGATATCATGTGGATGACAACCCTAACCTCTTTCAATTAGTGGTTGCTCGACATTCCTGAAAACAATTGCCGGTGAGATGAACGGCATCTATGTTGGCGACGAGAGTTATTTGAACTATCAAGGTTAGTGAGGTCCAAAACAAATATGATCCCAGCAACTAACATGACAACAGGAATTTCGGCCCCAATTATGCAGAAGCAGTTCCGTGGAGAAGCCATCTTCAGCGCTGAAAATGATGTCCATTTCCCCCAGCTCACGGTTGGTGAGACCTTGACATTCGCTGCCCTAGCGCGCGCGCCTCGCACTCGCTTCCCCAGCTTGTCCAGGAAGCAATATGCCGAGCATCTCCGAGACGTGGTCATGACCATGCTAGGACTTCGGCATACATTCAATACTCAGGTTGGTAACGACTTCGTCCGCGGTGTCAGTGGAGGTGAACGTAAACGAGTCAGTATCGCAGAGGCTATTCTCAGTGGTGCCCCACTCCAGTGCTGGGATAACAGCACGCGAGGTCTGGATAGTGCCAACGCATTGGAATTCTGCAAGAACCTTCGCTTAATGAGTGACTATGCAGGCACTACAGCCTGTGTTGCTATTTACCAGGCTTCACAGAGTGCCTACGACGTAAGTTGAACATATGCATCTATCGGAGAAACTTTCCTAACAGTTGTCATTAATAGGTCTTCGACAAAGTTGTAGTCCTTTACGAGGGTCAACAAATCTACTTTGGCCCGACCGGCGAGGCTCGTGACTTCTTTATCAATATGGGCTTCGACTGCCCATCGCGCCAGACCACTGCCGACTTCCTCACTTCCCTGACCAGCCCAACCGAGCGCAGAGTGAAGGCAGGATGGGAAGCAAAAGTGCCTCGGACACCCGCGGAGTTTGCGCAGCGCTGGCAGAGTAGCCAGGAGTGTGCCCATCTCCTCCAAGAGATTGATACCTTTGATAATGAACACCCCATCGGTGGTCAGTCCTTCGCTACTTTCAGTGAAGCACGCCGCCAGATGCAGTCGAAGCAACAGTGAGGAACAGCACTATGGTCATACATATGGTTTTAAAACGCTGACATCCATCTCCTAGACGTCTCAAATCCCCCTATACCCTCTCGGTTCTCGAACAGATCAAACTTAATCTTACGCGTGGCTTCCAGCGCCTTAGGGCTGATATGACATTGACTTACTCCGCTCTTTTCGGCAACTTCTTCATGTCTCTGATCTTGGGAAGTGTATTTTATAACATGGCCTCGGATACCGCCAGTTTTTACTCGCGAGAAGTCCTTCTCTTCTATGCCGTTCTTCTCGCTGCCTTTGCCAGTGCGCTCGAGGTTTGTCAAACTCCTTATTATCCCCGAAAGCTTCAGGAAGCGTCTAACAATATAATTTAAGATCTTAACCCTATATGCTCAACGACCAATAGTGGAAAAGCAATCCCGATATGCTTTCTATCACCCTTTTACAGAAGCGGTCGCATCCATGCTGTGTGATGTGCCGTATAAGTTGGTGAACTCCTTCACGTTTAATCTCCCGCTTTATTTCATGGCCAACCTGAAACGCGAGCCGGGAGCGTTTTTCATCTTTTGGCTCTTCTCCCTTGTCACCACATTCACCATGTCCATGGTTTTCCGGACATTTGGTGCCGCATCACGTTCTCTGGCTCAAGCACTGGTTCCTGCTGCTTTGCTCATTCTGGGTCTTGTGATTTACACAGGTTTCATCATTCCTACCAAAGAAATGCTTGGCTGGTCTCGCTGGATGAACTACATTGATCCCATTGCTTATGCATTTGAAAGTATGATGGTCAATGAGTTCCGCAATAGAGAGTTCCCCTGTTCTTCGTTTGTCCCTTCTGGAGAGGGATACGAGAATGTGGACACTATCAATACCATTTGCAGCACTGTGTCATCCACTGCTGGAGATCTCTACGTCAGTGGAGACGCTTACTTGGAGACTGCATACGCCTATACCAACGATCATCTTTGGCGTAATCTGGGTATTGTCTTCGCCTTCATGATCTTCTTTATGTTCGTATACCTAATTGCTACCGAATACATCACCGAGGCTGCCTCTAAGGGAGAAGTACTTCTTTTCCGCCGAGGTCGTCAGCCAAAGACCCAGGCACTGGATTCTGAGACTACGGCAGACGCTACCTACAGGGCCGATGAGAAGTCTGAGGGTGCCGGTGCTAATATCCAGAGACAGACTGCCATCTTTCAGTGGCAGGACCTTTGTTATGATATCAAGATCAAGAGCGAAGAGCGCCGGATTCTTGACCATGTGAATGGATGGGTCAAGCCTGGTACTGCTACCGCATTGATGGTAAGTCTTTTTTCCAATATTGTGAGATCAAATTCGCTAATCATTAATAGGGTGTTTCCGGCGCAGGAAAAACAACTCTGCTGGATGTTCTTGCAACTCGCGTGACAATGGGTGTTGTTACTGGCGATGTTCTGGTTGATGGTCGTCCCAGAGACAGCTCATTCCAACGCAAAACCGGCTATGTTCAACAACAAGACGTTCACCTGCCTACTTCCACGGTACGCGAGGCTTTGCAGTTCAGTGCTTTACTCAGACAACCTGCCCACCTTAGCCGGAAAGAAAAGCTAGATTACGTTGATGAGGTTCTTGAATTGCTTGGTATGCAAACATACGCTGATGCGATTGTTGGTGTTCCAGGTGAAGGTATGCTACTACTCAATAAAGTATTATTCTCTCTTGACCTTCTTATTTACTGACAATCTATAGGATTGAACGTTGAGCAGCGTAAGCGTCTGACTATTGCCGTGGAGCTGGTTGCCCGACCTCAGCTATTGCTTTTCCTGGATGAGCCTACATCCGGTTTGGACAGTCAAACCTCTTGGTCCATTCTGGACCTGATTGAAACCCTGACCAAGCACGGCCAGGCTATCCTATGTACCATTCATCAACCATCTGCCATGCTGTTCCAGCGATTCGATCGACTTATGTTCCTTGCAAAGGGAGGACGCACTGTTTACTTTGGAAAGATTGGCGAAAACTCCTCGATATTGGCAGACTATTTTATGCGCAATGGTGGCCATGCTTTAACTGATGGCGAGAATCCGGCGGAATGGATGCTGGAGGTAATCGGTGCTGCTCCTGGGTCCCACAGCGATATTGATTGGCCCGAGACTTGGAACAAGAGCCCCGAAAAGCAGGCTGTTCTTGACCACCTGGCTGAGCTGAAATCCTCTCTTTCTCAGAAAGAACCAGATGCGAACACGGATACCGAACACCGCGAGTTTGCGTCTTCGACAAAGGACCAGCTTATCCAGTGTCTATCTCGGGTCTTCTCCCAGTACTGGCGTACTCCCTCTTACATCTGGTCCAAATTGGTTCTCTCGGTTCTCACTGCACTTTACAACGGATTCTCTTTCTACAACGCCAAGAATACGCAGCAAGGATTGCAGAACCAAATGTTCAGTATCTTCATGCTCATGACCATCTTTGGAAACCTCGTCCAGCAGATCATGCCCAATTTCATTATCCAACGATCGATCTTCGAAGTCCGTGAACGCCCATCCAAGATGTACTCGTGGCGTGTGTTCATGGCCTCGAATATTATTGTTGAGTTGCCTTGGAATTTCCTGGTTGCTGTGTTGATGTTCTTCTGCTGGTACTACCCAGTCGGTTTGTACCAAAACGCCGAGCCGACTAATGCCGTGTCCGAGCGTGGTGCACTTATGTTCCTCTATCTGCTGGTCTTCCTGTGGTTCACGTCTACATTCACACACATGGTCGTTGCCGGTGTGGAAAATGCAGAAACTGGAGGCAATATCGCCAATTTGATCTTCTCCCTTCTTCTCTTATTCTGCGGGTAAGTCATGTCACACTCTATCTTATTCTTTCGGTTTACTAAATTCTATTTTCAGTGTCGTCGCCACCCCTGACGCGATGCCCGGGTTCTGGATTTTCATGTATCGCCTTTCCCCATTCACCTACCTGGTATCGGGAATGCTGTCCACCGCTGTTAGTGGTACGGACGTTACATGCAGTACTGATGAAATCCTCACCTTCGACCCCCCGAGCTCTCAGACCTGCTATGAATACCTGAATGCTTACGCTCAGCGGACTGGTGGATATATCAACAACCCTAACGCGACGAGTTCGTGCTCATACTGCAGCATGTCTTCTACCGATACCTTCCTTGCCAGTGTGGACTCTTACTGGAGTGATGCCTGGAGAAACTTTGGTATCATGTGGGCTTACTTGTTGTTCAATATCGTTGTAGCCCTTGGAATCTACTGGTGGGCTCGTGTCCCCAAAGGAAACAAGACTAAGGGGAGTGCTTAAAAAGCAATGGGCAAAGTTTCGACTGCGTTTCGTTTGGATGGAACGCCCTGTCTTAATTTATACCTCCTCGGGCACATTTGGTCAGTGCTTTCTGTGGAACTGTTCATTCTACATTATATTGTAGACTTGCTCTTTAGACCTTTCTTTTCTCTTCGTTCGGGACTTCTGTTCCTACTTCTTACATTCTTTCCCGAATTTTTGTTATCTAGAATTCTTACACTCATTTCAAAAATATTTGTTTTAATATTTTGTGATTCCACCAGCCTTGAAAAATCCAGACCACTAACGAGCATCCATAACTAGATGTCTGTTTTACTTACATTGACAAGCATGTGGCCTTAAATTCAAGGCCACAAAGTCTATCGGCGTCTGCCGCTTATCTTATCGCCCGGCGAGCGCCGACATGTTCTCCGCTTCCCCCAGAATCTCCAACTCAATCGTTATTTTTCGCAACCTCACAGAACTGAACACATCCCAGTGAATCGACTGTATATCACAAAAGCCACCATGGCACCAATCCTCACCTCTAACCCAACCCTCACACTGGTCCCTGAACCTCTCACACCAATCAGCTTCGCACAATTCGGCACAGCAATCTGCTCTCCCATCCCACGAGACCTCAATGTCGCTCCTCAGCCCTCCAACCTCCCACCATACAACCCAGCGCCAGTCCTGGCAAACCAAAACTCCGCCTTGAAATATAGTCCCATCTCTCCCATGCTTGATCGCTACACAACCAGCCCAACCGGCACACCCAGCTCCGCACGCATGACAATGTTCTGCTGCTTCCCGCGCCAACTGCGCACAATAAACAACAGAGGTTCCGAAAAAGAGGTCTTCGATGTACGCATTCTCGAGCGCCACCCGTTCACCAATCAGACATTCATTCCCGTCGATCTATCAAGCCACTCGAAGGTCGGCGGTGGGGAGGAGGAGCCTATTTTCTTGGTTGTTGTTGCGCCTACGTTGAAGGGGGAAGTTGCGACGGCTAAGAACGCTAAAGGCGAGACGATCACTATTCGTGATCCGCCTGATCTGAAGAACGTCAAGGCGTTTATCGCGCGTGGTGGACAGGCTGTGACATATGGTGTTGGGACGTGGCATGCGCCCATGGTGGTTTTGGGTCCTCGTCGGGTGGACTTTGTGGTGGTTCAGCATGTGAATGGGGTCGATGATGAGGATTGTCAGGAGGCTGCATTTGGAGAGGGCATCGTGGTGGATCTGGGTGGGAAAGGAGAATATGGACGGAGGGCGAATGGTCCACCTAAGTTGTGGACAGCGAAGCTCTAGAATACCTACAGTCGCACCTATGCCTGGGTGCATGTAATTACGCATGACTGTATATAGACGTTTAGTACGATGAGACATGTCCTTACGCGTGTCTTCGGTATAAACATAGATTCATGATTCGTTCCCTCATAGAATCATTGACAAGTATTAATATTAAACATCAACAATCACTCTACAAAAGAGTCTCATGATGCGTCACAATCCGCCATTCACCGTCCGCCGCTTGACTCCAAGTAGTAGAGCCCGTCGCTCGATATTCTTGATCCCCACGAACAGCATAAACCTTATATGTGATAGATCCCGCCATCAAGTCAATAATAATCGTGCGCACATCATCAAGTTGGAATCCGTCAAAGCGATGGAATGGAGGTTTCAAGCATTCGTCGAATTGTTCTTCGTCTTCCAAGGTGAGGATTGGCATTTTCGGGAACAATAAGACGACTTCCGGGTTGCTCAGTTTTTTGATTTGTGGTGGTGGATCAGCCGATGTGAGCGCTGTCCAGAGAGCGCGCTCTTTTCTGAGGATCTCCTCACGGATTCGCTCGTGTATGGTTGGCATGGTGGGTGTAGATAAGGTTCTAGGGTAGATTCAGTCTGTCAGTTTTTTTTCCCAAATACATTCGAATTTTTTTAGAGTAACATACCAAACGGTTCAGAACAGCACTTTCAGTAAGACAGATGAGATAATTTTCCCCTTGGTGGCGAGGAAAGTGGTTTTATTTACTTGTTCCACGGCCACATATATTAAAATGACGTCAGTGGGATGACGTTGGTCAAATAATTTAATCTCCGGTGATCAGCCACTAATCCTGTCACTCTTTTAAGTTGACATGCGTAGTGTGTCACGGTGGCTTGAGCTTGATCAGGCTTTTTTATTGGTAGTCAAGGAGAGGGTGGGCTAGAGGATAAAAATAGTAACAGGGAATATACATGGAATTCGTCTAGATTTATATGTGCCTGGAGAGTCAAGTGATTCTTTTTATCAACATAGCTGCTGGAGGGTAAAGAAATCAACATTTCTTCAAATCAGCTTCCTCAGCCTGGAAATCTTCCCATGTTGCCCGATCCGACCCATTAGGTCGACTAGCCCGGACGAACTGATTATCCACTCCCTGCACAGCAGCAATAGGCTTAACAACCTCAATATCAGTTCCATAAGCCTTTGAGAACCAGCTCTCAGTCAGCGACTGGGAACCCTCCGACCCAAGTCCAGGACCGATATACAAGTGGGGGAACCGCTTCTGCATCCCCTTTAGGACAGTCGAGGAGATACGATCAACGCTATCGCAATGACGAAGCTGGAAGAATTCTGCCGGCTGGGCGGCACGAAGCTTCTCCTGGACATCAGCAGAGTACTGACCTACTGCGAAAAGCAGAAGATCGTAGTGCATGAGGGACGCCTTGCCGTGGTACGAGCCACCGGTCTTGGCACGGTGGTAGAGACCCGTTAGCGCAGCAATAGCACCCATGCATCCGGTTCCGTAGTCTGAGATTGGGAAGGGGGGCACAGCAGGTGTGTCAAGGCCCATGAATTTGCCTTGTGCCCAAGCGACACCGGTTACCTGTTCCATAGTGAGTTGATGATTCCAATTTCTTCGGCGAAGGGATTAGACTTACACAGTCGGCAATTTGTTGCCATCCAGCTCGCCCGGCCCATTCGCCTTCGTAGCCGAAACAGTTCTCGTTCACATACACGATTCCTTTTCCGCGCTTCTCAGCCAGAGCGGCCATCGCCTTGGGGCCGTATCCTAGCTTCTCCAGAGCGCCGGGCCGGTACCCGTCAACAATCACATCAACGTCAGCCAAAAGTTTCTCAAACTCTGCCCGACCGGCTTCGGTCTTGAGATCCAGATCGGCGGCATGTTTGCCCATGTTGCCGTCGACTTGGAAGAACGGTACGTCCGATAAGTTGGGGCTTGTGATTTTGAGCACATCGGCGCCATATTCAGCGAGAATACGGGTCACAGTTGGGCCTGCGATAATTCGGCACATCTCGAGGACTTTGACACCTTCAAGAATCCTCTTGCTGCCAGGTCGAGCAGCCGGGAACGGAGTCGGCGCAATGTCGCCTTGAAGCTTGGTCACCTTCCACGCTGGTTCTTGAACGTTGAGTGCTCCCTGTGGATTTATATAAGTATATACCCCATATCCGAAGCCTTTTGATGTGTAGACATAATGGTGGGAGCTGGACATACATGTGGGGTCTTGATAAAGTCCTCATATTTGAGTGCCGGCACACCAGCTTGACGGCGCTCCTTGTTCATTGCCTCCAGCTCGGGAACAGTATACTTCTGAACTTGGGCCTCAATAACCTTAATGATTTCCTCGTAATCTGTGAGATCGGGACGATGGCCCTCGAGACCAATCATGTTCAAAGTAGTTGTAGCTTCAAGAGAGCCGTGGATATGGTAGAACTCATCCGGATTCTTAGTTTTATACAGATTTGCCGACATACGACGGTATCCGTTGGACTGTGCGGCCAGAAGATCCGTATCTGATACAAGAATCAGAAAGCTGCTTAATCAAGTACCGACTGTCACATACCTTTCAACTTCGATTTCACATTCGGATCCAGCTTGGACAATCCATCAATCTTAGCCATGTATGCCTGGCATCCAAAGGCTGTTGCCGCTTCCAGGCTGACCTCAACACTACGGGCCTCACCTGTGCTTCCAAATCGCAGATCGGCAAGGGCTGCAGCGACGGAACCCTCGACACCTTTCAGTGCGGCAAGGGTCTCAGTCTCCTTGAAAGGAATGGGAAAGTAAACTTCATTATGACTGGACGAAAAAGAGACTCGGTCTTTGTTGGCAAGTACTTCTTCGGGCAGACTGAGCCTTTCGGATTGGTCACAAAGGCTGGAGAAAATGCGACTTGTCTCGAGAACGGGTGAATACGGCGAACCGTTAGACGAGTCGTTTTCCATGATTTAAAACTTGTCCCGTCTGATTTCTTTAATGTTTCAAGAACTCTCAAGTTCGCGACCTTCGGTTTTCAGATGAGAAGGTCAATAATGGTTTAAGTAGAGGCCAATGAGTGACCACTTGCAAAATTTGGGAGAAAACGGGGCAATCCAGAATTAGAGATGAAAGCTATATAATTGAACGGTAGTGGCCACCCGACGGCGCAGTCCCGGTCTCGATCCGAGTACTGCCGCATCAGCCGTCGGCTTGGATTTAGCGGAGGATTTAGCGGATATGGGAGTGCATCAACTGCAAATAGTGAGACCCCGCATGTAGATCCGAAAGAAAAGTCCGATTCGGGACCCTTCGGATAGCGATAAGATCGGATGAGACACTCACGTGACCATGCCATTACGTCGGTGTGAGATGGCAGAAGGTTATGGAAGCTGTCATCCGCGCTTAGTAAGCTATATAAAAACAGCGACATGGAAAGTAAGTCAAGACACATATTCGAGATTCACCAGATTGGTCGATAATTGAATACATAAGACACTCATCTAAATTTGAATTCATCTCCAGATATATCATAGTTTGGAATTTACGTCAGAGCCTGTCCAGACGAACTTGGCAAGCTCATCCCTCGCGGCGCGCATTCGACGCAAGACTTCCTCCCGAGGGATATCCAATAAGCCCTTAAAGTCCATTGAAATCATTTCCAAGTCCCCCAGTTTGACATAATGCGCACTGGAATCTTGTTGTTTTCCCAAGGCAAGATCCTTGCAAGCCTGTCCCCATAACTTCATCGAATGTCGACTTTGAGGCAAGGCAGGCATAACAACATTCCAGACATGCGGCATAAACTCATACTGCACAAATGTAACTTGAACATTAGATGCTCGAATATTCTGAACCAGAAAATTAATTCCGTCCGTATACGTCTCCTCGCCACAAGCAATCCACATAGGCGGCATGCCAGACCAGTCTGTCCATGTGGATGGGTCAATCAGAGGGTGACATAGTGCAGAATTGTCGCAGTGAAGATCACCCCGGGGTGGATTCGCGGGCCAGATACTATCCGTGGGATACTTCGGATTCAACCACGGGGCGCCTTCGGACATCCATTCGGAAGACTCGAATTTTTTGACGGAGGGTAGAGACAGCGCCATGTCTGCGCCGGGACTCACAAAGGCACAGCCCCGGGGCATCTGTGCATATATGTCTCGGTCATTGAATCGGAAACTTGGTATATCGTTCTTGGCAGATCGTATAAGCGACTGTAGGAATTGCAGCAAGTGAAGATGAAGAAGTGCACCACCCGAGTCACTGGCAAGGATGATCTTCTTCGGGTCAATTGGTTTATGCAATGCTCCAGCGGGAGGTGAGATAAGGTAGAAGAACGCAACTATGACGTCTAATAATATCGTCGGAATGGTATATTGAGGCGAAAGGCGAGGTTGGAAGGTAAATACACGCGATCCACTGGTTTGACTCAGATGTTTCATTAGGGGCCGAGCACTTGGAGGACCTGCGCGACTTGCATAAGAATTTTGTTAGCTTAGAATGGTCATATACAGTAAAAAAACTCACAAGAATGCTCCTCCAAATAGAAAGAAGATCACAGTGTCGTTAGCGGCGTTTTGCTCAATACCTCGGAATTTCTCCTTCTCACTCATATTGAGCTGGGGTGTGGTTGTGTCTGCATCTTTCCTGATTCCAATCCATTCACCCATATAGGAGCAACATGGAGTCGGAGCGTCCAGCTTTTCAATACCTTCGCTGGTTGCTGTGTACAAGTCCCATAGCTTTGATCGGATGCACTCTTCTTCCTCATCATTCGGGCGAGGTATTTCGATTTTAGAAACTATAATTGGTCCTTTCAAAGGTCTTTCATGGAATGATTGTTTCTGTATCTGGGAGATTGGAAGCCAAGGGGCACTCTTAAATGCCTTGCGAAAGCTCAAAACTGCTTTTTTCTGGGCCTCTGGATCGTACATTACGATGTCTTAATGGCAATGACGCGTGGTTGCTTTGGTCAATTTCAATTTCACAACTTGGACTGCGTTGGGAAGGGGATGAATTGGAGTGGAAGTGGGAAGCGGAGCTATTGAGACTACTTGGGGGCCAAAATATGTGCTTGGCGATCACATGAATCTATGGTTTGTCGCCGATCATTTCGGTTACAGCACTGCAAAATGACTTGTAACATTAATTCTGAGTCTGAAAGCCTCGGTAAAATTGGAGTTAATCGTATCTCTGTCATTTCTAACTAGTGCCTCGCATATGCTGTTGAATGTTTTTGTTTTTCAGGAAATGGTACCCACTAGCGTGGCTTACCAACTCCAATTATTGAGGCGGGGACAGAAAGCGGGGTATAGCATCAGATCTCCCTTAATTACGACGACAAACCGTTTCCAAATTCATCAAATAGGCTGCCATGGTCAATCGGCTCCCAAATCCAAATCGGTACATCACCGAGAATGATGCAGATGGCAACTCCTTCTTTTCTACCGACGTTGCTACGTCCTTGGAAGTAGGCAGTGAACTCGGTGGTGGTTTTCAGAGGCTCGGTTACCAGACGGAGCAATCACCCGTCTCACTTAACGGCAAGCGCGATATTGAGCTCTATAAGACCGCTATGCAGACCCAGGTTCCGCTCTTCATACCAGGTGGTGGCGCCAACGTGTGGTATAACGACATTCCGCCTAACGCGGGAAGCCCGATGCACCGCACCGTGAGCCTCGATATTATCATCCTGGTTGTAGGCGAGGTTGAGCTTACCTTGTCCAATGAGACCCGCACAATCAAGCAGGGCGATATTGTGATCCAGCGATCCACGTTGCACAAGTGGCGCAACCCTAGCAAGACGCAGTGGGCACGGATGATAGGGATAATTTCGGAATGTCAGCCATAAAACACTACTCATAGTGTTGGAATTTTTCAAGAGAGGAAATATCTCCAAAATATCTTCAACGCTCAGCCAAATTGATTTCTATACAGTCATATTCGCATTGATTCATTGCCATCTTTTCAATAACATCATCTCTGTTGTAAGACCTGGCCCAAAGCTGGATGCCACAACATGCTGCTTCTTCATTTCCATCGTTCTTAACTTATCCAAAGCCGCCAAAACAGCAACACTAGATGTGTTACCCCGAGTCCTGTACACCTCATTACTTGCCGCCACCAGCTCATCCGGAAGTCCCATCGCTGCCTGAGCCCCCTTGATAATAGACAACCCACCCGGGTGAACTGCCCAATCGAAATCCGTCGGCGAAGCATCGGACATCCCATTCTCCACAATTAGACTCTCAAATGGGCGTGCAAGAGAGGCAGAAGTCAACTTGGGAACATTCTTCGACAGAACAAGCCGAAATCCAGTGCTGGTAACCTTATCCTCCATCTCATTATGAGTACCAGGTGTGATAACAGACCGCGAATCAACAATAGAGAACCGTCCCGGAAGATTCTTCTCATTATGTACCCGGGTCATACCCTCCGAATTGCAAACCACAAGAGCCGCTGCGCCATCTCCAAAAAGAGCCACTGCAATTCCCATGTCCTGTGACGTCGACATTGCATGTAGTTCCGAACAGATAAAGATACTGCAAATCTCGCAAGCCAATACCAGAATCCTAGCCGGTCGACCTTGGCTAGTAGCCGCCCTGGCTAGATTCGAAGCCACCCTTAAAGCTGCTAACCCACCCGCACACCCAACGCCACTTATCAACAACCTCTCCGCATGTGCTGGTATGCCTAGCTCGCGAGCGACGATCTGGTCGTATCCGGGACTTCCAGCGTTGGTAGCAGTGACTGCAACAAGGTGCGTAATATCGCTCGCCTGGGTCTCACTATCCAGTAAGGCTTTCAGGGCAGCTTTCTTGGCGAGCTGGACACCGTATTGGCGCCACATGGTATCGACTTCTTCTGCCTTGGGAGGGATTGTTCGACGCCATCGGGGATCAGACCATAGGTCGACCACAGAGCGAGTTTCGATGCCGGTCTGTTCGTTGATTTTAAGGAGTCTTTGAAGCCTGGAGATCTTTAATATCAGAGAGAAGTTTTTGGAGAATGGAATGGCACGAACCATGGTGCATCTGCGGGGTATAAACTCTCAGTGAACTGTTTGAGATCGTCTGGGGTAACTTGTTTCGCGGGCCACTCTGTGGCTAAACCAGTGATTGTAATTTCATTTTTTTCTGGTTTAGGTGGATTCGGAGCTAGGGCTGGGGTGTTTCTTGTTGGATTGGAGAATACACCACCCATATCGACTTTCAAAAGTGGAATGTGGATATTTGGACTGATTGGTTGATCAACAAAATTGGAGAAAAGGGTCGTCACTTATAACAGCACAACTGATAATATTCACGTAGTTGACGAGATTAAGCAAGATCTCACAGACGTGTTTTGTATTCATAGTCAGCGTAGCATTATTGGGAGTATTGTCCTTTCAGAGTTGGGTTCTCAACATGGAGTGTTACAGACTCCCGAGTCCGACTCCGAACGCTGATGTTGGGGTTATAGACCAAGCTAGAGAATGTAAACATGCAATTACAACTCATCTGAGCAAGTACCCGTTAGACTCCAATCTCACGCGAGAAAGCTCTGTAGACATCCACGTGGATCTACGCATAGACCAAATATTCCAATGGATGACGAATGCTAAGTGTGAATGCATTGAAAGTGCTATGCTAAATACAAGGAGAGATAAGAAAGGTACTGGGTATTTCAAACGACACCGGGTCTAGAAAGGAATCTCGCGTGAGAGAAACGTTTCAACGCTTAATGATTCCCAATCTCGCGAGTCGGAGTAGGACTTTGAGCGGTAAGGGGTCGTGAATCGGATTGCGGCAGATCTCTGAACACCACAGAGGATCGATCACTGAGCAGATTGGTGCTGGACTCATTCTTCGTAGAGGTAAGTGGTGCAGGAATGACAGCGGAGGATTTGAGAAGCTCGCGGGCAGCGATGCGCTTTGCCTTTGCTCGGTCTTGAGCACAGTGAAGAATGGCAACACCAATGAAGACACAGATAATGCAAACAGAGAAAATGATTGCGTTGATGTTTCCTTTGTGGTTCTTTTCTTTTTGAGCGGCGGACACCGTGCTTGTGGCAGTTGCAGTGCTTGTTGTGGTTGTCGATGTGCTCGTTGTTGTTGTGGAACTGGAGGTGGTCGCCGAGGAAGTCGAAGATGTGGAAGATGTAGTAGAAGATGTCGAGGTTGACGATGTAGTGGTAGAGGTAGTCGAGGTGGTAGTAGATGTTGTCGAAGATGTAGTGCTCGATGTGGTGGATGTAGTTGAGGTAGTGGATGTAGTGGAAGAAGTGGTAGATGTGGTCGATGTGGTGGATGAAGTAGTATCACGAGCGAAGATAGCACCTAGCTCTCGCTCATCTCGAATCTCAAGGATTTGAACTGTCGCATCAACATCGGCGATCATGGGTAGAAAAGATTGCTTGGTTGTTTGTGGTAGGTCGACAGCAGTGGGGTTAGAGAAAGGATGACCCGAAACCTGCCATAATTGAGCTCCCATAAGGAGCAAAAGTAGACCCTGCATCTTGATCTTGATCTTAATCGTAATCTCAATCGAGTAAAATGTGTATGTAGGGAAAGAATGAATTAAGATCTACTGAGAAAAAAAAACAGTGGAAAAGCATAATTTAAATTATTTCACTAGTTCTCTGGCCACGAGTAGCTTGACGTACTGCACCTTGGCAAATGTGGGCTCCACCGTTGGATCTTAGCCTTGTAGGAGATTTCTGGGCAAACGCTTGCGTTGTTAGTCTAAGCCGCGCACAACCCGCCAGCCTAGTAGTTATTTTTGCACCGGCAACCCGGTAATCGACCACTGATGATCCAGTGGAGACCATTTTAGTACGATAGCAGACGATGGGCACACGCAAATGCCGCGCGGCACGGCCCCACAGGGCTGATCCAATTGTATAAGATTGGCCAAAGTGGTGTATCGCGAAAAGAAAGCTTGTTTCACGTGTGGACGTTAAATTTGTTAGGAAACGTAGTGTAAAAAGTGTCCTTTATGCATGGTTCAGGGAGAGTTGAAAATGTGATATATGGTGTGTTGAACTGAGTTAGTTCAATAGCCCCACCAAGTGAAAGCGGCTCTGATAAGGATATATCCGGTAACTTCAATTTTGGAACCGCTATTATTGAATCCACGCTAGGACGAGTTACGCCGGAGTTTGCGTCCCTGACAGATGTGACCGGAAAAGGGGTTTGGCGTAGGATTGTGTCAAGGCTTGTGTCAGTGGTGGACGCTTGACCTCTTTAAGGGGTTCAAACTCCCCGAACATTCGTAGTTACAGTTATGCCCTAAATAATTTTTTGATTAACTGAATTAAAATCCTCTATGAAGAATGGGAATATGTTCAAAAGACCCTGAGGTAAACTTCAAGATGTGGAGATCGTCAACTTTAAGGGTGGACACTAAGGGGTGAAAATTTCTAAGCTATGGATATTAGTGCAAAGTATACCTCGGAATCCTGCTTTCATGCGCAGGAATTTTAAAGATGATGGTAAAAATCAGATGACTAGTACAAAAAGTCCATACCATGTCAAGCTGAATACATTTTTCTATCGAGTAGACCGACAGTAGGCGTCTTGAAAGTCCTGCGAAAAAGGCCGTTCATAAACGCGATTCTGATAGGACCACTGGGAGAACCAGGGATACATCGTCATGGTTTCCAATGATGGACGCTTGGCAGGGTCTTTCTGAAAAAGATGACGCAGCACATCCTTGCAATCCTGTGACAAATCTTCTCGAATGGGCAGAGCCTCACATATAATCCTTAGTCGTCGATCATGGATTCTCTTACTTGCCCCCCCTCGATAATCCAGCAACTGCCACTCATGTCCTCCATAAGGAGGATCATCCCATGGCCAGTAACCATGTAGAAGCCCATAAACAATCACACCGAACTTCCACAACATGATTTGGCGAACATCACTGTTGAAATCGACCCATATATTTTCCGACCAGTCACGTTCGCGATTCTCCGGGCGGAACATGCTCTCGGCTAGTTCCGGTAGCATTTGGTACTCCTGGAATGGCAAATATGGATACATTTCGCAAACAAAGTCCTCGTCATCGAGTCCAAAACAGACATTTCCTAAATCGATAAGCTGAACGTTCAGATTTTGGTCAATAACAAAATTATTGACTGACAAGTCATCATGGACAAGATTGATCTGCGCCATATCAACAAGGGCTTGAAGAAGCTGCGAGGCAACTTTACAAGCCGCCATCTCGTCGAGAATGGGTCTATTATCGCCGGGCATCAGGTATGCGCCCATGAAAGCCGGGAAAACCGGCTCGTGGGATGCCAACCGTTTGCTCCATCGGTCGAGCGCGGGATCAACGCATGCAGACATCACGATCGCCTGATAACGGTCATGGATGTAGACGGAGTCGAGTTTCGGGAATCTGTCACTGCATGTGAGAAAAAGAAGATACAGCGCTTCAGTAGGAATGTACCTCGCCTCGTTGGCATAATCATGAATTGCCGCCACAGGGGCCGTCCCAAAGTATTCATCACTGTAGAGGGTACTATGCCGCTCGACCTTCACTGCAAAATGTCGGACGGTTCGTGGATCGTCTGCGGGGCCACAGTTATCTCGGGCAAGATACACGGCTCCGAAGCCTATTTTCCAAATTGTTAGTATCGTCCACTTACACGGGGGAAAGAGGGACTCACTTCCATAGCCTAACGTACCATATATTTCCATGCGATCGCTCAAATCCTTGCATATTTGGGTGGCACGGTAGGCTATGTTGTCATCGAGGATCGGGTCTAGGAAATCTACCATCGCAGAGCATTCTTGATGCTGAAATATTAGGCCATCATTTCGTCCAATCTCGTAACCGTGGAACATGGTATGATCGCACCTTGAGATAGGGGCGTGATTTCTATAGGCTAAGGCTATGTCCAAGCGATATTGAAAAGCCTGGTGCAAGTGGGGGTATTTCTGGGACAGGTAACTGCATGGGTCTAGAAGTTGTCGAGCCGCGTCGGGGAAGCTTTCATGCATTAAAGATTGGTCGAAGAAATGTAAAGCAATATGTGTATATCAAAATGAGTATTTCAATATGATACAGAAGACACTTGCTCTGTGCCTTTGGGGGTGATTTCGAGGTTTATATATCTAATGACTGACAAAGGGGGAAGTGTAAAACCTCTTCTGACAGAGAGTTAGGAAACGCAAAACATTTGAAAGAAAGAACACTCGAATGAAACAAAGAAAGTAAACACTGCACTTAGTCTGCATTTCATACCAGCCTTACCCCCACTACTCTGACCTCTTTGTCGTTCAAACAAAGGGATTATGTAGTAGACATCAGAAGATGGGGAGCGGCTCGAAGTGTAGCTATACATGTTCATTATCATGGCTTTGTGGTAACCGAAGTTTTATCATTATGATACGACAGTTCATAAAGCGTATCATGTGTGGTGGAAGGCTATCCTGATCAGTAAATCATTGATTGGAGGTAGTTCCTTTCCATTTTATCCCTTCCCCCCTCTTTGAGCATTGTCGACTCATAGATTCTGGGTATTCAAACGCTATGTAAATGCTATGAGATAAAAAAGGTAGAAATAGCATCAGGAAGCAGGTAGAGTAGGTTGAAATAACACGCGTATATGGTGATTCGACACAGGAAATACGAAATGTCAGGCTTCCGCCGGAAAGTTCTAGCAGCGCTTCAATACAGGCTGCAGGCTTGGTAATCAACGACTCTCCCAGAACTGCGCATCCATTGCAACCAGTCGATTGAACAGCTGGTTCCGAGATCTCATACCTGTGAGATGGTAGGACTGCTCTAGATCATCGCCGCTAACCACCAGACCATCCGCAGCCTCCTTACTACCAGCGGTCAATTCAACAATCAACTTCCGCTTCCACCCAAGACCTTCAGTCTTCTTCAACTCCTTGATCTCAGTGACAGGAATCTGGAACAGAACAGATCCCTTCTTCCGACTCTCAATTCGCAGATCATCCAGACCGGCAGACTGGTATGTCGTGAAATACAGGATAGGGGGTTCTTTAGAGTTGTCGATCACAGCTGCACCTCTCTTGCGCTCGTACTTTGCGTCGAATTTTAGGGGTCCAAATGGGGTTGCGGAAAAGTGTATGTTTTGCAGCATGCCAAGCAAGTTCTTCGTGTGGGCGGATCCAGCGATGGCCATTGCTCGGTCAAATGCAATGTGACCCTGGATTGCGGTTGCAATTGTTCGGCGCAGGAATTTGAAGAACTTGAACATAGTTCTGCGTTTCGGCTTTGTTTCAGGAAGGGACATATTCGAATTTGATTTTTGCAGTTCGGACGAGGAGTTCTGTTTTGTAAGATCCGAAGATGATCCTGCCTGCGACTTTTTGCGTGAGATAGGCCATGCTCGATCTTTGTTACCTATAGCTGGAGGGGGTGGTAGAGGCTCGGAGTTAATTTCTCCAATCCGCAGAAGAGTCAATGTTAGCTGGGCGTTGGTAGGAACGCCTTTCAATAGCGTCCTGTATTTGGTCAGCGATTAAGATCCGGGCAATAATATGGAAGTCGACATACTTTTCCAAATCCATGTGATCTTTCCAGTTCGGAATCTTTTGGTTCAGGGTGTCGAGAGTGTAATTTATGACCGGGTCCCCGAAGAAGCCAAAGCCAATGGCGAATCCAATGATCTTCACAATCCAATAGCTAGACACTACAGGTACTAGCACAGATATCAAGGTGAAGATACCAGCTAGCTGTAATCTAGATGTAAGTAGTAAAAATGGCGGCGTTGGTGAGAGAAGACTAATTTTGTCAGCAAACAGGTATGTCCTGACTGATACAAAGTCTTACTTGGCAAATTTCTCATATATATCGGTGACATCACTCAATCCACGCATCAGCTGGTTGGTAGCATGAGATACCTTTTTCTTCATGGGTATTTTAGTATTGTCTTCAATTGCATCGGTATTTGGTGTTTCGGGATTGTCAATGACTTCTGACCCGTCACCAAGAAGGGGTTGCTCAGGGTCATCTTCAACAACAGCCTGGCCGTACTTGGCGGCGGCACTTTCCATTGCAACTGTGGCTAGACTGTCGATCAAATTCCTTGCTTCTTGCTCCGCAGCCTCACCCTTGTGAGTTTCTGGCGCACCCGTCAGACTGTCTAGGGATTCAGGTTGCTCCATTCCAGGAGTTTTTGCACTGGGAACCTCCGAATCCAGTGTTTCTGGAGTCGGAGGAAACATCCATGCGCGGGCGGATGGCACCATGATGAGGGAAATGAAGAAAACGCAGATGGTCGGAACAAGGAAATCTAGAGCCCATGACACGAAATACACCTGTACAATGTCAGTTTCTGATGTATGAGATCCCGAGAATCAGAGCTCGACACACTATACAAAAAACTGTTGTCCGCCCGGACTCCTTCCAAGATCGTAATCGAGTTATATGCCGGAAAAACTCGATGACGCCGACAACAACCGAGGTGTAAAACCGCTCGAGGGTAATACGCAGTTTTTCGGGTGGGAATCGTTCAGTGTCCACGCGATTCAAATCGAGGTTCTGGGCTTTGGCATCTTGGACAGCTCGTACATGGTAGATTTGCTGTTCACATGTCAGCATGGAGTCCAATTCCCGTGGGGGCCACAAACCTTGTCGAATCGCCGAATCAGCATCCAGAGATCCTCATTCGAAAGGCCCTGGGCGAGATTCTCCTCCACTATCCGCGATGAAGCTTTCCACTGGGTTTTGGGCAATGGTCTCGGATTGATTGTCTGGATTGGTCCGCTCTCAGGGGCCTGAACCAGGCTGTCGTTCTCGTTGCTCAACTCTCCTGGGATGTTGTGTTCATCATTCATTATCACTAGGATAACTTCTTTGACTGTTTCTTTGGGGTGTAATTGGGTGCTCGGTATCCCTGGATAACTCTGCCACTCGGAAACTGTTGAATAAGAATGTGATGTTGACAGATTGTGGCTGATGTCATTCCCCGGTTTATTATTAAACGCGGAATCGTTATCGTACTCCCGTATCTCCTATCGATTATCTTTACCCCACACGAGGGATTTCAATCTCGTGACTTGTCGCGTCTCGGCCTTCGCCTTCACATTTTCTAGAGAAGGAACAGACAGCCAATGAGACGTATTCAAGCTAAATTTTGTCACTTATCATGCCAGGCAAAATTCCTTCAGACTTACCCATACATTCATTTTCGACCGCCCAAGAGCTGGAAGCATTTCTTGAACGCGAACATACAACCGCGCCTGGATTTTACCTGAAACTTGCTAAGAAGGCGTCCGGAATCCCGTCGGTGTCGGCTTCACAGGCTGTTGAAAGTGCGTTATGTTTTGGTTGGATAGACGGTCGTGCCAACGCAATTGATAATGACTGGTGGCTGGTACGATTCACGCCTCGCCGAGCGAAGAGTGTTTGGTCACAAAAGAATGCCAATACAACCAGTCAATTACAGGAAACTGGTGGAATACGCCCGGCTGGCTTGGCTGCAGTGGACGCAGCGAAGGCTGATGGCCGATGGGAACGTGCTTATGCTGGTCCGGCCACCATGATTATCCCCACCGTTTTCCAGGCCGCACTGGACACCGCACCTGCCGCTGGGTCCTTCTTTGAAACTTTGAATAAAACGAACCGCTATTCTGTATTATGGCGCATCCAAACCACGTCACCTGCAGCAAGGGAAAAGCGAATTGAGGCTTTGGTCCAGATGCTGACAGACAAAAAACTACCGACTTCTTTGAACGGGAAACGAAAAAAGGAAGCCGATGACAGCGACATACGACAAAAAGCCAAAAAGAACTTCAAAACACGAACTTAATCTGCGGACTAATCAAATTGGCTATATTTCAGCAAATCAGAGACATTTGTCCCTATCAGTCTAACGAAAGTATCAGCCGCGCTGCTGCTTATGAACTTTGAATTTGGGGGCCAACGCCAGGCTCTCGTATATTTGCCCAACTTTCCTTGATCCAATTTGAAAATAAAGCCTACTTCTCCTATTTCTCTTGACAATGCGTTTCATTTCTGATGAACTCGTCATCAATCGAGATGACAAAGCTCCACTGCAGGTCCTTGGTGTAGGTCTGCCACGATGTGCGACTAGCTCCATGCAGGCTGCCATGGAATCTAAATATATCAACTATCATCCATGTATGCATATGGCATATATTGCACCTCATGCCGGTCGTGGTGACATTCTTCTGGAGGCATTGCGGGAGCCTAACACCGAACGACGCCACAAACTCCTCCACCAGATCTTCGATGGCTTCCATGCCACCAGTGACTTCCCGGGCTGCGCTGTCATTGAAGACCTCATGGACATGTACCCCGATGCCAAGATTGTCCTCAATAAGCGCCCGGGTGGGGGCAATAGCTGGGCGAAATCGATCGCGGCGATGACCTACATGAAAGATTGGCCTTTTTACGCAATCACCTTTCTCTGGAAGACCGATCGCAACCTGCACGCCTTCTGGCATTTGTATATGGATCTGTGTATGAAGAAATATGGACTCGAGAAGCACGAGCTGTTCACAGCGAAGCACTATGATGCCCACAACGCGTGGGTGCTGGCGGAAGCGGCTAAGCGTGGGCGCGAAGTCTTGGAACACGAACCGCAAGATGGATGGGAACCCCTTTGCAAGTTTCTTGGAAAGGAGGTGCCGGAGAATGAGCCTTATCCACATCTCAATGACGCCGCTGAAATACGTAAGATCACACGGATTTTGTACGGCCGAGGCATTCTCTCTTGGATAGCATTGATCGGGGTCACGTTTGGAACGGCGAAATGGATTGGGCTTGTCTAGGGACTGAACAGTATTACTGACGGGGTTTCACCTCCAAGTAGATCTATGCAAATGGCAGAAGAGAGAGAGAGACATGACAACTGGATGTATCGGAGAATTTGTCCCGTAGCTTATTCACAGTAAATTTCCGGGGAAATTCTCGGGCGAATCAGTCCCGAGTATTTCCCCGCCGGATTGCGGGGAATACAAAAGATGTTCACCCTGGTGGAAGATCGCGAGTTGGAAATTCATGAAAATAATGGAGAAACGAACAACAGAAGAGCAAGAGGTCTGTATAATTAGGGCTAAATCTTCTCCTAGTGGTTTTCATCGTTTGGTCATCGTTTGGTTATTGACTGTTTATGTAGACCATCAACAGTCTCCAAGCTAATTGGGTCTGGGTTCCGAACTGGATCGACTCTTCCACTTTTAATACCGCCGGGCGATTGGTTAAATTCACGAGAAAGTTCAACTTGATATCAAGGCCAACACAAGCCCTCTTGCATTTCTCTGCTGACACAAGATACAAGTTATTTGTCAATGGCACTCACATCGCCACTGGGCCCGCGAGAGGAAGCCCATTGATCTGGTACTATGATACCCAGGATATCGGAGCCCAATTAGACATCGGAGAAAATGAAGTGGAATTTGTGGTGCTGCGGTATTTCGCCTCGTCTCGTGGGGGCATGCCATTCGAGAGAACGGCCTTGCCTGGATTGACGGTAATAGGCAGTGTTGAAACAGCAACTGAGACTGTGAATCTTGAATCCCAGCAGCTTTGGGAAGCACGAGTGGACGACAGTGTGAACTACCCAACGGGCCTTATAGATGACGTATTCCTCCATGTGAGTTTTATCCTCCCGGTCTTTGTCTCAAGCTCTCTTCTAACCTGTGAAGATCAACGAGCGTGTTGAGCTCAAAGAATCCAGACCAGTCTCTACACCAGTTCCATATAACATAATATGTCGTAATGGAGAGCTTTCACCTTGGCGCCTACGCCCGCGTGCTATCCCAATGCCCGAAACTCAGGATATCAGCATCAGGACGCTCAAGTTCTGTGAAAGTGCTATCGCAAGCGAGGACTGGTCTGAGTTTTTCTCCCAGAATCGCGCTATCACACTCCAACCCAGGTCTAGTCATGCACTAGAGCTACAGGCTGATGAACACTCTACTGCATTCCTGCGATGGGTATTCAAAGCTGTCGAGCGGCCATCTCAGGTTAGACTGAACGTCACATACTCGGAGGGATATGAATTCGAACCTCCTTCCTACCCCTACTTCCGATCAAAAGGCGATCGACTAGATGCATCCAAGGGATCTATTATTGGTCCACGCGATGAAGCAGTCCTCGCCGTTCCTGATTCTGAAGATCTGATATATGAACCCTTCTGGTTTCGAACCTTCCGAGTCTTGCGAATTGAAATCACGATCGGATCAGAGCCAGTGATCTTGGTATCCTTCAACGGAACCCAAGTGAATTATCCTCTCGCTGTGAAAGGTGCCTGGGACAATCCCGAAGATCCCATGAGCAAGGACATCTGGGATGTGTCCATTCGAACCTTGAGAAACTGCATGTTTGATTGTTATTCCGACTGCCCCTTTTATGAGCAGCTTCAGTAAGCTTCAGCCCTGTGACAATCTCAACAATCAACTAAGTTATCCAGATACTCTGGAGACAGCAGGTCAGTTGGCCTATTTCACTACCTCCTCTCAGGGGACGATAGATTGATGCGGCAAGCAATCACAAACTTCGCATCCTCCATCACACCCGAAGGACTAACGCAATCCCGATTCCCCTCACACGTGCCCCAGATCGTGGCGGGCTTCCCACTCTACTGGATCCTGCAAGTGTGTGACCATAACCTCTTCTTCGGCGACACCACTTATTCCCGTGCGTTCGTGCCCCGCATAGACGGCGTCCTCGATTTCTTCGACTCCCGTATCGACGAACTAGGTCTAGTAAGCGGAATACCCGCCGACGTATGGCAATACGTTGACTGGGTGACGACCTGGGCCGCGACAGACGAGCACCCCGACAAAGGGGTCCCAACCTCCGGCCGAAAGTCAAATAGACACACGTATTTCAGCATGCTCTATGCGTACGTCCTGCGACAAGCTGCTCGACTAGTCCGCCATGTTGGACGCCCCGGAAATGCAGATGAATACGATTCCCGCGCCGAAGCACTAGTATCGGCTATTCGAAAACACTGCTACGATGGCGAGTTCTTCACGGATTCAACGGCCGATATAGCAGACAATGGCGCATATTCGCAGCATAGCCAGGTGTTCGCCGTGCTTTCAGGTGCTGCTTTACCGCTGGATCGTAAGCGTATTCTCATGGGGTCATTTAAGAATCCAAGATTCTCAAAGTGCTCTTATGTCATGCGCTTTTATCTCCTTCGCGCTTTGGCAATTGCTGGAGATGATGCTTATAATAATCTCTGGCATGAGATGTGGGAGCCGTGGCGAGGCATGCTAGCGAATAATATGTCTACTTGGGAGGAAGATGATGTCCGACAACGATCTGACTGTCATGCGTGGGGAAGTGTTCCGATATATGAGTACTGCACAGAGGTAGCAGGTATTACTCCGATCGCGGCTGGGTGCTCGAAGGTACTTTTCAAGCCGCGGTTGCAGATAACTAAGGCTCTAGAGGCGAGGGTTGCATTGGGTTATGACAATTTGGCTACCGTCGCTTGGGCTACCGATTCGACCGGCAAAATGAAAATACGACTTGATCTACAAAAAGCTGTTTCTGTTGTGAGTCAGTTGCCAGGTGGGACTTTGGAGGAACATGGTGTTCTTGACCATCTAGAACTGACTTACCAGCTTGTTTAATGTTATTGTTCTATACTTATGTCCACTATGAGACACTATCTTACCTCTGATGCCAACCTTCCAGGGTTGGTAATTTGACATATCTAGCTACCAGAGGTACTAGTTAGATAGTAAAATCAATATTCATTCGCCAAAACCGCAATTTGCATCTGAATTTTCCGTGTCAACTACAGTAAAACGGATGATTTCGAGACCCTCCCGGGGGTCTATGTATGCCTCGGATCTATTTGTTCCGAAAGCGAAAGCTTGTTTGTCTCAGTGCTATATGAATGAGTAAGCCGATATTAAGAGGGGGCAAGGCATGTTATCGAGGTCGCTTCATAATGTTTTAGCACTATAGACCCAATCAGATATTAAAAAGTCCATCTGTTGGAATTTGAATAAATGGCTCGAACTGATCACTACCAGGGGTAAATAAAGGCATCAATATGACCTGCAGTTCAGGGTAACCGTTGTAAACTAAGTACTGCACAACGTTTGAATGCAGCTTTTCATAATGTTAAGCAGGACAGACATCCTTGGGACTCACCAAAGAAACCTCCTGGTGCCAAAATGTGTGGGGTCCCCGGACATCTTTAGTGCTTTACTCTACCCGGACAATTCCCGGCGGCTATAGAGTCATGTGTCCGCAGATCCAATCTTGGCACGGAGGTTCCGCAATTTGGGGAATGAAAATGAAAATTTCAGCGTATTTACAGGAAACCTGTCTTACAGGGAGCGTGGCGAATCAAGCAAGCTCGATCAGGAGGGCCTCCGACGCCCCCACAGTGAAAGTAGCTTTACCAGAAGAAGCCGTAGTGGTCTCAGTAACCTGAGTACCCATGAGAGTGCAATTACCATTTCCAAAGTATTGTCCCGCAACTGTAGGACTGTCCCCTTCATCAACCCGAGATGTCGCGTACGAGGCAGTGAGTCGTTTAGCTGTTAGGGTCGATGAGGATAGTCCGCTCAACACAAACTCCTGAGTTGATCTGGTTCCACTAGTGTAGTACTCTGAGTTATATAGAAGAACTCGAATAGGAGAATCTGACTTGTAAATGGCGTATGCTGCAAATGCCGTATCCCCGCTGTCGAGCGGAGCTACTTGGTCCGCGTTTGCTAGTGCCATTGTAGCGAAATAGGCTCCAAAGTAGGGTGAGCCCATATCGTAGCGACCCCACCAGCAATATTGGCCTTGTAGATCTTAGGAAATAATAATATAGAGGGGGCGAGGGTGGGGACTCACAGTTTCCGATTGTGCCTTGGTGGAAGTACAATGACTAGCATCCACATGATCAGTTATTTGTTCAAACAAACCATTGATCCTGGATTTCTTACCTTAGTCCCCATGATCAGGGATTGCATGACATAGTCCAAGATCCAGAGACCAGCGCCAAATGTCGGACTTATGCCACCACCGCCGCCCGTCGCTAGTCAATATAAGCTGGCGGCCACTTGAATATGCATTGCGAGACATACCAGAGTTGGTTTCGCCAAAAACATGCTCCTTTCCCTTTTTTGTGGCCGCAGCGACCTCCGCAGCGAAAGGCTCAATCTCCGATGCAATATCGCTGTGGCCCATGAGCGTCTCAAGGTCAGCTGTACTTGCGGACTGGGGGTAATTGTGAGAGCAGTAATCTTTCACATAATCATTAGCATCGCCTTCAACCGCGGTAAGACCGACTATGCTTTCTGGAGATGTTCCGAAGTAGACGCCCGCCGAGGCAAGGTTGCCAATAGATAAATTTCCAAATACTTCATCTTGCCATTTGACTTGAGATGCATAGTCAGCGGCGGCAGTCCAGGAGGCACCGTCGGCTATTGGGTCAGTATCGGAGTAGACTAAGTAATAGAGTCAGTTTATCCTGGTCCGGGCCTAGAGTATTCGTACAGACAATCAGGTTCATTTCCCAACTCAATGGCGTATAGGTTAGCCATCCGATCTACTGCGACGCTCGCAGCTGCAATTGTATTTGAAATGTTGTCCAGGCGACGGTTGAGTCCCAGTGTCACATCTCCTCCGTACTCGGCAGCTAGTGTCATGAAAGATGGACCAAAGGTGAGAGAATCAGGAGCATCGGTGGAAGCTGCCACAGTGTAGGTGACAGCATCACTTGAGGATGCATCGTATGTGGCTCGGTCCCTATCGATGTTGGTCGTGGACTATGATGCAAGATAATTGCAACTCTCACTGTGTGGTTCCGCCTATACGAATGGGTGGCCACACTCCAGTCAAGTCTTTGAAATTCTCCAGGCACCGCTGGGTTGAGGCAACATCCGTTACGTACGCGGGGTATGCAAAGAATTCGAATCTGTTGAGATGAGACATTCGTTCGATGGTATAAATGAGGTTTGGTACTTACGATACACCCACAGGAGCGTCTGTAAGAGTGGCACTTGCATTTGATGGTGGAGTGGAAGGAATGTTGAATGAAAGACTTGCTGCGAAAGACACAGGTAGATGGCAAAACAACCAAAACAAACAAATGAACATCTTGTCGATTTTTGATCTGAAGAATGAGAAAAAAAATTTTGTGGAGGATTTATGCACTTTTGAGCGCATTGTTCACTAAATAACATATTGTGTAATACTTTCCGGCTTGTAATGTCGGGTCACATTCTAGTGATTGCCGACAATCCTAACATTAAACTCTGACGTACTGTGGGGTATAGCCTGGGTAAACAATGATTAATTCTTCCGGTCACCTTGCAGATCATTGAATAAAGCCCTCCACTAGTAATTCAGCGGGTTGCGGGGTTGTCTTATGGCTATTGAATTATATTCTTTGGTTGAAGTCTGTCTTCCCCACTCTGCGGGCATTCGGAAGGTCTATTCTCATTCTCTTGCCCACTCTCGCTGATTCGGCCCCCGAAGGGCCTCTGGAGAGATCAAAACTCAGAGTGCCTCATTTGAAAACGGAATGAAACGTGGAGTCAAGTCCGGTTGCTGAGGGAATTCTCGATCATATGGCCACATTGGACGGCAAATGCGACGATGACCAAGTCGAGGCAGATCTTGATCAACACCACCTGGAGTCAAGGCGAGCAGCCAATCAGCAGCCATATCGAACAGCTCGGGCTCCAAGTATCCGATTTTCACAAAAACAATATCGGTATTTCGGGGTGCAAGATTCAAACCAGTGAAATCCTTCTCATGATGATAGGGCTTGCGCAATTTGGTAATAATGACGAAAACGCTTCCGACCTGAAGCACAGCCTCCACGACAGCATCTCTATCTCCATGCCTGATGGAGTGAACATGTCCAGTCATAGTGATCGGGCCGTCGTGGAGGTTGTCGACTTCTGCACCGGCAGTAACGGTAACCTCAGCACCTATCCCTGCCTTCAAAATTGTCTCGATTGCCTGCGGCCCCGGGATGCTGGCGTAGATCACCGTCGGTCCGGAGCTTTTGAATTCAGGGCGACCGAGAATTCGGTTCAGACTCCAGGTGACGTCCCCTGCACCTCCAGCTGTAGGGTTGTCACCGGAATCTGAGATGAAAAAGGGTCGACTGGTAGATTTCAGGGCGGCATCGATGCACTCCATAAGTGAGCCTGTAGGTGCAACAAATTTGAATTCCTTGCGTACGTCCCAAAAGTGATTTGCAAGTTTCTTTGCCCCGGCGTTAACTCGTTCCGCATTCCAGCCTGTAACAACGACAACTGCGTGGTTCCGAGGCTCGTCCGCCCAGGCATAGCCCACCCAAATAGCTGCATCGAGGACCCCTTCTGTAGATTCAACATCAGGAACAAGTGCGTAGAGCCCCTTAGCAGGCTCTATCCGAGTAGATGTTTGTTCCCCAGGAAGAAGAACCGGGATTGGGACCCACGCCTTCAAAGGCCTACCCGGCCGTCCAACGGGAGACTTCAACATATCAACAAGATTCCTGCAAGCTCGCTCTTTGGTCTCCAGCTCGTCTTCATGCGGTGCCATTCGGTAGCAAGTAATGAGATCAGTCTGGTGAGCCAACCGCCGGGAAACATTTCCATGAAGATCCATCGACGCCGAAACGATCACATCGGGGCCAATCACTTCTCGAACTCGATGAAGAAGCTCTGCTTCGGAATCATCCATTCCCTCGACGCACATCGCCCCATGGATATCAAACCAAAGGCCATCGATGCTAGTTGTCTTTTTGATGTTTTTCAACCGAGTGAGGATTTCGCTGGAAAGTTCCTCGAATGCTTCTCGAGTCACAATTCCACCGGGTAGAGCATGCCCGATAAGCGCCCCGTGCCAATCTGCCGAATTTCCAAGCGCGGTCCCGGGATGGAGAAAGGCGTACTCGTCGATCACCTCCTTTCCACGCCGGGCATGAAAGGCTGGTGCCAGTGTGCGAGCAGGGGAGAAGGTAGAGGTTTCACAGGCAAGTCCTGCGATTACGATGTTAGGACGACCCAGCATGATGCTTCTCCCTTTTTCTATCTCTGTTCCGACCAGAATTGCGGGGTTGGGGGTTGCATGAAGACCACCTTATCATGACCTCCGCGAAGATGTTGAGAATTGCCACGTGAGCATTAAAGTTGAAATTGTTCAAGGTTGCACCGATCGAAAAGTTTCCCTTTGTGTCGCAATGTTCAGTGTCCAGTGTCTATGCAACGTCGCGTCGTGCCGCCCTCGGAGGGCATTGACCCCGCTTTGATATGCAGTTCTACTGACCAAAGGGTGTTAGCTTTCATTTATCACTGGCTTCTTTCCACGACCTGGAAATGCGATATTGTACTAACATTCTGCAATCTGTAATATGTGTGATTTGGAGTGGAATCTGGGAGAAGAACCGTCAAGGGGTTCAAGGACGCCAAAAGCTTGGGAATGCTTGATAGAAGATTAGCAAGAACCTTCAGCTCTATGACCCCGTATCTTTAATATCAACCCCCACAGGTCGGCAAACCCGATGGAACCTTGTCGTTTGACTTAATGATAAGAAATATGCGGAGTAACAATATCCGATGTTCTTCGAGTATTTATCCCAGTTGTACCCACACCGACGCGATCCTTGCTTGATAGCTCACATGATAACTAAAGTCCGAGCATTTCGCAGTTACAACTATATATCAGATGTTGAAAAAGACCGCGACTGGAACTTGGCTGCCCGCATGGGTTCCGGAGTCTACAGCAACACTCTCCATCCTGTTGCTGATCTGCTCCATCGTTCAATCTGCAGTAAGTCACGTCCCTAGCCTTAAAGACCCGACATACTAATTATCGGAAGACGGGTGGCTATGACGGATCAATGCTCAACGGCCTCAATATCCTACCATCCTACACCGATTATTTCAATCTGAATAATGCAACTACCGGATTGAATACCGCGTCCGTGTCTATCGGTGGTTTGCTCGGCCCACTTATCTCGGGTGTCATGACAGATAGATTGGGTCGGCGCCCGGCCATTTTTTGGGGTTCGATATTGACCATTGTCGGAATCATTCTGCAGACTGCCGCCCAGAACATTGCCATGTTCGTGGTCGCCCGAATCATTCTTGGGTTTGGGTCTGCCATCACAGGCATTGCTGGAGGAGTGTATCTTGCGGAATCGTTTCCGAGTCGGTGGCGTGCGTGGGGAGTCGGTCTGTTGAACGATTTTTATTAGTATGTTTTCCCTGTTCCTGCAATGAACTCCTTCTCATAGATCCAGCGTCGGAGCCTTGATCGCGGCCGGAGTTACCCTCGGCACTGGTCAGTGGGAGTCTACGTGGGCTTGGAGAGCCCCTTCGCTCCTCCAAGCGGTTTTCTCACTGCTTTGCATCCTCACGCTACCATTCATGTGAGTTGAACCAGAATCCCCGTTTCTCGAGTTTGAGGACTAAAAGCCAGTACAGCCCCGAGTCCCCTCGCTGGCTTGTTCACCAAGGATACTATACAGAGGCCCGTATTTCCGTGGCACAGACAAACGCAAATGGCAACCTTGCCGATCCAATTGTTATTGCAATTTTCAAAGAGATTGTGGATACTTTGAAGTGGGAAAAGGAAAACGGGCATGATATGAGCCCTGTTGAGATCTTCAAGTCCCCTTCCGCCCGAAGGCGACTGCTTATTGGAATGTCCCCGGGCCCATTCTCTTGTATTGCAGGGAATATCATCGCTTCATACTATTTTGGGTCGGAGCTTGACACAGCTGGTATCACTAATACGAACGATCAGCTCAAGGCGGTAAGTTCTCGAATTTCCAGTGAAAACTTCCCGATCATCAGCTTACTCAGTAGAACGTGGTTCTCAATGTCTGGTGCCTTGCCTGTTGCCTTGTAGGCACTCACCTGATCGCCAGATGGGGACGGAAGCCTACAGCAATGCTGTCCCAGATTCTGCTCAGCGCTTGTTTGTTCATTATTGGCGGGCTGTCGAAGACTTATGCATCTGACCCACACGGCGCATCAAACTCCCTTGTTTATGGTAATGTGGCAGTGATGTTTCTCTTCCAAGGATTCTACTCTGTTGCATGGACGCCTCTTCTATATCTCTATCCACCTGAGATAATGAATTACTCTATTCGCGCCAATGGAATGGCGTTTTCATCCTTTGTTCTCAACGCGTTTGCGTAAGTTATCCCGAACCTATCTTGGTGATCCAAATTTTAACATTTATTCAGTCTCGTCTTCACATTTATCATGCCAATTGGTCTAGGAAACATTGGATGGAAGATGTACATGATCAACGCATCGTGGGACCTTGTAATTCTCGGCCTGATCGTATGTATCCCGCCCAACTCAGATCTACAAAGTCCTAACAGTCGCAGGCGTATTATTGGGTCGAAACCAAGGGTAAGACTTTGGAGGAGATTGACGCGCTATTTGAAGGAGAGAAACACTCCTCGGTCCCGGATGTCGAGAAAGTCCGACGCGGTCAGAAAGAGCTTGATACCGATGTGGTAGAGGATCAGCTGGCTGCGGAGCTGGGTCCTGTATCTCTGAAGCAGTAGGTTGGTATCTGTATCAATTTGTGATTCTGAAAATAAGAAATTGAAAGATCGAAAATTTAATATGAATTAATTGCCATCGCCCTGAATTCTGAATCATCCATCATGCCCAGATTCTTCCGTAAGCTCGATACGCAAACTCTCTAACTCGTTGCGCATCGACTCCGGGCTAGCGTTTTCCTGTAATATTCCCAAATTCTAAAAGCTTTACTCAGATCCTACTCCAGAAAGCTATTAGTATGATGGATATGGACTTTTATTCCTTCCGTGGCTGTCGGTCGCTAACCCGGATGATTAAGCATGGGCCTGGGTAAGATAACTTAGTTGCCAAGTGACATATGCATTGTACCTGTTTACCCTCCAAAACCTGCTTCATTCAATAGCCTGAATCCCGCATCGAAAACATTTGGAACAAACTTTCATCATGAATCTTACCTATGAATCTAGAAGACCATTGTTGGAGATTGCCTGCTTCAACGGCCAGTCAGGGGTTCATGCAGAGCAAGGAGGTGCTGATCGAATCGAGTAAGAGACCGTTCCCCATGCTTGTATGTAGATACCTCCTTGATATCAAGGCCTGGGAATTAGAATTTGATTTTCTATCTCGAGCTAACTGAATTGCAGATTATGCCACGATTACACGTCCGGGGGTCTTTCCCCTGACCCCGCTGTGCTGAGTGGATTGAAAGCCCAAGTTGCAATTCCGGTCTATGTGATGATTCGACCACGTGCCAACGACTTCCTTTACAGCAACCAAGAATTTGAAGTCATGAAATCCACAATGATGACTTTGAAAAACGCAGGCGCGGATGGCTTTGTTTTTGGCATTCTCAACCACGTTCCGTCAGACAACCCCACATGTTCCTGGATCGACGAGCGAAACAAACAACTTGTCCAGCTGGCAGGCGAAAAGCCCTGTACTTTCCATCGCGCTTTTGATTGCATTCCCGAGGAATGTTGGGGCACGGCACTTAAAGACCTGGCGGAGTGCGGTTTTGCTTCAATTCTCACAAGTGGGGGTCCTTCGGGGGACACAGCAATCGAGTGTGTTGATCGTCTAGCTGAACTATTTCAACAAGTGGATCTAGTCCAATCACAAATACCCGCCGTCTTTGTCCCGGAGATTATTGTTGGTGGTGGTGTCAGATCGTCTAACATTCAACTTCTTTGGGAGAGAACACATGCACGAGCTTTTCATTCCAGTGCATTGGTTACCGGCGATTGTGTAGAGCCCAGCGAGGTAAAAGACTTGGTGAATTCGCTTTCTACAGTGTCGATCGCGAAGGATTAGTTTTCATACATCTGAATTTCCACGGGTCGCAATTTCCACGCGCATTGTCTCTCCTTGCCAGCAATCAGAGTAGGTGTCGAGTGGCTAACCGATCTCGTCCCTTGGCTTTGACTTACCTAACATCAACTCATGTTGTGGGGTATGTGGAGACCCGCGAAGGTCAATGTCGACCTTTTTTGGCCAAAACTTCATAAATGCGGGGTTTAGGTTCACGCCAATATGACTGTCGGAAAAGAGCAATATTATTGATTGAAGAACTCCACATATGCGTGGAACTCGGCTCTTTTCCGCTCGAAGGTCTTTAATAGGTCGACTATAAATTATGCAGTACAGAAGTGAACGTAAGGTCGTTTCTACCAGCCCCAAGACTTGGCGTTGAGTTGTGGACTTGAAATTCCATCGATTAAGCATAAAGCTTCCAATATGGGCCAGTTCAAATATTGGTTAGGGAAGTTGCGGGCTCACACGGAGCCAGGATTGACAACAGCCCAACTCATGTTGACCAACGATGACCTTCGACCAGGTGAGAACCACTAAGTGAAGCAAACATTCCTCTTCCATATTTACAAGCACTATTCAAGCCGTCTTTTCCCAATTCTCCTGCTTTCAACAACGCTAATACTAGCATTCAATATCATGAACAGTTGAATCAGAGCGCCGTCAATGGAGATGGCTCAACTTCGTTGCCTTTTGGATCGCGGACTCTTTAAATGTGGTCGGTACCACCTCGTTACTTCCTTCGGCTGATAAATCTCCTCATTGTCTTTGAAATTTCAGCACTGTGCAGAGAACTGACGCATCGCCACCCTTTCTGCAGAACACCTGGATGATCTCATCCTCCATGATTGTCGATGGCCTGTCTTGGTGGCAGTCCTGGCTTTGCGTATGGATCGGCTACAGCATTGCTGCAATCTTTGTCTGTCTACTTGGTCGAATCGCTACTATTTATCGAATTCCCTTCGCAGTGACAAACAGAGCCTCATTTGGAATATGGGGCTCTTTCTGGCCAATTCTGAATCGTGCGGGTATGGCTGTTATATGGTACGGGGTCCAGGTAAGTCTCCGATTGATTGATGTGGCGTTGATAATGCGATAAGTCTAATCTGAATAGACATATCTTGGAGGTAAGCCCATTGAGAGAGAGATGAAAAGTCCAAATCGACGAGCTGCGCTAAATTCCTCTAGGCGAATGTGTGACATTGATGATCCAAGCCATCTGGCCAAGCTACGCAAACCTCCCCAATACTATGCCCGCTAGTGCAGGAGTGACAACAAAGCAATTCGTCAGCTTCTTCCTATTCTGGTTGGGATCCCTGCCTGCCCTTTGGTTCCCAATTTATAAGATTCGACACCTTTTCACCGTCAAGGCATACTTTTCTCCAGCATGTGCCATCGCCTTCTTTGGCTGGGCAATCGCTCGCGCCCATGGACTGGGTCCTATCATGACTCAGTCAAATACTGCTCATGGCAGTGCCTTGGCATGGGTATTTGTGAAAAGTATCATGAACTGTATTGCCAATTTTGCTGCATTAGTGATCAACAACCCCGATTTTGCGCGATATGCAAGCAAGCCGACGGATGCCCTGTGGCCTCAGTTGATTACTATTCCGGTTGGATTTGCAATCACCTCTTTCATTGGAATTGTTGTTTCTTCTTCTGCAACTGTTATTTTCAATCAATCGGTCTGGAATCCTCTGACTCTATTAGGGATGTTTTTGGAGGATGCCAGCTCGGCAGAGAGGTTTGGGATCTTTATCATTGCCAGTGGATTTGCTTTGGCGCAGCTTGGTACGAATATTGCTGCTAACTCAGTGTCTGCCGGAACAAACTTGACGGCTTTGTTGCCACGATTCTGTACTATCAGGCGAGGAGGGTACATATGTGCTGCCATTGGTCTTGCTATGTGTCCCGTGGGTGACTTATTATGCTAAATGTATTTTGTCAGAGCTAACATGAATTACAGTGGACACTTGTTGCCTCATCCAGCAAGTTCACCCTCTACCTCTCAGCCTATTCGGTCTTTCTATCAGCAATCGCAGGCGTGATGGCCAGCGATTACTACCTCGTGCGCAAGGGCTATCTCGATATTGAGGATCTTTACAGTGCACGCAAGGACGGTGCTTATTATGGGATCTATGGAGTCTCATGGCATGGATATGCCGCCTACTTCTGCGGCATTCTGATCAATATTGTTGGATTTGCGGGTGCCGTGGGGGTGAATGTTCCGCAGGGCGCAATATACATCTACGACATTAACTACTTTTCTGGATTCATTATATCCGGTTTAGTTTATTGGCTTCTTGCTAAGCTGGTCCCTCTCCCTAAAATCAGCAAAACCTGGAACGAAGTCCCATACGAGATGCGTCTGGATGCTGAAGAGAAGAAAGTGGAGGAAGCCTGAGTGGGGGTATTGTGGGTCATTGTGGATCAGAGGTTCAACCTCGGTCCCTCGAGCCGACATCGGCAATTGATGAAAATACATATTGCAATCGAGTAACAAGAGAGATATCGTATCTCAATTGGTATTTGTTCAAGAAGATCTTTCCGTGTCAAAAATTCCCAACTGCATGACATGGTCTTCAGCTCCTTCCCACGAAATTCTCTGTATTTCTCGAGTCGGCCGAATCCTTGAATTGCCTAAGTCTGACTAGCATCGCGTATTGGGTTCCGAATAAGCCTTCCTAGGGGCTTTGGGGCAAGTTTTGTAGTCTCCTTCATCATAAGATGCTTTCTAGGAGGTCGACTGGTGCTTAACGGTCATTTTGCTTTCCGCGGGAAACACCTTTGCTTCGACCCCAAGCGTGTTCTTATATTTTGATCGAGTAATCGATTCAGACTTGACCCCAATTTTTCTTATCACCATTTCCTTTCACTAATTTTCATCGAGTAATTTACAGAGATCCAGCCTTAATTTGCCGTCGTCGTTGCATTTCTGGGTTTCTATCGAGTAATCCCAGCGGGCATCTTATCGCATTGTCTCAGTCGAGTTCATGCCACCCAATCATGATGTTATTGATCACTTGCGCTTCGTCCTGGATAGTATTAACATTTTTTTCGATGGCTCCACTTACGGCGTCTTCAAGCCGGTTCAAATTAACTTGAAAGTGCAGAATAACCCTCTCAGACCACGGCACTGCAGAATTAATCTCATTGTATACATGCCTCGCTGTATTTGTCTGTTTTGATATGCCTAAGACCACAACACCATTATCGGTCTCGCCGACAGACCAACACTTACACAAACATGAAGGAATTCGACAAGGTCCAAAGGGAAAACCTTCTACCCCTTTACACAACTCTGCTAGAGACCCCCTGATTCCAGTCCCATCATTTCGAAATGTCTCAGCTTGTTACCGTTGCCGACTGCGAAAGCATAAATGTGACTCATCACTTCCACGATGCCAACCTTGCTCAAGGGCCCAGGTCGAGTGTGTTGGATATGATCCAATCACAAAACAAGAAATTCCACGAAGCTATGTTTACTTCCTGGAGACCCGCCTGAACTATCTCGACAAACTCTTGCATCAGAACAACATTCCAGCGAAGTCAATTTCGGCATTTGATGACGCACAGTCGAGTAGTGATAGTCCTACCAGCAAAGACAGCCCGCAATCCGATCGCCACCATGAGGAGACAACCATTTCGAAAGATCAGAAATCTCCCTCGGCAACATCATCAGATCCCTCATACTCTCCTGTCGGCTTCAAATGCGGAGATTCTTCTACCAACATCATTACGAATCTGTTTTCTGGAAGCCCTATGAGGTGCAGGGTTTTGAAAGGCGGAAGAAATGGCGACAACGAAATTATAAGTTCGATCCGCACTTCATTCTTTGGTCTCTTTTCCCGCGAATCGAAACACCAACTTGCGGATCTACCCATCCAAAAACATGCAAGACAACTAGTGGATCTATACTTCCAACATGTGAATCCCTTTATTCCGGCCCTACACCGTGAAGAGATTGAAAGAATCCTTGATCAAATCTATTCGAATCAGACGGTTGGAAAATCACCGCGAAAGATGTATATTCTCTATACTGTTTTGGCTATTGGCGCTGCCATAAAATGTGACTTCAAACAGGGAATCAAGATGTCTCAGGAAAATAAAGACTGGCATGAAACATCTGGAGTGAAAAGACAAAAATTGTCAGGCACTTCGAACACGTCAGAAGCCTATGAAGCTTCAGCAATGATCCATTTAGAATCATACTTGAGTCTTTCAATGTCTTCAGAACAATCGACTTGCCTCGAAGAACTCCAAGCCATAATTCTTCTATGTAGCCTTGCGCTTCTGAGACCAACTGGCCCTTCTTTTGCTAGCCTGGTCGACATGGCCATGCGCTCAGCTACAGATTTGCGTCTTTACTCGGGGTCTAGCACTAATACCATATTTCGGAGGCATATGGATTGCTCCAATTCCGCTGGAAAGACATCCAGTCGGCTTCAAAATCTGCGCCGTCGACTGTGGTGGTCTGCATACAGTTTAGATCGTCTCATTGCCCCTTGCTTAGGTCGACCGTTATCCATCCCCGATGAGGTTGTGACTACCCCATTTCCAGACATTGAAGATGGCCACTTCATCACCGAAGATGCGTTTCTAAGTGCCTTGGGTGGCTTAGCAAACCCCAACTACGCATCTCATCATCAATTCAAATTGCGACGTTTACAGTCCGAGATTCACCGTACCATTCAGTCCCAACACGCTCTACGTGTCACAGCGAGTCAATCTTTGGCACAAAATTCAAATGCAGTCCTTGGGCTCAGACAATCTGGCGACTTTGTATCCTGGCGAAGGAATATGACTGACAGATTAGACGAGTGGAAGTGGTCTATTCCGCATTCCTCTGAGACTGGTCTTTCTTCATGTGACCTCCTCATGGAGCTTGGGTATTGGCAGACCATCATCACGCTTTACCGCGAGAGCATCCGAATTCCTGAACAGCTAGTTGGAATGTCGTCTATCCTCGAATTCAAGGAACAAGTCATGGGCCAAACTCCTGAAGATCTCGAGGTGGTTTACATAAGAATTTTTGAGGCCTGTCAAAAAACAATTCGGATCTACCGTGTGCTAAAGTGTAGCAAACTGATCAACCTTGTACATTTCGTGGAAGACGGTATCTTTGTTGCGGGTTAGTTGAAAGCCATTGTTAAGCTTAATCCTTGCTAACTGAGAAAAAGGAGCTCTCTTCTTGTGCACGATCTGGGGTTCCGAAAATATTCGGCGCAGCTTGGTTAGTGTATCCGATTCGCCCGCATACCAAATCTACCCCCAATGGATGAAGTGTTTAAATCTGACTTGGTAAATTAACTCCCATAGAGCTTTCAACACATTGACAGTATGGTCTTGATGGTAATCGCTGTCCTCGATAATTTATCAAATCAAAATCCCACGGCGAGGATATCTACAGCTGCTTTCAAGGAGATGGGCACCATGACAATTGAATACTTCTTGTCTACTAGTGACACGGACCATAGCCCCAGCTCGCGTTCTAATGAGATAGCCCACGTGTTGACTCCTGAAAACACAGCTCATGATACGTCATCGTCTTTCACCTCCGATCTTATTGACCACTGGAATCCTCAATTCCCTTCTTTCAATATTTCTGAGCAATTCTGCACGTCTGCAAGTGACATTGAAGTTGTTACACCAGATGGTTCTCCCAAAAAAGACATGTTAGCAGACCCCAGCCCATTACTACTCACTTTTGATACGCCTGACATCCTGTCACAAATTTCGACAGGCGTGCAAAATTTTGAAGACTTCTTCAAAATCCCAGCCTCGTCAGGTGAATTAAAGCGAGACTTCGAGTCAGCAATAGATGACTTTAATTTCTCACAAGACAATCCATGTGGAATTTCGAAGAAATTACAAGATGAGCAGTGTCCCAATCTTGAAACACCAAGCCCCGGGCTTACTGATGAGTCATCGAAAGGCTTCCGTTTTGGATGGACCGATTCTGGATCGCCATATAATTGAGGGACCAATGCTCTCTATAGCTACTTCAAATCGAAGCATATCATGTCTCTCGCGTGATGCATGCCAATTCTCAGACTTATCAATTAAACAGTCAAAACCTATAATATCCTCCTCTTCTATTCGTTCCTCTCCTATTCAAGATGTGTAGACGAAGCAAAAAGAGGGGAACGGAAGTCTACCCGTCTATTACTGGGGTAGACCGGACTTTAAAGCTTCAAATTCAACGTTTAATTTAGCGGTATTTAGCTATATTGTCCAAGTCCGTCAAATTATAGCCTGGTATGCTGGGAATTTCTCCACGTACCCCCCAAATTAGTCTTGTACACCTTAACCCATATGCAGGAACATACCCATGGCTGCGAATTCAGTGCTTCCCTATAATATCCACCTTTCAAATGTTCGTATTCCGCCACATATGTTTACATCTATTTATGCATTCGATATACTCGTATAGTACACGGTTCTCCTCTTCACTTTCTTCGCAACTTCTCTTCCTCTCTTCGCGTATTCGTCTCTTCTCCTCTTTACCTTCGTCACTATGGATTTTGTTCGAAAACTTGCGACCCCTCGATCTGGCTCACGTCCTTCTCGAAGTGAGAGAGGACGTGCTGAGTTACCACCGCGTTCACCAAGAGGAAGCCCTGAGCGTCGGGGTCTTTTTGGTGACCAACCGGGCCTGATCGCCCATCTTCCAGACTCACAACGGCTGGATTCAGACCTGCAAGATCTTAACCATCCTCCCTCTCCTCCTTGATATTTAATACTTATAAATCGAAAAGATCAGTCGCACAACATGGTTACCGAACAGTTGGTCACACCACTGAAATTCCAATTGCGGAAAGTGGTACCGATGAGCGGCAACCGGGGCCTTCGGCCCACTGGGCCATTCGTCTTCCTTGGACAGTCGCAAGGAAGGCCAATCGCATTAAGGGTGAGTATCTACGAACCCTGATGCAAATGCTGCTGCGGCGAGAGCTTCTTTCGCGCCCTGAAAGAAACACTGGTGGTTTGGAACGCCACAGTCAGATCGATAAGAAACTTGCCAACGCAGAATCTGTGATAATGCAGATCGTTGGAAGCTTAGCTCTTCTGGAATGTCTGCATTGCAAGGGGGGAAAGGCCCCTGGTCCCGATGTGTGGTGGTGAACCTTCCAGAGTTAGGCCTGGTGTCGTGTGCGAGTTGCCACTGGAATGGCAAGTTCCAGCGTTGCTCTTTTTATCGCCAAGCGAATAATCTCCCGTTGACTGGCCCAATTCCCGGTGGACATCAGCGTGGAGCTTCACAGTCATCGACGACTGGGGAAGCTTCCACTGGGGATGAAAGGCCTACCACTCAAAGTGGTGGTGCAAGCCATGAAACGGAAGATCTAAGCCGAGTCCATGCCCTCCATCGCGACTATGCAGCCTTGAAGGCTACTGGCACCATGGTGCTGGCTGGCATCGACCTGGCATCATCATCGCCAGATCTTGTCAACCGGGCGCAGGCCCACCTGGCAAGCTTTGAGCAGATGGATAGCACTATGCAGCGATTCTCTTGAATTCCGTTCCGTCCATTCTTTTGATCCCGTCTGTCCGTTCCTTTGACTCTTCTCTCTAGTATGTAGCTGCCATCACTGAAACATATGATGACCTCGATTGAATGAGAATATTACCAAAAACAGTTGACCTTCCAACGTAACACTAGTCCATTCTGCTTTAGGAGTGATAGGTCTGTTTTCTTCTGCTTTCTGTTTTGCTTTTTCGCTGTGACTCTCTTCTTTGCTCTTTACACATGTAGCTGTGGCTTTCTTCTGTGGCTTTCTTTTTTGCTCTTCCGCGTTGGAATAAATACGCTTGTTTCATTATGTGCAATAAACAAGATATTATCAAGACTCGAACAGCTCTTCATATGGGATAGATAAGGCCCATGGTAGAATGTGAAGAACTAGTATTGATGAAGATATATTCGATATCTCAGGGGGGCGTCAGGGCGACCCCAGGTCATCCTGAGGGAGCCCCAAGGCTGGGCAGGGCCAGACGGTTCCAGACGGGTCTAGACAGGGCCAGACAGGGCCAAGGACGAAAGTTCATGGTCGTCGAATATGATGAAGAGGAGGAATCGAGTGGCGAAGATTGAAGACGATGAAGAGGATTGTGCTGTTGAGGATTGATGTCGCTTAGGACCATACTTTACGGTTGTCTATCAGTAAGCCGTATCACTGAATATGGCGGAGCTTATAGTTAGAACCATACTGTACCGTAGCTATATGAATAGACAACCCTATCAATTCCGGATGAAAGGAAAATTATAATAGCTCAACATAGCATAGGTCTTGAGGCTCTAGAATTGAGCTACACAAATAATGGAGGCAGTACCAATTTACGCATTTCTCTTACGGCCATGAGAGAAATGGAGAAAATCAGCTTATATGATGGAAGATCAAAATGATCAGATAACCATTATCTCTTACTCAGTTCATGATTATTGATGTTCAACTCTTCTCTGCCCAGGAATCCAAGCCCTGACTCTATCCAAGTTGTTGCCCTCTGCTCTTTACTTGATTTATATGCAGCCCTCCAAGCCTCTCTATGTCGGTCTGACCGTTGAATGTGGCCAATGCGTCTTTAATCAAGATAGTAGGAAAACACCAGGCATGTGGGATCTTTCTCATCCTCCCGCCGAAGTACCCAGAAGCTTAGGATCTGCTCTAAGTTTCCAAGGCCATCCCGTGGAGCTGCTCCACGATGAGCTAGATTTGTACCAATTCCGGCGTTAGCTCGTTTACCACAACATAGCGCACTCCAGGAGTAGCATTATCCGTATATTTTATCGACTGGCTGCGTGTTCGAAACCCGATATCGATAGGTCAGGGCGTGGTAATGAATAAAATGACTTAGATCGGGCGCGTCCATCTCTTTCGCGTCCCCTGTGACGTTCGCTAGAGTTTTGAAGAGTTACTAGCTTGAAGTTGCGAAGAAAGCCCATAGTGGTGGGGAAATAGGATAAGAGAAGGCTAGGAAGAGAAGAAGGGAAGGGGTGGTTTTACAGCATTCATTTATTCAGGCCCCACTGGTGAAGTGAATATTTGTATGAAGGTTCAATTCGTGAATGACCTATCGGAGGACGTCCATATTGAATTTGAATAATCAACCCGTCTTGACCGGTTCTATAATTAACCGAGGCCCCATTTTAGTCTGTCTATGGAACCGAACTGCGGGTGGCGCCAAATATCCATTATCTGCCAAGGGAATGCAGAAAGTAAGCAATTCATGGCTTAGGGGAAATGCTTGTAAGTCAGATATCGTTGCGGTCGGACGTGTTGTTTGCCCCAGTTTCAACGTCCTTCAAACTCTACTGTACTTCCCCTCATATTCCCATCAATTTGCAGGATTCCATTAGACCACTTCACCTTGTGACACGGACCTTAAGATGCAATCGGTATCAGGCGGGAATTGGGTTGGGTGATTGACGCCCCACTTGTCCCCGCTTGAAATGGCAAGGATTCCCGGCATGATAGAGCCACCTCGTCGGGTCTACTGCTGACCAGTGACCCGGGTCTCAATCTCGAAGAATGTTAGCGCGACTCGTCTTACGAATCACTCGTACTTTGCTCAGTGTCTGTTTTGAGTCGGTGCGCCACTAAGCCTATGTTGTCTGGCTTTCCACTCTCCGCCAAAGGGATGATTTCCTCGCTTACGGTACCTGGATCTGACGATTTCGAGATCAGCACTCGGGGTTTTTGCAGATCGCCTATTCTTACATTCTAGAAGAATGGGAACGTACATCCCCTCTGTTTCCGCCAATTTTGCTTGTTGAAAGCTTGGCTTGTTCAACTTCCCGACTTTAGCCTGTGCGCCACAGTAGTATCGCAACAGTGTCCCTTATCGCAAGTCATTGCAGCCCTCCTAAATGAATTGGTCGATCACTTCCTTGTTTGCACTGGCTCAGATGAACAAGGTCATACTCTCGTATACAGTCCCATGTCTAGCCTTCTAGATCCGGGTGCTAAAAACAAGAAAGCATGCCTTATCGCAAGCCCAGTGCCCGTCGGAAATCCGTATCTCTGCAGGACCCGTGCAAATGCGGGAAGGAGTCGGTGGCGTTTGGAGAGGGGCTTATGGCTGATTTGAAGTCTTGACGAATGTGGGGATCGAGTATCTTCAGAGTAATATGCCGAGACATCCCCCAGGTGCCAACGCACGGAACCACCCGTTCCGGATTGGCTGCGCTGTGCAATATGTATTGCCTGCATGCGCTAGGGATATATTGCCTGGTTTCGTCAACCAATCCGAGGTCAACTGTGCCTTGTACCTGATAGGGAAATCATCCTATCATGTCGTCCACGCGATTTCAGTCCACGGCCCCTTTTGCCCCCTTTTGTCCATTTGATCAGGAAAACAGGAAAACGTTGATTCAGTGGCCGCCAAGAAACTCTCTATTGCTCAGATGGCACCCTCTAGCACAATTGATCAACACTTCTGGGGTTGATAAGGGATCGGTGTCGAACCGAAATGGAAGCTGGTTAGCGTGATCTTCACGGATAACCCCATGTGAGCCGTGCACATTCTTCATCAATCTTTGCAGAAGTACCCAAACCACTTCGCGCGAACTAGTTCGACTAATCCATCGGTCTCCGACGGCGTCTGATATTGGCCGGCTAGTCGTGAGTCTGCTGCTTCGGGTCAGCCTATGGCCATCCACTATGGACGATGATGTTGCATCGAGATGAAGTCTCATGGCGTGGAACTAAGGATGGAATCCCATCGGAACTCCTCCTTTCGCCATCACCGGCATCTGTCACGGAATTGAAGATAGATAAAGGAAAGTTATAAAAGCCCAGTGCTCGCTGCTCGATTTTGCTTCTTCATCACACAGCTTTCTCATCTTCCACTCCAGTCTCCAACGATCAGTTCGAGTCCAGTTCTCTTCACGAACAACTCACCTCCATCATGAAGTTCTCTACCGCAGTCTTGGGCAGCGCCCTCCTCGCCAGCGCCTTCGCTGCTCCCTTGACCTCCAAGCGTCAGGCTCGCCGTGCCTCACGCCAGCGCCAGAGCAACCCGCCTTTCAAGGCCGGCACTACCGAGGTCGTGACTCTCAAGAACACTACTGAGGTCGAGTACAGCTCTAACTGGGCTGGTGCCGTCCTCATCGGTACTGGCTACACTGCCGTCACTGCTGAGTTCACCGTCCCCACCCCCAGTGTTCCCAGCGGTGGCTCCAGCAACGAGCAGTACTGCGCCTCCGCCTGGGTCGGTATTGATGGCGATACCTGCGACACTGCCATCCTGCAGACCGGTGTCGACTTCTGTATCCAGGGAAGCACCGTCTCGTACGATGCTTGGTACGAGTGGTACCCCGACTATGCCTACGACTTTGACCTCACCATCGCCTCTGGCGATGTCATCAAGGTCACTGTGGATGCCACCTCCAAGACTGCCGGTACCGCTACTGTTGACAACGTCACCACCGGCAAGTCTGTCACCCACACCTTCTCTGGTGGCGTTGATGGCGACCTTTGCGAGTACAATGCCGAGTGGATTGTCGAGGACTTCGAGGAGGATGACGAGCTCGTTCCCTTCGCCGACTTCGGCACTGTTACCTTCTCCAGCGCTTCTGCCACAGATGGCAGCAAGAGCGTCGGTCCTTCCGGTGCCACTATCATCGACATTGAGAGCGACAGCGGTACCGTCCTGACCTCTGTCACTACCTCCTCCAGCAGTGTCGTCGTCAAGTACGTTTAAGTGGACAATGTCAGTATTCAATCTACTCTTAGACGTAGATATCTGAATGGTTGGTGAGATCGAGATCGCAAAGAGCTGTTGTGTTGGAGACTGATAAAAGTGCATTCTTTTGGAACCTGAGGAACATGCATCAAGCTTTTCATTATTGTCATTTCAATGTTTTTTATTGGCAATTTCATGTATGCTTCATATATTTGGTCAAGATATGTCATTTACCTTTTGCTTTGAAGCTGTTTCAATTGTATTCACGTAGAATACCCGGACAACTTTAGCCTTTGAATGGCATTGTGAGGATCCTCGTACGTAATGGACGATGGACTTGGAAAGCATGGTTTCGTGATCACTGGTAGTGACTTGATCGTGTCCTTGGCTGGGGGTTTAAAATCAGTTGAATCCCATTTATTATGAGACTTTCCACTTGTCCCTGTTCACTCAAGATCAGTTTCTCACCTTCGCCTTGGACGTAACATTGCAACATGGGAGTGCCTGTTATACTCTGGAGGCCCCTGCTTCGGGAGGTACAACTTCTTCGGCCCGATAGAGGCCCTTCTTTGTCGGAGCATCTCTCATACAACTTGACTGAATCCATGTATCCTTTGACTGGAAAGTATTTTCATGACTTTTATTCCATTTTGTGCCCTGAATTTATGCGTTGACTATCGAGCCTACCATAGAACATATTCCTCGCTTACCATACATCTGTCCATAATCACCACATGACAAATATTCTGAGTGCGTTGGGGGCTTATATTTCTTCTACTTGGTATGGTATGGTCAACAACTTTAATGGACAGAGTTAAGCCCTAGTATATTCTCCCACAAATTCTGGGTCAAATATACCAAATCATATAGCTTTACAGTTAAACAGGATCAAGACCCACCTGAGCAGGTATTTTGGATAAATGATTCGTACCTTTTACTTGTGCTTCGATTTAGAATAAAATTACCCGCTTCTCCCTCTATTAAATCCAAGCACTGAAGTCCCGGACAGATATAAGAGCACATGCCAACACCGAACCAGTACAAAAGACCCCGACGATTAAGCTTCCACGAGAAGCACATTCGAGCTAAACCCCCCGCGATCCGCCCCACTCAGATCCTGCAATTGGGATGCAGTAACATCAACTAACGGCTTCCACCAAAAGGCCATCCAGATGCCTCGGACACGAACAGAGTATTCGTGGCCCATTTGAAATTCTAAACCGGTTAGGATGATTGAGCACGTCATTGTTTCGCCGGCATTGATTTCTACCAGGTCATCCAGCGATGCGGGAAGTTTACGTGATATCTTGACGGTGTCGGCTGCCAGCTTGCATCCGATTGTTGTATCACAGACTTCGAATATATTGAGAGTTGATGCGCGTGGATCGAGTGGGGAGTTCCATTTAAGGAGGGTTATTGGTGTGGTTGTGGAGTTTTGGATTGATATTTGGAGGGGAAGGGTTGTTTGGTGGGTGAGAGGTTGGAGTTGGAGTTTGGTCGAGAGGGTTATATTGAGGGTAGATATAGAGTTCATCATTCAATTTTGGATTTTGTAGGGATATGAGGGTTTCAGGGGTGATTTTCTTGAAGTATTCTATACAATGAATCAAACTGGGGTATTAGGGCTGACCCGGAAGAGCTTCCACACATGATATATGTCATATTCCTACTTAAGGCTGTGTTGATTCGACCAAGTTAGTTGCAAACCATTCGATATGTGTAACAAGAATGCAAACTCGCCGTTTACCCTTCGTGCAACCCCGTCCTCGGCATTGTACTTGGGGTATGATGTCAACCAGCAGCACAAATGCAGGGAAACAAAACCCAGGTCACGCTGGATCAAATCTTGTGGCTGCAAAAAAAACTTTCATGCATTGAAGCTGGTACTTAATCTCATATGCACTTTACACCTTTCATTTTTTGTAGTATGGTACTGGTTTTTAATCTTGGTACGGACCTTTTCTTACTTTCTGATCTTAAAGATCAAATATATTCAGCTTGGCTTTACAATGCATTCCAACTCTATCTGGTATTGTCTGCTCCCATTCCGTTTCGTTATATTTCAGTTCTAGAATTAGACACGGGCCGTTCTCCGGGGTCTTTTAAATGTCCCACAATCACAAAGTGACACTGATATCCGGGTACCCGATGAAACGAAGCACCATTGAGCCAAGAATGACGAGCGATCTCATACTCATAACACTATCTCGGGATAATCTACAGCACATCAGAGGATCTACAACGCAGCAAACTATCTACGAGAGCCAGTACCACCTTCTTCGCTCGGCTACCCTCCTAATGATCACTATGCGTGACAAGCAACCAAGGTTCTTCCTCAGCGGAGCATATTGAACGATAGATGGGAAATACCGTTATCTATAAAAGCGCGCGCAGCCCGTAAAATCCGGAACTTGGGAATTTCATAATACTTCCTGGGATCCAATTGCAACCCTTGTGGTATCAGCCAGAGTTCTTCTTCCATTATGCATCTGACTGGGCTCTTTTCGGCGGTTCTGATCCTCGCACATCATGTGTGGACTCTGCCAACTGAGCCTAACGGGCAATCAGTTCTGGATGTCACGTTGACACAAGTGGACAATACCCGGATTAAAGCTGTGGTCAAGAATGTCGGTCAAGAGGAAGTGACTTTTATGCATCTGAACTTCTTTCGCGATAGTGCGCCAGTGAAGAAGGTTACCGTTTATCAGAATAGTATGGACCCTCATTCCTGATCAGTGATGCTTGGAACTCAGTCTCCAGATAGATACCGAGGTTATCTTTGAAGGTATCAAGAGGCGCATGAAGCTCCAGGGGCTGACCGCGGATGCACTCACCACGCTGGGTGTTGGAAAGACGGTAGAAGATGAATTCGACATTGCTGCAACCACTGACATGTCTCGCGGGGGTTCGGTGATGATTTATTCCAAAGGGTTTGTTCCTCTGGTGCTCGATGGAGATGTCTCCGGTTGTGTTTCATACCGCTCTAATCGCCTCGAGATTGAGGTGGATGCCGTCAAAGCGTCCCAGATTACCAAGGCCATCCAGACTCTCGGTCGCCGCACCCAGCTCAGCTGCAACAACAGTACTTTGAGTGAGGAGCTCTCAGAAGCCCTGCGTAAAACGGCTTCCCTAGCTGCAGCCGCAGCAATTGCTGCTCGGCTTGGTTCCGCATCCAAATTTCAGGAGTACTTCAAGACCACAGACCAGTCGGTGCGAGAAGTGGTCGCAGCTCGGCTTGACGCAGTCGCAAAGGAGGCCAGTATGACGACATCTGGGGCCACCACTTACTACTGCACCGACCCGTATGGGTATTGTGAGACCAACGTGCTGGCATACACGATTCCATCCCGAAACGAGATCGCAAACTGTGGAATTTACTACTCTTATTTGCCGGAACTGTCGAGGGATTGCCATTATCAGGATCGTGCAACCACCAGTCTGCACGAGTTCACCCATGCTCCAGGGGTTTATAGTCCGGGAACGGAGGACCTGGGATATGGATATTCAGCATCCACCGCTTTACAGAGCCGTGAGGCTGTAATGAATGCCGATACATACGCCTTATATTCGAACGGTGAGTTGCCAACCCTTTTGACCCCCATGCTAAGATCAAGCACTTGAGACTGATGATGACACAGCAATTTATCTGAATTGTTAAATCTTTTGCGAAACCTTGGAGTGAGATGAGGTCGTTTCATATCAATCGGAACCTAATTGTATACGAAATCGCAGTCTACGGTCGTAGCTAATCTTTGCAAAGGGTGATATATGTTTTGCAGTCGATATGCGATTTCAGTAGACGGTCGTGTGTTTGAGCTGACAATCATGGAGTGCTGAAGGTCTCAACTGTTGATTTTCTTGTCCCGCGATCATGTAGAGCAGGTCGAATTATCGACACAATGAATGGGAAAAAAACTGTACTCCATAAGGTATGGTCTGTGCAATATGTAAGAGAGTAGCACTATCATCCGAGCATATACTTTTCATCATTTCCGGTCCAGAATATACATCCAATGGAACACGTCCGGGGTATAAGCGGCCGATGACGTAAGGCCCGCGGGCGCTTTCAATGGTGTCCGAGAGCGAAGGGTCCAATATTTATCGAGAACGGATGCACTTCCAAACCGAAAAGCTGAATATGACATGACTATCCAAGTTGTACCTTTCTGCGTCAATGGCACGAGATGGAGACCCAGCAGTTCGACAGGAGACAGATTGATGGAGGACTGAGTCGATAGCAGCTCCTGAACAGCAGGACAGAGTTGTGAAATATCATCTGTAGACGCGAAATGCCGGTCGGCCGAGGTTGCAATGGCGTCGCTAGTGCTTTTGTCGAAAATCACGTCGAACGGCGCGAAAGGTAAAAGGTCCGAAACGTCGCTCCAAGACAGCAGATCGGCCCGGTGCCAATGCATCGCCTCTGACGGAGCTCTTTGGCTTTCATATTGTTGCCCAAGACGAACAGCTTCTCCGGAAAAGTCAACATTCTGTAAAATCACAATCACCAGTGAGTGGAAATAGGCTATGTAATATATGCATTTTGTTACACTTACAACGATGCCATTACCCGTCCAGTTGCGCTCCACGCAGGCGTCTCGCAGTTTTAGGCCTAATTTGGAAACGCCTGGTCCCAAATGCAAGACGCGTGGTCGGCTTACCGCAACGCCTGAACGGCTCTCTAGGTCAGCCACAACCGCATCGATAAGTGCCTCGCCAGAATTCAGCCATTCCCCTACATCGCGACCGGTCGCAAATCGGTCATCCCAGAAGTCTGGGTTATCGTAATCTGGGGCACCAGTAACTTTATGCAGTTTAACCGTTGACATTGTCGTGCCCGAAGAAAGAAAAGTTTGAATGCAAGATAGCGACCACGCGACTACACTGGTCATGTGACCTCTCAACGAAATTGAAGCATTTGAACATTGAACTATTCTCGTTTTCCTTGAAAATTTGAAATACTTGAATACAATGAAATACTTGGATACAATGATCTCCACGTGCATCAATTTTTCCTATTTAAGAGTTTGACTTGAATATTTCTATTTAGCTGCACTTCTGGCAACCAAGGTTGAAACCTTAGAACATTCGAAGTCCAAATGTGGCTGAAGCTAAGCTCCACTGCCCAGAAGCTAACAGGAATATATATCGTCAACTCCGATTTAGCCGATCAAAAACATTTGAACTGTGGAAGCACTTGAGGTTTTCAGACATAGTTCTTCATCTATGTTCTCAATAACATTTAGTAGCACAGTTATCGTTTCCAATTAATTGTTCTGTGGTTCCATGTCTCCACCAGCCTCAACAATTGAAGGTAATTGATGCTCGAAAATTGGTTTTGACAACTGGAGATGTCAGGAGTCCGCAATTGAACATGCAATTTCCAATAATATATTGTGTAATATCCAAGGAGCATAGCATACGTTCAATGTTAGCGGCCACGAGTGACCCCTGACTTGTATGATTCGTCTGCGTACGCATCTAAGGCCCCCTATCTATCCCCAACCCCACTTTCAATGTTCACTCCCGCTCATCGGAACAAATTCGGTAGAGCATTCGAAGGAAGGGAAAATTCGAAATACCGGCCTTATAACTGCATGGCGCCTAGTGGAGCAAAATTAGACCTAAATGTCCATCATTGCTTGTTTCAGGTCCCCTCCGTTGGCATCATTGTCGAATCCAATCAACCGTTAGATATTGATGGGTCCCACTGCAGTTCCCCAAATGACATGCAATGTGGGTAGAGTGATCCTCTTCAACCCCTGGTTTCTAATGGAAATTTCCCAGAGATGAGATGAATCACGAAAAGGAGGCACTCGGTGGTCAAGAACTATAAGAACGGGTAGGTCTCTCTGGTAATGGTCATGTCATTCTCTACCTTCACTCTCATTAATTATTCTGTTGACCGGAATCCGCCATTCTTTTAACCTTCCATTTCTCTTCTCGTTATCAACTTCTGCTGAGCAGAACTCCACAAATATGCCTTCTATCTCGCACTTGTTGTGTGCCGGCCTAGCTGCCACTCTTGCCATTGCGGCCCCGACCCCTTCAAAAGTGTCAGACGTCGTCAAGAGGTCCTCATCTACTTGCACCTTCACCGATGCCGCAAGTGCCACGGAGAGCAAGTCGGACTGTTCCAAAATCATCCTCAGCAACATTGAGGTCCCTGCTGGCAAGACTTTGGCGTTGACCGACCTGAACGATGGGACTGAGGTAAGATCGCTCGTGCTCCCAATCCACAGCCATGCTAAGTGGTATAGGTCATCTTTGAAGGAACCACTACATTCGGTTACAAGGAATGGGATGGTCCCTTGATCAAGATCTCTGGATCAAGCATCACCGTCACGGCCGCCGACGATGCTGTGATTGACGGAGATGGTTCTCGTTGGTGGGACGGCGAAGGTACTAACGGTGGCAAGACCAAGCCCAAGTTCTTCTACGCGCACTCCCTGGATGACTCGACCATCTCGGGTCTAACCATCAAGAACACCCCCGTGCAGGCATTCAGCGTTCAGTCGGACAACCTCGTCATCAAAGATGTCACGATTGACAGCTCGGACGGCGACGACAACGGCGGCCACAATACCGATGGCTTCGATATCAGCGAATCCTCCTACATCACTATCACCGGAGCCGTGGTCAAGAACCAAGACGACTGCATTGCGATTAATTCGGGCGAGAACATCTATTTCTCGGGCGGTACCTGCTCTGGTGGACACGGTCTGTCCATTGGATCCGTTGGTGGCCGCGACGACAACACCGTGAAGAACGTCACTATCACCTCGTCAACTGTTAGCGACTCTGAGAACGGTATTCGTATCAAGACCGTTTACGACGCTACTGGCTCCGTGTCTGACGTGACTTTCTCCGATATCACCCTGTCCGGCATTACCGACTACGGCGTTGTTATCGAGCAGGACTATGAGAATGGCTCGCCGACCGGTGACCCATCCAACGGTGTCACTATCTCTGACCTGACTGTGAACGGCATCACTGGTTCCGTCGAGGATGACGCTGTCGAGGTGTACATCCTTTGCGGCGATGGCAGCTGCTCGGACTGGACCTGGAGCGACGTCGACCTTACCGGTGGAAGCACTAGTGATGACTGTGAGAACGTGCCCTCTGGGGCCTCGTGTTAGAGTTCTGCATGGTACTTTTGCGCTTGAATTGATGAAATTTGGTACTTCGGGTATTTTACCCGGGGAAATCAAACTGCAGCTAACCTTAAGAGGTGTCATCAATTCTTTCCTTCCCGTGAGCCGCGTGTGCAAATGCAAGGATGGTATCTGAAGCCTTGGAAACTGTGATCCACGTGCAATTGACATAGACCATAGACTATATCACTTTTAATATACTCCAAACACCAATCTTTTCCACATAGCCACGATAGTCGTTTGCCTTTCCTTTCTTTCCACAGGAAAGGCGGACAACCGCATCAGTCCGAATCCACCAATCTCAGCTGCGCCGTGCCACCTTGGCAAACCGCCACTTCAACATACGGTCGGGGTGGACCTCGGAACGGCTCGCATGGACCAACAATAAACAATTCAACGCACAAATATCCCATTCAAGGAAAGTGCAGTTGACGAATCAAGTAAATTCAACAAAATGAACAACCGGATCAACAGTAATAAACAGATATGCATGACAGTAGTCCCAAAAGGGCACTGGCGCAAAGTCGAGGAAGAGGTCCATGTCCTCGTTGGTGTCGGACAACTTTTCCATCAATATGATTGTCCAATGAACCTCATGGCTCATTTCCATTGGCATGGAAGAAATTATTCTATTTCCTCACGGATGCGGACCTTGCTTTCCTGTACCTACCAGTTTTGCTATGAAGATAAGTGGAGATTTTTGCGGGGATGTCAGAAGCCAAAAATCAGGAAAGCTGGGAAATCTGATCATTCCTCTTTTCCCTCATTCTTTGTCCCCGTAATAACATTTGAATGATATACACTTTATCTGGTGATGGCGGAAGACAATCAGACCATCTCGGTGGTAGGTTTGAAAGTTTATCGAGTTTCCGGTACACTAACTGGCACTAGGATACGAACATTTATCAGGCCGGTAGCGGCGGTTATCTCAATGACTGGCAATCGTATGATACCTACACGGTGTTTGGGAATGTTCTCTAAACATTTAGGGAAACTAGCTCGATCGGTTCATTGATTTCTCGAGGTTTAATGGAAAATGGTCGTCGGTAAGTAAACCGTATTGCTATAACGGGCGAAACTGACGAGAAATAGTTATCAAACACTCAGCAAGAAAGGATACTTGTACGATCAAATGACAAAAACATGACAATGTTTCTCACAAGGTGACAGGATGCCCTCGGATGAACAAATGTTCGATTCTTATGAAGCTGGGTATGCCAATTCATTCCGGAATCCCAATCCCGATTAATAATGATCGAAAAGACACCTTGTCGCACTCGTCTTAGAGTCAGACAAGGCAAACCCCCTATTCCGTTCACCTATCGGAGATAGGCCAGCGCATATCCTCGATCTTGGCACGGGCAAGGGTAACTGGGCAATGTGAGTAAAACGAGGCTATTCCGGATCGTTACTAATCCATACAGTGATGTCGCCGACATGTATCCCGAAAGTAAATCCACGTTAACGAGTTCAAGCACCGACACTGACAATTCTTAGCAACCGTTCGTGGTGTGGACCTGTTCCCACCCCCTGTAACCTGGATGCCCCCCAACTGCGTATTTGAAGTAGACAACGCCCTCGAAGAATGGACATGGCAACAACCATTCGATCTCGTCCACATGCGCATTATGATAGGATCATTCGATCCTAGTGAGTGGAACAAACTCTACAAGCGAATCTACGAGTATGCCACATCACCATAACCCATGACCCAAAAAAATTTCTAACCAAAAATAGCAACCTACGCCCCGGAGGCTGGATCGAACAACTCGAAGCCTGTCCCTGCATCGATAGCGATGACGAAAGTATACCCGCAGACAGCATTCTCCGAAGCTGGTTCCCGAACATGAAAGCATGCGGCACAGCAGCGGGTCGAGACGTAATGATCCTCGACACAATGGCGGATTCAATCCGCGCAGCCGGATTCGTCGAAGTACACGAGAAGCCTTACAAATGGCCGATCGGAGCATGGGCACGCGATCGCAGATTCAAGGAAGCTGGCATGATCAATTTCCAGCACTGGATGGGCGGGATGGAAGGGTGGTCTATGTGGCTCTTGACTCTTGACTAAATTCGGATCCCCATCGCCGTGGACGAAGGATGAGGTTCTTGTTTACGTTGCGAAGATGCGGGCTGAGCTGAAGAATCCGCATTATCACGGTTATCAGCGAGCGTAAGTTTAGGCTTGGTGATATTGCTGGGCGTGCTAACGGGTTTTCAGGCGACGAGTATGGGCGCGGAAGCCGTTTGAGGGTGAGCTTTCGACACCTGATTCGATGGCGCATTCATGAAAACCTACTATGCTGGAGAATCGGGAGATATAGTGTTGATCGGATATTGCTGCTGGATGACTACCTTGGAGTTGCTGAATTAAATGTTTGGTATGCCCTTTGACTGTACTGGAATTGCCCCGGATGCTTGTTTTCGTTGGAGGTTGTGTCAAATTGCTTTTACCAGAAAGTAATGTAGTTTGTGAAAGAAAGATAAACAGGATTTAGAGCCTCCAGTGGTAATGAATAGAGTTTGAAGCTTGTTAAGGATCCCTTGACTCACCTTGCAGCTTAATTCTGGTGTTTTCTAGTCCGATGATTGGTCCATCGCGAGGAATGCTCGATCCTTGACATCATCGCAAATCATCAAGATTCCAGTTCAGACAAAAACGTGTCTTTACAATCTTTTCATTTTCCTCTTAACATTTACGCAATTCGCGATGCCGGACACACGGAAGAAGATCGCCATCATCGGCGCTGGCGCTGCAGGGATGGTATGTGCTCAACACTGAATCAAGAACATAACCTAATATCGAAACAGTCATGTGCGGCCAAATTAGCAAATCATACGGATAAATTCCAAGTCACGATGTTTGACACCGACTCACACACAGGTGGCCAAGCAACTTCAATCACGCTAGATGAGTCCGCCCACGGAGCAGGCTGGCTTAACGACGGAGTGCAAGGCGGTTCCGCCATTTTCCGTCACACGTTTCGCTTCTTTCACCAATACGGGTATGAACCTCAGCCAGTCCAACTGCAAGTCTCGTTTGGCAAAGGGGCAGACGATTTCTGGACGAATGTGTTTCCCAGTCCCCTTGTCGATCGCCATTCTCGGGAAATCAAAAAGTTAGGCAAGGTGCTAAAGTGCATTAAGTACATGATGCCAATCCTGGGAATTATGCCGGTGAAGGTGATCCTGCGCTTGTTTGGATTCAGTCGCGATTTCAGCAACAAGATGGTCTTGCCGCTGTTGGCGTTGTTTCTTGGAACGGGGAATCAGACTCCGAATGTGTCGAGCGTGTTGCTGGAGAGATTGTTTGATGATCCGCAGATGAGGTTGTGGAATTATGATCCAGACACCTTGCTGCCCAATTTGCCAGTGATGTATACATTCCCCAATCTTGGGGACTTTTACAGGGACTGGGCTTCGGATCTTCGATCTAAAGGGGTGGATATTCAATTGAATTCCGCTGTGAAGATAATAGAACGAAACAATAAAGCTGTTGTGTTGGAGGTACGAACAAAATCAGGTGATAATAGCGACTCATTCTCGGAACCATCGACTTTCACCTTTGATGAATTGGTTCTCTGTTGCCCAGCCGACGAAGCAAAGAAACTCCTCGATCAGCAGGCCACCTGGCGAGAGAAATGGGTATTGGGTGGTGTGAAATTCTTTAATGACATCACCATCACCCATTCAGATTCAGATTACTTTCAAAAGATCTTCGAGACGCAATATGATCCCACATTGTGTGCACAGCCGACAACCAAGGAAAGGAAAGACCAGATTTCATTTGCCGAGCAGCAACCTGCCTGTCAGAAGGATGGATGGCTAGGATACCGACCCATGTATTACACGCATTCATTTGCATCTGATCCAGACAAGATTGAAATGGGATTCGACTGCACAAACTACCAACACCAATTCCGTGATAATATAGGCGCAGGTAGTCCACCACGACCCCTGGACGAGCATGTCTTCCAGACTATCTTCTTGAATGACCAGCAGCAGGATCTCTGGACATGGAATGATATCGATCCGGCGAAGATCATTAGCCGGAAATGGTGGCACCAGTTTGGTCATCGGTGGCAACATTATCTTCGTGTTGTCCCTGGGATGATGTTCATTAACGGCAAGAATCGAACTCATTATGCCGGTAGCTGGACTATGGTTGTAAGTACATTAGTATCTTGAATATTTTCTATTCGCTAATGAATTTAGAATATGCACGAAATTGCTTGCATCTCTGGTATTGCAGCTGCTCACCAGCTGGGTGCACCCTACGAGCCATTTGATGACTTTGCCGAAGATTTCTTTGCAAAGTATCTACTGGTTTGTCATGGAGCGCGTTATAAACGAGGAAAGGAGAAGCTAACTTGAATCATATATGGGGGACTCGTGTATAATATCTAGAGGACATATCGGAAACTCTCTATCTCATGGTCTGTCTTGTTGGAGAACTCATCCTGGAGCTCCTCTGCCTCGGTCAATTGTCTCGGAGATCCGTAAAGCCGATCACGACGACGGTTTTCCCAAACGTAAAACACGTAGAGGCAAATTAAAAAGAAGATACCCAAAACCAAGCCAGACATGGCTGCTTTTATACCAGTCTAAATTTGAATTAGTAAGATAACACAGAACATGAGATTCGAATCAATGACTCACGGGATACGCAGGCTTCTCAGAAGGAATGAAGAACTGAGGACCGACGATATTTCCAACACAGTATGCCACAAACATCATGGCGCTGACGGTACTCTTCTTCGTGAATCCAGCGACGTTTGAACTGATGAGACTCAGCGATAGAGGAATGTTGGCTGCGAACACTGCTCCGAGGGAGAGACCAGTGAGTCTGCCAGCACGGTTTTCATCATCCAGCTTCCAGATGAGAGCCATTCCAATAACGGAGACTGAACAGTTCAAAATCATCATCGGGATTCTGCTGGAGCGCACAAAAGTGGCAAACCCAGATGTAAGTAGAAGGAAGACGAGTTGGGCCGCTCCAATAGGCATTTGCATGATGAGAGCCTTGAGGTTGGAGAAACCAAACCCGGCAATGATAATAGACGAGAAACTGGTGATACCACCATTGCAGAGATTCACGCAAAGGGTGTATAGCACAAGACACCAAGTCTGTGGGTCTTTAATGGCCATTAGGACCTGGTTCCACCGGAACTTACCCACATCCATAACACCAGTCTTATTGGTAAGTGTTCGCTGTATAGCAATTGTTTTCTCGGTCGGGTTGAAGAACACCACCTTGGCTGGGGAATCCGGCAGGAAGGCTGCTAGAACGAATCCATAGGCAGATGTGACGGCACCTAGGATGAGGAATAGCAACTGCCAGTTATTAACAGTATTGTTCTTAATAAGACCAATGCCGTATGCGACCAGACCGCCGATGATTGATGCAATGGAGTTTCCAATGAACCAGGCTGCCTGTCTCGCGGGCTGTTCTTCTCTCTTGTAGAACATTCCTGTGATCATGGCAAATCCAGGAGCAATAGATGCTTCTCCGACTCCTAGGAAGAATCGGGCTGCCATTAGTCCACTAAATGAGGTACAGGCGGCGTGGCACATCAGAATTCCACCCCATATGAAAACGGCCAAACTCAGGTATTTTCCAAGCGGAAGTCGTACAATTAGGTAGGAGCTGGGCCAACTCCACACAAGGTATCCGAAGTAGAAGACGGCTGACGACCAGTTATATTCGGTGCCTTTGAGGTGCTGGATGAAGTGGTGGTTAGAAAACATTCAAAGAAACAGTGTGATTTAAAGAATGAATGCTTACCAGGTCCTCTGTTAGTCCAAATAGCGTTGCCTGACTAAGGGCCAACTTGTCCATATATTGAAGCATGTAACAGAATCCCATGAGAGGGATGAGACTAGATCTCTGTTAGAACACATTCCTCGGTAAGTGAGATTGACACTTACAAAAGGTCAAGTTTCCAGAGAACCTTTCTTTCCATCTGTGGAGTGACATGTGTTTCCAGGACTTCACCAAAATCCACATCTTTGGCTGCAGGGTTGGATCGGACCTTCAATATATCGAGATCAACTGGCGGTGGTGGTTTGTTTGACATGTTGAATTTTGGTAACTAATGAGAATGATGAAAATTTGAAAAAATAATTGAGATGAGATGGAATTGTTTAAGTATCAAACTTTGGAATTTTCTGTGAATTGAATTGATTGAGAATGTGATCCCCAGGCGCTACCACAGTACATAAAGTTAACAAGGAAGCAGTGGCGAAATGGGGACCCCCTCTATGCCCAGCACATCGTATTCCACGGCCAATACTATGACACATAGAGCAGGCTCATACCCACCGACCTTGGCTATACCCTCGGTCATGCACCAGGAAGAGCAATTTGCGAGCAAGCGGCTTCAAATATCGGCAGTCATACGCGACTATAAAGGGTTTCGGAAAGGTAAATCAACAATGCTCATACGCTTCACAGAGATAGAGTTACTTCGCCCCGCTTAATGACAACTGTGTGTTCCTGGGCAAGTCACGGAGATTAGGGCCCATCGGCAGACTAGCCAATTAGTGTTGTCCCGTCGGCAATCAGCCCTCGGACCTCCTCCTATCGGTGACCCATTTACCTATCAGAAATTGATTAAAAGTCATGGAACCCCGCCGATCTACCATAATTCGAAAGCTGATAGTCAATTCATGTGTCATACTTTTTACCCCACAGATTGAAAACATGGGGAGACCCACCATCGCCGAAAGAGATCAAACGTAAACTCTCAAGCTCGCCAAAAACATCTTTGGATCGGCAAACGCCTTCCGATAGCTCCATTCGTCGGCAAAAACGTTATCCGATAAGTTTCCGATATCGATAGGGAAATGCTGTCACCCATGTGATGACCCCTCATTCTATTAAAACATTGGTAGCCCTCGAAATTGACAGAAAAATTTCTGCCAATTTTGAGCACAAGCATATCCCAATATGAGCGTCTCCGCCGTCCAGCTAGATAGCGTCCGAGCATCCGTAGATGCTGCATTGGAAACATTGCACGAATCCTTGCGAAAATTGAACCACGAGGTGAATTATTCGCTAATCTTCCCACGCGCCGTTCATTAACTCAAACTTATCGCAGATCTGGTCGCATCCCGAACTCGCCTACCAAGAGCACCATGCCCATGACACCATCTGCGACTTCCTCGAACAACAAGGTTTCACCGTTACTCGCCATGCATACGGATTGGACACTTCATTCGAAGCCCTCAGCGGATCGGGCGGGCGTTTGATCAATTTCAACGCCGAGTACGACGCGCTCCCCGATATCGGTCACGCCTGCGGTCACAATCTTATCGCGACTGCCAGTATTGCCGCATTCCTCGCTTTATCGTTCGCATTGAAGAAATACGACATCCCGGGACGGACCCAGCTCCTAGGAACACCGGCCGAGGAAAACGGTGGTGGAAAGGCCAAGCTGATCGAGGCAGGGGCTTACAAGTCCGTGGATATTTCTCTTATGGCGTAAGTTTCTTCCACCGGAATGCTCGATACCTTCTCTAACTCCTCCAGTCATGGTGGACCTGAGAAAATGGACTCAGAGCCCGCGGGTGACTACGTCGGCATTGCCGGAACCCTCATGAACGCACGTAAGAACCTCCACTGCGAGTTTAAGGGTAAGAGTGCGCATGCTGGTGGGAATCCGTGGGCTGGTGTCAACGCCTTGGATGCGTTGGTCACTTCGTATAATAACGTGGCGGTGCTTCGTCAGCAACTCATGCCGGAGCAGCGTATCCATGTTGCTTTTACGGATGTGCCTAAGGTGGCCAATGTGATTCCAGCGTATACCAAGGCGTTCTGGCAGGTTCGAAGCCCGACATTGAAGGGACTTAACACCCTTGTGGCCAAAGTGCGCAACTGCATTGAGGCTGGTGCTTTGGCTACTGGGTGTGAAGCAACGATCACGGAGTGGGTCCCCTCTCCCTTGGCTAATTTCTGATTTAGAATGTGCTGACTGTCTTTTTTTCGCAGGGATGAGCTCTACACTGACGTGCGGTTGAATGACACACTCTGCGAGAGATATCAGGTCCACATGGGCTCATACGGTCGAAATGTGTTGAAGCGGTCTGAAAAGGTCATTACTGCATCATCGGATATTGGTATGTTTCTTTAGGGTGCTGTATATTTAAAGTGTGCGGAACTAATCCTTGAACAGGAAACGTTAGCTATGTTACACCTACTCTACACACAATGTTCGGCATTCCCACCAAGGACAACAGCTTCCCTCATCATCCCAATTTTGCAGCCGCGGCGGGTACTGATGAAGCCCACGCTGAGGCAATCATTGTTGGGAAATCATTAGCCTTGATCGGATATGATATGGTCAGCAATGATGAGCTATACGAGACGGCACGTCGACAATGGCAGGAGGAGATTGCGCGTGATGATTAATAGATTGAAGATGTATATTAAAACATTGAACTGATATTCATACCTTGGATACAATTATTACTTCAAGTGCTTATCACCCTCATCCTTGGAGGTGCTCAAGTCTTTACTCAAGCAATGTAAACGACTAGTGCAACTGCCGCTGTCAATCTTGTGTGATCTTAAACCTAATTATGTCATGCCTGACAGATCGGGTGTCAGGACCCACTTTCCCACGGCTTATCGGCTTGGCTCCAGGTTTCTCTCTCGATGATTCAACTCTCTCCCCTCCCCACTCAAGCCGATGTCTGTAGATTAATCCACTGGATCTAGCTAGAGGTGGGGGATCGTGTCTTCATGTCTGGAAGGAACGCGCCGCGCTCAAAGAGTGGTTAGTTATTCCCTCCACATCCGTTTCATTCCCTCCGAGATCGCGACTAATCCGACTCTGCTCCACTCAGGCTGCAGCACCTGTCGGCGGCGCAAGGTGAAATGCGGCGAAGAACGACCCGTCTGCAAGCGATGTCTGAATCTTCATCTCAGCTGTGAATGGGGCGTTCCCGTGAAGCGTGGCCGCAGTGCTCAAATTCGACATCTTCAGCCCGCCCAAACGGCCCCGGATCAGACGCTATGGCCGGCGTCGGAAGCTGGTGATGGGGTGGTGGACATTTCGCCCGACGCGCTCCTCGATGGCTTCTCACCAATATCATGGCCTGGCGATACAATACCGTTGGAGCCTCCACACGTAACATCTTTTTATCCGCCTGTCGCCCCCATCCGAATAACAACGCCCCTCTACCCCCCATTGGGCGGCAACGAGATCGCATGTGCGAACTCTCTCACACTCACCGAGCATGACCAAAAATACTTTCAATATTTCCCCTCCTCGTCCATTGTCCATTACTATATGAAAGGATGGGATTGGAGTAGCCTGGGTTATCTTTACCAAGGTCCGGCTGCTACGAACAAGGTCATCATGCGAATGATCCTGGCCTTGTCCGCCAGCGACATGTATCGCCATGGATTGGCGGTCAGATCGCCAGGTCGGCCGACTGCTGAAGATCATGGGCGTTTTCACTATAGTCTGGCCGTTAAGGAGTTCCGGCAACTCCTGGAGACCCCCCGGAGGCAAGTCTCCGTGGCCGAGCTCGAGATAATATTTGCCACCATGTTCCTCATGGTAGTGTACGAATGGCAATTTGGCAACTCGGTGCGCCATCTACAGCTTCATCTCCACGGAGTTCGGTCACTGCTGGAGTCTCACCCCCAGCTTTTCCGCATCAAGGACGTCAATGATGTGTTCTTGACTGCTGACGACGATCCGACATCCCTGGAGGATGCGGTCGCAGCAAAAGTTTCATTTATCCCAGAACAATTTCTTCTATGGATGCTGTAAGTTTTCCATACTTTACCCGCTCCGGCCCTCACTCACATGTAAAGGTATATCGACACTAGTTCCCGGCCCATGGGCCTGACGGAATCACTTTATGATTATGTCATGCAATCCAATAATCCCGCGTTACATCCAGATCATCTTCATCGATGTGCTCGTCTTTGGGGACGATGTTTCTGGGGCAAGCGATATCCAGACCAACAGGTTTTGGATGACATTGAAAATTATCGAGCTCTGGAGTTACTACATGCTGGTTTCACCTTACGCCACCGGACCTGGAAGGTGCTGGTAGACTCTGGGTCTGCTCCCGATACCGCCGAGTCACTTTTCCGTGAGATCATTTCCACGCGTGATGTATGCTTCAATTCAAAATCAAGTAAACACTTGCAACTAACAATGCTAGAAATATTCTGACCTGTTCATCACCGCCAAATTCGCCGGAGCCGTTTCCGCCCGACGCACACTCAACACAATATACATGGCTGTTTGTACATTTCATGCCCAAATCCTGGCTCACCGTCGGCTACTTTGCGTAGACAGTTTACCGGCAGCTATCCATCGGCAAGCCACAGCTGGAATCATAGATATTGCCCGCAAGCAGTACGCGGCCGATCCCCGACTACTACGACGTCTACACTGGTCTCTCCTGATGGCCGTTATCGAGACGGACGACGCTAACCAACAAGTATGGCTCCGACAACGCCTTTTCGAACTACGAGGCTTCCACTCAGAGTACGTTTGGGCCAACGAGATGGCCGATGAGGTCCTGGCTCGGCAGGACGTGAGCCAGGGCTGCTACGTGAATCTTGCCGAGCTACTGCTCCAGCGACTTCATTCGCCATGACGCCTGATGCTTTTGTATACTTAGCCGTAATGTCTATAGAACTATTAATGTGTGGCATTGAAAGTCACGATACATGATAAATGCGCATCCGCTTCAAATTCCTCAATCATGGACTATTCTCCAAGAAATACGCATCGTACGCGACCTCCCCCTTTGCCCGTGTCGCCCGTCCAACAATCACCCGATCATTCATCCACTTGTATTTATCGTGACCGGTCTCAATACGAACATGAAGATGGAACCAATACTGACTAGGATCAACCGGCCCACCCTCCATAAGCGCTTTAAGCACCTCAGGCGGCCCAGCCCGTGTTCCCTCCGTGCTAGCAAAGATCAGTCTATACGCATAGCCAGAACAAGCCAAAAATCACACTTACCGAATATAAATGAACGCTCCATCGTCGCTCTTAATCACATAATTCGTGTTCACATGAGTAGTCTGATCCTCTTCCACAATCCTGTCATACCATCAGCATCAACCGTTCCAATTGAAAATTAACCACATACATGAAATCCGCCCCTCCAGGAACAACCTCCCCCTTCAAATGCGGGCCACTAACCACCCCCGACATGATAGGCACACAACGACGCCGACCGTAGGGCCCATGTCCGATCTCCATGGGTGTATCAACCGCACATCGGAGAGTGAAGAGGTGGCTCAGTTTAGGCGGAGGTGAAATTGTGTCCATGGTTGGATATTGATATGAGGTGAGTTAGAAGGTAGATCTGATTTGATCTGCAGTTTGGGGTTGGGGGTTTAATTAACTAGTTGGAATTCTCCCCACACCCGGTGCTTTCCGATCCCACAATCCCACTAAGTAGTGGGTGAGTGGGTATTCGGGGATGTATGGATTACTTTAGTAGACTTTTAGATGGCTTTTATATGGGTCTGTGCTTTTTATTAAGTCCATCTTTGAGGATGGTTCAAATGGTACGGAGTATAGGACTTTTTATTCAAAAATTGTTGAATGATTGGGATTAATGTGAATAATGTTTCGAGATCTAGTTCAGCCGAAGAAATACCGAGTGTTGACATCATCTAAGCTTCATGTACTCATTGCTCCACAATTTTGCCGCTTATTCCGGTTCTACTTACTATCAAGTTTGATGCTTGACGCAATCTGACTTTGAGGTGACATTTCAACGTTGGAATGTCTTGAAATTGTATTCCTGTTTTGTCTTACTTGGTTTTGAAATGAATTAAGAACTTGAAAATTATGTAAAATATCCACATCAGGCTTATCTAAACATCAAGATGAAAGCCCCCGTTTCCAAGTCTTCAAAACATCAGAAAAAAGGAGAGTCTGAGGATTATCAGGCCCTAAAACTCTTGTCTGTCTAGCGACGCAGTCTTCAAGTATATCGACAGCATCGGACATTCGGCCTAGAGACAACCAGGTGGAAGCGAGATGGTGCATACTTGTGAGAGTATCAGGGTGGTTATCCCCGAGATTCTTCTTCCGGATTTCCAAAGTTTGCGTCTGAATCTTCTCGGCCTCCTCGTGTCGACCTCGACGGTTATATATCCACCCAAGGTCGTTCATATATGTCAGATGATCAGGATGGTCCTCTCCGAGCTTCGTCCTGCTCATCTCCACCACCTTTAGCTGGAGCTCCTCAGCCTCCTCATACCGGGCTTGATTCCGTAAATTCGACGCCAGGGAAGCCATGCTTCCTATCGTATAAGGATCGTCATCGCCAAGCCTCATCCTGCTCATGTTCACGACTTGCACCTGAATCTTCTCGGCCTCTTCGTATCGCTCTTGATACAAAAATTTCAAAGCAAGGTAAGACATGCTTTTTATCGTATCAGGATGGTCATCACCGAGCTTTTTGCGCCTTATCTTCATCGCATGTGACTCTAGCCTCTCGGCCTCCTCGTATCGCTTTTGGTCTGAGAAGATCAACGCGAGCTTGCTCATTTGGTTTAGTGTATCAGGATGCTCATAGCCGAGTGACTTTTTGCTCAGCTCCAACACCTGCACCCCGAAAGTCTCGGCCTCGTCAATCCGGCCCTTGGTATAGTATGCTGAGGATACCAGAGAAATACTATCAAGTGTCTTTTCATTCCCTTCGCCCAGTAATTTCATTCTCTCTTCCATTGCTTTCGTTGCCATCTCTATCATATCGGCGTCGTGACCGCTGGTCAACGCATAATATGCACATTTATGAAGCAGCGAAGCCCAAGCTTTCCGAGACTCCGGCGATAGTGACTCAGGTCCTTGTGACATTGCCAATTTGACATGTGGTAGGAGAGATCGACACTTCTCCCAATTCTCATACTCACCAGTCGGAAACTCATCGTAAAGATTCTGGACAGAATTCCCCTTCCATCTTTTTATGTTGCCGTGAGCTTCCAACCAAATTCGCGTGGCCAGTTGCACCAATCTATGCATCGTGATTACCATGCCATCCCCACTAAGAGATATGAATGAGTAATCTCTGAGTGTTGCAATGGAATCTTTGAAATCATCAATCATAGCAGATTCCGGGGTCTTAGTCTTATCCTGTTGCGTAGTCGACCTCGGGCGTGCTCTGGCGAGCTTTTTGGCCCGGTCTAGAAATCCTCTCATACGGCTTGGGCTTGGGCTTGGGCTCGGGCTTGGGTTGCAGCTGCTTTCGTCTCGAATCCGGAGAAGTTTCTCTCGAATTTCTTGTCGGTCGAAAAAACACATGAGAGAGAGCAAATCAGCTGCAGACGGTTTTGTCCGTCGAAGATGGTTAAATGAAATTTGCCATGTGACTAGGATAGAGTTGTTCGCTTCCCAATCCCGATATGCAAGATTGGCTTCTTTTTTAAGGAGTATCGTGGCATTGCGGTCACCCTTTCGGAAGTCCTCCAGGTATCGTGACACGGAATATAGCGGTCCGAGGTTTCTGATATAGCTTGCTGCCTGCACAATGGCCAGCGGCATACATTCGAGCTCATCAACTAGCTGTGCGCTGTCTTGACTTTCTTCAAGCTTTTTGTGAAGAAGCTCCAGTCCTTCAGACTTTTCCATTGGGTCAATTTCGATAAGATCTCTGTAGTCGACGATTTTCAAGGCAACATCTCTGGACCGGCTTGTGATGATGATATCTCCTTTTAGACTGCTAGGGAGGTATTGCAGCAGTGGCTTTGTCATGGTTTCCCCCGGACCCGTCGTTTGGCGCTTAACAAGGAGCTCATCGTCGTCAACGTTATCAAGGATGAGAACCCACTTTCCTTTCCTCTCATCGCGGAGCCAGTCTTCGATTAGCTCAAGTACGTTGGTGTTAGGATCCCGACGGTCAGGAATTTTGACCTGGTCAGCTATGTCTCGGAAGCTTTGCTCAAATCGAGCTGCGCTGCTTCCATGGACCCAGAAAACCCATGTGTCGGGTGATCTGGATCGTAGCCGATATGAGTACTCGATAGCAAGTTGCGATTTTCTTCGAAATATTAGCGACATGGATTGAGGACTTTTGCATTTAATACTCACCCGACACCACCAAGGCCGACAAGCGCTATTCTAGACCCTGCAGCTGAACTTTTCTCCTGGATCCGACTTAAAAGTTTGTCTCGGCTGACAAAATCTGCATCACGCTTGAACGGGACAGTTGATAGAGGAATTGGCGGTGTCTCCGGTCGCTCTGTTGTGGCAAGCAGCTATTAGCCAGTCGGCTTGGGCCTGCTCGTCTTTGAGGTCCTCAACCTTACCACGGTAATGTATTTCTGTCGTGAATGTGCCGTTGTTGATCCCTACTTGAGCCCCATGATTTATTCCGGAGTAATTTATCGCCGTCATGATGTAGACCACCCATTGACTTTAGCTCGAGTGAAATTTGGCTTGCTCAGCTGAAGGAGGGGCATGGGCATGTCTTGAATCTCACCATCAGGTGACTTAGCGAGTAAACATCCAGTCAGAATATGATTGGCTGCAAATCTACATTGATTTATGTTGCGAGTTTATTCAGGAGCACTCATGGAGGAGGAAGAATAGGTGAACGTAGGTAAAATCAAGGGAAAGTGCTACTATTCTCTTTCTGATTACCTGACAGACGGAAGAAAGATGACGAGGAATCAGGGGATATGTAGCCCAACTAGTCCCAATTTGGAGGACACTATCAAACGCCAGCCCTGAATGCCTCAGGCTCCAACCATCTTGGTCACGAATACAGAGCGTACATATAGTGGCTGGACAAAAGTATTTGCACCCCATCCCGGTAAATGTGGACCTGAGGGTGCACATACTTTTGTTTAGTCACTGTATCATGTCCGGGCTGTGTTGTTTTCTCTCCCACAGAGAAGACTTACATGTGCAACTCCCACTTTCCTCTACCCTAGGCTGAAACCCTTTTTACTACCTTACATGTCCCAGGGCGCCGTTCTAAGCAAAAGACCGAAGTCGAAGCGCATACTGTATAATGTCCCTGGCGCATGAGGTCTCCAATTTCCTGAGAGTGATGAGTCTGTGCGCAAGAAACGCGCCGAACGAATGCAGAAAAGCGCCGCTCTTGCAGGGCTTTTCGTGTCGGATGTGAATTCAATGCAAGCGAGATGAAGAATCCGAGGCTTGGGAAAAACCCTGATCTTGGGCTTACTACACTTGGCAGTAATTTATGTGGGGGACATTGTGATTGGTGTTGATTTGGTACGGGCTCACTCTACTCCAGGCACGGGCTTGATGATGGACTGAATTGACATTTGCATGATCGAGTGGCGCACACTCTTAGCCATCATATGCAGTTCATGCAATTCGAAATGATAACAATATTTCAGGCTACTATACGCACTCAAAACTGATATCTAGGTATTTTGGGTGTCACCTATTCGTGGATAGGCCAAAATTCACAAGCAATTTTTTGCAATATGTGCGATTTCGATCTATGCTTTCAAAATACTATCCAAATTATCTTTGGCGCGAGCCCCTTCTACAAACTTTAACACTGACATCTGAGGGTTCCTGAAACGTCCACGGATCCGTCGGCGTTGTCCTTCATTGAACTAGTCTCACCACGCTAATGCAGGTAACCCGGCCAAATATCCCTCAGGGTTCCATTTGCCGGCTTTAGCCTGCAGAACCGTGGATTGGTCACTTCGTCACGGATCCGCCCGACTCACTTTGTTCAGTATTGGTGGTGGCTTCCTGGAGATCCGGTGGCACTAACCCAGCAGGTACCCAGTACAGATCCATCGATTTAGCCGCCCGCCTGATCCGAACCAGAAATGGCAATCACAAGACTAAACATGCAGGGTTCATACTCATCTCAGCACGGAGCGTAGACCCCCACGGCCATCTCTGAAATGCGGGGAGATTGTCAGTCCCGCTGCAGAAATTGCCCTGAACTTGTCCGAAACACTGAACGAGATCTAGGAACTCCCTCCGTGTCCGCGGAGTGTTCATCAGTCTTCTTCTTTTGGAATAGTAGAACAGTGCGGAATGAACGGCCTTACGGACCGGGACGTCGTTGTCATGAAGCCGGCGCCAGGTTGATGCCTTATGAGAGAATATAAAATGAAGCCATACTCATCTGAAATTGCTCATCAAGTCCCTCAACAACTACAGTAGTCTACAACTTGGATCCCCTCAAAATGTCTGCTGCACTGTCTTACCGAATCTATAAGGGTGCTCTCCTCTTGACTGCCTTCTTGACCGCCGCTCAGGCACAGCAAGTTGGCACCTCAACCACTGAGACTCACCCATCATTGACCTGGTCGAAATGCACGAGCAGTGGAAGCTGCACCACGCAGAGTGGTTCAGTCGTCATCGATGCCAACTGGCGTTGGGTCCACAACGTTGGTGGCTATACTAACTGCTACACTGGCAATACCTGGGATGCGACGCTCTGCCCTGACGATGTTACCTGCGCGGCCAACTGCGCACTGGACGGTGCCACATACGAAGCAACCTATGGTGTCACTACCAGCGGCGATGCGCTTCGTTTGAACTTCGTCACTACTGCCTCGCAGAAGAATATTGGATCCCGTCTGTACCTGATGGAGGATGACACGACCTACCAGATGTTCGATCTGTTGAATCAGGAGTTCACGTTCGATGTTGACGTCTCGAACCTTCCCTGTGGATTGAACGGTGCCCTCTACTTCGTCGCTATGGACTCCGATGGTGGCATGGCTCGATTCCCTACGAACGCAGCTGGAGCCAAATACGGAACCGGTTACTGTGACTCTCAGTGCCCCAGAGACCTGAAGTTCATCGATGGTCAAGCCAACGTTGAGGGCTGGACTCCCTCTACAACTGATGTGAACTCGGGTATTGGTAACCACGGTTCCTGCTGCGCAGAGATGGATATCTGGGAAGCCAACTCGATCTCAAACGCGCTCACTCCTCACCCTTGTGACACTGCATCCCAGACTATGTGCGAGGAAGATGCTTGCGGTGGCACTTACAGTTCCGATCGCTACGGCGGCACTTGCGATCCTGATGGATGTGATTTCAACCCCTACCGCATGGGCAACACCTCATTCTTTGGTCCTGATAAGATCGTCGATACCTCGTCCGTCTTTACTGTAGTGACTCAATTCATCACAGATGACGGTACCTCCTCGGGTACCCTGAGTGAGATCAAGCGTTTCTACGTGCAGGACGGAGTTACTATCCCCAACTCCGTGTCCACCATCAGTGGTGTGAGCGGTAACTCTATCACCACGGACTTCTGCACGGCCCAGAAGACCGCCTTCGGTGATGAAGATGTTTTCGCTACCCACGGAGGCATGGCAGGTATGAGTGCCGGTCTTGCCGAAGGCATGGTTTTGGTCATGAGTCTCTGGGATGACCACAACTCCGACATGCTCTGGCTGGACAGTATCTACCCGACGAATGACACCTCAACTACCCCCGGTGCTGCCCGTGGTACCTGCGACATCTCATCTGGAGACCCGGCTACTATTGAGACCTCTGATGCAAGCGCCTATGTCATTTACTCGAATATCAAGGTTGGCCCTATTGGCTCCACCTTCTCCTCCGGCTCCAGCTCGGGCAGCTCTTCAAGCACTACTTCAAGCACTACTTCAAAGACCACGTCGACATCTACAAAGACTACTTCCACGTCCACCACATCCACCACTTCCACAAAGACCACTTCCACTTCGACCAAGACTAGTACCACGAGCACTAGCACCACCGGTGCTGCTCACTACGCGCAGTGCGGTGGAATCGGATGGACTGGCGCCACCACCTGTGTTAGTGGCTACACCTGCACTTACGAGAATGCCTACTATTCACAGTGCCTGTAGGCACCAATGACGAGCGAGGCTTGACATGACGAGAGGAAGATCTTGAAATTTGACACTTAGTGATTTTTGTTTTCTTTCTGTTTCTTCTTGATTATTGCTTTCCCTGTTCCCGAGGTCACTGCCAGTAGAGAATATTTTGCGAACTCAGATAATTTCCAGAACAATACATATCTATCTGAGTTAATTTCCGTTCAATTTCTTTAGATTTTCCATAAAAACCTCTGAAGGCTAGTGGTCACTTTTGGGCGTCCATATCCCGAGGTCTGCACGGGTGCTTAACGATCCCACTGCACCCCGCACTGTCAATGCAGGGAAAGTAAGCGCTAACGTCCATGTAACCTGGTGGGGGCGTTGATAGGTGGCGTAGGAATTCTCCGACTATTGTGGCGCTTCTCTGAAGGGTCAGGCTACTTTATCAATATATGCTAACTACCACGCGGAGAATGCTCCGACTAGTTTAAGCCATTTTCTCATTCTGCGCGGTCCTTTTGAACCTAACAACTCCGTACATGAAATAAGTATACAAAAGTAAATCTGAAGACGAAGTAATCTCAATATAGTGTTAAATACTGTTGCATATTTGTGAAACTATGCTAGGCCGACTTTGGGGCAATTCAACTTGAAATGGCAGTTTATATAAGAGCACTGCATTGTATGCTTTAGAGGGTTTAATTGGACGGCTTTATTATGAGTTTTTTCTTCCTTGGGACTTTTTGAATTTCAAGCTATGATTGGATTCTTGTAGAAGCATCAAGATTGGATTGTTCCTTGGGTGAGCATTGAAAATACCCTTGTCTCTCCATCGAGAGTGGCAACATACCCTATTTGAAACTTGCATGGCAAGGAGACTAGTCCCAATTTAGAGTCATCGAAAGCAAGTATCATGATTCAACGACGCCATTTCACAAGGTTGAACAAGACCCCGGAATTTATACGGTAATTACTATATCCAAATCTCTATCAACATCCAGCAAACTCTATCATTTCCACAGAAGCCCAAAATAGTAGCTCCCACCCCAGGCTCAAATTCATTGACCCTGAGCATTGACTACCGGGTTAATCATCACCCCTCCAGCTTCCACATCTGGTATAAAGCTCTGTCAAATCCGAATTAGGAGCCGGCTGAAGAATCCAGCCTATGAACTGTTGCATAGAGAGTACAAACGTCTTGCCTCTGAGATACAGTTTCCTCAGCCTAGTTGATCAATGGTTCATAAAGGGTTTGCCTGCCCCACTGTCCAAATGCCAAATCGCCTCTGTGGGGATGATGTAGTCTCCCACAGCGGCTCTTGACTGTCCCACAAAGCCCTCCAGCCATAAAAGGAGCCTAGTCCCCTGCGCTGAGAGAGAGCGGAGGCGAAAATACTCACGTTGCTTTCCCTCTGGTCGTCCCTGTTCAACCGAGCCCTGGAGGCACATTGAAAGTTTCCACGATTCCATCTCCTGTGGATATCTGGGTATAACAAGCCAGCAGTCTACACTAGCACAATCATTCATTAACCCGGAAGTGCGACATCATGCCATGTCCGGGTATCATCATCCTCCTAACTCACCCGCGAACAAACTAATATAACCAAGGAAGGCATCGCGGTACATTTCGGGATGGAAAAAATCATTATCGCGCGGCAGAGCTCAGGCACGATGTTTATGTTCTACCGGAATCAAAAACAGGTTACCGTCAGACCAATTTCCCGAAATTGAAGCTCAAGTGCCTACCCCGGCATCGTGGGGAACTCTCAGAACCGGCCGGGAATGGGCGCTGCCGAGCGGGGCTGGTTTGAGGTTAAATAATTATCCGCTTCCGCGGGGAAGTGCTTCTCCGGCAATCTCGACATGACGACAAGCCGTGTGAGACATTGAAAAGCGATGATCCGAGTATGGTCCCATGATCAATTTCGGTGAGGGATTTGGGTAAAGTGTTGACCTTGGAGACGACATTCAGGTCAGTCTTTGATTCAGTGGGATTTGGTAATTCAGTAAATTGGCCAAAAATGACATCATAATTTGATATTTCTGTAGGAAGTTGCACGCTAAATTCAACGAAGCTTCCATTTGCTATGGAATGTTCTTTGTGCAACTAGTTTCAACGACCGAAAATAAACGTCAGGGTCCATGGTCAAAATAAGCATTTATTGGGACTCTATGATTGGATCTCTAAGTGGATGCACAAGGGTTCGTACTTTGGATGCAGCCAGTTGACAGATCGGCACCATCGGCAGTCGATCGCCTAACGCTGTTAGTGACGCGAGAGTGGGGTGTCTAGATCTATATCCAAGTTGTGTGAGAGGCTGATGAAACTTACGGCTACCTTTAGGTTAAGCTTATTTGAAAAGTGAAAAGTATGATTGAATGATCATTTTAATCTCATTTGGATGTAAATGTAATACACGAGATTGAACATAAAGGACATGAGGATAATCGGTCGCTAAAATCACAAATGCAATGCCAGTGGGTTTTCTAATTCAGAAAGCTCCTACAGGGAGGACTTCTTCTGGCTGCGCTCGAAAGAGGACTTGGGAGGCTCAGAGTTGGGGTGGGGGTGGTGCTTCTTCAGGGCCATGGTGACGTTGTACTCCAGGTCGAGGGTGGCCTTGGGGTCGTCAGTCTTGGGCTTGAACTCAACAACGAGGTCATCCTTGACAGCGAAGACGGAGTCAATGTCGAGGTGAGGGTCGGTGCTGGGGTAGAGCTGGTTGATGACAGTGGCGTAGTCGGGGTGGGTGATCATCAAGTGGATGTGAGCGGGACGCATGGGGGAACGGTCCATGAGTCTGAGGAGGACACCGGCGGGACCGTCGGTGGGCAGGGAGTAGGCAGTGGGGTGGTAGCAGTACCAGTAGTACTCGCCCTTCTCGTTGGTGCGGAACTTGCCACGCAGGTTGTTCTCAGACTGCTCAGGATCCTGGAAGTCGTACAGAGCGTTGGCGGAAGCCTGCCAGATGTCGAGGACGGCGCCCTTGATGGGGGCACCAGTCTCCATGTCCTTCAGGACACCGTGCATGTAGGTGACCTGACCGTTGGGGAGGGGGTTCTGGATGATGCTGTCACCCAGCTCACGGAAGGGAGCGTTGGGAGACCAGAAGGGACCAAGGATAACGTTGGAGGTGGGGGAGAGACCCTGCTCAGTGACGATCTTGTTGGCGATCTCATCAACGAGGGACTCCAGACCAATCACATCACAAATACGGTGGCACTCGTTGCGAATGGGGGTGCTGATGGCACCGATGGTGTTGATGAACTCAACACCCATCATCCACTCAGCGGGAGTGAGCTCAACCTCACGAGCGAAGTCGTGGATGTGGCGGATGAGGGAACCCAAGATCTCGCGAGCACGAGGAGGGGTGTTAGGACCCATGGCATTAACGACATAGGGGGTGAAGTCGGGGTCCCAGCGAGGCGCGGCAGACATGATGGCGGTAGTATAAAAAGTGGATATAGAACCTTGTTGGTATAAAAAGATGAGGAATGGATGAAGAAGAAATAAAATCAGAGAGGATCGACCTCTTTATAAGTTTTTCTCTCAACCATGGGAACTTTCCCAAAGAAACTTACCCCGGATGACCATTTCGGCCCATTCCAGAGGTTCAACCCCGGACCGCACGGTCGGCAATGAACGGATGAGAAGAAAATGTACAAATCGGCAGCCACAGATTGCCAACTCCCGTTCTACCGGGATTAAGTTTTTCACAATGCCGGCTTGCCACATTCTACATCATCCGTGGTTTCTTTAACTCAATGATCATTGTAACCAATCAGACTATCTCATTCAATTCTAGGCAATCCGCTACGAGCGGTTATGTCTGGTGCCGCCCCTCGATGCCGGTTACTGCCCCGCACACTGGATAAGACTTCCTGTGGGCGCGTATATTCTGTATCCTTGACTCGGTAGCTACACATCGTATGATCCGTCCGGCTGTCTTCTCTCAGGCATCTGCCATTCTCACCAAACGTTCATTCTCTACAACTCCAATCACAACTATGAAGCATCACTTGATGGTCGGAACATGGGTCGCCCCTGGGCGTATCTACACTGTTCAATTCGACGATGAGGCTCTCACTTTGGAGCTGGTCAAGAAGACCGAAATCCCGGAGGCTGAGCCTATCTCATGGATGACCTTCTCTCACGACAAGAAGACTATCTATGGTGCTGCCATGAAGAAGTGGAACAGCTTCGCTGTGAACAGCCCCACCGATATTGTTCACCAGGTGTCGCACCCCGTCGCCGGTCACCGTATGTCCCGTCAACTCTTCAATTCCCAGTCAATTGGCCTTGAACTGGGCAATAGGCACTCTAGTACCTCTGGCTAACCCTCTTTAGCTCTTGCCCCCAGCGCCGACACCAACACCCGCGCCATTTTCGTTCTCGCCGCGCGCCAGGCCCCCTTCAACGTCTACGGAAACCCCTTCTACAAATATGCGGGGTACGGTAACGTCTTCTCCGTGAAGCCCGACGGAGCTCTGGATGTCAATGTCCAGAACTACGAGTACCAGGAGAACACCGGTATCCACGGCATGGTTTTCGACCCCACCGAGACCTACCTGTACTCGGCCGACCTGACTGCCAACAAGATCTGGACTCACAAGAAGGATGCTCAGACTGGTCAATTGGAGCTGGTCGACTGCCTGGAGGCTCCCGCTCCCGGTGACCACCCCCGTTGGGTTGAGATGCACCACACTGGCAAGTACTTGTACGTGCTGATGGAGGCTGGCAACCGTCTGGGTGTCTACGTGATTGATGAGCGCACCCACAAGCCCGTCTTCACCCACATTACCTACCCCTTGCTTCCTCCTGGTATGTCCCAAATCTGAAGATCCCGAGTCCAATTAGAATACTCATCTGTTTTATCTAGGTCTCCCTCCCCGCAACAAGTACCGCGGTGACGTGACCTTCACCACCAAGAGCGGCGAGTACCTGTTCGCTACCACCCGTTCCAACCACTTCGATGTGACTGGATACATCACTGCTTTCAAGCTCGGCCCCTCCGGTGAGATTGAGCGCCAGCTCTTCATCAACCCCACCTCTACTAGCGGTGGTCACTCCAACGCTGTTAGCCCTTGTGACTTCAGTGATGAGTGGGTCGCTATCTGTGATGACCAGCTTGGCTTCGTTGAGATGTACCGCTGGCGCGATGAGAAGCTTGCCCGTGTGGCGCGTGTAGACATTCCCGAGCAGGGCTTTGCCATGAACGCCATTTGGTATGATTAAATGATAAAAAGTGCAGTTAATATGTACATACAATCCAGACTATAGAATCTGGATATTTTATAATTGAACTATGAATCATAGACTTCTAGTAAAAATGATTGAGTTTGTAGACCCAAGTCACTTCGTACTCCGGACTCGCGGGGCAAGGAAAAAAAAAATATGGGGAAAATCGGCAAAGAACTCGGTTCTGCTTTGCTTTCTTCCGGGATGAGGGGCAACTGCCGATGACGATGGATTGGGACCAGATGGATTATTATTATCTCTGGCTTTCTCATTCTGACTCTGATTCATTCTATATCCAAAAAGTTCCTTGATTTAACCCCAAAATATACCCCGCCATCATGACTACCGGTCTTCTCTATGTGACTATGCAGCCTAAGGGCTCGCTGCCTGACACTCAATTCCACGACTGGTACAACACCGAGCATGGTCCTCTGCGTCTTCGTCTGCCCTTCTGCACTAATGGTTTCCGCTTCCGGGCCACCGATGGCGAGGCTCCTGAGTACGTGGCGCTGTACGATATCACCGACATGGACGAGTTGACCCGCAAGACCTACCTGGATCTCCGAACAGATCTTATTAAGACCGAGCGTGAGAAGAAGACCATGGCCCAGATTGACGTTGGCCGCAAGTTGTACGATCTGGTGGAGGAGCGGAGCCAGGACAACTACCGCCACTTGGAGGATCGCGCCGATAACGATCCCGAGACCCGCGGCAGCGTCATGATTGCTGTCACTACCGTCCTCGCCGACGCTGAGAAGGAGGCCGAGCACGACCGCTGGTACCGCGAGGAACACATCGACATGCTTGCCCGCGTGCCAGGATGGCGCCGCACTCGTCTCTTCCGTACTGCCGCCATTGACTCGGCTGCTCCCCGTGAGACCCTCGCTCTGCACGAGTACGATCCCGTCAACGGTCTGGGTGGTGAGGAGCACAAGGCCGCCATGAACACCCCATGGCGCGAGCGTCTCCAGGAGTCTGTGGTCTCCAAGTCCCGCCGCACTTACCAGTGGTACTACACCTTCGGCCCTGCTCCCCGTGAGCTCGCATCCCTTGCCAAGTCGGATGTGATCGGACCCTGGTCTTCCAACGATGGTCGCACTCGCACTTACCCCTCAACTACCCGCCCGGCTGTCGAGTCCTTCGTCACAACCAAGGACGGTGTTGAGATCCCCTACCGATTGGAGGGTAGCCTCGACCCCGAGGCCCCCGTCGTGGTTCTCAGCAACTCCATCCTGGTCAACTGGAACATCTGGGACCGCTTCGTGGATGCCTTCTTCGCTCGCAAGGAGAACCAGAAGTACCGTCTTGTCCGCTACCTTACCCGTGGCCGTCGTTCCGCTAGCGGTGAGCAGCCCGTGAACATCGATCTCCTCGCCTCTGACCTGAACACTCTCCTTGAGGCCCTGCGCGTCTCCCCCAAGGCTGCCCGCTTGATCGGTGTCAGCCTGGGTGGTGTGACCGTCCTCAACACTTCTCTGCTATTCCCCGAGCGTGTTGGCGCGTTCATCGCCTGTGACACCAACTCCTCTGCTCCGGAGTCCAACCGCAAGGCCTGGGGCGACCGTGTCGCTATCTGCGAGAAGGAGGGATCCGTGGACCCTGAGACCAAGGAGCCCATCGTCGGCGAGGAACTTGCTGAGGTCACCACCCGCCGCTGGTTCGTTCCCGAGTCTTACGAGACCCAGCCTGAGGTTCTGGCTCCTGTCAAGGAGGCCGTACGCACCAACAGCCTGAAGGGCTTTGCCCACAGCGTCCAGGCTCTGTGTGCCTACGACATCCGTGACCGCATGGCCAAGGCTACTGTTCCCGGTCTGTTTGTTGCTGGTTCTGGCGACGGTGTCCTGCCCCAGACTATGCAGAAGATGGCTGCCGATCTGAACGGTGGTGCTGAGCTGAAGATCATCGACCGTGCTGGCCACTTGCCCATGGTTGAGCAGCCCGAGGCCTTTGCCGATGTTGTTACTGAGTTCTTGAGCAAGATCGATGCTTAGATACATTATGAATTATATAAGGTTGATAGATTTGATTCCATATTGCAAGATTCCATAGCGAATGAGAAATGAAATGGTTGTTATGACGAAAGAAATTAAAGTGAAAAAAAATAAGAACCAAAATACCAAATAAGCAAAAGCACAAGCACAAGCATCATTTGAACGTCAAGTTCTATCCAGTGACTGTTGACCTGATCATCCTTTCCCAATCATTTGAAACGTTCGAGAAGCGCTCAGGAGTGGATGTCGTGTGCCCCGTGCGGTATCCGAGTCCCGCCAAGGACGCAAGTTCCCCTCCGCCTCTTCACTCCGCTGCTCCACGATCCCTCTTCAACATCTCTTCCACCATGACCGACAGCAAGGTCCCTCAGCCAGGACCGGCGAAATTGAAAAGCAATGCAGGCCCCGACCAGTGGCTGGAGGCCGCTAAGGACTGCAAATATTTATCAGAGGCCCACATGAAGCAGCTTTGCGAGATGGTCAAGGAGTATATGATGGAAGGTAAGGAGTCTCCCAAGGCAGCGCTCGGAACGTTGGGCTCGGTACTGATCATGCCCTACAGAATCCAATATTCAGCCCGTTTCTACTCCGGTTACCGTATGTGGCGACATTCACGGCCAATTCTATGATCTTCTTGAACTCTTCCGGGTTTCTGGTGGGATGCCTGATGGCACGGAGCCTGACGCTCCTAAATCTTCCCCCATAACCTCCGCCGATATCGAGCCTCCATCGGAGATTACAGATCCCAAGCTTCGGAAGAAGTTACGAGGCCCTAATAACAATGCCGTTGAGGATGACGAGGAGGAGTCGGAAGGCCCACGCAGTCAGTCAGAGAGCCAGGCATCCAATGATGTCCAGGTAAACCGGAACTTTGTCTTCCTGGGAGATTATGTGGACCGTGGATATTTCAGTTTGGAGACCTTGACCCTGCTATTGTGTTTGAAGGCCAAGTGAGTACTCTTGAATATGCCCCTCCTTCATAAGAGGAGACTAACCTTCGATGCGCTTCCCAGATATCCCGATCGAGTAACATTAGTGCGGGGAAATCACGAATCCCGCCAGATCACACAGGTGTACGGTTTTTACGAAGAGTGTTTCCAGAAATACGGCAGTGCCTCGGTATGGAAAGCATGTTGCCAGGTCTTCGACTTCATGACGCTGGGCGCCATCATCGACGGCAAAGTCCTATGCGTACACGGAGGATTGAGTCCAGAGATCCGCACCCTAGACCAAGTGCGAGTAGTCGCCCGTGCACAAGAAATCCCACACGAGGGCGCATTTTGCGATCTTGTCTGGTCCGATCCCGACGACGTGGAGACATGGGCGGTCAGTCCTCGTGGTGCAGGCTGGCTCTTTGGTGATCGCGTGGCGGACGAGTTCTGTCACGTTAACGATCTCTCCCTGATTGCCCGCGCGCACCAGCTGGTAAATGAGGGATATAAATACCATTTCGCCAACCAGAATGTGGTTACCGTGTGGAGTGCCCCGAACTACTGTTACCGATGTGGTAATCTCGCTTCAGTGTGTGAGATTGGAGAGGATCTCAAGCCGTCATTCAAGCTGTTTAGTGCTGTGAGCGATGATCAGCGACATGTGCCCAGCACACGGCCGGGCCGTAGCGAGTACTTCCTGTAACATGAGCAATTTGATTTGCACCGGCGCGGGCGTTTGGGTTTGCCGTTGGTTCTTCCGGGGATCGGAGCATTTACCATAATGATCTTAGAGACGAAATGAATGATATGTCCATACCCTTACACGGAATATAGATTCTTATGAAGAGCTGAAACTTAGAAGGTGGAGGTGGATGGTGGATGGTGTAAGTAAAGCTACCATTTCTTACCATTTCTCCCTGAAATTCTACAATTTGAGAGATAATATTAATAAATACCCCGGTGGCCGACTGGTCAGGCCTCTCACACCTGTAAGCAGTTTGCTTAGAATTGTCTATGATTTTAAGGAAGTTTACAAGGTTTCAGACCAGCTGACCAAATTTCCGAATCAATTGAAACCTGTTGATGTGATACAAATGCTATGATCTAATTGATGCTTTGGACGACTTTGGGGTGCAACATGGCAGTGATATATACATATGTTCGGAGTCGTGGAATAATTGAGATACACTCGGTGCCAGGCTACTCTAAATGAAAACCACTATTCGGGTCATATAAAATGAATATCCAACTGAGTATCACTCGAGTACTAAAGAGGAGTCATTCAAATACTCGTGGGATATTTCCCACATCCCAAACGGGTTGATATTACTTCTGAGGAGCTTTACAATGCTGACTACTTTAAGGGAACGCAGAAAGACAGTATATATAGCAAGTAATAGGGTTATTTGTCATCATGGGCGGCTGGCCTAATGGCAAGGCGCTTGATTTCGGTTCAAGAGATTGCAGGTTCGATCCCTGCGTCGCTCGCTATTCTTTTTTTCTTTTCTTTTTTTTCTTCCCCCCTTCCAGCCACCTACTTTCTGCTATAGATAAATAAATTCATTTACTCACACAATTACTCTCTATAATATATGCCGGAGATGGCTATTGCTACCTAGCTACCTAGACACATATACAAAGAATAAAAATACGGATTCCTAAAGAGTAAACAAACCGAATTGGCGGGGAAGAACTAATCCACCTTGACCTTAATCAACAACCCCACTCAGGAACAAAGCCATGGCATTCGCCTACACAGTCGCGTCCCATCTAGCATACTTCGATACCCCGTCAGCCGAATTCGCCGCAAGACGCCCGGAAATCGAATATTTGGGCGTCGGAGGATACATTTTCTCCCAAGATGCAGAGCTGACTGGATCCCACTCAACATCCCCACCGCGCATCCTGCTGCTGCAGCGAGCGCTAACCGACTCGATGCCTGGATTATGGGAAGGACCCGGGGGCGCACATGAGCCAGAGGAAGATAGAACTCTGCTAGATGGCGTTGTGCGTGAAGTTCTTGAGGAGACTGGACTGCATGTTTCGCGGTTTGTGGAGCTTGCCGGGGTGGATGGATGGACTCATCAGCAGCGAGATGGACGGTTTATTCGCATTGCCAAGTACTCGTTCATTGTCGAGGTTTATGAAGGCCGGCGTGAAGTATCTGGTGTGTCTGAGGTGGTTCCTCATGAGGAGATCTCTGTTGTTATGGAGGTTGGGGCGCATCAGGCGTATAAGTGGGCAGTTGAGGAAGAGGTGAAAGTTTCTCTTGAGACTGGTGTGGACAAATTGACGCCGCATCAAGGGCCCAATGTTCTTCGGGCGTTTGATATATTGAATAGAGGGCTGAAATAAGAATCATATAGATTTATCTGTCCATTGATTGTTCTACCAGGCTACATTGTTTGAGAGTCATCCTCTACTGGACTTGCGCCTTCCGCCTGCATCTTCAAGGCTACTTGGTCAACATCCCTCCACACACGTAACAGATTGCCACCGGCCACCTTGGCAGCATCCTCATCACTCAGTCCCCGGCGTAGAAGCTCTGCAATAAGATCTGGAAATTTCGACACATCTTCCAAACCCCGAGGTACTGTCGGAATACCATCAAAGTCACTACCAAGACCTACATGGTCAAACCCAGCGACTGTCCCGATATGCATAATATGATCCGCAACACGCTCGAGAGTAGCATTCTCAGGATCATTATCAGGTATGCCATCAGCACGGTCCGAAGCCACACAGGAGATGAAATCAGGCGAGAAATTGACCATCACTATTGACTTCTTCTCCCGTACCAGCTCGAGAACATCATCAGGAACATTACGCGGATGCGGGCACAGCGCATAAGCTGAGCTATGACTGAAGATAATCGGAGCCCGACTTCCAGCCCACTCGGTCTTGCCAGCACCTAGTACATCACGCATAGTATCCACGCTCACATGGGCCAGGTCAACAATCATGCCGAGACGGTTCATTTCAAAGACTACCTTCTGGCCTTCAGGACTCACTCCGTGCCACAGCGGGTCAGACTTTTTCACTCCGCCACCTGGCAATTCGACGACTGCGGCATCGGCATAGCGATTGTGGCAGTTGTGTGTCAGTGTTGCATAGGAGACACCCAGTTCGTAGAAAATGCGAAGATGGGCTAGAGAGTTGCCGATCGAGTGCAAGCCTTCTATGCCAAGAGGAGAGATGATCTTTCCCTCCTGAAAAGCGCTCAGGGCGGTGGTGCCATTCGGCGGAGTCGAAAAGACACCAGGGAAAGTCTGCTGTATACGAGACATCAAATCGACCTGTTCCATCGTCTCCCGTATACCTATATTACTGTCAATGCTGCTCATGGCAATGTGCTGTTTGTTTACGTACTAGGCGCATATGTTTCATCGGAAAAGTCCGTCCAATTCGTGGGACAAGGCACAAAGACACTCCAGAAAGTGCCACCGACATGACCACGCTTCAGACGAGGTAAATCGACGTGAGCAGGGAGTGTGCCATTGAGAAAGGCGTCCGTGAAATTGGAGCTATGAATGTGATTATGGAAGACTGATCTGATAAAGATAGGGAAGTCATCATGGCCATCTAGCTGAATTAGCCATGACCCAGTAGTATCATGCGATATTTCATACCAATCAATGGGGTCTGAGTCAAGATGTTCTGCACTCTTTCCTCGATGCTAGCGATACGATGGACATGGTGGCAGTGCGGCCGAAGAAACCACCCACCAGCAATTACGCTGAAGAGCAGCAGAGCCCAGCGTCGTTTCTGGCATGATTTTGGCTTTGCGATCTTCAGGTTCTCTGGATCTTGAGCCAGTGCCTCGTAGTGTTTCTGCATTGATATCTTCTCCATGTCAGATAAGTGATGAGGAGAAGTTGGGGAAGCACGCGATAATCCCGATAAACCCGGTGTACTACTGCGATAAGCTCGATCTCCTATCAACCGGTATTAATTCGTTTCGTCCGAAAAGATTACAGCTAGATTTTCAAGTTTCTCGTATAAGCAATCCATCTGCCAGGTCTTTATAACCCCCCAGGTCTGATAAAAATGAAGGGGTTCAAGAATCCACCTAGAAACCTACTATGCACAAAGAAACTTGGAAGTGCCAAGTAGTAATCCACATAAGAACAAAATAATTGAACAATGTCTGCTTCAATAGCTATTAAGACTTACTAGTCAATATGTTACTTGTGTATAAAGACGATGGCTTGTCACATAACTATATATATCTTGCAATCCAAGTATAATCTGTGTTATACCCTGTTGAGGGTCAACATGTCTAGATGTTAATCCGTCGACGCTCATTTGCTCCATTTGTTGCGGATCCACTTTTATTTTTCCCTCTCAAGTTTGAACTTGAACCCCACCGTCGAAGTTGAAACACTTCACAGTCAATTTATCAGGTTTGATATAATGGCTGGTGATAGAGCCATGGCCGACGGTATGTTTCTGTTATCCTTTGATCCCAATACTTTCAGTAGTTCCACGCGCTCACATTCCTGGGACAGGCCTCGTCGCCGCGTGGCATGCCTACCGGCTTCCTATCCTCATCGCACTCTCGGCATTTTTCTTCGCTATCCGTGCCTATCGCACATTTTCGAGATCCAAGACCCCGGCCTCGGCCTCCGTGCCGTCTTCCCCACGCAGCAAGTCACCCGAGAAACTCGAGAAACTCAACCCCGCAACAGAGAAGCAACATGAACCTGTCTCAGAGGTCAAAAATGCCAAACCCGTCCAGAAGCAAGCCACAGCTAAACCTTCCGGTCCCAAGCGTGTCCAGGGCAAGAAGCCCGCAAAGACAATCGGTCGCCGTGATTCCAACGAGGAGCCCCAGCTATTCACCCATATCCAACCGATCATTTTCTTTGCTTCTTTGACTACAAACACCGAACGGTATGCGAATATTCTTTTGGAGGATTTGCGCGTCGCTGCTCAGGAGCGATCCAAGCAGGCGAACTCGGAACGGGGTCTTTTACCCCCACAGATCCATGACATCTCGTACATTGATTTCGACGACTTTTTTGTCTCCGCTCCGAAACCACCTTCAACCTCTCCCGGAACTCGCTACGTTTACTGCATCTTGGTCCCGACCTACAACATTGACACAGTTTTGAGCACCTTCTTGGGTGACCTGGAAGAAACACACAATGATTTCCGAATTGACACTGGATCGCTGCATCAATTGGCAGGCTACTCGGTCTTTGGATTTGGTGACAAGGAAGAATGGCCGACGGAGGAGGAAGGTTTCTGCACACAGGCTAAGGAAATTGATCGATGGATGTCCAAACTCACAGGCCGCAAGCGGGCGTACCCTCTGGGTATGGGTGATGTCAAGAGCGATGTCGACGCATCTTTGAAAGAGTGGTCTCGGGGACTCCAGGAGACCTTCTCGGATATCTTGGAGAACGGCGGCTTGGGTGAAGGTGTTGTCGGTAGTGGTGATGCCGTGGAGAGTGACGAAGAGGACGTTGACGAGGATGACGACAAAGAAAAGAAAACATCAATGGTGGATCTCGAGGATATCAAGATGGGTGGTGACTCCGCGCCTCTGCCCGTTGATTTCACCACTGTGGGCAAAGTTATATCTTCCGAGGCCAGTGCCAAGGAGATGGTCCCCAAGACCTCGCCAACCTACGCCTCTTTGACGAAACAAGGTTACACGATTGTGGGTTCGCACTCTGGAGTCAAGATCTGCCGATGGACCAAGTCAGCGCTACGAGGACGGGGCTCCTGCTACAAGTTCTCTTTCTATGGTATCCGATCACACCTGTGCATGGAGGCGACACCATCTCTCTCCTGTAGCAACAAGTGCATTTTCTGCTGGCGCCACGGTACTAACCCGGTCGGAACGACTTGGCGATGGAAGGTTGATGAACCTGAGCTCATCTTCCAAGGAGTTAAAGAAGGCCACTACAAGAAGATCAAAATGATGAAGGGTGTGCCCGGTGTCCGAGCTGAACGATTCGCCGAGGCCATGCGCATCCGCCACTGTGCCTTGAGTCTGGTCGGTGAGCCGATTTTCTACCCTCACATCAACCGCTTTTTGGAAATGCTTCATGCAGAGCACATCTCTAGTTTCATGGTCTGTAACGCCCAGCATCCCGACCAGCTTGAGAACCTGCACCGCGTCACTCAGCTGTACGTCTCCATTGACGCGAGCAACCGTGAGAGTCTGCGCAAGATTGATCGCCCATTGCACCGTGATTTCTGGGAGCGATTCCAGCGTTGTCTCGATATTCTACGAGAAAAGCGACACGTCCAACGAACCGTTTTCAGATTGACCTTGGTCAAGGGCTTCAACGTTGACGACGAGGTGATCGGATACGCAGACCTGGTTGAAAAGGCTTTGCCATGTCTGATCGAGGTCAAGGGCGTCACATACTGTGGAACCAGCACGAGCGCCGGCGCCGGCTTGACCATGCAGAACGTGCCATTCTATGAAGAGATCCAAACTTTTGTTATCGCTCTTGATGCAGAGCTCGAACGTCGCGGTCTCGGATACGGTCTTGCTGCAGAGCATGCCCACAGTTGTTGTGTGCTGCTAGCCTCCAACCGTTTCCATGTGAATGGTAAATGGCACACTCGAATCGACTATCCTCGATTCTTCGAGTTGTTGGAAAAAGAGAAGGCCGACGGAACCTCTTTCACCCCGGAGGATTATATGCAAGAGACCGAGGAGTGGGCCCTCTGGGGTAATGGTGGATTTAACCCCGAGGATGAGCGCGTGCATCGCAAGGGTAAGAACAGAGATAGAGCCATTGAGGCTGCTCCTGCTGAGGATGTTTCGACGTCATGAGCAATGCATCGTTGCATAGGTGGCTTACCCTTATCCCGAATCATTTCGGACGGCACTTCGAATTGGCTCTTGGGCTTCCAACTCGTCCCATGGTAACTGTCTAATATCGGTTTATCGATGTCTGTGCCTGAATTTCGATCATAGCGTTAAGTGTTTCACTGGGAGTGTCTCCCAGAACAAAAGTATTGCTGCGACCATCATTGAGGCTGCATGGTTGCAGTCCAGGATTTTTCGCGTGAGATTTCAATGTTGGCTCTTAAAATGCGATATCAAGATCCATGAGCTATATATGTGTATAGCAAACTCTCCATGGCAAGATGGAATAGCCAACTTCCCCCGAACAGAAACTCATTTCAACAATTCAGTCATTTTCTTCCAAAGGTGCCAGAATACAGAGATTTTCACAGGCCAAGCAGAAGATCTTCGGAGTGAAGAGGTGTCAAAAATTAGACCTCCCTGGCATTCCATAGTAGGCTTCCGATAGTCTTAAAGAGGAGCTGCACAGCATCCCTCGAGCTGCAGTAATCCACAAGCTCTTTTCTAAGATACTATGGGATCTACTGAGGCGTAGTTCCAAACCAATCTCGAATCCATAAGGATACAGACATACCATGATAGAACGTACTCTAACTGACTCTTTAACTAGTATGTTGGTTGACTTTTGTTAAGGTCTATTACGTAAGCTGGACTGAGGGGAAATTATGACTCAGCGATATATCCCGAACCTATCTGTGACGGTTGTACAAACATCTCAAGCTCTTGATCTTTGTGAGGGGAGTTTAATCTCATGCCGTGACCCTCTGGCTCTTTCTAACCATCTCACAATTTCTTTTCACCTGCCACTCTTCCTATTACCACACCGACATGGCCCAACCAGACAAGCCCACTGCGGGCTTGCTTCAGATCCCTGGCTCAGCCACACAGAAGTCACCTGCACCAGCAAGGAAGGCTCACAAGCCTCCAGCTCCTCGACTCAAACTAATTATTCGTCGCCTTCCACCAGGGCTGACCCAAAGTGAACTCGAAGGAGCTTTAGGCGCAGAATGGAAAGTTGGTGCTGGAAAAGTGGATTGGCTTCAGTACAAGGCTGGCAAGGTGTCTAAAGAGTAGGACAGCAATTGACTCGATCCTTTTCCAGAAGCTGACCGAACCGATTAATCTAGCCCCGCTAAGCCTTCTCGTCCCTCCCGGGCCTATATTCACGTTGTATCGAGCGAACATGTCACCCTGCTATCGGATCAAGTGCGACAAGCCTCGTTTCAAGACGCTCGCGCCACCTCTAACGACCCGATTCTGCTTGGCCCTCCAAGCTTGGAGTTCGCCCCCTACGCTAAAATTCCTGGGAGTCGTGTGCGGAAGGATGCTCGCCAGGGTACAATTGACCAGGACCAGGACTTTATTGCTTTCCTTGAGAGTTTGACACAACCCATCACGAAGTCGGTGGGATTAGACCACGACAGTGAGGATAAGAAGAAAGAGGCAGTGCTCACTACGCCGTTGGTCCAGTTCATCAAGGACAAGAAGGCAAGCAAGGCCAAGGAGGCTGCGACAGCTAAATCCTCCAAGCACGGTCGATCGGAGAAAGAGCCGAAGGAGAAAGTACAGGCCAAGAAACTACTACAACGCACCGACAAGGAAAACAGTGCGCCACTTACAGAGAAGAGGACTAGGGGCGACAAGGCTAAGGAGTCTACAAAGGCCGCCAAGCAAGGTGCCACAGGCAAGTCTGGTAAGGCGAGCACCTCAGCAACACCCAAAGAGGTTACTGCAGCCCCGGAGAGGAAACGAGAACGAGGAAATGTCACCGCAGCGACCAAGATCCTCCAGCGCGATCTTGGAATCTCTCCGGCTGGAGGTCGGCGACGAGGAAAGGGAGCCAATGACACCGGGTCATCGAAGAACGAGAGTTCTCGAGACTCATCCGCCCCAGCAGAGGCAACCAAGAAAGAACCAGCAGCCAAGCCAGCCAAGAACGCCCAATCCAAAGCGAAGAAGGATACCGACTCTACAACCAAAGCGACCGATCCGCCAGCTTCTTCCAGTCCCGCACCTACGAAAGCAACCAAGGGTCCCAAACCCAAGCCGTCTGCTCCTCCCGCCTCCACTGCCACCCAGGCATTCCTCAAACACGCAAACCCCTCCCAAGGTGTGACCGAAGCACTACTGGAAACGGCGTTCGGGGTATTTGGTGCCGTGAACAAGGTGGAGATCGATAAGAAGAAAGGATTTGGATATGTGGATTTCGCAGACCCCGGGGGCCTACAGAAGGCGATGGCCGCTAGCCCTGTGACAGTTGCTCAGAGCCAGGTGGTTGTGCTGGAGCGCAAGGCGAACCCTGGTGGAGAGAAGTCGCGCAAGGGTCGAGGTGATTCACAACAAGCGCCGCCCAGTGGAAACACTGAAAAAACCGGAAACACGGCGAATGCTGGAAACGCCGCGAGCGCTGGAAACGCGACCGGGTCGTCTGCACGGGGATCTCGAGGTGGTCGTGGATCACGGAACAAAGCGAAAGGTGGAGCAGGAGGGAACGAGAAGACGGAGAAGACGGAGAAGACAGAGAAGGGTGGAAGTTCTGGCAAGTGAGGGTGATGTAGCTTTACAATTCAACGACTGCATGAGATACCCAATAGCAATGATATGAGACACGAATCCGAGAAGCTGCGTGACAGTATACGAATAACTAGTCCGTATGACGGCTTCTAATAGGAGCGTCGAAGAATAGCATTAAGAATTTATATTTAACAGAATTTTACAAAGTAGATCATACGGTAAAAATCAAGTCCCCTCCAAACGCCCGGCACTGCCGAACCAAATGATGGGAAGCTTACCACTCACATCTTCATCCAAAATAACCACCAATTCTCAAAAAGAAAAAATGGAGGTCAAAACCTTTCAGACCTCCTCGACACCCACCAGGTCCAGCCGACCGAAGTCAGACACCAAACCAGGTCAAGATCATCACCACTCCCTGGATAAGAAACGCAGACACTGCAAGCAGCACGCGTGACCCATCGAGGCGGGAGTAAAAGGCTTCACTTTAGGGCATCGAGGACATAGTAGTCATCAGCAAGGGTGGAGATTCTGTGGCTCTTTTAAAGAGCTTAGAAGTGGGACGTCTACTCTAAAGTGATTCTTTGAACTGGGAGGCTGTTAGTGACATGTTCCAATGCAAGGAATCCGAGGATTGGATCCTTTAGGGGAGGGGGTACTAACGTAGAGTCGCTTGAAGAAAAGAAAATCCATGGGGCGACAGATGCGTTTTATACCTTGAGTGGGGACGTGATTTGCTAAGCGAATGAATCTGTCGTTTGTTCTGTTTGCTTTCATTGATGGGGCTAATTGAGAAGCTGACCAATAAGAGAGCCTAAGTGGGGCCATAGGTGCAGAGACTTTTCTGCGCTAATTTCATCTAGCTCTGATTGGCTCTATCGCTTGTATGTAGTGGAGTTCTTGTGTTTTGGTATGTCCGTTATGAGTAATAGAATCATTAAGCACCCACTACTGCCATTTTGTATGGATTTTAAGAGTTCATGGTTGCGGAGGTTGACCGATACTTCGGCTGGTTCAGCCTCTAACTGCCGAAGGCCATTATTCTGCAGAAAAGAAGAAAGAGATGAATGCTGTGTATATAATTGGAATCTATCAATCCTATCAATTGACTAGTTGGGACGCAAGCCACTTAGTATCAATAAAACAATATTATATCTTTAAGATCAAGGGCCATCATCCTGGATTTGTGAACTACTTCCGTTATCGAGGCCTCTCATTATGCTGTCAAAGAAAGCCATATCAACACCCTGGAATGCCCAGTCGTCCACCCCGGCGGTTAGCCCAGGATCCTGGTAGCTTTGCAGGAGGGTATCAGAAACGGTATCCTGGTATCGCAATGTGAGCTGTGCAGGCGGACCATCGATAGAATTAGAATCCACTTCGGTCATTGACCTAGGAATGGCATCTCCATCGAAGCGACCAGGGCCAAAATCACACACTGCAGCTTCCGAGCTCTCGGTGTTATGCGTACCAATCACCGGAGCATAGGGTTGGCCCTCATCTAAAGAAGGTTGTGCGTTGGCCATTTCCCTGGTAACAACGCCCTGACGGGCAATCTTGACGATGCCAAAGTAAGGTATTTGCACCCGAACAACGCCGTTGTCGTTTCCGTTTGACTGCAACACTGCACTTTCTGGTGTTTGAACGCTGACGCTCTCCGTACTGATGCCATTTGCTGCTTCGGAATCGATAGCCAGCAACTTTTGCAATAAGTCCGCACTTTGGGCACTTAGAGTATCTCCGTTAACACGAATGACTTGTTCCATGTTCACCTGCGCCTGCTCTATCATCGCACGATCACTAAGATATTGGTGCGCTAAGAGGTTACTGGTGGGTGGAAAACGGTGGCTGTCGAGATGTGCCAGAAGAAGTGTAATGGCGGCCATGAGTGCAAAAAAGTCGACTGTCCGACAGCAGAAACTACTCCGGTTGTAGCCACGGAACATGATAAATCGCAAGAGAACTTCCCTTGAGGCATTCACACAGGTCATTCTGGAATATTCGTCCTTTCGTTCAGGTGATGAACGAAGCATGTAAGGCAGATGGAGCTGATTGAGCAAGTTATAATGATACAACTGGTTGAACAACCGTCCCATATCAAAAAAGAGAGCCTGTGGGTCATCCGTGACACTATCTAGGTTTGGCATAAGCCACCATTTGCTAGACATGCTTCGAGCCGCTTTCTGTAGCTCCAAGTCGAGGTTTTGTGTCACGGCAAAGTCATTAGCGCATGGCTCAGACTCGTTGCGCTCCAATATACGAGACGCGAGAGTACAGTGCATCCGCTCGAGGCGGCCCATAGGGATGTCATCTCTGAATGCTGTGCCAGTGGCCATGCTCTGATCAAGGGAGCCTTGCGTAAGACCCAGCATGAGACACAAATTACGGTCGAGGGAGACAATTCGAAACCACATGAACTGTGGATGAGCTTTCGTTGTGTGGTCAAGAACCTTGTATTTTGCTCGGCTTTCACTTTGGTGGAGGTTCATCATTTGCGCAATAGCCATAGCCCTCCGGTTAGCTATCCAGCTTCTTCGTAGATTTCCACCATTTTGGTAGTACGTGCTTTCCAACATGACACACTGCAGTCCTTCGATGCTGCCAAAAAACTCGTCCTTTGTCGTGACCAGATCAATAGCGGTTCTTGCTAATCGTCCCATCAGGGAAGGGAGTGGTTCTGGCAAACCATTTATCTCTCCAAGAAAACTAGGGTGGAGATGCTGCAGGTAAATAGCAATGTGAAGCATATTTCTTGCGATCAGCACTGGATGCGAATTCGGACTAGGTAGTTCGAGTAAACTATCTGGCAACTTGAGGCCGTTCTGCTCGAGGACGGCATATGGAGTGTTTATCATCTCAAAAAAAAGTATGTCTTTGCTACCGCGGGCATTGTGTATCATCTGCATAACTTGCCGGGAGGGTAAGGACTCATGCAATCTTTGAGATAGCTTCTCATATCTCCCCTCAGGTTCAGCCGGGCCATGGTCCTGATAGAATAAGTGGCAGTTCATTATACACTGGATTTCAAAAAGCTATACGTACATCCGGAGGCTTGCATAAAGACAAGAAACGTGAAGATTCTTGGTCTAAGGTTGATGCACATGCAACATCTATAGTAGGGATTCCATGACGAGGTGTCGGAATTTCGCTAGTTGTAGGTAATCCTACTTCCCCATGACGGTCCACCTTCCTGATTAGTTGCTCGACCAAGGCCTCAACCCTCGCGACACGGTCTTTATTTTTACCGTTAGTTTGGTATTGGCCCTTCCTCTCGAGATGTCCTGCGCTCTCTTTTCCATCAACAAACTCAAACTCCTGGCTCACACATTTGAACCCTCGCCGCTGGCAGCCAATACAGATGGCATCGGCTTCGGCATCGGCTGGAGAGCTTGGGTCTGCATACACACATTTCATCTTGCGCTTTTTGCACTCCCAGCAACTCTTAGTCCCTTTGCGAATCTTCCTCCGCTTTGCCTCTGATTCGGCAATGATTTCGTTTTCCATATCCGTTTCCATGCATACAGTTTGCCAATCAGTCCGTCACGGTGTTTTTGCTGCGGAGGCCGTGAAAGATGATGGAAGGTGAACAGAGCGATCGGACAGGGGGCGGCTGACTCAGTGGATGTCATTCGACCGCCGCGAATGCAACATACGGCGGACAAACGCCCCTCTCTGTTTACATTAGTATTACATCTTACATATGCACATGGAGTGTGGAATATGAAACAGATAAGGATTCTTATTTGGATATATCCACTGTCCCAACTCCAACAAGATGACCAACCGAACTTAATACAATCACTTTCATCTCAGCATCCTCTATTAATTATTTTATCATATACTGAATAAGAATATATTGCCATCCGTTCTATCGCAGTGACCAATATACACTCATGAATCATATATTCGCCGATGCCCCTGCATTCAAGAATGTGCCCAGGCTGTTACGCATATTGTCATAGACACCGTAGATTTGTTAACGAGTTTCACAAAGCCATTTGAGTCTATCCGCCGATGTAGGTACCAACATGGGAGCTCAAATCTCCACATGCTGAGACACTCTCATAGTTTTTCCCGAATCCGGCAACTTTAGTGATAGAGCGGAAGTACATAAAGGCTTGACCGGACGTCCTCGCCCACCTGAAAATTTGCCCATGGCCCGCCTGGGCGTAGTGCTCCCAACTATAGGTAAAATTTCAGGCAGCTCCCGTAAAGTCGTTGGACGTGTAACTGATCGCATAATGCGTGAGAACAATTTTGACCCCGGGTCCATCGTGACGTTTTTGGAGAGAGGAATCACTGCTGGGCCCAGGAAGGCGCAAGTGTGCCGTACCATCTTCAAAGTGATAAACATCATAATTGCGGGAAACAGTAGATTTAGATTCTCTAACACCGATCAGTCGATAGTGATAAGCCAGAGCGGGTGTCCCATCATCTGATCGAGCTCCAATAGTGGGATTCTCGACCGTATAATGAGAATCAAAGGTGTAGTTGCTTGAGAGCTTCTATGTAGTACGGGTCGCTTGGGAGAGACCGGGGGTTGAGGTTCAATAAATTAACATTCGCGTAGGCGAGAGCAATAGCAGTCTCAGCTTTCCGAAGGAGCTTCAAGGCCAGGTCAAATGCAGCTCTGACCTCTGTGAGGATGGAAGCACAATATTGTTTATTTTGTCTTTCACAGACACCCTTGACATAATCATCGACATCGGTGTAGAAATAGTCACTAAGATTAGCGGGTCAGAATCCACATTAACCGTTCATGATTGGAGTCAGGACTTACACGACCTCGAGAGTCTTCTGACCGATCCAAACGTATTTCGCGATGGTTGAGCATGTTGACCGGAGTTTTCTTTTGTTGAGTTGCGCCTCAGCTATTCCGGCTCTGATCAGGAGCATAAGGCTGTTGTAAATCGGAAGCAGGAGCAGAAGTAGGAGCAGCGAAAGCAATATTGCAGATGACAGATAAAGCCAGAAAGCCCGAAGAGAGCTTCATTATAGGTGAATTATGGAGACTTCTTGGGATGGAATGAGAGACAAGACCATGGTCCTTTGCCTAGGTATTCATATCCATAGGGCCGGCTTCAAGACATCGCTTACCGTAGAATCGCAGCTTGTCTGCCATCACAAGACCACAGCACGATTGGGTACTCATTTGAGCGCTTTTAACCGTATCAACATCGTTGACTCCACATTTTCGAGTGATCATCGAATTGTTTCCTGTGTTTTGGTGCAAAAGCACCGGATTTCATGCAACAAGCAGCCCCTTGTGGATATCTCATCTGTGGGTGGCCCATTATGCCAGGATCTCTGTCTTTCCCTATGTGGAGAATGCCCAGCATTATGCCGAGTACGGAGAAAAATGTTCAAGCTTTAGACTTAACAAGGTTATCAACGACTACATATGTACCAAGAATCTTCAAAGCTGCAAATAGGCATAGCTGATTATAAGTGGAGCATTTGGATGCTGTACAACACAATACTACAGCCAAATTCATGATTTGACCTAAACCTCATGCAAATGGAAAAAGCACAACCATAAGTTCCAAATATCATCGACTGACGAACTAAGGAAGCGTACGGGGGCGAGTAGCCGCCATGAGGACAGAACCTTTAAAGTCACATAATAAATGGCTGAAATTCATATATACTACTAACCTAATCTACCCCTTTATCAGGGTATACCGCAGACCTTTTGAACGTACGTTTGAAACCTTTAGTCTTTCCTTCCTTTCACCTTTTCCTTCCACTTCACTTCTTTTCTACTTGGAGAGCCCTTTGACCATTGGTACGAAAGAAGGAGGAATACCGGATAGGAGACTAAGTAGGAGACTAAGTATGATACCAAGTAGGATACCAAGTGGGAGACTGAGTAGGAGATATAGTAGGAGATATAATATAATACCAAGTACTAGGCGCTACGCTAAAAGGTTCTGCCCTCATGGCCGCTACTCACCCCCGGAAATAGCGGCCAATTACCGCTATGACCTTCTGGATAGGCTTGTTCAACGCTCACATTGAGATCTGGAAGGTGAAGAAGATGATGAGCTCTACCTTCTAATCTAAGTCATGTGCCTCGGTGCTCCGGCGACGGAAAGTTAGTAAAATCCAAAGAGGGGGATGTGAGCATTAATTGCCGCCAGGGGAGCCGTATTCCGAGTCTCATTGTCTGGCGGTCGAAAGGTGCTGCGGCGGGCCAGTGACTGCTTACTCCTCCGTACGGACAAACATCTGGAAGTGCTCCGCCGGGAACAAGCTCAACTTCGGGCGACATTTGTGATACATGCTTTCCAAAATTATTTAACAAGTTCTGAAAAGCCTCGTCTCCATGTGAAAGTATTATTATTTACTTCAAATTTCCCTGTTGTATTGAGGAAATTATTCCTTCGCAATTATCGACTGGTAATATCTCATTACTATCAGCAGAAATGGCTTCAACATTCGCCGTGGAAAAGGAGTGGCAGAATACAGAACCGAGCGTGCAGTCATCAATGGCCAACGCTCCTTCTGCGGCCGGTTTAGAAAGCCAGAATCGGAATGCTCCAAACAACCAAGAGACTTCCTACCTACCGGAAAAGGTAGATGCTGAAAAACTGGACCTGGACGACGAAGCACAATATCCTCATGGTTTCAAGCTACTACTAATTGTCGTGGCTCTTGGATTAAGTATCTTTTTGGTTGCCCACGACATGGTATGTCTCAAAATCCTTTAGTGAGGAGGACAGCCTCTCTTCAAAGTGCCATCATTATTTAATATTGATGTCACATAAATAGACAATCGTAGCAACGGCTATTCCAAGAATCACCGATCAGTTCCACAGCCTTGATGACGCCAGTTGGTATGGTTCGGCTTTCTTGATGACTACTGGAGGCTTCCAGTCAACCTGGGGTAAAGTATACAAATTTTTCCATCTGAAAACCTCGTTCCTACTTGCGGTTTTCATCTTCGAGCTTGGAAGCTTGATTGGTGGCGTGGCTCCAAATTCCGTGGCATTGATCATCGGTCGTGCAATTGCTGGAATCGGTGCAGCTGGTATTGGGTGTGGAGTCTTCATTATCATCGCTTCCATTGCCAGTCCAAGAAGGCGGCCAGTCTTCATCGGTATTGTCGGAATGTCTTATGGTATAGCGTCGGTTGTTGGCCCCCTTGTTGGTGGTGCATTCGCTGATAAAGTGACTTGGAGGTGGTGTGAGTACTTCTGCTACTCACCTGATCAACTAAAGTAGTTGTTCTTCGCTGGACGCTGGACTTCGCTGACTTTTCTGCCTTTCATCTAGGCTTTTATATCAATTTACCCGTTGGCGGCATCGCAGCCACTTCCATTTTCTTCTTCTTTCATACACCTGATAACGCTTCGACGGCCAAGGGTACGTTAAAGGAGAAGCTCCTGCAGATGGATCCTATCGGAACGATCCTTCTAATCTGTACCATCATTTCATACATCTTGCCACTGCAGTCTGGTGGACAAACGAAGGCCTGGAATTCCAGTACTGTGATCGGTCTTCTTGTTGGCTTCCCTCTCATGATTATTGCTTTTGTGGCGTGGGAACGGTTCCAAGGAGAACGGGCTGCCTTTCCGCCGCGCTTGATGTCGAACCGACTCATCCTTGTGAATTCAATCTACGCTTTTCTTTTCGCAGGTTCGTACTTTATCATAGTTTATTATCTTCCTTACTACTTCCAGAGTGTTCAAAACGTCAATCCTACTATGTCTGGTGTACGAAACCTTCCTTTGATTATCTCGATGTCGTTAGCTATCATTATCTCTGGTGGCAGCATCACCAAAACTGGTCATACTGCTCCTCTTATGGTTGTTGGTGGGTTTCTTGCAACCATCGGTGCGGGGCTGTTGTTCTCGCTGGATATAGGTACAAGCACAGCCAAGTGGATTGGATACCAAATTGTCGGCGGAGTTGGATGGGGGTTAGCCTACCAGGTACCCATCAATGTGGTGCATGGTACAGTGGTTCCCAGGGATATTGCAACCGTGACGGGTGTTATCGTCTGTGAGTAATTTGCCTGCTACTATTTGATGATTCGAAAAGAAGCTGCTGACACACCTCATCTCTCAGTCTTCCAAACTGTCGGAGGTGCAGTCTTTGTGGCTGCAGCACAAGCTGCCTTCGTCAACCAGATTATCATCAAACTTGCCGCCACCGCACCGAGCATCAACTCAGCATTAGTGGTCTCGACTGGTGCGAGCGAGCTGCGAGACGTCTTTACAGCTGAGCAGATGACTGCTATTTTGCCTTCTTACATGACCGGTCTCAAGGTCGCTTACGCCATTTCGATCGCTGCGGCAGGAATCGCTTTCTGTCTCAGCCCATTCAACAACTTCAAGAAAATTGACACCCATACAGCAGCAGAATTTTCTGAGAATGCCCCCATCGGTCCAGCTGTGTGATTGTCCTGCCCTTGTCAAGGTCAAGTCAGCCTAGGAGCGGGCCACATTAGCGCTGCAGGGCTGTGCAGGATATTCGGGTGTAAAATAGACCTGTTCAAGGCATTCAGATGAAGACATCACAAAAACCCTTCACTCCACATTATATCGATAGAGAATCCAGGTCTCGAAGTCTTTTCTGTTTTTTCCACAGCTTCAGGTCAAATTGTCCTTCCTGAAGTTCATCTTCTTCGCCATTTCATATGAATGTGACTCCATCAACAGTACTTCTCACACTATCATTGTGATTGAGAATATCGATTAGGCAAGGCTGGAGCTGATAATTGTCCGTCTCATAGGACACAAGTCGATCAGGTTGTGTTTTTGACAAGATTTTGAATGCCATACCCTCGACCGGTCGGAGTGGCTCGCCATCAATAAGGGCAGGGTAGGGGCCCCAGAGCTTAACATCGGAGCCTATCACTCTAGCACGGCTCATGACAGGAAGGGAGTCTGACTTTCTCGAGACTTGAGAAAGTGTTTCTGGTTCCATTAATGCCCCGTAGAAAAAACAGTATTGTCTTTCAAAGGAAGAAGTAGGAGGTGTTGACATGCTTTGAGTCGAATCGTGTCCTGATGCGCTGTGATTCAGGAACTTGCGCATCATGGGAGATGGGGGTGAGAGTGTTCTGCACATTGTGTCGGTGATTAGATCCTGCAACATATCAGTAATGCCTCTAGTGCTTCATTTGTCTGAATTTGGCGTGGCTCTGGGTGTAGGGACTAATATCATCACGTACCAAGGTAATCCAAAGAGACGTTGTGGTGCAGTAAAGCAAAACACGATTGATAGGACCTCTGATGGCGAGGCTGAAGATACTGCTGGGCGGATTGAATAGACCTGGTTTCAACTAGCTCGCTTCCAGAGATTCTCAAGGCAGACACAGAGTTTGGAGTATGGTTCTCCTCGGTTGGACAAGAAGCTAACAGTATAGTATACAGCATGGGGGCTGTCTGGGGAACAGGGCGCTAAGCCTAATTTGGATTGCGCCTACTGTCATTCCTACCACACGACTGTTGAACCCGAAATCAAATGATTTCCATTCTACTGCTGGATCAATATCCGTAAGAGGGTATTTAGGGCGTTCGCATGATGAATAGAGGGCGTTCAGGGCGTTCAGGTGAAGGGGGCTGAATAGGCTGAAGAGTAGGGCGGCAAGGGCAGTTTCCTCGATAAATAAAACACACTCAAATACAAAAAAAAACAAAAACATACAACAGTCAGGATTCGCATGTGGTCACCCACCATACTACTAACTAACCGGCGTGTGGCTTAAGTACGGCTGAGCGGACGGGAAGCCCTGTTCTCCACACCCTATGGTCGTATGTGTTAGCTTCTCATTCAACTGAAAATATGTAGTGCAAAAATAGAGACGTATATGCCATCGCATCGCGCGACTAGGGGTGAGAAGCAGGGTGAGAGTGAGTGAAAGATCACTCTCAGCTGAGCGAAATTAGAACATCATTGGGCCACAATTTCCTTTCTGAAATGGCGAGTATCTTGGCATCTGCACAGCCCTTAATGAAGTACAGTAAGGTCCGCTTGGGGACTAAATGAAGTGATTTTCGAATCAATTACTATTTCGAGCACCCTCTGCCTCATCTTTCCATTTTTCTTTTTAACTTGCCATCCCACCGAATAGTTAGCATCTTTAGCTTCTTCCTATTCTAATGTCCTTTAAGTTAATATCGGTTAACTGATTGGGGTGGTTATTTGTGGTTTCTTTTGGTTAGACATGGACTATACAATTAGGACGTCAGAGGCTGACAGAAGCCAGGTAAGGCGTGCTTCGGGTACCGAGATCCTAACTGAGCTAGTAAAGAAGCTTAAGGGAGGTCAAAATTTTCCTTTAAATTTTACTATAGACTAGAGTTTATGTAGTGTGCTTTGATATTTTCAGGGAGTGTTTAGGGACTCTCCCTTTGGTGAGTCGTATCTGACATTAAACTCCAATCCAGTTCCAATCTCCAAAAACCGTAAGGAATTAGGAGAACTGACATTAAGTTGAAGTTAATTCTACTCTGAAGAAGCCTCTGTCCGCTTAAACAGTGTGAGATTGAACGAACCTGGACCGGGTAGCGGGGTGGATAATGTGGAGTCGGCCATAGGTACTATTTAAAATGAATGGAGACTTTCAAGGTTGACTAGTAATCGAAAATTTGGTCGCCACCTTAACCGATGTAATTAGATCAAATAGATGCAAGTGCGATGAAGGTTCTCGTGGATTTATTTTCCACAACAAAAGCTACCCTCGTCACAATCCAGAATACTCTCAATATTTATTTTGCCTACCCTCCTATTTGACTCTTAAGTCATGCTCCGGCCTCGACTGGCATGTTTCTTCCTGGTGCTCTGCTGGGCTTTGGGTGTAACTGCATACACACCATGTTCTTACGATGCCTGGGTGGACGGATTCCAAAGTTGCATGCAGCCATGTTATGGGGAACAGTACTATGATGCAATCTTCAATACCTCTAAGTGTGGGAACTATTCTGCAGGGGCGTCTAGTACAAAGCCGTCTTTGGTGAAGTGCTTATGTAAGCACGTCTCATTCACGCTCAAAACTACGAATCAATCGGAGATTTGTAAGGTTAAAAACAATTGCTACAACTCGACTTATTATAACGCTACACTTTACGAGGACGTTTTGGTTAACTTCGAAAATATGTGTTCATGGGCAATAGGGGGTAGGTGGCCTCTTGAGACTTGACTTCGGGAAAGTTCGCTAATATTAGATTATTTTAGACATTGCAAAGTGCTCAGTAGCTACATCATTTTTCCCGGTGCAATCGATCATGTTAACTGGGCTGGTTATGGTAGTTGGGCTTATGGTGTTCTAGAACACACAATACAACCTCTCCGGGTGGCATAAATAGGAGGATGTATTGAGGCAAAGCGTAGGATATTTAACCAACGTCAGCAGTTGGCATGGCATGTTCATCACTAAAACAATCAAGTTACAAAACCCCTTGATGGGCGGCCGAGATGTAGGCCCTATACATATCCGTCCCTACATTGAGAGTCCCCTTTGGTTTTGAAATCTTTATCATTCACTCCCTCTGTTCTTTCCCTTTTCCTTTTTTCTCCTTGACTTTAGATCTTATGGTTTATGACCGATGAATCTTTTATTCGTGAATTTTATTGCGATATAAGCTCTGGTAACTGGGCCTAGCATGCCAACGAAAGTCTAGCAATACGCTTGAAAATGAATCTATTGCTACTAGATACATATAACTTCTTGGTATTAACATACCGTAAAGCTTTATCGCAGATTGGTTGAAAATTCTAGCGCCTTCGGCCTTCCTAGGTTTCCGGCTTCTAATCCTTTAATGTTCTATAGTAGACTGCGGCAGGCCCGTAGGCATGCCCGTGTGGACGGCCCGCGGGCCTGTCCAGGTGGACAAAAAGTGATTTGTCCATGGACAGGAAGCCCGTGAAAAGCCCGTAAGGCCCGTGAAAGTGGATCTTTATTTTTGGCATAATTTATGAAAAATATGCTGTATTCTTAGTATTCTAGCTGTTAAATACCATAAATAAATTACATACTTTTACTACTGAGAGATGGGGTTTTGTGCACAAAACCCCTACTGCCTGAAATTTCAGGAGTTAATCATTTCTGCAAGAATTGGTAACCCTTATTGACCTGAGAATATTTGATAGATGAATGATAATGAATAATAGCCAAAAACACCTAATTAATTACATGAAAGCCAATTGGCTGGTTAGGGCGCTTCCGTATACGACCAGAGACTTCGCTGGTAATATTTTTGTGTGTCCACGAGAGATTCAAATCACGCATGCGAGTTCGATGTCATAGCGTGTGTACTGTAGTCCAAAGGTAGCAAATGTTATTTATTATTTGGGAGACATGCGGCCATATATATATACTGTAACGAGAAGATCAAGCGAATCTCCAACTGTATTCTTTGTGTAGATACTTCGAAATTGATGACGATGATCCAGCTTTCTTCCTGGTCATTACCAGCCGTATGCCACGACTGTATTATTTGTCAATAAGGACTTGACAACTGCTGTTGGCCTATGAGAAAATATACAGTGATGTGGGTGGGGTCTTCTCTGAGTCGGACGAAAAGGTGCGCTAGGGGTGATAAAATTGACCAGTAATATACATACATTATACTTACATACAAAAAAAGTGCATAAGATATTATTTGACTTGTTTGCTCACCCGTGGGTAACCCGCGGGTAACCCTTTGCGGGTGAGTATAACACTAGAACCGACCCGCGGGTAGGAGGTCAGGACCCGTCACCCGCGGGTCATGGCGAGGTCTAACTATGAGGACATTGATAGAGAGGGGGGAACGAGCATCTTATAGGCGCCCAGCTAGGCAGGGCGAGGAGGGAGGGACCCTAGATAGGACTGAAAGAGGGAAGCCATTTTCGGCGTCGTTTCGGTCGCAAGTGGAATCTAAGGGAATGAATGTCGAACAAGTTCCAAACATCAGAGCCGGTTGATGATGACTAAAGACGCTAGGTGGGTGCAAAATAGTGATGGTGCTGGACAGGGGCGGTGAAGCGCTGGCTCCCCTGCTAATGTTACGGGTGGAAAGAAGGCCGTTTCTGGCGTCGAAAGCTGTCATTTTCGGCTTCGATTTCACAGGTCCCCATATTCTATTTGTAAATATCCCTTAACAAATGAACACCTGGATTAAGAGATATCTGATCCCGAGTCAGACACAATAAATTTGACCTCACTCCCTTTTCGATTCTGCGTTCCTGTTCAATTTCCCCATCTCCAACCAGGTTCCGATCACCACCATAGTGAGTAGTATTCCACAAATATAGACTTGAGGTTTCCCGTCACCGAATTCGGGATCCATGGCCTTTGAACCGGGATAAAATAGGGCACTCAATTGAGTAATCCAATAAAGGCTTGCTAGCCATGCCCCTGTAGCGAGGGAGTCTCTTTCAAATGTCTGTTGAACGGCAGGAGGTGATGCAAACAGAGACTGAGGTTTTGGTCGATACAGGAAGTACAGAGTCGTGAGACCGAGAATCATGCCCATAGACATAGTTTGTCCATTGTGAAATTTCGCGTGAGGGGGCCATCGAGGGTTGAAAACATGAGTTTCATTCCAGTCGGCGAGATATCCACCGATCGACGTCGTCAATGCAACGAGAGTTAGGAGGATGCGACCAGCCATAGTGAATGAGAACAAGAGTTTTGCTTGCTTTGGAAGACAGAATTTCGCAACTCTTTCAATTCAAAGAAGTTTCCCCGTCGGAGTTATCTTGCCGCCGCAGCGCGCTCGGCATGCTTCGGATGCCGAAAGCTTCTTGAACCTGGGTTGCAAGCTATTATAGTTTTTTTTCGGCTTCAAAGAACTCCGAAGCTCCGCACGTCCGAGTCATGTGCAGTTACGAATTCAAATGCGGCTTATATACAAAAAATAAGACGCAAATCGCCAATACTGTAAATAAGTCTGATCAAAACTCGCTTTGGTTCATTGATTTTCGAGTTTATCAGTTGTCATCGTATCTCTTGGATATGCTACAGCCTACTCAAGGGTATGGTTTGTAATATAAACTTAATTCCGGAATCCACCATCAGCGACTTCATATAATATTGGTGCGTAAAAGCCGCTCACGATATTTACTTCGAGCGCTATTTAGAACGACTCTAATATGCGCAAAAGGTCACTAGAGAGAATCCTAATCTTGACCCTCTAATATCTCTTTCAGGCCTACAAGACCTTTGATGTATAGATCTTCACGAGACAAAATATTAACGCCTATTTTTATCTAGCTCTTCTCGCCCAGTCCCAAAACTGTAATATGTAATAGAGTTCTCCCAAGCCGGACCACAATTTTTAAATAATCTTCCTTGGAAACTCTAAAACATGACACTTCCTTTCCCACGACTTTACCCTATAAATCAGAAATGCCCTGTAGTGTTAGTGCCTCGTTATCTTGAGATATTTATTTCCTGAAAGCGTTAGTTACGGTTTTACCAATATAGTAGTTATGAAAAGACCCGTATTGCAAGGAACTACTAGCCGCCGATAATGGTATACTTAGATCATAAGGTTGGTGCTAAAAAAATTCCCCGTCACGGTAGGTTTGCAGAGTATAAAAGGTAGGGCTTCCCGTAAGGTAGTACCATAGTACCTAACCCATAGGAATATCGTCTGTTATTTTCTAACTGCGGATGAGAATCGAGAATTTATTGATCGACTCTTGCTTTAATTTCCATATATGGAACATGAAATTTTCATTTAGAGATTTCTGAAGGCGAGTTAAGGGTGCTCTATATAAAGTGTGAAAGAGAAAAAATTCCGGGGGCTGCGTCAACCATGTTTCTTTCCGTGTTCGTATCTTTATACAACTTACCCCGTCTCTACAGGCAAGGCGCTTATCCAGCCGACCGTATAATCGTTGTGGGATGGGGGGAGATAGGGGGATCTTAGCTCCCATAATGGACTATTTTACGATCAAATTGTTTCGTGGGAAACATAGGAGGAACAAAGATATTCTGACCCAAGCCCACGCTTGGCGAGGCGATCCTGACTACGGTGATGACTTTCTTTTAAGCCGGGCCATGCACTTTCTATGGACCCCCGCGTGATTGCGAAAAGTTTACCGTACAGAGGCAGTAGCTAGATGTAGTTCTGCTGACTTGACAGACTCTCTTATCTAGACTCACTAGGCGCTCTGCATTAGAAACGCCGGCGCCTTGGCAGCTTATTGCCCTCTCGGGTCGATATTATTCCCGAGCTTACTAGTTAGCTTGGCTTCCCCATTCCCTTTTTCGTTCTCCGGCGCCCAGCGCTGGTTCCTTGCGGATTTCGCTACGATCGAAGTCCGAACATGCTATTTTAATATTTCTTTCAAAATTCGAGGGGCCGAAATACAGCTGCCTGAGCTATAAGCCTCGTAAATAACCATTGACCATGCGTCGTACCTTTGTACTGAAGACGCAGGCCATACTCTTTTTTTCATCTCCATGAATTCATTCAATATGTCAAGCATCACTGCTTCTGGTCTCCTAGGCCCTATCGCCGCCTTAAATGGCTGGACCTTAGTCATGGAAGTATGGATGTACGCCGTCTGCATTCCGGTTTATAACAGAAACAAAGCTACAAACCAGATCACCAAGAGCCAAATGGACTCACAGATGCCTGCCCCTGTGCGCTGGAAGCGAGACAACCATAACCATCTATTTGAACAGCCAACGCAATTCTACGCGATTGCTTTAGCCCTGGTGGTTGCCTGTGGAGGCAAGATTGCCCAACTGGATTCGATTCTTGCCTGGACATACGTTAGCGTCCGTGTTTTGCATAGCCTGGTTCAATCCACGACAAATACTCTTATGGCGCGATTTTTCCTGTTTGGCTTCTCATCGAGCATTCTGGCAGTTATGACTGGAAGACCGGCCATGCCTGTTCTCTAAATCATGGCAGAGGTGGCCTAAAGAGCTTTGTTCATCGAGCTTGCTATAGGAACCAGATGACCCCGGGACGTGGGTCCACTCAGGTCGTAGGTCACTGAGCTTGAGCCAAAATTGGTTGTGCATCACTGAGTTGCTCGGTGGATCGGATCGGGTAGGGGATGAAGATGTCACTTTTACAGGTGGAATTGATTCATCACAGTCCGAGGTGCGGATCTTGGATGCATTGGGCAGTAAAACAAACACAAGTAACTTTGTGTTACTCCAGGAAGATATCAATGGAATGAAAGCCCGAGTAGGTTTTGTAAATCTGCGTTAATTTCCCTTTATTTCTCCGTTCAATCGTATTGCTCTCACCATAACACCTTTGGTCCATTTCTCCGTCTTCATGCTAATCTATCTCTTGCATATCATGGTTGGTGGTACCATCCACACTGATGACAAGATGAATGGATATCTACATGCAAAGAACTATGTTACGGCCATTCTAGAGATCAAGACTGCCATTGCGGTATACGCGTATCTCGCAAATGTGGAGGTTAAACAAGGATGCAGCGAATCATCTATGACGTTCGTCCTCACGTTCGTCAGCAGCTTGCACTCGCAGACGCGGCCTTGGCTACCAAGTACCCAGAAGAAGAAATCGATCTGGCTGCTGCCTGGGATGAATATCGCATCGACCTTCTTGAGTATATCTCGACAATGTCAAAACTGTTCATCAAAACTTGACTTGATAAAATTTTGGGCAAAGCCTGGGCAGAAGAGGAGGAACAAGTAGCGCAGCTGATTGGGGAAATTTGCACTGCCCCCCAGGAACAGGCCACCAGTATTGTCAAGCTTAAAGCGACGGATAATGTCATTGATATACTGGGGACGAAGATGGCGATGATATGGTACTGATGATGACGCCATGGATATTGATTAGTATCTAGATTGACAGGTGTGAAAAGAGACGGAGAGACTGCATACAGGTACATCACAAGCAAGTAGATGAATTTCCTTCCCTACGTTGCTCATGTACGCTAAATTTTACCTGATTAACCTTGGAAGTACCATGTGTGTTTAAAAAGAGAATCAAAAAGGAAGGGAAAAAAGAAAAAGCCGAGCCACATGCCAACTACAGTATACTTAAGTATTATAAATCTTTCCAGGGACGATGCTAAGATATTTCATTGACATATAAAACCCCAATAGAAAACTCAATCTGAAGTCGTGTCCAATGCAAGCATAATATCGGGATCTGAATCTAACAATGACCGGCCTTGAATAAGTTGACGGCGAGCCTCTGCACTTGGTGCGCCAAGCAACATGACAGGTGAGAGGAACGTAGCATCCTGGATCTCTTTGTTTGCTCCGGCCGCAAGTAATAGGCGAATCATCGCCTCGTTGCTTTTCAATGCAGCCTTTAACAAAGGTGTCCGGGAACGCGAGCGGCCAGTCAGGTCTGGATTGACCCGCTTATCTGTAAGCAGTATTTCGACCAGGTACTCTTCATTTACGTCGACCGCGATCTCCAAAGGCGTACGACCCGAAGAGAGCGCGTTGGGATCAACGTCTTTCCGATTCACAAGAAGATGAACTAACTCAGGCTGTTTATGCACGATAGCGCTATGAATAGGACCCTGTCTGTCTTCTCTGTACACAAATCCTGCATGAGCACCAGAAGATAGTAACATCTTCACAATTTCAGCATGGCCGTTTCGTGCAGCAAAGCATATTGGAGTAATTCGGTCCTTGTCGTAAGCATTCACTTTGATTTACGGCTGTGCCAAGAGTGTCTCAACTACCGCTGTATGCCCACGTCCACTCGCCTCGTAAAGAGGCGTGCGCTTTACCCGGTCCCAAACATTTGGATTGACTCCATAGTCCAAGAGCATCTTTACCGCGGCTAAATTGCCTTTTATTGCAGCGAGAAACAAAGGCGTGTATTTTTCGCGGTCAGATGTAGTCGGTAATTCGGCGGGACTCTTTGCATATCTCCAGGCTTGAAGGGCTCGCCTCAAAGTGGAACAATTTCCTGACTTGGCTGCAAAGAGAATAGCTGATCCGCCTGAATCCTCTGCATTGCGTAGGTAGAGTTGTGAAATGAGTGTTTGGTATGCACCACGATTGACTTGGACGAAAGAAGCAAGATCAGATTCTCTTTCAATCGTGGACGCAATTTGAAGCAGTATTTCTGATGGAAGTTGTGTTAAATGACATGACTTCGAGATGTAAGAAAATACCCGTGCACTGGCCCAGGATGTATCATGTTATGTAGCTGCTGCCAAGAGATCCAGACCATGTAATATTTCACGGTAATTACTAGTAATATTTCCAGGTTTCCGGCTTCAACCTCCTAGCTAATACCTACTTAGTGGCGGCCCACCTAGCTGTACTAACTTAAGGGAGTACGCGTATCCACCTGAATTTTGGATTCTTGGCAAAGTTCTAGGAACCTTGGAACCGGTCATTACCGATGTATTTTGAAAAGAGAGCCTCAATCGTCGCCCAGGCCCTATTACTTTGGGTCTGGCGAATGAAATAATTTCCCGATGCTACCAAAAGCTTCCACCTATGCAAAATCTAACACTTAGGTATCATGAAATCCTCAACAATCTACAGGTTAGACAAGAATTTCAAGATCAAATACAGATCTAAAAAACTTAGATTGGTAGATTGCATCACAATAAGACTTGACAACAACATCAACATCAAGCAAACCCTCCGTGTAGTATGATCCAAGAAGGTGGAAACACAATCAATAACATACAGTCCACTAAAGTGTCCAATTTTCACGATGCAAATGTAACAAGGCACCGAAATGGGCAAGAATAATAGTGCTTCAGGCTGTTTCTCTGCCAAGAGATCTATATTGAACTGAGATATACTTTCGATTCATCAAGATAACAGAGTAACGATCAGGAGTCGAGGATGTTTGATCAAAATGGTATTTCTGTGGGAGTTGTTTATGAAGTTGTGAGCGGGCGAGAAACAAATTTGAAATTGACGTCTTCAAAGATGACCTTCCAACTGATGGTCGAGTGACCTGGCTGTGGAGAGACTTCTTTCCCAGTATCTAGCACTTTTGGCTTGGCCAGATCATTGAAGGCTCCTTGGTCGACAGAGGATCTCAAAAGGCTCGAAGCCTGCCACAGATTTCGGATTGAGCCCCCTTATATTCGCGAGTCCCCTGGTCTCTGATTCAGCAACCGTCTTTCATGTTAGAAAATTCGATAGGCACAAAAGTGGCGCGGGAGGTTGCTGCAAGATAGACATGGTACTAAAGGTCGAGGAATTTGATTTCTTTAACCCATATGGAGGGTTACTTATTATTAAACAATTAGCAACGAAATTCTATCGTCATCAGCTCTTATGATTTTCGGCGTTTGTGCCGAACTTGCTTGGCTTTGATGGCACATACTTTGACCTGAGTACCTATTGTATATACTAATTCTTTATTAATACAGGTCCTTGCTCGAAAAGATATTGGTTTTCTTGAGAAGGATTCGACTCAGCCGAACTGAATAAGCTACCTAGGTAGTAGCTCACCGTTTGTCGCCATAGGTTGGGCCCAAAAACTGGCCCCATTGATACAATTGGCCTACATCCCCGTGTACCCAACAAGGCCAGTCGTTAGTCTCGGCGTTACTTAGTAGAGCCATGTCCGCTGCCTCCCATAATGTCTGACGAGTAGAGCGGATCGTTCTTCCGCACTCATCATACCATACGACCAGGACTTTTCCTACGTCGGGTCCCTCGGATGTAGATGCAAAGGTAGTTGCATCGGCCACGTACATGCGGCCCATGATTAGCTCAAAATGATACTCCTCGAAGGAGATCTCCCACGGGAGCACCTTCACCTTCATATTCCTGGTCCTCAATTCCTTCCTGGAGGGTCCTTTGTGTCTCTTCTTCGTAATCGGCAACACTCTTTGCAGATTCTAGTAGTTGTGGTATGCAAAGAGAGATTCTTTCATACTCAGCACCAAAGCTATATAAGGTTGAATCACTGAATAATGAAGGATGGTCTCACTTCACCTCCATCGCGGAATACTGTTGTTGTAATTGGGTTTTAATAGTCAACCAAGTATTCTCTGATGATGGTTCATAGCAGGTCCGGAGCCATATAGGAGGTTCACCAATTTCTTCGCATTCTGCACTTGGCGGATGTATACGATTCAAAACCTCTTCTTCAGAGGCTAAGAGATCCTGCGCGAATCTAATCCGACGTTCTCTCATTTGGTTCGCGTAAGGCTATTATAAAAAAAATGAGCGCTTTATCACAGGGTTGGTGGGAACCAGAATAATATACCTCACGGCCACGAACTCCGAGTTTTATAAATTCAGAGAAAAGATATTCGCGTTGGGCCTCCGTAGATAGGGGCTAATATTCTTGCCATCGCTCCTAAGATGTTATTAGATTCGTGCGGGCACTTAAAAAAAAAAGCGCTGGCTGAGCATAATGGTCTACCAAGAGAAAGAGATCCGCTTCCCAAACACCTAGATCGGTCATTCTAGGTCCGAATTAGTGACCACGAGGGCTAGTAGGCGTTTGTTGGGTAAACTGTGAGGAATTTTGGGATACGGTCCACCTTTTGTTGTTACAAGACCTGTGGTAATGCTTATCGGTTCTTATCTCCAGCAGTGCCAGTGTTGGAAGTGGACAATGTCTACGGAGGCGAACAGGGACCAGTTTATCAAAACCCCTAAAACCAGGCAGAAATATTGTTGAGTTTCAGCAGTCTTCAAAGCCGCTGAGGTTTTGATGGCTATCTGGCTATCCCTGAAATGCACTGAACCCTATATGGTATAGTGGATAGTTGGGAATTGTGTATAGCCCACTTTCTCTCAAGGGTGATAGTCGACAGACATCTTCAATAATACTCAATTGCTGGCATATACTATCGCTCCTCCTAGATCCTATCCCTCATCTCAACAGTGGGCAAGAGCCGATATGGTGTTTGAGAAAGCGGGATTAATATAATCACAAATCAAGAGAGATAAATGGGTCTTGGAGTGAGTAGAGACAGCACCCAAGTGATGCTCTTGGAATGAGTAGAGACAGCACCCAAGTGATGCACTCGGGCTCATAACTTGTTGTCTTGCAAAGGGAAGCTTGTTAATCATCTTTGGAGGAATACTCGAGGCTATATATACAACATGAAGTTCAAGTTGATTTCGAATCAACTTGGCGCTTCCTAAACATAGAGCAGGAATGATTCCGATGTTGCGGCTTTATTCCTGAGCAGCAACGAACCCGTAACCTCCCAAAAAATCAGGGAGGCCAATCCCGCTTTTCTAAAGGCTAGCCTCGGAGCGCTTACCCCTACGCTATCGCTATGGCCCCTAGGGTGGATATAGGTCCCATTCCAGCTCCTCGCCTTGACTATTCAACCACGGCAAGCAAGCATCCCACAAAGCCCTAACTTCCTCATGTTCCCCAACACTCAGTAGTTCCTCCCAAACCTCCCGATCCGCTCTCTCACACCACCCCAAAAATGAAACAACGATGAAATCCGCAAACCCCGGCTGATCACCCTCAAAGAATGGCCCAGGTCTCCTCTGGTTCTCGTCCTCCCCGCGTCCTCTAAGCATGCGTACGATCACCGCAAACTCCTTCCTCAAGTCATCCACCATTGCTCTAATACTCGCTTGATCCAGTGGCCTGACCTCGTCTAACGGCTTCCCAAATTTCGCCGAGCGAGTTTGAACAAAGTACTCGCGGCCCTTGGGATCCAAGAACGCTGCCACAGGAGGCACGAGAACGCGTAGACCCGGTGCAATGACATGAGTAATAAGCCGATCCACAGCCTGGGCAAGCGCGTAGCTCGCAGCACCGGAAGGAAATAATGTTGGGGTTGGCGCGATCGCGTCTAGGTGGTCGGCAATCGCGAACGAATCCATTAGTGCACCGTGTGGGTTTGATGGGGAGATGAGCGAGGGGTGGCGGATTGCTGGGAGGGTGTGTGTGAAGGGACTATCCTTCGGACTGTTCGGCGGGACTTCCAAAAAGGAGAGGACGGGGGCAATATCGGGGTATGAGATCCAGGACTCGGTGTATGGGATGTTCTTAAAGTTTAGGACGAGGCGGGTTTTGAGGGTGTTTGGGGACCAGGATCTTGAAGGGCCTGGGAGGGTGGAGTCTATGTCGAAAAAGTTTACCTTGGGAGTTGCTTTGCCCATGTCGGTGGAGGATATAAGAGGATTGAATGAGGATAGAAAATGCCAGCGTGGACGACTGCAGTTGGTAGAAGGGGTGATGTGTGATCATGAGTGGGAGCATACCCTTTATACCCATCGTTTTGGAAGTGGTGTTCATACCACCTCGTGTACCCCATATGTACCATGTTGCAGTAATCTATAAAAGTGGACGTTACATTCTTGATCGTATGTAATTTTAGGGTGCCAACTGCCAGTAGAGTTTCATTTACCGGGGACCTATGCGTTGTTACATTCCTTTCATGAGCCCTAGATCTTGACCTCAACTCTGAATCGAAAATCGCCACGTTCATGTCGTCTGCTGCTTTTCCAGTGTATTCCGCATTGCCGTCCTCCACTCCGTAAATAAGCCACAATAATCATTCATCCCATGAGGCTGCATCCAATGAGCCCAGAAACCTGCTTTTCGGCGCGTTGAGATCCCGAGGTCCCTCAAAAGTAGATCAAGGTAGGGTAGAATATCAAAGACAAAGTTCGGATAGCGGTGGCCCCCAGTTGCTCGAGGAGACCGCCATCTGCCGAACTCTGTATGCTTCGTCGTCTCCAACATCCAGTCTGCGATAGTCATCGTCGTAAGCGGACTTGAGGCTGGAAACTCGTTATTGAGAAAGGCCGCTGCCCAAAGAGCCTGTACTTCCGCTAGAAGCGTGGTGTTGAGCGTCATTGCATACCCAAGAAACACGATGGATCTGTCAGGGAACATAGCCGGTGGAACCATGAACCGTGCTAGACGGAGGGGGTTCCGGTCTGGGGCATGTCCTCGCTTTGAGGGTGGGTGCTCTCGAAGCTTCGGAAATTGGTGGTTTATGAGCTGATTGACCTCCTCACGGAGGTGCTTTGGTATGACGTCTGGGTTTCCTGGAAAACCAAGTTTGGTGGAGATATCCTCAGGCAGAAACCTGATTCCCGACTTCTCTTCCCATCCCGTGCAGCAAATCAATATGTCTGCATCCAGCTCCTCCTGGTTTGAGAGGTGAACTCGTTTCCTGGACAACCTATCGATATCTGCGATGTGCACTCTGACCTTGCCCTCCCGAACCAGGTCAAAGAAATCGGTGGAATAATTGAGAATGCCCAAAGAAGTCGCCACCCAAAACGGTGACACTGACGGCCTCAGCTTTTGCGTCTCCAAATGCTCACGATATCTGTTGGTCCTTTCGAGACTGAGTTGCATCATGTCCCAGAACGCATCCATTATCTTACGACCAAGCCATGAAGATTGAAGCCATGTGTAGAATGTACCAGCCTCCTGGTTCCAGGCGCATGGGCTGAATAGTGAACAGAACCGGGTCACTGGGAAGCTTTCCAGCATCCTCTTGAAGGGCCACCCAACATATGCTGGCGCCATCCACGTCGGCCCGTAGCCGGATTCACGGATTACCCAGTCTACAGCGAGTCCCCGCGTTGCACACGAATAAACAACGTCCCAGGCCGATTTGGAACCTCCAAGCACAGTAACCCGTGTTTTGTACTCGAGTATATCGGCTTCATGCGATGCAAAATCATGAAAATGTAACAAATGTGAGTCTGATCTGAAATCATCCACCCCGGCAAACTGCGGCATAAACGGCCGAGACGTCAGGCCAGCTGCAACAATCAGTTTAGAGGTCTTGAGAATATTTTCCCGTGCCTTTGGAGAGCCCTCGATAATACTAAGTGTCCACCTGCGGTCGGACGCATATTCAGCGCTCTCGACCCGGCAGTTCAAGCGGAGCTTATCCCCAAGCCCAAACTTCTTGACAGAAGCCTCAAAGTATGCACACACCACGTCTCCTGGGATATGCTGACCCTGTCGAACCGCAAAATATTCCTCGGACATTGGAAAGTCGCTGAACTCATAGGATCCCAATAGATTGTTGGTTTTCAGTCCATGGTATATTCGCTCCTTGGCCCAGACGCCTCCGACCGAGGATGCACCATCTAGGATCACCATTTTCTGGGATGGATAGGCAGCATGATAAGTCTTTGCAGCAGCAATCCCGTGCCATCCTGCGATCTTTCAATGAGTGGATATTCTACCTAGGGAGAGGTACGGCTCACCGGCACCGATAATGGCCACGTCGACCTGTTCCATCGGGAGCTGTGGGGTGTTAAAGATGAGATCTCCTTTGACTCGCGTCGGTTTGTGCTCTGAAGTAAGCTCTATGAAGAGTCAATGCTGCGTCTGAATTATATTGCAGGATGTCGCGCCACTCATCCGGTCTTTTGCAACATGCGGCCTACTGTGACGTGACCCGTGCATGATATCTGACAAACAGAAACAATAGGCATTACTTGAGACTGCAACATAGATATGTAACTCTCTGCATTCGGGTGTCTTTACTGGAGCGGGCGTGCTTCTATGATCTCATATCTCACATCTGACTCTGAAACGGGAGACAGTCTCCCTTGGTACTTCAGTAGTGCACGACTACGCTGAGATAGACCATACTCTGTCCAAATGCAGTTGCCAAGTGCTCTTCCGTTGATGTAACCTATTGGCCGCATGAGTTCTAGTTGGCTATGATGATATGATGCTATCATCGATCCATGGCCTATCTGCCTAGTCCCGAAGTGCTCCTTCGACGCCGAATGATACGGCTACAGTACCGATCATTCAATCACTCCACCGGAATACTAATGTATGACGGCAATGACTAGCGAGAATAGTGACGAATGAACCAGGAGTGCACAGATAGTGGCGCTCTGTAGACGGCGCACCGCCCCAGAGTCTGGCCGAACGCGACCGTTTCTGAACCCAAGAGGTCTATAAATACCGGGCATTACCTTACCCTGCGCAATATACAGGACTATCCTAAGCTGAATCCTACTTGTTAATATGTCTGTCCCTCATTCCTGCACGGTTCTCGTCATCGGTGGCGGGCCCGCGGGCTCCTACGCGGCGTCCGTGTTGGCTCGAGAGGGCATCGACTGCGTGGTGCTTGAAGCCGAGAAGTTCCCTAGATACCATATCGGGGAGAGTCTGTTGCCCTCTGTGAGGTATTTTCTCGATTTTATTGATCTGTACGATACCTTCAACGGCCATGGGTTCTTACGCAAGGTATGGCGGTCGAGACATATCTCTCATGGATGTACAATAATTGACTTTGGCTGTGACTGACTGAGCGCAAACAGAATGGGGCAACGTTCAAATTCAACTCCAAGCAACCTGGATGTAAGTCCCTTATTTGCTAAGACCAGAAAACATCATCCCTCTAATTAGCCGTGCAATAGACACTGATTTCGTCGGCGCCGGAGGCGCAGGCAATCACGCGTGGAACGTCCTTCGCTCCGAGGCAGACGAAATCCTGTTCCGGCACGCCGAGAAGAGCGGAGCGAATGTATTTGATGGGGTGAAAGTGCAGAGTCTCTCCTTCACGAAGACAATCAGCAGCACAAGCACAAGGGTCGGCAGCGGCAGCAGCGAAGAAAGGCCAGGAAAACCAGTCTCTGCATCCTGGATCCGCAAGAGCGACGACAGTTCCGGTACGATCCAGTTCGATTACTTGGTCGACGCCTCGGGGCGCGCGGGCCTGGTGAGCACAAAGTATATGAAGACGCGGATCCCCAATAAGCAATTGCAGAGTATGGCCGTTTGGGGATACTGGAAGGGCGCAGGGACGTATGGGCCTGGTGCCGGTGATCCATTCTCTGAAGCCCTCACTGACGGGAGCGGGTGGGCGTGGTTCATCCCCCTGCACAATGGCATGGTCTCGGTAGGGGTCACGATTAAGCAGGAGCGAGTCGTGGCGAAGAAGAGAGCATACGGATCCAGCGCGGATAGGGAGTTTTATCTGGCGTGTCTCAAGGATACGCCGGGAATCGCGAAGCTACTTTGTAATGCTGAACTGGAGACATCGGATATCAAGTCAGCCGCGGATTGGTCATATAATGCTAGTGAATATGCGCATCCGCACGTACGCATTGCTGGGGACGCGGGATGCTTCATCGACCCGTTGTTCTCCTCAGGAGTACACCTCGCCATGACCGGGGGCCTCTCAGCAGCTGTGACCATCTGCGCCAGCCTGCGGGGGAACTGCACGGAGGAAGAGGCAATCAGATGGCATTCGGCCAAAATAGCCGAAGCGTACACACGCTTCCTACTCGTGGTGCGCAGCGCGATGGAGCAAATTCACGGGAAAGAAAAGGCCGTGCTGAATGGGCTGAACGAGAACAATTTCAACGCGGCATTTGACCACTTCCGTCCGATTATCCAGGGAACGGTCGATGCAGGTGGAAAGCTCCCCAAAGCGGAAGTGGACAAGTCGGTGGAGTTTTGCACGAAGGTTATTCACAAGGTGGAGAGTGGGTGTTTGGCGGATCTGGATAGTACGCCTGGTGCTAAGTTCACTGCTAGGGGCGCCGCTGCTACTTTCTCGGGTAGCAGTCAGTGTGATGAGGTTATGATGAAGATGGTCCGCATGAATCGGATTTTAGACCTGAACAGCTTCAAGGCGGATATTGTCAATGGGATGGCGCCTAACATGGAGCGGGGGACATTGGGGCTGGTGAAGCAGGTACCTGCCTAACCTACTGGGAGCTAGATGCTGGGTATCTATCAGCATTGCCATCAGTTGACAAGAGGTATATTCTTGATTTTCAGTCTCTTGCCACTTGGGGCCTTGAGGAACAATGCGATTGTTATATCCACACCTGCTGCTCGCCCGGGCATTATACAGTCAAAACTCTCCAAACCCGTTCATTGCCAAGTCTCTGTGATAGTCAAATCGTACTATATTTTAGAAATTTGTTCTAAGCCTCGCTTATCGCCTGATCTCGAAATCAATAAGGCACACTACATCCCGGTCCACAATCAGTGTTGCAGCATATAAATGTAGCCCGCACGCATACAAAAACCGCACCTCAAGCTTTGGAAAGTCATAGCAACGCATTTCGTGCTGCCGTACAAATGTACTATGACCCTGTCCTCAAGACTTCGAGGAAGGGTGATCTTCCTCTTCCGCAATGACTCCAACACCGTCGCGGAACTATCAAATCCTCGCCCAACTCCTTACGTTGACGAAAGGTCGTAAATCCTGGCCACAGCCACAAATGTCTGGATCTGCGGTACCCCCATCATAGTCTGGGACACTAGCGCCCAGACACCGGAAAGGACAGATGTCGATTAGCGTGCCGGGATTGAAGTCGAAGCCGCATTGTGGGTCGAAGAAATCGACGTATCGCTCTAAGAATGTTGAGAGTCGTCCGTGGGCTTGGGCCCGGCTGGCGAATTTAGTTACTTCCATATTTGGGTGTTCACCTGTATCAATGCTATAGACGGCGAATTCTCCACGCGCGGATCTCGCAGCAAGATTCGCAAACCTCTCCAGGTTCATATGGATCCTTTGGACGATCCCCTCGGTCTCTCAATATATGCTGTGAGATCTGCTTGAGTCTGCCATTTAAGCTCAGGGTTGTCGAACTGTCCCAAACGTTCACATATTTCCAGGTAAGGCCTGCTTATCATTAAAATGGATGATCTGGTGCTCGAAGACGTCAGAGACCAGTAGATGTCTTCGACCTGATCCAAAAGGGTCTTTTGCGACTCCCATTCACATTCGTCCACAGCATCGACTATAAAGTACTACCACCCGCCCGTGCTGTGGATCCTAATATCTATTAGGATCCGCTATAGAGCGTCAAATGATTCAAAAGGCTCATCGTTCCGCAAACTTTATTCTTTCGCTAGCCAAGACCTGGGCTTTCGGTGATTTTAGACCAGCTGATATAGCAAAACGTCAACTCCATCAAGGTCTTATGCTCTGAAGGTATCACGTGCAACATTGTCTCCTCGGCACTCAGCAGGAGAATAGTCAACGAAATCCCAAAGAAGATCACAAGCTAGGTGAAACACCACGCCCACCCTTGCTCCACAATATAGCCGGCTGCAATGGAAGGAAGAAAATTGCCCGCAATTAGTATAATTCCGAAGAGTGCCAAAACCCTTCCGCGTTGGTGAACAAAATGAACGCCCATTAATGACGTGATCATGGTTGACTAGGCAGGTGCAGAGCCAAACCCAGCAATAGTCTGGTATGCAAAAAAGAGGCGAGAGCTGGTCCTAAATCAGCCACATAAGAGACCACATATAATCAAGCCGAGGATATAGGGGATTCATCGACCGTACTTAGTCGCCCACGGCTGAATGATAAACACCCCGAAACCGCACATGACACCGAGCAATGCTTGGCCGTACGTCAATATTGTGTAGCTTGTGTCAAGTTCCAATGTTCAAACCATCCACGCTGGCGAAGTCCATGCAATGCTTTCAATATTCAAAATGTATTTTGATTCAGTGAAGGTATACAGCAAAAAAATTCAAAATTGGCTACATGGGTGATATCCTCATGCGCCGGATGAAGGATCCACGATTTTCACTTCGCATTCCAGTTGAGAAATTTGTACTCAACGAAAGTCATCTGGCTGCTATTCTAAATTAGAAAGGTTAAAGCTCGGAAGTGGCTTTTCGTTGATGATAAAGTACAGCTCCAACCTCCCACACCCCTCCTCAAGCCTCAGAACTAACTGCAAATTCCCAGATTTGCCATGTGCCTTGTTGGATTCAAGCTGGAAAACATATGCTACGAAGCTTTCTACTCGCCAAAGATCGCGACCCCCACTTTTCATACGATTGACCTTTCTGGTGCAACGATTTTTACGGTTCAGACAAGGAAACTTGCATGGCAGTGCAGGAACCCATGGCTCTATCAGTACTATGGTGGCCTAGATGACCCGGAAGAGTGGATCGATGAAGAGTACTTTACCTCCTGAATAAATCTTTTGCAACTTGCGAATCCATGCAGTAAAATATTAGCACAACACACTAGCTCCGTAGATTACTGGTACCCTATAGAGAGATTCGAAATAGCCCTCCCTCAGACACATGTCTTCTTCCACACAGACGCAAATCGCGGGGTGTCAGACTAATAGACCCGCTACATGTACCGCTTCCTTAGTGCCCTTGTTATTCATTCGATTATCTATTAATTGGGAGTGAACTCAATTGTCTGGCTGAAGACCTGTGAAGGAGTCTATGTTCAGCTGCACAAGCCGTTGAGAAGTAATTAGCGACCGTTATTAAATCATATCATGAATAAGCGGTAGCTTGATAGGTGTAATACAGTATCCACATACTAATTGTACACAATTAACATTTTGACCTCTGGCACAATGTTGGTCGGGTTGGAACAAGTTTGAAACCCCCTCCTCCTCCTCCAATTTTGTCCTCATCAGTACGATCTCTTCGGGATCCATTTACACCTATGTTCGCAATATCGCGAGCGAAGTACGCGAATGGAAATGAACACCATCTATCAAACTTATAAGCAAAAGGTCCCATGCACTCTTGGCTCTTTGAGCAACTTCTGCCACAGATCATTAGCAAAGTGCCACAGGCTCGCGTTTCGTTACTCATATTTGTATCTGTCAATGGGTCTTGTCAGATGAACACCAAGTGCCAATTTGTTCTTTTCTAAAGGCCAACACATTCAGTGTGAATCTGGGAAACACTTAGCATCCTCAGTATCAGCACAGTATGGAAAGCTCTGAAAGAACTTCACATAGTTTGGTACCATAGTGTCCACTTAGAATCACATCGTGCACGGCGCCCAGCCTTTGGCGATCATGGCTGGCTTTTCCCCGCACAATGCATAACCGAGCTGAATGGCATGGCAATGGGCGAGTCTTGTAGCAGTCTGCCGTGGAGAGCTTTACCGTAATATCAACAATAATGAATGATCGGTGGGAACAGACGAGAATGAGACAAGTGTAGACTCAATTTGGTCCACACTGACGCCATGAATCTTGCCAAGCAAATTCGCATACTGGGGGCACGCTCTGGTATTTCGATCAACGTTCCTGTCTTTAGCGGGATCAGGCACTCGGTACCTCCACTGAACAGAGGATTCGACACGCACGGGACTTCAATTACAAATTATACATGCCATCCTCGACCCAACCGTAGCGATTTTTGGGCCTGGTCACGCCTCGTACAGTATCAGAAGCAGCGAAGAGCCTCTAACACGCCCACCCTCCATAAACGGCGGACTCTTCTGGCACCCATGGTCGGAGGTGGAAGGCGAGGAGCCTCATTGATCTTTCTGTGTTAATTTGAGCCGGAATATCTTCAAACTACTCTCATAACCGACAATTTAATGGTAAACTTGGGCTCTAGAACAGGCTCACCAACACAGAATTATCATGTAAGCCATCATCGGCTTGCCATGAATCAAGACCTTCACTCATAAGTTATACTACTTCCTAATTCAAAAGAACTGGGCGGATACTTGAGCAAAATGGAAAGTCAAACGCCAGTTTAAAGAGATGGAGTCTCAACCTGAGATATTACATCTCTCAGCAATTTCAATGCTTCCCGCGCAAACACAACCATATTCGCCGCTCGATCATTACTTCCCGTCTCAAATTCCCGCGTAAACTTCCCCTGGGCACTCGATACAGCCAACGCTACATATCCACTAGATATTGTTAAAGATATGCCGAATTATAGACATAAATCAATTAATCACTTACGGCGTCCGGTTCTTCGTCGTCCCACCCGTCGGTCCAGCCGTGCCACTCTCGCTAATCGCATAAGTCGAACCCAGGGTAAGTCGGCTATGGTCAGCCAAGCCAGCGACAATCTCAGTAGTGGGTCCTGTGTAGCCATTCACGCTTTCAGATGTCCAGCCGCCAAAACTCAGGCGGGATTCTAGTGTGTACACTGTGGTTCCGCCTTTGTATATGGCTGATGCTCCCGGGGCGGAAATGAGACAGGCCGAGATGAGGCCACCTGCGGCCTATAGTAATATTAGAATCTTTATCTAGGGTTCTTGGTAATGAGGTGATACACCAGTGATGTACCTACCGTCTCAGCAACAGAAATGGTTTCATTTCGGGCTCTGAGGAGGTCGAACACTTCCTGAATGAGGGGTTGGAGACTCGGTGGAGGAAACTCTGCCATTTTATTAGATACTCAGAGGGAGTCACTCTGCTTGCTGGTGAGGTCAATTGATTCAACATTTAACAAGAAATAATCTAATGATTACAAATAATGGCCCGAGATGATTAATAATGGCGTGAATCAGTCTGGCGCGCGGGGACCAGCGGGGTAATTCAGGATGTTGACTAAGCGCCTTTATTTGACCAGGAACTATTTATTTATACAGCAAACAATCTCGAAAATATCTGATTGTATTTTTTTCTTCAGTCACCAATGGTCCAAAGCGTCGGTGAATTCAAATCGGAAGCTCAAATCACCCTTCTTCTTTCCCGGTGCGGCAGCAATCATAGACCTCACTAGTGGCTCTTGGAAAAATATTGCTTAGATTGTCCAGTGAGGAATAAGGAATCAGACTGATCACTCGAGCGTAGGGTCCAGAGCCATGATAAAGAGGCATCTTGATCAATTGCATTGGATGCGCTGCCGGAGAAGATAGTCGTACGGTTCGTATCGACCCTACCATGCTCAAAGTACTCAGAATCCTCGTTCAGGTTTAGTATTATTGTTAGTTCAATGCATCCCGTAAACTTTGGGAAGGTAGCTACATGACATACTCGTGCCAGCGGCGAGGCGCCTCGATGTTTTTATTAGTCATCTCCGCCCGAATCCAGCTGGTCGCCGACTCGCTGTTATCAACCCAGTGTTGCCGATTACTTCCTACGGTCAGTTTGATTTACCCATGATGCCAGCTCCCTACCCAAGGGCATGTATACTCTGCGCAAAATCAAAGAGAAGATGCGATATGGCTTCTCCCCGCTGTTATCGCTGTAAAGTTCGGTCTCTGGAGTGTCAATACCACCATATATCGACCATCAATCCACAACCTGATTCAGAACTCAAATCTGATCCGCAAATTTTGGCGAACCCTGTCGACATCGATGAGCCATCTGTAGATAGTTCTCTTTCGCAAATCGCGTCGAATGGTGACCTTTCTCTCCAAGATCCACAGATAAACATCACACTCCCAGCTTTCCCCGACTATAATCTCGACTGGCAGGATATAATGGGAAGCATCCAGGACTTCTCGGTGCCTGATCAAATAGGTATCATTGAATCCCCCAGCAAAAGTGTGCTGGCAGGTGAAATCTACCAAGAACGAATTGTTTACTCTGTTGAACGACTGAAGTCTATGCCAAGGCTTTTCGCTATCGAAGGTCAAACGCCTTTTATACACAAAAATCTATATGAGATACATCCACCTTGCGCTATCACGGATGCTCTAGCCGCTTGCGCGCTATATACTCAGAAAAATGAGGCGAATCAGGGGCTTGTCTATCGTAGTCTCAGTCAACAGGCGGACCGCCTAGTGAAAAACTATGCGAGTTTCTCTGCAATAGAGCAGCTCGCCTCTGTGCAAGCCATGGCTCTTTTACAAATCATTCGGTTTTTTGATGGAGATATCCGTCAGCGAGCTGATGCCGAAAAGATTGAACCTCTTTTCGTTGAGTGGATACGCCATCTGCAGAATCGATTACAGCAACTCGGGGACAGTGAAAGTGACAGCAGTGGAAATACCATGCGGCTGGATTTGAGTCAAACGGCAGATACGTGGCAAAACTGGCTATATATGGAAAGCCTCCGCCGAACCATCATTGTGGGATATACTTTGCAGGGGCTTTATTGCTTTCTCAAGAACGGATGGGACGAATCGCATCATGAGTTCAATAGTCTATCTTTTTATGCGCAAAAAGCACTGTGGAGTGCAACATCAGAGTTCCAGTGGAAGTTGTCTTTGAAGGAATATCTCGCTCTCCCGATTCGATTCAATCAATGGGATGCAGATATATCAAATGTCACGCCAATGGATATTGATGAGCTTGGTATGATAATGATGGCTTTAGTCAAAGGCGTTGACTACTGTTCTCAGTGGGCTGGGGTCAGTTTTGTTGAGACATTTGGCCTGGTGTCATAAGCAATAGTCGAAAATCGAGTCTCATGTGTTATTTGTTAAGACCAGGGTCTTAGGGGGTTGGATGGATGGGAGTGATAACACGGCACAGCGTACTCCTGTACTGCTGCTGTCTGGATTGATGGTAATATAATCACTGGAGAGCTGTTATGCAGCTCTCCCGCCGTGCTACTTCTGTTGTGCGGCTTAGCTAAGCGGATCACCGGCATACCGGGTCAACCCTTCTCCGGCCCAACTCCGTTAGGGCCCTTCGCATGTAGAAGTATACTCCTCTGCCTATACTCTTGGGTTCTGGCCCCTCTCGTATAGGTCTTCCTAGACGTGTCGTAACATTATTGTTTTCGGATTTTCTAGAACGTTCATTTGGTCAATCTTTGTTCTGCGAAAATCTTCCATATTCGGAGGTCGATAATGTCAATTCGTCGAACACTAATTGGTATAAAGCAGTTCAGAATATCTGTCACCTTCTTCACTTTTGATATATTCTCAGACTGGCTTGTCATGGCCTACTTATGTGAGGGGGGCCAAGAGACATCATTTCCCGTATTGATTCAGTGGAGATAACAAGGAGCGGAAGACTAGCCCTTTTGGGTCTAAATTTCTATAACATGATTGGCTGCGGAAGCTTGGTGGGTCGAGTTCCGCACCCCATACCTGTATGCGACGGAATCGTTGAATGTCTCTCAATGAGAAGCCTCCGAATAGAGGGATTCAAGTACAAGGAACATTTGCTGCTTCAGGTGCCAGCTGGTGCTATAGTATGCCCTTAACAAATAAGTCCCGCCCAAGAGTGAGCCATTTGTAAGCCCAGCCCCCAGCAACATTACGTATAAATACTAGATCGTTCTCGATGGATTGGCATATTTTTAAACATATCCTTGACAACCATCTAATAAATTCTTTCCCCGCTTCCTCGACCGATCCATTGCCGTCACCTACGACCTGATCATGTCTGAGCCCAATATTTCGATAGGACCATGGCTAGTCCAGCTGTTTACAAAAATATTTTTCCAGCCAGATGATGGCGTGTCTAGTCAGGCCTTCGATCACGGTGTCAGTCCCGATCTTGTGGTCAGGTAAGATGTCGCCTCTTTGCCCGCTATTTGAGCCTCACTAACTCTACAGAATTAACGGAAAACATCTGGGCTACCATGAATTTCGAAGCGTAATCCAAGATACTCGTGCCAAAAAATACATATCGGAGCAAAGTAACGACGAATTACTTGCGTCGCAGGCTGATCCAGAAGGCAAAGGGGGATCCGTTGCTCAGCTCTCTCATTTCACTTTTAAGGATAAGGTCACTGGACATGAGATCTATTCATCAACTGTGATTCTAGCCACTATAGAATGGTCAGAAGGGACACGGCTTCTAACACAGTTGACGGAAGTGACACATTAACAGATGGTTTAAATGTCCAATGTTGCTTCAAATGTTGAATCACACATGTGCTTGTAATAGTTTGTCTTGAAAACATACACAATACCTGTCCAGATCAACATACTATGTACTAGTTCCCTGGGTAGCTACCTAGTTCATAAATCCACGAACCAGGTCAAATTTCTGAGTCCAACCAGTTCCTAAGATGCTTGAGCGACCGGCGGATGTGGTTTCAAGCTCCTGACTCCAGCGGAAACGTCCATTTAGCTTATCGCACGTAAATACACTAGAATTAATTAACGATATAATATAATTTTTCCTACTGTCTCATCATTACTGGTCGCATGACAATCAGATTATAATTTGTCTCTATGTATGGACTATCAAAGGCTTTTGTTCTGGGTAGCAATGGTATGATTTAAACGTAGATAAGTCCCGGGTGCGCGGCCCGACCACCTCCGATGCAACCCGTGGGAAACCCCGCAAAGTCCCATCTCCTCTCCGCATCACCGACTCTATGGGGCGCCCAAAGATTAACCCTGAAAACCGCCTACGGGCCAATACAGCATGCACTAAATGCAGAGCCTCCAAGAAGCGATGCAGTGGCTCATTCCCATGTACCAACTGCATTCGCAAGGGACAAGCCCGCTCCTGCATTCCTTTTAAATCTACACCAGAGAGTTCTAGCAGGCACGGGGAACAAACTCTTAGTTCCAGATTGAATACGATTACAGCATGGGATGAACCAAATCAGCCGTTCGAAACTCCTCTACCTTCTCAGATCCGTGCTACTAGTCCGTCGGATCGTCTGCTGGAGCGCCCGGCTGCGGGCTCGCGCTCGCCCGAGGCAACGCACCGGACGCATCCGCGGATGCTGCGCAATTTACAGGGAGAAAGAGGTATGACAAGCGATCCATTCTATACACGGTTGTTGAGAAAACTCAAATTAAGAATTCCTTCAACAGTATATGTTGGCAAGGCAGCGTCCTTGTCATTTCTGCAGCTCCTTCGAGAGACAGTGTATCAGCACATCGGACCGTCGCAATTCTCTCAAAATTGGAATGATAATATGCTGGAAAACGAAGCTCAACATGACACACTGAGCTTCTCCGAAGAAAGCTGCAGTGTAGAAGATAAGCGCCGCTTTATCTCCAACTTTAATGCGGTGGTCAGTATGACCCGACCCGACTCGCTGCTCATCTTTTAACCAATCAATAGACTAGTGGATTTCTTTACTTGGGATACGAAACCGAAGCATTGCTGGCGGAAACCAGAGAGCCCAAGACCGAGCGGGAAAAGACTCGTGCAGCCATTGTGGACCTGATGACTGCCATCGGCGCCCAGTCATGTTTGAACGAGCCCGACACAGTACAGATTGAGCGCTTTTTCTTTACTCGTGGGCAACGCAGGACGTTTGCCAACTTCCTAGAAGATCCAAGTATGGATATAGCTCGGGCATTTCTGCTCATGTCATTCTATATGCTCGGGGCGTGCCGTCGGAATGCCGCATTCATGTATCTGGGTGTCGCGGCTCGATCCGCTGTCGCTCTGGGACTTCACGAGGATTCATCGGGACTGGGCCAACATGAACAAGAAGAAAGGTTTGTCAATTTGATGAAAGCTTATGGTGGCTGTTAACCAGTGGATAGGTCAAGATTATGGATGAGTCTATGTGTGCTTGATCTTGTCACGAGCTCGATTCTGGGTCGGCCAGCAGCCACCTCGGCACTTTTACCAGATCGGCAACGCAGTCGACAAACCAACACAGCTGGCGAAGCTGGCTTATTTGCTTCATACCGACTGTCTTTTGTTTTAAGTGAGATAATTGGCCGCTTATATGGCGACCAGACCGCCTCCATTGAAAAGGCCGAGATCTTGCTTGCTAAGCTCAATCGATGGAGTCAACAACTGCCTGATTCTTTGCGCACCCCGGCTGAGAATGAAAACTCTGACGACGCACAGAAGCGTGTTATCGGAAACATGCATGTGGCATGCTTATACCACTTTGCGGTTATTCTTCTTACCCGTCCTTTTCTAATCTCTACGTTGAGCATACGCTTAGCAAGGTTACACCAGAGCGTCTCTACGAATGGAGTGAGTGATGTCCCTGAAGAAGATCCAGCACACTCCCGACTAGCAGCTGCTTGCATTGATTCTGCAGTCTATATGCTGCAAACATGTCTTGAACTGCACCAGTCTGATCTTCTCATGCGTAATATGTGCATCCTTAAGTAAGATCTACTATCCTACATCCTTACAGCCGATAAAAGATAACGACTAATCAAATTCACAAAGAGCTTTTGTCTTCGCTGCAGCCTTAGTCTTAGGATTTTCAATGTTTGCCCACCGTGCTGTTGACTCTGAAATCGACAGCGCATTCACAGGTGCCCTAACGATTCTGAAAATGCTGGCACGGCAATCTGCACAAGCGGCCCACTACCTAGAAATATTGACTTTGCTCGAAACTGCCGTCACCCAGCAGCGTCAACGCCTAGCTTCACAGGCCCGTCAACGTCGCAGCCAGTATGTGAGTCGGATATTCAGCTTGAATGATAGCCCCGACATGCCCCGTGAACAGAACCAGAATGAGATCCGACCCGACAGAGTAACCCCGCTCTTATCGCAAGGCCCATTGTTTCCCTGGACTCCACAAGGGGACGGCCCGAATACATTTACACCCCCAGTGTTAGATGGCACGTTTTTAGATTGGGAGGGTATGGAGTTGCCTTTATGGGATAGTTTTCCTTTCACCGAGCCAGGCTCATGTGCTCTATGATGTATATAAATTTAGCATAATGCATGTGAACAACATTAGAAAATAGCCGCTACAATCCTATCTGTGAATAAGACTCCTCTTTTTCTATCGCCAGAAAGGCTTGAGCTATGATAACAGTGTATCTCTTGGACGAATCAGACATTGCGTTGCCGCCCGACAATAAGCGGGTCCCGCGCAACGATGCGACCCGACGGTGCATTATCCGACATTAGTCTACGCAATGAGATACGACCAGAACAAGATAAATAGCAAAAGCATGTGTTATCTTTTCTTCTTTAGACCTACAAATATTACTTCTCCTCGTATCCCTCTTTGATCTTCAAATTTATCAAACGAAGCTTGCGACCCCTCTTCAAAAAACGCACATCTGCAAACTTATCTCCTTTGGTAGAAACTCAAAACTCTTCCAACGACAAGCATCTTTCAAAACAATATAAAATCATTTCAAGCAGCATGACTTGGCTACCAGGTTGGCAACGTTTGAACGTGGCCGTCGTGGGTGGTGGCATCGGTGGCATGTCAGTTGCGACTGCTCTACGCCGTGCAGGTCATGAGGTGACGATCTATGAAAGAAACGACTTTGCTGGTGAAGTGGGAGCTTCAGTCTCCTGTGCTGCTAATGGGACCCGCTGGCTGCATGAGTGGGAAGTAGACATTGCCAAAGGTGACCCCGTTACCCTTCGAGGTCTTATCAACCGGGACTGGAAGACCGGCGAGCCTGTCAGTGAGGTTAGCCTGGATGATTATGAAGAAAAATGGGGATATGTGTACTACATGTTCCACCGACAGCAGATGCACTCCATGCTGAAGGATGCAGCGTTGGGTGAAGGCAAGGGTACCCCAGCTAAGTTGATGGTGAACTACCGAGTGAGTTACAACTGAATTCCGATCCCCAAGCTGGAGGGTGGGCTTTTAACAAATGCTTCTAGTGCCGAGACGTTGATCTAGAGACCAACACTATTACTTTTGAAAACGGAGTCACTGTGAAACACGATCTGATCATCGGCGCCGACGGTATCGGATCGGCAGTTCGGGGCATTCTGGGTATTCACCCCGAAAAGCGTCTCTCAGACCAGACATGCTTGCACGCCAACGTTGATGCCGATGAAGCCGAGAAACTCGGACTCGTCAACTACTCCGAGCACAGTGCACTAGAATACTGGGGTGGCCAGGAAGGAAAGTGGGACAAGATCGTACTGTCGCCTTGCAATGGCGGAAAGCTCCTTTCGTACTACTGTTTCTTTCCTCGCGAGGAAGGCGATGTTTCCAACCAGGCATGGGGCTCAGAGGGCCGACCCGTTGAAGATCTCCTGAAGCACTACCCTCAGCTTGACAGGCAGGTTTTCAAGCACCTCGCCATCGGCAAGGAGATTCAGCCTTGGCGTCTCTGGGTCCACGATCCGTATCCTTACCTCCGACAAGGTAAAGTCTGTCTATTGGGCGATGCTGGACACCCGATGATGCCGCACCAAAGCCAGGGCGCTTGTATGGCTATCGAAGATGCGGCGGCGTTGGGGATTCTCTTCAGCAAGGAGTATTTCAATGGGAGAATTGAGGAGTCTCTTGCCGTTTACCAGGCGATTCGCCTTCCCCGTGTCACTCGGGTGCAGGCTGCTGCTGCGAAAGCAGCCTACAACATCAATGAGAGAATTGGTGAGTCCACACATTAGAAGGCAAACTTTGTATCAATTCCTGACTGTTACGTTCCAGGGTTCTCTGCAAACAAGAACATCGCCACTTACAAGGTTGAGGATCCGAAGAAGATCCTCACTCTTGAAGAGATGAACGCGTGAGTTACTCTGATATCAGTTGCCTCCCACTTTTGATACTAATGAGGTATGCAGCTATGATATGTATCGCGACATCGAGGAAAAGATAGCGGAAATGAAGGGTCTCAAATATGAGGACCGTTTCATCTGTGGACTGCCGATTGGTCTGAAGCTGGCAAGTGGGGTTATCGTCGGGGAATAATCTCAGGGCATTGAATGTAATTGTACGACTTCACGATCGACTCGACTGAGTCCAGTTTATTTCCAACGATCAAATCATACCTATGGCTCACAATTCATGATAAATAATATCTTTAATTATTATCTAGCATTGAAGAAAACCAAGGCCTAAGATGATTCATATCTAGACAGACTTGAGTTTAGTTGAGCTGTGCACCGGGTTGTATTGTCCCTCACAGGTGGATGCGATAGACTCAACCACCAATTAGTTAAAATTCAATTAAAAAGCACGATAATTAACAAGAATTCGAACATTCCAAGAAAACTGCCTAAGTGCCTAAATCCGATCGTACATGAATTTCCAGAAGTCTCTACTTCGTACACATCCACACCTCGGGGATAAATGCACCGAGAGACCGGGAACAGTTGACCCGGCCCTACCACAACGGTTATAGTGGCATATCGCAACGAACCCCGGAGCACCCGACCTGCAACCCATGGTCCAGCTTCGTATATTGTTCTCCCGAACTTGATGGCTTGCATTTGTGACGCGTCTCAATACCATACTGCCTAGTGTAACTACGATCGGAAATACATAGGAAAGTAGAGCTCAAAAAGTTCGATAAGATCAAATCCGAGATTTTGGATTATATACATAGAAAAAGCTGAATTTCATTTCTCGTCATTTTCAGGGTGCGTTTACGCGAACAGAGCATCGCCCAGACGGTAGTGGACGGTCTTGATCTGGGTGTAGTTCTCCAGGGCGTAGGAGCCGAGCTCACGGCCAATACCGGAAGACTTGAAGCCTCCGAATGGAGCCTGGTAGGAGATCATGTTGTAGTTATTGATCCAAACGGTACTGCGTGACATTAGTGATTGATTGATTCGGATGGGATTGGAGAATAGCTTACCCAGCCTTGAGGGCGTTGGAGACACGGATGGCAGTGTTGACGTTCTTGGTGTGGACACCAGCGGCGAGACCTGTAGCTGGAGTTAGTGCGGTGCTTCTTTTATTGGAGAGGTTTGGGCTGCATACCGTAGGTAGAGTCATTGCCGATCTTGATGGCCTCGGCCTCATCCTTGAACTTCTGGACAACGATGACGGGACCGAAGATCTCCTCCTGGGCGATCTTCATGTCGTTTGTGACATCAGTGAAGATGGTAGGCTGGATGAAGTAGCCCTCGGTACCGTGACGCTCACCACCCAGAGCAACGGTGGCACCCTCGTTCTTGCCGTGGTTGATGTACTCCATGATACGGTCGAACTGGAGCTGGGAAACCTGAGGACCCTGGAAAGTAGACTGCTCGAAGGGGTTGCCGAGCTGGTTCTTGGCGGCACGCTCCTTGAAGCGAGCGACGAACTTGTCGTGAATACCCTCCTGGACCAGCAGGCGGGAACCGGCACAGCAGCACTGGCCGTGGTTGTAGAAGATACCGAAGTTAGCCCAGGAGATGGCGTTGTCGATATCGGCATCGTCGAAGACAATGTTGGGAGACTTGCCGCCGAGCTCCAGAGTAACCTTCTTCAGGTTACTCTTGGCAGCAGCTTGGAGGATCATACGGCCGACAAGGGTGGAGCCGGTGAAAGCAACCTTGTCGATGTCCATGTGGCTGGAGATGGCGGCACCGGCAGTGCGTCCGAAGCCGGAGACGACGTTGATGACACCAGGGGGGAAGCCAGCCTCAACGATCAGCTTAGCGGCGTACAGACCAGACAGAGGAGTCTGCTCGGCAGTCTTAATAATGACGGTGTTACCGGCGGCGATGGCGGGACCGATCTTCCAGGCCCACATGAGGATGGGGAAGTTCCAAGGGATGATCTGACCGCAGACACCGATGGGCTCATGGCGGGTGTAGGAAAGAGTCTGGTTGTTGGTGTCGATGGTTTGACCGGTGATCTTGTCAGCCCAGCCACCGTAGTAGCGGAGGCAGTTAGCGGCGTTGGTGACATCGCCTTTGCCCAACATGATGGCCTTGCCGTTGTCGATGGCCTCGATAGCAGCCAGGGTCTCAATATCACGCTCGAAAAGGTCGGCAAGCTTGACAAGCATGCGGCCACGCTCGGAGGGAGTCACATCGTGCCAGGCACCCTCGAAGGCGGTACGGGCAGCTTTGACAGCAATGTCGATATCCTTCTCAGTGGCCTCGTGGACGGAGGTAATGACCTTCTCGTCAGTGGGGTTGATGGTCTCGAAGGTCTTGCCCTCGACACTCTTAACAAACTCGTTGTTGATGAACCTAAATTGACAAGCGGTTAGTTATATTTCGAAAAGATTGACGATAACAATGGGAAGAAAAGGAGCAAAAGGAGGTGAGGGGTAGTGAGGGGCACATACAAGCCCAAGGGCTGCTCGTAGGAGAGGTTGGGGGTCTTGATAGTAGTAGACAACGCCATAGTGAAGAATATGAGGTTAAAATGGGTATCTCGAATGGAAAGTAAAACGCGAAGGGAATTTGGGCGGGGGGGAAGCCTCTTATAAATCGACCAAACCCCTTCCCTTCATGCGGGGTTCGCAAAAAACGCCACTGTAACCCAGTGACTTGTCGGGTACGAGCGGGGCACGGCACAATACAGCATCGTCGTAAGTACCGTCTAAGTACTGCATACTCTGTCTATCAATGCAGCTAATCTTCTTTACTCCAGTACTTTGTTGCTTTTTAATTCCCTTAATTCCTGACCTTGTATCTAGCCCCACATAGTTACCTTTCCCCCCCTTCTTCTACCTTTCCTAAAATTAGGTTGCATCTTTCGAACCGAGGCACCCCTCACCTAGACCAGAGCATCGAATACCCTTCCGCGAATGAAAATGATATTGTAAGCCATGACTGCATTGAAACCTTGGTCACTCGGCATGTCGGTGGGTTAATGGAGGGGTGAGTGGGCCAGATATGATCATCGTGATGTTATTTGCCTGCGGACCAACATCTGTCCGGTTCCAGTGGGGAAAGCAATTTGTCTCCGGTATTCGTTCCGCCCTGCAGAGAGCTCGGGTGGAGCTAACACGAATTTTCGGTTCTTTCGATTTCACTGATTCACTGATCGGCCGAGAAAAGTCAGCTGATCTTCAATTGAACCCTTTTGAACCCTTTTGTATTCCGTGAATATGCGCAGAGATCAAGTTACGGCAGACTTGTCCCACCGCCTACCTAATACAGTGATTAGGTCAACTTAGTAATCCATTTTGAATCTTTGCCACTTTGTGGCCTTCGCTACTATTATGTACTTCCACAAGAGCAATCAAGCGCCTGATATCTTTCAATGTTTGCTAGCGAAATAATTCTCTCATTGTTGATACCATTTCAGTAGTGCCATCAAATGACCGATTGAAACGTCAACCTACTTGTCTTTTGAATGCCATCTAGTATAGTCACTCGATCTGTCTTTGATCAAAGATACTTTAACTATACCACAAATCGGGAAACATCCACACCTTAACATTCGCCGGTTTATTCAGCCAAATTGTCTACAGCTTTCCACGATTCAGGAAACGGGTGGGCAGATCGACATGCCGTGACCGAAGGTATTCCGCCACATTCTTCCCCAAAAAGTCCACTGTGGTCGTGACCCCAACACCCCGGTCGAGCAGGTTGCGGAAGAGAAAATGGACCGCTTGAAGTCCGGGAAGCTCAAAACGCTCGATGGCCAGCTGCGGCTGCTGACGGGCGTCATCCCCAAGAAGCTCACGTGCTGCGTCTATCGACAACAGAGTTCGCAACCATAAATATTCATCACGATGACGGACCCAGAGGCCACAGTTGGCATCAGAGCCTTTGTCTCCTGAGCGGGCATGAACAATCCATCCAAGTGGACCACGGACCGTCGGGCCGAACTCCTTCGATTCCACACCTTTATTGGAAATTGTGACAGCCTGTGAAGGTTGACGGGAAGGGTATGTCTTAGTCCTTGATGGAGGCGGGATGTCAAGTACTTGGGTGCTTGCAGTTGGTTTCCAGGGCAAGTGGACTTGATGCTGAACAGACGTTTGCGGAAGAAGAGTTACGTAATATTCAAAGACTGGCCTGGGGAAGCCCTGGCGCATGTCCAGGTGGAAAGTGGCTCCTGGGTAGCCCTGCATGATGTTGTCTGACACAAGTTTTATAAAATTCTTCGGCCCGAGAGCGTCCGCATCTCGTGCTTGTGCCACGATTCGAAGGGGCACAGTGGCGCGATTTTGGGTACTTGCATCTGGCAGATTCGAACCAAGCAAGTCAAATTTGAGAGATGTGAATCGATTGGCAGAGGGGGCAAGCAGTCTTCGGATCTGGGTCTCGAGCATTCGAGCCTTGTCTTCGATATCAAGCCCAGTCAAGAACCACCATACTTCAGCTTGGAATCCTCCGCGGGCTGTGATGCCAACTTTTGTGGTGGGAGGGGGTGGTCCTGATCGGACACCTCGTACAGCAACTCGATTGATACCTCGCTGCTCGAAGTGAATGCCATCTATGATGGCGGTTACATCTGAGTTGTAGTACCACGGCCCTTGAATCTCATACAATAATTGAGAAGTGCAAGTATCCACAGTAACGATACCACCGGTCGCATGGGCCTGCTTGGTGATCACGACATCGCCCTCGGCGGAGATCTCAGCGATCGGATATCCGATATCCGCCCAGCCATCACCATCACCATCATGCTCCAAAACTTTGAAGCCAGTGAAATTACCACCGCAGACATAATTGCTGCATTCAATGAGATGACCTGCAACGAAAGCATTCGCTAACTTGTCCAAATCATCACGCTGCCAGCCATGGTACCAGTAGGCAGCACCGATCACAGGCGAGGCATCCGATACTCGACCACAGAGCACAATATCAGCCCCTTCGGCGAGAGCAGCAGCAATCCCCAGTCCACCGAGATAACACTGCGCATATATAGGCTCAAAATTCCAATCAGCCAAACGCTCATTCGTATAGATGTTCCGAAATTCAGATTGGCCACCAGAAAGAGCCGTCTGGATAGTAGGCAATACCTCATCGCCAGTGACGTAAGCTACCTGTAGTGCCTAATTAATACCAAAGTCAACAAGGGAATCATTATTCTCACCTTCAAATCAAGACCTTTCGAATGCACCATTTGCGAAACAGCATCAAAGAGACCTTTCGTGTCACACACACCCGCATTCACAGCGACTTTGATGCCATATTTGGCTATATCGCCCAAAGCCGGTTCCAATGCCTCAAGGAACGACAAATCGTACGCTGGCATTGCATTCAAATCCTGATCCATCCGCCGACCTGCGAAAGTAGCCATATTGAATTCGCTCATGAAATCAGCGATAATCACATCCACCGGATCGGTTGGATACTGTCGGGCAAATTCAGCGATGGCATGGCGCCGGTCTGAAGCAGAGCCTGAGGCACCTGAGATGGTTCAGCTTATGTTGTATGGATTGTCGAGAGATTTAGTAATTTACCTGCAATTCGAATGGGTCTACCAGTGAATGTCATGGTGATGGGGAATTATTGGCCTTCAATTAGGCGTTGGTAGGGATAAAGAAATACATTATCAAGGAGATGGATGATCGCCGGTGTTGCACGGCCGAGGCAACTCGGTCCTGATAATGCGGGGTTAGGATCTGATAATGAATGTAGGTGCATATACTTCACGCTTGCCCAGGTGGGGATCGGTTTTTTTTTTTTGCATTGATTCCGAGAATGAAGGGTACTATTGTTGTGACTTCATAATTGATGACCTTAAATTTGCAAGGCTGATCAAACCAACATCTGTCTTCACCCTCGGTATGCATGGATACAAACAAACTTCGTCTACAATTGAGTCAACTAGATTTTAGTCACTTCCAAGCTTGCAAAGCTAATTCAGAACAACTTTAAATTTGCAAGTCATTGGCTTATGAAGTTCATTTCTTAATTATGCAGTCGTAAGAGTCATATCAGAACGGTAAAGAAAGTCACCGCTAGCTTAATAAAGGATGTATTACTCACGCCGGCTCAAAGGCAGAGTCCGAGTCATCGTCCTCACTGATACTCAGCTTGCGCGTTGTGCGCGTGGACCGAGCAGACCGGGGTAGACTGGCCTGCGAGCCAACAAAATCGAGGGTGGTTTGGGTCTGTTGTGTTGGCTTGGAGGATTTAGCAGCTGCTCGACGGGAAGCAGAGGCACCAACAGTAGCGGAAGATGGAGCCGGCGAGGCTGCTATACGTCCACCACGGCCACGAGCAGGGGCTCTCGCTCCACGTGCCCGCCCTCTTGTAGTCGTTACGCGAGGCTGCTTGACAAACAAAGCTTGCGAGTCATCATCATCTGAAATAACATGGGCTGGCTCCTCGTCGTCATCTAACATGATAACATCGTCGGCCGATTCCTCGTCAGAGATGGCCTGTGCTTTACGCGCTCTGGATGGGGCAGCAGCTTTGGCGGCGCCTCGTGTACTGGTGGTTGCACCTCGGCCACGACCCCTTCCCTTGCCACGGGTTGAGTTTGCTGCAGCACGACTGCGAGCTGAGGCGGGACCATCCTCGCCCGCTTCCTCTTCGACTGGATCCACTTCATGATCCGAATGAATAAGAGCGCCAGGCTGATCCTCCCATGAGCCGTCAAACTCGCTGTCCCAGCCATCCGGCTTGGGCTTGAACCGCTTTTTACCACGGTTGGTGCGTTTTTTCACGCCTTTGGAGAAAAGGTCTTCCATCTGAGTGCGGTACTTTTCCATGGCTGTAACCAAAGAGCTCTGGACCCCTTCTTCATCATCCATCTCATCGTCATCCTGGTCCAAAGCCATTAGATGTTTGACTTGGTTCTCCAAGGACTCATTCACAAACATTTCCATGGCGTGCTTGTCATCCTTGTCAATAAATTGAGCAACGGCATCGCCAAATGTATTTTGTGGGAGGATACTTAGTGACTGTGATGCGAGGAATTCTTTGACAAGTTGATCCACCTTGACGGTATCCAGACCGGTTAGGTGCGACACAGTTGCTTCATCAGTCGCACCGGCCTTTCGCGTAGAGGCACCCTTCTTCTTGCGGTGGAACTGCACCACGTCATTAACATTGGCAACCTTTCCCACAAATCGATTAGAAAACCTCTGCGGATTCTCACACTCGTAGCTCCCGCCCTCCGGCGTAGAGATCTCGACACGGAGTCGGACGAGCGGAAGGGGCATCTCTTTAACCTCGCCGTCTTCGTCAGTTTCGCCATTCACTTCTAGCCAGGCTTCCTTGGCTTCTTCTATCAATTCTTCAACGATCTCCATGAGAAGCCGAGTCACCTCGGTTCGATTGTTCTCTTTGCGGGCCAACTTTTGGGCCCCCTTTTCTTCGGACAACACAATCTCTCGCATCACAAATGGCCGCACGGTTTTCAACGGAATTGGCTCACATTTGAATTCCCGACCAGTGATACTCATGATGGAGACTTGTTTTGTTACTGCCTCCCCGATTGCCAGGGATGTAGCAACAGAAGATCCCGGCTGCATAACATGAAAATTCATATCTGGATTAAGTCGGGGATTGATCAGACATTCGTGCTCGTGGCCCCAGAGGATGAAGTCCATGAACCCAGGCAGGAATGTTTCTGGTAAGTAACCAGTCTCAGTGTATTTGTGGTGGTTTTGATGTACGGACATCAGATTGAACCAGTCGCCCTTTTGGACAGATGGTTGGAAAAATTTCACTTTGCCATCACGGAAAGTGCGGTGCAAGCGCTCATCACGAACATTACTCATTCCGTACAAAGCCAGCTTAGTTCGTCCCTTCTGAAGGAGAACTGGCTTGATCTCGATGTTATCCGCCTCTGGTGTCCTTCCGTAGTAGTTGAGGAGACCAGAAACCTGCAAAAGATCAAGAGCTGCGAGATGACCCTCACCCGATGGATCATCATGGTTGCCGTGGATGGAGAAAATAGGAATGGCGATGTTCATATCCAAGTCTTCGTAATTGACATGATTGAAGGCGCCTTCGAAATTCTCACTTGCATCACTGAGCAACTCCAGCTCACAGGGTTTATCTCCAAAGCAGTTCATTCGGATTGATCGCATCACTTGGTACATGGACTTTCTTGATGGCTTGTTCTCGTGGAATAAGTCTCCCGCCAACAACACCATGTCCACATCGCGTTCCTTAGCAAGACACATAATTTCGTGAAAGGTCTTCCAGCTGTCATCACCCCGGATAGGATCTCTCTCATTGTAACCGACATGATTATCAGTCGAGATGAGAATGCGGATAGTATCCGCATCTACGTAGATCAGTAAATTGAACTATTCGGCAATCTTTCTGGACAGGCTTACCATTAATCCCTGGCATTTTGTATAAATCCCAGGTAACTTCCTTGGTCAACAAAACCGATATCACAATGTATTGGAAGTGAGGTCATGGCGAAGATGCAAGATCAAAGACACGTAAAAGCGCGTCATCACGTGATACGACGCGTTGGTTGCCTGCAGCAAATGAAACTCATACTTTGGAGTCGCAGAAGTGGATAATTAAGGGGATATTTATGAGTCATTATGTTTCAATCAGATCGTAAGAAAGCTGAAATTCTATTAAACCAAGAACTGTAGTATTTATCAATATAATTTGAAAATTCTATTCACTCGAGATTATTAACTTTGCTGATTGGCCGCTCCCGGTCGCTTTTCGCCTCCATTCGGTCCTTGTACTTCTTCTCCTCCGCAACGCCTCACTTCGCACGTTCTACTCTCTTCAACTCGCAATACAACGCCTCGACTGATCCAGGTTTGTTGCTGGCTCAGTCGCTTTACTCCGATTTCATCCCAAGTCCTTTTTATGCACTCCGAGCCCACTGCCGTATCAGAAAAGACATCTTTCCGTGATTCACCCCCCTCGAATCTTAGTTTTACCCAGCATGGAAATGATCCTGAAGTCGGCCCAGTCTCTGGTCTTCTCCAAGAAGAGAAGTCTGGAGACTCGGCAGTGCCGGACTTGGCGGCTCTCGCAGAGAACTACGCGCCCTTGAGCGATGTAGGCGATGCGGCTTCAACCCCGCCCTCGGCCCAACGGGTGAGCGAGTATGAGAATGCTGGGACTTCAGGAAGGAAATGTGCAGAGCTTGGATCTTCGATTCTGACCAGTCGTCACTCTCAAATTCCACTGGAAACACTACCAAATGGTATGCAAACACCACCCAGATCATTATCTTCTACAACCTTGTCTAACAACTACGTGAAGAGGTTCTTACCCACATCTTGTCGCATTTGCCCCCGCAATCTCTCTCGGCGATCACCTTGGTATCTCATCGGTTCCATGCACTCGTGACGACCCCACATGCCTGGAGGATCGCCTTCTCTCGTTTCTTCCCAGGCCCCCAAAGCCTGGTGGATGCGCACCTGGCCAACCAAGATGATTTGGCTTCGGATAGACGGTATTTCGCGCGGCTGACGGCGCTCGCATCCTGGCGCAGTGAGTATATTCTACGTACACGTCTGATGCGATCGTTGTCGCGAGGCAAACCCGCGGATTTCCAGCCATCTAAAAAGCAGGGCACCGTTCGCACGACAACCGCGCGTAATGGTAGTGCTGTCGCAACCTATACTTCGCAGTTGGTGCTCCCAGTGAGCCATATCCATGGATCCTTCAACACTTCCAAAAAGGAACCGAGTTTCATCCATGGCTCATCTGAGCAGGGCATCGCCTCGTCCAGTAACCCGTCCAATGTGAAAGTGGGCACTTGGGGATTGTCAGATCACCAGATGTTCCGGCACTTTGCCGACATGTTTCCTGGAGATGCACCGTATGGTCTTGGGGCTGGGGATATGGTCGGCACCTCCAATTCCATGGATGTGAGCCAACCTTACGGCATGATCTATGGCGAGGGATGCCCGCTAGGTCGCAGCTACTTCATCTCATCCACGGAGCAGCGCGGCCGGTTCTTGGGGATTTCAGATTTGAGTTCTCAGCCCAAGCTTGGTATCCCCGCTATGAACACGATCCCCCATGCCGTCTGCTCAGTGTGGATTGCCAAATCGGCTTCGATCCTCAAGACGACTGGAGGTCTTATTGCCATGATGTCAGGTTCTTCTGCCGGAGTACTCACATCGTACGCGCTGGGCCCTCATCCAACATACGAGAGGCGGTACGAGATAGGGCAGGTAACTGCTAGATGGGTACTGTGCCCAGGTGTACCTATCATCGCAATTGCTGTCGATGATAGTTACTCCCCGAGACGTCACTCCCGCCGGCGGATCTGGGCTGTTGCTCTGAACGCGCTTGGTGAAATCTATTATCTCACTGACATTCCACGGCAACAAGATATCCCGGCAACGACTAAATTGAACGCCGAAGAGCTTGACGAACTCGCCTGGAAGACTGGTCGTACGGTGCGCTGGGAACTTGTTGAAGAGAGTCGGCGCACCGCTCGTCCAGACCCTTTTAACCGGGAGCTCGTCGATGGGAGCTACACTCCGCGATCTTCGTCGAATTCCATGCATCTCGATGAGCATCAAATTGCCGCAGAAACCAAGGAAATTGAAAATTTCATGTCCTTCAGACCGAAGCATTTCCGTAAGGTTTGCGAAGGCTGGAATATGCGGCGTGACCTGCAAGTTGATTTTGCTGGTGATGATGGATGTGGATCTGGAGAGTCGGTGATTGTTGTCGCCCGAGGCACCGATGAAACCGAGAAAGCATCCGTTCGAAGATATGTTCGAGCTCCGTCCAAATTTGCCTTGAAATCATCACCAGGAACGCCAGGTCAGGAGCAGCCTCGCTCTCTCTTTGGTGGGCCAGTTGGTGCTTCAACTCCGACAAGCGCTCCAGCCTCTCGATCGTCGGGTTGCCTGAACGATGTGTCTGGAAAGACTGATTGGAGAATCTCGAATTTTGTGTTTGATGATCGCAAGTCTATTGAGGTGACCACTACCGCGTTGGATAGCTCTCTGTTTGCGACCATAACCGCCGATGAAGATCCTTTGCTAGCCATGTCCGGGAGCTCATTTTCATCCGCAACATCCTCGCCCATGTTGCCACATATGGATCAACCGCGGACAAGCCTCGAGGTTCCTGGACAGAGGGCAAGATACCTAGCTGTGGGAACAGCGACCGGCACGGTGTATGTCTGGAATATTCGCGCATTGCCAGCGAATAACCCAGGTGTCATAAACTCCGTTTCTCCACTCAGAATTATCCAGACCGACTCGCCTCAAATCTCTTGCGTGGCACTGACATCGTTATACTTGGTTCACGGTGGCAATGACGGCCTCGTTCAGGCTTGGGATCCCTTGGCTTCTTCCACGCGCCCAATTCGTACGATCAACTCTCGTTTTTCATCTCGGGCTCGCCGCCGACTGGTTCAGGCGGAAGCCACAACGCTCGGCGTAGGGAATAACTTCTTCGCTACGGGTGCCATCTGTTTGGACCCCGACCCAACGGTCCTCCGAGGTATGGTATCCCTTGGTACCCATCTTCGATACTGGTCGTACAGTTCATCTAGTGCCGATCAGTATAAGGGCACCAAGCGCCAGCTTCGGCGCGGTCTTCGCGGTAGCAACGGGGCCGGTAGTGGGCAACGTTTCACTCCCAGTGGAAGGGGAGCAATCTATGACTTTATTGAAGACGAACAAATGGAAATCAAGCGACAGGAAATTGAAGATGCCAAGGAACGAGCCCATCTCAGTGCACGTTTCGGAATCGATCTCCTCGGGCCCGACATTGATGAAGAGCAACTTCTCCTCTACGCTCAACTTTTGAGCCAGGAAACTCACAGTGGAGCCGATACGCAAAAGCGCGACGAGACCGCTATTGCAAGCTCTGTAGGTACTTCTATTAGTGATCCAACCGGACCTAATTCCTGTGCTTTCGACGTGTCGTCTTCTTCATCACCATATCAAGATCCCGCAGACGATATCGATGATGATTTGGCTGAAGCTATTCGTTTGAGTCTTCTCGATGAAACGGCTACTACTACACCTCCGATTGACCTTACGCCGTCTATCCCGATTAAATACGCTAAGGGCGTAAGGCGACGCTCTTTCTCCCCGTCTTCGCCGATGGCGGGTCCCGAGAGTAGTCAGCAGAAAGAGATGGATGATCTTGAGTTTGCAATTCAACTCAGCTTGGCTGAGGATCAAAGTCGCGATGCGCAAGAGTGGGAGGAATTCCCTGCTCTTGCTTCGGGGCACATGCCCTCTTCCCAATCTTCTGGCAAGGGAAAGGGCAAAGCGAGGGCGATTTAACATCGTGTTTTCGCTAAAGAAATTCGGACTGGTGTATATCTGCACATGTCGCATTTTTGTCACATTTTGTCATTTCGTTTGTATTTCTTCCGGAGGGGTTTTTTTTGCTGGGTTAGATTTAGACTCGAATATATTTTGTTTCAACTACACAACCTGCAAGATAGAATGAAAGAAAGGACTCGGAAAATACGGTAATGTATTTCAGTCATGGAAAAAGACATTCATTGTTCAACACACCAATCATGTGCAAGAAACTATAAAAAAAAACAGAACCAATCATTCACAAGAATCCGGCCAAAGAAGGAAAAACAGGCGTTGAAGGGAAGCCAATATATCTATACTCTTTCATCTATCCTCGCCACACCTTACATCAAAGAAGCAAGCAGCATGAAGAAGCCGCTGATACCACCAAGAGCAACGGGAGCGCTGTTGACCATTGCGGCGTTCTTCGTAGAGGAAGAAGTTGCAGTGGACGACGAAGACGAAGAGGTACCACTAGGACCAGCAGACTCGCCGTCACTCAGAACCTTGAATGCGAGACCAGTAATCTTGGCACCAGTGTAGTCGTACACGGTTTGGGAGAGAGTGGTGCTGGTGACAGACACGACAGAGCCGGTGGGGGCGTCGGGCAGACCGCTCTTAATGTAGTCGGAGACCTTGGAGGGAGCCTCGGGCAGGTCCCAAGCATTGTAGAAGGATCCGGAGGTAATGAGGCTAGCAGCACAGTTAGGAGCCTCAGCGCTAGTCTGGGTCTTGTTAGCAGTCTGGATGCGGTCCATATCGATCTTGGCGAACTGTTTCTTGAGGTTGTCGAAATCGACCAGGGTGGTGACGACGGAGGAGCTGTTAATGTTGACAAGACCGTACTCGTTATCCTCCTCAGTCCACTCGTACACGAGACCACCGGAGAAAGCTTGGGTCATGTCCTCGCCGTACAGAGCCTGGACCTCGGTGAAGGTACGGGGCTTGACCTCGTTACATCCGTACTCGGAGAAGAAGACGGGCAGGGTGGCGTTGGAGAAGTCCTCGGTCAGAACATTGTATCCGGACGAGGTGTAAGAAGCATCACCACACCAGGAGTAAGAGTTCAGACCGAAGAAGTCGAGAGTAGACTCAGTTGAGTTGCTGAGGTTGCACTCAAAATAGGCGGCAGTGTCCATGAGGATATCACGGATATCAGCAGCAGAGTAACCAACAGGGATGGTGCGGTCGACATTGTTCTTGATGTACTCCTTCATATCACGAACAACAGCACGAACGTAGGCGGGAGCGCTCCAGGTAGCATCCTCGTTGATGACCTCGTTACCAGCAAAGAAACCGAGGACGTTATCGAAAGCCTTAAAGGCCTCGATAACACCGAACACCTGCTTGTAGTAACCGGCGTTGTAGCTGTTCCAGGGCTCTGCTCGGTTCAGCGAGCCAGTGGAATAGGGGGAGTTGACATCGAGGATCATATAGATGCCGGCCGCATTGAAGATGGAAGCGCACTCGTTGTGGTCGAGGGTGGGTTCAATGTTGTAAACACGGATAGTGTTCACCTGGCAGGAATTAATACGAGCGCATTTTCGTTCGCAAGTCTGCACTTACACCCAGTTGCTGCATAAGAGTAGCATCACGGAGACAGGCATCGGGCTGGCTCAGGGGATCCTGCTTGCCGTTGAAGGCGGATTGACCACCGGGCTGGTAGCTGTGCGGGTGTCAGTTGGGGTCTTGATGAGACTTGATGGGTAGATATCGTACTCTACGCCAATGATCTGGAAACGCTCCTTGGTTTCAGAATTGACAAAGTCCTTGCCATCCACCTCAAGAGTGGTGACAGCGGCGGCGGTACCCATCAGGGCACAGGCAGCCGTAAGCACACGGCCGTAAGACTGTATAGCGTCAGCGTCAAAAATTCCATCCACATCCAGATTCATATAGGTTTTTCTATAAGTTTCTCTCTTTCTGGGCATCGGGCTGCACGTACGAAAACCATAATGATGCGATCGAAGAGTATATATGTATCGAAAACAAGGAAACCTGGAAACGATTGGGAAGTATAGATTGGGGAGAGCGAATGACAGCGCAAAACGGAAAGAACGAACGTCAGGCGATATAGACCACCAAAGGGATTAAATGTTTAGAGTAAAGAGAAGATATGAATACGGATAGATGCGAGGGAAAAGGAGAATCGAAGGTTTAAAAGCAGGCGGATTGTGATCGGCGGGGGTAAGCCCTTCAGCGTGTGGAGCCCACAAGTGGCTTAGTATCCAGTGAGATTGAGCTGATGGAATTGACGGGTCCAAAAGTCCCCTAAAAACCCTGAGAGTCCCTGATACCGATGCGGGTCCAATGAAGTCACAAGAATCTGTGGGAGATTGATTGGCTTCTTTTCCCCAGTCAGTTTCAGCCACATTTTCTATTTTCAAAAATCCAGTGGATCAATGCTTCTTTCTAAAATACATTCTGTATATGATCTTCCCTTTTCACCTCAATTCCCAAAATGCACAATCTCAAAATGGAAAACCAAAACCAAAAAACAAACAAAAGGGGGTGGAAAACTCATCCAATACCTGGCGCCGAGAAATACCAAGGCTGGGCCAAGCCCAATACATATACACAGTGAGCGCGACAAGGCAAAAAAAAGAGAGAAATAGTGGAGAGTGAGAGGGCTGTGAGGGAAAGCGACAAAAATAATACAGCCAAGGTCAAGCCAAGGAAATGAAATGGTGTAAGTTCTCAGAAACGAGTTTACTCGACACCGTGGTTGTCAGAGCTCTCGCCAGTGAAAGAGCCGAGCTTGAGACCGGCATCCATGGCGACCATCTCAGCCAAGATCTCCAGGACCTCCTTGGGGACGGTCTTGTCGTAGATGGAGATCAAGTCCTTGGGCTGAGGGTAGACCTTGAGGGCCTTGTAGAAGGCGATAGCCGCCTCGATCTGGCTGTCACCTGTTACAGATTGTCAGCATCTTGTCCAATGGTAGGTCTGTCTCCAGTTCAGTCAAAATACATACCATCCTGGCACAGTCCTTCACCAGTGGCAACCTGGGTCATGAAGTAGGACTCCTTCTCCTCGAGATCGGTGGGGAAGCCCTCCTCCTTGGCGCGCTGCACGGCCTGCTTGATCACTTCGCGCTGCTGAGCACCCTGGGCCTCAACCTCCTCCTTCACGGCCTTGGCGAGGCGCTTGTTGTTGCGCTTCAGGGACTTGCGGAACTCGGCGTCGGTCTGGCGCTTGTGATCGAAGTATGCGGCATAGGCTGGATTGAGATGGAAATTAATCATTGAACGAGTATTGTTGCCGGGGAGGTCCGATCCTTACCGAGCAAACCGGCGAAGATAGTGCCGGCCGAGGCGGCAACCAGAACAGATGTGCGCATTATGAAGGAAGAAAGGGTTTAAGGTGGGAATGAATGACGCGACCGGGGGGAAAACAGCGATGGGGTGGAAGGTGACGAAGCTACAGACGTGTTTCGAGGATAAATTTGAATTGGACAGGAACTTTGTTGTTCCGGTACGAGTTCGGGTCGACGTCACGGAGCTAAACACATAAGAGTACAGAGTACATAGTACAGAACATTGGACATTCTATATTAAATTTGAATTGATTATTATGGTACATATATCAAGTCAAACATTTTACTTGGCTTCAAGTTCGTATTATCAAGCGAAACTCGAGGGTCATTGACTAGATTGCCTAATGCTACGTCATGCACATCAACTAAGTTATGATCAATTGCATCAAGTGAAGACATGTTTAGTAGTGATACCGATTGAATTTAAGCAATGTAATTATTTTGTTCATGGAAATAATTTCCGTCCTTGATCATACATCACTGTCGCATAGCTGAATAGCTGACACCTACCGCTAGCCCGTTACGGGATCCTCCCAACTTCCCTTTCTCCAATCTCCGATCCCATCCCATCCCCAATCTCAACCATGGAAGGCCGAGGATTGACTCTCCGGAGTAAATCTCGTCGTCAACGCCCTCAAATCAGTGCTCCGAAACCAATCTCAAGTCCCTTGCCGCCCAACACCAGAGCCCCCGATGCCGGCCAGAACAGTATCCCCGCTGGCAAGGACCGAGCTCAGAGCGATGCCACCGCCGATTTGGTAAAAAGACGATACTCTACCAGATTCAATAACCCAGGAGATATCGATGTTAGTGCGCCTCCAGTCCCTGCACTCCCCTCGTCAGTGCCTGGGGGTGGATATGGTGGGCTGCCGGCGCCCACTGCCCAGAGGGGACCATCGCCAGCGAATGGGGCCCCCTCCTCATCACCCAAAGTAGATTTGAATGCCCTACGAGACCCCAGTCTACCGGTGGAACGATGTATGTCTATTTTCGCATTACCGCCCGACCCAAGCTGACCTCATCCAGACGTGGCCAGTCTCCTTGCGAACGCGTCCGAGGAAGAGATCCAAAGTTACCAGCAGAGCCTTCGCAAGGTCAAAAACCGAACCTCCACCGACCTCCAACAGAATGTCTACCAGAATCGCACGCAGTTTATCAAGATTAGTAAAGAGGCCGAGAAGCTCAAGGACGAGATGCGGACCCTTCGGACCCTCATGGCGGAACTCACCAATGCGCTCGGACAGACGACCGTGGGAAACAGTCCGAATCCCATGTCTCCAGTTGACGACCAGTTCCCGAAGCGAAACGCGAACCGCAGTTCTGTCGCCAATTTGGAAAGCATGTGGAGTGTCCAGCTGCAGACATTGTGGAAAAGTGTGGAGGGCTCCCAGAAGTTCCTGCCTGCTGTGCCTGGGCGACACATTGTGCTGGAGACGGGCCACTGGGCCGAGCTGGACTCGGCCACTTGGAAGCCGAAACGACCGGTTCATATCGTCTTGTTGAACGACCACTTACTGGTGGCCGCCAAGAAGCGCAAGCGTATGGACCAAAGCCACCCTGCTCACCAGGGACCAATCCCCACCAAACTGGTTGCGGAAGAGTGCTGGCCGCTGCAAGATATAGACATGATCGATTTAGCAGCCAACCTGGGAACTGGCGCCGCGCGCGAGGAGGCCCTGGATCGTGGTATTGCCAATGCTATTAGCATCCGCGTGGGATCTAAGCCATTTACCTATCGCCAGGACAAACGTGATACATCTACCAAGAACGAACTGCTTGCGACGTTCCGTAAGACTGTGGAGGATCTGCGACGGAACTTGCGTTCTGAGACTGAAGCTGCGAGCAAGCCTCTGGAAGCCTTTGGATACCTCACCGGACGACACACATCATATTCTCCAAAGGTTGATCAGTTTGAGTTGACGGATGGTCCACGCGACAAGTCAGATGTGCGCATTGATGTGGATGGGAAGCAACAGAACCTCCGCTGGGTGGAGGGACAAGTTGACGAGCTTGATATTGATATCGCGCTACAACGGTTCGAGGCCGCGGTGTCTAGTATCGAACGACTTCGAAAGCTGGCAAAGGGACTGAAGGGAAATTCCATTGCCCAGGATGTGATCAATCTGAAGGTTGATGGACGTGCAACTCGACTCGCCGGAATCCTCTCTCGTGCGCTGGTTGACACTCATTCGTTCCCCACTGCGACCAAGACCAATGTCTCCTGGCTGAGTCGTTTAGGATTTGAGGACCAGGCCCGTGAAACCTACCTAAAGGCTCGAACTGACATTATTGGCAAGCGTATTCGGTGAGTCACATTAATCACAGCATCCCGAACCTTCTAACATTCAATAGGGCTTGCGTATTTGAGGGTGACCTTCCCCTCTATATCTTCCAGATCTCATACGTATACTTCAGCCTCATTAAGAACACCGTTGGAATTTATCAGCAGTGCTTCCCTAGCTCAATTTCCAGCTCATCTATCCGCTGGGCGAAGCAGCATTTGGACGGATTCAACGCCTTGCTCAGTCGCCAGCTTAGCAGTGTGCAGCGGGGGACATCAATCTATGATAAGTGCCAGGATATTGTGCATGAACATGCTGCACAATTGAACAGTGTGGGTATCGACTTTACAGACTTAGTGGGTCAAGGTCTGGAGGATCCAAATGAGAGCAGTCCACGGGCTATCCAGCCGGGTGAGCTTGCCGCGGTATCTACTCTGGCCAATCTATAGTGGCGCTTGGGAGATAAGAGATGGATGGGAGATTTTAACGAGAACCCTAGGTGAATTGAATCAAGATTACAACGGAATTGAATATGTCTATTCGTGTCTTTTGCAGCAAATATCGCGATATTTCAAATGGAAACATGTATCATGCACCACACAATTACTACTTGTCGGTGCTGATATCCCAGGCCTAAAGAGTTTTCCAGCGGGTTTTTTTTGTTAGAGCCTTATACTTCTAGCTTCAATAGTAGATCCCAGGCCCAGTGCTTGTTGATTGGCTAAAATTTGCTGTTGTCCCCATCGGCAATAGCTCTTGCCGATTCTAGATAGTAGTAGAGTCCTTCTTCTCTCCATACTGCCCTTCAGTGCGAAGTATCATCCTTTCTCTATGATCTTTCTTTTCTGCGTATTCAGTAGGTTCTCTTTAAGAACTTCTTCATACGAGCCCTTAACATATTTACCGCATGACCTCATCCAGGCCGAGAGCCTTCGGGAAACCTGTCACCGTCTTCGGAAGGATTTATTCTAGAAAGCCTGTTTCCTAATGACGTACAGTTTGAAAGAGATTACAGCCATCCTGTTGATTCGCTCTAGGTCCGGTTAATCCGGCATTCTGATTCATTGGCCTGCAGGATGACTGCACGTAAGCAACGCCATCCGCTGGATGGTGGGGTTTTCGGAAGCTGATTGGCACAATATATCAGACTTCCGGTCAGCACTAACGAAAACTATACCACATACAGACAAGAAGCCCTGACGAAGCTATTCAGAAAAAGAAAGATGTAGCAAAGTTTGCTAATGCGGGTGCCCGGTGCATACGGATGATCGCCCGGGAGGGGCCATTATCTTGCAACGCTTCGGAAGGGTCATTCATGCAAGACTCTCAACACTCCGAAGTTCTAAGCGCACCTATACGATGGATCGGGTGGCCATTTTTTCTTTAGAGGATAGGCCGATGTCTTTCGACAGTTAAATAGCCTGCTTGAGAACACCGACCTTCATTCCATTCTCCATCACATCACATCTGTAGTATTCAACAAGCCAAGCTATCTAAAGCCAAGCCAGTTCATCATCAAGATTATCCTTCAGAAAGTCAAAATTCCCCGTCCATAACAATGGGCTTCCAGAACAAACGAGTTGTTGTTATCGGCGGTGGCCTCGGCGGCATGGCCTTCATGAACGCCGCCCAATACGCTGGCCTGAAGAATATCCAATGCTACGAACAAGCCCACCAATTCAGCGAGGTTGGCGCTGGAGTCGACCTCTCCGCCAACGCAAACCGTATCCTTGACGCATTCGGTCTGCAGGAATCCCTGCTAAGCCGCTCCTCGCCCCAACTCCCTTACTATATGCAATACCACAACTACAAATCCGGCGAGTACCTCGGTCACATCGAAGAATTCTCCCAGCCCCACGCCCGTCTAATCCACCGAGCTCACCTCCTCGACTCGCTTAAAGAGCCGGTACCAGAAGAGCTTCTTCATCTACAGAAGCGCCTCGCTCGACTCGACCGCAATACCGGCCCTGACGCGGCTCCATATACTCTACACTTCGAGGACGGTACCAGCACGGACGCTGATATCGTGATCGGATGCGATGGTATCAAATCCCGTGTTCGCCGTGAGCTAGGCTTCGAAGACTCGCCAAATTACTCCGGCCAGGTTGTTTACCGTGGTTTCGTCGATTACAAGGATCTACCTGAAGACACTGCAAAGCTGCTCCACAATGTTGTCAACTTCCGCGGCCCGAAGCGGCATATTCTATGCCTCCCCATTGGCAACCCGACTACGCAGACTGACCGTGTTGGCGTGATCGGATTTATGTCCGAGCCGCTTGAATCCTGGGATTCGGAGAACTGGATGGCTCGTTCGGAAATCGGATCTTTGCACGAGCACGTTACGGCCTGGTGTCCCCAGGTGCAGGATATAATTAAGGGTCTCAATGCAGGATCACCAGACGGGCGGATGATGAAGCAAGCACTATACGTACGTGAGCCGATTGCCAAATGGTTCGAGATGAAGGATGGGCAGAAAGATGCGGGAATCGTTCTGCTCGGTGATGCTGTCCACTCCACACTCCCTCACCAGGGTGAGTTCCTATCCGAACTTTGATAATATCATGACTAACTGTGATAATAGGTCAGGGTGTCTGTATGGCAATCGAATCTGGCATTGCATTGGCTACGATTCTTACGCACTGGAAGAATGACGATTTGCAGGCTGCATTCCAGTTTTATCAGGATCTGCGCAAGCCTCGCACCGATCGGGTTACGAGAACTAGTTTTGAAGCTGGAAAACTTGCTAGCTCGGATGATCCTGATCACCTGAGTGATAAGTTTAACCCTGAAGCACTTATGGAGCGCATGAAGTGGATTATGGAGTACAATGTGCTTGATGACTTGAAGGCTAAGGGGGCCGAGTCTATGGACTTCAGTGGACAGAAGGTTTAATGATAAAAGAGGACCAGGTGTGCAGGGATTCGAATTCTGACATTAATGAACCCGTGGACTGCAAATGCATTTGATTCCAATGTTCTATTTCCTTTTGTTGCAAGATTGATGCATATAGATTGTTTTTTTGGCTTCATGTTTATGTTGCGTTCAATATACTATCAGTCTATAGAATTTTCTTTCTCAGCTCAATTGATTCATTCTACTTCAAATTTTGGTCACAATGCCTATTTTATACATGTCATCAAACACATACTCTATATTCTCCTGCCACCACACGGTCCTACCACCGCACGGCATACAGGACAAGTATCATTATCCCCCAACCACGAAGTAGCACATGCGCACAAAACCAATGGGCACAAGGAAGAACAATAACTAAAGCATCAACCTCAAGCTCATCCATACAAATAGCGCAAGTACCCTGCTCACCCTGAAGAACAGTCTCACTTACCGTCTGCCGAGGCAACGAGGCAAAAGTCGCAGCATCAGTAGGATTCCCGTACTGGATATCCGACGGAGGAAGCGCAATATGAACTCTAAAATGCGCCGGATTCAAAGTTTCCGGATCTACCATCCTTGCCAATCTCTCATAAGCTCCAGCAGCAGAAGTAACAGTAGAAAGCTGAACATACCGAGCAAGATCCCGAGCATCCAAAGTAGCATCCAGCATTCGTGTATGTGGAAGTTGAAAGACTTCCTCCCTGGTCAAATTAGTAGTGATCCCTTGTCCGGAAGGGGCAGCTTCAATCCCAATAGTTCGTGGACCTGCATAGTAAATGTTGCGATCTGTACCCAGTAGACCATCTTCTCGGAGGATTTGAATGCTCTGGTGGAAATCGTTAGCCTGTCCAGTTAGTGAAAGGTGAATAATTGTGTCTTCTGTGGCTTCTTGATGGGTGCGTCCGTTCTGAACTCTATCGGACCATCGTAGAGTAAGTAGGCTCTTTAAAAGATCCAGCATTTCGGGCCTGATTGTGTCACTGAATGAGGTACTCATGTTTTCTGAAACTTTATAATATTGATCATGGAAAGAGATACTACGTAAGGATGTGAAAATCGAATTTTATGCTTGGAAGTAGCATCTTTGAGGTCTTTATAGTAGTTGGATTCCACAATCTCGTTTTAGTCAGTGCCGGACGCATCATTTAGTGGATTTCTTTTGTTATTTGAGGACAAAGGAAAAATGGCATTGAGTGATCATTCATGGCCGTGGGTATAACAACAATGCTTTGTCAATTGGCATCATTATACTGATCCTAGGTACAAAGACTATATAGTGTTCTTTGTGTAATTTCAAAGGTCTGAAGAATGGGAAATGCAAACGAAACATATAATTGTAGAACAAAGTGAATTTTGTAAGGTTCTCATAATAACTAATGTTTCTACTATATCTGTTACGGTAGCACAGACATCTTGAAAGAATATGATACTTGGCCCTCTAACAGTGCTTGAATACATAAGCAAGATGAATCCGATATAGAATCGAATACAAAAACCTCATAGTAAGATATGTTTGATCTCTTGGGCAAGATTGAATGGGCGCGAACATGAATCAAAAATCACGTGCCAAGACTCGAAAGCAAGATGGGATTATATAAGCACACTGAAATAGGAAACCACCCACATTATCCATGATATGTATAGATGTTGAATGCCATCTGGAAGAGTATATGTGATAAATGTGAAATCAAATTGGTATATAGATGTGAAACCCTCGAGATGCAAGCCCAAAACACCTCCAAAACCCCCAAAAAGAAACAATGCCCCAAAACAGACCGAACGCAACGCACGCCACGCCAAAACACACAAAACGTAACACGACACGACACGACACACGACACGACACATAACACATAACACATAACACATAATAAAATACACATACATATACCACGTGGGCTTCAAGTTCATAAAACGGAGATTGGTCTAGTCTATACAGCTCTTCTTATAGATATTGATAGCTGCACACCTACATATCACAGATATCCAGATAACAACACTTTTGAAATCAAAAACAGAGAAAGAGAAACATGTCATGCGTGAGAAAAATCAAAGGCGCTTTTTGTTTGCACATTAGGAAGAGCCAAGATTTAAGGGGCCAAAATCAAAGCCAGGAGGGCCATGCGGCAGTAAAGGCCATATCTCATCTAGAGGATGTTAGTCAGGATTCCATTGTAATATAGGGCTGGGGGGTAAACATACCTGGCGGAAGTAAGCAGCCCGCTGGTCAAAGTCAACCTCCTCGGTGACCTCGGCGTTGCGAGGCAGAGGGTGCATGACGACCATGTGGCTCTTGGCATGCTTGAGCAGAGCGTTGTCAATGACAAAGCTGTTCTTGAGACGCTCGTACTGGGTGAGGTCGGTGAAGCGCTCCTTCTGCACCCGGGTGGAGTACAGGACGTCGGAGCGGGCGACGATCTCGGGAGTGAGGACATCGGTCTCGAGGCGGAGCTGGCCGGAGGCGATGAGCTGCTTGCGAACCTCCTCGGGAAGAGCAAGCTCCTTGGGTGAGACAAGCTGGACCTGGACATCGTAGAAGCGGAGCAACTTGATCAAGGAGTGGACGGTGCGGCCGTAGCGGAGATCACCAGTGAAGGTGATGGTCAGACCGGCGACGGTACCCAGCTCCTCACGGATGGTGAAGAGGTCCAGGAAGGCCTGGGTAGGGTGCTCGACGGCGCCGTTTCCACCGTTGATGATGGGAACGGGAGAGAACTTGGCGGCAACATCGGTGCTGGTGGGGCTAGGGTGGCGGAGGACCACGGCATCACCGTAGCAGCCGAGGGTGCGGATGGTGTCCTGGAGAGACTCGCCCTTCTGAGTGGATGAGTGCTCAGTGGAGACGGAGACAACGCGGCCACCAAGACGCTGCATAGCAGCATCGAAAGAGGCCGAGGTGCGGGTGGAGGGCTCGTAGAACAGAGTGCACAGAACACGACCCTTGAGGACATCAAGGACACCCTGACGCTGAACACCGAGGCGCATCTCCTGGGCAACAGTGAAGAGCAGGTGCAGGTCCGCGCGAGTGAACTGGTCCACGGACAGGACGTGCTTGCCACGGAACTGAGAGCGGGAGAGCATCTCGTTCAGGGGAGAGGCCTGGGAGGAGGGGGTGTACAAAGGAGGGCCAAGCTCACCAACAGGGATGTTGGCGTCCAGAGCACGGGCACGGCGGCCAGGAGTGCCAGCGACGGAAGTATGGCGCTCCAGAGAGCTCTCAGGACGGACCATAGGGGTGGTCGGCTTCTGGATGGGAGAGGTGGGAATGATCCGGTGGGAAGACATGTCCACACCCTTGCCAGCCACGGTGACGATCTCACCGTCAAGGCAGCAGGTCTTACCCTGGAAGACGACACGCTGAACAGAGCCGCGCATTGTCTTGCCGTTGAAGGGAGACCAAGCCTCAGTGTTCTGGAACACGTAGGGACGATCAATCTCAATCTCAAGCGAGGAATCAGCCTGGTCGTGGAGCTCGAAGATGCTCTTGGGGTTCTCGTAGAGGCGAGCAGTGATGTCCTCAACAGTAAGGCGACCCTCAGCCACAGCAGTGAAGAGCAGGGGCAGAGACTCGGCCAGACCGACCGCAGGAGAAGCGTCCTTACCAGCAAGCTGGAAAGGAATGCTGCCGATGGAGAAGACGTCGATAGTGCTCATGTGTTCCCACAGTGCCTTCTGGTCCTCGGCAGAGGGAAGAGTGCTGCAGGCAGGGAACTCCTCACGCGAGAGGAACAGGCAGAAGATGGAGACATCGCAGGTCACCTTCAGGCCCTTGGCCTTGCTCAGAGCAATGAGCTTGATGTCCTCCTTAGAGGTCACGCTCATCACGTGGATGTTGCGACTGTGCAGGCTGGCCAGGAGCAGGATCGATGCCAGGTCGGTACCCTTGGCATCAGTGATCAAGGGCTTGCTGGAGGGCCAGGAAGCAAAGTGGTCGGTCACAGTAGCCACCCGGTTGATGTTGCCGGACAGGTGGTTGAAGGGGATGAAGAGCGAGCCAACGTCGCCAGTAATGCGAGTGATCTCGTCAGAGTTAGAGGAAGTGGCAACAACCGAGAAGTTGAAGTCACAGTACGACTTGCCCTCGGCATTCTGCTGAACGATCTTCAGATCACGAGCATTGGTGACCGAGCTGTCAACACCGACAGGCATGACACGAACCATGCTGAAACCAGCGGAGATAGAGGCCTTGGTGACAGCCTCGATGTCCTTCGAGCCAGGAGTGGCAAGACCAGGGACGAAAGCAGCAATGTTGATCAGGCCAGGCAGAACCACAGTGCGGTGGCTGGTCTGGAAGTCAGAAGGAATGATCTCCAGAGGGAAGTGGCGAGCGATAGCCTCGATCAGGATCTTAGCGTTCTTAACGTTGGTGACAAGAGGAGTCTGGTAGTCAACAGCCATACGACGAGTGCGGTAACCCTTGGACATGTAGTTGGCCGGACGGCGGAAGCGGTTGCTGGATGGCAAGTTGATGTACAGATCGATGAGGTTGTTGGACAAGTGCTGAGTCAGAGAGTATTCCGACTTGATGTCGTCCTCCTCACCAGCCAGGACCTCAAGGTACTTCACGGGAACACCGTTCTCCTTGAGGAAGTCGGCGGTACCGGAGGTGGCGAACAAGTTGTACTTGAGGTCGTGGAGCTTCTTGATAGAAGGCAGCATCTCAAGCTTCTCCTTGTACGAACCAATGGAGAACAAAATGTTCCGCTTGGGGAGCTTGAAGCCAGTGGACAGCAGACCCTTGAGGTAGGCCTCGTACTTGTCACGACCAAAGGAGGCAACCTCACCAGTGGAGGCCATCTCAACACCGAGGACGGGATCAGCACCGGAGAGACGCGAGAAGGAGAACTGAGGAACCTTGACACCGACGTAGTCCTTGGGAATGGTGACGGGGGGGTACTCCTGGAAGGGAGCACCGATCATGGCCTTAGTAGCCATCTCGATCAGGTCAACACCCATAACCTTGGACACGAAGGGGAAGGAACGAGAGGCACGGACGTTGCACTCAATAACCTTGATGTCGTTGTCTTTGGCAATGAACTGAATGTTGTAGGGACCGGTGACATTCAGGGCGTTACCAATCTTGCGAGTGGCCTCCTCAATGCGGCGAATAGTCTCGGCACTCAGATCCTGCGGGGGCAGAACCAGGGTAGCATCACCAGAGTGCACACCGGCGTTCTCGACGTGCTCAGAGATGAAGTGACCAACCATGACACCGTTAAGGGCAACAGCGTCCATCTCGATCTCCTTGGCATTCTCAATGTACTTGGTAATGACAACAGGGTGGTCGCGAGACACATCAGCGGCTTGGTTAAGGTAGTTGGCCAAGTCGTCCTCCGAGTAAACAGTGTTCATGGCAGCACCAGAAAGCACGTAGGAGGGGCGGACAAGCACAGGGTAGCTGACCTTGTTGCAGAACTCGCGGGCCTCCTCGATGCTAGTCAACTCCTTCCAGGCAGGTTGGTCGACACCAATACGGTCCAACATGCGAGAGAACTTGTAACGGTTCTCAGCGCCGTCAATCATCTCGGGAGAGGTACCCAAGATCTTAACATTCAGGCGGTGCAGAGGCAGGGCGATGTTGTTGGGGGTCTGACCACCCATGGACATGATAACACCGCTGGAAGTCTCCAGCTGGTAGATGTCGAGAACAGTCTCAAGGTTAATGTTCTCGAAGTAAAGACGGTCGGCCTCGTCGTAGTCGGTACTAACGGTCTCCGGGTTGTAGTTGACCATGATGGTCTTGTGACCCTGTTCGCGAAGAGTGCGGATGGTGCGCACGGAACACCAGTCGAACTCGACAGAAGAACCAATACGGTAGACACCGGAACCAAGAACCATAATACCGTGGTCATCGAACTTCAAGTCGTGCTCAGAGGCATTGTAAGTGAGGTAAAGGTAGTTGGTGTGAGCAGGGAACTCAGCAGCGACGGTATCGATCTGCTTGACAATGGGTGTAATACCAGCCTCGACACGCATACGGCGCACAGCCAGCTCGTTAGAGCCAAGGAAGTTAGCCAGCTGGGCATCAGAGAAACCAAGCTGCTTAGCCTGGCGAATCATAGGCACAGGGACAGTAGAGGCGTTGAACGCGGACATGGACTTTCCAAAGTCATTCAGGCCCTTCAGGCGGGTCAGGAACCACTTATCAATGTTGGTCAGCTTCCAGATATCATCGACAGTGTAGCCGGAAGCCATAGCGTTAGCAATGGCAAACAGACGCTGGTCGGAGGGAGTCTGAAGCTCGCCCTTAATAGACATAAGGGCATCCTTCGCGCTGAAACCAATGTTGTGGAAGTCAACAGAGCGAATGGCCTTCTGGATAGCTTCTTCGAAGGTTCGGCCAATGCTCATGACTTCACCGACACTCTTCATAGAGGAACCCAGCTCGGTCGAGACACGAGTGAACTTCTTCAAATCCCATCGAGGAATCTTGACCACACAGTAATCGAGCGAGGGCTCAAAGCAGGCGCAAGTGGACTGAGTGACGGAGTTCTTGATCTCATTCAGGGGAATACCCAGACCCAACTTGGCAGCAATGAACGCCAGAGGGTAACCAGTGGCCTTGGAGGCCAGAGCGGAAGATCGAGAGAGACGGGCGTTGACCTCAATGATGCAGTACTGCTTGGAGAAGGGGTTCAGGGCGTACTGAATGTTACATTCACCAACGACACCAAGGTGACGAATGACATTGACGGCAGTGGTACGGAGCATGTTGTAGTCCTCGTCAGAGAGGGTCTGGGAGGGGGCAACGACAATTGAGTCACCGGTATGAATACCAAGGGGATCGAAGTTCTCCATGTTGCAGACAGTGATACAGTTGTCCTGAGCATCACGAACAACCTCGTACTCGATCTCCTTCCAGCCCTTCATACTGCGCTCGATCAGTACCTGGGGACTGACAGCCAGAGCCTTGACACAGAGCTCCTTCAGCTCCTCCATGTTGTAAGCGAAACCACTGCCGAGACCACCCAGAGCATAGGCAGCGCGCACAATGACAGGGAAGCCGATGTTCTCAACAACTTCCATACACTCCTCAATAGTCGAGGCAGAAGCGGACTTGGCGCACTTCTCGTTGATGGAGTCCATGCTGCGAGCGAACAGCTCACGGTCCTCGGTGGTAATGATGGTATCGATGGGAGTACCAAGGACCTTGACACCAAGTCCCTCGAACTCATCCTTGAGCTGGATACCAACTGAGAGAGCGGTCTGACCACCGAAGGTGACGTAGATGGCATCCGGACGCTCGTGCTTGATGACCTTGCGAACGAAGTCGGCGTTGACAGGCAAGAAGTAGACCTTGTCAGCCAGACCCTTGGAGGTCTGAATGGTGGCAATGTTGGGGTTGATCAGGATGGTGTAAATTCCCTCCTCCTTCAAAGCCTTGATGGCCTGACTACCAGAGTAATCAAACTCACCGGCCTGACCAATGCTCAGACCACCACTACCAAGGACCAAGACCTTCTTAACAGAGACGCGAGGGTGAGCCTTGCGGTTGTCCTCAATGAGACCGCCGGGGAACTCAACGGGCTTGGTGAGCGCATCAGCAGATGCAATGGAGTTCTGGATGGTCTTGATGAATACATCAAACAAGTACTCGGTATCGCGAGGACCGGGGGTGCTCTCCGGGTGGAACTGGACACTGAAGAAGGGACGGCTAGTGTGACGGATACCTTCGTTACTGCCATCGTTGGCGTTGACGAACAGCTCCTCCCAGCCATCCTGGAGGCTGGAGGCATCAACAGCATAACCGTGGTTCTGAGAGGTGATGTGGCACTTTCCGGAGATCATGCTTGTGCAAGGAATGTTGTGACCACGGTTACCGAACTTCATCTTGGTAGTGGTAGCTCCGACTGAACGAGCAATCAGCTGGTGACCCAGACAGATACCGAACACGGGTGTCCGGGCATCCTTCAATGTCTTGGACAGGTTGGCGATGGTAGTGGTCAGGGTCGCAGGGTCACCGGGACCGTTGGACACAAACAGACCGTCGTAATCCTTGCCGGCCAAGGTGGGGAAGTCGTAGTCCCAAGGCACGACCAGGACCTCAACGCCGCGAGAGAGCAAGCAGCGCAGCTGGTTGTACTTCATACCGACATCCAAACACAGGACGCGGACGGGGCGACCCGAGGGGTGCATAAGAGCAACATCGGCGGGGGGAGAGTACAGGCGAGGCTCGCGGATGGAAACTAGAAATCTGTCAGAAAAGAAGCATTGGAAAGGATCCACATTATCACTCACCCTCAGCGACCAGGTTAGTGGCGTTGGGGTCAACCCATTCGATCTCCTCGAACTGTGAGTTCCAGGTAGCAGCCTCGACAACAGCGGAGGCGCCGTTGGCATCTCCGGCCTTCTGCAGGCGCAGGCGACCCAGCATGCTACCAGTCTCACGAAGGCGCTTGGTCAGAGCACGGGTGTCGACACCGTGGATGGCAGGAACGCCCTGCTCCTTGAGCCAGTCACCGAGGGAAGACTTTGCCAAGAAGTGCGAGTAGTCCTCGCCGGCGTAGGCTGCCACCACCAACGCCGCAACGTGAATCTGATTTGACTCAAAGTGCTTGGGCAGGCTCAGTAGCACTTCGTCCATCTCCTCCCGCGAGGGAACACCGTAGTTTCCGACGAGCGGGAAGGTGACAACCAGGATCTGTCCGCGGTAGGAGGGATCGGTAACTGACTCAGGGTATCCAACCATACCAGTCTGGAAGACCAATTCACCAGACACACTCTTCTCCGCACCAAAGTTGTAACCCTGGTACACAGTACCATCCGCCAATTCGAGGGCCATGAGACGGTCACAACCACCCCGGACGGGGATGGTGGCCGGGGCAATCAAAGCACCAGTAGTAGCCATTGTGAGTAGCTTCGGTCTTTTTTGGTCTTTTGAGGTTCTTCTCCGCCCGATTGCGGACTCGGTTCGACCGATTCCTTGGGAGGAAAGCGGACTAGGATAACTGAATTGGAGGGGAAATTTGAGTGGACAGTCCTCTCGAGGACGAATCTGAGCGAGGGCAGGTCACTCTAACACAGCATCCACCAGAAGATTCCTGTTTCCCTCTTCGTGGGTGTTTTCGGGGCTGGTTATTAAATGAGGTAGGAGGGGGGTAATTTGTGCAGCAGCTGCATTGAGCTGGGATATGAAAAAAGAAGAAAATTGAGGGCCGTGGCAGAAAATTTTCATCGTCGAAAGACCCACCGGTTTCGGTGGGTGGGATTTGACCGCCCTCAGAGTTTTTCTCAAAGCTTCTCATAGTGGATCTTTTCTGCAAAAAAAAAAAAAAAAGTGGAAACAAGAAGAACCGAATAGTTTACAAGGAATATCTGGAGGGTTCGAATATTTTATCTGCAAGTTATATAGACTATGTTGATCCTTTCATCTGCATGTCTAACTCTAGTAGGATTACTACATACGTATAATGTAGAGATTAAATTCCCCTGCAGAGCGCAGGCGGTCAGTCCTGATAAGCATGATAACTCCCGGCAACCGGATTCACTTTAGTTACAGCCCTACATATACCATATTGAGTACTATTCTCTACTTTTATAACAAAAACAAAAAAAATGAAAGAACCAATAATAGACATGAGCATTATCCATATGGGTTGTACAGTTTGTGATCAAAGTTTTGATCACATCCAAAACCTGGTTATACCTAGGTTGTTGAAATGTGCGGTCAGGCGTACCCTGGGGAATCTGCACAATGACGTAGTAATCCTCTCTGAGATCTGCCGAAGCTCGGGCGTTCTTAATAGAACGCCCCCAAGTCGCTAACCAAACGGCTAATTTTTCTTTCCAAACATCGTAGAAATGGTATTTTATACACCAGACTTTAGATATATCAATAGCAGTACCTCAAAATATGACGATAAGCGATAGTAGTATACTAATCATAGTGCTTACTAGTATGCTTCACTCTGTGAGATCGTAGATTAAGAAATTCAGGAGGATAGAGACTACACTATCCCTAACTCGGCCATTAGTCCCGTTCATGTTGGAAATACAGATACAGCACTATGCCGGATACAGTAAGCAGGGCGTCTCAATACCAGTAGGGTTGTCTTCTTAACAGGCGCAAGCTTGGACTAACAGAATGCTGGATCTGAATAATCGCGCGCCATTAGCTTGTGCTTTTGTAGATAATTTAAAGTTCTCTAGACGTGGGATTGGTGAAGTAGGTCATTTAATGCCTGTTCTCGCCGTCTTGGTTCACTTATCTTTCTCTATTTCTCCGATCTACCTCCGTATTTATTCCAATACGATGCGCTAAATACAAAATACAAACAACCACTTTCGACAGCATGCAGATTACGAGGCCCATGTGAAGATCCGACCCGACATGTTGGCCTCTCTTCTTCGCCCGAGAGCGCGTCGCGGGCAGATCGACCAGTCGCAATTTTCCTCCCCTTTTAATGGGACAGATAATTCAGCATGGTTCGGCGCACGACGCGCTCCGCGACAGACGCGCGGGGCAGACTCTAGCGACGATGATGAGCCAGAACTGGAAGATATCGATGAGGATATGGATGGACACTGGGAAAATGATGATGGAGAGGATGATGGTCCTATGGAGTCAACTCCTCTACTCCCGATATTTTCATCTTCACATTTAGGTACGTTAGCTGTACTTAGACAGGCCGTATCGCGACAGGCTGTATCACTAACAATTTGCACTCAGATGCGCTTCCTGTTTACGATATCACCCATGCCATTCGTACCCTTATTGCCTCACGATGCGAGACTACCCTGACTTGGGACCAGCTCCGTTCCCCCCAAGTGTCGCAGTTCCTTATCAAGCCTATCCAACAACAGATCATGTCCGAACATTTTTCGCGCGCCACTCTCTATGCGCTTATGGCCAACTGCTTGCAGTTCGAGAAGGAAATTCAGGTCAATCCGGGAAATAGCGGAGCAAGTCAAACCCGCGCGATGGTTAGCGAGCTACTTGCGATCAAGTTATTGCGGGAATACACTACTCGCGAATTGATTGATGCGCTATCGTATGACTATTATCCACTTCAAGGCCAGGATGCTCCCGCATGGACAAACGGGCCCCGAGGAAAAGTGACGGGTACTACTCGGATCTCTTGTCTGGAAGTGGCCATTCGCGCGCAGGCGAAACGCTTTCTCGCACACCCTGTAGTGGTGCAGCAGTTGGAAGCTATCTGGGCAGGAACAATTGTCTTTCACTCTGCTGCCGATCATCTGCATCGACCCTTAAATCGAAGGGATCAAAATTATGGAACAACCACACATCAAGACGGAATCCCGATCCCGACTGAAAATACCCCTTTTAGGCGATCAGTGACGCTGTACAACCCCCGGAATGCATCCTTGTTCAAACTGTCGCGCTTACGTGTGCCTCGTTATCGTCAATTCCTATCTACCATCTCTTTTGCGGTCTTGCTGGGATTGTTCCTGGCAGTTCTCGAATCGCGCAGTGGGCGAATCACCTCTTTGGAGATTGTATTTTGGTTTTGGAGTGCGGGATTCATGCTCGACGAAATTGTCGGTTTCAACGAGCAGGGCTTCAGCCTTTATTTAATGAGCTTCTGGAATATTTTTGACCTCGGAATCTTGCTGCTTCTCTTTTGTTACTATTGCTTGCGTGTCTATGGCGCCTTCTTGACCTATCCACGGAGCAACCAGATGGCAGATCAAGCATACGATATTCTAGCGGCTAGCTCTGTTCTTCTCTTTCCACGTCTCTTCTCGATTCTTGATCATTACCGATACTTCTCCCAACTCTTGGTTGCGTTCCGAATCATGGCAGCGGATCTGATCGCTGTCTTTGTGCTTATTGTGATTGCATGCAGTGGCTTTTTCGTCGCGTTCTTATCATTTGGAAACAATAATTCTCCCAAAAGCGTCGCGTATGGTTTGTTCCAACTGGTGATGGGCTTCACGCCGACTGCATGGGCCATGTGGGATGAATACAACTTCCTTGGCAGGGCTATTCTCACAATATTTTTGTTCATCTGTCACTTTGTGATCGTCACTATTCTGGTTTCCGTGCTGTCAAACAGCTTCATGCGAATTGTGAACAACGCGAATTCTGAGCATCAATTCTTGTTTGCTGTCAACACAATATCTATGGTCAAGTCAGATGCACTGTTTAGCTATGTGGCCCCGACAAACATCATCGCTTGGCTTGTCACGCCTTTTCGATACCTCTTACCCTTCCGCCAGTACATCAAGCTCAATCGGACTATCATCAAGGTTACTCACTTGCCAATACTGTTCACCATCTGCCTCTATGAAAAGACTATTCTCAGTGCCCGCGTGATGGAGCCAACGGACCTCGTTGACACAACATCCCAGAAGCCATTGGTCCAGACCCGACCTAGTCGCTTCCAGGCATTTAGCACGAGGGCACATCGCTTAATGCGCGAGCCTTCCATAGCTACCTACCATAAGGATCAGGCACTGGAAGAGGTATTCCGACAGCATACAGATGACAACCGAGATCGGGAAGGTCCGGACAGCATGCGCAAACGCCAAACCAATAACGTCATCAAGGATTGGATGCAAGAGGTTGGTTCGGGTCCAGCTCATACTCCAGACGAGCAAGACCCGGCCATCGTGAATCAGCTTGAGATGCCATTTAGACGACCTCGATTCCCTGTGCGGAAGGAAATGGCAAACCCTGAGCGCAACTTCACGGAAACCACCCGATCTCTGGCAGCATCCAATCCCGAAGATCGGGCCCCTCCAACGTTCTATCCCCAGCGGAGAGATTCAAACTCGCCCACGCGAACCCGCCAACTCTCCCAACACACTGACATGGAAGGAGATGATGAGCTAGAGACTGATGATGGCCTTGAAGAGCATTCAGAAAAGGGATCAGCCAGTGATGGCGCCAATCCTATTGGCAGTGCCGGGAAGAGTACACCCAGATTCTACAGCTCCCGGCCATCTACCGCTCGAGTTATTTCTCGACGTGGAAGCCCCGTGCGCCGCCCCGGACATAGGCGTAATATGTCAGGGGCTACCATCTTGTACAATCCTGTTGAGTCTCCCAATGAAGAAACCGAGGGACACACGACACCCCCACGAACCCACGAGGATTCCTCGGATGACGATCATCTTCTTGGCATATCATCTTCTGCGAATGTTGGCACGGTGCGACGACACGCTTTCAACTCCATCCCCTCCCGCAATCCTTCACTCGGTTTCAACCACATGTCAGTTCCTGAGATCGAAGGACTTTACATGACCGATCGTCAGGCCTTGCGACGCCCCCAACGCTCCTTGATGTTTGACCTCGGATCCGACCTAGGTGATAACAGGGCAGTGGCCGGTGGATTAACGGGTGTAGTTCCATCCAGCTTCAACACCCAAATGGCATTCGCTACTGGAGATCTCCGCGGACACGGACGCAGCCAGAGCCATGAAATGCTCAGCAAATTAGTACTTGCGCGCATCAACAATCTTGAAGGGGGACTCCGTGAGGTAATGGAAGAGGTTAAAAAGGTTGGTCGCAACGAATCTAGTGGCAGTCTCATACCGGAAAAGAAGAAGCGAGAGCAGAAGGATACGAAGAGGAGAAAAACACAATCGGATGGAAGTGGGCAGGGTCGGGGTCGGGATAGGCAACGATCTACCGAGGATGATGCCCGGAGATCGGGCTAGTCCTCCACTACCCCATTCTCCCAGCCTCTAGCTTGTAGATTATTTCCAACACTGTACACGAATTAGGCGGGAAATTCTGGGATTTGCATGCATGGCGCTTTGATTCTTTTCTTTAGCAGATACCATAATGAACCGCATTTCACAATTCATCACACACAATTCTTTCCCAGTCTACCCTGTCGCTTATATTATGAAGCACCCACCTCCATTAGGTGCTTTAGTAGAGGCATTGAACAATTCATGTTGATCTAAGGTTTCAATGTTTTTATGGTTTTGTGGGATGACATGACCATGAACGCATTATTGCCATGGAAAGAAAGATTCTGGTTGACGAACCATGGGCCATGGACTAGAAAATAAATAACATCTTTTATTAAATCAATAAAATCAATTAATCTATCTCCAGTGGGTAAGAACCTTGGATAAATGGTATTGACTGACCCACCCTTTATGCTTCTAAAGTGGAGACTTGACACTTGACATATTCCACATACTACGTAAATTTACTGCTGATCACCTTTGGAACAAATGTACCTTGGCAAATATAACGTTCACAGATTTATTTTTTGACTCACTGTGTTCACTGTGCCACCAAGCTGTGGCGAAACATATCAGCAACTTTGTTCTGATTGGTCTGTTTGACAAGGCAACGGACTTGAGCCTCACTACTCCGCCCCTCCACGTTTGACGCCCTTAACCTCTACACAGATCATCGACCGCGTCTCTTCACATTCTCATTTGAAACTTCACACCTTCACATCTAATCACCCTTGATGACTGTCTACCATGACTTCAACGACTGGACCTGTCTTCACTATACCGCCAGCCATGTCGCCGGGAGTATCTTCAGGGAGATCAGCTCAATCTCGCCAGAGCCTCCCGCAAAAATACCATTTGACAATTCCGCTTCTTCTTTTCCATGATGCAGATACCCTGCTTTATATCGACCCCGCACCCCAAGACGGGCTCAATAATCCAACTACAACACCGACCATTCCCCTTCGCGTACACAGCGAGAAGCTGTTGACAACGGGCTCTGCACAGTTTGTTAAGCTTTTCATACCCCGATACCAAAAACGTGTTCGAAAGCAGCGGGGTTTCGCTGAGAAGTTACCTGATGGTATCAAGTATGTGTTGGATTTGACACCAGCAACTCACGAGGAAGATGCTGTCATAGCTTTGACGGAGGTATCATGTCCAATGGCCATTCGAAAATGGGCCTCACTGCAGGACCGATGGAACCTTCCAAAGGCTTGTGTTGGAGGTGAGGATGAATATCAAATATTGGAGCACCCAGATCCAACGAGCGTCTTCGATCCACTAGTGGTCAATGATCTGGAAGAATCGGGAGAAAGAACGCACGATGCAGAAGAGCATGGGATGACTTCGGATAAGCCCTCACAAGAATATGCAGAGCCAGCGCTTAACATGGTTTTTCGGAAAGGGCTACCTGTGGAGTATTCCGCTGCCCGCCACCGCGAGGGGATCGAATATGTCCTGCACGTCCTGGAAGGACTGAGCATAACCCTCGATACACCTTGCAAGCTATGGACATTTTTCGCTGTTGCCAAGCTTTTTGATGTCGCTACGCTCCCAAATATCAACACTTACATCATCTCTTGGTTTTACGACCAAACCAACACGCGATTCATTGAAATCCACCCAGAGATCGCCTATCGTGTCGGTTGTGGCATCAAATCTAGTGAACTTTGTTGGCATGCATTTCAGGGCCTGGTCAGTGACGAAGCACTTCTCTACCTCATACGGACCGCGAAACTGACGCCACTGAAAATGTGGCGGTCGGCATACACAACATCTCGGCTTAATGAGAATCTCGATGACACCGAGATTCAACGAATCGAGTACGCTAGTAAGAGCTTCATGGATACTGTTTTAAGACACTTCATTCACTTGGCCGGAACGCAAATGTCTTGGCTTAAAGATATCCCGGAATTTGCAAAGTTCATCCGACACGTCCATTTTTATCCCGAAGACGCTGAAAAAGTTCGACCGATCATTGAAACCGTGAAGGAATGCGCTAGAGCTTCAATTTACCGGAAGCTAGCATTCGCCGGGGACCCCCAACGCTCTTGCAATGCAATGCAACCAAGAAAAGAACAAACAAAGTCATTTGCTCGCACATTCGAGTCACGAGATGCTCTGGTTAGATTAATGAGCAGAAAGTTTTGGACTGACCTGTCAAGTGTCAGAATTGGTCATACTTACGACTCCTTGACTTCGCCCCGTTATTCTCACTTCGGTATTCACGACTCGATCGGCGAGATTGGATGTGGTCTTCTTGCATTTCAAGACCAGGAGGATGCAAAAATAAGGAACATCCAGAAAGAAACTTTGGATGAGCGACTGGCGGAATTCAATGAACTGGCCGAGCGTCGGGCAAAGGAGTTACATGAAACCCTGGCGAGTCAGTTAAAAGCACAGACTGCAAGTGAAAATAACCAGTGGAATCTTACGATCAATCTACGTCCCAAGACTCCATCAGCAAGCGAGCCAGTCGTCTCATCTTCAAACGAAGTTTCTTCTACTACTACGGAGATGAACCAATCCCTTCCAATGAGAACAGAATTAGCTGAATCTCCAGCGGAACAGGCGAGGCATTTCATTTCACAGCAACCATGTCAGCGACCAGCATTCAGTCTCAATGACTCGCAGGTGCACAAGACCGCTTTGGATATCTCACAGAATCCTAGATTTACTCTCAATATCTCGAAAATGGACTTGAGTGATCCTGTCTCTCCCTCGAACAATCATCCCGAGCCCTCCCATCGGAAAGTGTGCTTTGACTTGGATCTGTTCATTGTATCAGCTTCCGCATATGTCTCCCAGTATTCTCACACGATATTGCATCCATTTGGCCAAGTTCCTTTCCAATACGCGATTGGAGATCTCTTGACTTGTCTGAGTGATAAGGAATATCAATACTTGCCTCTCTGGGCCGGCGGTGATGACGACGAAACGGGCGGCGTATTTTCAGACCACGAAATCCCAATGATGGTCACTGGCGGCTTTTCCGCCCCGGGCCCTCAGGTTCATACAGGGAGTGTTGCATCCACTGATGACTCCTTCAGCGAGATCAACCCTAGTGATTCTCAAAGTACTATCCAAGGCGCCTCCCACCGCGCAACCAACTCTCAGACTTCAGAGATTTTGTCAGTGGACTCTTACGATGAGATTGAAATTCCAGGATTGATTGAGAACGAAGTGCATATGGTAGATACGATGCGAGCTAACTGTGTCTCATCCGTGAATTCCGACGAGGGAGATTCTGATACAAAGAGCGTTGGAGGCAGCACCATTATCATGGGCTCGCCTAATTTGTCTGGCTTTTCAGATGATGATATGGATATGGTGGGAAATGAGGACGATGAGTTCGACATGGTGGAGGATCTTAAGTGACTGAATATTTCTTTTGGAGAGTATGAGTAAGGAGAACTTTATTGAATAGGGCAATCAAAAACTTGCTGTGGGTATCAATTATTTTGCGTGTTTAAATGAGTTCTTGAGACAGCACCCATCATCTATAGTTGGCTTCTCCACCAGTCTACTGAGTTGCACATGATAATTTCAGCGATAAGGATCATTCACATTTTCTGGAGCCTTTGACTGTTCATTTCCCGGATTAATTTAAATAGGCGTTAAATGGAAGTACATGTATACCATCCAGTCGCCGATGAAGGTTAGAAGAAACTAATGGACTTCACAAGTGCACCATTCAGCGAAGCCATCCGACATTCACGATACTTCCACGACTAGCATGCTTGAAGATTCTATGTAAATCAAACAAGATAAGAACCTGTATTCCCTCTGAGACTTGACGACAATTCATGCTTTCAAAGTCATAATTCAAATCAAAAGATAGTTATATAATGTCGAAAGCAGATGATAACGGTCTTTACCGTCAATTTAACTGATATGATATATGAAGAATTTGATACAGAAATATTACCTTGAACATGTATTAATTTTCGTACGATCCAAATATTACAACTGCCCAGCCCACTTTATCAATTCCCGGAAAATGTGTATCAAAGTACCACTGGGTCATATAAGACCGGAATGATCTCGCCTGCGTTTCCACATCAGTTTTGAACTCAGTGTTCGTCTCTATTTTTGGCTCATCAACTAAAATAGAATTTCTCATGCCACTCTCTCTGTCAGTATGTATCCGACTCTCCTCCATCGTACTCTCTCACACACTGGTTAATTCAACCTCAAACTGACTGCCACAAATTGACAGTCCAAAATGTACAGCGGAAAAATCGCAATGTTTACACCCGAGGGACTCATACAGATCATTGAAGAAAAGAGTCCCGACCCGAACCCCGACGAGATTCTAGTGCGCCTACACCTGGCCGGTGTGTGCGGCAGTGATGTCCACCGAGTGGCCGGTGACATCCCACGTCCGAATCACCCGATCTGCTTCGGACACGAGGCCGTCGGAATCATCCAGAAGATAGGTCAGAATATTAAAACAGACAGAGGAGGAGCACCGATCATTGAAGGTGACTTCCTGTATTGGTGTCCTTCCACACCATGCAGAAACTGTCAGGAATGTATCCCGAAAAACCCTCTGCAATGCAAGTTTCTTAACTGGCCAGTTACGGCAGGGGGTCAAATGCTGCTGGATTCCGAGAGTATGCTACTTTGAAGAAAAATTGCACTTTTATTCGAATTCCATACCCAAGCGCTGCTATGAGCAACATAGCCTTTGGCTGCGCGATGCCCACTGCTCTACGAGGGTTTCGGAGACTCCCAGAAGGGGCCTTTACGTCCGCAACGGATGTTGTGATTCAGGGTTGTGGGCCTGTAGGTCTTGCATGTGCCCTGTTATCTAAACTTGCGGGCGCCCGCACGATCACCATCATCGGCGATCCTGAACATCGGCTTGACGCTGCACGGGCACTTGGTGCGACTGCTACACTTCCTTTTTCTCGATCGACTCTCGCCGACAGGACTACACAGGTTAGATGCATTGCGGAAGGTCGCGGAGCTTCTCTAGTTGTGGAGGCAGCGGGAGCACCTGCGGCATTCACGGAAGGTCTTGACTTTCTTGGAATGAATGGTGTTGACCTGGTTTTTGCATCTATTCGGGCAATGCAAAATTTTCTATTGATCCAGTGCGATACCCAAAGTAGTTGCAATGACCGAGCCCACATAAGAGTATGATATAGCTCCCCAGGAAATTCCTGCGATTGTCCAGGCAAGCTTGGTTTGAAATTGTCGTTTCTCCATGATTATTTCAACAGAGGTAGATGAGGGCCTTGAATTGAAATAATCTTCGGTCGCCAAAATCGAGAGAAAGCAATTAAATATCTCCTAGCGGCTCCTTGGGCCTAGGTATAAATAAATGGAATCAAGGGAAGCACGTGGGGGGCCAAGCTCCTCACCAGATCCAATGGTCCAGGTTATGGAAGATAATATTCCGAAAATGCTCTCTCTAGTGGCTTTTCTGGTGGTTCCCGGGAGTAAATTCCTTGACTCTTGAATGCCGAGACTGGCTAGAAGTACGCTGGTTTTCAGTTTGTAAAATCCAGAATGCAAATAGGCAAATATGTCAAAAGATTAGTGAAAGCCTTTTCAAAGCTCAAGGCATGATGTATTTGTCATCTTGTAGTTACATTGAGTTTCTGTCGGAATCTCCATGCCTCCACCTTTACCGTATGGCTAGAGGATGTTTACTTACTCCACTGTCTAAAGACCAATCGAATTAACCTTCTACAGTTTGTTATGACGGAGCACTTTTAGTTCGAGCCTTTGCAATCTAGATAGATCTCAATTTACAAACTACTGTATATCTGGAACATGAATGTATGCCATGCAAACAATATTCAGTTTTTTCCATCATGGAATTCCTAAGCCTACTGGTCAATTTACACCAGTGATCTTCGAGGATTCCTCCGACAAGAGGAATACCATTGCTCGCGCAATATCCACTGGCTCAAGAAGTTCCATCCCAAGGTTCTCAAGTGCTTGGTCCTGTATATCTGCAGCAAAGAATTGCCTCATCATTGGCGTCATAGTAGAACCTATCAATGTCAGAGAAGTGAAAGTGTAAAATGAAGTGAGATACTTACTAGGAGAAACAGTATTGACTCTGATACCGAAAGAAGAGGCATCCTTTGCTACTCAGGTTGTGAAAGAAGCACATGCCCTTTTAGAAGCACCATAGGCATATGCATCCGGAGAATGCATCACAGAAGCCAAACTGGACACGTTGGCAATTGCACGTGGTGACTTTGGAATAGGCACCATGGCCCTAACTTGTTCCCTTGTGCAAAACATAATGCCATCTAGATTGACACTCATCGTCTTCTTCCACGTTTCATCAGTTTCTTCGAGGATTGTGGGGTTCTTCCGTGCTCCGACGGCCTGGAGCACGCCAGCTACATTGGCGCATCCATCGATGGTTCCAAATGTAGTTATGACTGACTGAATCAATGATTTGACTGCAGAAGAAGACGATACATCGACTTTTGTTGTCAACACCTTGGTTTTTGGATAGTTGATTTCGATTTCACTCTTGATGGAGGCAAGGTTCTGTTTCTGGAGATCCGCAATGGCAATAGCTGCAGCTGATCGCTGGGCGAGAAGCTTGGCAGTCGCTGCACTCATTCCCGATGCACCTCCTGTAATGGTTAAAACCTTGCCCAAAAGGTTCGAAGTCATGTTGATTCAATGAAGGTCAAAGTATTTGGAAAACAAAACATTCCAATGGGCTATCAATTATACATCTTTACATGCAATACTTGCATAATATATTCCGGGTCAGCGCGTGAAGGCTTAAACCATTCCATTGAAGTGCGGGGAAAGCTATGATATTCAACAAGTAATGGTTCCGGAATTTGTCAACTTTCTCGTTGATGTGATTAACATACCCCACCGACACACAAAATTTGACCTGTAACAAAGCTCGCCAAGTCACCGAGGAAGAAATTTATAGTATTGGCGATCTCCACGGGGCTTCCAATTCGCTTCATTGCAATCGTCTGGGTATAAATTTCTAACAGTTCCTCTTCCGTCTTGTCCAGGCCATATTTTGGTCCCATCACTGTCTTCAAAGGGCTTCGAACCATATCCGTATCGGTAGGCCCTACCAGAGTTAAACCTAAACCTGAATAGAGGAGAAAATATACCAACCTGGTGCGACGCAGTTCACCCGTACTTCATATGAAGCAAAATAAAGAGCCCACGTTCGAGTTAAGCCTAGAACTGCATGTTTTGTAGCAAAGTACGCAGGCAAACGGGACTCTCCAACTAACCACGCCAGGCTGCCGATATTGACAATGCTGCCAAATCCTTGCTTCTTCATTTGTTCTAACGCAGCTGATCCCACATTCCATACACCTCTGAAATTGATATCAATCACTGTGTCAACCATAGAGTCACTCGGCATTTCTCCTTCCAGGGGACATATTCCGGCATTATTCACCACTCCATCCAGATGACCATGCTTTTCAAGCATCGAATCGATAGTGGCCTGACATGCAGCTTTGTTACGGACGTCGGGGAAGGTGTATTTTAAATTATCATTGGCGATGATCGTGAACTCCGGAGAAGGAGTAGCTGGTACATCCAGGACATAAATATGAGCGCCATAGTCAAGCAACTGTTTGGTAACAGCGAGACCAATCCCTAGATTTCCGCCCGTCACCAAATACGTCTTGCCGGAAAATAATGATGGATCCATGAAAACAGTCAATGTCGAAGTTTAGATTATTTTGATACTTGGCTTATCTATTGTCTCTCAGTACATTGAATTGAAGCTATTTATATGTCGATGTGTTTATACTCGGATTTGACAATATCATGGTCCTTGGATCTAGTGCCGCCTTGCCGGACGGAACATCTGAAATTAGGCGGAATTAATAGTTGATGGGCAGTGTTGGAGCCGCAGGCATTGATTTGCTAGCTTTGTTGCTATCAACCTAATCGGGACTAGCTTCACTTTCACTGAGACTAAGCAACACTAACGGGTCCTGAGGCCGAAATACGACTACTACTATGAATGCAGTAAAGAAGCAGGGAAATTACCGGAGAGATAAAAGCAACGGAAGATGGGAAATAGAGGTTGCGGATGGAATCTGGGGAAAGGTGGGGAAGACTCACCCCCCACAATCGGAAAGGTAAAAACTTGAAACCACATATAGCCCGTCGTAATCCTTTCCTGATATGTCCTATCTTCTTTCCCGCCGCATTTGAAAATAACTTAAGTCTTCTCTAATTGGGCTTTTCAAAGTGACAAGCAGCGAACTGGAAAGAAAAAGAAAAGAAAAACCTGAAGGTTGGGGGTTTCGAGCGTGTGTCCACAAAGACCATGGTGTGCCCAAGTGATAGAGGGATTTATAGGTGTCTGACGGTCTTCATTTGTGTCATCGGATGGTTAATCATCTTAAACCTAGTTATCATTCCATGCTCCCTGAATCCAGCTCTACTAAAAACAACTTGAGCAGCAAATTTAGGTATAATAGTGGACATAGTATTCAATTCGGGGCGGTGTCGACGAAATAAATGAATGATTCCTGTGATTATATGGATATCCATAATTTTTAATAGCAGTCCGCTCTAGCCATTCCATTATTTCACTTGTTATGTTTTATGTGTTATGTGTGATTTTGACGACGAGCTGGCATGGATGACTGAACATGTAAGGAATGACTAAGCGACCCACTTGGAAATGGGGAGCGCGGCGAGCTCCTTACACCGTCACTGTCCGAAGACAGCGGCCTTCTCTTGCTTTCAGTCCGGATCTAACCCTACCCGTGCTTCTCACTATCTGAAGATTTTCGAGCTATAGCCCGCCATGGCTTCCTCCTCAAAGCCCCAGAGTTCCTTGCTTTAGTGAGTGTCCCCGATACATTAGTACCAACCTTGAACTTGATGAATACCAGCATCAGGCATTCTAACAACTCCTCACCACCAGCACCTGTATCGCACACCGCAACACCATCCTGGCGGAGCACTCCTCTCCAGGATCATCATCCACATCCGCATCCTCACTCGCATCCCTCATCCTCCCCAAAATCACCCACGACAAGCCCCGGAAGTTAACATACACCCATGAACGCCTGTTCGTACACTACATTGCCGACTCGCCAACCGGCGGGTCGGCAGACGATCAAAGTGGACGTTCCGAGCCCAACTCCTACGCACCTATAAGCTACCTAGTAGTAGCATCCGCCGAACAAGGACGCCGCATCCCCTTCGCCTACCTCCTAGAAATGAAGCGCAATTTCCTCTCCAGCTACCCACCATCCAGCACAGACTTTTCCTCGCTGCCAGCATACGGCTGCGCAGCCTTCAATACAGAACTCCGCAGCCTGCTTCAGACATACAACACTGCTCCACCCGCAGACTCCTTGGCGTCTGCCCGCCGCGAGATTGACAATGTACGCGACATCATGACGGAGAATATTGAGCGCGTACTGGAACGCGGCGAGCGCATTGATCTACTAGTTGACAAGACTGATCGGCTTGGTGGGAGTGCGCATGATTTTCGCATCCGCAGTCGGGGGTTGCGTCGGCGCATGTGGTGGAAGAATACTAAGCTCATGGTGCTCCTCGGCTTCGTAGTGATCTTCCTTCTGTACCTGTTTATTGGGTTTGGATGTGGACTGCCAGCTTGGTCGTCATGTGTAGGACACAAGAGCCAGTGATCTACTGCTGGTCCGCACATATGGAATGGGAGGCATTCAACCCATGCTAGCTGAGCAAGCCTGGCTCTTGTTTATATGTCCTTTGTCTTGATTCATTTGCCAAGTTTAACGCACGACATGATGGTTTTTTCTCGGCCTTTCGTTTGCATGAAGCGTCTGTATATTAACTGAATACTTGATCTTTGACAGCTTGGTTACAGTGCCTGGATTTTCGTTTATGTAACTTAGTGTCAACAGAGTCTAGTTACCTGACTGACTGTTATGAAATACGAAAGTGACACTTCAATGTTTTTGGACTTTTAATTTGCATCTGTATTTTGAGAGTCTGTTTATCCACGCCGACGTCATCCACCCCGCATTCCTGTTTATACTTCTCTCGGCAATGCATTATTCTCCAACCAGAAGACAAGTCAAAATCTATGAAGAGGTTGCTGATGATGTTCTTCAAAAGGTGTACGATAATGTATATCTGGAAACGTGCCTGTATCGTTACTAAATCAATTTCAGAGACTTGAGTACAGTATATGTATCTAGGCTCGGTCTGGCAATGATGCCTCATACTCTTCCCAGACCTTTCCAATGTCGTTCTTGTAAATGAAATCCTTGTCACCATAAAGGAAATTGTCAATCTTTGCTTGTAAGCAATGATCAAAGTCTTTGTTCTCTTCCTTGAACTTCTGCATTTTGGCACCCATCTCATCCAGGTGCTCGTACCTTTTGCAATCAGTTATCAAGTCCAAAAATATATCAGAGCTGGGCCAACTCACATTCTGGCATAGTATGGTGACCTGATTACATTGAATATTTCAAGAGCATCCTTAACAGGATGAGAAGAATACTGTGCATACTCGAGTGCTCGAGCGAGAATCCATCCATCCTCCATGGCAAACGTCGCACCAGATCCGAACGCACCTGAAAAACTGTCAGTACCGTTTCTTGTTTAATACATGAGACGGAATGAATTACCTGAGAGTGGGTGACTAGCATCACCTATCAAAGCGATCTTATCCCAGCCAATGATCCTGTCCAAACGAGGTCCAGCAAATGTAGCGAACTCCCCCCATTCGCCTTCCTGAACCACATCCACTGCGTCCCGTACTCGCTGATCAAATGTCTAGTGAAAGTATCAACACATGTATCTTCCAATATGTAGATCGATATCATCTCACCAAAACCCGAGACGCCACTTTCTCATTGGTAGCGGGGATACCCCAGACAACAGTCTTCCCCGGGATCTCAGGCTCCTTATAAGATCGCACGGTGATTTCAAAGAATGGATCATCGCTTTCGCCCTCATCATCCACATCTGAGAAGTAAACATGGCCAGCTTCACCCCACCACCAAGCTGTCGTGGATGCAACATCTGGGATGTGAGCCAGACGTGACCTGGGCACAATCGTGCGGAATGCAGTGTTTCCAGTGAACCGAAGCTGATGTTCGGGAAACAAAACACGTCGAACAATCCATTTTTGAGTCCAGTTAGTCGCAGATAAGTTGAATGGGGAATATGACAAACCGAGTGTATACCATCTGCACCGACGACTAGATCTGCATGTGCGTCTGTCAAATCATCGAATATCAGGCGTACGCCTCCATTGGAACGATCCTCAAGAGAAACAAGCTTTTTATTAAACTGGATCAGACCATCTGGCACCTTATCCAGAAGGGCAGATTGGAGTCGTGTTCTGCGAGCGCGAATAGCCCCACGAGAATCCGCATCGGAGTTTTCGGGGTGCGGGGTGATGCTCAGAATCTTGCCAGTGTGGCCATTTCTGAGCGGATTTCGTCAGCATATGAAGCAGACGCATCAAATCCAACTTCTCATTAGTATTGCTTACCTTTGATGTGTGTTAGACTTGGATCCTCCCTTCACCCCATCACTCGCCCCAAGCAAGTCCAGAACTTTCCACGCATTCGTACTTAGACTGATTCCAGCACCGGCTTCTCGAGGCTCGGGATTCTTTTCGTAAAGTGTTACTTGGAGGAATGGAAGTTGGGATAGAGCAATGGCGGTTCCTAGCCCACCGGGGCCTCCACCAACGATGGCAACGGAAAGTAATGTACGGCCGACCATTTTATTTGATTCAAAATTGAGCTACTATTTGCCGGGGTCTTTGGTAGGCTTATATAACTCAATGGCTCGGTAGTTATTTATATTATTGCTTATCAATGATCACGATGTGCGGAATGTTGTATGATCAAATAGCACGCCATAATAAGTCCGAATGTGTCATGATACGGACTCTGCTGGCTATTGGCTACATATCGGATTGTTTGAGCAGTTATGCTGAGCAATATAATTCGTTCTAGGGACTAGGAGGTTTACGATTTCTAAAAATGGGAGGCTTAGACTAACCAGGAGTAGGAATTCTGATCACTTCGCAAGTTTTCATGCTACCAATCGACGGTGAACCTACCAAATCAAGGATATCATGGCTACGGAGCTTGCTATATGCTATACAACCAAAATTACTACTAATAAGGAAGCATTGATCCTGATATCCCAACTGATCCTTGGATGTATTGGAGGCTGAGGATTGTATGTAGCGCTTGCTCCAGTTTGATTGCCGTTGTTCTAACCAGGATTAGGCTATATATGTAGTTAAGCTTCCCTCCACTTTTCCCTCACCTTTTCCCTCTCTATCTCGCCTGCCAGGAGAGATTATCATATTATTCTCTTTTGCTTCTTTTCCTTGCTATGTACTACATAGTCTTTTCACGAGTGCCCCTCAATAAATAATGATGTGGTACTGTCTGCCGAACATGTTTTTAGTGGGGCATTTTGTCATCATCCGATCCGGAGAAGGCACTCCGACGGCTGAATATTGGAACACCATTCACCACCATTGTGCACTTCAAGCTGGCATCTAAAGATCTTCATTATTAGTCGGCCTTCGGCCTCAATTTAAAAATTAACCTTACCTTATTTCCGAAATTTTTGGCGTCTATGGCCAACGCTGGCATTGCTTGTGGAAGGCCGAGCTCGAAGGGAATTTTTTCATGTCAGAGATGTCGTCGGCGAAAACAAAAGGTATAGTCAAGTGACAGATTTCTTTATCTATTGAGATATCAAGCTTATTCTCTCATAGTGCAATCAAGAGCGGCCATGTGAGAATTGTGTTCAAGCCCAAACAGGTACATAATAATCCTTCGTTTCCTGGGGATTATATGTTCAAAGTGTTAACGACAATCGAAAAACGATTTAGTTTGTGTGCCATCGGAACGATCAAAAAGGAGATCGCAATTTAATCCTCAGTAAGGCTGCCTTCAATCTGGGTTTTGTGTCATCAACTTAGACAAGTACATCTGTTGAGCTAACCTATTCAGATATACGCGGTCCTTAGAAAATCGTCTCTTTGAGTTAGAGGCACAAGCTGGAACACACGAACAAGTATCGAATCCACATGTTCTAAGACCTGAATCAATTGAGAGCTCTACAGTCGCTTCAGGAAGAAGAAATGAGACCAGGTCTCCCACACTAGAGCCTACTCAGCCATCGGTCCTTCGTTTTCCTCCAATGCGAGTAGATATTCAAACTCCGATAACTATTCAAGCATCATCGCCAATCTTCCTCAATACACCTGATATTCACAAGCAGAGATACAGGGCTGGCTTTAGGTCAGAATTCGAAGGCTCAGAATCAACTGTGAAAGAAACGACGGTGAAAGAAATACGATTCTCAGATCAAGAAGAACGGGATTTAATCCAAACCTACATGGAACGAGTCAACCCTCGCTATCCCTTCATCTACGAAGAAAGCTTCCTGGAATGGTACTCTTCCTGGAAAAATTTAAAACAATCTGGGGATGACTTACCGGTTGGTGAGCAATGGAAGTCATTTTTCGTTCAGATGGCGTTTGCAGTTAGCCTTCTCATCGCTGCTCAAGTATCGCCCGAAGAGAGAAACCTATCCAATGTTAGTGAGCTTCAATTCTGAATATGTCTAATAACTAACATTCTAGACTTTATACTCGATTGCCCTTCTGTCTCTCAGCGCCGTGTTTGAGAGACCAGACCCAGTTCTTCATGTTCAAGCTTACTTGATGTGCACGATACATGCACTTCACTCTCCTTCTTCTCAAACCGTTCTGACAATGATATCAACTACAATGCGATGTTGTGTCATCTCTCAACTACATCATCGACCTGCGGATGAGCTTCTGATCCTCGATGCTTCAACTCTGCTGCAAGTTCAAATACGCCGCCGAGTCTTCTGGTCCGCCTATTCAATAGATCGGTTAATTAGTTGGATCTACCATGTTCCATGCAGTGTTGTAGACGAAAACATTCAAACTCAGGTACGTTGACCCAGTCTCCCTCTTTTTGCTCCAGCTAATAGCTCAGCTCTTTGATAACATAAGTGACCATGAAATCCGAACCTGGGAGGTGCGACAGGCGGTTATTGAATCTACCCCTAGACAAACCAGTGTCTCTTCCGCCCTTCACCTGATCCGTGTGAGAAGAATACAGTCACGTATACTTGCAATCATGATGCGCGTCGATTACAATCGAGCATTTGCAACACATTATGGCTGGAGGTTACACATGCTGGAGGAGTTAGGTCAATGGAGGAATCAACTACAGCCTCACAGTGACCCTGAAGCTAGAGGTTATACCAGCCAAGGATGGGTTGGAATGGCGTACAATTATACAATCTTACTTTTACACCGACCGACCAAGGACAACGTTCGAGGGCTAGTTGGGGAAAAGTGCCTACAGGCCTGCGCAGAGATTTTATCTGTTTTCCGCCAGTATCAGAAGGACCGCCAGACAGCCCAGCTTTGGCCAGGGGTGAGAGATATCCTCATTGCGATGCGAACATCATTCCGCTAACAATCATCTAAATGAAGCTTCTGAGTCAATTTGGCATCGGGATTACCCTTCTCTATTGCTTTTGGGCAACGCATCCGTCCAGTCGAACCGATATATACCGATCTTCGGAGACACTCGCAGCAATACAGACATGTTCTGTCATTCTTGCTGTGTTTGCAGAACATTGGAGAGAGGCTGAGCCATTGCGTGATGTATTCGACACACTCTCTGCATCTATTCCATACCATCCTCTTATCTCCGCTGAGAGTGCGGAAAATCGGATATCTAAGGATGCAGCAGATTCAATCATGCGGAATATGCCTCAGATCGTCTCACTTGTCGTGAATAACGATATTTGTAGAATGATCAACGAGATGGTGACCCAGCACTATCCGTGGAAGTTTTCCAGATACAATGATAAGTTCCTCGTCTGGTCCTCGGAAATACATGTTCCTGAAACCTGTTCTCTCTGTCAAGACATGGCCGGGACCAAAAGTGCTGCTTGGTCAGACGACCTTGACCTTCACGAGCCCAGTGTTCACGATCACGAGTTTTTAGATTTTCCCGGCTTGTTTGAATTTTAAGTAGAAAAACTCGGAATGGCATCGATATAATTCGACGACAGATGTTCTGTCTTTTATTGCTTTATTTTAAATTAAGAACCAACCCATAGGATACTGCATGAATTATTTAGTGTAATCATTGGTTGGTCGGCATACATGATGTGGGGCTTACCGTTCGGAGTTTCAGCGCCGAAAAGAAGTGAAGTAGTCATTATCGGAGATTCAACCTCCGATGACTCCAATTCCATTTAATTCTTTTCAAACCAGTTTTTCCTTTCTTCCTTTCTGATTAATCGAAACGGATAATCGCAAGGGAAACTCTGCCATTCCGAACGAAATGTCTCAGAAATTAACGGTCGCCGTGGCCCAGGCCCGCACTCGTTCTGACCTACCCTCCACCCTCGCCGCATTGAAGCGCATCACAGCTCAAGCTGCGTCACGCGGGGTCCAACTCATTCTATTCCCTGAAGCATATCTGGGCGGATATCCCCGTACATGTGACTTCGGCACCGCAGTGGGCGCACGCGGAGCTCATGGCCGTGAACAATTTCTACAATATTTCAAGTCGGCCGTGGATCTAGGTGATACTCCAAGTGGAGCCGGTGACGATTGGGTAGAGCGGAAACTCCCCACAGCCCCGGGGAAGAAGTACCGTGGAGATGGTACAAGAGAGTACCTTGAGCAGGTGGCTCAAGAGACTGGTGTCTTTATTGCCACTGGGCTGATTGAGAAGGCTGCCGGTACCTTGTACTGTTCGATGGTCTTTGTGGATCCCTCGCGAGGTATACTTGGCAAGAGAAGAAAGGTCATGCCAGTGAGTTTGTTTCATAAGCGTTCATCAAGATAAGGATAAGGTGGCTAACATTTTCCTGATTTTTGTGGGAAAGACTGCCTCTGAGCGTCTGATTTGGGGACAGGGCTCGGCGGCGAGTCTGAAAGCTATCACTACTGAGATTAATGGCGTTAAGCTTACGATTGGTGGAGCTATTTGCTGGGAGAACTTCATGCCTCTTCTTCGACAGAGTCTGTATTCGCAGAATGTGAATCTTTATCTTGCGCCAACCGCTGATGCGCGAGATACCTGGCTTCCGCTTTTGCGAACTATTGGTGGTGAAGGACGCACCTTTGTCCTCTCGTCGAACCAATGTGTCCGCTACAATGAGCTTCCATCTTGGATCACTGACCATGCGCCTACACAAGAAGACGGTATTTATTCCTTTCTGATTTTGATTATCTATCTGTTAGACAGCTGCTAACATGGAATGACCAGGGGATCGCTATATCTGCCGAGGTGGGTCGTCTATTGTCGGACCCCTGGGAGAGGTTCTGGCTGGTCCAATCTGGGAAGTTTGTATCGACGATGCCATTGATGCCTCAGATGCCATCTCCAAAGATCACGACGGATTGGTCATCTCGGAGATTGACCTTGAAGATTGTGAGCGGGGTAGACTTGATCTGGATGTCGCTGGGAGCTATTCTCGGTCTGATGCGTTCAAGCTCACAGTGGAGGGGCTTGATTTGAACCCTCCCCCCTTTTAGAATCAGAGCGTGAGAGCTTGATCGTATGATCTACCTAGCTCATCATTACACACCAGATGCACACAGCACTGCAAAGAATATCTCAATTTTTGAAAAGTCGGCACAAAACAAATGCGCAGACTGTTCATCCAAGAGGCATGGATTACTTACTACTTACTACTCCGTACATAAATTGACAAATTTAGTCAAGCTTTGTAAATGGAAGATAAATTATGTTTTTAAGGTAAGTTGTTCATATAGCTGCCAAGTTCTATTCTACCTAGACCAATTTTGGTGTTGTGATGTCCCTCACTTTCAAACCAACAACATCCTAGTCCGAAGACATCAGCGCCGGTCTGCAAGTGAGACAGAACCATTCCGTAGAATAACCCTGCGATTCGTTATGCGCCATTCGTTTACCATACCAACCATCATGTCCGTCAAGCGGGGTTGGTACGGAGATAATTTGGCGGGAGATCAAGAAGGGGAGAGCCCTCAGTTCGACAAGAGGGTCATTTAAGGCTTATGTTAGTGAAGAGCAGGCTTTCTTTCATGAGTCACAAGATACGCATCATCAGCGTAAATTGCAAACATAGTAACATGTTCGTTGGAAGACAGGTCGCAGGAGTCGGATGTGGTGTGCACTAGATGTTCTAGCCAGCATAACCTGAACGCTGCACGATCCCATTGAATTACGTCACATGTTGATTGTCTTGTTGTGGAACATGGCCCATTGAATGGAGTTGCTGACTCCTATCTCATGGTGGTCCATATCGATCATTTTGAAAGGACCACATAAGGTGACTAGCTGAAGAAATAACAAGTAAAGTTTGGCTTTTGTAGCCGAAAATTGTGCGGCATCACGTGATACTGACTGCCCCACCTCGATTGCTGTTTTGTAATTGGCTACAGCTGCAGACTTCCTGGACGCGTCCAGCGCATCGCGAAACGCCGCTGAATGAGGCCCTTAATTCCTCTTTCTTCAGACTCGTCAGACTGGGCTCAATAGCAAGGCTTTAACCGCAGCCGAAAATTTACCAGATACGATCCGCCTATTGTCGAATCAGTGCTAGCGCAATAACGCGTCCCAAATCACCTTTCGCCTTTGACCCGCCAAAGCCAAGTCCTTTGTCCCCAATTTGTTCCTTGAATCTGCGAACAAATATGGGATTATAGCCTCCAGCTGGTATTCCTCTCTCTATGGAAGACGGAGATGACGAACACGATCCTGCCGGATGGCTAGGACGCTTTGTCAATCCAGGGAGTTCTCCTTCATGGACACACCCTGCGTTCGTGGATCCTGCAAAGGCTGCGCATGAAGCAAAGATGCATTATATAAATGATGCTGCTCGCTACCACAATATGTCACTGCGTCAACAGCGAGTGCAAGCACAAGCGAGGGATATTGAGGAGAGACTGTTGCAAGAGAGGAGAAAGGACGAAGTGGCGCGACGGCAAACCAGAGAACCAGAGGAGGGACTGGCTCAGTGGAAAGCAACGAAGACACAGGACGAGATGGCGATAGACAACCTGAGACGACAGCAATACAATCAGCTTCAAAGGGAGCAAGACAGACTACGGCAGCAGCAACGACAGCTAGGCCCAGCGCCAGGTACACAACGAGAATTTGATGGGGACTCGGTCTGGACTCAATACGGCCAAAGCCGACCGGTGATAGCTGGAGAGCTAATGAGACAGTCCTCGCGACTACCAGACAGAGAAACCCATAGCCAGCAGTCCGTGAGGCCGGCAGATATCGGACCATCCCCATATTACCCACCCAATCCTTCCTGTCGCGCCGACGCCCCTTTTCCTGCCTCACCACAGCCATCAGCAGGTGCCAGGCAGCCTTCGAGGCCAGTGACAAACCAGCAGAGAACTTCCAATGGTTCTGCGTCTTGGTCGATGTCACGCTATGATATCTCACAAAGATCCTCAATATCTACTTCTAGTCCTGCAGACCAAGTACAAGGATCGATGGCTTCACAGCGTGCGCAGACAGGCCGACCAGCATTAGTACCAAATGGACTCCCACTCCCGGATCCGCAGTTTGGAAATTACCAGCGCCAGGGCCGAGATTCTGCGAAGACTGTCGATCAGCTAGAAGCAGCTTCCAAGTCTCCACCTGAAGAACTCCAAGGCTTATCCATTGAACCCAGCATTCCTCCAACAACATCTTCAGAAAAAGATGTATGCACTTCCGCAGCTCGGAGCACGCTTGGCCCTAATTCCACAAACCAGACCCGGTCCAATGTGATAGAGCCTGCCTTAGTCTATTGGCATCCATCTCAGAAACCGCCACCCATCCCCCCTGCACCAGTTTCATCAGTCTTGGGCTCAACGGTCCAAGCGCCAGTTGATTACGCCAATCAGGGGACCCAGAACAACGCTTCAGTCACTTCGTACATGATCCACAAACCGGCTCCCGGGTCTCAGAAAGCGGCGCCTGTGGCACATTCGAAAAGTAGGCTCAGCAGTATGGAAGGGCAAGAACCTCCAAATAAGATACGAAGAATTCAAGATGGCTCTAAGCAGTCAAGCGGCCCCAATACCGAAGAGCATATGCTACCTAGGAAGCAGACAAAGTCAAGCATCGCTCGGCTATTAGGGCGGCTTGATCTTGTTGAACCACTGGATGTGAATGAGATGGACGTGAAGAAAACGTACGATGCGACCACTATTGCCCGGGATGTATTGATTGCTGCTGCAAAACACCCAACAGAGAAGGGTTTGAATCATCACTTGCTTATTCTCAAACATTCACTTGCTTCGTTGGATTACTCGGCAGACCTGGCTACACTGAGGTGGGATCTACTCGATCCACTCTTATCTTCACGTGAGGACTCGACATTCACGCGTCCACCGATCCAACCAATTAACGCGACCGGCGCGACGGTGGTTTCTGCTCAGCTCAATCCCCGTTCATCTGGACCTTCTTCATTACCTTCAAATGCTTTGCCTCTTACTTCATATCCCTTAACATCCGGTCCTCCACCCCCACCACCATTGCCACAACCTTCCCATCCGATCCCCGCGCCCGAGCCGGCGCCATTGAAATCCGAGTTGCCAGCAAGAAATCCAAATATCGGATCGCGCTCACCTTCACGCTCAAATATTGCCGCCCAAGAATCAGTCGTACCCGCCAAATCGCCGCGGACCAAACAAACTCTTCAACCTGCGGTTGTAGTTCATTCATCTCCCCAGAAAATGCAAACTACGAAGAAGAGGGGCCGCCCAAGGAAGGATGAAGTGGATAAGACTATCATTGACCGTATTTCAACTCCAACTGAAGCAGTCGAGTACCCAGTCTACAAGTGTTATTGGGAAAAATGCCAAGCCGAGCTTCACACCTTGCTCTTACTTCAGCGCCACGTTTTGAAGGCACATGTTCCTCACAATCTTACTTGTGGCTGGTATGGGTGTGAGAATTCAACGCATATGGCAGCTTCGACACTGTGGGAGCACATGAGAGATACTCATGTTAAGGATTATGCTTGGAACCTAGGGGATGGTCCTGTGGTGCCTTCACCTGGTGAGCAAATTGATACGTGCATCTGATAGTCCCATGCTGGACTTTCAGCTTTCATTTGTACCTTGAGAATATTCTAACAAGAACGACTTCTATCAGGTGAGGATGACGTTGATAAAACGCCTAAAATTCCCCACTTCAACCTGTTTGACCGCCAAGCACGCCCGGGAACTCTGATTCTCCCAGCTGATCGTGACTTGGTCGAAATATTCAACCGATCTCGCGGCATTTCGAACTCGAAACAGAAGGCGGAGGCATTCATAGATGGAGCATGTCGCTGGAAAGAGGAGGTTGGGCCTGATATTGACATCAGCGATCGCCGACTGTCAACCCCTCCACGACAAATGTCGAGTCAACTTACCGAAACTGCGTATACTCTCCCGGGGGCTGTCTAATCACCTCAATCTTTTGCCTCGACTTTCTTTCCATCTCATCAGCGGGCCTGATCCCCAGGAGGAAATGTTATCTGGACCTTTGGAAGTCCCGTTACAGCGCGCCATTATCCATTTACATTATCTAGTCACATGAAATAGCATAGAAAATGCATTGCTCTAATTGAGCACATGGAAACCAATTGGTATCTTGCTGTTCAGAATAGAACGATAAAACAAAACAAATCGGCCTTTCGCGTTGGTCGTGGGGTATTGTACATGCACTCCTATCTCATCCCAGGTGGCCGCTCTTCCACTGCCCAAATAGGATTTCTGTCCAGGCTTTCACTTTGATGTGGTCTTAATTGCCATTCCGCTTATTTCGCTTGGGTTGTTGATCCGACATTGTCTGATGACACGGGGGATTCGGTGCTTTTGATTGACTCGGTGGTAGTTTCTTCGTCATCGCGAGCATTGACATCGAGAAAGTGGTAGAGGACAATCATCATCATAGCACACGAGCCTAGGAAGATGGCAAGGCGGTAGAGGTCGTTGTCGGAAATCATGGTAAAGGTTGATTTCGGAGAGGAGTTGAGTAGTTGACCAGGTACGGAGTAGTCAGGAGGTAAACCGGTCACTGCCCAGGTGGGGAGGGACACGTCAATTGATATTGGTGTAAGACAAGGCGTAAACTGAGTACTGAGTAACGTGAAAGTTACAATGAACAAGGATTGTTGAAATTGAAGTTCGCAAGCTGGTGGTTTAACATCCAACGTGTCATGAAAGTAAGTTAGCGTCGATCTGGGTTACATAACCAAGTTTATTTAACTACATGACTAATCCATACATTCCAACGGTAAGCATAATTTCTTTGATTTTCCCCCTCTCCCCCCGGATTTTCTTCCTTATACAGGAATGTTTTGATCATCATGGCCGAACCACCTGTTCAACAGTTTCCACATTCCGAGCTTCAACCAAAACCTTCCCCTTCTTTACTGGCTTGTTTGCTCTGTCGCAGAAAACATCTCAAATGTGATGGACAAACGCCTATCTGTGGCCGTTGTGTTTCAACAGGCTCCGAATGTGAATATACCAAATCTCGTCGAGGTTTTCAGGGTCAGTCTAAAAAACGTCGTGCTCGAGAATCCTCCAATGGGGTTCTCAATATAAGCAACCCCTCCGCGGAGTGGCAAGTTCAGGAATCTTTCCAGTATACTCCTGCCATCCCAGTTTCATCATCTGGATCTTTAAGTCCTGGTATGAACAACACGTCTGTCACAATGGCACCGCCTGTTTCGCGCTCTTTGACGGGGCCGGGGCCGCTCACTCCGGAATCGGTCTCGTCGATCGCTGGTGATGGGTACCTGCTGGATATCTACTATACCTATTTTCACTCAGCTCACCCGATCCTTCCGCCCCTGCGGTTCCTTTTTCGCGCTGCTTTTCCGCCGTTTTTGGAACATGTAATGAAATTTATTGCTTCTCACTTTACCCCAGCTGCTTCAAGTGAGACATATCGTCCCAATGTCGTTACTGGAGTTCACGAGCAAGAGTCATCCGTCGAAAAGGTGCAGGCACTTCTTCTGCTGGCAATTGTGCTGCATTCACGCAATGAACGGAGCGAAGCCGGCGTTTGTCTGGCTACCGCTGTGGACGTGGCATTCGAACTGGGAATGCACCAAGCAACGTTCTCTGAGCTTGCCAGCAATGGCGACCCAATTCGTGCCGAGTGTTTACGCCGAACATGGTGGGAACTTTTCGTAATCGAAGGCCTGCTTACGGCTTTGGGGGTACAGCAGGTCTACCGTACCAATTTAGTTCCGCCTGTTGTGCCGCTTCCTTGTGAGGAACGCATCTATCAGGACGGTCTCACCCCACCCCCGGCTCCAACAATCACTCAGTTTGACGAGCGCGTGTTTGCAGACGATGAGCGGGATTTTTCGTCTTACTGTTATCGCATTGAGGCAGTGCGTGTTCTTGGCCGAGTAGTGGCGACGCAGGATATGGTGGAAGGGCAGCAGGACCAGGTTGAAGCCATTGACGCGCGAATTGCTAGCTGGTTCCACCACCTTCCCGATTCTAAGTTAGAGTTGATTCGGCCCGATGGCTCCGTCGATGAGATCATGTTCCAGGCAACTATGATCATCAACGGCGCTTCTATTTATTTGAATTTCCCGCGGTCAGATCTGTTGTCGTCCCCCGCCGTCGCCTCGGAGGTGATTTGTGGCCACCACGGTCCCATTAGTGTTCCCGCCTTCTCTCATCACGTCCATGCCATGAAGGCCGTCAGGGCGGCAAGTGAACTGTCATCGCTCGCAGCCATTCGTCTCCCAGTTGAGCGCCACACCCCATTCTTCATCTGCGCGCTCACACTCAGTTCCATTGTTCAGCTGGCCGCATGCTCCGTCAAGGCAGGCAGCATGCCCGACCCCAGCCGTGATCGCATCGGTCTTACCATCGGCGTATTCAAGTCTCTGGCGAAGACTTGGGCCATTTCACAATCCATCATGCGCCAAATCAAGGCCGTATCGCGGGACGTATTGGAACTCGGTGTGCGACCAAACATGGATCACATCGATCTTACCTCGATGCTTGATGGTGGGCTTTTCTGGCCACAGGAAGGCCCCAGCTGAAGCGACCATATAGAGTAGTGTCCAAAATTATGTTACCAGCATGGGGATCGCATGGTCTGAAGATACGTGGCCTCAATGAAGTCGGGCCGAACGATTAAATGAAGAGAGGACCGAGGGAACTCTTGAGAGTGGGGGCCACTCACTTCCGGGCAACTCTCCACCCATTTAACCTGGGTGGATGTGTGTTCAAAGCGCCCAAACCCCGCTCTCTGCAAGCTTGGCGATTCCGGATTTGACGAATGTCGGGCTAGTGAATAGCCTACAACTGGCCAAAAGACAAAATGCCGTTAAGGCCACCTAACATCATGTTTGACTGGAAGCCAAATGTTGACAAGGGTCATTTGTACAAAGAGAAAGGTGGATGAACGGCAAGCCAAATTAGTGTATCAATGGAAGGAAGGTTGCAGTAGGATTTAAGGAAGCGAGATTAAGGTTTTAGTCCCTTTGATGGACTCATTGTGGATTCTCTCAGCCATTTTCTGTCTCAAACTCTCGCATGTTATACCTCACATTGGCATTGCATTTCTGCATTGATGACTCAGAATTTACACATCACATCATATCCGACTTCTACGGCGATCTAGGCACTGTCGATCCTTGGTGGAGCGCCTTGGCTTTGTGCCAAATGAATGAGGCAGAAGCTATATCCACCCATACGTAAAGATAAGTCCGATACGTATGATGAGAAAACATTCAAAAACCAAATACACCTACTATCAGATGACTTGCTTAAAGGGCTAATTTAATAATAATAAGACGTCCCTACACTATTTTTTGATCTGCCGAGGCCCGTCCAATATTGCTATCGATATACTCCAAAGGCCTCAAGACAAATGTTATTCGCATAAAGCCGGGAAATGACGGGTAGTACGCTTCATAATAGGCCGGTAGCAGTGCAATATTTTAGGTGAAGCTTGGGACCTGAGCACATACATACATCAATATTGGATTCCAAGGTTCTACTTCACATCTTCATTTCAAGTGAACATGGCGTTGCCTGGCGCTGGTAACCCTTGTAAACGACCTCGAGCCGCTACGTGATAAGATACTGGCAAGGGACCCCTGACAGATCTTAGAGCCAAATGGGTGTTTGGTATGCTAGTTTATGAGGTCGGCATTTATGACTGGGCAATGCACAAAACTCAGTACCGACGAATTAGGCAGTAGTCCTGATTTGTTAGCTGACAACCAATCACACATTACGTCTAAACAAATTCATTTGATCACAATTCTGAGCGAAGATGGATCCACGACCGCACGCTCGGCCATGGTGGGGGTAGTCCAACGCTCGAACGATCTAGTGGAAGTTGCATCTGGTTCGACTGCTCATCCTCTGAGTCTAGGACCTCGATGCGCTGCGGAGTGTCGGGTAGAGCCATGCCGGTTCTAAATACCGCGACCGTACCATGAATTTCGGACCGACATTTTTTTGCAGGCGGGCCTGGAAAGAGAGCTTGTGCGGTTCTCGTTGGAAGTGAGAGGTCTACGCTGGACGCTTTGAGATAACGGAAGATTGCCTCGCTTTGCGGAGAGCGCACGACCACCACTTGAACTTGAGATCGGACTGGCACTGTAGCCGATCCTACTACCTTGTCTACTCTTGCGGGAATATTTTCGGTCGGGATCGCTTCGGTGGGAATCACAGGGGATCATAGGGATCACGGGGACCACTTCGGGGATCACTTCGGGGATCGCTTCGGTTGTTTCGATCACTTCCGTGACTTCAGGAGTCGCCGCCACCTACACGGCGTCGATGGGAGCCTGGATAGATCAGCATACGCTGCCAAAGTGGAAGAGAACATACCTGCTGCGCCGTTCCAGTCGATTCTGAACCGAATCCCGACCCATCCCTCACAGTATCCGGAGGGGACTCTGTTGGGACCCGCCAGCGAGTATTGGGTTCCCTCTGGTGCAACTGCTGCATCCAGACTTCGCGCCACGGTCGGTCTGCTCCCGAATTCCTTTTCCAGCCAAGTTGGTCGCCACAATGCTTCCGGATGGCCTTTTCGTTGCTCAGCAGGATCTCACATAGCTTACAGAGGAAGCCATCCACTACGGAAATCCCAGGCAGCCGACTCTGCTCCCCCAGAATCCTGGGCGCCGAACGGAATGTCCGGTGACGAAATTGGTGCCGCTTGAACCACTTCATGATCTCCCCAACTGTCATTTGTCTTGGTACGTTATCCCGATGATCGTTGGTGTGGATGTGGTAACTGATCCCCTTGTCCACCACGGCCTCTTCACACACGGTGCAGAACATTAAGCGCACTCGGGGGATGTAGATGAAAACCTCCTGCAAATCCCGTGGGATGTTCATTATGTTGACTGACATTAGGAATTGATGATCTGACGCTTGAGAAGATAAGAAAAGATGATTATGAGAAGGTGAGAAGACAAAATAAGAGATTCATAGGGAGGTAATAATGAATGTCTTTAAGACGGATATCGTTTATATAGATTACCAAGTCAAATATAGGATATTCCGATTGATCTTGATGGAGATCGAAATAATGTTCTGATAGGCCTATCAGTGTAAACACATCCGATCGCCCGCATCGCCCCTTTAACTACCTTTACCATAGACAGGTCGTAAGTTCATAACCCTATAGATAACTGCCTCGTATCCTCTCTATCATATAGATATAATATATTTACCCCACCGCAGCGATTCCGAAATTCATTAGTCTTATTGATAGATCTTTATCAGCCTTGTCTACTCTACTCAGCCTTAAACAACGCTTTTCTCACTCGATTACCTACGTGGGATCCCATAATGTGCGGGATCGGTTTTCCTATAGCGCTATTGCCTTATACTAATATATCGACTATTGAAGAATCTCCCCCCTGATTAGACTCAAGATGGCATCCGATTATTAGTCTCCTACGATACGGTCGCGTCGCGCCGCGCGAGTCGGACGAGCTGATGTCGACATAAAGCGAGTTCAAACTCCCTGTCCGTCGTGCATCTCACTTCTGACCATGAACGCCCAGTTCAAACAGCAAGTGTCTGATTCTCAATACTGCACCGGCTAATGATGTCTAGTACGGCCGCTGGATGCTTTATCCGTGATCTGACCTATCATGTTCTTATTTATCGAAAATGCTAATACGCCGTGCTAGCCTCTACCGTCACTAGCCACCTGATAAAGTTGCATCATCTGAAACGAGCTGAGGCAAGCCAAGTTCAGCAGCGCATTTTAACCGATGATCGGTGGGTTGGCTGCTTTGTCTGGATCGATTATGGTTTTGCCTATCCTGTTAAGAATCTATGGAGCTCGCATTCGGACCTGGAGTCGTTTTTCAAGTTAGACAAGTTAAAACAGAGAGCATATATAGAACGAAAATCTATATGAATGAGTTGAATATGTCGTCATTTGAAATTGAATATCTATGGTTTTCCCAATGCAATAGCCAGGGGTATCTCGAAATGCCTTAGCAAGATATGAAAGAACGGGGTTAATTTGGAACCACAGTTCCAAAGGAAATGAAAGGACGCCAAGGAATGAAGCTAGTGGGATATCAAAGAAATGTTTAGCAAGGTAAAGAAAAAAACTCCTCGCCCAATGCGTCGTTTCGGCATCGTCTCAAAATCTAAATGAAGAGTAAAGGCAAAAATATGAAAGTGAAAATCGAATTCAAGGTTACAACTTGTGCATCTCAGTTGCTGCCGCGCATCTCGTGAAGGGCGATGGCGCGACGAGCAACAACTTCTTCTCGGCGTACCATGTTGCGCAGCGCCTCGCTTGCTTGAATCAGTCCATCGATGCTGATGGCGTGGTTGGTCATTTGGTGATTGATGTAGGTGTATAGGGCAGCAGGAGTCGAGCAGGTAGTGAGTAGCTGTGGCTCATTGAGCTTCAGCAGTGCCAAGGCGACCTGGAACAGGAACGTGCTACCTCCCCCACTACCTGAGGCAAGTTCTTCGGGTGTCGGAGCAGCCTTTTCATTTCCATCCTTGACACCACTGGGAGTAAAAGAGCTCGTCACGTTAAGACAGAGAACTACATCCCAGACACGGTACAGAGCTTCCGCAGAGAGACAGTCCGTAAACACAGACAAGAACCATTGGAAAGTCAGTGCTTCCAATTCGATGCCCAGATTCTCCAGGTGATCTGAGAGCTTAGGCAACAGTTCAGAAATGTACTGCCGCAACACAACTTGATCCGCACGAGACGCCAGTAGACCGTGATCATAGTAATGCTGGGGGAGAATGATCTCGATCATCGATACCAATATCCAGAATGCATCTTCAGCCGTAGGCATTATAAGCAAAAGGGATGCGGCAATAAGATTCATACCCTGACAGTACCCGACCTCGGCATTGCGGCGTGAGTATGCTAAAAGGACCTCCTTGAGTTTAGCGACCCCAGGCCCTTTACGGAAGAAGACGTTGTCCGTTAAGGTGCGCCGAATATCCATGTCGATTTGAGCCACAACTGACGAGTCTGGCTCAATCCCCCCGACACCGCGGACAAGATCATCGTAATATCCTGGAATGCGCATAGCAGAGGCCCCACTGCATTCAGACCACACTTTGGCCCGAAGAGCGACAGGAATACCACCAAGAACAAGCATACGGAGTTCGCGCCACTTAGCTCGTCCGACCTTGCCTTTATTTCCCAGGCCGGCAATCCCGACAAGCTCACCATCGGTGAGAGTTGCCTCTGGTGTGTCGACTGTTGTGGCGGTTCGATCAGAGGATGCTGCGGCTGCGGCTTCGCCTGCCTTTCGACGCTCCGCGCGGACTTTGCGCAGGAATTCATTCCACCGTACAGTACGGTCTCGTTGCAGTGTATCATGGAGGTCGGTGAGCTGCTCCAACAATAATTTAACAGGCTCGGTCTCAGCAGGACCGGCCCTGCTCATAGACAGCGTCGCAGGGTCATTGGAAACAGTTCCAGCAAACTCGGGACGATCAGCAGTGACAGCTGAGGTGCTTGCAGATGGCCGTGGACTGGGGTTCACCGACAAGCCTTTATCAGTTGAGACGGAAGCACTGTGCAGACGACCTTCTGCTGCATCAGTCAAAGAAACAATCGGAGCGGCTGAAGGCGTATGAGAGAGAAGTTCTGTTGGGCGAGATGGGATTTTCAGGTAGTCCTGCCACCGGCGCAGTCCGACCGATCCACTGTCAGGGTCATCAGGGGAGAATGTGGGAGAGGTCGGGATTTTGGTGGATTCGGATTTTCGGTTGCGAAGATCATCATCCTCGTCCGATGAATCACTGCGAAGGTTGCCGAGTGTCTCAGCAATGCTCAAGGTAGGTTTGGTGGGCTTTGCCGTGGTAGCTTCTCTTTGGCGTCGCTTTCGACGCTGGTCATAGATAAACCCAAATCTGTCCGTGAGAAATTCGCCAGACTGAGATTTATTGTAAATAGGCGCTAGGGTAGGAGGTCGGGATTCCATGGGCAGAATGGCATCCATCTCGACGGGGCCGAGATTGGTCGAGTTCCCTGCACCATCGGGTGTTGCACTTTGTGATACAGTTCCGGACGCGACGCTTCTTCGTGCGTTTGGAGGAGTCAGCTTGCTGATGCTATTCCCCCCACCATTAGATCTAACTGATGGAACATTGGTATTGCTGTTGATTCGCTTTAACGCGGCAACTGCAGTCATTCCTCCCTTGGAATGGGCAAAAGGCACATTCTGCTCTGACGAAGGCTTCGTACGGCTGCCTTCGGAGTCGCTGTTGTCCTTTGCTTGCGAATTGCCGGCGAACAGTTTCACCGTCCACGAGCCGATAGAACGGGAAGACTTGCGCGAATGAATGCTGGCATCGTCACCGTTTGTAGAGGCACTGACAATGCGCTTTCCAGTAGCATCGCTCACCGCAGACCCGGGAGGCTGGAATAATTGATCATCAAGCCCTTTGCGTCGCAGTGTAGGGTTACTTGGCGCTCGAAAGCCCCCAGTGTTGTTTTCTTCGTCCACTTCTATCATGTCGCCCATGATGCTGCTAGCCCGGCTCGTATTCCGGCTGGCGTTGGTTGAACCAAACAAGTACTCTTGCCACCCACGAAGAGACCCTTGTCGTTTTCGGTTGGGACCCAGCTCATTTGGACGGGCTTCACTCTCAGACCGTTGCGCACGAATGGTAGCCTGGTATTCAGATGGCATTGGCGTGGCCTCATCCACCTGGGACCCTACCGCATCTGTCATAGCTTGAGACATGAGTCCATTCAGCCCTGATGATTGCTGGGAGCTCTGATCCCCGCTGTGACTGCTTTCTGCATCCGAGATGCGATCGTCTAGTGAGTTTTCCGATTGATACAGACGACGTTCAATGTCCTGGTTGGATACTGACACTTCACGAAGCATGCGTTTCAACTCCCGCTCCCTGGCATCAGCGCGCTGTCTCAGAGCCGAGATCTCGGCATCCCGTTGAGCTAGATCGCGAGCGAACTGTCTCACTATTTTCACGGCTCCAATATTCGCGATTAATCTCTCTATGGGTGCATCGTCCGCCAAATGAAGGGCACCGGGGATATCGTGCGTTGGAACCGAATCGTCAAACAGAGCTGCACGGCCTGCGTGAGTTACCCCAGTTGTCAACTTTGCCAACGTTGCCTTGCGTCCGCGACCTGTATCGTGTGGCTTGTCTCCGTCATCGCCCTCCATCAAGGTGTTCGTCAAGCCTCGTGTCAAGGTGGGGGAGCGGTCGGGTGGAGAAAGTGAGGGAAAAGACGTGAGGTCGGTCGTTGTATTCGAGGAAGTTGAGTGTCGTTTGTGTGCTTGAGGACGTAATGTTCTAGCCCTTTGGCTTCTGCTGGACCCAGAAGAAGCCAGGGACGAGGAGCGTCGTGGGAGAGAATCGGGCTCCGCCATGACTCAACGACTGGTGAATGGCATAGAAGTCGGAATGGGCAGTAGCGACCTTCATGAATGCTTGCTAGAGGTCCAAAAATAACAAATGAGTAGCAATAATTTGGCCCGTAAGCGCAGCCCCTGGTCTTGAACTTCTTCAAAGGTCCTTAATGTTTTTTCGTGGTCTTTGTTGCGCGCCCTTGGCGATCATGCGCGATCTGTGTGGATCTATGGAATGCAGGGCTATCAACCGCAAGCTTGTAGCGACCAACAAAAACTATGACGGTAAATTGTGACCTGGTGGAAGGCGTTGAAAAAATTAGAAAAAAACAAAAGCCCCCAAAGCTCTTCACGGCAGGCCTCCCTGTGCCTAAAACACGCCCGGGCACATGACGTTATTGGTCACGTGATATATGAGTTATCTAATTGGTCACGTGGTGTCGGTTGACCTGGGCCTCGGCTTCTCCGCATTAACCGAGTGGGGAAAGCTGCTCGCCTGCTATTTATTGTCCCTGCATCGATCACCCTTTTTGGATTGAATTTTCATATTTTTCAATCTGATCAATTTAGTTGGCTCTCAATATTTCATTATGTCTGCCGCAGCACGACAACGTCTTCAGGCTTTAAGCCAACACCTTGTGGAGGGCATTCCAGATGAGGGGACTTTTGAGGGAATACCCCGGATTCGACATGTTGCTTCAGACTCGGCTGGTCCGTACGTGATACTGTCTTTCTCTTTATGCAAATATAGAGTGCATAGCGTACCGTGCTTCAATTTCGAATATCTAAATCTAACTACTACATGCACATATAGTCGAACAAAGGACAAGGTAGTGATCGTAACCGGTATGATTATCCGACCATCCACTCATTGGAACACTCCAACTAACCACTCAACAGGTGCCAACTCTCCAAATGGTATTGGCCGGGCTAGTGCACACCAATTCGCCAATAATGGTGCCAAAGCAGTCTATATCTGCGATTACAGCGACACCCACCTCGCAACCCATAAGCTGGAAATGGAATCTCTCTACCCTGAAGTAGACGTGCATGTACGACAGTTCGATGCAGCGGATGAAAAGGCTCTGGTAGCCGTCATCGACGAGGTGATAGCTAAATATGGTCGCTTGGATATTTTTTTCGCAAACGCTGGCGTCGTGGGACAACCAAAAATGTTTACAGATATTGACGGCGATGGGTTCATGAACACCATGAAGACCAATGCTCTTGGGTATGCAAGATCAAAAATAACCATTCCATCCACAAAACTAACTTCCTGGTAGTGTTTTCCTTGCCGCCAAGCATGCTGCCCCGGCAATGAAAGTCACTTCCGCGTCGAAGCCACACCCGAGCGGTTCGATTATTTGCACCGCATCAGTCGCTGGGTTGCGATCCAACGCCGGATCCACCGATTACTCCGCCTCTAAGGCTGCAGTCATTTCCATCGCACAAACATGCTCGTTCCAACTTGCTGGTACCGGGATTCGGATCAATGCCATCTGTCCCGGTCTGATCGAGACAGGTATGACACAAAGTGTCTTTGACCATGCACGGAAACGTGGTACAGAGCGCAAGATTGGGCAGCTGAATCCCACACAGCGTGGTGCAGTTGCCGACGAGGTTGCACGCGTGGCACTGTTCCTTGGCAGTGACGAGAGCAGCTACGTGAATGGGCAGGCATGGGCTGTGTGTGGTGGGTTGAGTGCTGGACACCCTTTTGTTCCTGGAAAGCTAGCATAAATCGCAAATTGCATGTCTTCCTTACTCTCCAAGTCATTTCATACTATACACATAAAAGCAAGAACTATGAACTCAAAGTTTCAGGCCTGAAATATCATCAACATTGCTATGCCTATCCCACTAGGCGATGGCAGTTGTCAAGTTTGATTCCTTTGGTGTTATCAATATCTTGAGATGCCGGTCTCTTTGGTTGAGAAGCTCTTGAAATGCCTCATCGGTGTGTTCTAGAGATATTCGCGCAGTGACCATCTGTGCAATGAAGGGATATTTCCCTGTTCAAAATTTTAGGAAGTAAGTATGATCCACAAACTTGATAAGGTCTGCCGAAAAATACAAGATATTGGAGTAGACATACCTTGAGACATGAGATAAACAGCTTGTTGGAAATCGCCGGCACTGTAGGCCATGGATGAACGACACGTTATCTCTTTTCTGAAAAATTCCATGAACGGAATAGTTATCTGCGTCCGAGTTGTCAGTTTCAGAAGCTTCATCGAACTCATGGATGACTCTACCGACATTTGCACCCCAAAATGCCACATTGATGTAAGTTGCCTGGGGGCGCAGAGTTGCCATCGCTGTTGCAGCAGACTGAGTCACCCCAGCGCAATCAAAGGCGATATCAAACCCCTCGCCTTGAGTGAGCTCCTGGGAAAACTTCCCAACGTCGTCCTTTTCTGGTGATACAACATGAACACCGAGGGTCTTCAGCCCATTCCGCCTTAGTTCTGTGGGCTCACTGACTATGATTCGGTCAGGGTCAGCCCCAAAAGCAAGCAAATTCAGTAGCACTGCGTATCCAACTGGGCCACCTCCAATCACCACGATTGTCTGCTGCGGCCAATTTTCATCAGGCAATTCAGCCTTTCGCATGGCATGGAGACCAACCGCCAGAGGCTCAGCCAGTGCTGCATCTTTGAACGCAATGTTGTCAGGTAGTTTGAGTAATTTAGATTCCTCAACTGTGACAAGCTCATTAAGGCTACCACCACCTTTCCCGCTTGGAAATCTGATGAATGATAGCTTTGGGCATTGTGGACCCCAGCCATTCAAACAACAGAAGCATGTTTCACACGTTTGGGTTGGATCAACAATAACTTTGTCACCAATCTTCAGACTTGATCCTTTCACCACATCCTTCACAGTTCCACAGAACTCATGATCCATAACGAAAGATTCCATAGCGCGATGGGAGTTTAATTAAAAAGATATTAGCTGACACAACTTGATTCTCAGGTGGCTTTGAAATCTCATACTATATGTATATAGACGTAGGTCACTCCCACAAATCCCACACCATTCGACGTCGACAAGCACGCTTGTTTCAGAGTCATTGAGCTGGGGTGTCTCAATCTGTTCCACTCGCAAATCCCTGGGCCCGTAAAATTTAACAGCTCGCATTATTAGCACGAACAACACAAAATTGGCCAAACGTAGATGGACGAAGTAGTATTTGCCGCAGGAAGATAAATTCAGGCCAGCCTTGTAATCAATATTCCATGGAGTAATATCTATGTTCGCAGTGATCGGAATGGTCACTGGGATATACCCGGAGAAGACAGAAAATAGACGGAATTCGATATTCCCAGCAGATAAAGTCGTTTCTGAAAAAAGGCTCTCCACTAATTTTGTACCTTAGTCCTTCGGGATAAAGTGACAACTTGTCCAGGAAACGGAAGTAGCCCTGAAGAATGGAATCCCGGTGACCACCTTGTCTTGGGCGGAAGTCTTAAGAAAGGCAGATGGGAGAATTACCATACATTTGCGTAGCCCTCGATGTTTAGTACTTCCTTTCGGGAACACCTGATTATTCGAGGCTATAACATTGTCGTATTGTGCAAAGAATTTGGTCTGTTGGAATGGAAAAACATCAAAATACTCAGCTTTGACCCCGAAGGAAACTTTAGGAATTGGTATATGTCTTTAATTTTGTCTTAGATTAGAAGAAATTCAACGGTTATGTTCGAACATTCAATGCTCGGAGTTTTGAATGCAATTGAAGCTTCTACTCCCGATGGTTGAAGAACAGACAAAATATTGAAGGCATGCGCTCTCGGAGCCGCCAATTAATGATCTGAATGTGAGTATTCTGGACCTAACATCTCGCTGATATTGGGACTTCGAATACTCCATCTAATAAACTCTCTGCGATGTATTTGACTCAAACCGGAATTCCCGATTACAGCACTTGATCTGATATCCTACACCCTAGTCAAGTAAAAATAATAATTCCCAGCCCCAGGCATCAACTGCGTATCCATCACTCCTGCAACCATGGAGTCATTCACTTTCCGAAGATGATCAATAATGGGTTGCTTATTGTGAATCATGGCCGAGGACACGATTCCGTTGTACTTAATTTCACGGACCGACATATATTGAGGTTAATATGAGTTTTTGTAAACATTTCCAGGTCAATTTACTTACACGCGCGCCACCAATATCTTCTCTCCATACTCTGTTCCCTCTTTCATCAAAGTCCATCATTGGTTTGATATCATCTACAGAGACGAAGGTTTTCCCTGCCCATCTGGTTTCCTTGTTGGCTTCAACTCCAGGGTGACCGGTATCCAAGTCGGCTCCCCGCCACTCGCCAAGTAACGAGTCGGGATGCACAGGTGGAAGATCGTTGACTATGGCCGCAACTTCGTCTTAGGTGATCTTGCCCTTTTTCTGGGTGAACACTACCCATTGATCACTAGCACTGTGTATTACATATATCAGCGCCTCATTTAACACTCACGTCAGAGCTAGCATTTATTGTGAGGGAACTTGCCTGGAAGCCATGTTTCGTATTAATATGCTCAATGATGTCTGTGCGGAAAAGTACAATAGAGCTTGTTATCGAAATAGCTATCAGTTCCCAAGTTCACCACCTGGTTCATACCTAAAAGAATAATACCAAATTTCACAGTGAGTGGATACACTGACTCAGATGTAGGCGACAGCTATTATGCAACCTATTATATGTATGTTATACTCAAAGTAAAGGTTAAGGAAGAATGTCGGAAATCCTCGGAATTCGTTCACTGCAGCCTTCTGTTTTCAAATTTTCCAACCTTGGAACTTCCAAGGTTTCCGGAAGTTTTAAAATATTTTACTGATACTGGATTTCCATCTACTGTTCTTACCCCACATTCTTCCCCGAAAAATATATCTAAATATATGCACAGTCAATTATCTCTGGGCAGAGTGTGACCCAAATTACCATACAAAAGTATACAACTCACGGACTATTGTTCCGCTAAGCTCGACTCGTTACCAGTCATTTATCATGGTACGTGCCCAAGATCCCCCTATCTTTGCTGCAAGTCTACGACTTATAAGGCTACTGTCCAGTTGTCCAAAACGTTTTCACCCGGCATTGCCTTTATTACTGGCGGGGCACGTGGATTAGGAAGTGCTGTTGCAGCCTCATTCGCTAAGGCAGGTGCTAGAGGCATTGCCCTTGTGGATATTCAATCTCAAGAAGTTTTCGCTGAAGCAGCAAAAGAGGTGGAGAGTCACGGTGCAGAAGTAAATTTTCGAAACTTTACAAGGAAGTGGAAGAGCAATAGCGTACTAACTCCCTTACCATCTCCAGTGTCTGACGATTAGTGCCGATGTAACTAAGGAAGAGGAAGTAAAGAATGCGATCTCACAGGCCGTGGCCAAGTTTGGGCGGATTGACTATGCAGCGTACATCTTGACCTTTCATATACATCTTCTTCCTCTTTGATTTCCTTTTTTAATTCTCCATAACATGGTCTAATATATACTGACATTGATTACAGGAATTTTGCTGGCATTGGTGGCTCCAGGGCTCCGATTGCAGACGGTGATGTGGAAAACTTCAAGCAGGTCATAGAAGTCAACGTGGTTGGCACATTCCTCTGCACGAAATATCAAATGAAGCAGATGCAATTACAGGAGTCCATCATAGTGTAAGTACACTTTTCTAACGAAGAGCAACCCAATGATGTCTCACACCTGAGCAGGGAAGCAGGAAGAATTCCCCAGCGCGGTTCGATCGTAAACTGTGCTTCAGTAAATTCAATTGTGGCATCCGCTTACTCTGCCGCATATACGACCTCAAAGCATGCAGTGGCTGGACTGACCAAAGTGGTAAGTCATTTTGTCGACATATGCCATACCACCTTTCAATTTGAGGCAAACAATAACACGTCAATTTCAGGCTGCACTAGAGGGTCGCAAAACCGACATCCGGGTGAATGCTATTTCTCCAGGCTTCATTTACACTAAGCTCATTGAAATTGGACTGGCATCTAAAGGGGAATCAGCGGCGGCCAAATGGAAGGAGTTCGAAAATCGGCAGGGGCGAGTCGCCGCAGTTGAGGAAATTGGAGATGCAGTAGTCCTGATGAGCTCACCGGCAATGAGTCTTTTGAACGCTCATAATTTAATGGTTGACAAGTAAGTGGATCTGTCAGAGTCTTTTCAACTTGCACTTACCAAGAGCTGTAGTGGTTTTACCGTCAATGAGCAGGCTGATTGAAGAAATATCATACTCAGCTTCTTGAGAGGGGATAACGTCGCTAGGTCGGTATATTCATAATGCTACTTTCACTTAAATATCAAGCCGTTGTATACCAATACCAAAAGTAATGGCCTTTTTCAAGTAAATCTGCTCATGATTGAGATTGCTCAAGCGGTTAATAGGAAAGGACGTACTTTACACCTTCTAGCCACTGTATTGATGATGCATTTCTGGACATGGAGCTGTGCAAAGAGCTACCTGAATATACACGGAAACTTACTTTGCTATGGCAAAAGCACAAGAAAGCAGTGTACCGGCACTGGGAAGGATTGCTGCCTACTATGCTGCATGGCGACTCCCACCTTGGCAACGTGCTTGAATACCCAGGCGGCACAGCGGAATGCTTTGATTGGCAATGTGTGTTACGAGGCAACGGCTATCGTGACCTGGCGTATTTCGTGATAACGGCTCTCAGCCTTGAAGATCGCCGGGCCCATGAAAGGCTCATCTTCGAAACTTACACCGATACCATGAAACAAAATGGCATTGATGTGTACCAGGAGCGGGCCTGGAAGGACTGCTGCCTGTTTGCTTTGGACAGCCTGGACGCTACCATAGCATCCTTCACCAATTGTTTGTACGGACACTCAATCAAAGTCTTTAAGGATCAGCTTCAGACCTTTTCAGATGCAGCCCAGGAGAATGACATAATCTCGCTACTTTTGAATATTGTACAGAACGACAAGGCACAAAACAGCTAGTGCCTTAAGCCGGCCATCACAAAGGGAATGAAATCATGATCAAATAAAAAACCATTTTGGAAATTTGTGTTCCAAGTTTGGCACTATGGTGGCAAGTCAAAGAAATTTTGAGTTCAGGTCAACGAAGTAAACTAGCGCAGAGAGGAACTCGCCCAAAAAGGAAGTATATGTACATGTAGCTCGACATACTGATCTGGATGTGGTAATAGTTGGCGTGAGGATTCAGGACTTAACAGTTTCCGGAACTAGAAACTATCAATGCTCTGAAATGGCCTATGGCCTGACTTGTGGCATTAATGGAATCCGATTTAGAACCTGAATATGAACAGCAAAGCTCTCAAAAATCTCCATCGCCGGGTCGTCGGTGGCTAGTGTAGAAATTGTAGCTTCTTTTCATTTTCATTATTTGTTCATGGCGTGGAAATCTCTGAGGTCTCAAAACTCACTTCGAGATGGACGTATCAGTACTAGGATCTTACTTCAATCACACTAGTACAACCAATTAGAATCCATTTTTAAATACAGCAGGGATGGAAATTTCCCCTCAAGCAATCGAATAAGTCCAGTTCTCCGACTGTAGACAAAAGGGAAAAAAGAATGTGGAACAACACAGATTAGGAAAACCCAAGACTCCATCTGCAAGGGATGACGGGACTATGTATCACCCACAGACAGAGAAACGGTAAGTACAGCAGAGTGAAGCGCCTTCTCCGCGCAAAGTCTATCAACGACGTAGCGGAGAAAGGGCAGGAAACTAGCAGAAAACAGGAAAAAGAAAACAGAAAACTTTCAAGTCGGTCCATCTCAGAAGGGCACGACGGTAGAGGTAGATATAGGTGGTAGCAGATTCCCAGGAAGATGGTGTATGAGAAGGGGAAGGGGAAGAGGGATGGATGGGGAAGAAATGGTCAGATTCTCTGGGAAACAAGAAACAAATTTCAAGACGGACAAGAATTGACGAGGATGGTATAAGGGAGTATCATAGGACACGACGAAGCGAAATTGGAAAAGAAAAAAAATGAAGAATTCAAGACTACGCCATAACCAATTGAGCGTGTCGGTCACGGAAATACGACGCCATATTGCAGAAGAATGAAAGAATAAAAGGCAAGATCGTCTCAGTCAAGCGTTGCATCATCCTAGACTTGGGCCAGTCTACGAGATCACACGGGCAGTCTGGGGCCGCATGATGTCTTCACTGGCCTGCTTGGACAATGTGCCTGTCTCAGTCCGGTCATCCATACCGTCGGTCTCGTGGGTGTGCTCATCGTCATCCTCCACGATGCGGGTCGGGATATCGCCGGGACCATACTGCTGGCTTGATCGCTCGGGGAAAGTTGAGCTGCTGACCATGGACATGGAGGTGCTGGAGCGGTTGTGGACCAGGTCGGGGGTGGGAGGAATGCTCGAGTGGCGGTTGTCAGGGTGGAGCGAGTTGTGGTCAACGTCGCTGATTTCGCTAGTGGCGCGGGTAGTGCGACCATCTTCGCTCTCGTAGTCGGAGCGTTCGTGGGTCTGGGAGATGATGGATTCCTCGTCCGCGGCGTCCTGGGCGAGGTGGAGGCCTTCGACGGCAGCAGCACATTGGTCGCTGATGCTGCGGATAATGTCTGCAATGGCATCTGTCTTGTCGCGGAGGTATCGGTCCGCAACATCTGTGATGCTGAGACGGGCAAGGGACTTGTGATCCTTGTTGAGGTTCAGCAGGGACTGCTCCAGCGCGGGGCTCATTTGATTTACCGAAGACTTTCGACCGATATTCCTGCTCGACTTCTTCCCCACCACGCTCCTCTCGCTCTTGTTGTCCGCGGGCTCTTCGGGCGCATCTTCGTAGCCCTGCTCGATAATCTCAGTAATTTCCGCGGAATTGCCCATGGAGCGGACGATGTGATCCATGTGGTGGCTCTGGCCGCTGATGAGGCTGCGCAGGTGCACAACCACGCGGTGGGCATCGTCACGCTGGCGAGAGAGTGTAGCGTTAGCATGCGTCAGTCCAGAGATCTGCTTCTGGTTGCGCTTGCGCTCACGCTCCAGCTCCTCGGCAATCTCTTGCTGCAGAACCAGAGCCTCCAGGGCATCATCGCGCTGCTTCTCAGTACCAGACAGGCGGAGAGTCAGACGAGCAACATCATCCTTCTGCTGGTCAATGAGACCAGTGAGGCGACGGTTCTCGCGCTTGTGGTTCTCAATCTTAACCTTGAGCTCAGAGGTCTCCTTGGTCAGCTGCTCAGCAAAGGCCTGGAACTTGAGGAACTGCTGCTTCCAGGTCTCGAGCTCCTCGACAAGGAAGTTGTTGCGCTTGGTGACCTTGCTGAGCTCGGTGTCCATGCGTCCCTTGAGGTTGATGAAGTCCTGCCAGGCCTCCATGGCATCCCGGGAGTACTGATTGCGCTCACGAACAATCTCGTTCAGGTGACGCATCGAGACCTTGGTCATAAGGGGCTTCTTGACAGCGCCACCGAAGATGGCCTTCATACCAGTGTTGCGACCGAGCTTCTCGCAGACGTGGTCCATGACTCCCATGACAGCATCCTGGTTCCACCAGTTGGGGTCCTGAACGCTCTCAACCTCGCCGCGCATGACGATAATCTGACCAGCAGGGATCAACTTGCCGCCAGCGTAAGCCGAACGCAGATGAGCGGGGACACCAGAGGGCGAGACATCCCCGTTCAGGGACTGGGTCAATCGGGTGATGAACTTGGTCCGCTGGCCCTGGTTGAGGACGTTGGGTGGGCTGGAAGTCAGAACGAAGTTGCGGTCGAGATCCACAACCAGCGCATCGGAGGGAGCATTGAATAGAGTACGGCACTCAGCGGTGATACCCAGGATGTAAGGACCTGGTTCCTGAACAAGCTCCTTGACATGGCGAGCGTGCACCACAGGCACGTAAAGACCGCTCCACTCGTACACGCGAACACAGTAACGGATAGTCTCAGCGGCCACAGTCAACATAGCCGGGTAGTGGCTGACAAAAATGATACGGCGGGTGGGCGAAACGGCGGCCTCGATAACACCGACGATGTTGGGGATTGAAAGACAATTAAAGAGCGGCCACATGGCGAAGTTCTGGAAGCCGGTTGGCGAGGATGGGAATTGGTAACACAGGGCATAATCCTTCATATCAATGCGAACCAAGTCGTTCAGACGAGGAGCTGGGAAGCTGAGAATCCGAGAGACTTCCTCGGCGTGGAACAAGTTTGTGGCCTTGTTCCAATGAATCCACATACCCCGGAGGTAGTCACCTAGCAGGTCATACAACGGATATCGGGACAGGAAACTCAAGCAATAGGGGATCCAGTAGGTCTCATCAGGGTTGTCATAAAAGTCGGGCTCGGTTTTCTTGCGCAATTCGCGGATGGTCTCAGCCCGCTTCTCATCAGCACGGGACCAGACGCGCAGCGCGATACCGTACAGAGTGTGAGAAGAATCTTGTTGCAAAACGAAAGCGTGGTGGGCACAGTGAGGCTGGCTCTTGCCTGTGCAGATTTCGACATCGTGAGGGAAACAAGCCTAGAAGACACCAGTTAGTCTATATGCTTTCCTCCTATACCATTCTCCTCTTTGATATATCTTACCCGCATGGCAGCGTGCAGGGCGCGAGCAATCTCATTGTCCTGCTCTAATCTGGGGCTACTGCCCAGAATCTCGGGAAGCCAGAATTGGCCAACGGCGCCTTTCATGTGGCCAATCTTTCCCTGATCTGGGGGAGGAGCCTTGACCCATTGCGATGGCTCACGGCCAACACCACAGACCATATAGGCGTGGGTCAAAGTTTTGGGTGTCCGCTGAGCGGGCTTCATGTTGAGACTTGAAGGAATGGGTTGGGTGATACGGGAGTGTAGCGATGATGTGCGACTGGGGACGACCAGCGAATTTTCCCCCTCTCCACGAGTCGACGGGCGGTCTCGAGTCGACGGCCGCACAAAAGACGAATGTTCTCTCAGAGATGCTCCCATTATGGCGATGATATGTATAAAGTCCCCGTGTCGAAAGTCGAGGTACTTACACTATCTGTGCCGGAGTATAAGAGAGAAAAAAAAACGGGGGGTTGACAAGGAAAGACCAAAGATTTGGAGTCGAATGATAGGTCACAAAAAGAGTGTTGATCAGAGTCGATATGAGGTACCCCAAGCCATGTGTGAAGGGCGTACAACGAAGAATGTTCTACACACCTAAACCAAAGAAGCCGGAGAAAGGGTTTAGGGGGGGAAGAATAGGAGAAGAAGCTGAGACCGAAGCTAAAGCCAAAAGGGGTTCGTCCGAAGCCAGTCACGAACCACTGGAACCACTCGCGTGCGCCGGTTTGGATCCACCTTCGAATCCGTTAATTAAAAAGCGGAGATTCTGAAATTGGAGCTGTTCCTGGTTCCTGGTTAGGGGGGAAGAGAGTTATAAGAATAAATTGACCTGTTTTCTTATGAGTTGAAAGGCAAGCTGAAGGGATTCATGCAATATGCGGTGTATATGTAAGAGTACCCTGCGTCTAGGTCTGGGAACAATTTCACTGGAGTTACAATCCATCAGACTGGAACCTCCTTTCTGCTCAAGTTGCTGAATACTACACTGAATGTGATATGTATGTCTGCTCAATACATCCTGCAGCTGCAGCGTTTCGAACCCATTGACCGCTGCTTTTTTAACCTTCTTTTTTATCCAAAACACCACATTGAAAAGTTGATGGATCACGCCCAAATAGAACAATTAACAACTCACCTTTATCCTCCTTTTACCCACTTTGGAAGATTCGAAAATTTAACTTGTGCGACTGACTGTCTCGCCTGCGCCCTGCGAGGAGAAAGAGCCGGGGACAAAGCACATTATGGAAGGATTCAGTACAAATACACCTCCAATACCAACGAATACTAAAATATAATACTCAAATACTATGTAAGTTCCCGATCGGTCTAACAAGATCGACGAAGCGAAACACTTGATACAGTACAGTACGCACCCGTGGGTACTTTGTCTTTTGCTTTTTATTTCTGTCTGTGTCCTGATATCCAAAGCCAATTATCAACGCCTTGAATTACGTGCATCTTATAATACTCCGACTCCGAGACAAAGCCTAGTTACTGAACCCTCTTTTTCCCCTCTTTGTCAGCCCTCCAATATTGACGAAATTTACCGAGCCGGAAGTCGAAACGGAGATCTCCATCGGCCCAATCGTCTCAATCCGTGCTGGTGGACAACCTTGTCTGAATTGGCGTCTGTCATTCGCGTGCAAACCTTGGTACACGGGACGCAGCTCCAGTTAGTGGGGAACTGACCGATTTAGAATTCTGAGTGGAGGGAAAATTTTTAATTAAAAATACAGTACATGGAAAATTGAAATAAAATCATCCTACAGATTCTACCACAGCAACAAGGATTATGGATCTTGACCATGTCGTCGGGTCGAATTGAGGTCAACAGAGTAAGCCGTAATCCATTCGATGTACGGAGTACTCCGTACACATGGGTACAGTAGTTAAAGCACACTCTATTCCGTACACTACTAGTAGTTGCTTCATACTCCATCGAACAAGAGTACTCCGTAAGAGAAAGAACCGAGTCCTCGTACCTGCATCAACCCATAGCCAGGGCTGGTACTTACAGTACACAGATCCTGTCTAGACTAATTTCAGTCATAGCCTCTGCCGATCATCCACCAGTGTTTCGTCTGCGTGGGCCGTGGTCCACATTCCAGCTCCCGATTGCCGGCTCTCGTGTACCTGCATGGTACGTAACCGCTACCTCGGGTGTGGCGGAGTACCCGTCGTGTCGGAGGTACCGTTGACGCTGTTGGAATGTATCTGTGGGGACTTATGCCGCTCTGGACCCATTCCGATCGAGCAAAGATTTTGGAGATGAGATTTTTAGTTGGATTTGGAAGTGTAATCTGATGTGATTTTGGTTTTTTGGCTGGATTTTGCTCGTTGTGGGTGGGTGGGTGGTTGGTAGTGGAAGTTGGGATGTTTGTGGGGGCTATATCCAACCTCGCAATGCCCAGATCAGATCTCCTCTACCCAGTTGAGATTGAAACAAAAACACAAAGTTCAGTGCCGCCATTTTTAAGGTAGTACGTCTTGTAGACATGTAATTTGTAGAGCAATTGATTGCCCCTCTATTGCTATTGAAATTAAGAAAGCAAACTGAAGCTTCTAATACTGTACAGCTCATCGAAAGACATAGATCATACCCGCCCGGTCAACACTAACAATCATTCCGTACGGCTGTCGCAGTACAGCAACATCTTGGATAATATCCAAATGACTCTTCAAAAGCATCTGTTGCTGGAGACTGATAACCGTGCTGCGGGGAGGACGTGAGCTTTGCCCCTTCCGAGACCCTCCCGCATGCCCAGGTGCACTGGGCAGGTGCTCGGTCGTCACCACGAGATTCGGCCCCGGTTGAGAAAGTTCATAGCGCGGCTTGCCAGCGTTAGCGCCCTCCGACACGGCGTCCATCCCACTGACTATCATCGACAGTTCAGGGCGTGCAAGGTCCCAGAACCGGATTTTCCGGTCGCACCCCGCAGACACGATGAACCCGCATCGGCTGCTAGAAGCTTTGTCGTCATCAGGGGCATTCAGACCCACTGCAAATGCCCAGGTCCCAAGCCGATCCCCAGAAGGTGTGTTGGGTGGTGATGCGGAGCCATTTTGTCCGATCGGCATGCCTGCCGCAGGACTTGCGGTCGCAAAGCGACTGAGCATCCCCTCTGGTCGGTCTTCGTCCACGGGCCATGCTTCAAAGTCCCTCGCCATTGTTCGTTGCCCACGGGCATTGGCGGGACGTGAGGCACGATTGGTTCCATTGGGGCTGTTCTCATGCGTGTCTAGTGGCGTTGCTTGGTAGACCTCGCGGCAGCGGAATCGTTCAATATCCCACACTGTAATTTCATTGCCGTGGCTGCCGCTACTGGATACACAAACCCAGCGTCCTCGTGGCTTCGTAGGGTGTAATTGAATTCGCTGAATGGATCCCCAGCCGGGGAGACCCCATGCCTTGAGTCGGACTCGGAAACGGAGATCCCACAGATCCAAGATGCCATGGGTCGTGCCCACGAGAAGCCAAGTGTGCCGGCGATCACAGCAGAACGTGGTCGGGGTTCCGTGATGCACGGGATTATCAAGTGTGTAAATCGGCAGCATGGTCTTCATGTCTATCGCGAGAATACGACAGGCGTTGGTTGCAACGAGAATTGTTGACTGACCTTCATCTCTAAAGTGTTCCATCCAGACAGCATACTCGGGTGACCCGTTCTCCATGGGAGGCAGTTGATACTCGCGGACAAGTTGGAGCTTCCCGTAGCGTGCAGTTTCGTTGACTTTGTGGTAGTCCACTCGAACAGCATGAATACTGCCATCTGTGGCCCCGCTCACGAAGGTGTATGTGTTTTCAACGAATGTCAATGCCTGTACCCGTGCTCCGGTCGCATGACGATGGGTCTGGCGGGAGCGAGGGGTCAAGTTTCTCTCCAAGCGCGTCGTATCCCATATTTTGACGGTGCTGTCATCGGATGCAGTGACAAAGAAAGAATGATCTGGTGGTACGGCAATACGATTCACCGGACCGCTATGCTCTCCAAAGGTCGCCACCAAGTTCCCATCGGGCCTCCATATCTTATTAGGATCGTGTGTGTTTGCTTTGCGGATTGGTAATCGTAGATCTAGCTCCTTGACATATGGTCCTAGGTCGAATAAATCGGTCGGGTAGTTTTCAGCAAAGACATTATCCAACAGTCGCAACACTGCAGGGTCATCGCCTGTATACGAGTGGTTGGCACGATACCGCCGCGCTGCTGCTTGAACTGGCATGCGTTCATATGCCTGAGTGAGACCTGATGGCTGGGGGGTCCCTGCTCTTTGGACGGGAGCATCCACCTTTCCAAACGCATTGGCAGAGTTCGTGCTTGTTTCCGCATGCGTTTTCGCGGTCTCGTTGCGACCGAGAAGGTTTATTGCGCTAGATTTCTTTTGAACTCTGTCACTTTTAAGCGACATGTTGTCTGTATTAGTTGGCGTTGTCGACAAGCTCTCTTGGCCAATGCTCAGTCGACGATAGGGGATATGAGAGGTTGGTGGAGAGAACTGTCTAGCCCCCTGCCCCCCACCAGGAGATGAAGCCGCAGGAGAAGATGAAGAGGAATCCACTGCAATTTCCGGGAGACCTGGGCGTGCGATTTCTATCTCCTTGTGGAGCTGGCTCCTTGATCGAATGTGCTTGTGAGAGTGAGGAGCCCGCTCAATAGTCGTAGAGGCATCGAGCAGCGCATCAGCAATAGTTCGCGGCCTCAAATCTTCGGGCCTTGGGCTTTCGGGGCGACCCTGAGATGTACTTTGTGGTTTATCGTTCACGTTCTTATCAAAGAAAACGGTTTGGGGTGTAAGGCCGTGATGTGACAAACTGATGATGTCGTTCCATGGTAGGGTAGGCTGGGCGTCAACGTCCCTTGCTTGTCTCAGCGAGACCCTCCAGATATAATCTTTGAGTGCAAGAAGCTTGAATTCATCTTCAGAGCTCATTCCAAGGTTCCGCAGCCTGGTAAGCCATTGTTCGTCTTCTTCATTTTTTGAATGTGCACTCAAAGAAAAGGAACGCCCAGCTCGAACTCCGTGTGCATCAGGCTCGGATAGACTGAATGCTCCATCGCGACTCGCCGACTTCCAGAATATACCTTTTTCTGATTTTGAGGCCCAGAGAAATGCCATCTCGTACACGCTCCTTGACATTGGGCTCTTGAGAGCATCGAGAATTTCAACCGCAGAAAAACCGACTATCCTTACCTTGAGAAAAGGTCGAACGAGGGGAGTCAAAATGGAGTAAATATCAGCCACGGCCAAGAACTTGGTTGACTTTACTACGAGGTTCACCGCAGCCTCTCGAATCCAGATATTGGGATGGACCAAGAATCCGATGGTAATATGAAGCAGATCCCATATTGTAGATCGCTGGAATAACCCCAGGTCAGCCATAGCTGCTAGGCATCGAATCACCTTTTCCACCACAAATTCCTCGGGCTCAGTCATAGACTGGATCATCAAGGGCAGAATGTACTGCTCTAAGCTGGTGCTTCCCACGTACGCAGCAACGCCAACGACAGCCTCAAAAAATGCACACTTTAAAATCCAGTCCCGATCGTTGAGATAGGTATTCAGATGACTGAGGACAACCTCGTTTGCCTTCAGATTACCAAAGAAAACGCAAAGCCTGGACACAGAACCCAAAAATGCTCGGCGGACTGAGGCATCAGTATCGGTCAAGAGTGCTTTTGTGTGGACCTCGAAGTATTCTAGAAGATCAATTCGAGCCACGTCATAAAGGTTGTGGTATGTGGCATCTTCGGTCCATCGTGGTTCAAACCCGACAGGGATCAATGCAGTCAACCGGGTATCGGAGCGCAGCGCTTGGATCATGTCCAGGAACCTCAACGAAGACTGCGCCAAAGATGCGATACACGAGGCATATGCAGCACGAACCATGGCACTTGGATTGCTCTTGGAGGAAATGACAAAATGCTGGAGTCGCGGGAAAATGTACTCGGGAAAGAGATATGCGTTTACTGGAGATACTACGTGGACCATCTCCAGTAACTGTGTTAAGGTGCGGATGGCTGCAACCTTCACAATGTCTGTAGGGTCGGCCAAGAGAATCATTATATATGGCAGGACACGGTCGAGTTTGGCCTCATCTGACAGTCTTTCCGCAAAGGCCAGAAGAATATCACAGGCCTTGATTCGGGCTGAAGCTTTGGAAGTTGTCCGAAGGTTGGAAACAACAAGGGTCAGAAAAATCAGAACACCCTCATCCGTCTGTGCGCCCGAGGATTGATTGTTCCCTCCATCCGGTAGATCAAGCTTTACGGGGAGGACATCCCCCGTTAGTCGTGAAACACCGGAGCTGGGTGCACTCTGGGTCCCTCGAGATGGGGCGCCAAGAAAGTAGGAGATTTTGTCGAAGTCCAGACAGACTCGCTCTATCCTATCGTCTGTCTCACCTCTGTTGGCTGACTCTGCATCGACCTTCGTTCTTCCTGAGGATGGATCCGTCATGAGGGACATGTATTGATGGAGAAAGCTGTAAAAGTACTCCGGGAAGGCTTTGTTCTTCCAGAAATTCAGATACTCCTCTGCAGAATACCGAGACTCGGGTTCCAGTTGAATCATATGCAAAATCAACTCCCGAATCTCGGGGTCCTCGATTTTCGCAAGTTGGCCATGCTCCGGGCTGTATTCACCTTTTCGATATTTGTACATTTGACTGAGAGTAAAAATTGGCGATTCGAGGAAGAGCTCGGCAATGACGCAGCCGGCACTGAAGATATCCATGGCCCAATTAACATGACGGTTGCCCGGCTCCTCGCCAGCAACAAGGAATCTCTCTGGAGCCAGGTAACAGGTTCGTCTACCAGAAATGTCAAAATAAAAAGAAAAGTCTGCCGGGTTATCCTCAGGAAGGAAGGTAGGCTTGAACGAAGAAGAAAAGTCAGACAAATATAGCCAATTCCATGACGTGACCAGAATATTTTCTGTTTTGATATCGCCGTGGAAGACATCCATAGAGTGACAGTCTCGTAGGGCGCCCAAAAGCTGGAACGCGATCCATTTCTTCTCAATGTCCTCGAGAAATGGACGGGTGCTGTATAACAGTCAATATTGGGCCCTGTGGGTCGAATGTATCCTAACTCATCATACGTACCTCATTCGATCATACAAAGAGCTATGAATGTATTGGCGAACTAGGTATCCACTGGTACTGGTTTCCAGAATTCTTTCATAGCTCAATGCATTAGGCACATCAGATAAGAGCTTGCGTTCCCCTGTATAAGATCAGCTCAAATCCAACCCATTATCGGATGGTACACGTACGGATAATAGCTTTCACATAGGGCTCCAGTTCCATGGTCGGATAGGGCTTCATGATCACCTTCACAAAAACCAGGCCATTCTGTTGCCTAGCACGGATGCTCTTCATGAATCTGCCCCCACCCATGGACCTCTCATACACCAAGTCTGAGAGCTCCGGCACGTCGATCCCCGCTGACCCTGCAGACAGGGTTGTGAGGGAGTAACCTTGTCCCATGATGTATCATGTATTTCATCTCTCTCTTTCTCTCTTCTCTTGAAGTTGGAGAATAGGGAAATAGAAAGCAAACGATAACGCGAGTGAGGTCACTTGACACCGCCCCACGTGATGGTGATAGGGAAGGCGGTGAGAGAATGCCAACACATTGTTAGACCTGAATTTCATCGTTTCAGTCACGGCGATTTCTGTCTCTTGAATATTCTCGAGCTAGCTATGGCCTTGTGATTTGACTTTGTTTTACCTTTGATCTACTACAAGCTTCATTATGCGTGGTCGTGGGTAGTAAAACCTGGATTCCAGGACACGGCAAGCTAGGTAAACAAACATTTCAGGGGAATAAGCCTTAGTGGTTAAGTTTTCTGCGGGTGTGAGGCATTTTCATAATAAAAGTGATTTGGATCTGATCAAAGTTCATTTCGGTGCGTTTTTGGCGTCTCTCTGCAGCTTTACTCCTAACCCAATCTGACATGGACCCGCCCGCAGCTAAATACGGGGCTTGCAGCAGGCTGCTTCCCGATTTCCCCACTAGGATCTCGATATCTAGTACATTCACGATGGATTCTAGCATCATGGATGATTTCGGGATCCCCGTTATTGACACGGATGAGTCTCTGTTCTCTATCATCCCAAAACTCTCTCAGTAGGCGCCAGCCTGGCTTTTATTCCACTTAACTGAGGCAGTGCTAACTAACAGGTGTAGATTTATCAGCATGGCAATTGGTGACGTCGCGTTCTCATTTGAGGACATGAGCCATGAATCTCGAGGCCATCGCCTTCGTCAACTGGTACACGCGTTGGCCGAGGATAGCCACAATCCCTTCATCATTGTGGCCTTGATGATTCTCAAGTGGGAATTTATGAGTGTTGCCGATGATGACTGGGGATTGAATGAAAGTCGAGGTGCAGCATGCGAGTTTGTAGCATGGCAGTTTCTATGTCATCTGAATCAGATTGAGGCTATCGACTTCCTTTTGGAAGAGCTCCCGATCCCTCGTCGCAACTCAACAACTTCTGAGGTTGAAAGGAGTAATCCTGGATTTGAGCTTGCTGGCGAGACAGAAGCAACACCTCTCTTGTCCCGCTCGCCAACCCCTCTTAATCTCCTTGGATTCGGTAAGAGAAGCGCAGCGGCTCAGAAGAATCGAGATTATTCGGAGCTTTATGGCTCAGACCACGACAGGGAGGACTTTTCCCGATATTTTCAATTCTTTGGGCTAAATGCGTTGGAAATCGCTGCTGTCGCCCAAGCTAAAAGGTTTCTCAGTCAACGCGTGGTTCAGCGTATGGTCAATGATATCTGGAACGGAGAAATTGTCTTTTGGGACTCGCTTACTGTTCATTCGGCAAAGAAGCCACAGATATTCAACCGCAAGTCAGTATCGGCCCTTCCACCATCATAATACCTCTGACATAGGTTATCCAGAACGGCAGATCCGTATTCGCGATTACGAGTTCCTGTATATCGAAAGATGTTTGAAGCAGGATTCTTCCTTTCTCTGTTATTTCTGTACTATACAGTACTCGTCGAAAGATCACCAACATCAATTGGTCGTTTTGAAATTATGATGGACATTTGGATCATCGCCTTTGCCTACGACGAGCTGAGTGGACTCGTTGATGCGGGTGTACTCTTTTATCAAATGGATTTCTGGAGTCTATGGAACCTTGCCATTATAGGGGTCGGATTTGCATTCATTATCACCAGTAAGCCATATCCTCATGCCCTTTTGTGGCCATATATTGATCTTCAAACTCCTCTTGGCTTCGTGAGCTAAATCTAAGCATAGGGGGAGTCGGTCTGGTGAAACATGACGACTACATCTTAAACTTGGCATTCGATATTCTCTCATTAGAGGCGCTGTTTCTTGTCCCAAGGTGCGATTGTCTGCATTTACATTAGCTTTCACAATTTGGCAGCGCTAACACGAATGACCCCACAGGATATGCTCGCTTGTGAGCCTTAATGCATATTTCGGCAGTTTGGTAGGTTGAAACTATACCCAATCTGTTAGTGATTTTCTGACTGTGGAATGATAGATCCCCGTGATGAAAGAGATGGTAAGACTTCGACATGAAAATTCGCTGGGTACATGAGGCTGACCTGCCTTAGACGAAAGCATTTATGAGGTTTCTACCTGTAGTATTGGTCGTGTACACAGGTATGTGACTCAAGTATACGCCCTATGAACATTACTTACAGGTGGAGAATAGCATTTTTCACCACATTTTCGCTTCTTGCCCGTGACCGTTTTTCTCTTGGAGAAATGTCGTTCTTACTCTTGAAGGTCTTCTTTGGGTAAGTCTGGAAGAAAAATTTTCATCACTTTCAGAGTAACTAACTTGTAAACAGGTCTGGGACGCTTGGATTGGTGGGTGGTTTCATAACCTTTGATAGTGCTTTACTGACAGTTAATGGACTTGACAATAGGACAACGCAGAAAAGGTCCGCTCTCTACTACCCAAGCCGGCTATCACACCTTAATTACTAACTTACTGGACTTCAGATTTCTCCGATCTTCGGATATAGCTTGATGTGAGATTTTTTCGATCACCTTCGACATTGGTGACTAACGTCGACTACAGGTTGATATTCGTGCCAATGAGCAACTTCTTGATTCTTGCATGCCTCATCAGTTTAATGGGCATGAGTCTAGAAGGAGTAGGTCTTCTGTGTCAGACTTATATCAAGCGCCACGCTAAATCTCTTTGTTTCTAGGTCATGGCTCACGCCCGTGAGGAGTATCTATTCCAGTGAGTATAATTCTATACCAGAATGCACTTCAGTACAAGGTATTCCCCATTGTGTATCGCTAACATACGACACAGACTATCTATCTACGTGCTAGAAAGTAGCAACTCCCGGCGCCTAACATATTTCCTACCACCCCTGGTTCGAAACTCCATCTTCAGCTCTCCAAAATCTAGAGACCCTCAATGCTAACATGAGATAGAACCTGATTCCACTCCTATGCATCCGCCCCTTACGACTCTTCCTGTCCGCAGAGACAGTCCGCCGAGTACGCATCGTCTTACTTCGAGCAACTCACCTTCCATATGTGATGATGATCTGGATCTACGAGTCAAGTCGTCGAAATTCGGAAAAATCATCTTCTCGATCGATAGCAGGACGACCACCTAGTACTTCTACAAGCGATCCGAGTATTTCGAGATTCCAGGCCCCAATGCATCCATCCGTGGTTGAAGTGAATCGTATAAGACTTGGTCACGAGCAACTCAGTGCGGATTTGCAGAATGCGAGTGGGTTTCACCCAGCGCGGCCTGGGCAGACACAGACACAGCTCGCGGATGTGATGGATGCTGTGGAGCGGCTCCGAGTACAGGTGGAGCGTGTCAGCATGGCGCTTGCTGCGCAGCAAAGAGGTAACTAATGCCTTTTGGTGATCTTGCTGGGTTCATATACTTTCAAGAAATCGTTCATAAGACAAGACAACCCACTAGCAAAAAAGATATAAGAATACCAGTTGATGGACCTTGTTACTATTTTCATAGTTTCAATTAACACACCCCTGTATTGAAATAGAAAGAATAACTAATATCGATATCGATTAACATACTCAGCTGTTTGGTAATGTATCAGCTTCCAGTCATTCACTCCTGCTATTCATAAAACTCGTAAACACTAAGAGGACTCGTCTGGGCTCCCCAATACTGCCTCGGCCATTTTTATACCTGCCACTCGTCCCGAAAAAATGCATCCCCCTAAGAAAGTACCTTCAAGAGCGCTATATCCGTGAAGTCCACCTCCGCCAAATCCGGAGACTTCACCCGCAGCGTACAATCCCGGGAAAGGTGATCCATCTGGACGAAGAACATTTCCATCCAGGTTTGTCTCCAGTCCACCTAGGGTCTTTCGAGTCAGAAGATTCAATCGAACTGCGATGAGAGGACCATAGCTAGGATCGGTGAGCTTGTGGAGCTTGACTACTCGGGACCATCGCTCAGGCCAGTAAGCGCGCGCATTTTGGATCAGCATAATTTGTGCATCTTTGCTGAATGGATTGTCGCATTGACTATCGCGAAGATGAATCTCGTGCTCGATGTGTTCAACGTCAAGTTCTGGTCCGCCCCGTTCCTTCGCGAGTTTGTTCATGCCAGCAACCAATTCGGGAAGTGTCTTCTCGACCACGAAATCAACTCCTTTATCCATGAATGCTTGAACGGGTCCGGTGGGGGACCAGCCGAGGAGACGTTTCAGAGCTTGGAAATAGCTCATCCCGGTGATATCTGGGTTTTGTTCGGAACCTGAAAGAGCAAACTCTTTGCTGATGATGGTCCTGTTGAGAATGAACCACGTGTAGTCCTGGCCACTGTTGCAGATGTGCTTTAGCGTTGCCAGAGTATCAGTTCCAGGGTACAGCATTGGAGGAAGTCGACGACCCGTGGCATCCAGCCAGAGTGAGGATGGACCAGGAATGATTCTAATCCCGTGGTTTGGCCAAATCGAATCCCAATTCATGATGCCCTCGGTGTAGTGCCACATGCGGTCGCTGTTGATTACATTGGCACCCGCAGCCTGAGCGATTCCGATCATACGTCCATCTACATGGGCCGGAACACCAACGACAAAGTTGGATGGAATAGCACCGAGTCGATCAACGGGCCAGTTCTTCTTGACCAGCTCAATGTTGGCACCGATTCCTCCGCTTGATATGAGGACTTTGCTTCCATGTATCTCGAATGTCTCAACACTCTTACGACTGCTTGCAATTCCCCGGGCAGTGTCAGATGGCTCGAGAACTTGGCCCCGAACACCGATAGCTGCACCGTGCTCATCGACCACAATAGAGTCAACTTGATGGCGAAATTTGAACTTCACCAGCCCTTTCTTTACAGCTGCTCTGACTGGCTTCTCAAAAATTTCAACCACTGCAGGACCGGTGCCCCATGACAAATGAAATCTCGGTACCTGTGTCCTGTAATCAGTGGCGTTGTTTCAGTGCAATGGGGGCCGAGCTCACCGAGTTTCCATGGCCCCCAGCGTCTCCGCTGCCTCGTTCCGCCCAACCGACACTGACAATGCTCAAGCCAAGTGACTTTACATAGCTCTCAAGCTCCCCTGAAGTGAAGTCGACGAAAGCTTCTGCCCATTTCTTCGGCCAGTAGTCGCAGTCCCGATCAAAACGTGCTGTCCCCAACCAGTCCTGCAGCGCGAGTTCACGGCTGTCCTTGATACCCACCCGGCGCTGTTCCGCAGAGTTCACAATAAAAAGGCCACCGAGAGACCAGAATGCCTGTCCACCAAGGTTTTCTTCATTCTCTTGGTCGATGATGATGCTGTGGACTTCACGTTTCGAGAGCTCGTAGGCAGCCACCAGACCCGCAAGGCCGCCGCCGATGATAATTACAGGATTGTCACTCGTCATTTCTCTGAGTTTGGTTCATGCGGTGGATTGAAACTGCTTCTGCTGGTCCCAGAATCGCTTCTGGTTGGATTTTGGTTGACTGAAGGGGGTGAAAGTAAGTTACTCAAACGACTCGTGGAACTTTCAAGCCTGATATGTCCACGTCACTTGGAAGTTGGGGGCTATTTTTATCAATGGCGATTTAAATGGAATGTCCCGTTCGTATGCCGAGGCTGTTTCTTTGAACGTGTAGTCTTGACGGTCAGATCAAGTGGAGACAATGTCTCTCGGCTCATTCGCGGAATGGGAGTAAGAACCGCCGGTTGCACCTGCATGGACAACAGGATAGGCTAACCTAATCAACAATCCCTGTCTAGTCTCCACAACTATTTATTCATATATTGTCTCTGGGGGAAAGGATCGCCCTAGCTCAGCTCAATTTACCGAATGCTCAGGTTATCTATATTAACAAATTCCAGGCCTGACTCCGACATGTCTATAGAATGTCGGGTCCGATGCGGATGAATACAATGATGCTTCAACCATTTCAGCTCATCAGGCTCAACAGATTTGCTATCAAGGATCATGACTAAACCCGAACCTCCGCTAATCGTACCTCGTGTTTCGTACAACTCGTGATTCGCACTAAAGAATTACAATATAATGGTCTTGGGAGGAAATAAGGAGAAACGCAAAGAATACAGTAACTTGACAGGTTCCGGGGTTTCTGATAACCATTCCGTATTCTGTAATACGAAGTGTTATCCTTTAATAAAAGTCACAGTGGCTCGGAGACTCTCAATCTCATATGGAACCCCGAAGGGAACCCCTCAAGGCTCCAATATTACCTGGGAAACTCCCTTTAAGATTGTTATTGAAGATGAGAAATATGAGATGTGCGCTAGGCAGGGTCGCCGAATGAAATACAGTGTTCCCAGCCAGTTTAACCATAGAAAGATATTAGTAAATTGGTACCTCATCATATCGGCGACGAGTTACTAGTTATGCGGCATGGTAAAGCAAGTTATGAAGCTTGCTCTGCCCCACTTCCACTGACCGCCTTCACGCACAAAACAGCCAAGACTTCGCGTCTTGAACAATTTTTTCTTTTCTTCTCCTCCAGTCCTCCGAACTCCATGGGCTGAACACTTTCTCGTTCTCCGGTCCATGGAATTTCCAAACTTACTTGTGGAAATTGTTCAACTATCACTCAATCTTATGAGCATTGGGCCTGCACCTGTAATCTGCACTTACCTGCTACAGCTCGGACCTCGAGTCTGGTGATTGACAATATGGACACCTTAGCAGAGACCTCGTGGGACGTGGTCATTGCAGGAACAGGGCTGGCTCAATCTCTATTAGCCTTGTAAGTATCATCGGTCGGCCTCAATATTTCATAACTGACGCTTTTTCTTCCAGGTCTCTCTCTCGCTCGGGAAAGAAGATTCTCCATTTGGACCAGAACCAATACTATGGAGGATCCGAAGCAGCTTTTAGTCTGGATGAGGCTCAGGAGTGGGTGAACAGTGTCAACCAACGTGGGTTGCCGCCGAGTGTGTTCTACATTCCGGCATGTTGCTGATTTCTGTTGATCCGGTAGATCCTGGCCAGTCTCCATTCGAAGATGCCAAGGTTTTCACTTATCCTCAAGACTGTCTGCAGTCCGCTTCCCAGCTCGGCTCTGAGGGTGGCGGTCGTTCATCGGCCGTTCGCCCCAAGCTAGCTGCGAGTCGCGCCTACACACTCTCTCTTTCCCCGCATTTCCTCTACACCCGCTCTGAACTAATTTCAGTCCTAATCTCTTCCAAGGTCTATCGTCAGCTGGAGTTCATGGCCGTAGGAAGCTGGTGGATTCATTCAGAACATTTCAATGCTGAGGATAGCGAGCCCGGGGCCACGAGAAGCTTTCACCGTGTGCCCGGCAACCGCGAAGATATTTTCGCTGATACTCATATCAGTATGAAGTCCAAGAGAACCCTGATGCGTTTCTTGCGACACATCAGCAAGCCAGAAGATGAAGACTCTGGGGAAGCAGAGGAGGACCTGTCGGCGCCTTTCGGTGACTATCTTTCTTCCAAGTTTGGTGTTCCCCAGGACCTCCAGGGCCCTTTGCTCTCCCTGTCGCTCTCCCAGCAAACACTCCAGAATACATCGGCTAGCCATGCCGTTCCTCGGATCAAGAGACACCTTGCATCAATCGGTGCTCTTGGTCCGGGATTTGGAGGAGTCATTTCCAAATATGGTGGTGGGTCGGAGATTCTTCAGGTCGCTTGCCGAGCCTCTGCAGTGGGCGGAGGTGTATATGCTCTCGACACGGGGATTCAATCACTTTCTGATGGCGAGTCAGGTGATTATCCCGTGGAGTTACAGCTCTCCAACGGTGAGTCGGTTCGGACCAAATATGTGATTGGTTCCGTATGGGATCTTTCTCCCACTCAGGAACGGACATTGTCCTGTGCCCAATTTACAAGGTCGATTACTGTGGTTGCCTCGAATTTCACATCGCTTTTCCCTGTCACAGTGGAAGGGGCTCCCGTGCCGGCCAGTGCTATCCTGATGTTTCCAGGAGAAACAATAGGCAGTCCTCAGTCGCCACCAGTGTATCTCCAGGTTCACTCGAGTGACACCGGCGACTGTCCCCGTCAGCAGAGTAAGTCTCCTTCCCAACATACTTGCCCACCCTCACCTCGCTCTTATGATGATTACCTTAACTTATCTACATTGCCTGTAATTGCATTGATGAAAACGTTACTATCAATAACTGATAAAGAGCAAAGCTACTTCACTGTGGTCTTATCCAAAATTTTGACTCGTTCATAAGGCTAATTCAGCGTCAACAGGTATCATCTATGGCAGTGTTTCTGTGACAGGTCTAGAAGGTCAAACTCTATTGGAGTCAGCCGTGGACCGACTCCTTCGTGCTGAAGGACCCGAGGCTGTGGTGCTTTGGTCCATGCGATACAACCAGCAAGGTCGCCTCAGTAACGATGGCTCATCCGCTACCATCCAAACTCATTCACCTAATGTCTACAGTTTCCCGCCCTCTGGCCTGGATCTTGCCTTCGAGGATGAAAACATTGACATGATCAAGCAAGCATGGTTGAAGGTTGCGGGTGATGTAGACCCTGATGACTTTATGATCTTTGACGATCGTGAGGGTACTGATGAATGATATGTAGCATAGTACGACTAGAGTCTGTACATAGCATAGTTTCCATGATACCAATGAACTTCTACAGGTCCTGATGACTTTCGTTCTCATTTCAATTTACATTTTAAGTATAAGCCACTTGGTCTTGATCAAATTAAACAAAAATTAGCCGATATTTAAGTAATTGCTCCTCGTGGCCCCCAAATTACTCTAATGCGTCTAACCTTCCAAGGTTGGCCTGCTGCCTGGTCACTATTGAAGAAAAACGCTCGTTGGAACTCTCTTCTCTTCTTCTTCTCTTCCTATCCTTCCATTCCTCTTTTGCCGTTTCCCTCTTCCATCTACTGTTTCTCTTTGTCTTTGACCCCTAGGTAGATTCGGTGTAAAAATGCGTGACAAAAAACAAACATTTGAAAAAAGTCAGGAAGTTTGAAACTGGAGCTGGAGTTGGAGCTGTTCTTGTTCCTGTTCCTTCACGTGTATGCGTGAGTGCGTAGTGAGTAGTCGTGGCTCTAGTATCTAATGTTGAGATGGATAATGAAGATCAGCTTTCGGTGGGTCATCGAAGTGGTACTTGTAGATTATGAAATTCGCAGAAAATCTACGTTTGAAATTAAAGGCACGTTGAGATGATATAAGAAAACGCATGTATCAATAAAAACAAGTATCGAGATCCAGTTCCCACTTCGATGACACGGGAATAGATGATCGGCATTCAGCTACAACCATCGTCCCCTGCAGGCAACCCTTCTCAAAACCCAATCAATACTCGCATAATAGATCCTCATTATCACTTGCAAAAGCTCACAGCCACTGCGAGGCTAGATCCGCAATATGCTTATGCGCACCCAACTTTCCCGCTGAAAGCGCCAATACCCCCAAGCCCAGTGCCCAGGTCGTGAAGCTTCTCTGAGAAATATCATTGCCATCGCGATCGAAAGGAGGCTTAACAGTTGGTGCGAAAGCTTCGGTCTTCTTCCTCGAATACGGCGGATACCTCGCATCCATTAAAGACTCCATCCAAGCCGGGAAAGCATTGACAACCGTGCGCAGGTAAGAGAATTCACGGAATCCATGGACGCCATGGTAATATCCGAAGCCCGACGATCCCGTGCCACCAAATGGGGCGCCATGGGCACCGGCATGGAGCATGCAATCGTTGAAAGTGACACCTCCGCTTTGGATCTCGTTGAGCAAGCGGTCCTTCTCGGCTTGGTCTTGGGTGAACACGTATGCGCTGAGAGGTTGGCCGGTTCCTCGGGTGAATGTGAGGGCAGTGTCGAGATCAGATTCCATGATTGGGAGGATGGGACCAAAGAGTTCTTCGGAGAGAAGACTGTCGCCTGGTTTCACGCCTGTTACGATGGTTGGTGCAAAGAATCGAGTTGAGCGGTCGCGTTGACCACCGTAGACGATTTGGCCGGATGTTGATTTAAGGAGGCGTTCTAGTCGGTCGAAGTTACGCTCGTTGATGATGTGTGTGTAGTACTCGGGTCGGTTATCTTGGCCGCCCATGAAGATGTTGAAGTGGTGGATTAAGGCTTTGACGAGAGCGTCGTGGACCTGAGGGTTGACAAGGATGTGGTTCACATTAAGACAGATCTAGTTTTGTGTGGTTAGCTCTGTTTCGATGCTCGAAATGTACGAAGTAAAAAATTAGATATCTCGATGGGGTCTTACCTGGCCTGCGTTTTGGAACTTGGTGGCCGCTATATGCTTTGCTGAAAGGTCGATGTTGGCTGTCGAGGTAACAATAGCTGGGCCCTGGCCGCCGAGTTCCAGTGTAACCGGCGTGAGATGCTTTGCAGCCGCAGCATATACTATCTTTGCGATATTCCCGGATCCAGTATAAAATATATGATCGAAGCGGTGCTCGAGAATGTGGCTCATCTCCTGTGGACCGGCAGAAATAATACGGATAGCATCAGAATCCAAGTATTTCGGGATAATCTCCATAAGAAGATCCTGGCACACGGGCGCCATATCCGATGGTTTAAGGATCACGGTGCAGCCAGCAGCGATGGCAGCGATCATGGGCTGCAAGAGCAGTAAGATTGGGAAGTTCCAAGCACCGATGATAAGGACCACGCCTTTGGGCTCCTTGCGAACGGTTGTGCCTCCCATAAAGTTGATGATGTTCCATCTGGTCGGCTTATCATCCTTGGTCCACTCATCTAGATCTTTGAGAGTGTGCAAGATATCATTCTGGACGCCGGAGCAGTCAGAGAATATTGACTCCTGACGGTGTCGGTGGAGGTCAGCGTGAAGCGCCTCTGCGATGCGCTCCTTGTTCTCCTCAATCATCCACCACGTCCGTTGCAACTGCTGGCGTCTCCATTCTTTGTTCTTGGATACCCCAGCGACAAACGTATCTTGCACGGTTTGGAAGGCCTGTTTCAGAAGGTCAGCGATTATATTCGCGCGTACGCCAACGGATGCACATGCGGGGGCCTTGCCTGGTGGAACTCGGCAGTAGTTGAGAAGCCCATTGCGAAGAATTGAGAATACGTATCACTGTTTCTCTCTCGAGCACATCAAATCCTCGCCGCATCAATGTTTGGCGGAGAATGTATATATTAATGTCGCGCACCGCACTGCCAAGACCCGATCCATGCAACTGTGGGGGAAGGCCGTGGTCCTCGGTAAAGCTCGACTTAGATTTCCGGTCCGTGCTTGTAAGATTTTTCTGACACCGATTTCTAGGTAGTCATATTTGACTGGCTGAAGGCTGTTGTGATAAGGATTTATGTGTGGGAATATTACGCCTTCGTTAATGGCAAAGGCGGGCAAGTTCCTTGGTGTACACTGTGACCTGTCCGACGCGTCAACTGTAGCCTTTATATGTACATATTATGTACTCTTCCTAGCTAGTACGTATAACATTGGAAGACTACCATCAGATATATCAATTATTTTAGACCGATCACTAGCCGTGAAGTCAGGACAAACATTTAATTTGAAAAAAAGGTGCCGAACATGCTAGTATGTAGCTATAGTGCAAGTTCTCCACGATAGGTACCACATAATGCTCATTGATCTCCGTCTGTCAACTTTGGAAGACACGCGATCAGCCTTAGCTTCGAATCATTAGAACTCCGCTTCAAATTTCAAATGTTGAATCTATTCACCTGGGATGCTCGGAAGTTTTTACTACTACATATGAGTTCTACTATCAACCTTTTCTGATAACATGAATTATGACGAAACCCTCGCATAGATACAAATGTATCCAAATTGTGAATGTGGGTTCATTGTTTGGGATATTCAAGGAATCTGACCATGAAACAACCGGGGGACGCCCTAATCCTCCCACTGGCCGTGTTTTCCAATGTTAAACATTGCCTCGTAATCATTGTTGACCATGGAAGGTTACTCAGCCAATGTATTGATTTATACAATTTCACTTTGGTTAGACCAGAGTTACGTGAGATGTGTCACGATTATCACTGAAGTCAAACTTGTACCTAAGGTCAGTATGTACTCTCATCAAGCTTGGAACCGCCAGAGGCTGGCATTGGTCTCTAGGCGTCAAATATATATTGATTCTCGAAGCTAATCCCCGAAATTTCTCATTTCAGCTTCATACCCTTGCAGTGGCTAAGAAATAGAGACGATCCCCGGAGGCCTGTCATACCCAGTGCAAGAGATTCATTAATATTGGATATGTCAGTTGATCTCCGTGCACACTACACATGAAACCTTGCGGAAAAAGGTAGCGGCGGTCTTCTCGTTGGCTTCCCCCACTTTCAGACACCCCCCGCTTTGAGCAGAGTTGCTAGATCCAATCTCGTATTTCCCATGTTCTCTGCAGAACATCGACGCCTCGGGAGCATCATGCAGGGTCTTTCTTGTGATGATCATTTTTGAGTTCCCCCATCCTCCGTGCTGGATGTGTACAAACCGAAAAAGCAGGAAATTTTACATAAATTAATTTTGGGCTAATCTTGTGGGGGGTGGAGAGGGGGCAGTGTACGGAATACAAAGAAATGAAAATGGGTGACCAGAACCAACCATATGGCCGGCAATAATACCGATATTTGAATGGACGAATTACCAAGAATAGTTAGATCCCGATAACAGGTACTGGTCGGGTTCAGACCCTTCGCTATCTGGATATGGTATGGCGATAGATGGCATCATTTTATAAAGCATTTTCACTTCGACCCAGGTAGGTGTAATTTTAATAATCCTTCTCTGAATAGGGGGTGTCCACACCTTCCTAGAACGTTCTAAGATAAAAGGGTTGCTTCGGCAAAAAGGGACTGACGATCAGGGGCGGATCCACTGAAGCTGACACTGGTTCCTTCATTTCAGGGTCTGTACTGTACTCCGTTAAATTACGACTCCGCTTGGATTTCCCCTAATTGGGGCTTGGATTAATTTTAATTTTTTTTGGAATGACAGCATTGCCCAGGTGCCAAGACGGCTAAGATCGAGCTTAATGTGAAACTTCAATGTGGTGCGATTTCGTCACGAAAACAATCATAGTATGCATACTCCGTATATAGTATTCTATTGCATTAATGTTATATTAAAAAATATATTACCATTCTACGATTGGTACTCCGTAGTCATAGCTTAAATGGTTGCCTACAACGGCCCCATACAGCAAGAACAGCCTCGCTTGTAAATTACACTCAACTTGAGTCCAATTATGTAATCCAAATCATCCTCATGTGCCCCAGGTGAAACACGCACCTTTACAGGTTAATATATATAGCACAGAGGGGACATGACGCAGCTGTCTTAAGGATCAAATTGGACCAGAATTTGTCCCTGCGTCCGTACCACAGGTCTGAGCCCAGGGTGAAAGTCTGAATGGTTCACCCGTCGATCTTGGCCCACTTGCCACTTGCCCTGAGAGAAGACCACGGCTGAAGGACATCAGCATCGCCACACTGCAGCTGCCAACCATCGAAGATAAGTTTTTATGGTCTGGTCCCAAACCTGCACAGAGGAAAAGAAGCCCAAATCAGGTATGAACTTACTGTACAAGTGATTTTGTTTCAAATGTCCACGAATTGGATGAGATGTGCCATAAGGTTATGATGCTTTGAATGGGTATGATTGGCGAGGTTAGAAAAGCCAAGATTAACGGCCACCGAGGACACGCGTCGGTGGGGCAGTTGGCCACCTGCGCGCCCCTCCGCTGCTTGCTGACTGGTCAGGGCGGCTGGACGCTAGGACGATCAACCTTTAGATCATTTCCTGTGGAAAGATGTGTAATTATACTTGATTGAAATAAATGTTTGTACAATTTTTTAACAGTGGATTTAAATCGATTTACAGAGTGTTCTAGTCTCAAATGCTTTTGGCTTTACATGTGTTGGTCCAAGCGCGTCCCGGTGACGTGATTTATACTCGATCTAATATCGCTTGCGGCATCATCATGATGGGATGGATATAAGGTTCTTTCGGAAGTCCAAGTATACTTTGTCGACAGAAGAAAGTACTCTCTAGTGCTACACGGCGCAGTAACTGTCCACAGATAAGCGATGTCAGGTTATATCAATACAGATGTATCTATAACAGGGTAACGACAGGGATGTATAGGGCATATGGTCCGGATATAGATTAGGGTCGTACATGGACTTATACCGTGTCTCTAATCAAGACCAAATTGATCGAGATAGAGACCTGGCGGACGATATTCCGACGGGGTTAGCAACCGTTGCAGACGTTCTGATGGGCGATGTACCCGGATTCGGATCTACAGGGACGAAAGCGATCATCCTTCCATGGTGCTCTGGTTATCACCTACCTTACACTATGGATAGCCTTTACTTCGTACTGTCCTTTGCCAAACCCAAACCAGCCAGAGGGACAGAAGAAAAAAAGCAGATAATCACACCAAAAGTTCATTTGCCGATCATCACTTTTTTGATATAGTGGATGGAACATTTGGATGATCTGTCCCGAAGGAGTCGCATTCCATTTCCCGTTATGATCGACGATGGATAGAGAAACAAAAAACACAAGGAACAAATGCATACAAGAATCATATATGCATCATGGGGAGGAAAGAGGCCCCAAGTCAGACTATCAATACGATCTCCGTTTTGGAAGGAATCCCACTGGTATACAGATAAATTTGATCTATACTAATGTTACATAGAATCCACCATGCGATACCATGTGTCTATTCAGATCTTAGTAATGAATCTCCTGCAAACAGCCCTGTAGCCCTGAAGTTGTGTATACAATAAAAATCCGGAAAATCGAAAAATCCTCAAATCCAAGTTGGAAATATTACAGGTAATACCAATACACGCATTCTCTCGCTCTCCCCCCGATCCTTTAAACCTACTTTACCTCTTCGCTCTCTCCCTTTTTTTTTCCCTTCGCACTCTCCACGCTCATCCCCTTCTCCATCGAACTTTTAGTCTCGCCCTGGACTCGTTGTCCAGCCGCGTTGGGTCACTTCTCTTTTCCCGCTTAAACCCCTTTTGACTCTCTACGCCGCCTCCCCCATTTGACGGTGTCGCGGGTCCCGACGCTGCCAGCCTCTCGTTGATTTCCGGCATTTGAAACTGCCTGTCTTTCCTTGAATACACATTAAAACCCATCTGTGGTCAACTTACCTTCACCTTATCCCAAGATCGTCTCGCTCTGTGGTCAGCTCCAGCTGTACGATTTATCACGGGACAGAACACACCGGAATTCTGCCCACGCCGAATTCGATAACCACCTAATTTTACAACCCCCAAGGGTTGCCGCATTGCCCCTGCCTCCCTCCTCATTTCGACTCCGCAGAAGATATTCACGTACATGTTCGAAAAATCGAGCCCTCCAATCGTCAAGATGCCCCTTTTCCGGCTGAAGACGGTCTTTCCGTTACTCGCGTTGCTTTCGATTGGTGTCTTTTTCTGGTGCATGGAACGCTATGACCGGTCATCTTTTCTCCGGTTCAAACACCCCATTGAGCAGGTGAACTTGGGCCAGTCCCAAATAGACATGTCCGCAGGCCAGTCCGACATGACGAACACCTGTGAGGTCGACCCGAAATTGGCCGCTCCCCTTGGCTTTTCCGACTGGCTTGCACGCAAGAACTACACCCGTGCCTACTTCCGCCCTCGTCTGGTTAGCCCTGATACCGAGTTCCACACCCTGGAGGAAATTCAGAAGCCCGTGCTCCCGCCCATGGTTGCCATGGAGCGCGGCATGGTCGTTTCCCCAGAAAACAAGGAAGATGTGTTTGTCTGCCCGGAGATCATTGACGTCGACGTCGCAGCCGATGACGATGTGGAGGAGACCTCAAAGCTCCTGTTCGGTCTGGCCACCACTGTGGATCGTCTCGATCGCCTGCTGCCGTCCCTGCTTTACACCTACGGAAACACCAAGGCCGGTCTGATTGTGCTGGTGCCCGAGTCGGATGATGACCTGGAGAAGCAGGAGACTTACTTCCGCAACCGCGGACTGGACCTGACTCTGATTGCCTCGCCTCTTGATTTCACCGCTCGCTACTTTGGTATGGTGGAGGCTTTCTCCGAGCACATTCGCAAGCACCGCCCACACACCTCCTGGGTTGGATTCAGCGATGACGATACCTTTTTCCTATCGCTGCCCACGTTTGCTAAGGAGCTGAAGCTCTTTGATGAGAAGAAGAAGCACTACATTGGATCTCTCTCCGAGGCTAGCTGGCAAGTGGATACCTTCGGTCACATCGCATTCGGTGGTGCCGGTGTTTTCGTCTCCCGACCCCTCCTGGATGTCCTCATGAAGTACTACGACGAATGTCAGTCCTGGGGCGAGCAGCCCGGTGACCAGAAGCTTGGCCAGTGTATCCAGCGCTTCGGCGACACTCAATTGACCCTGTGGCCTTCGCTTTACCAGATGGACATGACTGACCCCGTGGACGGCGTCTACGAATCTGGTCGCAAGATCGAGTCCATGCACCACTGGAACAGCTGGTACACCAAGGATGTTGTGAAAATGACCACTGTTGCCGCGGCCGCTGGCCGGAAGTCCGTGCTGCGCCGCTGGGTCTTTGACCAGGAGGAGACCGTTAACAACGCCACTGGGGAGACCAGCCGTCACTTCTGGGTTTTGACCAACGGCTACTCCATGGTCAAGTACACCTACGATGAGTCTGTGCCAGATGACGCTATTGACTTCGATGCTGTCGAGAAGACCTGGCCCGAAGATCCCCGTGGTTTCGAAGAGCGCCTGGGTCCCCTCCGTCCAGCGGAGGATGAGGGTGTTACCAAGGACCGCTGGCTGCTTCACGACGCCTACGTGGTGGGTGATAATGTGCACCAGTTCTACGTGCGCGAAGAAGATGAGGGCCGTAGTGTGATCGAAATTGTCTGGCTTGGCCCCAAGGGCGGCGGCGGTGGCGGTCTCAGCGATCACCAGCTTCGCGGTACCTACCAGCAATAAGCCCATTACTTTTGTCGTTGAAGCCCCCCAAGTGATTTTTTGAAGGCTGGTCCTTGGATGCTTCTTTCGATTGTCCACACCTTTCATTTCGCTGCACATGATTCTATTGCTTTTTCCCCTACCATCAACATCCAGCTTCCTTTATTCCCACTCATGACACCAATCTATTTTGCATCAACAACTTCTTTTCTTCACCGACCTTTTTCTTTTCTTTTTCCCGGATGAGACTCGTGATCGTGACTTGACCTCCGCGTCCTCCAGTTTCTGATTGTTCATTTATCCGGCGTTGGCATTGGCGGAGTCCCTTCTGGTGCAGGAACCATGGTGGCTTTCCGTGCTTTCTATATCCCGGCCTTTCTCGGGCGACCTTTTCTTCTTTCCCTCTAGCTACCTCCTTGCTGGGACCAAAAGTCTATGTACTTTCCCATGCCAATGAGCTTGCTCCGTCCTTCCCTCTATTCTTTATTTATTTTCTTTGTCGCGTTTCACTTTCACTGCTCCTGGAACTCCGTCGCGACTCGGGGTGAGGCTTCTATCCATGGCCATGCATATCGTGTTTGTAAAAATAGACTTGAACCGAAGACCGTGTTTGGGTCTCCGTTGGTGATTAGCGTTGAACAGATCGTTCATTATGCGAAGAATATGATGAGTTCTTATTTACGGTCGTTTTGTGGGTTGAAACGCCCACGCCCCAGTCCAAGATCATACATCTGCCTAGGTAGCTAGGTGGATTAAGCACAATGACTAGGCACCGTTTTATCTCAAGTTCCCATTCTCGGAGTAGTCCCGTAATTTAAGCTTCTTCGCTATCGACTTCCCGGCGCACGTCTGATCTTGGTTGAAGATAAAGTCATAGATCCAGACCATAGAAGCCGAGATTGGTGCCGCCCGAGGCCCTAATGCCGAGGCCCTAATCAATCCGAAAACGGATCCTAGGGAGTCTTGCGAGATTGTGCCTCCTGTAATACCTTCCTTCGGTATGTTTTGCAGGAATCCGACCGTGGGTCGAGGCAGGCGTACTGCATACCAGAGCATATCTGGGGAGGTACACCGCGAGTTACTGTACAACCGATGTACACATATGATCTTTATTTCAATAAATCCATACTCGCGAGCTCACATGTTAGATTCTGCCAGGTATGTGTTCGTCAATTTATTCAATTTATCCAGTTGAGATTCTGGAGTCCGGAGTAACTTTCTCTGGTATAGTCCCGAGGTATCCCCTAGCCGCCACATCTGGGGCCAATCCGAGTGCGGTGGAATGCAGGATCGAGCCTTATTATAATTATAGAGCGGCATGTATGGACTGACCGTTATGAACAGGTGAATCGTGTATATTTTTGAATGATCTTTTACATCCTTTTCTAATACAAGAGAGCTCGAAAAGAAAAGTGATGATCGACTAAAAACGACGGAAATAAAGTGGAAAGTCCAGACCAGAGTGACTTTGGGTTTACGCTTGACTCGATACGGATGCAAGCGGAGGCAAAGCGGGGCAAATGAGTTGGCCCCTTTGGGGTTCAACCAATCATAATTAGTCAAGGCGTGAGAGGGGGAGGCAAATACCAAGTTCAAACAGGATTGATACGGTTATTTAGGGGATCGGAAGAGGGGAGGTACTTATTTTCGACGATGTAATTGCATAGTGAATATCATGTACCTCTGGTTGATCCACTTTGTAATAATACGGTCTAAACCAGTCCCACACGTGACTGACCGCCTGCCACATCGCACCTCGCACTTTCCCTTCTTCGCTCTCTTCCCCCTTCCTTTCTCTCCCCTGCGATCCAAAAACGCGTTACTCGATTGGGTATCTACTGATTTCCTTCCCCTTTTGGTCATCTCCCATCACACTTCTTTACCTCTTTTTGAAACCACTTCTCCACCATTTCGTTCTCACTGCCTAACATGGCCGACATGACTGCTGTCGGCGAGGAGAAACTCTCTCCCAACCACGATGACCTGCAACAGGCCGGCAACGGCGCTGATGCCCGTGGCACCAAGCGCGGCCGCATGAGCGCCGAGGACGACGACGATGATGATGACAAGCCTGGCCGTGAGCGCCGCAAGATTGAGATCAAGTTTATTCAAGATAAGTCGCGTCGCCACATCACTTTCTCCAAACGGAAGGCTGGTATTATGAAGAAGGTTAGTCGCGACACCCACCCCTCTACCTTGAACCATCTTCCGGTTTCCTTGGCTCTTATAGAGCAACAAACTATTCAATCTCTATTATCGGGAACATTCCTTGCTCATTAGTATTGTTGTGATAGGCGTACGAACTGTCCGTCCTCACGGGTACTCAAGTACTCCTGCTGGTTGTCTCCGAAACCGGTCTCGTCTACACCTTCACCACTCCCAAGCTCCAGCCACTCGTTACCAAGCCCGAGGGCAAGAACCTCATTCAGGTGAGTCGCCCAATTGTTGACACGCGAAGAGCTCGTCGTTTCAGGTCACTAACCTTCGCGCCCGCAGGCCTGCCTCAACGCGCCCGACCCCACCACCAATGAAAACGGTGTGGATGCCCCCGATGTCCCTGCCGAAGCTCCCGAGGACGTCGCCCACAACAATGTCAATGCCTCGCAAGCCAACATGGGCCGTCCTGGCATGCACCCTGGCTACATGACCACCGAGCAGCAGCAGCAGATGGCCTACTACCAGAACCTCCAACAGCAACAGCAGGCCGGTGGGCAGTATCCCGGTATGCCCGTGGGTGGTCGCATGCCTCCGCAGCACCAACCCACCGCGTAAACATGCTTGACAGCCTGCGCGTCGCTGCGGACGGGGTCCTAACTGCGTCATCCCTTCTGTTTTCCATCTCTCGCGTTCATTTGATACCCGTCCAGCTCTGCTGATCCATCCCTCCCCCTTTTATCTTTCAAGTCTACCCTTCCTCCGTCAATATAACCGTCGATGCCTTTCCCTGGCAACCGTCGCGGTATGACGCTGAAGTGTACATTGTCAAACGCCACGCCGGAGCTCTCCCTGGTGTCTGTCTTTGATCCCGATTTTGATATGCTCTGGTCTTGCTTCCAAAACTCGCGAAAGTCACCAAGCAAAAATCCTTCCTCTGGTCCCATTTTTGCTATGCCTCATGGCTCTCCCAAATTCCTTCTCCCAAATTCCTTAACAAAATCTGATTAAAAAAATTTCAAAGAGAACAAAAGAGCGCAAGCACGCAAGGCTGGATTTTAACCCTTTTTCTGGCTGTTTCTGATTTGTCTCTTATCCCCTCTACCTAGATCAACTGGCGGAGGTTGGTGGTGTTCGTGGTGCATTGATTTGTCGGCGAAGTGGTTCTCTTACTTCTCTGTTCTGTTTATCTCATACGACCATTATTGATCCTGTTTCTCTATCTTCTTTTTCCAGTGTCTAATCTCAAACTGTGTTTCTATCTCTTCCACATCTTCCCGTATTGTTTTATTGACCTCGTACCTTTGCTACTTCAAACCTCGGAAAGGATACCCCGTATCCCTTATGGAAAGCTCAATGCTCTAAGTGTTCCCGATGTAGTCTATATATCCTATTAATGACTCCAGAAATCCACATTCGCGTTGCTCCTCTTCATTTTTCAAGGTTGAACTACATCTCTTCGCATGGATCTACAACCGTGACTATTTTGCCTCGTGGCATTGTGGGGCCGTTAACCCAAAACAAACATATAGTTCCTGTGATAGATCCAAACCATAACGGGAATAGATCCGTCGACTTCCAAGGTTCGACCTTCCAAACAAGGAATGTTACATCCATATCCAACTTGCACCCGCCATAAATCAGTTGACCTGCACAGATGTCAACTGGTAGATGACATCCGGTTGGATGGGAAATATTTGCACATGTGCAGCGATATATGTACATATGTACTATACAACCAGTAACTGGGAAATTTAGTTGTTGAAGGTTGAATCAGGTTTATTAATATATTTCAAATACACATATTCTTTCAAAGCTGGAATCACCAGGTAGCGGCGATTAGAGGTATATATCTTATGCACAACGCGGGCGCTCCTACCAGCACTGGCTAGGTTCAAGCGACTCAACTATTTAACAAAAAGGAAAAACTGGAATTGCCAACAGCAAAGTATGGTTGAAATGGTATGACAGTGTCAAGCGAAAGGAAAGAAAGAAAGCGAAAGGTATCGAGGATGAGATGGTATCTCGGGTATGAGTCCTTAGTCCCTACTATACATGGCGGAATGAAGAGACAAGGGAAAAATAAGAAGTTCGATGAGTTCTGTATCGGAGAGTTGGTTGAGAGGTAGATCTCTAGTGAAAAATGTGTTTTGACATGAATCTTAAAGTGAGGATGTTGAGGGACCTTTGGAATTTGGTTCGGCTGCTTCGTGCTCATCGCTTGGAGGATCTCTCACCCAGGGTAGATGTGTCTCGGAGCGCGGCAAAAGAGGAGAATAAGCACGGTCACGTTCCTGGGAGTCAGGTTGATTGCCCGCCTGCGGGCTTGTCCATTGAAACAAGTATTGTCGGCCTTGATGCCACGCGCCTCGCAGGGTTCTTCTCGGACCTGCGAGAAAGCCAGATGGTGGATCTGGGGCAGAGCTTTGGACTTCATGGCGCTCAACCCTGTCTTCTGAGATAGCTCCGTACCCGTTTGCTCCTGCTATGCTGGGCGAAGAGGGCTGGCCTCGTCGTTTGCGTTGAGAGCCCACGAGACCGGCCCAGGGCATTGAGGAGCGTCGCCAGGGGCTCTCCTGTGCAGATAAGCGACCTCGATGAGGGCCACGGACGCGTTGGTAGGAGATGGGGCCTATTGTTGAGTGGCGGGCGAGGCCGCGTGGTGGACCATGTAAGGCGGCGCTGGTGCTGGAACTGCGGGGGCGTTCAGTGGATGGATGCGTATGCGCCGTTGCGATATCGTAATCCGAGTCATCAAGTTCGGCCCATATGGAAGCCGCATTGAGATCTGCGGCCTCGTGTTGATCAAATGTTTGAAGGAGGGGGAGACTAGGAGCTCGGGCTCGTAGATTCGAAGGACGCCGTTGCGACCGGGAGAGAAGTGGCTCCCGTTCTCCAAGTGATTCTTCGTCGGCTAGACCATCCAGCAGCCCTGATGACGACGGTGAGTGTTCCTCGACGACCCCCAGGCCTGGCCCAAGCCCGGTCTGTGTGGGTCCTACCACTGTGACAGCAGTGTGAGCCTCAATATCTTCCAGTCGCCATGACAGACACAGCACACCACCCAGGAGGATGATAGTTCCCAGTGCGATAAGACCTGCATGAAACCCAGCCAGTTGGCCCGCCTGACGGAAGTAAATTAAACCATCGAGGATAGCGATAATGTTGTAAATGCAAAATACAAACGGATACAACACACTTGTGCTGCAAAGCTTGAGCCCGCGATGCAAGTAAAACAGTTGTGTCAATGCTAGAGTAATCATGGCCAGCACAATCACCCAGGACTGCCATCGGTTGAACTGATTCTCGCCATCGACAATGGTGCGCACCAATAATTCCACCGCCGACTTGGCAAGTAGCAGCGAGTGGGCCGATAATATTCCGCTCACTGATCCATAGCACATACCCCGGGCGAGCTTGATCCTGCCCTGAAGACGCAGGACATGCGGCGTAAGGTGGCCCGCCACAACTGGTTTCCCCCGCGCTCCAGGTAGCAAATACCTCAAGAGCTTGGAGCCCACTAGGATACTCACCACAACAAACAGTGTGGCTCCCATCCAGATGAGAAAGGGTCGGCCGTGGAGTAATTCTAACAGCTGGTTCAAGCTATGGGCGGGTTCTCCGATGGCGCCAAAGGTCGCGATCAACACCGCACCGATGCAGACGAGGCCGGTGCCCGCGAAGGAATACCGAGTGAAAGGTTCGCCGAGAATGAGGGTCGCGAAGATCGTATTAAACACTAGTCCCGACTGTTTAAAATATTAGTGACGTCTACATAATTGAGGGGGAACGAAAACAATGACTGACTGCTTGAAGTGTAGAAAGGACTGGTAGTGGTAGCGTGGTAATTTGAATGGTGCTGCCAACGATGTTGGAGATCACGAACATGCCCATGCCCAGTTGCCATCGGCGGCGCTTATATGGTGGTCGGCGCACATCATATGGGTGTTTTTCGTCCTCCAGCAGGTGGGATTTGCGCTGCAGCGTGAGTCCGATAGCCTGCAAGCTGGTTGAGACGAGACCGACAAGGATCCCAACCTGATAACTTCCATATTAGCCATTGAATTACGTTTTTTTTTTAACAATGTAAATATTTAAGAGCTCACCGCGACACTGCCTTGTGGCGATAAGTCACCTAGATTGCCCATCTTCAAGTCTTGTACATCGGGAAGAAGCGGTAGAAGGTGAGTTGACTATCGGAAGATAAAAGCCATGATTTCCAGCAGGGCCTTTTATTTCAAAAACCAAACTCTGCAGGGATAGCAGGAAGAATAGGGAGAAACAAGGGTTCAAAGTAGCGCAACAAGGTAATCAAAGGAGTAGAGGAGTGGGAGAGGAACGAGGGGAGAGTTGCGGAGCGTCTGGATGCGGACCGCCAAGGCGAAACAAGAGCTTAGTTGGACACTTGACTCTCCCTTTCCCATTCCCTCCCACCCCACGTCATTCACCAACTCTCCCTCCCACACTCGGAAGGATTCCAATTCCCATCATGTCGCAAAGTCATGCTCTATCAGATGATCAGGTGAGCATGTCTGATTTTGGTCTTTCGTGTCCTGTTGGAGCTGCATGCTAACCCCGGCCCCCTCATCATAGGTCGCGGGCGAGCTCCGCAAGATGACCGCGTTCATCCGGCAGGAAGCTCTGGAGAAGGCCCGAGAGATTCAGCTGAAGGCCGATGAGGAATTTGCCATCGAGAAGTCCAAGCTGGTGCGCCAGGAGACCGCCGCCATTGACACCCTCTACGAGAAGAAGTTCAAGCAGGCTGCCATGTCGCAGCAGATCACCAAATCGACTCTCGCCAACCGTACTCGTCTCCGGGTGCTCGGTGGCCGTCAGGAGCTCCTGGATGAGCTTTTTGAGAAGTCACGCGCCAAGGTGACTACTGTTGCCGACAACGACAAGACAAAGTACCAGGCCATGCTACAGGGGTTGGTCCTCGAGGGCTTGTACTATCTGAATGAGGATAAGGTCTCTATCCGCGCACGGAAGAAGGACTTTGATCAAGTGAAGAAGGCCATGGGGGAGGCTGCCAAGGAGTTCAAGGAGAATGTCGGCTCCGAGGTGGATGTGAGCTTGGATGAGTCGGAGCCACTGCCGGAGGGATCGTACGTATCTTCTGGTCCCGCTATTTATGATGTGAAAGTGATCAATGCTAATATTATGTTCGGTTTACAGGGCTGGTGGTGTGTTCATTGTCGGCGGACAGGGCAAGATCGAGATCAACAACACCTTCGAGGAGCGTTTGCGACTGCTGGAAATTGATGCTCTCCCCGCCGTTCGAGAGACACTGTTTGGAAAGAACGTGAACCGACGATTCTTTGACTAGAAGACATTTATTTGCTCTTTAAGTCCTTTTCGAAGGGTAGTTTCTTTCATGTTTTATAGTTCTCGGGCTCCTCCTGGTCCCTGGCCTTGGACATCTCTATAGAGAGGGGGGCTTGGTTTCTCTTTCTTCTTTTACCTTGCACACATATCGGACCTGGAATATGGTCAAACTCCCATGAGCGTTCGTCTGATTCATCTATGATTGCAGAAAATTTCGGTAGCAAATGCATGCAAATAAAATATCAATGCTCGCTCTGTCAAATATTCATGGTTGTCGTAATCGTAACAGTGGGTATCCAGATTAATCGAAAAGGTAGAATTCATACACCTCAGCTTCAAGGTGTTCCGTATCGACGGATCGGCATCGGAAGCTCGTCCGGACGGTCTATAGTCCTTGGCTTGAAGTGACTACTGATGGTTCCATTCGTCTGCTTCGCAGATGATTTGAACGCTGACTTTTTGGGTGGAGGCTTGGACCGAACAGAGTACAGCATGCGGTAATGTACTGACTCCAGGGTTTCTTTAGCTAACATCCGTTTCAGGTGAGATGCGCCTGTATCTTCGATCGAACTGAAGGTCCTCTTGATCTGCGCCGCGAGAATATCAATGGCCTCGTTGAACCTTTTGTCCGTATCCTCGCCCTGGTAGTTCAGATCAGAAAGAGCGGTATTGATGGCGATGTCGAGAAGTATGGCGTTCGCAGTCAACTCGCCGTAGTCATAATCACCTCTCGCCTTATATGCCTTTACTTGAAAGCGCTCATCACTGGCTAAAAAGTGAGTCAGCCGTCCCAAATCCAAAACATCTTGGATAGGTTCCGTCAACGCGGCGTCATTTCGAAGCAAAAATGCCACAGCGAGACGGTATCGTAGCCGCGAAATCCACATGGTGGTGGGGAGGATGTTCTGTAGCATGCGACTTTGAAATTGCGGCTCCCGAAAGGTATCATATACAATTTTGCAAATTCGATGTTCCTAACTCGCTTCGTTAGTAGCCATAATAAGAAGACATGAGATGTCTCGTACAGTCTGTTCGGCATCGGATGCGGGCACACTTTGAAAAAGTGCACCGATGCAGCTTTGAAGCTCCGAGCGGATCATATAGTCTTCTGTGAGCGCCGTGTCCAAAGAAATACGCAGAAGTATCTGAATTGCACGCTCTCGGGTGTCGTTGGCAAACCTATACGCACGTCAGTAAATTGGCCAAGATATGGATAAGCAATGGGAAGCACAATTTAGCCGCCTCCCTAAGCAAATCAAAAATAGAGAGTAAAATCGTTCGATCCTTCAAAGCTGACTGCTGGTAACTTTCTATACAGCTGTAAGATTTACATATAAAGAAAACGGCGGGAGACGAAGCTTACGATCATGATAATCTTCAACGATAGCCTTGGAAAAATCCAAAGCAGCTGGCTTCACTCTTAATGGTCGAAAAAGTTCATCGATGTGACCTGGGTAAAGAACAGATTTTATCTGTGCGCCATCGGGTTGCTAGTATCATATTTAGCCATGACTATACGAAGAGATTAGAAAGTGCTCACCTTGGGGGCAATCGTCAACACTCTAACATAAGCTTGTCTGAGCTCTTCCCGAGGCTCGTAGGGCACTAATCCATGGTCAGCTTTCAAACGCAAATGTAGAGGCAGGGATACAATGTACTAGAGCGGAAGAGCCACAGGATAAGCTCATCTGGTAGACGTTGCAATGACGCGGCAAATTCAAGAACGCCAGATTGAAAAGCACGTTCTCGAGATTCCGGCTCTGCCAGATATTTAGCTTGGATCGAAAGCAAAGTTCCTGGCCAGACATACCCCGCAGAACCGCTAGGTGTGAATCAGGGGCGAACCGATCCTTGGGGAATTCCACCGGAATCGGTGAATCCTGGGTCTGATCTAAGAACCGCCAGGTCTTGTCTAGATCAAGGGCCTCGGTTCTTCGGACGGCATCCAGTAAACGTTGAACACCTATCCCGTCATCATCATTTTCTTTTTCGCCCAAAGCTGATTTCAACATGTTTTCGTGTATGTTGGTCTTTTCACCTGAGTCGATTACCGTGCTATTGCGCTGATTGAAGATGGCCCTCGCCCTGGCGACATTAGCTTCTGTCTCATTATCGTCAACAGCCCCGTGTACAAGTGCATCAATGGTGTTCTTATATTTCTTCGGTGTCGTCGCAATATGTTTCGGCGCAGAAATGATTTTGGGCCTCGGCTTCTCGGCTGGCTTCGGTCTTGAGCCAATTAACAAAGCCGGATCTTCGAATATTGAGCTATCGGAATCCGTTTCTTCTCCATCGGAGCTGATGACCACTTCCTTGCCTCCTTTGACGATCCGCTGAGAATTTTGGAGATTCCCATTTTGCAAGGACGGCAGAGTATCAGTCGTGCTTTGGATGCTTTCGAAGCTTTGTGTTGGTGCGGGCGTGGGGCTTTGTGTTGGCGTTGGTGTCGAGATTCTATTGTTCACTGATTCAATGAGCGATGACTGCAACTCATCGTCGGGTTCTGGATCAACGGGGAGTGCCGGCTTTCTCAAAGGCACTTGGATGCTGAATGGGACCGGGTCATCGTATGCTTTGGAAGTGAGATCAATGGGGCATTCCGGCGAAGATGGTAGGTAGGTTTTTTGTTGCTTTTTCGGGGTAAGATGTTGGTTAGGTTTGGAGAATGCTGGTCGTTTAAAGAAATCATAAATACTTCTTGTCTGATCCTTCTCCTGTCGCTCCATGCTGGAAGTTGCTGAAGAGGAAACAAAAAGACCGCTAAATATCCATGATACCCATTGAAGAATCATCCCCGCGTCGCGTGAAAGACCGGCGCGAAGTCACATGACATCATCCTACCATATTCGGAAGTTTCTTTTGCTTCTTTTCTTTTATGATCAAAAGCAAGTTTCTTTTCTTTTCTATTCTTTCCTTTGATGCTTCAAAGCTTATGTATGATATAAACCTTGAAATTGTCGAACCATGGACGGTTTACAAAGGCATGGCATAACTAGGTCAGTACCTTGTATATGCAGCTTTTGCTATTTTTATAGGAAGTAAGTCGAGGTGACGGCGAAAAGACCACGATTGTGCGTGGTCTTCCCATTTAGCGCTCTTTTTGGAGCATCAAATGCAACACTGGCCAGGTCAGGTTTAGCACCCTTACAAGAGTCAGTATTCATCCCAAATCGACGCCCGCGGCGCGTTGACTGTAGAGAAAGATACAAAGATAGAAAGATAGTCTAAGTCCACACTGATGTCAGAGATCATGAGCCATGTCTTCCGGGAGAATCTCCATTCTATTTTCTGGCAAAAATGAGCTTCCCGGCCGCGAAAATGTTGAAAAGTCAAGCCAGGCGCATTGATACTGATTGGAACTTATTCATTCAACAAGTAGATCCCGAAGTTAACGCTGATCATGCCGATTCCACGAAGAGATTTGTGAAGCACATAGATCGCAACTTTAAACTCTAGGTCCGCTGAAAGATGCTGGTTTGAGGGTACATTGTTATTTAACAAGAAGTTAGAACTCAAAGCTTCGGATATTGTACGCGGAATAGTAATTAGAAATCCTTTCTCAGTAACACACTAATCCTTGACCAAAGGCTAAATATCTAATGTTCCTTTGCTCGACAAAGACGCCGAAATATATTGTATTGCGACCCTCAATTTAATGCGGCCCGCACTATGGATGATCTGCGCTACGGCCTTGGCGATGGGTTCCGCAAAGAGTAGCTCAGTTAATGGTCAAGCCGATTCCGAGAATCATTGTATGATGGTTTCAATAGTATTGGTATTCTGATACACCCACATTCACCCAGATTATACTTAATCGTCGCTTTAGGGTATGAATTATATTATATTGCTCAAACACCGAAAGTGCACTGAAGTACTAAGCCCTAGACAAAAAGGACAGATGAACCAAGAGAATTGAATTAAGACACTGGTACAGTGCTTTTCCGATCTGAGGTCAGCCTCACGGTGACGCATGCCTTTATCTCACCGAGTTTGTTGGACTGGTTGCCTTTTGCTCCGTCCACATTATAATGTTTGCGATCAGAGTGGTAGAGTCTTTGCAATAGGTCGTTTTTATCGTCTGCAAGTTCTCGATCTCGTGCGATCCCATCCCGGTCTACCAGATAGGGAGTTGCAAAAAGTCGAAGTCCACCTTCCCCTTTGCAAACTGTGGGAAACCAAAATTCTTTTGACTTTTCGTCCGCAGACTTCGGATGATGAAATGACACTCCATAGGTTTCTGTGCCATCAGATTTCATAACAGCGAACGTTCTGCAGTAAGAGGTTAATAAAGAGTGTTAATTGAAAAGTTGCATGCATAGCGACTTACGCAGCCTTCGTGCCCTTGGGCATATGTTCAGCTGCCGAGACACCCAGCTCTACCATGCGAGAATCGGGAAATAAGTACTTAATATAGTGCTTTGGACTTCCTCTTCGGTAAGTTCTGCCTTTACCTGAAGCGGGAGTCAGATATGCAGCATTGAACCAGATGAGACGTCCGAAAACATCGTAGCTGAAGATGTTTTTATCGACCTCGAGACCACCCCAAGGTGCGCTGATGTCGTAATCCTCCGAGTTGTTGGCCATGTAGATCCGGCCATCCTTTCCAGCCACTAAAGTCGAGGTCTGACCAGCATCTTGAATCAGGCGGAAGCCATTTGTCTTTGGCAGTTTTCTGAGCTTGTCTTTATCGGCTTCGCTGTTTTCTGACTCGAAGTGCTCGTCATCATGGATAATAGGGCCGGGCTTGTCTAGGCTAATGGTTTTGTTGGAAGCAAGGTTGCCTTCGCCACCAAACTTGTGTATCACTTGATTGAAGAGTGTGGAAGGCTCAACCCTCGTCTTATTCCAACCTTTGTTTCTGCCAAAGTCGTTAGCTAACTTTATTGTAAGACTGTGCTCATAAGTACCTACGAGATACAACCAAGCCCTGTCTCATAGAACGTTACTCCAAGCTCCTTAAACTCATACTCCCATATGCCAAGGGCGGAAGTATAGACTCGATTTTTAGCCCCAACACGAAGTTCAACTCCATTGTTACAGGCATGTCCTTCACCCGAGGATAAGCCCGCAGTAAAGTAAATAGAAGGCGCCGTATACACGCCGACAGACTTCTTCCAGGTGCCACCCAGTATATCCAATGCAACTTCAACTCCTACCGGCAAGGCGAGATCAGCGGTTGCCACGATACTTCCTTTTTTCATCTCAAAAATCGGCTTAAGGTCAGGTGTAAAGCCCGATGCTTTATTATTCTGAGGTTGCATAGCATCCAGGATTACCTCTCCTGCGGCGATAGTGAATCTTGCACCGGCTCGGAATTCTCCATGTGCATCAACATAGACACTGGCAGCGGCATTGACGACCGCCTGTGGTCCAATAGTGATGATCTTTGGGATCTTGATGGCGTAAAAAGGAATGGCGAACAGTTCCTCCTCAATTGTCGTTTTGATCCCAGATATTGAGCTTGCATCCTTAAATGCCTTCGCATCAATGGTTATACCGTATATAGCATCGAACACAAAGGCCTCGTGGTTGATAAAGGATACCTGTGCTTTGTAGATACCCTTGCTGATGCTAAACCCCAGTTCTCCACCGAAGCTGAAGTTGGCCTTGGCTCCACAGCTTTCACATTCAATTTGTACGGCTGCGCCCGGCTTGGAAAGAGCAAAGTTATTGTTAGTCCCTCCAGTCGCACTGCCCAGATCTGTCGCAAGCCTCAACCCGCCTGTTCTCTGATCGAAGTCAATATCTGCATGATACTCTTGCTCAAATGGAAAACCAAATGGAACCATCAACAATTTCAGGGTAACTGCTGCAACAGCGATTATAATCTTCACAGCAGTCTCAATAGCTTGGCGAGTCTTTTCGATTAGACTCACGACAGCCTAGATGATCATTTCTCATTAGCTGATCATGGACCGATAATTTCGATCTCATTTCTATAACATACCTTGATAATGGCGTTAATTCCTTCCACGATCCAGGAAAACAAGCCTCGTTTAGCGAACTGGTTGTATTCATCGTCCGAAAGATAGCCAAGGCCTATCTCGTACTGATCTGGAATGTCTGTGTTGATCAAGCTCGTACCGAAGAATGCTTTGACGGCAGTCGCATTCTTTGTGAGGTCGTTCATTCCTCTGAAAGTTCCATTTCCTGTACCGTTGAGTCCGCCGGAAGTCATCAAGTCCCGTATTTGCATCTGCGGGTCTGCTTTGGCAACTTTGACGTGTCCTAACACCGGCTCACGCTTGGTAATATCTGGATGTTGATATGTTCCCCACTTTAGCTTTCCCTCCTGTATCTCCTCTTGCTCGTCCGTGAGCTCGGCGAGGACAGTCACACAGTTGCCCTCAAAGGTGGGCTGGAAAGCAACGAAAATTGAGCGTTGCTCTCCTGTCAAGTGACCGCATCCGACATGATAGGTGATCAAATTGAATGGTTCACTACCATATTTCTTCCATTCTGTTTTAACAGTTGGGAAAGCCTCGGGAGCGAAGCAAACCTCGATCTTTCCGTCACCACAGTTGATGTCTTCGATATGACTTGAGTGGTCCAAGACAACTGTAGGTCTGGAAAAGGTTGCTTCCAACCGACCATGTTTTGCGCCATGCAAGGCAGCTAAGAAATTCATTGAGAATCTGACGCACGATTGAATCACATGCCTTGCAAATACTCACGTCGATGTCCTTCCTGGCTGTAGTAGAGCTCTTTGGAATCTTCGGGGATCAAATGGCGAAGGTCACTGGGGTCATGGTTGGGATGAAGAGCGGGATACATGTTGACTCCATCGTGTGCAAATGAAGGTGGGATTTGAAGAAGGCCATGATGTGCTTGGTGCAGGCCACTAAAGGCGGAAACTATAGCAACACAGCCTAAAAAGGCCAGTGATTGAATTGCCCTCATTGTTGATTTCATTCTTGGATGGACGATTTATCAGGACTTTAAGCTCTTTTATAGGTTCCCTCGCTTTTTTGCAAAAGAAAACCATTTCAGTGTATGAATTGAAAATAATTACTACTTTGCGCCACTATAATTTTTTCTGAAGTAGTTTCCCCTGTGAAACACAACATCAGAATCTATTGACATTTTTCAAAAAAGAAAAGAAAGAAAAAAAACCCCTCAATGCACGGGATTTACATACCTACCCCAAGTCGGCGCTCGAGATGGTCAAATGACTAGCAACGCTGTCTTCCACTCGACCATCCATATCTTATTCATATATCAGGCGATTATATATCTGCCTTTATGGAAGTATCTTGGATGATGAGATGATCAAAGAAGTGCCTGATTCAGCCGGAGGGGCTGTCACGAGGGTGTCAGCATAGGCCAACCCATACGTATCGAACCCGTGGTAACATTCTCTGCCTACACTATGCACCCTTCCCTCCAGTCTCTTCACCTTGCTCAGGTCTACCGAGGTAAGCTCTAACCTCGAAGATATTTCGAGATCACACCGCGTACTGGGATCAGTACTAACCCTGTACCTGAGCGGCAATGCAGTGCTACTCTTCCCCCAATAATTCATGCAAGGGGTATAACCATCTCCAGCTGTCGGTAGGTCCAAAAGCCATTATTCGACAATACACCTGCATTAGCGCTAGCTCCCTGAGATATGCACCCCAGATTGGCTACCTTGTGTCTCAAGGGTCTTTTAATCCCATGAAGTTATGTGCTCTCGGCCAATTCAGAATGTTTTTAGCCTGCAACAAAAACTATCTTGTCAATCATGACGCTTGCATCCGCTTTGTTCATACATAGATCTGGCCGAAACATGAACAAACTTGTCATTTCAGAGGCAACTTTATTAATGCTTGCAGAGAATAGCTCTTTTCTTGATTACCTACCACATCGCGTAAAGGAAAATCCGAAGATTGATAATTCTATGAGGACTGGAATCATGAATCTCTGCAACCGTATTGCTACCTGTCTATGGGGACTTATAATCCCCGTACCGGTGCAATAGAAGGCGGATCTTACAGAAATACATAAAAGAAGGGCTCACTAAAGAAGGAGTATCATTTATTGGTGAAATAATCCATAATAGTAGACATAAACGGAACCGAATAGATAGATAGAAGAAGAAGACACTATGCACTGAAGGTAAATATACAATTTGAATTAAATACTAGCTCGTGAACTCGAAGTACGAGACTTGAGTTACTTTATACCTCTTATCTAAGATAATACGCCTTCACTCCGCTCCATCACTCTTGCAACTGAAGTATATTTAGGTTGCCAGCCTGCCAGTCAATAACGACTATTGACCAATAAATCCTATATTCGCTACACTGTGCAGGATCACGCTGTAGGAATAAGTAGCCCATTCACCCGATCGATTCAATAGCCGTCGCATTGTATTGTTATTATTTTCGGGACGCCGCATAGCTATATATCGTCTGCTTCTCAAAGTTATCACCTAGTCAATCGAGCTCTACTTACCAGTCATTCCGTAACCAATAGCTACGTATAAGACGTTCATGACGTATTTAAAGAGATCAAACCTACCTAATCGTCTTCAGTCTAAATATAGCTCGTGTTAAAGGAATCACCCCTTATTGTCTGATCCGTTCATCTCAGTGTATCTACCACTAGATAGCCACGTCAAAGAGGTCGTCAAGGCTAAGGCATACTTAGCGGCTCAGACCTAAGCTCCACTTAGCTATTCCTGAAAATAGAACAACAATACGAAGGATCGAGGGGAGCGGAGGCATGCAAACAGTCTAGGGAGGTCGGCAAGCGATTTCAGAGATAATTAAAGCGCCTCAACATAGCCGCTATGGAAGCCTCCTATCATGATAGGGAAAGGAGGGTCAATCATATTATCCAGCTCTCACAAGTACTCGTATCTTTGGCTTACGCGAATTGTAGGTCGCGGTCAAATATGCAATTGATGCGTTTTAACCAACATCACCTTAGGTCCGAAATTGATTAGACACCATCGGCCAAGGTTTTCAGTGCTGTCATTCTAGACTATGCCCTGAAGACAGATTCGCGGATCCGCTACCCACGGGCGATTATCCAAAGAGGGTCTAGGGCAACTAAAAACAAACGGCGCAATGGATCGACGATAGACCGGCCGACTAACACGTCCGTGAGGTAGAGGAATAGGTCGGCGTGGCGGACCAAAGGCAAAAATGCCTCGTGTCGAACATATTCGGTGATTCTGCGCAGAAAAGTGAGATAAGTGAGGCAAAGCTACGCACAGTGCGCTTAAGAGGTCGAATGAGGGCGAAGGACTAGTCCGTTTGCGCTGGCGACCAAGGGGCGGTGAGGCTCGGCGAGCTGGATCAATGGCGAAATGCCTCGCTCAAGTGCTGACAGTGCGTGCACAAGTAGCAATAATCAGAAAGAAGTCTTAACATTTGAACGGGCGAAATGTCGGCGAGAAACAGTCGGGCCGATGGACGCGACTTTATAGACGCGCGCAATGCGATGCCACGACTCAGCGGCACGCTAGACACAACGGGGCACGCTAAACCGGGATGGGTAATTCGCCGTCACCGCAGAGTACAGAGTAACTGACTAGTATACTATAGTTAACTATTTATCGTCTAATATAATTTGACTAAGCTACGCTCCTTAAAAGAAGCCGCAATTATTAGCTTCCATTGGCTTTCCTAGGCAATGTTGCTTTTTGAGACTATTTCGTCTGTTGCAAGTCCAGTCAGGGGTGCCGATCCGATATATAAATTTTTGCCTAATCTGAGCGACGGCACAACAGACTCCACTATGGAGTTCTCAGTAGATCGCGCTGACGACGCCCTGTCATGTTTTGATTGACTTTTGCACGGTTCCTCGTCCTTTAATTTCGCAAGCTTGACTCCGCCTCGGTTGGGCAATGGATCAATCAAGTCGCTTGGGTGTACTTTGACGTGGACATCTGGATACATGGCACCTGGCATAGATATATATTCCCCACTAGTGGAAAGTAAACAAAGCACGGTTGTAAACTAGTCCGAGCGGGAAATCTCTCACCTAGGTGATCATCGGGGTCCGCCCGGACCACCAGTCAGAACAAATAGTGCGCTCTGAGTCCCAAGCGATGCCTGGACTCGTCCGTGAGCTTCCGGCCTAACAAGAAAAAAAAAAAGGGGGATCCTTCAATCCAAACTTGAAATATTGAGCCCACAGTAGAATGAAATATAGGTCTATTGTAAAAATTTGAGCACCTTTGGAATTGAACCCACACGAAACAATTGAAATGATTCCTCATCGGGGCCGTTTTTTAAATGTTCCAGAAATAGGAAATGGTTGTCTGACTAAGGTGGATCGGACGCTCGTGCCGTGTTAGTTTCAGGCTTCATGTTCCGACCAAAGTTGAAACTGTGAGTTGACTACATAATGTATGTAGTTACTTGATAAATGTATTAGAGCGATCTGTCTAGAACTGGTCTCAGGATCCGAATATGCTAGTGGAAAAAAAATGGAACACCATTGTAACACGGTGTCCAGATCTATATCTATGTGGGAAATGCATACATCGGGGTTTAAGCGGCCCCGTATACCCGGCCAATAATGGGACTGAAGTGGGAGATATACGGGGACTGCAGAACTGTATGACCACATATACCATATACGGCCCCCCCGGGCCAAGAACGCTGTATCCGTACGGAGTACTATTATCATAACAATTAATGCAGGCTGTGCTAGTTACTTACCGTAATACAGGAGGGGCAAAAAAGACCTAAACTTGCAAAATTTGTAAAAATCTTCGATCCGGATAACCTTAAATCATTAATCTTTTACTTCTTGGTCCCTGGATCTGCCATAGAGAACCCGAAGTATAACAGACCGACTGCCGAAGATCATCACCCGTCATAGTTGCCACAATCAGAGATTTAGGTGAACCAGACAAAAGGGCTGGGAAGCCGGAACGAGGCTGGCCGTGTATGGTAAGCCGCACTTGATTACATACCGGATTTATCAGCTTCACGCCGAGTCCGCCGGAGTCAAAATACAACTCTGTTCCGATATATTGTTACTTTCTTAGACAACTTATACCGAGCAATCTTCTATGGTCAAACCGTATGTTTAAAGACAATTGTAAAATTTTGTATCCTAACAGATCACTGTTGAAAATATCAAAATTTGGAATCAGATTCACAAAATAACAAAGAAAAGATCTAACTAACTATTGGCCCGCCAAGCCTTTGCTGACCAAGCGCGGCATGTTGTCGTACCGAATTGTAATTATACTGTAATCTCGGTGTAAGCAGGGAGAACGGGCGAAACGGTGCGCGAAGTGGAAATTCCCCAAGCTGGTCCGGTTCCTCCCAAAGCATCTTCATCCTGTCTTTCTTACAAAAAGGAAAAAAAAAGATTAAACTTCAATCCATTCGCCCCCCTTTCACTATATTTTACATGGACCCTCGTGGGTGAAACTTCCCCCCCTTTTCAAGTCGATCTCGTCCATCACTCGAACCATCCCTTACCGTCGATATCGGATCCCGCTGGAAGCCTGCGCGCGTCTGTCCCTGTCCTTCACGATTCGATCTACCCCCAAATGCAATTGCTAGTGTCCACCCTGTGATCTTCCCCTTTATTCGCGACGCTAGTTCGAATCGACAAGCGTCCGCCACAGACGATATTGGACTCCGGCTCCAAGACACCGGTCGTTATCCCGTCTATCCCCAGCATCTTGTCAAGTTATATGCCCTACCTGGGCGCACCCGTGGCCTAAATGGCTTCCGTGCGCTTCCCCGGAGAGGATTATGCCGAGGCCACCAGTGACATTGGTGAGGTTCCCAGCAACGTCTCAAAACCGACACAGCGACAGCGATGGGCCACCACACGTCAAACCGGCAGTGGCGGAGTGCGGAAACGTGTTTCCATCATCGATCGTTTCCACAAGCGACATGAGATGAGAGATGAGAAGCGTAAATCTACAAACAGTACCCTTCCCAACGACAATGCATCCACCAACGGCGCCGTAAATCCCGGTGGTGATAATCGAACCATCTACTTCAACGTCCCGATCCCTGAATCCGAGCGCGATGAAGAAGGCCAGCTGAAATTCACCTACCCTCGAAACAAGATCCGGACCGCCAAGTATACCGCGTTGACCTTTGTGCCGAAAAACATCTTTCTGCAGTTCCACAATATCGCCAACATCTATTTCCTCTTCGTCATTATTCTCAACGTACGTCGACCCAATCATTACCCCATGGATGAACAAATGGAAATGGAGCGCAATATAGTGAGTGTAAAGCTGACTTGTATCTAGTTTTTCTCCATTTTCGGTGCCAACAACCCTGGTCTGAACGCTGTTCCCCTGATCGTCATTATCGTCGTGACCGCCATCAAGGACGCCATCGAGGATTCGGGCCGAACGGTATCGGATAACCAAGTCAACAACTCGCCGGTATATCGTCTGGTCGAATGGAATAACGTGAACTCGACCGAGGACAGCGTTTCGGCTTGGCGTCGATTCAAGAAGTCCTGCACCCGAGGCATGATGAAGGCTTACGTCGCCACCGTGGCCATGTTCTCGAAGAAGGCCGAGGAAGAAGATGAAGGCCAAGGCGATCAACGGCGAGAATCATTCATGACCAACCGGGCATCTATATACTCCAACCGCGACTCGCTGGCTGTTGATGTTGCCATCCCGATGACGAATGTGCAGTCGCCCCAGCCCGAGGCTCGTGAAGACTGGGGTAACCCCGAAAACAAATATCTTTCTCCCAACAGCGCTGTCAGGGACAGTATGGCAGCACCGGCGTCAGACAAGAAAACTGGAAGTGTACTGGACAACTCGAAGCAAACGCCCGGCACCGCTCGATTCTCGCGAGACTATTGGAAGAACCTGCAAGTGGGTGACTTTGTTCGATTGTACAATGAAGACCCGATCCCAGCCGATATTGTGATTCTGTCGACCTCGGATCCAGACGGAGCTTGCTATGTTGAAACTATGGGCCTGGATGGCGAGACGAATCTGAAGGTTCGCCAAGCACTTCACTGTGGTCGTCAGGTTCGACATGCCCGCGACTGTGAAAAGGCCGAGTTCACCATTGAGAGTGAGGCTCCTCACCCCAACCTCTACTCCTACAATGGTGCCATTCGGTGGGATCAAAGGGACCCGAACTTTCCAGAAGACGGTCGCAAAGAAATGGTCGAACCAATCACTATCAACAACATGCTCCTTCGAGGTTGCTCTCTGCGCAGTACTGAATGGGTTCTCGGTGTCGTCGTATTCACCGGTGGAGACAGCAAGATCATGCTCAACTCGGGCGCGACTCCCGCGAAACGTGCTCGCTTGGCTAAGGATCTCAACTGGAACGTTGTTTACAACTTCGTCATTTTGTTCTTGATGTGTCTCGTTGCAGGTATCGTCAACGGTCTTGCGTGGGGACGTAAAGACGAATCCTTGGACTACTTTGATTACGGTTCCTATGGAGGTACCCCTCCAGTGACCGGTATCGTCACTTTCTGGACGGCCGTGATTCTGTTCCAGAATTTGGTTCCTATCTCGCTATACATCTCTCTTGAAATTGTTCGGACCATCCAGGCTGTCTTCATCCACAGTGACATTTACATGTATTACGAGAAACTGGGTCTTTACTGTGTGCCCAAATCATGGAACATCTCTGACGATGTGGGGCAGGTGGAGTACATCTTCTCCGACAAGACTGGTACCTTGACACAAAATGTCATGGAGTTCAAAAAGAGTACAATCAATGGTGTATCCTACGGTGAAGCCTATACCGAGGCACAGATAGGCATGAGGCGTCGCGAGGGAGCCAACGCCGACGAGGAAGCTGCTGAGGCTCGTAAGCAGATCGCGGCTGATGGAAAGAAAATGCTTGAAGGGCTGCGCCGCATCCATGACAACCCATACCTGCGTGATGAAAACCTGACTTTCATTGCACCGAATTTTGTCGACGATATCGACGGTCAATCTGGAGAAGAACAGAAAGCGGCTGTCGAGCATTTCATGCTTGCCCTGGCTCTGTGCCATACTGTCATCACTGAGCACACCCCGGGTGACCCCCCTCAGATTGAGTTCAAGGCCCAATCGCCTGACGAGGCTGCCCTGGTCAGCACTGCCCGAGACTGTGGCTTCACGGTTCTTGGTCGTTCCGGCGATGATCTCCTTCTGAACGTCATGGGTGTGGAGCGTACATACACCGTTTTGAACACTCTTGAGTTTAACTCCTCGCGTAAGCGAATGAGTGCGATCATCCGCATGCCTGACGGCACGATTCGCCTTTTCTGCAAGGGCGCTGATAGCATCATCTATTCTCGCCTGGCGCGCGGCAAGCAGCAGGACCTTCGACGCAAGACTGCCGAGCATCTAGAGGAATACGCCAAGGAAGGTCTGCGTACTTTGTGTGTCGCTGACCGACTTTTGAGTGAAGAGGAATACCAGACTTGGAACAAGGAGCATGACATCGCCGCCGCCGCAATCGTCGACCGTGAGGACAAACTTGAGAAGGTCTCCAGCGAGATTGAGCAGGAGCTCATGCTTATTGGAGGAACTGCTATTGAGGATCGACTGCAAGACGGTGTCCCGGATACCATCCAACTCCTCGCTGATGCCGGTATCAAGCTGTGGGTTCTGACTGGTGATAAGGTGGAGACTGCCATCAACATCGGTTTCTCATGTAACCTTCTCAACAACAACATGGAGTTGATCGTTCTTAATCATGACAAACTCGAACAAGCGAACGCCGAACTTGACAAACACCTTGCCACTTTTGGTCTAACCGGTTCCGACGAGGAGCTGATCGCGGCCCGTTCAGACCACTCTCCACCCGAACCCACCCATGCTGTCATCGTTGATGGCGAAACGCTCAAGCTGATGCTAGACGACGAACTGAAGCAGAAATTCCTTCTTCTGTGCAAGCAGTGCAAGGCTGTTCTCTGTTGCCGCGTCAGTCCCGCTCAGAAAGCCGCTGTTGTCAACATGGTGCGTCACGGTCTCGATATCATGGCTCTCTCCATTGGTGACGGTGCCAACGACGTTGCTATGATCCAGGAAGCCGACGTGGGTGTCGGTATTGCTGGTGAAGAAGGTCGACAGGCTGTCATGTCCTCTGACTATGCCATTGGACAGTTCCGATTCCTCCAGCGTCTGCTTCTCGTTCATGGAAGATGGTCTTACCGTCGCCTGGGAGAGTGTACCGCCAACTTCTTCTACAAGAACCTGGTGTGGACATTTGCGCTCTTCTGGTACTGCATTTTCAACCAGTTTGACTGTTCTTACCTTTTCGATTATACCTACATCGTCCTTGTCAACCTGGCCTTCACCTCTCTTCCAGTTATCTTCATGGGTATCTTTGACCAAGATGTCGATGACAGAGTTTCTCTTGCCGTGCCTCAGCTTTACATGCGAGGTATTGAGCGCAAGGAATGGTCTCAGCTCAAGTTTTGGCTATACATGGCCGATGGCTTGTACCAGTCGGTGATCTGCTTCTTCATGCCTTACTGCCTCTACCACGCGGCAAACTTTGCCAGTGAAACTGGCCGCGACATCTCGGATCGATCACGCATGGGTATTTTGGTGGCTACCTGTGCCGTCCTTTCTAGTAATATCTACATCATGATGAACACCTACCGATGGGACTGGTTCACCTGTTTGATCAACGGCATCAGTACCCTACTGATCTTCTTCTGGACCGGCATCTACACGTCGTTCACTGCATCTGGCCAATTCTACCAGGGAGCGGCCGAGGTTTACGGTGCACTCAGTTTCTGGGTCATTTTACTCCTCACCCTTGTCATTGCCCTGCTCCCCCGTTTCGCCTACAACTCCTTCCAGAAGGTGTTCTTCCCCTTGGATGTCGACATTGTCCGCGAGCAGGTTACCATGGGAAAATTCAAGCACTTGGAGAAATTTGAAGATTATGTGCCGCCAAACGCTAGGGAGATAGTTGCCACCAGTGACGGGTCGGCGGCTTCCTCGGAACTGGCCAAGCCAATCCAGCCCACGATGAAACAGGATCCCGAAATGCTGGACGATTATCCACAAGCGGTATCAGTGAATCATGGCAATGGTCACATTCCTCGCAGCCAGAATGGAAGCAATGGCACCAACTATACGGCCAGCCTGGACCAGATGCCTCGACCCCAGTCGGTGGACTACGTCCGATCCCATGACCGGACCCGGCATTCTTTCGAACGGGTTCGACAAAGCTTCGAGGCCAGCAATGATTTCACCTCTGTCGCAATGCTGCAGCGAATGGAATCTAGCCATGCCGAGCCCGCTGAAGATCCCTTCAAAACCCCCGAAGAGCTTCCTGCACATAATAACATGTTTTGAAAGGCCCAGCGAACTTTGCATAGAATTGCTCTGACGACCCGTCCTTGATGACCACACTTTGCTTTTAGTCGGCCGCCCTGATTGCGTTTCTGATTTTTCTACTGACTTTACATCCATACTATTCATGAGCTATACGCCGTGGTGTTTTTTTCTTTACCCCCTGACTTATTTCTTTTTGTTCACATCCCATCCACAGCCTTGATATTCCCCGATAGAAAGCAGGCGTTTGGTATACTACATTCGGTTGGAGACACGGCGCATCCTTTTGCTTTCTTTTCTCTCCTCTTTGTCATGGCAGTTCCCAACTGGTGGCTGTCCTTCCTTCTCTCTGTCTGCTTTCAACTGTTTTATAGTGACACATACTTTTTGTACAAAAGCGTTTCCGTCTTGCTGCACGACGATCGTATTTAATGGTTTTCATTAATGTAATCCATTTCAGGAATTATCTCCAGGTTCTCTATGGTCTGTTTTGTCTTCCTATGGAGATTCAGAGTAGAGGAATGATGATCATCTATTTTGTTTTAAGCTCTCCATGTAGAAAGAACCTAAACATAAACATCTAGGGATTTATTCCAATCCAAATCGAGTATAAATGAGGCGCGTCGCGTCTATCCTTTTTCACCGCCCCATAGTATTGGCCAATAACATGGCCGGATTATATTGCCCGCGTCTTTACTGACGATTTTCCATCTCAACTTTCAATGTGTTAACAGCGATTGCTTTGTCGGGTCTTTGCATTTATCTGAGATACCGAACTTTGTTTTTTTTCTGCATCAGCCCGAGCATATACGATCGGCTGCCCTTATCTTCATATCTCGCTATTCCATTCCTCGGCGACCCAGCTTTCACCCTCTTCCCATTTCAATTTACACGTACCGGTCCACTCAAAAACAAAGCTACGACGTTGTCGCGACTCACTTTCGATAATAAAGAGGTCTGGCTACTGCTATTTGACAGTATGCACTGACTGTCGCGTTGACGATTGAATCCTACCCAATTAAAAGGCCATCTGATAAATCACCTTCGGTCCCGGTCTCGGTCTTAACTCTTCTGAACATCCCACTTCAAAGTCCCCTGGATCTCTGGAGGTGATGTGCTAAAATACTATCTTGGTACAAGGAAACGCGTGGCGATATTGTTGTCTAAGAACGGTGTCTCTACGCTCAAACTTTCGCCATGGAGTTTGTGGACGCGATTGGGTGAGCAATGACTGGATCTCAAATGCCCCGGCAGCAGCTTACCAGATGTGATCGAATATAGAGAGCTTAAAGCTCTACCAGAAGGCACTCACCTCCTATGCCCGCGCCAAAACGAAGACGATTACGGACGATACGATGATTTGACCCAAGTGAATGAGGATGGGAAGAAAGTGAAAGACATCGTGGCAGAGGCCAAGCTGCGGAAGGAGAAGTTCCTCTCTTCTATGCGTATACTTGCCTACAGTGCGGACGGTGTGGAGGAACTACAAACCTGGGTTCTGGGCAAGTTGGATGACTCCTTAGAGAAATGTGATCTCTGTATCAAGGAGTACTACACAGGGAAGATCTGGCTCATGGAACTGCTCAAAGAGGACTATCAAGAAGAGGATATTGAGACATTTGCTCAGCGAGTTGATCAGTGGGACATCAAGCGTATAACACGAAATTTGACGACTGCTACTACGCAACTCAAGAGTGTTCCTCCGGAAAAGATTGCGTTGGACACCTTGGACCGGGCGGCCTTACTGGCAATATTCGAGACTTTAAGTTGCGAGGCCATGCTTCGCAGTGACAGTCTTCTTCAACAGTATTTTGATGAGCCTTTCCAGCTCATCCAGACAAAACGGACACTGAAAATCTCGGACTACGTCCCTGCTGTTTCCCGCTTCTTATTTGACTCGAATCAGCTGCGTAGCTTCTGGGCTATCGCAACGTGGACCCGCTACAACCGGCCTCCAACAACATTGGAGTTTGAATGGGCCCTTCGGGATGGGATTCTCAGCGCATTGCAGGCTGCTTCCCAACAGCCTCCACAGATGCCGCTCATCCAGCGTCTATGGCGTGGAATGCAACTCATTCTGAAGAAGTTAGATAAAGAGCAGATCACGCACCAGCTCCGGGCGCTGGACATTGATCCATGTCGTCTTTCGGTTGATCACCTGGCGATCCCAACACCAGGCCTCAAATTCCTTCTTAACACTATGCAGATCTTCCTAGAAAAGGCTCCGGCCGACTTTTGGGATGCAATGCAGACCATCTCACCGCAGGCACTTATTGAACAGACATTCCATAACCCTCAGTTCAGTACCTTCTTGCGGCAGGTTCAAGAGGGAGAATCATGGGATAAATCTGTTCTAAAGGACATTTTATCATGGATCAGTCCGTTCTTGACATCGTTAAAAGGTGCTCACCAGCCGTCTGCTTGTCGAGCCCTGGCTTTGCCATTGTTGAAACGCTTCCAAGACCCCCAGTTCCCCAATCTAGCTCGGTATCATTGTTTCCACGCTGGACTGCTCAGCCTTTTACATACCTTGCGATTCTTCACGGATGATGAAGCATCTCGAGGGTCTGTTGCACGAGTGGTCTTGAAAGAAACCATGGAAGTGTTAGGAGATACCATTCATATTATTTTGAATCCTCCAACATTTGCCATTGAAGCACAACTGCAGAAGAATATCGTCTCGTTGTGTATGGATGTTGTCCGTAATACCTTGGCTCTCGAGTGTCAATCGCTTAAGAGTGACTACGAGGTCATCTTGCGACAGGGCACTCTCTCGCATGGAGTTTCTACGTATTCGGCACCTATCTGGGACGCGGTCATCAAACATCTTCACCCGAACAATCTCTCCCTTTCCCAGTCTGCTCTTCTGGGAATTCTGCCGTTGGTGGGCCTAGAGGGGTTCCCCACGCCCTCAAAGGGCGAAGGCAATCCGGAAAAGAAACACTTCAACTCGATCTATGGCCATCTCACAAAACTATCCTGCCAGATCATTGAACGACTGTCCGACTTTCCACCGGAGCATCTGAATGAGTTGTTTTCAGTACAGGACACGGCTAGCGCACTGATCTCTGCGCTGTTCGCCGCCGACCTGGACACGTACCAAGCCTCTGTTGATTTGATCAAGAACGTCAGCGGTCAATCTGCTCGACGAGATGCGATCTCGCATCTACTGGATACCTTCTTCCTACCGACCATGTACGGTCTCAGTTGGTCATTCCGCCGAATTTCCAACATGAAGACGTTTGCCCCTGCCCCTCGAATGCTCCATACAGGAACCGATATTGTAGAGATTCTGTGTAACAGCCAGACTGGCATGCTTCGAACGCGCAACCTCACTGATCGTAAAGAAATTCTGTCATTGCAAAAATTGTGGGAGTTCCTGTGGTCAGCACTGAGTACAATCTTCGATGAGACGGAGGCATGGCACCTTCGAGGCAATGACAAGTCTGTCATGCTAGAGTTCTGTCGAGACACCATTCAATTTGCGGATTTTCTCTTCGATCAGTATGGAGTGTTCTTAGGTGCCTTGGGGGGAACGGAGTCCGAGCAGAAGTCAGTATCAGAGAATTTCCTCAACTCTCCCAATCGGACCATGAATGCTATGGTCAAATGGTTGAGATTAAAGGATGAGTATCTAGCCAATACTCTAGTGGGCCTCGTAGCTAAGCTATTGAGGAGACTGGGGTCGCTGGATGTGGAAGTGACAGCAGAGGCAGCGTTGAGGTTCATTGAGGGTGTTGCAGTGAATGCTACAATCAAAACAATCCTCACCCCGCGTGACAAGGCAGAATTGGTTAGGGCTTTAGAAGCCTACCAAAAGAAGCCTGTGGTCACTGCTTCCACTGCTTCTCTCAAGAAGCAGTCCTCAATCACCTCTTTCGCCAAACCTGTCGATCCTTCACTTTCTTCCTCCCACATCCCCAGCGATGACGATTTCGACGAAATTCCTGAATCTACTTATGAACTTTCTCGATCCGTCGAATTGAACAAATATCGTCGTGCTGCTTTATCGAAGCGCCAATCTGACCCTCCCACGAAAATGGGACTCTCAGCCTTCAACAAAGCCCTGCCGATATCAAAACAGGGTGCAGCTCACCCACCTGTACGATCCACCACAAACGATGTCACCAATGTCTTGTCTTTCCGTGAGAAGCGTGAGCGTGAAAAAGAGGCAAAGAAGCGACGTGATCAAGCTGAGCTGGCACGTCTCAAGGGACATCTCCCTCATGGGGTTGCGGGTCAAACTGCCGAGCAAGGCTCAGGCTTGAAAGGTATTGGTATCATGGGTAAAGATCATGCAATTCCTCTAGATAGTATGATGGTTTCGTCCGGCTCTGACACTGAATCCTCGAGTGAAGATGAGCTTGATAAAGCGCTTTTTGGCGCCAAAGCCAAGAAACCAGAGGCTGTAGCCGCTTACGAACAGAGCAAGAAGCAGTCCCTCCAGCAGATGCCCGTGAAAAAGGTTCGACGTCACCGTTCCATGAAGGATATGCGCGCCCGTCTGGCCCCAGACCTTGGATCTCTGCATCATGCCGTGTTGTCCTGGGATTACTTTGCAACCGGCGACCAACCCCCTAATTTAGATGGAAGCGACTATGCACGGGTTACCAACACATACCGCTCTCCTAATGATTATCAAAGCACTTTTCAACCCTTGTTGATCCTCGAAGCCTGGCAAGGATTCCAACAGGCCAAGGAAGAAGGATCCACCCGCCCATTCGAGGTTAAGGTCATGTCCCGATTGATCGTCGACTCCTGGATCGAATTCAGCACCCAACCCCTGGGCCAACCCGTGAAGGATTTCAGCCTCGGCGAAGGCGACCTTATTCTGTTTTCGAGCTCGTCAAATCCCACCGGGGATCCCAATGCCGGACATCTTCTAGCGCGCGTTTGCGGCGTCAACCGCAAAAATGGAAGGCAGGAAGTTACCTATCGTACAAACCCAGGAAACGGAAACAACAAATACCTCACGTCATTCGCCACTGGATCTACTGCTTTTGCCGCCAAAATTACATCCCTAACCCCCGTGGAACGTGAATTCGGCGCCTTGAGTGCCCTACAGTACTACGATTTGTGCGAGGAGATTATTCTGGCCAAGCCGTCCCCCATCCTTACCTATGCGGAAACGAAACTCCAGTCATTCATGAACAACTATCTCGTCAACCTTGCTCAAGCCAAGGCGATCAAGTCAGCCATCGACAACGATGGCTTCACTCTCATCCAGGGACCTCCTGGTTCCGGTAAAACTAAAACCATTACTGCCCTCATCGGCAGTCTTCTTTCAACTTCCCTCGAAAAAGCCGGGGTTTCGATTGGAAGTGGCTATGCTTCTACACGAACTCCTTCCCGAAAAATTTTGGTCTGTGCACCCAGTAACGCTGCCGTGGACGAACTGGTCATGCGTTTGAAGCAAGGAGTCAAGACCATGAATGGACGTGAAGAGAAGATCTCAGTTGTTCGTCTTGGAAGAGGCGATGCGATCAACGCCAATGTACTCGATGTCACTCTGGACGAGTTGGTCGCTGCTCGATTGAACAAGGATCCTACTTCCAACAATTCTGTCGATATGAAGAAGTTGTACGAAGAGCACAAGAACACTGACACTGCATTCAAAGAAGCTCGTTCGCGTCTAGATGAGTGCAGAGCAAAGGGACTGCCCGCTCCCGATGAGCTCGAGCGCGAATTCGAGATGCTGAAAAAGAAACGGGCTCAACATAGTGCGGCGATCGACAAGGGCCGTGACCAAACTCATACCAACGCTCGTAACGCCGACCTGCACAAGAAGCGTGTCCAACAGGAGATTATCAACGAGGCCCATGTCATCTGCGCTACTCTCAGCGGTTCCGGCCACGAGATCTTCCAGTCAATGAGTATCGAGTTTGAGACCGTCATTATCGATGAGGCGGCCCAGTGTATCGAGCTAAGTGCATTAATTCCACTCAAATACGGTTGCTCCAAGTGTGTGCTTGTTGGTGACCCGAAACAACTGCCGCCCACCGTCCTTTCCAGAATGGCGTCCAAGTTCCAGTACGAGCAAAGTTTGTTCGTCCGCATGCAGAAGAACCACCCTCGCGATGTCCACCTGCTGGATACACAGTATCGTATGCATCCTGATATTAGTCGCTATCCCAGTCTTACTTTCTACGACGGCAAACTTCAGGATGGCCCCAATATGGCCAAGCTCAACAGCCGTCCTTGGCATCATAGTGACCTGCTTAGTCCCTACCGATTTTTCGATGTCCAAGGCATGCATTCAAGTGAAGCCAAGGGGCACTCGCTGGTCAATTACGCCGAGTTGCAAGTCGCTATGCAGCTGTACCAACGTCTAGTTACTGATGTCAAGGAATATGACTTTGATGGTAAGATTGGTATCATCACACCCTACAAGGGTCAGCTAAGAGAGATGAAAACCCGGTTCGCCCAGCGATATGGCGAGGACATTCTTAAGAAAGTTGACTTCAACACGACCGATGCCTTCCAGGGACGTGAAGCCGAAGTTATCATATTCTCCTGTGTTCGTGCCTCGAGCAACAAGGGCATTGGTTTCTTGGCTGATATCCGACGTATGAACGTCGGTCTTACTCGTGCCAAAACCTCCCTGTGGGTCCTGGGTAACTCCCGGTCCCTGGAGCAGGGTGAATTCTGGAATGGCCTCATCAAGGATGCACGCACTCGTAATGTCTACACCGAAGGCAACATTGCTCGTCTCCTTGAGCAGCCGCAGTTCACTGGGTACAAGGAAGTCAAAATGGAAGAAGTCGATACAGCCGAGACTGAAGAAGCACCAACTCCTGTGGAGTCTGCTGTCTCGACCCCCTCTATCTCTTGCCCATCCTCGGCATCAATTGGCCTTGATTCTCGTTCAGTCTCGGTATCAGCTTCGGGACGGGGCACCCCTCCCATTGCCCCTCCCGATGGGCCTTCTGGTGGATTCTCGGGTTTGGATAAATCAAAAATGTGTGGAGTCTGTGGCAGTGCCGATCATTTTACCCACAATTGCGATAACACTGAAGCCAAGTCTGCGGCTCGTGGAAAATGTCACCGATGTGGCCGTGTCGGCCACAGCAAGAATCATTGTACCACGGAGCGCTGCGAGGAATGCGGTGAATTCGGACACAGGATGCTCAAGTGCATGGCCCCACAATTTATCAGTAAGGAGGCAAAGCTCCGTATCAAACGCGAAGAGAACCATTTCAAGGAGCAACAGCGACAAATGACTGAGCGCCGACGCCAATCCCAACTTGGTGACCATAATCGCAAGATACCTGTTGTTCAGGCAACTACTGGCTCGTCCTTTGAGAACCCTGGAGGCAAACGAAAGCGTACCGACACTTTAGTTCCAGAAGGCCCCAAGGCATCGCGTCCCCGCACAGAGAACAACCCACCATCGAATGCTCCGAGACGTCCACGAGGAGCAGCTGCACCAGTGAATGCTCCCAAGAGTCCACGAGGGGCTGCTCCCCCTGCACCTGCTGCACCTACTGTAAGTTGCAGTGAATTGACTGTCGTTGTTTTCCTATATTGCACGATACTGACAGGTCGAAAGGATCTCATCAAACCGTCTCGAGATGGGCCCGCTTACCCGACCACAAACAAGTCAAACAAGCCGCCACCAGACGCCCCGTCGGGACCGAAGGATATGACAGTAAGTTAAACTCTGTTTGACATTGTGAATTGATCGGTCACCTAATCTATTCGATTTATTTAGAACCCCAACGGTGGTCAACCAAAGCCTCGTCCCCCAGTCATGCGCAAGAAGAAACAAGTCGATCCGTTTATACGCCCCAAGCCACGAAAGTAGTAAGATGCATCTGCCGCCATCTTACTCAACCCCGGCATTGACTTTCTTCCTCTCATGATTTCCATCTAAGACATTACCAGAGGGTTAATGTCATCTCACCTCTTCATCCTCAACTCATGTTCGGGCAGTACCTGCTCTTATTATTATCCTGTAACATGCATGACTTCCTAGACCATCGGAGATAAAATAATGAAAAGAGTTCAGTCCCCACTATGATCCATTCTATCGTAAAGATCCGTAGATCCACTATCCTAGGTTCCGCAAACTTAGGTAGACGTTGTTTGTTTGGGATACGGATGTGGATGACAGCGGAGTGGAGACCGATTGACACATCGCTTGGTGTCTTGCAGAAGTGTCTATGATCTTAGGAGGGGTAGTGACGTGTGCTTACGGATTATGGAGTACTCGGATCCATTTTCTTATTCTATTCCTGTTTCTTTCTATTTAGTGGATGGATAGTGGCGTCGCTAGAGGTATATATATATTTTTTGGCTGCTTTTCCCATGTTTTATTTTGGAGGAACTTGATGCTCAGGATATGAAATATAATGCACAAATCATGAGGCATATGTAGATCTCGGAGAATAAAGGTGTTACATATGTACCTGTGACTCCATAGATTGAATAAATTAAGGAAGGGGAAGTTAATAAACAGACATGGTAGATCATAAAACTGCAAGGGCGGTGGGGGAAAGCGATAGTTCGCATATTGCTGAGAACTTCTTTTCCCTTTTTCCCCTCAACAACCTTGACTTGAGGATCCACAATGAAAACCTCGGGAAGAAACACCGAGACTAATGTACTCCAAACCAAAAAGTGCTCTTTGCATATCTTTGCGATCGACTGTCTCTACCCGTCCCGGGGATCCTGGAGCATGATCTGCGCGGTGCGAACACTCGCCGGACAGGTCACATCCAACATCGGTTATACTTTACACTTTCAAAATTGAAAAGCGAAAGGGGCTAGTCCAAGAAAACTGGGTCAGACCCCCCTTGCGTTTACTTTGGGGAAGCCACACCCCAGAGAGCCGAAATGCATATTCAAGTGGTTACAAAGCCATGCGGTGATGGTCGCACAATAAGCAACACAGAGGAATTGTACTGTGTCTTTCCTCGATGCAGCTCCAATCAATCATCGGAAACTAGTGATTTACCCAGACGAGGAAGAAATAATTTGCAAATCCCGCTGTCTGCTGTGTCATATTGCCGTCCGATCCACTGACGCCCAGATGCACCAGATGTATATCATGGTTCCCCTTTTGAGGAATCTTTTTTCATACTAATGATTTTAGCTTCAACTGTGGCCCTTTCACAGGCTATCCGCTTTCCGAGAGCGGGCCCAAACTACTCCTGCATCTGGATCGTCGATTCTAGGATAGGACACCCCCTCTTCCCAAGGAGAAGACAGCTCAACTCTAAAGAGGGCGTGCTTTAAAACCCTCGGTTCCTCCCACCCGGCTGCCTCGTATAAGCTAGTCTTTCTCTATTGCGCTTGTTTCGCTCTTATTGATTCCAAACGCCACTCTTCCAATCGTACATACTGGTGTGGCTTTGTACATAGTACCTATCATTTTCTACCTCCACTCACTGTTGCCTATATATCTCGCCCCAGCCCCCATCACTTCTCCTATTCTGCTTATATTGGTGAGTTCGTCTCTCTGTTTCGTTCTAGAGTGTCTTCTGACTGGTACAGCGTTCCTGTCATACCGGCTCCTATCCACACCCCTTATGAGACCCGTGACCAGTCGGATTTCGAAGCTGGCCAATTGATGCCTTTATGCATCATTGGGAAATAGCATATGAAAGTGCCGTTGCACCGAGTCCTATAGTTCCGACTTGTCGGCCCGATCGCCCCTCCAAGCGCAGGCATTCAAGCATGCCATCCACAGTCAACAGCTCTCCAGACTCGACCCGAGCCCGCCGGGAGAGCGGCCCACGACCTCAAGCTCGCTCAGCAGGAGGGGCTGAGAGAGCCCCGCGCAACGAAAGCCTTTCAGATCTAGTGCGCTTCTTTCAAACACAGAACATGCCGGCCCAGGCCATACCACCAACCGACTCTCCAGATTCGCCAACTGCGCTACCTGTCGTGCTATCCCCAGAGCCTAAGGAGCCGGTGATTGAATTGACCAAAGAGGAGCTCAAACCATTTCGCCGGCGTCTGCTACATTTTTCTCGCCAGAAAAAAGAATCAACACCAAAGTCCAAAGCCGATGAGAATCAACGGCAACTCGAGGCACTGCAACGAGAGGGTTATCTCATGTCCTCCAAACCAAAAAGTACTCTTGATCGGCCCAAAAACAGCTTAGATCGATCGAAGACTAGCCTGATCAGTCTGGACCGACCAAAGAGCAGTTTGGAGCGGACTTTCTCTCGATCAAAAAAGCAGGACGTTGAAGCTATTGGCCGGCCATGGCTGACCAGGACCGATAGCAATACCGAATCAATCGATCCAAAACGTCGCTTGGCCTCTTTGGACTTGGATGACTTTGGCTCCATGCTCGATGGCACTATTTCCTTATCGGAATTTGAGGATACATCACCGCCACCCTATCAACAAGCACATGCGCACAGTGATCAGGTCTCTGATGATCAGATCTCTGGTTCTCAACAAATATCGCCGCTTCCGCTACCAAGAGCCTCCTCAGAAGCTCGTTCAAGAAGCATTGATCAACCAGTTTCATCATCAGCTTCCATGTCTGAGATCCGAGTGAGTGAATCTAGAGATCGCGATCCACCTTGGCCACCGAGCTCAATCAATATGAGCTCAGGTGCGGATCGAAACCCTCCGCCAGCATCGCAGTCAATCAGCAACCAAACTGCGAAGGTTCAAGTGGACCCAGATCAGTTGAAGAGTGAACCAAAGCAAGACAAAGTAGAGCAACCCCAAGCACCAGACCACCTGCCTCCTAACCCACCCGGAATCCCCTCGCCGCCCTCGTTGAAGCTTTTCCCCGATGTCGCTCCTCCACGTCTCTCCAGTATAAATGCATTGAGACTGTCGTCGGCTCCTCGATACCAGACCACTACAAAGACGGCTCCGCCGCCTCCTGGTACCCAATCTAAGGCCGCTGGGACAGAAGCGGAAAAGCCGCGGCAATCAACAGAAAGCTATCGATCAAAAACGGCAGCGGTCCCAGAAGAGCCAGTCTGTTCAGGCGCTCTTCCTTCTGTGGTCTCCAAAAACCCTCCTGCTGCTACTCCTAAGCCTCGAGCTGTCTCTGCGCACATTCAGACGGGACAGAGAAAGTCGCGTCCGTCTTCACTGGCCATGGGAACCCTTCAGGCATTCCCTCTTCCCGCACCGACGCGGCCTCTGCCATCAATTCCCAAGTCCAATACACTTGCTCCTCCTGTGGACCCAAGAACTCCCATGCGGACTGTTCGATCGGGATCCAAGCTTTCCGAGATGCAATACTCACAGCCATCTCCCATTGCCGAGGAGCCCCGCGAGCTGGGAACTCGGGCAGCCTCTACTCTTGGTCACAGCGAGATACGGGATGATGTCAAAGCACCTGAAACAACTTCCGAGCATCCGGAACATTACACCCCAAGACGGCGCTCCTCAAGTGTCCATGTCTACGTGCCACGTATGCATGAACTTGCCGAGAGCTCTTCAGATGGCAGTGACGGGCAACCTTCCAATGATCAGCCTTTGGCCGATTCTCCTGTCCTGGGACAATCATTACCTAAGAAACCTCAAGGAAAGCACGCTGCACCTAAGGGTCTTCAGATCAATTCTTGTGTCGATCAAAGTGATCTTCCTTTCGGCCTTCCCTCGCCTCCCCCCTCTGCAGCTCTCCCATTGGATCCGCCTGAACAGCGGTCTGAACGGACAGCTCACCGCAACTACACTGCGCCCGTTGATCCTGGTCTCTTGACCTCAAGAAGCATGGAAATGGCCATGAGTGTACCTCGCAGTCAACAGGGATCGCTTCTCTCACGCAGCAATAGCTCTCGAAGCAGCCTCCGCCACGAGAGCATCCCTGAATCACACGAACATGCCCGCCAAGCCGAATCCCCACTGCCGTCTTCCGATGACGAAGGCTTCGGTCCTCGTGCCGGCAAGCAACCGTCATATCGCGTCGCCGAGAAGCACCAACCGCGTGCTCACTCGATGAGACGTGGCTATGAGACCCTCGACGCTCGATCTACCCACAGCCGGCCACGTTACCCACACCAAATGAGACCCTTGACACCACAGGGCCATAGCCATAGTTATGACCCTTCCTTGTCACCCCAATCACAGTATTCACAGGCCACCTCTCGCTCGCGCCACTCACAATCACAAAGCATTCACCGCGCCCCGGCCCCGCCCCACGATCCTTACCTGGAGGACCGGATCGCCAATCTCGAGCGCCAAAACCAGGTCCTTCAGGCAGCTCTCATGGCAGCCCTCAATGCCGGAGTGAAGCCGAACATGGACTTGCATGAGTCTGCCATTCCTCCTAGTTTCCCCGCTGCAGGCCATGGGGACTCTTACCAAGGAAGACGGTTCACATCTCGTCCTGATAGCTGGATGAGTTCTTCTAGAAGCAGTGACATCAGCGGGTTTGAGACCCCTGGGTCTGTCCGTGATGCCCGGGTTAATGCCCGTCAGCTGGATAATATGCTTGAGGACATTGAGTCTGGCTGGATATCTGACAAGTCCAGTCTCAGTGGAGCTCGCTCCATGGTTCGACACCGATGATGATCTTGATCCTTAGAAACCCTTTGTAATTTCTGCCCGAAGTTTGTTTCTACTTTCGCGTCCTTTCTTGATGACTCTATGATCCCTTTATTGAGCTGTGACGATCCATTTTTCTCCGGATATACATTTCATCCCTGTTTGGTTGTACTTACTTCGACGATACCAATTTTTCTCTTCTCTGCTTCATACCCAGCCAATATTGAACTTGGAAATTTATTCAATTTTTTATTTATTTATTTGAACTTCTAACTATTCGTACTGGAACTAAATATTGCTGTAGGGCAATTTCGGCCATGTGATGCGCTTAGTCATATCTGTTTTGGTCTTGCTCGGAGCTTCCTGGATAGGATAACATGTTTTGAGCTGAGGTTATTCCACCGCAAAGATTTGAAAACATTGATCTTTTTGGCTGGCTGCAGATGACAAGTCAAATCTGAGATCCGAGCCATGAGATTTGCCGCACTGTCTTGACCACCACCAACATTCCAACCTCCTTTTACATCCTTCCCCGCAGACTTCAGCCAGCAATGGCCAACCCACCAGTAAGTTCTCTATGCTTTTGAAAGTCGAGAAAATCTTGTACTAAAAAAAACAGCGCACACAGCAGGTGCCGCAGCATGTCACCGCGCTCCTCTCCCACCTCACCTCCCGCCCAGGAGTGCAATCTACGCTGATCCTCTCCCGCAAAGACGGCTCCATCATCCAGCGAACAGGCCAGCTCGCCCCTCAAGAATCCAGCCAACCGCGTCCTACACCCATCGCACCCAGCGAACAAACACTCTCCCCCTCCGACTCAGCACCCGCCCCACCTGCTCCCTCAGCTCCATCACACCAAATCTCGCAGGCGGAGGCACTAGCCGCTCACATCTTCGCCTTTGTCACAAGCGCATCCGCACTAGAAGCTTCACTCTCCAGACCTATCACCCAGCAATCGAACGAGATCCCTCCTACCTCTGTGGGATTGGATGGATACGATACCTACTCAAATGGCACCCACAATCCGCAGGAGGACCGAGATGGCGAGAGTACTGACCGGGAGGACGAAGAGGTGAAGCTGCTGCGCATGCGAACCCGGAAACATGAGATTGTCGTGGTGCCGGATCGAAAGTACCTGCTTTGTGTTGTGCACGATGCTTCGCATGCGAACGGAGGACCTAGTGCACGGGGTCCTCGTTCTTCTCGGTAATGAACATTTTCGATCTTTGGTGCTGGTTGCAGTTTGTTGGAGGCTTTTCTTTTCTTCTTTTCTTGTACATGAGCCTTTGCTTTGCATTTCGTATATACCCGATCGAAGGAAGATTTCTTTGCGTATGCATTTCTGTCCAAGTTTGGAGTTGTTTGACTGCTATATCGTATCTTCTGATAAGGCAGTACTTGTAACTTCTGTTGCGAAGGAGCCGACTGAGAGCCGGAGTAAATCCGTTCAGTTATCAAATCAGATCCACCACTACCCCTCTCCTGAGCGAGATCCGTGTCCTCAATTCTGCCACATTTCAATTTCAAATTCATTTGCAAGAGCTATAATCGTGTACATATATTCAACACATCATGGCTGGAATTTTTGATGTCGAAACTGCGCGCAGGAGCTTCCCGGCTCTGCAGCAAAAGCAGATCTATATGGATAATGCTGGTTAGTGGACCCGACGGTTCTTGTCATATGATGCGCATCTAATATATCTCAAGGAGGAAGCCAAGTGCTTGCAACAGTCGCAGATTCGTAAGTTAATTGAACCGGTTGAGTACGATGGAACTAACGCTCTATAGCATAAGATCTTACTTGCTGAACTCGAATGTTCAGCTCGGAGCTACATACCCGGTCTCTCGAGAGTCCACCAGTGGATACACGAAGGGACAAAAGGCCGCAGCAAGTTTCATCAATGCCCAGCCAGAAGAGGTAACATCCACCAACCAGAACTGTCAATTCGGGGACTACATCTAACACCTTATAGATCAGCATCGGGGTGTCAACCACTCAGCTTCTTCACAATCTTTCAACTGCCCTGCAGTTCCAGACAGGCGACGAGCTGGTCCTATCAAAGCTCAACCATGAAGCCAACACGGCCCCGTGGGTGAGAGTTGCAGATCGTCTTGGTCTAACCGTGAAGTGGTGGGCTTCGAATGACCCCAAGAATCCTACTTGCGATGTCAACGACTTGAAGACCCTACTTTCCGAGAAGACCAGACTGGTCGCCTGTCCACATGTGTCCAACATCACTGGAACTATCAGCCCAATTCGGGAAATTGCCGATGCCGTTCATGTACACCCTCGAGTAAGTCAGACCTATAAGTCTTCCTGCAATACGCTAATCCACACAGGCACTGTTATGCGTAGACGGGGTAGCTCTCGCACCGCACCGACAAGTCGACGTCCAAGCACTCGGCGTCGACTTCTACGTAAGTAAATTACCTCCGTCCACCAAAACCCACTAAAAGTTGAAACCCAGGCCTTCTCCTGGTACAAGATATACGGTCCCCACTTAGCCCAACTGTACGCCTGCAACAAAATCCAGCCCCAAATCACAACCCTGGGCCACTTCTTCAAACCAACAACCACCCTAGACGACAAATTAAACCTCGCTTCAGCAAACTACGAACTAACCCAAAGCATCCCACACGTAGTAGCATACTTCGGTTCCGACCCTAGCAAAACATGGGCCGCAATGTCCTTGCACGAGGAGAAACTACAGCGCATCCTACTCGACTATCTAAAATCGGAAGAGCGGATCACGGTTATCGGAGAAAGCCGTGCAGACCAGGCACTCCGCGTACCGGTGATAAGCTTTGTGGTACGTGGAGTTGGAAGTCAGTCTGTGGTTGAGCAGGTGGAGGGAGTATCAAAGTATGGGTTCCGGAGTGGACACATGTACAGCCATCGGTTGTTGAAGGAGGTGTGTGGATTGGAGGATGTGGATGATGGGGTCGTGCGAGTTAGTTTGCTGCATTATAATACAGGTAAGTTCAGGTATTTAGTACTCAGTAGTCAGTACGGTAGAACCTCAGCTGACTAGGCAACAGAGGCGGAGGTGGAAGGTTTGGTTTCCATTTTGCGAGAAGTGCTTGCCTAAGGTTTGATGTTGGAGGTAACCGTGGTTAAGTATGAGTCAAGCTAGGTCACCTGGTGATATGTGATATGCTATCTGGATAGCCGGGAACTACAACTTTTACCCAAGATATCATTATCTACTGTGCCGCATGTAGACCATTTACTTAACACATTTACAGACTATCATATAGAAAACTCCGTTCTCATGAATATTCCAGTTCGTTCCGACGTCAAGATATTCTATTTCTTACGGGGTACGATATACGTAAAGTGGATCCTTGACTATACTAAATAGGGCCAAGGAATAAGCGCCCGGTATAGCCACCGAGGCTTCCGCCATGATGGCAGTGTATGACCTGCAGGAATTTCCTTGAGGTTAAGTCAGGTGTCATGGAAGTACAGTACATTGTATTGGTGACAATGTACGGAGTAATCATCAGGCATAAATAATTTTAACTTGGGCTTCCTAAACTGCATGAATCCCAAAGAGCCAGTGCCGATCGGAGATGGCGCCAATGACAGCGAGGCTAATCGGGAGGAAAGTGGGGTTTTGACCTAAGGATTTGACATGATTTAATTGGTTGGGGTGTCGACCGGGTGTGAACAGCGTGGCAAAGGTATGAGTCAAGCCGAATACCGGATGCAGTTATGGATAGACTTACTCCGTCCTACTGATAATAGCACTCCGTAATGATAGATAGAATATTATAGAATGGATATGTGGCGATATAACCTAAAAACCTTACACCTAACATATGTATCGTATAAAACTAAGTATAGCCTATGCAAAGTGACTCATGCGCCTCTTCCCTTTCACACGCCACCCGTACCTTCTCGCCACATCTTAGTCACTCTACCATTTTCTCTCTTTTCCCCCCTTTAGGAGTCATTGATGTTCTGTGAGAGCCTAAAATCTCTTCTCTCCCAACCCCTTCTGTTCTGACTCTTTTCTTTTCCCTTTTAACCCGCCACTTGAACATCCCCACCTCTCCACTCTGACTCCCCCCGACGCTTCCCCCGACACTCCCTTTCCCCCCCCGTACCTGACCTAAACTTGAACTTCTCACCCGCCTGACTCCTTTCTCCGCCCCCGCCACTTGTTACTGCCTATACTGCCTAGTCGCCACGACTGCCTTGACAAGTACTATCAGTGCCTGTTCATGGTCTAGTTGGGTGTCCTATTTTTTTCTTTCCTGCTTGTTTCGTTCAAAATGTATACTGCCTCCTTCGTCCCGATCGACCGTGTTGCTGCTATCGATATCCTCACTGTTTCCATCTCCGTTTAGATTTCAAGTTCAGAAACTTATAATCTTGGGGTATATCGTTTAGCCTCAACACTGGTTAGATCGTGACTATTTCCTTGTCATATTTTTGCCACTTTTTACTTACTGTGACTCCCACTCTGACTCCAACGTTTGTTGGATTATAATCTCTTTACTTGTCCAACCCTGGCACTACTACACATCTAGGCTTTGCCGTCGCCTTTCTTTTCAAAAGACGGCTTTTGTCTCCTCGGCCTTCGTTCCCGGTTCCCTGCTTAACGGTCTCTTGAACAAATCGGATCATCCTTGTTCCCTCCGGTCGCGCTGAAATCTAGACTGTTCCGCAGTCTCCATGAATCCCGCATCGGATATGTCGGGGATGAACGTCTTGGGTTTGCTATCAAACCCCAGCTCAAAAGCGTCTCACGCTCACCCTTATGCCTCTTCGATCTCCTCCTCCGCCTCCTCCTCTTCCTCATCCGTCTTCTCGCTCGATGCACAGAGTTCTATCTCCTCTACCGCCACAAACCCGGTCGATGTGATCTGGGAAAATGATGAGACTTCGGGGAGAACCTCGGGAGGTTCTCGTGTCTTTGGTAAGGTAGTACCTTCCAAAGATGCCGCTGTGCCGCCTGAGTTGCGCATGCACCCTCGGCGCACTAACAGTGCCGCGACCTCTGGTCCCGGTGCTCGTCCACCACCCTGTCTGCTCCGCCAGTCCGAGCGAAAAGTGAATTTTGTCGATAACCTCGTCGGTGAGTCATAAACTATACGTCCTATTTTTTTTTGGGACCTCTCGGCTAAGACCAAACCCCAAAAGATACGGCGTCCCAGATTGTCGAGAACATCTGGCCGTTGTCGGCCGCAGCGTCCCGTAGTGATGCTGCGACTGGATCCAAGGGAGTTCTTCCCCTGCGGACGTTTATTCAAGAAACGCTTCGTCGCTCGCGTACTAGCTACAGTACTTTGCAGGTGGCACTCTACTATCTTATCAAGATCAAGCCGCATGTGCCTGCCCACGACTTCACTAAGGAACAGCCCCGTGACCAGTCGATGATGCGGGCCATGCAGTGTGGTCGTCGTATGTTTTTAGCGGCGCTGATTTTGGCTTCGAAGTATCTGCAAGACCGCAACTACTCCGCCCGGGCCTGGAGCAAGATCTCCGGCCTGAATACCCTGGAAATTAATCAGAATGAGTTGATGTTTCTGCAGGCGGTTGGTTGGCGTTTGCATATCTCTGAGGCTATGTTCCAGCGCTGGACTGACCTCGTTCTCAAGCTGACTCCCGGTGCCGGTGGTCCTCCTGCAAGTGAGGGCCAGTGCTGGCGTACCGTCCTCCCCCGGTTAACCCCCGAGTTGGAGACGATCGAACCGGAGCAGCCTATGACCCCGGTCTCGGCCATGGGCGGCATGGATTTGAGCGCCTTGTCAGAATCCCCGTCCCCGCGCAGTGCCGGTAACGAGTACTTCCGTACGCCTCCACGCGAACAGATGCCTTGTCGCAATTTGCCCCGGACTCTAGAGCCGACTTTGCGAATGGACTATACGATGCCAACCCTGCCGCGTCCTACCATGCTCCCGACTCCCCAGATGACCCCTCAGTCGCATGTGGCCCACACTCCTGCCGCGAGTATGGCTGCATGCCCCCGTCGCTCCTCTATCGGTACGGCGATGTCTCAGGCACAGAACCTGAGTTTGGCGCGCTCGACTCTTGATCAGCGCCCGCCTCTCTCGTTCTACCCTCGGACTAACTCGTACGATGGATACTCAGTTCGGCGGTCCTCTCTGGCTCGGTCAACCTCCTCTGCTTCGTCTCCGGACTCGATGGTGTCGGATGTGTCGACCCTGTCGTCCCGTTCTTCGCGGTCCTCGTCCGTATCTTCGAATGCGTCGGGAGCAGGAGTGTGTGCTCCTCCGGCTCGGTTAGCTGTCAAGGCTACTATGCGGTGTACTAACAAGTCCCTAAAGGAGAGCCGTCAGACCCTTGCTATTGCTTCTCCTATCGACGAGAGTTCCCTAGTGAATATCTACAGCTCTCCCGATTCTTACTCGGGTGCTACTAGCTCTGCCCCGGATCTTTCCAGCTACTCACTGGACTCCAGTCTGAGCGAAGCCGCTCAAAGCCTATGCGAACTGTCCAGCGCTACACCCGAACGGCGCCAGTGCCGCAAACGCGGTCGTACCGGATCAGACGACATGCTTCTTCAGAACCATGTTCGGCATCTGATCGACGCAGGCGCATCGGGTCACTCCTCGATTCTGCCCGATGGACACCTAGCCAGTTCATTCCTGGTCGGAGATGGTCTCTCTGGACCAGCTGGCATCAAACGGGCCTGCTGCGGCAGTGAAGCGCGCAAAGTCGCCTTGAACCCCAGCCTACGCGCGGACTTCCTGAACTGAACGACTGGTCTAGAAAAAGCCCTGTCTTTTCTTTTTTTTGAAATGTTTCTTGAATATCCCCTCCAAGGCGACCGATCCCGGGCTGTACATACCCCTTCCCACCCGCTCCTCCGGGCCCTCGGTCGTCCTCTGTGAGAAATAGTGTTTTTTGTACGGACGTGGGGTTTGTTCCTCGTCATGTCTTGTTTTTGTTGCGCATGGAGCATGGTGGGCATGGGACGGTCTTCTTTATTTATCTATTTACATTAACTCCTGTGTTTCTGGGGAGGAGTCGAGGCCGTGATCTGTACTACGTCTTCCTTCCCTGGCACTGTGATGGCGCCATGGAACTTTGGGAGAGTTGGGGCGTCCGGCTTGGAAAGTATCGCATCTACGGATAGCCAATCGTACAGTTCTTGATGAGATTTCTTCCTTTTCCCGTATTGCATAGACTTGGACCGGCTCCGATGTTTGCCGAAAACTCGGAATCGTACGATGAATCGGCTGATCCCTTTAGATTTGCTTCCTAGGGAAGTATCAAAATCTGAACCATAATAATGCAGTGGATTTGTTCTATCCAATTTCTAAGGTTCTTGAATAATTCTTGGAAACCCCCGTGAACGTTGTGGGACTGAAGGCGATCAGATAAGATCAGGCGACACTTTGACTCCGCTCGAGCCGTCTTCTCCGCATTCCTCCCCTCTTTCACTTTGTCTCAATATTCAACACTTAACCACCAAATTCCCCTTTGCCATCGATCAACATAATTGAACATGATATCTCCCATTATCGGGCTTCTAGCCCTATTCTCCCTCACCAACGCCTCAGTCATCCCCAACCAAGCCATCCTCCACCCCTCCGACCCAGTAACCCTCTCAAGACCATCCTGGTTCACATCAACCCTCCTAGCTCGTCGCCTCCTCGCCAAATCCCCCTCCGGCGTAATCTCCACCATCTTCCCCACAGAATCCTCCTCTTCCTCCACTCCCAACTCAGTGGCAGGCCTCCCAATAGGCCTCCGCGAATACATCTCAGACTGCGACGCCGCACTCCCTAAGAACCTCAACCCCACCAACAAAGAAGAAGGAAACCCCACCATCCTCGCTCTCCGCGTCGCAACATCATTCAAGAACATAGGCTCGAACTCAAACTTCTCTCTAGAAATAGACTGGTGGGATCATCTCGACCAGGCCGGTCCCGTCTATCCTGGTTTACCGCTTAGTTCTGCTGCTTTACCGAGAGTTACGCTATTCGGGTACCTGGATCCTTTACATTCTGGATCTGCATCTGGATCTGAGGAAGGGGAAGGAGAGGCTCTGGGGGATTTAGAAGAATGTTTCTTATCGTCGCATCCTGATGCGAAGGTTTGGTTACCTGGGAAGGCGGGATCCCCGCATTCAAGTTTCTGGGCGAGGATGGTTGTTACGCATGTGTATTGGATCGGAGGGTTTGGGGATGTTCAGCAGATTGGATGGATTGATATTAATGAGTGGAAGGGGGTTGGGAGGTATAGGAGTGAAGTTGGGGATGGGAGGGGGTGGGAGGATGTGAGACTTCCTGGAGAAGAAGAGTGAGAGTGAGAGTGAGACGGGTTATAGGATAAGGAATCAGCTGCCAAACCCTTTTGCTTGACTAGCATTGACCGCCTTTGTCTTTTTTTGTACTGTATTGCACTCAGAAATATCAGTTATTTACTACTTACCTCCTACTCTTACCAGTGTCCGACCATTTATACTCTCCTAAGCTCTGACTACCTATACCGCGCCCTCATGGACTTCAAGCATCAATTTGAGAATGTGAATTTGATGGAAACGGGGGGTATATCCTACTTTTACAAGGTCGACCTAGGTATTGTGGTCAAAGTCGCATAAGCTATCGAACCCAAGAGACAGCAGTTTTGTAAAGAGCTTGACATCTTAAGACACACTCTGTGAGCATAAACCCTGCCCCTTCATTGTACAATGTTTCTAACATACGGCCAACATAGGGTGGTTATCAAAGTAGACATATTGGTACCACTACGCCTACGGCTAGAATGGAATGGATAAGCAGTCTTGCCCAAGCAATCGCTTTCGTTGAATCACTCAATCTCACCTATGGCGACCTGCGACCGGATCATATTCTCCTCGATGGCGATACACTCAAGGTAAGCGATGTTGACTATGCTGCCAACTTCGGACCACCGTTCCATACTTGCCTAGAGCCGTGGGGAAGGGTGCTAAGCCAGAATGATCCGAAATACGATATGGCCCGTCCCGAACCCGGGCTCCTAGGACCTCGAACCGAACAGTTTGCCCTTGGCTCTATTTAATATTACATCAACTACGGCATGGAGCCATATAGACCGTTGCCTTACTGATGATATTGGGGAGCGTGGTCTGAAACCCGGAGATCTATTACAGAGTATACATTTACCAATTCTGGGTAATTCAATAATAGTCGAATTGATTCAAAAGTGCTGGCATAATCAATTTGCTACTCTGGCATATCTTGATGTCGATACGAAGGAATTGCTTCTCAGCAGTAACAACGATAGAGACACATACAATAATGCTGTTAGAGTGAGAATAATAGAAGATATTGCGTCAAAGAAAGTCATGTGTCAAAAATTGGAGACAAATGGACCTTCGCACTTTCTCTCGAGTGGCCCTTTGGGAAATTAGTGAGAAAATTGGTTGTTTGAGTGAGGAAACTTGTATAACGGGATATTTTAGCCAGTGGTTGACGGAGAGCTCCGATATCTATCAGGTAGGACCCCTTTTTCTTCTTCAAGTACGGTAATTGTGGCAGCGAATAGTTTGATTGTACTTGCGTCAATACGAGGGATTATGAAGATCCATTGGTTGTTATTCGTTGATCTTATCATTCTTATCATTCTTATCACGGCGTCATTGAATGAGATTAAGATTGAGATAATGTATCTGCGGGGAAATTATCTACTATTAGTTGTTAAATATTCCGTGATTCCGAGCTCAGTTCTGTATGCCTTCATCTCTCATCCCTTCCAAGCTGGACTCGATCTGAGTGGATCCCGACTCCACCTTCATAAAGATGCGCCTCTCCCGGCCTCGACTTCGCGTTTCACAACCCGAGTCAGCTTTTGCTTCAGGCAATGCAAGATGGACGAACCGTGATCTTGACCCTATCCCCTTGCTAGGACGCCAATGGGGTGTCGCCAGCATAATAGGTACGCCAATGCGAATCCAATCCATCACAAACAGTTACTTAGTACTAACCCTGTCTAGCTTACTGGATATCCGATGCCTTCAACGCCGCAACCTGGGAATTCGCAAGCAGCATAATAGCAGTCGGACTAACCTACAAAGAAGCCCTCGCAATCATCGCAATCTCCTTCTTCATCATCTCCTTCGTCATCTCAGGCAATGGCACAGTCGGCGCAATATACCACATGCCCTTCCCAGTAATCGCCCGCGCATCCTGGGGTTTCTGGGGCTCCTACATCCCTATAATATCCCGAGTCATTCTCGCCTGCTTCTGGTTCGCGATCCAAAACATCAACGGCGGAAATGCTGTCCGCGTCATGCTAGGCGCTATCTGGCCCAGTTACTTGAATTTGAAGAACGAGATACCCGAAGATCAAGGTATCACTACGAATGGGATGGTGGCTTATTTGATCTTCTTTATCATTCAATTTCCCTTCTTATGCATGCATCCTAATAAGTTACGGTGGCTTTTTACCGTCAAGTCGATTCTCGTCCCAATTGCTTGGATTGCTATTCTGATCTGGGCCTTTGTGGCCGAGAAGGGGGGTGGGAGTGTTTTTAAAGACCAACATGCCACTGTTAAAGGAAGTAAGTATAGCTGGATGTTTCTGGCCAATATGACTTCTGTCTTCGGGAATTATGCTACTCTGAGTGTGAATCAGGTGAGTCTCGTACTTGCCCAGTCTATCAGACGTACAGTATCTAACACCATGACAGTCTGATTTTTCTCGCTACTCCCGTGTCAGCCCCCGCTGGCAACTCCTTTACATCCCAATGCTTCCTATCATCTTCACCTTCATCGGCTTCATCGGTATAGCAGCCTCCTCCGCCGGCCAAGCACACTATAATCTCTCCTCAATCCCCTGGGATCCAACAGTCCTAATAAGCTACTGGCCCAACCGATCCTGTCGCTTCTTCGCCGCATTTTCATTCGCCCTCGCCTCCCTAGGTGTAAACATCTCTGCAAACTCGCTCTCCGCTGCAAACGACTTTACCGCACTAGCACCCCAATTCATAAATATCCGCCGTGGCCAGATCCTCTGCGCCATGCTTTCCTGGGCACTGGTCCCGTGGAAGATCCTCGAATCAGCGGACAATTTCTTGAATTTCATGTCTGCGTATGCTATTTTCCTCGGTCCTATTGCGGCGATTATGCTACTTGATTATTGGGTTGTTAGACGGCAGATGTATGATAGCCTTGCGCTTTATCAGCCGTGGAATCGGACATATCGGTATGAGGTTCTGTTTGCGGGCAAGGAGATCTGGGGGTTCAATTGGAGGGCTATTGTTTCGTTTTTGGTTGGTGTTGCGCCGAATTTGCCTGGTTTGATTAATGCGGTTAATTCTTCGATTGATGTTGGGGTTGGAATTCATCCTTATCAGTGTGGATGGTTGTTGGGTTTCTGTGCGACGGGTGGTGTTTATGTCGGGTTATCTTGGTGGTTTCCTGCTACGGAAGCGAGTATTGAGAGGGCTGTTCTTCCTGATGAGATTTACGAGGAGGCTGCTGTTGTTATGGGTGTGGAGGCCCAGGATACCAGTGAAGATATGCGTATGAAAGATGGCAAAGGGGGATTTGAGTCTGAGAAGGCTGTTTGATAGCTCTGACTTGTTTCAGTAGCTTATATACTGCTAATCTATTTACTGGAGACCAGTCTGGTATCTGTTGTGCGCGGGTGCGTCCCAATGCTAAATGGTTCTCTTTCGCCATCTTTGGGTAAGAGATGCCATGCGCAGGTAAGCTGGCTTGCCTGGGACTGTATCCTATGGATAGGCACTTGAAAACGGTAGAGCCTCTACCGTGTATTTTGGTTCTCATGAGTATAGCCGGGACGCAAGTGTTAGAACACAATGCTCACGGCCCAGGTCCATAAGACAGAGCTCCCTTCAGCACCTTAGTCACCCCAGAAGAAGCTCTCCCCAACTCTCCACCCTCTTCCCTCGCATTCTTCAGCCCACGCTCAATGGCAGGCAAAAACCGAGTGGCAAAGACCCTAAACCGATCCTCCCTCGTCTCATACATCTCCCCCTCCGCATCCCGCGGCTGACCAAAAAGATTCAAATAAGCATACGGCGCCGAAGCATCCGTAATCATATGATGAGCCGTCTGACACAATGGAAAAGGCCAAGCAGAATCAACATCAATCTGCTGTTCACCAACAGCATTAGGCTCCCCAACACCCGCCTCCAAAAATCCCGCCAACGCTCCTAGAACCTTAATCATAGGTCGTCCCTGACTACCCGATTTGCCAAATGAAGCCCGATTCGACGACCACCGCGCTGATTCCTCGGTATGCCATCCCAGCACTGACAGGAAGCAATTTAGCGTCTTGATCCAGCCTCCTGCGCAGGATACGACTTGTTCGCCTGCGGACTCGACGATCCAGGATAAGACCTCGACGGCTGAGACGCGGATGTCGGCTGCTAGATGAGTCATTCCTGCGCGGACGTAGGGGAGAAGTTGGACGACATGGTCCTCTACGTCGGAGGTGGGGAGTGTGCGCAGGAGTTTCAGGAGTTGTGTGCGGACATTGTTGCTACCGTCTAGGAGGAGGGGGAGGAGAGATGGGAGCATGACGCTGACTGGTTGTGGGAGAGCAGAATTGACGGGTCTGGAGGTGATGGACGAGGTCAAGTGGGCGAGAGAGTCGCGACGTTGAGTGTCGGATTTGGATGTGAGGAGGGAGAGGTGGTGGGAGAATTGTGCATTGGAGGTGGGAGCTGTGAGTTGAAGGGATTGTTGTGTGAGGACAATTGCTGGGTATATGTTAGTTCTTGTTCTTGTTCTTGTTCTTCAGGATTGTAACTGTACCTTTTGATTTGAAGCTGGTATCGGTGAAGTTATCCGGTTTGGGTCTGGCCTTGCCAACCTTGAGTTTAGGTTTCTGCGAAGTGTCAGTGAGTTAATTTAGTGCAAGATGAATTAGCATCTTACCTGGAAGTCCTGTTGCCTCTCCTTCTTTCTCTTAGCGCTGGCACCCATGATTGCGGTGTTTGATAATTTGACTCCAAAGTTTCCGCATTTTTTTTTAGTATGGGGAGACCCACGTGATACCGATAACGGCCTCAGGCAGAAATGGTTGAAATATAAATGAAGTTCAAATCCAGGGATTCAAGAAATTCCTGCACGATGACAATGAATGAAATATAGATATCTTTGTACCTTGTGTAATTAATAGAATGAATTATATATCTATCCATATCAATAATCAACCATAGTTCTATTTTAACAACCAACCATGGTCATCAGACTAATTAAATCAACTGTCACTCCGTAAACCCATATAAGATAAGTTTCGAATTTACATACACAAATTAACATTTGAATCTGACAGAAATCAGACACACAATCTAAACATCCCTAGATCCATGCATTATCACGTAAAAACCCGATCGGTGGGATCGTGGGGCCGAGATCGCCCTCCCCCACACTAAATCTAGAACCACAACCATAAGCTCTATCAAAATCAAATCCCTACCAACTCCATTCTTACCACTGAATGACCAAGAAATTCCTAGCCCACCAAAATATACCCCCTGAATCGACGCAATGCCATTCAGAGGGAAGTAAAAACCCAAACACATCAATAACAATCCATTTATCCGCCGCGATCCTGTGCCTACTCACCTCGGCACTGTATCACACGAGACTTGACCATTCCCCTCGAGTAGCACATTAAGGACTCCAATGCGACCATGGTGGGGTTCCAGTACTGATTTCGGGGAACTTCGTGAGCGGGTTGCATTTTGGCTTTTATTGTGGGCCTGTTTTGAGGAATTGGTAATGGGATCTTGTCAGATGATTCTAGATTGATACAAATGATATCTTTAGACAGGTGTCAAATCTCTAGTTGTATCATCTACTCTGCACCTAGTCTTGTAAGTAATACTATAAGACATAAGCAAAACTCTTGCTCACCTCTTGACCCACCACCTAAAGCCTTCGCCACATACTCATGCACAGTCTCCAAAACAGATTTCGATTCTTCACCTCCCTCTTCACCCTCCGATTCACGGTGAAAAAGACTTCGCACGGAATCGGGCGTATCGGACAATCGGCGGGAGGTTGCTCGTGTATCACCTAGAGACGGTTATTAGCATGCAACTACTCTATCATGCTTCACAGGAAATAACAAGTCTCTCATAGTCTGACATACCTGGTTCTAAGTGGCGAGCGATGCTCTCTTGCATACGACTCGCGGATTCGTTTGCGTGGGCGGCGTATGTGTCAGGTCGACTGATACTGGTGTCGAGGGGTTCGGTCGCCTCTGGTAGGTTGTCAGTGATGGGTTTTGGATTGTAATCCGTACGCATGATGGATGTTCATGTACCGTCTGTGTTGGCGAATTCGCTCTGATGCTATTAGTTTGATTCGGAATAGAATGGGAAGCGGAGAGCATACTGCTGAGCCGGTCATTGTGGTGTTTATTCAGGATGGTGGATAGAAGATTTACTTGAAAATAGGGAATTGGTTATGGACAGCTGAGTTATTGTATAGACAAGAATGGTATCAGGTAAATCGTCGACATGACGTGATTTTGCCTCCACCTGTTGTCCATGGATAGCTAAAAGTCAACGAGGACTTCAAAGCTGATGCCACTAATTTTATTCAACATACTACAATGAAAAGTTGCAAGTCATATAATCGTATAATCGTAGTCAAATTCGGTCTATGAAATAACATCCCCATCAGGGCCTGCTCAGCAGTGCGAAGAAGAAAGAATAGAGAACATTTGGAAAGAATAAAATCAAAAAATTCAGAGAGATGCGCACTTCTGCCCGGTCCCAAGATGCACATAAGAACAACACAAGAAAAAAACAACTTGGGTCCCGGACAGACGCGATTGTATCAATCAAATCAAAAAGATCATCAAGCACACGTAACGTAACAAATAGAAAAAGGCATAAAGATAATCGCAAAGCCACGAGGAACCACCAGGCATTAGTCGGGTCGTGTGTATGGACGAGATTAAAGGAGAGGTGGCCAGCTCTGTCATACAGACGGGAGAGAAAAGGATAAATATCGTATAACAGGGCTTAAAGACTCATTGTCAGCCACTCCCATTCCTGGCTTGCGCCTTGGCCACCGGCGATACTGTGGTTGGCGGGGTTGGCAGCTGCAGGGTGCATGGCCGGGGCTAATGGCACCACCTTGGATCGAGAAGCAGGCGCGGTAGCCTTGGGGCTGTCATCCGTATCTGGCTCGGATCCGGTGGGTGCCTTCTCTAGGCGACGCTGCCGCCTGGGGGCTACCTGCACACCGGCACGAGCTTGAGAAACTCCGGCTGGGGGACCGGGCTTGGGCGGTGCAGCGGCGATAGGGATCACACCGGATTTGCTGGAGAGGCTGGATCCCAGGAGAGCAGGCGGTGACTCAGAAGCATTGTTGCTCGGCGCGCGGGAGGCGACAGCACTAGTCGGGGCGTGTACAATGGAGTTCTTCCGAGAGGACTTCTTGGAAGAGCGAGAGGTACCAACAGCCAGGCTGTTAGCACTGCTGCGGTTTCGCTTTTTGATAATATCGGTCTTGAGCGACAAGGGTCGAACCACGCCATGGAGTTTCAGGAACAAACCGCAAGCATTGCACAAGGGCTGGCCCTCGGGGTTACGACGCCACAGTGGAGTGGTCTGAGTGAAACAGTTTGTACAGGTGGTCGGCCCCGCATTCGGGTCACCGTTCTTAGACCCACCGGGACTGGCCGGTCGAGAGGGAACAGCGCTGCTAAGACCAGATTCGGGAGGGGTATTAGGTGATGGGTGGTTCGTCGGCGGACCGCTGGCGGTACCGTTCATGCTCTGACGCAGCAGACCAGGAGCGTTGGGAGTCGAAGCCGTGCGGGGAATTTTTTGATGACGACGATGATCTTGCTCCCGGTTACGAACCTCACTGATGGAGGCTGCAGAGCCATGTCCACGGCCGAGGCTCGCGTGGTGCCATTCAGATGGACCGTCCATCATGTCGGTTGAGCCAATGGTGACGTGTTTGCGATGTTGGCCATTGAACCCAGGCAGTGATTGAACAGAGCCTGGGAAGCCTGCGTCCCACGCCAGACCCGCGTTCATGTCGCCAGTTTCATCCATGGATGAAAAGTCATGGGGCATTGCAATGCCTCCTCGCTCATATGACTGGCCATCATCGTCCTCATTATCGGAATCTCCACCAAATGTAAACATGCTGGAGTTGGGTGCGGTTGAGGAATACTCGTGGCCTAACACCTGCGTAGGATCCACGTGCTGCTGTGGGACAGAGAAACCCATGGTTGTGGGCGGACCAGTAACAGGGGACTGATAATCCCCGTTGTTACTGTTATACATCTGGCGAGGCTGCAGCGATGCAGACAAGTTGGAGGATCGTTGCTGCTGCAGATATGTTGGAATGCGGCGCTGGTTGTGGGAATCGGCCGATGGCGCATCGGAGAAGAAAATTGACTGCTCGCCCTCATAGATCGGCTGAGGCGTTGACACAGCCGACTGATACCCAGACGGAGGGGGAGAGAAGAACTCGGTAGAGTTAAGAGACGACGCAAGCGGGGTCTGAGCGTACAAGTTGGAGAAAGGATTGCCAGCCGTCATAGGAGAATCGGAGGGGGAGAATGTGAAGTGCTGCTGGTAAGGACCTGCCGAGCTGATCGCGCTCTCGTCGCCCACGTTAAAGGTGTCTAGACCATACGGCAGGCCAGCCGACGCGGTGTGCTGGTGATGGTGACGCCGAGGACCCATCCCATTGGTCGGCATGGAAAAACCGGCTGGGGAGTGGTGATCAAGGGAGTAATCTGGCAGAGCAGCAGCCGACAATTCAGAATGTTGCGCTAGCATCGCGTTTGATACGGGAGGCACCTGGGGCGATGCATCGGCCGGGCGTTTGCGCGTGGGCACTGCAAGTCCAGTGAAAAATTGGCGCTCATCGACGCTGGTCTTGCGAACCCGACGGGCGACGTAACCGAACTCGCTGTTCTTGCGCTGCTCCTGGGCAGGGTGTGGGAATGACGCAGCAACGGACGGATCGGCTGGCTGGTCCTTGCGCGATTTGATCGGAATAGAGGCGGTCGGTGTCGCAGTAAACTGACGGTCAACGGCGGAGTGGGACGAGTACTCGACGGGGGAGTCAAAGGGGACGATAAAGTCATCCAAGTTCATAGCATCCGGGGTGGACTCGGGGTTCATGCTGGAGTTCGAGTTATCTGTCGACGCCTGGTCGGACAAATGCAACTGCGCGATCCCGCTCGGGGTAGGACTAGTAATATGTTGATTGGCTTGCGACGACCTACAGGGCCAAGGAAGTGAGCTATCCCGCCCGGTACGGAATGGTATAGGGAAAAGGGAACCTACCGAAGCTGTTCTCGTTCCTTGCGTTTCAAACTCATAGCCATCATCCGCCAGGTCAAGTTCTCCATACGTTCCTGGTTAGGCAAGTTGGCTTTAGTTTTGGTGTAAAGCCGCCAGATCTGAGCGGCCAAGGGGTCCTGCCGCTGCAATTCGTCGGGGTTATCGCCACCGCGCGGGGCACCACTCCTCCACTCAGGAAAGATGGGGTCATTGAGCATGCCATCTTGAGCAGTGGAACCTGTAGGACTGAAGGGGGAACCAAAGGAGAAGTCATCCGACATCATATGGGAGTCCATGTCCTGGAAAGCGGAGGATTGAAGCGGTCGGCCTCCATGACTTCCATGCATTCCCTCCATGGCGAAATGCCGGGGTGAAAGGGAAAGCAAGGCAAGGAGGGGTGATTTTTCTTTCGAAAAAGATTTCAAGGTTAAAAAAACAGTTTAAATTCAAATCTGCCCCCAGTATGCGGCACAGGAATGGAGAGACCCTTGCCGGGGAGAAAGATCGCGATCGAACGATTGGGGATTTGGGATTGGATTGTCTCAGTCAGCGACTCGACCAGGGTCAGCACCGACGTCAGTTACAACCGTTTTTTTTTTTTGCGATCCAATGCACCGAGCGTTACTTAGTGCGCGGACCACCACCCACACCTCCGATTTTTGAGAAACTCTTGATATATAAAATGTATTGCGGTCGTTGGAGGAAGAGGAGAGGGGGGGGGCTAGACCCTCCAGACGCTCATGCCCCGGGAAACGTGGTTGAATTGGGGGGAGGGGAAATTGTTATAACGTGTCAAGAGAGAGGGAAAGACACAAACAGTTAAAGTGAAAGGGAAAGAGAGAATTGAGACCCAGGGAGGGAAAGTGGGAATATGATATGTTCTTGGGTTTGAAGTTTGGGGAAAGAAGAAAGTGGCAGTTGTACGAAATTGGTACGGGTAATACCGTTACAAGCCCCAACAACATGAACCCAAACTACTGGAATGGAATACATTAAAGTACCTAACTTACTTCAGAATAGTAATAACTTATAAGAGTTCAAATACCGATTTACGGCGCTTCCCTCGACTACATGATTCATGCGCCTTTGAACGCCACTCCCGTCCAGGTGTCTCTTGTCATTACGATCTGACAATGCCCCCTTCTGGGCCCTTTTGATACTATTCATCCGGGAAATCCCACGAATAACCGCTTACCTATAGATGGTTTTACTCCGCACGGCCCCATTCAACGTGGTGTGTGCCTCTTCTTTTTTTCACTACACTCTTGACCCCACCGAATTGGAACGGGCCCGAAGGCCTCGAATGTATCGGCCCGAGTCCGATAGACCCGTCAATGGAGACTTAGGGGGCAAATAGGACGGCGAATAATGAAATTAAACATGCAGGTACTAAGACAGAGGCACGCGTCCAACCAAAGCTATGATCTGTACCTGTAACCCATGGAAATACCATTTAATGTAGACAGAACCGGAGACAAGTCCAGATGTAGTTCGAAAAGTGGATCCAGCACTGTTGCAAGTGGAGTCGTTAGTTCAAGTCGATCCAAATGCGACGTCTAAGAGAGATGAGGTGTAAATGAATGGAAAGTGTAATTCGGGAACATCACTCTAGAATAAATATTTCTATCAATTGTGGTGAACATTGAGCTGATCTGAATATAATATATGCGGATCGAAATTAAAGTCTGGATTTATTTTTAAAATTCTTTTTTTGTGCTGACAGGGGGGGAGAAACTTCGGTTGAATTACTTGCCGGAGATAGCAGTAGCTTGCATCCGAGAGATAAGAAACGTTCTATGGGGCTTCGACCATCAACGGGGATAATTTGGTGTCGGACAGGATCCGCTTGGTTTAACGAGGCTCTGGATATAAACCCCCCGACCGCGCAACGGCAGCTCACCGGAGTTCAAAAGTCATTCCTACATTACCCGAACCCGGTATCCATCGTATTCGCTCGTATTCAATCGGTAATACCGATCATCAAGTATCTCCGTTTCACTTGAGAGCATCGGATCAGAGGGGGGAGAAAAAAGTACCAACAGCTCTTCTAATCCCCCCCGCGCGTGAGGGGAACACGCGGATTATTTCACATTCCGCACCGGTTAATATCACTTCCTATCTTGAATCACGATTGGGTAAATTTTGGTTTCTCGCCACACGGATTTCACCTCCGGTCTCACAAAGATGGAACAGGACGATCAGTCAAGAAATTAGATTCTCCCTGACATCACTTGAATGTTCCTATTGTGGGGGAAAATAAGAAAAAACACGTTCCCCGGGCCGCAACCGGATCGAGTAAACAGGCACAAGCTGGTGCCTTTTCTCTGTCCTGTCGGAACAACAACATCTGTAATCAAGTGGATGTTCTTCCTGCCCTTGGACCCACGGAGGTCCACTGAAAGTCGGGGCAACCCAAGATATGACAAGATAAGACCTGATAAGCTGCCAAGTAGAGTAATTGGCCGTGGTCATGCTGATAGGCGCGACACTGATCGGCAGTGGTTGAACCTCTCTTAGGCCCCCACGGTGGAGTACCCCATGACGATGTATCCTTATCGGTTCAGCTTTGACCAGACCATCCAATTCAAAAAAAATATTAAAAATCAAGGGAAGAAATGAAAAAAGAAAAGGGGAAACAATAAACGTCATGGATCATCAGGATGTGCCGTGTGGTGGCAAGCCTCCGATCGGTACGCCCTAACTCAGTAGTTAAGAAATCATCTCCGAACCAACCCGACCACTCGACAACTATAATGGAGGGTAATAATTGCCAGCCTCACAGATAAAGGAACATGACTGTGGGCCGTGGCGTCCTGCAAGCCAACAAGCTGGTAAAGCCCAATCCCTGTCGTAAGATTAGAAGTGGCGGTACTTTTGATCCGGCACGGACAAGGGACTTCCCCTGTTGGTGCCTTTTCCTGCCCCTCCTTTTCCCTGCGGCTTCTGCGGTTATGCTGAAAATGGGGTTGCCTCGCGTCGAGGTCACGTATCCCCAAGATTGCCGTCTCATATGAGGGAAAAAATGCCCTAGGGCTAAGGAGCGTGGAGAAAAGAAAGCGAACAACTGCCCATATGTAACATACGTCCAGGTAATTTCTCTCTTACCACTTTAGCCACCAGAATTTGAAAGTTTCAAAATTCTCTCTTAGGCTTAAAGGAGGGAGGGTGGGGGTTGGGAGAGGATGGGAGAGCATGGGACTGAAAGTTGGCCTTGTGAGGAAAAATTCCCGTGTGAAGGGAAGGTGACCTTTATATAGAGATATCCCTTTGGAATCTCAGGCGCCAAAGAAAGAAAAAACCCAAACTGGTTATCACCCAACAGAGTCTCGATAAGGCGTGACGCTACCCAAAGAAAGGGCTGTCCAACTGTCCCTGACACCTGATACGACAATGGCTGATAAGTCTGCATATCTTCGTCCAGAAAGCGAGATAAGAATACCCCTGAGGCGCAAACTTTGGTAGATCATGCAGCTCCATACCCCAAAGAATGCCCAAAAGAGCCCGTTATCAGCCCCATTGACACAGATAGTGCCTCCCCACTGGTCCACCTTGAATCTTCACACCGCTCCATCGCCATGCCTATCTCCAGATTTGCCTGACCCCAGAAAATTCCTCCGACGGATCCCCCGGCAGATCCTCGAATTGAGGCGTCGAATGCGAGCCTGACAACGGAACGATCCTTATCTGCGACTTATTTGGTTGCACAGATACCGCTGATAATCGTTTCCATTTGTCGTTCTGATATGAGGTCGTATCTGCGCGCACAGATGAGAGTCGTGTTCTGATGCAGGGATCCTTGGGATAGGTCCGGGGGAAATGATGCCATTTGTGAGATCCTGGAAATCCTTTTCATGACTCCGGAGTACGGAGTGCGCTTTATCTCCTCGGAGATGCGTCAATTAGACTCGTTCCATAGATCGGCCTCCCGACTTATCTTGGAATGCATTCTTCGAATCCCCCTTGCCGGATAAGCATTGACTGACGTGCTTGGGATGAGTCCAATCTATCGATATTCGCATTCGCGTTCGCAATTTGATAAGGTCCAATTATGAGAGCATTGTGATTGATCAGGCCTGGGATCGACTATGATGCCCACCGGGTCTCCCCGAGATTCATAAGCTCAAGGTATCAGTCACGCGACCTTAAAGTCTGGATGATCATATCAGGAGAAACAGCAGATCATGATTTGATATCCTACTATATTCGTATACTTCGATTTAGGAATCGAATTCAGTGCATTCAATTACAAGTAACTCATCTTGCAAACCCACACATATACGGAGTAACCAGTGCAGAATACTCAATAGTCACGGAGTCCGATGGGCAGCGCCCGGACCTCGCAGTCAAAACCCGAAATACGCACACCCTATCTGTGCGTCATCAAGCCAATTAAGATGCCTACTAGGAGCCTTAGACCTTTATTTAGCAGGAAATGATTTACCTGGAGATTGGCCCCCGAACTGCTCCGCAGATCTACTTATCTTGGTCAATATGTATGGAGAAATTGCTCTACTTATCTTGATTTTGAGCTAATTTGCCTTCTAGCTGCCCTCTGGAAGTCGGTTCGACCCATTAAATCTGAAACATCCAGGGCTGTGCAGAGATATCAGTGCTATCAATAAGTACAATCTTCGCATACAAACATTGAGCACATTTACCTGGCTTTGTTTATTCAAACAATCAACAAACAATTCTTTTTACCGCTAAATCCAATCAATGGCAATATCTAATAGGTTAAGTTTGTCATTTATGATTGGGGGTTATTAGAAATGATTGATAAATAAAGATTCGCATGGACGGTCTCTTCCGTTGGAGGTACCGAGGTATAAGGATAAGAGTTTGTAGACTGAGAATTGATTAAACTAAATCTCATTCTCGGATTGTGGCTCATGGTGGTTATCACAAGTTCTCAGTAATCTCGCTGCTATCAAAATGCATGACGACGCTATCAAGATAACTCAAAAATATTGTCTTTCCCAGTACCCTTCCTTTCCATCTCACCATTTCCTTTTTTCTTTTCCAGATTGATACTACATACTGCATTGGTCTATCGTTCAACTTACCTATCAGCATGAGGTCTTTAACCTCAATCTACTCCATGCCGAGCAAGAGGTTTCCAACATTCGATAAACCATAAATATCCTCACTCATTTGCGGCTTGATAGGACTATTCAAACACCCAAAAACTTGAGCTATGTTGCTAATGACATATCATGGAAACAATCAGTCATGGTCCAAGAGCAGGAACTAATGCCCCTTCTACAAACCCAGATCTCCTCCAGTCTCCTCCACAATATATATCTACCCAGGCGCATGTTCTTCACCAACATCACATTCATCTTTTTACCTCCCTCTTGGCATTCGTCTTGGTCTATTTTCATTGATCTTCTTCGACAAAGGGCGATCAAGTGGTAGCCCAGGAGTGACATCGTTCCCTATGACCCATCCACGAATTCACGAATTTTGAAGGCCTGTGCTGGTTCTTGCTAGACAGTCAGCCATAATATATCTGGAGGGCGAAATACGCCAGGCCCAGAGAGAACTTCGGAAAATCTAATGTTTGTGCCAGAATTGCATTGGCATGTCAATATATATTAGATGCCCAATTTCTCCCCTATGGCCAGCAGCAATACTCACCATGGAGTGTCTTTGCGCCTCCCTCACACCACCATATACGGCAGATAACCCGTTATCTAAAAGTGCACAAAACGTGATAAATCGTTACCGTCTTCATAGTGAAGGTTATCCCCTAAGCCCCTGGTGCGAGGGTCGACTCAGACCAAACGATTATAGACAGGCCCTGTGTGTGCTAGATTCGATGAGTTACTTCTAAAATATAGACTAAGATCACTATCGCTCCCGCCTTACAATTGCCGAGTCCTCTCCACGGTACATTTTGTGCAAGATTCGGGGATGAACTATTAAGGGGTATAAGACAACACAAATGGAGCAGCGACCTAGTGGCTTCTAATTTTGCTCAAGAGATCCAGATTTTGCTACGTTCCGAATCATAATATCCGGTGATACAACGGAAGGGAAACAGGCTTTTTCAAGACGGGAACCGGATACATCATTTGGAAATCGCCAGGCACATTACCACGGGATAACTGTGGAAGTCTGCTACTCACAAAAAAGCCGCCATATTACTAATATGGAAGATGGTGATTGCCTTTGATGTTGACTATAAAGCACCAAAGCGAGCGAATATTATTGTATGACGAGCAGAATATATGAGTGATGGTTGATGGGATGCAAGAGTTTCAGGCAACTACTGTAATAAATGTAGAGGTATGGTCTATTCTCAGGCAACACCATAAGATTATATATGTATGTTCATACTTACATACACAGCCATTCTGGACAGATGCCGGAATTCCAGCCGAGGGAACAACACTACCACTATCGCTTGGAGACTTTAAAACGGAAGAGCTCCCACAAGATGTCACAGGCCCCGGGCTTGACAAGGATATTCTCATCACTTCAGGACAGCTTTACAATTTTCCTTCAAGCGCCGAATCAAGACAGCAAGCGCACACAAAAAAGCAGGGCTCTATTAACCGGATTCGGCCTGGCGCTCTAAAGCGTCGTCGGCCTGGAAACCCCTCAGAGCAGCTCAGCTCAGATGAAAAAGTAGAACCACATTATTCTATATAAAAAGTATACATGTATTCATGAAGAGTATTGTAAGTAGTTGAAAGGAATCACTTTTCTCTCTTTCCACTTTCGAAGCTTGTATGAGTATAAATTTTTGAACGCTAGATCAAGATAACAACCTATTTATGTAGTGTCGCAACATATGAATTTGATGAGGGCTCTCTAGCTTATCGACTGTAGGGTGCTTAGAGGGTGCTTAGAGGGTGCTTTAGGCGACTTGCGCGATCAGAAACGTAGTAGAAAGATGCGGAAATCTTCGAGCTATCCGACATATATATCGTCCCGCCCAAAGAGATGTTTTGCTGATCCTCAGAAATTTCTTTCCAGTCGCTTCAAGCATGCGCCTACTAAAAGATCACATCGAGTCAGTCCTCTACAAATGGTATGTTGTTGTCCATTAGGCATCACTTACTGATAATTATAGTTGTACTGTTCTTGCCATCGCGCGCGACATTTATTGTTCCAGTCTCATTCGACGGTAGTATTCGGAGATGGGTAAATTCCTGCAGGGAACCAGCATCATATCCAGCTAAACAGGCCTTGTCGACCGTTTTTAAGGCTGCTGGTTTCATGCATGACTTTCAACAAAATTCTTCCTGTGGCAAGTGTGTCGGCGGCAAATTCTACTTTAGTTGTTGTATAATCACCGATCGGCTTCTTGTTTTTTGAAATGCTGTGAAGTTCATGATACCGCTTTCCATTTTCCCACTCTTAAATCCGGATTCCTAGTTGAGGCGGCCCGCAGTTGGTTTCGGCAAAGGTGCATTTCAATGAAGAGGTTCCGACTAGGTCGGACTCGTACGCGGCCCAATCAAATTCGACCTTTGGTGAAAACGCCCAGGAGGTTTCTTTCCTCGGTAGGTTCACCGCTGGAGGCTGTCGATTGAGAAGAGAAGAGAGTGTAAGAGAATGAGAGAAGTAAGAGACGCGAGAGTCCTCTATAAGAGCGCCGCTGACTTACCCCTAAAAAGGTTTGTCCATAGGTTAAAAATGCGATCTGCTTTCCCTTCTCGGTGACTGTTATGGGCATATGGACTGTCAGAAAGAAGAAAGAAGGAAGCAAGAAGAGGAACTATTAGTCGTATGTGGATATCCTGAAAGGAAAGAAGGATGAAAGTGAGAAGGTGAAAGTAGTGGCAGAAAATAATGATCTTGTATATCGAATCAGAAGGAGCAAAAAGCGTAAAAAGTAGAGAAGAGGGGTAGATTGAGTGAGCGATAACACTCTAAACCTCACCTACATAGAACTCACTTGATAGACGTATGAGACCCTCCTATCAAAAACCCCCTTATTTACTGCCCGTTCATAATGTAGCTACGAATATTGATTGAGTGCATTTATGAGCCCACACCCGTTTTAGTAATCCTCAAAATTCATGTAAGTCGGCTAACCTCCTCGAAGAAGCCCAGCAATAAGAAAAAGCCATAACCATTTAAAAGATCAGTCAGCCCTTGATCTGGGACTTCGGCATCGCCGGAGATCTGAGCACCAATTGAATTAATTGCGGAATACTAGCGTGAACCAACACGTAGGAACAAAGAACCTAAGTGGAGCTCATTTCCCATATGCACAAACTTAGATCAGATCGGAGCGCATAAGGAATCTGCCCTCACTATTCCAAAGTTAAAATAGAGTCCAAGCTGACATGCACCCCACAATTTGGAGCATTGTGAGACTAGCGCTAGAACATTCCGTACATGAGACCTAGGACTACTTGACACATAGACGCCTTCCACCTAAAAGAAAAGTACTGCTAAATTGAAGTAGCCAGAATTGTGACAGTGCACTTGTGCACTTCGACTTGAGTGAGAATTGTTTGGAATAATGTAGGTTTTTGCTACGCGAATTTTCATCCGCGGAAAATGGCGGCAAATGGCGATATCGGTCTCCACTTTTTTACTCGCTAGTCAGTGCTTCTATGGACTTGGCCAGATTGAGATATTTATTTGTGATGCCAAGATTTTTTGCCTTATACGGTAGTGAGCTGAAAATCTTTCAGCTCTCAATTGGATCGGCAAATAGTAAATTTATCAATCATGTTTCATGCTCGGACTGTGGGTCCCAATTTCTTATTCCTATGGTCAGCCAAATCAGACTAAGGATGGGCATATTTTTATGGATGTTGTTGTTCTCATTTTCCATTGCCTATTAATTATTGTGGTATTCAGTCCGCACTGTCCTTCGATTATATGCTATTCGACATTATACATACATAAGCCGAGGCTTTCCATCACCAAAAGAATCATTTTATATAAATATTTTAGTTCACCTCAGAGGCAGCGATCTCGATCAGGTTGTCCTGGCCGAGAGCGTTCTGGGTGTAACGGGCGTTGAACTTGAGCACATGCTTGACGGCGTTGTAGCTCTGAACGTTCAGGGGCAAGGGCTCGGTGCTAATGTACCAAGCAACCTCCTCAGTGCAGGGAGGAGTGGTGAGAGAGCCAGTGTACTGGTAGATACCGTGGCTGTTCAAGTGCTGGGTAATGCCAGTGAAGTCAAGGGCATCAGTCATGGTGTAGGTACCAGGAGTGGCAATGTCGTCAATGTGAGCGAAGACAGAGTCGAAGAGAGGGGTCGAGTAACCGAACTGGGACAGCTCAAAGAGGAAGGCAACGACGGCGATAGAGCCAGCTGGAGAAAGGTCAGTAATAAACTTGGAATTGTCTTTGTTAGTGTACATACAGGCAGTCTCAAAGACGAAGTGGGCCTCCATGGGGTAGTGCTCCTCATTGATGCGGTGCTCGCTAGGGGTGTGGAAGTGGAACTGGGCAAGCTTGTAGGAGCCAGTCTTGGTAACCAGAGTGCCGTTGGTCAGGACAACCTCAAGGCCGGAGCCGAGGTTCTCAAATTTGGCATTGTCGGCGCTGGGGACGTGGAAGTGCACGCTGTTGGCGCTGGCGTAATCGATATCCTCGGTGACGATGTCAATGGGTGACTGGTGCTTGCCCTTGGAGCAGGCAGAGTTGGCCGAGTCGAGACCGTACCAGACCATAGGTCCACCGGTGTTGGTGTAGTTGAAGGAGTTGACATCAACAGTGCCGTCAGCCGCACGGGGCATGAGCGAAGTGCCGTGAAGGCACGAAGCAGACACAGCGATTAGGAAAGGGAGGATGGAGGTGACCTTCATTGTGACTGATGTGAAATGATCTGGAATCAAAAATATTCATAATGCATAGGGAGAATTGCCCTACTTATACCCTAGGATCTCACATTCCACGAAACCCAAAAAGAAGGGATCATCTTCTAGCTAGCCTCCAATGGCCGAGTTGCACATTGTAGAGGGACTCATGCCCACCACCGAAGTAGTCCGAGGAGACCATGGAGTTGGATTGACCAATGAAGCAGTGACGCCGATCTCTCCTTTGTCGGGTGCCGAAGATACGATCCAGATGAGATCCACTAGTCTTCCATCTGGGGAAGAGATCTTCCCAGGGAAATCCTGTAAGAGAAAAGGATTTGACCCTGAGAGGGTCAGGGATCCAATAGTTCATGATCTGAGAGCTGAGAACCGAACTCGTTCACGAATTCTCGACTCCATAGTTCCCACCGCCGGAAATCTTCGGCTACTATAGAGATTTTAATTTCAGAATGACCTATGCCAGCGAGAAATTAATTCTTGGGGCAATTAGATTTCATCGAAGACTCGAGAATCGGAGCCTTCCAAGTTTGTCAACGCTATAGTCCGATAGAGGAATCTCAAAAATTGAATATACATGCTTATAGAAGAAGAGTAAATACTGTATATGCCCAGGGACCTTGGTGGAATCAGAGTTCTACTCTGTCAGATGGACCGAAAAAGTTTCCAGTATAGACAGCTCTATAGATGCATCGACCAAAGTGCTAGTAGAAAAAACATCAAAGTGAACCACTCCTTGACTGCCAGTGTTCCGGGGATCTGCAGCACATATTGGTATGTATCAGTCACCTCTGCATAAAAAGGATCTTTTTCGTAGGAGGGAAGCTCTAATGTACACAAACAGAGTGGATACAGAAGCGAGATCCCATTTGAGATGAAGTGGGGACAAGACCCAGCACTTGAGGGCAGGCGAACGCTCCTCTACCTGCCAACAAACATGTTTCAAATACAGCTGGGCATATATTTGTTTAAAGCCCTGCAAATATCATCAAGATTCCTCATCTTTAGTAGATAGAGATACACCTGACTGAAATCCAACAAAGCCAGGGGTCAAAAAATAACGGCATGATGTGAGAGTGGAGAACAGCGAAAAAGCGAAAATTCGCGCAATTTTCGCCAAGAAAGCTGTGGAAAGCTTATAGACCATTCAAACATTCGAATGTTCCCCACAGATTGTGCAATGGGTTTAGTATATGGGTGACTTCTTTTGCCTAGCGGTTCGCATGGAGCAGTGGGTTCATATAACGAAGAGAGACTGTTGAATAAGTAAGTTACACCTGTGCACAAAAGAGTGAAAGTAGATCCAGTCTCGAGAAGAGCACAAGCCTAGAAACCTCGAACGTTTGGGATCGAATTACACTGAAAGCTATCATGTATTTTCCCATCAGCAACCTTGTACCGGATAATTTATGGAGGTAGGTAAATATGAACAAGGCATTCAAGGCATGCGGATCAAGTTCCATATAGAAGAATATAATATATACAATGTATGCAATCCTCATAAACCTTGGAACCATACGATCCCAAAAATGTGGTAACGTGAAAGTACGGTTCAGGATGAAAGACAAGAAGCATCACGAGTCCCTGTCCTCCCATCCGCCTATCAATCGAGACCCACGTCCCCTCGCGCCCCGGCCAGGTATTCCCAAAAACAACACACGCGATCAAATGCAAAATATGAAATGTATATCCACCGGAGAAAGGAAATCAAGCCAAGAGATGAAATGGTGGGAAGAGAAGAGAAGGAAATGAAAAATTGAACGGAAATAGAAAATAGCAGATCTACTCTAATCTTGAATAGAGTAGGATCTTGGAAGGGTTGAAAAGAAAGTCTATATGCCTGAGACAAAGCCCCCCTGAATTGCAGGGTTCAGGAAGATGATGATGCCAGTATAGATACCGATCATCAACTTAACTCAACCCTGTAAGGCATCTCGGGGGAATGAGGGTAAAGCGAGAGAATAAACAATAAAGCTTGGGCCGTGCCATGAAAGAATCAAACGGAGAAATGCCACCCAAAAACCTGGAACCCTTGCGCCCGCTAATGACAGCTGCCAAGCAGACCCGCCACGGTGTATGAGGATGAGGCAAAACATGACAAAAGCAAAAAGTGAAAAATAGAAAAAAGACGAGAAAGTCGAAAAAAACGCAAATGAAGAGCCCATAATTGTATATATCCCACGGGGTATTAGAAATGAAACAAGGCCGTCTAGGAATGTGGTATGTAAATGTAAAACGTAAAGTCGTCCGGGTCAGAAGAAAGCAAGAATGCCGGAGATGAAGATGAAGATGATGATGAAGGTGAAGATGAAGCTCAAGGCCAATGCGAAGATAAAGTGGAAAGTAGTTCAAGAGCGTCAAGGTCCTGAACGAGGGTGTCCCATCGGAGGATTGGAATAAGGTTGTTGTTGGACATCGCCTGCGTACATAGGGTACGGAACAACGCCCATTCCAGGCTGCATGGCATTCATGGGCCACTGAGCATACTCCATACCCGGTTGAGGCTGGTATTGTACCGAGCCAGGCGGATTTTGCATATCAGGCGCGGAGCCAGGCGAGCTGTGCGCACCACTTGAAAGGGATTGCGCGGGTGTAGTCATTCTCCTTTTGAGGTCTGGCGGCATCTGAGGTTGAAATTGATTATGATATGAGGGATTCATTTCCTGGCCGGGATAGCTCATCGCTCTTGATGGTTGCGGAGGTGGTGGGACTTGCCAGACGGTTCCGTCGGCTTGCATGGTGTAAGTGGGTGTGTTCATGGGTTGTGCTTGGCCGGACATGGGAGATGCTCCGGACATTGGAGAGCCGGGAGATAGGCCTGCTGGGACAGAAGCAGGGGCCCAGACGTTTGGAGAGAGGTTCATCATTTGGTTCTTATTTGCGGCCATCGTGGCTAGCATTTGGGGGTCGGATATCGTTGTGAATTCGTCCCAGGGGACTCCCGTTTCCATTGCGGGATGCGCGGAGAATTCTCCACCCATTGGTCGATCTAGGTCAATAAGTCAATAACCCGAAGTCTTGGTTTCAACTGCTTCTACGCAATCCAAGGTCTAACCTACCTGGCGCAAAGCCCGACATGGGATGACCAGCATAGACGGCTGGATTAAAGGCAGCTATATCCTGACCGGACGAAGCGTTCAATGGAATCTGTTGGTACGGGTAAAAGGTCTCGGGAGAGTCGAATTTGATGTTTGTTGGTGACGAAGTAATTGATGCCGAGTCCGTCGGCGGTTGCGTCTCCAATCGGGAAGTTGGTCGAGATTTTTTCTCCACAGGAGGTTGTTGGTCGACCGGGAAAAACTGACATTCCTTTCGCAATCGAATACAATTTTCACATCGTCCTTGCGAATCGTCCGGGGCCACCAAGCATCGAATCTTCCGTCGTCGACAATGCACTGCAGTCAAAACAAAGGATTAGCCCATCATTCAGATCAACATTTTGATCGCGCATTCTCTTAGCACCACTGCGCAAATATATATCAGGAATCAAGCGCATCCGCGCACACCGAATGCGACATTCTCCAAAGTAGAAAGCGGACCAGAAACATCTGAAGCGAGCGTATTGAAGGAAGGGTGAACTGACCACATGCGACAGACGTGCGATGGTATCCCAACTTATTACGCTTCTTATCCGCGTTACTCGCATCCATAGCGCTCTGTGAATTCGGTATTTCCATCACTTCGACAGCCGCGGGCATAGCTCTCCCCAAAGATCCGATACAAGATCGATCTAAATGGCCGCACCGTTCAGCGCATCAAAAGCGCGAGGCAGTGAAACAAAGTCGAGACCGTTCGATATCGGTGATAAAAGAAACAAAAGAGAGCCGGCCATACAGGCACCGCAAGAGTCGGAAAATGAGGCGAAACGAATCGGATTATGACGCTGCGACGGTATAATTCCCCGGTTGTTTTCGTTTTTTTTTTTTGCTTCTAGATCCTCCGGTTCCACCTGCGCCACACCGGACCAACTAGGATATTGCGCGCGTTTCAGCAGTGTCGTATGGTAAGTTGGGGGTTGGGTTGGTAGGGGGAGCTTTGGTGAGGGGCCCGCAGTTGTATGCGTGTTTCGTGGTGGAAGAGTCGTCACAGTCGAGAATAGATTGAATTTTCGGATTGGATCCCCAAGCCTTGAACCCCCCAGGCGAATTAATATAATAATTATAGTAAGATTAGAGTGCCGAAAGGTCGTTGAAAGGGGCGAAGATTGGTAGAATAGAGTATTGGGTTACCATGTACTCCGGAAATCCGATCCAATGAGTAAAGAGTAATGAGTATCGGGTTTGACGATGGAAAAGATTAGGTGAAAAAAAAAGATAAAAAAAAAAAAGACCAAAAGACCAAAGGAGTGAAATGAAGACAAAGTTGGGAGAAGATCGAGAAATATTGTATAGAGTCGAAGAGCTAATCGCGGGGTGAAACGCCCAACTACTATTTTGCTATTTTTTGGGGATTTCGGTTTATTTTTTCCATTAAATCGGATTTTTGGAATTTAATTAATTTTTAAACTCTTCATTCCAGACGTGGAACAAAGTGGCTCTGCATCAGACCGACACTAGGACTAAGAGGGATATATCGACTTAAACGATGATCTCAGGGGAACTTCGTGACGAGTTCTAGGGTATACATAACTCTTCTATTCCTCTTGATTGTACCCATGGACTCTGTAGTAATATTTCATCCATGGACTACTTCGATGGTTTTTCTCTCTTTTTTTTTTAACTGCTAAATATACCCTTATGTAAACCCCACCCCCTGATTGCGTACTATTCCAAGCTGGTTGATGGCTAATGATACAGAAAGGAACCATGGTCTGGGAGCCCTGACACAGTGGGGTCAAAGTGGATGGGAGGGTAGAAGACGATTTGGGCTTAGAAGCAGAGGGCTGTCAATCCTTGATGAACTGGGGAATTTATCTATCCTAACTAACTCCCGACTTACTTGATTTGCGTCGGGAAGCTTGGGTCGGCAGCTGGAGCCAATGAGCTTGGGCATAGGGTCCATTATTGCGAAAGAACCTTCTGTCTCTGGGCATTTCCGAGTTGATCATCTTGTACTTGAAGATCCCCCTAAAATAGGGGATTGTTCGATATAATTTTGACCCTATTTCTCTATAACGAATGTCAAGAGGTATAGTATGAAGACAGATTTCAATTCCCATGTCAACAGAAAACGTACCACGGATTGATTGATTCTAAAAACAGAAATTCAGGGTCCACGTATCAGCAGGCAATGCGGCTTTTTTTTTCTTTTCCTCATTTCCTTTTCGGAAATACTTTTTTTTCCCCTTGACCCAAAAAGTCTCTTCCCCCTTTTCTACCTTTTTACCTGCTGGTTTGGATCTTGGCCCCAACTATCCGGGGCGTAGCTTATTCTACCTTAGTACATCGATGACATCGTTTCATCTTGAAATTGTTCGTCAATATCGTGACTATAACCTCTTATTTTTAACTTGCTTTCCCCTTTTTCCTCGGTAAAATTTGGTCAATGGTGGCTCACCAATGAGATTTATTTGTTCTTAGTCACTGCTCCATTTTACCCGCAACAGTACCAAGGGGGATATGCGCCCCCGTACCTTGGGTGAAGATATCGATAGCCGGTTAGTCAGGACAATCTTAATGACCCCAACAGGAGTTTAGACGATCATGTACGGAAATTGACTGGGAGGCGAAGCAGGAAAAAATCAAAATCAACACCAGAATCAGTATAAAGAAGCACAGAGTATACCAAGGAACATTGGAATGACATACTATGCATCTGGCTTCGCCCAAGTTGGACGTTGGTCCGAGGGGCTGGAAGAACACATTGGCTGATGCAAAGCACAGAAGCGATCTTGCTCCAACTGCCATTCTGTAACACGGTCCCACCAGTGGGGCCTTACTCAAGGTTTAATTAGGGGATCATCGAAACGCCGTAGCGTGTTAGAGAATAATCTTGGCAACCCGTCAGAAACGAGGAAAATCAGCGGATCAAGATTCTTTTGTTCTTCGAAGCTTCAAGCGAGCTTCCATGAGCGATGCCTAATCCTAATGGAGTAATAGAGCAGAAAGGAAGGTTCTACGAACCATTCTGTCGGGAGTGGAGCAAAAAAATGAAGGTAGAATAACAAAAAAGATATAATAGGTAAAGAGAGGAGAAAGAGACCTTTTTAGACGATCATGACCATGATCATCATTATGGCCGATCAGGACTACTGTACGGAGTAACAGGCAAGGACCTTGGGTTTGGTGGAATGGAGCAGAACAGAAACAGAAAAAAGGGGCAATTCCCATGTCGTGGCTTTTTGTGGACACGACCATACTCGTCGTATAATGAAGTTGTTGAGGACCAATCATTCCTAAAAGCCATGCTTCATCTCGCTCGCTCCTGCTCAGCCTTGGCCCCGCATCCACGCATCAGGAGGAAGATCGTCAACCGGGCCAAGAATCATTTTACCTGATTGGATCTGCAAAGGCCACGGTGCATTGAAAAGCAAAATTCAAAATTGCCTCCCAATGTTGACGCGGCGAGTTATGAAATTCAAGCACGCGATTAGATCTGGCAGTAGCGTGGTGGACATACTCCACTTCATGCTCGGCTGTGCTGTACCATTGTACAAGAGTAGCATGCTTCTCCGATGAATCCACTAAGACTGATCAGTGCAGAAGTTCAGATTTGGTTAGGTAAAACGTAAAATGTAAAACCCCAACGGTCGATCGGCTTTTTCTAAACAAGGGTCCACGGCTGACTCAGATCTCTGTTTCGCCAACCCTTGGGATCTAATGCATTTAAGATTGAAGTGAAACATAACGGTGCACTAGAAGTATTCTAATTGGGTTTCTTGATCTATCTTCCATGGTCGCTTCTAATCACCAATTCCCCGGTCTGACGTGGGATTTCACATTGACCCCCTCGCTAAACCGGGTATGGTTTAGTAGGCAGCCAGGTTTCTCCCAACTGCCGACAGGGCACAATCCCGGACTCCGTGCATACTGATAACTGCGTCTCCAAACTCACTTGGACTGTAAAGGCAGACTTGCTCCGGATCTTATCCTATTTCGGAGTACCCCCTAAGCCTTACAGTAAGGAAGTTAAAAAGCAAGAGCCGTATATTTATATCCGTATGTAAAGATGGAAAATACCTCGGGAAAGCCTACGGAATGGTAGATCGGAACACCCGAAAATGAGGCATTTTAGCCTTTTGGCAGGAAATCACTATGTACATAATTTATGTTATATATTATTTATTTGTATGGGGAAATCCACAGTCGATCGGAGAAAGCAACGTACACATGTGAACCTTGCGGCCATCCAGAGATCTGGACCATCTATCTATGTTCTTTGTACTGCGTATACTACATTCTTCCCATTACATATGAATATCCATTCTCTTTGAAACATTTCAACCTTGGCGGAGTCCTCCGTCCTCCGTCCCGAGAAAAACCCAATCTCATCACAAGGCCAAGTCTCTGGGACTCCAGTGGGTCAAGATGCAGGGACCTCACTGGTTCCAAGCCAATTCCCCAGCTGTTTCACCATCCTCGGGCCCTTAACCCAAATAAGCAATCCATGGATCCCCTCTTTAACCTGCAACTTGCCTTACGCGGCCTCTCAAGAAAATCGGAAAATATGAAAATCGGTTTCCACTGGATCCAATGGAAACGAAAATTTCCCGAGGTTGGGGAGCGCTTATCCTATTAGATTATAGTATTGTATTTGGGCGTTGATGTCCACATGGACTGGGAGAAAGGAAGGTGGTATCTGACCAACTTCCGACCGTGGCTGTGCTTGAATGTTTTATGTTTTGGGGAGTAATTGATTTTTTATTATTTTTCCTTGGGGTCTTTTTTTTTTGTTTTATGTTTTACTATGTTTTAGGATTTTGATTGTGGTTTTGGATGATGCGCGAAATATGATCGGAATCTGAAAAGGGGTTGGGGTGCTATTCTCGCTTGGGTATGTGAACCCGACGCTTTGGAAGCCGATTTTGATGTACTACCCAGGCTAAGACTTATTCCAGGAAATATCTCGTCCTTTGAGCTATACTGGCATTGGCAAGTAATTACCGGTGCTCATAACCGTAACGCCACGCGACGTCTTCTGCAAGGATCATCGTCCTCCTTATCGGTGCTTCCAAAGGTTGCTTCGTAACGATGACGGAGGCGATTTACACGCAGATCACGATCAACCTATACCTGCCAGGATTCCATTATAATAGGCTCTAATTGATATGATGACATTTGATATGATGACATCCCATCCCTAGGTTGGTGTATGCTGTCATTAGTAGTTGCCTACTCGCACCACGACGGGTACCTTGATTGCCCGTGCTTCCCGGACACAGCACGCGATGCATGTTCGTCCCACCCGGCCGATCAGTGCGTGGCTCCCTACTGATGCGCACCATGCTCGAACGAACGTCTCCTTGGTTCGAGAGCCGCGCGCATCAATCACAATGGTCTCCGAACATTTATCCTGTGTCGGTGCTGGGTGCTGAGGGAGGGACTCGAGAGAGACGTTCTTATATGTAAATGCTCGATGTAGGGGGTGCCCTGGGAGACGTTTGAATTCACTCCAGTCCGTGGACCCTGTCTTCCCAGGCTCCTGACGATGAGATAAGAAGCCCAGCGGCGGCCGACATTCATGGGCGGATACAAAGCGCACGTTGTATATCAATGGTAACGAGATCGTAGTCATTTCGGATTCACCTTCCTTCCCAAGGGCAAAGGAGATAGAGGCCTCACCGCTGATGATATTTCTTCTCTGGGGCGTTTTCACATCCAACTTAAGCGCTTCCAAGCTCACGGTCGGTTCGGAACTACTCGTAGCGGGCTGGTCAATCGGCAACGTAAACGCGTCGGGTGTGATATCACCCTTTCCGAGCGGGGTTGATTCCAGCGCAAGCTTGCCTCCCTGCTTAATACGAGGGCGGCACGAACCCGAACTCGGTACCCGCTCGACCTGGATTTCGAACCAGCCGGGTTCTAGAGGGTTCAGGTCTGCATCATGGGGGAGCACGTCGCAACCGACCCATCCCATGCAAGTCTGAGCAGAATCCTGAGCCGATAAGACACGGCCAACGATACATGGCTTGCTCCAGTAGCTGCGGTCTTTGAATACAAAGCCACCGTAGACATTGGCTGTTGGTCCTAGCTGCTGGATTGCATCGGCGTCGTTCTCTAGTAAGGTCCCGATGAGGAGGTGACTGATTCCTTCGCCGGGGATGACGAAGCCTGATAACCAGCTTCGAGAGATCCAGCCTAGACTTTCCGATGCGTGCGGATCGCCGTCTTCCATGCAAGGACTGCGGAGCTTGATGAATCGTCTCGACTGGCTTCGGGTGTACATGTCTCCTTTCACCAATCGTACGGCTGCAGGTTCCCTGAATGTCTTTTCCGCTGCTGCATGGGCTACCTCCTTATTGATTGGCGGGAAAATTAAAGTCTGCCCGTCGCTGAGTTTCTTTTCTAATGTGGTCTTGAGTGTGTCAACACCCGGCCATCCGATGTTTTCCGCAAAGACACAGAGTCCCTCCAATTGTTGTCGAATATGTGGAGAACTGATATGGCATTGCCAAGCTGAGCGCACATCTAGCTCAGTGGTCGATGTGAGGCGACGATTGATAGAGTCCAGGAACGAAAAGCGATGTTTCGCAGTGGTTTTGTCCGATGTAGGAGTGCCAACTGGTGAACTCTCCGCTGGCGTCGAACCACACTCGATTTCAAGAATGTCAAGAAATCGGCGCACAACAATGAGATCCCAGTTCACTTTTCCCTCTCGCAACTTGTCAAAATGGTGGAGCTCTTGTGTGGTCATGGGGCCGCCGCGGGAATCGTGTAACATGTCCATGCGAATAAACGCATCGAGACGAATCAGCAGCTCCGCTGCGAGTAATAGTTGAACTAAGAGCCACTTTCGCTCTATGCCAGGATTCATCCATGGATTTTGTGATGTCCCAGTACTAGATGCATTATAACAGTCCCCGTCCGCGTGCGGAGGTGCCTCCCATAGAACCTGGCCGGCTCGGACGCGCCACTCCGGCAGACTGAAATCGATCCATGCGCCTGGAGCAGCGAGGACGGTCGTCAATGTCTTGATTTGTGATTTGAGACTCTCTGGGTGTCCAGACACAAGATCTGCGATAGGCGGGCGCGGATGCAGGAAGTGGGTATGTAAAAGGGTGTGTAGTTCGTGAGACGATTCGAAGTCCAAAATCGTCAGTGGTGATCCATCCACCAGCAATTTCAAACGCAATTGTCGTAATCGTGTCAAGCGCCGCACCAGCGTCCGAAGATTTATATCTCGTACTCCAATGCGCTTCCAAGCAGTGGGTCCTTCTTGTAAGAGTCGGCGTCGATCAAACACAGCACCACTCAGGCACTGCGAATACGGCTTGTTGTAACCATCCATCAACCCAAAAGCCTCAGAAGCAGGCAGTTGCGAAAGTCTTTGCATTTCTGGATTTTCCCGGGGCTCCGACGGCCCAGAGTATCGAACCATATCTGCAATGTCATATTCCAAGAAGTGTCTGTAACCAACAGTCCCTGGCTCTCTCCCGTTATTGGCCAGCATGTTCGGCACCTCGAAGACACCTATATCGAAGGATGCTCTTTTGAGCCCTCCTGTCCGGTGCCAACTGTGCAATTCGATCGGGACCCCTCCCCTCACGGCCCAGTTATCTGGTACTGGAAGATGGGCATGGAGGGTACACAGAGTGAACGAAGCATGAGGCAGTGGCTTGCGATCTAACATGCGTAGAATGGATGGATTGTGTTCATCCCAGGGGAAAATGACTTGCGGATACCAACGACCATGCTTGCCCCTCTCGAGCAAGAAATGCGGGGCTCCGGATAGAATGGCCTTGATGTCTTTCTTTTTCAAGTCCGCTTCATTGTCATCTTTCAAACTAAGGGCCTCATTAAGACGAAACTCCAGGTAATCTTGAATATTGCCCGGTTGCTTCGGCTCACTATGAGTGACCGCAGAAGGTAGCTCCGGACTCCCAGGAGTCCTGCATGTAGGATGCCCAGAGTGAGAGGGCGAACGATCACGCTGTCCACTACTTTCGCGACCTTGTTCCCGCCGTACGGGCTGATTGGTCTCGATTTGGGGTATAGGGCCCCGATTCTGGAGTCATTGTTAGCGATGCTTTCTTTTTTTTCTCGCATTTCCCAATCCGACCGTCTACATAAGTGCCAATCTTACCGGGGTCCGAGGTTTCGAGCTCAGCGAATCCGAATTTAGCACGCTGTCAGTCTTTCTTCGAAATAAGCCACGGAGGAAGCCCGGGCCCGAGTCAGTCGCGTTCTGATGTGGATTTGAGGACGAATGGCGCGAGGCTGTAAGTTCTGCTTGTTTTTTTGAGTCCTGCTCGGCGTGGTCAGGTGAGCCCACTTCTGAGTGGGAATGGCGACGACTGGGGAGGAACGTCATTGGGGGTGCGGCTAGAACATAGGTCAGGGATGCGTGTCAGGGATGCGCTGGCACCCACAGAAAGATATACTTGATAACTACCTGGGTAAGAGAGAATGAACAAAAGGCTTAAAGATATCAAATATAAGAAGTTGAACCTAGACCGCTGATCTCGGGTCTATCGGCTTCTTGTGGCGGATCCCTGGGACGGATGACGGCAATGAAAGCGGGGATTACCGCATTCGGATCAATGACCATTCGAACCACATCAATTCGTAGATAGCCCGATACAATAAATAAATAAGCTAGCTAAAAGGATAGTAGAGCCTGTACATCAATATTCCCAACTCAGGAGCCCAAGCATAATCTACAGGCGGTTTCTTGGCACAGAGGATCTAGATACCATCAACTATCCTGATATTTTATTATAGGTGGGCAGCTCTTACGCGTTCGCGGCGAAGAACTGCAGCAGGGTCTTGTAGCCACGCTCGTACTCGCTCTTAACCTCAGGGTCCTCCAAGTTGGAGCGGGCAGCCATCCAACCGTGGATTTGGGTTGAGAAGGTCTCAACGTGGTTAGGGACGACCAGGTTAGCCTTGAAAGCCTCAACATCACTTGCGGGCTCGTCCTTGGAAGCGAGCATAGCGAAGGGAACCTTGATGGTCTTCGCATCGTTGGGGTCGACCATAGCGGGGTGGCACTGAGCGGCGGACTTGAAGATCTTGTTGTCGCCAGCGACGGACAAAGCGGCGATCTTACCACCCCAGCAGAAGCCAAGGATAGACCAGTCAAATCCGTCATTGGGGGCGAGCTTGTTGGCCTCGGACACGATCTCAGGAATCTTGGGAAGGTGGAGAGGGGGGGCGGCCACGTTTTGGAAAAAGTTGCCGAGAAGCTTCTTGTGCTCATCGGTGGTAGGCGGGTACCAGGAGATATCGGCGGGCTTGCCCTCGAAGAAGTCGGGCATAAACACGCGGTACTTCTCCTCGCTTGAGGTGGCCAGGATATCGGCACCCTGGATGGTCTGGTCGAAGAAGCCGAAGATGTCTGGACAAATCGACGATTAGCGGCAAGGCCGATCCTGGGGACTTCAGATGAACCCACCGTATACGACGAGAATGGCCTTTGTAGCGGTCTCGGGACCGGTCACGTCTGCATTGGTCAGCCTCTAGTCTCCAGTCCGTGTTTGTCATATTCAGCTGCATACATGTCTTCAGGCCATTGATGGTCTGGTAGGCGCCCTTGGCCTGGTATCCCTTGGACACTACAGGGGGGATGCTGTGGAGAGTCAGTCACGGTCGACCAATCTAGAGACGATGTTGACGAACGAGCAGCAGGCCTTGCTAATTCCAGACATGGTTGCCGAGTGGATCTTGAAATAGGAGATTTGGAGCGAAGAGCTAAAAGAGGCAATTGGTTAGAGCAGAGCTGAGAGGAATGGAAAGGAACGTTAGTCTTACGAAGTTTCAAGAGTTGAAGCTGTAAATGTAAAATGGAGGGGAACAAAAGCTGGAAGCACTTGAGGGGTTTTCGTGAACCCCGCTGAGTCGACGTCATCGGAACAATAACTCGGCAATTCATGTCACAATTTGACGTGAGCTCAAATGCTTTGTGTTTACTTTTCAAATTTTGTTGACTGAAAATCATCTGGTCATACTTAATCAAATCAACAGTACGAGATAGATCTTTTGATGCATGTATTCAAAATTAGGTAATGGGGAGGTTCCGAGGTCAATGTGCATACTCTACGGTCGCAGTGAAACTCTCCTGAGGTACGGAATATATAGTCCACTTATCGATCATCCATATGTCCCAGGTCTCCCGGAGACCTGAACCGTAAACACCCATGGATTCAGGATCTCAAGTGCGACTTGACACACTATACATCATTTGAACCTTGAAAGTCGTGATTGATCCAAGCACTGGTCAACGACTGTTCAAATCTTACCTGGGGAAAGCATATAGCCGACTCAACAATGTAGATCAACATTTGAAGCTTGGAATTCATGTACTTTCAATTCAACGGTTCCAAGCTCGTTTAGATTGTTCAATCCCTGGGTCAACTGACGAAAAATCTCAATAAAAGGGGTATATTCAAGGAAGTTGATATAATGAGTGGTCCGTCAATTGAAGGTTTGTTTGTACAACAATAGTACCACGTCCACATAACATTACGACTCAACATCCACGGATATGTGATAGGTATCGCGGCTCAGTGTGTCATACTCGCCACTCGCCACTTGTCACCTGTTCTATAGACCATCCGTGGATAATGAATACATGCACAAGATAGATCACTCAACTCCGCTATCTAGCAGACCCGATAAGCTCCATCCGGGCTTACTTCGTATACAATACGCAGAACCTAATATGAAACAGAAATCAAAAAGTCTCTAGTCTATATAGGTAGACAGGGGCATCTGACCAAATCCACGAAGTCCAGTGAAAGGGGAAAGGAAAAACCCCCAAATGCACCCGACGAAACATACAGCCTAGCCCCAAACTCAGCCCTGCAGCCTGCAGGAAAGTTAGGTTAGACCTTAGACCCTCCTCATGGACACGTAGATCTCCCGACACTTAGTTCTCCTTGGAGGCTCTAGCCCTAGCTCTGGAGTCGATCGTTGAACACCAGGGATCAATTCTTGATTCTAAGGCCCACGGCGAACGCCAACCGCGCAGCCACAACCGGCAGGAACCGACACAGGCGACGATCGCATGGCTCGAGCCTTGGACTGAAGCCCTGGTGGATCCACTCGCGCTGTCACATTTCGCCCGGGAGCCGCCTTGCATGAGGGGCCATCTAGCAAATCGGCTGCGAACCACAAGTCCCGAAGGGTTGATGGGTACAGAGTAGAATGAGGGTCCGAAATAAGATGTGTTTAGGGGAGGTCTAGAAGGCCGAGATTCAGATTGAGGGGCTGTGCAAAGTGTCGGTCCTTCACTAGTAGAGAGATTGTATTTTTGTATTTTTTTTTTTGCTTTGTTTGTTTTGTTTTGTGTATCTGAGTTATCTCTAAGATATGAATGCCAGTTTTATTCATCAATTATGTATAATCATAATGCATCGACTTCCTTTACTCCGTTCTATCCGTCGGATCTTTTTTATTTTTCGGTCTCCCTTGGATCCACATGCGCGTGGGTCGAACAGAAAATAGTTAAGTTAGGCCATTGCAATCCTCCCGTCAGAACGGAGCAATTTCTATCCCTAGGAATGTGACAAGCGAAAAGGGACAAAAAGGCAAAAGTAAAAAGGAGAAAAGGGAAACGGAAAAGTGCCTCACATGCCTCCCCCTTCGAGCTAGACCGGGGGCGGAGGAAAGAGTGAATGCGGACCCGATCGCGATATCCCATGCATGCATTAGAAGCGAGGCTATAAGAGACGGGTACGTCCGGAACGATGGGTCAATCTCGGCTTTTTTCATCACTTTTGAAAGGGTGGGGAGTAGTTTCATGTTAAGGATTACGAATAAGTATGTACTCCATGTGAATGTGGAGATTTTATTTATTTCAAATGTTTATTGTATTAGATTTCTCCATTTTCATTTCATGTAGCACTCCCTAGTGATTGTTAACTTTTTGGGGATCGGCATGTGTCTGTACTTGTTGCTTTCGCCCCCAATTCCCAACTTCCAAGTTCATAAGCATCTGTCAGAGTCTGAACACTAAAGTTTCATTCGATTGGTTGATATGGAGGCGCCCATGTTTGTCCGTCCCATGGAAGCGAAGTCAATGTGAATTTGACTCGTGTGGAGTTTATCAGTGGTGCCATTTCCGAGCGCCACCCCGATCGCACGCGCCATATAGCTAGAAAAAAGCTTTAAACCCTAAGGACTTGATTATATCCCGACATAAAAGGAGGGCACCGGGGGAATGGAACCGATGCAAAAAGGTTTGACATTTTCTTGGTTCAAAATTGGTGCCACTGGGTTACCCTTGACCACGCTACAAGTCTCCATAGTCTAGGGACCGAACCAATACTTCGTTGTATGACTTACAGAACAACTGCCGATACTTTTGAAGTAATCTATTATTGAAAATCATTCAAAATTGATAAGTAAATTTTTTTTGATCCGGGGGACTAAAGGGGGGTTTTTTTTAGTTCCCATTAGTTCTGCTTCGCAGGTGACCAGCATGGAGCATATGGCCCCTCTTTTTCCCTTTCAGTCTAAACCTTTTTAGGTTATATGTTCTAGCGCGCCGGGAAGGTAACGAATCAGAATCGGTCCAGCTCGCTTGCCTCTACCCGGGGACGCGCTGGACGCTCCAGACTCTTATAGTCTCGTATTCTAGTCATTCCGACCCAGTCCGTGCTGTTTCTGACATGCGCCTCATTGGGCAGGAATCTCGCCAAAGGGGATATCATTATTTTACTTTACCATATCATATAATAAAGTATGTTAAAGGGGGTAAGATAGAGCATTAGATTACCGGAAGATTCCCAATCCATCCTAGCATCCTTTTCATTTTGTTTGGATTGATTGAATTTTTTGCTCTTTTTTTTTTCTTTCCTTTTCACGCGATGAAGGACGCAAGGGGAACGTCTACTTTATGTCCCCCACTATTTTACTTATATTTTTCCCATCTTTTTAACTGGTTATGTAGGATGTTTTTATAATAATCGTAGGGATTTCAAAAGTACTTTAAAATTAAAAAGGAAAAAAAAAAAAATCAAAACCAAACAAAAATTTATATCTCTTCATATCATAAACAACAACTTCATGTCTCTTTCAAGTGGCGATCCGATCGAGTGATACAGTCGATCTCGATTCTTTAAAAAGCTCGGAACGGCCAACCGGGGACTGGGACTAAAAGGAACTTGATTTAGGGCCTGTCAACCACGTTGTTCTCTTTTTTTTTTTCTTTTCCCTTTTTTTCTAATTAAGAAAAAAATCAGTTTGATTAAAATCCACTTTTGGCACATTTCGCTATTATTGACCGCGATTTTGATTCTTTGGTTCATCTTCTGGAGTCTTCGCATCGTTCTTCCCCACGCTTTGGCCCAGACCCAAGTCGACCGACCTTTCTTATTTGGTTATTTATCATTTGGTCCGACCTTTTTTATACTATAATTACCTGACTTTCCCCCTCCCCGCGCTTGCCTTTACGCCTCCCCCAACGCCACGGCTGTTTTCTTTGTCAACTCCTTTCGCCTCCTTCCCCCCCACCGAAGCTTTGGTTCTTCGTTACACGTGTTTGCATCGTGCTATCCTCGATACCATGCCATTCCCGCGCTTACGTCGACCGTGACATCTTTCCCACCGTGTCGTGCGGGTACCTCCACGTCGACTCCAACTCTAATCTTGTAGTTTACGGGGAAACACTTGAGAACCACCATCAACCGGGGTTCTGTCTCTAAGCAAAAAGCCAATAACCCAAACCAATATCATCGCAAAACTTCAACAGCAAAGATCGACTCGAGTCTTCGACTGTTGCTCCACTCTCCGATCGCAACACCCAGCGATCGACATCCGCCCCTCCTGGATCCTTCGAGCCCTTCGGGGGCCCTTCCTGGCGGTCGAGACTGGACTTTGAACCCTGAAAATTCTTTTACCAATCTCCCGATTCATCTCCATTCAAACATACCCGATTCGGATCTCTACGGCTCACAACATCCTACCGTCAACCTGGCGACTCTCGCGGTCCCGGCTCCTATGGGCACGGCGTTGGATGCGCTGACCACTCAGCCATTGGTGAATCGCCGGCCTGCAGCCCCGACCTTACCGAGTTTCGAACTCCCGCCGCCTCAGTTTGGATTGCCCGGAGGTGTCGCGCAAAAATATTCGACCCACCAAAATCATCCTCCTGTGTCGCATCCACCCGCCAATGTAAGCGTGGGCAATCTGCTAACCCCACCGGCGACAAATCAGTCTGGAGAGACTATCCACCCCGCACATCATTTGGCATCCGCGGGAGCTTCCGAGCTGCCTCCGACATATTGGTCAGGGAACAGCCCGTACGGAGGACCGGGATCAAATAACCAGACCTGGGCTTCTGGGGTACACGCAGCCTATCAGGGCCGTCCGGCATTTTCGCCTGGGGGTCTAAGCCGTTCTAGCGTGACATCTCCTCCTACCACGGACGGGCTACCTCAGCCATTTGAGGCGCCATCATTAGCCTCTTTCCAACAAGGCTTGCCCGCACCGCCTTCTAGTCTTTCCCACGCACACCCAGCTACCATGGCCTTATATCCACCGGGACACGCTACATCTCCCGCACCATTGCCCTCAAATGACCCTTATGCGCCCAAACATCCTTCTCTATATGGCGCCCCACCGCATCTGAGTCCCCACCAAGGTGGATATTCTCCTATCTATGGCGCTCCTTCCATGGGAGCTGCCGGAGTTGGAATGAACCACTCCGCACGCATGTCTGCCCAAAGCCCGACAGGCCAACCACACCTGGGATACAGTCGTCCGCCCTGGCCCTCGTACTCACTCCCCGCGATGAACGGACCCGTGATGACAAACGTCCACAGCCCGAATAGCCCCATGGCTATGATGGGAGGCATGCAGCCAGGCTTCCTATCCGGTTTCAACAGCGGACATGTGGCAAACAACCAGCATCTTTATGGAGGTCACCCACCACCCCACGGTCTTCCTGCGCCAGCCCCGGATCGTCCATTCAAGTGTGATCAATGCCCTCAGAGCTTCAATCGCAACCACGATCTTAAACGGCACAAGCGAATTCACCTGGCCGTGAAGCCGTTCCCTTGCTCCCACTGTGACAAGAGCTTTTCGCGCAAAGATGCGCTCAAGGTATGTTTAACAACCCTATCTCATCTAGCGCCTCCACTAATCCCTCTCAGCGGCATATTCTGGTCAAGGGTTGCGGTAAGGATGGTGACTCCGAAACCAATCAAACCGACATCAAGGGCGAACGAAGTGAGGACGGCAGTCCCACACTCAACGGACGAGCTTAATGCGTACCACTATATTTCTGCATCCCTGTGGCATCTGTTTCCCTCGTCCACCCCATCTTGTGTATCTATTTCCGGGGCAGTGACATGAAACATGCAACAGCGGCTTGGGAGTCAGTGAGGTTTTTTGACCCAATTTTTCTTGTTCTTGTGCTGTTTATTTTCGCGCTGGCGAAGGGTGTGTTGACATGGGCATATTGGGACGGTCTGCTTTTATTATCTGTTTGATTATTGTTTCTGAGCCTGACGTGTCACGTGTGTATTGATCTTATTTCTGATTTGACAAGCGAGTCCGGATTGATTTTTGCCGGGAGTTGGACTCGGTGTTCGGTATATAACAACCTGTGCATGAATGTTCCCATAATGGAAAGCATCTACTTTAATTGCCTCGATTGATCTCGTATTCCCAAGGCCTTCAATTTTTCTGATGAGATTTGAAAACGGCTGTATTAATAAGACAACGGCAACATTATCAAGACCGTTCCAAATTCCCAGGTGCGGATTTCTTTGTTCTTGCTGCCAAGGTTCCCTACTGAACCTTTAAATTGGCGCCTCACCCGAATGGCTGATTCTAGCTGAATTTGAGTCAAATGAAGCTCTCTAATTGACTACTTCGTATATGCTAATCCCAATCCAGAACGCCGCTAAAAGTCATCGCAAACGCCATCGTGAGTTCCGGTCCGAAACCTACACCATTCTTTGATGGTTAGCTTCAGCCAAGATCAGGCTTCATGGAAAAGGAATTCTATAAGCCATGGCTCACAGTATCCATTCCATGGGTATTTAAACAGTGCTTTTGTGCCTACCGATAGTCCAGTTCAGGCTCTGATTCCCTGCCATCCGTTATAACCCAGTCTATAACCCGAGTACTGGGATCTATATATCCCCTCTTTCTTTTTCATATCCATTCTTCATGTTGATTTCATCCCATATGTATAAACAATTCCTCTACGTTCTCAAAGGACTACTTTCCCTAATAATCATACCAACATCCGCATCCCCCAACCCGAACCCAACCCCACTCATCCCATTCCCATTCCCCTCCCCCAACTCCCTCCCCCAAACCCAAACAGGCTATACCTACAAAATACCCAGAGGAATTCAAAATGGCACAGCAAACGCTCGCTTCACAATCCCAACCCCAAACAAAACCCTAAACACTACCTCCCGCCTCATCCTCGATACTCCACGAATCTCAAAAGTCACCACCACCTCCTTCGACTGGTGGTATTTCGACGCCGTCTCAACAACGACCCCTGCTGAATCACTGACAATAACCCTCTTCACGTCCTCATCAAGCGCATTTCCCTGGCTCGACTCTAGCGAATCATCCGTTCTAATCTCTTACCTTTGGGCGGCCTTTCCGAACGGCTCTGTATTCGAAGAGTATTTACCAGCGACAATCGCTACACTTTCTGAAACATCTAATTCTTCCAGCTCAGGACTATGGAGTGACACGGGGTTTACGTGGGTTGCGGGGGAAGAACTTTCTCCGTACAGAGTTACTGTTGAGTCCGAGGAGATGGGAGTTTTAGAGATCTTTCGTAATGGAATCCGTAAGTTTTTCAATTTACAAATGTTTTAATTGGATTCGGAATTGGAACGATCAGTACTTACTGAGTTAAGGAACAATCACCACATTTACCGTGCGGAATCCAAGATGAGATATCTACGTTAGAAATCGTCCCGAACGTAGGCTGGACGAGTCTTATTCCTGATGCGGGTGCCAATGTGGATATGAGTATCCAGGGATCAAGATTGAGGTTTCAAGGAAGAGGATACCATGATAAGGTCCGTTATAATCAAACCCACTCTTATATATTGAAGATAGACCCACATTATCTTAATTAATACCCCCTCTGATCACACCAGACGCTACTAACAGTGCATACAGAACTGGTCCAACCTCCCCTTCACAGAAAGTATCTCAAGCTGGTACTGGGGCCACGGCCGTGTAGGAAATTACTCAATCGTCTGGTTCAGCGCGATTGCAAATAATCAAAATTATACAAGCAGCTACGTCGCACAGAACGACCAGGTCCTCGTGTCCTCGTGTGAGGATATGTTCCTCACCGTTCGTCCGGCGGGTCACGGTGTGTCGAACTCGAACTCGACCGCGGCTCGGTATCCGCCTCGGGCGGGGGATATTCCAGATGGGTTTACGGTTCAGGCTTATTTGGGGGAGGGGGTTTGGTTGAAGGTTAGTGTTTCCATTGTTGTGCTTGTTACGGGGGACTGGGAGTATTATATGAGGTGGTCGGGTGGGTTGGTTGGGAGTTTGGTTGATTCTGAGGGGAGGGTTGTGGATGCGGGGAAGGGGGTTGCTGTTTTTGAGCAATTTGCGCTGGAGGAGTGATTCCAAGGTTCGACTTGAATGTTATTGTATGTGTGATATGAAGATGGATTGGTTAACTGTATAGGCTTGAGGTAAAGGATGAACATGAAGATGGAGAACGGGACTTGGATATAACTAGAGTTACATATCGACTAGAGTTGAGAATGTAGGGCTGGCTTTTTAGCAAGTGCATTTCTCAATGAAAACCTTGGAAATTTTTCGTCGGCTGATCCACCCTAAATAAGAATCGTAGGATGTGAAGTAGAGATTCATAAAAAAGGGGTATCTCGCGGGAGGTGCGAAGAAAATAGACGAAAGATCATCTGAGTTACAAAATCATTTCAAGATGCTTTAGCCTTCCACTCCTCGACTAAACCGACATAATCCTCCATCCCGTGCGGCTGGAACCATCGTGCCAGCATACCCTTCTTCCGCTCAGTAGACAAGCCCAGATCCTTCAGCATCCAATCCAGGTACGACACAGCATCGAAAACAAAATCAGGGTTCCGGTGCCCGAAACCACCGGGGTATCTGTACTTGCCGAACTCGGTATGCAGAGCAGTCTCCCAAGCTAGGTCGAGCTCAGAGTCATCTTCGGACTTAACGTCCAAAGATGCTCGGATATCTGGGGGGCAACGCTCTGTGGAGGTAGGGGTGAATTGATTGTTGAAATATGCTGAGATCCAAAGTGCCTGTGTTTGGGCGAGCATGGTCGTGTTGATTGTCATGGGAATACCCATGAATGCTAACGATCGATCTTTGATTGCTGAAAGGGGGATCATAAACCGCGCCAGGCGGAATGGATGCGGGGCTGCAGCCTCGGAGGTGTCGTTTAGTGGATGGAACTTGGGATTGGGTGTTGGTGGCTCGCTGAGGCGAGGGAAGCGGCGGAGGATTTCTGCATCGGCGGCTTCGAGCATTTTCCTGTCTATTGGGTCTTTGCTCCAGGGGAAGCCTAGCTCGCGGTCGATTCCCTCGGGTAGGAATTTCAAATTCGGGGTACCGCGCCAGCCCGTTGAGCAGATCAGAGCTGTGGTAGCGAGATTTTCCCCTGTTGACAGATGGACTGTGTGGTCGGAGAGATGGTCCAGATCGGCAATGTGGATTTTGACAGAGCCGTTCTTGACTAGATCGAAGAAGTCGGTTGGGTAGTTTAGGATACTTAGTGATGAAGCAATCCAGAACGGGCTCACCCAGGGCTTGAGCTTTTTCGTCTCCGGGTGCTTGTCATAGCCGTTGAGCTGTACGACATCATCTGCTAGCACAGCCCAGAAGGCATCAACAATCTTGCGTCCTAGCCAAGTGCCGTGGAGGAAGTTCCGCACGCCTGAGTATCCATCGGCTTCACCCCAGATGCAGGGACTGAACCAGGTCAAGAACCGGGTTGTCACTAGCTTCTCTAACCACTTCTTCAACGGGGTCACATATGGAGGGGCCATCCAGCATGGACCGTGGCCGGACTCTCGAATGATCCAGTCTACTTTCATGCCAGCTGTGGCACACGCATAGACCGCATCCCAGGCAGATTTGGTGCCACCGAAGACCGTCACTTGTTTTTCTGATTTGAAGATCTCCCTCTCATATTGTAACATATCCCGACAGTGGAATAATGGCGCAGCAAAATCATCCTGGCCCTTGAAAGTAGGCAGATACGCCTGCGACGTAATTCCAGTCGCGACGATCAATTTCTTCGTTTTGACAGTCAGAGATTTTCCCTCATGCGACACGTTCAGTTTCCAGGATCCATCAAGATTCCGCTCAGCACTTTCAACAGCGTGATTTAACCGAATAAGATCCAGGAACTTGAAGTGCTCAGCATATGCGACGAGATACCGCTGCACCACCTCACCCGGAATATGTTGACCGGGCTTCACGCCAAAAGTAGCTTCGTCCATAGGGAAGTCGCTGAACTCATACGTGCCAAGCATGTTATTAGACTTTAGGCCACTGTACAGTCGATGCGAAGCCCACACTCCACCGACCGAGCTGGCGGCCTCCAACAACAAAACATTGCTGTCGGGATTAACCTCGCGATATGTCTTGATCGCCGCCAGGCCGTTCCAGCCTAGTTAAGATGTTAGTTCACCAAAAGGAATTGGGATGCGTCTGACGCGCATGAAAGATTTACCTGCGCCCACGACTACCAAGTCCACACTCTCCATTTCCATTTCTGAATGAATGGCGTTGACAGAGGTCATGCAAGAGCCAGAAAGCGTACACAAGGAGAGATATGAGGAGAATTAAACCAGAGTGGGGATGTCCGATGGTCAAAATGGCAATTACCGGGGAAATGAATTTCTGTAAAGGGGGGAAAAAATTAAAATCGGATTGGTGCAACATGTAACTGATCATTTCCCGTCCAAGGGATAGTTCGAACTAAACTCCATAAGGGGAATTCCGTTTCCCGAGATCCACTGAGATCCACAAAATGTTGAAGGTTCAAACCGTTTGTCAAAGCGTAACGTTGATAACGTGGTATGATCCACTTGGAAACGAATTTTGTTTGTTTGTACTGCAGCTTTCCAAACTACTAAGAAATACTCAATTCATCTAACTTTCCACCTTCCAACCTCCAACCCCCTGACCAAACTACCATCCCGAGACCCACTTACAACTTGAAACGTGAAACAGTCAAATTCCCTAACTCAAATATCTTTAATCCAAGGACATGATCATCAGAATATGACATATGCTTGATCGTCATAATCGATACATCACCAAGGGACAAACGAAGAAAAAGAAAAAGCAATCGATTCATATATTTGATATTTACTTTGGTCGATCAGACCCCATTTCGCCCAATCACGCAGATCAACATGCATGGACCTGTATAGGGTAATGGCCGGGCTAATGGACTTTGAATATGACTGGACCGGCTAATCGCAGGCCTGTATTTGTGTCCTGTGACTACAAATAAAATTCATTAGCTCACAACTAAGATATTGCTTTTCGGTGTAACGAATCGTGCATGGACAAGATCCGAAAATCGAAGAGCTATCTTCAGGGTGAGAGGGTGTCAGAGCTTTTCGCTTCCATGCCGATCAATCTACCTTAAGAATCGTGGATTAAATCACTTCCAGTAATCGGGGTACTCTGGATATTATTAGTTCACGGTAACGGTAAGCTGACGCCGTTAGCTCCCTACCCTACCCGCCTGTCAGAATCCGTCGTTCCCCATTTGGAGAACGAAATTGAAAGAATCATGGCGTCTTTCAAGGTTCATGTTTAACGATCCGATCTTTTTGCCCATTTTCAATCTGACCAGGATTGCGGACTTGTTTCTTTGTCTGGGCTGGTTCTATTGACAAGAACAGCGCCGAGGGAAATAACCCAGCTGTACATACAGCCGCTTTGAACACTGCCCCCCCAGGCAGGGATCGACTTGGTTCTTTATCTGGGTGTAACCCCCCAAAGAAAGGTGTTTTTGCTTTAAACAAACAAAATCGAATCTCTGCCTTTCATCATGAGTGAGTTCGTCACAGAGGCATTCACTTTGCTGGCCGTCGCTATTGTGATCATCGGTCTTAGAACCACGGCACGATGGATTATGGTTGGGCCTAAGAACTTTCAGGCGGATGATTATATCATGTTGCTGGCTTGTGTGAGTCCATATATTTCATGTACACTGGGGATTTTGCTAAATTTTGGAAATTAGGTCGTGTACGGCCTGGAAACTGGTGCAGCATATATGGTTGGTGCGTGGTTTGACGGCCTCGCAAATAATTCAATGACAGATGAAGAACGTACCACTTTATCTCCCACCTCGCATGAATATCACTTGCGTGTTGGAGGGTCCAAGGTCCAGGTCGCTGGTTGGTCTCTATATACTTTGCTGTTATGGCTTCTTAAAACATGTATGGCTATTTTTTACGCCCGATTGACGTGAGTAGACCGACAGGCTCTTCAAGTGGCCTTTTATACTGACTTGACCAGAGCGGGACTAGTCAATATGCGTATACGAATCCACGTCGCCTACTTCTTGATTGCAGCCACGTATATCATCACGGTTTCTTCGATTCTATTTGGGTGTCATCCCATGCACAAAAATTGGCAGATCAACCCTGATCCTGGCAGTATGAATTCTTCTTTCTTTTAATCGCTACAAATTCTAATCTGTCAATTTCCAGATCACTGCCAGCCTGCGGTATCCAAAATTGATATCTATGTGACTGTTGTACTCAATGTCGCGACAGATATCTATCTCATCAGCATTCCCGCCCCGGTAAGCCATGCGACGGAAACAAATTGGTCATTTCTGACATAATTAGATGCTATTTAAAGCTCGACTACGCTGGCGTGAAAAGCTCGAGCTCCTCGTCCTTTTCAGTGGGGGTCTATTCGTGATGATGTGTGGCATCCTCCGCTGTGTCCTAATTTTAACAGTAAAGAACACCCAACTTCTCACCCGTCCCATATTCTAACAGCTCTCTTCCTTTAGGCCGGTGCCAACGGAGCCGAACAAGCCGGTAGCTGGGCCTGTCGCGAAACCTTCGTCGCTGTCGTAATCGGCAATGTGCCAATGATCTACCCACTCGTCCGTCGCCTCGCCCGCCGCGCAGGCTTATACCTTACAACGAAATCCGGAGGATCGCAGAGCTATGAACTCTCAGCAGACTCCGCCGGCTATGTGAAGCGAAAGAAGTTCCGACACCCCCTCTCGCTCCCAGTTGATACAACGCTGTGGAACACAGTCAGTGACGAACAGATGATCTTACCCATAGCGCGACAACAACCAGCGACTTGCACCGCCAGGGAAGGGGACTGGGATACGATTAGCCATGGGAGTCATGGTGGTGGGATCAAAGTTGTCCACGAGACGATTGTACACAGTGCGGAAAAATAAAGTGAAACATAGAAATTACGCTAATGATGGAATGGAATATACCTAATGAATTGTTTTATCTTACTCGGCAAATAAATTTGCGTTCTTGTCGGTTTTTGTACTACTGAATGCATATCCACCGGAATAATGCTACAAGGAGCTTAGATATATGCATCTCCTCCCCACCGGGAAAACACAACCAAAATCAAAATCCCGAGGTCCTCCCGATCAAATCCGGGGAAACTTCTCCTCAATGCGGGGCTGCAGAATACCCCTGTGCCGGATTTCGTCAGAATAAACAAACAATTTACGACCGATCACGGAACTCCACACATAATACGTGACAATGCACCCCGAACGTCAAGAAAACGGGGCTCCGGTCGAACAATAAAAGGGCGAAAGAATCGCATTCCAAATAATCAACGCATGAACACCAATTCTTATCACGCAAATACACCATGTTTCGCTCCATGATCCTAACAGCCCTCCTCACCACGCTGGCAACAGCAGACAACATCACAGCAACAGTGAACCTCGCCGTCTCCCGAGGTTCACCGGCCCACCTGGCCTCAGGATTCATCTATGGAATTCCAGATACACCCAACTTCATCCCTGACCACTGGTACAAGGATATCGGATTTCGATACGGCCGAGCCGGAGGCGCACAGCTCGACGCGCCGAATCGAGGCTGGATCTGGGGATTAGACGAGTATAAAGGACGACTTGAGTCGACTCTTTCCAACTACGATACTTGTCGCAAGTATGGGGCGGATTTTATTATCCTGCCGCATGATATCTGGGGAACTGATCATTCTAACACGTCGACTGTCTGGCCGGGTGATAATGGGGATTGGACAGATTATGATTTGTTCGTGCGAACTTTGATGGCCGATCTCAAGGCAAACAATGCTCTCGAAGGGTTGGTGTGGGATATTTGGAATGAGCCTGATTTGACCGTCTTTTGGGATCGGGACCAGCAGCAATGGCTCGATTTGTATATTCGGACTCATAAGTTGCTAAGGTATGTCTCTGTCTCCTGATTTGGTGCTGTATGTGCTTGAGCTCGATTAATGCTTGTATAGGGAGGATGCGGATTTCAAGAATGTCCTTATCTCGGGTCCAACACTTGCTGGTTCGCCTCAGACTGATAATACTTGGTGGACAAATTGGCTGGCACAGGTCTCTGGAAACAAGACTATTCCCGATCAATACGCCTATCACCTCGAAGGCTCATCGACAGATACATACGATGATCTCCAGAACACAAATATCAGCTTATCAGCAATGTTGAAAACATATAACCTCCCCTCTCGCCAAGTCAACATCAACGAATACGCCAACTTTGCAGAACAAATCCCCGCCGGCGCAGCCTGGTGGATCTCTAGACTGGAGCGATACAATACCTACGGACTACGCGGAAATTGGCAAAGCACCTGCAGTCTCCACGATCTAATGGCAAACCTCTTAACCAAAACATCCGATCCACTTACCTGCAACAACACGGCTTATGTTTCTTCTCCGGAATACCAGGTCTACAAGTACTACAACCTGAATATGACAGGCGAAAGAAAGAATACCACTGGCACTGGGGATCGGTTGATGGACGTATACGCGACTGTTGATTCAAAGAAAGTGCGCATTCTCTGTGGTGTACGGATTACGGAGGGGACGTGGCAAATTACGGTGGATAACATGAGTGCTGTAGGTCTTCCTACGAAGGGGACGGTTGAAATTCAGACTTGGGGATTTCCCGGGACTTCTGTTTGGGAGGAGGTGGATGCACCTAGTGATCGGGGGATTGTATCGCATACCTATTCGGGAAACTCGTTGACTTTCCCGATTTATCAGACTGATACTAGTACAGCTTGGGCTTTTGAGTTTGCTGTTTAGTTAGTCTAGCCTAGGGTTCTTGAAATTGAGGAATGAATGCACCCATGAGTGAGATTGTGGCTTTCTAGTCAAGTTATACTCTGATATACATCGATAATTAGATGTATTCCGATTATCCAATTAACAAGAATCATCAATGCTATCCGAAGAAACAAGCTGCATCAACTTCTCGTCCTGAGCAAGAAGTAGCATATCTTCCCCACCCTGCCGAAATTTCGGCCAGGAAAAGTAACTCTGCTGATTAGGATTATCCAGCGCGTCCCCAATCGCAACACGAGCAGGCCCTCGAACAGGATCCTCAGCGAAAGAAAGCCACAGTGCCTCCATCGCATAGCTAACCTCCCACTCAAATTCAGTGGAACGAGCGCGGTATTCGTCATGTGTCCCAAAAATCAGCGGTAGCTCTGAGCTGTGGTACGCACCGAACCAAGTCAAGGGAGAGATATTCGAGAAGTTCCCAGCATACTGGTAACGATATGTTGGTAAATCTCCCAGGTTCCGATTCCTAACTTCTTCGGCAACGGGACATGAGATTATCTTCGTTGCGGACGCGAGAGCGCTGGCTCCAGGTCCATTAGGCGTGAATGAGACGAAACCCGCTCCTTCATTTGCATTACTACCAATAATCATAGGCTGGAGAGCGATAAGTTAGTATAACAATCAATGCAAGAGGTAATTCCACGAACCGTCTTCGAAATCTTCCCATCCAAGACCCGTTGTGTGAAATTCGCAAAAGAGGTCTTATTATCCACGACCGGCGTAAAAGAAACTGAAGGCTTAGTTCCATTGCCACTGTAGTATGATAAGGCATTTTCCAGAGTCTGTGCGGGTACCTTTCGCACACAGCTAAGCTCCTTGTCAGAACTGAGGTTATCGCAGCCTACCAGTCCAGCGATGAAGGTGAAATTGGTATGCGCTGTATCTGTGTTGGTGATGATGCTCGGGCCGCCCGAGTCAGCAATGAGTCCCGCTACAAGGGGATTCTCGGGGTATCCGTAGGGGTAGACGCTGACGCTAGCTGCACCGGCTGACTGGCCCCAAAGGGTGATTCTTTCGGGATCACCACCGAAGTTTCCCACGTTGGCGTGGACCCATTCAACGCTGGATTGGTCAGTGGCTAATTGTAGAGTAGAGTGGATGTGACATACGCAAGTCTTTGGTCCAGGAATCCAAGATTTTGATCTTCCAGTCCTTTGGCATTGGGGAAGCCGAAGATATTGACACGGTAGCTGGTAGATGGGTTAGATAAAAGAGGAAAACGATTGAGCTTAGAATAACCCACTTCATGACAATAACAATGTGTGACTGTGTCCGCTGGACCCATTGATCCGGAATCTTATATAGAGAATTCTCACCTCCGCTGGTGAACCCACCACCAGGAATGTAAAGAAGAACCGGCAACGGACGTTGCTGGGATTGAATATTCTCGACGCGAGGTGCCCAAATAGAGAGATAAAGACAATCCTCCGAGTTCCCTCCATTTACCAGGAACTCGGTCTCGTAGGTGGTATAAATCGTCGAGCTATTTAAGCTGAACTGCTGCATGCAAGAGTTTGGAAGTTTGTGTGCTTTCAAAGTTCTCTTGGACTTGAATGCCTGTGGACGGGCGAAGCGGAGATCTCCAACAGGAGGTTCTGCAAAAGGAACGCCGAGAAATTGTCGGACATCAGGGGTAGAGGCGTTGAAGAAGCCTTCAATTGATCCGCTGGTTGTTTGAACCAGGAGCCCTGTGTTTGAGCTTGAAGTTGGGGCACCAAAGACTTTCAAGGCGGAAAGAATTGTCACGAGGAACAATTTCGGAGATGGCATTGTGGTGGATGAAGCTCTGAGGTTACTGATAATACTTAAAGATTCTCTATAGATGGATGGGCTGACATGGTTGTTTTTATACTTATTTTGAAGAGACTTCGTGGCATTCTATCCCGAGGCCCAAGATGAATGGCGGCAAAGTGCTTTCGCGAAACCCCTCCCAGCCAGAGTAATCATGTCATTAACTAGAGATCTTCAGTGAAGACCCTGTGTAAAATGCGGGGGAAACATGGGGAAAGCAATCTGCCGCCGATTCATAATCTCCGGGGAAAAGGTCTGAAACCGCGGGGTAAAGGGTATGAATGAGTCCATGCGCTCCAGTAACCAATCAACTTGATGCAAGACCCCAGTCAGCTTGATGAAAGAATGCGGAGAAGGCAAGAGGAAGTAGATGTCCGGACGTTCGGACCCCTTTTACGGGGCGAGTACCCCTTTTACAATTAGCATTTCCTTGGCATTCAGACTATTGAGATCTACCGACATACTTAATCCTTGCAACACCACAACAAAATTTAGTGCATTTTTCAACTGTCTCCCGGATTTGAAGTTTATATTAATCATGGTAACCTTTGCCGAGGAAAAGATTCAACAGAATAATGAAGAATGCATCGAAAGTGTCGATGATATTGAGCGTAAGTCGGTGGCCGATAGCCCTAGAGCTCATCTTGTGCCTAGGCCGTCTGAGGATGAGGGTGATCCACTTAATTGGCCTATGGGACTAAAAATTCTAATTCTGTCACAAGTCTGCTGGCTCGCATGTGTGAGTGCTATGCTGTTTCTCTTTACGTATTTGAATCTTCGCCATAGACTCACCGTTGCATTAGCTGGGAACCTGGAATACAGCCGCCATCAACTCTGCATATTCTTTCTTAGCGGAGGACCTGGGAATTTCAGAAGTACAAGCCTCTTATCAGACGTCAGTCAGCCCTTTCATTGAACAAGACTATATGGTTATTCTAACATTATTCATAGTACAATTGTCATTGCCCTCAACGGCGTCGGTCCCTTTGTGTGGATCCCTTTGGCAAATGTTTACGGCCGTCGCTTCGTTTATCTTCTTACCACATTCATCGGGTTTGCCACTGCTCTAGGCTGTGGCTTCACCCACAGCTTTGGTGCTTTAGTTGGACTGCGTGCCATCAATGGCATATTCCCCGTTTCTATGGCCCTCGGCCCAGCCACAGTGACAGACCTATTTTTCTATCACCAGCGTGGGCGCGCTCTGGGTCTGTTTACGGTCATGCTGTCATCTGGATCTCATTTTTCGGGCCTTTTCGGCGGACCAGTCGCGAAGTTTTTAGGCTGGAGGTGGATATTCTAGATCACAGGAGCCATGAACTTCGTTACTCTTGTCATTTTGGTTTTTTGTTTACCAGAGACCATGTACTACAAGCCAAGGACCTACTCCGACTCAAATGCCCAATTCCCGAAACTATCCATGGCGAAATACCGGGAGCTTCTCCGGCCATGGACAAGCTTCCCTGGCGTTAAGCTCAAGGCTAAGCACTTTATCATACCTCCTTTTCGCATGGCGTTGTACCCGTCGGTCCTTTTTCCGAGTCTTTATTATGCCTCGCAATATTGCTTCACTGCTATCTTTCCAGCTGTTACATATGCCATTATTTTCAAAGCGAGATTCGGCTGGAGTGCTTTGCAGTGTGGCTTGGCTTATGGCGGGACCATGACAATCGGCGCTATTATCGGTGAGGTGAGTACCATGGCCTCGTAATTGAGCACTTGACACGAACTGACGAATACTAGTTTGCCGCAGGAATGATTATCGACGATATCGTTCACCGAGAGTCTATCCGCTTGGGCGTAGACTCGCCTCCACCCGAAGTTCGCTTCAAGGGTATCTGGACAGGGGCAGCTCTGATCCCGGCAGGGCTTTTGATATTTGGATTCACCATTCAATATAACTCTCATTGGTCTGGCCCACTAGCCGGTATGTTTATAGGCATCTTTGGAGTTCAGGTTGTGGCGACCGTCTGCTATACATACAGCATCGACTCGTATCGCGTCGAGGGATCTGAGGTATCCCAGTTCTTTAACTTTTGTCGTCAGAGTACTAGCTGTACGGTCGCCTTTTATGGTGTTAAACTGTGCACTGCTATCGGATTTCAATTTGCTTTCATCATGTTTGCGCTCGTGGGGAGCGTGGTAGCCTTTGCGCCTGTTGTGTGGCTTATGTGGAGAGGGGCTTGGGTAAGGGAGAAATTGGGCAAACCGGTAAATGTCAGTGTTGTGGAGGAAATTATCTCGCGTCATCACGAGTTTCACAGGATGCAAGGCTAGAAGTGATAGGACAGAATCTTCTTTGCCTTCATAACCTAATTTTATTACCAAAAGTTCTAGTTCAGCTTTATCTACACTGAATTGACAGTAGATCCTCATCGTCTAAGCATTTAAATGTATATCAATTATTCCTCTGGAATCGTAGGTATCGGAGCAGGACCGAATCTAAATTTGACGCCGAGAATATTCGCCAATCCAAGACATAGCTCCTGAAGATCCTCGAGATCTTTCCTTGTTGCACCATTAAACAGCATCCCCTTCATATGATGCTGCAGCTGATTTTGGCAATCCATACCATACAAACCGGAAACAATAGCATAACCCGTTGTCAAAGAATCAAGTATACCATCAAACGAGAAGATCCTTGCATAAAGCACCTCTATTACGATGTCAGTCACTTATTTCCCACTCAGCCAAAAGTAAATGACAGTCTCGTCTCACCTCGGACAATAAATGCATAATCAGGACTGGCCCGCACTGAAGCCTCCGGGTCAAATGCAGGGTTTCTAGCATAAATATTGCTCCAGAATTCCTTTCCTCTTTTCCGTGCCATCTCATCCGACTCCTTTGATCTCGGTGATTCCTTCTCTCGCAAATCTTCCGGTATGCAGAGGGATAATGTGCGCATTGCATTCCCCGTTCTACAAGCACCGACTATCCCGGTTGATTTGATGAGCCCCTCGCGGACTTGACGAACAGCGGTGAAGCGGTCATCGTGTGACATTAAATCAAGCACATTACTGTCAAGGTGGGCGTAGACTTGAGGGATTACATCGGGGTAGTTGAGTGAGGAAAGCGTGACAATCACGCACATGTACCATCGGAGGCGAATTGCGGTTGAGGGGAGGAAGAGGGAAGCATCGAGGAATGAGGAAGGTAGAATTGGAGTTTCGGCAGACATTGTGAGCATGGAGTTGTTGCGATGACAGGGACAATGTTCCTGGATGCTTTTACCTTAATATTTCACAGTTCCGAGCATGAAAGGGTGATTTTCGTCTAATTGGATGTTGCGGGGCATTCCAAGTCCGACTGGCGGGGTAGACCGGACTTACATGTCCGATGGGTTGAATCCCAGTCCATGGATTCGATTTCACCTTCAAATATTGCCGATAGATACCCAAATCATAATCTTTACACCAGTCGGTCGTCATGTTTATCATCTCCCCACTATCTAGATGCGCCTCTCCCTCGAAGCGTGACATTGTCAGTATTATGTCGCATTTACTGGAGAAAAAGACTTCTGAGACCACTACAGTTCTTGGATCATATCACCAAGATTGCAAGCGTGACAAACGATAACGAGCCGAATTGCCACGCATACGCCTGGTTCAAAAGCGCCGAAGACAACGATTCAGTCCCACATCACTGGCTGAGGGGATTCGAAGTGTATGTCTGACAATCCCGCCCCCCTATTAAAAGCTCAGCTCACATAACAATGTGGGATACTCAGCTATAACGATGTTGAAGCCAACACCATAACACATCGGGCTAGTGCCGAGTATAAGGCATTCCGAGTCGCTGTCGGCGAGGATAAATTACTAGAGCAACCCAGTGATCTTCGGTTCTGGAGACCTATCAATATCGGGTTTCTAACACGCAACCAGTCAATGAAATTTATGGACAATTCTACAACTGGAGGACACTATGTTGTAGTAGACGAGCTGATGTCAGAAGTGGGAAAACTTGAGCTCATCATGGAGCATCTCCGCGGGATGGCCTTGGAGGCGGAAAAATTAGAGCAGATTTTGAGTTTCTGGGTACTTCGGCGGGACGATGAGAAAGATCCAGCATTCCTGGTATTTTCCTGCTATCTTGATAAAGAGGCATGGGTCACATTTAACGGTCAGACCGAAGTGGATGAGGCTTGGAGGGCTGCACATGAATCCAGTAAAGAGCAGAGGAGAACAACTTGGATAGAGTCGGGGCTTGGATTCCTGGGAAGAGAAGAGTTGCACGCCAATGTTCATAAACCGATGAAGAGATAATTATTATCTGATCATTTTGTTTGTGGGTGCCTTTGACTGCACTATGGGCCTCTCCTTTTCCCATTTTTGTCACTCAAATAGTCTTTCTCTCCTACACACCCCTGCTTCATATATTCGGGCGCCCTTTGCACAGCTTCATCGATAATTTTATCTGAATTGATGTACTGTGGATGTTTGTTCAAGAGAGGTGAAACCTTCATGTACGTAGGCAAGTGATCAATGTGCTTAACTGTTTCTTCAATCACCTTGACCATCTTCATTGGATCTAACATCTTCAGTTGTTACATAATAGCATTCGCATTCGGGGGAGATGCCACTGCCCCAGTGTAATTCAACGGAGCCGAAGTAAAAAAGAAGGACCAGCGTCCATTCTTCGCACACAGTTCGGCCAGAGCATCCAGATCAAAGAGTTCTCCCAGTGGTGTCCCCCAACCAGCCAACATAATGGGATGCAGATGCCATGCTTTCTCTGTCGGCGCTATTCTCAAACTTAGCAGAAGCAAAATTATTCACTGCAGAAACTCACGTCGAACTTCAAATCCAGGCGAGTCGCTCGCTACAGCAGCAAACTGCCTTTCCCAAAGCCACTCTGTCGTTTCACGCGACTGTCCCAGACCACACCACTCACGTACATCAGCAACTCTTTCACGTCCAGCTTGATCAAGTTCTTTATATGCCGCAACATATCCGGTGCGCAAAAAGAGTACATCACCTGTACGGAACTCAATGCCTTCCTCCCTTGCAATTCTCAATACGCTTTCTAGTGATATTGCGTGGGGTGAAAAATGCTGCACATGCAAGCCATCCCGTTGGGCATAAGAAAAGTAATCGATCAAGACACCACGGCCGGCGAGACCTCGCGGGGCCCAGGATTGGAGGCTGTTAACGGATGTGTGGGAGCTTGCATGAATCTCGGCCTGTGTAGTTCTGGCTAGGTCAGTATTTTCGATGTTGTGGCGATGCAACCGATTTACCCGTTATAGAACTTCTCGTCCTGTTGGTAGGCGAAATGACGGAGACTGTCCCATTGGGAACTTCCTTGTGTGTTGAAACTAATCTTGGTCGAATCAGCTTGCTACTTCTTCATTACTTGTAATTCAAAAGGACTCATACTCACCACGTCGTCATTCACTATTAGTGGACTTTTATCAATGACCTTTTGTTCAAAGCCGGCCCGGCCTAACAGAGGTGGATTGAATAAATCCAGCGGAAGGCTGTGTACGCACGTCAGTCTCCTTATCTGACTCACCGTGGGCATTGGCTTTGAAGACAAACTTGAGACCAACTCTCTCCCCCGTTTTTACTTCATCTTGGATTGTTTTCAGCACCAAATCATCGGTGAGATAGTTGAGTGATCCCAGTGCACTATCTGGACCATCGCCCCAAAGCCCCCATGCCGAGTTTGGTGGGTCTCGTTCTCGGAGGGGGAGTTCATCGAAGGAAGGCAGAGGGTTCGGTGCAGGTGCCATAATGATACGTCACGTATCAAAAAGCCAGGACCAGTAATTTTATTGAAACCACAAATTTATATGAGAATAATGACAATGAATACTAGTGTCAATTTTTGATCATTGCTGATGAGCTTTAGAATTCGATGGAAAGCATCGGTGATTGATTTCCGGTGGGGAAATACCAGGATTGAATCTCTCCTCGGAATTCCATGTCCGGGTCTTTGAACACAACGATTCAAGATAATGTGATAAATTTCCCAATTGCAGCTGCTGTTAATCTCGGAGAACTATTATTATTGTAGATTATCCGCGCCACTATAACGACTCTGAGTTTTGACCTTGGAAAAAACCATTGCTTTTTTACACTGGCCCTATCTATTAATCGCCCAACGGCAGACAAGTAACCATGGCCAACCCAGGCATTGTCATGCGTCTCTCTGAGACCCCAGAGAGACCAGCGGTGCCCTTCCCAAATATCGAGGGAACATATATCCTGGAAGCAAATGACGGCGAAACACCTTCATTCAACACCGTCTACTTCCTCAGCGATATCGGACCAATATTATCTTCTTCCACTCACTACGACGCCGACATCATCACTAACAGTGCCGGACCAACCTCCCTCTCATGGAAGGTCTGTGCCTACATCAACGGGCGCGACCGCACCAACGGGACCGATTCTTCTGAACCCACGCCTCATCTCCTACCGGAGACACCCGTCACAAGCTCCATTATGGTGGCTAATGGGTCTACTCCTCGAGTGGACAAGGAGCAGGACTACCATGATTGGTATGACCAAGAGCACGGGGAAAAGCTAATGCAAGTGCCAGGCTGGAATGCAGCTAGACGATACTCCTTGGTGAAGGTTTATGGAGAGGCTGAGACGGCAAAGTATTATGGTTTGAATTTTTATGATCAAGAGAATGGGTTGGGGGGACCTGAATGGAAGGCTGGTGTCACTGAGTGGACGCTACGTGTAAGGAGCAATGCGGCAAAACCCAATATCCGGAGGGTCTGGAAGTTTGAGGGAGTTAATATGGCTTGATGTAATACACAGCATCTGGTTTTATTTGACTTGAATAAATTCATGCATAATCTCATGACATTATGCCAATACAGTGTAGCTGATGTAGCCGAGATGGGCTGCTGTAAAATTTGGACATGCTCACCGGAACATGGTTGGGTGTGCAAATAGCCCGTATAATGTATCATGAGTTACGTCCTTCTGCAGCTCATTCATCGAGTCCAAGAAATCTGGTGAGAAATTTTCAAGGCCAACATCGACAGCTTCCATGCCAAGATAGTCAGAGACAAAGTCCCCCGGTGTATCTAAAGACGGTTCGTTGCTTGGCGGATTCATGGGGAGCTGGAAGAATGACTCGTCGAGGCTCGTGAGCTGAGGCATCTCATCCATGATAAGCCCGCCTTCTTTGACACTGACACGAAATTCATGGACCATGTCTCTAAGAATACTGAGAGGCTTTTTCAAGCCGACGTTGCATCCATGCTGTAGTTCGCTTAGACAAGTCCAGAAAAATGATATAGGCTCCATAAACTGTCCGCGATCGTGTCGCTCCTGGCGGATGATCACAATTACGGCAGAGTAAACGGCATATGAGAGAAGGAAGGGCGCTCGACGAAGTGTGAAAGCCTTCCTATATGCACGAACAAACTTTTGGATTGCAAGAGCGCTGTTAATACACGCCTCTTCACATTTTCTGTGATCTCCTTCCGCCCTGTGGCGGCGGAGATGGCCTTCTTCTAAGAAAGCGCGGTTTAAAAGAATTGTCAAGGCATGATAGGTAGTACTGGCTCATTTCATCAGTCTTCATCACTTTTAATTCATTGAGTAGGAAGAAAACTTACAGGGGGGTTATATGGTGCGGAGGCGGGATAAATGATCCATCTGGATCGAACTTCAAGTGATCTGGTAGCGAATCCGACCACTTATCCAGTTCTCTGATGATGCTAGCTTTCTTGTTCCTTATATCTTCCGAGCTGCACTTTATAGTTTGAATCCCGTACAAGTCAGTAATTTTGGCTGATATTTGAAATAATCGAACGAGACAGGTGAATGTCGAGACAGCATAAGCTGGCTGTGACGCGTATGCTGGCGGAGGAGGGGCCAAAGATCCCGGATCAATATATGGTTCCCATTCCTCAAGTTCTTCAAATGTGTCTAGAAATCGCATCGGGACTCTGGCCTCAGTAGAGGCAAACATGCACGGGCGGCCGAGATACAGAGATTGTGTGGCGTCGGTAGCAAAAGCGCCCCAGTACAGTCGTGTCCGCATTTCCCGTTCTAGATCTCGAGTCAGGAGGTCGCTGGAAGTAGCCGTACTTTCATGATCGGGCCCAAGCATCAAGTGACATCCCATGTCAATAATCATGCGATATGCAGTACCAGATAGATTCCAGCCCGCACTCGAATGACCCTGCGATACCAAAGTTGCGCTAGTCAGTAACAAAGCCATAGCGGAAGGAATACTGGGCTTGTCGATGGCGTCCCCCAAAAGCTGTCTAAACCGGGTATAGAATTGAGCGCCGACGCTGCTCAGATCATCTGGTTTGGAACGCAGGTACGGCCTGTCACTGTAGAGTGTGCTTGAGTAGTAGATGGCGTTTAGAAGCAGCTTGTTGACCCAGGGGCCCCCACCGTTGGCAAGGCTGCCCATGATGGCCGGACGGTAAGAAATAAGATAGGCGTAGTGCTGACGATTGAAGTGAAGATCCAGCAGATGTTTCGCCAGCTCAGGTTCGCACCCATCAAGATCCATCGTGTTGGATGGCTGGCGGAATATGCGAGCTTCCCGCTGTCTTTGTAATGCAGCATTGCTAATCAGTCTTGCTTTGGAGGCAGCGATAGCGCTTTCCCCCTTGCTTACCATGTTGGAGATATTCTCTTTATGCTGAGCCCTAGATGTGGGGTTCATTATGCTGGACAATCCGTGCACCGTCGAGACACAACCATGCTCATGAAATGCCCCAGCAACACGGGCTTCGCATGGAGACATACCCGTTGTTCCTCCGACGCCTGTGTAATCCTGCGCAGTATCCTCTGCTTCCTGCTCCATCTGCCGTGGGCCAATTGCCGAGTCCACTCTAGAATATCCAGTATCCACAGAATGACTTGTCGATACAGGCCGCTGCAAATGTGGAGTTCCGAGACCCGTCCGTCCTTCCATCATTTGATTTCTGTTGGGTTGATATGGAATATGGTCTATGGCGCTGGGAAAGTCCTGTCTCATTGATATTGATGAGGGCGGGGTTGGTAGCGGTCTGGCAACAGCAGCAGTCGAGGCAAGATAGTTGAGACTTTCACTTTGAGAGGAATGACCATAGTCCTGATCTTGATCAATCACTCTGCGGACGTCAGTTCCTGCATTTCCCTGCACAGGTGGTATGCAGTCTTGAAGCTGTACATGGACCGGGGAGATGCCTGAGGCTTTCAAATGCTCTCGCATCGTTGCAACTGTGGCTTCCAGGCTCTGCACCAGGGTCTGTGATGGTCTGGGTACGCGTCTTGCATCACGAGGATAGACGCAGTTGCGGCCGTTAGTGGTGCATTCGAGACACTGTGGTCGCGTTCCGTCACATTTGACCTTCTTCCGGCGACATGGGGTGCATGTTTTGCATGTCTCACCCAGAGACGCTGTAGATCCTGTGACAGGGTTTCGTGTATTCTTTCGAATCCCCCCCGAAGACATATTGGCCTTAACCTCTAATCCAGCGTCGGAAAATGCAGGCAGCTTGCGACTCGGGCAAGTGGGTCAAATTCCATGCCCCCGCGCGTGGAGGTCACGTGCCGGACATCAATGTCCGGCCCAAAGTCATCTCGTCACGAGGTACCCACGACTGCCAATCAACGTCCGCATTTGACACTCGGTACTTCAAATGCCGTACATTCTACCGGACATCTGTTTCCATAGTCTCCATCTGGGGTATTGCAGGATGATTGCACCACAGTTGGAATTTTTGGCACTTATATATCCGTAGCGCTCAGCCCCCTACGGATTCAACTTACTTGAAAATCATTTTACCATCTTCCATAATAAACATTGGAATGAAAGAGAAACAATCATGAGTCCCTGCGCCATCACCCCAGAGCCACTCAATATTACACCAATCAGCAAAAATGCTCAGAATTGCTCTTTTGATGCCGCACTTGACTTAGACAAGGAGGCAGCATCTCTTCTAGACCCGTTCTACAAGATTGTCGAGCAGCCTATCGGAACCCGCCGTCCAATCCGGGTAGCCTGTATGGGAGCCGGGTATTCAGGCCTTATGATGAGCATTGTCTTTAGTCAGCGAATGAAAAACGCAAATGCCGAACTCGTCGTCTATGAAAGGAACGAGGATCTAGGCGGAACGTGGTTAGAAAACAGGTAAGTCACTCAACGTGGTCATATTGCATAGCCCTTGTAAGATGAAGTGTGCTGACTCGTGATTTTGTGATTAGGTATCCCGGATGCAAATGCGATATTCCTGCCCACAACTACGCTTATAGCTTTGCGCCCAACCCTGAATGGCCGAATTATTATGCCACCTCACAGCAGATCCATGCGTACATGCATGATGTTGCCGATAAATACGACTGTAACAAGTTCATCAAATACCGCCACTCTATCAAGGCAGCAGTTTGGAACGAGGATAAAGCAAAGTGGGAGATCCAAGTTCAAAATGGTGACGGAGCTGTCTTTCAGGATGATGTCGACGTCTTTATCAATGCCGGTGGTGTTCTTAAGTAAGTATCTTTGTGACATCCCTACACTATTCCTGACTTATGTACTAATGATGTTATAGCAATTGGAAATGGCCTAACATCGAGGGTATTCATAACTTCAAGGGCAAACTTATCCACTCTGCAAGATGGGATGCGGACTATGACTTCACGGGCAAGAAGGTGGCCAGCATTGGCATTGGGTCTTCAGGAATTCAGATTGTGCCTCAACTAGCCAAGGTTGTGGGCTCCATGGACGTCTACGTTCGGACACAGACATGGATCTCTCCAGCACCTGGTATCAACGAGCCGACCGCTAATGACCCCGATATGGATGACGATTACAACTTCACTCCTGAAAGCATGGCTATATTCAAGGATCCTGAGGTCCTCCGCCAGTACCGAGCTGCTATCATGGATCGCCGAATCGAGAATTTCCAACGTGCTCTTGCAGACAGTGACATTCAAAAGCGTGCCCAGGAGATCTTCCGCAAGAGCATGACTGAGAGACTCGGTGACAGTGAGAAGGGTCGAAAGGCGGCGCAATATTTGCTCCCTGACTTTCCCGTTGGGTGCCGACGGCAGACTCCCGGTCCAGGGTTCCTCGAGGCCCTAACCCAGGACAATGTTGATATGTGGTGGGATGACGTTGCACAGATTACCGAAAAGGGTATTGTAACACGATCTGGGGAAGTAAAAGAGTACGATGTGATTGTATGCGCAACGGGTTTCGACACCTCCTTCAAGCCATCATTTCCATTGATCGGACGGAATGGAGTTAACCTCGCATCTAAGTGGGAGGTAGAGCAACCAAAAGCCTACTTTGGATTCATGGTGCCAGACATGCCCAACTACTTCTGTTTCATCGGACCCAACAGCCCAATCAGTAACGGGTCACTCGTGCTGGGAATCCAAGCAACCGCTTTATACGTCTACAAGTGGTTGGAGAAGTTGCAGACTGAGATGATCAGCAGCTTCGAGGTACGGAACGATGTGAATGAAGAATACAACCAACACATGCAGCAATATCTGGAGCGCACTGTGTGGACTCGCGGCTGCCGCAGTTGGTACAAGCGAGGAACCGTCGACGGACCTGTTGTGGCAATATACGGTGGTACATCTTTCCATTTCATGGAGGCGATCAAGAATCCACGGTGGGAGGACTTCCATATTACAAGGTCTCCGGAGGCTCGTTCAAATAGATTTGCATACCTGGGTAATGGGTTTTCTAGAAGGGAGACAAAGGGGGAGAGTGTGGGCGCCACACAGACGCTTGACTTTGACGAATATTGGCGTTTGTTTGTGCTACCAGAGATTCATAACTAGATATTTTCTCGGTAAATATGTAAAATTTGCATTGTTTGGATTCGAATTAATTGATTTCCATGGGCGCAAGAAAATTCATCATCGCTTTATCTCCCAATTAACTAAAGTAGAATAGAAGCTGATCTTTCAGAATGACTCCTCTATATTAGCTATCAGCAATTGACCAGGCTAATCGTATTTTATAGGGTACTCTAGAAGAATTATAGAGACAGCCCTGGAGATGATAAAGCCTAGAGAGCTATAGCAGGAGCATTATCATGGGTTTGTCCCTTATTGTCGATCCCCTTTTACAGTACATTTAAATTTTTGCTAAAACTTAGAAAGAGATATTAGATAAATCGGCCTATGCTTACCGCACATTATTTATACTAGTATAAAATGGGCATCAGATTCCAGCATTCTATCCATAACAAAATCTCTACTTCAGATATCTGAAGTTAACCAAAAGCTAATAGCAAGACTATGTAGACTGTCCCAAAGAAGTAGGCCCCTAGAGACGGGATGCTTGATGGGTAATTACTGCTTCTTTTTGCGCCAGTTTGGCCGTGCTGTCCGTGGCAAATGTTGAGGGGCACAGGTCAATTTTGCAGAAGGTCAGTGGGGGATGCATCAGTAGTGATTGATGGGTTAGGCCTATCAGAAATTTCCCGAATGCAAGTAAGCACTTGTAGGCGGCTTCGAGGGGGTCCGTGCCCAAGCGACTTTGGGTTAATATTCCGCCGCCTGGAGACACATCGAGTGCGAGCTTGAACGCTTCCCTTGAGATCAATTTCTTTCCTGTAAAACTTTCTCAGAAAATGTCTGGTTTAATGTCTTACGAATAGGTCCTGCGCGTTATTTCCATCAAAGTCCTCCCCATATCTCAAAATGCACATGTTGGGGCCAAATCCATCCGGTAAAAATAGACGAAAGCACCTAACACAGCTAGTGCTTGGACCAAAGTAATTTAGAGACTTTTCACATCGTTCTCATTTTCAAACTATGGCATTTTCCGGAGACGGATTTGTTTCTCGTTTCTTTTGCTTTGCTGAACTAATATAATAGTCCGTTCGCGGGTTTTCAGCCTCAGTGAAGTTTAATTATCTGCCAAGCATGAATAACAACATAAGGAGCAAGCTGTGGAGCCGCGTCAGCCCCAAATTCTCCCGACGTCGCTATCGTGGAGTTCCTCATGAGGGACAAAACGACCAGGTCGGGCTATTCGCAATAGAAAGTCAGCCCTCGAGCTTTTCCCTCCCGGACTTCTCGTATCTATAAAGGCCACAAGCCTCTTTCCTCGACCATAACCCGGACCCGACCGACGAAAATGATGATTTGTTGGGCCAAGGAGATAGCAACCAGATAACAAGCGGGGTCACGCAAGATGGCGACCTTGTATCGGTGGATCACGGGTGGATTATTGGAGTTAATCATTGTGCGAGAGGAGCGGCCTGTGTCCTGGCACTCAATCTGATTTTCACAATCGTTATGGCTGGACTGGCGACCCGTTACCCTGCCAATGGTACGTGGTCTACCTCTGCGGTCATTTACCAGGGTGATTGCGGGATCATTAAACGATGGGACTTTGCAGCGCACTTGATTATCAACGTCTTGGGCACATGCATACTGGCCGCCAGCAACTACTGTATGCAGACATTGGTTGCTCCAACAAGGGAGGAGGTAGATGCCGCCCATGCCTGTGGAAGGTGGCTTGATATCGGGGGTGCTAGTGTCAAGAACCTCCGTGCGATTGGGCGAAACCGGCTTATCTTGTGGATCATATTGATGCTAACTGCATCACTTTTCCACCTCATGTCAGTATAGAAGCTCAACCTGGATTTACTTACTGCTAATATGAGCCCGCGTAGGTACAACTCTATGATCTTCGAATCATTGTCCACCAACGAATTTGGGGCTTTTGTCGCGCCGAAGGATCTCAACTCGTCGAATGTGAATTCCCTCACTACTCCGATGCTTGAAAAATGTTTCAAATGCCCAAACACTGGCACGTATGATTCTCCTCTCAATTGGGATGATGTTGCCTTGGAAATTGCGAATGAGAACTACGAGCGGTATGACCTGGCGACATGCAGTTCATTTTCCAACATAATGACGGATGAGACCACCTCAAGGCCGGGTACTAAAGCACTGATCATGCTTGCTGAGAACTTGACTGTGAGTGACGGGGGAAATGCGTCTATTCTGACTACGGACAACACATATGGTTTTCAAAACCAGAGCGTTTTAGCGATCCCCTTTTTTAATGCAAGCGAGGGTCATGGCGCCTCTTCAGAATGCCAGACTTCAAATACTGTGGCGGTCGCATATATTAATTTGAGTTATGATCCTCCTGAAGGCTATTACCTACCATCGATGAATTACTCAGTCAAAGAGTGTTTGATGATCAAGGCCAGGAACACTGTCAGCTACTATATAGCCCGCCTATTTGCATTGCAATTGCGCTCGCCTCGATTGAAAGTTGCTGCCATGTTTTTCGCTGCTCGAGTGGGGCGCACTCAATCGCCACCACTTCTCACCGTTGGAGATGCCATGTCGTCATTCCTGTCCAGACCTGACCCTACAACGAAAAATATGTGCTGGATGTCCCACAAAGACGTTTCCTGTGGATACTGGAAGGGGTTGCGTGAAGATGATAGCGTCTCACTCCAAAGACCGCTTTCAAAACCGAAACACTGGTTCAGAGCAGCTCCTAGTTTCAGATGGATCGCAGCTCTGCTTGTGTATGTTGCATCTACATCTTCCTATTTCCTAAATTTTTTGGAATCCTGAAGAAACATATCTCACACTCTCTAGACGTCTTTCATGCCTTTGTACGGCTGTTGGTCTGTTCGCAAGTCCAAGCACCGATCTGCGAGATCAGGTTAACTTGAGCGATTTCTCTAAAATCTTTTCATCCAATATAGACGAGGACAGCCTTTTCACGATCGGGGCAGACTTTCCCAATGCAGGCATGTTGACCTTTGTGATGGTTGCCAACTTACCACAGCTCCTGGTTACTATGAGCTACTATTGCTATAACGCAGTGCTTACCAGTATGTTGGCTGCTGCTGAGTATAGCTCCTATGAACTCAAACGCAAAGCCCTGCGTGTCACTTGGCCGATCAAGGGTAGTCAACAGCAGTCGACATATTGGCTTAGCATACCGTACCGCTACAGTATTCCAATCCTCATCCTCTATACGGTCCTCCACTGGATGATTTCACAGACTCTCTACTACCTGTCGTTGATTCCATACACCCCACAAAATACTCCATACAATTCGACAATCGACTCGCTCGTATGCTCTCCCACCTTCGCCCTTTTTGCGATTCTGGTCGGGGCTATCATGTTAATCATATTGGGTATATTAGCATTCAGACGCTTGAAGTCCAGCGCACCAGTGGCCGATTCATGTTCAGCTGCCATAAGTGCCGCTTGTCATCCACCCACAGGCGAGGACTTGGACATTGCAGTTCGGAGCAAAGTGAAGTGGGGTCAGACCACTTCCCTTCTTGTCGGGTCGGTCGACTCTGAGGTAGTTGAGTCGGTAGAGGGACATTGCAGCTTCACGTCACTGCATACGGTGAAACCCACATTGACCAAGCTATATGCTTGACTGCTTTATGATTCTCATTTAGATAAAAGTCTCTAATCCCCATAATAAGTAATCAATCTAGTATATATAAATAGTCCTATAAGTACATAAGACCCTTCATTAATCTTGATTTTTAGACATCGGGATAGCTTCATAGTCTTTGTATTAATGAGCAATTGAGGTGTACGCCCGATGGCAGTACGCTTTGACGACTTACAGATCGAATAAACTAGTTGAGAACCCAAATCGCACGACCGATGATCGCCCTCTGAGGGTAGCAGGCACCCCGTAGGGACCAATGAAAGAGGTGTAGGTGTGTGTACTCTACAACTAGTGCTTAGCTGTAAATATTGCCGCCCATAACATCACCATAGCGTGACCTGTAACAGTATGGTCAGCTGCATGGGGGGTGGACCTCCCCATTACAATATACAGCAGCCAAATAAAATAGTTGATGAATGCATGGATGCAAGGCACAGGTCTTCTACGAATGATAATGCTTTTCATCAAGTAAGGATTTAGGAAACTTAGAATGATTAGTTAGCCGTCACTGAAACACTCCAAACACATGTTATATATACCAAACAAGTCTCGGCAGTCTCCACATGTGCAGTGTTGCATCGAGCTAGCGATGGGTGGTTCGCTGTACCACCATTAATCTAATTTATTGGATTAGGTTCCTTTTTCTAGCCAGTGCGTGTAGTAAGGTAGCTAAGGATTAGAAAAGCAGAAATAAAATAACTTCCCTCAGCAACATAAATGCATGTCGGCAGATAGATCGCAAGATTTACCCTAGATACCGAGGCCAAAAGAGTTGGAGTGCCCTGTAGACGATCCTCACATACAATAAATAGTCGGGTTTATCTATGAGGTCCTGACAATGGGAAATAAAATAGTATTGAGCAGTTTGATGGGGAAATGAGTATTGGAGAAGAGACGATGTAGGTAGTGAGTGCGTGCGGCAAGAGAATATTTTCTGCGGTAGGGAAAGTTAGTAGTGCACCGAAGAGATTGAGCTGAGCTTTCTTTCTATTGTAATTAATCTTTTGACGTTGTTTCAGGTTCAATTTGGTTGAATTTGCGAAGGAATATGAAATTAAAGCCAGGTTCTTATTTCGACATTGACGGCATCTCTCGGAGCTCCGAGAGAAGACTTCGTAAAAAAGGGTAGACAACATCAAAGTGTTCTGCCAGTCATGGAAGAGACTTGTAAGTCCTCGGTATATCAGTATCGCGACTATGCATTCCACAGATACCATTGGGTCCGAAGCGCATGAATTGGTGAGTTTCCGCATATGCAGCCCATGGCTGTTCTCCATAAGCAAAAGCAGTCCAGATGCGATGAACTTCGAGAGACACATCTTGCGTTGGCTGGGGACATTCATCCAGACTGTTGATATGGAGAAGAAGCGCGCAAAGACCGTGGTATGAATAGCTGTAGGTTGATCCTGCAAATGGAGAGGGTTCTTCAAAATGATACAGGAACATATCTATGTTGGGGTTTAATTGAGGACCGTGATCAGCGATCTCCATATTTGGCAAATGGAATATCACAGTTCCCAGAAGTAGTAACACTTTCTTTCTGAAGATATCCTCATCTTCAGGCTGTGTCTTAAAGCCAAAGTAAGTGTAAATCCTGGACATTCGGTTGGGAAAAACATGCATGCACTCGCTCATGAAAGTATGCTTGGGATAGCTTTTGGACCAGAGGTCTGTAAATCATAGACTTCGCATTGGTATCACCAAGAATGATAGCTTTGCACCGCGCAGATGGCATTGGATCTGCAAAACCCCAATTTGTTGGTAGTATCATCCCATCGGCGACGGGCCCAGCAATATTGGTGGAATATGCCTCTAGCAGCTCGAGCGCTTCCAGGTTCCGCAGCCTTTCCAGTCGCTCTGCTGGGGCTGCGTGAGCCAATCCATATCGATCGCAGATTTTTTCCCAGCTGTTTTCTAAAGTATAGGGCCCGAGGGATGGAGCGGCACCAGACGTCATAATCGCGCGATCAAAAAGTGGAACGCCACTCAGCAGGTGATGATGGATACTGGCACTGCCGGCACTGACACCATAGGTGGTAATCTTCGAAGGGTCGCCACCGAAATCCTGAATATGGGAATTAATCCATAGTAAGGTGTTCTATTGATCCACCAAGCCATAGTTTCCAATACGGGTGTCGCCCGTCTCTGCGATGTCTTTCGAAGCTGCAAAGCCAAGTGCGCCAAGTCGGTAGTTGATCGGAACCAGAACAACCGGCTGACCAAGGGTTTTGGCCTGTTTGGAAAATGATTGTGGCCGGTACCGAGCAATTGAATTGGAGCCGAAAGCAAAAGCACCACTATCGCAGATTAACAAAGCACAGGTGATTTGTTTTGGGCAGTGATCGATAGGACAGGAGGAGCAGCTTACCCGTGAATCCACACCATGACCGGCAAGAGGGGACCTTGTGGCTTATCCTGAGTGAGGACGGCCTCTATAGGAGTGGTGATATTGAGATTGAGACAACGGAACTCATCATCCCCGGCAGAAGGATCAGCAACACCACCACTAACCAGGACAGCTCTAGTCCTCTGAGGACAGCGAGGGCCAAATTGGGTAGCGTCCATGATATTACCATCCAAGGTGTGTTTAACAACACTGTGGGTCCAGCGAGCGCTCACTGAGGCATATGTTACTCCGCGATAAAGAGCAAGTCCTGCGTTCTGGTCGAGTTCTCCGGTGATTTTGGCGTGCAAAGACGGGGCATTACTTGTGATGATTTCCATGACGTTCAGCAGATTATCACAACCATGGCCTAGGGTAAGGGGAAATGGTAATCTACCTCATCTATATGCGACTCCGCGGGCTGGCTGATTGGTAATCTTATCCCCAACTTTTGTAAGTTCCGGACATCAATGTCCGGGTAGGCTCCTGGATCTAGAAAAAAGTTAACGCTAATGTTCCCAGTAGGCGAGAACCTTGTAAGGACTACGTGTTATTTTGAGCTTTACTAATGAATAATATGGATCTATCAAGACCAGCAGAAGGATGTAACAAGCGTGTTTACTCACAAACCAATCACTCTGTGATATTCGGTGTCTCTCCAAATTTGGCCTTCTGGCCTCGGGTTAGTTGCAACCGTTTTTCAAATATGTCAATAATTATAAATAAAACCTGCTAATCCGGGGCTAAACACACAGGCTAATGCGTCAGAGCCCACCGGGAGGGTTTAAAAGCATAATGATGCTCCGCCTGTTGTCGGACCAAGCAAAATGATGAGACATGGCATCCGTCACAGAAAGATGATAGCGGAGGGATGCAAATGAGCAAACCGCTTATGGAATTGATGCCGAATACGGTTGGCCATAGCGGACACAAATGCCGAGGCTCCAGGTATGGTTCCTTGATAAACGGCACCATCGTCTTGACCAGAAGTCAGTGAACGTATTCCCGGGCTGGTACCCACCGAGTCAGAAGCTTCGACAGGACGTCTTGGAAAGCAAAGATGATGTTCCGCTTGTGCTGGACATTTCGATATGCGTATTTACCATTTGAGCAAGCAAATCTTGAGCTTTTTCTATTAATGAGTTGATAGCATTGGAACACCATCGACCAATACAGTTCCTTCATTAGTTTGGATCCCAATGAGTCTGTCATATTTTCATGACAAATTTGTATCATCTTTCTGCCACCAAAAATGCATGAATGTAGAGTATGAACGCAAAAAAAAACCCAAACCCTTGATTATCTTTATGAGTAAGTTTAAATTGGAAAAAACTAGTAATAAAAACTGAAAATGGTCCAAATTTGATTGTTAAAGGGTGGTCCAAGGCACCTTCCAGTTCAGTGAAAGTAAAGAAACCACAAACTCCCACCTTCCCTTCCCTCTTCCCTTCTCCCCTCTTTACTCTTCACCGTCGTCCCCCAGCCCATTTGATTTCGTTGATGAGTACCGACTCTTATATTCTGATTGGAATTCGTTTCCCCATCGAGTGCCCCTTCACTCACTCCGCCAAGTTCCACCCTCAATAACCTTTTCGTTTCCTCCCGATTCATCACTTGCCCCCGAACATGAAGACCGAGCAGAACAAAAATAAGCGAAGGAAGCATGCTACTGGCAGATCCTATTATGTTAGAGAAGATTGACAAACTGTTTGCCTGCAATGTGGGGGAGCATGTGGACCCCTCACAACTGGTAGTTGTGGGGGATCAATCAAGTGGAAAAAGTTCGGTTTTGGAGGGCCTACCCAAGCTCAAATTCCCTCGCAGCAGTGGCCTCTGTATTCGGTTCGCGACCCAAATTATCTTTCGAAGAAACCCCAACTTGAAAGCTCGCAAGGTGTCTGGATCGATTATCTCAAAAGGCCACGAGCATGGAGTGGAAATTTCACCTTGGGCGATGTCCGATATCGATGCCTTGAGCGAGAAGGAGTTTGAAAAAATGATGTTCCAAGTGAGTTTCCGTGTCCACACACTCAGTGCTTTACTAATCTCGCCATAGGTCCATGTGGTGATGGGGCTCTCTAGTTCCACCGGAGATAACCTTCCAAGCTTTTCTGCTGACGTTCTACGGTTGGAAATTAACGGACCTCACGAGGAACATCTAAGTGTCATTGACGTCCCTGGCATTTTCAAGACCACCACCCCGGGGCTGACTTCCAAGCCAGACATCGCTCTGGTACGGAATATGGTACTTGGATACATGAAAAATACTCGGTCGATCATGCTTGCCGTCGTCCCAGCAAACGTGGATGTTGCAACACAGGAGATTATTGAGATGGCCAGAGAGCTGGACCCGGACGGAATCCGGACACTACGAATCCTCACCAAGCCAGACCTTGTCGATGAAGGCACCGAAGACAAGATAATTGAATTGGTCCAAGGAAAGCAAGAATCCGAAGAGCTGGGCTGGGTTGTGGTGAGAAATCTTGGACAAAAGGACTTTCAGGACACATCTAAGGATCGTGACATCGAGGAAGAGGGGTTTTTCCAGTCCACTCCCTGGAACCGCCTTTCAAAAGAGAACTGTGATGTTCAAGCTCTTACCGCGCGATTGCAAGCACTTTTGATTTCGACTGTGCAGCGGGATTTCCCGTCTGTGAGTTCGCGAGTACCTTGATACTTGATAAAAGTGACTTCTGACATGGTAAAAGGTGCGGCTTGAAGTTTCCAGACGTCTTAAGAAATGCGAAAAGGCTCTTGAAAGCCTGGGAGAGGAACGTGAATCCTCCGAAAAGCAACGCAAATATTTGCTGACAAGTGTTTCGAAATTCCAGCGAATCACCGAAAACGCCCTGACCACAAACTACGGAACGCAGGATGTTTTTGAAGAACAGCCCCTGCTACGACTGGCAACATTGGTAGCGAATCGCAACGCAGACCTGTCGGACGATTTCGCAACCAGTGGTCATGTTTACAATTTTAATTCACACGCCCATGACGACGATTTGGAAAACAAAAATCCAACAGTGACAACAGCTTCGGGGACCGCAACAACAGTGACTTCGAAGACCAGTTCTCAGATTCCTACCGCCTTAATGGCCGACGACCGGGGCCGTGACATCCCAAGCAGAAGGGTGAACACTTGCACTGAGATTGGACATATTTTACACCAAGGTGCCCCAATTCAAAACCCAAAGGCACAAGGGATCCTGTCCTGGAACGAGCGACTCTACCAGGAGTCTCGCGGATTCGAAATCGGGACATTCAACGCATCAATCCTATCTAGCGTGCTGAGGAAACAATCTGCCAAGTGGCCACTAATCGCCGAGGGCTATATCTGTGACATTGTTTCCATTGTTCACTCATTCACAAGCAAGGCATTGGAGATTTCTTGTGGAGATCCCAAAGTCGCTCAGAACATTATGTCATCTCTGATGGATGATCTTTTCCAGAGATACCGAAAGGCTATCTCGATGACAGAGTTTCTCCTGGTAATTGAGCGGGAAAGAACACCAATGACGATGAATCATTACTTGAACAGCAACCTGCGCAAATGGTGAGAGTCAAATGCATATATTACTTTGTTAGTGGCTGACACCAGAATCAGTCGCCAGGAACGCCTGACATCGCTAATCAAAGGTTTCCCACTCAACCAGGCGTTTGGATTCGGGACCACCCAATTCCATTTGTGGATCCAGCTCATCTCGACCATATGAGTAACAATAAAGCGACCATTCAGGATATCCACGACATTCTGAAGTCTTACTACAAAGTCGCGCGAAAGAGATTCATCGATAACTTGTGCATGCAAGCGACAGACTACCACCTAGTCACTGGACCGGCAGCGCCAATGAAGCTGTTCTCGCCCTCTTGGGTTTACAACCTCTCGCCAGAACAACTCGAACAAATCGCCGGGCAGAAAGTTTCAATCCGCGCAAAGCGTTGCCGGTTGCAGAAGCAAATCAAGGGTCTTGAGATTGGCAGGAAGATTTTGCTACACTGATACGGACTGAATCGACTGAATTCCAGCTAAGTAGTGATAGTTTTTTAAGGCTGAGAAAAAGCATCGGAGAATTACCCGGGTCAGGGAGGCAAGAAGGAGACAAGGAAATTATGATATAACCATATTTGTTAGAAGTAACAATCTTTACAATAAATTATCCTTCCACATCCAATGTTCAAGAGATTAACAAAATTTCGCATTTGAGCCTCGGAAATGGCGATTCTTACGCTAGTTCCAAAAATCATAAGCGAGCCGCATTGACGGGTGCTTCGGACCCTGTGGACCCTTTCCATCTCGACTGAGACATGACTACTTCGAAAAGGGATTAGCGTGGAAATGTAGAGTAAATAGTTTCTTTTTCTCAAATTCCTGCTTTTTTCTCCATAGGTACCCATCGATATGACTTCCAATATGCCGGTCTGGCTACGCGGGTGGGTTGACATCTTTGCTGCGTGGTTCCTACAATTTCTCTAACCAATTCGATATTTCTTAGTCTGTTGGTGGTCTTGAATTTTCTTTCATTCCTGCCACAGATTCTCCAATTACACAAATTAAAAAGCAGAGCAAACATAAACACCCTGCTACTCTTATCCAATATCTTCAGCGCAGGGACCCAGTTGAATCTCTCCTCCTTCTTCTCGGCCGATGCTTGGAAAAGATGGGAAACAGGAAGAAACAGTATCGGAGTCATACAAATTTCGATCGACTGGATGCATATTAGCCAAGCGACCGGTATCTGGCTCTTATTATCTTCAATCATGTATGCGAAACCCCTCCTGATTCAACATACTCCCTAGAAACATTTTTAACCACTGAAATATCCAGAGTCTTGACAGAAATTTGCTACACCTCCATGCCAAGAAAGAAGAAGGTCAAAAGTATCTTAATTTTCTTGCTGGCCGTGTATTGCACGCTACTCCCTCTAATCACGGGACAAGGCGGCCGCATGGTGGCATTGGAATTGATCTCAGCTCTTCATGCATTAGTCAACCTCAATCCCGCGGTGACAGGTGCAATTTACATGGTTTATACAGGAGAATTTTCGATGAGGCCGCATTCTACGTCGCTTTTAAGCGCCATAGGATTCGCTAGCCAGATTGCTGCTCACATTATAATGGCCATCTCTTGGCTAAAGATCACTTGGCCTCTATATGTGCAATTCTTCTCGCTTTCGTGGACTGGCTCGAATGGGATTCTGTCATGGTATTATGGTTTGGGGTGGGTGTTTGTGGAACATGCTGTATTTGCTATGTTTCAAGGAAGACTACTTTGGGTTCTGCTAAAGGAGAGAAAGGCGCTCGCTCGTCAATGCAGGGAGAAGCCTTTACTTGGAGATTATCAATAGAGGCAACTTAAGTACCATGGACGTTTCAAAATTTATTCACCTATAGTGCCTAACCTATTGACCTGCTCTGTTGGCTAATCAATTGATAGAACCATGACTAACTACACCAGATTGGAAGATGATATACTTTAAACATGGGAAGCACTCTTAGTTGCGTAGAACAGACCTGCAGTGCCGTCAACCGCTCACCGTTAAACGAACCCCTTTATCACTTAGGTAAATTACACACTTCTTGGACACGGCTTTTAAACCCCATATTAGTTCACAATCCCAAAACAAATATGAACTAATGCTGGATGCAAAAAATGACACGACGAGAGCGGCTCGGAATCTTAAGATTCCGCATCTCCTTTACCCCGCAAAATCCCCGTCTTTTATAGAAGCAAAATCGTCCCAAGATCAGATAATTTCAAAGCAAGTGATTTGACCATGGACAAATCAAATAATGATAGAAAATCCCCAGTTCAAGATGATCTGGCCATACAGGATCCCCAATTCGAGGTGAAATGGGAAGATGGCGACCCTGAAAACCCTCGGAATTGGTCTGTTTGGTATAGAAGCTTCATTGTGGCGGCAATGTCTTTTTCAACAACAATTGTGTAAGTTTTTGAATAAATCAAAAATCCTTCTATTGTTGAAAATGGCAATTGACAATTTACAGGGTGGTCTATTCAACAATGTACACGTCAGGTACCGACGGGATCAAACGAACATTCCACATCTCCTCCGATATCGTGGTGCTTTTTGGTTTAACTACAAACCTCTTCGGTCTCGCCATCGGCTCTGTGGTACTGTCATCGTTATCCGAGATATATGGTCGTCGCTTGGTGTATCTCTTCTCAGTCACATTATTCGCTATCATGATCTTACCCGTCGCTCTCGCGAAGAATATTGAAGCCGTCCTCATTTGCAGGTTCTTTGGTGGATTCTTCGGTGGTGCTTGGATTGCAAGTGCCCCTGGTAGTGTTACTGATGTCACTGATGACAAGTATCGTGCTTTGGCTTTGAGTTGCTGGAGTCTTGGAACGATGAATGGACCTGTTCTCGGTATGTCTAATCCAGTTCATGATTGGTTGCTGTTTCTGACATGGTTCCGGTGTCTTGAAGGTCCTATTATTGGTGGCTTTGTCTATCAATACCTCGGCTGGCGCTGGATCAACTGGCTTGTCCTGATTTGCTCTGGGGTGTCGTTTGCTTTGATGTTTCTAGTCAAAGAAACCTACGCCCCTGCACTCCTTCGACAGAGAACAAGAAACAGGCAGATAGAGACAGGGGATGAGCGATGGTGGTGTCGATATGACCATCAAGAGACGGGGTTTCAAATTGTGAAAACAAACATGATTCGACCTCTGCGAATGCTTGTCCTCGAGCCAATCTGGTAAATAAAAATTACCAAAGAATAACTCGTGTTGAAGCTAACAAGCCTTCAGTGTATTTTGGAATCTTTACGTCGGAGTGGTTTACGCAGTACTCTTCTTATGCTTTGTGGCATACCCAATAGTCTTCGAGGAGCTTCGAGGCTGGTCCCCCGGTCTCGCTGGACTAAGCTACTGCGGAATTGGAACCGGCATCGCGATTGCAGTAGCCCTGGAGCCACTTATCAGGAAGATCATTTCCATGCATCCCAAAGATCCCACCACTGGTCGTCCAGCTCCAGAAGCGGCCGTCTTCGCCGTGTGTGTGGGAAGTATATTGATTCCTATCGGCGAATTCTGGTTTGCGTGGACTGCCCGGCCACCTGTTCACTGGATCTGTCCAATTCTAGCCGGAATCCCATTTGGACTCGGCAATGTGCTCGTATTTATTTATTCGACAAATTACATGGCCGGCAGCTATACTGTCTATGCGGCGTCATCACTTGCGGGTAATTGCATCGTGCGGTACGGTTTGGCCGGGGTCCTACCTCTTGCGGGGAATAAGATGTATCATACAATGGGAGCGGAGTGGGCTGGGACAATGCTTGCTCTTCTTGAGGTGGTTCTCATTCCAATTCCCTTTATCTTCTATAGGTATGGCCATCGAATCCGAATGCGGAGTCCGATGATTGGGAAGGAGGTATCATACAGCTAGAAAATTCTGCAACGCATCAGGCATTGGATCCGACCATTCAAAAGGCGATGTCGGAAGCGTAAGCTAGGCGCTTGAAAGGGATATTTTAGAAGCTTTTCACTTGTGACAAGGCCCGGGAGAGATCGAAATTCCTCCTACTCAAGTTACCACCCGCGGCGTCATGCCAATAGAGAAATTCAATCCCATACCGGAGGAAGATCGGTACCTAGGCCATCCACAAATAGGGATTGCAGCCATTCCATTCCCCCATCTATCAGCTCACCTGGAAGGGATATATCCACATCCAAATCGTTGTGACCCATCTGAAGAGTTTCAAAAGAGCAAGGACGAGGCTCTGCTATTTCAAAAGAACCCGAGCCATTGAATACACCCGATTCAGGTGCGGCATGCATCCTAGTCCTTAACTCAGCCTGTTCGCGTCGTATGCATTCGACACGATGCCTTTCCTCCGGATTTTGGATAGTGCGGGTGCTTTGATTGATCATAGGTTCATCAACAGGCATTGGGCGACTCGTCTGTAGGATGGATGTCGCACTAACTATTTGGAGATCCTGACTGCCGGGTTTCTTGCCGTTTAATAGATCCCGCTCAGTAGTGGAAAACTTTGGTTTAGATGTGCTGGGTGCAGGACCCGGAACAATAATTGATGGCGGACAGGATTGCCGATCTGGAACAGGTTCACCTAGTATTTGTAGAGAATGGCCAGCCCCCTCTTGTAGTCGATCACCTGGACGACTGAGCGTTGCATCCGCCATCTGATTGAGTTTCCAAACAGTCCGCGTCATCCTTCCAGAGACCCAGGTTTTCCGACAATGCTCCCACAGTGAACGTGCAGCTTTCATAGTAAGTTCACCATAAGCCTGCTTGAATGAAGGCTGCCTGATGATCAGCCCCAGGGCAATGATAGTAGCATTGGTAAGGTAGTGAAGGAAGGGAAAGGTGTATTTAGGATGTTGTTCTGGCATCCTGTTAAAGTCGTCGAATATGTTCTGGGCCATGCGCATGCAGATTACTTCATTTTCGATGGCTTCCGGTACTGGCTGGTTTAATGCGACGGTGTTTTGTATCATTGGTTTTCGAATAAGGAGATACAAAGACGTCCACCGCTATTGAAATGTATAAGCATTAATTTGAGGGGCGAGAAAGAATGAATGAGCCACGTACAATTCGCATGATAAACTTTTGTTTGATCTGCCACCAGGGTAGTCCACTGGTTTCATCACTACCAGGGTTATGCGGGTCAAACGAGAATTCTTCGTGAATTCCTTTCTGTGATTGAGTAATGAGGTGCTCCAAGTACTCATTGAGAAGAGGACTTGGGGTCGAGTCTGACATTGCTGCGCCATAAAGAGCTTCCCATACCTTGCCTATTACTTTAGAGTAACTGGCCATGGCAATAAGATATGACACTGAGGCCATCTCAGATTCAGCAGTTGCTTGATCACTGTTGTATAGCTGTGTAGTTATTTGAGACTGTTTGAGCAATTTGTCGTCCACATTTCGAGGGAGGCCCACGTCAACATTGACATCCTGGATCAAGAAAGGGCGACCAGTCTCTATGGCAAGTCTTCTATCCATCAGATATAGACACCACCATAAGCGACGAGACATTTCACCATCAAATAGAGTCATGCCTTCCACCACCCGGTTCCTGTGAAGACCCAGGTGATGTGCATGGGAGATTGAGAGAGCGAGGACCTTTTCGGCAGATCCATGAGCGTCGATGCGGAAAAGATAAACAACCTGACATTTTATAAGTGAGAGTTCAACAGAGAATCAATAGATTGGGGGAAAATATTCTCACCATTAACAAGACCGTCTGCAGTACAAATATCTGATCTGCGGACTGATTAAATCCATCGAGAAGATCGCCAAACAAGTCGCGGGCTGCCTTGTATAAGCTCCAGCCCGCAGAATACCGTCCCTCATCACTCTCAATGCGCGACGACTCAACACATCTACCATTTGCAAGACACAACAAAATATGAGCTGTTTGAACACGGATAACGCCACTTCGATCGGGAGCAGGGTCTCTCGACCGGCCACCAAGTGAAGTTTCCCACATCCCCTCATACAATTCATAAAGGCTAGGCAAATGAAGAAACGGCACAAGAATGTGCCCCTCGTCGCAAAAGGTACGCAGAAGCCTATCCCATTGCTCTCGCTGGGGTACTACCCCACGGGCATCCAAGACCCGATTGACAAAGCTCGTGTGTACATCTGTATGGCTCCCCGGTGGGTTATCAGGAGAAGGTGTCAGGCAAGACCTAAATGCGCGGCTGGGAGATGGGGATCGAAGCCTCGCATATTGGACACCCATCTGTTCCAGTCGACTCTCAACGACCGTCAGGTTGTGTGCGATGGAGGTCTCTCCCGAGAAAGCCGGAACATGTGCAGATCGAGAGCACGATTCTGAGCCAGGTGTCTTTTTGTCTGCGGATTCTGCTAAATCACCTTGTAGATCCAGTTGGCTGCCAGCGCTTTTGCATGTCTCATTAGGATGAAAATCCGGCTTCTTCATCGTACTCAAATGCTGTTCAATCCTGTTTAATCGTGACGCGAAATCATCAATCGAGCCACTTGTGCTTTTTGTATCTCTCCATTTCCCGCGCATGTCGGTTCCCGTTCGCTGACACTCGTACGCGTGCCCCTTGGCTACACAAGCCCGGCATGGCATATCACCATCGCACTGGCAAACAGTTTAACAAAATCTCACATAAGGATAATTTCAGTTCTTACTTTGATTTTCCGTCTTTTGCATTCGGCACTGTGAGATGTCAGTCCCAAATCAATTGACTTGGATTATGGTGGAGCACGGACCATGCTTTCGAGGCATACTTGGCTCTTTTCTGCCTCTTCGAAACATGTAAAGCCTCATTATGATACTCACCATCGGCCTTGACATGATTTAGGCTATTTTCTGACTCTGAATCGCGCATTTTTGAGAAATGGCGAATATAGCGAGCCGGTGTGTCCCGGGAAAGCGCGATTCATGTGGAGCAGTGTAGTGGGGGTTCGGAATCTTGCATTCCGCAGCCGTCTTTCCCGGATCACGGGATAGAAAGTACACATTTTGGTGTCGATTTAATGGAAAACGAAAGAACACCGCATAATAAGAGAGAGAGAGAGGCGAGGGAAAAGATGCTTAAAAAAACCACGGCCCAGTCCGCATGAATCCCGTCTGTATATTTAGGACCAAAGGAAGCAATTTCCTGAACCAGTCCGGGATTCTTCAGCTAAGGAATGCTAAATTTGAAACTATAATATGGACCCGAGTAGCTTGTATAAGCGTCACTCTGGTTTCTTTATTACCCAACTTCGACTATTAACTGTTCCCGGTCATCATCTCTTTCTTTAATTAACACCTTGGATACTTGGGGGGGGGGTAGACTTCTTGTTTGATCTCCACCCCCGTCGTCACGGAGAATTGATATTGATTGGTAAGCTGATATAAATGAGCTGCCACGAAACAGCGAAACTTGATGATATCACTTGATTGGTAGCAGTGGAATAGGACAGGAATAGAGAAGCCTGGAGATTTCATGTCCCTCGGGATGTTAACATTCTGATCAAGGCGTTCTGCCTTCGGCACCGGTTGAGGTCCCTCAAATCTAATCTCACTTCCATCACACGTCGGGCGATCTTTTTATGCACATTGATTGCGCACTGTTTTCTTAACAACCTTCGAGTTAGTCTGGCACAATCCCGCCTAAGACTTTTACCCTTGTGCGGTGACTGTATGACTCTAGCAGATGACGTCTGCTTGCAAACTTGACATCTTGACCCTCCAACGCTGATCATTTCCAACGGAATATCATGCCATCCAAATGAGTAGTCTTCACCCACTGAAACGGTAAATTCTGACTTATGCCAGATCAGATCTGGATCATAACCAACTCTTTGGAATCCTGTGGTTGGCCTCTCACAGACAAGGAGTGTATGGCGTCGATCCCCAGTCCGTGCGTTGCATTCAAAGGCGACAAGGTCACCTTCGGGACGGCATCCGTTCGTAACCAGAACTGTCACGAAGGACATTTTTGTTTTAGAAAATTGAACCTGCACAAGATACCCGACGCCGAAGTTCATATTGTCCATGACACACTGCGACAGGAGTTGCATGAAATCTGTCCATATAACACGGACCCGCTCCGACTGCAGAATGGGATAGAATTTGTCTTCGGTATTTTGATGGATGAAACGTAACGCCCGATCAAAATTGTTCTTCAGAACCTGTGCGATCAGAATAATTTTCTTGTTACTATATCGCCCAGAGCCGAATGCGACGGCTACATCAATAGCAGACAACCAATTACCATTCGAGAAGATGATAAGACTTAGATCTCGGTGAACCCATCCCTTGAAAGACCGATGTACAGGTCCAAGTCGACGGATAATCGTGCAGGGTCCGATTTGTCTTGCCTTCAACGACACTGTACCCTCGGAAACAGTTACAGGGCCATAAGGTGCTACAGAATCTAGGCCTGAGGTAGATGATAGGGCATGTCGCTTTGAAAAAAGAACCCCTTCATATGTTAACTCCACGGCCTCCTCAGCGGAGAGAATAGTGGGGGGAATCATCAACCATCGTAGATGTCCGCATGTCAACGCTGCCTCCAGCCACCTCTTCCATGCGCTCTCTCTCGACTCCGTCGGCTGGACGCTAATTCCTACCTTAGTGGCAGCCATGATGCCGTAGACCTCGTCTACTGGAACAGTTGCCTGTCGATTTCCGAGTAACTCCATCACTCGGGTCCTTTCTATTGCATTTAAGCGGGAAGCTGCCATACCGGAGAAATGTGAAAAAAGTAGTTTTTAGTCGTTCTTTATCGATATTCCTCGAGTAGTGCATTCAGTAACCCCCAGCCTCCTACACAGGCCAGGTATGGCAACGAAGAGCTCGTCGGCGATCGATATTGGCTCCAAGTCTGAACCGATCCATAGTACTTTTGTGGCGAGGACGTATTCCTGTAACGTCCATATGCGCGTCCCCCAAGCCGATTTTGTGCTTTCATCGCCTGCATGAGTTTGATTCGTCCGTCTCCCATTTCCCAGTACTGTGTCACTCCGTCATCTGTCCATGACTCCATTTGCCAGATAGCGAGGGCCTCGTCCATCTCAGCTGTACCATGATTAACTTGTCCTTGTGTCAGATTGAGACCGTTGGTGAGAATAATCAAGACGGCTTCGGCATCGCCGAAGATCTGGCCCATAAGTGGGATCTGCTCTTTCACGTCATCCTCGGAATCTTGTTGGACGCAGAAATGATCGATCCAGCAATATTTGACATAATCGAGACCCCTTTTTAACAATGTTTGCTTGATTGCATTGCCGCCGAATGATGGTTGGAGGGGTAGTTGTTTAGGGAAGATGTTATCCGACCAGGCGTGGGAGATGGCCAGATAAGATGGTGATTTTCCGATCTCAAAATTTCGATGCTCCAGTCCAAGGTGTTCAGAATTTTGAATGTCTTCATTCTGGTGCATTCATATTATCATGTTAGTCCGACGATAGATTGATTGAGAGGCAGTAGATATTTCAGGAACAGCTTACCTACTGTTGCGATCTCACACTAGATAAAAGTGGGGTATATCACACGACGTTTCTCTAATTGTACTTGGCGCTTTCCGCCGTGCATTCCACACAACACCTAGAAGGAGTGAACTTTCTACTGTGCTCCTCTACTATTTGCCAACTTTATCTTCTACTTACTCCTACCCGGTCTCCTACATGGATGTAATGAAGTGTATTTTCTAACAATACAAAGAAAGCCATTGGCAACAACAAGCTTTTAGCATTATGTTTCTCCGAATCTTAATGATCATCCTCGTCATGTTTTAACAAACGCTTTATGTTCCTCTAACCGTTGTTACAATGAAATTTCATATCTAGCAGATTTGGGCGTTGGTGTGCTGCAAGATTTGACGTCTCTCATTGAATGGAGATGATGACACCCTGGCCATTGGCACCGCAACTGTTTTTTCTCGCGGGGGCTGATTACTTCTCGTACGTCTCGGCGCGGCTATATGCAGTGCATTTGTTAGCATTGCCGATTATGAAAAAATTGGGTGTTTCATAATATACATACCACTTTGTTCCGCGCTGTCATTTGTTACTAGATGATTGGGACTGATAGACATTGGTGGTTTATTGGTGTGTAATTTTTGCCCTTGCCCTGACTCTCGATAGCCTGGTGTCCTGATGGCGGGGGCAGGGAGATGGGGAACTAGAGCATATGAAGACCGATCTTCTACTCAGTCTCCTGCTCAGCATCCTATCTTCGCTTCTCCTTCTTTCGTACCTGGTTAGTCAAATGATCAAAGGGCTCTCCAAACTTATGCATAGCGGAATAGAAAAGAAGGAAGACAGAAAATGAAGAGAAAATGATTGAAGTAAAGGAGGAAGTAAAGAACAAGGTGAAAAAAAAGAAAAGTCGGGGGGGGGGGCTTCGCACGTACGTTGATAAAGTCTGCGGCGTACCCGCGAACGTAAAAGTATTTTGCTGAGTCTGTATGACCCTGAACGAACCAACATGTCGCCATTGCACTCATACTGCTTGTATGACCCGGTGAGATAGCAAGCCAACTGCGTTGTGACCAGGAACTGGAATTGCTGCAGTATGCTTTATGCTAGCAGAGAGAAGGATAACCAATGATGATAAGATGATGATCTTGAAGGCTTCATTGGACCTTGAAAATTTAGCGGCTCCGTCAACGACGTGCTCCGAAGCTCACAGACAGACGAGAAAGCGACAGAGGTTGGTGAAGAGACCTGAATTTCGAGATAGATAGGGAACAGAGAGAGAGAGAGAGAAACATAACTACCTAGTGAAGAGTGGAATGCCCGTTGGCAGTACGCTCTGACGACGTACGAATCAGATGTGCTAAGCAAAAACCCACCAACGACCGAAGGTCGCCCTAGGAAAATAGCAGGTCCCTCGACGAATGTCGAAGTGAGAGAGTTGTAGTAGTTTTAATTGTAAATAGTACTAGGCTGGTTTTAAAACATATAACCTTTTTCATTACGGGACGGAATATGACCTGTGGTATAGGATTCTGAAATAGTGACCAGGTCTCTCCACTGCACTAGCTAGTTATATATGCAAGCGCTGGAGCAAAATCGATTGGGCCACATTTGAACCCCACATTCGAATAATCTCAACTTTTTCTGGGCGGTATGGTGTGATTAAATGGGTAGATACTATCATCTCCTTGTTCTCGGAGCGTTATTGGAGCGTATGCGTATGTCGTGCTGGGTCTCCGTCGGTTCTCGCGAAAATATGCGCTAGGCCGGCTTGCATAGTCAACTGTAGTTTATCCAATGTCCACTCCAATTCTACATCGGTGAGAGAACAAAGTTCTGAGAGAAGGTCTAAAAAACTGGCATTAATAGCATCCTCGGAATTGAATGTTGTCGAGGTCCGGGGAATGGCCGATGGTTTCTGGGCCAAAGCTTCAATGGCAGCGGAGAAGCCCTTTGATTCTCCGGACTCTTCCTGTTATTCAGTGGGACTCTGGTGCTGAAGCTGCACCATTGGTGTAATGGATGACTCTGCTTATTCGAGCTTCTCCGCACCGGTGATAAGCGCCGTACTGCTATTGCTCCCAGCATTTTTCATCTCAACGTTGGGATTTTCGGAGGCAGATTCTCGATTTCTCTTGAATGGTTGGGTCAGGAGAAACTCAGGGGCATTGCCTTGGACTCGTAATATCTTTTGTGGCGACAAAATAGATGTTTTTTTGTCTTCTCTAATTGAGAATTGCATCTTCCGGACGTTAGCAAAGACGCCAAGGCCTTTGATGGACCAGTTTTCCGTTTTAGTTCGACCGAATAATGTAATTTCCGCAGTGCGCATATCCCATTTCTCTCTTTTAGATCTGTTGGAAGCTGGTCTGCCGTCCAGGAGAAGGGCTATATATAAGCGTGGAAACAGAAGAAAGGGATAAGATCTGTATTCCGAAAGGGATGGAAGAAGGAAGAAAGAGAAGGAGAGAGAGAAATCTAGCTAAAGACATGCACACGCTGGCAAACGGAGGGAGTCAGCTGACCCCACACCACTTTAGAGATCAGGGTTCTGGGAGGTCCGAATTGCTGGCATAACCGCATAACCCCCTTTTTGGTCCCTCCACCAGGTCATCCTCCAATTCCACTTTGTGGAAAAACTCCATTTCCCGTATTCCTTCATGATCGCACATATCCGCGGTGAAATCATCAATGTGAATACGTTGTAAGGACAGAACCTTTTAGGGTAGCGCCTAGTACTTAGGTATTATATTATATCTCCTACTATATCTCCTACTTAGCCTCCTACTTAGTCTTCTACTTAGTCTTTACCTTGTATCCTACTTAGTATCCTATCTAGTATTCTACCATCTTTTATACCAATTTAGTCAAATCGACAAGGGCTCTCTAATGTCATATATAGCGGAATAGAAAACAAAGAGAAAAAAGTGAAGTGGAAGCACTTCGTCTGGTGGAGATTTCGAACGTACGTCCAAAAAGTCTGCGGGGTATCCAAGTAATAGAGGGGTAGATTAGCTTAGTATTATTTATGATTTTCTGCCATTCATTATGTGATATTGAAGGTTCTGTCCTCATGGCCGCTACTCGCCTCCGTAGTGGCCATCTGGGCCCTGGCTCCTCATAGCTAAGCCGTAAACGCCATAACCAGGTAACTTCATGCAGTAATTTACAAGTCTTAAAGAACGTATCTAAAGAACGGATTTTCCTTATCCGTGAGATCGTCAAAAGCGATCTTATCCCGTAAAACTTCGTCCAACTCGAGGTTCTCGCGCGCTCTGTTTTCCTTCCACAGCAAGTAGTATAAAGCAACAGCCGCAGCGATGGTGATGCAGTAGCTAAGGAGTGAAGGATTGTTAGTCGGACGTGAGTTTCATAGGTGCAAATAAGATAGACGTACCAAATGATCATTCCCTCCCATAGCTCGGGGTAATGCTGATCCTTAGTGTTGCTTTTGATGAGCTGAGGACCAATGATGTTTCCAACCGTGTAGGCCACGAATGTGGTAGCGGCCATGATGGTCTTCTTGGTAGCCCCAGCAACATTGCTAGCGCCAATGGTAATAATTAAGCTGACAACCGGTCCAAAGAAACCAGTGAGTGCATATCCAACGACTGGGGTAGCGGGGTGATGTCCCCATTGGGACTTCCAGATCATGACACAGCCGGCGATGACAGGGAGACAGCATGTGATAAGCATTGGAATGCGCGTGTTGGGGATGACAGTGGGGATATATCCGCAGAGAGGAATGAAAATGAGACAAATTCCGCCGACGGGGAATTGGAACAAAATTGAGTCGAGGGTGTCGTAGCCGAAGGTTGAAACGATCAAGGGTCCAAATCCAGAGATAGCTCCATTGATAGTGTACCTGTGAAAGTTAGCTCGTGTAGGCTTTGTCAAGTGCATATAGGTAAAGCTTACGCAGATGCCATCATCAGTGCAACCAGGTAGATCTTGGGATCGGTGATGGATTCTTTGACCTGGCTCAATTTAATCTGCTGGCATCGAACTCCTGTCTGACCCTTGCGAAGGCGTTCCACAGCAACCAGACGTTCTTCAGGAGTAAGAAACCAGGCAGTGACTGGGGAATTGGGCATGGCACAGCACCAAAGTCCGAACAAAAATGTGAGTGCACCGGCAAAGATGTAGATATACTGCCAGCTCTTTAAAGCTCCCGCAGTGATTTGACCAAACCCGTAGTTTAGTGCACTGCCAATAATTGTGAACCAACCCACACCGGAGAACCACCAAGCTTGTCGCATAGTTTGCTCTTCCTGAGTGTAGTAGCCACTAACGATGGTCATGAAACCGGTGGGAATGACACTTTCAATGACACCTAAAAGATGTCAGAGCTGATGAATCTAAGGAACAAGAGAAAATGATAAAACTCGTACCAAGGAAGAATCGCTGGACGAAGAGTCCTCGCCAGGATGTCACACCGGCAGTTGCTGCACAAGTAACAGCCCAGAGCAGAACAACCGGACCAAATACATAGCGCAGGTTGAATTTCTGCAAGATCAGTGTCATAGGATACAATCCAACCAGCATTCCGAAATAGAAAATCGAGGTTGCCCAGCTGAGACGTGAAGTATCAACCGTCTCTGGGGATGTTGAATAGTCCACCACTTTCAATGCCAAATCGGTAGTCATTCCAAAGAGACTTGCACTGCCTAGAATGGCCTAGCAAAATGTCAATAGCCGTCGTCTCACAAATGATCAATATCATACATACCTTATCCCAATAGACAATACCGTAGCCTAAATAAAGAGCATTGGTTAATTTTAAATATTCAACTTCTGGGTCAGGGGAACATACCTATCAGCATGGCCGGCATAAAATAAAGATCAATTTTGCGCAGCACCCTTTTGGCGATGATTGGATCAATATCCTGTGCTACATCGCCAACAACCGCTAAGGCCGCATCTTTTTCGGTATCATATGCGGGTGCATTCCCATCGCCAACACCATGAACTTGAATCATCACGATTCTTGTCACAACAACCTTGTTTTACTGCATCCAGTCAAACACCGAACAGTAAACAAATTAAATTGCGAAAACAAAACGAAATTGACTTTTCTGACATTTCCCGATTGGGACACCCGATACCGCGGGTAAGTCTGTCTTACCGCCCGGGACACTGGCAGAATCGGCCAGCATCGGAGGTGTGTAGTCCGCACTATAAGTCATTGGCTTATTCAGATGTCTGCAAGACAGCATTGAAGGAGATTGGAGTTCAGTTAAATTGGGAGCCTGCTAGATCAGGCATAGATTCATATTTGAGTGGGTCAAAAGATGCGCAACCTATCGCTGTATGCAAGTCAGTACATAAAAGCCATGGCAACGCTACCATTTCTCTCGCCTATGAAAATACATATAGGAATGTATTGAAATATATCTTCCGATATACTTCGAATTGAGTGAGCGGTAAACAAGCATCGAAAGTGATGATATCAGTGGCCCATAGCTCTACCCAGGGCCCCCGGCTACTGGCCAAATAGGTTACATCAGCCATATTTCTCTACCGGTTTTCTGTCTCAGCATTTCGTCAAATGGTGACGTAGGAGTCCTCGGATAGACTAGACTATTAGAAATGAATACTCCCATGAAAAGTTGCCAAATTCAATCCCAACGCAACCCTGCTCTTCACAATGCCGATCGAATTCACCGTATTCAAGGGTTCCAAGGATGGAATCAAACAAGAGATAACGCGCAAAGACGACCTCAAGCGCGACGAAGTGCTCGTTCGCGTCACCCACTCCGGTGTCTGCGGTACCGACCTTCATTATCAAGATGTCGAAATGGGCCTTGGCCACGAGGGAACCGGAGTGGTCGAAGCGACCGGGCCTGACGCACACCTATTAAAAAGAGGCGACCGGGTGGGCTGGGGATACGAACATGACTGCTGTGGTCATTGTCGCCAGTGCCTGACGGGCTGGGAAACACTGTGCTCCGAGCGAAAGATGTACGGGCATGCCGATCTCGATCAAGGATCATTCGCGTCGCATGCTGTCTGGCGGGAGGCATTCCTTTTCAAGATCCCGGATAATCTAGAAAGTGAGGATGCGGGTCCACTGATGTGTGGTGGATCAACGGTCTGGAATGCTCTGCACGTCGCTCAGGTGCGACCGACTGCTCGCGTCGGAATCGTGGGTATCGGAGGACTGGGGCATCTGGCTATTCAATTCGCTGCCAAGATGGGCTGTCAAGTTGTTGTCTTCTCTGGTACTGACAGCAAGAAGGAAGAGGCTATCAGCTTGGGTGCCACGGAGTTTCATGCTACCAAAGGGTTGAAGGAACTAAAGCTCGAAAATCCTCTGGATAACTTGATTGTCACAACTAGCAGTCAGCCGGACTGGAATATGTATCTTGGTGTTATGGCACCGGGCGGAACTATTTCTCCTCTATCTGTGGATTCAAATGATCTGAAAATCCCTTATATGCCTTTGTTGTTGAACGGTCTTCGCGTGCAGGGTGGAATTGTATCTTCGAGACAGGTGCACCGCGAGATGCTGGAGTTCTGTGGTCTTCATAAGATCAAGCCTGTCAAGATGACTTTCCCGTTGACATTGGAAGGTGTGAAAGAGAGTCTGAAGACGCTGGACGAGGGCAAGATGCGGTACCGAGGTGTTCTTGTCGCGGGCAAGTAAATGGAGGTGTGCACATTATTCACCTTTCCAAAATATGTGCACAAGAAATATTCTACCCAGGCAGCGCTTCAACTTTAATATGTATGATTAATTGTCATGATGTCAAACGAGGACCTTGATGATTTGATTTCTTGGTACTGGAAAATACATTCAATTGATGAAAATGAACTCCATGAACTCGAAAACAGATTCAATTCATAATATATCAATACGCTATAAGCATATCTAATGGGACTTCCTGTCGATATGAATTTTCCTTCTCGGGCTTGATTTATATAGAATGTTTAAGTCCACAACCTGTTGAATGGACGCAACTTATAGTCGACCCTTCATTGGCGCCGCATCCTTTGCATCAGCTGCCGGTAGACGAGGCTCTGGCAATCCTAATTCCCGCGCAACTCCCCGAGCAGCCCACAAACCAGTCACAAATGCGAGAGCAAGACCACCGGCATATCCAAGATTGCTAAATCCACCAGCATCAACTCCAGCAACCATAAGACCTGGAATTCTGGTCTTGTCAGCAGTCAAGGCGTGTCCTTGCTTGTCGATTAATATTCCACCGTACGTGAATGTGATACTAAAGCTGCGTCAGTAGGGCTAATCAAATAGTATGGACCGAACAGGCTTACGATGGCTGAACTTCCATAGCGTAAAATGGCCCTTCGCCATCGACCAGAGATGCAGGTGGTGGGCCGCCACGTCCGACAGGGGCATCCAATCCAATACTAGACTCCCCAAAACGCACAACCTGATCGTATTGTTCGATTGTACGAGCGGACTGAGCAGCATCTACTCCCCATCCGCGGAGTACATCCATCAATCCATTCAAGGTTGGTGCACTTCCGACATTGCATCCATAGTCCCGCGCTTTCTGCAGGCGATCAATGGAGCCCGCATTGGGGAAAGGTGCACCCACAGTGTGTTGAAGGCGAACCTTCTCACTAGGCAAGTAAAATCACATAAGCTTAGTCTTTCTAAATCATTTGGGACAAAACTCAACTTACTTAAAAAGCAAAAAGCCCCGGCGCTTTTCTTGCTTTGCCAAATACTGATTGACAATCTCATCTCCAGTCGTCTCGTCTGCAAATCGCTTACCAGCCTCATTCACCAGCAAGCAGAATTTGCTCTCTGTTTTATATGTTAGAATCTGATCAGAAGGAGGAAACTCTGTAACTCACGGTATTGGGCCAGTGGCAGGTAATCTTTTGGATCCACATCCTGTGCTCGCACAGGCGCTGCTAGGAGGTGACCATAGTATGTGTTCATACCCCTGGTAGTTCCAGCTCCTGATCGAGAGGCAAGACTGAGACCATCGCCGACGGATCCCGGATTGGACCGCACGAAAATATTGTCTCCGCCCTGTCCCAAATACGAAGCGGTCAAAGAGTGAGATCCTTGGAATCCTCCAGTGGCCAAAACCACCACCTTTGCCTTCACTTCGTAATACTTCTCCGATTTGGAGGTTTTTTCACGGACGATAGCACCTGTAACCCGTGATCCAGGCATATCTGGTATCTCGTGGATGAGTTTTACCACGGATGTACTGGTCATAATCCGAGACCCATTTTTGCTTCCTTCGATACGCGTCTGGTGCAGTGCATGGAGGTGAGGAATCTTGATAGGGAATCCAATGCCTATCGATGATTGATCTTAGTTGATGAGTCAGGGCTTTCAGGGTGAGTAATATATTGTACCGATTGTCATGATTCCGTCAAATCGTTCGGCAGTCGGAATGCCGTTGTCTCGCATCCACTGCACAGCAGATAGATACTCATCCATCCATGCTTGCTGCAGAGTTGCATCGCCCTCGGGTACCCAGGCTCTCAATTTCTCGTACGTATGGGGAGCCCAGCTGTATAACATAACAATCAGTCAATGGCATAGATTTACCAATATTTCCAGAGGTTGAACATACAACATGCCAGCAGAAAGTGCGGAAGAACCTCCAATCTGTGCTTGTTTCTCAACCACCAGAGTCTTGGCTCCTGCATCTGCTGCGAATGCAGCACATGCCATACCGGACATTCCACCACCACAGACCAGGGTGTCCACTTCAAGGATTTCCATCTCGCAGGTTTGTTGGTGAACAAAATCCAGGGAAGTCTAGTAATGTTCAATATAGCATCAATCCCATAGAACTTTTCCATTGTTTTGGGGTTTTATAAGTAATCCAAAAGTCAGACCCGGGATGTAATTTAATTGACCGGGTGGGGAAAGATAGAAAGCGGATACAACTTTCAATCCAATAAGCGACGAGACAAAGAGTCAACGACTCACCCGAGGAAACATCGAATGGTGGGGATGTGACTGCACGCCATTTCGTTGCTTCTTGAATGCAATAGTGGTTGACAGTCTATTCGCCGAATTATTCGCAAGATCCAGTCAAGACTTTGAAGTTCCAATAGCCGAGCTTATCCGCCAAAGAAGATTTCTTCAGTTGTCCCCTCTTTCCGACAAGCGAGATGGGCACTCAACCCCAATAGCTGCTGAACTGCGACAATCCTATGATGAAGATGGAGATGGAGACACTAGATACTAGCCCAGAGACTGACCATGACCGGGCTTCGGGTCGCCCAGCTGTTATGGCTGCCTGTGAATCATGCCGAAAAATGAAGGTATGCGACGGAACCATTGACGGAACTGCCGGAAAGGAGGCTAACAGAGTTAACAGATGAGATGCATTCGACTGGAGCCAAATGAATCGAGAGGTCGAATTCCAACTCCATGTGATAGATGTAGGCGAACAAATCGAGTCTGCAAGATTCCAGAGCCACGCCCGCTGGGACGGAAACGGGGCGCACGAGGTCGATATCAAGGCTTCGAGAAAGCAGTCCGTAAACTGCGATCAGAGATGAGAAAGGAGAAAATGGAGGCCGAAGCAGAAAGACTTCAGGAAATTGTTCGACTTCCGTCTAGCGAGCAAACACCACCGTCTTCGCATCCGTTTGCCACCAATGAGCAACTATGTCGCATATCACCTCCAGTCACACATACTGTCCCTACACTGGAAATCCCCCAGGATCAAGGGAATGTACCGCGACAGGGTCCTGGACTCTCCATAGATTATTCCCCGTCCCATCATGCCCAGGAACCGATCAGCAATCCTCTTGCGCTGCTGGCAGACGCATCAGATGCTGCGCGCGCACTGGAGCCTCATTCAAATTCGGCAAAAGATATACCCCATTCAATTGGTGAAGCGTCAAGTCAAGTAGACACTTTCGCTGGCGGTGGTCTTGGCCATCTGCTCCGTAGACCTGGCTATGTTTCACTGGGGCTCCAACTAAGCAGACAAAGCATGGAGCATGCATTGGATGCTTTGCTTACACCCACACACAACGTGGATAGATACTCAAATTACTTCAAAAGGCCTGTTCAAGAACCACTTAGCGATGTCGGACCTGATGTTGACCCAGTTGACCTGGGCTTGATTACTATGGAGGAGGCTTATTACCTATTCCCGATGTGAGTGTTTTCCCCCTTGCCCACTGGCCTCAAGACACTGATTTGTGGACGAGTTATTTTACACGACTACATCCCATGAATGGAATCCTCGATCCCGCTCTTCATACCCCTGACTTCGTGCGCTCTCGATCTGCACTTCTGTTTACATGGGTTCTGGCCCTGACAGCACAATTTGACCATGCATCTGCCTCAATCGCCAAAAGACTCAGGTTACACGGGGAGAAGTTATCACAGCATGTCCATACCTGCGGTTACAAGTCCGTTGAAATCGTCCAGGGCTACTATATCTCACTACTCTCCGCCACCCCTGCTGAGACGCTTGCGAAAGAGCGGTCATGGTTGTACACAATGCACGCCTTCGGTGTAGCTGCCGAGCTTGGACTGGATCAATATTCCGATACGCGAGAGTCACGAGCTGCGTTGCCTTTACCTTCATATCAGCAGGATCGGAGTATACCATCATTTTCATCACATGCAGACGCAATGGGCAATCGGGTCTCTCCTCAGTGCGATGAAGACATCTATAACCAACGCTTGATCCGCAATCGGGAAAGAACATGGTTTAGGATACTCTTGTGGGAGCGAGCCAATAGTGCTGCATATGGTCGGATTCACAGCTTCCCTGAAACAGCACTGACTAAAAATATCGAATTGTGGTGGATGCATCCACTAGCAGATCCTACCGATAGGCATACAAGTGCTTTCATCGCTTTGCGAAGAATCTTAGCCTCGCTTAACAGTGACCTCCGAGATAAAGGAGAGGCGCATCATTCTGAGCCACATTGGGTAAGGGATCTTGTTGACAATACACTCCAGCCTTGGTGCAGCACATGGCTAGGAAGCCCAGCTACTGGTACAAGCTGTTCGACTGAGCAACTTTCAAATACCTTCCTACGATATGTTTACCTACATGGAAGACTTTGGACCCTGTCCATTGCACTCAACAACTCCAAAGATCAGAACGGCAACCAGGTTGGCATTCGTAACGATTGCTTTGAAGCTGCCATCAATGCATGTGAAGTCGCAGTTCATGATCTGGAAGCAATAGGTGAGCCACTATATGGTATGCTGGCTCCGACTTGGGCTATGATCTCCTATGCTGCTGTCTTGGCTTTAAAATTGTTCCCCGCGATATACGGATCTCGGGTTGGAAGTCAACTTGAGCTATTTGCCCTCTTGAGTCAGGTTGCTTTGCAATTGGAACGTGCTGGTCAGACGCCTTCTCATCGATTTGGTATTGCAGCTTTACTGGGCCAGCATATCATGATGATTTTACGAGCTAAAGCAAGGGTGTTAAGGGAAGAGCTGGATATTGAGTCGTCCTATCCTCAGAACTGCAATAATGATCAGCAGATAGCCCAAGATGTGGCCACTGGTCCATTTATCTCTGATTATGATCCTTTTCTCACAAATGGTGGCCTGGTGGGTGATGTGACTGAGGAGGGATTTGCAGATATATTCCGAGAAATCTTCGGGCCGGGCTTTGGTGGTGTGTTTTAAGAATTACGAAAGATTGGAACAAATTATGATTTAGCTTCAAATTGTACATAAAAAAGAAATTCAGTATCTCATCAGCATTCTTCAGTCACATATACCGGGGCCTGCGTTACAATCGGTGGCCTGTTGTCTGCAAGCGTTGTATGACCTGGCCAATGGCTTGTTGGGCACTGGCCTGATCTCTCCAGAACGGAGGAAGCTTTGTAGCCGCGTCAAACAATTTCTTCAGGCTATCCATACCACGAACAGCATGAGTTATAGCAATATTATCTCCGGGTTTATTCAAAGATGCATTGAAGACCTCAAGCGAGATTGGTCCCTTATACCCCGTGCCCAACACCGCTGCACCCACAAGCTCAACAGGCATATACCCACCAAGAGACTGCTCAAGAGGATAAAGCCGATGACTCCGCGACCAAGGCAGAAGAGCTGGAATACTCGGATCCTCAGGAGGGACGAATGTCGAGGGATTCATCAACTCAGCATCACCACACTGGAAGAAAAAGATCCGGTCTCCAGGAACGGTAGCCACTAATGACGAAAGCGACGATGTAAGAACCTCCAAAGATTCCTCTAAAGTCGGATAAATCCGTCCATGCCCCGCAGGATTATACGGATCCGCAAACTCAACAGCAAGAATATTGAAAGCATCAACAATCAACCCAACATTAGGGCGATTGGCAAATCGCACAGCCTCCCACGATGAAGACCACGTATTTCTTGTCGCCCAAGACAATCCCTCATATCCAATCTTCAACATCCGCCCTCCATCAGCCTTAGCATATGCGGCCGCCATATCACCCAGCTCCGCCAGATCCTTAGCGACGACCTTGAGATCCGAGGTAACACCACTATCCGTACGAATATTGGCACACATAAAGACAAGATCTGTATCGAAGGCGCGCATGAACGGGAAGCGCTTCGCAACCAGATCCAATGTCGTGCGTCGCTCGACCGGGTCTTTGATTCCCTCGATCATGCGAAGAGGTTGTGTACAGGCGATCCGCATCCCAAGGGATTTCACTAAGTCGCCCAGCTTTCGTGCCACACGCAAGTTTTCCGGGGTGGCTTCCCAGAGCTGTTCACCTGGGAGACCATGTTCTACCAGGTATGCAGCCCAGCATTCGTCAAATAGGTCAATCCATTGGTATCCGGCTTTGGCGGCAGCTTCGAGTCGCGGGGTGAGTGTGTGTTCTCTCCAGTTGCCGAGCGATAGTGTGGCAATGCCGAGTTCGTTTCGCTGCTGAGGAGGCCACGGGCAGGACATTGTAATGGCGGTTTTAAAATTTGAGAGATTTGGGGGCTATTGAGAGAAAAATGGACCAACGAGGGGTTTTAGAAGGGAAATGGATGATTGAATACCCGTCATATTTGCCCCGGAGTACTCCACACCCCGCAAGTCGGGGCATTCTTTTGACACCGGGTCTTGGCATACAAGTCGAAGAATCCATACGCTGACAGTGGTCCTCAATTGACAGTGGTCCTCAATTCACAGGCATTTCGAATGATGCCAACCTTTGCAGAGTAACGAGTGCGGGTAAAAGGTCTGTCGAGATCTGCTTTGACCTGCAGCGCTTTTGGTTGGATTGAAGCCTTGGTATGTGCTCAGTGGAGAGGGAAGTGTTTCTCCCTTGCACATGTGCATCATGATCACGGGATCTAGGTCTATATACTACCATCTTATTCCCACCCTATTTCCGCGTAGCTGTATAGTACATCTTAGCTTAGGGGAGTTGGAAATTGTCAATTGAAGTACAATAATCAATAGTACAAGTACAGAAGCTTGATCACATCGAGGATGCGCTTTACATGAAGCATGTGTGTATTCTCAATCTGGACAGACAAATCATAGGAAAAGGAGATGACATAATATCTAGCAACTCTGTTCCAATCAATGGACACTGACTCAATTCAAATGTTCATTTGAGAGCATGGCTGGTTAAGTTAGATAGAGCAGGAATGGCTGTTTTGTGTTATTGTTGCATACAGAATCTATCACGTCACACAATAAACTTTTAAAAGCACGCGATCGATACACCTTGACTTTCAATAATCTAATCAATTGATTTAGATGTGATAGTTGGAAGTCAAATTCTATTCGGAGAGTTATCTTGCAATTGATGGCATTGCACTATCGGGATTGTCCGCGGAAGTAGTATTCTTCGATGTGCGGTATGAAACCCCCACCGAAGCCTCCAGGGCCTGATTCAAACATTCCTATGAGCACTCACATACTTCTTGACCGATAAGACAAATAGACGAATCATAAAACTGGGATGCAACCTCAAACGTTTCACTAAAGCGGCGGGCTCCGGCCATTAATAAGCTCTGCTCCCAAGGTCGACTCCACCCGGACCGAGGTCTGCCCCGCACTGTTCTGAAGCTCTTCTGCCCGCATCCATCTTTCTGTCAACATTTCAACTTCATAATATTGCCCATCATGACTACCCTCAAATCTGGTGATGCTTTCCCGGCCGATGTGACCTTCAAGTAAGATCCCAACCCTGGTCCCTTCGAATGAAACCATTGCTGATTAGATGCCAGGTACATCCCATGGACCGAGGAGAACGCCGAAGCCTCTTCGTGTGGCATTCCGATCGACTACAATGCTTCCGAGGAGTGGGCTAACAAGAAGGTCGTCCTTTTCTCCGTTCCTGGTGCGCTCAATCCTCTGTTCAGATCGTTCAGATCTTCCTCTAACACATTCAGGCGCCTTCACCCCCACTTGCTCCGTCAACCACCTTCCCGGCTACCTCCAGAATCTCCCCGAGCTGAAGAAGAAGGGTGTTGATATCGTTGCCGTCCTTGCTTTCAACGATCCCTTCGTCATGAGCGCATGGGGAAAGGTTAATGGAGCGCGCGATAACATCGTGAGTTTTACTAGAAGATTCATCTTTAGATTAGTGCCTTACATTTGTCGCACAGCTCTTCCTTTCCGACCCTGACTCCAAGTTCTCCAAGAGCATTGGATGGGCTGATGCCGCCTCCGGCCGTACTGGCCGCTACGCTATTGTCATTGACCACGGCAAGATCAGCTATGCTCAGATCGAGACCGAGCGTGGTGCTGTCAAGGTAAGGGGCTACTATTTGTCGATTCCGACCCTCCAAGGTGTTTTTGCTGTATATGCTAATTCATTATTCAACCCCACAGAAGTCTGGTGCTGATGCCGTGCTCGCTTCGCTGTAAATGAAAGTATAGGACATTTTTTCCACTTGGTACTTCGAGCGACATCGAGAATATCAAACAAGATTATTTTACGATGGAATACACTCCCTAGATGAACAAAATAGAATAAATAAAGCATCAGGTTTGAATGTGCAATTGATCTCTCCCACAATGTGCGTCAACGTCGCCTGCGAACAAAGTCTTTGCCGAAGTACACATTCAAGCATATCTGCCATATCCCCAAGCAAATGACTCCATTAGATATACCCCATGAATACACACATCCCATAAATTACATAACAAGACTCCTTCTCAAGATTGATATCTCCAACATAGCCTAGCCATCCATCACCAACCCGACCCATGGCAACAGTCGTCTCTCCTGGAAGAGACGGCTTATCTTTTTCCATCGGAAGGGTATTGTACAAACGATCACCCAATCCATCGTTCCGAATAGATTTGCCTTCCATCTCATAGAACTGTTCCAAATCTCCATCCAGAAATGCGTCCGCGGCGCCTTGATTGAGCGTCACTCTCATCCGGTGACGTCTACCCATCCGCCAGGGTAAGCCTGCCCTGACAAAGAATGCATCGTCGATGTGTTTGCAGAGAGAGAAGTCGCCCATTGTGATGCATAGACCACCTTTTCGGACGTATTCGAGGATCCCATCCCAGAGAGGGTGGTGGATGGCGAGCAGGGGGCCTTTGTCAACTAGGAAGACAGCGTCTGGGAGGGGCGTTTCTCGGTCTGGGGAGTCTTCCAGGTGTTTGAGGATTTGATGCGGTCTGTTCATGGTTCGGATGTCGAAGTCTTCTTTCAGAATACTCATAAGATGGGGGTGTGCATCTTCGAAGGACTGTTGTGAGCGTTGCATCAGGCACACTATCAAGATCCATTCGTCCAGCTGCGGGCTGAGGTTGAGGGTGGACATTCCTGTGGACGTGTTGGGCTAGATGTGTTTGTTTGTTAGAGACGGTGTTTGGGAGCCAGTTCGTTTCAAAGGGGGACTGACTGCCAACTCTTGGAATTTGTGATCGTGGAGAGCCGAATTGCGAAGCAGTGACATGGTGAGCGTTGTGGAGTGAGTTGTGGAAAGGTGATCTGTGGTTTTTGTAGGCTCTCTCTACGGAGGCCTAAAAATGGTTTCGTGAATCGATTAGGTAGATAGTATATTGAATGATCAGGCAGGGTCATCACGGATCGACATAGCCGAATATTACCTTAAAAAGGTCATAGTACGTGAATTTTTGTCTGTCTATATTGTGAGCCGAGTCTTAACTTTGGCTTGTTAGGTGATAAAAGACTAGTAGGTTGGATGTTTCGTTCGATACTAAAGCGATCAAGACTAAAGTAGATACACCGGCTAAATTGATTCTGGGAAATAATTCATCATCCCGCAAACTGGGGTCATATCGTTAAAATGCTAAAGTTTGTCATGACGTATGGTGAAAAGGCATGCGAGTACTATGAGAAAGGAAATTTCCGAAATTGTAAGTCAACCCCAGCGGTAACGCAGTCCAAATACAGTGGCAGTGCGACGAGCGGAACCTCGCTGGTATTTTCAGGCATACAATCGTTTGTTTCCTCAGTATCAGAGCGCGAGCGGTCATTAACGGTCCCTTCAATTTCGATGCGTTGCAAGTTGGGAAACCGCGTATGACGAGACTTAATCACTGCCCCAATTTGTGCAGCTAACATCGACATGTGTCGCATTTTGCAGCCTTCAATGAACAAAGAATTCAATGAAGAAGGAAGACAGTCCAAGAGGGGCGTGGTTGGTTCGTTTTGGAATTCGATATCAAGGAGATTGTTAAGTCGAATGCGTAGTTCGTGAAGGACACTGAAGTCAGCTAAGGAGCCGAAGAATTGTTCGTGGGTTTGGTTTAACCCGGCAGCAGTGAAGGGATGATGGGATCCATGATTATCCAGCCATAAAACCTCTAGTGTTTTTTTGCTCCGTGTCAGGGCCCGGTAGAACTCGGCTGGGCGGTATCCCAGGGATTGAAGACGCGAATCCGAGTGTTGATACTTGAAGGATTTGAGGGCCACGCATGAGGAGATGAGCTTCTCCATCCCATAATTGCCACAGCTTTCGCGTAGATCAATGGCTGTAATGGATGAGAAGGCAGTATTGTTGGAATTGTTACTCTCCATCTTGGGAGAGGTCGGATCAACGAGACCTGTGGCAAAAAATTCACGCAACGACGGCAAATTGAAAATTGGCATAACAATGTCGGAGGAAGAAAATAAAAGGGCATATTCAGTATTGGAATATGCATGTTCATCCATGTCGTGGGAAAGATCCAGAGAGACCTTTTGTAGATGTTGAAACGTGTGTTGGCCATGGAATGGATGCTCATCGTTGATCACTCGTTGGATCACACGACTCAGGTGAGGCGTATTTCTGTCGTATGAAAGATGGAGTTCTCTGAGTTGAGTCATCAACGGAAGTGTCACAGCAATCCATGCATCAGCCAGGCCATTGACAAGGTCACGCTGCCAGACCGCGGCTTCATTTTCATCAACTGAATAAGCCCACACATGACTTTTAATCACAATTGAAGCCTTGAGGTCTTGACTTTCTTGCTTCGAGGGTGGCTTAACTGCCGAATTCCAATCATTCAATTCCAGCGCACGAACTGCCCGTGCGAGACTTCGTTTCCTGGTAATTGCATGAAAGAAAGAGTTGATATGGCGCCAGTTGCGAAGCTCTACATGGCGATAGAGCAAAGGCAGATATAAGTCATAAAAATGCCTGCAGACGAAAAGTAGGTTCCACCTGTCTGCATGCTGACTGAGCTGCTCGCCTATTAAGAGAAGCAGGTCATTAGGAAGAACAAGACCTTCCATATGGTTCGGATCTGGTAACTTTTAATGAATGATATTCAAGTGACAGAGATGGCAAAATAAAGGAGTGTTGAGAAAGCATTCCCTTCGCCAATAAAGTGGTAATTGGTGGGACATCGTGGAATTGGGAAACGGTTCCTGAAAAACAAGCAACCCTAAACTGATCCACTGGTAGAGATCGGAATGAAGAGATTGGTCGGTCCGACGGGTCCCCGCGGAGATTAGCAGTCTTTGCATTTTCGTGGTCCACTGTGTGGCTCACCCACCGAAAGGGGAGCTGAAAGCCGATAGGTCTCAGGTGCCTTGAGGCCAAAATTTAATACTTGTCAGATGCGACCTATGAATGAGAATGTTTTAAGATGTTCAAAAGTGGGTTGACCTTCTATTGGATCGTCACTGTCAATTGTCTACTGAATGATGCGGCTCAAATGCACGTGAGGTGCAGTCAACTGTTGAGTTTTATGTCATCAAGATAATTTCTTTCCAGATACAAATTTTTCTCCGACATAATATTGCTCGATATGTTGATTTAGCCTTCATATATACTATCATCTCGGTGGATACCTACTTGGCACTGAAGAAGTCTACATGAGTACATCGATTAAGTCATTACTTTTCAACGACAGTCTACTAAATTCCGCGTAGATTCTGGCTAACAAAGCCACTCAAGTCATATACTTCTATAGTTTGGATTGATTATCAAGTATCGTTTACAGTTGGTTCAGCAGCACTGAGAGATGACTGTGCGAAGTAGTCTTAAATCAGCAAGTGTGAAATATCATAAACAAAAAGCCAACCCTAATCAGAACTAAGCACTTACGCAGGTATCAAATTACTCCCCATAGCAGTTACTCGGAAATGATTTTGACAATCATAGTACCATAGTACCAAAGCCGAACAGAGAATTGAAATCTCCACGGCCTCTGGATCAAGCGGCATAGACATGATTTTATCGAAGAGGAATAAGACAATTTGTCCCAATTGGTAAAGTGGGTTCTTTGCGGGGAAGAAGTAGGGGATTCGACCCGCTGACAGCAGCCTGCTTTTGTTCATTAGTTGAACTTGGAGTGGTATCGTTAGATGGTCAGTGCAGCTTGAATTTTCAAATATTTTGAGCTTATATTGCCAAACAATGATACCTAATCTGGTCGGCGACGTCCGTTACAGCACTTGTATGGTTGTATCATCATCACTACGCAGTCAAGCATACGATTCCTTATCAAGACTGGCCTCAAACAACAAAACACTTCTGCACCGCAGTAAGTGGTGCCTAGGGCCTAGAGTTGCTTCCCTTTCAGACTTCGTTTTCAGGGTTAAGAGAACTTCCTATGGCAGGTATATTAGCTTCCAGTAAGTCACATACGGCTTCCAGATCAGACTTGACGCAAATCAAGTCTGTTCAGCCAGCATTGTCTTTCCCTTGGCGGCCAGCCCATCCTGCACGTGACCGATGATTACTCAGCAGTCCACATTTAAGCAAAATTATCCGGCTCTCCAACCCTTTTCCTTCTCCATGCCACTCCCAGTGTTTTGCACAGCCCGACTGCCCTTCATGGCAATCTCGGGTTTCATGACGAGAGCCTTCACTGGAGCTCGTCGTGGGAGTGGCAGAGGGAATTCACTCTGTATCTGCTGCTCCGGAATGGAAACATCTGATGGAAGCGGTTCGTTTTGTAGTGATACATTTATTTATCTATAGCTGGAGATTTCTACTTCTCCTAGCTCTTGTAGAATTGATAGTAATATTCGTGATCTGGTCGTAGGCAAAACGCGCAAGCCAAAGTGTTGGTTATGTCGCTCCGGCGGAGCGTCGTGGCTGGGTGCTGGTGCTTGCCCGTGCGCTTGTGGTCTTGTCCCGTTGAACAAGTCCTCGACGTCCAGTGCAAAGCTATGCGCATCTCGTCGATCTGATACAGAATGCAAAGAGAACAAGCAGTAATCTTCACTGCATGTAATGGCGGTATGCAAGAATGGTGGTGAGCCCTCCGCGGCTTCACTCCTCTGCCCCTTCTTCCACGACTCTTGCCCGGATTATCTTGACCTCGTCCACAGGCCGGTCCTCTCCCTTGGTCTTGACGAGACCCATGCGCTGGATCACCCGCATCCCGCTCTTCACTCGACCAAAGATTGTATGCTTCCCATCCAGCCACGGTGTTGGTGCAAGAGTAACGAAGAATTGACTGCCGTTCGTGTTGGGACCACTGTTTGCCATGCTAAGAATACCAGCTCCTGTGTGCTTCAGCTCGTCGCGGATCTCGTCCTCGAATTTTTCGCCGTAGATGGAGCTGCCTCCGCGGCCGGTGCCGGTAGGATCACCGGTCTGGACCATGAAGTTGGGGATGATGCGGTGGAAGATGACATTGTTGTAGTAGCCTCTTTGTGCGAGTGTGGCGAAGTTTTTGCAGGTCTAAATAGCTTGATGTTAATTACTGGATTGTGGCGACGTAGAGTGGGGTGGTGCTTGCTCACCTTGGGCGCATGGTTGTTGTAGAGCTCGACGGTGAACGTACCCTGCCAGGAGTCAGTTATAGTTCAAGGGCAGAATTATCAGCTCAAAATTTACCATTGAGGTGTCGAATGCCACGTTGGTCGCCATCTTGTCGGTGGTTTCTGGAAGGTGCGTCGCACTCCTTTGAGAGAAAGAGAAGGGCAAAGGCGGTGCTAGGCGCGGCAGTTTACAGCAGAAGAACAACTTACATGATTTCCACTTTGCGCTTCTCAGCTCACCATAGACTAAATCTGGCCTTTTTCCTAATTATTTTTCATTCCTAATCTGATCATCCCAGTAACAGCTGGCCTTTTTCTGTCCAGCCTAAGGAGACATCATGTCCGAGGCTAACCTTAGCCCCCTCGTGGAGCTGATTGGGCATGCGTTCTATTACTTCGGCATATTGAAACCGTATCTCTCTCTTTACGGACATTTACTACTTTCTGCTATATTTCCGCTTTGGATTGGCGCGCATGCTTCTCTGTCAAGGCCGTCCTCTGCTGCCAAGCCTCCCAAGAAGTCCGACAAAAACATCGATGATGATGACGAGGAGGATGAGGATGACCAAGGACCCATAGAAAAAATTGAGGGCTTGCAGCCGTCAGACGCTTTGATGTTCCCTTTGACTGCAGGGCTTGTGCTGTGTTCCTTATATGTGGTGATCGAATGGCTCAAGAACCCGGCTATTCTCAACAAAGTTCTCGGCTTCTACTTTTCTCAAGTTGGCATTTTCTTCGCTGTGTCCTTCGTTAAGGATATTCTTTCGGTCATCAGATCCTTCATTTTCCCCAAGTATTACCGTCATGAGGGGAGAACCTTCCACGTGAAACAGTCCGATCGTGTATTCAGAGCCGAAATGGCAGACGAAGCGACCGGGCCTCAACACGTACGATACTCACCTCTTCCTGGGGTCTTCAGCACATTCCCACTACCAGAATTTGTTCGAATTCGATTATGGGCCTGCCGCAGTGCCTCCTACCAGCGTCTCAAACTTCGATTTCACATTCGAGGCCTGTTCGACATCAAAACTCTTGTTGGCCTTGTTGACCTTCTCAGCGGAATTGTTGCTCTTGTTGCCGTGGGTTACTTCCAGTTTGTAGCGAAGCCATGGTGGCTGACCAACTTCTTTGGGTTCGGCTACTCCTACGGTGCCCTGCAAATCATGTCCCCAACGACCTTTGGCACTGGATCACTGATCTTGATATCATTGTTCTTTTATGACATCTACTTCGTCTTTTTCACACCCGTGATGGTTACCGTTGCCAAGAGTTTGGATATCCCCATCAAGCTTGTATTTCCTCGAAGCGACGAAGCTGGTGTTCAATCGCTCGCTATGCTAGGCTTGGGAGATGTTGTGGTTCCGGGGATGCTGATCTGTCTGGCGTTGCGGTTTGATCTCTTCCTTTACTATAAACGTAAAGGGGCTCTGAAAGGACAGGCCGAAGGCTTGGATGGTGAAACAAAACCTGAGTACCAAAAAGCAACCGGTTTGTGGGGTGAGCGATTCTGGGCACCGGTAATCACGAGGAAGGAGCCAGAAGTCCAGCCGCCATACCACGATGCGAGAGCCTTTCCGAAAGTTTACTTCAAAGCGAGCATTATCGGTTACCTCTTTGGCATGGTTGTCACCCTTCTAATTATGCAGTACTCGAATCACGCTCAGCCTGCTCTTCTGTATTTGGTTCCTGGTGTTCTGCTTTCACTATGGGGCACGGCGTTGTACCGTGGGGAACTTCGTTTGATGTCGGACTTCAGCGATGAAGAGGATGATGAAGAAGAAGACAAGGAAGACAAAGAGACAGGCGATAAACTTGCCGATGACAAACAAGACCCCGCCCATGATGGAATGAAGGGCCTGTTCATGCGCGTTTTGTCTGGCGATATGAGCGTCTTTGGCTCAAAACCTGAGGATAAAAAGAAGGAAAAGAAGGAAAAGAAGGAAATCGTGGCGAAGAACGCCGAGGACGATTTGGATTTGATTGCCTTCTCCATATCCTTCCCCCGCAAAAAGCACGCCATGCCCGGCTTGGCTTGTGCAGAGGAATCTACCAGCAATTTTGTGCCAGCGATGATTCCTGGCTCCATTGATGACGGCGATGAGCGCCCGTTGAAGAAGCGCCGCGGAACTCCCAGAAAGCCGACTCTGAATTAATGCTAGATAAAGTCAGCCTTTTGTATTGCTAGTTCTTTGGTGTAAAATCACGAGTCAATGCTAAAATGAAACAATTCGTCGTTGAAAAAGTGGTTCATTATCTCGGTAACTCTAAAGATGTGGTATCATATCTTCTTTCCCTGCCTTCAGCATTGACCTAGTATCTGGTTCATCTCATCCCATCGGCTTCCCGAAATATCAATCAACTGTCGAAGATCTTCCGTATCGACCGTCCAACCCCCAAGCTTCTCTAGCTTGAGAACGACCGTCTTTCCGTTCTCTTTATCAACAACAACACAAGCCTTCTCCTGTGTCAATCCTTCCTCGTATCCATCCGGATCCGCAAGAATCCACCTAGTCTGGGAACCCTTCTTCTGCTTCTCTGCATTCAGCTGCTCAGCATCTGGAATGACAACAGCACGCCACGCCGCGGCAGCATCGGCTTCGAACACACAGAAGGAGCTAGGAATCGGCATGCCGCGCAGAGAAAGCTTGTGAGCTTCGTTGATATCTTCCGAACAGAGAATAGCCTCGTTATCCACATCCCACCAGGCCTTGGGGAGTTTTGTATCACGTAGAGCAGCCAAAACAGAGGCCCACGCCGCATCGAAGGCGTTACCTGCAAGTGAAATGATCATGATATCGATGTAGAGTACCCAGAAAGCCTTGATCTCACGGGGCTGGCGTTCCTTGTCGCCACCATCCACATCCATCTCATTATTTTCTGAATCCTCCAGGCTCGGTGGTTGATACCAAATTCGCAAATCATCCGCATTGACGAGGCGTGTGCTGTGGAGAAGCGACAAAATCTGATGTGAAAGCGACTGGGCTAGAGCCGATGGTGGAGCAGAAGGAATAAAGCCCGGCGCGCAGCCGGTGCTCAAAGATAGGTTCGGGACAAGCAAGTTCAGGTCTTCGATGTGAGAGCGCTCCTCTTCAATTTTGGCGCTAGCATCGTCACTGTTGCTGTTTGTAGCGGACGACGACTCGGATACGCTCCACGATGCGATGTCGTCGGTGTATAGTAGCTCTGCGCGGACACCGCACACGGCAGCTGTGTCACCGATGCGCACTACGGCACTTCCATTTGTGTGGGTCAGAGAGCCTGCATTGGCAGATGTGACTCGGAATTGGGAGGTAGCACGGCCATTAGCTCGGACGGAGGGTTGGTTCGAAGCTGGTGGTGGGGAAAGATGAGCGAGGAGGTAGGCGTGTGGTTGAAGACGGGCGAATTGTGAGGGGGGAAGGGAAAGGGATGGGGGCACCGAAGATGCCACCGTCGCTGGGGAAGCCATGGCGGTGCGTTGATGTAGATATGAGCTATAACAATTGCTACTAGCTTTGATCTTTGGTCGCTGAAGGAAAAAGTGATATCCATAATTCGGCAGTATTCTTCCGCCCCAAAGGCGGTAGTACTGATGCCTAAGGCATCTACTCAAATAAACTTGATCTATATGAGCACCAGTTCGAGAAATTGACACCAAAGTCAACTGAAATATAGAAGACTATGTACTTTGACAATGATATCACATTTTCCAAGTGGCCTTGCTGGTTTTATAATGAATCATACAAGGATATAGGCCTCTTGGGGAAGATAGAGAGCATTGTTATTCATTCCGTGCCCAAATCACAATAAGTACACAACTTAGTTGTCCAACGCGACATCTCACAGCATTTGACTGGGTGAGTAATTTACAAAATTGCCCACACGTGCAGGCTTGAGGAATTCATTTCCATTTGAAGCACCATACTTTTCTCCACTCGCGGTTCATCTTATAGATGTATACTTCCCTGCGCAAATCCTTCTTCACGTGTTAAATCGGCCCAAACAGACGAATTTGGAACATGTCAAGGATGACGAATCCATTCTCCGACTCTACTGTAACACTATGTAGTGCAGCAGGATACGAAGCCGAATTCCGATCTTGTCATCTCAGAGGATCCGTGCAGGAAAGATTGGAAAAACACAATCTCCTCCGCGCTAATGCGGCCCGATCACCCCAGTCACCTTGTCAGCAAAATCCTTCAGCTGATTGGTCTCGGGGGCGCCAAACCGTCACCTATAACTGGAAGATCCCCTTTCCACGAGGCCCGACGGTTGCAGTCGCCCTGTCGTCACGCCAGATTCGAGATAATTGGACACCGCAAGTTGACCATTCACGGATCGTACACCTTGGATTGGCTCGTCCGTTACTAGCCAACCGGACGAACTATGATGTGGCTGATCTTACTACAGTCCGAACATGCACGACGGCTAGTGGATCCCCCGCTCTGGATCTTATACATCGAGAGGGAGGTTCCCCCGGGGTTTTCCCATTTTGCTCCCGAAGTTGGTGACTTGAAGCTATCCTCGTGCTCCCAACGATGAAACTGCTGCGACTATAGTACTCAGAGGGCGAGCTCGTTATATTACCTTTGAATTCTATATCCAAGAACAAAGTTCTGTCGGTAGGTTGAAAAGTCATGCATTGGCATACAACAAACTCACCACAGACACCACAAAGACATAGTCAATTCGAAGCGCATATCTTGTGCATTACAGCGATCTAAAATGTTGGACCAACTGATTTCTCTCACCAAGCGTGTCTATGTCGAGGTAACAGCCTCGACCACAACAGCCGAGCAGAATGAAATGAATCGAGACTCTTTCCGTAGGGCTGCCAAATACGGATATGGGTTCATATATTTCGCAATCGTCCTACTGGCCATCACCACTCTTATTCGACTCTACCAAGGCTATAGCGACAAGAAACGGATTATATTACACAAGGAGACTATTTCTCAAATGTTCCATGGCTCCTCAACACCAGACGAGTATGAGCTTCCAAGTGCAGGCACTGATGCTTCAAGCATGCAATTCTTCCCGCCAACAATATCGCATCCGGTCCCGAAGCGCGAATCCGTCATTCAAAGAGTTATCCGCTTGAACAAAGTGATCGCATTCTTTCGATGGATCTTCTATCGCCCGATTCCTACGCTAAAATTTAGAGGCATGGAATTTGTTTTCCCTTCTCTGGCTGTGGTGGCCGTGGTAGCAGCAGCTTTCATCTTCGTCACTTTATACTGCTTTGTCCCCCAGCCACTGTACTATTGGTACATTTCTCTAGGGTCGCCACCGCTCGCTGTTCGTGCTGGCATGCTGGCTGTTGCCACTATCCCGTGGATTGTTGCACTGGCCACCAAAGCAAATTTCATCACGATGATGACCGGACTAGGCCATGAGCGGCTGAATGGATTGCATCGCTGGTTGTCCTATATTTGTCTCTTCCTCTGCATTGTCCACGTGGTACCGTTTTATATCACTCCGATCTGGACGGGTGATGCCTCGATCAACTACCGAAACTGGATAACTCCAGGTATTTACGTATATGGAAATGGATGGGCAGCCTTTGTACCTTTGATTGTTCTCTGCGTTCATTCACTTCCGTTCTTACGGCAACGAATGTATGAATGTTTCATCGTCATTCATATCCCGGTTTCCTGGATATTCGTGGCAATGATGTTCTGGCATAGCAAGAATTACTTGAAGTCGTGGGCTTACCTTTGGACAACGGTGGCGATCTTGATTTCCACATATCTCATTCGGCTGTTCTATTTGAACTGGTCCAATCCTTTCCGGCTATCATCCTTCTTGATCGGAGAAGAATGTGCTGTGACCCTTCTTCCGCAAAATGCTGTCAAGGTGACAATTCCGACGAAAATGCGCTGGAGGGCTGGTCAGTATGTCTACTTGCGCATGCCCAGTATTGGCTTCATAGAGAGCCATCCTTTCACGATTGCGTCTCTTTGCAGTGATGATTTTCCATCTGCGTATGGTGAAAAGTACCGCGACATGACACTTGTATTCCGACCATTTGAAGGGTTCACCCGCAAAGTTCTGAAGAAATCGCTGGAGTACGGTCCTTTCAAAACATATACGGCATATCTGGAGGGTCCCTACGGCGGTATGAAGCGTGACATGGCCGCTTTCGATGATGTGGTGTTTTTTGCAGGTGGAAGCGGTATTACTGCAATTGCCAGCCAGCTGCTGGATCTCATAAAAAGGATTCGGGATGGCAAAGCTGTCACAAAGTCGATCAAGGTTGTCTGGGCATTACGGTCTGCCGAGACTATGGGCTGGTTCTCTGAAGAACTCCGAATTTGCCGCGACAGTGCACCGATGAATCTTGTGCACTGCCATTTCTTCCTCACTGGGATGCAACTGGCGGACCAAGCTGGTCGGGATTTGGTACAGGAGAAGATCTACGGCATGCTCCAAGGCATTGACAAGCGTAATTCGGCCTATATTCGAGAAGAAGCTGCCGGCGACATGGAACGCGAGAAGGAGCTACGCCGTGAGAACGAAGATGGACTTACTGCTCTTCCAGGAGCATATACTGCGAACCATGCGCCCAACACCAGACATCATTTTCAGTCTGGCACGAGCTCATCGGACTCGCTTGCAAGCGTAAATAGTCTTGGCTTCGATTTTGGGTTCGGGAAAACAACGCCTGTGTCTCAGAAGCAAGATATGCCGCGCTATGCTTCTTTCCAGCCGTCTCTGCGCAGGGATAACTGGAAGACGGATTACTTTCGGCCTAATGTTGCCAAAATGCTGAATGACTACTCGAAAACCTTTGGGCGTCGTGCTTGTATCTTTGTCTGCGGCCCACCGAGTCTGCGTGTCGAGGTGTCGAATACCGTGGCAAAGCTACAGCTGCAGGTGCTGACTGACAGCTCCAAAGATGAGATATTCCTGCACGCGGAGAACTATAACCACTAGTTTAGCGTGTGCACTGTATAATTGTGTTTTTTGTCGATACCCTTGGCGTTTTGAACTGTCTTGGAGATAATTAATATGCTTATCAATTGTGACATTCGTATTGCTTGCTTTAAATTGATAATATTCAGTCATAATTCCATTCGAAGCTATTATAAATCGTAATGTTTCATGCAGAAACTGTACATATCACATAGATGCATGAAATGAATATGCTATGCAGGCAGAATTCTCATTTATGAGTGGGTATCCAACAACATCAAAACTTATACTTGGCTGTGAGCGGCTCGCTCCTTCATCGCCGTTGTGGCTCACTTCCCTTCTCATCCTCGTCCTCGGCCTTGCGTTTCCTCGAAGGTGTTTCGTCCCCTTGTGAGTCATTCAATGACTGCACACCATGATCTCCCTCTTCTCCATCTTCTGCCTCAATCCTTTCCCAGTCCTCGTCGTCTGCATCATTTGGAGATGAGCTCTGAGGAGTTCCATTTGCCTCCGTGGTGACTTGTGGCTCCTCGTCGATTTCCTCGTCCTCCCATTGCACTACCAAGCGAACGATCCTTGCACCCGAGGGCTTCAGACGTCGGTAGTAGCCTTCTATAACGCCATCCTGCACCTTAAATCCCCTTGACACGTACCACTTCAATGCATCTTCGTTCGTTTCATGAACATGGGCAGTGACCGAGGAAATGTTGTAGTGCTTGACCAACTCAGATACCCGACTAGGATTCTCCTTCCCCGGTGAGAAGAGTAACGAGTTCAATAGTGCAGTCGCAACACCACGACCGCGGTAAGCTGACAGAAGATGCAAGGTCTGGATGTACAGGTTGGTAACCTCTCGTCCGTGCACTGTCTCCCCGTCCTGTCTCTCCAGCCGGCACCGAATACCTCCAATCACTTTGTCCATACCAGTCAAAGCTCCAGGGTCCGTTACCGCGGCCACAGGGTGGTCATGGTATATTGCGACTCGTGAAATCGACGCGATGACCGGATCGGTAATCGTAGCTGTGTAAAACGAGCTTGGATAGCGAATTGGCAGCAGTGTACTTGTGATACGCGTCAAAGAAGGTATATGTGCGGTCTTCACAGTCTCCACTGTAATGGAAGGTTCTGATGTAGGGTAGCTTGCGAGATTCTCATAAGGATATGGCGGGAAAGTGTCCTGGCTGGCATTTAGGCCACTCTTTGCGACGGCCGGCGGTTGGAGGGGTGGTGGGTGGATGGGTGGATTATGGGGACGGCACTGACGTTGTGGAGATGGTGAAGAGGATGATCCCCTGGATTGGGACTTTGCGAATAACTGATATGCCATTTTTGTACGAAAAGGGCTTCTGGTTCCCTTGAAGTCCAAGTTGTCAAAAGTGAATGCGAATGCGGAGATGCGATAAGAGATAAGGCAGTGAACAACTTGCTCCAGCCTCAGTTCTCTTCTTCGTCTATCCAACGAGAAGCTGGACTCGTCCACAGCAGTTCGTTTACTCGGTGAGTTCTTTTTGTTACGTTTCATGCAATTCACATAAGCAGGTACTGGATTCTTTCTATTGCCCTTGTTTTCGGAATCATTTTCCTTATTGAAAAGTGGATCACCTCATTCCACCTCCCGAATTCACTGAGCCCGCACCCGAAACCATTCACTTCCCCATTCAATCTCAATGCTGACATTGGATTCATGACAGTGACAAGCTTACTTGGGGCTGTGTGCTTGGTTGGATTTCATATGTCCGACGATCTTTGTTCTTTCGGGCCGACTCCGATTTCGTTGCACGCACCTCCCTGCATAGAATTACAGCATATGGAGGACTAAGACAGTACACTGGCGCGAAATTGCAGATTTGAACCGTGTCGCGGGTAGACACAGTCGGCCATACAGAAATAGTCACTCAATTTGGGGATTTCCCCGACAACTCCGAAAATGGCCGGCTCCAATGCGACTCCGATCTACCCTGCCGGCACTGTCGCTAAAGTGGTATGTATCTATCGCCCAGGGATTTGGATTCCATATGGGACTGTTCTAATCCCCGTCTAGTCGACAGATATTCTCAACGAAACCTTCCACAACATCATCCATGATCTAGTCGCCAAAGTCCACCGGGAGGAGAAGGTGGCGCGGATGCGCTCTGCGGTGGTGCTCGCCAGACAGAAGGCCGAAGAAGGAGCATATGTGCCCGACGAGTCGCCCAGCAAGTCCATCGTCGATGGCAAACCCAGAGATATGGTTATCGATCCGGCCAAACTAGCCAACACACACCTCGAGACCGACGCCGCAACCTTCGACCATGGCAAAGTGTATCTGAAGGGGAACCCGATGCAAACAGTCAAAGAAATCATATGCACCGAATGCCGACTGCCCCGTCTCTCATATCCACCCGCTGGTGTAGGGTTCCGACCTGCCCCCGATCCAAATCGCAAGTACTGCGAGAACGGACCGATGATCATACTACCAGGCCATGACGTCCACGGGAAGCTCTTTGCGATCATGCCGAACCCCAAGAAAAAGAAGACAGAGAAGGACAGTACCATTCCCGAAGTCCCAACGAGCAAGTGTCCCGTCTGCCCCCGATACTTTGTCATGAATCGCGTGGCCCAGCATTTGGACCGTTGCATGAACATATCCGGTCGCGGAAGCAGCACGCGTAATAAAACGCCGACAGACAGTGGCGCAAGTGGCGCCAACAGCCCGACATCATCCGCAAAGCGCGCCCATACCGACGAGGACGAAGGCAGCCCCAGCCCAACCAAGAAGAAGAAGCCGAATGTGTCAAAGAAGGCCTCCACCAACAAGCCTGGGCCTAGTAAGCTGAAGAACTCTTTCACGGTGGAGGATAACGAGGATGATATTAAGAGCGAGAATGCGGATGCGTGAACTGGGGATCATCGTGCTTCATTTCCGGTCATCTGGGTGTCTTTGGCGTTACAATTTTCCTTTCATGTCACGGCGTCTGGGTTGGTTTTGTCTGCTCAAGAATTTGCATAGATGACGATGATGAATCGGGTGGGACAGGCTTGTACACTATTACTCCATAATCACAAGGCATAGTCATTATGGACTTGACTGACTTCAATATTGAATTAACCTTAACACTCAAAAGAACTAGAAACTAATGTTAAAGACCTAGCTCATGAACTTCACGAGTTTACTTATACTTTACATCGATTGGTTTCTAGTCAAATATCAACCCTCGCCTGCCTCTTCTAATCATAGATATACTAGGGGTATACCTGGCAATTCTCTAAAATGAAGTGGAGATTCAAATAACAGGAAAGCAGATGAATTTACAAGATCTTCTTTATATCCTACTAGACTCTTTTCTTCCAATTTTCTAATAAAACATTCGATCACGGTCTGGGGTCCAATTATCAGAGTCGAACTTCCGGGCGCCATCAATGATGTCCTAAAGTTTCGATACTCGGCCTTCTCTTCCTTTCCCCAGAAATGGAGCCACAGCTTTAATTGAGCTTCCTAGTCACTAAAAGCTTCTGTTTTGTAAACCCATCGTTTTTCAGGAACATTTCTGGCGAGCCTAACTACGTACTAGGACTCAAAATTGAAAGGCAAGTGGACGAACACCTCTAAGCTTTCTAATTCCAACCAACTGGGCTTCATCCATAGAGGCTTGGAAGTAGACCCAAAACGACCAAATAAATAATAAGCCTAAGAAACTGAACCAATTACTGGGGTAAATAAATAGTCTTATAGGAGGCTCAACGTAAAATCTCATAGGAGCAAGATTTTTTCCCATACGAGCTAGATATAAAGATCGCCCTCGAAATCCCTCAATTTTAACATATTAGCCTATCCTGCAATTGAGAGAATAAAATAGTGACCTAGTGATCAATATTATATCTTTAGTACTTACACATTACTTGAAGAACTATACTAGGCCGCTCTTAAGGCCTTATAGAAAGAGGTAAAGTGGCCTGAAGTTTAGACTAATAGTGAAACTATCTTACTTGTTAATTAGTATCATATTCCAAGTAGAGAGATTTAGTCCTACTATTAGAGGTTACTTTATGGTCGATATTACATTCAGATAGCTTAGCACTAGTCCTAGAATATAGACTCCTATATATCTACTCTTTGAACCCTACTCAGGTGCCCGCTACCCTCTCAGGTCGAACATTGGTTATGTGGTTGGGCACCCTCCTATTGTCATCGGCCTGTCTGTTGGTTTCCCCTTTCGCTAGGGTGTTTTCTCCTTCACGGATGTTTGAGCTATATTCGATCAGCAACCGGGCATGAGATGATTGATATAGAGAGAAAGAACCAGAACGTGAAGTAATTACCATTGAAAAGAGACCTTCCAATCCACATTCCAAACGCTACCACATAGCACGCCGCCGCAAGTAAATATAGAGTTCTCGTCAATCCATCAAGGCCCGAATAAAAGCCTTGCATCTCAAAGAAGATGAAGTTTGGGAGTTCATTGATGGAGATTGTCCAGGCTATCATATACATTTGATTAGTAGCTGAATCTAAAGGAAAAAGGAATACCTTTACCTTGCCACAAAAACCTCAGCAGGAAGCCGCATAGCGATATACTATACATCGCGACGCCAAACAATCCAACAATCTTTTGTGCTGTAGTGAAATTCGAACGGTGTTTCCACGTGAGCCACATCGAGGGTGCCGCTACAAGCAGGTTGAATAGATAGGAGTGACTGGTTGGATCCATGTTGAAGTGCGACATCAGTGTCGAAGATGGCTTTGGTGTGTTGCTGATGTTTTCGATGGGTGTGATTCAAAGGGTTACAAGTTCTGGTAGGAATTTTGAAAGTCGTATGCTTTATAACTTTTGGCAAAACTCAGCCTCAATCACCAAAGACTGATATCTATTAGTGGGGCCTTTCATCGAGGCATAGGTGGACCTCAGCGTTCTCGGGTAAGGCGCAGTCAATATTAGGCCACGCAAGCCAACAGTCGACGCTAGCAAAAGGTGGGACTAGATGGATATTCAGGGACGAATAATATTCGAATTATGGATTCAGGATCTCGGATGTTTCCGGATTCGCATGAGGATTATAAATTTACTAACTAAATTCAGATAAAAGGATTGGGATTGCCATGAACCATCGTCGAAGAGGGTTAAGCTCGAATGAATCTCAACATAGAGAGACCAATCGGAGCTCCCACATACTGTTCTCAACCTAGCGCTAACTAAGCCTTCCTTACCGCTAAGGCGAGGCCACTCCAAGGTCTTTCATTTGTGCTAGGCAGTCAATGATCCTACCTAACATCCACAGTAACCCGAAGGCGTCTGGGAGAAGCCGGTTACAAGTTGTGTCATAATTCTCAAAGAGCTTGTGCACTAGCCTATATACTCAGCATAATGTTTCCACTCCAAATCCTCACACAGGCCCAGAATTTCCCAATCTCTCAAACAAAGTAGCACATCAACATCCCCATTATCCATTATAGGCAAGAAATACAATAGCCCCTGTACAGGTTTCGACTTAGGCCTCCGAACAAAAGCGGGCCTTCCCAGTAATCCATAATCCATTCGATACGTCACCGCAGCAGCCCACGACGAGGCATTAATCCATGTATCAGCATTAAACCCATCGACAAAGTTAATGGTACTTTTATCAGGCTCCTCTGCAATAAGGGTTGCAAGACTGCGAAGGAAATACTGGTCCCTGACCCGTTGGACATCTTGACGTAATCTTGCTGCTAGGTTTATCAAAGAAGACTGTTTCATTTCCCGAAATGTCATTCGCGAGGACGTTTTCATGATCGTCACACCCATGTACTCGATTGGGACGTCGAGAGTTCGTCGGCAGTCGACCACGCGGGAGAATCCTGTTACTGTTTCTGGGCTCTGGTGACGTTGGCGGAGTAAACTGAGTCGTTTCCAGATGAAAGCGCTTAGAGCATCATCGGTAGAGGGTGTTTCGGCGAGAGCAGTAAGCCGAGCCAGGCTGGACGCGTCAAAACGGAAGTAGTGGTAAGCAGGAATTGAGCCTGAGGATGGAGGACGTTGCAATGGAGTCAAAGTCAAACAGGAAGGACAGCGCATCTTTGAATGATCACAGTGTCTATCCCCAGGGTCGAGCAGGGGGAAAATACTCAGGCGATCCCGGGTATTGGCCGCAATGGTTGCGTCGCTGAACTCATGGCCCTGAAGTGCGGCTGCTAGTAATTGGAAGAATTGATCGACGCCACCCATGTCTAGAATGTTGTGCTGGGCAGCGCAGTCAAGGATTAAGCCTCCTTGTATCCAGTTTACTGTCAGAGTGAGCACGGGTGCGGGGTTGGTTTCTGTTTCCGTGTATGTATCTGGCATGGCTGATTCCGCGGAGAGGAGGTTTCTGTCTAGTTGGTCGCTTGCTCCCTTGGCATGCAGGATTTCATTGAAGGATGGACAGTCTCTAGATCGATCTTGGATCTTGAGGATGGTTTCCGTGCATGGAGATTGCGCCACTATGAAATTGCCTGTGCATTCTTGGCTCGCGTTTTTATTTATCACTGCGCCTCCAATCCATGGTAGGGCTGATGTGATCTTTTGAGTTGCTGCTGATAGATTTGCCGCGATTGTTTCTCGCGGTATTGTCTCGCGGTGGGGAAAACACACAGCTAGGTGAGTGTATCCTTTCATTCGCGGTAGTTGTCCCCATATGTCTTTCGTCCCGGGGAAGGTCGTCATTTCGAGTTATTGCGAGATTCTTTCTCTCGGAAGTATATATAAGTGAGGGTGGGTTTAAGGTTCAAGAATTTCCCGGACGCTAGATTAAGAAGGGTTCGCCGTTTGAGCACGTGAAGCGAGAATGTTTATTAGAACTTGAAACATTTGAAAGACAAATTTCTTACAACCAATGTACCATGAAAACATCGAACACCATGCTAGTACGGAAAAGGAAACGTAAATCTTGCACGAGGATAAAATTGCAGAGAAGATTATGCGCCCACCACGAAGTTTGGCTTTGTGCGAATGGAATTGATGGTCTCTTCATCTCATATGTCACTTCGCTTCGAGCCCTGGAGCCTCAGCGCTCGTACTGGTCCATGATAGCCGATTGAAGGTTCCTGGAAAAGCTCTATTGCGGTCAGCCATTTTTCTGCAGATGCACGATAGCCGTTCATACTATAGTAGCTTTTATTTTCTCAGGCTAGAAAGGAACTCAACGTATATGCATTCATAACTACGTGAGAAGTAAGGTCATTATCATTACAATGAGCTAGAGGCCATCATTTGTTATCAACTCTTAAGCATGTCACTTTTCAGAATAGGTGACAATTATCTCCACAACCTGTCTCGAAATCACTCGGGTATCAGCGGTGCGCTACCTTGAAAGTACCACTGAAAGCCGTAGTGGAGACTCAATGGACTCATTGCAGGGGCATTTACCATAGATGGAGCACCAAGGGTGTCAGCTTTAGACAAGTACGTTATTAAGGATGGATATCAAGCCATGCATAAAGACCACCACAAACCATCCATTAAACTTTGCTTGAACTGGCTTAAATCATCTCTCCCCCACAAATACCAGAGAATGGACAGTTAAGCATAATTCATCCGACGTGTGGGGGTTCATCATTATGCTCCACTTCCACTTTCCTCTTTCCTCCTCACCTTCACGTAATGAGTGAAACATGAAATATCCGCGATTATCCGCCAAGTAGATAAGCGCATATTGTTCCACAATAGTCAGCATTCCAGACCAACCGCGTGTTTTTTGGTTGGGTTTCATCGTCATTGACCCCCGGACTCGGCTGGGAGCGGATACCCGCGGTGACGGATCAGGCGAGTATAAAGTCCCTTTGAGCCAAGATAAGCACCAAACCAACCACAGATGACGTGAAAAAACACAATGCTCGTCGAACCAGTACTGAAATTCATGACTTTTCAGGGTGTGGTGGTTGATTTGGCTGCAGTGCTCGGCGTCCTGGTACGTTAGTCTCTGCATGATGCATCTGTAGATCATGACACTCTATGAAAGCACCATTTTCCATTTACTGCGGAATCACTAACAAATCACCAGACAATCGCTTACGCGCTCTACAACCGTCTCGTTCATCCTCTTCGTCGTATCCCGGGTCCTTTCCTCGCTTCTCTCACACCTTTCGTTCAGCTTTACCATGGTTTGAAAGGTGATCGACACCTATGGCTTCATGGTTTACACAAGCGGTACGGTACACATGTGCGAGTTGCGCCGAATTTTGTCTCTGTGAATAGTGATCGTGGTCTTCATGATATCTACGGTCATGGAAAGAGGCTTCAGAAAGCAGATTTCTACAATGCGTTCCCGGCGATCAAGGGTGTCTATAACACACACAATGCGATTGATAAGACCATGCATGGGCGGAAGAGACGTGTGCTCAGCCAGGCATTTTCTGAAACGGCCTTGAAGGGCATGGAGGATGTGATGCTGTTGCATGTGCGACAGCTTTGTGCTTCGCTTGCCGATTACAGCGCGGATGAGAAGAGCCCGAGCGATTTTAAGGGTGTCGTACGGAATATGGGAAATTGGTTCAGCTACCTTTCATACGACGTCATGGGAGAGCTGTGCTTCGGTAAAAGCTTTGATATGCTCATTGCTGATGGAAAGAGACATATGATTGGATTGGTCGATCGAGCTGCGAATCGGCATTACGTGGTAAGTATCATTCCCCAGTATTTCCATTTCACAAAAAAAGAGAAAGAGTTTAACAGCAATCTAGTGCGGTCTCTGGATGCCTTTAGACAGATGGCATCTCGACCAAATCTTCATTCGCCAACTCACACAAGATCGCTGGAACTTCATCATGAACTCCCGCGTGGAAGCGACCAAACGCGCCCAAGAACGAACCATGGCCGGCCATGACGCCAAAAAGGATTTCTTCTACTACCTACTCAATGCGAAAGATCCCGAAACAGGAAAAGGATTAAATACACCCGAACTCTGGGGTGAAGCGAATGTCCTCATGATCGCAGGCAGTGATACAACCTCCACAACCCTCGCAGCTACATTATTCTACCTAGTTCGATGCCCAACAGCACGAACAAAATTGACCAAGGAGGTCCGCAGCGCATTCAACGACGTGGAAGAAATAGTCAGTGGTACCAGACTAAACGAGCTAGTGTATCTGAAAGCATGCATCGATGAGGCACTCCGCCTCGCACCCGCTGTCCCAGGTGCTCCCCCGCGCGAGGTAATGGACGGCGGCGCGGTAGTTGACGGTGTCTTTCTACCTGCTGGAACGGACTGCGGAACGCCCGTTTACTCCATTCATAGACAGGAGCGGTACTATCGCGCTGCGGAGAAATTCTTGCCCGAGCGCTGGATTGAGGGTGCGACGTGCGAGGTATCTGGTACTGAGTGGACGACCACTAAGGAGGCGATTGAGGTTGCGAGGAGGGCATTCTGCCCGTTTAGTATTGGGCCCCGGGGATGCATTGGGAAGAGTATGGCATTCATGGAGATGCGGCTTACACTGGCGCGGCTGGTTTTCTTATTTGATATGACACTTGCTGATAGGGTAGGAGAGGACGAAAGTGGTCATTTGGCGCTGGTGGACCATTTTACCAGTGCGAAGAATGGGCCGAATGTGCAGTTTCAAAAAGCGATTCCAGCCTAATTTTACGGGTTATAATGAATGATACTTTTTGAACAAGGCAGAATCAAAGAAATGAATAAGGGCGCAGACTGGTACTCACATTAGTATATTGTAATGTATGCCTGTACGTATTTTTCTTATTCGTTTTTACTGTGTACCCCCGGGGCTGACGTCCCATTGAACCCAACTGTTATCGGTTAAAGTTAGTATATTAGTAATGCCTCTACATTCTGATAATATACTACTCCTCCTATTCCCAATTCCACGGAACAGAATGATGGCCGCACCACAGTCCGGAGAGGATTGCTTTAAGTGACTCACTCTGACCCACCATGTTTATCCTTCTAGCCGAGCAAACATTCAAAGTGTACATCACATCTATACAACTTTAAGCCTGCCTGCTGTTGAATGTTTATTTTTATGACCATTCAAGGTGAGAGACTTGTGTATAAAAGTGTATAAAAGGAATTGTGATTGTAAATGAGGCTGGGTAGCGATAACGATAAGACTTTTGTTAGTCAGGACACGTTTGCGCGTCTTGGCCCCCGGATTCATCAACCTCGAAAACCCAACCCCATTAAACGCCTAGAATCCCTCCTCGATTCTATGGCTGACCTGACGTGATGGTGCTATGATGCTATCACCTCTAACCGTGACGTTCGTTCAATCGACATTCTTAAACGCCCTTTCAAACATCTTAGCACAGCTAATCGACCAGCGCAACAACACCGTAAGTTCATAATGCATAGAAAAACAAGCAAAACTAACATCAAACACAGACACCATTCGCGCTAAATAGTCTAGCGCTTCTTCAATTCATCACATATGGCATCTTAATTGTGCCACCCAATTTCTACTGGCAACGCGCCCTGGAGGCGCGGTATCCAGGATTTCCATCACGCGCCGAGATAGGAAATGTCTTTCGGTGTTCGGGGCGATCTTGTTCGCTGAGATCGGTGTTTACTTTTCCGTTTGCTTTCATTCGTTCTTTTTTCTCGTCTACTTCGGATGATACCATTCCTTCTAATAAGGATAAAGAGAAATGGGCACCGCGAGCAAGGAAGTCTGGTCTGCATAGCTTTGCGATGAAGTTCTTTTTGGATCAGACTATTGCGGGCGCTATGAATATTGTGCTGTTTATTGTGTTGATTCACATTTTGAAGGGGGAGGGATTAAAAAGATTGTGGGAGTTGGTTATAGAGGTATTTCTCCTTTCTTCTTTTTGGCTTATGAGGTTTTCGGTTGCTAATTGGCGCAGCATTTTCGTCCAATTATGATTGCCAGACTGAAATATCGGCCTGTTGTCTCTACGTTGATGTATACCGTTATTCCGGTTGATCGTCGTGTTGTTTTTGCTAGTGCTTGTGGGGTCATTTGGGGCATTTATCTAAGTCTTTATGCGGCTGTTTAGTCATTTCTCTTAAGTTTTTTTTTGGGATTTCCTAGCGGGTCTTTGGACCGAGCGAGCATATATTATAGTGTAATCTAAAAGTTCGGGGCATTTTCATCTTGGATCAAAGACTCGTTGTCTGGGACACTGATGTCCGAATCCGTCTGATAGGAGCTGTTTATTAGTACGCAGCAATCAATGTCAGTGCTGCGGTATTCCAGTTTTAGTGTTTACAGGGCTGCCTGAAGTTCGATTGGGGCAGTTGGCGCTTCAATCCAGCCTGTACATGTGAGCGTTGTGGAGGAGAAGTACGTATGTCTTAGCGGCCCTAATAAGCGCTTTGATAGTTGGCAACTTTTTAAAGAAAATACTGGCATGTAATTACTGGAGTTCAAACTCTGCTTCAAGAAATCGATCCGTAGATGCAAAACTGTACTGAGATTGGATGCCCTCCGCGCCAACTGGCGCAACTCCTTAAGACCAAATCAAAGCTAATGATACATTCTGCTGCAATGGCAAGCAAGAGCAGAATCTGTAGGTGAATAGATGAGAAAAGACGTGACGCGTAAGATTGGATCCCCGTTTATTCCATGGCTGCCTGCGATGAGCAGCTTGCTTTGGAACGGGCGCAAAGAAATATTGGTGAAGAGTGGGCAGGCGAGATGAGGTGTCGAGATTGGTCCATAAAATAAGACCAAGTACATTATTGACGTGTCACGGTGACAAGCTCAAGTTCACCAATAACTACTGGCCCAGCCAGTAAGTAACAGCCCAAAGAAGTAGAATCGTAAAGATGGCAAGATGGAGGTAATTGGATATCAAACGATGACCTCGAGCTTATTCGCGGGGGTTCCGCAAGGTCTGGTCCTTGCTGGCGACCAAGGCAATCAAGGCAGCACCAACACCGCTGCCATCCTTGGAGATTCCAATGCGGACCTTCTTCTCGCCCGCGAGGCCAACCTCTGTAATTTCCCGGAGAGCCGTTCGGAGGTGGTCCTCGAAGTTGGGGTAAAACTCGACAACACTGCCATCAACACCAACGTCGACAATGTCATCTGTCTGGAGCTTGCCGGTGTGGATGAGAACGGCCGCAATGGCAACGGCGCTGAGACGGGCAGCACGTTTACCAATGGCGTGGGTCAAGATCTTGACCGCCTCGCAGTCCTCATTACTCGCGTTCTCGATGTTCAAGTGGTCTTTCAGAGCAGTCTTGATATCGATCATATCAGGGGATTTATCGGCCTCAACGGCACTCAACAAGCTGGTGTCAAGTCCCCACTGGCGGTAGAGGAGGGCATCTGAGGAGAGGGAGGCCTTGGAGGCGGACTTGAAAATACCCACGTCGGGGTTCTTGTGCAGAGCCAGTAAAGTACGGCGTAAGATCTCACCCAGGAACATTCCTGAGACCCGCTTCTCGAACATCTGAATTCCAGGGTTGTTGCTATCCGCATCCAAGTCACGGTCATAAACGGTATTGGGCAAAACGCTCAATTGGTTGTCAAAGCTACCCCACTCAGCGTTGATGATCATCTCGCCGGTAGTGGTATCAAAGTGGGCATCCTTCATGTGCTGGAGCTTGCTAATGTTTTCAATCTTCTCGACGTATGCGCCGTTGGTTCCAGTGCCGAAGATAGCACCGAGCAGGGTACCAGTCTCTCCGGGAGAGGTATAAGAGCGAGCCATCAGAGTACCAACAGTATCGTTAACCAGCGCGGCCACGCGAACAGGCAGGTCGAGGTCATCAATGGCCGACTGAAGCAGCGCACACACATCGTGACCGACCGCGTCAGGGATGTTGAAGCCCTTGGTCCACCGAATCAGGGTACCGGAGTTGATTCCATTTTGACGCACGGGGAAACTGAAGGTAAAGCCGAGGTCGAACAGCTCTTCCTCACCCTTACCCTCCCGCCGCCGACGCTTGTGGGCCTCGAAGTGCTCGTTGTGGTGGATGCGCAGGAAAGCTTCGATCTGGCGTGCGAGGAAGGTGAAAAGGTCCTTGGAAGTTCCGGAGGCCATGAGTTCCCGCGGAATCATGATCTTGGACTGGGTGAGGGAGAAGGTGGTATCGCCGTGTAGCTGAACGGAACAGACACGGAAGTTGGTGCCACCGAGGTCAACGGCCAGGTACAGACCCTAATCAGTGTCAGATTGGTTTGGGGGTTAGAGTACAGTCAGATCGCATCACAGTACCTTCTCAGTACCATTGGGCACAGCGGTCACGAAGGTTGGAATCTGGCTCAAAGTGGTGTTCTCCTGTGCCAAACCCTCGTTGGACTGACGTATGTATTCAGCAACCCCGCGCTGGACCTGAGCAGCGGGGTAATCGAACTCGCGCGCAATGCGCGTGGCCTCGGCCAACAGCGGGGAAGACATGGCGGGGCACGTAAGGGAGAGAAAGCTAGTTCGAAGAGCTTGTAAAAGAATAAGGCAGATGAAGGGTAAAAGTAAGAGTATAAGAATGCTAGAAGATTGACGTTTGAAAGGAAGAGAAAAAAAAGTGGGAAGAGATAGGTAGAAGAGGGTCCAGTTCCAATGAGGTCAGTTTTCCCTTGGCAGGTTCGATTGCGGTAGACTCAAATACGTATTTGCCCACTTTAAGACTCATTACCAAACACCGGGTTCGCCGGACACTAAACAAGAAAATGGCTTTTTGTGCCCCAGAATTTCCTCTTCGGAAATGTTTTGCTTTCTTCTATACAGAGTAAGTAGTACAACAACATCTATTCCGCATGCAGGTGCTCCTGCATTCCTGAGGTCACACAGCCATCCATTGTTGCAGAACAACAGTTTTCCTGTTTATTTTTTTCTATATTTTTCTTCTATTTTCCCTCAATGACGGCATAACTCCATTTCCTTGAAACCACGGAGAAGGTGTGGGGTGTGGCTGTGAATGGTCAATGCCTCTCCATGGCACGTCTTCCCCGACTTCACCGGTGAGCCACACTGGTTAAGACAAAGCGGGAGGTCGGGGGATTTCGAACAGGGGACGGGAAAGATGAGGAATCGGAACATGAGTGTCGTATGCAGGTGCACGGGCTAGCTATACCCGTAAGATACCCGATTCGCTTAAATATCTCTGGGGGTTAATTCTCGTTAATTGAACTCGGTACTCCGTATGGGTCGGCTTCATTTTCGGCTTCCGAATGGGATTCGGGTGGATTGGCCCGAGTGGACGGAATACCGAGAAATGCTTGACACATAAATGATTAAGGTGGATTCGTAGTAAATCTCAAATTTCTTCTAGAGTGGTTCCATACGACCCAGTTCATTGGTATGAGAAATCCCATGTGGAATTTATAGATCTCGATGTGACTTTCCAAGGTCAAATGACCCACGTCACTGATAAGACTTGTCTTGGCCATGTTGGACAAGTATTCGAACCCCTCTTTAAGCTTTTTGGTCGAGGATGCATTTATGTCGGACATGCATACATGAAGCCTGCAGGATGACTGAAATGTTCAAGTGCCTCTTGTAGCCATGAGCTTGATTATTTGACTGTTGACTGCAGTCTGACCATATGTAGAGGAAAATACCATGTGAGGTACTGCCTGATCAGTCGTGTTACACCTGCATATGGCATGTAGAAAAGTGAACATTCATGTAGCAATTTACAGCAGTTGAACAATATCGTTATTAGTCCTTCATCATGGGTGCTCCCTACGTTCTCTTCCAAGGTAGGCAACTGACCAATTCATCCTGACTAATCACACGTGACCTGAAGTATCGGAGCTTCGGGTGAACTGCATCTCACACACCCGCCCTTCTCTAGACTCAATTCGACAGCAATCTCGGCCATATACAATCATGGGTGCTGGCAGTTCTAAGCCCGAGGCTGCGGGTGATTCCAAGCATGTCTTCTCCAGGTAATACCTCCCGGATCCCCCCTCTCCCTGCGCCTCCGAATGCACCAAGCGGAAAACGAAACACGGCTCCGGTTATCAAGATCAATGAACCAATTGCTACGATAATCAGCCTGTAACCGTCTCAATCCTACCAGTGCATGGAACACAACTTGCCCAGAACCATATTGACTAACACAAAACCGCTCACAGCAACTCTCCGATCCAATTCTCCTCCAACCTAGTTGAGGCTCTCCAGTCCACCTCCGAGGTTCGTTAACACCAACGTCTCCCATCAAATCCAAATTAAAATATAAAAACTCACAAACCGCCACAGACCGACTCCTCCCGCACCAAGGCCGTCGAGCTCGAAATCCAAACCCGCGTCGCAGAGGAACTCAAGCGCCTCCAGGAACGCGAAAAGCAAACCCTCGCCGAGATCGAGAAGCGCATCGCCCAAAGCAAAGATACAGCCGCCGCTCCCATCACCACCTCCACCGCCCCAGTCGCACACAGCAACGGCTACCCTGTCGGCTCATTGAACCTCGATGCTCCTCGAATCCCATTCGCAGGCCGTGAGCACGATGCGCCCGCTTTCATCGCACCGGTCGATACACCCCAGACACCCGTTGTGGACCGTGAAGTGTCGCGGCACTCTGTGAACGCAGAGATCGAGGCGCTGCGTAGCCGGTTGGATGGAAGACGGAAGCTGGTTGAGCTTGATGAGGGTATGGAGAAGGCTAAGGCGGATGTTGTTGGTTGTTTAAGATTGAATGACCGTCGGCCGTTGAACTGCTGGAAGGAGGTTGAGGCTTTCAAGCAGGAGGTTGCTAAGATGGAGGCTGCTTTTGTGGATCGGATTGTGGGTTAGAGCTCCAGCTCTAGCTCTAGCTCCCGAGGTCTGATGTTGCGGATTTTGGTGCATAAAGATCTTTTTTTTTGTTATGGTTTTTTTGGACTGTCATGGCTGCTGTACTGTATGTATAGATAGCGCTTTTTGTTTGCCATGAATAGCATGGGATGGAATTGATCCTGGAATGATGATCTACTGTTGGCTTTTGTACTCCGTAGTAAGTTTGGAGATGGGTGAAGACGAAGGTATGAGGATCATGGCAGGCATATTTTATATTCATCAGTTCTATTCGCACTTAGTCAAGAACAGGGTATCGTTAGACAAGCTCCCACACTCCCAATCGTCCTATCTTCTCCCCAGCCGCACGAACAATACACATCTTCCTCTCATGTTGCTTAACATCGGATACCAAGACCTTGGAAAGGAGAATGGACCCAATGCCAGTGCCCTTGCCCTCAGAAAGATTGTAGTTTCCGGAGATAACAAAACCGATCAGGTCCTCCTCAGTGGGAACCTCTAAATAGTCCGAAGTGACTTCCGGTGCAGAAGACGAGAGCAGTGCTTCGGCAAGCTGACGACGGGCTTCCTCATCTGACAATTCCGAAGATGTTCGGACCTTGCGCTTCTGCTCGGAATTCTTATTGGTCGAAGCGAGATCGAGCCATTTCTCACGCAGAGTAGGATCGGTAGGGAGGCGATAGATACGGGCACAGGGGACGGGTGTACCACGACTGCAAAGTGTGACACCGACTGGGGCAAGTGCACCAGCGCCAGGAGACGATTTCATGAGATTGCTGAGGATGCGGTCGGTATTGCTAGGAGGGTATCGGATGTTGTGGATGTTGAGAGGAGGGGTAGTAGAAGTGTCGGCATCAACATCAGCAACAGCATCAGCATCGGCTTTATCTTTAGCTATTTTGGAAGGAGTGCCATCAGAAATGTCTTGCGGTCCTTGAACAAGTCTTTCCCAATCACACGCCCAGCCACGTCCGATTTCTCCCTTCGGACGGCCAGCGCCCAGAGCGAGACTATCAAACTCAGACCGACGCCCTTTAGGCCTTCGCTCCCACTCCTTTTGGGCTTTCTGGGCTTCTTTCTGGCCCCACTCCCAGCCAGCTCGCGTTCCAGGGAAATCACCAGGGAACCATGGCTCGCCTGCCTCAAAGGCTAGCTGTTGTTGTTCCTTTATGCCACCGAAACGTGGGTTTCCTCCGCTTGAAAGCGGATAGTACATAATGGAGTACCAAACTGGAACGACACATTTCCATGGTAAAAGCACAGTCCATGAACCGGGTGCAGTATTGCGCTTGGAGAGGGAAGGTGGTCGGTTTGTGAGAATCATAACTGGAATCTGCGGGTCGTTGGGCTGCGGGGCAGGACGAACGCCCGGGCCAGCGAGACTCCGGCGGCGGTTGATAGCTTTCTGGCTGGGAAGCTGGCGAGCAGCAGCTAAGCGACTGGAGCGCTCGAAGATAGAAGGAGGGCCTTGTGTTTGATCAGGCGACCACTTGGCAAGTAGCATGGCCAGATCATTCATGTGAGATTCGTTATCCTGGACTCGGATGGTTTGTGGTGGGAATTGGAGTCTTGGATCGGAAACAGCAAAGGACAGAAGAGCATTTTGAGGAAGCGAAGACGGGTTTGATACGCCAAGCAGAGAGGACCAGGTAGTCTCTGGACTCTGAGGTCCTGGGACTTGGCCGTCAGAACTCAGAACAGGCTGCAATGCTGCGAGTAAAGCCTCTGCAGACCCCGGTCCAGTAATTTCAATACTGCCAATGTCAAATCGCAGGTCTTCGACCATGACAGGAGGGTTCTGTCGCTTTGAGGACTCGAGCAGATCTGTCCACAGCTGCAGGAACGCCGATGGATGAACTCGAATCCAGAATTTCCGCTGCGGGTTCTTTGCTGGCTGGCTCTGATCGGCACTGCCCATTTCAACGTCCTCATCTTGTGGCTGTACACACCAGATCATTGTGACAGGTGCTAGTGGTCGCGCCGAATGGTTTTTTTCATAAGTCCAAGCATTCAATGAACGAGTACCGGCTCTCCACTTCTTTCCCTTGGGACCCCATGCCTCATCACCATTGACACCAACCGCCCGTAAAACAGCTTCAATACACGATTCCTTCCCCTCGAGCTGTACAGTAGACATGTAACTCATATCCCAAGCCACTGCACCTCGAGACCCGCGCGCTCTGTGCGTAGGCCGATAACTCTTTTCCGTAGGCGACACAGGGATCGCAAATCGCCAAATAGGATTCTTGGTCGTTGCCATATGAGCACGTTTCGCGTGAAACATGTGAGTAGGCAGCCAAGTCTTGCAACGCTGACGTTTGCTAAATTTAGCCTCTGGCGCGGGCGGCCGTGACAGCTTATTCTTCTTGATCTTGGGTATTCTCGGAGCAGTATTGAACGGATGACTTCCCTCCTCTTTCAGCGCCGTAGCCGTATCCTGAGCCGTCTTGCCCCTTTTCGCCGCACGTCGTGCCTTAGACTTGGCATTGAGATTCTGCAGGCGCCTAGCAGTCTCCAGTCGGATGCGCATGACTTGCGTTGGTTTGCGTCTCCGGGCAGTAACAGTGGGCGTCTTGTCCTCTATCATCTAACGGTTCCAAGGGTTCTAGTTAGCTTTGTAAAAAATAGATCCAATGGCTAAACCCACCTCCCGCTTCGCTCTCGCCCTCAGCCTCTGCGGAACCCGTTTCACATTGTGACTTGCTGTTCGCCTTCGTAGGGAGCGGGGCACTTTCTGGAAAGCTCGCGTTGTGAGCGCATCTCTCGATCGCTGCATTCCATTTTCAAGGGCTTGAATTTCGAATGCGCGGGCGGCTGCGTATGCAGCGACATCGAGTTCGCCGGTTATCGAGAGGGCGGCGTCAGTTGACTGGACGGCTAGGGTTCGAGCGTCGTACGTTTTGGCGCGCTTCCGAGATGCTCCTGTGGAGGCATTAGGACCCAAGGCGCTGAAGGGCTTCCGTTTTGCGAGATTGGACGCCATGGCTGGTGGATGTGCGGAGGTTAAGCACAAGTTGAGATTAAAAAAGTTAACGGGCTTGGCGCGTCATTGGCCCCACGAACCAAACCTTTGAAGCTCCAACTTTACACCCGTGCACGCGCATGACCGCTTTGAATAGGCTTGACCTTTTCCCTCAGCTTCCGAACTTTTCACGTCCTTGACCTTCGTCTTTGATCTTCATGACAGCCCTCAGTGACTGCCAACTTTCGTACTGGTATCTTTTACCTTATCCAGGTCAACTGCCAACCTTGGAATTGGCTAATCGTTCCACGCAGATAATGTAGCACTAATTGATACCAGTTTGAGGTAGGAGGTAGATAGATTGGAATAATACATAGGGGAATCATCATAAATTTCATTCCAATTTTCAGTGGTCAAGTACTAGACAGCAAAGAAGAAATAACTATCATGAAGCACTGGTACACTTGGATACATGTTATATATCGTCCATCCTTGTTCACATCACGACTGCGACATGATTGTTCATGTACTTGCTGATGTCGCCCAAGAAACAAGCTGCAATGATGGAGATAACGCCAAAAGCAATACTCACAAAGTAAACATACTTGTATGATTCGGCATATGCCATTTGACCCGCCTCCACCACTATTTGATAGGCAGCGTCATTGCCTGCAATCCCCGGGATCTCTTTGATCTCGTCCAACAGAGAGGCGCCAGTGAGCTGAATGACCTCGGTGATGACCTTGACGTCTGTGATGTTAAGGTACTCTTCCATGGCACCGCCAATGTAGTACGTTGCCTTAGGGACGAATTTGGAGATGAAGACATTGTAGTAGATGGTATATCCAATACCGCCACCCACAACACGGATTGACAAAGTCAGAGCGGAGATGGTGGCAATCAAGTCCTATAGAAGTCAGCGATTGGATTGGTGAATGATTCAGGGGTTAGTACTTACATCAGGACAAATGATGGTGGTGATAATTGAGGCAGGGACAACGATACCGCCGATTCCCAGACCAGCGAGAACTAAAAGTCCCCACATCTGATACATATTGTCGACTCGTCCAATAGCCAAAGCGCCACAGCCTAGGAAGAAACAGTAGTCAGTATACGTAGTTGAATCCCGACTGGATGCACTTACCAGCAGTCATGAGAATACTGCTAACGATCAACAGTTCTTTGTTATGTCCCCTGAACACACTCAACAGAACAAGGACAATACAAGCCCCAGCAAGAATACCAAGCCCAATAGGCAGACTGCGGAGACCAACCATCACGGGATCGTGACCGTAGACATTGAACGACTCAGTGGGCCAGAACATGAGCACAGAGAAAAAGTTGCAGCCGGAAATGCAAGTGATAACCAGGGTAAGACCCAATGTTCGAGGCTCTTGCTTCAACCGCGTCGGGAAGATTGGATATTTAGCGCCATAGATCTCCCAGAATGCGAAAGCAACCAACAGTGCGAAACCAATGATCAGGGGTGCGAGGACATGAGCAGAGCTCCAGGGATACTATAAAGTGATAACGTCAGTATAAGCGCAACGGAACAATCTTCATGCAACATACCATATATCCACCCCACTGCAATGCAGCCAGGAAAATAATCAATCCCGTGATGCTCAAGAATCCACCCACAAAGTCAATCCGACTGATAACTTCCCTGTTGCTTAATCCGACGGAGTTGACGCGGGGAGGTGGGAAGTAGAAGAGGACTGTAATCAAAAGACCAAATGCGCTCCACGCACCACAGAATGCACCGACATAACGCCATGAGCTGTGGTATGCGATGAGCTGAGCCCAGAGGACGGAAGGACAGAAGGGAACGATGGTGAAAATGAGTACGGCGACATATACACCTCGCTTCCGAGTTGGTGCCATTTCCGAGGTAGCAGCCAGCGCAGTCAATTCATTGATTCCAGCACCGGCACCAGCAATTGCCATACCCGCTATTGCACCGTTAGCTCAGGAAGATGTATGACCCCCCCCCCCTTTCCAGATGGTAGACGTACCAATAAATATGTTCATTGTGTTTGCCGTGCTGCAGACGATCATCCCGATGACAATAAGGGACGCTCCGATAATGGCGACATAGCGACGACCGATCAAATCAGATAGAGATCCGACGAAGGGACAAACTCCCGCAAGACTAAGCAAGTTTGCCAGGACCTGTTGATGGTTAGTATGGGGTTGAAGATTCAACAGGAACATACATACAAACCAAACCCATCGATCCGTACCTCCAATGTCTCCATAAATATATGGAGGAATGCCACCTAAAGATAGTTGGAAATTTAGATTATGCTGCATTTGGTAAAATAGAACACTTACCGAAAAGGTAAACAGGGATCTGGCTGCCAGTCCACAAAAACGCCATGGCTGTAAAACCCATAAAGCGGCGGAAAGTCATCTAAACCGTATATTAGAACCTCGCATAACAGAAAACAAATCGCTCATCTTACCGGGATATTCTTCTCAGACTCCGTAAGACCCTCCTCATTTGAGCTGGTATCAATCACCTCCTGGTGACTGTGTCCGCGATCAATATCGTTACTCTCTTGTGGCATAATCCCCTTCTTCTCGTCAAAGCGGGGTGGACCCGCGCCCTCAATTGAGCCCGACATAATGAGTAGATAAGAATATAGAACTACAGATGAAGATTGCCGGGCAGTAGACAAGGTTAATAGAAGAACAACTCAGGGGGCGGAAATGCGAATGCGTATTCCAATCCCTACAAAGCCAAAATATATTGATAGACCCCACTCAGAGGGGTCGGAGAACTCGGAGTTGTTATAGATAATTCGACAGGGGCTACACGTCCCATTGTTTTAGATCACGGGGGGCCAAAGTACAAAGTTGATCCCGTTTTTGTCCATTATGGAGTCTAATCCATTGATTGTTGGCAGAGGAACCAATCAGCGGATACAGTGGCGATAATCAGAAACCGTCCTGCAGTGAATACGCAATGAAATCGAGGTGCACATAAGCGATAACCGGGCTATAGGAAAAGAAATTCAGAAAATACCGAGGCTGTTACTTGACTTCTTTGGTGAGATTGGGGCGACCCCGGCCGTCATTTTGGAAAATGCGGGGGAAAGTCTCCACCTTCTCCACGCTTTTCGCTAGATGGAGTTGTCGAGGGTGTCATGAACACAAGTCTCGATCATGCCCCCGGGCTAGTATCCATAATAGGAACAGCCCCGAAACCATAACACTTGTTCATTCGTGAGATCTTGTCTACTTTTTTAGTTTGCCGATAGGTCTAATAAGAGGCAAATTAACTGGCGACATGCAGTATTTAATGTCATTGTGCTGATCCTGGAAAAGAAATAGTTGGGATTATGCAATATTCACGGATTATCCGATTATCATTCTATATTCTATATGTACATGGGGAGCCTTGGAACGTCCGGAGAATTATCTGTGCATGTGGCCAAGTAATCTTCTCCGGAGTCTGAAAGGCTGGAAGGCCTGCCGTCGCCACTCTAGAACCGGTCCCCAATCTCCGCAAGTTGGAACTTCTTCGGTACCACAAACAGCCCCGAAGCTTCAACACAGACTTGGCCTGTCAGATCGCGTACCTCACAAATGGTGTATGCTTTTCGGTCCGTGCTCCGTTCCTGGTCCAACCGAGCATGGAAGGTGTAAAAGAAACCCGAGTAAACAGGCGCCCGGTAATTGATGTTCATATTGGCAGTCACTCCGGTTCTTTCAGGAAGGTGTCGAATCGCTGCTCTTCCCATATTCTCATCGATTATGGTCCCCAACGCACCACCGTGGACCATGGTGGGCCATCCTTCGAGACCGGACCCTAGGAAGACCACGCTGACCACCTTTTTCTCCTTGTCATTTGAGAAGACTCTCTAACGGAAACCATAAATGTCAGATGAATCATGATATGCGGTTCGGCAGTGAAGAGTCTGGTAGTTGCTCGTAGGCCGCGGTTGTCTCCTTGCGCGAAGCTAGTGAATGCCATGGCGACTTACCTGCAATCCTATTCCTCTGCTCCCAGCCAATGCCTTCGAAGTTAATCGGTGTGCTTTGTTTTCCTCCGGCATGCCTTCGTAAGCCCCCGATTCCACATAATCGGGGTTATTCCGTAGCTCCTGCACGATCGGAAGACCTCGGTCGAAGACGCTCTGAATTTCCTCCAATAATACCTTATCTTCTGTGGAACCAGGCGATGGGGGCAAAGATATTTTGCTATCCAGCACTCCGCCAGCTCCCACTCCCAGAGCTCCAAATATGCTGGCGTAGATCAGGCGGCGAGCCCATCGCGAACGACCGGAAGGGGCTTGAGGTGCGGTCGTGGAGGCATGTCGAATAGGCAACCGGGAAGTAGTGGGTAGCTTTTGAATAGACGCTCGTAGGACTACCTGTAGTATCCGACGGGAATTCATGGTGGTCACATCGCCATTTAGAAGAAGAGAGCTGCTTGGGATCCTGTCCGATAAACCGAGGCTATCATCACGTGACCCTATGTAGGGCTCCTACTCTACTCTAGTTTTGGTTACGAAACGCAATGTAAACTGCTCAATTCATATTTCATTCTCTGATTGAGATCCATAGTATCCGTGGTCACCATGAGAATCCATTCGTGGTAGTCATTTCGATTCATCTAGATGCATGTCTTTTATTTACGAATATCCAATCAATCCAATGTGGGCAGCTCGATGGCGCGGTATAAAAGAATCAAAGCGGAGTGGGACTCGCCTGAAAGGATAAATTAGCAACGTTCAAATATGGGATCAGATAGGCACCTACCACCACCGGACAAGGTTTCGATCTTTTCGGCTTCCACCTCGGTGACCTTGTCGTCGTTGAACCACCACCACTTGTTGCTGTTCTCCTCCTCGCGACGCTTGCTACCAGTTTGCGCGTCGTCCACCTTTCGGGGTTGCTGCTTGACATATGCGGTGTAGTGACCACTGTCGGCGCTGGCACCTTGGTGGGTGATCACACCGCGCAGTTCGTACAGACCGGACTTATTGGTCCCACTGTCCGAAGAGCCATTCTGCTTGAGAAGCTCCTGCAACTCCAGCTTAGCAGCCTTGATGGCAGCATTCTTCTCCTCTTCGTATTGAGCGTCGGTTTTGAAGTCCTCCTCCATCTCGGTGTCGCCATCCTTGTCGGACTTCTTCTCGCTCTTCTTGTCCTTGGTCTCTTCCACTGTCGTCTTCTTCTGCATCGGTTCCAAGCTTTCACTGGCACCACCCTCGGCTTCGTTCTTCTTCTGTTGTTCTTCCCGATCAAGAGCAAGTCTTTGACGCTTGCGAGAGCGCTCAATATCCACCTCATCCTTGCGGATTTCTCGAACCTTGTCGCGAACAGGGACAAGCTGCTCCCGAAGCTGGTCGGTACAGAACTCGACCACATCAAGCTCGGCCGGGAATGTAACCTTACGCATGATTTTGGCCTTCTTCTGGGTCTCGCGCTTCCAGAAGAATCGAACAAAATGCACGGTCAAGTATTGCGGCAGGCGCGCAATGCGCGATCGCTTCGTGTAGAGAGCATTGCGGTCCAGTGTCGGGGAGTGCTTTTCGATCTGCTCCTGCAAGCCGGCCATGATGCCATCTTGAAGGTGATTGGTGTCCTTGCCGATGTGGCAATCCAGCTTGAGGAAAACGTCAGAGGACTTGTTAGGCTCCTCACCTAACTCCTTGGCCGCAGGATCATCGCACTCAGTGATAGAGCTAAATTGACCAGCAAGATATTTGTCGACAAAGGAGCTATGTCCGCTTGACTCGGCTCCGTCCGTGATAGTCAACTTGTTCCGCAGTTGATTGACAATCTGCGACCAAGCCTCCTCGGCATCCTGTTGCGCATAGCCGTGGCCATTGCGATCCTGTTGAGCAAACTGGGGGTAGGCTGTGCGGAGGGCATTTAGGAACATCATGGGCGGAATTCCTTCTTGGGTCTGCGACATCTGCTTAAATAGGTCCCGTAGTGAAGCAGCAATATCCCTTGAGCTATCCAAGCCCCCGAGACCAAGACTGCTAAGACCTGCTAGGTTGCTACCACCAAGGCCGCTTGGCTTGTACTTCAAAAGCTCCTCCTGCAGCTCGGGAATACCGCGAAGGGTCTGTAGGGTAGAGTTCAAGTAGCAAGTGTTGCCCAAGTTCTGCAGACCAGCAGGAGTGGCTCCCGCTTGCTGCGCAACTTCGGCCTCAGTCATATCCTCCAAAAACTTCACTGCCTCCTTGGGTTTGCTCAGAGCATCTTGGCCCCCAGAAGGCGTGCCCATCATCATGATGGTCTGGCCTGGTTTGGCCTTGAGGGAAGACAGGGGGGTATCATCTTTAAGGCCACCCTTGACGAGCACCTTTTGACGATCCGGTTCCACGCCAGTCAGGGAGAATAGCTGGTATTTCAATGTTTCGCCCGTGGAGGTTGGATCCAGCTCGACGTCGTAGCGCTTGCCGCCGTGTTTGATGATGACTGATCATTTGTTAGTGGGAGATGACTAAGGTCGAAGTTTCTGGGTTTAGAGCTTACTAGGTATGGTAGCCATTGTGACTAGCCGTTGGAAATGCTCAAAGCTTTGGGACTGATTTGAGAGGAAGGTGAGGCGTAAACAGCTTCGAGATGATGGAAAGAAGGCGTGGGGCGCTGGTCTGCAAACACACCAAACAACTGGACCGCCGTCATCTATCACCGCCCCCGGAGCGGGATGCCAACTCGCCCTCTGCCTAGCACTTCCCCAAGATATCCAGGCCCTTTATCCTCTGCCACCGGTGGTTGCGGATATTAAGGAATATTGTCTCGTGCGATTGAGCTTCTCATACTGTTTTAGGCCTATCTGCGTCGATCTCCCACCTTGATATTGCCAAATAACAATAACCCCCCTCCCCCTCATCATGTCTCAATCACTCCGGCCATACCTGCAATGGTCTGTAACAACTCTACACAACCCTATAACATCTGGAGATGACTGGCTGACCCTCTGCTTCTATAGTGTGCGCTCGTCGCTTACCGCAGCCTTGGCAATCTCCAACTTTGCTTCTCAAACATCCGAGCGTCATAATGTCCCCGAAATCGAAGCGCAGACATCCCCCGAGCTGATTCTGAACCCCTTGACGATATCTCGCAACGCGGATGAGCGGGTTCTAATTGGTATGCGGCCTTGATCGCTCAACACCTATGGTTGTTTATACAAGTACTGAAGTGTGAAACAGAGCCCTCGGTCAACAGTGTCCGAGTCTCGATCCGAATCAAGCAGGCGGATGAGATTGAGCACAGTATGTTAGACCTAGCATGATGACCTTGTTCACAATACTAACAAACCCGACAGTCCTGGTCCACAAGTTCACCCGTTTCCTTCAACAGCGCGCGGAGTCCTTCTTCATCCTCCGCCGAAAGCCTATTAAGGTGCGTAGCCGTTTACCGCAGACACCCGATACACTCTCAATACACTGTTACATGTTAAGCTTGCTGGAACTATCGCTAACGATCTCGCTCAGGGCTATGATATATCCTTCCTGATTACCAACGTGCATGTCGAAGCGATGTTGAAGCACAAATTGGTAGACTTTATCATTCAATTGTATAGTTTCTCGCTCCAAACAAACCCACCCCCCCCCACCCCGATCCTCGCTAACCCGTTGCTCTCTCTTCAGCATGGAGGAAGTTGACAAGGAGATATCCGAGATGAAGTTGTTTGTAAGTGGGCCCGGTTTATAATGATAACCATGACAACCATATACTAACATCTTGCAGTTGAATGCTCGCGCTCGCTTTGTTGCTGAATCTTTCTTGACTCCGGTAATTAATCGTCTTTCCCTTCCTCAGATCCTCTTGCTAAAACCCTGCTTAGTTTGATTAAATAATATGGCGCTCCTTTCTTCCTGGTGATGAATCATGCATGATCCTGCTTTTCCCCTTTATCTAGGTACTTCTGTACATTTACCTCAGGCGGGCAATGATATTGCAGTTTGACCGTGGCTTGCTTTCCATACCCATCTGGGCCGTGTCATAATTTGTGTTGTGTCAACCCTGGTCTGGTTTAAATTTTGTCTTGGAGTATAGGGTCAGCTGACCCTTTCTGTTTGCTCCGGCGCTTGTTAGTCTAAATAGTTCTCTCTCTCTATCTTTGTCCTTCTTCTTTCCCTCTCAGAATACAGATCTCCCCACTATTCTGGTTCCAGGCTCCGTGTGCTGCATTCCCTCGACCGACAGTATCCATTTATCAATAATTCACACTTCGAGCCTCGCCGATAGTATTTATTCATGGACCCAGCCTTTGATTTTAACTTTCTGTCCATTCCTTCATTAGCATTCCTTCGATGCCCGTGTGATTTAGCCAGGTGTTATGTACTTGAATGGGTATATATATGGGTATATATGGAAAGTCCTTACGATGCATATCCCATGTCTACATATTAGGAGGTACCCGCTACAACACAAGGTATCCATGTCTGGCTGTTGGATTTGGAGATGAAAGTTTTGGTGCATTCAAAATACGATGAGTACATAATGCGAGAAAAGGGTATATGGGTCTTTGCTGACCATTTTTCGCGAAGGGAGGAAGTCATTTCTTGTCACTCGGCTCTCCAAATTGGCACATGAATCGACTGACAAAATCTGTGTTATGCAGCGAGCCTACAGGTTCAGCCGCGGAAAATGTTCAGAGGCAGACACCCGCCACCCAGTTCTCACCGTTTTACACATCCCAATAATCCTAGCGATGCATCTACTCCTCTAGGGCGGGCATTACTTGACATCACATACCGAGGAGCTTATTGAGATCCTACAGAAACTTCCAGCTATTGGTGATTGCCAGCTTTGAGTCAAGGCCCCGAACCAGCGCCTTCACACACAGCTCAGGCTAGGTTCAGTGATTAGCCGGCTGATTACTTTGATAACTTCCAAGCTACCAACGCCTTAAGCCAGTCAATGAAACGAGGACGGGCCATATGAGTGTGCTGCTAAGGTCTCAGACGCCTCTACGAGATTTTCATTAAGTTTACTGGGACTCATAAATATATCTGGGCTACATTTGCATTGCACAATGAGGATTTGAAATGAGCCATGACTGTTTATTTTCGATTCAAGATTTAATGCGTGGAAAACTCAGAATTAGGTGTAGAAATTGAAATCTGAATCCTTTATTTCCCCTGTCACCACTGCTCGTGACTCTGCAACGAATGGATACGTATACGTATCTATAAAATTGATTCCAAGGTATTACTTGCTGTAAATGTAGACTTCGCCTTGAAGTAATTAAAATTGACCTGCAGATGACCAGCAAAAGTTCTTCCAAAGTTTACAAGCCCCATGGACATCAAACCCTGCCTGATATGGCCTACCTTCGTATCTTGGAGTCCCGTGTAGCAGCTTCTGATGCCTTCTGACTAACCAAAAGCTTCTTGCCAAGAATTTTAACCTTCCAATCCTCTCATTTTTGACCATTGGATTTTCCCAATATGCTGACTCCCCTTCCCCTTGCCAGACAATTGCCCTGGACTAGGGGAACAAAACTCCAATGAACCAACCAGAAAGCGCTCTCTCCTGTTCGCATTTAGGGCAAACCGCTTGTTAGACATCATGACCATCATCTTGAGATACTCCTAAGTAAAGAGACTCTGCTACATCATCTCCGTCGTCATCATGCCCAATCACCGATCCTAGCCACCGATTCTAGCCAGAGAAGAGATGAACACACTGCCACGACAGGGCTGGGTCCATCTTTACCCTCCAAGTAGCGCAAAAACTGCAAGCCATCTTCCCGGAATGCAGAGGCCGCTGCCACGGATAGCATTGGTTGAGCTTGGTGAGCTCTACGCAAGGCCTCGTTGACTATTCGACACATATAAATAGCTGCCAATGAAGAAGAACAAATTACAATGCTTCCAAGCAGGTGGCTTTCAAACCCATGAATCAGACAAAACCGCACACAGTGAGAACCTTGTCCCAGAGACGACGAGACATATGTGGAAAGAAGATGACAGCCAGCGACCGGTACCACCCTCTAGATCTGATCTTGCGCCAATTTCTCTATGTCCTGAGCCGTGGAGTTCTCCTGCCCTTCCAGAATAAGTTAATACTCATTCGACACGTACAACTGCTACATGTATAATGCAATAGTTTTATGGAATGTGCGGGATTGGAATGGAAGCCAGCGGGCAGAAAGGGATTCGGGATAAAAGGCGGAGAATCAGTAGATTTATTACGCAGTAAGAAACGAAAGAAAGCAAAGCCGGTTTTTACATGGTATTTTCCCCCTTCAATCGATCCTGCATTTATTCAATATTTTATCTGAGGTCATTCGATCTCTGCCTTTCGGAAATTCCTATCACATCAATTTTCGAACATCGATTTATCGTTTACAAGCTATAAATTAGCGTTCCTAATTGTTACGGGAAAACACAAACCCGAAATCAACCAGAGATACCGACCAATCTGCAGGTACGCTAAGTAGTAAATTGCACCAAATCAATATCCAACCCCACTTGATCATGGCTCGATCGTCTCGGCCCGGGCCCGCGGAAGTGCCAGAGTCAGCGCCGAAACGACGCGCCTCGACTCGTCTGTCCGCCCCGCAGGAGGTTAAAAGAGTCAAGTCCAATGCGGCGTTGTCGGGCTCGGCGAAATCCACTAGCAAGAAAAGCAAGTATTTCGAACCCGAGAGCTCCGATCCGGAGGACTCTAGTGACTCCGACGGTGGGGATTCGGGCTCCGCTTATGAGGAGAAAGAATCGTCCTCACCGACTCCAGAGGTAGAATTGGAAGCTTCCGACAGTGAGGAGGAGATCCAGAGCAAGCGCAGGAAGCAGCCAAGTGGCGCGTCTCACTCTAGTAGCCTCAAAGGGAAGGAGCTGTGGCGCGAAGGCGTTCGCACCGGATTAGGGCCCGGGAAGGAGGTTTTTATCAGCAAGCCCAAGGCCCGAGATGCTGGGGATGTGCCCTATGCAGATGAGACACTGCATCCCAACACGAAACTGTTTTTGCAGGATCTGGCGGAGAACAACGATCGCCAATGGCTGAAAGGTGGACATCCCCCACAGCGCGGTTAAGCACCACTGACCGGTTTCGTTTTTTTATTTATTTAGCGCATGATCCCGATTTCCGCGCGGCAAAGAAAGACTTTGAGACGTTTGTTGAGACGTTGAACGCAAAGGTCAGCGAGGTGGATAGCACTGTCCCCGAGCTCCCCACGAAGGATCTGGTATGTGACATAGGATTTTCGGTCTCGTCACACTCTCTCCAGAGTTGACCAATGCCATTTAGATTTTTCGCATTCACCGGGACGTTCGGTTTAGCAAGAATCCTCTTCCATACAAGGTATGCAGAGCAACCCCTCCCCTGACCCCGGTCTAGTCGGGTGACGAATATGCCTTGTGCTACTGTGATGCGAGTTAGCGCCCGCTGACGGACGAATAGATTCATTTCTCTGCTGCATGGTAAGTTCCCACGACAAGGAAGAGACCATCCACTCATATTGGCAGGTCTCGCACTGGCAAGAAAGGCCCATATGCAGCGTACTATGTCCACTTCCAGCCTGGCGCGAGTTTCGTAGGTATGTTTTCACATCGCCCTGTGTCTTGCCCCCTCCCTTGTCATCCGAAGTCATTCCTGGAGCTCATCGGCATGGATTATAGGTTGCGGCCTGTGGAACCCTGAGCCCGATGCACTCGCAGCGCTTCGAGAGGACATCGACGGGGATGCGCAGCAATGGAAGGAGGTGCTTCGAGCGCCCGCAATGCGTCGGGAGTTTCTGAACGGAGTTTCTGATGACGACGACGCGATTGTGAAGGCATTTGCCCATCACAATAGAGAATCTGCACTCAAGACCAAGCCCAAGGTATGTATGGTTCATTAGTATGTCAACTGCCATCTGCCATCTGCCGCCTTGCCTTCTCGCCCCAGCGTCGGGGATTATCAACAGCCCTTGTTTATCCTTATCATGTCTGTGGTTTGATTGTTAGCCATACTCGATGATGTATGCCAAACAGGCTTCGGAGGGTTCGCTGCGATCGGGGTCCTCTATGGGCCGATCGGATCCAACCATCGAGATGACCCGATCTCCATCATCAAGGAGTCAAATCATCTCTCATGGCTTTCCACGGTTCACCTCGATAATGGAGGAGGCTTATCCTGCCATTAGAGGTGTCCGGTTGATAGGACCTCATGAATCTTCGGTACGAACACGAAGACCCAGGCCCTTGATAGCTGGAACCACGATGACTTCCAGAGCTCAGTGGTGGCGGAAAGCATGACCGGCGCACGGGTGTCAGCGGGAGGGCAACCCGTGTTTTGGACCAGCAACGCAAGTCTCTCGGGAATCAACCCTTGGGTCTGCTGGGTCGAAAAGGATATTATTGCCTATAGGCTTTATGGCCTATCGGTTTTTTGGTTTTTTGGTTTTGTTTTGTTATTCTCGTTTTTGGGGGGGTTTTCCCTCTGATTTTCCCCTTTTTTCGTATTAAAATATTTTCTCACGCCGTCTCATCTGGTTCCATGGTTCACTCTTGCGCCAGTCTCCACGCCAGGGAATGAGAAAGTTCTTCACCCTGAACACCCCACGAAGAAAGGCAAGAGAGTGCTTCAGTTAAACTAATATCTTCTTTTTTAGGGCTATTCAGCAGACAATATCAATATCGAATTACTACGTCTAAGAAGCTTCACGATCGGACGACCCATCAGTGACGTGGAAATCATGGCAGCGGATGTGCAGGACCGGATCGTCGCGCTGATTGGGGTCATGGAGCCCTTCGTAAGCCCCCCCTCTTCTCCTCTCTCCTCTTCTCCCCTCTCTGATCTATCTGCTTCTGTGCTTTGTCTTGCCTTTTGCCCCCGCCGATTTTGCCCCCTCTTGACTAGCCCTATTCCCTTCTGAGCTAGCCACTTAGGCCCGGCTGCCCGTCCCCTTTCATGCCCCCTCACCGAATCAACGCAGGATGAGCTACTTCAATTCTGTTGGGCAATTGTTTAGGTCTTTTGCTGACCGCTCCTCTAGGTGACGTATCTCAACAGTGTGGTGATGCCTGATCAATAGGCAATGAGATTGGGATCTCCGAAATCCGTCCCTCCGCACTGGCACTGACCAAGCGGAGAAAAAAAAATTACAATCCGAATGTCATTGGAAACGCGTAGAGAATCAATTTACATGCATTTCTTCACGGCCCCAGCCGATTGATATTGTATCCACCAGGAATTTTCCCGTCAATTTCAATTTCAATTTGCATGACTGATTATTCCACTCGGTCAACATTTCCCACAAATCGCATTGGGAAATTCTAGCCTGCCAGCCACACAGTCTTGTACTATCTCTAGATCGCTCCTGCAAATTCGCCATGGCGTCTTTGTTCCAAGTTGTGCATCCCATGTCCCAACGTAGCCAGCTGCATTTCCCGGTCCCATTAACGTGCAGCAGGAAGTGTCACTGCACCCTCGTCACATCTAGCTGCAGAAAGACCATAAGCCAAAGATGAAATGAAAAGGGAAATGCATGTAATTCAAGGATTATTTCGATTATTTCCTAGTTGTTTGATTTTACAAACTCATATCTCACTAGCCATCAAAGCCATTGTGCAGTGTACCATGAACCTTAAGAAACAAGAGCCAATAGTATATGACTCACCTGAATAGCGCATAAACATAACAAACTTTCCTCGTCATTTATTCTCTTGCTCCACAAAGAGAAAGAAGAGAACCAACAACCGAACCAAGCTTAGTACTCCGTACTCCGTAGACACGGCAGACTCCCACTCTCCGACTTCTGCCCTAGCTGTCCCCATCCTATCCAGAACCAGCCTAGCCACATTCCAGAAAATTCCCAGACTCCATTTTCCATTTCCATTAACCATTTCCATTAACCAATTCAATCCAAGTCCCCACCAGAACCAAAGAACCAAAGAAATAAAAAACCAAAAAAACCGGGAAACGAACTCGAACAAAAACAAGAATGGAACCCCGAACTACACTGCCGCACTAATTAGTTAGCATACATACAGTCGCCACCAGCCCGCGCCCGCGCCGCGTTCGGCCCGTTGTCGGGCATGCCCGCTAGGCGAAACCTTGGGATGTTTGGGTCCATTCTACGCGTGGGATTGGATTGGATTGGGTCGGGTCGGGACTCCGCTCTGTACCGGTGTTTGAGTACCAGTACCGTTGTTTTTGGGAGCACCTTCCTGGTCAGGAAAGGGGGTTTTGTTTCGGATGAAAGGAAGGATTCCAGCGGATGGGCACAGATTTTGCGAATGGGGATGGGAATGGGAATGGATCGGGCTTTGGTTTGGTTTGCTTGGGATTTAACAGGGCTTAGGTGTACTGAGGGGGTTTAGTCGTTTAGGTGTATTGTTGACTGCATATGTTCTTTTCTCTGTCGCTTTATGGATGGTACTGCAGGTATAGATGCATCATTGTTGTACTTGTACCTCAATCAATTGGGGGGTCGTGAATATAGACTGGTTGGAGGGGTGGCCCTGCATGCTAGTAGATACATAGGGAGATCTACTAACGATTTCCGAAATTTAGTGGAGTAAGTAGAGTTAAGGGACAGAAGCACAGATGATGTTAATTGTGATCGGCGAAGGGGATAGTTCCTGACGCGGATACTGTCCGAGTAAATATGCTAGGCGTAATCGAAGTAAGCGATTCTTCGACTGGTATGTAGCAGTGGCATGTAGATCCGAGGTCGTTGGATCGAGATTTCATCGGTGCATCGTTCGGCCACACTCGTCTCAAATTTCAGACTCGTCCGTGCGTCGGACGTGGTTGCAAATGTTGGTTCAGTTTGGAGCTTTGGGTAATTAAGTCCGACAACATAGCTTGGTACACATGCAGTCTTGTGATTGGGAATGGGATTGGGATTGTCGAGGAAATTGTCGATACTATCACGCACATGTGAAAATATGGTGAGAATATAAGGTTACTTGTCAAACATTTGATGCGGCCGCTTTCTCAAGATTGGCAAATAGATGAATGAATGGCCTTGGAGATAAAACCCGGTCTATCCATCATCATATTGACTGCGCCATGGGCTCCTAGATCGTGCAATACTCAATAAAGCGGCCACAATGGTATCAGAAATCGGAAAAATCGGAGTTGGCAGTGTACTTGGCTCCTTGGACTACTTCCAAGTTATATCCTGTGACCAACCTGGAAACCTTGGAAAACCTGAATGTCAGTGCCCATGCATTGATGAAGGATATCGATCGATAAATGATCAATGACATCAACCTAGATGATCAGCAGATCTCATTTTATCAACATGGTTTACACAACCTTTCATGATATGCGATATAAAAGCAACCCTACCAATTGGAACACCCGAATGCGAGGACCAACCCGCGGGCTAGTAAGCCACGTCAAGGCACCTGGGGAACCCCTGCCACGGGCCACAGACGATGCGCCCATGCAGGCGCAATGCATAACCGAGAGCTTGCTGCCCAAAGCCCAGGATCTGAGCAGTTCTCCCGAGGATTTTGAGTTATTTGCTGACCCTCGGAATGGTCCTTTACTGTACTTCATGGTCACGATCCCTGGTCATTCTGTCAGCCCTGTGGCTTTGGGGCAATTTGACCCCTCCGTCAGTCCAACGGTGTGATGTCATTAATGTCATGATGACTGATTTTTTTTTTTTTTTTTTTTTGGTTTATTAGTTCAAATGTTTAAGAAGTGATAGATGATTAGGGCATGTCTGTGAAAGACGATGTTAGATCGCTCATACTTCGGATAGCAGCAGAGGAGGGAAAAAGCAACGTGATCGACCCGTCCTGTACAACAAATAGAAAATCAAGTAATCAAAATTCCTTTTCCCCCATTTTTTTCCCCCTGTGTTCTGTGGTCTGTGTATTTTATTCAGAGTCAAAATTCCAACCCACGGTGTCACCGCCAGTCCTGTCTCCTCGACCCATCACACGACGGGTGCACTGCCACATAAACCCTGCTAAACCAGCTCGCCACGTCAGATCCCGTCTCGTCATAGGCCCGTGTTCCCGTGACCGTTCTGCCATGCGGGCTAGCGGGCTGCGCCTATGAGTTAGTGCCCGACGGGCTCCATCATTTACGCGCTCCCGTGTGGATAGATTAGGACAAACAGAGGAAGAAGACTCTATTCTGTGAGGGGGCCAAAAAATCACCATTAAGGGAAGTAGATAACCGTTCAGCTAAGATAAAGTGAAACTTGAAGAGTCCACTTTGGACGGCAGAAAAATAAAAAATAAAACAAAGAATAAAAAGGAAACGAATCCCTGTTCAATACGAAACCAAACCAGAAAAGCAAGAAAAAAATCGCAGTCGGTCGGGGTTGGATCCCTAAGCCAGCGCTCAGTCCCTCCTTTGGGTCCAGTTGGACTAGCGTGTCCCTAGGACAAACCACATCGAGTGGTCAGGGAGTTTGGGTCGGGTGGGGATACCATGGAAAAAGTGAGAAAAAGAGGTTTTGCTCCGGTTGAAAGAGTGGTACGCTAAATAGCAAAGAACAAAGTGGATCAGCGGACGGAAAGACGCGGACGGGAATGCAAGCGTCGATTGGGTTCGCCAGAAAAACAGGGAAGGGAAAAAACGTGGCAGGACCCATTCATTGTCGGACCTAGAACATTTTTAAATTTGGTTTTTTTTCGATTTTTCAATTTCGCAATTTTTCGAATAAATATTCATCTGTTTATATTAAGTTCCTTCTCTTATTTTTTTTTCCAATGTCCCACAGATAAACAATCAGATCAAAGTTAGGCAATCATCCCGAGCCTTGTTCTTCCTCCGCTGAACACATGCATGAGATCGGCGGGAAGCGGAGCGGCCCGTGGGACAAGTACACCCGAGGCCAAAAGTTCACCCGGGGAGATACTACCGCTTGAGTGAAGACTTTTTTAACCGCTTCGCTTCTTATTTACCGCCTGCTAGTCCTTCTAGAGCGACCCGCGTTTGAAGTAGAGTACTTGTGATTTGATTCAATATATGTTGCCCCGCTCATATGTAATCATGCGCTTGATCCCAAGGAACCAAACTATCGCCCCCCCTAAACATTTGAAACCCGGTGGATCTCTGGGATTAGTGGTGACCTGTATGCTCTAGTATTCATTACAGACCTCCAAGATGGAGATACCCGTACAACGTGGTGTGTGGCTCCCTCCCGCCCCCTGTCAGTAGCCAGCCGGCGCTAATGCAGGTTACCATGGCTCATGATGGGCCTTTCCGAGCCCAAACCCACGAATTCGGGCCCGGGTAGGAAGAGTAGGCTCCGCTCCCCGTCACCAGACGTCTCGTATCTTTCAGTGGCGAAAGCTGAGTGAACCCCACAGGTGGTTGAATATTCAGCTGAAGTCTGATCGCCACATTGCACACCGCTCTGGAGTGGTAAGGAAATGTTCGATAGTAGTTGCAGTAGTGTCCTGTACAAGGCCCAGAGAAGACATGCCATTGTTTTTCTTTTTTATTCTTCTCTTCCCCACTTGGAAAAAATATGGAAAAAATAAAATGGAAATTTATAATATATAAATAAATAAATATAATAATAATCATGTTAGCCATTCAAGTGGGTATTGGGTTGCAATGGATTAATGCAAGCAGATTCGCCCCGAGCCGCGCCCATCGCCATGGAAGAGAATCCTGGTTCCGCGGGGCCGGTTGCGGTTGTGCGACAGTACTTCGTACTCTAAACAGGATTCATGGTCAGCTGCCCAAGCACTATCTCTTTTTGATTTCTTTTTTAATGCAGGTGATGTCAGATACAGAATTCGAGTTGTCTTTTTTTTTCATTAGAATTCCTTGACCGACTATCTAAATGTATCTGTGGGCGAGGGGAAGTATACTTCCTAGTAGAGTTTCAAGGGATATATCCCTTGCCACACCGTTCTCGGTTCCACGGACCTTCAGCTACTAGAGGACCGTCACTATGGATCCTGGGTCATAAGTCGCCGCTTTAGCCCGTACTCCACTCCTTTCGATGTAAAAAAAAATCCCGTGTTGCCAATTAGAAAATTGCTTGCCTTTTTTTCTATTTCTTTCTCTTTGCTCGCTCTACAATCCCTCCTGATTGGTATATTTCCTCTCTTTTTTCTATAGGAGATTGTTTTCGTCTTGCTCACGTCATAGTAAACGGCGAGCTCTTTTTCTCTTTTTGTATTTTTTCTATTTTCTATTTTCTATTTTTCTATTTTCTTTTTTTCTTTTTTTTTTCTTTTTTCTGTTCTTTTTTTCTGCCCCTTGATTTCAACTCTTTCTTGTTCTGCACTATCGCACTTCGGGACTCAGATCGGATCTTCCTACTTTCTTCCCCTGCGCTATGCTGGCGTGACTTGACTTCTTTCCCCCTTTCATAACCCGACGTCACATCCCTGTACCCTTGACTCGTCTCATTTCTTTCCCTTTTCTTACTTCCCCTCTCCCCTCTTCCCCCCCTCAAAACCATACAAATGTCAAGGAATCCCCCCAATCCCCCCGACTACAACGGTAATCGCGAGGGACCACCACCCCCCGACTACAACGGTAGTCGCCAGGGACAACCCCAAGGGCAACCTCCAGGACCGCCGCAAGGACAACCTCAAGGACCACCCCACGGACAACCTCAAGCACCACCTCCAGGACCACCTCCGGAACCTTACCAGCAAACGTGGGCTGGCGACAATCACATGCACTACCACGCTGTATGTTGAATAACATCATAGAAACTTGTCTCCAATCCCCAGCTAATCACGAATTGCCTCAGCCGCCGCCGCCAACTTACCATTCAGAGCCTGAACGGCACTACTACGCACCCCCACCACCCCAATACCCTCCAACCGTTATGGCTGCCGTTCATCATGGACTTGGACATGGACCTCCTCATGGACAAGATCCTTATCGGTTACCACCACCACCTCCGGGATACAACTCCGATCCCTATGGATCCCCCGGGAGTGGTCCCTATACGGCCGCGGCACCACGCCAACGAACTGCCATTGCTTGTCGCTACTGTCGTCGGCGGAAGGTACGTAGTGAGGATCTGCCGGCACCTATCGCAAAAACTAATGCTCGCAATAGATTCGTTGCTCAGGATTTGAAAGCTCCTCGGATGGGCGGTGTACTAACTGCGTCCGATTCAACCAAGAGTGCATGTTCACGCCCGTCTCGTCGCAGGCGCAAGCCTTTGTTCCAGCTCACGCCGCATACCCTCATCTGCGTAACGCCGGCCCCCGCGGCTCTCCTGTGACGCTTTACGGTGCCCATGGGCAGCCTCTTCCCTCGCACCAACAGCCGCACCAACAGCCGCCAGGCGGCCCCGAAACCACCTTGCCGCCGCCTCAAGGGATGTACCCGCCGCACTACGTGCCCCCCCTTGCATCCTCTATGCCGGATCCGGTAAGGCAGTCATTCCACTCTTAATTCGAGAGCCCAAAAAATACAGACTCGAGATCTAATTTCTTATTCAGAGACAACATGGTCGGCGAGGATCGGGCTCCGAGCCCGCTTATCCTGATCCGACAAATCTGGCTCCCGTCACCCCCACCGGGTCCCTCCCGGGATTCCAGAACTCCAGCCATTACTATGCCCCTCAGCAGGATCGGCGTACCTCGCCACAAAATGCCTATCCGTATGAACCTCGTCACTCATCTTCTCCCCACGGGTCGCCATATCCACCGATGCAGCCGCCGGCAAGTGGTCCCACCCCACCGCCATCAACAGCGACCTCTACGCCTAGCGGCTCCACACGCGGGGGACTCAATGTACGCGACATGCTGAACCCGGGTGAGAACCCGAATCCCAGTGGGAACTCCGGTGATTCTCACGGCCGCAGCAGCGCTGATAGCGACATGCTCAATGCGCTTAACCGGCGCGGACCGGGTCAGTAACCCAACAAGCTTTCTATTTGGGGTCTCTTACTAGGTTGCTGAGCCCTGGAGGCCCGTGGAAAAGGGATGCGCGCGGGAATGCGGGGGATTGCGAAAGAATGACCCGTGTGCTGGACACACGGTTAGGGAGTACCATGTGTTGAAAATGGTGACTTAGAGGTATTGTGGCTGGATGGGCTAATCCAGTGGGAATTGTGCATGTTTTGATTTTTTTTTCTCCCTCGCCCCGTCTGCTGAGGGAGTCTTCTCTGGAATTCTTCTACCCCTTTCCGATGGCCGTGATCCTGCGAATGGGAAGGCGCCATTCTCCTGCATGGTACCTACAGACGGCAAAACGATCGGGAATGATACTGGAAGGGTCACTAGGATTTTTCGGAACCACGGAAATCTGATCTGAAGGACTGGAATTTCGGCGCTGAAATGGTCTTCTCGATTTTGTCCCCCGATCCGACACGATGCCATACGAAACGCGGACCCATGAGCTTTACGAGCCGCATGAACTTTGAAGCACCGAATTTACCAGGCCCGTGGGTCTGGTATCGGCATACGATTTTATTTTATTTTTTACCACCCATATATTTCGATTCTTTCTCGACTTCTGATTAATTGTGGGGGGCCCGAGCACTAGGTCTGGAGGGCGGTTTTCTGCAGGCTTGCATTCTGCAGACCTGCCGGAGAACCACCTTCGTCGTTGCTGGTCAATGGAAGTGTGGCAATCTCTGCTCCTCGGCAAGGATACCCGCATTGCTCGAACAACGACTCGGATGCATCCAGCGGGCCCTAGCGCTCGAATATCGGTTACATGTATACACGAACCCAACCCTACATCTCTCCCGCAACTTCATGATACAATGCCTCAGATATCAGGTGGCTCACGTACTTCAATTACAATTTCGGGCGGTTATTTGATTATTCCACTTGCGTTTTGGCTCGGCTCAACATCACCCCGGATTTTTGCTTTCATGCTTATGTTTCTCTTACATTGAATTATGCGGCTGGCAATCTCTTTGAAGCTTTGAGTTTTCCGCGTCTTTATCTGACAAAAGATGGTCGGCTGTGTCAACTTTTTCTGTTTCTGCACCGTTCGATCTTTTATCGCACTCCTGTTCTCATCTTTTTTTTATCTGTTTCTGCGTGTTTGCTTTACTGGGAGGCTGTCTGATCACTATTTGTTCTTGCACTTTATGTTTTGATCTATATCTTTCGTCTTAGCGCGAGCCTCGATTTCATTGCCAATCGTGTCCTCCGCGAGTTCAATCTTATATTTATTTCGCTTACATCTTCATCTTCAAATTTTTTAGTAATCTCACGTAGCTTGCAGGGTATTCAGCATAACCACCAGATCCACCCTCATATCGCGATCCAGATCTCCATTCGGCACAATCTCACAACCAACCTAGAACCCAAAACAGATCCACTAAATCTGACCCGACCCGATTCTCAATCTCGATCGGAATAATCCCGATATCACCAAGATCTATAGGGCTGACCAGGGGTACCTACTAAGTAAGTTAGTCTCACCATATCGGGAGACGGATACGGGAGGGGAGACTCCCGAGATCGAGCGGAAGGCCCGTAACCCGTAACCCGTAGCCCGTTGACCCGAGCAGTTAGCACGATACCTTATTTTAATCGTAACTTAATCTTATCTAAGACGGGTAGATTTTTGTTTTAAATTTTAAGTGATGGTAATCATTTTGTATTATTTGGGTGCGCTGTTTACTTGATATGCATGCATGTTTTCCATGCTAGGCCTTTTACCTAGATCGCATCTTGTTATCTTGCGCGCCATTTTGGCATTTCCTATCGCTGGAGTCAATTACATAATGGTGTAGAGCAGTCAAATGTGGATATCATTATTTTCTGCTGTCTGCTCAACTAATATATAGCCTTTTAGGATGGAACTCGGTCGGGATCAACGTGGAGTGGAATAACCGTGAATCGGTGAGTATAGCACTGGAGCATCTGAGAGCCTGAACAGAGATTACAGATAGCCAGAACCTTGGCGAGTCTAATTCTCGGATCTCTTGACCTTCCTGCTCTGAAACATTGAAACGTTTAGAATAGTGCATAGCAGGATGCTCGCGCCGGAAAGAACGCATAACTTCTAAGGGTATTCTGACATACACTCAACTCGATCTTTGAACCCTCACACCCCGTAGTCTATTCACAGTCTCCCGATCACAACATATTCACTCTCAATAGTAGGATTGATAGAAAGATCTTCGTTCCTTTTAGATGCTTCACGTGCTGTGTGGGTTACAGCATCCAATATCGTCTAGACTATCTATGATAAAGTCGGCGCACCAACTGGTAGAGGAATGGAAAGTAGCTACCTTCCATTAAGTCTTGAAATCATCCAGTTCAATGTCATTTCCGGTTATGTTTGGTGATTTCTTTCTCTTATCATGTTGCTGGTAGTTTCTCGGGATCGAAGTTGGGAAAAACGGGATAGTAACGGGGCCATAACGGTGATCAGTAAGTATTACGAACCTCGCAGGCAATCATATTTCATAATGTTTACGATAAATAATAGTAGAACTCATACATAAAACTTGATTCATCGCTCTTTTTTTACTTTTTGCAATGAGACATGACACCGAAACACAAATTCCGCGTGGTTGTTGTCGGTAGCTCAATTGCCGGCTTACACTTGCTCACTGTCTAGTACATAACAACATTTACAAGACTAGACCAGCAATACACACGCCATGAGATTCCACGATTCAATTCAAGCGAGATTGGCAAACATCTCGCCCCTTATATGCACTGTCCATTCTCCAACCCTCCTCCCACGTATACAACATGACCCAAGTGTGCAACTGGCTGGCGCTGGAAGAGGTTCTCTACAAACGCAGTTTCATAGATCGATTTGACATTATCGGAGATGCAGCCCACAGTATAATCAATCAAACACAGCAAAGAACCCCAAGCAGCCCAAATCTAATTAACAGACAAACTAGATGGCGCCCAATTCGGGACATGGCGGAAGCGTAGCCATCGAAACCGCTGTCTCCTGAGCCAACAGCATCGTATCAATGATGCATCAATACCCAGAAATTCAAACCAAAGATATCCACAACTCGCTCAAGAATTGGCAAAATGCACGAAAAATCCGAGTCTCTCAGATCTGGAAAATAGCCGCTGACGTAATCCGCCTCCACGTTTGATCCTTCAAGTGGAAAAAATCCAGCATTTCCTTGCGCCATTAATTGGACCCATGGTAAATAAGGGATCTGCATACACAACCGAAGCAGAGGAACTCAACTCCCTGCCCCTTTCCCCGAAGTCATTCACCGGTACAATGCCGTATACATGCCAGGAGAACCTGGACCATCCCGTCCAGGAGAAGTTCTGGCAGCGGGTGCTGTGGGGTCTTCCACTATTCGGCATGATGTGGGTCGGGGCCATTACAGTCGGGGCTACTATACTCGCTGTAAGGCCGCATATGGAAGGGCTCCTAGAGCAGGGAAGTTGGACCGCCAGGACGGGTGAGGTGTTCAGCGTTCACAAGCCGATATACAATATCCGATTTCTGGATGAGATCTTCGGACCTGTCGTCCTTTGCTTCCTTCCTTCGATAACTGGAACAGATCTACAATCCTGGATACAAATGTTCTGCTTCATTCCCGACTTCGGCGCTGTATACGCCATCTGGTTATTGGAGGGATATCGAAAGGTCCATTCTTGGTCTGCAGTACTCTTGTAAGTTTCAAAGAACCCCAAAGAAAACAGAAAAAGAAACAATCCACTAAAAGCCTAGTCCAATAATAATGGGCCAAGCTGCCCAGCTCCTCTCCGTCGCTATCTTCGGTCCTCTCTACTACCTGCTCCAATACCTACAGATATCTCTCGACGGAACAGCACCAAGCAACAACCGCGAGATAGACCCGATATCAATATACAGCCTCCTCCCCGCCTTGCTGGCAGGACACTACATCCCCGCATACGCTAGCTTTCTCATGCCAGATCTCCAGAAAAGACAATACTGGAATGCAGCATGGCAACTCTTCCCTCTAACAGTTCCCCTGCTTCAAATCCCAGTCTCTCTATCCCTATCCCTACAAAGCAAGATCATAACGAAAGGGAATACAAATTCAGTCAAAGACCGCATGGAGAAGAGGAAGAAGAGTCTAGCTGCATTGCGAGTAGCGTATGGCTCTTTAGCTGTGATTTCAGCAACGGGGTTTATCTATGCACGTGTTACTGCGCCGGAGGGGTCTTCGATGTTGGATATTTTCTGGCCAGGCGTGAGGGGGTATGTGTTGGCTGGGGATGTATCGTTTGAAGAGGGGATAGCGCGGTTTCTGCAGTATGATCAGATTAGTTCGATGGTAGCGGGATTTTTATGGCTAGGGTTGCGGTTTAGGGAGTTGGAGAGGTCTGGAGTTGAGTTTTCTTGGTTAGGGGGGGTGGTGCGCTTGGTGGGGGTTGTTTATGGTTTTGGGCCTGGGACTGCGTTTGTGCTTGGGTGGGGATGGAAACAGGAGTTACTTCATCGGTTAGGGATAGAAGATCTTTGAGATAGTAAGGAGCTGGATTTAGGTTAGAAATCGAGAAGTACATAGTGTGAATGAATTCAGGACTAGCTACATGTACTCATCGCTTCTTTGTCAGACTTAACCGAAGAGCAGGACGCCCACCAGATAGTACCTGACGCACGGCATTATGAATTACACCTCATTTAAGTCAGGTCAAATAGTCAGGCCGTTGCGGGAAAGGAAACGCGAGAAACCAAATGGAATGCAAAATGACAGAGGATATGGGCTTTGTGAGGTGGAGATAAGACGAAATCATGGGCTAGATTTGTATGGAACACTGGAGGAAACGAATGAATGGGAATACTGAGGTAGGTGATATGATGAGAATGGTAAGAAATGGTTTGATGAGGGGGAGTGGGGGCGTGATAAGACGAAATAGGATGCAGGATGTGCTTTTGCAGGCTGGAACGCATGAATGCGAGAAGTGAGAGACTAGGGTGAGGTAATGGATGGAGACTTAATTGAAGGAAATGAGGTTGGCGAGTATCAGGAGCTAGGGATATTATCGAGCACACGAGCCATCTTCTTTGCTCGCATGCTATCTTCGACGATAAGGCCACGGGACTTCAAAATCTGATAGACGGTGTCGACAACCTTGTTGAATGATGATGCCGCGCCGCGCTCCTGCTTGAACTTGACGAGGCTCAGGTTGGCCTTTCGACCATGCTCAAGAACAGTGTAGAATTCAGCAGTGAACTCAACTTCACGGAGTCGGAGAACTGATGGGAATTAGCATCACTCAAAAGAAAGCAGAATTAACAACTTACAGTTGACCTCGCCTACACGACCGTGAACGAGACTGTTGGCCTTGTCCAGGCGCACATCTTCCATTCCATAATCCTCCCAATCGCACAGAAGATGGTGAACTACCTTAAGGCTCTTAACCTTACTGCTATTCAACGCAATGACTCGAGTCGCGGGTTTGATTTGAAAAACACGAGCAAACCAATTGTGGTTCGCAAGTGACCGACGCTTATTGTGGAACGGGTTTTGTGAGTCATCGGCTTCAAAGGAGCTATCAGTATCGGGATAGCCCTTGCAGAGGAGCTCGGAGTGGCGGGGATCCTTGGGGTTGCCGATGTCTTCAAACAGTCTCAGTGAAATTCCGGTGCAGCTGCGGGGATCTAACCTACCATTCCCAGGCTCGGGAGTCTTGCTGGATTTCTTTGACACGAGCTTCTTTAGGGCACCTCCAAATCGCTCCATCGAGGTCTTCCGAGTTGGAACCCGCTCCGCGTCCAAACTGGTGGGAGATTGTAGGTCTTGTGGGGGATTAACAATAACGGTTCCGTTGCTCGGGATTATGGGCGCAATGTCTTTTGGCGGAAGAGTAGGCAACGAATCTGAGTTTTGAGACCTGGCCCTAAACCATGACCACTTCTTGTCTGCAGCTTTCTCCTCCTTCTTGGGGGATCCTGGGACTTCGGAGATGGGGTCAAGACCGCCGGGGTTACGATTCTGTCGCGAACCGTTTGAGAAATCTCTCATGGCATCCATGGGGTAAACATCCTTCTGAGTAAGCTGGTTCTTTTTGCGAATCATCAATGGCTTGACCTCTTCCATTGAGCGCAAGGAGCTTTGGGGGACCATCCTGATTGTGGCCTTTTCATCACCCCGGCGAGCTGTATGACGCAGCTTCGGCTTCCGTTTGGGGCTGACTTCGTCCACGCTACCCCGTGCAGGGCTTGCGAATTCTTCATTGATGGCCGGCAGAGATGTTTCAAGAGTAGCTGGGGTGGCTGCGACGAATGGGTCAACAAACTGAGGTTCATATTCTCCCAGCCCCTTGACATGCTTCTGGGATTGGTCCTCTTCAATCAACCGATCGAGGTGACCAATCACCCCGGACAGGTAGCCAGGAATATTGTCGGTGCGGCCCAAGCTGTGTTCAACAAGCTTTTGTCGAGTTTCTGTCAGTTCTTGAATGCTATAAGATCGACTGGACTCCCTTGGTGGTGCGAAGCTGGTCCGAGTCGGGGGCTTTGAGCGCATATCCACTCCTTCCGGGCTTGCTATGGAGACGGGTGTTGTTGGGGTTTCGTATCCCATTTCCGTACTCATACTCATAGTACGGATTGTAGTCACGGAGCTCCCATTGAATGCTTCTTCACAGATTTGGCTCAACTCGTGGGACACCTTGCGAGCATCCTCTTTCCATCCAACATCTGAGTGTCGCGTCCTTCTGGCTTGGTCTGTTTCCTTAATCTTGTTTCCGCTTCGAACAAGAGTAGGTTGAGCAGGTAAAGGGGGGCTGCTGGGAATATCAGTCAAAGATATGCCTATAGCGATCATCTGCAAGCTAGCAGCGCTAGGAGAACGCTTCAGTTCACCTGGATGACCAGGTTGGTTGAGTGCTGTCTTCCTTCGTTTAGGCTTTGTGGATCCTTGTGAGCGGTTGCGAACGTGGTGGAAGGAAACATTGCGGCGGTAGCTTGTGGAATGTGTCGAAAGGCCAGGAATACGAGAGCTCGAATGAGGGATTTTTGAAGAATAAAAGGACTTCATCGAGTTGGGCTTGTGCTTTCGCTTCTGAAGCACAGTGAAAGGTGAGTTCGCAAGTTCACTATCATCTTCTGGCTCGTCCACCTCCATGATGGATGGCGGAGCCTTGACTGCGGGTGAAACCTCACCACGCTCAGGAACCTCAGCTACTGCATGGTGCACCGTGATCTGTGCATATTTCGCCTCAGCAGCCATGCCTCGGTTTTTGGGTGACCTGAAGGGATCGTAGCTTTCCACGCTAGCAGAAGACATCGGTTCCTTTGTATTCTCTAGGCGGCGTTGGAGGTTTTTCGCGACAGAACTCTGAGCGCGTTTCTTGGAATTGGGGCCTCCATTTTCAGTTCGACCTCTTTGAGCTCTTTCGCCGATTTTTGAGATGTGATGATAGTCACTGGCAGAGTACTCAAGTGGCTGCCCCTGATAGTTCTCCAGCTGTTCGTCCCGAAACTTGACCAGTGAGTTGTAGAACATTCTCTCATGCGTGGGCCTGAAGGCATGTTAGCAAAGTACCAAGGGGAAATACTCAAGTTGAGAACTTACTCGAGTGACATTACTCTTGTGATCAAACCTTCGGGCTTGACATTGTGCCACAGGGTCTGCAAGTTTCGCAGAATATCCATGTCAATATCGTGTCGACTAGTCACCGGGTCACCACAGTCCTTGATGGATAATGGTGGAGGGGGTCCAATGTAGTGGTTCGCCATAGCATTATGCAATTTCTCATACTTGGTCAAGAGGGGGTGTGTCCAGACCTCTGCCATGGAGATGCGGTCCTCCGGTCGCTTTTGCAGGATTCTGGTGATGAGGTTGGCGGCCTCGTCACTCAGTTCCTCGGGTATCGCATAGTCACCCCTTTTTACAAGCCGCAATGTGTTGGGCAGGTCACCCCCGTCGAATGGTAGGTACCCAGTCAAAAGAGCGTACAGGATAATACCGCAGCTCCACATATCCGCTCTATCACCGCGGTACTTTTTACCGTAGATGATTTCAGGAGCAGCGTAGTGAGGGCTTCCGCAAGAAGTATTCAGCCAATGTCCTGCAGGCTGAAGGGCAGCCATGCCAAAATCTGCCAGTTTCACGTTGTGATTGGCATCGAGCAAGATATTCTCGGGCTTCAAATCTCGGTGACAGATGTTGAATCGATGACAGTATCCCAGTCCTGCAATAATCTGCCGGAATAATCGAACAGCTTCTTCCTCGGGAAGTGGTCCATTCTGGGAGACATAATCGAACAGCTCGCCCCCTTCCACATATTCTAGGACAAGATACCTAAATGCAGTCAGTAAAATAGTCCGAAATGATTCTTCGAAGCACTTACAGCTCCCCGCGGTTCTCCCAAACATCATACAAGCTGATGACGTTTTGGTGTTCAATCAATTTCATTATCACCACCTCTCTCTCAATCCCACATGGCATGTGTCGAGAATTGGAGAATCCCGAGAAGTTGCTCGCATTACGGTCCATAGCCGCAATGCTTTCACTTTGTACCATGGCAGCAGACTTCTTCGAAACGATCTTGATAGCCGCCGTCTGACCAGTCACAGCGTGCTTGGCCAGCCGCACACGACCTGTAGCACCTTTACCCAATGTCCTGCCCAACTGCCATGGGCCAACATGTGTCTTCCTTTTTCCTTTTCCCGACAAGATTGAAGCAGCGGAGACGACTGAGTTCCTGGCTGATTCTGTTTGCCAATCGGTAGCAACTGATAACCGGTCATTTTCCTTATCATGAGAGGTTGGGCTCGCAACCACCGACATTCGATCGGGAGTTCTAAGCTGGTTGAATTCCTCCACCTTTACACGGGGGGTTTCCAGCTTTGTCGAATTGCTGTAATTCACTCTGCTTGAGGCATCCAGCAATGGTTGACGCCTCCGAAGAGAGTCGTCAAAGTCTGACATTACTTGATCCATGTTGGCAACTTGGGGTGAATCGTATTCACAGTGGCTTAAATGTTTGTTCTGAGGTTGTTGGTGGACCAGCTGAAACTGAAATGTTAGTTAGCCAATGCAGATTGAACGCGTGCATTCGAGTTTCTCACAGGAAGTCCAGTAGACTGAAAAATAGAGAGGACACTCACGACGAGTTCTCGTCGAAAATAATATTATGATTAAGGATCGGCTAGAGCAATCTCCATAGAAAAGAGTGACGAATGGTTGATCAACGAGACATGGCGGGGTGGAACAGAACGAGAGGCGTTGCGGGAGCTGTAAACCCGATTCAAAGACGTTCGACACGAAGAGGATGCGAGATGACGGTACTGGGGAACAAGATCAAAAGAGGACGGGGATGGTGGGAAAAAAAGGTGATGTGGCATGCCTCAGCACGACTGTTGTGGAATGGGAGAGATGAGATTCCGCCATCATCCTTTGCCTGGAATGCACCTTCTATGTATACTTCCACCCAATTTCACCATTCGATTCTATTTCTCCTGTAGAACTTAACGGAATCTGATCTATTCCTTCTCTTATTGATCATCTTGCAACTTTTTTTGGTCATTCCCTATATCCCAAAATCGAGCTGTATAGCAACCCAGATAACCATATTCATATATGCAAGTATACACAGTGAGACATTTGAGATAATATCCCGACTGATCACCACTGTTAAGAATAGATATTTACAGTCAGCGAAGATCCAATGTTGCTACAGGAAAGCATTCCATCGACCACAGGGGGAAGTATTGGCTCGGGTTTTTATCGCTGGCCAGGGGTTGCTAACCTACATTTCACCCTCAACATTCCACTCCCTAGACTCCTAACCAGATCTTAATCTTATTCTTTGTTTAACCTGTTTTTTCCATGTCAAACAGCCATTGATTGATTATCTACCTCCATGTTGGCTCCACGCCGCTGATCCAAACCCCACTATCCCGAACTTTGTGTACATAAACAATTATGCACCAATCACCATCGTAGAGCATGGAAGGCTTTGTTTCTCTCATTTGAGATAATGTATTTCAAGCGTAAATTTAGTCTGCAAATGTGAGGTTTTTCGTTTAATAGGAATTTTTTCGACGTGGCTGTTCATTCATTAATGTTTGAACACTTCTCAGACTAGAGGTGGGTCAACTTCAGATATATATATTTTGTTCCCGGACAATGCATAGTCACCGAAAATTACATATATGTAAATGTTACCCCGAAGGCTTTAATGTTAAATGAACAACATTTTACTTGATATCTATCATTTACATGTAAAGAAAATCTCTTACTATCATCCAATATTTAAATTTCTAAAGTTGGGGGCTGATGTACCACTTGATATATCCACACGTTAATTGGCTGCGATGTCATCAACCTCCACCAAAGTCCATTAACCAAATCCCGAACATCCACATAGGAATTGTTGCTACACTATTTTGGGATTAGAAAGGTACTTTGTAGCATTTTCTCGGCAGAGAGTTCAGCCTGGGATTGACTAACATTTGGAGGTACAATATTTCTTCGGTCGCCCAGACTCAACTTCCCCTCAACAACATTGAAAACCTAACCATGGCGGACATCAAACCCCCGTTCACAAAAGAGACCGCACACAAAAAAGTCAAGGCAGCCCAGAACATGTGGAACACCCAGTAAGTCCAAACCCACCTACCTCTCTCGAGTCGACTGCAACCACATGGTCTACATATGGTCCAAGAAAGGGCGTCAATATCACCATCCCTTGCATTCCACCTACCGCAATGTTTGTCCGTGCGAGAACCCTGTGCACATGCGGACATGCCCTTTTCAGTAACCCATGATACTCCAAGCTTCCTCTTTTAACTTCTGCTTTGAAATTGGGCTGGTGTAGTTACCCGATGACGTAGCTAACCGTGCAATCCGCGACAGGGACCCTCCACGCGTTGCCCTGGCATACACCCCAGATTGCATCTGGCGGAATCGGACATCATTCCTGTCTGGTACTGAGGGGATTGTGCAGTTCCTAACGGCCAAGTGGAAACGGGAGCATAGCTATCGGCTGCGTAAGGAACTTTTCGCGTTTAGCGATGATCGGATTGCTGTGCAGTTTTGGTATGAGTATCAGGATGCGGATGATGGGATGCGCTGGAAGAGATGTTACGGGTTGGAGGATTGGACTTTTGATTGGGAGACAGGGAAAATGTGCAAGCGTATGATGAGTGGTAATGATCTGCTTCTTGGGCCGGATGGTAATGGTGAAGGGCGATGGTTTGTGGATGGAGTCAATGTGGATGAGGTTTTGATCAGCGAGAAGCACTGGTGATTTGAATCTCCAATGTACTAAGGCAAGCCTAGAGCTAAAAGTATATGTAATGGATTTTATCGCGTCTATTTAAAGATGTGCAAGACTAGAGGCTTTCCGCTCCGCCGAGAACAGCTAATGTTTCTACTATACCTTCTTTACTATACTATCTGAATACTATGCTGTCTCCTACCCAGTGACTAATAGAAGGGTTGATATCCCGTTTATATGTTTGTATACTCACACGTCCAAAGCACTCTACTCAAGAGGTGCTCGTGGACTTGACAAAGCTTTTCAAGGTTGCCTCCGACACCTGTGCACTAAGTGAATTTCAAATTCGCACCTGGATATATTGTATACGGGAACTTCTTCCATCATGTCGGGGTCCTTCCAAGGTTGAAGGTTTAGAGGTTGGTAATGTTCCCCTCCATGTTCCTAATGTTTGCTGTTGTTCCTCTCAGTACCAGTGCTACGTCAATTTCATTGTTGTGTGAATATATATCCCGGTACAAAGGGTCTCCTTGGCATTGAGATGCAATATTTGAACGCCTTAAAGGGCACATATGAAGCCTTCTTCAAATTTTATTCCATGTCACGATATTTCAACAACTTGGCCATGATTCCACTGATCTTAGTGCCAAGCTCATGAGCTGACCGGAGTGGATATATGAAAAAGTGGGTTGTTTCTGTCGGGCGGCCGCATCCTAGCAGACTTAACGCTGCTCCTAGGTGCCGTTCATTAACACGACGCCAAATTCTCTAATACACACGCACCGCGTCCGAAGTCTTCTAATATATACGGCTAAGCCTATATTTACCTAGCGCTCCAAGGCTTAGACCTGCAAAATGTCATACAGGAATTTAACAAACATTTCAGAACTGCAGGACATTTCTTATGATTGTCAGCCTCCGGGACTTGACGCTATAGGACTCCGACTCCTTGACACGTCTAGTGAACGACTGGACGTCGCTATCATATTCTAGAGTCCAGTCTACTTATTGTGCCATTCTTGTATCACTTCACATTATGGCGATAATAGACATTAACTGGAGTATGTTACTCTGCGCGAGCTGAAAGTCGATATGTGCACTGCTGACACGACACGACCAAAGCCCGGATCCTTCGGACTCCTTTCATCGGATACCACCATGTCCTCATGTTTATTTCCATGGGCGCGATAATTTTAATGTGTAAGAGAGCCTGAAATATCCAATTTCTTGAGATATGATTTTTTATTCAAGGCTGGACTCACATCCTCTTCCAATGTTGCAGCAATTCTACTGGCAGGATGCACGACGTCCGATAACCTCGGCAATGTCTACTTATTATCGTTGCGATATACGAACAGTTCTCAGCCAATGACAAACTCCGCCCAAGTTAGCACAGCAATTCAATCCGCTGTTTATAATATTTCGCAGGCTGGTTCGGGGTCGACACTTGAGGTGCGTGCGGGGTATATGGGGCTTTGCATCTCGCAAGACAATGAGGGGCGTGTGTGCTCCAGTAACGCTAAAGTGTTGGCGAACATTCTCAAGGCGGAAAGATCAACTAGTACGACTGGGAACTTGACAACGGAAACTACGCCCGATCCGCTTAATTTAATATTGATCGCTGAAGAGTTCAGGACGAAGATTGTGTTTGATGGTTTACTGTATGTTTGGCCCTTGTTCTGATTCGCAGGAATACTGATTTGGAAACTACAGATATATATCGGTCGTTCTCACCTTTGCCTGCTTTTTACTTCTGTCAACGTTCCCTGGATGGCACCAGGAGGTAGACGACTCGGGGTCCGAGGTGGAGGTCAAGCCGTTCCCTTCTCGAGCGGTCTCTCAAGCGGCTCTAGGTATAATTAGCCTTTCTTTTGGATTTGCTTTTATCTCAGTGCTTTGGCAGCACATCAACAGCAGCTCGACTGCATCGATGGCAGAGACACTCACCTATGGTGCTGTTTCGGGGCATGTTGGGACAGCGGGGATGATACTGGGATGGTTTGCAGTGGCGCTTATTGGTGGTGTCAGTCTGGGACTGCTGATTATGATACTTAGTATCTCTATTATCGATAGATTGACGGACAGTTCCAGCGTTGCGAGCTCGTATCTGGTTGATGACTAGTGGATGGTTTGTCTAGTCAAGTCTCAAGGATGAGGATTCGTTTTTTGAAGATGGGCATGATAATTATGAATCTCAATTAACACAAATATTAAATCAAGTTTCCGAAGACTTTAGCAGACTTTGACACATAAGACACCATGCATTGTGGGCAATGTGGGGCGAGAAACGAGACAATCTCACTATTGACGTGGTCAGCCCTAGTCCAACTTGGGCAATGTCATTATGCACGGTCCAATTCAGCGGCTGGGGCGTGATGTTTGCAATTATTATGTCTCAATCAGAATATTAATCATTCGAATATAGATTAATTGATCCAGATGGATGATCATCAACCTTCTGATCGGCTCCTGGAATGGCTGAATCAACCAGATAGCCCAGAACCTCCTCTTGAGCAGCCACTCGAGGATCTAGAAACCCCGCCTGGAGCTGAAGAGCGACAAGATCATGACAACTCTCTGGAGGAGGCAAGGGACTCGGTAGAGGGTATCGAGCATATTGACCCTCTCTTACAAAACCCTGAAGAGGTACCTCCCGAGGAGTTAGATGACCATCTAGAAGAGGCAGGGAGTTCAGTCGATGACACCGAGAATGATGATGTCCTTATACCAGATATCGCTCCCGAAGGGATACTCCCCGAGTCCGGCTCTGCATCCATTACCACCGCCAGCCATGATGGTCATGATGAGGAAGAGAACCCAGGTGCCGGAAATTATATGGAATCTCAATATTCATATATGCCTCCGCCGCCCCCACCACCTCCCCCACCACCGCCCCCACCGCCGATACCCGAAACTCCAGGGTTTGACCTGGAAGTGATGAGAAATCTTCGAACGAGGAATCGAAAAAAGAAGCCGACAAATCGACTTACATATGCCAAAATACTTGACAATGCAGCTAAGGTGCTGGACCATATCAAACACGGAAGTGTCCGTCGAATACCAAGGCACAATAATACCTCAATAACGTTTTATGATTATTCTGAAGGCATTATCTCCGAGCCAAGACAGATCCTGACTGATAATGATATTCCAATTCTGGGACACGCAACTCCAGCTGTTAAGCAGCGGCTTATCCTTGTGGAGGATCTGTCTAAATCGACCATAGAAGCTTTGGGGATCACCTTCAGCATTAACCCGGAGTTTTTTGAGGAGCACTTATTGAACTCGAATTATGCTGGGGCGAGGCACAATGAGCCGCCGGCTCGAACGTGGCAGACGGCGACATTTCCCAAATCCTATTTCTCCTTCCAGTGGATTCGACCTGTCTATCGACTACCGACGTATTTCTCGCACCGGGATTTGGAAGATCTTTTTGAAGACTCGACTGAACACTTTACTCGTCGCGGCAAGGTTACTACAGAAGTGACAACGAATATATTCCGATTAGAGTGGGGGCTGTGGACGGATCCGACGAAGACAGTGAGAATGGAGCGAGAATGTGGATTGGAGGAGAAGGTATCGATCTGGAAAGGTCAGCTTCGAGGTCGAAGTACTGAGATTGGTAAGGGACAAACAGGCGTCCATTTGTCGCAGAATATTGACATTCCGTTAGTGATTGTGCTTCTTGATCCTCTGCCTGAGATAAGCGAACTTCATCAAGATTGGGGATTAAGAAAACGTGATGACGATAGCAGTATTGATGATTACGCCATGCCACAGGCATCCTTGCATGAGAGCGATATGATGGAAGAAGGACTTGGAGGGTTGTTTCTAGCCGAGCCACGGCGTGTGCGGGATGGTCGATCAATTTCCAGGCTTTGGGCGGATATGGTTATAAGACGAAGATGGAGAAAGCCTGTTGAAAGTTTTGACGAGTCTGAGGAGGACAACGAAGAAAAAGAATTGCGTAAAGTCATTGTCAAGCAGATGGCGCCTCGCCAGGCTTTGGATGTTGATTTGAACCAAATCTTTCGCTCGACGCGTCCGACGTTGGACTTTGGAAACCAACTTAGCCAAACGAAGTCTACTCAGACTTCTATCCGCGAGACGCTTGAAAGGCGCAAAGGCCCTGTTGGAATCGTCGGGCCTTTGCTTGAGATAATTCGTCGGGACACGTTGACCCTCATTCAGCATCTGCGGCGAATTCTCGATGAAATAGACGTCGACATTCTGGATGACACAAAGATGGAAGACCGATTAGTTCTATGGCGCCAGATCATGAATCGGGCACAAAGAGAACTTCCCGAGCTTAAAGCTTCCTTGAATCCGCTTTATACATTCCTGATGACAGTCAATCCTCCACCTGCCTCCACAGAACAATCAAATGAGCTGGACATTATCGTCCAGAATTATCAAGGTCTGACGAACGATATCGATCAAATGATCAAGCGGTTGCGGGTCACATCTGCTTCCTTGACCTCGAACATGGGTCTTTTGGAAAGTCGCCGTTCGATCGACGAGGCCCATGCCGTAACACGACTCACTGAGCTCGCCTTTATTTTCATCCCCCTATCTTTTTCCACTTCTGTCTTCGGCATGCAGGTTGAGCCCTTTTCTAATCCAGTTCCAATTTGGAATTTCTTCGTAGTGGCTCTCTCGGTGACTGCGTTTGCTTATCTGATGAGAATGACCCTTCGAAGCCAGTGGCTCACTCGCTTCAAGGCCGAACTGAAGTATGATGTCCGGAAATTTGCAGAAAAACATGGTCAACCCGTGCAGTCTCGGTCACTACCCATGTTCCTGATCTTTCACTGGCTAGCAGCTCGATTCAGTTCAAGCATCGGCACCGTATTAAAATGGATGTTCACATCGTGTGTTTTCGTCGGACAAGGACTTTGGAATTTATTCGCCTTCGTCATCAAATTCTTCCTATTAATGGGCATCATTTCGGGCATCCCAGTTGCAGTGGTCTGTTCCCGCGATCTTGAAACCGGCATCAAGGTCCCCGTCAGTCTTGCCATGGTCATACTTGCCTTTTTCTTCGTGGGTATTCCTTTCTGGCACAAGTCCGACCCCGAAACTCGTGATGCTCTACCAAGACTCTTAGCTGGTGCTGCCTTGACTTTGCCCGTATGGACGAAGAGAATGCTTCTCGTACTGGGTGCGATAGCAATCCTCGTTGGTGTCCCACTGGTCCTCATTTGGACCCGTTCACTCGCAACTGGCATCAAAGGCGGTCTCAGTGCTGGAATTGTAATTATGGCGATTCTTACACTGGGAGCATTGGGTACCGCGTGGGTCGCAGGAGCACGGAGGACGCGTAAAAGGGCAAGTAAGATGGTCCGCCGGCGCCCTCGGCGCCTTCCAAGAGACTAGTGGATGGAGCCAGATTGCAAGCGCTGAACGTTTTAAGGCAAACTTGTATCCGATATATGAGAACAAGAAAATAAGAGTTTTGAATCTCACACAGGGAGTGGATGTGAATGCAGTGCAGAGCTCCTTGTAAGGCAGAAAGGGACCTGATCACTTTTCCCGATTAGGCATGATCAGCTCTGTATATGCGCAAGTTTGAGAATCTCTCTGGGTATTTTATGCGTGCCAATCCGGTTCTTTTTACTTTTGCTAGCTGACTGACCACCACTGACTGCTAGTTGTGTCACCAGGACTAAATAGTAATCATTGTCGCTTATGCATCATATTGGTTATTGAAATGCGTCGCGGGGGCCATCGGGAGGGGGGCCCGATAACCTTATCAAAACAAGGCACATCGGTCGGGAAGCCTCCCGATGGCCAACAATTGAATCATTTCCTTGGAGTCGTGCAAGTTATTAACCCAGCTCCAAGATCTAAGTTAGATAATTTGACACATAGATGAATTGATTCCATCACTCACGGCTCCCTAGCCTGGATTGGATATTGGGAGGCGAAACGCGTTGAATGTGGCTCACTGGCTTCTAGTAAATTCTTAACATGTAATTGCGGAAAAGATCTGTGATTCCTCATAATCAGGGCCTCATGACTTCATTTCTCGTAAAGTTGTGCGGCAACAATAGTCCTGACTCCTTATCGACAAAAGTATGTGTTACAATGGTAGTGGCGATATCTTACCGGATATAGGCTCGCCGCTCCACCCCAGAATCCCCCGCATTTTCAACGTGATTGATATTTCGCCCTACATCCGATAGACGGCATTACACCCGGTCATTATAATTAAATATTTTCATGGCAGGAAACACACGGGTTACAAAGAGATCCCTTAATGCGTACGGATAGCCCCCCCCCCCCCCCCCCGATATCCGAGCTTCTTGACTGATTCGACGCAGGTGCACCCGATGTCGCAGACAAAAGATCAAATGCTCGGGATCACAACCGTGCGACGGCTGCAATAAACGCAAGCTCCCCTGTATCTTTGATGATCGGGATCAGAAGATCCTTGTCACTAGGGGGTACGAATATACGTTCCAACCGCCACTAGCTCCGATTCTGACGTATGAGCAGGTATCTCGATGAGCTACAGCAAAAGCTTGCTAGATTACAACATGAAGATAGCAGGGAGCCTGTCCCTTTTAGCTCCGAATATGGCGAGAACAGATCACCTGGTTGGTTTCTTCATTCGTTATCACAAGCACTGCTAAATCCTGACAGGTTCGAAAGATCACAATGATGCACCAAACATGGGCAGATCTTCTCTGGATGAGAAAGAAGACACTCAATCCAACGATCTCAATCAAGAGCTTGAAGATCCAGCATCAGGACTGACAAATCCGCTGTCAACAGGGCCTCCGGCCTTCATGTCAGCCGAAAATGGGCGAACATGTATGCCTGACCACCCTTTGTGGCAACGAATGCTATCTAATGCTATTAGTTTATTTGGGAACATCATCCAATTGGTCATTCACACGTCGGGTGCTGAGTCTAACGCACGAGTTTATCTACCAGGAGTCCCTTCCCACCGGGGCTTTGGCATTCGATGGCGCGACGTATGATCTGGGCTGGGATGGGATCCGAACGCCTCACAGACCCGATCTGCCCACTGTGCCCACCTTTGACCATGCAATGTATCTCATCAATACTGTAAAGTTCCGCTGCGGGCAACTGTATCACCTTTTCGACGAAGCAGAATTCATGGGTGGCCTGCACGACTTTTATTCGCGATCAGAGCCGAATGAGACAACCAGCTTATGGTATATTCATTTCCTTCTAATGCTTGCTTTCGGCAAAGGATTCGTACAGCATAAATTGCAAGGAAATAAGCCTCCGGGTGTTGAGTTCTTTGTCAAGGCTCTGCAACTATTACCCGATATCAGTGTATTACATCAAGAGCCCATTGAATCAACGGAGATTATGTGCTGTGTCGCACTCTATCTACAAGCCCTTGATTGTCGATCATCTGCACATAACTATGTATGTGATTGGAGACTGGTCGGTTCTAGAAATCCGCTAATCATCATCTTCAGATCGGCTCGGCCATGCGAATGGCAATGGCAGAGGGTATGCATACTCAAATGCCAGTGGAATATTTAGGGGAAAAGTTAGTCCAACGTTGCCGCAAGATCTGGTGGACTGTATACATTTTAGATCGTGAGATGACTTCCCTGATGGGCTTGCCGCAGTCTCTCAGTGATGATCATGTGAATACGCTGCTGCCCGAATTCCCAGGATCTGCACAACGGACAGCCGGCATCAACATGCACATCAAGCTCTCTCGAATTATCGCAGAAATCAGTAGCGGTGAGTACTAGTCGCCTCGCAAAACCTATCATCACTAATATTGATAGCTGTATATGCCATTGATGGTCGACTTAATCGAAACTTTTTAGTACGCACAAAATCCTCTTTAGCGAGTATCGCTCGACTTGCAGATGAGCTTAATGAAACCTTCCCTTTACACCTGGATCGAACAACGAGCGGAGTCTCGAGAACATCCGCCTGTCTTCACCTCCTATATCACCAATGCATCGTTCTAGCCACCCGACCATTACTCTTCTGCTTTTTGAAGATCCGCTTCGAGTCTCCCGAGCATTGCCTGGAAGCTCTGAACACCTCTCGAAATGCGCGCAACTTAATCCAAATGTGTCTTGACTCCTCTCAGCAAATGATCAACATTCTTCACAGTCTTCAGTCCGAGGACCTCATAGGTAAAAGTCATCCCACCCTGATATACCACCAAATTAACATGAGCTCAGAAACATTCCTTCCCTTCGACCTAGAATCTGTCTTCGTCTCTACAGTAGTCCTCCTCATGGCCCCAGCAATTGACACCCGCTGGTCCTACCCGGAATGGCTAGAAAAAGCCTACTTAATCTTCGAAGAGATAATCGAAAACGGAAATCTAATCGCCAAATTTAGGAGATCAGAACTCCAGCTCCTGAATGAGTTACTGAGCTGCTTTCCCCAGGGCAGCTCACGATGTTTATCAGCCATCTCTTTTCCTACCAGTATTCTCAATAACTCTCGCACGAGTATGCAACTCGCAAATTCTTTCCCGCCTTCAGTGCACGCCTTGACTCATGACTTGTTGTCGGATCCTGGGCCACAAGACGATGAGTATAACCTGACGAGCGGTTTGACCGCGGCACAGATCATGGCTGTCGCGGATTCTATTGAGAGTATTGATACGGAGTGGATGTCCAATGCGATGATTGAGCATAGTATATGGTGATGTGATATGATTGAACACCCGATGAATGACGCTGAGCGAAATTGATTGTTTCGTTCCTTCTATTGAGTATATTGCTTCTTTGAATAGCTCCAATCTTATGAATACTCGAGTACATAAAGCTCGCCATTCTCTTTTTAAAAAAGATTTTTATCTGAAGATCAGTTTGAATACCTCAATTCTATAACAGTACAATACCTGAGCTTCTAATTCATAACAGATCAAACACTACTATTTCATGAGGTTAGTAAATCTCTACCTAAACATGACTAGCACCAATGGACACAGGAACCGTCATCCCCTTAACACAAGAAGGGCAAAGTCCGGCCACATTGTTATGGCCAGACTTGAACCAATTCCGAATTCTGAAGAAAAGAGGCGTGTGTGGAACAATAGCTTTGTGGATCAGTTCTTTGCATAGGATCATCGAGCAATCATTAGCAGCCGTGGGGCATTGGTCGACACCCTGGATCCAAAGATGGCCGCAACCTCCGGGGATCTTACCGTAGTCTAGAACGTTCAGCTGGCACATTTTGACAATGCTGTTGTATAAGATGGAATTCTCTGGTAATATTAATATGCAATGGGGCTCAGTGGGTTTTGAAGGTGGAGCTGTGTTTGTTGAGTCGGTGGTGGTGGGATACATTTGATAGAGGTATGGGGGGCTTTTATACGCGGCTCATATGGGATACGTGCATTTATTCGTGCACAATAACCTTTGTAGGGGATTCGAGTCGAGGACAAAGAGTATTGCTTTTGAGGTACATTGTATTGTATCGCCTTTTCTGGGTCTTTGTTCGTGTAGGAAAGTGAGACTTACTACCCGAGACAATTTTATAGTCAAAGAGGCATTATAATTTGAATCAAGTTGAAGACATTCTAGGTTACTGGAAGACAATTGAATTGATTGATTGGAAGTGAGACTTAATTCAAGTTCCGGTTCGTATACTCTGTTTATAGTTTGGAAGACTTTAGGGGAAGAATGGAAGTAAACTCTCTAGACTGTCCAAGGCGCCAGCTCACATCACCGCCCCAATCAGGCTTCCCGGTATCCTGAGCAGGCTGCTTCCACCGCCAGCGAGTGATAGATTGTGTGTCATCAGCAGAAACTAGGAGATCAGTAATCCAAGATCCAACAATCGGGAACATTTTGAAACCGTGGCCCGAGTCCCCAGACAACAGCATAATAGACGAGGACGTATTGGGAATATAATCGACAATAAAGTTCGAGTCATTCGTATCAGCAAACCAGCACAGAGACTTCCTAACAAAAGGTCTGTCTGCGAGTGAAGGAAGAGTCTGAGACAACAATTTCCTGAGCTGCTTCTCATCTTCATCGGGCATGAAAGCACTATCGTTTACAGAATCAGGCGCATGTGATACCCCAGACTTGGGATCGGTATTGATATACCCACCACCCATAGGGCAAAGCTTCAACAGGTTCGTCTTTGGGTCAGGCTCGAAGAAGAATCCCAGATCACGCGCATAGGTGACAGGGATACCTCGTAAAGCAGAGGTCTCTTCATCGGTGAGATGAATATGGGCGACCGACCAAGATTTAGCCACAACCTCTTTTCCAATCTCGGGAACGAGGCGACCGGCTCCGGCTCCGGCTGCCACGATCACTAGTGATGAGGGGTGGAAGCGCCCGTTCTTTGTTCTGATGCCGGCGCATTTGCGGCCAGCCAGGGTTTCCATGTACACGATTTCGTTTACGGTACCTTGCTCGCCTAGGAAGAATCGGACACCTGCTGCTTGAGTTTCGCGGTAGACTGCTGCCAGAGCATTGGCGGAGTGTGCGTATCCGTCGAACCGGTTTAGATAGCCGTGCCACCCTGGCAACTCTCCATCAAACTGCCAGCAGGCTTGTCGAATGTCATTCACATTTTTTAGAGGGACGACATGGGTTTTCATATTAGGATCTTTCTCGGCCGAGGCGCGGAATCTATTCAATGTGTCGACAGCCTTCTCAGGGGCAGCCCCAGAGACGCAATGCAGAAAGCCGGTTTGGTGAAAGTGAGGGGCAAACAGGGGTGTTTTCCAGGCATCAATTGCTTTCTAAAGAAGTTCCATGTTAGGGATGCGAATTTCTTCAAGAGTCTATGTAAACTGGACTGAATGATTGTACAATTGTCAAATCCGTATAAAACTGATCCTCATATTCCGCCCGCACAATCTTGTTCAGATCGTTGGCTGCTGAAGAGCGAGGTGGGACGCTATCATCTTTCTCAAATATAGAGATGTTGGTATATCCTTTCTGAGAGAGATGGAGAGCGGATGAAAGGCCAAAGGCACCCCCACCGACAATGATGATCGCGTCAGACTTGGACACCACCATAATGGAATTAGAATGAGTATCTGCAGCCTTCCATGATGCAGCAGCAATCATATATATGGCGTTCCATTTCCAAAGCCAGATATCATCGGAAATAGTTCCGGAGTTTGTGAGGGGAAACCCCGCCATGACCGGATGGTCACCCGATCCAGATCTCTCCTTATCGTACATCTTGAGTCTTGACATTCGGATTCTATGAATATTGTGATTTACATTTCATTCTTTGATAACACAAGATGACAGGCAACACGCCTGACACTCTCTGCTTGCTAGGATGCGGTAAGTGGACCACTCCAACCAACTGAGCTTAGAGAATGACCAGTCTAGGCAATCTGGGAGCTGCAATTCTCGACAGCTTGCTAAACACGTCAGGCAAGAAGCCTCTCTTTTCGAAGTTCAATTGTTGTATTCGCAGTCAACTGTCAGAGGATAAATTAAAAGCTCGGTTCTCGAGCCACCTAAGTCAATTGAACATCTGGCGAGACCGCAATGTCGAAGCTGTGTTAGCCTCTGACGTGATTATCCTTGGCGTGGACCCTTCCGACATCGAGAAGGTCTTGACAGAGCCAGGAATCCGGGAGGCATTAAGCTCTAAGCTCTTGATCAGCATTGCAGCTGGTTGGGCCCGTCAAACGCTTGAGGAAACAATCTATGGAAGCAAGACAACGAAGAGCAACGTAACTGGTCGCGCATGGGTGATACGTACGCTCCCCAACATTGCCGCGCAAGTCTCTCAGTCCTTGACCGCAATCGAGATGTCAGAACCAGTGCCGCCGAGTCACTATCTCCAAATTACGAAGGCGATGTTCGACCAGATTGGCCGCGTAGTTCAGATTCCTCCCCATCTCATGAATGCGACTACTGCAGTTGGAGGATCCACTCCAGCTTTCTTTGCTGTTATTTGCGATGCCATGATTGATGCCGCGGTCGCCGTTGGTGTCCCTCGTGAATTGGCGCATATTATGATCTCCCAGTCCATGCTAGGAACGGCTACCATGCTTCAAAGCGGAATTCACCCAGCTCTTCTTAAGGATCAGGGAACGTCTCCTGAAGGGTGCACTATTGGTGGCTTGATGGTTATGGAAGAAGCGGGTGTTCGAGGTCATATTGGACGGGCTGTTCGAGAGGCTGTGACGCTGGCTCGTCTTATGGAAACAAAGTCGCATGTCAATGATACACGACATTAAGTCTAGTCATTGCATTTCAGTATGATATAGAGATAGTAATCAATAACTTGATTAACATATTTCATCCAGTTTCTTATGGAAGTTCTTGCTTCAAAATCCAAATCCAAAAGCAGGCAAAATGCGAATACACCGAACCACCGTAGAAGCCAAGTACCGATGCTGCATCCGATCGACCAACGGCACAATATGATATCATACTGTTCGATCGCTTATTGCATGTCATTGCTTAATGTAAATTGCCTAACTTCAGGTCCAAGTTCCAGGGTTTCAATCACTTCCCTTAGACATGGTGATCTGGTGACTTCGGGATCGCTTCCCGGTCCGACTTCTACCACTTTTTTCCATATTCAAAGCTATACATGGCGGGGTATGTGTCACTATCGGGTGGACAGCCGATGCCTCAATTCGTCGTCATGTTAAACTGCATTTAAAGAGACCCACCCAGTTGTCATTCTATCTTCATACAAACATACATGTCTTCTACATCTCTCCGGAGCATGCGCTCATCTCGAGTCTTCTCTTCTCGTCTCCATCCCAACCTTTCCAAGTCATTGATTCAAATCCGGACCAAGGCTACCGCGCCTTTCCGTCTTCCCGACCCTCGCAATGAACCTAACGTCAGTACTTGTAAAGGCACTTGAATGAAACATTACTAAAAAAAAATAAAAAATTATAGCTTCTATACAAGAAAGGATCGGAAGAGCGTGTTAAACTAGAAGAAGCTCTAGTCAATCTCCGATCTCAGCTTCCCGTTCAAGGCGACATTATCTACAACGGCATAGCTCAAAAGAGCACTCAATTTTGGGACCAGCCCTTGCCTGCTGAACATGCTACCATCTTCACCAAATATCCCCTTGCAACCAGGGTGCAGACGAAGGATGCTATCAAAGCCGCACTCAAGGCGAAAAAAGACTGGGAAGAGACCCCGTTCGTCGACCGCGCGGCCATCTTCCTCAAGGCCGCCGAGCTGGTAACTGGAAAGTACCGCTATGATTTAATTGCGGCTACTATGCTAGGCCAGGGCAAAAATATTTGGCAGGGTGAGATCGATGCCGCTGCTGAGCTAGCTGATTTCTTCCGCTTGAACTGTAACTACGCTGCAGAGATCCTCGAGCGACAGCCCACACGTGGTAGTGATGGTATGTGGAGTCGTCTAGATTACCGCCCTTTAGAAGGTTTTGTGTACTCCATCTCGCCATTTAACTTCACCGCTATAGGCGGAAACTTGATCTCCGCTCCCGCGCTGATGGGTAACGTCGTTATCTGGAAGCCCTCCCCGTCCAACGTCTACGCCAGCAGCGTCGTCTACAAGATCCTACTCGAGGCTGGTCTCCCTCCAAACGTCATCCAGTTCCTCACCGGAGATCCAGAGACAATCAATGACATCGCTCTCTCCCACCACGACTTCGCCGGCCTAAACTTCGTTGGCTCGTCCGACGTGTTTCGTTCCCTCTACGCCAAGATCGGCGAGGGTATCGGAAAGAAGACATACCGCGAATTCCCTCGTGTGGTCGCCGAGACCAGCGGCAAGAACTTCCACCTCGTGCACGCTTCTGCCGATATCCCCAGCGCGGTCAACCACACCATTCGTGGTTCTTTCGAGTACCAGGGCCAGAAGTGCTCTGCTACTTCTCGCTTGTACCTTCCCGAGTCTCGGGCTGAGGAGTTCTTTACTGCCCTCAAGGCTGGCGTGAAGGAGATCACCATCGGGAACCCGGACAAGAACCTCGAGGCTTTCATGGGTCCTGTCATCCACCGTCGCTCATTCGATAAGATCAAGTCTATCATCGACAAATGCAACAAGGACCCCTCTCTAGAATTGATTACAGGTGGTACCACCGACGACTCAGTCGGCTTCTACATCCAACCCACCGTCTACAAGGTCAACTCGCCAGACCACCAGCTCTTCAATGAAGAGATCTTCGGTCCAGTCCTCGCCGTATACGTCTACCCCGACGTCGAATGGTCTTCCACATTGAAAAAAGTCGACGAGGCTGGTGGTGGCTTCGCCTTGACAGGTGCTGTCTTCGCTCAAGACCGTCGAGCAATCCGCGAAGCCGAAGATGCCCTCCGCTACTCCGCTGGTAATTTCTATATCAGTATGTCTATATTCTCATTTTGCAGATTAATTATCTAATACGTCTTTAGACTGCAAGACTACTGCCGCGCTTATCGGTCAACAATCCTTCGGTGGTTCTCGTGCCAGTGGTACCAATGACAAGGCTGGTAGTTCCGACGTCCTACGCCGGTTCACCAGCCCTCGTCTGATCAAGGAGGAATTCTTCCCTCAAAACGGCTTCACTTATCCTAGCAACCACTAAACAATACAGGTCATATTTGTATCTGTATAGCATTTTCATGTCCAAAATTATACCGTGCGTATTTCCGTATGCATTCTAAATGTGATACCAAATTCTTTGTTTCATAGCAGTAATTGACACCTCTGATCTGCTATGATTCCGTAAGGTCCTACATAAATCTCATTGATCCATTCTAGAAATCCATTTGTCGGCCTTATATTCCTAAAATGCTTAGGAATTAATCTGAAATCACATAAACACTGAATTCTAATACCCTATCACAGAATAACCTTCTAATCTCAATTAAAAGTACGTATAATAGATAAAAATTATAATGAGGAAAAGTCCAGAGGGTAGTAAGTTGGGTTATAACCACCTTTAGGGGAATAGAATTAACAATTGACATCCGGGTGTTCGAGTGGTAAACTCGCCCACCAGCTGGCACTATATGTGACCAAACAAGTTAGCTCACGGGACTTGTATGGTGTTGTCAATTAGTACCGAGAAACATCAACTCAGAGCAGACTTCTCCAAAGTGACCAACAAAGGCACAGGAAGAGCCCCTCTGGGTTTGATGTTTTGTTTTGTTGATATTTTTGCTTACATTATCTACTGGCTGGATCTGAATATTCAGTCTAATTTATCTCAAATCATACGTGGGGTGCCATATAGTGGTAGGCATTTTATGGCTGAACTTGGGGGGTGATGCAAATGAGGCTATTCAGGATGTACCTTCAAAGTACTTGGTGAGGACAGGCAAATCATGACCACCCGGTTCGAATTCAGGTCTGCTTATTATTTTCTTCTCTCTACCTTCTAATTTGGGAACTGCACATCGGGGATATTTCTGTTGGATAATGATACAATTATATCGTCGGAGTCAAGGGACCATTGCTTATTCGGAGCCTCTGGTGTTTTGATCAATAGAACAATCATATCCATTGTAACGTCGATTTCATTAAGCCGTGAAGCCATTCTATCCAAGTATTACAAACTATCTCAGAGAAGAAGATGAGAAAGCACCCCGAACCCTTCGACCGAACTCTGCTTTCAAAGCATTATACTCATCACTAGTACGCATTACCGCATCCCGGTTCTCAATCGCCCTCCGAAGAAGGTATGCCAAGCACTCACCCATAGTGCCCCAAGTTGAACTCTTGTAAACCTCAGGCGTACCATCATTTCCCTTAAGCTGAAGCAAGGAAAAGCTAACTTCATCCGACATTCCATGCAGTTGACCAAATCTAACAGGAACAGTAGGTAGTCCCGCAGCGGTACGCTGCTTATGAAGCCTGTGAGCATCAACAACACTCTCTTTGTTATGGCTGGCCAAGAATAGGTTCACAGATGGGAAGGCAGTTTCCACGCCGAATTTGCCAAGGGTTTGTTTCAGCGCACCTTGGGCAATTCCATTGTATGCGTTATCGGTGTCTTGTTTCGTGTCGTGGATCAGGGCACGTTCGTCGGAGGCGATGTAGGCGCCGCGGACTAGTTTCAGTCCGAGGGTGAATCCTTCTTTCTGTGCTGCTGTGAGATGCTTTTCGATGGTAGCTGGGGTGCTCTTGAGGTAGGCTTGGTATGTGTTGTAGATCAGGGCGTGTCCGTCGTGGTTGTACTTCCTCATCAGGTCGAGGGTCACGCGGAGGATGCCTGACAGAAAGTGGTGTGATTCTGCATCGACAAGGATGCGGACGTTGCGATCTTTACAGCGGCTGCAGATTTCGTCGAGGGCTTGGAGCATTTGAGTAGGTGGTAATTCGCCTTTGGAGAAGGCGTCGGTAACGACGGGACCGGCTCCGGTCATTCTTGAAAATCTGTCAAAATGCATTTCGTAGGGTACAATATGAGATTACTTACTTCACAGCTAAATAATCACCATCAGCAAGCTGGTCTACCGTCTTGAGGGTTCCCTTTCGCCATGCTTCTGTGTTCGTACAGTGAGCAACTTTAGGATTTAGAGGCTCAATGGTCTTTTCTGCTTCCAGCGCGGCAATACCGAGCCCATTCTGAGTATTTGTACGGTGATCGAACACCGTCTCCTTAGCGTAAGTCATAATCACACCGCGGAACCCCATGTCCTTCAGTTCACGAACTGTAGTTCTTGTCTCGGCATCGCTTTCGCCCGCACAAAATTGTTCATAGAATGTCTTTTTCAAAATCCAGTGCAAAATAGGATTAGTGTCCACGTTCAAAAGATAGCCTCTGTTCGGTTTGGAAAGAATGGAGATGAGCCAGAGAGAGGGGCCGAGGAGAAGAGGTTTGGAAGAGATGGTGGAAACTAGTAGTGATCTGAGAAGTACTTTGGTGGGAAGAGCCGAGAGGGGAGGAAGAGGAGCAGTAACATGGGCTCTGCTATTCGCAGGCACTTGCAAGGTAGATGCAAATCGTTTTTGCTTAGGTGATGATGAAATGTGCGATTGACGTATACTGCCTCGTGCAACAAGAATTGTACTAGCCCGAGGGCCAGAAGACTTCCCAACACACTGGAGAGTCACTGTCGACATTTTGTGAGGTAACCAGTTAAAACCAGCCTTCTTCTTTAGAATGATCTGTAATACGAGCAGTCGGGTTATTTATCATCTATCATGCTAGTGGACCCCGCCTGTCCTTTCCACCCCGCGATATCACCCAAATTTTGCTATCGGAAACCCAATCTAGGGTCCTTGTCGGACGACTCATCCGACAAGGTTATCACGGAGAACAAATGGTCAACTTTGATGGGACAGATGGCTTATGTTACGGTCCATACTTTGAGTCTGGCGGGTTCGTTTACCAATTTGGAAAGGAAACTCTTTGTCATGTGGCCAGGTGAAGTATGGCCGGCGGGGCATCCGTACCGTCATCTCCGGGGTCGGATGGCTACCCGTAGATACGGTTGGCAGTGGGCATGCGGGGACGGGAATCACAGATGACAAGCTGGGTATAGGTTGATAGAAAAAATATAAGGCTGATACCAAACTTTTAGCAAATAACTTTTTCCATTCCTGTGAGCCTCAGGTCCCTTGCTTGATGATCTTGGTAGTTGAGGCAAGGCTATGCTGGCTAATCCCAGTAAATATTCCTGAATCTTAGGCACCTGATATTTTGCAAGTGCTTCAACTCTAGGTACCTTTATCTAGATACAGATCTCCAATGCACAACAGGTAAACTAGTTAACTGATGAACTATATCCGCTCGGTAAATGAACTCGGGAATCAACTTCTATTACTGCCTTAGTAATCGGGCATATCCGAATCATCTCCGATAGTCAGGTGATCTTTGCTTCATATCTTACATAATGCACCCATAACGTGAATATTTCACAGGCGAGAGCCTCACCCCAAAACACATAGTAGATACGATAATTTACAAATCCTTATCGAAATTTGTCGAAAGATAGTATAATATAAATAAAGAAGTGTCTGTTGATATATAGGATACCAAAAATAGCCTATACTATGGTGTTTTGGGGTGCGGCGCTCCCATGTGAAATACGTTTGTTAACTAAAGTTTGACTAGTGCATGATTCAGGCACTCAGGCACTGATCGCCCCTCATAGATAAGTCAGCGGGGCAGTTCTCGCTCGGTCTTTCTTGATAATCCATGCGGTTCGGTATCTTTCTGCACTGGATCACCTTATGGAGAAGGTCCAATTTGTCCCACTTCATTCGTCATAATCTGTGATCCCGATGGGCCGATATGTGTAAGCGCCGGAAGCCGGAATATTAATATCGCCACTGCCCCTTGAAGCCAGTTCCTTATCTCTGTAAACTTAAACTTCTTAAACTTCTTCCTTTCCCATTGAATCTTTTCTCCTCAATCTTCAAAACACAAACACATTCACAATGTCCAACATCAAGGCTGGTGATAAGTTCCCTGAGAACGTCGTCTTCTCGTATGTCTTCCATTGTTTTTTTTTCTTCGACTTTCCACTCCCTGCATTCCCTCTATCCCCTCCATAACCCCTCCAGAGTCCGTGGTGCGGTCCATCACTAACAAATTGCCACAGCTACATCCCCTGGGCTGAGGAGCACGCCGACTACAAGGTCTGCGGTATCCCCATCGACTTCGAGGCCTCCAAGGAGTGGGCCGACAAGAAGGTCATCCTCTTCGCTCTTCCCGGTTCGTCACCGCTTCTTTCCCTCTTTTTGATCTGTCTTTTTGCCATGCACCCTCAAGGTTCTCCTACTGACCGCTACTCCTACAGGTGCTTTCACCCCCGTCTGCTCCGCCAACCACGTCCCCGAGTACCTCGCCAAGCTCCCTGAGCTCCGCGCCAAGGGTGTCGATGCCGTTGCCGTCCTGGCCTACAACGATGCTTACGTCATGAGCGCTTGGGGCAAGGCCAACGGTGTCACCGGCGATGATATTGTACGTTCACAAATCAATCAATCGTATTCCCACCCACTAACATATTCTAGCTCTTCCTCTCCGACCCCGAGGCCCGTTTCTCCAAGTCTATCGGCTGGGCCGATGCTGAGGGCCGTACCTACCGTTACGCCATCATCATTGACCACGGCAAGGTCACCTACGCCGCCAAGGAGGCCGCCAAGAACGTTCTTGAGGTCACCTCCGCCGACCACATCCTCAAGCAGCTGTAAGCTTGCTTTGATCTTTTAGAAATGAGTTCAACTTAGACCGGTGCATTGTTCACGGGCTAGCGGGGGCTCGACGTCCGAATTGACGGCTCTGGACTCGAATACAGTTCAGACTGTCAATTTTGAATCGTTCGGGTCCCTCTTTTAGACAGCCCGCTCTTTTCAGCTTGCTCTTGTGTCAACATAGAGGAATACATCCTAATGAAGCCATGACATTTTATACTTACTTCTTTGTCGGTAGTTGTAGATTGATTCGCATGCGTAGAACTAAAGAAACGACTATTCCAGGGCTAAGCTTTAGTGGTGGCGCGCATTGTCCAGCCTAAACAACGCTCAGACTCCCTATAATTGGTGGGGCTTATCACACGAGGTCTATCCACAGGGCCAGTGCCCGCCCATTCTACTATCTGATCCGAGGAGGGGCTAGCGGAGGATCGGCAATAAGCAGTTTTCAAGAGGTTTAGATTCGCAGAGGTGGCGATGGCTCCGCTGGATTGCGGAGCCTGTCTAGAATCCAATATGGGGAAAGGTGAACTGAGTGGGAACTCAAATAACCGCCAGTTTTATATTATAAGCAACAAAGTGAGAAAAGGGACCGAGATGTACTTCAATCTTCGAGGACTGTATAGTATTTGGAAATAAAAAGTATCGTATTGTACAACGCCTGGTATCAATGCTCCACTAGTAAAACAGGCCAACTGAACGCCATTGAATAAATAAAATCGAATCGAACATTATCTGCGCTTAGGCATGGCGATCGCTACGGAGCGGTTCTTTCGCCGGTGATCTTCCTTTGAGCGCAGACCTTGACTGAGACCACCACCCATACCTCGCGCAAGAGATGCAAAAGGTGAAGTCGTTTGGAAGAGATCCAGGTCATTCTCTTGCTGTCCCACACTCGGTTTCACGGTAGGCGTGGCTCGACCCGAGGTATTGTTGCTAGGAGGTTCAGACTGGCGGCGACGATGGCGCTTTTCATGCGCCGGTGCTTGAGTGGGTCCAGTAGGATTCTCTCTTGGGTTGGGAGAGGCCGGTTCCCACGGCGGCATGGGTACCGCCGCTGCGACATGTTCGAAGCAGTTGCAGCCACATCCGCTGGGGCACGATGGGGGAGGGAAGTCGGCGGGATTGTTGAGTTCGGTAGGGAGGAACCAGCGTTGATGGCAGTCAAAGCAGCTTACATGGCCGCAGCTGAGACAGGGCACCAACATTCCATCCACGACTTCACCACAGATAACACAAGGAAGCTTGGTGGGTAATGCTTGGCGCGGTTTACAGTTCGAGCATCGAAGGAATGATGACTGGCGATGGCGCTTCGAAGGAGTATCAGGAGCTGAGGGCGTCGGAGCGAAAATGGAGATCTGCAAGGCATGACCGCAGTTGGCGCAATGACGCTGAAAATCGAGACCCTCAAAACTTTCCGTGGTATCTTTCTTGGTCATTTCAGGGAGTGGAGACATCTTAGAGCTGTTGCTGTTCCAATAATGGCTCATGTGCATGTCATCTATTTCGTCTGCTACCTCACCAATCTTGAGAACCTCGGCTTGTTGGATGGGGAGATCCCACATAGACAATATGTCGGCATATTTAGCACGGTACGATCTCCACAGCCACTCTTTGCTTCGGTCCAAAAGGGAGTATCCCGGTGTAGACTCGTCGCCATCAAATTCACTCTGATTCTTAAAAGTGACTTTGAAGCGTGATGTCGGCTTCACCACCTTGGGAGGAGGCTGATCGCTTTCTGTATCAGACTGAGGCTGTAGTATAAGCGTTAGAATTGCTATATCAGTCAGGGATAAAATTTTACTAACCGCTTGGATAGTTACCACACTCGGGCTGTCCGGGCTCTGTTTCTTCTTGAGGCTATGAGTGACCGGCGGAGATGCCGATGATGGTCCAAATGTGAAGGAACGTGACAATGAAGATGCTAGAACCGAGCCAAAGCCAGATCCACTTCGAGGATGAGATTGCTCGGGCGAGGCCGCAATGGAAACATTTTGACTCTGGGCTTTCTGGTTGGCAGCTATACGGCGAGGTCGAGATAAATAGGGAGGTGTAGTGCCAGTGGAATAAGGAGGCGTGGAATCAACACGCCAAAGCTCGCTCGATGATCGTGCTGAAGTGTGGGGAGGTATGACGGAAGGTTCTCTTGGAACAGATGAAGCCGGAGTGCCATTCAGCGATTTGTTCTGTACAGTTGAGGTGACAGAAGAAAAATCTAAGGAAAATCCCCGTTCTGGGGTCGTTTCTTTCGCTTTTTCTGATCGGCTTTCTTTGTTAGGTTCAAAGAGGACACAGGAGAGCATGGCGACCATTTGCACGTCGCCTATAGACTCAAAATGATCGAATAGAGCAGAAACAAGCCAATGGCTACCAAGTGGATGGTCACCCCATCGAATGACGCTATTAGCGACATCTTTGTAAAGCCTGCTTTTCCCTAGGCTGTGGCTAATATCCATGCCTTCTTTTCTCAGCGCCCGTCTCGATCCCACTTTGGTCTCGAGGGAAGAGACAGGCTTCCGCTGTATTTGTAAAATTAGCTTGATCAGACCCCATATTTGAGCCAATTCGTAGTATCCAGCATCCAGGGCGACAACAGCATTGTGGGCAGATACAACTGTACCCTCGCCGCAGATGCGATACTTGCTGGCCAATTCCCGCTTCACAGGCAACATGTCGCTCAAATCATGAATAGAAACCACATTTTGAGCTGGCTCGATTGATTTGCTCGTCGCAGCACCACCGATGGATCTCTGTGAATTATCCGTAGACCGAGGCCGGTAAATTCCCATACTACCCGCACTCCGCCAAGTCTGCGGTGGTTGGAAACGAGCCGCAGGTAGTCCAGACAGGATATCTGAGGAACCTGACGAACTCGAGGTCTCGGAGTATGAATCTTCGGAGTCATCGGATGCATCTTCCGCCGTGCTTGTGATTGTACCGTTCATGCGTGGCCCCGGGGAGCTAGTTTGCAGGCGCCCGAAGCCTTCAAAAACTTTGTCTGTCCGAGACAATCTGCTCATCTCTTTGAAACCAAGATTGTCAAATAGAGAGGTGGACTTATCCTTCTTAGGAGGGAAAAAGCAAATAAGACGACCATCATTTGCCCATAGCGCACCACATCCCTTTGCTACCGGAACCATGACATTGGCATTCACTGGGCGGAGCAGCTCAGAGCTCATTCCCAGCTCCTGACTCTGTGTCATGCCGACCTCATCCTCGTCGCTGGACTCGCCCTCTAATTCACCGTTGATAGGGGACTTGATGTTGTCGGTCGTTTCGCCCAGGATTAATGCAACGCTCTCTTCCAATGAACTCTCGCCCAGAAGGTAGCGCACAGCACCTTCTAAACAACCACGCTTTCGAGACATGTAGGTTTCAGCGATCGTTCGCAACTCAGCTGTAATTTTCCCGGCCAATTCATCTGTAACAGCTGCCGTTCTCTGGCAATTGAAGGTTGGAGTGGCTGTTTTCGGGTAGCTGACTGGGAATTTGATGTCCACTTTTAGGAAGAGAGTGTCCCCATTTGCACCCCATGGTCCATTCAGCGATATGGTGATCTTTCTCTGGCGAACATCAACCGATTCAAAAACAACCTTCGTGAACTTTTCTCCCACGTGGCTGATCTCGTCTCCTAGGGTCTCAATGTCCCAACCCGAGATTTTTACACCGCGCATCCAAGCAATAGGGTTCGTGTCTGCCCTCCGGTTTGATCGTGGCTGCATACCCATACGAGCATCAACGTGAGCACCCTTTGTCCAAGCGCGAGCATGTGGGACAGATATAGCATTCATCCCAGGTCCTCCAGCAAACTGTGTGGTGGTATTGTGCTGGATAGAAGATGCAGAGTCTAGGTCTTCCAAGTCTAGATCCCAGTTCACATCTCTAAAGCTCCGATAAACTGCGCCCAATCGAGTTATCTTCCGAGTAGAGACGAAAGACTTGCCCTTTTCATATCCGACCCGCGCAAAAATTTCAGGATCGACACGATGTAGACGCAACTCTCGGTCTGTACCCCACGTTACCAGTTGAAATTCTCGGTTGTCGATTCCATCCTCCACACCGCCGCGGGCCCTCCATAGAAACTCCTTCACCTGGCCTTTATGACCCGGGAAGCTATGAATCAAAGGCATCTCATCTTCAACTCGCCGGCTATACAGATGGAGATCGCTGTTTCCCCGCTGCGGCATAGCAGTGACGCCCCACCCAAAAGGAGTGTTCCTGGCTCGCCATACCGGAAACGGTGTCCTAATCAGCTTCTCGGGCTCCTCGGAATCTGTTGTATAGTCCCAGAACTTGATGGTCTTATCAAGCGAGCATGTCGTTAAAGCGCCCCGTCGTACGCGATTCCAATCCACCCCGTAAATTTTCGTGTCATGGGCTTCGATGGACCGAATCGGATATGCACCCATACGGTCATCCCAGATTCGAAGAAACCGATCATGGGAACTGGCAATCACATGGGGATCTTGGCGATTCCACTTTACCTGGGTAGCACCAGTGAACCAATCTGAAAATGAGATCGCCGGCCGGGATGGAGTGCGCAGATCCCAACAGTGAACAAAGCTGTCGACGGCACAGGTAGCTAGAAGATCTGGATGGAATGCCGAGAAGTTTATGTCAGTGATCGCGCGCGAGTGTGCGTGCAGAACAAATTCGATGGAGTTTTGCCATGTTTTCATGGCTAAATTCCACACCAGAGCTTTCTGGTTGGATGTGCTAACCACCCAGTAGTCGCGAGAGGCGAACGGTGACCACTGCACGTCGGCGACCTCCCATGGGGTGTGATGGGGCAGATAACGAGGTGGAGAATACGGGGAGTCCAGATCAATGACATGCAGACCCTCCTTCGAGGCTAGGACCACGTCTCGCCCACATGGGGAAATTGACATGGACCCAACCGGTTGTTCAACATGGATTGAACTGTCTTCGTCAAAGGTCGGGCTTTCGAAGGCCGACATGAGCGGCCGGGGCTCCATGGAACTCGACATCTTGTCAGCGATCGTGGCAAGAGGCCTATCTGCACCACTTCCGTTGTCGATAATGTGCCGTGAAAGTGTTATTCACTATTTATAAGCTCATGAGGAGCCGATGCTCCCATGTTGGGCGTACATATCCACCTCGCTTGCATGAATAGGCTCGCGTGCCAGGGAGCTCCGATAAGGAAGCGGGAATCGCAGGTGTGGCTTATTGTGGATAGTGTGGCTGAGTCATGGGTTGTTGTGGCTCGGGTTTACGGAACACGGCAGAACCCCGCGGTGCAGTAATGCAAATGCCCCTCTGGTTTATCATCTGTCAGTAAACGTTCTCTCGGGATTTTCTCAGTCTCGATCTTTCGATTTCTTCGTTCTTCTTTGCTTTATCTGTTGAAGGAGATATCTCCGGTCAATTAATCTTCACCACACTGTTGCAACCATCCGCACACGTGAGCGATAAGACTTTCAATCATGGCCCTGCCGAAGCGCATTATCAAAGAGACCGAGCGGTTGATGGCTGAGCCGTAAGTCATCATTCTGAGCACGTATGTAAATACTGGATGACTCTCTAATCAAGCAATTCCCGGGAATTAGGGTCCCCGGTATTAACGCCGTCCCCCATGAAGACAACCTACGATACTTCGATGTCTCCATTCACGGTCCATCCCAGTCTCCCTACGAGGGTACGCATATGACTGTCCTTGTCTCGCTGCCAATATCATAACTCACATATCGCAGGTGGCATCTTTCGTCTCGAGTTGTTCCTCCCCGATGACTACCCCATGACCCCGCCAAAGATCCGCTTCTTGACCAAGATCTATCATCCCAACATCGACCGTCTCGGCCGTATCTGCTTGGATGTTCTGAAGAGTATGCCTCATAAGACCACTACCATTCTTATCATATCTAACCCATTACGCAATCAGACAACTGGTCTCCTGCTCTCCAGATCCGCACCATCCTTCTCTCCATCCAAGCCCTTCTCGGCGCACCGAACCCCGATGACCCCCTCGCCAACGATGTAGCCCAGCGTTGGAAGGATGATGAGCCAGCTGCCATCCAGACCGCGAAGGAGTGGACCCGCACCCACGCTATGACTTGAAATTAACCATTATGATGTGACCATGAAGCAAAAAAGAGAAGTATCAAAGTTTTGGAAGGGACATTCAATCCACCGAGACCATTGGGACAGGCGAGCTAGTATTTTTATCTTTTAGCGTGAAGTTGCCTTCCGCCACATCCATGTTGTATTGATCGATGGCTTATTTAGAAGGTATTCCATAGAATCCAATGTCTTGGAATTGCATTCTTCGGGTCTACTGCGCCCGTTTCGCAATTCAATATATCTATAGAGCTCAAAATCAGCAGGTTGTAAGATCCATGGATCCCTGGAGCACACAATATGATAATTCCAAGACTACATAATGAGCGAAAGATTTGAATCATATGAGTAAGAATGGTGTCCATGCTTCTGCAACGGAAAATTATATTTTGTCCCCTTCGAGTCACTGGACTCGGTGCTCACCCAATAAAAACAGATATTCTGCCACGAATCAAATTAGTTCAGCAAGCGATGTCTCTCTTCATTTGAGTGGAAGTGAATTGCTTCCTCGATGATGAGTATGTATGGGTGATGATGTGGAGTTAAATTTTGACTTACAGACGCCCAGTTTGCTGTTTGGGCATTACTTGATTCTCCAGATGTCTGAAACGCCCCATATAGGACCAACTATTTCTGAGTTGATGTGATCATGGAACACAGGAAGTATGAGGGGCTTCCTTTACCAAAGACAGTGACCTATACGGTACCTGTCAAGGGGCTTTTTCTGGGAAACATGCTTCATGGCACCGATGGATTGGTTGAACTAGTTCCAGGGTTCTGTGAGAGAGAAGAAAATGGGGGCTGGTGAGGTATTGAGAAATTCAGGGGATTGGGGGGGTGGAAAGTATGGCATCAGATGACATTCCCCAGTCTGAATGGAGTATCACCATTTTCCTAATGTCTCTTAAACTTCAATAGCCCAAAATTGAGGAACTTCTTAATCTGGCTGTAATACGAAGCCTGATAAATCTGATGATTTGATCATTCCGCTCTGTGTAACATTGCATAGTCGAGCACCCGAGCTAGTGCCGAGGACACCCAATAGCCTGTTCAAGCTATATTTGAGATATGCCGACCATGCTTTGGGATTTCTCAAACAAGAGTTTTTATTGGTGAATATTACCCAACGTGCTGACAGTAAGCTTCGATGTGACCGCCACGGGCCGGGGCTTACTGGTGATCACTTTGCTATGGGGCTGAAATGTAAGGGGCCGAATCAACCCGAAGCTTGGTAGTTCGAGCCAAATTTTACCATTGGACCCTGCGTCGTAACCAGGGACGGGATAAGCGATAGGCTGTGGGACCTCTGGACCCTGCCTACACGAACACCACCATATGCTCTCTTTCGTCGCGTATCGAGTCTATGGTTATCGACCTTGGAATTACTACATAACGGAAACACTGTCTGTAAAAGAATGCTTTGTATGATATGTTTAATCGGCATCTGCCCATGTGGACATCAAACCCCGTGGATGCTCTCCAAGGCTACTGCAGGGTCTAGATAATGAGATGCCGTTCATCATTTTCTGGTGCCAACAATAACTTAGGGCTGCTTACTATGGGGCAAAGGTCAGACATGCTTCTGGCATCGAATAAGCAATACCACCCAATATAGCAGTAAATATGCGGTATTTTCTTCATTGGTTGTACCTTTGTCAAAGTAGGTGGACTATGGCCGCTTGTAGAAAATGCAAGAGATGTGGCTTAACGAAGACTAATGAAGTCAGTGTGGAAGCTGGACGTAAAGGGCTATATAAAGCAACTTGTCGCCCACTCCATTTGTCTTGTTCATCAAGCTCCCAAGATCAACATCAGTCAGTCAGTGCAAATCCTTAACAGGGTGTATGAGTCCTACTTGGAAACATAGAACCCAACTAATTCTTTGCCAGATTCAACCTCAGCTCAGCCTTTCGCTCTTCGCTCAATCCCCATTTATGAACGCGTCGGTGTCAATAGCACTCGTCATCAATTGGATCATTTTAGCATCAACAACATGCGGGTTTCTTCCATTGGACGTGTACTTGCATGTGTCAGCCTCGGGGCTGGCATTGCTTACTCTAGCGCTATACCGATCGACATGAAGGAGGAGCGCTCTACCGAATCAACCGACATAACCCCCGTGGACGATTTGAAAATCAATTGGGCAATCGTGAGAGGAGGTCTTAAAGTGGCCCGGGATGTGATTGTAGTGGCATCAGGCGCATCGTCTGCCATTGCGGCAATTGTGGTCTGGGCTAAATCGGACAGTGCTGCGAACTCGTGCGCTCCCAAGATAGGGACAGGCGTATCGGATAACGGAGGTCAGAAGTACAACTTCAAGTACTGGGTGACTACTACTGGAAAGAACTGTGACACTACTGCCCAGACGAAGACTGTTGCTGCCGCGATTGATGATTCTTGGGATCAGGTCCACAAGAACAATTATGACTGGGCGTGCCTCGATTTCGGCCATGGAGGTACTTGGCATGGACATCTGGCGGTGGCTACTGTTGGTTCGGGCCAAGATGTTAACACCATGTGTAACTAGAGAGGATTAAGTCTGATGAGTTACATGGGAAATTATCGGGCCCTATGGAGCTTGTGGTATATTGCCTGGTGGCTTGATACGTTGGCTTATTGATTGATTGATTGTTTGTTTGTTTGAATGTCTTGCTGAGAATCTCTGGTGAGAGCAGAGCTGTATCTTGGTCGTTTTTTTCCTAAATTAACCTTCTTTCTGGGCTTGTCTCTGTCTCGTGATAGTAGTATTCTCGTTGGACCAGAAATCAAGTTCCTTACATCTTTGTTATCGTGTCACGGTATAATTTTGTGCTTTCGGAGCTCATTGCCAACCTTACGGATCAAGTACAACCATAAATCCCTAATTTGAGTGGTAAAATATTCTGAAGTAGCTACTAGTATATCTGAGGTTAGTTGCCTGGAGACTGAAGTACTCCAGCAAATTACACATGTGGATGTAGTGGCTATTCCTGTAAACAGAAGTAAATTCCAGACTTAAAGCATATATATGGCGCTTCACCGAACCAAAAAATCTCAAGGCCTCGGGTACCTTGAAATGGGCTGGTGGGCATGACATGGGCCTGGAGGATATCAGTATCAAATACTCTAAGGAGTGGTAAACTCCAAACGATAAACATACTTGGTGAATAAGAGTAATCTATTCAAATACGACGCAGGATCAAGATGACACGAACGAGAAAGACAGAGGTGATCCAAGCTACTCTGGTATGGCTTTTTAGCGAAAGCTAAGTTCGTTTACTGTAGGAGAAAACTGACCCCTTGGACATCAGGCACCTGAACAGTGTTAACATAAGGCAAATTTGAATCACACTCTGGACATCCTGAATTCTCAGGTTATGTTGGTGATCCTATGAAGCGTCGTGAATGGTCGATCCTGGGGAAGGTGGTGATCTTGCGGGGAGGCGATCTTGGGGAAGGACGTGATCTTGGGGCTCATTCAGTAGACCCAGTGACCCCACCTACTACAAAAAATACCTCTGTTCTCACCTCCTTTTTCCCTCTTTCTTCTTTTCTCATCACTTCTCAAGCTTCAAACTTCAAGCTTGCATCTTCCATCTTCCATCTTTGAACTTCGAACTTCAGCTTCCATCAAAACAATCACTTTTGATATCAATCATATCCATGTCTCCTCCATTTTGGCTCCCTTAAGATGCCTTCCAACGTGTTTATGTCTATTTCCCTTCTCATCTTTTCTTTTTTATTTCATACTAACCATTCTGACAGGCTTCTGAGCCATCTTCATTCACTGTTGGTTCCCGCTGATCAACAAACACGATCAACAAATCATCTGTTCGGAATATTAAGTCCCCATCTGACTTCGAAAAACATCCCTCGGATCAATGAACCATCTTTTCGAACTCTCAAGTCCCCATCTGACTTCGATGAACATCACTCCGATCAACAACCTGTCTGTTTGACCTCTGTCAACCTTGAACTTCGAGAAGTCCGTAGTCGCTTTGACTATCGAGTTCTTGCCCGCATGCAAACTCATTGGCTGCGATGAAGACCAATCTGATCCGGTTGAACTATTGAGATCCATGCACTTGTGGCTGCATGGATCATTGCTAACCTTCTTAGACTGCACAAGTCCTCTTCATCTTCCATCAATCCATCCATCCACATTTGACATCGATCTACCATCTCTGTCCTCCTTGACACAATAATCACTCAATCTGATCAACGAAAATTCATACCTTTGTGGATTTTCTTCGGCATATGGTTTGGCTCAAGTCATTTCTGGATCGGCGCCATGTTGTTACAAACAACTTGCGTGTCAGGTCAAAGTTCTGTTTCAGTTTTTGCTTTTAACTCTGAGCTTCCAACATTCATTCATGTATTCGTCTACTATTGTCTTGCGCTCTTTCTGATCAGGCCCCATGTGGCTTGGCATTCACTCTATTGCATCACTCTTCCCGTACTTAACTATGTCAATACTATTCTCTTCAAACATCCACTCGTCCTACCTTGTAATGTAGGTTGTATCTTGGCTTTCTGTTACCTAGTGTTAGTATTAAATGCTATATCGTCTTTCTATTTGACACGTCCATGTCACATCCCCTGCTGCCCAAGCGGCCGACCGCTCACGGACACACTTGGCGCCAACATGCCCTTGAAAGACGACCCCAAGGCCACACATGCATCTCCAGGCGATTAACAACAATCATGAAGAGCGCGATTTCCTCTTTATCGACAGTCTGATCACCGGACAAGGTAAACTTTCAGGTTGGGTTCGCCCTCCGGGGAACGTCAGGTACCTAGGCTAGTAAGTACAGATTGGTTCCCGGTTTTGTGTAGTTAGTTTCCCCGTCATGAGCACGTCTCCCATAGCCGCCAGGGAGCTTCGAGAAGCCGGGGATTGTTCCCGCCTCCCGAAGTCCCTACCTCCTCACGGATGTAAGAAATTGGAAAAAAATCCAGTTTCAATTTCATGGATTCACCGAATATACTCCTGATCTGAAAACGAGCCCCAGCTCTAGGCCTGGGTCTATCATCTGCGGTAACTTGAACATATCTTGACATGTAGTGGACCTGGCCAACAGCTGGAGTGTCCGAGTTGCAGCTGGATAGGAAAGCTTGGAACATATATTCTCAAAGCTTCCAGACTACTGAGCCGGTATGTATCCAAAATGGTTCAATGTTAGGAAAAGAAGAAGCAGAACAAGGAAGAGAAATACGTGCTCTAAATCAAGTATTAGCTTCTTACTATATGGCAATACTTGAATTAATTTCGTGCAGCAAACATGGTGATGTACAATGGAAAAAAAGCTCCTCAGTTGAGACACCCCATATAAAGAACGATAAGGATGAGGATAGCGATAAGACGTTATCGACAGCCGATAAGCTACAAGACCGGAAGTACGTCATGTGACTTGACCCGATCCCGAAAGGGCAGCGTGCGTCACGTGCTGCATTTTAGCGAGGCGCACCACAATTGGACCCAGCGACGCTACTACCGCGATCCCCGAATTTCGACCATCACCAACGCCAACCGACCGTCAGCGCATCGTCCACCGTCAAGATGCGTACCTACGACGACTCCTTCAGCGGCCAGAAGATCTACCCTGGCAAGGTGCGTTTTGTTCCTGTCCCACGGTCCCCGTCTGCGCGAGAAGGAAATGGAACTTGTGCGGATTCAAGATTGAACGATACATCACCACATCATCATGATCAATCACCACGACGTACCTACCTACGGCTCGCTCGCATTCATATCAATTTCGACTTGTGTCCGCCGTTCCCATGAGACTTTTCGCGCAGACTTTATGCGGGGTGTTTTTTGAGTGTGGGAACATTTCAGAGTGCTAATATTGGTCTCTTTGGTTATGCAGGGTAAGCTGTACGTCCGTGGCGACAGCAAGATCTTCCGCTTCCAGAACGGCAAGTCCGAGTCGCTTTTCCTCCAGCGCAAGAACCCCCGTCGCATTGCCTGGACTGTCCTGTACCGTCGCCAGCACCGCAAGGGTATCTCTGAGGTCGGTTACCAATCCCCTTTGGCTTTTGTTCGATTATGTGGTGGGAAAGGCCATTATTGAACCGATTTCGAGACTCGTCGACATGTTTTGATCTGAGGAGATAATGGCGCAAGAGCAGGGATATGATATCATTTCCAAGTGGATCATGAATTTGCAAGATGAAATACTGATCGGTCTCGAAAATATAGGAGGTTGCCAAGAAGCGTACCCGCCGTGTTGTGAAGCACCAGCGTGCCATCGTCGGTGCCTCCCTCGACGTTATCAAGGAGCGCCGCTCCCAGCGCCCCGAGGCCCGTGAGGCTGCCCGCAAGCAGGCCATCACTGACGCCAAGGAGAAGAAGTCCGCCGCCGCTGCCCAGAAGAAGGCTGACAAGGCCAAGAACGCCGCCTCCAAGGGTGGTGCTCAGCGCATTGCCAGCAAGCAGGGTGCCAAGGGCTCCGCTCCCAAGGTCGCTGCCAAGTCCCGCTAAATTACCCCATGACAAAAAGCAGGATGGTGTTTTATTCGTTGACGGTTGCGATATGATGGAATTCGCGGACAATGGACTGGAGTACTGTCTGTGAGGACTGGCCTTGTGCCAAATTTTTTTTACCTTGTTTCTGAAAAGAATTTATGCAATACTATGAAATGCAGAAATGGGACAAGGAATCTCAATTAAAATTATTCACCCGCAACTATTCCAGGACTCTTGATATTGATGTATTCTCATATCTTGGGTAAGAATCGTCCTCGGCCTGTATGCACATGTATGCTCTCCTTCGATCTTATGGAGGGGCAGATCATACTTATCCACTTGAGGGATAGCGTCTCCGAGGTCCCTTGGACCCTCGAGGCTTACATATAGACCTGCCTTCTACAATGTAACCAAGTTGCGAGTCTTTACAATCAAACACTTTATCCAACCTCATAGATTAATTCCTTCCGAGTGTATCATTGTATGTTGTATGTCGTTGGCAATTAGTCTGCAGCATGAACAAATGTCTATACATTAGACCATCTAAAGGCCTGTTCTCCGCATATCCGTATTCCCTTGCAGGCCGTCTCTTGCTCGCGATGAAGATTGATCAATGCCGGTTAGGCGATCATTGACACATGCACGCACAGGTGAAAGAGTTCAGGTATATCAGGGACTGCTTTCGATCTCAAGTCCTGCTTCCTGTTCAACATCACAATTAAACTCACTACAGAGTCCACAAAATACTTTCGACATTGCTTGTGGCTTTGAAGGCGAATTTGTTTCCCACGCTGCCACCTCGAGGTTAACCATCCTCAATGCCCTGAACGCCGAACCCAATTTGGGCGAGAACTGAAATGAACCGAGTCTAAAGCAGAATCCCAAATCCCAAAATCACTCAACAAGTTCAGTAGTAGTGAGCCATCTCCAAACCTGCGCGCTTGAAGCCACACTTGACATAGAAACCCTCATTGGCCTCAGAACAATCAAGAATGCTCTATCGAACGAATCAGCACATTCACATTCGCATTTGCATTTGCATCCAGAGACTCCAGAATACATACCTTGTAGCACCCAACCTGCGCAGCCACATAATCCAACGCTTGAATAATCCTCAACCCCAACTTCTTTCCCTGCTGTCCCTTCTCCACCGCGATATCCTCAATATGCCCAACCATGCCAAGCGCATGAATAAACTTGCGCTCAACAATCAGCGACCCGGTACCAACGACACGATCCGCCCCATCACAAACAACAAGCATGTAGTACTCGTCATTCCGAGACTTGATCCAGTCGAAGCGCTCGTCCCATTTCTCCTCACTGATCTCGCCGACGGTTGTCAGCACGCGGAGGACATCAAGGTAGCCGCGTTGGTAGTCTGAGCGACGGAGGGGGCGGATGGTGTAGTCTGTGGGGAGGAGGGAGATGACTTCGGGAGAGATTAGGGTGGAGGGGAAGAGGGGACCGTCTTCTAGGTCTGTGACGGGGGTAACGGTTGAGGACATCGTTTTGGTTTCGGTTGGGATGGTAGTTTGGGTGATTGGGGTTTCCATTGTTGGGTTGTGTGGTTGTAGGTCTGTGGGGTTAAAGGTTGAAGTTGAAGTTTGAGATTTGTTGCGGGTTTGTTGATCCAGGGGAGGGGCGAATTGGGAGACGGTGGGGTTTTAGCGCAAGGGAGATCGACGCAGGAAATTTGTTCGATTAATTTGATTGATTCTGATCAGGAATCTTTTGGAGGAGAGAATTGGGAGGAGAGGAAGAAAGGAGTAGATTGATGAAGGAGGTTTAATAGAACATTTGCATGAGGTGGTTCCAAGGTTACGGTGTGAGACATTGCCCCTGGTACTATTAATATATCCAGGGCTGCGCATACCAATGCTCCCGTGAAACTCTGCCTGGAAATTAGGTATATTTTCATGTGTGGTTTTTATTCGCGGATCTTGGTTGAACACAAGTACAATTGTCTTTCTCTCTCTCTCTCTTTGCTTTACATACGTCGGTTGTTACTATTTATAACTCATGCGCCATGACAGGATTATAGGAATACAATGCTTCTTATTCAGTATACAAGCCCTATTAGAACAAGTCTATAGTGACATAGGTTGAACAGCTAGGCTGTCAATTAGTTTTTAAACTCCTTGGGAGCGAGCATCAGCTCGGGGCGGACGTGCTTGTCGAAGTCCTCCTCGCTGAGAGCCTTAAGCTCCATAGCGGACTCCTTCAGGGTGAGACCCTTCTTGTGGGCGTTCTTGGCGACCTTGGAGGCCATATCGTAACCAATGACGGGGTTCAAGCAGGTAACGAGCATCAGACTAAAATCCAGTTAGTAACGTACAAGCAATGATGTAGAAAAGGAACGGGAAGCATACCTCTCGTGGAGAAGGGCGTTGATGCGGGACTCGTTGGCCTCAAGACCATCAACCAGGTTCTTGCGGAAGCTGTCCATGCCATCCGACAGAATGCGGACGCTGTGGAGCAGGTTGCGGATCATGACGGGCTTGAAGACGTTCAGCTCGAACTGGCCGTTCATGCCACCGATGGTAGCGGCGACGTGGTTACCCATAACCTGCGAGCAGACCATAGTCAGGGACTCGCACTGGGTGGGGTTAACCTTGCCGGGCATGATGGAAGAGCCGGGCTCGTTCTCGGGCAGGCTCAGCTCACCCAGACCGCAGCGGGGGCCAGAGCCGAGGTAACGGATATCCTGGGCGATCTTGAACAGAGACGCGGCCAGGGTGTTCAGGGAGCCAGAGGCCTCGATGATGGAGTCATGGGCAGCAAGAACCTCGAACTTGTTAGGGGCGGTCTTGAACTCGGTGCCGGTCATCTTGGAGATCTCGGCGGCAACGGCCTCGTCGAAGCCCTTGAAGGTGTTCAGACCAGTACCAACGGCGGTACCACCCTGGGCAAGGAAGCGCAGGTGGGGGATGCTGGCCTCGACGCGCTCAATGTTGCGGTCCAGCTGGGCGACGTAGCCAGAGAACTCCTGGCCGAGAGTGAGAGGGGTAGCATCCTGCAAGTGGGTGCGACCAATCTTGATAATGTGGTCGAAGGCCTCAACCTTCTCTTGGAGGGCGTTGCGCAGACCCTTGAGGGAAGGGAGCAGGGTGTTCTCGAGCTCCACAACGGCGGCGATGTGCATGACGGTGGGGAAGGAGTCGTTGGAGGAAGCCGACATGTTGACGTGGTCGTTGGGGTGGACGGGCTTCTTGGAGCCCATCTCGCCGCCCAGGATCTCAATGGCACGGTTGGAGATGACCTCGTTGGAGTTCATGTTGGACTGGGTACCAGAGCCGGTCTGCCAGACAACCAGAGGGAAGTGGTCCAGCAGCTTACCCTCGGCGACCTCGGCGGCGGCCTGCTTGATGGCCTCACCGATCTTGGGGTCTTTGTGATGGTCAGTACCGTGGTTTTTGGCGTATTTATCTTTCAGTTCCGCATAATTCACTTACCAAGGCCGTACTTCATGTTGACAGTGGCGGCAGCACCTTTGAGGATACCGAAAGCCTTAACAACGGGGTCGGGCATGCGGTCCTGGGGCTGGTTGATGTTGAAGTTGCTCAGGGAGCTATTTTCAATATCTCATCAGTTTCGCCTGCGCTGTATACCATTTGGGGGTTCGTATGGTTCGTCTTACCGCTGGGTCTGGGCACCCCAGTACTTGTCTGAGGGGACCTAATCAAGACTCAAATTAGAGATCCGTTGTCAAATGAGGGGGCAAATGCTGGAAGAAGACTTACCTGGATCTCGCCAAAGGCATCGCTCTCAGTGCGAGAAGAGGAAGACTGCATTCTTGTTAACAGAGTCCACATAGATTATGGTTTCAACTCCCTACCATCTTGGTTGTGCTGAAAGCTCTCTTGTTGTTGTTAAGAACCTGGAGGCGGGGGAATTGACCGAGACGGCTACTGGTGCTCAAAGCCCGGCTGGCATAGACCGGGGTACGAGCAGCAGCCGACACGAGAGCGCGGGCTGCGGGGTTGGCAGCTCTGGTCGCATGTGTCAAGGTAGCCATCGACCGCACCGCGGCTCGGGAGGTAGAGGGATTCATTGTGCCTGTAAATAGGTAAAACTGTGGCAAAAAATTCCAGTTAGAGTGTCCAATGGCTTGCTTGAGTGGATATGGACAATAGGACGGGGTCAGGACTCTACCTTTTTATAAACAGCGAACAAGAAGAAGAAAAGAAGAAACAATTGAACACCGAGTCTGAAAGCCGACTCTTCCCGGTATCGGCATAACAATACCACACAGTTGATCCGATCTGCCGTAGCCGGTTACTCCAGTAACATTTCGTTATATCTGTAATATATTGTATTGTACTGTCATCACCCTAACGCTTATACGTTCTTCCCTAATTTATCTGATCAAGTGATCTTCACGCCAGCTCCCGTTGCAGTGCTGCGATCACAGCTGCATTGTACTGTCGCCCTCCTTCAAGAATACCATCCAAGGCGCATAGCACATGAGGTGCCCCTATATATCGCTTGAGTTCTACGCGAACCTTTGCTGCTTCGAGCTTAGCTGCATATACTTCACCCTCATCACGCAAAGGATCAAGCTCAGCTGTTGTGATTAGGGCCGGAGCTAGCCCTTCAAAATCTGGAGCGAGCATGGGAGATATTTTCCAATCCTAACAAAAAGGTCAGCTTAGGGCCTACTGTAATCAATGGCTTTAAGGTTACCGACATCTTTAGATGGTGGAGGTCGAGGAACACCGAGGAAGTGTCGGTGAAAGTATGCCATGCGGGCCGCAGGGAGTGCTGGAGCAAACTCCATCTCTCGGTAGGATTCGTATGGGCAGTTTTCACGGTCAAATTTTCCATCTGGAGTAAAAACACTATGCAGGTCGCACACGGGGACAGTTAAAACTTGCAATCCCAAAGGGATCCCCTCATCGCGACAAAGATGCGCGATGACAGCTGCAAGATGGCCACCTGCAGATGCACCACCTACAGATAGTCGGGTCGGGTCGAGGTTAAGCTTGGTCGCCATTTTGGTTCGGATCTTAAACACTGTCAGTCCTACTGACTCGACTTTTTAGTATTTGAGCTTTACTTCGTACCCAATTGAAAGCCACCCAGCAATCATCTACCGGAATTGGAAATGGATACTCGGGAGCTAGTCGGTAATCCACATCAAATGCAACAAGGTTTCCGTCAAGACCATCAACAAGGGTCTTGCAGAAATCATGATCAGTAGCTAGGCTTCCAAATACCCATCCGCCGCCGTGGAAGTTGATATAGGCTGCCCTTTTCTGTTGTTCACCGTGTATACTTTGCTTAGGAGCTGGTTCAAATATACGAATAGTGATCTCGCCCCCCTTGACGGGGCATTTTTGTTCAGTTATGCGATAGATATCGGTACCACGAGCACGGCCGTAAGAAATGAGATAACGGGCCGGGTTCTGGCGAAGCTCGTCGATTGGAACCTCGTGGGTATGCAGACGTCCAGCGTTGTACTTGTTGTAGTGCTCGACATATACGGGGTCATAGCGATTGATCAGTTCCTATGGGATACTGTTGTGGAGAGGTTGGTAGACTTCTGGGATGCGCAAGTCATGCAAGGTCGGGTCTGTCTGGTAGTCTTGGGTCATTTTGAACGTTTGATTTCTTTGAGACGCGAAATTACCTTTGAAAGAAACGCTCGAGTCAAGCAATATAAGGAGATCTCATGAGGGGAGGCTCGAGGGTACATTGATATATGTATCCATCAATGATTGGCTCTCCGTGGTTGCATGGCGCGGGGTGATTCAGTCTCCAAGCCTTATTCCGAACCTCCGGTCATCAACATGATACGATTCCCTCCGATATCTTTGCTTTTGTCAGTGAAAGTATCAACATCAGCTACAGAAAGAAACTGAATGTTCAAATGATCAAGCCAATTCAAGGGTTGAACCTTCAAATGTTGGCAGTTGTGAGTCTTGATCTATGAGGAAAACCAACTATATATTTCCACTACACTGTGTCTCCCAGACATCATATCAGCAACCACCCACAACATCTATGACTCCCTCTCGACATGAGATATACACCCTTGAGGACTTCTCATACTAATCAAGAAATGGAATCCGAATTACATATCGCACAATTATCTCAAAAGGGGCAGCATATATTTGATGACGTCCCATGCCGGTATATTGCAAGGTTTAGACCCACACTTGATTTGTCAACTTCAACAAGAATCCCATCAATGAATCACTAACAAAGGCTAGAAACGGCATAAATGGCCTCGTGACCTATATCCATACGAACATGACCAGAAGATTGGGGAAACCGGCATTAAGCGGTTGTTCCCGCGGGGCAAAAAAATATCTTTAAGATGGCGATATCGGGTCCACTTGACTCAGCGTGGGACCTGGATCTGCCCGCATTTCCACGTTTACTTTTCATTCCAATTCATTGATTGCAACAATTTTCCTCCCAATCTTCCACCCCCTCAATCGCCTTATATACACCATGGAAAAAGTTCCTACCCGTCTCAATGTGGCCCCCGTCCCACCAGACGAGATCTTCGCCTTGAACGGCGCCTACTTCGCCGATACCCACCCGCAAAAGGTCAGCCTGGGCGTAGGCGTTTACCGCACAGACGACGGCAAGCCATGGCCCCTACCAGTCGTGGAGAAGGCCGAGAAGCAGCTGGCGGCTGAGAACGACCTCATGCGACACGAATACACCGCGATCGAGGGCGATGTCCCGTTCCTGGGACTGGCGCGGGACCTGATGTTTGGGTTCGAGAACGGTGACGGCGACGTCGACGCCAAGGCACGCATCGCATCAGTGCAAACCGTTGCCGGAACAGGTGCCAATCACCTCGGTGCCCTGTTCCTGGCGCACCACATGAAGCCGCGTAATGTCTGGCTGTCGAACCCATCATGGGCGAACCACATGACTATCTGGGAATTGGCCGGAGTACCCCGCAAGACCTACCCTTACTACCACGCTGCGACTCGGTCGTTCGACTTCGAGGGTATGATTGCTACACTCGAATCCGAGGCACAGGAGGGTGATGCTGTTCTTCTGCACGCCTGTGCACACAACCCCACCGGTCTGGACCCGAATAAGGAGCAGTGGATGGCCATTGCGGATGTGTGTGAGCGCAAGAAGCTCTTCCCCTTCTTTGACTCCGCGTACCAGGGTTTCGCCTCTGGATCTGTCGAGGAGGACGCATGGGCTGTCCGCTACTTCTTTAACAACAAACCTGATATGGAGATGTGCGTGGCGCAGTCTTTCTCTAAGAACTTTGGTCTGTACGGTCAGCGTGTTGGTGCTTTCCACTACGTTACCAATCGCAGTGCTACTGTTATTCGCGATATCATTGTCAACAACTTATGCCATTTGATCCGTGGCGAGTTCTCCATGGGCCCGCGTATCGGTACCACTATCGTGAAGAAGATCTTGACAAACGAAGAATTGGTCGCCGATTGGCACCAGGACCTGCAGGTTATGAGCTCCCGCATTAAGACCATGCGTCAGGCGCTGTACAACGAGTTGGTTCGTCTGAAGACTCCTGGCACTTGGGAGCACATTATTCAGCAGGTAAGCTACATACTGGAAACCAAATTTCTCTCAATTTACTAATCGTCTATCTAGAATGGAATGTTCTCCTACACCGGTCTGACTCCCAAGCAAGTCTACGCTCTCAAGGACCAGTACCACATCTACATCCTTAAGTCCGGCCGAGCCTCCATCAGCGGCTGTAAGTATTTACACTGCATTAAACATCCTGAAACAAACGCGCTAATCATATCCCGGTCTAGTGAGTGAGAAGAATGTCAAGTACGTGGCACAAGCCATCGACGACGTCATTCGTACCGTGCTTTAAATTGCACTATAACACATAAGTGATTTGGTTCAAATTTCGGGTTCGCATTTGCTGAGAAAGGCCCTCCCTTTTGACCTTTGAGATGAGATGACATGCATAAGGCGGGTTACCGGTCCTTACCTACTAACGAACGTTGATGATAGACTTCATAGATCATGACCGCCATGTATGGTCCATCCTGCATTTTACCTTAGATACAAATTGGGTCTTCTCCAATTTATTAGAATATCAGGTTGCATTAAGAAAACTATCTACTGTACACAAATAACAAACTGTAAAAGGGTAAACATCGGATGCTCGTAACTAAAACACTCTGCCTAGCATGCCCTAGACCGCGATGACGTGAAACTGTACTGGATATAATCGTGGAAGCGCCCAAGACAAGAGAAGGCGGGACAAAGATTGGTATCGGGAAATGAAAAAGGGAAAGCGCTAGAGTGTTACTTCACTGAAGTCTCCTTCGCCCTCCTTCCCTTTACCCTTAGGACTGGGCTCGTCTCCTTCAGGTTTGTGCTGTGGAAGTGTACTTTCTTTGGTCTCTTCTTCACTCTCAGTCTGAACTGGTGTTTCCTCGATCTTTTCCGGCTCCGGCACAGATTCTGCGTGCCCGTTCTGCTGAGGTGTTTCCTCTGCATCATCGGACTCATCCTTGGGCGGTGGTGGGGGCGGAGTACTATCCTCATCTTCTGACCCGACCTCTTCCGTCAGCGCTTGTGGCTGGACAGTCGTCTCACCACCAGGGAACGGCGTCAGAGGTGGTTCAGCAGGAGGCTGCTCTGGTTCACTGCGCTGTGGCTGCGTACTAGGTCTGCCCTGAGCAGTCGTAGCAGCAGACATAGTAGATGTAGTGCGTTGATGCGAGGAACCATGAATAACACCGAGCTGACGGGCCTTGGGATCCGCATTCAAATAGTACCCACGCACACCAGCAATTGTACCTTCCGATTCACAGGCATCGACCCATTCAGGCACCACTACCGGGATGTTCATCTCAACAGCCTTTTCCCACAGCGGGCCGCGGCCCTCTGCACAGACGAAGTGGGTCGTATCAATGCGCACGGTATCAATCATCTTGCCACCAATCCGGTCCAGCGTAGCGCCCAATGCCTCCTTGCGCGCAGGGTCCAGAATGCCAGGTGTCACTGTGATACCGGAGAGATCGGTCATCTTGTGTGTACGGCATGTCAGCTTCTCGGACTGGTAAGTGCCAGCGGTCGTGCGCAAGACGAGGTGGAAGGTGTATTCGGCATGAATGGCCAGACCACTGATCTTGGTGCTGCGAGTCTCGAGCGGGCGGGGTATGGAGCCAGCCTTGGAGTTGTTGCGGTAGAGTGAGAGCGATTTCAGGGACGCGGTGGCTAGGTCGATGGGGTCCCATTCGAGAACAAGGGAGGTTTGGGTTGCATTGCGCAGGCGGAGGATGGGCGGCGATGGGGTCTTCACGCCGTAGGTGTTTAGAATGCGCTTCTGGAGGGATTGGAAGGCGTTGACGTTGGCTGTTTCCGCGGCGTGGTTGCGCGCAACATTGATGTCGACGATGCTGCCCGAGGAAATGTTATTTGGGAGGAGAACTGAGGGGAATTCGATCTATGTTTGATTTGATTAGTATATATTTGGTGCTTGATTCTCTGTGCTGAGTTCCTGGCAGTGTCCGTTTGGGGAGCCTCAGGCGACCAGGGGCTTGCTTACGATGCGGTTGTCCTGGGTCAAGAGCACCGCGACGCCGGCGTCTACCTTGCCGACAGTCAAGGAGACTAGCATTGTGAGAGGATTTTAGGTGAAGACGAGAGGAGTTAGGAGGTGGTGGTGTTGATCGGAGGGAGGAGGTGTATTTGACAAGTCCGGTGTTGATTCCGCCAGATCGGCATTTAGCGAGGCTTGAGGCCGCGGGAGCTAATATACGCCTGTTCTATATTTACCCTTTTAACTCCGCCAACTATCAAATTCATAATTGAAACCACATTGATACATTTGTAACATTAAGCGGAAATAAAATGAATAGTGGATATATTTTGGAATCAACTCTAACGCCATGCAATGATGCTCAGATAATATACAGGTATGCCTTACTCGGGCTGGTGATATGATACATATTTGTACATGGTTAATCAAGCCTTGTCCTTCCAAAGCCTCGGATGCCTTGCGACTTCCTTCGCCCTGTTTTCGAAATCCGCGGACCGTTGTTGCAGAACATTCCGTAGGAGGTAATGGGCATCTCGCTGGACTACCTTGAAATCACGGTTGATGCATCCAGGACGAAGTGTAAGCTCCAATGAGCCTGTGAGATTGTGCTTGCGGGGTGTGGGCGAATCCTTTAGCGGAATACCCAGATCGTCATAGCCTTGGTTTCTCAACGCCTCTTGAAAGGCGAGTCGCGCTCTGCGTGCGCACCAAGAACGAACAACTCGTTTAGCATTTTTGAGAGGTGCTACCGATACCCTCCACCACAGAGTATTCTTATCACGCGTCTTCCACATGTGCACAATTTTAGGACGAATTGGATGGGTAGGAGAGCCCAGATAGCGTTGCGCAATGGAAGGAACGGTATTTATCGGACAATAGCGGACGTTCATGCTAGACGAGGATGAGGATAACCACTTCGCGCTAGACGAGGTTGAGGATAAACCATTCATGACGATTCAGTGCGCACCGCGGGAGTCTGCCAGATTGGCTGGTAGGGAAATTGTGTCGTAGCGGAACCACGTCGGATCATAGCGAATTCAATCGAGGATCATGGAGATCTGAAGGCCTGGCAAGGTCATGCGCCCGGGTTGTGAAGGCTTCGAGCCTGTTTGGTACCTGAATTGTGTTCAGGGGTCCTTGAAGCCTCAAAATCATAAATAGGATATGAGTCTCAAAGAATTCCAGGAACCGCTCTGGTCCAACGATCTGGAAAGTTCACAACTTCTCCGATCACACCTGATTGTTATCGCGTGCTTCGGTACCTTTTTTTTCTGCCAAGTCAATACTAGGCGGTGGGAATTTATAGGCCTGAAAGACAAGGCCTGGATTGTCGCCTTTGTGCCTGATTAGGTAAGACGCAGATTTGAGCAGGACACAAGATCCCCCACTCCCAACACTCTTTCCTTCCACTCGACCACTCCGGGGATTATCTAGTCCTCTTTTTCTTCTTCCAACGAAGAAAGAACCACGAGCACCATCACATAGCGAGACTTGAGTCCAGTGAAGGTCACGTCCCACCGCTATGCCCAAGAACAAGGGAAAGGTAAGAATGCAAAATATTCAGCCCCTCCTTGTTGGAATGTGTCACCCGCCACCGTCCCTCATGGGCGGCCAACCACCCATAAGATAGGTTGATGATGACGGAAAAATGTGCTCATTTCAACTTGATATTCTTTCGCATCGCATTCTTGCAACACAAATACTAACAAATGAATACAGGGCGGTAAGAACCGTCGTCGTGGTAAGAACGAGAATGACAACGAGAAGCGTGAGCTTGTCTTCAAGGAGGATGGCCAGGAGTACGCTCAGGTCGTGAAGATGCTCGGTAACGGTCGTCTTGAGGCTCTCTGCTTTGATGGCGAGAAGCGTCTGGCCCACATTCGTGGCAAGCTCCGCAAGAAGGTCTGGATCAACCAGGGTGATATCATTCTCCTGTCTCTCCGTGACTACCAGGATGAGAAGGGCGATGTTATCATGAAGTACACCGCCGATGAGGCCCGTTCCCTGAAGGCCTACGGCGAGCTGCCTGAGCACGCCAAGATCAACGAGACCGATACCTACGGTGCCGAGGGCGCAGACGACAACGTCGAGTTCGACGAAGACCGCGAGAGCGAGGATGAGAAGGAAATCGATGTCGACGAGCTCTAAGCTCACCCATATACACCCCAGAGCTCGATGCTCTCTGCCCTGCGAGGGTGCCATTTTCATGGCGCTCTCCAGATGTTTCGCCACAAACCCCTCTTACACTGCCGCTGATGGTGGTCAGTACACTGGATCTAATGCGTCTTATCACTCGAGCCTCCTTGTTCCATGAGGTCGATATCAGATCATTTCATTCGTTTTTTGAACGGGTAACAAGCATCCGTCAACCAGTTCACAACGCTGCACTCCATCACGGCTCTGCATGAGGATGAGGGCTTCCTTGTATCCCCTCTTGGGCGCTTCGACAATTCACCAGGGCATGAAGTCATCGACGATACGGTTTCGGGATTTGTATGTTGGCTGTTGGGTTTCTGGGGTCGATTGTTTACTACAGTTCCCTATATGTCTTTGCAAAATACCCGGGATCATGCTGCGCAGAAAAGTGGTGGCAACTCGCATGATGAACCTGCGTGTATGTTTACCTGCATTGCATTGTATGCTATGCGTCCTGCTCTGTTTAGCCTACTTTCCTTCCATTCCTTTCGAGTGATAGAGTTATGAAAAAGGTCACAAGAATTGAAAATAGTCCATTATCACGTTCCAAGCCACATGATATTAGTAGAGGCGGATGTCAGTACTTTCTTGATTAGAATTCTGTTGATGAGAACTCTGTTCCCACCCTAAGCATCATCCTGGATCCATATGTACACCAAACCGAGGTCAACCTTCCTGTTCTGGGGTCCAACTTTACTCCAAATATTGCATACTGGAGAGCTTAGCACACCCAACGCACCCAGTCGCTGATCAGATAATCTGGAGAAGCAAAGCTTAATATTCATCATAAGAACATCTGTATCCTTCGCTAAATATGTGAAGCATTACGGGCTCCTAATGGTAGTAGCCCCCAGAGCTTGGATAGTAGCATTGCACCCCCATAGAACGAATTCACAATTCGTAACAGCAACCGTACTACATAAACCAGCAACCTAGTATTTCTCAAGCAATAGAAAAGAATACTAGCGCATAGATCTAAAATCAATTCACAAGCTCCCCTCCCCACCCGTAGACCCATTCACGCACCCAAAACTCCCAAACATCGCCTTAGCAGCAGCCTGCCAGACTGTCTCCTGTTGCAGATAATTCTCCAGCGTGTAGAAAAGCCGACACTCCGCCGCCTCATAAACAAATTGTAATGGTGTCTGATCGTCAACCGGATCATACTCATTCCGCAGATTCAAATTGCCGCTCCACGCAAACGACTCCTCAAGACTGGGGCTGGATTCGTTAAATTTCTTCCATTCAGCCTGTGTCAGGAGTGGAGAGGATGTATTGGCTGAGTTGCGAATGAGTGTATTCGCTTGCTGGATGTAGCCGTTGATATAGTCAATACCGAGGGACTGGCCACCCTTGACGCCGCCGACGCCTTGCATGGGTTCGTTTTTGGGACGGCCACCGAAGGCGATTGTGCGGACGCCTTGCCGTTTCATTAATTTGACGAAGAACGCGCAGGTAGAGACGCAGTCGCCGTCGGTTATCTAGATAGGTTAGATGTAGAATGGATTTGAACAAGGGAAGACTTACGATGGCGATATTTTCTGCGGTGAAGAGGGCTTTGGAGGGTTTCAGTGGGATGGAACCGTAGCCATTGATCGGATATACCGTGGTTGAGGAGGCCGTGTAGTTAAAATTAGCGAGTAGGCTAGATGAAGAACTCCCCAAGACATCGTGAGGTCCATAGAGATCTTCCCAGGAACTGAAGCCAGTGTCTTGGCTTGGAGTAACCATTTCCCTGTAGGCGAAGATGTTGCTCGAATCTTTTGTGTTATCTTGCGAATAGGCCTGCGTCAAGTACTTCGCGGCATCATGTGCCCTGAATCGTGTTGCGGTGTAGGGAAACGAGCTCGGGAAGAAAATGCGAGACATGTCTATTCCTGTAGACATGTAGCCTCCCGGGTTGGCAGTGACGTCGATCAAGATATTCTTCTTTCCTGCGGCGATGGCATTTTGCAAGAAGTTAACAGTTACCCGAGCCACTTGTGATGGACTCGAGGCGAACGTCGGCAAGAAAAGGATAGCCGTGTCCTGAAGACTAGTAAGATTTGAGAAGTAGCCAGCAATAGATCCTTCAGGATTGCCTAAAGTGGCATCAGGGAGCCCGGTCACTTCAGATGCTTGCTCGGCACCCGCATCTGAGCTTGCCTCTGTTGGCAAGCTTTGTGGAAGGCAGTTGATGTTGTACAGCTCTGTTCCATTCTGGTAGGAAAAGTACCTCTCCATTGGTTTGGCAGTCTTTTGGACAGTCTGGCTGGTCCCGTTAGAGTACTTTATGGTGAGCTCTGACCCTTCAGTCCAGGCGCCGTTTGTAGCCCAGATGCCATTCTGGTCGGTTGGAGTATTGGTGAAGATACGTGCCAGTGCCGGGAAGACTCGGTTATATCTGAAATGTCAACAAAATTCTTTGATGACGAGAAGGGAACTCACTGTGCATCGCGATCTTGAAGGCTTTGACTTAAAGCATATAATTCAAGATAGTCAGCAACAGCAGTGCCATTGATGGATTCAATAGATGACACATCCTTTGAACCGCTCTTTTGGGCTCTGGCGTCACCTAGTATGAATCAGCACGTGTCTTCAACATTTGAAAGTAGATGGGGATCACATACTAAGCGTGAACACCTCCGGCAGTGAAAGTCCGTCCGACGAAATCGAAATAAGAGGCAAATCAATCTGAAAGCTGAAAATTGACTGTGAGCACAGTTGGAACGCTAAGTGACCATCGTGAGCAGATGATATGAGACTGGAGACATCCAAGTCCATCTCAAATTGACTAGAATATTCCCCGTTGTCGACCTTCTCTAGAATGGAATCAATTCCCCCTAGGAGATCGGTAGACGGCATATCATAGCCAGACGGTGGATCTATCGGATACAATTAGAATTCAAAGGGGAAATGATTGTTTGGGCTTTTACTCTTGAGAATATCAACCGTAGACTGAAACTCGAGCATCTTGCGAACCTGATTCAGGAAAACAACCGCACGGTCCGAATCGAAAGGCATCGACATCAGGCATTGAAAAGCCAATTCATGAGATACCGAAGTAGTTGCTGAAATGATTAGCCGTGTACATCCGAATACCAAGCAGACGACATACTTTGGTCCTGATTACTGCTTGAGACTAAGTTGGTAATCTGCGCACACGGCTCAATATCGCGTGCTTTCTTGCTTGCCCCAACAACCGCCGCCAACATGACCGGGGCCAACAATGTTGTCTTGAGATGCATGGTTGGGAAGTTGAAAATGTCAAAAAGCGAAGTCGGTTCCAAAGTGTTTTGTATGGGTTTCCCCACTCTCAGGGGCCTAGTGGACCCTTGCGTGGCGTGTCGATTTCTATTTTAGCGGATCTGCAGGCCCAGGATCGCCGCCAAGACGGTGAATGCGAATTGGACTGTCCAAAAACCCGGATGGCTCAGGCTGTGATGATGATTTAGCTTATTCTCAAGGTTTCTGTAGCCAGCCGCAATTGAAAGGGTGCAATAGGGAAGGCACCGTCACTGGGTACGTCTGTTTACTTACTACATCTTGGTTGCCTTGGCTACCTGATAACTTTTCATCCGATTATATTTCAATAATTCTAAAATGGGATTATAATCTTGAGTAACCTTGAAAAACTTGGATCCTATTACTCAGTACCTTATTCTATTTATTACCATATCATAAGCTTTATCCGCCGTGCAGGTATACGCGACGTCTAGTGCGGAATGAATAGGACATCAATCATTGTAGTAGTATAGTGTATTGATAACATCGCTATATTTACTGTGCATTGAATAGACTCTCCGACAGATAAGTTAGGGGATATCGTAGGACATACTACAGGAAATGAAGGATATGAGAGAGGCTAGGTTCACGGTGTAGGGAGAGAGGTCAAACGACAAGTATGGTTAATGAGGCAATAAGAATTATAGAAGATCTCAAATGATTCAAAGAAACTAGATCAACGCTAATCAAAGGTCCTAGTCCTTTTTGGATTTGTTCAGCTCCTTCATGCGTGCCTCAATTTCCTCGTGTGAGGCCTTGGGTGGCATCTCTGATCGAAGATTAGCAACTGAAATACTTGTCACGATTCATTAACAAACCGTCAGGGATTTGCGGTCCCTTAGATATGTGGTCGAAAGCCGTAGCCTTTGGTTTATCTTCGGGTTTAGTGTGGGGCTCGTTGCCTTCCTTGGCAGTAGGGAAGGTTTCGGCATCCGGAATGATGGGCATCTTGAGGTATAATATCTTTAGAGATAATAGAAATAAGATAAAGTTGAGCTTTAGAGTCACAGAGAATACAATAAAAACAGTTTGGGATGATGGAAAGACAGGGTTTTGTTGCTGATAATGAGCCCTTATATAGATCCCTGTGGAATGACGTCGGCGGTCGGGTGGGAAGCTTGGTCTTACAGAGAGGCAACGTCAGGTTAGAAAAGAAGATGCCTAGCTCTGGCTGTAAGCATTTGAGAGGGATTTCATCCTTAATGAAACCTTTCAATCCAGTATTCAGTTCTAAGTTTTAGGTCGATAGTTTTTGTATACCGTCATTCTTGTCTTCGTCTGCCGTCTTGGTGCGTATTGTCCACTTGTCCATAACGCTCTGCTTTTGCCGGCAAGTCTTTTGGAACCAGGTAAAGTAGATCTGCTGGAATAGAAAAAGACCTCAACATCGCACAGAGGATATAGGGTGAAATTGCCGCGTGCGCCGGTAGCTCCTTACATAGTACTTTGAAGATACCACGTGCCTCGTGGCAAAGACGCGCCATAATCAAGTACCGCCCGCGTACTCCGCCCCCCGCCAACGTCTTGTCTTCTTTCGTTCTTTCGCACACTCTCTCACTTCAAGGCAACCGCCGGTCGGCTCCTTTCCAATTTCTCACCTTCGACCATCCCTGTGATCTGCCTCCGAACGACTCCGCTCACCGTTCGATCCACCCCCTGAGTCCACAGCGCTTACCCCCCTGTAAACTGGGGCCATTCCAGCTGCACCGCCCGGCTGCCATGCGCGATCGACCCGTTTAACGCCTACCAACATCGTCACACATACCCCTCTTCTCCATTTCCTGGGCTTTCTTTTGTCATGTCGGGTCTCAAACTCCTGAGCAAGGCCGAGGAAGCCATTGTCGAAAGACATCTGCCCAAAGACATCACAAAAGCTGTCGCACGACTGCTCGTCGCCAATCCAGACCCAACAAAATGGCAGTACACTGGGCTGCAAGGCGTAATAGCCCTATGCGAGGACACGGTAGGACATTGCTTTTGGCTGAAAATGGTCGACGTCTCGGTACGTAGCTCCAATTCCCCTGATAACGAGGAGAGACTGACATTAGATTCCGTTATAGCCCGGTGGAAGTGGTAGTGTGATCTGGGACCTTGAGATCGAACAAAACTTTGACTATGTCAAGGAAAGAGAATTCTTTCATTCCTTCGTTTTCGATGGTGTTCTGTTTGGTCTCTTGTTCGCCGACTTGAAAGAAGCAAAGGAGTTCCTGGCCGGAATCGAAAAGCGTGAGAAGGTCGCAAGCAAAGAGACCAAAAGAAATCCATATAAGTCCTACGAGAATGGTGCCCTCCTCGTGGATCCTCATTCTACCAACGAGAAGAAAACAAAATCTAGGTTTGGAAGTTTGCTGCATCGCTCATCTCATAGCCCCAATCCCACTCCCGTGCATTCAATAATACCTGTCGCGCAACCACCTACGCAACTACCAGCTCAACCCCCAGCACAACCCCCAGCACAACCCCCGGCACATTCGGTCAGCTCGGCTCCAAACGGCCTGTTATTTGACCCCAAAGATCCGCAATGGAAATGGCTGGTGGATCAGCTCTTTGACATGGGTATTACGGGAGACCAAATTGTTGAGAATGCCGATTTTATCAATGATTATATCAGGGAACAGGGCTTCCTCTCAGCAGCTCCGGCACTCGCCTCAACTGAGGACCAACATAAGCCAAGGACAGCTCCCCCACCTCCTCCGGGCCCCCCAGTTCCCAAGACCCACCCAATCAGTCCCCAGGATACAGGAAGCAGCTCAGGAAGTCGACGTGGTCCTCCACCGCCACCGCCAGCTCGAAAGTCTCGTTCAGATGCTGTGGAAGAGCCTATCTCATCGCCTCCGCGCGAGCCATCACCGCCAGCTCGGAGGTTTAATGTACCGCCTCCCTTCGCGGATGCAGGCAAGTTAGTCGTGTCCGAAGGCCCTGCCGAACGCAGACGACCACGAGCGATTTCGAGTGCTGCAAATGCTCCCCCACCACCACCGCTACCCCCGAAGACACCGATGGATGACAGCCAGCCTCGATTTGGAGTTCCTCCCCCATTCTCGGGTGATCGCAAGGTCTCCGCACCGCCTGCACCTCCTAGTCGCAGTCCAGTTCCTGGTGGACCCCCACCTCCACCACCCCGTGGGAATATTGCGCCTCAACTTCCACCTAAGGTCCCAAACACAGCTGCTCCGGGACTTCCTCCCCCTCCGCCTGCCAGGGGACCTACATCTCCACCCCCGCCGCCAGCCCCTCGGCCAGCCCCAGCATCATTCGCGCCTGCATTGCCCCCGCCGCCGCCACCTCGGGGCCCGGCTTCACCTCCTCCGACAGAACCGTATAGCGCAGGCCCTCCACCGCCACTTCCAGGCCGCTCTGTGCCTTCAGTACCGCCCCCACCTCCACCCAGTGGTCCAACCGGTGGGCCTCCACCCCCTCCAGCGCGCTCTACACCTTCGGTTCCCCCTCCGCCTCCTCCCCCTGGTGGCAGCTTTACCGCACCACCTCCCCCCCTCCCCCAGGACCAAGCTCTGGCGCACCTGGCGGACTCCCACCACCACCTCCTCCCCCAGGTCGCTCAGGACCTTCAGTTCCGCCACCACCTCCGCCCCCTGGTGCTTCAGGAGGACCACCGCCCCCACCCTTGCCCCAGACTGGCGGAGGCGGTCGAGACGATCTTCTGGCAGCTATTCGCAACTCCGGCGGAGGAGGCTTGCGGAAAGTCAGTGCCTCGGAGAAGAAAGACCGAAGTGCAGCCATGGTTCCTGGAAGCGCTGCCGAATCATCTGCAGCAGCTTCTAGCTCAGGTCCTCCACAAGGTGGCTTGGCTGGTGCCTTACAGGATGCATTGAAGAAAAGGAAGCAGAAAGTCAGCGGAAGTGGTGAGTATTTTCGATCCTTGAAGAATTAAATTTGTACTTACTATCCTTGCAGATGACGAGAAGGAAGATGACGACGATTGGTAGAATATTGTCTTTTTGCATGGGATCGCTTCTTTCATTCATAATACCTATATCCTTGCCTAGGCATTTCTCTTGCGGCCATTAAGCATGATTTCCCTCTCTTTGAACTTGCAGCGACTTTTTCAAAAGCTTGGTTTCGAGCGTGGAGGGAAGGCAGTTATGCTTTGAATATATTTCTTAGTTCAAGCCCCAGTGGATGCTGTTTAGACTGATACGGTACCTCGTAAAAGTTCCACCGTAGCCAAATTTCCAAGGTTAGAAACTGCGCAGTCGTGTACATAGGCTGTCCAACAATCAGCACTCAGTTCCAGGGCTGTACCAACTAGTTGACTTCAACAGGCATGGATGATTCAGGCTTGAGAGAAACATTGAAAACTTGATCTTGGGAATCAACTTGAAACATGTCCTAGAAGAAGCTGGAGGTAGCATTATCAGAGACAGTATCTTTTCATTGTGCATGCATCCAATTAATAATCACCCCAGGTGCTGGATCACTGACCACACCTGAGCATGCATCAATTATGTACAAATATTACACTCCCCAGAGTCCAAAACCACTCAAGCTCAGACACCCTAGAAAGAAACAGGCTTCTTGCCAGCCGGAACGGGCTTCTTTCCAGTACCCTCACCACCAGCAGATGGCTTAAGCAACCAAAGCGAATCCCCAACAGACCCATCACTTCCCTTGATGTACTCCCACTTCATAGCAGTAGCATTTGCAACAGTCATCTTACTGAACCCATACTCCTTGGTGTTAAGCACCGCAGTAATATTAGTCAGACCCTCTCCATCACTGAACTCACTGTGGCTTTCAATGTTGCCGGCCATACCATTGATAATATGCGTCATGGAAGTACCAGGATTCATGCGGTAGGTGTTGTTGTTCAACACGGACGCAGTATCAATGGTACCATTCGCACCAAGCGGGAACAGGCGCTCATACCAATGGATATGGCCAGAGAGGTACGCATCAACGCCGTGCTCGAGGAAGAGTGCTTCGAAAGCTGCACGGATCTTCTTCTGGTAGGAAGAGTAGGCGGAGCTGTACATGGGTCTGTGGCTCATGACAACGACCCATGGTGTCTTGGAGCGGTCGATGCTTGAGAGGTCGTTCTTAAGCCACTTGTATTGCTCGTAAGCCTTTGTGTCGCTGACGCTGCCGTCGACTGCGCCGAAGGGGCCGCTGTCTGTGATGAAGGTCTCGGATTCGGTGGGCAGGGTCTCGTCGCCTGTTACGTCTTCGGCGAAGGACCACTCAGGGCTGTCGGCGTAGTCGGTCTCGCCGTTCATGGAAACGAAGTGCGCGAGGCCGTAGTCGAATGAGTACCAGAAGTTGCTTACACCCCCAGTTTCCTCACCGGGCATGCGGAAGCGGTGCTGGAAGGCAGTGAAGTTTCTGAATGATGCATGTAAGTATTTGAAATACAGGTATTGGGATAAGTATATTACCTCTGCGAAGGCGGGCAGCTGTAGTAGGTAAGGTTGTCTGAGGGAGCAGTGCTGTTCGCCTCGTCGTTGTTCAGATAGGCTGTCAACACGTTACCGGGGCCATCGAACTCGCCACAAGAAGCCTCGTGGTTACCAGGAAGAACCATGTAGGGAATCTTCTTGGTAATGGGACCCATCCATTGCTGCCACAGATCCCAGTTGGACTCGTAGATGACACTCATGTCACCACCTTGGGGACCACCCTGGTTGGCGATCTCTCCAGCAGGAAGAGGCTGCTCGTACTCCTCGGTGATACCACCGGGCAACTCGCTGCTAGAACCATTGTAGCAGACGGGCCAATCATCCTCGCACGCCATCACGCCAGAGGACCAGTCATCTGCGTAACTGATATCACCGCCGTGCCAAGCGAAGGCAGCCTCGCTGGCAGCTTCGGTCAGGTACTTGTGCGTACCCTTGGCATTGGTGTAGCCCATATCATTCAGCACGGCCACACTGAACTCGGTAGGGTCACCAGCCTTGCGGGCAGTGGTGAAGCTCAAGACCTCAGACTCGGTGGTGCCATTAGCAGCAGGAATTTGGTAGTAGTATGTCTTACCAGACTCCAGGTGCGGCAGGGAGACCTCGTGGAAGAACTGACTACATTGGGTAACAGCCTTGACCAGGGAGCAGGACGGGGTACGGTCATAACTGAGATATATTAGCATCACTTTCTCTTTGAATAAGTCAATTGAATAACTCACGTGTGAGTATAACCTCGGGCAATGTTAGTCAAACGATTGGGACTAGTACCCCACTTCACAGAAGGCGACCTTCCCAGACCGAAAGGTGTCTGGTAGTGGATGTGAATACCATCGGGGATATAAGCCAGCGAGATAACGTTGACATTGTTAGTCGGGTTAGAAGACGCCGGCTTCACAGCTGGTGCCTCAACTAGACGGTTGAATCCCTTGCCATTGCCATTGATCGTAGGATCAACCCAATCGCCGATAGGGACAGCGGGGCCCTTGTAGGGGAACCGCGTGTCGACGTCCCGAGGGTCTACCGTTGGGCTACCATTGGCAGCGGCGGACAGAGCCAGCAAAACGGAAGCAGTGGTGGCCTTCATGGTGAAAAGAAATTGAGTCCGTGACACCCCACAACAAACGGCTGCAAGGCCGGGTTTTATGTGTGAAGGCCATCGCAGCTAAGCTAAGGTGCATTCGCGTGCCGCTGATAAGCTTGACTAAATGAATTCCACACGTGCAATTGGATGGTTGGGCGATTGGTTTATGCAAGATTAAACTAGTCTACATTGTCTCCGCACTGGCCCGCAGGGGTATAGATGAATATTAATTTACACGGCTTTTTGATAAGATACACGCACTAATAATGGGGAGCAAATAGCCGGGAATTATGTTAATTGCATTGTAAATCCGTGGCATTAAATATTTGTTCCTGAAGTAAAACCACATGGGCATCAAACTGGTCGTTGATTGGTCGATTGGATCTTGGTCCGGGTACTGCAATGACCTAAGAGTGGAACATGCATAGAACAACTTGTTTTTGACCAACGATGACTTTGTCATTAAATGATTATTCCGATCGAATGATTGGCAGCACTCTAACCGAGTCAGCCAGGGCCCACTCAATTAGAGCCTCGGGATTCTCCTCTACTTCCATATCGAGAGCCTTGAGCCAATAACCATGAACCTCCAGAGCATCATACTGTCCCCTCCAGGCACCTACCACTTGAAGGATCGGACGTTCTTTACCTTCCAGGCTCTCTCGAATTTTATGGCCTGCCCAAACTGGAACCGAAGTACCGCGATATCTGCATGGCTCAGCAAAGGATCGCGGACAATCATACTCGCAGGTGCAATGATCTTTATAAGTGCCTTTGAATGACCGGGATCCTGATGCGTTTTAGTGACATACCGTTTCTCTTCCAAGCGTAGCACGTGACTGGCCCTTTTTTCGAAGAAAACAATGATTACAACTCAACTTAACGGGGAAAACAGCTATGACCTGGGCATGGGCCCACGGAGAGTTGAGCACAGGAGTTAGAGAAGATTTTAGGACAGGGCGCCAATGAAAAGCCGACTAGTTACTAGTATCAAGACTGCCAACGCCAAAAAAAAACGCGATTCTTTCCATTGACCGCATCCAGGACAACGAATTCTACGTATGATACATAATTTGTTGACCCATTCAGCAGCGCCGGAAGTTGTCAATGTTTATTCGCATGACGGTCGCTTTGTAATGAAAGAATAGGAAATCCGGGAAAAAGCGGTCCAGAGAAGAAGCGACGGAGATCCGACGGCTAGACTAGATGAGGATTTCGGCCGCTCCGCCTTTCACGCTAGTTGGCTTGAGCTCCCCCCGTTGGAATTGACATTCGTTGCATTTGCGGAGACTCCGCTTGGATCCACAATGCTCTAGTCCGCTGGCACGTGCCTCGCGATCCATGATCATGTTTTTTTGCGCTTGTTTTAGCGCGACGAACTCAGCGAAAGCCATATGTGAGAAAGAAAAAATAGTGTTAGAGAGATGGTAGGACACTGAGTATGAGACTGAGTAGGAGAGATGGAGTATCATAAATTCATTTTGAGCATTGACAATATTCATACTCTGGCCTCGGTCGGGAATAAGACACAACGCCCTCGTCGTTAAAAAAGGGGGTGAACAAATGTAGTGAAGCGGCTGGAGAAAGCAAGAAAAATGAAATAAACACAGCAGATACAGGTTTCATGTACCACATTGACGATTGCATATGACCCCTGGGCGCATTCCAAAACCAATAAATATGCCATCAAAATTCAGGCCTAAGCCTTAACACCTTCCTCAACATATTCATTATTGGAACCACTGTTCTCCGAGTCCGGCCGGTTATCCTGTAGCTGCATCCGGCGCGCTACACGAGGTGGATCAAAGATGTTCTTCGACTGGGCAAAGATCTCATCAATCTCCTCCAGCGTCCGTCCCTTGGTCTCAGGGAAGAAAAAGTACACAGACGGCACAATAGCGGCATTAACAACTGCAAATACAATATAGTACTTATTTCCGATAGTCGAGAAGCCGATCGGTGTTACTTCCGCGAGCAGGAAGTTGAAGACCCATACAGTGGCAGTTGAGACAGCACTGACGGCAGCACGAACTTGCAGGGGAGCCATCTCGGCGGCATAAAGGAATGTGAGACCGGAGTAACCGGTTGTGAAGATGAACTGGAAGCAAAAGAGCGCTATCACTGCCACCACTAGGGCAGCGGTGCTGTCAGATGCTTGGGGTGATGTTGTACCAGCAAGGACGGCCATACAGATGGACATGGCTCCTGCACTCCATAGCATTAGGGGTCGGCGACCGAGACTGTCGATGGTATAATAGGCGAGGTAGCCACCGAAAGGCTGCATCAGACCCATTGATGCAGCGAGAATGCGGGATTTCACGGCGTCCAGACCGAGGTATTGCTAAGGAAAGGGCTATTAGAAAATGATGCTTTAAGTTTCAGCCATTCCAAGGAGCTTGGTAAAGGCTGGTGAAAATAGACAGGAATTGAAGATTCGACTCACCTGGAAGATACTGGTCGCGTAGTATGTAATTAGATTCACACCGCACATCTGCTGGAAGAATTGGCCAGTGGCGGCCAGATACGCACGGTGGAAGAGGCGCTGCTCTCCATTCGTGAACATAGCCGTCCACGAAGTATTTCCACAGACAGAGAGTGTAGTTTGGATTTGTTGAATGCTATCAGTGATCGTGCTGGAGTCAGGTTCGAGCTCAAGGAGAGCCGCCATGACCTTCCGGGCCTCTTCAATTTGACCAGTCTTGATCAGCCAACGGGGCGATTCTGGCAGCACCGTGATAAAAATCATGGCGATGGCGGACATGACAATGGGGAAAGCGAGAGGAAACCGCCACGAGACTGAGTTTTCTTTCACAAAGTAAAAACCGAGATCAATCCAGAGAGCTAAAGTAACCCCGACGCCAACAAATATTCCATCGGTAACCACATTTGAGCCTCGTTTGTGCGCTGGTGAGATTTCGGACTGCCAAACAGGCACAGTGGCGACGTATCCGCCAATGCCCACACCAAGAACGAGTCTAGCGACGATGAATTGGGCGAAGTTGAATGATGTGGCCATGAGTAAGGCTCCGATGATGTTGATCAAGTTTGTCCAGAATATAACCTTCTTCCGTCCCAGGAGATCACCAAGATAGACGCATGACAGGGCTCCAAAGATACCACCGACAGTATATAGGGCAATCACCGTGCCTATTCATAAGCTGGATTAGAAGAAATACGGAGAAGCTGTTTGATTCTTGACTCACCTTGAATAGTCGAGTTTTCATGCTGCAGTGCTCCAGTCGTGTGGATAGTGTCCATCTGAGGGAACTGGTTGTTGAATGTAGGAAGTGTCAAAAGGCCACCAGCCACGCTCATATTGTATCCATAACACGTAAAGGTCGGACAGACGACCAGGAAAACAGCTGCCCGAAGAAGGGAATTGCCACGAAGGCCAAGATATGGTTTCAATCCCATGATGCAGTTAAAATGCGCTCAACAAGTGGCGACTAGAGTGGAAAAAGTGAGGATGAAAGAGAAATGGATAAAGAGCCATGGATATAACAACTTGACGCCTTCTTAACTCACACATATCCGTAACACAGTATAGGGTTTAAGTTTTGCGGTAGGCGGCGGTCCCCGTTGATTCATAACTTTGATCAGGGCAACTACGGTCCCCGGAAGTTTCCCCACACTTCTTCCCCGGATTTAGCTTGGCATCGTTCAACTCCATGTGGTAGTCCCAACCGTGCTTAGCATTTCCCGCTGTTCTCCGATTGATTGTGGAGCCGTTTCCCTAGGTTGATTGACTTAAGGCTTAGACACACCTGAATCCCAAGGTCTCCTATCACGGAATATAGGAAGCTCGTATATTCCGAATAGCTGGTAAAGGAAAGTTTAACTACGGTTTAGTCATTCTTACCCTGACAATGAGAAGCTGGTAAGAAATATTGGCAGCTAATTACTTACACCCCTCAAGTTCTCCATTTTGAATTCATTGTTTTCCAAATTTCACTCGTTGCTTGTGTAATACCTCATTGTCGGGCCTTCCCACTTGTGCCGTCCACGAACAATCCAATCCCCACAGGCAAACAACATAACCAATCCAAGGACAGGTCCAGCGTAATTCATATTCTCCGCGGTAACCGGCACAGTCGCCGGGAAAGGAAGAAAGATAATGAAATAGATAGCGAAGAGAATGGCAAGAATATTCATGGGGAGGCCGAACTTCCCTAGACTAAATGTTCCATGTGGAATATCATGGGGTGTCATGAAGCGCTTTGAGATAAGAAGAATGAGAGGAATAAGATAGGAAATATAAAGACCGAGCGTACTAAGCGAGAGAATAGCGTTGAACGCAGCTGTAGACCCGATCTGAATGAACGAAAGCGCGAACATGCATGATGCAACTAAGCCCAAAGCACGGAGAGGTATCTTGTAGGTTGTGTCAATGACAGCAAAGAAGTCGGAGAAGGGAAGTCCGTTGTCTCGGGCGAAAGCCCAGGTCAGACGTGTAACAGAGGCGAGGCCGTTGAAGAGGGCGATCCAGCCGGGAAGCATACCCAGTGTCATAAGGACACAGGTGGCTTCTATAGATCCGGTTGCTTGGTAGGCGATTGTGATGATGGGGTAGCCTGTTGCGCTGGTGACGGCTTCGAGGTAGTCGCCCATACAGTAGAGAACAGCGATCAGGTAGCAGAATGCGAGAGCTCCGTTGATTAGGGTTCCATAGATCATTGAGCGGGGAACAACGACATTGGCGTTTTTGACTTCTTCGGCCATGTGGATTACGCCGTCGACGCCTATTATATGGTTTAGATTGTGGAGCGAATGTTCTGATAGTGGAGGCACGTACCAGATAGAGGAGTAATGACACCAAGAAGACCGACAGAGAATACAACTCCGGAATCCTTCCAGCCACTCAAGCCGCCGACAAATGTGTCCCAGACAAATGCGTTGGGGTTTCGAGGGGCGAGAGTAACGAAGACGGCGATGGTAACGGGTAGGAAGACCACATGCATGATGCCTGCAGCAACTTCAATGCCCCCCAGAACGCGACGTGCGAATATATTGATAATGATCGGGATAATTGCAACTGCCCACATGAGCAGCGTACCACGCCATCTCTCGAGCTCATATCCAGGGTACGCCAGCACAACTAGACCCTGGATTTGGGTTCCGATGAAGTATGGCGCAATGCAGACAAGAGCAGACCAGGAGAAAACAGTGATCCAGCCTGATTATGTTCAGCATGCGACTATAAACAAAGGGAGATGGGCTAGATATGCACTAACCCTGGAAGAAACTAATAAATCGACGACCACGAGGAGCAAGGAAATAGCTCCAGTGATACTGAGCACCTGCAGTTGGGTGTCTATACATCTGGTCAGCACTGGCTCATTACGGTCATTATTGTACACATACAGAGAGGCCAGCTCAGCTAAAGAGCAAGCGATGGCCAAGTTTCCTACAGTGCTCAAGATGATCCCGTAAATAATCGCTGCAGGGCCACCGTTGTACAGCCCCGCGAGCAAACTGCCACCAGCAGATTCCCATGTGGCAAGAAGACAAGTGGAGAATGCCACAGATGAGAAGAAGTTGAGATATCTCTGGCCGCCGATTAGTGTCTGCGGTCAATCGAACACTAAATGATATTTACCTCCATTTGTTGTTTCTCGCGCGATATCGCGTTCTCATATGTATTGTTTCCACTCCCTACTGGCCCTGACAGCACAGCACTTTCGCCCTTCAGCTCCATCTCTTCTTTCATATGATGCGTATTGATAACGGGGAAAAGAAGTGTCGGAGAGAAACAATTCCGCTGGGTCATTCGACCTCAAGAGGGCAAGAAGCACTTCGTCTTTCACCTCCCCACTTCATAAAATTGAGCTAGACCGGGATATTGATTGCGCAATGAATGCGAAACGGATAATTGACACATCGGACGCGAGTTACTGCTCGCTTCGGTACAAAACCCTTGTCATTCACATTTTAGTAACGAGACCGGTGCTCTTTAGTGTCGTTTAGTGCTATCTAGTGCCAATTAGTGCTGTTTAGTGCTGGAATTGGACTCTCCGGAATAAAACCCCGCGATTTCTTTGTTCTGGGTCCTATGGCTTATCCTATAATAATGTTGTTAGAATATTTTTTTAAATCCATTTTGTATAGTTTTTCCTTCCTATCGGCGTGATTTTAGACTACTGGTATGTTCGAATCGACGGGTGGAGAATTCGCAGGATTCGCATCTTTGCGGAGATGCAATGTTGCCACGCCAAGCTAAAACGCCACCTCGTGCGGTCTCTAGAACTGAGAAGCGCACACGTGAGTAGAGTAGGCGTTGAACTTGAAAGAACAACAAGGGTTGAAAATTCTCCAATAGAAAGAGACTGTAGCAGAGGTGTGAAAAATTGACTTTTATAAACTGCCACCCTATTTCGGCAAGGTCCCGCCTTTTAAGTACATCAAGATGTGATGAACGACCACGACAATGCTTTCGAGGTCTTTAAAAGCAATAATAGCGGCCCTTAATTTACTCAGACATCAATTCCGCTTCTGTTAGTGGCCATCATGAATGTGCTCGCTTAGTTCGGCTCGGCATTTTACTTCAAGCAGCAACGAACAGCGGTCAACACTCACATCTGGGCAGCTATGATTCTCGAACTTGTTCCACTTGTTTTCTTAAAGAAGAAGGTTGATCATGGACCGGGAAAATCAGGACCACTCAAGCAAAGGCGATATTCAAGCCTGGAGCAAGTTAGCTTACGCGGCTCATCTTCTGCTCATCGCTGTCTTGTCGCTTTCCAAAATTTCGAACATTTAGCTTCTTCGAAAATTAATGCCGAAAAAGAACCTGCTATGCAGCTTTGCGTTCACAGCTGTATGGTCGTCGGGTGTTCGAAATTTGCATTTCTAAATATTGCTTTTCAGTGTGAATTACTTGATGTGCGGCTATACTCCCTTAAGCGATGTGCAGGAAGGAGACATTTTCTATCCAATTGCAGTCTTCAAAGTCCCCACGGAGATTATCATTGCTGTCCGGAATTTCATGATGATGCGAAATGTCTAGATGGCCTGGCAAAAGGGAGTGATGATCCTGTGCTTCTTCTCTTCACGCGTAAGGTATCTGAGCATAACGTCAGGATTATTCAATAGCTCACGCATTAACACATCACCGTATCGTCGGCCTCATTGCCAATCTCGCCCTCCTACCTTCATTCGTCGACTAAACCAACCTCTTCTGTCCGTGACACCCCACCCCTACCAACTTCCGCCAACGGCCTCACTGACTCTGAAGATTCAGCCCATGCAGCACAAGGAACATTGGCGCATTTAAAGTCGAACTTCCCTAAGTCGCACGACCTCTTAATTACGTGAGGGTATCAGGTACTCTACATTCTGTCATGATAAAATGGCATTCAGGGAGTTCAGAAATCCCAAGTTCCCACGTTAATGCAGGGTTGGGTGTGACTTGCTCAATCAAGCAAGAATATCCTTGTCATTCAGCTGCGCCAGCTCAATGAGTTGGCTCACAACCGTTAGCCCACCTACCCCTCTTTAACTTCTCTTGGTCAGGATCTTCTCAAGTCATCGACAAAACAATCAGTCAAGCTTATCAAACATCAGGTTAAAGATGCCGAAACACATCAAAAAGTTTTTAGGCCGTGTCTTTACAAGGAGGAGGCCGAGAAGCTAGAAGCTGAAAAAACAAAAGAGAATGTTCAAAATAATAGCGCCGTTGATGATGTTAGCCAGTCCGCAGAACAGCCAGCCCAGTCAACACAGACCTCCCAGCCACGAGATCTATGGCAAGCTGCTTATGAACAGCTTGATGAGACACAACAACATATTTTGTCGACCGAGCAGGTCTCTTCTGAGTCGGATGATAGGGGCGACAACCCAAGAGATCTAATTGATGAGGTTATCCAGACAACAAAGGAGGAGTATGAAAAGTATCATCAGACTTCCCATGGAAAGTTTAAACAGACCTCACACAAAATTGTCAATGCGGCACTTTCCTTCAATGATATTGTCGGTTCGACTGCTGCACTTGACCCTACACAGCATGCAGCTAGCGCCTGGGCAATTGTCTCGCTTGGTCTAACGGTATGCACTACTTTTTCACCGGGCATATTCGAGAAATTTTGATGAAATTTTCTTTCTTACCTGGACTGCTAGATGACCAAGAACCACTCCGACCTACGAGATGCTCTATTTGAATCATCGGAATATCTCGCAGATTTTCTTACATATTGTTCATTTGTTGAGATCAATATCTGGAGGAAAGAAAGCACTGATGCCAGAAATCGCTATGTTGAAAATTCATTGATACGACTTTACAAAGCTATTCTGAGCTACATCGTCCAAATACGAAAGTCATAGCAAGCCAAAATTGGAAGAAAGATTTTGGACACAGTAAGCGTCAATGCTATTCTACAGCACCCTCTCACGACGCTCAAGACCTCGGTCAAGAACGAAAGAGACGAATTGCATAAATGCATCGGATTGAGTCAATACCTTCGCCATGAAAACGATGCCGATAAGATCCTTCGCAGGATGGATGAGCTGACTAATTTAGTGAAGCTACATGTTGTGAAAGGAGCTCTCTATAACTCCTTTGACAATAGGCATAGGGAAAGATGCCTTGCAAATACCCGGACTGCACTTGTTCGCCAAGTATCAGAATGGATGGATTCCGATGACCAGTTACTTTTCTGGGTCAATGGAATGCCAGGGACCGGAAAGTCTACTATTGCCCAGACAGTCGCTCAGATTTCTGACGAACGAGGGTTTCTTGGTGCCACTTTCTTCTTCAAGCAGATGGAAAGGATCGCAATAACGCAAGACACTTCATATCAACCATTGCAAGACAGGAGGAAGGCTACGCCTCGCCAGCGCTTCAAGCACGTGCAGGATATTCAGGTGCAAAATAGTTGTGTTCAGAGCGTTCAGACGAAGGGCCTGAAGGTCTGAAGAGTAAGATAGCGGGCGCAAGAGTAAATTAAAGCAAAAACATACAACAGTCAGGATTCGCATGTGGTCACCCACCATACTACTAACTAACCGGCGTGTGGCTTAAGTACGGCTGAGCGGACGGGAAGCCCTGTTCTCCACACCCTATGGTCGTATGTACTCTACGTGTCATGGCAAGAATTTATATTGCGCAAGCATTCCAACAGAGAATAGATGGAGGTCAATTAAGAATCGCGCAACGAAGGATGATGGGGCGGGTAAGAAGCAGGGTGAGAGCGGGTATCACCCTCCGTTGCGTGACAACTGCACTGACCCATCGAACTAAATTGCTGGCAAGATAAGTTTCACGTGTATATTAAATCCTTGAAACGAATTTTGATCGTCTCTGACGCTGAATGCTGGTTGTTTTCTGTCGATCCCTGGACTGCAGTTTCTCATTTTTTATAGCCCCATTTATCTGATTCTTCAAACATCCACACAAGCAGCCACATTGTCCCCATGGACCCCGAAAGAAAAGAAATGAAAGGAAGCCCAGAACTAAAGCCCAAGATCCGGGCTCTCGGCTGGTGTTCATACAAAAAAAGAATATCCATATTTCATATCGATTGCAAGCCATACGAATTAGTGAAGGCTTATTTCATCAGTTTCAAACCTTAGGCTGGAAGAATTCGAATCAAAATTCCAGAAAGTAAGGCCATCTGGATCCAGTAAAATTGTCCGTGCTGCTCAAGATACAATCTATCACGCCATACATTCACCCTATCAACATCCAGGTCACTTTCTGTCTTAGCCGAACTTACAGATTGACTGTTTTCACCTCCACCATACGGTAGCGATAGCCTCTTGCCTCATTAGAAGATAAGAGATTTGTTTCTCGCGATAAGTAAACATATCAAACCACTGAGAGTGGCCGCGGCGTTAGTGATACGAACGTCAGTAGCTTAGCGACGAAGAATGAGATGTTGATACGTTTCCATTCAATCTTATTAACACCTTAATAAAACGACCCATACGTAAGCTGTGTCCTGCCTTTACTGGATTCACCTCTAATCCAGAGAACACGGGCCCTTGAGTTAGTTTACGATGCCTGCTACGGCCTACTTGCTGAGATCTTATGTACGTGTCGTAAGAGGAAATACTTCTAGTACTTTAAACCTATATAGTTTGAAAACCATAAGACTATGTCAGATTTGGTTGGTGTGTTAACCAAATCATGGCTGTATCAGCGAACTGGCTGGTGCAGGCAGTACAACGTCTTTGCAGATCTGCAGCGACGAGAAGACTGGTCTGATTCAGTGTGCGAGTAAAGTAAGTACATCACATATCATACATATCAAGCAAGATATGCTTAAAAGACAGGTCTTCTCAGGAGATTAGGTGAATACTAAAATGGAAAATTAAAAAGCATATATTCTATCTACTTCGGCCGAAATACTAGATCATAATTAGAGGGATCTCAGGGCATGAATAATAGCATAGAATCATAAAGGGATGAGCCAGAATACCAATTGATCAGCTCTCAATCGACAAATACTTGCATATGACCTGTAACTTGCATGTTGTTTGATTGAAGAAGTATGCAAGAAATATCATGAAAAGAAGGAAACACAACAATCCAAAAGAGGGGAAATCTTGATTTTAGTGCATAAGCACGTTCCACGGAGATCTCTCATCTTTGACAGTAGCTATAAATGAGCTACTTCAAAGTATAATCCAAAAAGATTCTATTTTATCCCTAGAATTCACATTGATTAACCAAGAACAACAGTTCTCAGAATTAGCCATCATCCAAGCTATCTTTTTAACCCTTCCCATATTGAAGCTCTGGTCTGTTGCTGGATGAGCCACGCGAAGTTTGAACCGACTAAGTAATTGTGGATCTCCACCTGGGCGGTTTCCAAAGCCGACAAGGCTCGCAAACACGAAACCTGGAAATTCCCTGAATTTCTTCCTGGAGATATGGCGCGACTTCGGGGTGTTTTAAAGGGTCAAATTCAGGGCGAACAATCATAGAGAGTAATAATCGACACATTCGACACCAATCTGCATGGAAGATGATTCGAGACAATGGCGTTGACCAGTGCACCTCATTCCCATCTGTCTCTTCCAGGGGGGTTTTCATCGCACTTCTCCACAGGAAGCGACCGGCACTTAGAGCACAGGTCTTCCTGCCCGAGTGATTTACGAAACAAATCATCGCAATCATCCCTGGTTTCGATGAAGGCAGTGGGAGGTCTGATTTTGCTGACCATATCTTTAAAGGCATTCTTTACACTATCGCTTGCCTTGATTAAATCCGGGGGCATCCAAGGCATTTTGAAGAGAGTGAAAAATTGATTGACTGGCGGGAAAACTCTCTGGATATGATTGACTCTGAATTTGGTAACAGCTGGCATACCGAATACTCGACCAGCATCTCCCTCCTGCGGCGAATTTCTTGAAATCATTTCTGTCGCTGGGACGAGAGGCCTTGCCGGCAAAGGTCGCGGCTTCTCTGTGGGGGAATCAGGTAGTGTAGTCTCAGACTCTTGGCCAACAAATGTAGTGCATGGGGATTTGTCTGCCTGCGTATTCTGAGGATCGTGAATTGGAGATGCCCTAAGATATTTGGGCTTTGCTGGTACTTCTGGCCGACTTGAGGAAGTCATTGGGTTGGATTATTCAGATTACTTCTTCAGTTTCAGGAGTTCTTAATGCAGTCGAATCGCCCGAGGCTGGCTCGGGAGGATGTGGCTCTTATCTTAATGGAACATTAAATATCAACATGTCGTGGGGGCGAAGAGCCCCTCAGGGGCTCATCTCCCCTCTTCCCCGCAAAACCAATTGAATAGCCTTGAGATTTTGGATTATTAGATTTTCTAAGATGCCCTAAGTCAAGGTCAGAGTACCAGGCGGGGCTAATCAACCCCTAAGTGAGAATTCCCATACCGTTCTCACCTCCATCACCCTGTCTACAAATTTCTAACCCATATCACCCATTATTACCTAGCATAAGCCCATCGCCGCTCTATTGTATTGAGGTTTTGGTAAGGCCCCCCTGAGATATCGAATGTATCTTCATCAATACTAGTTCTTTACATTCCACCATGGGCTTTATCTATCTCAAATGAAGAGCTGTTCGAGTCTTGATGATATTTTGGTCATTGCACATAATGATACAAGCGTGTTTGTTTCAAAGAGAAACAGCAAAAAAGAAAGCCACAGCGAAAGATCAGAACAGAAAGCCACGGCGAAAGAGCAAAACAGAAAGCAGAAGAAAACAGACCTCTCACTCCTCAAGCATTGGACTTCGGCTTCGTGAATGATGCAATCTTTGCCTCTTGGGAATTTCTAAACCTGGGCTAAGCTGTCGTAATGGTGAGATTGATTTTTCTTGACTTCGTAGCCGCATGGTGAATTGGGCGCTTGCAGGCGAAAGATTTTCACTGTGATGCGGGATCGCTGGGGAGCGGCCACGAGATACCCGTCTGTTTTCTTTTCTATCAGCCCTGTTCCCCATGGAAATTGGGGCTGTGTCGTCGTCCGGCCGACCTTCCTCATCCTCCTCCTCCTCCCCCGCTCCCTGCATCGCTGCAAGTCGAGTCAAGTGCCACATCAGAGTAAGCAAATCCCAAGAAGGCAAAGGTCTTTCGGCTGGATTATCTGTCACAACGGTAAAAAGTTCCCCGGACTGAATCTCCTCCTGCCTTAGCCAATGATAGAGGCCCTCATTATTACTCGGCAAAAATCGAGTATGTGCATCGGGGTTTTTGAAAGGATTCTCGGTTGGTAAGACCAAATCCGTGCGCTTGATGCTTGTTGGTAAAATTGGCAGCCAATGCAGAGCAATCTGCATTTCAGTCCTATCCTCATTAATGGATACTGGACGAAATGCAAACCTTGCTGATCCCCAGTATGAGTGTGCGTGTTGGCTCAAGGACATCATATTCGCCGTGAACTCCGTGTTGATCACATCTCCTTGGAGAAGCTCCGCTTCCCATTTCTTACATTGTGCACGCCCCCAGTAAATGGTGAGATGGTTCCAGAAGGGGGTATGACCAGACCTGACGACTGTTCCACTAAATCGGTGCGGAACGATGTGAGCTGACTGTAAGAAAAGGCTCCCTTGTGCCGTCACTAAGCAACGATTTTTGTCCCTTCCGAGGCTCTAGAGGTCGATAATGTTAGTACTTTCCTTTTACCAAGATTCTTGACAGACTCACCTGGGCCACAATAGTTTGATCACGCTTTGGTAAGGAGGACGTGGTGGGGAATGGGATGGCGGGCTGCAAATTGGCTGAATGATCTACTGACAGACATTCCATCGAGGTTGCATCTAGATTTGATCGTGGGTCGGAGGACATAGTCGAGGTAGTGGGAGATGACTGTTGATGTTCCTCTGAGGGCTGGGAGAACTTGCGCTTCTTACTGCGGATTTCGGTGAATGGGTTCTTCTTCGAGAATACCACTGTTCCAAAATGATTAGACTCATATTCTAGAAGCACAAGGGTACTCCCATGCACTTACAGAATGCAGGAATGTCGAGCGGCGCCTCGTTCAATTGTTTCCGCAAAACGAGAATCACAGTGTCGGATGCCGGCTTCGCCCATTCTTCGAGTGTTTCCTTTGCTGCAAACCAAAGCAGAAATAAATTCGCCCGAGGTATTTCTTCCACAAAATCGGCTTCTATCACTCCGACATTGATAAGCACACGGTGCACGAGGTCCTGTCGTTCTGGGTCTTCGAACTCTGAGAAAATCCCTTGTGTATCTTGGGACAGGCTCATTGCCGGGGGTGGGTCGCGAGAAAAACTCATTGTGGGAGTGGATGATAAAGTGAGGACGTGAAAGAAGCTGATGTGAGGAGGAAAGTGAATGGAAACGATGAAAAGGAAGAACCACGGAAGGTTTGATTTCACAACAACGATGAAGGTTTTGGTCGCACCTGCCGGGAAAGTCCACTGGGGACCTTTCCATACAGTTTTAGCTGGCTCTGACACGATATTACGTACATATTATAACGATTTAGGTGCGGAGTCGCCAGATATGGCTCCGCTGCTCTGCTCAGCTAGTCGCATTACCAATGAAGCATAGTAGTATTCCGGGCCACTCTTACTATCTTGTGATAGTCGTCTTACCTCCAAGGTTGTCATTGGCTTTATCGAGATTATCATCAGTGACCAAATCACCAGTTACCAAGCATTCAGCAACTTTAGCCATCAGAGCTCAACGTACAGTCGACTAAGCGGCGAAAACTCGTTCCCACGATTGATCCTGCCATGGTCGAGTCACTCAACCGCTTTTCGGATATGCTCACTGATATGAAAAGCGATGATCCTGTCGTTCGATCCCGTGCGGCCGAGCAGCTTACGCTATTATCACCGCTAATGCAACAGCTCGCCCTCGAGAGGAATAATGGCGGCGTCCATTATGCTGCGAGAGATTTCAAATCCCTTGTTATGACCTGCACAATTCTGGAGATCTCACATAATTCAAAGGATCTTTGGAATCGGCCAGACATCGACAACTCTCCCTCGGCTACCCTCTCTCCTGATGCGGACAGTGTCATTCACCGACTCCAAATTTCGGAGTACCACACAATTGACAACTCAGAAGGTTTCGTACGCGTTGTTGTCGATAACTCATTCTTGACCACCTTTCTGATAAAGGGTCGCTTGAGCATCTGCAGCTCTATCCAGAGGCAGATGTCAATTTTCAACGCGGCAATAAGTATATCACTGGCCGCGCTGACTGGCTCTTGTGTCATGATGACTCTCGACCCGGCATTGATTCGAAGTTCATTGCCATAGAAGCTAAACGGAGTTGCGAATTTTCCAGTGCCAGCCGTTAAATAGCAACATATCTCGCAGCTGCACCGGACTGTCGGGCCAAAGTCTCAAAGATTCATGCCGTTGCTTTCGGCATTACAACAGATAGTAAGTGTTATCAGTTTTGGTTCATGGACTCAGAACGGCGGCTTCTATCTTCTGTGGTATTTGATTGGCGTCTTGAAAAAGCCAAAATTATCACATGGATCGACAAAATGCTCGCCGACGCAATTGAAGCTTCCCCACTCACAACACCAACTCTGCGACGCAATGTCTCTCTGCGTAACTGGGAGAAGAATCTTCGACGGCGCCAGCTTTTGAGTTCTGCGCCAGAGGATTCACCTTTAACTGAAGGACTTCCGTTTGACATCAGTGCTCCAGAGTCGAGCCAGCTAATCGGAGTCGCATGGTACTACGGACGACAGGTCATGGTCGTCGAATATGAAGAAGAAAATGAAGAGGATGAAGAGGATTTTGCTGTTGAGGATTGATTTCGCTTAAGACTATACTTTACGGTTGTCTATCAGTAACCCTTACGCCTAGCTTGAATATGGGGGAGCTTCTATTTAAAACTATACTGCACTATAGCTACATGAAATAAAACCCTCTAATCCCGAATGAAAGGATCACTATAATAGCTCAACATAGTATAGGTCTTGAGGCTTTAAAATTGAGTTGCGCAAAGAATTAAAGAGGACGAGATTGCAAGAAGTTTTCAATAATCTCAAGGTTGAGATGATGCAATTGAAGTTGTGATGAGGAATGCTAGGACATGAATGGTCGGGCTCTTTGGACTCTTTATACAAAAAGCGGGTTATTATCTGGCAAGAGCATCCATCCGGGCATGCCGACAAAACTTGGATGGATACATGTTTTTGGCCCCCTCTTCCTACCACCTTCCTACCACTAGTATTGTGCTTTAGCCCCATCCCCAGGCCGAAGTCCTGACACTATCGATGTTAGTTGCATGCATGGTTCCATTGACGCGTAACAAGGATAACGAAACATTAATGAATCGACCAGAGATCTATGATAGCTAACATATACAGGCTTGAAAACCATCATTTATTGAGATGAGGTTGCTGAGGCTTCGTGAGCTACGCTTTCTTCTCTATCAGAATTTTCATTTCACTTAGCAAGGTCCAATAATATCAGGCACACAAAAGGGACTTGTTGTTACCTTGCCCCATTGCCTTGGCATCAAGCAGTAGAGACATTCTTGGAAAGCCTTCCCCATTTGTCGCTCTTAAATACTAGAACGAACTAGTAACCAACTAGATGCTGGTGCCGGCATCCACTTCGATGTTGGCTTGGGGCGATGAGCAGCCTCCTTCGCACAAATTTAGTCGAGAAATCGATTGCGCTGATTACTTCCTTGACCGGGGATTATACCAAATTATTCCTAAACCACAGGAATCCGTTAATTCTGCAATTACACTATATCTGGTATCACCTGAAAGAAAGCATTCCCATGGGTTAGCAGTGTTCATTGAGTTCTACAAACTGACTTTAAAATAAGTACAGGGAATGTACCGAGTTGCAGCACGGGTATAAGAGGCTCTCATACAACAGCCACATCGGATTTTCCCCGTGTTGTGGGTCTCAACCAAGGATCCATCCATAGATCAAATAATTCGGAGATCCAACTTGAGGATAGCGTAACACACCAGACCACAAGCTGTTCCACTTGACTAAAGAGAATTCGTGGCTTGTGTGGATATCGGTGATAACCGGCTTAACCTCGTCGATACTACGGGGTATTGTTGGTATGTAGCGGCCTGAATCCTAAAGGAATCAAGATAGGGTCACGAAAAATTTGCGCGAGGCCTTGGGCCGTGCGTCGCTTCATACTAGCCTGTCTTAGCCAAGAGAAGCAGCATTAGCTAGTCTTGCTGTAACACGGCAAATAAAGCGCCGAGCAGCTTATTAATGAAATACCGTGAGAAAACCTCATGGCTCATATATGAAGCGTGAGATCCTTTGATCCTTTGCTCGATGTATTAGACATATGAGCAATGTTGCCGAGTCTCCGTCTTCTACAGAGAGAACCTATTTCAATTTAGAAGGTTATTGCTTGTTGTAATTCATATAAAAATGTCAGACTCTTTGTAAAATAAGAACCTGTTCATTTGCAGCCCCCGATCCTTCCTATAGGCAACTCAGAATTCATTTCTGATGGTGCGGCTTTGCTCCTGATTTGTACAAGCCTCATATCCCGAGATAACCAATTGGCGCATTCAATACCGGCCAGGGGTTTTGGAGACCGCTCCTCAGTACAATTCACAATGTCCAACACGCAGGTCGTTTTACAGTCTAGTGCGAACTTGATCGTAACGTATGAGTGAAGTTGAAAGAGTATATCTTGTTAACACCCATTGTTGTTTGATTTCCAAAGTATCGTCTGCTGAGGCACACGAAAGTCGGTGTGATGTTTACGAAATTATCTCACGCTAAATTGGCAGTGCAAGTTCGCCAAAATAATGGATTGAGTTCGATCCTAGTCACCAAACCGAGGCTCAACTCTTCAATCGGACTTCCCAAACGAACTTTTCGGCAACAAAAGTATACCATAGTGCCTTGCGGGAGTCAGGGTTGAACAAACTGATAAAAGAACAATTAGCTTTTAAAAACAATCTGAAGCATTGCGCATCGCGTTTTCATGCATTTTGAATGTCCAAAAATTTTCGCCAACTTTACCCCCAAAAAAGCTTCTTTAAAATAAGCCAGCGATCATGCAGTAAACCCTACTTTTTCCCCTGGGACCACGCGGCCAATCCACTTCGGCCCTAAGGTCAGCTTCTCAGCCGGTGAAGCGTTTCTATCAAAGCGGAAAAACCAAACCCTGCCCGCATTTTGGAGCGGATCCTCCTTATACAATCAACACAGATTCATAAGGACGTATCGAGTAACAGCTAATAAATTTCATTCTTCAAGTCGTCACTATCTATTGAATGCGACGACCATGTGGAGCTAGTGAATATAGAGGGGCAGAACTTTTCCAAGATCAAGACGAACTGGACAACTTCATATAAAGCATCAGTCTACTCCTCATCAAGTTCTTCGGTGGCAGAAGCGGCTTTGTCAGCGAGGTCCAAAGCTGAAGCGTCGGCATTAGATGCCGCTGTGCTGACTTCAAGAGGCCACGGTGCGGGGCTGTTCTGGCAAAGTTCAAATTGAGTGAAGAGACTATCGAGATCCATTTTGAATGAGTGCTGGGAAGCGTTTGAGGTAATATGTTCACAAGCGGGAAAAAATCAGCTGCAAGTCGAAGGGTAATTAGCGGGAAGCGCAAACTACTCGTTTCTGCGCAAAAGTGACAGGAGGCGGTGTATGGTCCCAAAGTCCCACTAGATATTAGTGGAGGCCATGGTCAATATGGCCTGGCACTTTCCATCATTGAGGACATTTCATGTAGACACACCCGGTGCCGCCAAAATTGAAGGCTGCCAGCGCTATTGCAGATCTTCGCACTCGGGCTGCGGCGGCATCCGTCAAGGCTTGCCATGTCACATGTGCAAGGACCTTTGGCACGACCAACTCGATAATTGAAGAGAATCACCACCTTCATGTTTCCGGCATATTGATTGATTTGCCAAAGAGGGGTTTCTGTATGATCGAAAGGGCTTTAGGCGAGGCCCACGTGTAGATCTGCAATCGTCATGATCCGAAACCAGGCCTAAGCCCGACGGACGTTATATGGGCTCCGACAATCCTCAAATTCCGAGAACAGCTCTCGGTCATCAAATTGGGTGCAATTTTTTTGTTTGTAAAACGGTGAAGTTTCATGCCAGGGAAGATCGCGATCTATGATTTATAATTTGGTAAACTGAGGATATTCTAGACTGTTAGTGGCACTACATTATAGAGTCCAGTAGATTAAGGTGTCGTTAATGAAGAGTTAACCGTACTTATCAGATATATTACTTCAATTTCTAGACTATGTACTCTGTGGCAATCCCAAAATTTGGAATATCCATCATACTCAACTAGGACTTTCCAGGTATGAAGATGAAAGAAATGTCGATCATTCCCCTTTTACATTACCATACCACAAATCTAAACTCACCCGCATCTCCTACCTGAGATTATCTTCAATATCACGTCAATACATGTATTAAGTCGGGAGCAGCCGAACACCGAGATCAAATTACCACCATCGTCAGACCCTGTCGATCATCTTATCTCTAATTTTCAGGGTGAACTTCAGAAATGACTAGACGATACTACATCATGAACTTTGGCTTCTAATTCAGCAAGTGCAGCCTCCAAATTTGCAATGCATTGATCGGCCTATCCCTTCGATAATCAGTAAGTCCATCCTGGCCCCCCAATTCTTGAGCTTATATCGGGCTATATCAGTCTGCGATGCCCTCAAATGAAAGAACTGTGTATCGCATTCTTTTTCTATCTCTACTATGTTTCTGAATCTTTCTAAATTTGCTTTAGGATTTCCTACGGCATGGCTGTGCGTGGCTTTGCTCAATGCTTGCGGCACTATGGCCATGTCCTATCCGTACACTGTCTATCGCGGCACTTTCATTCATCTCCCTCGTCTCAATTCTAGCTCGGCAACACCAGAACTTGCCAGAAATCAAGGTGCTCTGTGGGTTTCTTCCGCCGATGGCCGCATTAAAGGCTATGACTGGCAAGTGCACGACGATGCCAGTTTTCAATCGTTCCTGTCAAGCCACGGCTGGACTGATGCCACTTCCAATGACGACAATTCATCCACACAAGTTCAGGTCGTGGAATCCAACGACGAGGCGAATGAATTCTTTTTTCCCGGATTTATTGGTATGTCTTGGACACTTCTCCGATGAATTATTGATGCTGATCATGTAGACACCCACATCCATGCACCACAGTTCCCCAACATCGGGCTGTTTGGGTCTTCAGGCCTTCTAGATTGGCTGAATCAATACACATATCCAATTGAAAGTAGCTTTGGCTCCAAGTCAGACCCAAAAAACCAAGAAATAGACCCCAAAGACACACCACCCGAGGGTCTGCGCGTGTATGACGAGGTCGTCGCTCGGACTCTTGCCCACGGAACAACATGTGCTTCGTACTTTGCTACCATTCACGTCCCGGCTACCAACGCCCTCGCAGCACTATGCCACTCCCACGGCCAACGCGCCTTCATCGGCCGTGTCTGCATGGACAACAAAGATGAATGCCCGTCTTATTACGTTGACCAATCCGCGGAAGAGGGATTCAACGCAACTATATCAACAATAGACTTTATCCAGACTCTAGACCCTAAAGGGACCTTGATTAATCCAATCATCACCCCCAGATTCGCCCCCAGTTGTTCAAATCAGTCCCTCGCTGGCCTTGGTAAACTAGCGGCATCTTACAGCCCGCCTCTGCACATCCAAACACACATCGCTGAGACACTTGACGAGATTTCCCTTGTTCATCAACTATTCCCAGAAGCAGCTAGCTACGCCGATGTCTACGACAAGGCCCACCTGCTTACCAACCGCACTATCCTCGCACACGGGGTGCATCTCACCAAAGACGAGCGCACTCTCATCCGCGAGCGCGGCTCCAAAGTCGCGCATTGCCCATCATCAAATTCTGCTCTTGGATCAGGGCTCGCCCCTGTACGCATCTTGCTTGACGAAGGCCTCACAGTCGGCCTAGGCACAGATGTGAGCGGCGGTTACAGCCCCAGCATCCTTGAAGTCGCCCGGCAAGCATGTCTGGTATCAAGACTTCTTCAATATAGTGCTGAGTACCAGGAGATGACAGGGAATACGACATCGAATGGAAGTGAGAAACTCTCCGTTGAAGATAGTCTTTATCTAGCTACTCGTGGCGGTGCGGCTGTCGTCGACATGGCGGATGATATTGGTGGCTTCGATATGGGGATGATTTGGGACGCTCAGCTGGTTGAGCTGGGTGCTGTCAAAAATAGCACTGTGAGCCCGCTTGATGCGGTGGGTGCAAATGCCCTTGCCTATCGGAGTGTTATTGAGTCTGGTCCCGTGGGAAATGTTGATCTGTTTGGAAATGAGACTTGGCAGGAGCAAATCCAGAAGTGGATGTGGAGTGGAGACGATCGAAATGTCAAGAATGTGTGGGTTCAGGGGAAGCTGGTGCATACCAGAGACTAGATTATGAGGCTTTTGTTGGTTTTTGGGGACGAATCGGGGACTAGTTCTCGGTTCTCTATGTGGAGATATAAGGGGGTAGTACGGCAAACTTTGTTAAAGTCAGGCATCCTTCACTATGTAGCATAGTACAAGCCACGACTGAGTTCAATTATCCATGTATCAGTTCTTTGAAGTGATTTGTTTGAATATGCGCCGTCTTGTATACTTCGGGATCCGGGTCAACTTTACTCCGAAACGCGGCTTTTTTCCCGCAATTGAGATCATAGGCGATTCTCGTCCGGACACCAACAGAGACATGCTGTCTCCGCTGAAGCCGTCTGCTCCGTCGGCATCCCTGCTGCGGTTCTTACACTCTCAATCTGGCACTGTGACGGGCCTCTCGGCATGTGTCTCCTTAAAGCCACGAACTTCGAGTCATACCGCGATAGGATCGTCGCGAAGATCCTCGAGTTGGATTCGCCCTGACAGGTCACGATGTGCCGCTGCACTCAACGCAAAAATTACATTTACGCCATCTAGGCCGAAGGCTGCGATATCTCCGCGCTCACTCCAACACTTAATCCTCAACCGGCCTGTCTCCACCCACCGCAAGCCATTCCTCAAGCGCCTTTTCGATCTCCGGAAGACGAAGACCGCTGAGTATAAAAATACCCAGAACGGGCCGGCTTGGATTGATGAAGGAACAGATGGAATATTCAACATTGGACGTGGTCTGGCGGCCAAGGCCTCGAACGAGTTGCGGATACGATGTACAGAATTTGATACAAATGGGAACGTCACGTTAGTGAACGGAGAGTTCCGGAAACTTGAATTGATTGCAAAGGTTTGTCTAAAAGTCTACTGTCTCGCAATGACTTCTTGCTAACATTTCCATTCTTAGTACGGCCTTCTCCCTCGAGATCTGCGCAAGATCGATTCCTCAACTCTACCCCATATACTTGTCCGACCAAGCGCCATCTTAATCAACCTGTTGCATTTGCGAGTTCTGATCAAAGCCGACCGAGTCCTTGTATTCGACGCCTACGGTTCAACAGACTCTTATATGCAGTCCCTTTTCATCTATGATCTGGAAGCCAAACTACGCCAGAAGACGTCACAGGTCGCGCAGGCTGCGGCTTTACCTTACGAACTTCGCGCTTTGGAAGCTGTTCTCATTAGCGTGACAACTGGCCTGGAGGAGGAGTTCAATGGTGTCAGGGACCCTGTCGTGCGGGTACTACGAGCGCTTGAGGAGGATATTGATCGTGATAAGCTCCGGCATCTCCTGATATACTCGAAAAAGCTTGGTACTTTTGAACAAAAGGCTCGACTCGTCCGAGATGCTATTGACGATCTCCTCGAGGCAGACGATGATCTTGCTGCTATGTACCTGAGCGAAAGAGCAAAGGGAAAGGAACGAGATGAAGATGACCACCAGGAAGTGGAAATGTTGCTGGAGTCATACCACAAGGTCTGCGATGAAATCGTTCAGGCTAGTGGTAATCTAGTGACGAACATTCGTAATACTGAAGAAGTGTAAGTCTCCCTGTTCTATTGGAGGAAACATTGTCCTAAATACAAAGCAGGGTCAAAGCCATCCTCGACGCGAACCGTAACTCCCTCATGCTTCTCGATCTCAAGTTCAGCATCGGCACCCTCTCTCTCGCCGCCGGAACACTCTTCTCTGCACTTTACGGAATGAACTTGAAGAACTTCATCGAAGAGTCCGACTTTGGTTTCGGCGGTGTCTCGGTTATCTGCTTCGGCATTACGGCAATCGTCAGTGTCTACGGCCTCGCCAAACTGCGCAAACTCCAGCGTGTCCGCATGTGGGGTGAATCTGGTGTCGGAAGCAATTCTTTGAGCCCTTTGACCTCGAGATCCGGTGCGGTAGGACAGCGAGCTAACTGGCGCGCCGATTCCATTGAACCTGTTTGGGGCAGTCTTCCTGGCGAGGCACGGTCGGAGCGTATTGAGCGACTCCGTAAGAGTGCTGCCGCAGCTGCATCACATTCTGCAGCCAGGAATGCTGCTGCAGCTGCTTCCAGAGCTGGCAGTGCGGCTGCAGCGCAAGCATCATCTTCAGCCTTTGAAAGAGCCATGCATGCCGAGTGTTCCAAGGAAGCTGAACAAACATCTCCAGACCCAGCTTCGGCTAAGAAGAAGCTTTGATCTTCACATATTTCTCTTTACATTCTTCACTATACCTGATTGACTGCGTTAGACTGCATGGCGTTCGGGTTCAATTCGGGATCTCCAACTAATATAAGGGGTTGGCGAAGGTCTCATTTCACTCATCTCTTGTACTTTTGTATACTATGTCATTCTTCACTCCAAACCTCCACTCTGCTCGGTGCGTTGGATATTACAAATTAGAGCAAGATTAACATGATGTCGATGAACAATCCATTCATTTAGATTTTCCAATTTTCCATTGCATCCTCATAGCTCATCATTAGTCTTGACCTCCCTCAAACGCAACATGGCAACACCATGTGGCTGCACATTGGCTGTCACCGTCCCACTTGCCTTAACAGTGCCAACCTTCAAACCCATAAGCGCCTTGGACGTCGGCAACGGCGCCTGCGAGTAGACCTTCTCATATCCACCAAGAGCAGTCATATTGATCGGTCGTGTCGCATTCCCCTCTTGAATAATCGCATTCGCCGTCGCATTGCTCATTCTGTTAGCCCAAAGATCATACACATCCCAGCTACTCTGAATCTGCGACGCCGTACCCCCAGGCCCATCCGCCCAAAAGATATCCGTAAGAGTTGCATTCATCTTACGCGCCGTAGCCCCTGCATTCAAGAGCAAGACCAGCTGGTCGCCCCCACTTAGGGAACCACTGAACATCTGAATCTCGCCGCCGTCGACATAGTAGCGCCAAACACGCACAGCGGACGACGCCTCGGGGTCTTGAGAAACAGCCAGCACAGCTGTATTCTGCAGGATGGAAAGTGTAGATGCGTCAATTTTAGTCATCACGTTTGTCATGAGAAGCGGAGATTTGAGCGCTGCCCAAAGGCTGAAATGGGCGACAGCTTCGGTATCCGTCAAACCGCCATTTCCGACCTCTGTTATTATCAGTTGACATTCTTCTCCACTGGTGAGATGTTCGGTAAGACTCACCTAGCATATCCAAATCATTCCATGCACCTGCATACGCCTTGGATGGGTAGTACACGGCCTTGTTAAGAACGTTCATGACAGAGCATTCATATCCAGGAGTCTTGCAGTCCAGACCCTCGGTTTCAGAGCACGGACAGTTTACATTTTCCCGGTCCCAGACTTTTGTCAGATCACCGCTCATTCTCCAGGAATTGCCAATTGTAGGAGCAAAATTCCATGGGCCATCGACACCCCAATTGCATAGGGAGTACAGGATAGGTCGACCTGTGGCATTGAGTGCTTTGCCCATGGCGTTGTAGCGGTCATAGGAAAGCTTGGGGGTTCCTTCTTCGCCTTGGTTGTAGCAGTTGTCGTATTTAAGATAATCAATCTACAATAGTCAGTAAAAAATATCACAATGACTTTAAAGTGGAGAATCTTACGCCCCAGCTGGCCCATAGTGCGGCGTCTTTCTCTTCGTATCCTAGCGAGCCGGCATACCGTGCGCAGGTCAAGGTGCCCGCGCTGGAGTAGATCCCCAGCTTCAATCCCATGGCATGAATCTTGTCCGCTAGGTCTGCGACTCCATTGGGAAACTTTTCAGGATCTGGGATAAGATAACCAGACGAGTTTCGACCTGCGGACCAGCAGTCATCCATGACAACATAGTGGTAGCCAAGATCTAAGAAGCCAAGGGAAACAATTTTCTCAGCAGCTTGTAAAATGACAGTCTCATTCATGTCACAGGCAAATGAGTTCCAAGTGTTCTGTGATAGTTAGCTTTGCTTGACATTGCATGAACCATAGATCGCATACCCATCCCAACTGTGGTGTCCGCGCGAGTCCATTTTCCAAAGCGCTAGCCAGCCCAGCCAGAAAAATCGGAGTAGCAAGACGCATTCTGTCGATTAAGAAAGGAACGAGAAGAAATTCGAACTACTACTGCCTGAGATGCTTCATAACAATTTATACCCCGCCTCCCCACGGGGTATTTAGCATTTAGCCGGCGGAATATCGGGCTTGCACCCCGTGTTGAAGTAGATCGAATCCTCCGAGATTAAGCCGTTTTCCCCACTTTGCAAGCTTGTCGGATTTTTACAAGCTTCAGGCGCTGATCTTTGGCGGCATTAGTCTATGGTCTCCCATTTGAGTTCCTTCGTGAAGGCTCCGAGCGCGTTCAATCCAAGTCCGTGCGGCAGCAGGAATGCCTCCATCTTTGACGCATTCACGCTCGATAATTTCCTTGGTCTTTTGGATTAACTCCGCATTGTATTTTGCTTGAGGATCCACCGATGCGGGGGCCGAATTCTCGTCTCGAATCCCTGCTTTCCGTTGGCATGTCACTAGTTGCCGCCCCCCCACTATTGCCATATTGCGGGTACTGGAAATTTGAAGCTGGGTTGATTCGACTTCATAGCCGATTTCCTGGGCGATTTGCATGGTCTTTGCGGTCAGCGAGCCGTACATTGAACTAATTATGCCATCTGTGGTTTTTTCTTTTGCTTTTGCTGCTCTCATGGCTCTGAGATCTCCTGATGCGGGCTGTGGGTTTTGTTCGATGACATCATGGGGTTGTGTTGAGGTTTCTGTGCGGGTTTCATTCGGTGGAGGATAGCGATAGCTGGATCCTGAGAGCGAATGGGAGCAACATGGTATAGCAAGGAATGGCAGTGGGGAGGATGGACAAGCAAGGGCGGACATAAGTGGTGTCCACACTGTCAATTCGTCGGCATGGTTAGAGATGATGAACGTGTCAGGCTGGAAGTCCCCAAAATAAATGGTCATGCCCACGTCCTTGGTATCCATGGTGTCGGCGAATGGTTTGGGGATGTATGTTTTCTCAATCAGTCGCTCCTGCACCGATGCTGGGAAAATGCTCCACGTTTGGCGACGACGAGCATCGTATCCACAGCCTGAATAGCCTTCCATGAGAAGCACGTATACAACCACGCCATTCCCACAGGCAATATCAATGAATCCAGGGAATTGAGCGTTGATCTGCTGTTCTTTGGTGGTCTCGGTCTCTGGCACTGCTCCGTACATGTTGCGCCATAGCTCAATCAGCAATGCAGCGATGGCCAGGTCATCATGGATATGCTTCACCGGCTCCATCTTCTCGATCCAATTCTCACATAAATGCTTTAAATATCGATGCTGCAGACGCAGATATGTACTTTGGATCAATTGGTGAGGTGCGATAATGTCTCTGGTGGGTGCATCCACTCCATTCCCCTGGGGGTTGGCGTTTCGAGATGTTACCGACATTATAGGAAACCCTGCGCGTGAATCAAATCGACGATGACAAAATTGCATGTGATTTTATTTTTTCCGTTCGCACTCTCGTGTTCTCGTCCCTCGCTAGACGAGATTTGTGTAAGGAAAGTCGATAACATCTCATCGCGCTTTGTGCGTATATCGATCACGTGATATATGCGGCGTGGACTATATATGCGCTTCATTTTTATAGTTGTCATAAAACTTGAGGTAACAAGAAATGTACAGAAGTTATGGAAGTTATGCATTCTATCCTCTCATCTCTTAGTTATCCACTGAAAAAAGCCATTATACTCACTCAAAAACTCTCCTAAACTTTGAATACCTCTGTTCATTTGAAAATCAATATTTAAATCAACGAAACCGGAAATGATAACAGCACAATGAGATTAATCTACTTCTGCCTGGCAGATCTCTCTGTAATTACACTCTCAGCCGCTATTCTAGGCGCCTCCACACAGGAACTCACCTAAGTCCTCATTGCCCAAGCAGAAAAGGCACCTCGAGCACTTCCCGATGGTTGGAGCTTCGGACTCTACTCTAGCCGCAATTTCTCTGGCTCAGAAACAAGCTACAGAGGTACTGGAGCTACAGTTTGTCTTCAAACTATCGGGGGTGCAGGTGCGGATGGTATGATAAGAGTACATGTTGATCTGCACTGCCGTGTCAGTTTATTTGGCGACAAGAAATGCTCGGGTAAGCGCAACTTTATCACTCTTCATTCTGATACAGAGAAGCGGTAGATTTCGTCGAAGGGAATTAGTATTGAGAGCTTCATGGTGATGTGTTCGTGATGGTAAAATAGAATGGTTACTGAAAGTTTTGATATCTGTTATTGGCGGCCATGTTGAAAGATACTAGCTGAATTCCTTTACCGGATATTTCAAACTTTTTACCCAGTATTATTCTAAGTCAAGAACTGAATGATTCGGGTGGTACTAGTAGATTGAAAACATTGAAATACAAAAACGATTTAGTTGCTCAGGTTCATACTAATGGATGGTGGAGTTAGACGTGGGTAAAGTTACCATTTCTTCCTTATTCTTCAGTTTCTGGGATAAAATATCATAAAATCTACTGGTGGCTGCGTGTCTTGTGCTCCAATCAAGCTCTATTATACCCTGTTGGAACATCTGACTCCAACATTGCGCCTTGAAAATATCGGTGGTGAATCTTTGAAATTGGGGTGGGGGCAAGGGGGCCGGCCTTCCCCTTCAACATACATATTGAAACCATTTTTTTCATCATCAATCAATAATTGACCATGTTATTATATGAATCTCTGAAAAATAATAGCTTTCTTTTTAGGTTAATGTGGATAAGGTGTTGGGTAGATGGGGTTATTTAGGTGAGGCTCTGCGGCGCCGTGGGTCAGATAAATTTATCTGTTGAAGTGCCACGGAGGTACCACAGCGCCAATAAGTTTGCATGCTGAATGGAGATCGCGGGTTAGATCCTTGACAAACGCATTTTTTGAGCTTGTTTCTAAATACAAGGGGATTTAATTGGTGATGAACCTGCAAATAACCTCATGCTAGCTCTGGAGTTACCTAGATATCTACTTAAGTACCTACTGCTGGTTTTTAGCTTCGTCTCTCTTACCTTTCTCTTCCTTTCTCTCTTTTCCTCTCTCTTTCCTCCCTCTTTCCCCTCTTTTAACTTTCCACTTCCTTACACCTCTTTTGGATATCTGCTTCTCAGTTACATGATACGTATCTTTTCAGCCTCAGATTGACGATTCTCGTCTATCAAGAACAACTCTAACAACTGCTTGCCTCCGTCAACCAGGAACTAAAGATACCCTGTCGTTCTTTCAGACACTTTCATCACCTTCCCAACTTGTGGATAAGATCTCGGTCTCTTTCATATTCATGCTGCGAAACACATCTCGTTCACATCTCCAGAATGGATCTCGAGGCATTCTCCACCACGAGATTCCAGGATTCCGAAAATGCCTCCCCCAGATCTATGCCACCTGTTCCCAAGCGGAAATTCACGCCTCTCCGTGGCAATCCCCGGAAGAAAAGCCGTGGAACTGCATCAGCCGATGAGATTACTGCGATTTCACTTACTGATGTCCCCATCCATGTTGAGTCTGTGTCTCCGTCTCCATCTCCTTTAACTGAGCTTCTTGAGACTCCATCCGGTGGTACAGCGTCCGACCGCAAGCTTTCTTTTTCGAATTCTGACTCGACTGAGAATCTCATGTTTGTGAAAGACGACTCCGAAGAAGTTCTGTCTGCCAATGAAGATGAAAGTTCTAGCTCCTGCGACGATGAGCCACTTCCCGATGCCCCAATCTATGACGAGGGACTTCAGCGCGGGCTGCGTGATGTGATAAATCACCTCACCCGACTTATGGAGACTATACGGATTTCAGAACTTATGTTGGCACCGATATCTGATCTGAGTGAGCTCTTGCCAGAAATGGAAAAGTTGGGCAGGTTCCAGTACCCCCAAACTCGCACAGTGGGATTTATTGGAACTTCCGGTGAAGGTATGCCTTTGTGATTTCTTGCATTAATGAACGCAATGCCTAACTAGTTGACAGGAAAAAGTTCCGTCATAAATTCGCTTCTGGATAAAGACAATCTTTCGCGTGCAGTAAGTCCTGTTTTCCCAGCTACCTTTTGTATTGTTTTCTAAGTTTCAACTCTAGAGTGGAGCTGGAACTGCGTGCACTTCAGTGGTCACTGAGTTCCGGTACATTGATGATAGTCATCCCGGCCCCTACACCATTGAGGCGCTCTTTATGAACTCTGAGGAGATCACAGAGCTTCTTGAAGAGCTTTTACGGAGCTACCGGGTGTATCGCTGTGAATCTTCTTTTAGGGACCTGACATCAGCCGAAGAGCGCGAAAAGTTGAGAGATACAGCCATCAGCGCCGAGGAAACTTTGCAATCTCTATTCAACAATCAGCCAGGATGGAATTTGGAATTCCTTCAAGATGAGACTGAGGGAGCAGAGAAGGTCATTCTTGTAAAGCTGAAGAAATGGGCTGAGATCGCAGTATCTCTGAGGCCCGGTGATCACGACTCTCTGGTTTATACCACGGTCGCGAAGAATCTTGACCGGTGCAAGGAAAGAATTGACGATCTGGTGGCCGACACTCGAGAAGATGGTGAACCTGCCTTATGGCCCTTTATCAGGCTGATTAGGTAACTTTCATGTTCCTCTCAATGGGTGGGCTCATTAACCATTTTAGGGTCTATCTCAAATCTCAAATTTTGCGCACTGGGTTGGTTGTGACAGATTTGCCCGGTATGCCTCAGAGACTGGACATACCTCTACTATCACCAGGAGCTCATATTCTATAGGCTTTAGAGACTTGAACTATGCAAGGGTTCGCGCAACCGACAAGTACTTATCACACAATTGCGATGAAGTTTTCATCGTCTCGAGCATTGGCCGATGCTGCTCCGACCTGTCAATTCCTGATATTATGCGACGATGTGAAAACAAGCCAAGGCATATTGTTTGCACCCGATCCGATGTATTACCCCCCTCTCAAAATTGATAGAGGACGTTCTGACATTGCTTTTGCAGGCCATCTTTCCCCAAGAAGAGGCTCGCGGTAGAACTGCGTATGCTGCGAAGATGTGCAGAATCAATAAAAAATTAAAAGATCTGAGCGCCCAATTGAGGAATGCCTCCAAATCTGCTGGGGCAAGGCATAACGCTGGTGAATTACGGTCAGTCTCTTCTCTTACGGGCACATAACATCAGCTAATTTTCCACAGGCTTAGGGTTGAGGACGTCAAATTTAAGTAAGCCCCAATTCATGTCATAACAAGTCTATTACAGAGCGCTCACTTCTTCTTTAGTCGGACGCAATTCATGATTGAGACACGCAATGACCGCGTCAAACATACACTGAAAGAAAGTCATGCTGGGATTGGAGTGTTCTGTGTCAGCAATACACTCTATACTAAGCACCGTAATGGCGACTACCGCCAATTCAAGGAATTCGTGTCTCTCAGTGGGATTCGCGAACTGCGTACGCATTGTCAAATGATCCCAGCAACTGCACAGCTACACATGACAATGGCATATCTCAACCATCAAGTCCCAGCACTTCTGGGATCTCTTCGTTAGTGGACCCTCGCTGGTGCCGACATCTTGACCAAGGAACGAGCCAGCAACCTTCATACAGTACTGGCACAGATTGAGACCATTATTCGAAGGGTAAAGCCTACAATATCTATCTCTACATAGTCATGGCTAGCTATATAGCTATATCATGCGACCAGAATGTTCTGACACAAAATAGGATATCCTCGCGCCGTACGGTTGTATTGAACACACCAAACGCGAATTAATTGACCTATTCGAGGCGGATATCCTGAAACTCATTGGTAATCCATGCTTTACCTCCTGAACTCCCCAAAGTTTTCCTGACATCAATTATAGGAGAATCCGAAGTTGCCTGGACAGAAAATTGTCTCAAAGTGAGCGGAGAATGGTCGGTTGTGAGTACCTCTCGAGAACGTACTTATATGACACCTACCCTTGCCTTGAGTTAACCAAGCCTTCCAGTTTAATCATGCGACATATACCGCATTTTGTCGGCGCAATGGAGATTTCAAAAGCTCATCATCGTCTGTGGGACCCCGTGTCTGGAACGAAGAGCTCATCCAGCACCCCCAAGCACAATTGAGCCCACACTGGGAAACGATATACGAATGGCTGGAATCCCAAACATCATACCTCACTGGCACAATCTCCCTTTTATTCGAGCAAATCTGCGCTATAATTCGACTTTATGAGATACATGCTCCCCAGTCCCTGGGGAACCTTCTCACCTGCATGAAAAATAGACAGCAGAACGTCAACCACAAGATCGAACGTCAAATTGAGAGACTGATACAGGCAACAAAATATTAGCCAGAAATCATTTACTCCTGAATGAATTAACAGCTAACAAGCGCTACCTAGGACCGCGGTACGAGACATGACTGAGGGTCATGACAGTTCGCTGATGGCAGACCTCATGCGTCCTGGATATTTGGCATGCTGTGAGCTCTCAGGTATTTATACGACTCTTTTTATATTTGAACGTTGTTGAAAATACAAAATAGGCACTGGCTCCGACAAAAGCGGAAAAATGCCATGTATGAGCACTTGAAGAACCCGAATCTTTTTTCCAAGTACTCCAATCTCACCGAAGCGGTCTATACTGAAGCCGTGGATGAGAATTTTGATGCCCTGGAGGCTAATATACGTGAGCAAGTGAACAAAATTGGAAAAGACTTGAAGAATGTCTTTGGAAGGAAAGTAAATCTTGAAGGCGAACTACCGTTAGCTGACACGATTAAGGCGGAACTTGACATCGCGGACAAACTTTTGGAAAGGGCGCACTTGGATTTGGCATCGGCTACGCGTAAACAGCTCGCTTGAGACAGGACTACTGGACAGAATGGGAAATTGGATTATGAGCATCGAGCAGTAGGACTTTACATTTGAATGGCTCTATCACCAGAATACATCTTTAATTCAAGTTATGCTGAGCAGCAACAAATTCCACAGCTCTCGCTCCTAGTGCATGAACAGCAACTTGTAAATGCGCTGCCAGAGGTAAAGGAATCACACTGGCATCTACAATTCTCAATCCCTTCACTCCGTTCACCCTCAACTCCGGATCAACTACTCTCCCCATGGAACAGCTCCCCGCAGGATCAAAAGATGTGATCCCCACACGTCTTACCCGATCGTCAATCTCATCATCCGTAGAGATAGCGGTCAAGCTTTCGTATGCTAGTGGTGGCACCTCGCATTCAACGATGTCCTTTAGCGCATCAGATCCCTGATACACTTCGAATGCCTTCCGGACTGCAGAGCGAATAGCCACACGATCGAGCTCCGTGGCATAGTAATTTGGATTGATGACCGGGGGAGCGAGAGGATCAGCGGAAGAAATGGTGATTTCCCCCCTGGAAGTAGGAGAAACACCCAGCACAATCGAAGAGATACAAGTCCCGTCCATAGGAGCATCCATACCCGCAATAGTCGTTCCAACTGGGGTATAAAAGTTCATGGTTTCAGTAAACACACAGCTGGGGTTCAAAAGCAGTTGGCTTGAAGGATTATTCAAATGTCCACCATCTTTCTCAATAGCATCCTTCACAATATTCCTCTCCAGTCCCGCAAAAACCAGCCAGTCACTCGGCCATCCAAGCTTCATCACCGGATCCTCCATATAATCTCCAAAAGACCGATTCATCTCTTTCTTTTTCTCCCTCAACCTCCAAACAATCGGCACGGCAATATGATCATGGAAATTGCGCCCAACATACGGCGACTCAACGCGTTGCTGAATCCCCATATTCATCAATTTCCCCTTCTCTCCAATCCCAGATAACATCAAGATCTTCGGACTATGATAAGTCCCCGCAGAAAGAATCACCTCTTTCCTAGCTAAGAACTTCGCTCCACCAACAAGTTCCACTCCATAAGCAACTGGAACCTTCTCCCCATCCCGAAACAGTATCCTCCCAACCTGCGACTTAGTCAGAACCTGTACCCCATCCAGGCCAAAAACCCGATGAACATGCTGTCTCCGTCCCTGATTCCAATTCTCTACTCGTTCCGAAATCCCAACCGGAAACCCCCCATCTCCATCCCCATCCCCAATTCCAGACTCCACCCAGGCCCGCTTCACACACTCCCTCAACCCATAGACCCGCCTGGAATGCGACTGCGAAGACGTCGCCGTGTAAACAACCCCCGGCTTCGACGAAAACCGTGAAACATCCTCCTCCGCGCTCCGAATCTCCGTCTTGGGAAAATATGGCAAAAGCTGATTATAGCTCCATCTTGCGTCGCCGACTAGTACAGCCCAGCGATCATAGTCGACTTTTGGACCGCGGGTCCAGGTTCCGTGGTTTATTGCGGCTGAGCCGCCGAGGGCTTTGCCGGCGCCTTGGTAGCAGATGCGGTTTCCGAGGTGCGGTTGTGGGAGGGTGGAGAGGTTCCAGTCTAGTTCGGAGTTGTGGGCGAGAGGGGCTTTTAGGGGTTCTGTTGTGAAGGGGTGGGCAAAGCGGTCTTCGCCTGCTTCTAGGAGGAGGATTGAGGATGAGGGGAGTTTGGCGTGCAGGCCGGAGGCGACTATTGTGCCGGCTAGGCCGCCACCTATTATTATGTAGTCGTAGGCGAATGTCATGGTTTTGATTTTTGATTCAAAGTTTGAGATGTGAAGGTTTTGGGGAATTCAATTTATTAAGCTAATTCGATATTGATGTTGATCTTTGCTGGGGGCTGAATTTACCGTGTATAAAGTTTGCTTATACTATATACCACGTTTTTGGAAATTGGCCCTATTTACACTGATCCTAATGACCAATGGCTATGCTCATAGCCTATGTATTGGGGGCGAAAGTGAGGATAATCGCGGCTGAGTCTACCTGGATGGAAAAACCCCTGCTTCATTCGGTAACGAGTATCCCAGATAGGAAACAAAACCAACATAGATCACAATTGCTTATATCAGGCCATAATCTTATATCTTACATGTGTTGCAGTGTAAGCTCAAGTATAGACCAACGATAAGCGATAAACATAGATAAGCATGTTATCGTCATATGACGCAACCAATCTGACCGACGACACAAACCTGCTAGTCTCTTAGAACTTTACCCTTACACAAAGATGGCACCCCGCTGCTTTATTGTCCGCCATGGCGAAACTGAATGGTCCCTAAACGGCCGTCACACAGGCACAACAGACCTTCCACTCACAGCGAATGGCGAGAAGCGTATAAGAGCGACGGGCAAGGCGCTTGTGGGTAATGATCGATTAGTCGTTCCTAAGAACCTCGTTCATGTGTAAGTACGGAGTATACACTGCCTATTTTCCACCGATTAAATATTGAAAGTCATGAGTGGTGCATGGAGTAGATTACGCTCAGTTCTAAATTCTAACTCAATGTTCCAGATACGTCTCACCCCGCACCCGTGCCCAACGGACCCTCGAACTCCTGGAAATCGGCTGCCGCGAACGACTTCCCTGGAATAAAGAGCGAAATGCCGAGGAACACGAGCCGATTCGCACAGAGGCGAAGGTGGAAATTACGGACGCAATTCAGGAGTGGGATTATGGGGACTATGAGGGGTTGACTAGTAAGCAGATCCGGTCGATCCGGGCAGAGAAGGGAGAGGGAGATTGGAATATTTGGACAGATGGATGTCCTGGTGGAGAGTAAGTTGTTGTATTCATTGTCTCGTTATATGAGCTTATTCGTCTCTAGATCGCCTGAGGACGTTATGCGTCGCCTAGACGCATTGATCGCTGAGATCAGGGATAAGTATCAGCGGGAATGCTTCGAGAACCCGGGTTGTCTCAAGGGTGATGTCCTTGTTGTTGGGCATGGGCATATCCTTCGAGCGTTTGCGATGCGCTGGGTAGGTAAGCCTTTGACCGAGACGTCGTTTATCCTTGAGGCTGGGAGTGTGGGGACTCTGAGGTATGTGATTCCGTCCATGCCATGCGATTCTTTCTGCGATGACAGATAAGAAACGAAGGTGCTTGTTTCTAGACATCTGCTGATCATGATCACAGCTATGAGCACAACAACATCAACGAGCCGGCAATTATCCTGGGTGGGCAGTTCGTGGTCGAGTAATATTATCTCGATGAGCTTGGGGCCGGTCCAGGATTTAGAATTCAGAATTCAAAATTCATCCCTTTGCATAATCCAACCATGTTAGATTGCAACTGTCATAATTAGCACCGTCTCACCAAGCATAAATAACCCACCGCTGTGAAAGCCGAACTGAACAAACTCACACCAAAGACCAAAATCAGAATTAGTCCTCCTCACTCTCCTCCTTAATCTCAACTTCCTTTGATTTCTCGGGTCTATCCGCGTTCCCCTTCACCCCCTCCTCCCCCAAAATCTTCGCAGATCCCATGAACATGCCTCCAATATATCCGCCGAGGAACCGCATATCTCCCGCCTGCACAGCTGTCATGCGCAACAGGTTCTCTGTGTCCGCGAGGTTCGCATTCAGCTGCGCGAGCTGGGAGTGGAGGTGTGCGTATTGGCGGGTTTTGGCAGCGGACATGGATGGTGTAGAGGAGCCGTAGGTTTGGGTTTGGGTGCTTCCGATTATTCCTGAGCCTGTCCCTGTTTGGTTGAAGGTTGTGGGGAGGATTGAAGAGCGGGGGTAATTTGTTTGGGAGTCGTGGTGGCGGTGGGAGGGAGGCATTTTGATGGTGTTTTTTTTGGTTTTTTCTTCGGTGAGATTGTTAATTGGTTTGGAAATTGTTTTGTTTTCGGCATGCGTCAATTGGGGGTTGACGTGGTCGAGTATTTGGAGTTCAGATGTTAGTATCGAGAAAAGCGGATCTGTTTACACGCGCGAGGGCACGTGACATGTATACAACGAACGCTCGAATTTAAACCTTCTAACGTGGAAAGAACAGAATTGAAACTACCAGTGTCTACATTAAATTCTGTTACAAAGAAATAGACGTCATGTCAATTGAAACAATGGTATAACGGAAGGGTCTATCAATTCATGCGCTCCATGAAGGATATTATTCTGTTCAAAGGGCGATGCAAATCACCTTCATTAATTCCCAGCCAAGCGTAAACCCAGCCCAAGCAGATCAAGACAACTCAACCGAATAAATCAAACCCCCGCTCTTTTGCAATACGCCAGGGACCATACCACAGAAATCAAACAAGGCCGCAATGTGTCAGACCAGCGGGATGACAGGAGCAAAGGAAATATCAGGAAGGATGGAAATGCCGGAGCAGGACAAATGATAACACAGCACATAATAAATAAGGCAACGTATATGAGCCCGTATAGTAGGGTTCGCAAAAAAAGGAAAGGCGCCGATCACGTAGTGTACAGTCATGCAAAGAGAGGTGCGGCTGGTTGCGAATGGGTGGACTGGATAAGAGGCCGAAGACGCTATATCAACATGCTGCAAAGGAAAGGTAGGAAGATGAGGAGAAAGGGTCCCAGTCTAGACGCACGCAAGTCTCAAATAAAAAAGGAAAAGGATAATGCCGCAGGAGCCAGGATGAGTATCAATGCAGAGCAAGGCAAAAAAGGATGGAAACACAAACCCAGACCCCAACCACTCCGGAACAAGAAATCACAAATAAGCGATGAAAACCCCTATGTCCCTCATGTATATGTAAAGAAACGAAGAGCAGAGCATTACCCGATAGTTCGAGGAAGTTGAATAGCAATATCCAAAGGTCGAATGACACGCACGCAGCGATGCAGGAAAATCCAGGCATGACAAGAGGTTTTTTTGGGGGGAAAGCGGGCGGGGTATTCGTCCGTAGTGTGGTAGATGGAAAACGTCAAGGAGGAAATTCAGTCGGTCATCAATCGCCCTGTTGGTCTTGCATATTAAAACAGGATGAGGGTCATCAACCCATAATGGTGTTCAAGTTTCACCGAACGGGCGGTGCCGGTGCAGCTCGCGGGTGCGTGTGATCGCCCAGACTAATCTGGCTGCTGTGAGCTGATGCTTCGGAATCGAGGTTTGCACTGGCGCCACTATCACCACTCTCCGCGCTGGCGCTCGCACTTCCAGTCAGACTCTTGTTCTTGGGAGGGCCTTTAGCGGCATACGGGTTGCTCACCCCATAGTGTTGCTCAAGTTGTTGTTGGCCAATCGGGCCTTGTGCTGACGGCTGCCGAGGGATCGGTGTCCGCATGTTTCCAGGGGGCGACGGGTGGCCGTTGTGAAGAGATCCACTAGGGGGACCAAGATTCGAGTCATGGGCGGTCATCGGGCGTCCCATACGGGGACCAGATCCAGGGGGCCCAGGGGGTCCGGGGAATGGTCCTCCGGGGGATTGGCTGTTTCGCCGGCTCTGGGGGTAAGGACGGGACGGGAAATCGCCCATTTGGCTGGCCGTCATGGAGTTGGCTCGCGAGTCAGCAGCCATCTGATTCCGGTCGACGGCTCCGTATCTGTTCGATGAGTAACTCATCATGGGGTGCTCCATAAGCGAGTCATGAAGACCGGGGATCTCCTGCATCACTCGGTCACTGGCACGCTTTCCCCGGCCAAAGTATCGACCAAAAGCAGACGAGGAGGGACGACTCTGAGGCATGGTCGCGAATTCGGGATTCTTGCGGAACTGCTGCATCTGACCCTGGCTCGGAGTCTTGCGTCCTCGGCGTGATGTAAGACTCATCATATCAACGCTGTCGGGATCCACATGGGGAATGGGAATATTGTCCATCGGGTCGAAATAATCCTCATCCTCCTCATCAAATGCCGATGCAGGGGCCCGAGGGGGCGGTCGTCGTTGACCAGGACCAGGACCCCGGCGCATACCCATCTCCTGCTCACGAAGCTGCAATTCTCGCTGACGAAGGGCCAATTCCCGTTCCCTTAGCGCTAACTCGGACGGGCCAGGGCCGTGGCCGCCATTCTGGGGTAAACCACCTTCACCCTCATCACCGTAGCTCATAAGATGGCTGAACTCCTCGAGACCCTCCAGTGAAGGATCGCGGGGCATGCCCCGGGCTCCGGGAGGGTGCATAGGTCCACCTGGTGGGCCCCGCATCATCCCCGAGGGTGGGCCTCGACGGGCCTGGGGAACTCCCAGGCTTGAATTCGTCCGACTTGATCTCATTGCTCCATTGATAGGCGGTCGTTGCGCTGCGGGCGCTGATGACATTCGTGGCGGTGGCTGTCCTATGACTGATGCAGGGGGGGAATCACCATGACGAGGCTTGGACTGGTTCAAAATGTTTGCGTGGTGAAGCATGGCATACATGGCCTCAATTCGTGGCAATGCCACATTCGACTCGGTAGCCAATTTGATTGGAGAGCCCAGGAAATTCTCGACTTCCATTGGACGTCTGGCCTGGAAGTCCTGGAACATGGTACTTGGGGCATCGACCGAGATCATTTTCTGAATAGTTTTTTCCCGGAAATCGCTGGGAAAGGTGCAATCCAACGCCGAGGCCAGTTGTAAGAGTTCGTCAATAATACCCGTCACCAATTGACGTACTCCGGTCTTCTCTAGCAATTGCGTAGGATTGGGGGTTTCAAACACGATACTCGCGGGGTGGAACGCGATCGGCCTAAAATATTCCAAAGTTAGCACAAGTAGGGACTGTTGTTTTCGGGACGCGATCACTGACCCGATCATTCGCTCGAACTGTTCCTGTCGAATATTGGGCGACACTTTACAATCCACCTGGCCGGTGTTCAGGGTCAGGGAAAGGGCTGCAGCCATGTCATTCTGGATCGAAACGGGAATAGCGGATTTTCTGTTGGTCGCGCCCACGGAAATCTCGCTCGAGCTCAGGTGCTCGAATTCGCTGGGGCCAGTCTGAGTGATTTCAACGTTGGAAACGAGGGAGAGGATGACATTGGTCGGGTAGCGTTGCTCCAAATGGGCTTCGATGCCTAAGGTATTTGTGGTGTTCACCAGGATACAGGTGTGCTGGGGGGTGACCACGGACTCGATAACGGAGGCCAGATCGTAGACATCTGGAAGTGCCTTCACGCAGAGGATGACATAGTCGTATACATTTTCACGAGATGAGGCTTCTTCGGGTGCCCGGACAACTAATTCAACCGTCAGTTTCTGACCTGATTCAACTGCGGTAGGTCAAAGGGCCAGGGTGACTATCATACCATGTCGGGGCTTGAATCGCTCGTTGCCGAATGCTTTTGATCTGTGGAAATGAATGAGTCAACTGATTCCGGTTCTCCGGATCGAACGGAAGCGTACTTGAAAGAGACACCATATTGCGAGACGGCTTCGAAGCCTTGTTTCCACACCAGGGTCACGTCGCATGAGGTTGTGGCCTGGAGTCGCCAGGACAGAAATGCTGAGATCGCATTACCGCCAACTAAGCAATATTTCGTCAGACCCATGATGCAGTGAATTTGGAAGAGAAGGTGGATTGCAGGTTTCATGTAAAAAAGACTCACCGGACAGAATGCGCAATCGTGGAGGGGGAGCCATGGTCTGAATATGGCAGGAAGTGATGGGCGGGAAGGACCCAAGTTGAAAGGTTCGGCGCGAGGCCAACCGAAACGATTATCGTAGACAAGCCAGGGCGGGGGGAGAAAGGGAAGGTGAATCGGAGCCACCAAGGGGAGTAACGGGAGGATTGTCAGGGAGGTCAAAGGGGAGTAGGGAGGGGGGAAAGATTGAAGGGGAAAAAACGAGTGATGAAGGGAAAGATGGAAAGAGATGGGGAAGTTTCCAAGTTTGGGAGAGAGAAGCCAAGTTCGAGATCAGCCTCAACTTTCTTTTTTTCTCCTTTTTTCTTTTTGTCTTTTTAACCTTATTGTTCTTGCTTTCGAACAATTGTACCTTTCGCTTTCCGTTTTCTGTTTTCTTCTTCCCCTTGATTATAGTTGGGGCGAGTTTAACGGTCGTGGATCCCCCGCCTGAATCCGGAAACGGGAGGTTCAAGATAAGACGGTCACCAGACAGAGCTGGATGCAGACAAATGTATGTTAAGGTATGAGAGAGATTTTTGTGTTTGTATATACCTCAATTTATAATGAGTTGAATGCTTTGTGACTTGAGTTAAGGCATCATCTACAGAGTATTGTGTCCAGTCTAATTTCTAGTTTCCCGCACTAATACCGTTTCGCGTCTATCCACGCAATCGTTCCACCTCATTAAGGTCATACATTGACCGATTGCCATAATCTGAATTGTATATAACTGGGCGAAAAGCAAAGGAAAAGAAGGAAAAGCCATACAGTCAAAAAATATATATATATCAAAAGAGTGAACTGCTGATCCAAGAAGCTCTGAGTTTTGTAAACCTTTTGATACTATAATTAACTTGTAGATTTATTTATTTTGATTTTAATTTTTAATTTTTAATTTTTTCCTTTTTGTTACACTCAAATGGGATCCACTTCAACCAACGTTGATCTACGTACAAAGCTCTCCATAACTCTGGTCTTTATTAAACCCCTAAATATTTGCATAACATATTGATATTTGATGTCTTCAGGTCAAATAAATAATTTTCCCTTTCTCATTTACATTTATATTCGAGTTGCCCACTTTATATCCATGATTGGGTTTGGATGGACCCGACGCGTATGGCGGCCACGTCCACCTCGTCACTTTTTCCCCCCACAAGTCAACAGCGAATTCGGCCGGGCACTGCACTAGAGGACAGACATGGATGCATGTGTAGATTGGGCGGAAAACAAAAGGACCACAAATCACCTTGAAAATACGCGTGAGATCAAATCATTTCCTATGGAATTGAGTTCTATCTTATCCTTACTATGTGGCCAGCGTCGTATTGGACATACCTAAGCCACCAAACGCCAGTATGGATCAAAACCATTGCCGATAGTGGCGTTGACAGGTAATATATGAATCCAGTCCAGGCTACTTTGGTACATTAGCTGCAAATGTCTGCAGAACTTGGGCTCAATTCCGAAGGGAGTCACATAACCAGACAGATAAGAGGGGGATTTCCCCCCACATCGGCATCCAGGTACATAATCTCAATTTCTGCATTCTCATCCGATCGGGCTTGATTCTATCCAGATTATCAAGGCTATCTCCCGCAGGCAACAGACTATTTCTATAGTCTTGTTTTCTTTTTCCTTTATCTTTACCCTTCTAATTCCATCAATCCAAAGCTCCCAGGGATGCATTGATCGCCCTCTTAGTGCCTGGGAAGGGGGAGGCGGTGTTGACATGCCACAGAGATCGACGCGCGTGCCGACTGTTTGCAGCTCAAGGGATGTGTTTCAGAACCCAACATAACCCGGGGATTTTGGAGAACGGAATCTGATAATACCAAATTCTCACATTTCAACTTCTAGATCGGTTCACATACCCGATACAGTGCAGCAGTGTTACTGCACATGTGTTGCGACTGCGCTGCAATACACAGTGTACATTATTGTGATTATCTACGATATTCATTCCTAAGCCGTACTTCTTACAGAGTAATTCCATTGCAGATCAGACAAGACCTGGGCCCTCAGATCATAAAGAGACCTTCAAAGCTTGAGTGGAGAGAGACCCGCAGTAAACATTCGCGTTGGTGGAGTCAGAGCCTTGACCCCGAAAGAGAACAACAATACGCGGCCATGCCGACCGGTGGCAGGGGAAACGCGTGAGCCACGTTTGCAGAAAACTCCCCGACGGAAACGGACATTTGTTGAGAATTCTACGGATACTGTACATGTTTATTTTGTTAATAAGAATTCTACTTCCAGACTCCGCCACGCTTGATGGATGATTTTCAGGAGAACCACGCCACTTACATCAGACACGATTATTTTCAAAAACCCGAGCACGATGGCCCGAATTCCGAATCTTCGATCTACTCTGGTCCTCTCTAGGATTCAGTCCTCCGTAGAGGGAATAATAAATTGAAAAGTGCTGTACCGTACTCCGTACATGATTACAGAATTAGCTCTTCCCAACATTTCCCACTTCCCACTTCCCATTTCCCATTTCCCATTTCCCTGTCTCACTAGCATCGGCGTTTGCAAATCAAAAAAACCATCCCACTTGAGTCAGTGGCTGCGAGGCTTGGCAAAATCTATTTCCTAGGGGAACAAGCCCAATACACACAAAACTTGGCAATTAATGTGTACGGAGTGTACTCCACCAGTAAGGACAAATGAAACCGATTGTCAACTGCCGCAAAGTCTTCCCATCGACGCTAAAACACAGAACCCCGGGTGGAGTGGGTTAGAGGTCCGAGACAGGGTTCTGGCTTAGCTTCCGCTCGTCTGCCTTGTTTTCAAATTACGCTAATCAATTCTTTCTTCCCTGGTTTCTTTCTCGGTCCAAAGATTTCCATCTTAATTTCCGCTTAATTGGAGTTGGAGTTATAGATTAATTAATTATGAATGGATCCGGATTCCAGTGTACAGAGTACTCGGTACATATGTAACCATGAACAACACATTCTTGCGAACAAGTATACAGTGCATTATCCATGCATAATTATATTCAAATCAATAATGCCCCTAGTAACGGAGTAATTTGCCAAAGTTGGAATCTTGGAAAATCCTACATATGTAGCTACCCACTAGAGGTCTGATACCTAACATAAGAGCCAACCGAATCAAAGCTTGCTCGCAATGATCGTCCCGCATGCATATTCTATTGGATCGAATGGGCCGCGCGACGCAATCATCATTTCCCACTTTTCTACCCTGACACCTGCCAATTCTGCATGTTGCACGGCGACACGAGGAAAGGGGGGTTTCGCGTCGCCTGTCCATCCTATCGACGCGTTTGTCTACAGAGTAACAGTAAATGATGGAACCAGTGGGACGGAAAGAGGGAGAAATGGGTCCAAGATCGACGATACATATTTTATCATGTAGATTTGGAGTTGTATATTCTAATATGCAGAATTTACTATTGCACTAGTTATTCTGTTCAGAGATGAATTAGCTCCGGATTCAGTGCCTCCCTACAATATCAAAATGTCAAGTGTTCGGTTTCGCTAAGAATTGTTACATATATGTATACGTTCGATATACTAACATAGTACACCGTACTTGAAAGGGTAGGTACTGGATAGATACTGGAGTAGGTAAACTTGAGCTACCTAGGTAGGCTATAGGGAACATGATTTAATTAACTCGAAGTCATGGCTTTGTACAAGCACTGAGTATGTTCCTGATCGGGTTAGACAGCGTGTACGAGAGCAATGCAGAGGTACGTGGAGCAATTCCCATAACAATCAGGGCACATTCAGATGTTGTTCCACATAAAGTGATATAGAAAAGGAGCAGTGCAAACCTCGATCTCCAGAGTCCAGACTGAGCTGCATGTACACCAAATATGTTCCCATTCTCTGCACGGCTCTTATATCTTTATTTCTCCTCCCCTTTTCACAACTCCCGCCACCGGGCTTGAGCTGAATAAGGTCGGGGAAGAAAAGAGGTGCTCCCCGTTTGAAACCTGGTCACCAATACCAACATGGAAGGCTGCATGCAGCTGTTCAAAGACCTTGTTCTAGTCACAGTTCATCGATCTCAATATACAATATCGTGTGATATGCCCTAGTACTATATGATGTTATGTCCATAACAGATACGTATGAACAGGGCACCGATCATGGTCTCTGCCTAAATTCCGGATAACGAAGATCACATGCGCATTGTCTTATCGTCTGGGAAGAGATGATTTGAAAATTATGACTAGATTGTCTTGATATTTGAAGAGCCTTTCAAATATTTAAGTCCATCTTCGAATAGAATCGCCAAGGCACTCCGTTGGCTTGGCAGTCACGCTGACAAACGCTGTTTATATCTTAAGTCTAGCAGGACACTAAAGCAGGGCTATGCATCGACCCTGACTGCATGTGCTCGTCTCGGGGCAGCACATGACGGTCCATGGATACGAGTATGATATCTTCTCCCTTCATACGACTCGACGATAGACAAGAAAGCGGCAACAGAGCTAAGAAGGTAAATTTCATACCTGCTTGTTTCAGGTTGAGAGATCAATTGAGTTAACGGTCCGAATTCGGTTGCAGCTGACAGTCAGCCGTAGATTGGAAGGATGCGCGGGTCGCATGCTTGGGAGCTGTTGATTGATCGACTTCGGTTGGGTGGAGGGGTGGAGCAGGGATTGATTAGTTTGTTCCTGGCGGATTGGCTAGGTTCTTTTTTAGTTGTGTGGTAATCTCTTGCCACGTTTCAGGATCGACCTCATTTGGGGGCTAAATTCGTGTCCTATGGGTATCTGGTGATCTGACCAGTATCCGCAGACCAAATTGATGTAATCGAATGCTGGATCTTAGGCCATTGAAATTCAGATCGAGATCTTCAAAGCTTCCTTGGATGGATCTGTTGTAGACCCACTGTAGCCCGGACCCAGCTATAGCTTACATAGCTTCAAGATCTAGTTAGCTAGCTACCTACCTGAAACGGGTGCATGGAACACGTCCGACCTTGGAATAACCTTAGAAGGATTCTTTACTTGGATACTCTGGATAAGAAGTGATCATATTGGCATTTTGAACATACGGATCCCATTCTTATCTGGAAACACAATGGGAACTGCCAGGTAGCAGCAAACCACGAAGAAAAACCCACGACCGAGCTATTGCGCCATATCAAAAACAATCAAATTGGGGTGCGAAACAACGCCTGGCAATCACCATTGGCGATTCTAAGCCATGTAGGTGGAGGAGTCAACACCACCCTCGGGGTACTCACTATTGAAAGGTTAGCGGTGCGGTGAAAAGTGACATGGGGAAGGTACATACGGAAGAGCAACCTCGAAGCGCTTCTCAATATCCTTGAGAACCTTCTCGTCATCCTCGTTGCTGACGAAGGAGATGGACAGACCCTTGGTACCGAAACGACCGGCACGACCGACACGGTGCAGGTAGGAGTCAGCGTCAGCGGGAAGGTCGTAGTTGATGGCGAGGTTAATACGCTCGATATCGATGCCACGGCCGAAGACATCAGTAGCAACGCAGATACGCTTGTTGAATTCCTTGAATTCCTTGTAGCGTTTGATACTGCAACAGATTCATTAGTTATGTCCATGCCTCCATGAAAACCATGACTTACCGCTCCTCCTGGCTGACACCGGAGTGGACAGCGATACTGGGGAAGTTGCACTCGCGCAGAAGCTTGTCCAACTCGTTGGCTCGGAGAGTGCTCTTGACGAAGATGATAACCTGGTTGAACTCCAGGTTGTCCAAAAGTTCGTTCAACTTGCGGTTCTTTTCCTGTTCGCTGAGCTTGATGTAGTACTGCTGCAGACCGTGCAGGGTAAGCTTGGTGTCATCGTCAACGTAGACCTCAAGTGGGTTGCGCATGAACTTCTTGCAAATGGGGCGGACTTCCTGAGACAGGGTAGCACTGAACATCATAACCTGCTTGTCGGCCGGGGTGGCGCGGAAGATCTCCTGCACATCACGGCGCATGTCTTTGTAGGAAATGATTAGATGAGGATTCTTTTCTCCCGAACTACTGTTTACATACCAATCTGGTCAAGCATCTTGTCACACTCATCAAGAACAAAGGCCTTGACGTTGCGCAGGGACAGCTTCTTGTCACGAACCAGGGCGTTCAGGCGACCGGGGGTGGCGACAACAATGTTGGGGTGGGTATCCTTGTTGGCAAGAATCTCAACATCCTTCTGGAGGGGGGTACCACCGAAGAAGACAGCAGTCTTGACATCAGGCAAGTACTTGGAGAAGCGGGCGTATTCGTTCTTGATCTGGTAGGCGAGCTCACGGGTGTGGCACATGACAAGAATGGAGCACTCGCCGGGAACGGGCTCCAGCTGGTGAAGAGTGGTGAGAACGAAGACCGCGGTCTTACCGAGACCGGATTTGGCCTGGCAGAGAACATCGACGTTCAGGATCGCAGTCGGGATACAGACTTGCTGGACTGTAGGGAGGCGGAGCGGTGGTTAGACTTGGGTTCGACTCAGATGAAGAAACAAAAAAAAAGTTCAGGTCGCAAAGTCCGTCCATCCCTCGAAATGAATACCAGGGGAAAAGATTGTATATATTCCACCTCATTCGATGCTCGCAAGACCGACAATCACAGTCATCCTCACAACAAGCGGAGACTTCAACCCGGACAAAGTCTTGCAGACGGCATGAGGGACGTCTATCGTCGAAGTACCAGCAATCCAGATCGTATTCCTATCCACCATGGACGATTCAAATCGCCTCACGAAGACAGAAAAAAAACTTCAGGTGGAAGTAAATGACGATCGTAGATATATGCCAGGTGACCCTGCAGCGCAGGGTTTGAGTAACCAATTTGAGATGAGACATTTTCGTCCTTTGCTCTGGCCAAATATCCTCATGCCGTCTGAAAACTCAAAAAAGACACAGCACCCGTTCTGATCGGTGGAAATTTCGCGGAGATGGACGGACGTTGCAGCTTGCAATATAATTGGAGGAAGGCATGTGGGATAAACGAGTTAGACTAACCCTCCGAAGGATGTTCGAAACCGCAATCGGTGATGGCACGCAAGAGCTCGTTCTTGAGCAGGAAGTCGCGGAAACCAGTCGAGTGAATTCCAACGTAGCTACCCTTCTTGTCGGGGCGGCCAGAGACGGTCAAATCACCCTTCTTGTCGTCGTCGCCATTAGTGTCAGCGGGGGCCGCAGTGGTGGCCGGCGCGGTCGTGGTCTGAAGCTCCTCGTCGGAGTAATCGATCAAATCCTCTTCGTGCGACATTTTGGCGGATGGGGTGAGATGGAAAAGCTAGTAGGCGTGGGGATTGGTTGAGGCGCGAGCTTTCTGTTAAGCTCAAAGGATGGGAAGGACAAAGAAGGGGTGAACAAGTGAGAGATGATGAAAGTGAAAAGAAGAAAGAATTCGACAGATCACCCTGGGGTTGAAAGGGGGAGGGGGATGGGGTCGACGTCGAGTGATTGGGAAGAATGGGGGGAGAGATGCGGCTGCGAGGGATAAGAGTCAGCCATTGGAAGTGAATTCAAGTCACATGACCGCGGGTGCCGTTTCAGGACTAGTGCCGATACCCTGATTTTGGTCTCGACGGCCAAATACATTCAATTGTATCCACGAACCAGTCGCGACCAAGATTTGGATGAGATGGCGAAACTCAAGACTCCCAAAGAGCCTAAAAACTCCAAGAGTCATTTAAAAGCTCGTATGGAGTACTTACATCGAGTTTCACTGTTTCTTCAAGATAGTTCGACAGCACAAAACATTTCCACCGACAACGATACCAACTTGGAAGCCAAATCCACTGGCAATGAAACAGAACTCTCCACGGATGATTTGAATCAGCCACAAGCAAAGCACCTACTCAATCTTTCGAGGGTCTGTATTTCTCAGATGCGTGGTGTCTCCTTGAAAACACAGACGCGCCTCCCGATACCTGTGAAGAGATCATTTTGCAAGCGGTGTGACACCCTTTTGATTCCTGGGGTGAGCTGCCTACATGAGACTCAAAATCCTAGTAGGGGCGGGAAGAAGGCTTGGGCTGAGGTGCGGGTGGTTCGATGCTTCACCTGCGGGGCGGAAAAGCGATTTCCTCTGACGGACAAGCGCAGCCAGAAGCTTGTGACCCGTCAGAAAGAAAAGCAAACACGGCCTACTGTATCATGAATAAATTCGATGGGAGGCATAATTCCAAGGCTCTAATCAATGCTTTATTGATAAGCTTGCACCCACTATGCAGGCCAACCTGGTGTAACTTGAGATGATCAATCCAGCAAGACATGCCGTGACAACCGCCAAATTTATGCGACCTCGGCCTATTGAGACCAATGCACTGTGTTGGTCCCTCAGTCGATGCCTATCAGCACCTGCACAGTCGATCACATGAGACTCCCTTGCATGATTCTATCACGGGAAAGGAATTTGAGATCTACAACACGCTTACTCTCGGCATTGAGGTTGATCGACAGCCGAATCTGCGGGATGTCATGGCACAGAGCCTAACTTGCCGTTCAGGACCTCCAATTGAATCGGGCATTGCCCGAGAGCTACAGTCGTGATTTACGCGAACAAATTAAAGCGAAATCGCGATCATCTTGGTTTGGGCAATTGCCCAGGCAAAGCATCGAAGCGGAACCAATACGAACATGCAGAGAGGGGGAATCGAAAGCACAGGATCAATAGCAGAATACATGAAATGACAGCAAATATAAACGAGATGTTCATTTGCGCCAATCGAATCAAAAAAGCCATTAGAAATGTTCCATCGTGACAAGGTCATCAAAATTGGGGAAAGAATGCGGAGAGATCGTGGAAATAAAACAGTAGTAGAATAAACAGAAAAATCCATGCGCCATCCATATACTGCAAATATCAGTCAAGTCGCAGGCTCGGTTCAGGAGTCACTGGGACCGAAAGTGCCGTGAGGCATGCAGTTCTTTCAATCGTCTGTCGATTATTCAATACCGAAAACAATAGAGCAAAGTAAACAGGCATTGCCTGCATAAGCCAAGGGTCCGCGAGGACAAAGGTCGTATATAATATGTTTTGGGATTGTCTGTTTTGGGAGAAGTTCAAGGGACTCGGGATCGGAAGATGTAGGAAGGATGTCGGCAATGCGTTTTTCGCATCCCATTGGAGAGAAGAGGAGATTTCAAATGTCAAGGTGTGTTGGACGCTATCGTGGATTCCAACGACGAGGGACTGCGAGAGCACCAGACTTGAGGATAAAGTGGGAGGTCTTGAAAAAGGTGGGGGGTTATATATCAGCGGCGGCGACGGGACTGGTCCATGCGACGATCTATGCCCTCGATTCGACCACGAAAGGATTTCACAATATCTCGAATGTGAGCGATCTTAGCCAGCTCGTTCTCCAAATCATCCGCGGACGCCATCATCGAACGAGTACGGGCCATCTCCGCTTCGACGTCGTGGATTGTTTTCAATACGCCGCTGCGGCTACGTTTAACGGAGTCTGTAATTTGTTGCGAGAGCTTCACCACGAATTAGAATAAAGATAAACTAAAATTTGAACAAGGAGAGTTGATATCCCCTCAAGGCTATGTTATCAAAACACTCACGTAGTCGATCTGGCCGCTGATGCGGCGCTCCAAGGAGCCCAGCTGGTGCGACAGCGCGTGGAGACTATCGGGGTCCAGCAGTAAGCGGCCCTGGCTGCTGGCAGCACTGGTTGCGCGCGAACTGGAGTTACTGACTCTCCCCGCACCGCGACCTCTGGAGGCGCCATTGCCGGCATGGCTGTTCTGGAGGGCAATTTGCTGCTGCTGTCGGAGAATCTGGATCTCGGAGGAGGTGAGGCCAAGCGAGGTATCGGGGATCGAGGCTGAGACGGACATTTGGTCCCGGCAGAGACATGCTCCGACGGCGACGGACAGTCTACGAAGCGCCGATCAAACTCGAGGTGAGACCGAGCGGACCGCAGGTCATGGTGGATTCAGGAAAAGGATGCGCAGTCTGCAGGGCGACTCTCGGGGAGCTTCTCATGGGGAGAACGGGAGGCGGAGAAGAAGAGGTGTGGGAGCCGCTTGAATTCGGCGGCAACTGCAGCGCGCGGCTGGAAAATCTCTCAAGGTTCCGTTACACCAAAACAGGAGCACTAAATAGAATGAAGTGAGGGGGAAGGGTAGAAGAGGTGTGAGTGGAGTATTATATATGTATTGCGGTGTGGTGTCCACGGGTTGATATTTCTTTACTTATTTAGAGATATATATTTCAAATGATGGTGGGAGCACAGGCTTTTTTCCCGGGAAAATATGATACCTCGGACGGGATCCAGAAGAAAAGAGAAGGAGGGGAAAAAGGTTCTTTTTAAATTTTATGATCATTGATTGGGCAACGTTTTGGGATGTAATTGGGTCTTCACTATTCAGGGCTGAATCAGTTCAAGGGGTATAGGGTCGAAGAAAGAAGATAATCAATTTGGACCTACAAAGCCAGGATTTTTTGGAATTTCAAGGATCATGAATTTCGATGGACTGATTCTTGTTTCGCGTGATACATACATCAAAGTCCCTATATAGACTAACCTACTAACTAGGCACCGTTGGCTGCAGCTGCACCGCTGATCGGGGAGAAGACGGGGAGTCAAATCTGGAGGAATTCCTATAACTAGGTATCTGTGAGTATAATGACAAGAAGATTCAAGACCCGAGACTACTTAATTTAGAACTTCGAAGTGAAGTATATATTATATCGATATCGCTAATCTACTTGACAGGATCCATCCCGAACCATGGAAAGCTCCCCGCCCACTCCGCCTTAGCTTCCAAAATCGCTTTTTCACCCAACGTCACCTTTTTATGCCTTAATCTTCACACCCCTGAAACCCGACTTGCCAACCCAATCCAATCAGAGATCGTCATCCTACGCTGCCTAATTTGTGAGGCTGAATCCAACTTTGCCCAAAAGGCGGTGATCACACTCCATTGGCGCATACGCTACCAACGAGGCTTGCAGCTACCTCAGACGCGAGCCCCATTCCCCCACGCAGGAAACATAGCGCATCCCGCCCCAGCCTGTGAGCTTCGCCCATTCATTGCTCCAATCCCCAAGGGCGTCCTGCAAACGGTCTCGACCCGACAGCCCGACTTGACGCGACTGTGACGAGCTTGTGGTTGCGCTGACGCTTTGATCACGTTTTGCTGCAGCTTAAGCCCATTTATCGGTCATTGGGTTTATTCTCGATCTCTCGTGCCATACAAGCCCCGGAATTCTGTGTCCTCGTCAGAATCTGGATTGCTGCCCGTGAGGCTCTGGGTCTCAGCTGACGACACTTTTCACCTCTGATTGGTTTCTACTGCCGACGAGAGAAGCATTGGGACCTAGAACCCCCTTGGGCTGTCAAAGTCTCGCCTTCGTGATACGCTTACGACGAACCAATACCAAATACCTATAAGAAGATTGCAGTATGGCCAAGGACAAGGAGCGATCCGTAAATCCGGCGGCGGCGCACAGGAAACAAGAAAAGCAGAAGAGCCTAAAGAAAGGAAAAGCTGAGGCGCTAGCGCGACGCAATGAGAAACTTGCGCGCCGCAACCCTGACCGTATCCAACGACAGATCGGCGAATTGAAATCCGTCGAGGAAACAGGAGGAACATTAAGACCGCGGGATAAGGAGGTGCTTGAGGCACTCGAGAAGGATTTGCGGGCGGTACTGAAGGCCCGTGAAGCACTAGGCGATAAGGCCCCGAAATTTCACCCTGGGCGTGGGGATTATGGGCATGATGGCGGAGACGCAGTGCTTGGGAAGCGGAGGCGAGATGAATTTGCCCCGCCTGCAGATAGTGACAGCAGCGAGACGGATGAGGATGTGCGTCGGATACCTATGCCCCGCGATACACCGCCACCAATTCCACGACAGCCGCGGAAACGGGGCGAGGGAGATAGGGAACCGGAACGGCGTGGGCCTCATGCACTTCCATCTAGGCCACCTGGTCCCGAGGCAAAGAAGGTCTATGAAGCAAAGCCTGAGATTCGGGACTTGCGGAAAGAAGCTGTTAATAAGTTCATTCCTGCTGCGGTGCGGATGAAGCAAGAGTCAATTAGGGGACATGGAAAATTGCTTGAGCCAGAGGAGATGGATAAACTTGAGAAAGCTGGTTATTCAGCAGGAACTCAGCAACCTGCTAAGACTGATGAGCAAATATCACTGGAAGAGGAAGAAAGGCGGTTCAAGAACGAACTGAAGACTGTTCAGATCGAGGAAGTTGAGGATGAAGATGCGTAGACATCGTGACCTCGTCAGAGTTGAATGCAACACAAATGATTCCAACGGCCATAAATACCATACGATGTACAATAGATGAACAATCCAATTCAAAGTGGATATTCAAAATGTCCAAGTTCAGACTGCCTATGCATTAGAGCTTCCACAGATGCATACTAATATGGCAGTGAAGATAAGGAACCTCGAGGACCAGAGATTGACATGCAATATATACACAGAACCGAATCAACATCATTAACAGCATCGACCACGCCTCGTTCCGATATGAAAACTCCCAATAAGCCCCGGAACCAATACCAATTAAATGCAAATGCAAAAGAATTTAGAAACGAAGAAAGCTTGAAAGCTTGAAAGAATCGAGTCAGCATTGTACGACCGATGCAACCAAATAAATGTACAAAGAAACTCCTCTCCTGGGAAATTAGGGAACGGGCATCAAATCATAACAAAGGAAAAATAAAAGTCGAGTCAGGATGCTCAAAGCACAGCCCACGTAACTAAGACGAAAGGCAGACAAAAAGATGTCACAGATCAATCAAAACTCCTCTTGCATGGACGGAGCAAGTTCCCAGATATAAAGCCAACCTGGCTTGGAAATCAAACACCGGAAGAAAACGAGGAGCAAAAAAGCAAAAGCAAAAGCAAAAGCAAAAGCAAAAAGAAAAATAAAGAGGTATGCGCAAGAAACGAAGATGAATGTATCGAAGCCGATGGACGATAGGCAAAGTATTGGGACTGGGGCGGTCTTTCGAATCGAAGGGAATTTCATAACCAACGCCGCTAAACCGAAGCCGCTCCAAATGGATGCGAGAAAAGAATCAAAAATGCGAGATATCGATGAAGATGCATGAGGGAAGAAGAAATTTACCGCAGGTTGCGGATCATCTTCTTTCCACGTGCCAGGAAGGGACTGGGCATCTCGTCGCGTTCGGGGTCCCATGTTGCAGGGGGATCACGCGCAGAACACTGCAAGCTTGATGTGATAGTAGGGGCACGCGAGTCGCTAGCACATCGCTTCATTTCGTCCATAGGACGACCACCTGCGCGGGCCTGGGCGAGTTCGACTAGAGTACGACCACCCATGTTACGCTGCATTACGGCCTTGAACATCTCCTCGCCACCAGTAGGCTTGGTAGGGCTTGACTTTGTGCTGTTCTTGCGGGTCGGAGATGCGTCTGCGGCAAGGTTGGCGGACGAGGGGATCTTGGAAAGACGACGGTGGGGAGACTTGGATCGAGACCGACTGTCGCTCATGCTGCGAGCTTCGGACTGTGAGGAGGTGGGTCCACCTGACATTTGGGGAAGACGAGAACCATTGGACGGGAATAGAGGGGGTTGAGTGCTGAGTTTTTGCATGAGAGCGGCGGTGTTTTGGCGGAGGAGAGGTCGTGGAGCTGCCTTGAATGGATCCGGCTTCACCTTGGGACGAGTAGGGGATGGTAGATCGGGGGTATCGTCTTCGTCATCGGAGTAGGCTAATGTAGGTTCCCACTTGGCCTTGTTACGCTCGGCTTCAGCGAAGATATTACGGCCAGGGCCCGTACCGGAGGTACGACGAGGAGATAAGGAGAGGGATGCGATCGAGATGGGGGAGGGCTCGGCCATTTGCACATCCTGGGGGGAGTCGACAACGGTCTTCGAGCGGCAGAAGGGAGTGCGAGCTTCCTTCTTAGGCTTCTTCCGACCATTGGAGGTGGGTGACTCGGGCATCACCGGAATGATATCGGTGGTAGGAGCGTCATTTTCATCCGTGCTGTTACCAGACGAGCGAGATCCTCGGCCGCTATTCCGAGATGACGAAGACGAGCTCGAGCCTTGTGTGCTTGTACGAAAGATGTCCCGATTGTTGCTGTTTCGCTTGCTCTTCTCCTTTTCCAACTCCACTGCGACTCGACTTTGAACCTCGGACTCAAACCGCTTGCGAAGTTGGCTCAGTTCTATCTGAACCTGTTTATCAATCTCCAATCGTGCCCTCACTTCCCACTCGCGACGAAGTGTGCTTTCCATCTCAGCCTTGATCTGTTGCTTCTCCTTTTCCATCTTGGATATGTTCTGCTCCATCTCGCGGACCTTTTGAACGGCGACATCTTCACGTCTGCGCAAGGTGCGGCCAAGATCTACAACCTCCTTCTCCTTTCGCATGAGACGAATGATGGGAAGGTTGATGAGCGCGGCGGTGTCCGGGCGGTGGTCCGGATTAACGCGCAAGCAGCTTGCAATGACGCTCTTCAACTCGGGAGAGTAATAATCGGGGAGAGGGGCGAATTTTCCTTCGCGGATTTTTTGAACCAGTTGGATATGGGTGCGGGCATTGAAGGGGGGCTCCTTTGCGCATAGTTCATACATGATACATCCGACCGCCCAGATATCGGACCGAAGTGTGTACTTCTCCGCCGCACAGATCTCGGGGGACATATAGAAAGGCGTGCCAACATACGTGGATGCAAAATCATGCGACTGCATTTGCTTCGACAATCCAAAGTCACCAAGCTTTACGGTGTTATCGCTGCCAAGGAAGATGTTTTCGGGTTTGAGGTCACGATGCAGGATGGTGACTTGTCCTTGCTTGCCCTTCAGACCAGACGGTTTGGGGGGAGCACCAAGAATGTTTGATCCAACCTCGGCAGGGTCGGAGCCATAGTGACAACGGAAAAGAGCCGTGACCAGTTGGGACAGGATTCGCCAAACGAAATCCTCCTCCGCGTACTTGTTGGCCTTCTTGAGATTTTTGATCACCATGCTCAAGTCTCCACCACCGCAGTATTCCATGTAAAGGTAAAGATCCTGGCTAGCTTTCAAGTGTTCGCGATGGTAGTAGGCAACGATGTTGGCGTGTCGGAGGGAGCTTAGGATGTTGAATTCGGCCGTCAGCTGTTCGCGCTCTTTCGCGGACATTTTGATGTAGTTGATCTCTTTCCGGCATAGGATCTAGAAAGGTTAGGGTTGTCATGTACCAACATGCAAAGGCCACTTACGAATCCATCCGATTTCCGCTTGACCTTGCGAATGATACCGAAGGAGCCGCAACCTAAATGAAGCATCAATATCAAGCCCATGCAGAGTGAAGTACAGTATAGAGGGCATGAAAGGACCTACCAATCTTCTCCAAGATCTCATACTTATCCGCCTCAGCCAAAGCAATCGCCATGGCTATAGATTGCGAGACAATGTGCAGGGAATAGAAACAGGATCAGGAAACAGAAAGATTGCTCAAGAAGAATGCACGCTGAGCATAGACGATGAGATATTCAGGTGTCCCTGTTTGGTTAGTAAAATGAATTGAGGATGAGGGAAAAGTCAACTGCGATATGGGGTTTAGAGGTCCGGAGATTCATTGATGTTTGGGTGATCCGCGTTGCTCAGCAACGAACAAACTATGACACGCTTGGCCCACTCTGGTAAGCGGTCAACGTAACGTTTCCTTAGCCCTGACGCTAAGTAGGGATAACATCATCGGTCGTCAAGGTCAACATGCGAAGCCAACTTTACCCTTCTGTGAGGGATGATCGCCCTTGAAGTTCCATTTTGGTCCTAATCTTAAAGTTATTTTTGATTTATTTTCTCGGTCGCAACATACTGAACAACTTAACCATGCCCCACGTGATATCCCTTATCGATAAGCTCGGACTTCGGTCCCGCATTTCTCCCACTTCGAGTTCCAAGCTTCATCTATCTACCTAGAATATGGCGGAAATAGAGGATCGGACCGTGCTGCGAAAAGACCAGCTTGAGATTAGCTTGGTCAATGAAAAACTCCTGATCAAACAAGGCACTATCAAAGATGACAACCCGCTAGACCTGAGTGAGCCCTTCCGGCAACTCTGCCGTGCTTGCCGCCAAGGCGATTTGAAAGTTTGTCAGGAGAAGATCACTGAGGGAGTCAATGTTAATGCCCGTGACGCGTACGATTATACTCCTTTGATTCTGGTGAGTTTGGGCATGCCTAAAGTATATAGTTTACTTGAACGTGCACTAAAACAATCGGGATCAGGCGAGTCTATGCGGGCACTATGAAGTGGCGCAATTGCTGCTTGAATCGGGTGCACTCTGCGAGCGAGATACTTTCCAAGGCGAGAGGTATATGAGTTCCAGGCCCTAAAGAGTGATCTTGGCTGACACGTGTACGTGACCAGATGTCTGTATAATGCCCTCAATGACCGTATACGAAACCTCCTACTTGAATACGACTATTCCAAATCAACCGATCCGCTGCAACCTCTTGCTGCTCATATATCTTCCCTCCTCACGCGACCGACCCCAGTGACCACAGACATCGTCGTGACAGCTTCCGATGAATCGTTCCACCTACACAAGTTTATCTTGGCTGCTCGGTCTCCATACTTCCACGGAAAGCTCGCAGCCGCTCCGGAAACCACAAGCTGGAAGCTCCCAAGCAACATTTCTCCCGACGCTTTCACTGCCGCCATCCGATACCTATACTTGGGAGAGCCTCCTCGCGAGCTTAGGAGTGGACCTGGTACTGGCTTCACCGAGTCAGAGGTATTTGGGGCGATCGATAAGATCTCCAAGCATCTGGAAATTCAAAGTCTGATGGACAGTATTTTGGACAGTGGAGATAGAAGAATGGCCAGACAGCGAAGGACTATAGAACTTGCGAAGGGCCGAGATCAACTGGAAGATTGGTTCCGCGCCAACGTTCTCGGCAACAAGATGGTCATTGAGACATCTCAATCCAGTGAGATCAAGTGGGATCGGAAAAACCCAATCTTTGCAGATGTTCTGCTGCAAGCAGATGAGCTTCCCGATGAAGTTGAAGAGGGCCAATATCCGAAGTCAACATTGTTCCCATGTCACCGCGCAATGCTCCTCCGTTCCGAGTTCTTCCAAGCCATGTTCTCCTCCGCGTTCCGCGAAGCCCAGGTCACAGACCATTTGCATATTATTGACGTCGACTGCGCACCGGATGTGCTGGAAATCATACTCACGTTCCTATATACCGAGCGTGCTGATTTCCCCTTAGAAGTAGCAGTTGACGTTCTCTTTGCGGCCGACATGCTTTTCATTGAAAAATTGAAGACAAAAGCCGCCGTTGTAATTAGTACATTGGGCAGTGGTGACATGTCTCAAGCCGAAGCTGCGAAAACTCGGGGCAAGGATGATGATATTGACATCTATGCTATCATGCGCGCTGCCTGGTTGACTCGTGTCCAGCGCCTTGAGGAGTTCGCTGGCCGATTCCTTGCATATCGATTGGAATCCCACATCGACACACCCGAGTTTGCGGAACTGATCGTGGAGTCAGCATCGCGTATTAAGGCACGTCAGGAAACCGATTCGATTGAACTGCTGGATGATATTCGGTTCTATCTCAACGAGCGGTTCCGGTTGAGATTTAACGATGCCGGCCTTGACGAGATGATGGATGAGCAGCCGAAACCTGATGGTGATGCAGAGCAATCGGAGATTGATAAGATTGCAAACGGCGTTGAAGTACTCGACATGTCAAAAACCAACGGCCGCAGTGAGGAAGAAAGCAAGCAGACCCCCGAAAATATTCGCGAGATTCGCACCCTAGACGGAGTTATGGTTGAAGACGAATTCGACGAAGATGCGATGAACTATGAGATCTTGATGGAGAAGCTAGATGCTCTTCTAGAGAGACTGAATCTCGACGCTTAAACAGCAGGCTGTTTCTACATGATCTCAGCCATATACATGTGCATGAAACTAACATCAATAGAGAGAGAGGAAATTGGACATATTTATATATCTATCTCTACTACCTACATGTACCACTGCATGACTTGGGTTGCGCAGTAAATGTGGACACAACCGCGTTCGAAACACCAGCCCCTTGGCTTTAAATTTTCTTCCAATTTCTTTCCAGTTCACTACTTCTCATATTGGAGAGCCCATTGATAGAGCTCTTCAACTGTTTAACTAATCCGGTAGGAAAGAAGGTAGGGGACGGAGAAGGGGATTGAGTAGGCAAATGGTAAAGGGAGTATACATAGTAGAAACATAAGTTGTTCTAGGCGCTGTAGAAAGTCTCTGGTCATGCAAATGTTTGTACATATATATATATATATACGGAAAACTCAGATCTAGAAATACATATCAGTAGGGTGCGAAAACCCACGGATACCAAATCCAAGACGCTGGCTTTGTTCAACAGCGCCTCGCAATGGCCCTTGAGCCCTAATAACCCCACAGCCTGTGCAATCAAGGTCCCCAGGGACATGAGTATAGCAGCGAGATCTTCCTTGCTCTATAGCAAGGACATGGGCAATGATAGCTTGGTTGACGAAAATGTGACGGTTGTGAAGCGTTGGACTTAACATCCCGAGATATTGGGTTAGGTAGTGTGCCCAATCACTATTGATGTTCAACGAGAGCTTCGATTGGCCGAGAAGCTCCTCTCAAATACATGGCCCGGGGCCTATCAGGGAATTGTGATTGAAGACAGGCTTGCGTCAAAGCCAAACTTCTTCATCACTGGCCGTCCTGAGATCTTTCTTTGTCACTGCCCTCTGCACTTCTTTGTTTCTTTTCTTGGATTCTGGTGTCCAAATCTCGGATTTGAGTTTCAATCATTCCTCTCCGGGCTGTCAGGTTCGCGCGCATGCCTTGGAGAGCTGCCATTTGCTCATCGAAGGTCGCCTCTTGCCGTTTTTTGGTGTTCTATGGTACCGAAGTAAGCCGAAAATTAGCGACAATCCCTGAAGACTAGAATATATCGTAAAAGACCTCGAAATCTCATAGACTTTGCTTGGTTAAGGGTGAAAGAATGGCTACTGACCTCGGCAATCTCCTCATTTGTTTTTAAGCCAGCCCCGTACAACGTGCCTGCAATGGTCACGGAAGTCACGGCAGCTGCTAAGACCGCCCGACGCACATTCTGAGGCGACGGCATCTTCGAGAAAGTAAGTTTCGATGTGACATCAAAGAAACCGTGACAAAGAAATGTCCGGGGTTCCCTGACCGCCTACCCGGATAAGACCCATTATTGAGAGTATCAAAGACGCGTCGCGTTTCTCGTTTCTTCTTATCAAGGTTTCCCTTTCCACTTTGATGGGATTAACCCCCCATCTACGTGAACGCCGCAATGACGTCCCGCAGTTCGATTTCCCGTCGTCGAACTCATAGTGAGAGTACTGACGAATCCAACCCTTCACAGCCCGCCAGCAGTAAACGCCCTCGCCTGAGCCCCACACAGGAGGCCGAATCCTCCAGCGAGGAGGCAAGTGACGATGGCAATACCCCGAATGGTTCCAGCGAAGATGATGCGGCTGACGCAGACGATACCTCGATGCCACCAAACCCCCCGGAACCTCTAAAAGCTCAACCTGGATTTAGCCCCAATGGCTACAAACCTGGCGCAATCGTACGCATCAAAGTGACAAACTTTGTCACTTACACCTCTGCGGAGTTCTTCCCTGGCCCAAAGCTCAACATGGTGATTGGACCCAATGGAACTGGCAAGAGCACTTTGGTTTGCGCCATATGTCTTGGACTTGGATGGGGGCCTGAGGTACGGCATGAACATACGCTATTCCTATACCTTTACTGATTTTCTTCGCTATATAGCATCTTGGACGTGCCAAAGATCTTGGTGAATTCGTCAAGCATGGCTGTCGAGAAGCAACGATCGAGATTGAACTAGAAAAACACCCGAACGCCACCCGCAACCCTGTGATCAGTCGCAATATCAAGCGAGACGGAAATAAAAGTTCATTCACCTTGAACGGGCAGACTGTTTCCAAGTTGCAGGTGCTGAAGGTCGCACAGAATTTCGCCATTCAAGTTGACAACCTTTGCCAGTTCCTGCCTCAAGACAAGGTTGCCGAATTTGCTGCTCTCACTCCCATTGCACTACTTCATTCCACTCAGAGAGCAGCCGCTGGACAGGATATGATCGATCGACATGAGGCCCTCAAGAAACTCCGTTCTTCTCAGAAGGAGGTTGAATTGAGCAACAAAGGTGACAAGGAAGCACTCGCAAATTTGGAGCACCGGCAGGAGGCGCAAAGAGCGGATGTGGAGAGAATGCGACAGAGAGCCGAAATCCAACAGAAGATCGACAATCTGGAATTCGTTCGTCCCTTTGTCGAATACAAGGACTGGCATCGGGACTTCGATGAATTGAAGAAGAAGAAGACTCAAATTGAGGACGAGTACGCGCAACTCCAGGAGGACCTTAAACCTGCTTTGCAAGTTGTGAATTCCAAAGCTGAATACTTGGCCAAGATCGGTCATGTGAAAGAGATGCGTCAAAAGCAGGTCCACCAATTATCCACCTTGGCCCAGACAAGCGACAAGAAGATCCAAGAGCTCAGCAACTCAATGAAGGATCTTGATACCAAAATTGATGGCGAAAGGAAATCCGGCCAAAAACTCAAGGAAGAAGCCGGTGTAGTGACGCAAAATATGAACAAATTGAAACGCCAACAAGCTGAAGAGGTGGTAGAGTTCAATCCTGAGTATTACAATCAGAAACTGGTAAGTGACGTAGTTTTTCTGCGGAAGAACAATCACTAATTCTCCTGATAGCACGACAAAAGGCTTGAGAAACGCGAAATTGAAACAAAAGCCGGTGAAATTAATACCGCCAAACTCCCCTTGGCCCAAAAAGCTGCCCGGTTGGAGAGACAGATCAATGCAGAAAAACAAAAGCTGGAAAAGTTGAGCTCGCAGCAGGGCCGACAAGAAGGAAAACTGGAGAGAGCTTCCAGAGACACATTGAAAGCCTACCAATGGGTTGTCAAGAACCAAGACCAATTCGAGCAAGAGGTGTTTGGGCCTCCTCTGCTAACTTGTTCAGTCACCGATCCCAAGTATGCCGACGCCGTCGAGTCTTTTCTCAGCAGAACCGACCTTACTGCATTCACGACGCAAAGCAGAAATGACTTTCGTACGCTACAAAGAGCGTTATGTGGAAGTCTGAAACTGTCAGATATCAGTATCAAGACTATTACACAGCCGCTCGAATCTATGAGGCCTGCGCTTTCGGGCGACGATCTCCAACGGCTCGGGTTTGATGGGCATGCAAGGGACTTTTTACAGGGCCCTGACCCCGTCATTGCCATGCTTTGCGCCGAGAACAACTTACATAGGACGCCTGTCTCCTTAAAAGACATTACAGATGAAGCCTACGCCGAGCTTGAGCGTGGAAACATTTCCACATGGATATCTGGGAGGCACACCTATCAGGTCACAAAGCGTCGGGAGTACGGTCCTGGAGCTACATCAACTCGAGTGCGCGTCATGAGACCTGCCCAAGCCTGGACATCGCAGCCTGTGGATTTGACTGCCAAACAAGAGTGCTTGAATAAGATTGGGCAGTGGACAGGTGAAAAAGAAGTGGTTGACAGAGAGATGGAGGAACAGAGGGGTGATATGCAAAGGCTCGCCAAGGAAAGCCGACGGGTCAAGAAAGAAACGGTATGTACATTCTTTTTTATTTCCCAGAACCTAACTTCCATATTAATACATGCCTACAGGAGGATATCGAGGCTGAGAAGGCTGAGAAGCAGTCTGCGTACACCCATTACCGTGCAATTCCTGATAGATTGGGTGCGTCTTTCTCTTTAACTACTCTTTCGTCTGAATCTATGCACTAACTATTACCAGTCGCCCTTGAGGCCAAACACGAACAACTTATGGAGCTCTTCGAAAAGGTGCGAGAGCATGTTACTGAGATGCGTAACCAGCAAGATCAGATTGCCATTAAGAAGGCCGAGGCCACCATTGAATATGCCGTAAGTCTTACCTTGTAGGCATTCAGCACCCATGCTAATACATTGCAGGTCGCCGTTGAGAAGCTCAGCGAAGCTTGTGCAGAGCTCGTTAAAGTTCAAGTTCGACATCTGGAGGCAGAGTCTGACCTCGAGGCTATCAAGGGTCGGCACAGTGACCTCGGCAAGATGTTAGAAGAAAAGCGCAGAGCGAGGAGTGAAATTACGCAAGCAGTCAGGGAGGCAGTGAATGAGGGCAAGAGATTGAGGCAGAATGCGAGGCGCACCTCCGAAGAAATGAAAGACAGAGAAGGGGGCCAGGAGGTCCTGGACATGATAGCTCCAACCGACTACAACGTGGATCAGTTCAATGCCGACCTAGATTCCGCCAAGGCGCACCTGGAGTTGACTCAGGGTGGCAGTGCGAACATGATCAAGGAATTTGAAGAGCGTGAACGACAGATCGCGAAGCTGCGCGACAAACTTGCTGGTTTCCAGACCAGGCTAGATCAAATCCAGGCGGGGATCGATGAGGTTCGTGGACAATGGGAGCCTAGGTTGGATGCTCTCATCAGCAAAATCAGCGATGCCTTTTCCGACTCTTTCCAGCGCATTGGCTGTGCTGGACAGGTCTGTCTGGACAAGGTGGTAGCTGAGAATGCGAACGGCGAGCCTGGCGGTGCCGAGTTTGACCAGTGGTCCATTCAAATCTGGGTTAAGTTCCGTGAGAACGAGGACTTGTCCCTCTTGGATTCCCATCGTCAATCCGGTGGTGAGCGCGCCGTGAGCACCATTTTCTATCTCATGGCGCTTCAATCGCTATCGGCCTCACCCTTCCGTGTCGTTGACGAGATCAACCAGGGTATGGACCCAAGAAATGAGCGCATGGTTCATGGCCGGTTGGTGGACATTGCCTGTGCGTCGACCGAGGAGGAGATCGACGAGGACGGCAATCTGGTTGGCGGTGGCGGAGGTGGCCAGTACTTCTTGATTACGCCCAAACTTCTCAGTGGACTATCCTACAAGCCTGGCATGAGAGTTCTATGCATCTACAGTGGCCAACATATGCCCGAAGGCGAAGCCATCAATTTCGGCCAGGCGATCCGCAACATGAAGGCGATTGTCGCCCGGGGTGGACGGACCGCAGCCAACCACCAGCCCCTTGCAAGTGGAAACCAAGTCGATGTCTCCGCCTGAGGGGTTTTCCGCTTTGATCTTCTCTTTGATCTTCGCTTTGATCTTCGCAGCACAGCATAATGACCTAAGATACCTTTTTGCCTTTTTGTTTCCTGTTTTTCTTTCTTGAATCATGCTTCGAAGTAAGGATCACTGGTGGAGTACATACATGAAGCGGGGTTGCGAGCACGATTGGAGTTCCACTTTCCCATAGGTAGCAGTAGCATCGAATCTGATATCTTGCATAAGGACATATTAACGAGTAACCACGACCATGACCTGCCCAAGTGGGTAACGTCCGTACCCACACTAATTGATATAGCGCCATGCATGATCGGACATGCCGTCTGCGTCCGAGTGTATTCGTGGACCAGCCCCATCCCATCCCAGCCCCAACCCCTGCCCCTCGGCAGTTGACGGTAGCGCGAACCGAGATTGGGAGCTATAAACCAGATAGTCGGGGAGGAGTGGACCACGAGGCTGCAGGTCAGATGTTACATTAAGTGGGTTGTGTTCATTGTCGATCAGGCCGGAATCTTGACTAGGTACGGACGGCTTCCGATAGAAAGTTCCAAGACCAAAGGATTCATATCCATGGACAAGCGGAATAAAACAGTACCAGCACCGCTACAGTACTTAGTACATGAGTCGTCTACTCTGCTGTAGGTTGATCGCTCTCCCTTACCTCTTTCACGAAAGCCAGACCAGTGTCATGCAGATCAACCGGGCGTTTCCGCCGCAGATCACCGGCTCCATCTCGGAGGATTTGCTTGCTAATGGTTGGGCGACGTTGGGCATCCCCTCGCTACGGCCAACTCTAAATCCGCTTTTGGCTTTGTCCTTTCCCCCTCACCGGTCACTCCCCGCCGACTTTTGACTGGGCATCTGCACCATCCGCATATGTGTGTACCATACAAGGCTGATCGACACTGCGCCTCATCTGCGGTGATGGAGGGCCGGAGGGTGATTGGTTGGATATTCCACGATCGATCATAGCGTATAGGAGAATCAGAACCAGCCAGCCCTGAGATACAATGCAGCAGCAACAGAAACAAACTTGAATATGCACGGTACACGTTGCATACAGGAATTAACTCAGTGCTGTGTGTACGTACGCTTTGACAGGAATAAGCTCCTTCCCAAAGTCTACAGTACGGGGGCAGTTCACCGCTTCTCGAGTCCCAGCTGAAATTTGCAGATCATCCCTGGATGTATCAAAAGCAAAGTAAAAATAAAAGTAAAAGTAAATAGAAAACCCGACCATTTACTGACGCGCGGACGGTGCCAGTGGCGCCGTTTCCAAAGTTGTCCGGGACCCCGGGAAAATCCCTCCCAACCCGGGTGCGGATGCGGAGTAGATAGGGCGCTTGGAAATGTATTGCACGGACCTGCTATTATGGAGTATTTAGTTCGATGATTAGTTTAAGTAACTTTGACCAACATCGCATTTCGCCCCCAACCAAGTTTAGTGGAAAATCATAGACATCCTTAGGGCCAAATTGAATGTTTCATGTTTCAATCTTTTATGTAGTTTGCGGTTTGGAGATCTCCTAAGTGTAACGTGATCTGGTTTTGGGATTTCATGTTACACGTGGATTCATCAAATTCAGATCCAGTCGGTCATGATCTTCGGCTTCGGGTTCGCGCACAGTAGGGGGTAACATCTGTGCTTGACTACCAGACTGGTTCTGCATTGGTTACGAGTCCATCACATGTAACTTCTTTTTCTTTTTCTTTGACTTGATTTGTTCTTTCTTTCTGGATGCAACCGTGAGATGATCTACCACATCCAACGTAGTAGGAAGTGCGATACAATAGCTTCTTTATATTAATATAAATCCCTCAAATCCTGCCCCAAACTTAATATTACGAGCCATCCATAGAGAACCTTGTCTATGGAATAAATCATTCCCGGAACTCGAATCATGATCATGAGTCGGTCAGGATCTGCCTCTAGTGCGTACTACCACCACACCAGTGCCACGTCTCCCCTCCCGATCACCCGCATCGCATCAGGGTCTGAAACGATCGCCGGGCTGGGCTGGACTAGTCGGTGCATATAAGTGGACAAAGGTATTAGAACAGGGGGTACGGGGGGGAAAGAAATGGTCAGGTGTGTGCTGGTGACGCCGGGCCAGTGTACTGGGAACAGATCCCTGTTCTTTACTACGCCTATTCTGGTATTATTTCCTGGTATCAAGTCCTATATGCAGGATATAGTAATGCTTACAAACACTGATCCTCTATGCACCGAAGCGAACCGTTTTAGGCAGGTAATCAAAGAAAAAGTTGAACCCAAAACTTGGTTTAATATGTTAATATGCATGGAAGCTTGATGTTGTGATACGGGAGTGATACGGATAGCAGAAAGTCAAAGGTGAAGAGAAAGAAAAAGAAAAAAGAAAAGGCACATGAGCTCGGAATTCCCAGATTCCAAAATCCAATAAAAATCCATTTGACCTGCACATATGCTGACTACGCACTCTGCATACTCAAAGCCCCCGGCCTGGAGTACTGTATGTAGCTCATGATCAACAAGAATGGCAACTCCGTGAACCAATTGCCGACATCCACTAAAGTAATAATCAAAATAAATTAAATAAAGAGCCATCGCCCCCTCACCTCTCAGTCCAACCAGTTACGGTTACATACGTTACCTACCCGCCTCCCCCACTAGAAACAAAAAAGAAAACCGACCGGCCGATCGGCAGAACGGGGTTTATACCAGTTTCGGATTAGTGTCATATCGCTAAGATCCTGGCTTACTTGGGCTTGGGACCGAGGGTCGATCCTGTGTGACGAACAGGTCATGTTTCAGCGGCTGACATTCCATTCTACTCGGTTTCTCCGACGCGAGAGATCTCTCTACGTTGATCGTCAGTCGATCTCAGGGGTTTGTGCCACGGATACGAAACTTAAGTTATGTACTCCGTACGGGAATTCGTAGGTTCTAGATTTGGCTTGATCAGATGTGAGACAGGAGATGTATGGGTTTTTTACTTTGCTTGCTTTTGCTGCGTATTCCAAGGTTCAGTAGGCGCTTGACTCGTGATAATTTTAGAATGTATATGCAGCTGCAGCTGCATCTACGTCTACATCCACATCCACATCTATATCTGAATTTCCATCCCGGGTGACATTAAAATGCACCAAGTAATATATTTCGGAACCAGTCTCAACTACATCCAGAATCTCGCATTGTCTCGCATTCGAGGTACTCTGTATAACCGTTAATCTCAGGGGCGATACGAATACGGAGTGGAGCGGGATGTCCGCCGTTATTCCGATTCCGAATCCATTTTATCCACAATTGTGAATCTGGATATATGTAATAAAACCGGAGAGACTACCCAAACGGAGCTATGGCCAGCAGTTGCCTGGATGATCCACCGGGGCGATCCGCCGGATCAGGAAGGAGGTTAGTGGGCGAGTGACAGGTCCCGTCCGCGTCAGTTAGACACGTCAAGAATTCATTTCCACTTTCCACGTGTGAAGGCTGAAACCAAACCCTGGAATTGGGACCGTCCAAGCTTCCTACGATTAGACTGAATTCGATAGTTGCGGCGTTTGTATGAAAGGGGAATGAATCCGGGGTTATTGGTTATTTGTCGTACTATAGGTGGTTAGTTGAATTTATTTCTATTCATAGGCGGAGGGCTCCGTTCTCCGTCGCGGATTAGTAATCTTGGTAAATCTTGGTTAAAATTTGGAAATTATGCAGATTATGTAATACGTCAGATCATGTAATACGTCGGATTACCTTTGCCTTGATCTTTTCACCTTCCCAAGATGGTTCAAGGTCCCAAGGGGCCAGTCCCATGCAGATCGTGGGGAATACTCCACCCGGTCGCTTTAATTTCATTTGACTTCTCATTTTCTCATCTCATTTCTGGATTTTGATTTTGATTTTTGATCAACAGTACAATTCATTTCCCATGCAATTCTAGGTCAGATGCAGCCGTATATGCAAGTGCCATGTGTTCGTAATTTCCGCGTGGTTGGGCTTGGATGCCCCACATGTGATATGATGTATGGGAAAAAAGGGGTGAGACTCATTCTCGCGTGGCCATGGGGCCATGGGCCGGGATGATCCCCCGATCGATCACCACCCGGGAAAATGGCTTAAAGGGTATTAGTACGCGACGCATAGTAATCTGGAGGCTCGGATCGGCTGATTTCGAATTCTCTCCTCATTATAGGTTCTTCAATGGTACATACAAAAATTAATTATAGGTAGTGAGTGGTGGACCGGGCCACACTTTTCCCGCAAATTAAGTTTTGTCCTGGAGAGGAATGTCTCCTCGACAGAGTTTCATACTTCTCCCGTTCAAACCAGGCTCTCGGGAGCGTCCACAGTGGAAGTACCGGAAAATGGATTTGTGTGGAAATGAAAAGGCTAGAGGATCCAGCCCCTTCCATGACGAGCCGCAGGGAGCGCCAAATCAAGCCGGATGGAACACTAACGCCGGGATAGAACAACTAACGCCGGGATAAGAGAGGGACTAGTCGATCCCGAAGAGAAGTGCCGTGTGCGGTGAATGGGTGGGGACCGGATTGTTACTTTTCTCGAAAGAGGCCGATCAGGAGGATCGCCGTGGATCAAGCTCGAGCCTTTCCACGTTGCCTTTTGGGGGGGTTGGAGGGGGATGCATCGGCATATGTCTAGATTGATCTTAGTGTACGGGGTACGAGAGTAATGTCATCCCCTATCCCCCTATGTCATTTCTGTGAGTTACATGTACGTACCCCTGTCGGAATGCTTCCGAACCAAATTATGAATTTCTGTACTCAAAAACAGGGTGTAGCTGAAAGGCAACTAAGGTGTCGATTATACAGTGGCACAAGAATTTTGCCTCATAAAAAGGACCCCCTTGCTTCCCAAGTAAACGTTTGCACAGAGCAGGCGATCCTGGGACTAAAAAGGTAAAGTGGGGCCCTCGCTTCCACGAGGTCGGGACGGAGGATGCATACTAACGGCCAATCCCCAATCGCGCCTGTGCAGAAATCGTGCACGGTTGACCAACGGCCCCGTTCCAGAACGACGATCAGATCATTGATGACTAACAGGATCTTCAGGAGACCCTGCGATCATTTATTTGGCACCTTCTCAACTTGTCAAAATTAGGATGATCATTGATTCGTATTATAGTGGAGTTCGGAGTACTATTTCTGGTAGGTAAAATAAAAAGTATGTAAAAAGCTAGAAAGGAAAGTAAAAATCATGTATACTTTTGATGATCAGTTGTAAGGTTCGTGTAAGCGAGGTAGAGGTCCAGCGCTTAGAGCCGCCACCACCGTCATTTTGCTGGTTAATTTGGGGTTTTCTGAGGGTATTTTGGGTATTTGAGGTATTTGGTATTTGGTGTCTGGCCCCAACGGAGGTTTGTACTCTTTAGGTTTAGCGTAATGCGGGTCCTATTATGACCTTCCCTTTTGGCCTGTTCCACGCGACATTGAATCCGGGGCCCCTTACAGCATGAAGAACATTGTCTGCACACTGTCTAGTTATTGATAGGAAAGAGATATGGATTATTTTGGAGACTTTCAGTCTACGGAAATTCTAAATCTTTCCATCGACAATCAAAGATCGAGCCGTTTATGGGGCTGGCCGGTAAGCAGGATCTGCACTAACCGAGGCCAAACCTAGACCAACGGGGACTTTCCGGCCTCCTATATCGGGACTAGCGTCGTCTGCCTCCCGAACGCTAGGCACATCTCCATTATATGATTGGTCATGTACATCAGCGGATCTCAATTCATAAAGTGATTTTCTTTTGTTCGCGTGGGCGCATCGTCATCTTTCCCCCACTGCAGGGTTAATCTCCGAGTTGATTGTTTCTTTCCTCTTTTTTCTCTTTTTCTTTTTATTTTTTATTTTATATTAATTAAATTAAGCTTTGGAACGGACTGTCTCACCTTTTAGTACAAGATTGAATCAGGGAAATCCACCCTGGGCTAATTTACTTTCCCCCCTCGGCATCGTCGATCATCCACGCGACTGTCTATAAACCCTCGTGTCCCCCATACTTCTTGCTTCCTGTCTTCCACCAAACAACCGACCCCATATCTATACTCGGTATCTATCCACCATGGATCTCGCCAACCTCCTCACTGGCGCTTCTAAGCCATACACCCAGACCTACCACAAGCGTCCTTTGCAAGCGCCTCCCTCCCCACCAGTCGAGGATCAGGTCAAATGCTCGTTGCCTTCTATCTCCAGTCTTTTGGAAGGAGCCGATGGCCAACACGCAGCTAGTATGTTTCACCAGAGATATAAATCTACATCTACAACTAGATCTAGATCTAGATCTAGACCCCCGCCTGGACTGAGCTCAACTAACATCTCATAGAGCGTCAACGTCTCAGTCCATCACTGTCCCGGGATCGTGATATCTACGACACAATCCACCTCCCACCGACTCCCCCTCTCCGCCCCGGCTCAGGATCAGGTCACTCCCGCTCCCCACAACAGAGCAAGATCTCCCACCGCTCCTCCGTCTCAAGCACAGGCTCCGTCCAAGGCGGCCCCTACGCCTCCCCCGCTCCAAGTCTCTACTCCTACTCTTCCCCAATCGACCCAACACCAATGTACTACCCCCGTCCACCAACCGCCTCTTCCTTCCAACCCTCAACCCCATCTACAATGCCTCAACAACCCGCGCAGACCCAGTCCCAGGTCCCGGTCCAGGTCCACCACCACCACCAGTCCTCTCGATCTTCCCCTCCTCTCATCTCTCCAGTCACTCCAGCCTGGCAACACCACCACTACTTCCCTCCCTCAACCTCCACACCCTACCAGCAGAACCACGACCGCTATATCTGCCGCACATGCCACAAGGCTTTCTCGCGCCCGTCGTCCCTGCGCATCCACTCCCACTCTCACACGGGCGAGAAGCCTTTCCGCTGCACACATGCTGGATGCGGAAAGGCTTTCTCCGTGCGCAGTAACATGAAGCGACATGAACGGGGTTGTCACTCTGGTCGTCCTGTTGCGCCTATTGCTGCTGCGCCTATTGCTCTTGTCTCATAAACCTAGAGATCTAGGGAGACTTGAACAAAGAAAAAAAAACAAAACAAAACAAAAGCGACTAAACTCCTGCTTTTGCAGCTGCATTTACCTTTCTCTTGGGATAGGATTGCAAGCTGATCTGATTTGGAGTCTGTATTTGATATCCTCCATTTCTGTTGCATTTCCTTTGTTATTTACTATGTCATTTTATTGGGGGCGCGTGGGTTCTGTTTTTGGCGTTGGCTAGGACTTTTTTTCGTCTCTATCGCCGTGATACCCTGGATTCTTTGGAGAATTTTTTTCTTTTCTTTTTCTTTGGTTGGGATTGGAAATGTCTAGAGGAAAGATTTTAAAATTACGAGTCAATGTATTATTCTACGATTACTTCTTTCTTTTGTAATTTTTGGTTTCTCTACTGAGTAGATAGTGATGTCTGGTATTTTTCTCTACTTAGTGATATCAATTCCTACCCTTCCTAAACACTCATAAAATGATAAATAAACCTGTCAAGTATCTATAAGCTTGTCATGCATGAGTATGTACGCACTCAACCGATCTCGATATCTGTAGTGATCCGTCTTTGACACATTTCGATTCCCCCCAGGTACACCAGGTCCCCCATCCGACCGATAAAACTTTTAATCTTGAGTGTTTGATTTCTCCTAGGTTTAGGGCGCATGTAGGTACATCTGGTGCTCTAGATTCGTCAAGCTGCATGTTCTCCGTGGGTATACCTCGGTAGTGTTATATTAAATTTCAAAATTTGGTTGATGTATGATCGACAGACGCGCAACATCATTTCAGCTAAGCCGACCCATGGTTTGTTATTTCGTATTAAATTGCCAATTCCAAGAAATGCCACGCGGCGCAACCCTGCTTCGGGCGAACCCCGGGCCGCGAGCCAGTCATGATATGCGTTTAGCCGTTCTACGGTATACATTCAAATGCTGTATCCGCCCATGTGCGGGTAAAACGTGTACATATAGTACAGCCCCGGGAGGGTTGGGCTTATTTCAAACATGTTCGTGCTCAATATTTCAGGGGCCTGTTCATAGTTGGGCTGGGATTCTCGAGGTTCCATTGTGATTGGTCGATTGATGCTCGTATAGTGTCGGCCAATCATGTGCGAGGAACAGTAGTTGAAACAATATCAATAGTTTGCACATGTGGATTTTAGTGCGAACTTGTGTTCCAAGGTCCATTGCATCGGGACTGAGGCTGGAATCAAAGGTCTTATCAACTTATTTCAAATTATATTTATCGCACGTGCGGAGTACATGTCATGTCCAATTGATGGTTTGATCGCAAATTCCATAGCGTCTGACATGTAAATAAAACATTTGATAAGCGAAAAATATCTAATCCTAGATCAATCTGAGCATAAATCGTAACTTCGTATATATAGAAAATTAATATGGCAGATAATCACTCATCCAAAACACCCCTCGCCAACGCAGCAAGACTAGTCTCATATCGCGCCGGGTTATGATCAGTCAACATCCCCGACGCAAACTTCAACTCCCCAAACCACGCATCCACATCTCGAATAAACCTCATCTGCACTCTAGTCGCCGGTCTTCCAAGCCTGGGATACCCATCCGACCCAAACTCCGGTTGCGGGGTGAACGCCTCACGCTGCAGGACACGCATCGTCTCAACAACGAAGACCTCGCCGGGTGGCATAAGTTTCGGTGCGCGCATCTCATCACGTAGGAGAGCGAGGGTCTTCCAGGCCCAGGCGTCTTCGCCGACGCCGTCGCCTGCGTTCACGACGAGAGGGGGCTGGTTGACGTAAAATTTGTGGACGATACTTTGGCGGAGACTTTGGTGGAGGCGTTGGCGGATGTTGGATTTCGCGCCGGAGACGTCTGTTTTGAAGAGGGATGAGGCTGTGTGCATGTCGTGGAGGATGCCGAGGGAAAGGCTTGGGACGATGTCTTGACCGTTTACTATTGTTGTTATTAGGCCTCTAGTTGCGAGGCGGAGGAAGGGGGACATTACGGCTGGAGGGCCGTATGCGTAGACGTGGATTGGGCGGCCTGAAGGGAGATCGTAGTGTGGGGGCGTAGATGGTGCTTGGTCGTGCGCGTTGGTGTCGGTGAGGAGACGGGCTTGGATGGTTGGGTGATAGGGTGCTGTCACGAAAGAAGTGCCGCTGAGAGGGGAACTGCTGGGTTCAGCGATCATGGTGGCGAGGAGAGCTGCTACTCCACCGCCGAGAGAGTGACCGCAGAGAACGACGCCGTAATCTTGGAACTCTTCTAGTGCTGCGCGGAGGGTGATCATCACTCGTCCACCGCCGCCTTCAAGTAGTCGTTTTGCGGAAGCGTGCATGCCTTTGTGTACCTTCCAGTTCTTGCCTTGCCATTCCAGATCGTCGTAGTCGCAGGTCATATCTGTGAGGATGTCTTCGAAGCCCCAGGTGCCGCGGAGAGTGAGGACTACTGCTTTGGATTCGTGGTCGATGGATAGGTAGTGGACGAGTGGAAACCCGCTTTCGGTCTCACCGGCTGCATTCGAGCCCCCAGCGGGATCCACGAAGGAGGACAACAGAATTGTTGACGGTGGGAGACCAGCATTATGCTCGAAGGCACTGTGTTCGTGACTATCTGATACTGTATGCGGAATGCGTTTCGCGTCTTTGCGCACGCCCATAACCTTTAGCGCGCTGGAACCATACGAAGCGGAGGAGAAGCGACAGAATCGGCGGATGTTTTGAACAAAGTGCCTCCTTGGGAAGATACCAGGCACCATGCCATCCCGATTGAGCGCTTGGATGGTCTCCATATCCTCATATGCGCTTTTGCGCGAGCGGTGGGCCAACAAAAGCGATGTCTCGGAACCGGCCGTTGCGACAGAATACATACTAGGGGTGTATGACTGCGATCTCCTGTGCAGTGCTGAGCTCGGCCGATCATTGCACACAGGCCCGTCTGTTTCGGATCTTGATACTGACAGGGAACTAGTGCTACGAACATGAGTTCGAGATGTGGCAGGAGATCCAGGACGCAGGTCTGCACGCCGTGAGAAGGCATCAGTATGTGTAAGAAGCGACTCTTGACTCCTTTCATGTGCAACATAGTGCCCTGCCTTGAAATTGGTCCTATCGTGAATACTCTGAGCAGGAGCATGCTTAGCTTGCGACCGTGGAGAGACCTGAGGAGAATTGGAGAAAGGCGATCGTCGCAACCCGCTATTCGGACCAGGCGTAGATGGACGATAGTCTGTTTGGCTTGGTTGTCGACCTGGGGATAAATTTGCCCTCTCCCGTGCAGTCGCTTCTTTGACAGATGCCGCTCCCCTAACAGGCTTGGTAGGCTGTCGACTGGTTGTGCCCAATGAGGGTGCTTTGATAGTAGGCCTTTTCGGAAGCGGACGCTTCACACTGTCGGTCTTTTCCTGGCCTGCGAGCCTGGTACGCTGGGACAATCTAGAACCTTTACCTATTGCCTTTTCTGTCTGGCCAATCGATGAACCAGAAACTGGGATATCATCTCGAATTGTCGCATCGCTGGATGAACCTTCAGACTGGGCGCGTTTGAGCTTCCTCGGAATCCCAGCCACTGGGTTTGGTGAAGACACATGATCAGATTCAGAGCCCAGAGATAAAGGACCTTGGGGTCGCAGTTGTGTGTTTTGGGATTTGTTGAAGGCTGTCCGGAACACCACAGTGTGCTTTGGGAGTTTGGAAAATTCTGGCACACTGGGACTCGCATGGTCATGATGGTGGAATCTTTCCTCGACCATGGTAGTCCCAGGAGGAGCAGCGATTTCAGCCATCTCATCATCAAAAATATCCACCGTGATTGTTTGCGCGGTTAGCATTTCGGACTTGATCGAAGCATGACAGCCTGGTGGTAATTGGCTCAAAATGTACGACCTGATGTCTTCGTCTGAGATCTGTTGTTGACTGTCGAGTGGGAAGGACAGACGAGACCCCGAAAATGAATCTGGTCGCTGGACGGCATTAAATCCTTGGTCATCGGTACCCGGCATCATGAACGAAGCGCCCTCTTCATCAGGTCTATCACGTTCTCCACTCGGGAATTGTAGTTGATGTGTCCCAACAACGTCAGCCCGGGCCCCATTGTCAAGGATAACGGTATCCCAAATAACTTCGTCCCCGCCATTCTCTCGCAAGCGTCTTTCTGTATTCCTTTTACCCCAGCGTTGCAGGAGTGCAAAGCCTACTGAGCCAATCAATAGATCACCCACCCCGATATTTTCGGTACTGGTTCCAGGGTCAACAGACCTGAACTCGCGCCGAATAAGCGTAATAATCGCCGCAATAGCCCTAGATGACTCAGTGGACCCTAAAATCGCATCTAGAGTCGACAAAAGCGCCTGTGAGAAATTCGCCACGGATGACAGCGTTGTCGACGAGAAATGAAAAGTGGCCGCGGCGAAGAAAGATGCCGAGGTCACGGTTGTATGTAATATTGCCAGCTGATTCAGATTCAGCGTTAGCAATGAATATCTCTTGTAATCTGATTACTTACACTTCGTTCTAATAATGATTCAGCCTCAATCCGACCATGTTCATCCCCACTACGAATCGCGACATCGCGCCCAGCACGCGTAAGAATGCCTTCAACCACGGCGCGACCAAGTTCTAAGCTTGTCAAAGTTGTCGCTCGTGCACCATCCAGTGCTACTCCACCGAAAAATGATCCGATGCGTAATGTTAGAGAGGTTGATTGAGTTAGCAGAGATACCAAGGACGCGACTGGGCGCGGGAGGAGTGTCGCACCCGACGTTGCGGGGACATGGTTGTTTGCTAGTTGAGATTCTTCATCTGGATTTTCAAACATAATGAGCCATTTAGTATAGCGATCAAATATGTTAAAGGATAAAGAGAGGATTCAATATTGAACAAATAACTACTCCGTACATGCCTTAACATGTGATTCCCAGTTTGTTGGGGATGACGTAAACAATTTGTCTCATTGTTAGTCCCTTATGGGAGTCTCTCTACATCATCGCCTTCCCATCTCCACCGTATGTCACTCGGCGAATCTGCTTTCGATTGCAATCTTTCACTGTTCGAATCCCTGACAGTGTCATATTCTGCCATAGATCTCCCAGCATGTTCTTAATCACTTGTCGAGCGCCTTCTTTTCCATCGATGCTGAGTCCATAAACAATTGGTCGCCCCACCATCACGGCTTTAGCCCCCAGACACAGTGCCTTCACGACATCCATACCTGTTCGAATGCCAGAGTCGAATAATACTGTCATCTGATCGCCAACTGCATCGACGATCTCTGGTAGAACGTCCAACGAACCGATTGCACCGTCAACCTGACGACCTGCAGAAAGTCAGCGATTACACATGTTCCAATGGCGAGATAAGCACGCACCTCCATGATTTGACACCACAATTCCTTCACAGCCATGTTGAAGCGCCAACTTTGCATCCTCCACGTGTTGAATGCCCTTCAAGACAATCGGACCGTCCCAGTGCTCCTTCAGAAAAGCGATGTCTTCCCAAGTATGAGGCTGACCCATATGCACATCAGCCAACCATGCCACCGCGGCACCTACAATATCTTCTTCGACTGGACGTCCTGCTTTCTTTTCAAATTTTGCCCGGAAAACCGGGTCACTAAATCCGACCTGGCAACCAGTACCCTTGAGGAAAGGGATATACCCGTTGTCAAGATCAGATGGTCGCCACCCCTGACTCCAGCAATCTAAGGTGATCACCAGGACCGAGAAGCCACTCTCCTTGGCTCGTCTCAAGAGTGAGACGGTGACATCATTATCCTTGGGCCAGTAAAGTTGGTACCAGCGTTTACCTTCCCCGCTGGCTTCCGCGAGTTCTTCAATGGAGCTGGTACCAGCCGTGCTCATAGTAAAAGGAATGCCTTCCTCTGCGCACATCTTGGCTAATCCGGTGTCTTTATCTTCGTGGAAAATTCGTTGAACCCCGAGCGGAGCCACGATCAGTGGAGTGTCGTATTTTTGGCCGAATAGTTCCACTGAAACGTCCTGATCTTTGACCTAAAGAAGCAATCACCTTTAGCTGACAGAAAACAGCGAGAAATGGAGCCTAAGTGGAACAAACATCAGGCATCATTCGCGGGATCCTAGAGAAGTTAGTTACAAGCTACCCAGTCACCTCACAGATTGAACGTACATCTTCCATTGTCTGAAAGCCAGCCGATTACTGTCCATAGTCGCTTTCTCGCCGGCTCCCCCAGATACAAAGTTATATGCCTCCTCACTGAGAGCCTTCTTTGCTTGCTCTTCCAGCATCCGTGGATCAGTTGTGACAGTCGGCTTGATACCCATAAGGGTACCCTTGGCGAATATGGTATTCTGATAACTTCCGTAGTTAACCGACATGATGGCTGGAATTGAATGACGCACAATGACTGGGATTGAAGATTGTGAATTGGAATACTGGCCAAGCCTGGCGCTCATTTTATATCCTACAGACAGCCCCATACTACATTAGGATATATGAAACTCATGCCCCCAATATAACTTACGACATGGGGCCAAGACTGATGGCCAAATGCCACTAGGACAAAAGGCGTAGCCAAAACTCGATGAGGTGATCTTACACGCCGCACGACTTTGTCCCCCCTGGCCTTTTTATTCGGAGTTCTCTCGGCGGTAACTACTACAGGATCTGCGACATACTCCTTACCCGATGGATGATTACTATGCCCGGGTTAGACGTCTTCAAATTAGCCCCCAATTTTAGCTTGAGAGCCTGCGAGTCCTAATTCTGAAGGCATGGTACGAGCACAGGGAAATTAAGGAGTTGCTTGTTGCACAACATCCATAGATTGAGTTGCATTCCTCAAGAGCGCTAGCAGGTGAATCACGTAGGTAGTATACCTAGCGTGGTCTTGAACACTCTGCAAGAACACTTCATATTCCCTCATTGTTGATCGTAAAATGGCCCCAATCCTGAAAGGGCTAGCCCGTCAAGCAAACTCCCAAAATATCCTCAACAGGTGTATAAGCAATACCACTTTATTAATTATCCTAATATTATCATTGCTCTAGGTCTGTTAATTGTTCTGGATACGATAAATGAATTGGATTTCGATGAGCTAGCTAGAATCTACCTGGGATAACGCTCAAATAAGTTTCACATTTTCACCGTGACAAGCAATCTGCCTGGAGCTGGAAGTTGCGAAGACAGGATGACTACAATAGCTGTAAGATGAGATAAACGAAAATTTAATGTGAGATTGATGGGTATGGAGAAATGAGAGAGAAATAGAGAGTGTGTGACACGTAGATATTGGTGTACGGGGTCAGAGGGCCCCCTCCGTTTGCCCCAGAGCTTGCATGTCTAGCTAGTTCTCTCTTATCTTCCTTCCTCAATCCCTCTCGGAAGACAGATCTTGTCTACTTCGTCTCTTTCTCGGCTACCCATTTAGTCCTTTCTTTTTCCGACCGACAGATCAGTTGCCGACATCTCATAATGCTGACTGGTGCTTGAGAGAATATATAGGAGTACGGCCATACCGCCGCATGCATCCACGCAGATTGGCCAACAGAAATGTGTTAGAGCACTGTAATTCCACTTGGACTCAAAGGTAATCAGTTTCAAAAGGGGACACTTGATCTTAATGATCCAACAGCCCTAGAACATTACGTCCAAGGACAAATCATATCGCCGCGACATGGGCCTTACTAAGAAAGTATCGCAAATTGAAGAACCGGATTGGTTTGTAGTGGATGAAGCCCACTGGCAGCGGGACTAACCTTCTTAGAGGACAGGGATGTGGATCGCAGCACAGGGTTTTAAGACGTTCGATTGTTGATGGTCTTCCAAGATTATCGTATATAGTTAACTTCCAGTCTACAAAGGATCAAGCAAAACGTTCTACGAGGACCTTAAATAAAACATTCTTCTCGCAGATCTCAGAATTAAATCCGAGTTCCAATTTGTTCTTTTGATCATGTCTTAGCTAAATGGGTCATATATATATATATATAAGAGGAGAAAAAAGAGACTCTGGAAATATCCAAGGTTCATATGCAGGCATATAGACATATGAGCCTTCGTGATAGCTAAGGGGCCATTGCCAAGCCCATATATACATATTCATGTTTTCAATCCCCAGACGTTACGTGTGCCAATTTTCGAGGTCAACCTTCCTACCATCTTCATGAAATTAATTCAATAATAGTTGTTATACCTTACACTCCAGGCACAATGACGGGTGGATATCAGGTTCGCTGCTTAGTTGTTGATTGACTAGATGTTTACTGTCAACACAAACATTCGGGACAAGCTTGAGCTTTATAATAGAGAGTGCTTCTTGCTTGTTGCTCATCCGGTCTTTCCTTTCTCCATCTGGCCCAAGATTCAGTGAGGGTTTTTGTCTTCTCGATCATCGTGGCAATTTCTTCCAATGCCCGCAATGTAGCTCTGATACCCCCCTTATGGCGTTCGAGTGATTGCAAGGCCACGTCCATATCGTTCTCCTGTGCCTTACACAGATCTGCTGTGACTGAATCGATGTCTTCTTAGCTTCTTCTTGTCTCAGTCAGCTTTGCTTCAAACTTTTCGGTCTCATTTCTAGCGCCTTGGATGCAGTTCTTGACTTCAACACGGACATTCGCATCAGCGGAAGGACAGACCAGTGCACAGCAATTAGGGCTGAATTCTGCAATATTAAGGATATTGATATTCACTGCTGTTTCGTCACTAAGTGACCGAATTGTGGAGGGCTGCGCTGATCAATATGCTATTGTACGCCAATTGATTGAAAGGTGAGATGAAAGCCAAGCCTTTATCCTTGACACATTCGGTTCATTATGTATTTTATTTCCAAGGCCAATAACACCTTTCAATTAATAGGTGTTCCAGTCATCCCGAACATTTGAAGTTGGAGAGTCCGGATCCCAGCGATTTATACATACTTCCACTTGATCTGTCCGAACCTAACCTGGGTAGCCCTGGAGTCAATCATTGGTTTTTATTCCGGTTCAGATTTCAATTCCACTAGTTACTTGAATCACCCAATCATCTTCGTTAGCATCCCGAACCCTTGCTTGGCAACCTTAACTTAAGACTTGGAAGATCAGCTCTGCAGATATTTTTTTTTCACACTACCAGGCTAGGTCTGCCCGGACTCTTACTCTGGGATTGTTTTTTCCGTAAATTAGTCAATGATCTGGATCACTGTTGGGATATCCCAAATCCCATCAATTGATTGCAAGAGATGGAGGGTCACTCCGAGAAGGACGTGGGTCCACCCCGCACAAATGACCCCGAATTTGACGAAATAAATTCGGCATTGACAGCTGAAGAGAAGAGGCTTGAGCGAGTGTTGATTCGGAAGATTGATTTACATATCCTTCCGTTTGTCGTGTTACTGTACCTGTTCAGCTTTCTCGACCGAGGTACGTCTACCGTGAAACAAGGGATGAGTCAATCACTAAAAATTGCAGTGAACATTGGTAATGCCCGCTTGTATGGTCTCGAGGAAGACCTGGGCCTAGTCGGCGACCAATACCAAATTGCTGTTTCCATTCTCTTTGTGACATATTGTGTATGTGAAGTCGTCCCGTGATCGAAAAATGCTAACCCCTTGTCAGTTCTTCGAAGTACCATCAAATCTGGTGATCAAAAAATTGAAACCATCTCGGTACCTCGCAACCATTTCTGTATTGTGGGGCATCATCGCCACCCTCACAGGAATCACCCAGAGCTATGGCGGCCTTCTTGCATGCCGTGTATTGCTCGGAATCGTGGAAGCAGGACTCTTCCCAGGATTCTTAACCTACCTCACCATCTTCTACAACAAACGTGAGATCGCCCTGCGAACTGGCTATCTGTTCAGCAGTGCCGCTGTCGCCGGTGCCTTTGGCGGCCTCCTGGCCTACGGCATAGGATTCATGGACGGTATCTGTGGGCTGCGCGGATGGCGCTGGATCATGATCATCGAAGGAATACCGACTGTGATACTCGGCATAGTCACATGGTTTTTCCTAGCAGACGACCCGGATACAGCATACTATCTCAACAAAGAAGAGCGGGTGCTTGTGGTGCGCCTCCGCAGCCGATACGTTGGTCAAACGGAATCTGCACAGAAATTCCACTGGGCCGATGTGAAGGAGGGTGCGCTCGATTGGAAGATCTATGCTTTTTGCATTGGACAATTTGGTGTTGATACTATGCTGTACGGGTATAGCACTTTCCTACCTACTATCATCGAGGGGATGGGCGATTGGTCTGTTCCACAGGTCCAGGCGCTGACGATCCCTTGCTACGGGCTGGGCGCTATTGCTTATCTTTCTGTGGCTTGGTTGAGCGATAGAACACAGCACCGTGCGTTTTTTACCTGCCTTTTCAGTGCAATCTCCGTGATCGGATATGGGATTCTTATTACGAACTCATCTTCTGGTGTTCATTATTTCGGTGCTTTGATGGTTGCATTGGGTCTGTATGTCGCGGTTGGGCTACCGCTTGCCTGGCTACCTACTAATTTGCCTCGATATGGTAAGCGCACTTTTGCCACGGGCTTGCAGCTCACTTTTGGTAACATCAGTGGTGTCATGTCGCCATTTTTGTACAAGAACTCCGAGGGGCCACGATTTGTTAGAGGAAATGCTGTTACGCTGGCTCTGGTAGGCTTCGCGGGCATTTTATATAGTGTTATGTGGGGTTGCCTTCGTCTCATCAATAAGCGCCGTGCAAAGGGATTCGAGGATGAAAAAGTCGCTGGCCTGTCGGAGGAGGAAATTGAGGAGCTCGGAGACCGAAACCCTCGGTTCCACTACAGCACTTGAAGGCATTATAGAGCCGAGGTTATACATGACTAGCGTCATTGGTGATCGCCGCTTTGTCCAAATATTGGGCTGTGCGAAGTAATATCATAGACGAGAGGCTTTCCGTAGCGCATTCAAATATTTCGCGCAGCGCCTAGAATGACTATTTTTTCTCCCATACCTACGATGCCATACACCTACCATTTACCTTTGCTTTACTGACAGTGTCCTATCTTCTTTCCTACCTGTTAGTTAGATGGTCCAAATGGCCCACGTTGTAATTAATAGAGGTTGATAGCTAGCTAGATTGGCTGTTTGAGCACACTGACTACTCCCGGCCTAGGCAGCAGGTGACCTATACCACGAAGAGCTCGCAAATAGAAGTCTAGAATTGAACTCGTAATTTTATAAACTTTCGGAGATTTCAATGGTTCAGTTGTTTTGACTCCCGAGATCAGAACTTGGCATTTACGCCAATTTACTTGGTTCTTCGCTCTCGCTCTCGCTCCCGCTTTCGTACCGGTCATCGCTCAACCCCACGCTTCAACTTCTACCCCGACCGTGCCAACTACTTTTTATCTTTTATATGCAAACCTGTCACAGCTTTTGCCTTCTTAGGTAAGATCGTCCCAAGATTTGAGCTCAACCTAAACTCGTTCTGAATCATTGAGAGGGTCCCTGCATTGCTAGCTCCGGGTGTTCGTTCCCCTCCTATCCCAGGCCACATTTCCGAACCTTTTTCTCCGGTCTTACCATAGATCACTTCTCGATCTGGAACTTCGATTGACGATCAGGACCTTAACTGTGTAAATAGTTCATTCCACGAGGACAGAAGGTTTTCAACCAAGGAACAGAAACACGAACTACCCAAGTAAGTCAAAGGCTCAAAGTAAAACGAATATGACAATGATGACATCAATTATCGAAATTCGTGTCTGGGAAATCTATAAGTAGCTGTTGTTTTCCTGCCCTGGAAGAAATTGTCAGGAACATTCTTCAGTTAAGATATAATATCACAGTCCAGCATGAAGCTCACCAACATTGCCCTGGCAGGTGCCACTCTCAGCCTTTCTACGGCGAACCCAATCGCTAGACGTGCAATCAGCGATGGTATGTTCAAACAACTTCCATATACTCATTGATAGAAGCGTTGAAAAATTTTTAACATAATTTTGTTAGCTGACATCCTCAACTATGCTTTGACCCTCGAGCATCTTGAGGCCACTTTCTACGCGCAGGGTCTCACAAACTACACCCAGGCAGACTTTGTGAACGCTGGCTTTGCCGATCCTTTCTACGCCAACCTCATGGAAGTTGCTTCTGACGAGAAGACCCACGTCAGCTTCCTGACTTCAGCTCTGTCTGGTAAGATGGCTCCCCGATGAAACCAAGAAAAGAAAGTATACTGACTTCTGTAGCCGCTGGTGCATCCCCCGTCGCAGCTTGCAACTACACCTTCCCATCGACAGATGTGAAGAGTTTCCTGGCCCTTGCCAGCGTCCTGGAAGGTACACACATCTCTATCTACTTGCTTATGGACGAATACTAACAACATTCAGGCGTGGGAGTCAGCGCTTACCTCGGTGCCGCCGCCAGCATCATGGACAAGACATACCTCACCGCAGCAGGTAGCATCCTGACCGTCGAAGCCCGACACAGCGCGTACCTGCGTGCCGCACAGGGCGAAAGCCCCTTCCCCCAGCCCTTCGATGCCCCTCTCGACTTCGACGAAGTCTACACACTTGCTGCCCCATTCATCACCTCCTGCCCATCCAGCAACGGCCAGCTTCCAGTGAAGGCATTCCCCACTCTTACAATGACCTCAACCGCATCCCTTATGTCGGGATCGATCGTCTCGCTTATGGCCGGAACTGGATTCAATACTACCGGCACGCTGTACGCTGCCTTCGTTACTGTCACCGGTCCTCTCTTTACCAAGGTGACATACACTGGTAATAGCATGTTCAATGTTACAATCCCCACGGGCGTTGCTGGACAGAGCTACGTTGTCATTACCCAGAGTAACTCCACAGTTACTGACGACAACATTGTTGCGGGACCTGCTATTGTTGAGGTAATTTGAAAAAGAAATCGTCGTTAACCCTGTGCTTTACTGTTTTTCGCAAACTGACGTGGGGATTGATAGATTGGAATGAAGAGTAACATGTCTATGTCTATGCCTTCTTCATCAATGACTAGTGCGATGAGCAGCACCTCAGGCACTGCTGCGGCTTCTTCATCCCCTGCGTTCAATGCTGCCGTCCAGAAAATGACTGGTAATGTATTTGGAGTTGTGGGTGCGGGTTTGATCGTTGCTGCTGCGCTTGTTTGATCGCGCCACTGGATTGCGATGAGTCACAAATTGTGGACTGATCATGTACCACTATTTATTTTCTATTTAATTATTACTGGGAAATCAATGGTATTCCTGAATAGGGACCAATTAATCTGACCCCTTGATTATTGTTCTTGGCTCATTTTACTTGAGAAATTGGCAATGCTTGGCTTTGTCTACATTAACTAGATCGAGTACGAAATGGTTTTTTATATGGCGATCTAAGATATATAACTAGAACAGCCACCACTCTAAATGAGTTGAAAGTGTGACGGATCTTCAGGGATTGATCCCAGTCTTCGAAAACGGCATCTGGTTCAACAGTCTGCTCAGCATCCCTTCCTAGATAGTATCCTCCCGCTCCAGAGAAAACGGCGATACTGATCATATAGATAAAGCATGCGAGAATGAGCCAGGGGCTTTCTCTCTGGTGCGGGTCCTGGGGACTTTCATTGAACGGCAAGAATTTCTTCTTGTCATCGTTTTCATTTTCCGAGTCCTCTGTGGGGATACGACTAACACGATGAGGTTGTCGAGCTTTGAAGAATTTGAACGGTTTCATGGTAAAGATCCAAGCTCAAAGGACAAAGGAGTTGACTATGTTTAGCTGAAATAAGCCTTTTGACAAAAGATTGGGGAAGATGGGGATACGGGGTGGAAGGGGGCTTTATAGAGGGCTACACCCTGATGTGGCTTATCTTCTTTTATTGATAATATAGGCAGCAAACGGCCTGCAACTCCGCCAAACATCTTCATCCTGTTATAGGCAACAGGTACCACGCTAGCCTTCCAGAATTCTCTTGCTTCTTGCTTGCTCAATATCTAGATCTGCAAACATGACTGTCGACTACAAAGAGACCCATATAAATGAGCCCCATTCCTCGTTTGAAGCCGGAAGATTGCTCGGAGCAAATGGCGCACAGATTTCTCATCAAAGTAGCGGTAACCAGCTCCTTCATCTGAGGATTTTGTATTCTGTCATCGCAGTCTTGCTTGTGGTGATTGTGACTCTATCAGCATTCGCAGTGAAGGCTCTCAGCAACAACCTCCAGCTTGCTTTATGGTGTAAGTGTCTACAGAGATATGGCCAGTTTTTCCACTGACCGCAAAAAGCGCCTGTGAATGATATTGTTGGATACAAGACGGTCACTTTCGACGCCTTTTTCCTAGGCCATGAAAGCCCCTGGACTAGAGGGCCAAAAGAGGTCAAAGATGAGCTATGGGATGAGACATATCAATGTGAATGCCTCAATCTTCACCTCGTCCGCTGCACAAGACATGGACATGCTGACATATTCGCTAGTTGGAATCTCCTGGATTACCAAGAAAGAGGCCTCATACATGCTTAACGAGACTCTTCCCGCTCCTCACGACTCTGACAAGTATATGATACAATCGTAGGTCTTCCACAATCTTCATTGTCTCAATATGCTGCGCAAGAGTCTCTATCCTGATCAGTACCCAAAGATGTGGGCATATCACGAAAATGGAACGGTAAACCATGGCACTCTACAATCAATGCACATGGGTGAGTCTCTTCTCAACTTTCCTGCGTAGATTAAGACGAGACTAATCCACAATGTGACCCACCATCCAGATCACTGTATCGACGTCCTTCGTCAGTCGACAATGTGCGAAGCAGATGTGACCCCCATTCCATTCGTCCGTAGCTATTTCGGTTGTGGCGTTTTCCCCAACATCATAGCTACGCATACATGCCGAGACTTCGACGCCATTGTCCAGTGGGCCAAGGAACGCGAAGTGCAGGACTATGAAGCGCATCGATAGTCTGCAGCTGGAGGGCCACGATGTAACGTGAGGAAGTAGATCTCTACATGCAGCTGCCTCCTTTTCCTTGGGTTTGCAAAGCGGCTTTGAGTCTCGCGCCTTTCGGCCGGGTTATAAACATACCAACCAGTATGCTGAAGTTTCTGAGAATACTCCTAGTACATGGTATTGGTATCAATACTATTACAATACACATGTCATCATACTCAACAACTCTATGCTCAGTACTAGTATTGTAATACAGTACCATGTTACCATACCTTGGATAAGCCGACTTTCACTATAAAATACAATACCATTAGTACTTATACCAGTTAAAGCTGCGACGTATTACGTTCCTTGGCAGGCGAAACCATAGTATCGAGCAGGAAATCTCGGTAACCTTGGCATGCTACTAGTAGTAGTCTGACTGCCTTAGTCCCTGCAATCGGAGCCAGCCAGAAGTGGACGAGGTCCGCTCTGTGGAGGTCAAATGTAACATAGCTTCAGATTCGACCCTTCCTTCCACGCACTATTAACCGGAGTTGGCGGGCCCAGTAGCTTGGGGCCGAGAGATAACCACGGTCCACACATGCAGTTTCTTTGTCAATGCTGCAGACCAACAAGAAAATACTCCTTCCAAGGATGCGTTTGTAGCAATTTCCTGTTCAAGCCTGTTCGATTATTGATCTCAAGCCAACCACCGGACTTTCGAACTCGACAATTTGTCACGCGTCTGCTCACGTTCTGCCAAATTGCCGGATTACGTAATTCTACAGGATCAAATAACATTCCAATCGGAGTCTGGTCTGGACTAGGTAACTGGTTCATTCTCTCATCCTCTGAGACATCTATGTAGATTTTCTATGGAGAAGCTTTTCACGGAGTAGAAAATAGTAGTCATAAAGTTTGCAATCCCGGAGACACGCTCGGACTCCGGTCGAGGCCTATTGATTTAATCCCTGAGGCATCAATATTACCTAATACACGGATCCACACTCGCTAACCAATCCCAAGTTCGCAATGATGCCCAATGTAATAGGTAGTCAACCAGGGTTAGAAGTATATCGATCCAAATTGAACTACAATTACACCTCCAGGGATTGGAAGACTAAAGTTAGTTGTATATACCACCTGTGAAAAGTGTATGTACTACTTAGATGCATGGCTAGAGTCCTTGACATCTGCTCGGAATCCGAAGCCAGCCAGAGATACCTAGGTATAGGTACAAGATCAAAGTTCCATGACTTTATGCGTCAACAATTACGCTTCGAAGTACCGTGGACGCTGCCCACCTATGCCCCATACACCTGATACAGAATACCATGTCCTTCCCGCTCTAGAGCTCCTTTATCTATCAGTACTTTGCGAAGTTGGCCAAACTCTGGATCAGCGTTTTTTCGGTAGATGGCAGTGATTATTTCCAGGGCGGAAGCCGATGGATCAAATTTGGTCTCAACAAGTAGCCCATTAGGGTCAGCGCCGTGTTGAATGAACAACGATACAATCAGCGCCAGACGAGATGTCCCATGCTCACTAATGTCGTAATATTTAATCCATCGACGACGATCAGCTTCCCGGAGATAATCCAGAAGAGCAAGCCAGGGAGTCTGCTCCTTTCCATTCAGACCTTGGTAGGGCTGATTCGGATCAGCGCCACTCTTCAGAATGTCGCTGATAATTTCCGGACTGGATAAAGGGTACACGCTTTGCCGGCGACTTGCGAGAAATTCGATGGAGTGACTGAGAAGTGGTATGCCGTTATCGCTGCCATGAAGGATTTCATCATCTGTCCGGACACTTTCACGTACTAGAGCTGCTAGGCCGAACTTAGCAGAGAGTGAAAGAAATGGATTACGAAAGCTGAGATTTCTTCGTTTCTCATACGATGAAAAAAGGTTCCGCGCCCAATGATCATGTTCAATCGACTGGCGGGTCACCCAATGCTGACACAGAGCTCGGTCTAGCTCAGGAATAAGCACCAACTGTGACTGTTGATGATTTAGAGACAATCGTGCATGGGTGAATGCGAGAATTATGTTCGGCCACCGATCATCTATCTGTCGATTGGGATGAAATTCGTCTAATGGCCACCTGAATTGAAAAATGATGGAGGTGAGAAGCGATATGTGCGGTTCAAAGTTCGATCCCATCATTGGCTTCAAGAGCCGAGACCGAACTTGAGGCGGGGCGAGAAAATCATTCACAGTTCGATGCGCATAAGTGACCTTACTATAGCCTAACCGCTGAGCCGACGATGGTGTATCGCGACAAAGCATGCTTGTTGATGAGCCTGAGCTATGAGTCACCATCAGCCCTCTGCACTCCCTGGACATCCGTGTCTTGGTCACTTCGCATATACGGATGATGTCCTTTTCGCTCGCTTGTTGCACGTCTTTTGGGATGTGACCCACGATCTCTTCGGATTGATCGGCCAGAGCAAATTCCCAGAGGCTTATGGAAGCTGCATCTTCTTGTCTAGTAGCATAACATGCCTCTTGTCTGGCCTGAATGAGCTGGAACAGGCGTGAAGCAATCATAGTTTCATTGGTCGATGCAGAATCAAAAAGGAAATATGAGAATAAGTCGTCTAAGTCGGTAGGATGCTGGCCCAGATAATCATGCATTTGCCGAATATGTTGATAGTTTCCACGGCGCAGTAAGGATTGAACCACAAGCATCACCCAGAGAAAGACGCCGTCTGCGGCTTTAACAATGCTATTTATGAGATTCGATGCCGCCGCCTCATCCTTGATGAGAACTTGGCTAATCAAGTCGTCTCCGTGTAAATGGTCTTGGGTATAGTGAAGCATATCTCCTTGGGTCAATTCGTGAAGCTCAACGCCGGGATTTGTTCCAAAGGCGGCACGAAAAGTTGAGAGAGGCCGGCTGGATAGACAAATTTTAACGTGAGGGTATGAAGCAACGCAATCCTTGAAGAATTCCACGATTTGCTGATGGTCGCCTGCGAATTCGTCTAGTCCATCAATGAATAAACAAACCTTACCGCCCCGGCCTGCAACATCAAGAAAAGATCGCAGTGCTGCTGTCAGCTCCGCAAGGTCCCATGAGATGGACGCTTTGACGCGTTCTCGCGTACTCAAAGACAGAAGGTGTTTCCACCTGACCGGAAAGACCGTTGGAATGAGATATCTGTTCTGGTCCAGTAGTTGGGCCAGAAGATGCCGGATCAAGCCTGTCTGAGACCTCTGCTCCAAGGTGCCGCTAATCCAAAAATAAAAGCCGGCGGTGATGAGTTGCTCATTCCCCGCCCATGATTGAAGTAACTTCATTGTCTGGGCATGGTGCATCACAAAGCGCATAAAGGTAGACTTTCCAGATCCCGCTTTGCCACTAATCCAATATATCCCTTCCTGATGTTCCCCACCTTTCAACCAAGCACTAAGAGAATTCTTCGATTGCCATCGCTGGAATACGGGGCTCACTTTATCGGAGAATATCCACTCGAACGTCTTGCTATGCGCGACAGTGACACTTTCCTCGCGATCCGTCATGGACGAGAACTTGATAGCTTCAATCAGAAAGTCTTGAATGGTTGTCTCATGGTCTGAAAAAACCGTGTCTTCTGAGTAAACTTTCTCAAAATCCTTAATGTCCACTGTATCCTGTACTGTAGCAACGTCTTTGCCGAAAAGTCTAACAATCCTAGGCTTAGAAGACCTTTCGTTCTTCTCTGGTCTTTCGTCGGATGAGTGAAGATCACTTGGCTTTTCTTTGCCACGTGAAATGTCCAAGGAGAGAAGTGCCTCATTTTTAGTGATTGAGCTGTTTGCACAGAGCGATTAGCTATCCGAAAGACTACCACGTGAGAAGAAGTGGCTCAGGAACACACCTGTGCGCTGAAAAAGTCGCTTCCTCCAAATCCAACTTCAGTGACATTAATCGTTTCTCTAACATTTCCACGTCTTCTCGCGGCCAAAAAGTTTTCAATTCCTCGACGCGAAGGACTGGACTAGGCCCAAAATCTTGAATGAACCTCAGGCGAGATAAAATGATCAGGACGATATGGTGACACGTGTTGCAGAGATCATACAGTGCCTGGTCCTGTTCAGATAGTGGTCCAATCTCCCTTAGGCAAGCACCCGCTATGCTGGCATTCAGTGTGGTCAACTGGGCATGTAGGTTGAATGTATCCCACCCCTGAATGGGATGTTTGTCATTGTGAAGGCTGTGAATTTCATAGAGTTGGCCAACAAGCTGAACACATGCATGAAGGAACTGCACAATTAGTGTTGGAGCTGTTTTTGAAATAGCACTAGCCTGATTAGATTCGGCCATCTTGATCTTAGCCCAGCTAATGGGGCAAATTATCGGTAGTTTTCAATCTATTAGCGACGTCAGCGATGATTTCAGAAACATGCAGTTGTTGGGCCGGAAAACGCGAGAACCGTGAATAAAGGTATGATTGTTACGAACGTTGGAAAAGGAGTTGATGATTGGAAGCTGACAAGTCATAAGAGGGGTCGATTCATATATAAATTAGACTTGTAGTCTAACGTAAGCAACGCAGCGTCGTATCGTGATCCACGGCCGCGACCCCACTAAATCTCCAAAAACCATCGGTTTATTCACTATTAAAACCACAAAAACCATGTATATTTTGCTATGTAAAACGAGTAGGGCAATTAGTATATGTGAGCTGTGTGTTCTCACACCCAGAACATATCACCTGTGTTTTAATTAAGAGCACAGAAGGTTAGGTAGGCACTTCCAACAACTGCGAAAGCGCGATAATAAATTACAAACAACTAATTACGAGTGACTGATATGGAATTCTTGAAACAGCCCTCAAAGAGCTCTCAGAAAGTTTTTAACATTAGGATGTGATATTAATGTAGGGTTTTAGGTATTAGAACGGGATTTACGAAGTTCTAAGGTAGGACATCTCTATAAAAAAGTCTCAGACTGTGCTTCACGTTTCTAAGGTACATATACCTGTTTTAAACGCAACAAGGGAGATATGCTAATCAAATAACCATGGGAAGCTAGATGATACCAGCTCCGCTATGCCATATTTGCAATATTTGCATCCTGATGGTCTCTACAACCAGAACATCAATCGTGGCCTACCCCCGGTCACCTCACGAGGGAGGAGCCCCATGAAGCTTGCTAGAGCAATACGAGGCGCTTCAGGATTTTCGATAGGGGCGACCTCGTGCATGTTCCGCGAGTTGAAGATGCACAATTGGCCGACTTCAACATCAAAGGTGCAGTGGGTGTGGTTCTCCACGAGAGCTCGGGCATATCCATAGCTCTTTAGGTCGCGATAACGCAGTGCGTCCTCGGTCCATTGCACATCATGGATTGTGGTAGATCCCCCAGTCACGGGGGTAAGATAGAGATTAACAACGGCCTGGCAGGTGATTTGGGACAGAATCCAGTTCTCCTCTGCCGGGACGTCATACGGGCACCAGTCACAATGAGGGGTGTGCCGTTATTTTACGAAATGCCACTGTAATACTGGCGATTGCCGCACGAGGACTCGACAGCAACGCCAACGTCCCACTCAGGAACCAACGCGGCGAGTGTATCGATGATATTCTGCAACAAATTGGTGCCGATAGCGGCGGACAGGTCGCGATGTATAGAGGCCATCTTATTGACTTCGTCAAAGTAATGCTGTTTTTCACCACCCTGTCGCGACTTCATGTCCTCCTGCCACTTGAGCCTTTGGTCTGTATTCATGGCTGGGGAGGAAACGGCGACTTGGTAATAAAACGGGCAAATCAGGGCGTGTAACATTGCGGTATTGTGTATTGTAAATAACCAGGGTGCGACAGCCCAATCAATCAATCATTGGTTATCTTTGTTGCCTTTTCCCCTTCCCCGTCTTTTTCAGGGTCCTGGGGATTCTTCTTTCATTGTCGTCGCTAGGCGTCTTCATCGCCAATTTTCTGTTCACCATCATGGACCCCCAACAAAACGCCTGTTTTCAAGCGGATTCATCATTTGGGCCAGTCGTGTCAGGCTGTCGCGATGACTTTGACTTTACTCTTGCCTTTGAGTTGTACTTCTTTCTCATAGCGCCCGCGGCGTTGTTTCTGCTGATTGCGCCAACTCGCCTTTATTTGCTCTTTGCCCGAGACCGCTGTGTTGATGGCCTCTGGCTCCGGAATTTGAAGCTGGCGCTGACGATCGGGTACGCCGCTTTGCAACTCACCCTCATTGCCCTATGGGCGGTAAATCCAATGCCTGCATCTGCTGCGGGGATTGCCGCCTCATGTCTGTGCACCGGCGCAAGCATGTTTCTTGCCCTGTTATCGTCTCTTGAGCATACTCGGACTCTTCGCCCGTCATCCATCGTCAATGCGTATTTACTATCAACCTTTCTGGACGCAGTTGTGGTCCGCACCCTATGGCTAGCTAGCTATGTGACCGAGGACCTGCGCAACGTCTTCACAGCAGCATTTACCCTCAAGGCTTGTCTCTTGATTATGGAGGCTGTGGAGAAGAGGCGTTTCTTCTGTGCAGAGCAGGATCGGGCCCTTAGTCCTTATGCGAGAAGCAGTATCTACAACAGGGCAGTGTTTTGGTGGGTGAATGAGCTGCTGCGACAAGGAGCGCGACAAACGATAACACCCAAGGATTTACATCTATTGGAAAGTTCTATGGCCGTTGAAACCTTGGACCGGAGAATCTGGGCTTCGTGGCAGAAAACGGATCAAAAACATCGTCGTCGACTGATACACACGTTCATTCGTGCGTTGCGTTGGGATCTTCTCACTCCTTTATTTCCGCGGTTGCTTCTGATTGCCTTTACCGTTGGTCAGCCACTGTGTCTGAGACGATTCCTTGAGTACCTGGAGGCGAGTCCAGAACAAAGTGCGAATGTGGGATATGGCATGATAGGGGCATACTTTCTCATTTATCTTGGCATTGCGGTTCGATCCCCGATTCAGATTCACACGTGAGCGGTAAATTAATCTCGTTATACCTTAGATTTCTACTGGTTTTTATTGGTCGTCATGGTTTCGCTCATTGGCTTTGATCAGGAGTATGCTGATGACGGCTATTTTTGAAAGAACACTCCAATCACCGGCATCCGTAGCAACCGACAAGGCAGCCGTGACATTGATGAGTACGGAAGTTGATCGCATCATGAACGGTCTTCGCGAGATTCACGAATTATGGGCCAACGCGCTACAGATCATCATCGCCACATACCTTCTCGAAACTGAACTTCAATATGCGTGCATTGCGCCTGCTATCACTGCCCTGGGCTCCTTCATAGCCATTACATATCTCTCGGAACATACTAAGAAGTTCCAAAAACAATGGATGGGAAAATTACAATTACGTGTGGGTCGTGTCTCCGCAATGTTGGATTCCATCAAAGGCATCAAGATCTCCGGTTTGACCGACCGATTATTTGCAACTATTGCTGCTCTCCGACAAGAAGAGGTTGATGCATCAAAGAAGTTTCGGCTTTTGGGTGCTTTTACCTCAACAATTGCATTACTACCCCAGATCCTATCTCCCGTCCTGGCATTTGCCATTTACGCTGCTGTAACGCTTGGGGGTGGGCGTTCTATGGACGTTTCACGTCTTTTTACTTCCTTGTCAATATTGTCTCTACTCTCGCAGCCCCTCTTTGCATTTTTTGGGTCTATTGTGAACTCTCGATCGGCAATCGGATGCTTTGAGCGGATCGAAGATTATCTTTGCCAACACAGCTTTTTTGATGGTCGTATCTGCTCTGGCGATGCCGTGTCTGTCACCAATTCGATTGAAAAAGATAGCTCCCTCTTACGGAAAACTGAAGTCACAGAGCTTGATGTCGGCAATCAGACTTTGCAGCCGGCTTCTGTCGCTCTAATTCAGCTAGACAAAGTATCGCTAGGATGGTTCAAAGACAAAGATCCCCTTTTGACCAATATCAACCTTTCCATCAAGAGAGGTACTTCGAACTTCATCGTTGGTCCATCAGGTGCTGGCAAAACCACGCTGCTATATGCCTTATTGGGCGAATGCCCGATAATAAATGGGACTATCGCCACAACTGTGACGGACATTGCATGGTGTGAACAAACCCCCTGGTTGGTCAACCAGACTATCCGAGATAACATTCTATCCGGCTCCGCTTTGGATGAGACCTTGCTTTCAACCATCATTCATTGCTGCGATCTCAAGCAAGACTTGGACAGTCTTCCTGCCGGCGATCAAACAAGGATTGGTAACAAAGGCACCGCACTCAGCGGTGGTCAGAAGCAAAGGATCGCCTTGGCTCGTGCTATCTACTCCCGAAAAGAAATGGTTCTACTTGACGACCCCTTGAGTGGGCTGGATGTCACCACAGAGAACAATATCATCTGCCGCTGTTTCGGGAAGAATGGACTATTTTCGCGCTGGGGTACAACTGTTGTCATGGCGACTCATTCATCTCGTCTGCTACCTTCAGCGGACCAAATATTCGTGTTGGACTCAAAGGGAAGCGTTAGCGAGTGCGGAACCTATCAAGAACTCATGGCAACCGAGGGATATCTCCACAAAACCCACGGCCACAAACTGTCTTCACTGCAACAGGAATCAGCCACAGACTTCGACAAGCTTGGTCAGCCAACCGAAAAATATCAAGGGCAGATGAACACAAGCAAAAAGCGAATTTTGGTCACTCCAAATATTTACCACGATACCCAAAAAACAGCATCAAAACCACACACTGCAAAGGAAAAGATCATAAGCGATTCCTCGGTTTATCGCTTCTATGTCAAGGCGATCGGAATAACCCCGCTGATGACATTTCTCGCGCTGGAAGCAGTATGGGCGTTCCTTTCCGTTTTCCCTGTTCAGTGGCTCAAGTGGTGGGCAGAGGATAGCACATCTCACGGTAATAAGGACCTTGGAGTGTACTTAGGTGTATATGCTGCTTTACAAGTAGCTGCACTTGCGTCCTCTGCACTTGCCACGTGGTTTGCATTCAGCTTCATGGCACGCAAGTCTGGTCTCTCGCTGCACAGTACTTTACTCAGAGCGACTCTATCCGCTCCATTGAGCCTCTTTGCAAAGCAAGACAGTGGTGAGATCCTGACTCGATTCTCTCAGGATATTCAAATGGTTGATATGAGCCTCCCCTTACAAATATTGACTCTCACTCAAAATCTCTTCACCTGTATTGCACAGGCGGGATTAATTGGCTCTGGGGTTGGCTGGATAGCAGTGAGCTATCCTGCGCTCATCGCAGTGTTATTTATGATCCAAAAATTCTATCTCAGAACTGCAAAGCAAATGAGGTTGTTGGATTTGTCTGAAAAAGCCCCAGTTTACACCTCTAGGCGGCTTGCCTACAATCCGTGCTTTCAAATGGCAGGCTCGCTTTCGAAATACAAATTATGATTTGGTGACTAACGCCCAGAAGCCGTGGTACTCACTACTCATCATTCAAAGGTGGCTCTTATTGGTTCTTGACTTGGTCACAGCAGCCTTGACAGTCTTGATTGTCGGCATCGCTGTGAAATTACGCTCGTCAACTGAGATGGCCGGTGTTGCTGTTGCTCTTGTTCAAATTATTACCTTGTCGAATTATCTGAACCAGGTGGTCAACACTTACACCATGCTTGAGACTACGCTGGGTGCGATCGCGCGCATCAAGAAATTTGAAGATGACGTCGTCGCGATGCCCGGTAACACAATCAGCGACCATGGTATCCAGCCACCCCCAAGCTGGCCTGACAAGGGGGAAGTCGTTCTGGAACATGTTTCTGCATCATACGAGGATACTGCAGAACAATCGGACCGGCCAGCTCTGAATGGTGTGACAATCCACATTCAACCTGGGCAGAAAATTGGATATGTGGCCGAACGGGCAATGGGGAGGAGCTCTACCGTACTTGCCTTGTTTCGTTTGTTGGATTTGAACTCCGGTACGATTTTAGTGGATAGGCAGGATCTGGCCACACTCAATCAAGAGACCGTTCGCTCGCGGCTGAATGGCCTCGGTCAAGATCCCTACTTCCTCGCCGGTAGCGTGAGACTCAATCTTGATCCCTATCAAGACCTGACGAAGGGTGAAGATTCCAATGATGCGCGACTCATTCAGGCACTCGATACTATGCAGTTGTGGTCATTGATTGAGCAGAATGGAGGGCTGGACGTCGAATTGAAAAAGGAGTCGCTAAGCCACGGTCAAAGGCAACTATTCTGTATCGCCAGGGCATTACTCCGACCGGGCAAGATTGTGATTCTGGATGAGATTACTAGCAGGTATTTAACGGTTCTTCCTTTTTGTTTTTAATTTGTCCGCAAACTTATCATTCCTCTTTTTTATGCAGTGTGGACCTTCAGATGGACAAGCTGATACAAGCTGTCATCACCTCCGAGTTTGCGGACCGAACAATCATCGTGATTGCACACCGCTTGAATACGATAGTGAACTGCGATCGCGTGGCTGTCATGGCCGATGGTAAGTGCGTGGAATTCGATGACCCTAAGGTGCTTTTAGAAAAGAAGGATTCTTTCTTCAGGGCCCTTCTGAAATCCTCATAGTAAGGACTACAAAGCGATCAAATTATTTGAGTAGAAAACACAAGGTTAACTTAAATTGAATCAGGAAATATAATCAGGAAATATTTGACGAAAGGTGTGTTCATCTTGGCTTCCAGTCTCCATATTCCAAACATACATCCTTCCAAATGACTCAGATCAGACGCAGCGTATACCACGAGTTTCCATCACATGGTAATTTCTTCTAAGTGGGCTTAGCAGGTCTTAAAAGCTCCTCAATGCTGAACTCTTCCTTCGAAGGGGTAATTGTCTTCGCATCCGGACTGAGCAAGCGAGGCCGAATCCGCTCCTCCACTGAGTCCCAGTTTACACACGTATGGTAGGCCTTCTTGCGATTGATCAGAGGCTTGTTAATGTCACTAGGGCAAGCCACCAGGAGCTCGTGGTCAAGTCAGAGCGGCATAGCACCCCCTGAATCATGATGTTAAGACAGTGATCAAAATGCTCCTCGCGGTAACGGCCCGAGGCGCTGGTTGGGTCCATCGCTTCAAAGCTCCGACTGACATTGGAGTACTCGCACTTAATCCAACTCATGCAGTATAGCTCGTGGAAGACTCTAAGAGTTCCCACGTAGCCCTCTCCATCAGCCAGGGTTACACTGTCATTGGCCAATTCGCCCGCTTGCCGCATTTCGTCTTTGGATAGACGGATATTGCTCCCTTCAGGATCATGATGAGTCAACAAACTTCTTCTTCTCCATTCAGGTAGCCAAGTGAGACTTACAATTCAGCAGGTCATCCCATATTTTATCCACTGCTGGCCCCAGATCTCTTGCAAACGGATTGTGAGAGTTTTCGAGGTGCATCACAGTATTTTCATACTTGATTCCAGTATCCTTCGACGCTACATTTGGTGCAAAAAAGGCTTGTTAGTTACATTATCGCTCTGATCACTCTTCTTCTTTCCTTCTTCCAGTACTCGAGGAGGGAAGGGAAATATGATAGAGTGGCTCTCACAAAACGGCTGGTCTGGACAATAGTGTTTCTGGAACTTGATCCAGGTAATACTCTGCCAAGAGTATAGTACATTGTATCCAACAAAGATCACGTTGGCACACAAAATGGTAAGGTTCAGCCACGCCATGCCCTTTCTCTGCTTCGTCGGAGTGGTAGGGCTAGAGGAATGGAATGGTGACGCTAACATCGATGACGACTCGCTGTCTTCGCTGGATTCATCGCGAAATGGTTTGTCGTCAGCAATATCAACTGTTTCGTGGTGGGGGTATGGCATTATGAACGATGCTAGTGAAAAACGGAAGGAGAAAGTCGAAATTTATGAAGACGCTGAGCTGACTAGAGAAGGAATATTGCCAGATTTCTGAGAAATGAATATGAGAGGAAAAGTGAAGAGTATGGTCACACAAATCAGTCTTTTCTTACTTCTCCCTTATTCAATCATCAATTGGTAAAGACGAATTCCACTGACAATCGCAGCGTACTGGTAGTAGTGGTAGACAGCACTTAGCGTACTATTGCTAGGGATGTCAAAATGAAATTTCAAAATTTCGAAATTCCTGAAATTTGGCTGCTTGAAATGTAATTTGAAATGGGGCTTGAAATCTTGAAATCTAGCTAGTCCCAAAGTGGTAATGATTATCTTCCATTCTTCCAATCAAAACAGTCGAACGTAAAGCACGTGACATAGACATCATGTCGGAACAATGGATCATGTAATCAACTTTATTAGTCAGCGTACCACATGTTAAATTGCTGTGGTGGAGACTAGAGAATACCAGACAAGTACACAGACGTGACCCATACCATTGGTACATGCTGTTCGACCCTGATTACGTGTTCAGAGACATCATGTGTCATCTATCCCTCGCCGTCGCCGAGTTGGCCGCTTGGAATCATCTGGAACTCCTTGAGGCCATTCAGATACACGCTTCGACCTCGTCCGCATAAGATGAGCTGAATCTGAATTTGTTGTGGGTTTCGTTGAAGGACTAAGGGGAGGCTCCGAAGTTGGCTTCAACAAGGAGTTAAGCCTCGACTTCAACGCAGAAATGAGGGCAGGATTTGTTGATTCTGAAGCTGAAGTCAAAGCTGAATTCAATGCTAAAACCAGGGCAGACGTTGGTGATTGCTCTGTTGGTTGCTCTGGTGGTTGCTCTGGTGGTTGCTCTGGCGGTTGCTCTGGCGGTTGCTCTGGCGGTTGCTCTGGCGGTTGCTCTGGCGGTTGCTCTGGCGGTTGCTCTGGCGGTTGCTCTAGTGGTTGCTCCGGTGGTTGCTCTAGTAGTTGATATGAGCCCCCTGATAGATCGTCTAGCACTTGGTTTCGCTGCAAAACCCTCTCTATCTCGTTATCCTCTTCTTGAAGGAGTGATTCTTGCGCAACTTCGGGAGGCCGTTCTGTCCGGAATTGTCGTTTATTGATCTGCACGAAGAGCAGTTTTTCAACGCGGTGGGGCTCGAGCCTATTTCGGACTTTTGTATGCTGAAGGTTCATCTGTGAAAAGGCTCTCTCCGCTGCCGCTGAATTTGCCACAGTATTGCAGAGTCGACGAGCAAAGGGTGCAAGAAGCGGAGCAAAGTCCTCCTGTATAAGCATATCGTAAGTAAGTCCTTCGTTTTAATCGTTGATAGTATAACGTACTGCCTCAAGCCAAAAGAGAGACGGGCTCTGGGCCTTCCAGCAGGAGGCATTATAAAAAGCGCCCGTTCTCTGCCTGAATGACAGAAATTCATGCCAAGCGGAAGAGCTTTTGTCGTTGTTCTGTAGAGGCCGTAGCACACCTTCGATATAATTACGAGAGCTCTGGTCAACTTTCCCAGGGACTCTAGCGGGATCAAGATGATAGGCTACCCAGTGGATAGGCTCAAGCTGACGTAGTATTCGACTTTGCCAGCCTATGCCATCCAAATAGGACAAGAAATCGTCCTTAAGAGATGTTTGGGAAGCCAATGTTCGTAGATCTTCATGGAGATCTAGCCATCGCTGCGTTACCTCCATAATCGACGAGTTCCGAGCTTCGGACTCTTTTTGGGCAACATGTAGAGGCTTAAGGATTTTAATCAACTCCTTTAGTTGCCACCAGAACGAATGCGAGTTCGCTATCCGAATAATCTCCCTCCCCCTAGCAGTCGAGGTAGCAGGAGTGATAAGTGTCCACTCACAGATAGCTTCTTGGCAGTCGTGGAGCGAGGAGAGCATATTATATTGCGTTCCCCATCTTGTAATGACTGACGCAATAAGAGCCTTCCTATATCCCCACTTCTCAATCTGCTTTCCTTGCATCCTTGCGTACTCGAGTGGTGAGTGGTGGAAGAAGACGACTATTTCAAGGGCCGACTTAAATACCTCCGCAGCCCGTGGAACCTTCGAACCCTTAGCATCAACAATATCCTTCATGATTAACTGTAGGCCGTGAGAGTCACAGGGAATCATAAAGCAGTGTTTGAGCTCTGGTGTGTTCTCTAGCTTCTCCCAGACCGATTTCATGACAGAACATGTGTCTGTCGAGATAGAATTAATTCTTTTCCAGTCAATCGTTGTATCCAGTTGTAGTAGGAGACATTTGAGACTATTCAAGATCCAACCACTAATAGCAGGAGCATCAAGAGTCTTGTCTTCCATATCATTCAAGTAGACAAACCATGACTTTATCGGCGTTGTTATAGTCATCACTATCACCCGTTGAGATCTAATGTTAGTGGTCTCATCCACTGTGACATTTAAGAACTCAGTTCTCCGTAACTCTTTAATAACCTTCTCTAGTAGTTCATTATATGCTTCATCCAGCAGGTCATCGGCGACTCGTTGGCGGGAAGGAATTTGATACGTCGGGCTTAACGCATGGATAAGTTCTCGCATTTCTTGCTGTTCGAAAAGGTTGAATGGTCTAGCCCCGGTGAAACAGACCTGAGCGATTAGCTGATCAATGCTTCTGGCTGGCTGAGATGTAGAGAAACTTAGCAATTTCTGTTTCTTCTCTGCGGCGGTCTTGGGATCCATCAGAGCCTGTGCTTTTGTGCATTTATTAACATGCTCACTCTGGCGTGTAGTATTTTTGGCGCGAGTCTTCAAGCATCCAAGACATTGTGCTTGAGGCACCTGAAGAAGCTGCAATTAGGGGAGTAGAGGATAAGTTTATGAATTAGTTCTTACCTTTTTATCACCCTGTATGATTTTGAAGCATCTCTGAAGCTCGAGCTCTGAGTAGGAAACCTTTCCGCAAGGATGATTAGGAGCCATTTCGAAGGTGAGGGTGCTAGGAAGGGGTGAGACCTTGAGAGTATTCTAAACAAGCCAAAGATATATATTCTTCCACCTGTTGCCACGAGCTACAGCATACTTGATGAAGACAATGGCAGAAAAATGAAGTATAGGCCTTTATTGGCTATAATAGGTTACCGCTTCTGATGACTCAGCAGACGCCAGCCCCTTGAAATGTAATTGAAACGAGAAAATGAAATGAAATTTCAAGATTTCGTAATGAGTTGGCCAATTTCGTAATTACAACATCCCTAGTATGTACTAGTGATGTTGTAATTACAAAATTGGCAAGCTCATTACGAAATATTGAAATTTCACTTTATTTTCTTGTTTCAATTACATTTCAAAATTTCTTGGCATTGATGAGTCATCATTCACTTGCCCGCGACCAAGATCAGCGTCTAATTTTCCACCGCTCGACTCAAACTCTCCAGTTTATCTTGATTGGTCAGCTGATCATTTCTTTGCCTATTTAGGATTAGCGTCATTTCAAGATTTCAAGGCCCATTTCAAATTACATTTCAAGCGGCCAAATTTCAGCAATTTCGAAATTTCGAAATTTCATTTTGACATCCCTAGTATGTACAGGTCTCGGCCGTCTCAGCGGTATCAATACTGGAAGTGGTACTGGTGTATGTAATACTTGTATCTCTGACTAGTAACTTGAAAGCGAGGACTGTACGTATGACCCCGAACACAGAGGCTTATATCTTAGTTGCAATGGACGATAGCTTGCACCACCCCCTCATTGTCATTATGATAAGGGCTTACCCAAACCTGCAGAACTTGTAGCCCCGCACTTTCGACCAACTCTATCCATTGGCGCCGAGATCGCATCTTAGCTGACAATGCGGTCATCATTGTGATATCAGCTGCAGCAAAGAAACTCGGGCAGCCTCGTTCCGGAAGTACCGCCTCGCTGAGTAGGAGCTTCGAGTAGCCAGGTCTCATTGCGCGGCTGACATGCTGCAACATGACACGGCATTGATCGTCCGAGGAGTCGTGAAGTAGGAAATGCGCGAAGAAAACCTTCGCACCCAAAATAGCAGGTGGCTGCGGACTAGCAAACAAGTCATGGCTTATAGCCGTGATACCACATTGTTCCAGTGGGGGCAGGCTCGCTATCGTGCCACACAGATCCTGCAGAACGAGATGGCCGTGAGATTCTGGAAATGCATCCACGAAGCGTTGCAGATCATGCCCTCGACCGCCACCCATATCCACCAGAAGGATATCCGTTCCCCCGGCGGAGCTCCATTCCGTGAGAAACTGTTGACGCACGGGATACCATGTTGTCCAATGCTTACGAAGGTTGCGGTTTCCAGTCATATACGTGTTGAAATTGTGCATTTTGCGCGGGTCGTTGTGGAGAAAGTCAAAGAAAGTCGATTCTGTGCCAATGGAATGCTGGGAAGGACCGTCGGTGGTGCTTTGAGAGGATCGGTAGCCTGTATTGGCCAGGAAGTCTGGAAGACCGATGTTGACCGCAGCTGCATGCTCGAAAGTATGCACTAGACATGCTTCCAGTGCTGGCTGTGTAAATGCATTGCCAAGTGGTGATGGGAGGTAACTTCGCTCTGAAGCTGCACGTGCGTATCCGATTGCAGTTACCATACGCATCACTCGAACTGTTATGGGAAGATGTGAGCCATTATCCAGTGCTAATCCCAATGATCATGATTTATACTGACTCAAGCAATTCTTCTTCGGCACCTGTGACTTTTGCCAAATCGCTGGAGGAAAGTGGGTTGGGGTGGTACTCGGCTAGTAGATAGAATAATCGCAAATCAACAGCCACTCGTAAGCAGCAATTGTGGGTATGGGGCTGTAAAAATATTCGATTGGTCGAATCGGTCAGCTGCCCAGGTTTTCAGAGGGGTTTGAATGCAGCGCTTCTCTTACCTCGAATGCCTGGCGAAACACAACCTCTTCTGGTTTCTCAAGCATGCGGACAATGCCTTTTACCCAAGATAGACATCTTAGACGTAGAGCTCCCGGCGCAAATGTTGACGAGAGCCAAAGACGAAATCCTTGTCAGTAACTCATAGTATGGTGCTTGGATGAGATCAAGTTGAGCCAATGTTGTAAGATGCAGCGGTACGTTATTTATAGATTTCTTGTGTGCTATAATTCTTATCCGTCTATCAGAATGCCATGACTCAGGTGACAGGTCCACTTGTACGAGAAATCAATATGCACATGTGTGCAGTTACTACCTAAGGACCTATATAAGGGCCCTGGTTTGATCCGTCTCATCGTTCGCAAGGTCCCTCTGTCAGCCATTCTATTCCAAGGTTTCCTCCTAGATAACTTCGAAATTTTCGTCTTTTTGAGCTTCCAATATACTTCTTAGCTTGGAATCCACAGTCAAAAATGAAGACCAGTTCTCCCAAAGAGCTACCCCCTCCTTATGAGCCACCTAAATTCGGGTTCCTCTCCTACTTGCCGACCTCTTGGGTACCCTATGCCCAATTGATGCGCTTGGATAAACCCGGTGGTTACTATGCCTTCGTCTTCCCGTACTGGATTGGCCTTGGATACGGGGCCAGCATTGCCCTTCACCCGCCAACTGTATGGTTTCTCCTCAGCAGAGCATGGCTGCTCTCTGCGGCTTGCATTTTCCTGCGTGGCGCGGCCTGCACTTGGAACGACAATATAGACCAAGACTTGGATCGACTTGTAGCGCGCTGTCGGAATAGACCCATTGCGCGGGGTGCCGTCTCTACCACCGCCGGGCATGTCTTTACTGCGACCCAGACTGCAGTGGGTAGCGCAGCTTTCTTCCTTTTGCCGCGTATCTGCATTCTTGATGCTATCCCAATCACTGCCTTATTTGCACTCTATCCGTTTGGAAAGCGCTTCACCAATTATCCACAGGCAATCTTGGGTTTTCCTTTTGCCTTTGGCATTGTATTGGCCTGCCATAGCATACATGTCAATCCCTTCGCCCTGGAGCCGAAGGGACTTCTGTGGTCAACAATCGCCCTGGTTTTTGCTAATGTCTTTTGGACCATGGTATACGATACGATCTATGCTCATCAGGATAGAGAGGATGATGAAAAGGCTGGTGTCAAGAGCATGGCGGTCCGCTTTAAAGAGAGCACCAAGTTGCTTTGTTCAGGTCTGAGTATAATTATCGTCGCGCTGTTGGCAACAGTGGGATTTCTGGCGAAGCTGGGATGGATTTATTATGTTGTGGGAGTTGGTGGGGTCATGGTCAGTCTAGGTACGATGATCTCTGCAGTGAATCTGACCGTGCCGGCGAGCTGTATGTGGTGGTTTAAATGGGGCTTCTGGTATGTCGGAGGAATGCTTTTGGGAGGGCTTTTGTTGCAATGGAGTAGTCGCATCTGAAAACATATCTGCCGCGATTTTTTCTACATCACTTTTGTGGAAAGAACCTCATAAAGGAGATTCAATAAGTGCATATATTTCACTATAGTTCCATAAGGTACCTATCCCCTAATCACGAAGGCTCTTCTCTCTCAAACTTCCATAGAAACAAGATTTGAAGACCACCCGTGAGCCTCGATACCTAGTAATCTTGATTCGTCTACAATTGAACTACTCCTTATGTCCCATGTCACCTCCTGTAAGTACCTTGTTCTGGTTTTGCAGCGAGTCGGTGGGAACCACAATAATGAGATGCCCGTTTTCATCCAGCGGAGACTCCGGAACGCCATCATCGTCAAAGGACATACGGTGCTTGTTGAGGAAATCCTGAAGACTGTTCCATGAGACGCAGGTGCGCTCATAGTTCGGCCGACGCACCGCCTCACGGGCAGCAGGCTCTTCGGGCCACCAGTAGAAGGACCCCAGAGCTAAATCGGCCTTGCACATAGCGCCGTGCTTCAGCCCATCAAGGCAGTGGTCTAGGTGGTCTGTCATGACACGTCGCATAGGATCCCATTCTCGCTTGATCCAGTTCAAATAACGTAGCTCATGGTAAATACGCATAATGGCCATATAGCCACCATGCATGAGCCGGAGCGACTTTCCGGCCTCCATTGCACCACTCTTCTCCAACTCTTCACCAGTGGCACGCCAAATTTCATTAAGCTGAAGCGTTTCCCATGCGCGCTCCATATCGCGAGTCTTGGGCCCTGCAAAGACAGTCGCGGATACGAGATCCAACGGTGTCTTTTCATATATCACGCTTTTCATGGCAGGAGCTAGTAAGACGAGATGTTGTAGTTAGGCACAATATTCGAGCAACAGACTGGGAAAATAGGGTATGGCATACTATATGGGATTTCCGGGCAATAGGATTTGAGTCCTTACACCTTATTCCACGTCCCTATAACCACAAGCAGATTGACCAGCAGCACGAGGATATTGGAACCAAAAAGGCTGAAAGATTGCAAGATGCGCCATATAGAGGAAGTTTTCGCCTTGCGATATGTCGGCAAGGGAAATGCATCTTGGGCCACTTTAGTGTATTGTTGAGATTTGGCGAAGACCATGCTGGCTGAGTGTCTGTCTCTGATTGCGGTTTTTTCTGATCTGCCTTTTTTCTCTGTCTAGGTGAAAAAGACAGAATTATTGGAGTATATGGGGTCGGGTCAGCTGACCCCCTCCCTTTGTCAGCGCTTGCATGTCTTTAGCTAGATCTCTCTCTCTCTTTCTCTTTCTCTCCTCCATACCTCTCGGAATACAGATCTTGTCCCTTTCTTCTGTTTCCACGCTACTATGTAGCCCTTTCTTCCCCTGGACAGCAGATCAGCTGCCGACAAGAATGAAGACGATGAGGGAGTGAGTCAAGTCGCAGGTTCAAGCGGGGCACTGATGGCTAGACATCAACCCTTCGCCGAATCGTATCGTCAATTGTTGTTATCGCTGCAGTAAGACAATTGAATGTCAAAGCGCCCAACGAGCAAGTTTTCTTATCATGCAGAAAGTGTGATATGTCGTTTTAGCGACAGTACGTGCTTGACGGATTAACGTGCATAAAGCGGGGACCTCAATGAAGACCACATGATGTTATAATATCACTGACACCACCTACAGTATGATCTACGGTATGATCGACTGAAAGATCTGCAGTATTATATACGGTACTTATGTGTAAGACGGATCGATATTACTAGCTTGTGTTAGTTATATTCAGCAACCGCAGAACCAAGGCACTTGACCGACACAGTGAAGCTCACAGAGCTGAGTAAGCCTCGTAAGGTCAGAATTATCAGGTATCTCCAGACGATATCTTGAGACTGACCCCGTCCGATTGGTCAGATACCCAATACCAGTCAATACCCTTAAATCCTAGAACCGACTGCAGTTGATCTGTTGGATACTCGATGTATGGTACGGTTACGGTGTATCAAGTTTGTTATGTGTATTACCACGAAACTTAAACCGCAATAGTTAGGGATGTTGTAATTACGAAATTGGCCAACTCATTACGAAATCTTGAAATTTCATTTCATTTTCTCGTTTCAATTACATTTCAAGGGGCTGGCGTCTGCTGAGTCATCAGAAGCGGTAACCTATTATAGCCAATAAAGGCCTATACTTCATTTTTCTGCCATTGTCTTCATCAAGTATGCTGTAGCTCGTGGCAACAGGTGGAAGAATATATATCTTTGGCTTGTTTAGAATACTCTCAAGGTCTCACCCCTTCCTAGCACCCTCACCTTCGAAATGGCTCCTAATCATCCTTGCGGAAAGGTTTCCTACTCAGAGCTCGAGCTTCAGAGATGCTTCAAAATCATACAGGGTGATAAAAAGGTAAGAACTAATTCATAAACTTATCCTCTACTCCCCTAATTGCAGCTTCTTCAGGTGCCTCAAGCACAATGTCTTGGATGCTTGAAGACTCGCGCCAAAAATACTACACGCCAGAGTGAGCATGTTAATAAATGCACAAAAGCACAGGCTCTGATGGATCCCAAGACCGCCGCAGAGAAGAAACAGAAATTGCTAAGTTTCTCTACATCTCAGCCAGCCAGAAGCATTGATCAGCTAATCGCTCAGGTCTGTTTCACCGGGGCTAGACCATTCAACCTTTTCGAACAGCAAGAAATGCGAGAACTTATCCATGCGTTAAGCCCGACGTATCAAATTCCTTCCCGCCAACGAGTCGCCGATGACCTGCTGGATGAAGCATATAATGAACTACTAGAGAAGGTTATTAAAGAGTTACGGAGAACTGAGTTCTTAAATGTCACAGTGGATGAGACCACTAACATTAGATCTCAACGGGTGATAGTGATGACTATAACAACGCCGATAAAGTCATGGTTTGTCTACTTGAATGATATGGAAGACAAGACTCTTGATGCTCCTGCTATTAGTGGTTGGATCTTGAATAGTCTCAAATGTCTCCTACTACAACTGGATACAACGATTGACTGGAAAAGAATTAATTCTATCTCGACAGACACATGTTCTGTCATGAAATCGGTCTGGGAGAAGCTAGAGAACACACCAGAGCTCAAACACTGCTTTATGATTCCCTGTGACTCTCACGGCCTACAGTTAATCATGAAGGATATTGTTGATGCTAAGGGTTCGAAGGTTCCACGGGCTGCGGAGGTATTTAAGTCGGCCCTTGAAATAGTCGTCTTCTTCCACCACTCACCACTCGAGTACGCAAGGATGCAAGGAAAGCAGATTGAGAAGTGGGGATATAGGAAGGCTCTTATTGCGTCAGTCATTACAAGATGGGGAACGCAATATAATATGCTCTCCTCGCTCCACGACTGCCAAGAAGCTATCTGTGAGTGGACACTTATCACTCCTGCTACCTCGACTGCTAGGGGGAGGGAGATTATTCGGATAGCGAACTCGCATTCGTTCTGGTGGCAACTAAAGGAGTTGATTAAAATCCTTAAGCCTCTACATGTTGCCCAAAAAGAGTCCGAAGCTCGGAACTCGTCGATTATGGAGGTAACGCAGCGATGGCTAGATCTCCATGAAGATCTACGAACATTGGCTTCCCAAACATCTCTTAAGGACGATTTCTTGTCCTATTTGGATGGCATAGGCTGGCAAAGTCGAATACTACGTCAGCTTGAGCCTATCCACTGGGTAGCCTATCATCTTGATCCCGCTAGAGTCCCTGGGAAAGTTGACCAGAGCTCTCGTAATTATATCGGTGTGCTACGGCCTCTACAGAACAACGACAAAAGCTCTTCCGCTTGGCATGAATTTCTGTCATTCAGGCAGAGAACGGGCGCTTTTTATAATGCCTCCTGCTGGAAGGCCCAGAGCCCGTCTCTCTTTTGGCTTGAGGCAGTACGTTATACTATCAACGATTAAAACGAAGGACTTACTTACGATATGCTTATACAGGAGGACTTTGCTCCGCTTCTTGCACCCTTTGCTCGTCGACTCTGCAATACTGTGGCAAATTCAGCGGCAGCGGAGAGAGCCTTTTCACAGATGAACCTTCAGCATACAAAAGTCCGAAATAGGCTCGAGCCCCACCGCGTTGAAAAACTGCTCTTCGTGCAGATCAATAAACGACAATTCCGGACAGAACGGCCTCCCGAAGTTGCGCAAGAATCACTCCTTCAAGAAGAGGATAACGAGATAGAGAGGGTTTTGCAGCGAAACCAAGTGCTAGACGATCTATCAGGGGGCTCATATCAACTACTAGAGCAACCACCGGAGCAACCACTAGAGCAACCGCCAGAGCAACCGCCAGAGCAACCGCCAGAGCAACCGCCAGAGCAACCGCCAGAGCAACCGCCAGAGCAACCGCCAGAGCAACCGCCAGAGCAACCGCCAGAGCAACCGCCAGAGCAACCGCCAGAGCAACCGCCAGAGCAACCGCCAGAGCAACCGCCAGAGCAACCACCAGAGCAACCACCAGAGCAACCAACAGAGCAATCACCAACGTCTGCCCTGGTTTTAGCATTGAATTCAGCTTTGACTTCAGCTTCAGAATCAACAAATCCTGCCCTCATTTCTGCGTTGAAGTCGAGGCTTAACTCCTTGTTGAAGCCAACTTCGGAGCCTCCCCTTAGTCCTTCAACGAAACCCACAACAAATTCAGATTCAGCTCATCTTATGCGGACGAGGTCGAAGCGTGTATCTGAATGGCCTCAAGGAGTTCCAGATGATTCCAAGCGGCCAACTCGGCGACGGCGGGGGATAGATGACACATGATGTCTATGTCACGTGCTTTACGTTCGACTGTTTTGATTGGAAGAATGGAAGATAATCATTACCACTTTGGGACTAGCTAGATTTCAAGATTTCAAGCCCCATTTCAAATTACATTTCAAGCAGCCAAATTTCAGGAATTTCGAAATTTTGAAATTTCATTTTGACATCCCTAGTACATACTAGTACCTGTAATTTCTGCAGTACAAGATTCCCTTGAGTATTCAAGAAACTAGTTTTACTAGTCAACTTGGCGTTTTGGCAAGTATTTAAAGTATAAATGGGTACATCATGACAGATAGAAATCATAGATTGAAATTATAACATCTACCTCAATTCATGGGCCTATAGCGCACATCTGCCTTGCAAACATGTCTGTCCCGCTCCTCGACGTTACCAAGTTTACCTCTGGCACACCTGCCGAACGTGGCCAGTTCTGCCAGGCTCTTGTGGCCAGCTTCCAACGCTATGGATTCGTGCGGCCTGTGAACCATAGCATTCTAGAGCACGTCATTGTTGATATGTTCACCCGCTCGACCAATTTCTTTCAGCTATCACCCGCCCGCAAGATGGCCATGGCCCATCCTCGCGATCCTAAGCCCCAGCGTGGATGGAGTCGCGTCGGCGAAAAACGCACCGCCAAGTTATTTCGGCACGGCGCGAGTGGATGCGACGATATGATTGATGCTCGCGAGCACTTCGACCAAGGCTCCCCATTGGACCAGGAATGGCCCAATCTCTATCCCTCTGAGGACGATGTGCCTGGTTTTCGCACCACTATGGAGACTTTCTACTCCAGTTCCCACGCAGTTGCTCAAATTCTCATCTTGCCCGCACTGGAAGAGGGTCTTGGACTAGAGTCAGGTGTGCTGACGGGTCAGTGTCACGGACCGCACAGTGAATTGGTCTAAATCACTACCCATCCATGCGCCTGGGAGACTTGCGCGGTGGTAGTATCAGTCGTATTCACCCGCATACTGACCTGGGCGTGGTGACCTGCTTGTTTCAGCATTGAGGGGTTGGCGGCCTCGAGGCTCGAGACTACGAGACGGGTGATTGGGTGCCGCTGGCCACCGGGTCTATCTTCGAGATGATTGTGAACATTAGCGAAACCTTGGAACGCTGGACCAATGGTCAAGTGCGAGCGGGAGTGCATCAAGTTACCGTTCTTCCAGCCCTTCAGGGTGAGCTAGAAGATGAGAAGTTAGTACCAGAACGCTTTTCTACAGCTTTCTTCCTCAAAACAGACCGGAATGCCTGCGTGGGAGCCTTGCGATCCTTCGTGTCGGAGCAGTGTCCGGAGCCGTCATGTCCTCAAACTTCCGCGGACACTGCTCCGACACGAAGGATCTACTGCAACATCATTGATCTTTGAAGCTGTCGCTTTTCCAGCATAGTAATCCGGTCGAAGATTCTTGCGCAGTGCATTGAGACAGTGCAGCTGGTGAAATACATCCAGACCAACTATCGCTGTGCCAGTACCTGCCACGGGGATGGAATTCTCGGGGATAGGAGCAGCTTCCCGGATAGGGATCTGAGCAAATAAAGTCGGCTCCCAGAGGGCCTCCCATGCGGCGTCAGACTCGTCATCGGGTGGACCGAAATATATTGAACTGCAGCGATGGTTTAGTTATACAGAATAAGCATGAGCTGAATCAATGACACGACTTGCTCATTACGAGAAAATCCTCGATTGAACCTTACGGTCTCATATTGGATAACGTGGTAGGCAGGAGAGTACACAGTTGATGGCCATGTGGGCAAAAGCGACTGAAATCGACTTCTCTGTAGAGCTGCGATGGCAGTGATAGCTACCACGAGCACGATATTGACGATTGTTGAGAAATGGGCCCATAGTTTGAGGGACTGTCTCGACTGACCTTCAGTGGCATTGATTCGGCATCGCCGACCAAAGAGTACTGATGACTATATTCCCTGGGAAACTTCATTTTCGAACATGTGTGGACAAAAAAAATATAACCAGTTTGGGGGTGGTTTGGGAGGGAGACCTCGCCAACGTAATAATTTACGGCTGGTGTTTGAACTGTAAAATCCTACACTTGGACATGAATCGGTGGAGGTCGCCGTATTAGTATGTGTACGGCATGTCATACGATACGGAACACTAGTACAGACCTCTGTAATGATATAGTGGTATTATGATACGGCAGTACGGCAGTTTGCGGTATACGGTATGGTATGTATTAGTACAATTATCATGATAGTGGTATTGAGGTATGTATGAAACAGGCCAATGTCAACGTCTGTCAAAGCTTATCTCGCACGTATTAGTACGTTAAGTCTTTACTGATTGGAATTTCGTTATCACCACTGTACTAATTTGGCTAGAAACTCCTGATATAACCAAACCGGCGCAAATTACCTGGTTTCTTGGCGGCGTATCGATGAATAATACGATAAAGATCAATGCACTGTAGCATGCGATGCAGAGCAGGCTGCAGTAATGGCGGATATCATTTTCCCATCTTTGGCCGCAGCCCCAGATCAACGGGTACATTTCTACAGTGAGCCTTGTCAGCCTTGCTGCAGCAGATCCTCGAGACCCACCTACATAGTGCGATACTTTGGAGTATAAAGCCGTCAGATCGTCGGATTGTCATTGGGACACATTTTCATACTAGACGGCAGAAGACAGAAAATCATACATTGCTCAGGCTTTTAAACTAAACTCAATTAGGTCGTTCCTCCGTAATATGAAGCTATCCTGACGCTATGAAATGCTCACTGCTGAAGGTTTTGGGGGTGGAGACCTCATAATCGGGAATTACCCATGGGTGGGTCGCCCGGGTCGTCAGCCCCGGGGGCGGGGCTAACGTTTGCCTGCAAGGGATCTAGACTTCGGGAGACCTAAGTAGGAGTAGCCTGTACTACGTAGCACTAGAAGAGCAGATCTGATTGTCGAATTCGTAGTGTTCTGTCTGCGCACCTATGTGGCGTAATCACATTACACTGTTCGTCTTGCCTATGAGCGATCTTGAGCACGCAGTGAGCAACCCATCGTACAGTACTCATTAATCACTCAGTGAGTGAGTATCACTGAGCGCCCATTCGACACATATATATGTATATTGCACGTGATGATACTGAGCTGCTCAATGAGCCTGACTCTGAGCGCCCTCATAAAAGCGGCGGCAGCTCAGGTAGGAAAGCCCCACCCGGGATAAGAAAAATACTACTTAGAGCTCCTAGGTAGATGGCTTTCCCCAGTCTTGATACCTTACTTCAAATGCTTGATTCTTTTTTATGTTCCTAGCTTGCAATATCCGGAGCCTCTTGGCATTTCCAAGAGCCAAGAACATTAGCTTCGGTCACATGTGCATAAGCATCCGCAATAAGTCTCGGTTCGAAATGGTGAGTAAGTGGGGGCAGTTTGGAGGTTACAGCGCGTGGTAAGAGTCTATGCGGGGAACCTACATGGTCTCTGAGACGACGGCTACAAACGAAAACTATTTTTTTTGAACAGAGTGATGATATCTGACATTAGTCCTCTGGGTTACGCCTTGTTCTATATGTTGGCCCATCAGTACCTTGGTATAATGCTGATATTCTCCACTACCGGCCTATGTTCGAGATATCACAGTTTCATGATTTCACAGTTAGTATAGAGGGATTAAGGACTCGTGGCATCTAGCACCTCAAGGTCCTCGGGTCATCCGGCGACTTTTCCTGCATGTTAGGACCCTCTGGCGGCAACACCAACGAAAATTTATTCCGGCTTTGCTGTCACCAGTGATGCCAGTAATGCCATATATGATGAAGGCTTCCCGGACGATCATTCGCTTTGCTATAAAACTGGTGACGGCCGCGAGTCTACTATCGAGGGTGACTGCTGGAGTACCCCACGCAAGTTCAAGTGGAAGTCCGACTTTGCCGGCCGCCCTGATACCTGGGAAGTCAAGGATGGTGACCTTGGTACTGGCCAGGGACAAACCGATACTACCTTTATTGGTATCGCTATTGGTGAAGATGCTAGCTGTGTTGTGAGGTTCGATCCTGAAAGTGATGGATTCCCTGTTGATGATGATAACGGCCCTTGTCATGTTACCTCAGGTTGATTGGCATCATGAATTACCGAAAGGGATATTTTGTACGTGTTGAAACTTGATTTTGTATCTAGACCGTTTATCTATGTTGTGAAGAGATAAGATGGGGTAGCAAGTTTATGACGTAAGATCGCTCGGATCATTACTTCTTCCATCCATTTTACCCCATCGTTGACAGTCAACCAATTGTCCCACGTCATGTCAATATGCCCCCGTTGAGACCGCACCATAAATCTCGAAATGGCTGTGATCGGTGCCGCGAGAGGCGGGTCAAGTGCGATGAAAAAGGCCCGCCATGCTCTAATTGCACAAGTCGCCAGCTGAACTGCACATATTTGAAAGTTGCAGCGGCACGTAGCCAGACTGCCAAGCCCCGACCATCCAAATATCAAACCGCGCGCTCGAGTGACAGCTCCGCGCGATCGCAAAATAGCGTCTCTTCGCCAGTGTCAAATTGTTCCCTTTCCACTCAACAGGAAATCGATAATTTAGAATTAATGCATCAATTCTCTACTGACACGTACAAAAGTCTATGTGTGAGCGATTCCGAGAATGCCACCTGGCAAACTACCATCCCTCGCTTGGCACTCAAATACCACTACCTGCTGGACGGTATTATGGCTCTGGCTTCAATGCATTTAGCCACATTCGCCGAACCCGCTGAGGCTCTCATCTACCAGGAGAGGGGTCTTCAATACTATAATCGGAGTCTCAGTCCATTTCGGCACGCTATTGACAACATCACTCCGGAAAACTGCGATGCAGTGTTTGCGCACTCGATCGTTATGATCGCGATCAGTATTGCTTCGCCTCGTCTCACTGCCACAAAAGACGAGAGCTCATGCATCACGGCGAACATTGTTGTATTGTTTGAGTTGCTGCAGGGCGTCAAGAAAATTTTGGCAGTTACCAAACCATGGGTCAAGATCGAGCTGTTTACCCAAGGTGAATTTTGGAAAAAGACGACTACTGAGCTCAACGCCGATGAAGATGCTGCTCTGGCCCATGTGGCTTCGTTAAATGATCTTGTTATGACGGGGGTATACTCAAAACAGCACGATATTTACAAGAATGTTTTATCGCATTTACGACACTGTTATGCGAAATTCGCACGTTCACCGGACCCAGCTCCTGTCATGGCTTGGCTTGCGGCGGTTGATAAGGATTTTGTGGATAGTGTGAGATGCCGACAGCATTTTTCACTGTTAATACTAATGTATTGGGGCGTTTTACTTGGGAAATTGGAAGGAAAAAGGTGGTGGGCTAATAATGCAGGGAAAGCATTGGTCTCCGAGTTACTGGAGGCTTTACAGGATGGTGATTCTCGGTGGGAGAAAGCTCTCTCATGGGTTCAATCACAAATGCCGTTATGAGCTTCGCTTTTGAGTTATCGTTTAATATTTCAATAGAGTTTCTTTCCCAGGGGTGGCAGGGATCATATTGTGACAAAGAACTACAGAATTGAAATCTATAGACTCGAAGCCAATAGAATGTGCATCAGGCCAGCTTTCTTTCAGAGAATGATCAAGAGACCAAAAATAGATTTGAATGTAGATGTCACTTAGGTACAAAAACCGGAAAGTCTTCATATATATAGGCTAGAGATACTGCTTCGCTCCTGCCCATATTGCATGATAATTGCGCAATGGAAATCTCATTACCCTTTCCAAAAAAAAACACACCCAGCGTGATCGAGTCGGCGGCACCATAATTACACAGTCAATTTCGATAGTCTCGTTTGCCATATACTACTAAACAAATGTCCCCAACGAACAGTGCCGAAAAATCCTCCTCTGACCCCTCAGTCCCATGGTCCAAAATCCTATCATAATAGAACCATCCACATGATCACCCTGATTATAATTGCCTAGTCCCAGGAATCAAAGCCACTCAAATTCACATGTTCCGAAATGACAACCGATCTCCTAAGCTCAGGCAGACTGCTAAGCGAGTTTCTCGGCACAATCTTGATTTTCGAAATGCTTTTATGCACAGGGCATCGCCTGATGCATCATCCGAGTGTCTACAAAGTAATTCATGAGCATCACCACAGCTTTGAATAAGACCATTTGAAACAAGTCTCGTTTGCGGTGTTTTAAGCTCATCCTATTAAGGTGATGTTTGAGTATAGTCTTGCTATAGTTGCTGCGGCTGTGCGACGTAGTCGTGCTGTTTAATTTTGGTTATCTAGGGTTATTGTTACTTCGTCTTCGATGTATATGTATACGGGAGAAGTTATCGTTGGTATTATATCGCATGATGGTCATCGCGTACTTACGTGTTTCAATTTTGGAGCGCTTGGGATGGTAGATTGGGATTTCGGGACATTGTATACCCCTAGTGATCTTTCTGGGCTGTTAAGGAGGGGATTAATGAATTCAATGGCATCTTTACGAATAATTAGCTCAAAGTAGTGGATTTAACCGGTTTCACTCGGACTTAATGGATTACATGTGAGCCGTGCCAAGCAAACCTTAAGCGGGACGGACTTAAGCAACATCAGCGGTAAGCGATAAGCTGATCCATATCCTTTCATTTTTGTGGACACAGCACTTGATGACAGAGCTGACAGTCATGGACACTTCACAAGAGATAGCGCAGTCGAACCCTAACCCCGATGAGGCCATTGACAATTGGACGGGCATTACTGACCTGGCTGAGCGGCGAAGACGCCAGAACCGAATTAATCAGAGAGCATACAGTATGTGTTTAACGCCACCGCGTGAAACTTCGATGCTGAAGGAAATTAGGACAACGCCGGCGGCAGGCAGACAAGGCTATCCCTCCAAAGAGTAAAGTCACATCCCAGTCTAGCACGATAGTACGATCTGGAGCTAGTTTTCCCGGAGAAAGCATTTCGGAAAGTTCATTCAAGAAAAAAAGCACTAGCTTTCTCGAGCTTAGGCTCATTCAAATACTGTTCAATCAGTTCGAGCGATATCCTCTCGGAGATCCCCTCTCCGACCATCTCATGACACTGACCAGGGTCAACGTCTTCCGAGCATATGGGCTTAACTTGGAAAGTATCGGACTCAACTTGGATGATATGACCGACGACGCTATATCGCCTTTTAATCTCGCCTCGGGTCCCGAGGTGTTATTATCCCATGATAATGTTGAGACGCCTCTCAGCCTCCGGCCGACCAAGATTCAAAGAACGGTGCCCCATCACCCTTGGCTTGACTTCTTCCCATTACCAAAAATGCGTGACAATTTGATTGAAGCCGGTGATGACTGGGATGACTGTGAGCTTTGCAATGATATCATGGGTTTTTGAAATTCTCCAACTGCTGGTAATGCTGGGCTACTGGTGTGGGGAGAGCCTTGGGATGTACAAAATTGGGAGCTCACAGAGGAATTCTTGAAGAAGTGGCATTGGACTGTGAGAGGTTGTCCTGAGCTGATCAATTCAACCAATGCATGGCGAGCGAAGCGGGGTGAAAAATTAATATTCCGTTGCGTTTGAAGATAAATGCATAGGACTCGTATCTTATTCACTCTTTCTATCCATGCACATAAAACCTCGCAATTCGAATTTGCAAGAATCTGCGTTTCTTTAAAGGTTGTGCCAGAGCTTCAATAATACACATGATGGCGATCTGCCCCAGTATTCGGTAATTGTAGCCTGAAGTTGACTTCCGTTTAATTTTGCGGTGACCCTGCACCCACGTAACTTCATGCTTTTCTTCCTCACAAGGAGCGATCTTTTCAGGTCAAATAATGCCCAAGGTATTCCTAAATAATTCCCAAATATTTAGATAGTCCTCCTCAACTTTAAATATCCATGTAGGTTTGGACGGAGGTAACCGGACCCAAGCTGTCATCCGGGTCATCAATATATACACATGTATCTCCACCCGGATTTATAGATAACGGTTTTAAGAAATACCTAGTAAATAAAGCTGTAGAAAGTACTCTCTTGATTCTTGTACCCGCGCAAGCATTTTAAAATAATTTCTCTCTCATTTCAATTGAATTCATGGCTACCAAGTACGAAGCTGTACACCAACAGCCTAACGGTCCCGGCGATGCTCGGCCCACGGCATCCCAGATTATTGAAGACGAGCAACTTAACGGGCAATGGCCCGACAAAACAGTGCTGATTACCGGCTGCTCGTCAGGAAATGGTATCGAGACAGCCAAAGCAATTTTCAAAAGCGGTGCTACGATTTATGTCACCGCGCGCGATGTTAACAAGGCCAAATCAGCCCTCGGCTCATTCCTTGATAGTGACCGCGTCCACCTGCTCGAGCTCGACCTAGAGTCTCTGGCTAGCGTTCGCAGATGTGCGGAAACTTTTCTTACCTTGTCTGGTCGTTTGAATATCCTCATCAACAACGCGGGTGTCATGGCTACCCCCGAAGGAAGAACAATGGACGGATTCGAAACTCAATTCGGAACCAATCACCTTGCCCAATTTTTGCTCATTCAACTTCTACTTCCTGTTCTCCAGAAGTCATCGACATCGGAGCTACAATCGAGGGTTGTCATCTTGTCCTCCGTTGGTCACCGTGATGGTGAGGTCAACTTCGAGAACCTCAATTTGGAGGCCGAGTATGATCCGTGGAAGGCTTATGCTCAGAGCAAGACTGCCAACGTCTGGACTTCCAACGAGCTTGAACGTCGCTTTGGTTCAAAAGGTGTCCATTCCTTGAGTGTTCATCCTGGTGGTATCATGACTGGTCTTACGAAGCACCTTTCGAATGAGCAACTGCAAGCCTTGGGATCTGATCCCCGCTTGGCGAAGATTTTAAAGACCCCCGAACAGGGGGCAGCTACCACTGTTTGGGCAGCAACCGCGAGGATATTGGAAGGTCAAGGAGGTATGTATCTCGAGAATTGCCAGATTTCGAAGACTGTGAAGGCCAATGCCACACAAGTCGACCCAGGATATTCAACCTGGGCTTATGATGAGCAGAAGGCGACACGGTTATGGAACAAGTCTTTGGAGCTTGTAAAGCTAGTTTGATCTTGAAGAAGGGCCCAGGTCTTTGTCCCTGATGCTGCACCTCTGAATGTGTTTCCGTATTGGCTTGGTGACTGGATAATCATGTACATAGTATAAATTCATACAGAGATTTTTTCAAATAGAAAGTATTTGCATTAAATACATCTCTACTATTAAGTTCAAAAGTCAATGTTTGAAGATCATGATAGCGGGTCATGTGACCCGTATCCGGGCGAACCAAGTGTTTACTAAAAGTTTCCTGCCGTTTTTTGTTGCTTGACTCGAGCTCTGCCCCATCTCCGGGACAATTTGATCGTCTTCACCACTTCATCCATACCATTATTCTAGCTTATTGGAAAGTTTACCTTTCGCCATGGAGTACCACGCCGTCCCTCCAGAGGAACGCGCTAGAGATGAACAGGGCAACCTTCTGCCCTGGGGTTACGTTTACAAAGAGTAAGTAGGATAGCGTTCCAGATCGCAAACCTTTTGAATTGGCATATGCTAATAAACCCAGTGAATCACGCAACCCCCGCCGACCACCAGAGGAATCAGGACCCTTCGGCAAGAGAAGAAACGCACGATATGAGCATGCTCGATCTCGAACAAGAACAGGCACCCCGGCCAAGCGCGAGAATCCCAATGTCGCCGAGTTCGGCCGTTTATTCGCCCAACAAGCCGATGAAGAGAAAATCCACGGCCTCCCAAAGTCAAACTCATCCTCCAGCCTAGACAACCCACGCAAGCAAACAGAAAAGGTCGCGACCGAATGCTTCCTGTATGGGTACAAGGCCAAGGACAGCGAGTGGAAGGTCATCGACAAGTACGAGCGCATTTCACAAGGCATTATCTGCGAAGATTATCCACGCAGCGACCCGAATTCTACATCCCAGTATGCACAGCTACTGAGCGGCGGCGACGTTGTCATCCGCGCGAATCTATCCGCCGATGCGAACCGGAAGTCTAAGCGCTACGCTGGCGGTTTCCATTGGATCAAGATCACCTTTGACTCTTCCCAGGCTGCCGATCGCGCCTGCTTCTACTCACCACAGGAGGTCGATGGCCACCTCGTCTTCTGTGAGCTGTATCATGGCCACGGACCCGCCGAGGACTCGGCAATCCCCGCAGACTCATCGGCAGACTCAACCCTTCGCTCTCGTGCGCCGCGCACCCTGACCTCCACACAATCCACCTCCTTCCTGTCTAGCATGGACCAAGACCGCCACACCTTGCCACGGTCTTTCGCTATGAATAACCTCTCCAGTGTCAGGGACGCCCCCGAAGCAGAAGAGGCGGAGTCATTTGACTCGTCCACTGCAACATGTACTACTGGCACTGTGACAGGAACCACCATCACCGCCACTGGTGTCTCCACGGGTCTTGATCGTTCTTCATCGCTGACCCAGCGCAATGTTCCGACTCCCGTGGAGCCGAAGCCCGAATCCGAATACATGACACATATTCCTACTGTTCGACGTACGAAGCTACGCCCTCTCGCCGAGGCCCTCCCACCTCAACCCACAGTCACCGAGCGCGTGCTACGATCTATTCCCATCCTGAGCTGGTTCACTGGTGATATTGTGGGTGATGGACCACAGTTCCGGGAAGACGGCGCCTTTGATTACGAGAAGTCGAACTCCTACTGGCGATTTTGGTACATGGTGGACAAGGTTCTTGGCACTGATATCTGCGGATTGAAGGAGGATTCTTGAATGACTGTGACTGCATTGCAGACCACTGTATACGGATCCATACTCCAGGTATGATGACAGGATCCAGCAATGAGCATCTACCAGGTGAGGATCCTGTTTGTTGGCTAGGGAACAAAGTGCATTACTAGGCGTCGTGGTTGATTTTTGGTGTATGATAGTCCTTGGGTATTTGACGTAGACATTATGAACCGTCCGACAAGGACTCTTTTCACGCTTCCACATCCAGCTCTACAACCCTCCAAACGTGCATATGTAGTCCCTCTAGCATACAACATATCCTAAAGTAATGTATTCCTACATCACTAGTGAATCGCACCCATGAGTCCATCATACGAAAGCGGAAACCAAATAAGAAAAAAAAACCTTGAAGCAACCGACTGGAACCGGATGAATGAATACATTTCATTGATCATAGTTGATCATAGACCAAAATTTTTGCAACGTTACTCTATTTATTCGGCCTTGCTCTCGAAGTTCTCGCCCTCAACAAGCTCGGGGATATCATCCTCGTCATCGTTCTTGTCACCACCCTGAGCCTTCTGCATGTTCTGGTAGCTCTCGGCGAGCTTGCGGAGGGAGGCAAGGGAGTCGGGACCCAGCTGGTTCAGGATACCGGGAACGAGCTCAGTGAGCTCCTTCTCCTCGCCGTTACCGTAGAGGGCGAAGGTGTTGGAGGGGACGGCTCCGTGGACTGATAGAACATGTCAGTTTTGCTTGGGTTCGGACAGATTCTTGTTCGCTCTCGCGCTATGCGGGGTGGCGGGTGGGTTGGGTGAGCTTACCGCGGGGGTTGGCGAAGTGGATGACGTTGCCGTCCTCCTTGAACATGTTGACCTCCTCAATTCCCTGGATGGGCTGGACGTTCATCTTCTTGAGGGTGGCCTGCAGCTTCTTGTCATCGGCACCGGAGTTGCGGACGACCTTCTTGACCTTGCGGCGGGGAGTACCCTTGCCTCTGTGAGAATGTTAGTTGGGTGTGTCTGCGAGAATGCTGGGGTTGCGGTGCGGTTTTGGTGGTGGATTGGTGGTGGTGATCGGTCGGCATGGATTCGTGCGGGCCGCAAGATCCCAATGTTGGTGAAAATCCGAGTCGCGTCGTTCCCAATCAAAAAGTACACAAGTACAAAATGCACGTAATCTCCAAAAAATTCGGTACAGGGATGATAGATGGCAAGATCGAGGCGTGGGAATTGTCGTCACACGAATCCATGGACCGAAAGACCGAGACCGGGATGGAGGGGTCGGGTAAGAGATCTTGGTTTAGAGATTATACGTACCCTGTAAGATGAAAGTCAGCAAGTCTGCACCAAATGGATTGTAAAGATTTCGAGGTATCAATGGCAGTCAAAGGACGTAAGATGATCGGGGGACGAAGTTCTGGCGCATATCTCCTCATGCCCACCAGCTCACAGCTTCATCGCAGCATCGACTCGTATCACCCCAAACAGTCCAACAGTCCCGCGAAAGGATTTCACGTACCAATGCGAACGCTCGCCTGCATTCTAGCCAACTTTGCTTGATCCATGGTGATTGTGAGGGGGGTGGTCTTCTGAAGCGTCAAGCGGGTTAGCCGATGATCCCCGACAAACAGCGGGGAAAGAGCGAGCAAGCGATAGTCTCTTAAGGATAGGAGGACGCAGGTTTGAAATTCGATAGAAATTCCGGACGCAATTAGGGGGTTGGTGGTGTTCTTACCGGTAAAGAAGGTTAGGTGGTAGAGGTGTGTAATCGGATTCAAGTTCGAGAGGGAAAGATGATGATGCACTATGGAGAGTTTTGTGTGGGGAGTTACAAAAACGGAAGATTCGCTAATGCGCCACTATTAAACTCCGCTTTATTTCTATTTTTCTACATACCGGCTTATTTATTCCAACAACATTATCATTTAAGTATCTAGATGATTCTAAGTGAAGTTGTTTGGTTTTGTCAGTCTGTTGGAATTGATTGTGGGCGAACATAAAAACTGAAGCTCGGCTAAACCCTAAGTATATCTCCCACCGCCCTGGGGAGAGCTGCCGGGTCAATGCGCAAATACAGACAGCTTCCAATTGATCCATGGATTTGTCCCGCCAGACTACATATCTGATAATCTCATAACCTGATAACCTGCTATTTCGCTGTACAGTTTCACTGGCGAGGGGCCTCTTAGCATTTTGAAGAGCAAGTATTTGGCTTAAAGATGAAGAAATGCATGATCCTTGGTCGCGCAAAGCTGCATATGCGCATACAGCATCAGTTCGCAGAGGCACCGATTCTACCGGGGTCCAAGTCTAAGGCCATGCTTTGGATAGAAGACCCTAAGAAACTGGTCTTATACGTTACGTAGAGATAGGCTTGAGGCGGACCGCATTAACATCATCCAGACGGTTACTTTACCGGTTATGCCCTTAAGCTCAGGTTGGAAGCAAACAGCACAGATAATTTTAACTCGAGAGCGATCCGTAATCAATTGCTTCAGTGATTGAACTAGAGTAGGAGTCACGAGAAAATCAAGCAAAAATTCATCACAAATACTGCATATGCCAGGTTCAGACTTCACCACATGATATGTTGTGACTTCCCAGGTTGGAACCTTATGTAGTCATATTATAATCTCTTCATTCTGACGTAATATCTACTAGTCTTATGCGACTCTTAGCATATATTCCTATCATTGGAAGGTGATAGGAACAAGTGAAGGACTTGATTCAAGTGCTCATCTTTGAGAAGCGGGGCAGTGGATCTATAGAACCTGATGAATAAAGCTTCAAGCTTCAGTCACAATTGATTGCCAGTTTAGTCTACTATAGTGTAATCAATAATCAACATTAATGATCGCTCTCTTATCCCACAAGTTGAAATAGTCACGCCAATTATGCTTCTCCTTAAATCCAAGCATCTGCTTTATTTTCGCATTCGTCAACGGCGCCTCAAACTCTCCCATCTCCCGCGTAACAGGCGTATCGGGATAAAACTCCCGCAACAACTCCATAGTAGGCCTCAGGTTCGTAATCGTATCATTCGTCGCATTGAAAACTTGAAATCCCAATCCATCCTTCCGCAAACCCGCCTCACACATCCCACCCAGATCCCGCGAATCAAGATACGCCCACCCATGCACCTTCCAGCGCTCCGGCTCATGCACATAACTGTAGAAGATCTCCTGGTTGTACTCCTCCGGCCCAATCACATGTCCAATCCGGAGAACATAAATATCAGCCCCAAATCGGGCTGCAAAGCCGCGTGCCACACGCTCGCAGCATAGTTTCGCGATCGCGTATGTGTCCGTTGGGCAGACGTCCTGGTCTTCTTCGATTGGGAAGGAGGGATAGTTCACGTCGCCTTGAGCGAATGCTACACCGTACACGGTGATGCTGCTTGCGATGATAAGCTTGCGGATTCCGAGCTTGCATGCTGCTTCGCAGATGTTGTATGTGCCTTGTGTGTTTGCTCGGAAGGTCTCGTTGTCTGGAACGAGCATGTTACGTGCGTAGCCCGCCATGTGGACTACGGCGTCGGGGGGTGGAGGGAGGCCTATTGGGAAGGGCTCGGTTAGTGCCCATTGGCCCGAGAGTGCATTGAAGACTTGGCCGCTGTCAACGAGGTCGGTCTTTAGGGTATGCACTCCTGCCTGGGAAGTTGGGGCAAGATCGAGATTCAGGACCGTATGTCCTGCGTTGAGGAGTTCGGTGATGATGGTTTGACCAGCTTTACCGGAGCCGCCGGTCACGATGATGCGACCCATTGTTGCGAGTGTGGCTCTGAACATCTCGCGGTCAGGAAGATAGATGATGAAAACTTTAGGCACATTTAAATCCGAGAATAATATGGATCTTCAGATGAAGGGCCGGCAAGAAGGCAAACCATTACTGCTATCAAGATCATCATGATGACATTTGCCTTCAAGCAGAGGAGATCATTTGAACACGTGAAATACCTAGAGTTGCAGCAGAACGATGTTTTAAGTAGAATGCTTGAAGTAAATAGTCTTCCTTGAGGTTTGTGGGTGTATTAAGCGAAACTACCTGATTTCGAATACTGAACACTGTATTCCATTATAAACACAAATGGATATCACTGAACTGTCATTTTGACTCCGAAAAGAGCACCACATCTTTGACAGGCCAGGGAACATAGAACAAGAAGATTTGTTATTGATTTCAGGAACTTTGCCGTATCATTGAATATCCCCAGTGTGGCTGAGCTGAGAGCTATTGATCTCGACACTTCGCTTACCCGAGCTAGAGTCGATGAGTCCGCTTATTTTATTTTATGTTTTTGACACTTTTTCATATTTTCATAATTGGTTTATCTGCCTTAATCCTGTGCTGAACCAATGTTATGACGTCTGGGCTGGCAAGAGGATTCAGTCAACAGTACGCTACCGAGCTGCTGGCTCTCTAGTCTCAACCAGGCCAAGGCCAACAAATGCATACGCTGGAATCTTGCGTGCTTGCTACTAATCTGTCTTTGTCCTTCGCCAACCAGTGGAGCAAAACTTGCGACCGTCTAGCTATGACTATAGTATACCTACTCTCTCTCTCTACCAGTACTGAAAAGCACGCCTGGGAAGTTTTGTCTGCTTTGGTTAATTTGCAGTGTCAGTCCTCGATGTATAGATTTCCAAGAAGATGTCGGCTTACTGGCCAACTTCGTGAAGACCCAGAACCCCAAATATGGATACTCCGCTAGTCATAATTGCCTTTCCGGGAAAGCATTGCTCCTTCGTGGAGCGCCTATCGATTTGGGGGTACCTGGAAAAGCATTCCGATCGCCGCCGGCCGCAAGGAGAGGAAAATCTATGGGCATCTCTATACCACTTAAGGATTTATTACATTTGGCAGTAGGCGATCAAAATCTATGGGCATCTCATCCCCCAGACGGTATCCACTGGCATTTGTACTTTCCCCGAAAAGTTGGCTATTTTTAGCTTCAACTCTAATTAATCCCTAAAAGGCTGAAGATTCCGGTGTCAATGTCAATCTTATCTTGAGGATCAGATCAAACAACACAAATTTCTCTTTTTTCACGTTCTTGTCAAGCGAGTCATTTTAGCCTCCGATCTCGCTGTGTCCTTTTTGTACACACCAGAAAATCTCCCCCTCACCCCCCTGCATGCACATGCTACTATTGATCCACCAATATTACTCCGATCGCCCCTCTGCACGAGACTGCAGCTGAGCCCCCAATTCTCCCTTTTCAAGACTTCTATTTTCACGCACTTGTGCTATTCAACTTGACAATTGCAACCTGCAACCCATCGATTCACCCGCCATGAAGTTCCTCTGTCTACACGGTGCGAGCACCAACACCGAGGTAATTACACTTCCGACGAAAAGACCCGTGCAAGACTAATAACCCCCAGATCCTTGAGATCCAAATAGGTGGCCTGAGACAAAAGCTTTCTAAAAAGGGTCACACGTTCAAATTCATGAATGGCAAATTCGTCGCGCCAGTCGAAGGGGGTACGGAATCATCTCATCCGATCTCATCTGATCTCCAAACGAAATCCCCACTCACCCCGCTCATCCCCCCAAAAAAACAAATACCAAAAACACCCATTCCCCTACTGACCATCCACACAAAAAATGAGAAAAAGGCATAATAACTAACAAGTCCTTAGAACTCGAAGGCGTAGTAGACGGCCCCTTTTACAACCACTATGACCGCGACAGAACCCCTGGATCAACAGTAACAGAAGCAATCGAGCATACCCACCGCACAATTGCCGAAGAAGGCCCATTCGACGCTGTCCTAGGCTTCTCACAAGGCGCTGCACTAGCAGCCGCAATGATCATCCAGCACGCAAAGAAGAACCCCGGCGCTCCGCCTCTCTTCCGCGTCGCTGTTTTCCTGTGTGGAGCTGCGCCATGGGAGGAATCTGGTTTGATGCAGATCAAAGCTGCACCGGATACTTACCCAATTAATATCCCCACGGCGAATGTGGTGGGGAAGTTGGATTCTATTTATGATAGTAGTATGGAGCTTTACAAGCTTTGTGAGCCTTCTAAGGCCGAGTTTTATGATCATGGGTCGAAGCATATGGTTCCGTTTGATGCGAAGAATACCGATGCCATGGTCAGGGTTATTGAGGCGGCTGTTGCGAAGGTTGTGGGGGTTTAGAATTGGTGAAGGGTGTTTGAGCTTTGAGCTGGGGATGGAGTTGCCTTTATATTCATTCTTATGCCGGGTTTGGTGGCCTGAGATTTCTATTCAATGGGCATTTCTCAAATTTGAAATACAATGTCAATTCCAGTGTCAGGGAAGGCAATTCTAGTGGGATTTCTCTGGCTGTGATGATCGGGATTGGGATCGGGATTTGGCCCAGGCCAGTGCAGCAAGTAACACTACAAGCCCAAGAACCAGCGTGAGCCCCCAGTGCAAATTCTCAGTCGTATGACCTTCGTCGATTCATAAACCAGCAGCATCCTCAGCAGGAAGACACTTCTCAAGGAACTTCTCAAGATCATCAATCTCCTGAGGATCCGCCGAGTGTCCAAGACCACTAAATTAAAACATTAGCATATCGCAACCTTCCAAAAACCAAAGGAGACATACGCATATTTGTTGAAAGAAATGTTTTCCACGCCCAAATCCTTAATCCACTTGTACGAAGTCTCACCATACTCAAACTTCACAACGCCATCATCCTGACCATGCGCCAAGAAGAACGGAGTCTCCTTGTTAGGGAAGCCCTCGGGAATGAGATTCTTGATGCGATCGCTAAGCAGCAGGTAGCACGACAGTCCGAAAACACCACCCAGCTTCTCCTTGCCTGTGATACCACTGAACAAAGACATGGCACCACCCTGCGAGAACCCACCCAGCACGATGCGCGAAGGTTTGATTCCCTTCTCAATCTCTTCCTTGATAAGGGTGTTGAAGTAGTCGCGCGAGCGCAGGATACCAGGTTCGTCCTGGGTGCGGACGGATTCTTGGATATCGAGCTATAGAAATGCAAACTTAGCGGAAGCGATCCAATGGAAGAGGGTATTGGGGTCTTACATCAGCGCCCAGCTTGGCGATATCGTACCATCCCGGCATGGCCATGCCAAAGTTCTAGAGCCATTAGCCCTGGTTTGGATCCTATCGGAGTGTTGATATTGGTCATACCACTGTGATGGGGATGTTGGGTGCATTGGGGAAGACGAAAGCCACCTCGTCGAACTTGTTGCGACGGCGCCAGTTCTGGGCGAGGGACATCCTGGATTGAGAATTCGAGTATCAATAATGTGAGTCGGGGCATTGTTCTAGGGTTTCGAGACACACCATCCTGCGCCACTGTGGTGAGAACTGGTTAGCTGCAGTCGGTCGTTGGCGGGGTGGAGACATACTTATCGCCCAGGCCGTGGGCCATGATGACCGTCGCGGTGTGCTTCTTCAGCGCAGGAACAACAAATGGAGCGCGAGTTGCCATTTTGACTGATATTGGAGGGAGATATCTACAAAGAGAGTGACTAGGAAGAATGTGAGCGCTGGCCCGGCACTTTGTTGACTCCACTATTCTGCCACCGAGGTTATTCAAAGGGATGATACACCGCCTACGCAATATGTAAGGACAATCAATATATAGATCTGAGCCGTAGATCCAGTCATCCTGCAGTTCGAGTCATGGGGACAATTTGAGAAATGGAGAGCATGATGCTAATCGGCATGTAGTTGTAATCTTTACGTCAGCAGTGAATATGAGGTTGGTGATATATCTTTAGTATGAATACATATCAACTGAGCAATTTCGATGTATTGACACCCTGACTTTAGACATCTACAGCTTGCCAGGATTCAACTATCCTCTTATATTCGTTAAATCTCCCCACTGGATATTATATACGAGCACATGTGTAGGGTGCACATACGGTGAACAATACTGATCCCAGAGATATCAATGAGCAGCACGTCGAGAATCAATGTGCAGCTTCCACAATTTAGCGTAATATCGGCTTGCTCCTTGGTAACGCCATGAGTTTTAAGACATCGCTCAACGAATTTCTCCGTTGGAATCCGCAGCAGCTGAGTGCCAGACTCATGAGGAGCAAGGTCAGAGGGAGTAATCGACGGATCCCCTGACTGAGGAAAAAGAAAGTTAGTACAATCGAGAGCAAAGTGACCTACTCTAATGTATGCTAAATCATCGAAGCTCACCTGGATTCTAATGTACGATCGCAAGTCCTTATTACTCCAAGTATTGGGATTCGTAGGGTCATACGCAACACCCTTCCGAATCGGCCGAGCCGAACGCAGCATTTCCGCATACCGAAGCGTATTTTTGGTTGCACCTGTACCCAAGAAGCTGGGATTCACACATGCGAGTACCGTAGTCCTACAACAACGGTTGCCCTCTGGGTCAAAAAGATGTTTAAGGACTTTCGTCAACATACTCTGGCGGAAAGGAATGTATGGTTTCTTAGAAGGCTTTCCTGCTGTGGCGGGATTCTCAAGATCAGCCATGCCGCGAATGCAATCTTTGAGGATCGAAAGACTGGTATTGATGTCGCGCGTTTCTTTCATGCGATCGGCTGTATGATTTGCAATATCTCGAGCGGCTTCTGAACCTGCAAGATCGATCAGGTATAGAATCCCATCTTCTAGAGCGTCGGGAGCGGGATTCTTGATTCTGATGCGGCAGATGGCGTGTGATCGCGAAGATCCATCGTTTTTCTCTGTAGACGCAGTTTGTCGAAATGCCGTGGCTTGGTCAACCAAGGTGAGTAGCTCTGTCGTGTTCTGGACTTGGTGTTCTTGGATACCAACAAGCTGGGTGTTTCCAAAAGAGTCCTCTAGGATCATAAAAGGGGCATGAGAGTTTAGGAGATCTGGGTGTGTTTATATTAACTTGACTGAAAGGCACTAATTGTCAATCGATGGATCTTACCAAATGCTGAGTTCCCTGCCAATTCAAAAATAGAGACATGAACCTTCCGTTCACCTGCTAGTGTTCCATCGAACAAGGATCTGGCAATCAATCGCTCCAACCCACTGACAGTAAACGTTTTTCCCGACCCAGTCTGGCCATAGGCAAAGAGTGTTCCAATATTTCCTTCCCATGCATGAGGAAGAAGTCGCTGCACTGTATCTTCGTAAATCGTTTCCGTAGTACGATCCGGGCCGAAGACCTTGCCAACTCTGAAGTTGGAAGACTGATTTCTCCAAATGAATTAGCATTGTTGGTGTCTTAAGGTATACAGGAAACTGACGTTCAGAGTGGGGAGACCCCTGACCACCCTCTTCAGCTCATGAAGATCCACTACTCCACTCTTTTCATCACGGGGATATATAGCAACTACCTGCCCTGAAGAGATCTCTTCTTCTAACAAGGGCCGAATTCGAGTAGCCATGACCATTTCCGAACTCATTTCAGCATCGTTGCTACCGGTCGCTTTCTGTGCAGGTTTCTTGAACCGTTGAATCAGGGTTTGGTAGCGAGTGACATTCTCTAGAAGATATTGCTCCATATTCGTTGTGAGTAATATGAGAATGCAGTTTAGAGTGCTTCGGTAATATAAACACTTGAGAAGCTAATCAATCACTGACAGGGAGCGGTGGAGAGGCCAAGAGAGCCATGGAGGCTCTGCGAGTGTAAACAGAGACACACCGCCCACAGTCTAGAACTCTATTCCTCCTGGTGACAGCATGTAGTGGCGTGTTATGTGCTGAATATCACTGATACGAGGCTAGACTCTGGAGAGGAGATGTATCACATCATTTAAAAAAATTTCATTGAAGCATCGTGATTGGCCATTGATTTTATACTAATAAATATAAACAAACTCATCATTCTCCCTATCGGTCATGTCCTGAGCCACCTGTGTGCCGCCAGCGTGAGTGACTCCATCCATATCACCTTCCTCAACACCACGGAAGTGCGATTGCATCGAATGATCGACAATGATAGCGCTCTTCCCGTTCCGAACACGACGACGAGCTTGTTGCTTATTGAGGAACCAAAGATTACCCCACTGAATAAGGACAACGCCCACCAGGGCGGAGAAAATGCCCAAACAAGCTTGCAAGCCAGGGTGATAAGAAGGCGCATCCTTCGAGTTGAACAGCAAAGGACCCACAATATTGCCGGCTGATGTTGCCGCATTGAACAGACTCATGGCAACTGACTTCTTAGTGCTACCTGCCGTGTTACCGACAATCCAGGTCACAATCAAGGGGTTTCCACCGAACAAGAATGCAAGTAAGTAGTAGCCTGCAAGGAGAGCGCCTTGGTTTGCATTCGTTCGAGGGATGGCATATAGAATGGCCAGACCAGCGACCACAGGAAGCATGAAAACTGCTAGGATAGCGCCTTTAATGCGAGCTTTTTGAGCTAGGAAACTTGCAATAAGAATAACGACGAATTGCATGGCACCGAACGGCATTGTTAAGAGGCTGGTGCGATATTTTCCGTATCCCAGGCCGCCTAGAATCAAGGGTCCGAATGTGTTGGTCACGCTGGCACCGATATTGAGCAGCATTGCCATAGCGATCCAGAAGTACGTTTTCGGCTCGAGGACAGCTTCGTAGACGTGACTGAGCTTAAATTCCGTGCTTCCGGTGCCAGTTTGATTGGCGCGGAGTCGCTCCATGCCCTGGAGTTTCTCGGTTTCGTTCAGGAATCGAGCGGTGCTGACGTCGTTGTCTAGGCGCCAGTAGACGATTGGGGCGGAGACAATAGTGACCAGACCTACAAAGAGGAAGATGCTGAGACTTGTTAGTACGCTTCGCCGCGTCTTTTGGTCTAGACTTACATTTGCCATGATGCCAGAATGTCGGAGTTGATGTGCGCGAGACCGTACGACAGTCCAGCCGCCACAATGGTCGCAATTCCATTAGTGCTGTACCACGCTGCAATGCGGATCGGTTGTTCCGATCGAAGATACCACTGGCTAGTAATGATACCGAATAGTGGCAAGCATCCTGCCTCGAAAAGCCCGAGGAAGAAGCGAGCAGCCATCAGCTCGCTGAAATTGTGGCAAGCGGCCATGCAGGCCTGGGCAATACCCCAGCCAAGGCAGAGCGTTGGCATGAGGATCTTGGGAGGGACTTTGACGATGAGGTAGGATGAGAATGGCTGCCAGCATAGTTGAGCGATTGGGCCAATGGAGCCAACCAGCGAGTATTCATTTCCAGTCAACCCTGTGTCGGTCACCATACCATATGTGGCTCCATATCCAAGAACAGTCTTGTCCAGGATCTGTAAGAAGTAGACCCACATCAGAACAAGCAAGATGGTACGGTCGGTCTTGTGACAGATGCGCTTGTTCTCCTTCTCAGTCAAGGATATGTGAGGTGGATCGACTGCTTGGCCATCCTTCATAGCTTGTGGGTCTTCATCGTGAATTGCACTTGGTTTCGACATACTGCTGTGCGGAGTAATATTCTGCACAAAAGCCCTGGAATGAAAATGTGTTTCGATCTTTCCCCGGGTTTTATCTCTGGATGCCCCCACGCTTAAACTTAAGTTTGGGGGCATCTTTCCCCGCGTTCCCCCACGCCTCCTTGCGAATCAATGTTGTCATCATTCACGCATTTATATTAGCGCGGGTCTATCATTGGTGGTCGTCAGCGATGGCTATAAACTTCTTAAAATCAAAATTCTATCCGTCCAATAATGGGCGGTTCATAGCGATCTTCCCCCACTCCCCCAGCTCGCTATCCACCTGCCAGCTTCCCCGGTGGCTGAAAGATATGAGATAAGATTGGCTCACTCTCGTGTCACATGGAGAACGGCTAATGTCGGTCAGAAGGGTCGAATCAAGTTCATTTGTTTGCATCAAGTTCAAAGGCCGATAATGTTGGGCCGAGACAGACTTGAGCCGATTCCTGTACTTGTTCGGAGTTCCGCCAGTGACTTGCCGAAAATGTTGACCCCCGTATAAGTGAAATCATGCACAGGGATAATGAAGCGAGGAAGATGATTCAAATCACTCATCAAATCTGCAAGGACAAAGCGCATGAATATTTGAAATTTCTCAAAATCAGCTGGATTTGATGATAACGAGCCAAACATAAAGCGGTAACGAAGCCTTCACATTCCAACATTGGCAATAAAAATATCTCAAGGGAGCAAAGTACTGATCATTTGTACAGCACGGGCCAAGTGGCCATTGATATGGCCCAATATATCCACAGACCTCCGAGTTAGCACCTTCCAACAGATGCTCTTTCCATCCATTCCGCGCCTAATAGTCCATATATATATTATAATTAATCAGATCTACTATACTTCTGTTCCAATAATTGTAGTGCAACCCGTCCTTCCGTATGCCACTTCGTATGGCTATGCATCAACGATACACTCGAATTATTAGTGCGCGTGTAAACCCGACAACCCTAGCGACAACGCACCACAGGCATTAGTGATACATAGTCTGCTTCAAAACTATCAAATTTTTACATTCTCATAAGGAAACTCCTTCTGATACTCCTATGATCTCTCAATTAGGCTGTGAAGACTGATGGTGCTAGGAAAAAAGATGGATCTGCTCGGATACTTGCATTCTATATTGGGCCATGACTACTGCATGTGGTGACAAAAGTTTACAGTATTTGACGACAAAACCGCCTCTGCTTCTGAGTCTATAGACAATCGTATCACTTCGTGAAGTTCCGAACTGCCAGCTCCTAGGAGCCTGCCAGACCGGCGATAGTTCTGAGACGTGCGATTTAGTCTGTTGACTATTTTCTTATTTGCTCATAGTCGACGAGGTTTCTAGGAACTCAGGCCGCTTATGATTTGAATTGCCCAACGTTTCAGAAAAGGGCGTTTCTCCAAATTGTTTACATAAATGGTAGTCCGTCGCCCTCTTGCATTAATTCAAAACAGTCCGCCCACAGACAATCTAGGCGTCTTCAGATCCCAAGCTGTTCTCCTCAACTTGTCCTTATTACCATTGCAAGCCCCATCCGGTAGGGAGTATTTATTCAGCTGAGGGAAGGTTGCAGCAGACGACATCGGTTTGGTCGTGACGTCCACATCTAGGAGTATCTGCTTGGATCAAAGGCAACTGCCCTCAAGCTTTCGGTCGGGATAGCTTTTATATTCTACCGTTTATTCCTATCGCCCCATTCTCGCCTTGTAATATTAAGAAATATAATTTCAAACATAAAGAAGGGATGACTACTCCTCACTGTGATACATTGCAATCTTGTTAACGCAAATTAGACCGGAATGTATGCTGTTTGTGGATGCGGGCCGTAGTTGCAACACCGAAGATTTTTCAATAGTAACGCTCTCACAGCAAGATATTGTCGAGACGTGGATTATGACTTATAACCAGACAGAGTTTTTACCGAGTGACCAACTTACCTTTGTGATGTTTGTATAGTAAATGGTATTCTGGGCATTACGGCTGTCGTTTCACCGTGTACCTATCCATGGGTTATTTCAACCTGCCCCGTGATATTCGTTCGTTCTTCAATCAATCAACTTAATCATCCTGAATTGGTTCCGTTTGACCTCAACCTCGTCCCTATTCGTCGGAGAGGATTACTAGCCCATACTGTCATAGCTTGCTCCGACAGATATTGAGCCACGGGGTTTACGTACATGCTAGTACTGAGCGAACAACGAATGAGTTTATTGAAGAACTAACTACAGTGGCGAAACGCGATTGAAGGTATTGCTAGCCTTAGGGGCTAGTATAGCGTGTTATGACGCGGGTATTCCGAGCTGATCCGGTTTACATTATGAAAACACCGGAGTGGGTAGTCGCTGAATCAGACAACTGTTAGTGGTCAAATGACTAACTACCACTTCTCAGCTTGATATAAGATCTTCTACATGTACTAAATGACACGGCAATCAGGTTGACAAATTCCCCAACTCTAGTTAGTCGCGCAAGTCCCAAGTAAGATGCTCACGGTCTGGCTTTCAGAATTCGCAGCCACGACATCGAGCAAGCCATCTCCGTTGAAGTCGCCCACTGCAACAGCAAGCGGATTGGATCCCACAGCGAATGTAAGCTGTGCCTGGAAACTTCCTGATCCTGTCCCGAGCAAGACGCTCACGGTAGCGTTGTCGGTATTCGCAGTCACGATATCGAGATGCCCATCTCCGTTAAAGTCGCCCACTGCAACACCCGACGGACTGGACCCCACAGGGAAGGTGATCTGCGCCTGGAAACTTCCTGATCCCGTCCCGAGCAAGACTCCTACGTTACCGTCGCCGCCATTCGCAGTCACGATATCGAGATGGCCATCTCCGTTGAAGTCGCCCACTGCAACGCTAACTGGATCGATCCCCACAGGGAAGGTAGTCTGCGCCTGGAAACTTCCTGATCCCGTCCCGAGTAAGACGCTCACGGTTCTGTCCTTAAAATTCGCAGTCACGATATCGAGATGGCCATCTCTGTTGAAGTCGCCCACTGCAACGCTCCATGGAAAGGTCCCCACAGCGAATTTAGCCTGTGCCTGGAAACTTCCTGATCCCGTCCCGAGCAAGACGCTCACGGTACTGTCGTTTAAATTCGCAGTCACGATATCGAGATGGCCATCTCTGTTGAAGTCGCCCACTGCAACGCTATTTGGTTCGGACCCTACAGGGAAGGTGGTCTCCGCCTGGAAACTTCCTGATCCCGTCCCGAGGAAGACTCCTACGATGTCGTTGACAATCGCAGCCACGATATCGAGATGGCCATCTTCGTTGAAGTCGCCCACTGCCACGCTATTTACAAAGTTCCTCACAGACAAGTTAGTCTCCGCCTGGAAACTTCCTGATCCCGTCCCGAGGAAGACTCCTAATTCAGCGTCGCCGCTATTCGCAGTCACAAAATCAAGATGGCCATCTTTATTGAAGTCGCCCACTGCAACAGAAGACACATAATGACCAGCAGGAAAGGTGGCCTGTGGTTGGAAGCTCCATGATCCGGTACACTTACAAATGCAGCCCCTAATTAGGTCAGCTTTCAAACAACTTGCAGTTCTAGTATTTAGAAAAATACTCACGACGTAGTTTGCCCAACCAGAAGGCCATGTAAGCTGGAAGATCCACTACCGCTGTCGCAGGTTCCAGATTGGTTCCATGAACTTTGACACTGTGATTAATCCGTATGTTTTAGTATTGACACAACTTCGTTATTTATCCACGGATCCTACCTGAGCGTCACACGTAGCCGGGTTGCAACCGCCCCAGCTCCCGCCACCTCCACCATCCCCATTCCCAATACTATGACCCCCATGAGGAATTATTCCCTCACTCCCAGGCCCACCCCATTTTCCCGACGCATCTTCACCAGAGAGCGCGGTGACAAGAGCGCAGCACAAAAGGGTAAGAGGAGCGAAACGCATCTTTACAGAGACACTTGCCTAAGATATAGGAAATTTAGGGTAGAATGTCAATTTGAATATGCCGTACTGCTCGCGTGGCGTTGAGTGTGTCCCACGCTCTGTTATATAGACTGTGCTCGAGGTCGTTAGTTAACTCCCTAGATTTTGTAATGAAGAAAGCCCTTCGATATGCTACCTGGAATGTGACAAAACTTAACTTTACATGAAGTATAATTATTCGGAAATCCTAATTAGTAATTTGCGTACCATTCACGCATTCCCAGCTTTCTGTGGTGTATGCCGGAATGCATACTTCTCCTCTTGGCGTCATTTTGATAGGTTCGAATCTGGTCAAGCACGCCGCGAGATCGACGAGAGTACGGACCAGCAGCCCCTCCAACGTCGATTTTTGGGCTCGTGTATTTAGTGTCACAAGTCATAATATTCGCATAAACGCCTTGCTCCTCGAGACCAGTATCTCCAATTTCTCAGCATTGAACTGTGAAACCTCCGCTGTGGACTTAAAGTTGCCTTAAGTTGGCTGTCGCCCGCATCCAAGGTGGACGCTGGCTTTGAGTAACTTTTTTGTCGCATCTCATGGCCACGCTTTCAAGAACAGAGGTTCATAATCGCGAACTTGCAACTCCACCTCATCTGCAAAAGCTGTAAACTTAGTGCAGTGACACTACCTGGTCTGGTCTTGGCTATCTCCTTTCCAAAATCGCAGTGAAGATTCCGAAAGGTGCAGAGTTTACTTAGCTCGCTCCGATGCGAATAAACATATTTGACGAGTTTTCCAGTAGCCGAAGACATGAGGCACTTCACCAATTCATCAGGAATTAGATTGGCTTCCTCTTTTCTTCTCCTGGACAACCCACCACCGTGAAAGGCCGGCTGCTGCATCCGTGGAATGGAAGGGATTCATGCTCTCGACCCTGTTTGGTCATGGGCTCTCGCAACTTTCAAATGTTGAACTGTTATCGGGTGTTGATTCAGCCCTTGGCGATACTTCCATGTAATCCGTGCCCTGGAAGGAATGTAGCGAGAGGAAGGGAAGTAATCAACGTACATGTACGTGCGCCTCCGCAAAAGAAAACGCTTCTCTACGTACGCTAGAACCCTGCTGCCACGCACGATGCTTATTCGCCCTTTCATTGCCTCTTTCGGCATGCCTTGCGCTGAAACGAGGAATGAGTGAAAGGGTTTATTACCCTGCGCGAGCTACCCGCAATCTTTGGCTGCGTTGTCACTGTAAATTCTCCGCGAATCCTCTCTGTTGATTGGCTGCAGCCTTCCGTAACTTTAACCACGTTGTTACCGGGCACAGTACCTCTATTACATCGATGTAGACAAATCTTTGAATACCCCACATGAATGGCCTCTCCGTAATTCGAGAAATGCGGCATTCGAAAAAGTAAGTCGACTCTCACGTGCTCACATCATCATCCCCACAACTGCCTTATTCCCTGACATATAGCAGGAAGCGACCATTAGCTGTGTGGATAACACCTCTGACTGCGATGCTTCAGTCTGCCGCGTCTGAGAATTGATAAGATCCACTAATATAAAATGTAGTCAGTGTTTTATTTTAGTATATTCAATATTATATGCCAGCAACACTTAGGCATGAGAACACGAGTATTACTATGATTTTATACAAGCGACTTGGGTTTAGCGTTCGCGGCCCGTTGTGTAAAGCACCATGATTGCTGACTGTTCAAACATCGAGGGGATACCGGCTAGTTAACTATCGAGGTAGGAAGTGTAACTCAAATTCAGGACCTTCCATACTATTCGGAATAGTAGGGGACAATAACGAGTTACCTTGGAAACTATTTACGCAACTCGAAACCCGATCAATGCCTATTCTGGGGATGTATATATAGGCACACCAACCGCTATTTAGAATCATACATAAGGCTCCTGCACATGTGTCAGGGCTGAGCAGAAATACTGTAGCGTATACTAGGCTATTGTCTGGACGGGGAGTGTTACCTTACGTAGATAGCTCACAAGAAAAATACAGCATTAAAATAAGTGGCATAGGCCAACTGCTTCATAACGCTGACGCTTGGGGAGTTGATCCGAATGTCCACCTTGACATCACAACCCAAACTCAAATCGGTCGGAATTGAGTCGCAGTTCTCCGCAGTGATTGACAGGACATAGGTACTTCCCTGCCAACTATAACCAGTTTTCACATGATGAAAGCAACATTTGTAATGCCAAGTTCCACTTCCACCTCCACTTCCAAACCAGTCTCAAACCAGTCTAAACCCAATTGGGATCCCGGCACATGACATCATCCGCAAGCTAAAGCTTCTCCGACTCCAAGTCTCTGACCAACCTTCTACAACACCACAGCACACTACAACCCATCAATCAACCAAAATCAGATCCAAAATAACCATCAAAATGTTCCGCTTCGTAAGCCTCTCCCTTCCTTCCACCCCCAATTGATAAATAATTAACAACAAACAGAGCAAAACCCTCGACCCAATTACCCTCTTCCACTCTCCTAGCGTCAGGAGCAGCACCCGCGTCCTCAACATCCTAAAGCAAGCATCCACAGCCGCCTCCGAAACCGCCACAGAAGATCAAGCAAGCGACTACAGCTCCCACGCCAAGCAACAGCGCGAGGAATTCGAGCTCGAGGTAACAACCAACGACCCCACGACTGATCAGCTCCGCAGTATTCTTGATTACATCAGCCCTACCTCTGGCGTTGGCGGACAGGGAAATAAGGCTACTTATTCGGTTTCGGACTTGGTGAAGGGGGCGAAGAATGCAGACGATGCTCTCAAGAAGTTCAAAGATGATAAGTCTTCTTTTGTTAGGCCTGTGGTATGTTTCTTTCTATTTCGGTGGTTTAGTTTCTGGGATGGGTGTACTAATTTGCTTTTAGACTGTTGATTGGACCAATGGTCGGGCTGTTATTGGCGACCAGGAGTCGGAGATCTTGAAGATGGTTCGTCAGATTCCTAGTAACTAGGTTGTTCAAATGTTCGGTTTTATGTATACCTGTGGACTGGTTGTTTGATATCTGCATGTACTAGTATTGGAACAATGAGTTCAATTCTATCTAGCATAGAGTATGGGCTTGAAATAGACAGTCTACTTGTCCCACGGCACGCGAAGTCCCGGATGGTACTGGATATCCGTAACATTGTAACTACGCAATAATCAATATTTACTTAAGAGGATAAGTCGATGGGTATATTGATATCGTTACTAAAGACGTAAGATACATCTGATCCCAAGGGGATTAAGAACAGGATTGGAAGAATAATTTGAAATAGAAACATGCACCATTAAACTCATACTCATACCATACAGGCGACTTGCGAGGCACGGGGAAATCAAGAACCAGCTTGAGTTGACATGGGCTGCAGCGACGAGAGAAGAGAAGAGATACAGAAACAAGACGAGAAGAGAACTGACAAGCCCTTCCCGTTCACAGACATCGGATTAAAACATCGTTCCGAAGCTTCCGTCTGTTGCAATAGGCTTGCGGGGAGAACTACGGCCTGCACTATCGACTGCAGGTTTGCGATGACTGTAGTCCGTTAGTATCAGGTGAAGCAATCAAGTAGGAAGATACTAGTACATACCGGAATGTAAATCCAACAAACAATCCCTTGCCCATTTTATCTTCGCGGTCGGCCATATCCTCCAGAGCACGCTGTTTATCGTGTACCTCCTTGTACTTGGCCATATCGGACTCGTTGCTGAAATCATCAAAGTATCCGGCGTCGGTCTCTGAATCCAGTTCCGGGACGAAAGGAGCACGTTGATCTCGCAAGTTATTGAAATCGACTTCGGCGAAATAATCATGGGCGTGAATCTCTTGAATATTCTTAAATCGTTGCTCCTTTGCCGCGACGAGTTTCGTGATCAGATCCCACGTGCGTCGGGAAAGGAAGTAGTTCGGATCTTCGTAGACGGGCTTGCGGAGTACCTTTTGCCAACGCTTCAGATTCTGCCATGTCTCGTCGACTGATGCACCAGCGAAAGGCGGGTAACCCGCCAGTGCTTCAAAGAGCATGCACCCTAGACTCCAGTAATCGACGGTGAAATCGTATTGTTCGCCCTTCAAGACTTCCGGAGCCATGTAATCAGGTGACCCGACAATAGATTTGGCGTAGTTGACTTCCCGCTCGCGGAGAGTTCGGTAGCCCTGTCGTCGCTCGGCCATCGTACGCTGTTCCATGGGTCGACCAAACGGAACCGGGGTATTACCCACTTCCTCCAGCTTGACCCGCATCGACTCGATCTTCCCAGGATTCAACATGCCAGCCGCCAGACCAAAGTCAGTAAGTTTGACATGGCCCGTTGAATCAATAAGGAAGTTCTCCGGCTTGAGATCACGATGAATATAGCCCAGAATATGCAACGCGTCAACGCAGCTGAACATCTCGGCAATGTAAAACCGCGCGTGCCGATTGTGCAGAACACCGGTGTTATTCAAGAGGGTACGGAAATCTCCACCGGGGACATACTCCATCGCCAAATAAATCTGGTTATCATCCTGGAATGCATACAACAACCTGACAAGCCACTCGCTCTTGGCCGCGGTGAGAATGTCGCGCTCGGTAAGAATGTGTCGGATCTCGTCCAGCTTGAAGAGAAGTCGCTTGCTCATCACTTTCAACGCGCAGACCTCCCGGGTATCTTTCTTCTGGGCGAGGTACACCTGTCCATATCCACCCTGGCCGACCTGCGTCAGGATCTGGAAGTCATGCTGGCGCAGACGTGTGCGACGCTTGCGCAGGTGTGCCCGTTCGCGACCAAGGTATTTCAAGAGTGCGGGCTCATATTCTTCATTTGGTGTCCCCGGGGGATCGGGGTATGCGGCTTTGAATTGTGAGTGGCGGGTTTGACGATTGTGGACGTAACTCAGGAGATCGAAGTAATGGTCAAGGAAATCTGCGGGGTAGGTTAGTAGGTGTTGATTGAGTAACGGGCATGAGACATACAAAGTTGGGTGACATTTGTGAGGCGCTTAACCCGGGGCTGTTGCAGCTTCTCCATTTCCTCGGGGGTCAGGCCGCGCAGCTGGACCTGTCGCTTAGAAGTATCTGCATCGCGAGGCTGGTATGGCTCATGTCGAGAGATGGCTGCTGCAGTCGGCTTTGAGCCCAAGTCCTTTGGGGTGCGGGTGGTGGGAGGTGTGTTTTCCTTGTTGGCCTTGCGTGTTGGGCTGGTTGGGCGCTGATGGATAACACTCTCATTAAAATCCTCGATGTTGCTCCTGTCGGCCGTGAACATGGGATGATTGAAGTGATTATGGGTGGATTTGGAAGGAGATGTGGGAGTGAGTTTCATAGCATTGTCGAAGACATTGGGGAGATCCAACGCGCCCGGTGGTGCCCGCGACTTGCTGGGACTTCCGTGGGGGGTCTGTGGGGGACTGGTGAATCCATGGCCCGGAGTGGAGGGACGATCAAAAGTTTCATTGCCCGAACGCGTGTGTAGCAGTGGTGGAGGGTTTGGTAGACGTAGACCAAGACGGTCATCAGCGATATCGACAGCCATGGTTTGTATGATGGGGGGAAGAAAGAGGAGCGATAGAGGGGTTTGGAGAGTGGTTCCCCCCTTGATAAGAGAACTAAAAACAACGCTAACCCGCGAAATCGGCAGAAGGGAAACCTTGGAAAACCAAGTAAGAATGGGCTTTGTTCGCTTTAATTGTCTGCGCAAGACGATCTCCGAACTCCACCGATCGAGATTCTGGTTTTTCCTTTCAGGAACAAGATGAGATTATCCACATTAGCGCGATCCCAAACTTTCCAATTTAATTAGTTTTTCCCTGTAGCTCCATTAACCCCCTTGTATAAAGATGTTGCCCTGGCAACTCCCCCCACGTCATACAGGCTGTGCAGGTCGTTACTTAGTGGTTAATGGCTTAATGGCTATGGAGAACGAGATTATCGACCCGGGCTGAAACTCGGAGCCTTATCCACTACGATCGGACTTGTACCCCTGCAAGTCATTTTTTCTTGGTGATCGGCTCCAGCAGCCCCAATTGTGGTTTACCCCCCGTCTGTTTCAGGGCTGGCTGGAAATGGGGCTATAAAAAGCCACCGACACCGATCACTAGTAATTAAAACTTGGTTCAATAGTATCGCGGCCCCATATATGCTAGTGATAAAAATGACAGGAAATCTCCGATGCCGGTGCATGCAAGGTTGAAACTATTGACGGAATTATTTTCTTTATGAGCTGCAGGTGAAGTTTAATTCCAATTTGTTTTAACCAATATTCATCGCAAGGGGAAGTTCAATAAGTATTCGATCCACATGCGTAAGCAAACTACCGCATTTGGAATAGCTTCACGGAAACACAGAGTAAATCCATGGATCTGTTCAGGCACGGAAATCCCCGTCAAATTTCATTCGTTTGCAAACTCTATCTATGCCGCTCCCTCAGCTCTTTGTCCCGTCTGGATTTTGGTCAGCCCTAAGCTTTCTTTTGGTCCTCCATATTGAACTCACGTAGAATGCTAGTCCATAGTCCTCAGTCGTGAAGGTAATTGTGGCTCCCTTGGGGAAATAAAACACATCACCAGGACTGGCCATGACCTTCTGGCCTGTCTCATCCGCGATCACAAAATGTCCTTCCAGAATAATCTTCATTTCGTCATAAGTGTAGGTGTACACAAGTGGGGTACCCTTTTCTAAGCGATAGAATCCACAGGAGATGGGCTTTTCGGCGTTGTCCTTGTCACTATGTTCACCTGTCAGCCTTGTACCATTTAGCGCGGCCCACAGTAACCCACCTCGATATAACATCGCCCAGGAATGCATTTTCATTCGCAATGAGCGGGGGCTTGAATGTGGACTGAGCCTTCGCGTGGTAGGTGAATGCAGGCGGCATGGTGGAAAATATTGCAGAGAGTCTGGACTGACAGACAATCAACGGGTTAGCAGCTGTTTATAACCATCACGTTGAATATCCAAGGATTCCCCCAGATGAGGGGAAGTTGGCGAAGGTCTAAGTTCGAACGGAAGGCAACTCGATCCTCGCCATATCATCGGATTTGTTGTCCAGACTAGGCAGTCCGCTGGAGAGCCAACTGATACGAGTCTATTGAAGACAAGTGTGATGAGGGGTACTGTAACCGGTGAGGGGAAGCTCTAGAGCTTGCGATTGCGCAGCTGTTATGGCTGCGTTTGTTCCGTCGATCGAAGATAATGGGTAGCCATTGTTAACCATGTGAAAGTCCTGCGGTCGCAGTAATTGTGAAATGCCCTGTTCAGTGTTAAAATGCCGATTGCCACTATTTAACCATCATGTTAAATGTCTTCACGCAAATCCAGGTAGAATGCGGCTCTCAAGCGTAAGGACCTTGGGACACCAGGATATTTTTTCCCGAATCGGTTAGACCTTCCCTTCTAATCACGAGCGAAAAAGATAGACAAGACGTGGACATCGGAATATTCTCAAGTAAATTTAATCTGATATGTGCCCTAGGTGGCTGACTTTTTACCTGTGATCTAAATAGTGGGGGTTTCTAACCCCTAAAATACATCAAGGCAAGCGAATTCAAGACAAGATGAATAAAAAGGACAAGTTCTGGTGAAACAGACGGCAGTATCTGAACATCAGCTGCAAGAGAAGATAAAGTCAGAGGACAATGGAAGACAAAGAAACCTTGGAACAAAGGTTACCTGACCGCATACTATGAATGATTCTGTTTTTTGATATCCTAGACTTGACATCAAGACGTAACTTATAACCAGGTAGCTCTAAACAGAAGGAAGCTCTCATTCTCTTGAAAACTCTCACCCAGTAGAACTACTATAAATTGGTTTCCAGCTACTTTTTCTTCTCTTCCTTCCCACCTTCTCAATCATTATACTACAACTGTTGTTTCATGAAAACGACACGCTTCCAACAGTTTCCCTGCTATAGAATCACTTGTAAACCGCCCGACACCATGAATCGCTCCCTTCCATCCTTGATCCCCATCGATGTGGCTGCATGTGATGTTTCTGCAATTTTGAACTCGCAACGCATTCACCATGCTTTCATTGGAGGTTACGCAACCGGCCTCATCAAAGGCCAATCTCTCATGGCGGTAAGTTTTCCCCATTTCGCCCCTGAAAAGGCATTCAAAAATAACAAACTAAAGGATCTGGAGGTTATCGTGGACTGTGATCCCCTCGAAGTGTGCAAATTGCTTGTAAAATTCTCTCGTTCCCGTATAGTTCCATACATCGACAATCACCTTTTCTACCGCTCAGCTGGCGTCAAGATCACGATCGACGTCCTACAAAGCGGTGGAGATGATCACACACCTCTCCCAGACATACGCACCTCTCCACTATGCTCAATCCCTCCTACAGATGCGCTCAGCCATCTAATGAGTGCAAGTGAGTACCTTACTCTCTCCGGGAAGACTGTTTTGGTCCTATTATCCTGACTTTCGTGTAGTGCCATTCCTCCACCCGTCTGTCTTGATTCTGACAAATGTCAGTCGATGGTACAAAGCAAAACAGTTTAATGGTCCCCTGAAAACACAAGCGGCCGCTAAATATTTCGAGAATGTTATCGTAATTCTGAAGTGGTTGGATGCCCGCCGCATCTTGATCAACTTTGCAGGCTTTCCACAAATGTCGAAGGATCAGCACATCGCCACCCTCCGCGCACTGAATGCAGATTCGCAAGTCGTGGGGCCTTTGCTTATTGCAACACTTATACCGGAGGATTACCGTCTAATTCTCGGTAATGATGAGATATTTCTCGTTGAATGAGTGCCTCTCGGTGATACCTACCCTTTAAAGGGCGAGAGTGAGATAGAGAGTGGATGAAGGATCCTTGAATTTCTCGTGAGTTTTCGTTTCTTTTCTTTTCTTATTTCTCTTCTCTTTTCTTTTCCTCGCCCTACGGGGCTTTCCAGCGTGCATCGGTAGGCGTTCTGATATTTTTCACATCGTAGCAAATCTCTTTTTAGTCCACGAGCCCGTAGTATGCATAAGAGCAAAAGCGCGTTGTTTAACAGAGGCAGTTGTGATTAGCAAGGTAGCAGTTCACTTGGGCATGGAGCATATCTCTACCTGGCTCAATTAGATGCTTTTCGCATTATACATACTTGTATAGTCTTCTTATTTGCATGAACTCCATACAAATTTACTAGCTTTCTTTACTTCGTATGGGGGCTCATGTGCGGGGAGAACCATTGTCCTAATAAGTCTCAGAAGTTGCTGCAAAGGGTCCATAGGGACTGATTAGTCTGAAATGTCGAGCTTACTTCATTTGTCTTTTCATCTGCCTGTCCCTTTACTTTATCGTGGCATACTTTTTTGGCATATAGCCAAAGCTCCCCATATTCCTGTGCCCTAAAACTTTTGAGGCGTGCACATAATATTTCAGAAGAAAGGCTTATCCATATATTCGATGCCTAGTAAAAATACCGATCCAGAAAGATATTGACATAAATAATAAAATGGTCATATTCCAGAGGGACGCATCAAATAGTCGAGTTCCCCACTAAGACGGAAGCCCTGGGCAATAGCCTCAAGGTCAAGATCCGAAAGTTCCCAATCCAACTGTGGCGATTGTAGCTCAACACTCTGCGGGTGAAGGTCAGATACACCAAAAGCCGCGACAGGTTCCTGCACAATAACCCGGCTGCTTGTCATATTGCCCTCCGGCCCAGGAATCTGCTCATCATCCTCAGTGATGCGTATATCAAGATGCGTGATGAGCTTGTTGAGGTTGGCACTAGCTTTACCAGCAGCCGCGTATAAGTGTTGGTGCTCTTTGAGAATACCCCGACAGAATAACAGAGACTGGAATGAATTAGAATTCCGTCCCTTCTGGGCCACAATTCTAGCGTGAATCGTTGCGCTGATGTACGTTGCGTATGAAAGCATGTATGGGGCGCTGCTGATAGAGAAATGCTGGCAATAGTCACGGAGGATCTGCACAATTTGGTTTGCGGCTGTGGTGCACACGTTCACGGATTCGTAGGCTGCTCCTGGTACGTCAGACTGGCTATAGCTTCCCGTGAATAAAGGGCGTTGAGAGAGAATTATGAGGACGTTGAAGAGGGCCCTGTTGGGGTGTTAGTAAGTAGACTGGGCACCATGATGGTCGGATACTCACAAGAGGCAGAATGCTTGGGGTAGGAGAACACTTTCACTGGGATGGGAAAGATAATCAAGCTGGGGCGGAAGGTTTTGTCGCCACTTTCCTAATTGTGAAGTTATGTCGTCGGAGATCACCTGGCTCTGACTTCGACTCATGTCATGGGACTCGGAGTAGAGTTCGCAAAGAATGCGATCGATGATGATCGATAACTCGCATAGCTTTGTTAACAAAGATACATTCAACGACGGAATGACCGACTGATGCTTCACAGGGCCGTATGTTATTTCTTGAAATGGATCGAGTTCGTCGTAATCGTCCAAAAAATTCAGTGATGCCTTGAAGTTTATATAGCGAAGAAGGGGTGGCCTTCCTTGGTAAAGACACTGGATTTTGTCGATGGCTAGCAAAAGGTTAATTTAGAGTACTGGCAATGCATTGGTAGTTTGACTCACAGTAGGCACCCCATACAACACGCTTTCTTATCTCAATATCCTCCGGGGACATCTTGTTCGGAGAAGGAAGTACATGTAGGCCCAGGTCAATGATCATATTGAAGGCATTTCCCGCATACAACCAAGATAGACTCCGCTCGTCACATCTCGAAAATAGAGAGTTGGACATTATAAGGAGCGCCTGGAGGGTAGTGATTTCGCTTTTGTCAAAGCTATCTCGTAGAAGCTCTGTGAACCGTTGGCGAAAACTCCACCCAGTCGTGGTGATGTCATCCGGGTCAGAACGCAGCTCGGGTCTGGGACAGTGCTTGGACACGGTAAAAAGAATGGCGTTGAGAAGCAATTTCGAAAAGTAGGGCCCATTGCAAGCCATATCTCGCATAAATGCTGGTCGGTATATGATCTGCGCTGTATAAAGTTGGCGGCACCAATAGATCGACAAGAGGTGCATTCCAATCTCTGGATCAAGGCCATCAAAATCCAGCTTTCCTGCGGAGAAATTCAACAGCTCCAACTGCCCTGACACGCATTGTTAGTCGGAGTTTCAAGGCAAAAGATGAATCCTTACTCTGCCTCGCTGTTTCGGCAAACAAGTGGCTCCGAGTCCAGCTCTCATTCACTGGTGAATTGGCCCACTCTGCAATGTCGTCGTTACTTCTCGAATTCACCGTGTCGTCGTAAATAGCGCTGGTTGGACCATGGTATAAGGATGTAGCACTTTTGAGGTGGTCGCTATCGGGTGCTTCCGGATGAGAAGAGCCATTGCTTAAGATGGTGGGACGATCGACTGGCGGAGACTCAACCCGAGGTAGTGAGATTTCCACTTGAGTTCGAGATGGGCTCATTGTGAAAGAAGCATCCGTTGACACCATGGATGGTTCATCGCCGAGGGGAATATTCCCATCCGGAATTTGACCCCCTTGTTGACGCAGTAATGCATTTTCACGCTCTAGCTGCGCGATACGACGATTGGTAGGTCTGTTACCAATAATAAGTGAATGCTAACTCTAGCCAATTTTGCGGGCATACCTCGGCTTGTGTCGAATCGGGCCCTGTTGGCAATCAATACCTTTGGCCGAGCAATTGCTGCATGTGGGCTTTTGAGCATCACATTTGAGCTATCACACCCCAGGCAAGTGTTAGAGTAAGTCCAAAGTCCAGTTTCATTAACCGAGGATATCTACCTTTTTGTCGCGACAAAAATTGCAGGCCGCTGCTGCCCGGCTCTTTCGGAGGGGCATAACAAGGCTCGTGATGTCGGCCCCACCTTGTATGATCAAGACAGCCGCATAGCCTCAAGGCTCTTTAAGTGCCTTGCACAATTTTAATGTAATCGATGGTGTAAGGTTGAAGCTCTGGATGGCATTCAATCTGGCGCGGAGAAGATTATTGGATCCACCAATCCACCGGCACCTGGAGACCCACTTTACATATTGCCAGCAGAAACTTCAGAAAAACAATTTAATCCGATAAATGGCATGATTGGCCTAGGAATAAGAATAAAATATCTAAAGTGACTCTAAACAAGTTTTCATCTACTGTATAATACTATATATGTCAAAATTATCGGAGTGATGACCCCTATAGGATAGAGAGCCACACGGATAAGGCTTTTTTGATTGACATAAAGTAGCATACTATCCTTAACACAGCAATATTTACCAAGAATATCTGTCGCTAATACCTGAATGATATGCCTATTAGCAATTTGAATAGGCATACGTGCACCATCTTTCATCGACCGAGACCTAATTGGATCTTAACTCTATTCTACAAATTAATACACGCCACTTGACATCCAACGTACAAACTGGTTAATCTTCTTCCTAGCTAGCGTCGGGCTTACTAGCTTTAACAATATCGATAACATCTTGAACTATCCCGAAACCTTATGCTAGTTTAAATCAACACCATATGTTAGGAGAAATAGGTTTACCAGTTTTCATCTTTTCTCTTTCTTCATCCGAAACCTCGGTATCAAAATGCTGACTCTCATTAGTATAAGTTGCAATTAGTTGAAGATTACTGCCTACCTCTTCCAAGGCAATGATCAGGTCTGTCGTGTCAAAGTCATCGGTTCCTAGGTCGTCCGCGAAACTTGCGGAGTTCGTTACCTATAGAAAAGATTTTGTGTTTAGAATCCTTTCTGTTCTTTTCAGCCGAAGAAATTCAATACCACATACATTTCGAAGGTCCAAGTTGAGCTGCACCGCGATCAGCCGCTTCACTTTATCGTCGATAGTGAACATCTTGCTGTCTAGGGTAGTTCGTTTTATTTTTGGTAAGCTGTCGAGTGAACAGATTGAAAGGAGATAATGTAAGGGAAAAGATAAATCAGAGTCAACGCAAATAGCGATATTTAAATAAACTAGCTTCCCCTTAGACATATATTGTGGCTGATCAGCTCATGCAGCCGAGAGGATATTCTTGTACTTGGTCTAGCTCCGATTGGGCATATTGACCTGTAGGTGGTTCTCAGCTGAAAGTTGCGGTAGTGCTTCCTTACCTGTTTGTTAAACTAGTCACCAGAGAATTTGAGTAGATCGAGCTGAGTTAAGGGATTTTCGCGAGTGAAAGTGGGGCAAGCTACAGTTTATCCCGAAACTGCATAGCCCATACACTCGTAATACGATGGCTATTTTTGGGTCATTATATATTACCGTATTGGTTATCCGTAGCCATAACTATTAATTCATGATCTTTTAACGAACATATTTATTGCTATAAACTATTGCTTCAGAAGCCTCTATGGACCTAACGGATCCCGCGCGGGCGACCTCCTGGGCAATTGCTCGAAGCTCTAACAGTGCCAGATTAGGCACAATGCGAATCACCAAATAATATTTCAGAGGAGAATCAACATAGCTTGTTCCACAAAAGACTAAGAACAATCAAACCGAGAATCACGAGTGAACTGCCGAGTTTCCGGTGCACTGGTGCTTGTTGAATTACTAGACTACGGCGCCACCACTCTTTTTGTTCTCGCACCGCTTGGAGTGCATTCTCTGCCCCTCGCGGAAACCCGTGGCCTTCACCATCAAAAACAACAAGCTTCGCAGTGCCACCATTTGATAGAATCGAGCTTTTCATGGCTTCAGCCTGATTCAAAGGAACAATCTGATCTTCCCGCCCCTGGAGCAGCAAAGTCCAAGCGGTAATCTTGGTCTTCTGCGCCTTGAAACGAGGGCTGCGCTCACGATATATTAGTCGCCGGGCGCTTTCATCGTTGGGTACGTCTTGTCCAAAAATAAGTCGCAGAGGGTAGCAGCTCTCAAATTTATGTGTGTCTTTGACGAGTGCTTCTACGTCGCTGATCCCTGAGATACTCACTGCGCCTGCCCAGAGGGATGGAAAATCGCAGATAGCTTGCAGTGCAGCGTAGCCACCTGAGCTACCTCCCATTATTCCAATGGCATTTCCATCGACTATGCCCGAAGTACTTAGGTACCGTGCGCAGTCGGCAGCATCCTGAACATCGAGAACACCCCATTTTCCGTTAAGTATTTCGCGGTACTTTCTTCCATAACCAGACGACCCAGCATAGTTCAGCAAGACAACTGCGTAGCCGCGGGTTGTAAAATACTGCCACTGTAGCGAAAGCCCAGGGCCCGAGTGAAGGGTAGGACCACCGTGTATTGAGATTATCAACGGGGGTAGACAGTCCTGAGGGCCGACATAGTGAGGGTTTTGAGGTGGGAAGAAAAACGCACGAGCAATCAACTGGGCCTTTGCAGTTGCGTCTATTTTCTCGCCAGAGTCAAGTCTTGTATTCGAGCGAGGGAATGAGATGGGCCTGCCTTGCGAGAAGAATGTGCTAGGGTCAGAAATCGTAGTTGAAGGACGAAGAGTTATAAGAGAGGCTGGCTTGTTCACTTCCACGTGGTATAATGCTTGCGGAGAGCTGGGTGAAGATGCGATAATAGCTATGCTAGTGGAGGACGTTACAGCCAGGGCACTGTCAGCAATGCCCGTAAGCGCCGCGACAGGTGCATTGAGAAATTCATATTTCAAGGTCGTGAGATCGATGATGACAAGATGCTCGGTGGCATCATATGTCCATGCAGCTACCATGGTATTGGAATCGAGAAACCCATACGTACAACTAGTCATAACAAGAATTAGCCAAGATGAAGACCAACTCAGGAGGAAAGAAAAAAATCAAGATATGTACCTGCCAAGCCACCATTCCGGTCCAGCGAACTCACCAGTCTCCAACCCATCCAGGGAAATAGGGGTAGGATCAGAATCAGCACATGCTGAAAACCATCGCCAAAGTTGCCAATAACCGCTCTGATCTGAAACAAAGTAAAGCGTTCCATCGGGGCTCCATCGGGGCTGGGCGATACTCTCATGGCCTTCTCTTCCTGCAAGTAATCTGGGCTTCTCAATAGTGCCGTCGTGATTCCACGATGCCACAAACAACTCGGTCCCATCCCAAGGCATATTTGGATGGTGCCACTGCGTCCAGCAGACTCGAGTGCCGGAAGGGTCAAATCGTGGATGAGTGTAGAAATCAGCTCCTTTAACAAGAGTGGTCATTCTGCCTTGGATAAGATCGATCGCTACAATGGTATTCACCACCTCCCCTGACGGGCATCGATGATTTTCACAAACCGCCAAGATCCATTTTTCCTCACTTGGATGAGCATGAAAATCAGCAAAAAAGACCCGAGGATCCGGCACGATGGCTTTTGTGACGCCGCAAGTCGCAGAATCGAGGATCCAAACTCCGTGCGCATTTGCATCTGAAAATACCAGAAAATTTTTGTTCGCTAGAGGGCAGATTGCACCGCCACCGTAACCGTGTACTGCAGTTCGTGCGCTGTACCCTGAAGGTAGCACATCTCTAGCATGTCCATCGATCCATTGAACAATACAGCACCGTCCAGCATCGGCTGGGCGGGCTTCAATCACGTAAAATATACCATCTTTCTGCTCACTGATCAGTAAATATCAATCTACCGAACTGAGAGACGTACAGCAGCGGAGATCTCAGTGAATACGATACTTTTAGATGTGATCATATCGTCCGTAATGGGACTATCCCATTTGCCAAATGGCGTTGTCTGGACCTTACCGTAGGGAGTCATCTTGTTATCCATGTCGGTCGCGCTCTCTAGATCTTCACCATGAAGCAGGCAATAAGGTAGGCAGTGTGATTCGAAAGCAAAGATGATGGGTTACAACGGAGAAAATAAGTGAAGGAGAGAGGGAATACTCAGAGCGGTAGGGGTGCCTGGAGTTGGACGGTCATCCGATGGTCTTCCGGGCCGGCGAAGGAATGTTGTACGCCTCAAAGACCAGCACTATCACATCTGTTATCCGAAAAAACTCCCACGAGAATGCTCTCTTCATCTTTTAACCGGAATAAAGATATTGTTCATCCTTAATTGGCGTGCATTATCTGTTGCGACAGATAATGCTCAATGACGCCCTCCTTTAGTACAAATCATGAATTATCCAAAGCAATCAAGGCAAAAATAGTGATTCCAGGCAGGCATACTAGCTTGTGTCTAAGTAAGCACTAAAGCGATGCAACCCCGCTTTGACCTCGCTTTACTGTATTTGCTCTATTTTACGTAACCGCACATCCTGCTGATCTAGCTAGGTGCTATGCAGAAGAAAGAACAACATACATTACTGTAACGGAGGTGACTACTTGCTGTGCTATATTTGACAACTTGAATCATATGTCGATTGATCCCAGTCTCCTCATCCCGGATTGCTATATATCACTCATAGTACTTCTGCCAAGGATGATTCTGACGAAAGCCCAACAACTCCTTAATCTTCCTATTAGGAATAGGAGCCTCCCTTGCGCCCATGTCCCTCGTGAACGGAGTGTTAGGCGCAACTCGCTTGAGAAATTCCGCAACGGACGGCTCATAATTCGTGATTTCATCATTCACAGCATTGAAAACCTGGAAGCCCAGTCCAGCCTTCTGAACAGCCAGATCACAAATCTGCCCCAAATCTCTCGCATCAGTATAAGACCAACCATGCACAGCCCAGTCCTCCGGCTTCTTAACATAAGAATCAAACATCTCCTCCTTGTACTCCTCCGGCGCCACAATTCTCCCGATCCGAAGAACATAGATATCGGAGCCATACCGACGTGCGAAACCACGCGCCACGCGCTCTCCGCATATTTTTGAGATGGCGTATGTATCCATCGGGTTCGCGTCGACGTCTTCCTCTACTGGGAAAGATGGATATTCGAGATCACCCTCGCCGTACGCGATCCCGTAAACGGAGACTGAGCTCGCTAGGATGATCTTTTTGATACCCATTCTGGACGCTGCTTCGATGACATTGTATTGTGACGTGGTGTTGCAGCGGAATGTCTCGGTGTCAGGGACAAGCATGTTCCGTGAGTATGAGGCGAGATGGATTACTGCGTCCGGGACTAGGCCTAGTGGTTCACGGAATGGCTCTGTTAAATGGAAGTGCGAGCCAAAGGCGCTGTATACTTGGCCAGCGTCGGTGAGATCAACGCGCATGGTGTGTACGCGATCACCTAGGTTTCCCGGGAGGGGAGCCAGGTCCAGATTGAGGATGTCATGACCCTGGCCTAAGAGGTATGAGATTATGTATTGGCCGGCTTTGCCAGAACCCCCAGTGACGATAATGCGCTTTCCCATGGTGTATGTGGAGCTGGGATCCCGTTTGTGTGGCTAGGGACTGAGGGGTAAGTTGTAGATGTTAAGGGTATATGTAAAAAAAATCTTTGTGACCTAAAGAGTGCTTTCTAATCAACTGGTATTTACAAGAGTCACCAAAATGGGCATTCACCTAGGTATATGATGACGTTTCGTGCCCACAAAGCGGGGGCGGGGTGAATATACCGGGAGATGACTTTCCGGGTTCGCCGCATTCGGTGGAGATTCGGAGATTCGGCTGAAGGAGGCTCTAGGCGTGAACAATAGTTATTGATCGGAGATACTGCGATCATATATTTGCAACAGTATACCACAACAGAAGAATAGAATCTATCGTTATTTAAGGGAAAAATCCTTGCTAATCGACAAAGTCTCGACCGATGCAAGTGTGGAAGCTAATTATGAGAATCAGCCAACTTGATCGTACATTTATGAACATTGAATGCATCAAATTTCTATTTTCTTTTCTTAACTACTACGAGTGAAACTCCCTGATGATCACATTTAAAATAAGTATCTTCAAAAACTGCGTCATGGCTTCTGTAAACAGTGGTACGCGTGGGGGGAGCCTCCGGAAGATAACGTTCCGAAACAAAAGCCGGACCAACGCACTTGGATCCACAGATAAAGAGTAATAATTGGCCCACCAAATTTGAGATCCCAGATCCAACGTTGGTCCCCATATTTCGGGCTCCAATAGGAATTTTACAACCCGGACAAAATATCGATGATGCCAGTACAAAAAGAACCCGATATCCTTATCTTACCCAGTGCATAAAACGAAAAAGTCCCCGCATTCTCCACCAACCATCAACAATGTCATGTTCCTCCAAAAAGTCATGCGAGGGCTGCGCATGTCCGAGTAAGCCCTCAGCCCCCGTGCAAATTGAAGACTGCATGGAAGAGCTCAAAGCTCTCCGCAGAAGGAACCAAGAGCTCGAAACCAGACTAAGTCTCGCCGCTGAAAATGGATCTAAGGCTGTCATTCGGCAACCAGGTAGGACGCTACGCTCGTCTGCTTGGTTCGACTGTCGCAGTGATCCTGGCATGACGGCTATTTATATGGAGCGGTACTTCAATTATGGGATTACGCGTGAAGAGCTCATGTCTGGGAAGCCGATGATTGGAATCGCGCAGACCGGGTCTGATATTGCGCCGTGTAATCGGCATCATATTGAGTTGTCAAAGAGGGTAAGGGAGGGTATTCGAACGGCAGGTGGCATTGCGTTTGAGTTTCCGACACATCCTATTCAGGAGACTTCGAGAAGGCCGACTGCTACTTTGGATCGCAATTTGGCGTATTTGAGTATGGTTGAGGTTTTGACGGGTTATTTTCTGGATGGTGTTGTTATGTTGACGGGCTGTGATAAGACTACTCCGGCTTGTTTGATGGCTGCGGCTACTGTGGTATGTTCCAATATTTCTTTTCAATTCGACTGATTGGACATTGCTTATTCGATGTAGAATATTCCTACTATTTGTCTTAATGTTGGCCCGATGTTGAACGGTTATTCCGAAGGCGCGTTAACTGGCGCCGGCTCTGTCCTGTGGAAAGGGCGAGAGATGTATGCCACCGGTGAAATTGACGACGGTGAATTCATGGACTATATCTCTAGAGGGTGAGTGATTCTTTCTGGATGACTCATGCGGAATTTAATGGGTTATAGAACACCCTCCGTCGGCCACTGCAACACAATGGGCACAGCCTCAACTATGAATGCCCTCGCAGAAGCCCTCGGCATGGCACTCCCAGGCTCGGCCGCGATCCCAGCTGCTTACCGCCACAGAAGCCAATGTGCCTATGAGACCGGCAAACAGATCGTGGAGATGGTAGAATCCGATCGTAAACCAAGCGACCTGATGACCCGGGAGGCATTTGAGAACGCAATTGTGGCAAACGCCGCATTTGGAGGAAGTACCAATGCTCCTATCCATCTACTTGCTATTGCTCAGCACATGGGCGTTGAGCTATCGATGGATGATTGGGATACCCTTGGATCCCACATTCCTCTTCTCCTGAACATGATGCCATCAGGCGAGTACCTTGGAGAAGAGTACTTCCGTGCAGGAGGTCTTCCAGCAATTATGGCTGAACTCTTGGATGTTGGAAAGATTCACGGTGATGTGTTGACGTGTAATGGAAAGACAATGGCTCAGAACGTTCGTGGAAAACACTCATGGGATCGCCGGGTAATTCGCCCCTATGATGATCCTCTCATGAAGGATGCAGGATTCATCCATTTGAAGGGTACGCTATTTGATTCCGCGATCATGAAGACCTGTGTCATCTCGCCTGCTTTCCGAGAGCGATACCTCTCAAATCCGGAAGATCCCATGGCGTTCGAAGGGTCTGTCATGGTATTCGAGGGACCAGAAGACTACCATAGCCGACTGGAGCATCTGCCAGAAATCGACGACAAGACTATCCTCATCATGCGCGGCGTCGGTCCGTTAGGTTACCCCGGCGCTGCGGAGGTCGTGAACATGCACCCCCCTGGCAGACTTCTCAAGCAAGGTGTGGATGCGCTCTTTTGTATTGGCGATGGACGGCAATCAGGTACATCGGCAAGTCCTTCCATTTTAAACGCCAGTCCCGAAGCTGCCGCTGGTGGAAATCTGGCTATTCTTCGCGATGGAGATAGACTGAGGATTGATCTGCTAAAGAGACGAGTGGACATTCTTATCAGTGATGAAGAGTTGCAAGAACGGAGAAAGGAAATGCTGTCAAAGGAGTACCCTCTTGTGCCGAACGGTACTCCATGGCAGGAGATCTTCCGTCAGGAGACTGATCAGCTATCTAACGGCATGGTGTTAAGAAAGGCTGTTAAATATCAGCGTCTGGCGCAACGAAACGAGGCCCCTAGGCACAATCATTAATAGCGTTGTTTGATTGTTAGATACCATGAAGATTCATTGCATATCGGTGAAAATTTTGATCCGTTCAATTTCCGACTAAATGCCCGAGATAAAGCATCTTAAATGAGATCGATGAAGCTCACATCAACAGCTCGGGTAATTGGTGCACCAAGTTAGTTATTTATTGCCATTAGTAAGCGGGAAAATAGGTTCATCCGACATCCGTGTCTCAGAGCTATGACATCTGTCAAACCCACGGATAACCCATATGAACTATTAGGGGTAAGACGGTCCATACATTCTTGGCGAACCACTAGAAGAAAGCCACCGTACCATTCTTTTCAGATCCAAGGGCATTTTGTAGAGGTGCTGCTTACGAAGGATAATCTGCTTGATTATAAATGCGTAACGGTAGATCGTAGTGTGCTCTGGAAAGATAAAGAGAGCTTCCTGTCTCACCGATTTTCTATCTTCAGACCTGCTCAAAATGGCAGAACCAACTCCCCAACCAGCTTTCAAGAACATCGTCATCCTTGGTGGTTCTTACGCGGGAATTTCAACGGCGCACTACCTCCTCAAACATGCTATTCCAAAACTGCCAGACCAATCCACCTACCAAATCATCCTAGTCAGCGCTTCATCTGAGATAATATGTCGACCAGCAACTCCACGAGCAATGATCTCAGATGACCTACTTCCACAGGAAAAATTCTTCGTGTCAATCCCGGAGATCTTCAAAAAGTATCCCAGCACCAACTTCCTATTCGAGCATGCCCGAGCAGAGCATGTCGATCATGTGAATCGCACAGTCACCATTCACTCAGACACAGATCAGGAGAAAAAGATCTCTTACCACGCCCTAATCATTGCAACCGGCGCTTCAACCGCATCGCCTCTCCTGAGTCTAAACCAAGACTCAAAGTATCTCCGCGCACAATGGGCGCTTTTCCGGGATGCCTTGAAAAATGCAAAAAGCATTGTGATTACCGGTGGTGGGCCCACTGGAATCGAGGCGGCGGGCGAACTGGGCGAATACCTTAATGGTCAGCCTGGGTGGTTTGCTTCTAAACTCGAGTTTCCCAAGGTTGCAATTACAGTTGTGACTTCCGCTTCTCAAATTCTGCCGATGCTACGAGCTAGTATTGCTCACAAGGCCGAGATGTATCTTGCACGCGTGGGAGTGACGATCATCAAGGGTACCAAAGTGACGGGCGTATCGCCGCTGGAATCGGGGACGGATTTTGCGCTGCCGTCCAAGACTACCGTATCGCTCTCAGATGGGTCGGAGCTTGAGGCTGATATTTACATTCCGGCTATGGGGATGGTGCCTAATACGGCGTTCCTTGATAAGTCGCTACTTGCGTCTGATGGGCGGGTTGAGACTAATCCGTCTACTCTGCGGGTGGATAAAGCCGGAGATCGGGTCTACGCTGTTGGTGATGTGGGCTCGTATGGAAGGCCGGCTGTGCATGCGATTCTGAATGCAATTCCAGTGGTCTGCGGTAATATCAAGCGGGATTTACTCATTACTTCTGGGGTGAATGAAACTTCTTTGGAAGCTGAGCGGGCGTACAAGGAGGATACGCGGGAGACGCAGATGGTTCCTATTGGGAGGAGCAAAGGAGTGGGTGCAGCGATGGGATATCGGCTGCCTAGTTTCCTAGTTTGGTTGATCAAGGGTCGGGACTACTGGCTTTGGACGACGGCGGGCTTATGGAGTGGGAAGCAGTGGGAGAAAGAGTCCTGAATAGCGGGGGCGTTTGCTGCGTTGGGTATTGCAAGTAGAGTAGAGCTCAGTAGAATAGGTGGCTGCGTAGCTGATTATTGATAATGGGGTATTTCCAAGACTCCTGTCCAAGGGCGACATGTAGACTGAATCACTAATGGATGCATAGGGTTTTGGCGCTTTAATACCTAGAGCTGGTAGCAAGGTAGTCAGATAAGAACACCGCAGGGTTTCAAAATAACAGAACTGGTTCGATCAAAGGACTATTGAGATTCACATGAAGGAAACCATCCTTGAACGCCGCGCTAGTTTGCAAAGCCGTAGTTGAGCCAAAAGGGATAATTCAACCAGCACTAGACATCGAAAATAGAAAATAACCTGAGGTTAGTCGTCAATTAGTACCACAAGGAAAGTTCTTAAGAAACCTGACTTTTCCAGGTCAAGCAGCCTGGTTTCGAAGAAAATAAAAAAGCCAAAGAACGTATTTCAGTAGAGGACTGTTGTTCTTTGCGGGATGAACAATTGCTGGGCGACTTCATCCTAGGAAAACTGTACATAGAACAGTTAGCACGAGCCATGATCAATATGGGCAAATGCCTTACCCTCCCAGTCCCATTCTCGCATGATATTCACCCAATGCAATCTGCCTCGAACCGTTCTCTCAAACTCAATATTCTCAAGTGGTGAAAGCGCTGATCCACGCCGAGAAGTCGCGGGGTTGAAGAGAGGATAACATGATATCCCGCGTGCAGATTCATCATGCTGACCAATGGAGTGTGTACGATTTTGACGGCTTCTCCCTTTATTTTCATCTGGAGACCGGAAGTCAAAAGTCGCATTGCCCTTGCTCAAAGAAAAGGAGCCAACTCGCGGAGTGGAGCCTTGTTGTTGCCTCTGAGCATTGAGTTTGTCACGACGAGCCCACACCTCTCGTACAACATCAAGGCAACGATCGATTCCACCCAGCATGAGCCGAGACTGAACAATGAACCATCGGTCCATAACCCATCGCCGGTCATCCTCGTCGTCAACTTCAGCCCCGGCGGCGATGAGCGGGAACATTTGAATGATGGTTGTCCGTGAAGTGGAAGGCACCGTGGCCAACAATATCAATACCCGCTTTGCTAGTTCTTCGGGCGACTCCGATGGCATTTCTGGCACGGCCTGGTGGAGGTATAGCAATGTTGCCCAGCGATATGCATGCGCCACTTGGATACTGTGCTGCACTTCGGAGGCAGGGTCTTCTGGCGGTTGGAACCAAAGTGGTGGCTCCCACTGTTCCAGCAATGATTTCAGTTCCATTCCCTGGGCGACTATTGAGACTGAATTCGAGGGACATTTTCGCACTCGCTGGATCAGTCTCGCGACGCGCCCGATGATTGGAAAGAGGGTAGCTGCACAGCCCATCAATGGATCAACCTCATGGACAGCACCATCGGGCAGCTGGAACATGTCTCCGTTGAGATCATCCGGGTCCGAGTCATTCAACGATGTGAGTCGAGCGATAACATCCATATAAGTCCAGGTGTTATACAAAAAGCGAATACGATTCAGGCGGTCTGTGCTTTGACCACTTTGCACTTGTGAATTTAGTACCCGCCGCATCAACACCTTTGCTCCTCGCAGGTGTGAAACGCAGGTGCGGGTATCCTGATCCCAAGTATCAGCAAATGCGAGCGCAAGGCTAGTCGCCAAGGCCGTATCAGTTTGCATACTGGAGATTTGCTCCCGCAGGATTGCCGTGCTCTGCCTCATGTGCTTGAAACCTTGAACGCGCAAAGAGGGATTTTCCTTGGAAGAGTGGAAGGCAGATAGAGCGAACAGAGCATGATATAGAGCGGGTGTGTCCTTGGCGAGTGGCCAAATCAGCGTCCTCCATGGATTTTCTGTCCGGCCATCTTTGATTGACAAGATGCCACACGTCAACTTATCGAAACGCAGAGCGAGCATCTGTTGGCTCTCTGGTGCCAATGATGGCTGACTTGAGAGACTGGAGAAATCGAGTATATTATCTTGACCAGAGAGAGGGAAATTCCAATTTGTGTCCGTATTGGACTGCCGGATTATCTCTTCAATCTCGTCATTATCCTCTTCAAGCAACTGGGAGAGGCTGAAGTCTAATTTGAGTGGCTGTTGATACTCTGGACCAAAGGCTGTTGGTCCTGAAGTATCCTCAACATTCGTGTCTACCATCAGACCATCATCAAAAGGTACAGGCTCTTGGAAAAGCTCCAGAAAAGGAAACAAATGGCAAGGATCAGCGTCCATGGAGTTGGAGACGGGGATGCTTGGAACCACATCCACGCCTGCAGACGAATGTTCAGATATGGTTGCGAATTCCTCAAGAGAATGGGTATCACCGGACACATAGCTTCCAATGCTCCCCGGTGAGCCAAGCAAATATGATTCCCGGGGCGATGTGTCTGCATGAATCGGCTGCACCCGACTGGGTGAGTCTGGTAGTTCGGTAGTTACAGGAGTAGGGAAATCCTCCTGTTTTGCGAGAGGTTGAGAATTCTCGTTTTCTAGGGCAGACGCATCAGATATGAACTGCAAGTTTTCAGAGAAGTACTTTTGACACCAGATACCTTTCTTTGTTGGCTTGATGGGAGTCGACCGACCGACAGCGACGTTGGTCTCCTCGAAAGGCCTCCATTTGAAATCCTTCTTGTACCCACCACACGTCACCTTGCGTCGATCGCACTGGTAACAGGACGGCTTCGTCTCGTCGCACTTCAACCGTTTTGCCTTGCAGGTGATACAACCTGGGCATCACGAAGTAATCGGGTCAGCGTTCTGCGCGGCAGTTGGGCACGTAGTGCCCAGTTTAATTGAAGATTTTCTTCTTTCTGATCAGATAAACACCGTACCATTTCGACTCTTCGTCTGCCTTGGCTTTTGAGTTGATTTGGGAATCCGCTTGGTCTGGGGTGACGATGCAGGTTTTCCCCGCCCCGACGCTGGGGCCGTGTCGGGCGAATCTAAAATCGTGGACGGCGATGGGATTTTAATATTTTCCATACCAAGGCAATGTTGAATGTTCAAGTGTTTTCACCCAAGGGGAAAAGAATATAAAAAGCAAATAGGTGTTGACGGGGATGACGAAGATAAGACGGAGGGCACAGCGAATGACAGAGACTCGATAGGAATTAGCTTGAACGGGGAGGTGTAAACAGTGATAAGGCGGCACCCCCGCATGGAAACTTGGAGAGCCGTGAGGGGTCAGTTCACCTGGAACATTGCAATCTGAGCCGAGATATGTGTTGGCAGTTTGAGATGGCTTGCTCATGTGGATTTCTGAAGTGAAATCTTGCTGTTAGATGCAATATCTAGGAGGATGTTTCAAGGTTGTAGCGCCGGTGTGAAGATGTTGACACGCACAAAGAAAAGACAAACTCATCCCTGCCAAAAGCTTATTACTTCTGGTCCAATATGAACTGTTGATGGGTAGACATCATTTGCAGAGGTTTGTGAAAATTCCCGACATTCATTATGACTTCGTTATCGCATTAAACAACCATGCAATCCGAATATAATAGTCAACTCCAAAAGCTGGAGAGTGTATAGAAATTTCGCGGTGATGACATGGGAGCTTCGAAAGGCGGTAAGACTTAAACTTGTCAAATTCCAATCATCCTTGCAATATCAACCTAGAATGTTACATTGACTACAGACTATGTGATTGGCAAACCAAGAAGGAATCAAGAAATCAAGAGATGGGATGTGCCAGGAGTTGGTGGCTTGGTATTGACAATGCCAAAAGTATAAGAAAACAATTAAAAGGCAATGCGCAAGACGCGGGCAGCGCGAAGGCAAAACATGAGTAACGCACAACAGAGAGACACAATGAAGTACAATATGCACGACACGACCAGGACGAAGGCCATGGACTTCAAAGCGGTCGACACGACCAGCACAAAAAGGCATGAGATACAAAGTGCATAACGCGACCAGCGCGAAGGCTATATACATGCGAGAGACCTGACGCGACCAGCGCGCCGTCCCAAAGAGCCTCCAAAAAAACCCCAAAGACACCCCCTATCACCTCACCCCGTCTCACTTACAACAGTGAGTACGGAACCACCCCGTTCTGGCGCTTCCATGGCGGAGTCTCACCCCCCGACGTCAGTCCCCCTCCCGTAGGTCGGTAATCGGACTTGCCGTATTCCTGATTACCCGGGACCCAATCCAGGCGCGAAGTCGATCGCTCTTCGACTTTGGGATGGTCGAGCTCATACTCGACAGAGCCATCATCCCGGTAACGGCGCCTGACCCTGGGCTGGTCTGCACGGGCAGGAGGAGGCGGAGGCATGAGACCCGTGGCGGCGGCCTCTGGAAATGCGAAGGCCGGTGGACTCGGCGGCAGATCCATATCAACGTCTTCCGGGTGCCCGCACCCCACCGTCATGTCGAATGACAGGAACTCTTGCAACTCCAAGGTTTGCTGAATCCACTTCTCATCGCAAGCGAGAGGTGTGGCCAGCGCACTCGTGGAGACAGGAGGGAATCGGCTGACAAGGTCAGCAGGTCCAGCCTTGCATAACTCCATCACACCTTGATACTGTTAGCAAATCTGGTATTCGGAGTAAAAGGGAATGAAATGATGAGCACGAATTTGATGGACTTACTAAGCGCAGTGCGATGGAGGCCCACCCAGAGGAACTCCGGAGTCAGCACCACGCGGAGGACGAACGCCGGCGCTCGCCCTGTCGACGCGATGGCGCAGGTCATCGTCACCACGAGGCTTGTGACAACCCAGTCGAATGCGACGATGAGGGGGGTTGGACCAGCCAACAGATCACCCAGCAGGGTCGACTGCCCCCAGGAGTTAAACTCAGACTGGGGGTCGAGGAGATGGCGGCTAGCCAGGTTGGTGAGGTTCTCCTTTTCCAGGGAGACCAGGCGGCCAGTGCCCCAAGGAGGCAAGGAGGAGGAGGAAGAGGAGGAAGCAGCGTTGGAAGAAAAGGAAGATATTGTGTGAATGGGTCAAAGAAAGGAAAGTGAAAGCTGAGAGACTCTAATTTTTTTTTATACCTTTCGATCTGAAGTGAATATCAAAGTGGATAGCAAAGTGAATGTGAGTAGTGATGTTTGAAATAGGCAATGAACGTTGACCCTTGAGGGTCAACGAACAAACCATTGAGAACAATATCTAGGACTCAGTCAGGACGATGACCCTCGGGGGTCATTGTTCATAAGAAATTACACTCCACCGCTAAGAAATATACAATTCATTTAGAACAATAGCCAGTTCACGGTGAACATGAGTAGGTAGGAAAAAGATAATGACCCTCAAGTCCAACAGACAGACTATTGGAAACACAAAATGATGAACCTTCGAGGGTTATCGTTCATATAAGGTGACACTGCGCTGTCGACAACCTTATTTACACCTCAGTTGAGAATAATAGCTAGCATTCAGCGAATGAGTTGAGTGAAGCAGTCAATGACCATTCGAAACCGTTGAAACCGCGAATTGACTGATTTACACCTAGATTGATTATTGATACCCACGGGCTATGCTTATGAGTCACTTCATTTGCACTTCTTTCCCAAAGGCCTGTGGATCTGCCTTCAAAAAACTTTTACTGTTTACTAACAAGCTAGCACTTGAGGACGGTAACAGGGCAAATACAATTGATGCTACTGAGTAGCTAATTGTGATAAGCATCTTGGGAGAAATACTCTAGAATATTTATGCATCTTCAACCCTTGCAAACACCCGAAGATCCTTGATTGCGTCCAACGATCACCTGGTCATGTGTCACTTTGACTGCCTCAGGTAGCGGCGATCTCCACAGAGAAATCTTGCTCTTTTTCTCTTTCTTCCTTCCTTCTCCACTACTTCACACAGAGGCAAAATGAGGCTTACTAGATTTTGACATAGGAAGCCAAACTAGGAAAGCTCTCGGAAGTCAACAGACATGGTTAACCGCGGCAGATCCACATGAGCTGGTTGAACATCAGCATCCAACATCTACAAGATGTCAAGTGCCATGGATTATTTCAATAGCCCGCCGCATGTTCAAAAACTCGCGGAGAGCCTGGTACGTCTTTTGGTTTAGATAGGTGTGTGTAGTGATGACTATATCATGTGTGCCGATACACTTGAGGAGTTACTGCATAGGCGACGTGTGTTGTTGTCTCTGACGCAAACCTTTTCTTGAGGTGAATACCAATTAAACAAGGCCCTGTTGAGCTTCGTTTCCGACATCAGCTTTATGAAATTTATACCGAAGTGGTCCACACCGAGTACGCCTACAACCCTGCAGTCCACCAAGCCAAGCCTTGCTCACCTAAGTGCGTAGACTCAGACTGCCATCGTTACAGAGTGCGCAAAATCACATTTTCCGGCTTCTATCCTTGACACAAGTGCATTGACGCTGTATGCCCTGGGCTGACGGGTTGTCTGCTTCCACCGCAATTCGAAACAGACCATCCCAAGGCGGCGAGGCCGAGGAACGATCGACCCCCATCTGGGCAAGACTCCGCAGGGGTATGGCACCTCCGAATACCGCCCAACGGGGGACTGGAAACCCGGTAGAAGCACCGAACTGCGGCGATCCCATATTCCCATGGTTTGATGTTTGTACGGTGGTGATCGTTTTTAGGTTTCTTTCATTTGATCTCGTCAGTTCGATAGTGCGTTTACTTTATTTTTTCAAATTTAATACCTAGCGCTCGCGCATTCAATACAAATATTCTCGTCGCTCGCGAGCCACATAGACTTGAGCAAATGTAGCACCACAAATTCGAAAGTAAGGTCAACCCCCGGATATTGCGGATGTTACGTCCTGTTCATAGTGCGGCAAGTGGATCTTACCCCCCAAAATCACGGCCCGAGGTGCAACAGCGAACGCGGAGGCGGAGAACAAGTGAACATATGCAGTTGGAATTTCCTTTCCTTCATTTCCCCGTCACCAGTTCTCTTTGGCAATTCACCTCATAATGTTCCGTTCCATACCCCGAAGACTTCCTTGCCATCTCCCTCGTCCAACTGCGCCAACCCGTCTCGCCCTGCGCTCGTTCACATGCGCTTATCCTCGGATGTCATCATCGCCCGTTCAACCATTGTCCACCACACTCCCCTCCGACGCATACCAGCTGCTGTCGACCGCGGAGAAAGCCGGTGCTGCAGAGGATGCGCTATATGAACAACAAGTCCGCGACGTGCAAGCATGGTGGAACTCACCCCGGTACGAGGGCATCAAGCGACCCTACTCAGCCGAGGATGTCGTGAGCAAACGTGGATCGCTCCAGCAGAGCTATCCCAGTTCGCTAATGGCGCGGAAACTATTCAACCTGCTGAATGAGCGGGCAGCGGCTGGCGAGCCAGTCCATACCAGTGAGTGTTGATGGAGGTCTATTACGCTCTGTGGGACCCGACCGGCTAATACGTGGGGCAAAACAGTGGGTGCCATTGATCCTGTCCAGATGACCCAGCAGGCTCCTAACCAGGAGATTTTGTATATCTCTGGCTGGGCATGCTCGTCTCTTCTTACCAGCACAAACGAGGTTTCCCCCGATTTCGGCGATTATCCCTATAATACGGTGCCGAACCAGGTCCAGCGCCTGTTCAAGGCGCAGTCGATGCATGACCGGAAACAGTGGGATGCTCGACGGAAATTAACAGCTGAAGAGCGCAGAAACACCCCTTATGTGGATTACATGCGACCGATTGTGGCGGATGGCGATACCGGGTATGTTTTGGTTTCACGCTCGTGGGGCTACATCGCTGACGATTGGGATCTACAGACACGGCGGTTTATCGGCGGTTTTGAAGCTGGCCAAGCTGTTTGCTGAGAATGGTGCTGCGGCTGTACACTTTGAGGATCAACTTCACGGCGGGAAGAAGTGCGGCCATTTAGCAGGTAAAGTTCTGGTGCCCATTGGTGAGCACATCAACAGACTTACAGCTGCGCGATTCCAATGGGATATGATGGGATGTGAGAACTTGGTGATTGCGCGCACGGACTCGGAGAGCGGTAAACTCATCAGCAGCGCCATTGATGTGCGCGACCACGAATTTATCCTCGGTATCACAGAGGAGGTGGAGCCGTTAGCCGAGACCCTGCAGGCGATGGAGCGCGAAGGCGCTTCGCCAGCTGAGATTGATGCTTTCGAACTGGACTGGGTCAAGAAGCACAAGCTTGTCTCTTTTGATGAGGGTATGTGACAAGAAATCCCGTGTTCAGGCACTATTACTGACATCTCCAGCCGTTGATGCCCACCTCGAAGCTGAGGGTGCCAGCCAGTCCGTTCGGGACGCCTACAAGGCCCACGTTCAGGAAAATCCTAATCTTTCCTTCTCTCGTCGTCGGGTTTTGGCTAGCGACTACACCAAAACTCCAGTGGTCTGGTCATGCGACAGCCCACGTACCCGAGAAGGATTTTACCATTACCGCGCAGGCTTCCCAGCCGCTACCAAGCGTGCCAAGGAATTTGCTCCGTATGCCGACCTCCTCTGGGTTGAGACCGGCGACCCGGATGTTCAGAAGGCAGGCAAGTTGGCCGGCGATATTCGCGAAGTCTATCCTGGCAAAAAGCTGGTTTACAACCTGAGCCCATCGTTCAACTGGATGAGCCAAGGCTTCACCGAGGCATCCCTGAAGTCATTCATCTGGGATATTGCCAAGCAAGGGTGAGTCCTCTAGGATCAGTTTGGCTACGAGATACTAATTTACTTAGATTCGTCCTGCAACTGATCTCCCTGGCTGGTCTTCACAGCAACGCTACTATCACAACAGAATTATCTCGTGCCTTCAAGGACGAGGGCATGCTTGCATACGTGCGACTCATTCAGGCCCGTGAGAAGGAGCTTGGTGTTGATGTCCTTACTCACCAAAAGTGGAGTGGTGCCCCTTACATGGATGGTATTCTGGGCGCGATTCAAAGTGGAAGCAGCAGCAGCAAGAGTATGGGAGAGGGTAACACCGAGAAGGGTAAGTCATTCCAAACGACCTGGATATAACCAATATTGACTAATCGACCAGATTTTTAAATTGAATGAGTCGCTATACTCCCATCATCATTGTACAGAATTTAAAGAGCATGTATTCCTGCACTGTGCCTTGTAGCTTCAAGCCCCATAATCATAGTTAGGTTCGCAGTGAAATTGGATACTTTTGTACCTTGGAAACCCCTAGCCCCCGAGTTATCATTTCCTCTCTTTTGCTTCTCCTCCTACTTCTCCTTTATTTTCTTCCTATTTCACTACCTATCATTTAGAGCAGTCATTGACTGGCTAACTAAGACGATAGGTAAGAAGCCTGAAGATAGAGGAGTTACGAAGATTCGGGAGATACTGCTAAATTACGAGATTAGGGTACTGTAACTCGTTCGTAAGATATGATTGAGGGGGTGTGTACAAAACTTGGGGTAAATACTTCTGGAATAGCGCGAAGCACGAAGCAGACCAGCAAACCAGAGGAGGATATGCTATCATTATCAAATAACTTAACAACCTGACTATTTCATTCTATTGTTGAAAACAAGCATCCAGAAATATTCGATACACGAGGTATCCCACGCATCATGGTCTTAGATACAATTGTGAAAAACGGCCTCATAGTAGGTAACTGTTATTGTTTCAAATGAAGGGAACACAATAGGCTGACCGAAACAGGTCACGGAAAGCGGAGTGCTTCCGGCTGGGCAAAGCATAGGCATTTCCAATGGGAAAATTTCTGTCATAGGATATGACTTAGTCGAAAGCCCCCATACCAAGATCATTGATGCAGAGGGAGCCTATATCACGCCTGGCGGTGTTGACTCGCATGTTCATCTTGCCCAGAGCAACGCCCCAACTGGGGATAATTGGGAGACTGGAACTCGAAGCGCCGTTGCCGGTGGCACTACAACAGTGCTGGCCTTTACATCACAGACAAAGGAGATGCCAACTTTGTTTCCCGTCCTAGAGGAATACCACAACAAAGCTCGTGGACAGGCCTATTGCGATTATGGATTTCACTTTATTATCACAAAGCCTAATCCGACGATCCTGCAACAAGAGCTACCGTTACTCGTCAAGGAAGGAATCACAAGCGTGAAACTATACATGACTTACGAGTTATACAAGCTATCCGACCATGAGCTTCTGGATACATTACTCGCATGTCGCTCCCTGGGAATGACGACAATGATACACGCAGAGAACGGCGACATGATCCAGTTCCTGGTCGAAGGACTAGAAAGAAACGGCAACACTGCACCATTCTTCCATGCGATCGCCGGACCAAAGATAGCCGAGGACGAAGCATCCTACCGCGCAATTCGACTCGCAGAACTAGTCGACGCCCCCGTCCTCCTAGTCCACGTGTCCGCCGACGGAGCTATGAAGCACATCAGAGACGCACAGACTCGACTCCTCCCCATCCACGCTGAAACATGTCCCCATTATCTCTTCCTGCTCTCCGACAGATTAGCAAATAAGGAGCACGACCATTTCCACGGCGCAAAGGGCGTCTGCTCTCCACCTTTTCGCCACAACGTTGAAGATCTAGAAGCTCTCTGGCGCGGAATAGCCAATGACACATTCACCGTTTTCTCCTCCGACCACGCTCCATCCAAATATGACCATCCCCAGGGAAAGAAAGTAGGAATCATCAACGGGATCCCGAAATTCAGCAAGATACCCAAGGGAATTCCCGGTATTGAGACGAGATTGTCGCTTCTTTTCAGTGAATCAGAAGGCTGTGTTCCAAAAGAGCGCGCTAGACTCAGTCTTGCTCGCTTCGTGCAGCTGACGTCTGGGAATCCGTCGAGACTGTATGGACTTCCGCAGAAAGGGTTCATTTTGCCGGGATTCGATGCGGACCTCGTCATCTGGCACGCAGGTGATAAGGGTGAAAGAACGATTTCGCAGGTTAATTTGCACCATGATGTGGATTATACACCGTTTGAAGGGATGCGAGTGAGGAATTGGCCTCGGTTTACTATGCTGCGCGGTGAGATTGTCTGGAATGCAGATGAGAATATGGTTAGTGGCGTGAAAGGATTTGGACAATTTATCAAACGCAAGACTGGGCGTGTGTTGGTTGGAAAGACTGGCCAACTTCCAGCTGGTATGATGGAGGGAGAGCGTAAATTCTGGCTGCCTAAAAAAAAGGACTGAATATTGAATAATCATATTATTTTACATTTATAATGCACGGGTCCGTATTCCAAAGAAGTTTTCAAGCTGAATATCCTTGAGCCGTGAAAACTCTCACAATCCGAAGTTCAATAATCTGTAGTCTAATTCAGCGCTTATCAGCATCTTCTCGTGGTGAGCCAATCTGGGAATCATCGGGGTAGATACCCCCACTCTTGGGAGACGCAATAGCCCCGCTCATTTCTGACCTGTGATTGCATTCATAAAGAGTACATCTATTTTGAATAATACAGGACAGTTCTTGTGGTGATTTGGTAAATAATCTAAGACTGTAAGAATACTCAATGAGTATGTTTCGGCTCCCTAGTCGTGCTGCACCGTTCATCGCCTTAACCATCGTACCTCAATTGAAAGAGCACTGAAAGCAAAATGAATGCGGAACTCCCCAATGTGTCAGGCTCCTCGAGTGAACGAAGAATCAAAATTCTGCTAGTAAATCCAAATTCTAGCGAATACATGACAATGGACTGTCTAAAAGCCATTGAGCCTACTCTACCCCCACACGTCACAGTTCATGGGTTCACTGCTCCACAACCGGCACCGACAGCAATCGAATCTCAAACAGATGCGGTGCTTTCCACTGCAGAGTGCATCAGGGCAATCAAGCCGATTGCAATGAACTACGACGCCTTTCTCGTCGCATGCTTCCGAGATCACCCTCTCATCCGGGTCCTCAAAGAAGAGTTTCCCCAGCCGGTGCTCGGAATAATGGAAGCCGCAATGTATGCTGCGCGCATGCTTGGAGATAAGATGGGGATCGTGTGCACGTCAGACCGATCAATGATGGCTCATTCAAGCACTGTATCCACCTATGGGTTCTCGAACTACTTCTCCGGATGTGAATCGGCTAAATTGGGCGTTCTGGAGCTTGATTCGAAGCCGAAAAACGAAGTACATGCAAATATAGCTCAGAAAGTTCGTCGGCTTGTTGAAGACAAGGGTGCTGATTGTGTTTTGTTGGGCTGTGCGGGAATGGCAGAAATGCGGACTGTTTGTGAGAATGCTGTGGAAGGGACTGGAGTGAGGGTGTTGGATGGTGTGACTATAGGTGTTCAGTTTCTTGTTGGCTTGGTGACAGAAAACCTCATGACTGCAAAATCTGGTGTCTATCGAGATTCTGGAGCAGATAGGTTGAAGCGGAATCAGGAATGGCTTTAAGATCGTATAATTATATTAGGAAATATTGTCATTATAAGCCTCACTGAAGTAGGATTTTATTGATAAGAATACGGATTGAATGGCGGTGAGACAGAAATTGGGGAATAACTGACTCCTTATCTATCCCCGCACTAGTGACCAACGCAGCTACTGTGTATGCCATGCGACCCCGTATTGAAGTTGCGCCGTGCAAGTTTTGCCAGAGGCGCTTCTCAAGAAGAGAACATCTACTTCGCCATGAGCGGACTCGTGCGTGAAACCTTATTGATTGATGCTTACAAGGCCTAAAGAGTCATGACTTACTGGTTGGTACAGATACACATGAGAAACCTTTCAGCTGTCGTTGCAACAGGAAGTTTACTAGACGGTGAGTATGATTCTTCCTATCAATTGGACATTCAAATAACGGGTGATAGTGATCTTCTCTCGCGACACCTGAAGATCAAGAATGACCCTTCCTGTCACCAGGAGATGGAGTCCGATGCAAACAACCATAAGGTTGACCTCGAATCAACATCCGTGCTTACGGGACTAGATGGCCAGGAAGTCCAGTCGGTGAGTTGTACAGCGGGTCCGCGACAAGGGTATAATGACATCTCGAATTCGGCTATACAATTCCACTTACAAGCAAGTCCTGCCAATGGAGTGCAATTAGCAAGTGGGATACAACTACCAGGGAATACTGAACTTGCTCCAAGTTCAATACAGCATTTTGACGAGAATCTGCAAGATCTCAATATTCTGTGGGGAGGCATGGATGGGAACTTTGCCCTCGAGAAATATTTCCCCTTGGGTGCCGAGTTTCCCAATGACCTAATCTCAGTTCCAGAGTTTGATATCTACGAGGCGACGAGCTCAGCATTTACTGGGCCGTCAAGTGGCGGAACGGCTGACGAGAAAAGCCCGATGACCTAGACTCGGATGATGACGCATCCCTATGCAACTACCAGCTTCCATCTTTACGTCCGACTAATGTGGACTACTGTCAGGATGCAGAGGATCTTTCTGAGCGACTTGACTCCCCTACAGAACAAATGGAGAATCTTATAACTTATCCATGGCGTATCGGAAAAGAGGACTATCAAACTATTCTGTATTGCATTGAAAATATTCATCATATTGTGGGTGCAGAATTCGTCTTCCCCTCCAAGTATGTCTTTTGTCGATACATCGAGGGTTTTTTCACTGGAAGTCATGGACATTTGCCTCTGCTTCATCTTCCTACAGTTTCCGTTGCGAAGTTGACCCCATCATTGATTCTAGCAATCATGGCTATGGGTGCACAGTATCGATTTGAGAGTAAACGTGCTGTTTGCTTTTACAGAGCGTCGAAATCAGTAATTGATCATTTTATCCGTGTGAACTCACCATGTCCCGCATTCTCCCATTCAAGGACAGATGAGGATTTTACCCTTGCCAAGAAAGATATGCTAGAGACTTTGCAATCACAAATTATTCTCTCGACCCTCGGGATTTGGGGACATCGCGACCTGCTACATGATTCCGCATCCATGACCGCGCAGATAGCGCAAACTCTTCGAGATTGCGGCCTATTCAATGATGAGAATTCTGAGAGCGAATCGTGGAATACATGGATTGAAAGAGAGGGACAACGACGCACTATATTTACTGCTTATCAACTATCCAACAATCGATCCATTTTATACAACATGCCACCAAAGATTTTGAACAGCGAAATGAGCACCCTGTATCTCCCTTCCCCCGAAGAACTATGGAAAGCACCCAATGCCACCGAATGGAAAGCTCTTCGCTCAAAGTGGCCCCGATGCGTCTCCTTTAGAACCGCATATGCCCGATTATTCCGACCGAAGCAAACAAGACGAAACCACTCCTGTCTATCATCATTCGGAAACCTAGTCCTCATCCACGGAGTCTTCCAACACATTCTCCTCGCCTGGGAATTCGCCAGTTCAACATCCCTGCCAACAGAACCATCAGCAGTCCTACCAGCGGACATGCTCTCACAATTCCACGCTGCATTACGGAGATGGCAAAGGAGCTGGGAAGCAAGCTCTGACCCGTCCACAATCACCCCATCTTCCCCAAAAGGCCCTCTAGGTTTCAACGCAACCGCCATCTTCCGCATAGCCTGCATTCGACTCCACCTAAATTTAGGCCCGCATCGCAGCCTAGGAACATGGAATCCGGAAGTTATCGCAAATGCCTTTCTCAATGCCCCCAATCCACAACAATCACCCCAGGTCTATCACGCAGTCCTGCAATCTATCCATGCTCTTTCCATCCCTGTTCGTCTAGGCATAGATTACGTCGCACGAACACAGACTCTGACATGGAGCACAATCCACTCTCTCTGTAATTTGGAATGTGCTTTATTCTTATGTAAGTGGCTTGAGACTCTGGCCGTTACTCCAGGAGAGCTACATAATGATACGAAGCGGCTTTTGAGGATTATTGCAAGTGTACTCCGGGAAGCTGATTTGGCTCCACCGAGTACCGCTAGTACTGGCGGTGAGGGAGGTCAACAGCTACGGAGAATGGGGGCTCTACTCGTGCGGTTGCTTTCGGAGATTTTGAAGGGAGAACATGTGTTTGAGATGATGCGTGTGTTCTGTGAGGCGTTGAGAATGTATGCTTGTTTGTTGGATCAGGGGGCGCACCCTAACGAGGGAATTTCCGCGTAGCATGGGCTTCATTTTAATGAATTGTGAATATAATAAAATGCAATGAACCCTTGATAAAGACATCAGGCAAATTAAATCAAAGTAACTCAAGCTGAAGCGTTCAAACGGTGCTTTTCCCATGGTGGAAAAGATAAACCGGATTCGCGAATGATGTCTCATTGCTCTCATTGGGGATAACCTCATACGTAACTGAGATCTCTTGAGTCTGCTTGATTCCCGCGTCACTCAAAATACTCTTACCACTGTCGTCATCCTTTCGGTCGTTCAATGTTATCATGTCGCCATTCATATAATAGTAGGGGTCCGATCGGTCTTTGCCGTTACCGGTGCGTATAGCGCTGCGACGTTTACCAGAATAGTTTGCGTAGGGATCCGTTTCTTCTTTTGAGGAGCGCATGCGTACGAGGAGGATGCGGAGGCTTGGGATTGAAGCGGCGAATATTGTTAGGCCTGTTTCGGCAGAAGCCCAAAGAACGATGGGGGTGCAGTAGTCTGTTGGAGTTAGAGGAAAGTCAACGGGAACGTTCATTTTGGTGCATCTTACATGTGAAGTCGTTAAGCTTGGAGACGTTGACGAGTTTGGATGTTTTGATGAACGCTGCTACCGAGGCACTGGCTAAGTTAGCGGGAACTTTATGGGTGGGGATTTTAGACTCACAAAATACCCATACTCATAGCGATGATAATGCCGAACTTCTCGCGCTTTTTCATTTGAAGTTTCCAGAGGATTACCCAAGGGAATAGAGCGAGGATAAAGTCCATACATCCGGAGTATGCTGAGGACCAACGTGTGAGTATAAAAATTGCGTTGCGGTTCAAGCTGGACTTGGATTCGACTTTACCTCCCGCAGTTAAGGCGATGTTCTCAAAGACACTAGTGGGCCAACACTTGGCTGTAGCCATCAGTGTTGTATTCCAAAGTGCAGCCGCTGGCCTGCATTGAGCCAAGTAGCATATGCCACAGAGCCACATTATGGCGTTCATGCTGATCATGATAAACCACAGCACCATCTTCTGCCATGGACTTGTTACTATCCGCAGCAAAGTTATAACGAATGATGTCTTCGCGAAGACGCAACCGAAGATAATAATCACAAAGCCAATATAGACTAGTTTCAGTGCGTGGGGTAGGAGATTTTGATCCTCGATAGCTTCGCCATGTCTTCCAATAACTCCCATCTGTACTCCCTTCGTAATCAAGCCAGTGTAAACGAGTTGCAGCATCTGGAAGTACGTTAGATCAAGACTAAACCTCAAGCACAGTGCAGTTTGATACCGACCCAAGCAAAAACACAAACGGCATCATCCCACCCATATCCCCTCGCAAGTATGATCTTACAGTATAGTCGCAGCGCAACGAACAGACCAGGAACGACAATCAGGATCCAACTTGCAGCCAATATCACCGGTCCCTCATTTTGAGCCGCCTCTACTGCAGATATAGCCATGATTCCTTCAGAGAATGATTCTGCAGCCTATGCAAAACGCAAGATGCAAAAAGTTATCATTAAATCCAGTGCCAAAACTCGCACCCCGGAGATCTAGTTTCTCTAAATACATCGACCTGCAAGTTAACCCAAAATACATTTCAAGTTTTGAAAAATCTCAGCTCACAGAACCCCTGAAACCTGAACATTGGCCCCGAAAAACAAATTCCATTTACATAAAGCACGCCCGACCGCTCCAATGTGATTGCTCGATTATCACCCAAACAGAAAAATTATCGGCACGCCTAACGGGATCCTTGATTCTGCACTATGTCATCCGCCATTGAGAGCTGGATCCAATTAGCGTAAAATGACATGCCGATCTTCGTGTGGTTGTTTTTTTGCCCATTAATCACCCCATAGTGGCTGGTGCTTGTTAGAGCAGGACACAATCGATAAAATTCGATCTGGCCTTAATCGGGTCAGATACATGCTGGTATGCTGCATTGAATTGGAGTCTGGTAAGTTGAAACTACCAAGGCTGAAGGAGATGGGTCGATCCTGGCCCGCACTTGGCTTTATTAGGGTTAGCGTTGGGGCTGTTTCGGGTGGAAGGGGTCTGTGCGGTGGTGATGGGTCATTCTGTGATAAGACCCATAAAGTGCTATAGCTCAATATTTATAGGTTTAACGGCACAGGATATTGTATTGGGTAATTATTCTAGGATGTGATCTATCATTTGAGGCGTACATCGATGAAACTGTTATGAAAAGTCTGCACATGTGAGCAAATGACCACCATAGCAGGGAACTTCTGACAATTAGCTAAAGCAATAATATCCCCATCTCTTCGCTACAGCATAAGAATGTCCCAACTACCTTTCCTGGGTGGTGGCTGGAGGGTTAGAGTGAAGGGCATGGGGCTTATCAGCGTACGTCTCGAAGATGAAGGGGGCGAATCTTACTTTTGGGGGCCGAGGGCTTGTTTTAGAAGGTATTTTTCGCAGCAGGAAGCCTACAAGCTTGTTGCTTTTCAGCACTTTTGATGCGAGTAGGAGCTTGGCGCTTGTTTTGTGGCTGGTTTGCTAATGTGTTCTTGCTTTAGCTTGAGCTCCTGGATCATACTGATGAATGGGATATTCTGAACTCCTGGTTTGGGAATCAACTATGAACTTGAATAGATGAGATCAATAATACTGTGTTCCAATCCACTGACAACTATAATAGTTCCGGTTCAAGAACTCCCGCACGCTCAACAATAGTGTGATAATGCTCCGTCCTCCGATGCTTCTCGAAGGCGAAGACCGTGCTTTTAGGCCGATCACAATCTGCCAGATCGATGGTAGCCACAACCAACTCGTCTTCTTTTGTCAAAGCCTCCTTGATGATATGCCCAAGTGGATGTACAATAATAGTCCCACCAACCAACGGATGACCATCCTCCGAGCCCGTCTTAGCCACATTAATACTAAAACAGGCATTCATATAGCTATTTCCTTGACAAGAAAGCTTATGATGCAACATAACCAGCTCCTCCGCTGCTTCAGGACTCATATCACCGCATGACCACTACTGGTAGTCTGAAAAGCAGTGGTGTTGTAGCCGCAACACAGAATCTCCATTCCTTGCAGGCCATACACACGCCATGCTTCGGGCCAGCGGCGGTCGTTGCAGATCAGCATTCCAATTATGGGGTCCCCTTTGCCTGTACTCGCGGCATTTTCGAGGTTGAAGTCCTTTTTAAAAGCACCGTCAACAAGGCCTGGAGCTCTGAATGCGGGAAATCCGAGATCACCAGGTTTGAAGTAGCGTTTTTCTAGTTGTTGGAAGGCGCCGGGCTCAGTTTTTGGCTCAACGGAACCGGGGAGGTGAACTTTGCGGTACTTTCCCACAATTCCATTTGTTTGTGCGGAGTAATAGACGCTTGAATTGTAGTCGATGTGAGAGCCGTCGCTTTGAATACTTCGCTCTGCATAGCCGACGTAAACGTCAATTCCGAGGCTTTGTGCATGGTCGAATAGAGGCTTGATCTTGGGTGATTGGTCAATCCCGCCTTTACTGGGGTCTTCAATCTCGAAGTACTGATCCAGCTCCCTCTCTTGTAGCAGGTATCGGGGGAAGAATGTTGTGAAGGCAAGCTCTGGAAATACAGCCAATCTGACGCCTTGCTTTGCAGCTTGGTCCAGAAGAGAGATCATGCGCATCAAGACATCTTCGCGGGAGTCGGCAAGATGGACAGGTCCCAGCTGGCAAGCGGCGACCGTCACCAATCTGGGGAAAGTTGTAGTATTTGAGCTCATTGTATTTAGACGCTTTTGTTGTTTCGATTTTTCCAAGTTTCAAAGGTGTCGCTCAATTGATATATGTGATCATATCAATTTCATGCTTGAGCACCAACTTTACACATTACAGAGAACAATTTTGATGATCCGTAAGTGAACCCCGCAAATTCTTCGTTATCAGTGATCGGGGTTTCTACTCCAAATTGTCATTATCAAGGTTCTCCACTCAGTGGGGTAAATATGATAAGCGGCCCGTCGAAAAGATATCATGGTAGATGACGTGTGCTTGCCCAGGTGGAAGACGGGAGTAACAGGCACACAATGCGGGGCTTATCTGTCCTATTATTCAAGAACCTCATTGTATCTCGGTTAATGATGGTGGTTCTAATGTTGGAATTGAGATCATCCAGATGTAAATTGAAGATGATCGCAGCTAATGTCTCAAATTTATTATTAAATGGAGCGCTTCCTCCGCATCAACTTGTATAGGAGATTAACCCTATAGAAGACTTGACTCATATCCTAGCTGTGCATACAGTCTACTTCAGCTATATGCAGAGAAATTATCAGCCAATGATCAGCCCATGGACTCCTGCAAGTAGTGATACCAGCCGTTATCTCTGAGGGAAGATCAAGACTCTCGGTTCAGGTAGAGAGCAAGGTACATTATGGGCTTGGCATATGTTTAAATACGCCTACCTTTGTCCTCGAGAGTCCCATTAGCATTCAGCTCCATCTTGTTCTTCCCATCAAGAATGGATTCCACTCATATATATCGAGATGAAGAAAATTCAATCAAAATATCTTACAATCAGGATAGAGCCTTTCCAGAGCCACTTTCCCTCCGGAAATATGCAATCACAAGAATAACATCACTAAAGCCGCCAATGGCAAAAGTTGCCAACCCATTTAAGCTTCTAACCATGCTAAACAAACAACAATGGGCCTTCTTTATTGTCTCCTTTCTCGCTTGGTCATGGGACTCTTTTGATTTCTTCACTGTCTCTCTCACCGTTTCCGACTTGGCTGATACATTCAACAAATCCACCACCGACATAACATGGGGTATTACTCTCGTTTTAATGCTCCGATCCGCCGGCTCCGCGCTATTCGGTCTAGCAGCAGACCTATATGGACGGAAATGGTGAGACTTTCCCCTAGATCCAGTTCCTCAAAATAAATGTAACCAAGATTTGCATCTAGGCCATTCATCACAGCCCTCACACTCTTCATCATCCTAGAACTCGCGACTGGCTTCTGCCAGACATATCAACAGTTCCTCGCCATCCGCGCTTTATTTGGAATAGCAATGGGCGGCCTCTATGGCAATGCCGCAGTCACCGCGTTAGAAGATTGTCCCATTGAAGCCCGCGGTCTTGTCGCAGGATTAATGCAGCAGGGCTACGCATTCGGCTATCTCCTCGCAACGGCATTTGCACGCGCACTGGTGAACACGACTTCACACGGCTGGAGACCGTATTTCTGGTTCGCAGCTTGTCCGCCCGTTCTGATAATCTTATTCCGCCTTTGTCTACCCGAGACGAAAGCGTTTCAGAATCGCCAAGCTCTCCGTGGGGAAATGGAGCATCCAGCACGAGAATTCCTCGCTGAAGGACGAGCTGCATTGCGGAACCATTGGCTCGTTTTCATATACCTTGTTCTATTGTCCAGTGGACTGAATTTCATGTCGCATGGAACTCAGGATTTGTACCCGACTATGCTAGAGAATGAACGTGGGTTCTCGTCAAATGCGGTTACTGTTACGCAGGTGGTTGCTAACCTGGGCGCGATGGCTGGGGGTTCTACGACGGGGTATTGTTCGCAGATCTTTGGGCGGAGGTTTAGTATGCTGGTTGTTTGTGTTATTGGCGGTGCGCTGTTGTATGCGTATACCCATGTCCAGACTGAGGCTGTGACAGCTGTTGCTTTTTTCGTGCAGTTTTGTGTGCAGGGAGCTTGGAGTGTTATGCCCATCTATATGATGGAGCTGGCGCCTGGTTCATTCCAGACGTTCGTTGTTGGGTCGGCGTATCAATTTGGTAGTCTTGCTTCGTCCGCTTCGTCGACTATTGAAGCGACTCTTGGCGAACACTATCCACTTCCACCCCTGATTAAGGCAGATGATACTGTTGTTGAACGGTATAACTACGGAAAGGTCATTTGTATTTTTATGGGGGCGATCTATGCTTATTCTGTCATATTGATTATTATTGGACCTGAGAAAAGAGGACAAAAGACGGATTTGGAACATGAAGATATCGATGAAGTGATCTATGAAGATGGAAAGCATTAGCATGCAAATTCATTACGGATGCGGACATTGTTGTCTGGATTGGACAGTAATGGAGTTGAAGTGTGATACTATTGGCGGCTGTACAGTAAATTTCGAAATCAGAACTCTTTTGACTTGATTGCCGGAAAATAACTCCAGGATAAGCTCATCCTCTTAAGCTCATCGCTAACTAGCTTAGCCAGAATTACCCTCGTAATGACTCTGTCACGACTGGTATGTCGCCATTATGAACCGGAACATTACCTGGAAGCTTGTAGAAACGTTTTTGCAGATCTGACGACCTTATCTGCGGGCGGCCAGTCGCCCCGCACTTGCCTGAGCAAGTAGCTGGTGCAAAGGTTTAATGCCTGTCGGAACAATGGATCATGTAATCAACTTTATTAGTCAGCGTACCACATGTTAAATTGCTGTGGTGGAGACTAGAGAATACCAGACAAGTACACAGACGTGACCCATACCATTGGTACATGCTGTTCGACCCTGATTACGTGTTCAGAGAGTTATGAGCCCGGATTATCTCTCCTACCGTGATATTTTGATTGAATATACGTTCTAGAAGCTCTCCTCGACTTGCGACGACAGGATTGTTTACCCCTGAGATCACTGACGACGACAACAAAGTTGCCGCGTCAACCCCTCCGAAGAACACGACAATTGAGAAAGGATTGAAAGCCATTTGAAACCAACTAAGGATGGACCCCACGGTATCTGTCTCACAATGGAAGGGTGAGAAGCTGAAAAACAGCTCTCATTGGCCAGCTTGGTACTCTGCGATGAAGCAGTTTGCCAAGACTAGGAAAGTATGGGATTATTGCAATCCTGAGAAACCAGCCCCGGAAGTGCTGGAGGAGCCGCAGGCCCCCGCACGACCGCGGTTACATATCCCACGAGGGGCAACTACAGAGGTAGCCAAGACCCTAAGGGAAGAGTTTAAGGATCGTCAGATGGAGTATAGCTACGACCATGACGATTACAAAGAGGAGCTCAAAAGGTATGAGAAGGTGGAAAACGGCCTACAATCAGTTGAGTTCGTGATCACTGCGTCAACAGATACTAAGCTACACCGTCTCATGGATGATCTTGAGACTCCGTACGAGAAGATTAGCTTTCTCAAGAAGCGCTTCTCACACACAAAGTCTCACCAGAATGAAGTCCTGCTACGCTGGGCAGAAGGGTGCGTACGACCACCAAAGAAGGGTCAAAACGTACTATCCTGGCTAGAAGAGTGGGAGCTGATACGTGATGAAGCGGTCAACCTAAAAGTGGAGAGTGACACTGCGCAGCATCCGCAGCTGTTTTTACATGCTGTAAAGGACATCCTACCGGTCTGGTGGGAAGCTCGGTTCCAGGATATCGTACTAAGAAGTAATACAATCGAGATAAACGATCTGATTGAGTCCTTCCGTACATCCTATACTATGTCGTATTCCGAGACTACCAAAAAGAATATCAATTCTACGTCCAAAGCAGCATTTGCCACGTCAACTTGGCAGGGTAAAACAGAGGCTGAAACCTCCAGAACCGACAGAAAAGACGGGAAAACTGGACCATTTCAGGACCGGAGCTACTGCCCTTGTGGCATGAAACACCCGGTCACCCGGTGCTGGGTATTGAATGAAGACCAGAGACCGGATGGGTGGATGGGCCTACGAAAGGCCTCCGAAGCGCTAAAGAAGTCATTCAAAAAAGAACCAGAGTGGAAGGTTTGGGTTGAAAACCAGCTCAAAAACGCATCCAACTCATATGAATCCACAGAGAAGACATCTGAGTCTGCAAACTTAGCCCATGTCGGCTTTGCCACAGTCGCCCTATCAACTGAAGTTGATACCAAGTACCGAGACCAATGGGTATTGGATACCGGAGCAAGCGTACACGTATGCAACGACCGGACCAAATTTACCGAGTATAAGGAAGACCCCTCGTATCTCCGTACGGGCGACAATCGGACCGCAATTGCTGGAGTCGGTACAGCAACCTTCACCGGAAGGGATCCTACAACTGGCAGACCGCGTGTGGTAAACTTGTATAACTGCCGTTATTCTCCAGATTTTCACTGCAATTTGGTTTCCTTAGGCAGGATAGAGGACCATGGAGGATGGTGGGATATGAAGCAAGGAAGGATTATGATTGGAGATCAACCTATTCTTGAGACCTACCGAGAACATGATATTTATCTGTTCTCACAGACGCGGGATGAACGTACAGTTTTTCGGCCGAAAACAGAGGGTCGTACGACTACGATCAAGACCCAAAACAACACCCAGCATAAAACTGCACTTGCTACCCGACGATCAGAGAAACCGTTGAAATCGTCTGCCAATACTAATACGTGGCATAAACGACTTGGCCATGTCTCGAAGGCAGCAATTTAGCAACTACCGAAACTGGTCAGTGGAGTTGAGGTTGTACGAAGCACGGAGGATGGGGAAGAGCGACCGGATGATGAAATTTGTACGGTCTGCAGCTTGGTCAACGCTCCACGACAGGTCTCGCGGAGACCGATAGGCAAGCACTACGGACGGTGCGGGAGGGTCTACTTTGACCTAATTCAGGTCATTATGGGATATAATCAGCACTGCTGGATAACCCATTTCTACGTTGAGGGTATCCGGTTCCACTGGTTAATGACCCATGTGAACAAAAACGGGTGCCAGGAAGCGATCAGAAGCTTTATCGCTTTCGCTATTCGCTGGCTAAATTTGCCGATTAAGGTGTTCCACTCTGATAACGAGAGATCAGTTGATGAGAGTATTCTACTGCTAATTAAGCAGCTGGGGTGTGTTCACACGTTTACAGTCCCGTATACGCCTGAGATGAACGGTCCGGGTGAGCGTGCTGGAGGTGTGATTATCCTTAGAGCGAGAGCGCTTCTAAAGGAAGGAAAACTACCCGATAAACTATGGCCAGAAGCGGTAAAAGCGGCAGTATACCTGCTGAACCGTACGCCTACGAGATTGGAAGATGGGACTTGGATAGTTCCATGGGATGAAGCACGGCGCTTTATTGGGTTCAACCAGGGTACCGAGGGTACTCCTGTCAATACTCCCACAAAGACGTCGCTTGCGAATATCAAATTGTATGGATCACTTGCATACTGCAGGATCCCCAATATCCCGAAACTTGACAAAATGAAGTCACGAGCTGAGATAGGATATCTCGTTGGCTACGTGGCCTCGAATATCTGGCAAATCTGGATACCGCACCGTGGTCAGGTCAGGATGGTCCGAGACGCAGTTTTTGATGAAAACCGACGTTTTTCGGCAGAGAACCATGACCCGGATGAAGGGGTGAAGCTACCAGTTCCAGAGGACTATCCTCCCACAATCATGGAGGAAGGACTAGAGGTCGACTGTATTCGACAGGGTCTCGACGAACAGACTGCTCGTACGAGTATTGCCGAGAGTACCCCAGAAGGGAGCTCTCCGGGACGGTCCTATAGAGCAAGAGATGCGGATGATGTAGACGTCATACAGGATCAAGAATCTGGAGGATCTAGAGAACCACAGGAGACGACAATACCACACTCAGGACAAGATCAAGTTTTTGTGCACAAAACCCCAATTGATCATACCCCACCACCGGATTATCCAGTTAGAAGCAATTCTGCGGAAACTACCACTGATCAAGGGGTGAGGGATGATCCTGAGCGTCTCGCTCAGGACCATAATCAAATAGATCAGACGCCTGTTTCGCCAGTATCACTACGGGAACCGAGCCCGGAGGATCAACTCCAGGACCAATTACAGCTATCCCTACAGGAGAGCGTTGAGCAAGAGGATCGTACGACATCGGCCAAGAACGACTTGGCAGGGTCATTGCCTAAGGATCAAGATCGCGATTGTGCAGCTGTGGATACCAGCAATATCATCCAGGGACCGAGGGTGCGAATATCGAGACGAGACCGAGACTACGCCTATAACACCATGTTTATCGATGACGACAACGGCGACGATACCACAACAACCACTTTACAAGCGTTTGCTACCGGTCTTCTAGCACCAAAACCGTCGCTACGGCAGCATCGAGATGACCTACCACCTCCACCACAACGATTCCGAGACGTCTGGAAACACCCATTGAGCGAAGGTTTTAGCCGAGCTATGAGGGTTGAACTAGACGGACTACAGGCCAAAGAGACGTACAAAGTCGTGGAAAGGCCAAAGGATCGTGGGATACAAGTACTGCCCCTCATGTGGGTATATGCTTATAAATTTGATCAAGATGGGTTCTTGACTAAGTGCAAAGCCAGGATCTGCGTACGTGGGGATCTCCAGACGATCTCAGACGCAGACAAGCGAGCTGCCACACTGGCAGCCAGAACTGCCCGTATGCTATTTGCCCTGAGCGCAGCGTACGACCTAGATATCCGACAGCGAGATGCGGTAAACGCTTTCCTAAACAGCAAGCTCCTAACAGAAGTATACACTCTGATGCCCGAGGGTTTTATGACTCAGGGCAAGTGCTGGAAGCTGCTACGGGCGCTGTACGGACTGAGAATTGCTCCACGACTTTGGCAGCGAGACGCAGCGCGTGTACTGAGAGAGCTTGGTTTACAACAGGTTGCCGAGGATCCGTGTGTTTTTGTTGGGGATGGGATTATCGTATTCTTCTACGTCGATGATATCCTAATCGCCGGCCACCACACTGCCCGCGAGCGTGCTCAGCAGCTAGAACGGGAACTCGAGAAGAATTGGCAGCTGACTGACCAAGGGGACGCTGAGTGGTTTCTAGGGATCAGAATCCTACGAAATCGCAAAGAGAGAAAGCTCTGGCTAGTGCAGGACAGCTATTTTGCCAGTGTTGCTGAGCGGTTTAACCTGGCTCACCGAGCTCCGGTCTGGACTCCGGGAACCACGGAGATCCTAGAGCCATACGACGGGCAAGCTACAGCCGAAAGCATCCACCAATATCAGCAGCGAGTGGGCTCAGTTCAATATGGTACCACGATTACCCGCGCGGACGCAGCAAAGCGAGCGTCTATCTGCGCACAGTTCCTGACCAACCCTGGTCCGAAGCACCACCAAGCAATTGAGCGCTTAATCTGCTACCTCTATACCACACGGTTCTGGGCTATACAATACGGTCCAGTTGACAACGACAGCGAAGTGGTGAAGTTCTCATCAGATGCTTCGTATGGGGATATGGGTGACCGGACTAGCTCCGCAGGATATATTTGCCAGTTCTTCGGTGGACCGGTGGACTGGAGGGCAACCAAGCAGAAGACCGTGACCACGTCGACGACGGAGGCTGAGTTATTAGGCCTATCAGACGCAGGAAGGTCACTACAGTGGTGGGATCGTCTATTTGGAAGGATTGGTTTCAAATATCCGGAGGGTCTCACAATCGAGTGTGACAACCGCCGTACGGTGGACTTGATCAACGCAGAGGATACCCCCTTCGATACCAAGCTCAGGCACGTTGATATTCACGGGCACTGGCTGAGACAAGAAGTCAAGGAAGGCAGGATGCGGATCAAGTGGGTACCAACCGCGCAGATGCTCGCGGACGGACTCACCAAGATGCTGCCGAGGCAGAAGCATGAAGCTTTTGTCAGGATGCTGGGATTGACGGACGTGCGTCATCTCATTGAGGAAGAAAAATAAGTCATACTTGCCTAATTAGTAAGTAGAGGCTGTTTTGAAAAGATCGCAGTTCTGAAGGAATTGTGTCTATTTTGTTGCTTCTGAGAAGCTTTGAATGATTCAAGTGACCATTTATGGCAACTGCGCAGCTTTGCCAGGACTGCCAAAGCTGAAGGGGTGTGTCGGAACAATGGATCATGTAATCAACTTTATTAGTCAGCGTACCACATGTTAAATTGCTGTGGTGGAGACTAGAGAATACCAGACAAGTACACAGACGTGACCCATACCATTGGTACATGCTGTTCGACCCTGATTACGTGTTCAGAGAATGCCCAACTGTCACCTGACAGCGGGGCAAACTTGTGTTTCCAGAGGCTTAAACTTTCGCTCAGCCCAAAGCAGCATTATTATTTGCACTGAATGTTCAGCATGAGCTCGACATCTTTCGCTTGTGAAAATACGGGTTTTCAGCTGGGAAATAATCATGGGACAATCGGCACAATCAACATTTCATCCGGTGTGTGTCAAAATCCTTCGAAAGCCGTGGTAAGTTGATTAACACTTTTGGCCTAGGCCGATCGGAAAACCCACAGCAGAGGGCAGATAACGGTTCGCTCCACCCTGTACCAGTTAAAGACAATATGGCTTACTATATACGCAGAGCTGCTCAAGTCACTGGCATTCCCACAGATGCTAGATCGGAAGGATAATATTGGGGCATGTCACACCAACACCTGCCAATGGATTCTGGAGCTAGAGGAGTACCAGTCGTGGAGGAATCAGCCCTGTGGTCTATTATGGATTAAGGGCAAGCCGGGCGCGGGAAAGTCGACCTTGATGGTTTTTCTGCATGACAGACTAAAAAGGTTAGAGGATCGTAGCCAGGGTGTTATTCGGCTCGACTTTTTTTTTACCGCTCGGGGCGCGGAGATGCAACGTACACCGCTAGGAATGCTTCGATCGTTATTAAACCAAATCTTTGACCGTGACGAGACCATACGCCCTCAGGTGCGCGAGGTCTATGAACAACGATGTAGGCAGTTTGGGTATGGTGAACGAAATTGGGACTGGCCACAGGTGGTACTAGAGGAATTATTAGCAAATGCTGTGCTAGCATCAGCCAACCATCAACATGTGAATGTTTTTGTCGATGCTCTGGATGAGGCCGGGGCTGAGTCTGCTCAACTATTAGCAGATTACTTTCATCGCCTGGTTAGTGAAGCCAAGAAAAAGAACTTGGCCCTCCAAGTCTGCTTCTCATCTCGACACTATCCTATCATAGGAAGCATCCAGGCTACAGAAATAAGCGTCGAGGACCACAATCAAGAAGACATCGCTTTATATGTTAAGGATAAGCTTATCCTCACAGAGGTCGGCAACGGGTTTAGCCAAGGGATGAATGAGATGCTGGTGAAGGAATTAACGCAGCATGCCAACGGGGTGTTCCAATGGGCCCATCTCATAATACCTCTCATCAAACAGCGAATTCTCGAAGGGGAGTCCATTAATGATATTCTTCATTGGTTGCACGAGGTTCCAGCTGGCCTGGAAGATGTCTACGTGTATATCTTGAAAAATGTGATCGCGGCTAGGAATCGGCATCAGTCATTCCTGTTCTTTCAATGGATATGCCTAGCCGAGCGACCCTTGACTGTAACAGAAATGCGATACGCATTGGTGGCTAAGAATGCTCAAATACCGCCTTCTCGAATGGGATGGGAAAAGGTCCACGGCTTTATCGAAAGCGATGAAAACATGAAGCGAAGAGTAAAGGCCCTTGCTGGTGGACTAGCTGAAGTAATCTCAAGCGGAGATCAAAATGAAACTATACAAGTAGTTCATCAGTCGGTCAACGATTTCTTGCGCGACAAAGGACTGGCCCTTTTATCTCACAGCACCAGCACCAGCGCTACTACGACAAATATGAATATTGAAGACATTGTCTGTGAGTGCCAGTCAACTCTCTACCGATCGTGTCTGGTATATCTTGCCACCGTATGCTCAAATAGAGAAATAAGCGATTTCAAGAGATCAAAGGATGATCTTCTCCAGGACCAGTCATTTTTGAATTACGCAACTGCCAATCTCTTTATTCACGCGGAAAAGGCTGCCGGCTCTCGAGCTGACTTGATTCCTAATGAAAAAGACATTCTACAAGAAATCATCAACACTTGGATTTGGATCTACAATCGGCTTGATCTATATGGGACAGTATCACCAAATACCGGGACAACACTCTTACATATGGCTGCCGCTGCCAATCTGGTTGATATCATAAGTTCCGTATTGTCAGATGGCGAAAATGTCGAGCGGGAAGACGGAATTGGAAACACGGCGTTACATTTGGCAGCACGAGCGGGACATACAACTGCCGGTAAAATGCTGCAAGAGAGAGGAGCAAACCGAGAAAGAAAAAACCACCATGGAGCGACACCTTTAATAGAGGCGGCTAGCTATGGACGTTTGGGGTTTGTTGAATGGCTCCTAGATGAGGGTGTGCAGCTTGAGATAAGAGGTGGAGGTGCGCTACAAGCAGCTTCGTTAATTGGCCATAATGCGATTGTAGAGATATTGCTCGGTGCTGGAGCGGATGTCCATGCCCATGGTGGTCCTTACGGCAATGCCCTACAGGCTGCTGCACACAATGGAAGTGCTGAGACGGTGAAGATCCTACTCGAGGCTGGAGCGGATGTCCATGCCCAGGGTGGTCAATTCAGCAATGCCCTACAGGCTGCTGCATATCGTGGAAGTGCTGAGATGGTGAAGATCCTGCTCGATGCCGATGCCGATGTCCATGCCCAGGGTGGTCATTACGGCAATGCCCTACAAGCTGCTGCACAAAATGGAAGTGCTGAGACGGTGAAGATCCTACTCGAGGCTGATGCCGATGTCCATGCCCAGGGTGGTTATTACGGCAATGCCCTACAGGCTGCTGCAGATTCATATAATAGAAGTGCTGAGACGGTGAAGATTCTGCTCGAGGCTGGAGCGGATGTCCATGCCCAGGGTGGTCAATTCGGCAATGCCCTACAGGCTGCTGCATCTCGTGGAAGTGCTGAGACGGTGAAGATCTTACTCGAGGCTGGAGCGGATGTCCATGCCCAGGGTGGTTATTACGGCAATGCCCTACAAGCTGCTGCACACAATGGAAGTGCTGTGACGGTGAAGATCCTGCTCGATGCTGATGCCGATGTCAATTGCCAGGGTGGTAGATATGGTTCACCACTCTTGGCGGCAATCTTTACGGGCGATGCTTATACAGTTCAAATTCTTCTCCATGCTGGGGCAGATGTTCTACTTTCTGATGAACTTGACCAAACCCCTCTTCATATGGCGGCTTCAAGAGACGTGCTCAATTTTGTTTCTCAGCTTACACAACCTTGCTCAACTATCAACAAATATAACAACCTTTGTCAAACCCCTCTCCACCTGGCTCTTTACTACGGTCACATCAACTTTGCTATAAAGCTTCTCCATCTTGGTGCCGATCCCTCTCTTTCGGATGGCTATGGCAGACATGCCATGGACTGGGCGTTCGGACACGAGAGTTTAATGCGAGAAATCCGTTCACATTGTCCCGACCTTGCGTTAACGCCTTACGAAACTCGAGAATCGATTACCAAACTATCACTCTTCCACCTCTCTAATGCCCTCTCTTCGCTCAGGATTAATTTTCAATGGCCTGTTTTGCAACAATTAGCTCGGTATTTCTTATTTCTCAATGAAACGAAGAACGCACGCCATCTATTTCAACTTCGCGTTTTGCAAGCTAACCGCCTTGCGACTGATGTATGCAAAGCCGTCTGCCATTTTTGCAAGTTTTCCATTACGGGAACTCGTTTTGTGTGCAGAGTCTGCGCCCATATGGATATCTGCTCTTCCTGCGAACGGATGTATCCTTTTCATAGCAGATTGCATCCAAATGAAAGACATGAAGTCTTTGAAGTGTCTGAACTTCCTGATAACGATTCTCAACTCACTGGATCAGCACCACAGGAACTGGCCTACTTCCTAAGCCATCTTGTTCCTGAATCTCCCGGGGAAAACACCAATCAATCTGAGATAGAGTTATCAAATGATTCTCCGTCTTTTTTGGCACAAGAAAAGACATTTTTGGTTCCGGACACTACGTTCTATCTGGTAATGAAATTCTGTACGATCTTGCTCGGGGTATTAGCTACTTTCTTAGGTCTTTGGTATTTTTAAACAACTTGAACTCAGCCCGTCTACTTAGTCTTATCTCAATCTCTTCTTACTATGCATATATATTGGAGTATGGGGTCAGCTGACCCCCTCCGTTTGTCAGCGCGTGCATGTCTTTAGCAATATCTTTCTCCCTCTCTCTCTCTCTCTCTCTCTTCCTCTCTCTCTCTCTTTATTTCCTCCATCCCTCTCGGAATACAGATCTTGTCCCTTTCTTCTGTTTCCACGCTACTATGTAGCCTTGTCTTCCCCTGGACAGCAGATCAGCTGCCAACAATAAACATCGAGAACAATTCCATCTTTATGTAAGCGTCTGGCGCTAATGTTCTGTTTTTGATTCTTAGCCAAGAATCTTCCGTGCAGTCTCATAACTAGGAGATGTTATTATATATGTAAAAATCCATTTATCCTCGTTGCGTCTGTTTAATGGGGCCATTCTCTGTGCACAACAGAAAAAGTCGGTCGTAACTTAAGTTAGTTAACTAGTGCGGTCCGCTAACATTAGCCTTGTAAACTACACCTGGGCAATATTCCTAGCATGATATAGTACGAACTAGGATTGATTGCATGAAGTTTTCCACATCTCACTCGTCTTCAGACGACTTGTTCACCCGGAATTCTGGGGCAGTCTTCATTACGAAATGGCTAGTCAGTAATGTCCTACCTTGTTCGGAGATCAGTGGAGCCCGGTGGAGATATCACAATTGAAGTTGGAATACCAAGTCGAAAAAAAATCACACCCCCTCAAAAATGAACTGGGACCCGGCTACTGGTCAGATTATATTCACTCTTGAGGGACATAGTCGTGAAGTTTTCTCTGTGGCCTGGTCACCAGATGGAAGCCGACTCGCATTAGCTTCCTTCGATATAACCATCAGGATCTGGGATGCGGACACTGGCCACAGCGTGTTAACCCTCCATTCTGGTTTCGTCGGTTCCTTCGACTAAGCTGATTCTAACCATCTGCATACGAGACTTGGTATATTTTATTTGTGTTCAAATGATTGTAATACATCTCTGCCTCATGGGTATGACTTAAGCAAAGATAAAATCTGGGTTACCTACGACGTATTTAATCTGCTATGGTTATCTGTGGAGTTAAGACCGATCATCTGCTCTCAAATTGCCATCACAGGCACACGGTTGGCGATTGGATGCTCATCAGATCGTGTTATCCTCCTCACTCTGACTAGTGAGGCCGGAAAACTGGCCGTGGTTTAATGCTCGGATTGCCTTATATTCATATAAAATTGTTTCGGTCCTCCTAATATTAGCCCACCCACTGTCTTTAACAAGTAAGTCATACTAAATAATTCAACGAATTTTTTTGACGCTTATTCACGGTTGTTCTGGATTCCCACATAAACCGGGGTTAGAGACAGCCTCACTAGAATGGGTGTCAGGGTCTACAGAATAAAGTTATGAGACGCTTGTCCCACCTAATCTAGCGGCGGTTGTCCGGGGTTTGAAAAGGGGCCGAAAATAAAGTCGCAGGCATGGTGCAAAGACGCCGAGCAGGGGTCTGAAAAAGGTGTGGCAGCAAATCGTTCAAAAAAAGAGCATGTGAAAGACCCAAAAAAAACACCTATGGATCTCAACTTTGTCATTTGCTAAAGTTCAGACAACATACCAAATTTCGCGCTCATTGGGCTTACGCTCAATATCATCAAGGAAACGCGATCCTCCATGAACATCTCGTTTATTTTGATTTTCTTTCGACTATGCGTTGGTGGCACTTTTGAGGTCATTACGATGATCGCCAATACGAAATATGGTCTGATGATGATTATAACCGCACGGGATACTCTGCACCTTTGGGTTCACTCAATGGAAACGAATTTTGAGGTCTGTAATGCGTCCAAATATTACCAAAGCCACAATGCTGATAATTCCCAGTCTTAACTGAGGTCATAGACGGCGTTCGCAAAAATGAGACTACTCTCAATGTTGACACATGCGTTACAGAAGATGGGTAGCCAGCTGCATGGTGTTACGCGGTGCCCACTGGTCACGGTGAGTATCATTCGTAGGGGTCGTATACATACATCGAGGCCCGTTCTCAAGTCTTAGTCGCGACCTTGCCGTTGCCAGTTGGCCATGCATGAGCTCAGGTCTATAGAGTAGACTCTTGTTAGGCTGTGCCAGATAGTAGCGTGCCAAGTCAAGCTATACTCAGGATATGAATTAAGGGACTAGAGACTAAAGATACCTCTCCTTGTAGGATGGTTATCTAAAGTACAAAATAAGTAGTGAAGCTGCTAGAACTGTCAACTGGTAGGTTCCCAAGTAACAATGTATAATAGAACGCGAAGAATTGAATACATGTGCGGTAATGAGTGTCCTTGCATATTATTTGAGTTCCTACTCCAGATCTACTCCTACGTAGACTTTCGCAGGACCCAACTTGGGTTACAAACGTAACAGACATGCCAAGACCCGTGACTTTCCACGACTGCATAAATTATTAGGCATAAGCGATAGGAAGAGGATTAGGGTAATAAAAGGATATTAAAAGAGTGGGGAGAAGAAGTATCTTATAAGTGCCTAACTAGATAGGATGAAGAGGAACAGCTCTTAGATAGCACTATAGGGGAGAGCTATTTTAGGCATTGTTTTAGTTATAGGTAGAATCTAAAGGAATAACCATTAATCAAGCGCCAAACATCAGGGCTGGTTAATAATAACTATTAGCGCTAGGTGGGTGTAGTATAGTAATGGTATTGGACGGTGGGCAGTGAAGGGCTGGCTCCCCTCTTAAAGTTATGGACAGAAAGGCGGCTGTTTCTGGCGTCCAAGGCTATACTTTTGGGCCTTGTTTTCAAAAGTTCAGATATTCTCTATGTAATTTTTTCCTTTCTATTTTCTTCTTTTCCGCATATACTATCGCATGTAAAAAGTAACATTATTAGCTGGATTCTCGGGACCAAAACATTCGTAGTATGATAATTCTCCATATCCCCTTAAATACAGAACAACCACTTGCTGTTCACTGAAACACTCCAGAAGGATAGAAAACGGATTGTTTACTGATCAAAATATATATTTCGGTAGATCCACCGCGTATCGGGCACTAACCCCGCATTCGTATGTAATGGGTACTCGATACGCGAGTATATCCCAGTCTGGGCACCGAATGTACAGAACATACGTAAAAGTATTCTGTACCGTGGGTTTGATTGTGATAAGGTAACCAAACACTTCAAGCCAGCTTAACCATGGAAATTGTGAAATTTATCAAAATAAACATTGCATGTTTGAAGTATGATAATTTCTTATCGGGTTTGTATGTACGGCTTGTAGAGACCCACTGTCCGGGGTAAGGACGGATTACGGCGTACACATTCAAGCGCAAATACCAAACGATCCATACTGTACGCGTTTATTCAGGGTAAATAACAAAGAGGTCGTCATTCTAGCAATATCGAAAATAACACAGCCTAAGTAAATCGCTTGAGGTTGGGTAATCAGAAAAAAAGGAAAGCGCACGGTGGAATTGCTCTGAGAAAGAGCACTTCATCTGAACGTGACAGTGTTGAAAAAACACTTTGTAGCAGAGATTAGACACCTTAGAATAAAATCGCGATACCCGAAATCATAGATAACCCTTAGCACCTTCGCAGGCAAATTCGTAGAAAGAGATACATAAGAATAGAAATGGAGAAGTGGGCATGACACGGTCAAGGGGCCATTGATTCAATGGATCGAGATAAAAATCGGATGACCTGGGTACAGTTGTGAGCAACATTGAAAAGCACTGATCATAAAAGCGCTAAGCATTGACTGAAGAAAACACCATTTTCCCAACAAACAGAAAACAGAGACGCTCAAGAACGGCAGAACATTGAGATATCGCGTGGACTTAGTTGACGCGGAATGCATCGAAAATAACTGCATGAAGTATTAGTGGGGGCTCAGATCAATCGGGTTGTGATTATACATACCTTCTTGACCGCGGCGGCAACCGCTGCCAATCCACATGAGGGTGTTGAGAAAGGTGAATCGTTCATCACCTGTCTCCATGGACAGATTGATGCGGTATTTGTAGCTGCCGGGGTTGATGCCATCAGCCTGACCCTGGTCATTAACCTTTTCGAGGACATCCTTGGCACCGGTGAGCCAGCCCTCGGCCTTGACAACGATAAAAGCTGGGGGTTCTTCGGCAGTCTGGAGCAGATAGTTCGCACGAAGGTGGGTGTTCTGGTCCTTGGTGACGATCTGGGTGTCTTGGCCACCAGGCTGTTAATCGTCAGCATTGAATTGGGCTGTGACAGACAATTATAAACTTACCAGAACAATACCCTTGCCCCATCGACCGGCCCACTGACCACCAACAAATGAAACCCACTCGCGGTGGCCCCAAATGCTCTGGCCGACAGGAACCTTGGGGTTCATCTTAATGCTCATGCGGAAATCCAGCTCGAGAGTTGGGGCGGGAATTTGAAGTGAACGCGCAACATCACCCTCGGGGAATGTGTGCAGAAGATTGTTGGCAGGAATCGAATCCTTCATAACACTCAGATAAGTAGGGCATTCTAGCAAGTGTTGGCGCTGGCGACTGGTGTTCTTTGCGCGCACTTGTTGGCAGTAGATGCATTGCACAGACAAGCACTATTGTAGTTAGTATATGAGCATTACTTCATATTGATTTCTGACAAAGATCAGACGAAAGTAACCGGTAGCATACCTTATCCTCTTCTTTGGCGCGGAACTCAACAAAGGCCGCGTGCACATCATCCAACGGCGGCGCAGGCAAACTCGAAGTACTGGGCTTAGACTTGGGCTTGGGGGTTGATCGAGGCGGAGGCAGTGAAGAAGGCGCAGAGCCTGGGGGTGCGCCGACAGGTGGTGGGCCGGGCGTGGCCATCGGCGGGCGGCTCTGCAAAGTAGACAGTGGAGTTCCGAGCGGAGTGGCATGAGGATTGACGCCATTGGTGATCATAGAGCCATTGGGTGTGGGGATGGTAGGGCCAGTTTGGCCTGTTGCAGAGGTATTAGGGCCATTGGGGGTGCCAGGGTATCCATTGGAAGGCCCGATACCATTGGGGGCCTGCGCGGCCTGGGCGGCCTGGGGCGCGTTAGGATGGCCGCGCAGGCCAGGGCATTCAAGAAGATGTTGCTTCTGTCGAGAAGTGTTCTTTGCGCGAATCTGTTGGCAGTATATACACTGGACAGAAAGACACTGAACGCAGAAACACCCAAAAACGGGTTTCGTATGTTAGTAACTTGTGTTTGTGGTGGTTTGAAATATTACGAAATACGCAGTCACGCACCTTGTCATCTTCCTTGGCGCGGAACTCGACAAACGCCGCGTGGACTTCCTGGTCAACAGTACGACCCATCTTGAGAGCACCCCGAAGAAAGAAACGAAAACTTTATCACAAGAAAATTACGCGTAATAAACGCGATGGGGGGAAATGATGGGGATGGGGGAGGGTTTTGATGCGGAGTGGGGGGGAAAGAGAGAAAGAAGAAATGGAAAGACGAAGACAAGAATACGGCACGGGACATAACGCGCCTGCGTAATTATGAGTCCGGTTCGGAGTATTTCAGACTTCGTATAATATGATCATGCATGCTAAGTAGTCATTGTTAATACATTTTCTGAATAAATAAATTCCTTTTAATAAAGAACAAATCATATTCAGTATCTTTTCTTTGTATAATAATCATCGTACCTATTCTCCATGATGTGGTGATAGAATCTCCGAAAAACCAATCAATTGACGATTACGCGCCAACACGGCCACTAAGGGGTCTGTCATCCAATCCACCATACAATAGGCAAAATATGCGACCAAGACAAGGCAATCATGAGAATCCAAAATATAAAGTCGCCTCTAGAATACAGGTTTGTTCTATTTTCCATTGCTTTATACAAAGTAGGCTGTGAAGTAGCCTAGATTGGCGCCAAGCAGGCCGGCCAAAGCATCTCCGACCGGATGCGCTCGGTTAAAAGGCATCATAAGCGCACAAAAGAGCAAATGGAAAGAGGGGGAAAGATAAAGATACGGTCGGAAGATAGTAGTGTAGTAACCTGACAAAACTTGGAACACTACCAATCTCTTCATTAAGCCTGTCGTAATATTCTGACGATTTATATAGATCTTCGTATGCGAGTATTATTACTGAGTACTGTTCCAGAGTCTCGAACCCCGTTTCCCGTATATGGTCTATACCGTACTGTCAACGGTCCCGATCCCTTACGGGTATACAGGTTCCTGGTAACATTGACAGAACGAGTAAACAAAGATCTATATAATTCTTAAGGTGAAACTTAGAATTGAATCGCAATTGTCTTTCACTCAGGTTTGCAATTATACTGAATGCATCAATTCATGCTATTTCAAGGTTCTCCCTCCCCTGCTTTCCACCACCCACGATGACAAAATTCCAAATTAGTAATACCAATTAATTGCAATAACGACGAAGCGGCTGCCATGAAAAAAAAATTCGTAAAGCATGTTGAAGGGATATCAAAATCAATGTAATATAAAAAGAAAAAGTCCACCTCCACTCCTACTAAAATGAAGCACTCGAGGACCCCCATGAAATCAGATGTCACCATGCCCGGCTGATGTCACTTCCTTATCACCACGAATCGCCGAAAAAAGTAAGCCGTATGACCTACTTCATCCGCATAATAATCTCCCCATAATCATATGTCGCTCCCCATCCCTCAACCCCCTCAACCTGAAACGGCTCCTGCCAAACAGTCAAAACGCCTTTAGTACCAAGTGTAAGCACATTCATAAGTCCTTGCGTAGCGACAGCCCTCGACGTCTTCACATGCGGAAGAAGCTCCGAAAACGCGACTTCCTTTCCACCATTCGCCCCCATCACAACTTGAATGTAATCAAAGAAATTCACACTCTCCTGATCAAGCTGTGCTACGACACGTTGGAAGGCCGAAGCAGATGCCCGTCGCGACAGCGTCGTAATATCTTCTTTGTCAGTAGCAAGTTCAGCTTCGAGGTATCGGGAGATTTCGAGATCTTCATCCAGAACGTCGAAGTCGCCTAGTGCGGAGATGCTGTCGCGGTATCCACGGCCGGCGAGTGGACTGGCGCTTGTGAGGCGGCCTCGTCGGGTGCCGCGGGAATCGGGGAATTTCGCGGAAAGTTCGCTCATGCTTTCTAGGCGACCGAGTCGGGAGCTCTGCACTGAGGTCATGTTCCATGGCATTTGGGAGGAGTGTTCATCCATTAGACTAGGTGGTGCGTGACGGCCGATCTCGATATCTACTGAGTTCATTCCTTTTCCGGGGCTGCCGCGTCGCTGCTTTTCTGTGTCTGTCTCGGTGTCTGTATCGCTTTCGGGCTTGCGAAGGTCTTTTTGGGCTACAAGTTGATTGGTATTGCTGTGCAATGCGTCGTAGAGCTCTTCTCCTGAGAAGCATTTCAGTGGGTGGTCTTCGCGCTGGGACCCTATTCCGATTCCTACGGATCCGATTCCTTGACCAAACACCCAGAATGCGGCGTTCTTCTTCACGGCGGTCTGTAATTTGTTTTGTTGCTTTTGCTTCGATGCGAGTGCCATGTTTTGAGAATACTCGTTATTCCATCGCGCAAGGTCTGTATTGCGGAGAGTTGTGCTGTCGTCGGGGTCGATGGGCCGGACCACTCGATTGTACTGGCGTGCCTGACGCTCCACGATGGGCTCAATTTCTTCATGTTCAACTGGTCTGCTCAGGTTAAGACCATGTTCCACAGAAAGCATAGTCTTATGATGACTTGTGTGGGTATCGATCACCATTGTCCCATCATCTCTGATAGTAATCTCCTCGGCGACATCCATCTCTCCAGTCTGATCACCAGAGAGGCCCTTATTCTTCTCTCCTTCCACCACGTTGTACTTCCGTCTCTTCCTCGGCGAAAGATGACTAGCATCAAACTCAACAATCTCCCCATTCTCATTGAACTCAAAATCCGGCTGAAGTAAGACGCCCTCTTCATCTCCAAGACGATCTCGCCCCGTCTTCATTGGGAGTCCATGTTTTCGGGCCGCTTCACCAAACATGATTGTTCCATCCTCAAGTAAATCATCCGAGCCCAGCTGCAGATGAACGCTCATTCGGGATGCGCTCGACCGGCTACCGGCCGGTGACCTGCTCCAGAGACCTGACCACTGGCTTGAGCTATCGTCGGGCATAAGGTCTAACATGTTGAAGTCAATGTTGAGGCCCGGGAGGTTTGTCTCAGGGAAGAAATTCGGATCGTATGGTAGGACGAGGGTACTAGGTCTGTCGCGCGGATATGGTTAGCAATTTCTCATAACCTCAGCCTTTTTCAGAATGTTATCAATCAACTTACTTCGTCTTCCCGGCAAAAGGATCCAGTCCTCCGCCTGGTAAGACCTTCAAGGATGAAATCATCTTGTCGTGCATGGATTGCGCGTCCAGGAGAGTATATCCGCACTGCTCATGATAAACTCTTGAAACGCCGAACCTGAATGGCAATTTGAGGTTAGTCAGATCAAAATTTTGATCATAACAAACGGTTAGAAAGATCTGAAGACATACAGCAAGTTTCCTTGGAGACGCAACGCCATAGGTGCTTCGGGATTTACAATGACATTGCAAGCTCCAGGCACATCAACGTCAAGAATGGCCTTGCGATTTAATCGTCGCGTGATGGAGCGCGATCCAAGCGTTGCAACGAGCCTATGCTTATCAGCTTTGATTGTTTTTTGTTAGTGAGTTAGCACGCGTCTTTAAAGTACCAGATTGTCGCGACTCCATGCTCGGGCGATGTAAGAACTATTGAGGTCAGCTGAAATTCATTCAGGCTGACTGACTCTGTGGATGAAACAGTGGATTGGCTTACTCTCGTGACTGTAGAACATGATGACAGCTTGGTTGTCCTGGATGCAACTTCCTGCACGATGTTGAACTCTATCATAGGCGTACGCCGATAACACCGATGATAGTTCACTCGAGGAATCTGATGGCTCGAGAGATTTGGATGACACAGGTCGAGAAAAGTCGCGAGTTTCAAACGTGTGAACAGTTCAGATATGAAAGTAGACGGAGTCTTAAATCAGAAGGTGGCATTCAAGGTCATCGTGAGAAATCAATGTTACAAGACTTGACGATGGAATAAGGCAGATTCAGATGGTAGGAAAAGAAGAAAGATACTGGGTTGATGAGGGTGGGCGAGGGTAAATATTACAAGTGAGTCTGCAGCACAACCTACGATGCAACTCCCTTTAGGTCCAACCAGCAGCCAAGTTATTCTCCCTCTCAATTCCTCTAGTTAATCAACCCTGAGGACGCATACAGCCTGTGAATTTGTGAGGTAATCAGGTATATTATGAACGAAATTTACTTTTAAGTGCTAAAATGTGCTCTTAAGTATCATCGAGTACCAAAAAAACCATGGAACAAGAGCACAATATATAAACGAATATGGGAAACAAGGAAGGAAACATCGAGAGTCCATGGAATCTAAACAAGGCAAAATGACAGGATTGAGACAAGACACCAACATCCACAGAGCAGCGGCTCTTTTAGCGCTGAAAAATGATGTAGACAGACGCAGACACAGCACAGGATAAACCAGGCTGGCGATCGATACCAAAGGACATAAAAACCAGTTTCGACCCGACTGCCACCTATATAGATGCAGGGGAAGAAAACAGGTGAACCGAAATCATCAACACGACACACAACACAACATATCGACTAATTTATAGCTTTGTTTCATACAGGGTTGCTTCATTCAAGCATTTACTCCAGGGGAATGCCCTCGTACTCGGAGTAACCCAGAGCAAGGTTCATGTTCTCTGTAAAGGTTTGTTAGCGATATTCTTAAGCCAGAAAGTAGTAAAACTTACGGAGGCATTGAGTAGCGGCGCCCTTCAGCAAGTTGTCGATGGTGGCACAGACAACGACACGCTTGCCGCTGGAGTGGACAGCAAAACCACCAATGTCAACACCGTGACGACCAGCAATGTCCTTCACAAGAGGAGCCTCGCCAACAATCTTGACGAGCTTCTCGCCGGCGTAACGATCCTGGTAGATGTTGCGGATGTCACGGGATGTCATCTCCTTGTTCAGGGGAATGCTGATGGTGTGGCTGATACCCTGGAACCAAACAGCGACGTGGGGAATGAACGCAACGCTGGTACCAAGCTGAGAGCTGATCTCACGCTCGTGAATGTGGTCAGTCAAGCTGTAGGGGATAAGGTTGTTGGTGAGGAAGTTGACGTCGTTCTTGGGGCTAGGCTTGGTGCCAGCACCGGAGTAACCAGAGACACCGAAAGTGGTGGGCTGACCGCCAAGGAAGGGAACGAGGGGAGCGATACCAAGCTGGGCAGCAGTAGCGTAGCATCCAGGGTTGGCAATGCGGGTGGCACGGGCAATCTTGGAGCGGTCGACCAGCTCGGGGAGACCGTAGGTCCAGTTGGGGTCGAAGCGGTAGTCGGCACTCAAGTCAACAATAACGTTGCCGTTGGCGGCACCCTCGTCGACGGCGTCAACGAAAGGCTTGCACACCCCGTTAGGCAGAGCCATGACCCAGCAGTCAACCTCACCGTTAGCAGACATCTTGCGAACATCATCGGGGCTGAGGTTCTCGTAGATGATCTCCCGCTTGGCGTAACCCTTTAGTTTCTGGCCAGCGAGCTCGCGCGACGAGACGTGGCGGAGATCCATGTTGGGGTGGGCGCTGAGCAGGTTAATCAAAGCCTGACCAGTGTAGCCACGGGCGCCGATGAGAGCAACCTTGGCAGGGGAGGAGTTGGAAGCGTTCTTCTCTCCAAGAGGGGGGTTGGGGTTGGTGGAGTAGGTGCGCATGCCCTTGACAGCAATGGCGGGGCGCACAGCACGGCTGGCACGCAAAACGTTGGAGGTGGTGGAGTAAGCACGCTTCTGCTCAGTAGAGGCACCGCTGGCGCCAAAGCCCTTGGGCAGGGAAGCGGCCTTGTGAGCACGGGCAAGGCGGGACTCGAGGTTGATGTCACCGAACATCTGGCGGCCGTTCTTGGTGAACTCCTGGACCAGCTGCTTGACCTCTTCACCCTCCTCAACACCAGACCAGAAGAGAACCTCACCGTCACGGCTCAGGCTGCCATCGGCCTTGTCAAAGAACCAGGTCAGGTTCTCGTCGTCCTCCTTGACGGTCCATGCCAGCTTGGGGAAGTCCTTCATGACGCTGGAGATAACGTTGTCAGCAACGTTAGTCAACCAGCCCGACTTGGTGATGGTGAAAGTAGCCATCTGGGCAATCGACGAGCCATTCTGAGGAGGCAGGACAACAGCCAGAGCATCCATGGGGTCATCGTAGTAAATCTTGAATTCGTGCTCCTTAAGACCCTCGACGTAACGGTCAACAACAGCACGGGCGTCGAGACCCTCACGATCACGAATTAAAACATCCTTCAACGCCTGCAAATCCTCAAACTCAGAGAGAGAGGTCTTGACGTTGATCTTGTTACCACGGCGGATCAAAGTACCAGCACCGGAGTCAGTGAACAGCTCCTTCTGAAGATCAGCGGGGTGAATAATGGCCACGCTGGAAGAGCGGGGAAGATCGCTCAGGAGTTCCTTCATCTCCTTGATCTTCAGGCGAGTACCGTGGCGCACCCACCACTGAGTCATCAGGTGGTCGTACTCCTCATCAAGGTTGATAGCGGAGATCTTCTCGCCAGTGTCACCGTTGAAGAGACCACCCTTCTCAGCCAGATAAACGATCTTCAACGGCTGCAGAGCGCGGGCCAGCTCACCAGCCGCCACGTCCGCGTTCACGTTGAGGACCTGTCCATCGGGGGTCTCAGCCATGGAGGTCAGGATAGGCAAGCAGCCCGCAGCGATTGCGGACTCAATGGGCTTCTTGTCAACGCCATTGATCTTGCCAACCAAGTTGTACTTAGGCTTGTCCAAGTAGTCGGCGGAGAAAACGCCGGCGGTGATAGGACGAGCACGCACACCCATGCGCTCCAGCTCCTCCACCAGCTTCATGTTCTCCTCCAGGAAAAGCTTGCGAGCTAGAGCCAGGGTCTTGCCATCGGTGACACGGATTCCGTCCTCGAACTGGGGCTCGACGCCGGCGGCCTCCAGCATACGGTTCAGCTGTGGGCCAGCGCCGTGGACGACGATCGGGTAAAGGCCGACATGGTTGAGGAAAGCAAGAGCAGAAGACAGGGTCTGGAGGTGCTCAGTGATAATAGCGCCGCCAACCTTGATAACGGCGAATTGCTGGGAGGAGACGGAGGTAAAGTGGGAGAGGTACTGCTGAACCTCACGCTTGGAGCCGATGTTGCTCAACAGCTGCACAACAGTGTTGCGGGTAGAGCTGAGTTGAGGATCGCCGGAACGAGAGTAGCCACGGCTCTGGCGCAGAGGAGTTGACACCGGAGCACGAGCAGCCACACAGCGAAGGGGGGAGGTGTGTGGTGCGGAGAAGGATCGGAGGGGCTTGGTGGAAGCTCTCCGCACAGCGGAGCGAAGGGACAACATCTTCACCAACATGCGGCAGCTGCAATTGAGAAACTTGCAGTTTAGCAGGGAAGTTACCCCCTTTTGTATGAAATGAAGAAAGCGAAAGCGATAGCGAAAGTGGGATGTTGGGAGTGGAAGTCAAGGATTGTGACTAACTGCAGATTTTACAGATACGAAGGGTAATCGGCCGGGCCTCGGAGCGATCACGTCCAATGATACAAGGCGGTGGAGACTGGCATTCTCTAGCGAGCGCCATTTACCATTTGACTGATAAACTCACTCACATCTCTTACGTATCAAATTTACTCTATTTTTTGGTTCTTTTGTTCTTTCTTCCCCTCTTTGAGCGCTAATATTTTTACGAATCAGGTAATTTCTATATCTAAGGCAATGTCTTCTCTGTGTAATCTGCAAAAAAATGAAAAATTAAAAAAACCCTGTAGGCGAACCAGATGCTGTTCACACGCTAAGACTTATTTGGAGTCAAACTTTTCAACCGATCGTCATTGTCAAATCTGATCCGGGTCTTCAAGCGAAGTCTAGCTTTCATATGGAAAGGAATCCACTATGGAACTCCGAGATCCCTCGAATTGGATCTAGTCCCAGTTATCTGATCCTCTCCAACAATCTTACTCGTCGTATCCAGCCACGCAACTATCCACTCCCTCCACCTGGCTTGTCTTAGTTGGCCTGGATTCGCTTCGTCCCGCCGGTTTATAATACCAAAACACGAGGCACCTGCCGATTATTGTTGTTCGGAGCTTACCGCAGTCCAGCCTTGGTTTTTGGCTTAAGAGATTTCCTTCACGGCTATCAGAAGCGGGTCACGGTCTCAATTCCGGACAGGTACATGGAGACATAGACATCAGGCCAGACGGAGGCTCCGTCCGAACCGTCTTAAAAGAGAAATAAGACCCGACACAAAACTTTGCAAGTGACATAATTATGTTAACATACTCAAACACGGCATAAGCGACATCATTTACAACTTTACCCCTGTACATGGAGTCTTTGATCATGAAAAACTCTGCGTTGCAGGGGCCCCATCCCAAGGAACTGGGCCTCGGCTCATTTCATCGCAAAAGGGAGAAAGTGAAGTCAAGAAGCATATTGGTCATTCAGAACACGCCCAAAACAAAACAGCAGGAGGTATTAGCAGCTGGGGAAGAAAACGACGGAGCTCCAAGGCCTCAACGACAGAAAAGACCCGGTCAAAAAAAAGATCCCATATTCCCAGGAGAGAAAAAAAAGCACAACTTTCACGCATGGCACATTCATGTCCCATCCCTTTAATGCCGTGTCGCAACAACAGCTGTCGAATGTTAGCGTCCCGTTCCCATACCCCAGAGGCGTCGGGATGTGCTATTGCAAAGATAAGACTTACAGGGTACAATGATGACCACAAGTAGGATGATCACGCAGATGACCAAGCATACGCGCATCTTCATGTCCTTCCACCACATTTGCTTCCGCACGCGATTGGCACCTCGACGAAATCCCTGGGCTGATACAGCCAGGTTGTCGGTCTTGTCCTGTAGGGAGTCCAGACGCTCACCACGCTGGGACACCTTTGTGATGTTCTCACGCATCACACCGACTGTGTCATCGATTTGCTGGATTGGGTGTTAGTCTCGGGTTGGTAAGCGCGCCGAGTCTCCCAGGTGGAATCCACAACTAGCGCATATCGTCCACTATATTCAAGGTATGCGACATCGTGATTGATGGTACTTGGGAGGCTTGGTTTATTGGGCAAGGACAAAACTAACCGCTTGCAGCGCGGCGGTGCGCTGGTTTCCATTCTGCTGGGAGGCACCGGCGGTGGCACCAGCCTGGCCGGCAGGGATATAGGGGTCGTAGGGCTGTTCGTGGGACATCGTGATGATCGGAACTGTTATGTGAAGTCTTAGCTAAACTTCCACAGGACGTTGACGGCGATCAGATTACCACGAGCAAGTACTCTGTAGTCAGGGACGCTTTGTTTGGACGGGGGTAACCCACCTGATTCGTTGCCAAGGAGACGGAAAGGGATGTAGACAACGGAGGTGACGTGAGAGTGATCGTACACGAGTACAGATCAAGGAGTTTGAAAGGCGTGAGGAAGGTATTTGAGATGGACTGGAGACTGTTGAACTGTAGAAGCTGACAAGTTGGAGTTGCCGCTGATGGCGGGTTCTATGATCACGTGAGTGTGGCGCTGTCTCATAAGGCCAGAAGCAGGCAAATCCTTTTCTTTTCTTTCTTTGGATTTACTTTCAGGCCTCAATTCTAGGCGTCTAGTGGATACGTTCCAATAGACTAGGTTTTGAAGGCGCATTTACGGGGGAATTGAGGGAAATCATTTCAAAGCTGGGGAAATGAGTTGCAATTTACCACAAACATGCCACAACTCCGAATAAGCTTTAAATTTACTGTTAGAACTTTCCACATGATTATTATTATAGAATTTGTTTTCAGATGCGACCGAATTCGCTAAAAAAAAAATATGTTTCTATGGGTGAAAAGATTCTATATGGCTGCCTACTACTAGTTTTCCCAAAGCATACACGTTGCTTGAGGAACGGATACTAAATTAGTAACATGCTCCGGCTTCGACGGCTACCAATTGCCGCTGAGAAAAGTTTACAGAGATCTCAGCCGTACGTCATTCTTCAGTGATAACAGTTCCTGATATAGTTATGCACCCCAGGGTCTGCCGATCCTCCAACGGTCCATTCTGTAAGGGGTGATCAATTTTGCTTTTTCACGAGTATTCATATCTACGTATAGAAGACTCACGACTTGAAATTTTCCGACAATTCCTAATTTGCGTGCCCTCCACATTTCAAATGTAAGTGGCTCCCAGGACTATTGGTCTACAGATATCAAGACGTGAGAATCTCAAAATATGTATAGTTACTGTAGCATGACTGACAAGTGGAATTCACCAAATCTTTTTTGTTCCAGTTAAGTCTAGTCCGTACATATATCCATTTACTTCTGTAAATACATCAATATATGTGCATCGCTTATCGAGACTGTGCTAGAGTTCCATGCTGTTCCCATACTCAATGCTGTAAACTCAACGATCACTTGTCGTCTAACCGTGTCGACACTTCATGCTGCTGAAATATTATGTAATTTGGAATCATGCTTTTCCTATAATTGCTTTTTTGCAAGCTTGGAATGATTCATCTACATGTACCCTTGCCCAAAATTGAAACGGCTCACTTGAGTCTTTTTTTGACACTCGACACTTAGAGGAGAGAATTTCATGATATAATTTTGATACCGGAATGAAATACGCACTGATAACACAATATTCGAATGTTGGAAACATTTGAGAGTGAAACGTCCGAGGCACTTTGAATTGAATTATATACATGATACAAACAACCCCAAACTCCTGTCCGAAATACTGAATTGATGTCGGAAGCATTGACTGCATATGTGCGCATATTTTCAACAACTTGTTTGACGCTCGAAGTTTGGATAAGAAAGAGCAGGTTTTGATTAGATATCAATAGACAAAGGCATCTGCCACAGAGCCTTGAAGAGGTTCGTCAAATAATGCTAACATTTGAACAGACTTATCGTACACACCATAATGATCATACAAGTGGATCCAAAGCGCCTGCACCGTAGCATAGACGGCCTTTCTTCCAAAAAGAATTATGCAAAAAAAATAAAGCGTCAGAATCGCAAGAGCCTGCCATAACCTCAGAAGGATAGACTAGCATAGAGAGCCCTCAATTAGAGGGCCATGCATGGGTATGCTGGCACTATTTGTCCTCACCCAGCATCTCCTTGCGCATCTCCTCCTTTTGTATGCGGGTCTCCTCCTTCGCCTTGGCCCGTTGAGCCTCGATAATTGCTTGCTTCCGCTCTAACTCTTCCTGCGCAGCATACCAGACTATAAAAGAATATCAGCCCCAAGTCTCACATGGCAATTACATCATCACATGGCCACTCAATTCGAGGCCGAAGCGCAGTTCTCAAAAAAGGGGAAAACCCACTGGACTTGTCAGACTTGGACCACTCCTTCAGCTTGGTAACGTAATCATCAAACTCCTGAGCGCGGCGCTCTCCCTGCTCAGCACTGCGCTTCTGGAGCTCCGGGCTATACCGCTTTTTAAGTTCCTCATCGGTTGGTCGAATGTATTCCACGAAGGCAGGGCCTCCAACGGACAGGGCGATACCACTATGAGGGAAGGAGTCAGCAGACTTGGTTCACCAGTCTTTCGTCATGTTACTTTTCATCCCATTCGGTTGTTCAGCACTTACCCAATGATGACCTTCGCCCATAATCCGGCGCGAGACATGGTGGAGTGTTTTCTCCGATGCGGAGAACGGGGACTGGTTGGGAGGTCTCGAATATTTCTGGGTGGATGATGTAGGCGTGTGAGCAGGGTCGAATGTCTAGAGGCAACGGTGGGGATTCAGATTCAAGGGTGAGACAGAGACCGCGTGCACAGAGATCATTTGCATCATCGAAGCTCTCATTTGCGGGACGAATGTGTGGCTAATTTGTGGCTTATCGTTGTGGCGCAGTAAATGTTTCCATCGGGATCTCGGGAAAACAATTCTACTATTCTTCTTTTCTTCTATTGGGGATTCTAATCACAAGGTTTCGATCTCCACTTTTGACGTAGGATTTTAACTTCTGTTTTCTTTTTTAATACAATATACGGAATACCAAAATACTCTTCTGCCTATTACGGGATACCGTCACAGGGTCTATTCAGTCACCCATGGATCTGATCGACGTATACTTTCCTACTGTAATCAGCGCGATGAAAGACCAGGTTGGGTATGAAATCCCTTGGGTCCTAACTTGAAGTGGGCCTTGTATGCCGGACATCCCCTTTGTCGCTGCCGGGTTAAGCGAATAGTCGGCGAATTATGAAGGAGATTGAGTAACGGGCCGGGCCAAGAATATGCAAACATAAGTAAGTGACAGGGCTTGCATTGGATGAAACGGTGTACGGGGTAAGTCCCACGTATTCGTACTAATCGTACTAGTACTACTAATGACCCCTGATCGTCAGGTACAGTACGGAGTCAGTATTTCCAGAAGTAAAAACTTGAAATTTCCAATACCCGCGCGCTTTGGCTCATACAGGAAGATGTGTCTCGCCTGAAACTCCGTCAAAACCGTGATTGCCAAGCCCTGAGTGAAGACAAATTAGAAACTGAATTTAACTTAAGTAGAAGTGGGTCACCGGGTTTTATTAAAGTCACCTGTTTTCCACCCCCGAATTCCCGTCCCCCCCGCTTAATCATTTGAAAGCAATTGGAAGCTCAGGTGAGTTCATGGAATGTAAACCTTTCAAATACTTGCCAGGGCACGTGCTCCCATTTGCGGGGAGCCCTTCGGTACAAACTGACCATTTGGCTTGCCCTTTAGCCCTTGCATGCGACCAAACGGTTGTGCCAACAACACACCTCCGGGGAAGAACTCCTGAGAGAGAAGAGACAGGTAGACAGAGAAAAAAAGACCTCCCCGATACCCTCCGCAAGCCAGAGTCATGGCATACCCTTCGCAGGCAGCGCAGAGACCCCCACCTCTGAGGCAGTACAATAACTCTGTGCCTCCGCCTGCCTCGGCCCCTGGTGGTTATGCGCCTGACGCCATGTACAGCCCAGGTGGTGGGCATGGACCAACAGAATCTGCCTACAGTGACCCTGGATACAGCGATCCTTCATACGGTTACCAACCCGCCGCCCCTGGCGCTCTACCACCCCAGTCGCAATCGCGTTCAATGCGCCCACCAGGACCATCTGGACCAGGACGACCAACTCCCGGATATGACAGTCGGCGCGGCTACTCTGGTGAAAGACAACCTCTACAGAAAAGCTCCAGGCCTCGTAAGTTAATTCAAAATCTTTGTTCGTTTCGGCATCTGACAGACCTAGCGGTATCTCGTCCTCCGCGACAAGGCGAAGGCTTCGATAGCCCTTTCCCTGCAGTTCCACCCGGTAGAGACCCCAGAGATCCGAGAGCTAGAGACCCCAGAGATCCAAGAGCTAGAGACCCTAGAGACCCGAGATCGAGAGACCCTAGAGACCCAAGAGATCCTAGAAACCGACGACCTCCCCCTGACGGGATAGAGAGGGGCATGGCAGCGATGGATATAAATGGCCAACCACCCCGACCACACACCTCGAATTCACGAAGACCAGAACCACGTGGAGCTGCGCGTGGAATGCCGCCTCGCGGCCGAGGCGGTTACTATCCAGGTCCTCCACGATCTGGCCGACCACCAATGGACCCGAACAGTCCAATGGGACCTCCATCCCGGAGCGCAACTATGCCATCACGCGAGCCACCACCCGCGGCGGCATATGGTGAATATGATTACCCAGCTGCCACAATGAGCGGTGACATGCCTCCACGCCCCAACACCGCCGGTAGCATGCGACCTCCACGGGCACGGGCTGCGCCTGGCCCTGTCCCCAATCCAGGACTAATGTTTCCTCCTCCTGATCCGCCTAATCGGGTTTCATATGCGCCCAAGGATTTCCTGGATACCTACTACGATAGTAACGATGAACCTGATATGCCCGATATGCCCAACTTTGATGCTATCCCCCATACCAATGGCCCGGTAGATGAGATGGGATTGGAGGCACCCAAGCCCAAACTACAATCACCAGGTTCCCCAAGCTCGCCTGGTAGCGGTCAATACGCAGCCTACTCCCCGGGTGCGGGTGCGGGTGCGGGTGCGGGTGCGAGTGCGGGTGGGCTAGGAACCTCACAATCCCGATCTCTTGGACAAGGAGATGCGCCAAATCAGTTCGAGAATGCCGGCTTCAATTTCAACATCGGTGGTGGCGACACCTCACCAGCTGCTTCCGGATATGGACATTCACCCAACAGCTACGATCAATCTGGTGGCTACTTCCCTCATGAACCCGCACCAGCGTACACTCCAGGTCCTCCGGGTCCTGTTCCACCCGGCCCTGGTCAGCAGGGATTCCCATATGAAAAACACCAGTCACCAGATGTGCAGCAAACCCCCGATACTCTGCCTTCTCACCCAACACCCTTCCGGCCGGGCCACGACCAAGCCGCAAAGCCCGCCCCGGTGCGAAACTACAACAACGCTCCCGTGCCTGCGCAAGCTCCTGCTGCCGTTGCTGCTCCTCAGCCAACGACCCCGGATGTAAAAACCCCCATCACACACGATGAACTTGAGCGACTACAACAGAAAGCACGAGGTAATCCTTCAGATCAAGCGACTCAGCTTCTGCTAGCCAAAAAGTTGGTTGAAGCCACCACTGTCCTTATACAAGATAACAGCCGACTCGATCCCAAAACAAAAGCCAAGGCAAAGGAAAAGTATATACAGGATGCACACAAGATAGTGAAGAAGCTATCGCAGGCTGGATATGCAGATGCACAATTCTATCTCGCCGACTGCTACGGGGAAGGTCTTCTTGGATTGGAAGCCGACCCAAAGGAGGCATTCAACCTATACCACTCGGCGGCAAAGGCTGGCCATGCCCAGTCCGCCTACAGAGTGGCCGTCTGCTGTGAGATAGGCGCAGAAGAAGGCGGCGGTACAAAGCGGGATCCTTTCAAGGCTGTGCAATGGTACAAGCGCGCAGCGTCTTTGGGCGATACTCCTGCCATGTATAAAATGGGCATGATTCATCTCAAGGGTCTACTCGGCCAAGCCCGGAGTCCCCGCGAGGGCATCTCATGGCTTAAGCGCGCAGCTGAACGTGCCGACGAAGAGAACCCCCACGCCCTACACGAGCTGGCTCTCATGTACCAAACTGCTTCTGGCAACGATTCTATCGTCCGCGACGAGGCATATGCCAGCCAACTCTTCCACCAGGCTGCCGAGCTGGGCTACAAATTCTCTCAGTTCCGTCTCGGTACTGCATATGAATACGGTCTGATGGGATGTACCCCCGATAATCGTATGAGTATCATTTGGTATACCCGGGCAGCTGCCCAGGGCGAGCATCAGAGTGAACTTGCCCTGAGTGGCTGGTACCTCACTGGCTCGGAAGGTGTTTTGCAGCAGAGTGACACAGAAGCCTACCTCTGGGCCCGCAAAGCAGCTGTGGCTGGTCTTGCCAAGGCCGAGTATGCGATGGGCTACTTCACCGAGGTTGGAATTGGTGCCGCCGCTAATTTGGATGATGCTAAACGTTGGTATTGGCGTGCAGCGGGTAAGAATACCTTGATCTCACATTTTTCTGAATTCTTGCTGACCCTCTATCTTCTAGCCCAAGGATTCCCCAAGGCCAGAGAACGCCTCGAGGACCTCAAGAAGGGTGGAGGTAGGATGCAAAAAAACAATTTCTCTCGCGCAGCTGTGAACAAGCAAAGTGATGGAGACTGTGTCCTGATGTAGATCCCTCTTTCCTTACTATCGAATTTCTTGCCACGATTCTCAATCCCCATTTCCCGTTTCTCATTTCCCATCTCCCAATTCTCGATTCCCGATTCCCAATTCCCTGGCTCATCCCACCCTATATATACCCGGTTCCCCCCATACATGTATCTTTCTAACGACCCCCGATGCTTCTACGACCACACCGCCTTATATTAGAATGGGGCTTGCCTTTTGGTTTAGGCTGTACAATTCTTTATTCCTCGCTTTCACCTTACCTTTGGATTACCTTATTCTTATTGCCATGCCTTTTTCTCTCTTTATGATTCTCAGGGTTGGCTTGCACCTCCACGGAGAAAGACATAATTAGTAGTGAGGACACCTTGGGCGAATTCCCTCGAGCTTGCCCTGCCTTTACATTGAAATAGATTGGATTGTTGTGTCATGTCAATAATTCATCACAATATTTGGGCAATTTCATTCCGACAGCATTTGACCGTCCACGCGCACCATTATCTTATAATTCTGATACCTTCCAGCTAGGAGATTCTCTCTCCTTCCACAGAGTAAAGTGGACTATCATGTTATGTCCGTATTCCCGAGCGGGCCTCTTCCGCGCTGACACATCCGTTCGGCTTACGCCATCGGCTCTACTCTACTTCCGAAACGACTGTATTTCTAATGCATCGGATTCTTTCTAACCCGATTCTCTGGACTTTGATCTCTAAGCGCATTAAGTTGGACCTTGGAAGCTGAAACTTGGAATTTCTTCCATTCAAGAAAGACTTAAGGGCAAGCAAGCAAGCAACATATCCATTACATGTCTTCCGAATCCCACCGCAATCCAAATAACCTTCCAACCAACGAAACATCAGGAATCCAAAACAACAAGAAGATCCTCCTTTTCTCACTATTGACTATAATCATTGCGACTTTGATCGCTCTCTTCTGCACAGATACCGCCAACGTGTCTGCATTCCGTCGGTTATTCGGGTCTTCAACTCGTTCGGCTGTAGGTCCTTTGTCTGCGTCGGCTTCAGCATCCATTGGCGCTAGTGCAGCTGTGAAAGCGAAGATATCGCAGAACGAGTCATACAAGATGAAGACTCCGATTTACTTCTTGAGTCATGGTGGGGTAAGATTTGATTGCATTCCATACATTCCCTACAATTATCCTCATACAAAAGCCCTATGCTCACATGGGTGTTGGTTTATTTGAATTTATTTGAATTGAGCTAATGCGTTTGTTCCTCCTAGCCGAACGTCATGTACGACGTGGATCATCCTGCGTATCGCAAACTAAGCCAGATCGGTCGTGAGATTACGACCAAGGTCAAGCCTCGTGCGGTTGTTGTTTTCTCGGCCCATTGGCAGGGTGGAAGGGATACTATCTATGTGAATACGGCGGAAATGACGGATTTGATTTATGAGTATGTCTCTCATTCTCTTGAGAGATGATGTGCAGGATAATTTGGTTTTATGCTGATCGTGTTTGACAGCTTCTATGGTTTCCCGGACCATTACTACAAAGAGAAGTATCCGAATGTGGGAAGCAAGGAAGTCGCTCACAAAGTACTCGACTTGCTCAAGGAGGCGGGTATTGATGCAAAGGGTGTGAAGCGGGGACTTGATCATGGTGTTTGGACGAGCTTTAAATGCGGTATGTTTCGAAGAATGATCAAAAGGAGGTCAATACTAACAGTGCATAGCTTTTGAGCCTGATGAGAATCCTCTCAATGTCCCTATCGTTCAGGTCTCTCTCTTTGACACCGAAGATCCCAATCAACACTACCGCCTTGGACAGGCAGTTTCTCGCCTGCGGGAGGAAAACATCTTGATTATTGTCTCGGGGATGGCGGTGCACAATCTCCGCGATATGTATTTTGCTTTCGGAAAGAAACAGCCGCTACCTTATGCGGTTAGCTTCGATGAGGCGCTGAAGGAGGCTGCTACGGCGAAGCCCGAGGAGCGCGAGGCTGCTATGGCGGCGTTGCTGAAGAGACCGGACGCCAGACAAGCACATCCGTCTTTCGAACATTTATTGCCTATTCACATTGGTGCTGGAGCGGCAGGAGATGATCTTGGCAAACGAACTTGGAAGTTCCCCGAAGGAAGTATGAGCTGGTCGCAGTATCGCTTTGGAGAGTTGGAAAATGCTAGTTCTTCGTTATAGGATTGGTTTTAGGAGTTCTTTCGGTGAAACAGATAGAGGTATTTCGGCATAGCAGTCAATTGAATTTATAATTCGGAAATGAATTTCGAGCTGAAGTTTCTTCATTGATTGGATGTGTGAGACGGGGTTCGATTTTCATCTATAGGTACACAGGATTGTAGAACGGTAAAACTCGCAATTGTAGCAGGAAATAAGACAGGTTGAAGGGCGAAGAGGAAGAGGATGCAAAATGGCGTTATGAGGTCTGCTTCACCAACTGGGTGATGCGCTCTTCGATCTGCGCGTCGGAGAGACCTGTTTGAAGTGAGCATTGTCCCTCGGATCTGGGGAGTGGGAGGATAGCCTACCGGACAGCGCTTCTTGAGTCTCCTTTCCGAGATCTGTAGTTCCATAATAAGGGAGTTAGCGATCTAGACCTTGGTATTGTGTGCTGAAATTGCCGGGGAATAGCTGCGGTCGTACCGTATCGGGCAAAGACTCGCGGCACAGAGCCAGAGGCCTCGCGCATGAGGATGGGAGTGTGAGGGTTGTGCTTCTTCATGGTAGGGTAAGCGCGGTTAAGGAAGGTTCTATTGGAGTGACGCGATTGAATTAGTCAATAGATTCGGGGAGCATGGCATTGGAACTGGTCGGATGTTCAGGCTTGGAGGGCATACCTTGTGGCAGCGCTCTGCTCAGAGGTCTGGCAGAAAAGGAAGCGCAGCTCCTTCAGGCCCTTGGAGAAAACGTATTTGCCCGACATGACGGAATGGTGTGGAGTTGAGGGATAGAGGAGGGGGTATCAAGAGTGTCAAGAGGATGAGAGCATTATTCACGAGCCCCGTGATTCGTTCAAGCAGAGATGGCTGCCGCTATACCTAATATGGACTAGCGGATATAATATTAGATAATCCGGAAGAGAACCGCTCTCAAACCACTTGACAGCCGAGTAGGTTTAATATAGCTATAACAATGATTATCCAGTAGTTAATGGGCATCTGAACTGTGTTCGCATATCTTCAATTTTTATAAATCCTAGTGGTGGTGCGTTTTCAATTGTTGTGACCTTGTAACCGGCGGAAAACTCACTTGCCCCGACCACCGGCCGATCCCGCCCTTCTTTCCTCTTCACTCTCCAAGTCGTCATATCACCATCCGCCATCATGTCGTCTCGTGTGGGATTCCGCTTCCTTAACAACAGCCGCTTTGCTTTCCGCAATGCCACCGGTCCCTTCCGTCGGCAGGCCGGCCAGGGCTTCCGTTTCCAGAGCTCCGACGCCGGCGCCGCGGGCAAGCAGAGCTTCTTCCAGCGCATGTGGGACAGCCCTGTTGGTGTGAAGACTGTTCACTTCTGGTAGGTCATTGAGCTTGGACTTTTTCTTAACAGCTCGAAATGAATGTTTCTGCTAACCTCCATGTCTGATAGGGCCCCAGTAATGAAGGTACGACCATGACTCAATTCACCCCGTCGCGATAAGCGCTCGTTATATACGATTATATAAATTAAATCCGCTCAATCTCGCGATGCCATGGATGCTGATTACTATGGGGTGGTTCACGTTATATCAATTACTGACATAACTCGTTTGCAGTGGGCTTTGGTCATCGCCGGTATCTCCGACTTCAACCGCCCGGCTGAGAAGCTCTCCCTTACCCAGAACGGTGCCCTCATGGCCACCGGTGCTATTTGGACCCGCTGGTGCTTAATTATCAAGCCTCGCAACGTCCTGTATGTTTCGATTCCCGGGAATTCTATATTTCGATCTGGGTGACGAACATTCGCTAACTCCATCTCAACAGGCTTGCTGCTGTCAACTTCTTCCTCGGATGTGTTGGTGTCGTTCAGGTCACCCGTATTTACAACTACCGCAGAAGCCTGGAAGGCTCTGATGTCGTCGACTCTGCCAAGGATTCTGTCAAGGATGCTGTCTCTGCTGTCGAGGGCGCTGCCGAGGGTGCCGTGAAGGCTGTCGAGGAGAAGGTGTCTGAGAAGACCAACTAAATGCTCTGTGTACCTCATGGGTCAGATACGTTGGAAGGTGGCGGTGCGGGCATTGGAAGATGTGGAGGGACATGACTGCACATAGATCGGCTTTTATAGAGGCTCGGCGCTCCGAACAACGGAGCTTCTTGAGTTTATTTTCCCTTGTGCTATCTGTTCTTTCTACGGACCCGCTGTACAGATAATTTTGGAAAGTTTTTGTTTTGTGCTCATTTTCGCCATCCAATGTAGGCCCTAAGATAGAACGTTCAAATTGAGCAGAGGTCGCTTCAGTGAATGTTTACTGACATAAGAACTTTTGCATTTTGATCTAACTTCTTGGCAATTCTTTACTAACTGTCAAGGACCAATTAGCTTGCCAATCAATTTATAAATTCCGTGTCCACGCGCGATCGTCATTTCCCCGGATTTTTCCTCCCAATCGGTGAAATACAGGTCCGACTTTCCTCCTATCGGATTTATGTTTAGGTCTCCCCTTCCATAAAACATAGTACTCCAATCTCCGAGCAAGTCGCTAAGAAGACACCAGTACAACTTACACCAACTTCATCTCCTATCTTCCCCACAGCAGGTGATGTCGGGTTCCCCGGACGAAGACTGTGCACCGCGCCTTACCCCACCTCACCCGCATTTACGGAGTAGCTTAGCGTTGACGCAGGTTTTACCATGGCCTTGGGGTTGTGTTTTGCTTGATAACTATGCATATAAAAGAAGCAATGCCGCCGATCATTCCTCGGCCATCAAGGGTGTTCGAAGAATCTCATCCGCCTTTCTTTTTTACCAAACACAATGAGGATCTCCAATGCCGTGACACAGGCTACAGGCCTTCTTTTGTCACTGGGTCTTGCTACCGAGGCGAGATCTGTTACCCCAGCTGCGAAAGGATACTCGCGGAATGATGCCTGCGGTCCGCATGCACCGTTCAAGCCCCTTCCTTCAAGTCAACCGCGGACCAAGACGTGTCACGTTTCCACTTACGGGGATGGGCGCGATGACTCCAAGCATATTCTGTCCGCAATCAAGCAGTGCAATAATGGCGGCAAGGTTGTATTTGATGCTGACAAGTCCTACACAATTGGAACGGCATTGGATCTGACGTTCCTCAAACATGTAGATCTCGGTATGTCCCATCAAAATGTGTATCAATTAATGTATTCAGATTACTTTTGCTGACAATTTGGACAGATATCCAGGGATATGTCAAATTCACCAACGATACGGACTACTGGCAGGAGAATGCTTTCAAGCAGACGTACCAGAACGCCACTACCTTTTTCCAGTTGGGTGGTGAAGACGTTAATCTCTACGGCGGGGGCACGCTTGACGGAAATGGTCAAGTTTGGTATGATCTGTATGCCGAGGATGCTCTGATCCTGCGTCCCGTCTTAGTAGGAGTGATTGGACTCCATGGTGGTACCATTGGTCCCATCAACCTTCGCTATTCACCCCAGTGGTACCATTTCGTTGCAAACTCCACCAACGTCCTATTTGATGGGATCGACATCTCGGGATACAGTAAGAACAATATTACTGCTAAGAACACTGATGGATGGTAAGAGAGTACTTGTATTTCTGTGACAGAGGATTGAATTAACAAGGATAGGGATATCTACCGCTCGTCGAACATTGTTATTCAGAACTCTGTGATCAACAACGGTGATGGTATGCATACCAAAGCCTCACTTTTATATCAGATTCTAATCGTTCTACAGACTGTGTATCTTTCAAGCCCAATACTACAGAGGTCATTGTCCAGAATCTCCACTGCAATGGCTCTCATGGTATCTCGGTTGGTTCGCTGGGACAGTACAAGGACGAAGTCGATATTGTTGAGAATCTGCTCATTTATAACATCTCAATGTTCAATGCATCGGTAAGTGAGATAGTTTCAATTATCACCGCAGCGGAAACTAATGTGAACAGGACGGTGCTCGTATCAAAGTTTGGCCTGGCGTTTCATCTGAGCTCTCCACCGACTTGCAGGGCGGTGGTGGTTCAGGTAGCGTTAAGAATGTCACCTACGACACAATGTACATTGACAATGTCGACTATGCCATTGAAGTCACCCAGTGCTACGGACAGAGCAATCTGACTCTTTGCGATGAATACCCGGTGCGTCTCTATAAAAACCCTAAGCGGCACAACCTTCTAACCTTGAATCTCCAAAATACAGAGCAGTCTCACAATCTCCGATGTTTACTTTAACAATATCCATGGTACAACCTCGGGTAAAGAGAACCCTGATGTTGGAACCATCGTTTGCTCGAGCCCAGATGTGAGTTGAATTATCCGTCTCTTGATCGACATTTAATTAACAGCCTTAGGTTTGCTCGAATATTCACGCTACCAATATTGACGTCACCAATCCGAAAGGAGCTGACTACAATGTGTTTGTCTGCAAAAATGTAAGATATATGGATTCCAAAGACTGAGGCTTTGCTGACAGTGCTCCCCATCATTTAGGTCAACGATACTCTACTAGATGTCAACTGCACGACCTAGATAACGAGCCACATTACGTTCCTTCTATCCACTAATCTAGTGCTTGAATCAAAAGAACCTACGGATCATGCTGCATTCTGGACATTCCATATGAATATACATGAATGGTATCATCAACATGCGTATAGACAAGTAACGTTCGTATTCGTAAAGTAATCAAATAGATATTGGGTCCGACATATCATGCATATTAAGTTCGAAGAGTGAATACCGAATATCCCCCCCTCCAAGAATCCTCCCATTACAAGTCGACGTCACATCAGAAGAGAAAGTCAAAGCAGCAGGACAGTTTGTCGACGAATCATTTGGGACATTGGATATTCTCATCAATAACGCAAGATACACACCCGAATTCCTGCACATTGAAGATACGGTTCCAGCAGAATGGTGAAAAGGGTTCGAGGTTAATGTCAGAGGAACATTCCAGTGCACACATTACTTCGGTCTACTTTTGTTAATATCAGAAACTAAGATAATGATTTGGATTCCATCGGCGCATATCCATTGTCGCTAGGCGGTTCATCGTAGACGGCGTCACGATTTGCAATTGCAGGGTTAGGGAGTTCTTGACACGGGATTATGAGGCTAAAAGGCTTGTTGCGATCTCGTTGCATCCTGGTGGTTTTACTCCTGATATGCGGCGTAATTTACCCCGGCGGCCACATGCTACCTTGCAGGATAATGTGCGCATACGATTCACATGCTGTGTAGCTTGTTAAGGGCTGCTGGGAATGATTCAATTAAAGATAAATTTCTAGTCTGTGGGATTTGGATGTCAATTGAGTCAAGAAGGGGGAGATTGTTGACGGTCTAATCTAGATATTGCTGGTATTGCTTGAGAAAATCCTTCTTTCTTCGCTCTTGCGTTGCATCCGGATTGCTTTCACGTTCGAGATGCTCTATAGTCGATCAGCCAGCCCATGACGATGAACCCAGCTTCGGGCTCGCTTTCCAAAAATATACCTATTTTGTGTTAATCAGCGCTGTGTCTTGGGAGGGCAATGGAGACCTACATCGGAATTGTAAATAGAGTGGCACCCAGAGTGATTCCGCCAATTGTAAAGAAGCAGTTGCGAACGCCTTGGCTATCAATCCATCCATTGATATAGAAGGAAAGACCAAATGCAAACATATTCTTCACAAAGTTCATCGCTGCAAAGGCCTCCCCAGCCTTTTCACGATGGCAGTCTACCACATATGTGACCACGCTAGTAGTTCCTAGCTGGACTCCGAAATTAATCAACCCCAGACAAACAACAACAGGCACAGGCCAAGGATCCTGCGCCGCAGAAGACTGACCCCAGGCAAAGAAGCCTGTTGATGTAAAGAGCACGTAGGTTAACATGACCGGAAGACGGAATTCAGGCTCTGATCAAAGTCAGTACATATACGTTCCATGTCTAGTGAGTCATACCAAATATACCGCCGTTCTTCATCGACATCTTGGTGACTAGACCATCAATAAGAGGCCCTGCAACAATCGTACCAAGAACTGATGCCACAAAAGAAGAACAGTTGGTTGCTCCCACGCCTATGACCGAGAAATTGTATGGGGCCGCGGAGAAAATTTGGGATAGAGTGAGAGAGATTCCCACAAGCCATGATATGCACATAGTGAAGAGTAGCACAGCCCAAAGAACAGGCGGGGATGCTAGTAGATAGAATGGTCGGATCAAAGTATTCCAGAATGGGACTTGATTGACATAGCCACTGTAAGGCAACAATTCCTTGAGCCAGGAGTCACGGGCCTCAGTTGATGTTGGTGTTGTGCTTGTATGTTCTAGCTGTTCAAGGCTTGCTTTTCCTTCCAAAACAACCTGTTTATCTTAGAGCGGTGTCTGCAAAGGTGATCAGATAAAAAAACTTACATTTGATTCGCCAGTGTCAATATTCAAGGCCTCTCTCTTGTACGCAGATTCAGGCATCCAGAAAAACACAAGAATAAAAGCCAGTGCAAAGGCTCCACCCATACCATATAATGCTTCATTATACGATCCATACTGAATTACAGCAGCGGCTAATTCAATCAGCAAAAGCCCAGAGAAAAAAAGTAACAATGACCTCACCAATCGGAACCGCAAGGTTAATACCACCCAAAACGCCAAGATTGAAAATCGCCGTTCGAAACCCCCGCTCATGCACAAACCTAGCATCGTCAACTCCTCAACCCCAACATCCCAACAAGAATATGACTTACCAAATATCTGAAATAGAAGCTGGCACCAAAGCCTCCATAGGTGCCATACACAATCCACAAAAAACCCTCGAAGCAACGAACGACTCAAAGCTCTTCGCCTCAGCCCCCCAAAAACATGACACCATCAAACCAAGCGTAGTCCCTAAATAGATAGGCCGTTTCCCATATTTCACAGCCAAAGAGTTAAACAAGAGACTACCCACCGCGATCGCAGCAATGATACCACCCTGGACGGCCGAAACGAAAGTTGACAATGAGACGTCAAATTGGGCTGCTAGTGGAACGAATGCACCTCCAAGGAGAGGACCGATCGCTATAGGTAAAGGGTTTGTTAGTACTGTGTTTTCTTATTTGTTTACAAACGTGATGACCTACCCCCAACACAACCACATCCCCAGGCATAGGTAATTGTGAAAAGCGCCTTCTTCGTTCGGGACCAATTGTATGGGTCGTTGGGCGAGTCAGATGGCTGAGGAACGAGAACTATCTTGCCCGTGTGGTCATATTTGAGTAGACCTGGGTCGATGCCGGAGTAAATGTCGGTTTCGGAGTGGCCGTGAAGAGGAGCTGTTCCGGGGATATACTCTAGCTTTGCATCTTCCAGGATACCGAACGGCATGGCGAGGTGATTGGACTCTTAGAACTGGGTGGTGGAATAAAGGAAAAAATTTGAATACTGAGTCTTCAGTGATTAAGCAAAATTGTAGATCTCGGCTGGGGGCTTCACAACTTAAGTGAGCAAGGATTGTATTAGCTATTTGTGTTACACACATGAAACTCTAGTATTAACCTCTAGACATTACCCGCACAGCAATGATTCCTCCAACCATAGAAAGATACGAAAGACCAAGTGAAAATGGGTCTTGCGGGACAAAGATATGGGGCTGTCAAGACTCGTTTGTGGGGGAATCCGGTATGTGAGTGCGTAGATCTGGGGTTCCCCGCGGGGTTTTGCCGGGCAAGTATCTTCCCAGCCCTCGACTCGTAACGAGGCTTAAATCATTTCTATGTAGATGTTCACATCGCGCTGCAAGGAGCGATACAACTGAGGCATCGAAATGTCCTCAAAATTGATAGTAATTGCAAAGGAAGAACGTATGCACCTGGACAGAGATATACCTGACTTTCCAAGTAAACAAGTGGTCGGTAAGCGTCCCATGCTAGCCGAGCAAAGGATCAGCCATTTTAAACCCAAGCTCCGACATGATTTTAGCTGAATTCGGGTTCAACGTTTCCAATGTCGTGGCAATCGGTGAGATTCTTGTACCGGCTAAATTGCGCACAGGGTATGCTACCTAAACTCTAGATATAGTTTACTTTCTTGTCACGAAATGTATCTAAAGATGATACCATGCGAGACTATCTGGAAAAATACTGGAAATATTCTTACCATTGATTCTGCGTAGAAGTCATAGCAATTCAGAGAACGAGTCTGATTTGATGAGAAAACTGGCACGTACAAGGATGGGACGCATGTTTCCGTCCCGAAGTAATATGCCACTTCCACGGTCCTCGGTGCTGTGTCATATGAAATAGTCTATTCGATACAATATCCTTCACGCCTCATATTTTACACAGGCCCAAAAAAACATTAACAAATCTAGGTATGTACCAAAACAAAATGTATCAGGAAAGCAGAAGCTCCCTAAGTGAAGAATATAAACCCAGAAATTCAACTCTTTAACTCCACAATTGCCCTTTGTGATTGAAAAAGGCTTGACTCAGCCTCCGCAAACAACCCAGCCCATGATGGCAACCCAGCCGCTGACGAGAACTACTGTTAAAATCCCAGCACCAGCTCGACTGCCAGAAGTAATTGTTGAAGATGTTTCAGTCGCTGTAGCAGCTGTATCATTATCACCAGCCGTAACATCGCTGGTACTATTTCCGCCCGTTGTCGATGTGACAGGGGCGCTTTTTTCGAAAGCGATCAAATTGGCAACAAAGACATTTGTTGCACTGATTTCTTGCTCCATGGTCATATAACCGTCGTATTTCGATAGATACCAGCGGACACCACAGGTATTATTGTCGTGCCCGGTGCAAGACAGAGCGGCAGCTGAAGCGGAGGTTTGTAGCTTCGGTAAGATGGTATCCCAGGTCGATGGAACTAGCATTGCGGTGAAAGATAGCCAGGAAGAGACGAGGCCTTTGAAAAGGACTTCATTGTTGTTGCATTGCTCTGATGGTTCACAGACGATTTCTTCTAGAATTCCGCCGTTGCTAGCTGGTGCGAACTTATTCAATGTTCTTGTTAATAAGCCATTGACTCTTGTTTCCCAAGCGGTTTGCTCAGTGCCGTTTGTCTATAGTAAGTTAGAACCGGAATCAAGAGGTTATGTGGTGGCAACAAGCGAAACTCACAATATTGTACATATAGGCGGCACCCATTAGATACGTGCCATAATTATATGACCACTGGGTATTTCCCTGACTTGTACAGCCATCGTCCATCTGTGTCGAGTCGGCAACATTCCAGGTCGAGTTACTAAGGAGCGGTGTGGTAGTCGACCAATCCCAGATCTTCCGAGCCCATTCACCATAAAGTTCCGTTCCTGTGTAACGATACAGGCGTGCAGCTAGCTGAAACAAGCCACCGTTGGCAATGGAGTTCTTCATTTCGTAACCAGATTCCCACCACCAAATCTGCCAACGCATTCCACCGCTGCAGGTGGTCGTGTCCCATCGCTTGATCTGGGTGTTGAAGACACCTTGAGCAAGTGAAAGCCAAGAGTACCCAGAACTAGCGTCTGCAAAGGCGAGTTCGGCAGCGGTGATAGCAGCAAGACCCCAGAACATTTGATCATCATTTCCCTTTCAACAATTAGCAAAGAAGTGAGACAGATTGTCAGATACTTGGCTCACTAGGTAGCTACTATAGTTCGACGGCATATAGTCACCATCACCTGCTTGCCACTCTAATCCCACTCGCAGTTCATCATTATAGGTAGTGTCACCTGTGAAGTGCCAATACTGGAGTAGGGCCATGAAAAGAGCAGATCCCTCCCACCATTTACTGGCAAAGGCTCCGGGAATATGACCTGTTTCGTTGCCTTTATAGTAGGTCATCATGGCATAGGCACTGATACTAGCGGCATCTTTGATGGATTCTGCAGATATGGGGGGTCAGTAAATGAGTCTCACCAATCAGGTAACAGGAATCAGAGATCTGGAGACTCCGTGCATGAAATTCGCTTTCACATACGTTCATCACTGATATCCAGGGTAATCGCATTTGCGCTATTAGAAAGGAGGAGCGCGACCAACGCGCCCTTCCACGAACACCAGGCACCCAGAAAGCGCATCCTGGAACCAGAGCGTCGGCCAAGCTTCCAAGAAAGCCAAACTGAGCCAGTTGGTATGGATTATACTGTGATTGTTAACGGAGAGAACGGCATGAACTTGGCACTGTTGATCGTAGGAACCAAGAACGACTGCGACTGCGACTGATCACGACCAGTCTCGAAAAAACCTCCTTTAAATTTGAGACATTAAATCGGGCCGCACTACCGAAAAGGACCTTTTAATTATAGCAGCGCTAATACATAACTGTCAGGAGTGGAACCCACTATTTGGTTTAGAAACACTATCAAAGGACTTGGCACTAGCGCCTTCATTTTATGAACGGTAGAATTACACCCGGATACATATAAGCGAGTAGGGGGTTCCAATCCTTTATCGTTATTGGGTTAAATGTGTGACATGAATCAGGGGAGTGGATTAACGAAAGAAAATACATGAAACTTAGGGTACCACACAAAGAGATGTTACCCCACTTCAACATTCTTCTCAACCTTACCAAAGTTAAGGGGAAGGATACGCACGTACGTAGCAGGTAACTCCTGTACGAAGCTGGAAGGTAGTGTTATTGTTGCGACGGTGGGAAAAAAAGGAGTAAAAGGGTCCCAGTCACGTGACCTTCAAGATTAACGCGAATCGGATCGACCGGAGCTAAACCCAATAATCAATACGAATACGTTATATCTGCACCCTTAAAACTGGGTGAGAACCTATTCCTATGGACTATTTCAATTGTGAAGAATATAATGCACACTATCACAAAAATAGTAATAGATGCCCAGTATTTCCAATTGTCATTTTTAGGAGCTATCGAGATAGGCCAACCCTCAAGAAACAGTGAATAACTCCTCTTTGTGTAAATGTAGCGATTGTCCTGAGCTGAAACTGCTTGGCAGTGACTAGCATTCGGGTTTATGCGGATCTGATGGTTAGAGTTGTATGTTTGGTTTGTTTGCAGGGTAAATGCTCTAGACCCTTGAGGCCATACAGGCATAATACAAGCGTTTTTATGCTATTATTACAATACTGAAATACTGAAATACTGCAGAAAAGGGGTTCAGGGGAAGATGGATTGATTAGGTATAGCGTTGGAAAGATACCATCTGATTACATTGTTGCCTAGAACTTGAACATTGAAGTATGCATTTTCATTAGTGGATTTGATAAATCGATCATTTGAATCCTGTTATTACTTCTATCTTCATTTCTCGGCGAAATTAACTTATCATTAGGCTCCAAGTTGAATCATCATTATTGCCCTTGTAGGATATCTGATTATATCAGACCGATTGTATTTGCTAAACAGGACTTTGCGCTATCAAATTTGGAATAATTTAACCTAGGGTATGGTCATTTCCATCCTGGGGTCAAAGAAACCATAATGCGGGGTAGGATTATGGGAAGGATTATCGCGGTTACCATTTCCGCCCCAAATTTTAGTTCAGCCGAGACGTGAAGACCTCGGAAATATGACTATTGACAGTATTCCGTCAGTGGACGATACATTACGGTCCACACACTCTTCACGCCACCGGAAATCCCCCAACTCCACGACAATGTGGGGAAACATGAGGGGTACCTATCTACCGGCCACATGCACAAAGCGCAGCTACCTGGATATGTAAACTTCGAATGAAATACTGTACGCCCAACCTACAAGTGCTGAATACCACACCTACACGAGAAACTCCCCCCACAAAACCCCAAAGAGAAATGTCTCAAAAGCGCAACGTCATCGTCACAGGTAGGACAATGTCAATCCCCACACAACAAGTCACAGTGGAATTCTAAGAGTGCATCACAGGAGGAGCATCAGGCATTGGCCTAGGAATAACCAAACACTTCATCCAAGACTCAAATAAAAGGACACACATAACAATCCTAGACATCAACCCCCAAACAGGTGCACAAACACTCGCCCAACTTCGCACCGATTTCCCATCTGCAGAAATCTCATTTGAAGAATGTGACGTTTCATCCTGGGAGAGCCAGGCCACCGCATTCAAAAAAACATACAACCAGCACGGTTCGATTGATCTGGTGTTCGCCAATGCAGGAATTACCGAGAAAGGAAGTTTCTTGCCAAAGGATGCGAACGCAGGACCCGTGAAGCCGAATTTGGCCACCTTGAATGTGAATCTTATTGGGGTTGTATATTGTGAGATCGTACCCGTGGACAGAAGTTTTGTTTCAACATGGATGCATGTGGATACTAACGTGGATTGTAGCGGTGCAACTTGCTATTCACTATATGTCGCGGAACGGTGGTGGGCTTATTTGCTGTACTGCGTCGAATGCGGGATTGTATCCGTTTCCTATCGCGCCTATGTATGCGGCTACGAAGCATGGTGTTATTGGGCTGGTACGGTCGCTGGCGAGGTCGTTGGTTCCTAACGGGATTCGGATCAATGCATTGGCTCCTGCTGTTATTGGTAAGTTTTATAGTCTTCGATACTTTGATATGTTGACAGCGTGGGTTAACTGGATGACAGAAACGAATATTGCTCCGAGTTCGGATTTGTTCAAGTCTATGATTCTTACACCCATGTCTACTGTTTCTAAGGCCGTGGAAATGTTTGTGGATGATGAATCGTTGACGGGGAAAATCGCCGAATTGCACGGAGAGCATGCTACTCTTTCAGAGCCTCCCGCCTATGTCGATGAAGATACGGGGAAGAATATTGAGACGTTTTGGAATCTTGGATATGCTTGAGATGATGGGAATAGATGATAGATTGAGTACTGCTTGTGCAGCAACGTCGGATATAGTAAATTGATTTTCCAGAAACATTTGCTAGCTGGATGCCCTTCAATGCATGCATGAAATAAATCACAGCCAGACACATCGGGATATTCAGGGGTAGATATTCAAAAAAAAGAGAGGGGAATTAAGTCAAGTGAACCAAAATGAAATCATGTAGGGTTATCAAGTACTAGACCAACGCGAGGTCTTCTAGCTCATCACCACCACCAGGGCGCCGGAAATGATAAAAGAAATACAGAAATTCGAACAGCGATCTCAGTGAAAGCATGAGAATGTATACCGTCCAGTTGTATGAGGCTTTATTCTTGATCATCTTGTAACAAAACCTTTAATTTTTCCAACTTATCGTCGCAGTTGACTTCCATCCGCATAAGAACCTCAACAGCATCCTTCTTGGTTACGAGAAGCTGTGAGACGAGCCAGAAATTATACCCGTTCTTGAGGAAACCCATCGAAGTCCATTCGTCGTTCGGCACTTGAGTGCGCAATTGAAGCCAGTGATCATGCCAGCGATTCAACGCTGTCATGATAGAAGATAGCAGCGAATCTTCAGGGATTGCGCTTTTGCCGTTAGAAGATTTCTGTTGTAGTTGTATGACTTCGCTGTGGCGTCCTAAAGTACCGACAAGCATCATGTGTGTATTGATGAAGGCAAACAGAACTGGGAGTGTCAGTGTCGTTTGATCCATATGGTAGGGTGGAAGCTTACTGTGGATGAGTATGAACATGTCAAAAAGAGTCAAATCCATGGGACTCGGGTCTGGAGTCTGTCCGGGGAAACCCTGTGGGCAGGCAAACAAGTTCTGGAATGCTTCGTATAAAGTGAGATTGCGGGAGAGACGGAAGTTTGGTTCTGAGAATGGATGCTTGGATTGGAAGAGAGATTGTTCACAAGGGAAGTCGTTTTCCATTTCGGCGGTTGAAAGACGGTAAGGGTAGTTTTGAAAGAAGAAAAATGCACAGTCCATCAATGAGATAATGGAAATAGTTCTGTTTGTGTTAGTGATCATGCTTAGTGGCTGGATTTAATACTCACCGAATACGGCACTCTGTTTGAATCCAGAGAGTTTCATCTGATTGTTCATGCGGCATATGACGACATTTGATGAGACGAAGGCGTCGAGCCAACTTGGTCACAGTAAGAATACAAATCTCTAATATGACGAAGGAAACTCACTTTGACAACCTCACTAAAGCGGTTCTCCATTGCACGACCCCGAGCGGTTTGATTCCCCGCCCAATATTGAGCTGCGACCATGATGAACCCGGCTTGGAAATTTTGAAATTTCGTCCAGTCATCTGCCTCATCGATAGTGTTCCGATTACCTAGCAGTAAACTCGCGATCTCGGTCTCTGCCGAGTAGACTTGGCTAGAGTAAACGAATATCTCGGCAAAGTCAAAGACTCGTTTGGCGATGTAGACTTCCTTCTGGTCACTGCTGTACATGGCTCCCATGAAAACTACCGCGGCCAGAAGTGGCAAAGAGACTGTCTCAGGGTCGAAGGAGGGGACGTGGATCATAGGGCAGCTGGGCTGCCAAAACTTAAAGTATAATGAAGCAAACTTCCTAATGCGTGCGGTGGTCAACAGAAAATTGAGATTACTCGAGATCTCTTCCTGGCCCTTGTTATCCAAAGGCACCGTCCATGCTCGAGCTAAAATTGATTGAACCAGGGCCATGGCAAATGGGCGCTCTGGCTCGAAGATAGCTTGATCTGGTCTAATGGCTTGGTGAAGATCCTGGACGGGAGGAATACCAGCAGGATAAGTAATGTGCCCGGTGTATAGATCTTCAATAGGCTTTTGGTCCCCGAAAGATGCGTTGAAGAAGTCGAGAAATGAATTCGGAAAATATTGCATCCCAGCCGGATCGGGATCGGCCAATCCTGGGGTATATCCCGGCCGGTTGCCTTGTACATCGTATGGAAAAACTCCCACTGAAGCCTCTTGCATCTCCTGGTCATTGTAAATGAGTGTGCGAGCCCGGTCATTGCGTGGGGGCAACCGGAAGTCTTCCGTGAAGCTGTCGAGACCACTATTCAGAAGGAACTTGATCGACCCGCGATCAGATTCTTTGGCGTAAGTCTCAGTCTCGGTTCCAGTCGCAGGCGATCCTAATCAGGATAAGCATTGGTCCAAATTGCAATTCTCCATATCATACCTTCGTCTAGACCAACATGTTGCGGTCGGCCAGTCCGCTCATTGTTGCAGTCGAGGTTTCGTTTCACGCAAGATCCGCAGGGACTTTGACCGTCGCATCGTAGTTTCATGGAGGTACACTGAAATGGGAACATGAATTAGCAAGCAGAGCCCATTACACGCAGTCAAATGACTTACCGAAAGGCATGCATGGCGGCGGCGACCCCTCTGGCCGGTCTCGGGGATTTGGCGATCTCCTCGTTGCGCGCACTCGGCATAATGGTCGCGAAGGTTATCACTAGAGGTGTAAGATGTGAGTAAGACATCTGGTACTTGGAAGTTTTCGCGCACGTACCATCGGGCGAACGAGTCACTGCAGAACACGCACGAGTATGGCTTCTGGCCGGAATCTAGCCAGGCAATAAGCGAGCTGGTCGGGATAGCTGCAGGAAGCAATACATACGTCTTAAATGGTGTCTTTTCAAGTGATCAATGCGTGTGAAGCCCCGCTGACAGATCGTGCAGCGAAAGTGCTTCTCGGCGGGCTTCATGGCTGTCCATCGGGGAGGAGATCTGGGGTAATAATGAAGAGAGGAAGATCGGATCTGGGGGGGAACTGGGTGTACAAGTGTCCGGTATTTTTATTACATCGGGTATCAGCTATGCCACGTCAAATTTAGTCATATCGCGCGGGTCTTATTCGTCATGTATGGTAACATACATGATATCATCGACAGATAATTAAGCGCATAGTTTATCCATACTTTGTTCAAGGTTATCCATAGCCTATGCATTGTTTAAAATCCGTTGAAACTGCCGAAAATCTTGGCAGTACATTTTCCATTCGTCGAAACCGATCGTCAAAAAGGTAACGTCAAACTGCCCCATTCTGTATTATGATTGAGTGGGGAAAATCAATCTGGTCTTCATTCAAGTAATCAACATTGATCCTTTTATGCTTCTCATTTTCAGTCCATCCGTCGCCAATCCAACCCCAAGGATTGTTATTCAGGTATTCATACTCAAAGTCCTCCAAATGAGGATTGGAGAATACTTTCATAGCGTGAATCGACGACCCTAGAGAATAGTAATTAGCCAGCTAATCCCGGACCTCAAAATAGCCCAATACTCACCTGGCCAAACACCCGTAACACGTCCTTGTTCACTCCCCCCCTTGTACCAACTACGACGTTTGCTGGCGTAGACTGTTCCCTTGAAATAGTCATCACAATACCTGGTAAACCGTCTTACGGCATCAGCTCGCACAATCATAGAGCGAATATTGTCTCGCTGGATTTTGCGCAGACACTCAGCGAAGTATTCAATCTGTTTTTCAAAGAGCATAATCACGTTTCCTTCGCCCAGTCCCGAGTTCGGGCCAAAGCAGATAAAATAGTTCGGAAATTCATCGGTTGCGATCGAGAGATATGTTTCGGGTGTCACCTTCCACCGTTCAGCAAGGGCGATCCCACCACGTCCAGTGATGGAGAATCGAGGTGTGTAGCTGGTGTCGAACCCAGTTGCACAGACGATCATGTCGACGGGTCGATGGCTTCCATCCGCGGTGATGATACCAGTCTCCTCGACCTTGACAATTGTGGACTTGATTAGCTCTACCTGTGGATCTGTTAATGCCTCAAGGTAGCCCGGACCTGGGGTAAGACGGCGACAGGTTGGTGGAAAGTCTGGAACGAGCTCGTCTAGCAGCTCGGGCTTTCTTGCTAGACGGCGCTTCATGTTCTCAGTGAAGAGTGGAATTGCCTCCAGCTGCATGGGTGTACCGTTGAGGGTAGCTTCATGAATGGACTGCAAGGGAAGTTCAACCTCTGTGTCTGTTAAATAGAGTGACAAGGGGTCAATTGGATGGTCTTGCCTTTGCGGAACTTGAGTAATGCCCCGGGATTCGTTTTGAAGGTCTCAAGCTCCTCGAGAGTAAACGAATCTAAGCGATATTAATTCGTATTCTGTATACTGAAATTAAAATACCTACAATTGTCGCCGGTTATACCACGCTGATCAAGGACTTCTCTAGCAAAGCTCGGGCATACCCATGTTCGACTGCGAATGTAGTGGTCGATATGTGCTACCTTAGGCAAAGTTCCAGGCACAACCTGGATACCACTTGAGCCATTTCCAATGACAGCAATGTTATGGTTCTATGCAACGTGTCAGAAGGTTTATCGAAAGAGAATTAATATTTAAATACCGTGTAATCATAATCTGTATCCCAATTTGCGCTGTGCATTTATTTTTCCTTGAAGTCATGCAGGCCAGGAACAGTTGGCCATTTCCAGTTGTTCAAACAGCCAGTCGCTTGGATCAAAACGTCACATCGATCTTGGTATTTCGACCCGGTCTCAAGGTCCTCAACCTAAAATGATTTATAATTATGTCAATGGCGAGGGTCATATCTTGACAGGGAACTTCCACAAAACTCTAATCGCCATTGAGCGTCGATCTCATCCCAGAATGCGGCCGATACTTTCTGCTTCAGCTTCATGTACTTTCTACAGCCGTATTTGTTCACAACTTGCTGCCAATATTGATGGATCTCAGCAGCAGGGGCGTAGAAGGAAGACCATTCTTTGTTGGGCTCAAAGCTTGCTTGGTAGGTGTGGGCAGGGATATCTAAAGGAGGAATCAGCAACAGTCTCAGGGAGGCATTATCTCAACGTACCGCATGCGCAACCTGGATATTTGTTCTCATACCAGGTACCACCAATATCGGGATTCTTATCGTAGATACACAAGTCGAGGTTCGGAACCTTTTGAATGAATCGAATACAGGAAAAAATGCCAGATATCCCAGCTCCAATCACAATAACTCTTAGACGCCGGCTCTCATCCACAGAGCGGTTCTCAACGACGGATGCGGGCTGCTCTGCTGGGACAGGAGCGACATTGGCGCCATTCCCCGCTTAAGAAATGAGTCATAATGATAGTAATGATATTGTTTATTAAAAATAGAAGGTTAGGGGGTAAGGCGGCAGTCTCTCAATGATGGACAAAACTGGGGATATTTTTCACCTCTTATCCCCAAACGTGCCAGAGATCGTCCATGGGCAACTCCCGGCTTATAACGCTAGACGCAGTAGTCGGGGGCCTAAAACTATAATCTATAAAACCAAATAGATAATAAATTCAGGCCCCCGACTACTGCGTCGAACGTAATGTCTAGTGGATCTGGTATACTGCGTCGGTAAACTGTTCAATCCCTCCCAATTGCATTCTGGACTGCCCCAAAACTCCACAATTGGGATGTTTGTGAATGATCCGGACCTATAAGGCGGGGATCATCGCCAATGTGGCACATCGAATAAACACTGCGCCACTGAACCTGACTGGTCTACCGGGAAACCCCCAAGGCCTTGAACCCCACACGGTAAGCGTGTGGGGTGGTTCTTCCCCTCACGGCATACGACAGTCACTTACTTACTGGGACCATTTTGGCCCCAAACTCTAAGGTCAGGCTATACAAGGACTCAATGCTTGTCGAATTGAAGGAGACAGAGTTCAAGCTCGTAAATGCGTAACGTTGATGCAGTGATTTGTGGATCCAGTGATATGCTGCTGTACCAAAGAGAGTCATCCCCACTTACTAGACTTGGCTTACATGCGCTAATCCGAGCGTGATCCGGAGTTTTCAGAGACCTTTGTGTATTCAGTAGTGAACACCCAGGTTATGAATCCCATGTAGGTCGAGAATTTAGCATCTGAAAGGGAAATTTACGGTCGTCGCTCTACTAGAACTATGACAAATGGAGACTTGTAAGCGGTCAGGAGAGGCAGAATCAACGAAAGCATGATTAGTAAGATTATAATCGAAGTCAAATGACAATAAAATGACGTCGAGTAGGTCAACTCCGTTTGTCTATTTCCGAAATTGCACAGTATGCAGCCTCATGTATATCCGAAGCTAAGGAAATCTTGGAACCTTACTCCATACATTCCCCCACAAACCCATTTATGACTACTGATTACTTAAATCTCACAAATCCACACCCGAATTCCACTGATCGATGGCCACTCCTGACTGGCTCCCGTGTAGCTTCAGATCCACCGGACCCATTGGCTAGAACGAGTTAACATCTTTCCCCTCGATTCCCCGCTCAACAATTAACAATTGCTGCCCGCGACACGTCCACACCGCGTTCTCGATGGGTCCCAATCAATGTTCTGTTGGCGCTACGGATCATAGATATAAATTCTCTCCCTAGCTCTCTACCAATTCCATTCAATTACTCCTCAATTTGAGAATATCATCTAGCATCGAGTTTGGTGGGTAACCATGCCTGTCTTCACCGAATACTCTGCGGCGTCTCGCGAACTCCGCGTCCTTCCCTCTTTCGCACCTCCACTCCCACGCCTGACGCCCCCTGTGCCCCTCGACAGCAAGACCGAACGATATGAGGTTGTGATCGTAGGAGCTGGTCCAGCAGGACTGATGCTGGATCTCCTCCTAGCACGATACGGACTAAGTGACGAGTCTCTTCTTTGCGTAGACTCTAAGCCAACAACACTCAAATCCGGTCAAGCCGACGGCCTCCAACCCCGCACACTCGAGACATTGAAGTCCCTGGGTCTGGCAGACGAAATTCTGACAGAGGGCTGTCAGATGTGGCAAGTAAGCGCACACACTCCTGCATTGGACGCTGGTATCTGACAAGCACAGGTTGCGTTTTGGAATCCATCCGCGGACAAAGAAAAAATCATCGAGCGTACCTCCATTGTATCCGACGTTGCGGTTCCAGCGCGCTTCCCACACGAAGTCACAATCCACCAAGGCCGAATTGAACGAATTCTGGAAACAGATTTGCTTCGGTATTCGAAGCGCGGTGTGCAGCGGAACACGAAGCTCATTGATGTGAAGATCGATGAGGAAGGCGACTCGGAGTACCCTGTTTTGGCAGAAATCGAAACCGAGGGTCAGCGTCGCACCGTGCGCTCCAAGTACCTGGTTGGTGCTGATGGCGCGCACTCTATGGTCCGCCGTTGCATGGGACTTACGCTTGAAGGCGAATCGCTTGACCATATCTGGGGCGTAGTGGATTTGATTGTCGATACTGATTTTCCTGATATCCGACGCCGTTGTGCGATCCACTCCCCTGCGGGGTCCGTGATGGTCATTCCCCGTGAGCGGACCGCAACCGGGGACTATTTGACTAGATTGTATGTCCAGGTACCCGGGGTTGTGGATCCGGACAATGATCAGTCGGGTGATGGGGCGGATGTTGGAGATGCTCGAGCGCGACGGAGCAAGGTGACGGAGAAGACTATTTTTGACAATGCGGCTGCGGCGTTCAAGCCGTACTATATTCGGCCGAAGAGCGAGGGTGCTGTCGATTGGTGGGCGGCTTATCAGATTGGACAGCGAGTCACCGATAAATTTTCAGTCAAGGATTCCAAGGGTGTGAATCGCGTATTTATCGCTGGAGATGGTATGTATTGCCTCGTATGAGAATCATTGCTTTTGTACTGACATCGTCCTAGCTTGCCATACACACAGCCCGAAGGTGACTTGAAACAACGTGCTTGCATTTCGAAACAATGCTAACAATTATCTTCACAGGCTGGTCAAGGAATGAACGTATCTATGATGGATTCATATAATTTGGCTTGGAAACTCGCTCATTCCATCCATGGTCTTACCCCTGCATCTGCCAATGGGCAACCCGACCCTATCCTCGACACATACCAGGCCGAGCGTCATACCATCGCCCAAGAACTAATCGAGTTCGATCGCGCATTCTCTTCCATGTTCTCCGGACAGATCGGTGCCTCAGAGGACGGCGTCGGCGGACTGACCCATGAAGAATTCCTGGAAGTATTCAGCCGCGGCAATGGATTCACAAGTGGATGCGGAATCGAATATCCCGAAAACATGACGGTGGTCCGAGGTCTGGACGATGACAAGAACCCAATCAGTGGCACCGACTACCTATCTGGACTCTTGCGCCCAGGCAGAAGATTGCTAAACGTACGGCTTATTCGACATGCCGATGGTTACCGTCGTGATCTACAAGATGGTAAGAGTAAATCGAAGCTTACTTGAATACTTCTTCTAACCGATCGTCAGATTTCACTTCGATTGGCCGCTTCCGTATTCTGTGCCTGACATCGACGGATCTGCTGGATCCCAAGGGCACTTCGGCAAGGACACTAGCCTCTCTCGGCGCCATCATTCCCCAGTTCCCACACTCGGTCCTTGAGCAAGTTGTCGTTCACCCCAAACTCGAAAGGGATTTCATGTGGAACGATGTCCCATCAGAAGTGAAGAAGTTTTCCGAAATGTCGTTCTACAGTGGGCACGAGCTGGATGATGTTTATAGCACATACGGCGTTGACCCAGCTCGTGGTGCACTCGCTATCGTTCGGCCTGATGGATATGTTGGAGTAGTTGCAGAATTGGGTGATGTCGACCGTGTGGAGCAATACCTGAAAACGCTGATTCGCACAATTTAGTCAATCTCCGAGGGATGGATTTGATTGCATGCCGTCCTTTGTCTTCTAAAATGAGCTCATTGTATCGTTCTTTAAAGCTATCCAATTTTTCTGCAGGTCAATTCTTTTTCATCCATTAAGCGCATAAGATTAGACTCCATTATTGGCAGACTACGGAGGTCAACAAAAGCAATGCAGTTCGCTCCAGTGCTTGCTGCCTGTCCTTGTATTCCCATGGTATAAGCATCACGCATCTCCCCTGAATGATGGTTCTGAACTATCTTGGTAGAAAGCTCCATATTCAGATAGAAGATTGGACGCTTGATCTAGCACTTGAGCACTTCACTGAGTTATGTTATTGAGATGAAGATGACGAAGAGGTTTGTTCGTGTGGCTACCCAAGGCATACGCTTCTAGAGGGCTTATAAGTTATCCCGGTATACTGACTCTACTATTCTTTTCCTTCTGCATCCCACTCTCTTCGTCTATACTCGGCCTTTCCCCTCCGTATCTGTTCTTCATCCACAGACAACCTATTTGAGTACTGAGCAATCTCTAAGAATAGCTTCAACCTTTGATAACATTTGAAAGTACCTATACACCTCTCTATCCTATTATCTTCTCTTCAAATGTCGGCTCCAGGTTTTATTCTCACATTCAAACGTCAACCTCCACGCCCAATCTTCAACGCTGTTGCGTATATCCTTCTGAAATTCGAGCCGCCGACCCACACACATGTGCAGTCATAGCTGCAAATGTGCTTCGCTTCTTCAGTATATATACTTGCAACATTGAACAGAAGCGATCAAATATGTATTCACATTCAACATTGAATAGAAGCGATCAACTGTTCACAAGTTGAATGCAGGTGATATATGCTATTTATTTATCTTGGTAAGTCGGCTCTATCTGAATACTTATAAAGGCCTGGTCTTACAAGTTGAAAGCCTCTGGGCGCTTACTCAAGATTAGCATCTACTGCAGGCATAATTGTTAGCGGCGCCATCCTCTCGTCCTTCCCGGAGGCAAGATATGGCTTGTTCACAATCTGCAAGTCATGAATCAACTTTCGAGCCAGTGCAATGAAAGAGGCTCTGCTTTTAGTGCTATCATCTTCTCAACAATGGAAGATGCTGACGAGTTGTGTGCTTGTAGCCACTTCTCGCCCACAATGACACCAGTGAAGAAATGTTTCGATCGAATCCCTGGGCAGATCGTCGACACTGGCTTCCATCTTCGGGATGTGTACATCCGGACATCAACGAATGGGCTGCGCCACACAACCCATATCTAACATGCAAATACAAGGCGCATATTAACGTGCAGCTAGCAACATTCGTGGCAGCGATTAAGCATATCCACAGACATCTTTTCAAGGGGCCCAGATCTCCCGACAGCGGAGTTGAACATCAACAACGACATAGCGAACTATCTACACGGATGATATGTTGGGTCCTGCGATGCGATTTGGCGGTTATTTGCGTTTCGCCTTCATGACATGTATCCTTCTGTTCTCCCGATGGTCATCCATGGACCTTCTTACTCATGCGACACATCGCAGCTCCGAGCTTTCTTCGATCACAATCCAGCGCATCCATTGTGTTGATGTGCAATTTTAATCTTACCTTCTGTTCGTGGTTATTGCCTCCAGCATGTCAAAAACGTGGTGCTGCCAAGTGAGGTATTCCGCAAGGGCCTGGATGAAGCCTCAGAAATTTATCTATCCTTGCTGATGGTACTTCCTGGGATTATTCCCATCATTTCCCACGGAAAGCCCTTTCACCGGAAGCAACCACATACAAGTGGATGCCCAGCAGCTAGCCCTGATAACAGAGCTGTTCGTTGAGCCTTGCAAACGACCACATGGGCGGTCCCACATTTCTTCTACTGCTCTTTCTTCAGTTTCCTGTTCTTTATTATGCTGCGCTGTCTCGTGGTCCTCCTTTGTTTCCCGGTCCCAAACCTCATAATCGGTTATCGATATTATCCGGTGGGTGTACATTGAGCACCGAAAGGTAGCGTGGGCGGAAATTCATAGATCGACCACAGCATGCAACACACATCGGCTCTGTTGCCCACTCAGGATCGGATGTACTGTCCCTGATTGAAGAAGAGAAGATCCTTTGCCTTGGATTTCTGTATAATGATGATGATGAAGTCTAGTAGTAGGGAACCGAAGTCAAGGGACTTGGTGGCACATGTAAGAGGCAGCGAGTGTTGGAAAAATTCACTTATACTGACCATCAACTCTCTCTAGAAGGGCTGAAGACCGTGCCTACCGTGTCGTCAACTCTGTACCCTTGCTGTCAACTCTGTACCCTTGCTAGAAAGCGGCTGGCTCCCATATGTGACGTGCCTTCACGACATTGTCCATGACCATGTGGTTTGGGCCACTCTAATTAGATGTGATGCCCAGTTTCCCGAAGACACATACTGGACCTGCGAGCCTACCGCCTATTCCTTGAGCTTTACCTACACTGCCTATGAGGCTTGCAACTGTTTTCGGCTTCATTCACTGTTACGCCGTGCCCTGCGCTATCTTCTTGTGGGATTCTTTAACCGCCTGCACTTCAAAGGCAAGGGGGAAGGGCTTTGTGCAAATGTTTGGAGATTGATCAGAGCATTTCCACTGCATACAATCCGCAGACTGAGGGACAGTCGGCAATATATGTTCAGTAAGTGAAACAAAAACTCCGTTCTTAGGAACCTTACCACCGGGACAATTGGGCACAGAAACTGCTAATGATCGACTTTGCACAAGCAATCCCCGTTCATGACGGAGAGGGGCTATCAACCACGAAGGTCGGTGGACTGGTGGCGCAGTCTCTTTGCAGATCACAGGTCTTGAGAATACCTGGAATAAAGCAAAAGAGAGCATCTATATAGCACAGCAACGACAAAAGACCCAGGCTGACCGGCATCGCCGAGAACCCGATTTTGAGCACTGGTTGGCCTTTACAAAATATATGCATATGAATTGTAACACAACCTCCATACGGTCTTTGTGTGTCTCATAAATCTGTAACATGGAGGGCTATTGTTTCACAAGAATCCGAATTTAATCATTCGGAACCTTATGTGTAAATCTGACCACGTTAACGAATCTAGTATTACCTGCCCATCAAAGAACTCGAGTCAAGCCTTGGCACTCGCATGACAAAGAGACTTTGTGAGAATATTTCTTATTAAAATGAACACTCTGTGCAATGATGTTTCAAGTGGCAGAACATGGAAAAAAAGCCTGCTATAGACAGTAAAAGGATCGCTGTTTTTTCTCGGCGTTTCAAATGAGAACTCGGGGGATAAAATTCTGGTTGAAACAAGGCTCCCTTGCCCATATTGGTTAGTGTGCAATACAACAGAAAGAGACTGATGGCCAAAGACAAAGAGAGAACTTGGATCCGCGTATGTAAGGCCCGAGGGGCTCTCACCACGTGTGAGATGTCTTTGATTATTCACAACTATCCCTCTCTTCCTCTTCTATTCGACAAGATTACGTTCTACTTTACAGTGAGCAACAGTCAAGATGCAGATCCCAAAACGGTTCTTGCGACCATTGTTAGGGACGATCATAGTGAGAACATGGGTGGTCGCACGGGGAATAGATGTTAATAACGGAGTGGAGGACACAAGCGACTTGAGTACTGCGTCTGACGCTGGTGTTGTGGCTATAGTTTCTACTACAAGCTCAACAGGTTTGAGTACGAGCTCTTATATGACTACTACTGATAGCACGACGAGCACTTCCACGAGTACTACATCTACCGGAATCACCACGCACACCATTCAAGTTGGACCAAAGGCAAGCCCACATGCCTACGTTCCGCACAATATCACGGCAAATGCGGGGGATATTGTTGTCTTTGAATTTTATCCTACAAATCACTCTGTCGCCAAGGCAGATTATCTTGCGCCATGCGTGCCAGCCAGCTCGGGTGAATTTTGGTCTGGAGAATTTAACAGCTTCACCGAGGATAATGGTGAACTGGTTGGTCCAGTAAGGCAACAACATCAACTTTATTGGCATGGGAGATTAACGCGAACTATCCAGGCTCCAACTTGGTCCATTACTGTCAACGATACAGAAGTATGCTTTCCCGTTCCGATTGTCACGGCCAAAATTAACCCATCAATATCATAGCCAACATTTTTCTACTGCACCGCACTAGGATCCTGTCTCAAAAATGGAATGGTAGGCTCTATAAACGCAGTACGAATTACCCCGTGATAGGAATCAACAATTCACATCTAACATATTCCAGAACTCCAGCCAGACTTGGGAAGCACAGTACAAACGCGCACTCACATATCCCTACATGCTACTGCCCGGCGAATCGATGCCCGCCGAGACCTCCAGCTCAGATTCAAGTTCAAGCTCATCCTCCAGCGGATCCAGAGCACACAGCCTCAGCACAGGCGCTATCGCCGGAATAGTAGTGGCATGTGTAGCCTTCGTCGGCATTCTTATCGCACTCTTCTGGACCCTGGGTCGCAACCGCATATACCAGAAATGGATGTCCTCCGAAGACGGAAGAACTGAACGAACAGCCCGCTGGGCATTCTCCCACTCTCACGCCAAGGACGCTCCGCCAAAGCAGAAAAGTAAACTCGATAACAATACTGTTGGCTCTATGGCAGCGCGATCGGAGCATAGTCATTTTTCCAGCCCCCAGCCTAGTAGTTATAATTATGCGAGTCAGGATCTTAGCCACCGAGTACCTTCGGAGGTGACAAATACGACTCGCTCCATGTATGGGGCTTTGGCGCTGCAGCGTGGTTCGGGGCAGTGGAACTGGGATGCTGCGCAGCATCCTCGGAATCAGCGAGGTCCGACTGAATTGGATGCCACTAGTGCGTCACCGCCACGGTATGAACCCTTGAGACATTATCGGTAAGGATTGATTTGTCATCAAAATTATGCTGAGAGTTTCGAATTTTGCAGGACTTTGTGGACGTATTTGAGTGGATAAGACACCTTGTTGAATATTTTCTATGTTGTGATATTTTTCTTTCTTTATAGTAAACATTGAGATATCCATAGCAAAGGGCGATTTATGAGTTATATTTTGCTTGACGTGCCTGTGCAAAAATTCTTTGTAAATGTTTTTCACATACAGTCGTTCCGGTTCCTACTAAATTAGTGATATGTTGAGGTTACAACCTGTCCGCTTAGGGAGGTTGGAAGGTCGACTCATATGGTTCTCCTAGAGAGTAAAAGTTTGACTTCTCTTCGGTGTAAAAACTGAATATCCTTGGAAAAAGAGAAAAGATAAGCATACTAGTACAGTGGTTGCTAAGAATAGATAAGAGGGGAATGTAAAGACACCGACGAAGATATCAATAAACCAACTGTAAATGCATCATGTAGGCACGAAAAGAGGGGTTGAACAATATTACGAAACACAGTCATTCCTAATTGAAAATCTTTCTCTCCGAACAATAAATGTAGTCCAATCGATCGATCCCAGGGAGCCTCGCATGACGCGTCGATTTACGCGCTGTTGGTTTTTTAAAATAGAATGCGCAGCCGGCAAATCGGGCACAGCAGTGCGAAAAAGCAAAGTTGGACAACGCAAGTTATATAAGGTCGCTCATCAATTTACTTGACGTTTCATTTCATTCCTCCAATACTGATATTTTCGCTGAACATCAACCCTACTGCCGCTGTCAAGTAGATCAGTGGATACCCTACACTGAATCCCTCTCTTCCAAAGTCATTCCATCCACCCAATTATCAAGATACCAATATCAACTTTTAAACATGCTCAGCTCGATCCTAGACTGTATCTTCGGAACTCAAGCAGATGACGCTCCATCCCCCACCTCGGCACGATCCCCCGAATCCATCGCTTCAGATATCGTCACCAAGATCCTGAACGCCGAATCTCCCGAATTACTCAAAAAACAGCTGAAAGATGAGATTTTGATAAATGGATGGTCCGAAGCTATCGCGAAGGCTATCCTAGAAGGCTTGAAGACTGCAGTCAAAGCCGGCACGGAAATGGCACAGGCGGCTGCTGACGCGGCGGCCAAGTGCAAAGATGCCGCTATCGGCTTTGCGACCGAGCATCCTGTATACGCTACGTTGATTGCATTTGGTATCCTGGCTTTGTTGATGCCGTGGGCTCTAGAGATTCTTGGGTTTGGGGAGTTGGGCCCGATTGAGGGGTCTTTTGCGGCTGGTTGGCAGAGAGCGTATGCGGGGTATGTGCCTAAGGGGGCTTTGTTTGGGTATTTCCAGAGACTGGGGATGAAGTGGCATTGGACTGTTTGAGGGATGCTGGCTTGGTATCTCATTATCTTGATTGAATTTGTATCGTGCGAGGTCCAGATAAACTCAGATATGTCAGAGATAGCACAATTGGTATCTGTGGATTTGCTGCGTTGATTTTTTGGCCTGGGTTTGATGGAAGATAACATAGGAAGACGGTAGCCAGGTTAGTTAGTCACGATTAAGCCGTTCTCGCTCACTCTGTCAGCCCACTCCATCCAACTACCATCATAAAGCCTCATATCCATTTGGTAGCCACACTCGCGCAGTGCCAAGCCCAAAGCAGAAGCTGTGACACCAGAGTTGCACGTCAAAACAACAGGAATCTCCTCATCCACTCCGGCCTTCGAGAAAATAGTCCTGAGCTCATCCACAGGTCGAAGAGATTTGTCCTCCGTTAACAAAGAAGCCAGAGGAATGCTCAGCGCGTCGGGCATATGCCCTGGTGGCAAAGACTCATACGCAGTAGCATCGAGACCAGAAAACTGGTGAAAAGGCCTAGCATCCAGGATCTGACAATGCCTTTGGGCGGAGTTCTTTAAGACGAGATCCCGTAGCTCCTCAAATGATATCACCTCCCGCGGATCCCTGGCCTGCGGAAGAGTAATTATAGTTTGCCATGGGACCGGCTTTGAGCACAGGACTAGTGAATCATTCGAAATAGCAAAGCCCTGATTCGCATATCGAGTAAAGTTGTTTAGAACATGAACGTTTCTATACCCAAAATGCATGTATGTCCATGCGACGCGCGGCGCAGAATATAATCCAACTTCGTAGGTATCATAGACAACAAGTATATCTTCTTCATAAATGCCGTCGCTGTAGATCTGGGCGTTGAAGGCTTGAGCAGTCGGCATCATTACCGGGTATTTGGAACTGGTGTCGCTGTACCGCTCGGCGTCCATGTTGAAAAAGCTTGTTTTCGTGAGCCGGGGATCCTAGGTGAGACTGTAGTCAGGATTGACGTACATGGAATGTGGGATATGTTTAGATTGAAAAGATTTCAGTGTAGGTTTCCGGCCAGCAGCTATCGGGACGATGCGGCGTTGCACTTTGTTGTTTGACAAGGCATCATGGAGCTCAGAGGGGGAAATGAAGAACGTCTTGAAGGGATCTAACGGGTTGGTCATTATGTGTGATACCGAATATGAGTGCCCTGTTATAGTGAGCTGTGTACAAGACAAAAATTAGCTGATGTTGATTATGCTTCCCGGCAGGAGGTCGGCAGAGAAAGTGGAGAACTTTGCGGCTCAGGTGGGGTGTTTTGCCGACATCGGGAGTTCCCATCCCAGTTCGTTCAAACTTCAGTCATGAATAAGGTTTTTTGCCTCAATTTCACCGGTGTACGGATGACAGGTGACAATATTTCAAGATGAAAGTTAATGAAGGAGCGAGAAAAGGTTGAAAGTCTTGAGAGACAAAGTAGTCAATTGGGGCCCCAGAAAGATTAAGGATCACGCCGACTGGGAAGGTAATAAGAAGCGAGATGGAAAAAAATGGCATATATGAAGGAAGAAGAAAAGAAAAGAAAAGAAAAGAAGGTAAAATATTGAGTCCCAACCAAGCCACCAGGAGGAATTACACAGCACTGGAAGCACTGACCCTCCAGTCTCCAAAACAGAGTCATTCGAATCATAAACACATACATTCCCCCGTTGATGCTACCTTGAATACTCACAGCACTTCTCTGCTCTTGAAAACCAACGCCAAAGGTGCTGGAACCAACGTAAAAGCATCCCGCTTCCCCTTCCAGAATGAAGCCTCATTAAATCCAGGCACAAACGAAACATCATATCGAGTGAGCACCTCAGCCGTTACTCGGCGAATTTCCATGAATGCCAGTTGCTTCCCTACACAGATGTACGGACCTAAATGAATCAGTATAATCCAAGGTGAACCATGCATATATGAGACGAACCAGCTCCAAATGGCATGAACGCTGAAGGTTCTTTGACCATTTCCGGTTGCGTCGTCCACCTCTCGGGTCGGAATTCGGTAGGAAATGCAAAGGCTCGTTCATCTAGTTTTAGCCAATCAGCATTGAATTGACATTCCAACGAGACTGGGTGAGATAGCATACCTCTGAATAATGTGTGCATCGGAATTGCGACCATCACGTCGCCAGGGATGTAGGTGTCTCCTATTTGGAGGCCTCCACGTGGAGTCACTCTCTGCAGTCCAGATGGGACTACTGCATGTAGACGAATAGTCTCGTTGATGATGGCATCGAGAAACTTCAGGCCCGTCAATTGGTCAGTTGAGAGGTCTGGCAGTGCGTCCAATTCCGCTTGAAGTGCTTTCTGGAGGGATTGATCCTTTGCTAGTTCAAAAAATACGTTGGTCAAACTTGCTGCGGTTGTATCACTGTTTCACGGAGTTAGATGGGAAGATTGAGGAATAAGAAAGGATAAAGATCTACCTTCCTGCGACACTAATCAGATATGTATCGCCGTGCAGGTTGAGATGATCTTGATCGGTCTTGGGGCCTTGTTCAAAAGCCTTGTGAATCCATGAGAAGATATCTGGACGACTTGGCGGATTCTAGAAAAGTTAACCTATCAGTATCTCCTGACCATTTCAGTAATCATTGGGGAGGAATGCCTGTATGCGGTGTTGGATTTGATCATTAAGCCATGCACCAAACTTGAGATAATCAGCGTTGATAAGGGGAATGCGCTTGAAAAACGGGAATAGCCACATCAGATGGCTGAAAAGTCCAATCATTTTCATATCAGCGTGCAGCTGCGTATAGAAGTACTTGTCATTTCCATCTGCGAGCATGTCAAATGACTTCCCTAGGGAAAGATCCCCCATAACATCAATGGAATAGAAATTGAACCACTTTGTCATATTCATTGGTTTGCCGATATCCTTTTCGATGGCCTGGATTAGTTTTGCAGAGTAGTAGGCCACTCGGGGCTCATAGTCTCGCAGCGCTAGCGACAACATGGTTAGCGCCCAGCTTCCAGTCATACTTGGTCGAAACTACCTTGAGAGCTGAAGGCCTGGTCCCAGACCTTCCGTCGTCGTGCGTGAGAGGCCTTATCCCGATCGGTTTGAAGAGAAACTCGAGGCTCAATGCAATTATACCATGGCCCTTTGTGAGCCACCGCCTGGGAACTGTAGAGTAATTTGACAGCAGCTGGGTCCGAGATAGAGAGTTCAGTAGGACCTTTGCAAAAATCAGAGACGTAGAATAAAGCTTTTCCAGGTCTTTATACTAACCGATGCGAACGTAATCCCCAAATTTGCGGTGAAGATTTTCCGTCTCTTCGTATAGATGGAAATTCTTCGCCGACAAGAAAGTCACGTAGAAGTTTGATAGTCGGGCGAGAAATGGCCCGGGGAATTTATTCAGTCGATGAAACGCTCCTCGATAAAGTAGCATACTACTATAGATTCCCAACACATGATATGCGACGAGTTGTAGTGACCAATTTGGCGTGGTCGGGATTTCAAGCTTCTCCAAGGTGCCGAGGTACTCCAGGCTAGCCAGTACGGCGGTCAGAATCGCGTAGTTGATCACGACTCTCGGGGCTTTCAGATCCCATTCTCCGTGGCGGTAAAGTAGAACGTGGGTGCTGACACCTGTCAGACCAGCGATAACGGGGAGTACATCAAAGTACTTTGACAGCATGGTCACAGGGGATTGTTTGAAATCTGGGGGGCGGGGGAAGAACTCAGTTCGTCCCCCCTCCCCTGGCACAGTCATGTCTTCTGCTTACGGCCTGTCTGCTGCTGATGAACTCTGCAATGTGACATGTCTCCTCCAATCAAAGTTGATGCAATGAAAATGGTGGCGGCTAGCTGCATGATGGAGAAATGGATGTTCGTACCAACGTCAAATTATGATTTCAGACAAAAAAAGACTTGAAAATCCTATGTGATATAATCTCAGTAGGAAAAAGCCATATTTGCAACGGTAGAATTAAAGCACTGGCTAGTATTGTTCGCTTGCCCATATACTGATGGTATGGCAATGAAGTGGTAAACAATGTGAGAAGTGGTCGCGTACTCCTGCCTCAGGCAACAAGTTTCTGAGACGCAATACAAATCACATCTTTCATGGAAAGTCTCATGTCGAAAAGGCCCTTCAAAAGTCATGATTTGGCGCTGTTTCTACCGAAAACTCAGTAATGGGCATTGTGGGTAATCAGAAGAAGTCTTGGCACAAAAAGAAGAGTACCTTGATGGCTATAGCCTGTATGGCCTTCAATCCGAACTTTATATTAATTTACTACATATCATCTCTTGACCTGGAGATTGAAAAATGCTATTTCAGTAGACTCGAGAATAAGTTTTTTCGGCAAAAATGCCCTCCCATGCACTAAAACGGATCTCGGGCGTCACAAGCGGGGTCGCCGAGGTGGAAGATGAACAAAATAGACGACCACAATCAGAGACCTGATTCCAGAATTCACCACTCTGTTTGTTCAATTTTTCAATCTTAAATATTCAAATCTTGTCATCAACCTCACAGCAAATATGACGTCTACCACAGCGATCGTAGCGCACGAGCCAACCCATCTCATGAAAAAGAACTGGTCACTTGAAGAAGTCACCATCACTACCCCAGGCGACGATGAGATCCTAGTAGAAATGCACGCCGCAGGAATCTGCCACACAGATCTTCTCCTTTCATCCGTCCCTACAGGTGTATTCGGGATCCAATACCCGAAAGTCGTCGGACACGAAGGTACATCCAACTAGAATGAAACCCCGCTATCCTAGCACAATCCTATTCCATATCACTAACAGCAGTCAAGGCGCTGGAATTGCCCGTGCAGTGGGTAAAAATGTCCAATCGATCAATCCAGGAGATCCCGTCCTTCTATCTTTCAGCTCCTGTGCTTCGTGTCTCCAGTGCGAGGATTCTCATCCAGCTTACTGCGATAGCTTCGCCGTGAGAAATTTCCGCGGAGGCGATGGATCAATGACCATGCAGTCTGATAAGAAACTCTGGTCCCAGTTCTTTGGACAATCCAGTTTTGCGAAGCTTAGTGTTGTCCATAAATCCAGCGTGGTCAATGCTAAAGACCTTATTCAGGATGTCGATGAATTAAAGCTCTTCGCGCCGCTAGGCTGTGGATTCCAAACTGGCATGGGCGCTATTCAAAATATCACAAATGCCGTCCCGAGCGATGTGATACTAGTCACGGGTCTTGGGGCTGTGGGGATGGGCTCTGTGATTGTAAGTTCGAACCCATTGGCGATAATTACGGTATATTAATGCAAAATAGACTGCTGCCATCGTGGGATGCAAAACCATTATCGCAGTTGATCGAGTAAAAGCGCGTCTTGATCTCGCGAAAAAAGTTGGTGCTACTCATACGATTGATACCAGCGAAGAAGGATATACGACATTGGACGAGGCTGTTCGGAAATTGATTCCTACTGGTGTTTCCATTGCTATTGATGCTACCGGTGTTCCTGCGCTTATTGAGCAGAGTTTGGCGGCGACGCGGGCTCGTGGTAAAATGGTTATTGTCGGTACGCCGCCGCCTGATTTTAATTTGAGCATTCATGCTAGTACACATCTTACTGTGAGTCTTTTTTGTGGATGTTGGGTTGAAGACTGCTGATTGGCATTATTTCTTAGACCGGGAAGGCTGTTTTGGGGTGTATTGAGGGAGATTGTGATCCTCAGACTGTGAGTATCTTCCACTAAAGTGCCTTGCTGTGTTACTAATCGTGTTTCAGGCAATCCCGCAGCTGGTCCAATGGTATCGTGAGGGTAAATTCCCTCTTGAACCTTTTGTGAAGTACTTTGATGTGAGTTGTTCCATTTTTTGGTGGATTCATTATGCTGACGAAGATGATAGGCTGCGGATTATGAGGCTGCTGTTCACAGTTTGGAGAATGGCGAGGTCATCAAGCCCGTTCTGATATGGAAGCACTAGGTAGAGAAGACCAAGATTTATGTGTGAAAATATCACGCACTGGAAAATATCCGGTTGATCGCACTAAAGAATTGTTGAAATTGCCATATTCTCAACATACAGAATATGAGCGACACAAAATTTAAAATAGTAAATTTGCAGTGTTTCCGTAGAATGATCACGCCGGTCAAGAAAGTACAACAGTTCATATTCAAGGCTACAGAGAAAAGGCTGAAGGGGCAAACCAAACTCACTCCTGCCATCGTCTCCAAAACCAAACACCAGTCACCTAAACTCCGTGAGTCCTGCTGCTACCACGAGCACTGCTGGTAGAAGAACCAGAGCCAGGCGCAGAACCACCACCACCACCACCACCCATACCAGAAGAACTGTCATTCTCAACGCCCCCCTCCTCGGTATAATAAGCAGCAGGAGTAACATCCGTACTCTCAGTCGAGTCAATGCCAACAGTAATCCAAGCAAAAACGCCATCAGAAACATCATCGCCAAGGAGCACGTACTCCATGAACGGATCAATCGTATCAGCTTCCTCGGAAAGAATGCTATCGTCAGCGTTTGTGGTCAAGTCCTGAGTATTGGTCGAATAAGGAGAAGTCTTCTCGACCTCCGTGATAAGGTCCTGGTCGAAGAAGAGCTGGCCCACGTGCGAGGAGTGGGCGGTGTATAGACCTGAAAGGGTATCGTTTGCGAGCACGGTGTCATTTGATGAGTGAGTGAGGACTGGATTTGCTTAGCTTAGTTTTGAAATTGTGGGTGGGTGGAAATAGTGGCTTACCGTGGATGTGGGTGGCACGGCCGGTATAGTGGCCCGGGAAGATGGATTCGAATTGAACGACGCCATCGCTATTGCTGGGCTGGATACCACGGAGGAAAGTGTTGTCGAGGTTTGTTGCGTCGGATGAGTCGCCGTTTCCGCTGGCTTGGACGCCGGAGTAGACACCCTTGGTTCAAAGGGTCAGGAGGGTTTTCTATGGGGAGAATGGATGAGACTTACTGTAGAGTTACAGTGCCAGAGGTCCATGTAGACGTTAGGCAGGGGCTCGCAGGTGTTGGTGTCAACGACCTGGATATCCATATAGAGAGGGACACCACTCTGAGTCTCGACAATGTTCTCACGAATCAACTCGCCAGACACGTCTGATCAATGTTAGCTTGTGCTCTATTGAGCACATTCTTGGGATGCTCACAGTAAGGACCCTGGGTAACATCTGGTCCCAGGATACAGGTAGCTTCAGATCCGAACAGAACGCTGGGATCAGTTGACATATCGACGCTTGTTAGGTTCGAGTGGTGCGAGGTGTTAACCACAGTATCAAGGTCACGAGCCTTGAGGAATTGAGCCTCTGAAACCAATTAGCTGTGAGCTGTGGTACCTGCTTGTGTGTTCATACCGTTGTTGAGGCCACGGCGACGACGAATGTTCTTCACAGCGCGCTCACGGCGAGCAACATTCTTGTTATCGAGACCCCGAGCCTTGAGCTTCGATGCGCACTGCGAAAGACTGCGAGTTTGAATGCTAGCTTCTTTCAAGAAGGCAGCACGCTCAGCAGCTTCAGCCTTGACATTGTGGCCGGGGTGAGCGGAGACAAGACCAGCCAGACCGACCAGGCTGACGGTAATAGCAGAGAGTTGAACCATGATGATTTGATATAACAAGCGACCAGAGGAAAGAGAGAATTGGATTTCAGTGGTAGTTGGAATGATATGCCAGCTACATAGCTTCTTTTATACCACGGCCTCGCTATCTTCGGAATTACGCCTTTGACATGGCATACTACAAGATGATGACACCTCAAACAAGACCAAGAGAAGCTGACGCAAGGCATGGAGACAGAATAATTCAAATGCACAAATCAAATCGCTAATATTTCTCATCCGCAAGGTACCAAAGCCCTAAACAATGTACCGGACCCGCGGTGGATCATCAGCCTGGGTCTAGGGAGGCCTCAGACCGGTCCAGGGACCAAATCAGTAAAGAAGAAGCCGGTTATAGAGCGTAACTAGTCCAGGGACTCAAAAAACGGAATATCCGTGATGAATCAATCCGCCGATCATGATCCACTCTGGTCTACGCCAAGGCAAGGTTGACGACTCATACAGCGCACGGCCTCAGGGAGGTTTTAAGAATACGCCGTGCTAAGTTTATTGGATTGAATGGAATCTGAATGTGGAGAGTGGCTGGTTTGATCTGCGGTGATGACGAAGATTTGAATATCAATTGGTGGTTTGGGGGCTGAGATGTTCCAGAATCCAATATCGGTAGCTAGGTTTAGTATAGGATGTGCCTTTTTGGTCAAGGACTCAAGAAATTGGTCGACGTTGTTATTGATTCGCGCTCTAGTATGGTGATAACCCCTACCGCATGTGCAGGGCTATTTTGAATGACTAGTCCTTGTTCAGGTCACGTTCCTGATGGTGTCTTCAGTTTGCCGTGGAGCATATGGAAGCGTACGTACCACTTCTTGGCGTTCCGTCGTCGGTTTTTCTCCGGGGAAATATCCACCATTGCAAGCACTGCTAATTGAGCGTCGCGGGGGAATGCCAAGGAATTTCCAGGGGTTTCGATAATTTAAGTGGCAACGAAACTTGAATTGAGGCGCATGTCTGTCACAGTCTGTGTTGTGCGTGGTGCCGTGTTGAAAAGGGTCTATATTGCTGCCAAGCATGCGGAAGGTCTTGGCATTTGGGTGTTGAATTGGGACTTTGGATTTTAATCAAGAGTAAGCAAATAAGATGTTCAAAATATGGCACATGCAATAGAAGATTTAAAAATGGATGACAGTTTTATAATATGATAAAATAACATTAATTAACGTAGAAGTACATTGAGTCACTATATTCATTGACCAATTAAGTCAAACATCAACATCGTAGCATAGCACGTGAAACCTGGTATCTCGCTGAAAGTGGAACCAGCCAAAATAAAAGAAAAATGGTATAAAAGAGATATCACCGAAGAGTATAATTTACGGCTTAAACCTCCTGGTGGCTGACAACGGGAGCAATAGCAGCCTTCTCGACGGAAAGACCCATCTCACCAGCGAAGGTGGAGTGGGGCTTCCACTTGGCGGAGGTACGAGGGGTAGTCTCCTCCATCATCTTGTCAACCTGCTCAAGGGTCAATCCCTTGGTCTCGGGAATGAGGAAGTAGGTGTAGATGAATGCACAGGTGCAGAGGGAGCCCCAGATGAAGAAGACCTTGGGTCCAAGGTTACCCTCATCAGTGTAGACCATGTAGGGGGTGATGACGGCAATAATCTGGAAAGCAATGTTAGTGTTTGTCAAAGATGGGTTCAGAAAGAGGAACGTACGCAGTTCCAGAGCCAGTTGGAGGCGGTGGAGAGGGCAACACCGCGGGAACGGATGGGGAGAGGGAAGATCTCGCCAATCACGACCCAGGCACCGGGACCCCAGGTGCTAGCGAAGAAGAAGACATAGATGCAGATGAATGCGATCATGGCGGCGGTGGCGTTCTGGTGAGGGTAGGCGGTGACACCGATGATGGCGACAATGAACTGGCACACAACCATGCCGAGGGCACCCCAGAGGAGGATGGTACGACGACCGAACTTCTCAATCATGTAGAAGGAGAGAGGAGTGGAGAGGACGTTGACGATGGTGGTGATGATGCTCAGGAGGAAGGGGTTTTGGATCGTGCCGAGCTGGGAGAAGAAAGTAGTTCCGAAGTAGAAGACGAAGTTGACACCGGTCCACCTAGGAATATGTTAGAATCATGATCAGGTAATTTTACAACCAGGAGACTTACTGCTGCATCATCTGCAAAGAGGTACCAAGGATAGTGCGGCGGAGGTTGCTGTTAGCATTCCAGAGGCTGCCCTTGAAGCAGCTGAACCAAGTGTCGAAGTAGCCACCCTGGGGAGTAGCCTGGAGCTCGTACAGGTGGTTAGCCTGGATCTCGTTCAGCTCCATGCTGACGAACTCGGAGTCAGCGGGCTGACCGCGAACACGGGCGAGAGCATCACGGGCCTTCTCCTGGTCACCCTTGCGGATGAAGTAACGAGGAGACTCGGGAAGGAAGAGAAGGCCGACACCGAGGATGAGAGCCCAGAGCATCTGCAAAGCGATAGGAATGCGGTAAGAGCCGGAGTCGTTACGGTTCTCAGTACCATAGTCGACGCAGGTAGCCATCATCAGACCAATGGTAATGCAGAACTGGTAAGACGAGACAATGGCTCCGCGGACCTTGCGGGGAGCGATCTCAGACATGTAGAGAATGATGATAGCGGAGACAAAGCCAACACCGAAACCAGCGATCAAACGGCCAGCGACGAGCAGACCGATGCTGCTGGAGGCGGTCTGAAGAGCGACACCAATGAGGAAGACAACACAGCCAGCAATGATTGTGATACGACGACCAAACCAATCGGCAAGATCACCAGCCATGATAGCACCGAAGAAAGTACCAGCGGATAGGATGGAGACGATGAGAGATTTTCTGGAAGCGGGAATAACGAAGTCGGCGGCGGGAGTGGTGGCTTTGTCCAAGCCCATGAAAGTCGAGATGAAGTAATCCATGTCAAGGACACCACCAATGTATCCGGAGTCATAACCAAAGAAGATACCACCAAAGGCAGCAAAAGCACACATCAAGTAAGTCTTGACGGTGACGGGGGCCTCGACGCGAGAAGCGTCGATGCCCCCGATAGGGGAAACAGCACCACCGGGCATTTGATTGTCAGGTGTGAGAATGAGGATGGAGGTGTAAATAGAATATATGAGTGATCTTAGTCAGACAAATAGAGCAGAAAGCTTAAAGATGGCTGTTGATATGATTGAGATTGATGAAGATGAAGATGAAGATGAAGGATGAAGAAGAAAAAAAGCAGGGGAAACATGATGGTTTATATCCTCAGCCAAACCTATACAATTCCCAAAATCCCCGCAAACCCAGAAAATCCCCCCAGACCCGGTGATTTACCAAGTCAATCGAAGCGAGAAACCACCTAAACCCGAAAGGGGAAAACGTGAACAGAGATTTTCCCCAAAAAACCAACAAAACCATGTGGTCCAAGAACCTGGGGAAGGTCTGGAATGCAGAATGAACCCTGAATAAGCCACCAAAAATAAACTGAAATAAGCTGACCAAACAAATCCTCGGTTTTCACCCGAACCTTGTGTCTCGGTACTCGGACTTTGTCCCTGAATCGGTCGATGCCCGTCAGGACTCGTCCCTGATTGGTCAACAACCTGGCACTAACTGCGCCACATCCCGAAAATATCTTTTTTTTTCTTTCTGCGTGACCTGAATGTTCGAGCTCTTCGCATCTCGGCCATCGACAATTGTCGGCCATCTTCCATTGTCGGGCCGTGAATTCTTCATCAACCCTGCTTTCTACCAGCTCAGCCTCACCCGAACCTCATGATCTGACCGCGTGACTCGGCCATCTCCGTTGGGTAGATTAATCCCTGTAGCAGATCATGGTTCTAATTAAATTACAAATCAGCACTCTAATGTCGCTTACATACGCTAAAGCCGAATTCCAATACCGACTTCAATTTCAAAGCGCCAGGCAACACGGCTGGCGCGGGGTTGAGATACTGTATCTGTTACGCCACTTAGCCACACGACTGTGTTAAACTGTAAAATGTTTCCAACTTCCTAATTGGGCTATTCCTGGAGACCCTACCCCCCGCACTAGCCCGCTCCCAGAACCAAAGGAAATTATTTCTTGGGTCAATTTGACTACACGCGGAGAATGGACCAGTGAAAATGCATATCGCATTTTGCTTTTTTTCATTTTGGGTTTCATCCGTTGCTTGCCAATACTTGGAAGGGGTCGGGGCGCACTTGGCGTCTACAGACCTGACTATTCCGCAAATTGAAGCGCCAGGACCCTTTCAATACGAGGGGTTTGGGAATGAAATGGTCATTTACCCGGTTAGGGCTGGGCTTTCTTGGGTGTTATTGGTAAATTCAATGGAGAATGTTACTGAATAGGAGAAAGGTCTGAGAACTGTAAGGTTCGGGAGGTCAAAGGAGATTAAATTTTCCATTTCTCTGGAAGAACAGGGGAAGAGAGATTGGTACCAAGGTCCCGAATCCCGGGGTTGGCCGTTTCTGACATCGGCATCTCAATCTGGATCGGGTTTACCAAATGAACCGAGGATTCGAGACATCCCGGTGAGAGAATTCCGTTAGAATCCTCGGAAACCCGGGGCCCCAGAGTCAATGATCAGTAGATGTCAATTGCCCATTTTTCGGTTTTGCGGAGTCAAACAAAGAGCGGAGTAAAATAAAGAAATATTTGTTCTGCTTGCTATGGTATGACATGTGGACGGTGGTACAGATATGGGGAAGTTCACCGGCATCTCAAACAGTACTTTCTGATTTCACCTTTAGTACGGCACATTGCGAAAAGCATAGTCGATCTCGAATGCGCGTGATTTCTCAAGTCGAGCAAAGAATCCCTTCGGGCCTGTTCCCCATACGGAACTCTTCCTATTCTTGTTCATTGCTTTCTTGGTCATTTCAGATGCCATTCCGTCCATGTTGAGATGCCCCGGGGTACAGTGATGACTGTCTCCCAGACCAGAGGCTCGACGCAACGTAAGCTCTGTCCACTTCTCTTCGAATGAACGGTTGGGCTCTATTAAGAATCCACAAGGTATCATGCCCGTGCTCAGAGACTCCTCGATGCCATCTCTCTTTGCCTTGGCAAGAACAAATGCCACATGTATGGTCAATCGATCTAATACATACGGTTGTTTTGCACTGGCTGCTGCCTGGTATGGTCCTATGAAAAACAGGTTCTGGTAGCGGTAGCCGTGCGCCATCATTCCACGCAGGGTAGAAACCCTGTTTTTAGACCACTACTCTTGTAAAGTTTCATCCATCAAGCCTTTAACGCGTATCTTCTTTTGATCAATCGCAGTTCCCAGGGTATACCCAGTGCAAAAAACGATCACGTCGACCTCGTACTCGCAGTCATTCGCCATAACACCCTTCTCAGTGATGTCGCTAATACCTTGACCTTGGGTATCAACAAGAGTCACGTGAGGTTCATTGAAAGTTTGCAGGAACACATTACTGAAACATGGCCTCTTGCACCATCCATAGTACCAGGGAGTAAGAGACTCTGCGGTGGTTTTATCATGAACGACCTCCAAACCCCGCTTTCTGATAGCATCCTGTTGAAGCAGGTCAAATTCGATCATCTTTTCCAGGTACCCTTCTTCGAGGTTGGAAGGACCGCCTTTCAGTACACTATGCGACTGCATCTTAGTCCATGCGTCATACACAAGATTCTCTTTTGGTAGGGGCCTTTCGTTGGTGATTAACGCGTTGAAATTCTCCATGCGCTTTCGCTGCCATCCGAGCTTCTCAAACTCACTCTCTGGAGGAATGACATCGTTGTCACGAGGCCACACAGATACAGGAGTGCGTTGAAATACGACCACTTTCTTTGCCCATTTGGCTAATTCTGGAATCACTTGGACAGCAGTCGCCCCGGTCCCAACAACTCCCATACGTTTTTCCTTCAATTTTGTCATATCGGGATTCTCTTGAGACCCCCCGGTGTACTCATAGTCCCAACGTGAACTATGAATGATCTTTCCACCGAATCGTTGACGCAAAGTCCTTTGAGATTCGGTACCTTTGGCAAATCCAGGAAACCGGTTGCCACAAAACACAAAGTCCGCTATCTCAAGGGGAAGGCCATCAGGTGTGTTCATCGTCGCTTCCCAGTACAAATCGTCAGTGAAGCGCAGAGAAGAAACATTTGTTTCGAAACGGGTTTATTGGACCAGGTTCCACTTCTTGGCAATCCGTACAGCATGCTCCTGTATTTCAACTCCGCTGATGTATTTTCCACTGGGCATGTCCGTTTCTTCGAGTATCGGCAGGTAGATGTAACTCTCAATGTCGCAAACCAAGCCTGGATACTTATTCAATGACCAAGTTCCACCAAAATCTTTCCCCTCGTCCACGACCGTAATTTGTCGCGTGGTACAGAATCCAGTGTCGATCAGTCGGACAGCAAACAACAGTCCCCCGAAGCCAGCGCCGATTATAAGTATACGCGCATCCTTCATGAAGTTGTTTCTTCTGTTTGTTCTGGCAGATCTACCTTGCGATCCTGACCTGTTGAACTCCTCATACTGGTTAATTTTCGCTTCTCGCACTCGATTCTGTATTTCAGCTTGACCTTTTCGATTCTGTCTTGCTCGTCCGGGTCCATGGTGGCAGCTTCGTGGGTTCCGATTCAGATGCTGTTGGATTTGGGCGAATTTGATCACGCGTTGGAAAAAAAGAGTTTGGAAAGAGGTGGAACGAATTGTGGGGGAGAGGATTGAGGATCGAAATGTTTGTTAGGGAAGGAAAGAGAGAGAATAGAGAAGGTTGGAACAAGGTGATGAAGTGAGGCTTGAATAGGGAAGCAAAGAACTGAGAGACCAAAATACCCATTGAAACACAATTCATCTTCTCATTTGTACCAGATTGCTAGTCTGGGCTATAATAGCCTGTCTATGATTGATTTGTTCAATTCTTTGAACGTATTAAATGTCTTCCTTTCAGTTGTCTTGGTCTGAACATACGTAATTATCTCCCCATTCGAAGTGCATTTTCAAATCTCGGAAGCAAACATCATGGAGACAGACCGGCTTATGAATCAGGTGTCAACGTCTTGCCACCCCACAAAATATTTAAGCCGCATGCCTACATTATCTACACTTCAATCGACGATGAAAACGCCCTACAACTCAGAAAAACACCTGCCAAGTTAAATTTTGTCATGTTCATCTTGGAAATACTCGGTTAGCCCAATCTTGGAAAAACTCAACGAAGATGCTGACCGAATTCCCACCGAGAAGCAGGATCGCCAAGAGCCAAGACACAGCCACAACAGCGTGCCCTCTCATTCGTCCGGATTCCAGACCTGATAAGCACTAGCAATGTGATGGGCCCCTTCGGCTAGACCCGAGAGGGCATGGCTCCAAGCCATGGATCCTTAAAGGCTTTCATGGCGCCCCTAGCGGCCCGCGTTTATGTCTTTTTCCTGCCTTTTTGCCCTGCGCGAAATGTCTCGAACGTCAAAGATATTTCTTTCTTTCCTTGTTTCTGCTGGCTTGGTTACTGCTCAAGAAGTCGGTTTCTTTAAAGATGCATCCATCTGCACCGACGCAAAGGGCCTTTCAACGTGCTACGACAAGGCAAAGACCAGCTGGACTAGCTGTGTGAACGACAATTGCGCTGAGGGGAGTCAAGACTGTTACGAGGCTTGTGACGAGGATATGTCGTGTATGGAAACACAATGCCCGGAACTGGGGATTGACTGTATCAATGCTTGCGCTTGTGTCCAAGCCATCGATCAGGTTGATTGCATTGCGTCAAGCTGCTGGAATCAGGTAGGAATCTTCAATTTAGTGGCCGTCCCAGAGCCTGACCAGCTCTAGGTCTACTCCTGTTAATACCAGGAAACAGTCCAAGTTATTACCAATACATGCGTAAAGACAGACATGGATCAACTTCCCTTCTGGCCTTCTCCCGACGACACTTCCGCCGGATGCTCCTGCAATATGGCCAAGACATACAAGAAGGAACTCCTCATTACAGATCAGTTGTCTGCATGTTCGAACAACATGACCAACCTTAACCAGATGTCTGTGGATGAGATGATAGAATATACCCAGGCGTGTCTTTGCTGTGCTGAGAGTGCGGTTGTATCCACGTACGTTGTTTATGATTCATGACCCATCGATGTTTTAACAATTTCAATTAGGATATATGATACCTGTCCGAATGCAAAACCATCGCTGCTTGCTATCGATAGATGGTATGACTCCTTCCTCGAACCAAATGATTGGGAGTCCTGCGGTGACTATCTTAATGCTTGGGATTGTGCTGGAGAATTGGGATTTGGTTCTGAAGATGCAGGTGAGACTAAAACGTTCTACAAACCTGGGGGTTTGCCGAAAAATGGGACTGAGACTTTGTCTAATACTGGGTCTTTGTCCACGCCTGTGAGTGGAGTGATATTCACCTGGACATTTGGAACGGATATCCATGTTATAACTGCTGTGTCTGCAGATAATGATGTTGCTGCAGCTACAACTACTGATTGCCAAGCCCAAACCGGTAGTGCGACGCAGACCGGTGCGACGAGTACCCAAATTGGCATGGCTACTGCTAGGGAGTTACCTGTGTGGACTGCACTGGTTTTTATTTGTCTGATTGGCTGGATGCTCATCTGAACCAGCAGGTCCAGCTTTTCGAGCTAGCATCTCAATTTATACCAGTGCTCATTCCACCACTCTAATTGCGTCTGTCAAAAATTATCTCTCTCAACATAGCTCCCTCGTTCGTCGTCAGACTTCCGGTAAACCATGTTGACCGTTTTGGATAAGCTATAGGCAGGCCAGTGTGGTGCATTGGGGATATGATGGTTATTTGGATTCAGATCGGATACGAAGGAAATCCATGATCGTGACATCAAGGTTGATAAGGCATGGTCCGACCCGTATGGTCCAATGTAGTTTGACAGATTTTGAGATGATTTTTTGAAGACGTAAATCAACTAAGAGATCAAAATAAGCCAATCGTTAAATCGTACCTTTTGATCGAGAGATATTTACCTCAGTGGGTGCTGTATACAGGTGTGACGGTAGTGATAAGCTCCTCTACACCGTTCCATGGGGGTTGGTCGAAGCGATAACTATAAACAGGGTTGTGTGGTCTGCAGACTTCGAGGAAAGTATTCGGCAACTGCTCGCCTGCCTGCATGGATGAGGATGTCTCCGGCAATAGAAGCACCTCGTTTATACATCCACCCTTGATCGGCAAAGCGTTCTTCACCGGTCCCATACGGACAGCCTTCCTTAGGATCATCTGGATACAGTTGCAGCAGTTCTTTCACATCGGAACCGTTGAGTCCTCCGCCATTCAGGCTCTGGACATAAGTCGCCACCTCTTCAGTATTGTTCAAAGTACCCCGGGGACCCCAGAAGCTCGCTGTTCCTTCATCTGTGTTGGCACCGAGCAGGACTGCAACTTCGGCCACTTTGCCCAGTGCAAGACTCTCACTTGGTCTGCGCCTGATAAAGTAGCCATCGATAATAGGTGAGTATACCTGCGGCTCAAATTCACTAAGCAGTGTCTCGAACGGCACGCCCCGGAGGCAAGCTAGCGAGTCCTCAGTGGCGCAACCGACTGTCTCCGTGACATTGTCATATATAGCCTGGTACCCGTCTTCTAGAGCCATGGTTTCCGCATCCTGTAAAGCTGATCCAAGCATCGTGCCACTTTCAAGAATGGCTGCGCAAAACAGATCATCGTGCTGGCTATCAAACCCGATCAAGTGGTACCCAACGCTGAATGCACCAGCACTCTCACCCCAGATGGTGATCTGATCCAGATCACCGCCGAAGCCTGCAATGTTCTCACGGAGCCACTGCAAGGCCATTCGTTGATCGTAGAGGCCGATGTTAGCTGATTCGTCAGCTAGGATCTCTTTCGAAGCTAGGAACCCCCATCCTCCGACACGGTAGTGGATGCTGACGCCCGAGACGGGTTTTCCAATGTGAGAAGCTTCCTGGACAAGATAAGACATATTGTAGCGTGGATCAGCAACTCCGCCGGCATCAAATCTACCTCCGTAGATCCTTCCAAAGGTTAGTCACTGATGGGTGGACCAGAGCGTCAAATATACTCACCACACAAGAACTGGCAGTCCTACACCATAATAGTGGGTATCCGGCGCGATAATATTCAGATAAAGACAATCCTCACTCCAAGGTCCGATCCCAACCTCGAATACGGCATAGCCTGGACAACTGGGCGGTTGGGCATCTGCAGCGTAGGAGTCGTAGCTTGAGTTGAGCGACACTGGGTGCTTGAGGCGGAGACTTTCTAATGGAGGTTGGGCAAAAGGGACCCCTAGGAAGGCATTCTGGGGAAATGACGGCAGATGAACACCGCAGACTGTGCCATTTGCTGTTTTTGCGGCTGGTGACCTCGATGGACAATTGTGGAATTCAGCCACGACACCTGCAGCGCTTATCAGACCCACGGCAAAGCACAGGTCTGAGAAATGTATCATGATGTCCGTTCAGAAATGCATGTTCGAATTTCGGTCAATCAGGGCTCCATAATTTTCATGGTGCCGATGAGCGGACCTTTGTGGTGGTCAGCCACACCGGACGTTACTCCGGATATTGGCCCGGGCATGAAGATAAAGTTGAATTGTATCCATATCACCCCACTTGAGATTACGGTGTAAATTTTTTTGTTTTACCTACTTCGACTATTTGCCTTTTGTTGTCTTCTCATTCACACTGCTTCATATATGTTGCGGGTATCACCACTTGTAAATTTAGATTATTGCATCTCCTTGTCATTCTCTTCGCTCGCACATGTTTCTGTCAAGAGATATATAATGTTGCTAGGCACAACTCTCAATACAAACTAATGATTAGAATTTCTCCAATCTAATGAGGAAGAAGGGATGGGGAAAAAAGCTGTCGATATGCCGGTGCCTAGATTTGGCATCTTCTCCATATTCCCCCGCTTCTCGGGGAAATCCTCGGAGATGCATCTGAAGTAAATTCTTGTAGGAAAGTGTGCAATGAGACTCCTGAACTGAATTTATACATTCATATTCCACGTTCAGGTTAACATAACATATTACTAAGCATCATTGGTCTAGTGGTAGAATTCGTCGTTGCCATCGACGAGGCCCGTGTTCGATTCACGGATGATGCATTTCTTTTTGTCATTTATAAATTTTGCACCCCTAGTCATGACTAGTGGACCTCAATGACTTATGTTTACAGTAATTAATTAACTAGGCGCTGGTTCCAGATAGTGGACTTATAATGTTACACAATTTTTAGAACGTGGGAGATAAAGTTGCTTGACTTGCAATATCTATGGAAATTCTCGGATGAAGCGGATCTGACCATTACTTTCCCGAGGAAATATGATGACCTGCTTGAGAAAAATTGAACGAATATTAAAACATGGCCTGCCTCATGACCCCGTCGTAAATATCCGAACGGTCTCATGTTCACAACCGGGTGGGACCGTGGGACGGTGGGACCCGAGCTAATTGTCCGAATGAAAAGGGTAATATGGGAGGCAAAATCCCACTGTTGCGGCAGGACTAATTTTGAATTGTTTTCCATGGGACATAGTAGGCAAGGTGACTTATGACATACTGCATGAATCGATGAAACAGTTGCTCTATGAGTTTCTGTGCTATCATTCCATCTCCAAACTACTGGCTAAGTGCAAATGCTACGAGAAGTTATTGTTCATGGAAAAATATATCTGAAGCGAGCAATAAGGTGTTGTATTTTACATTTTCAACCATTCCAGACCTGCTTCCATCAACCGTACACAGGAAGCCGGATCATCAGTTCCGGGAAGGTCTTGTTTAATGGAGAACCCTTTCTGGGACAAAACCCAAGAAATACACCTATAGCTATCTCTTGAATGCGCAGGAAAAGGGAACTCGGCTACTGTTCCAGGAAGAACAGGCATAATGAAGTCCCGCTCGTAGATTGCATCCAAGGTAAGCAGCTTCCATTCACCGTTGACATTCTCAAGCCGTGAAATGAATCGGGTGTACGAGACGCAGTCGAAAAGCCCTCCATCGTGCTGGAAGCGAATAGCAATGGAGCCAGTCGATTCGGAGAGAGCCTTGTTGCCATGAACGTGAACCTCGACGGGGCAAATCGTATGCACAGCGCCTGTGCCACCAGTGGCCATGCCCTTCGAGCCCGAAACGAATCCGTCGATATTGCCTTGAAACCTTGAGAAAATCAGTATGAATGGAAGATTGATGGATGTACTCCTACCAAGTGATTTCAATTTGAGTGTTCAATGCATTTGGATGATAACATGCCCGCAATTTCTCCCATTGGCAGGTATCTCTGTAATACCGCTCGCGCACAAGCAACGACTTGATTTCCGACTCAATCAGAATCCTCTCCATTGGGGCCATATTTGTTTTTCAAATGGAAGGTAATTGTGACTTTTCGTTAAAGTACATCATATCAAATATATAAGACCGGTGGCGTACGGCTTTTATGTCAACCATTTGTGGGGTCTTGCGATTTTGAATTAGCAGCATTCGGTTATTGATGTCACCGAATCACCAAAAAGATTCGGGATTATAGATATGGTGGGGCGGACTTGCCGAACAACCCGGCCAGGAAAGTATACATATCTGGATACCCAGAAACAGTATATACAGCAGGAGAATCAGATATTCGAACTCCCTGCAAAAATTACTCTCATCCATCATGGCTACCGTACCAAGTCTAGATTTAGGTCCTATCACCACTCCTGGACCTGGAATGAACTACTTGCGCCCAGAAGTGTCTGACATGAAAATCATCGGAGTCGAGGAACACGTTATTTTCCCGGAGTTGACCAACCGAATTCCCGATGAAGGTTTGGCCGCTCATGCAAAGAAGATCTTTCGCCAACTTGTCAACCATGAAGCAATGGCATACGCTCGTGGCCGATCCACCGATGTCGGAAACCAACGGCTACATGATATGAATGAGGGTGGCATCGCGATGCAAATTCTGAGCCTTGCAGGCCCCGTCAACTGTATGCAGCTGGAGCCAGAGGCTGGGTTGGCACTAGCACGCGATATCAACAATAGCTTGAAGAAAGCTGTTGATGCTCATCCCGATCGGTTCAAAGCCTTCGCCGATCTGCCCTTTCATGCACCCAAGCTGGCTATTGACGAACTCCGCCGCTGCGTCAAGGAGCTCAACTTTGTTGGAGCAATGATGGCAGGGTCTGTCGGGTGTACCGGGAAATTCCTTGATGATCCGGAATTTGACGACTTGCTTTCGGAGTTTGAAGCTTTGGATGTACCTTTGTATCTCCATCCTGGTATTGCCCCTCCGGCGGTCATTGATGCCTATTACACCTTTCCCGAAAAACCGGAGTTATCGGCGACATTGGCCGGCATGGGATGGGGATGGCACAATGAAGTCGCAGTTCATGTTCTCCGTCTCGCTGTGTCTGGGACCCTGGATCGGCATCCCAAACTCAAGGTTGTGGTGGGGCACCAGGGTGAGATGTTGCCTATGATGCTTCAGCGGTTCGATGCCATGTTCGATCAAAAGATTTTTGGCCTGAAGCGAAGTGTGGGCCAAGCGTTGCGGAGTCAGGTTTGGATCGCGATCTCCGGACTCTTCTCATTGCCGCCGACGCAGATCGCTATCCTAACATGGGGAGTTGACAGGATTCTGTTTGCCAACGATTACCCTTAAATCGATGCCCAGAGAGTTCCAGAATTCGTTCGGGCTTTGGGGGACCTGATTGGTCCGTCTAATCTACGGAAGATTTGCCAGACGAATGCGGAGGAGCTTTTCAAATTCAAGGCTTGATCATGGCTCTGTATAACTCAAGTGATCTCCAAGGAAGATCTGGGTTGAAAGATGAGGGAAAAGTCTGTAGCCAAGAAGATAGGATTCAGAATGGTTTTCCACGAGGAATACCTGTCAATCTTTTGAAAAAAAATAATAGCCAGGCGAGTCTTCTCAATTACAAGCATGGACACCCTTGTTTAACCCTCGGGTTTTAGAATTTAGTTGAAGATGAGAAAGCAATGTGGAGAAATCATATATCAGCTTCTACCAGGCGGTGTCACATTCAGATTCATATATCCAGAATTATTCCGCATGACAAGGAAAGAGATGAAGAAAGAATATAGTATGTGTTCATGCGACACTAGAAACTACCAATAAGCTTTCCCGAGTGGACCAGACTCCGGAATAGCCAAATATAATCGAGAATTGCTCTGCTCGCCTGCCAGTTCTTACTCCGCAATGGCGTCTTCTTTCCAAATTGCAACTGTACTGTTTGTATACCAGGTATTTCCTTTTATCTGCCAGATTACATGGCATTTTATGTTGTAGAATTAGTGTCCCACTCGATCTGCCTAAATCCTCATTCCCCAATGAACATGGCAAGCAGTATGTGGGACGTGCATGCATGTGGGGAACCATGAGAGCCAACCAGATCTTTCGCACTATCCCGTGATGGTTCGGATATCTCTCTTTGTAAGATCCACAGATTCTCAAGTGGCGCGGATTGGGTCTGACTGTGAGTTTGAAACACGCCTGCATATTACCAAAAAGCCCGCTTTGGTCTCTGCAGAACCTGGTCTTGGGCCGCTTTCCCCGCATTCAGGGAGTATGGGGAAATTGATGATGGAGGTTGTGCCAACTAAGCATAAAGTTCAAAGCATTTTGGTGAAGATTCAAGATGAAAGCACTATTTTTCAAGTCAGCCAACAGTAATTTCTCACACGACAAAGTTTAATCCAATCATGTTCGCACCTATCAATTTCCAGGTACTACTTGGCCTTTCTGGCTGTGTGATTGCCGCACTCCTTTGGAGGTATTTTTGGGCAAGCAAGAGACCTATGAATTTCCCTCCATCCCTACGTTGCCATTCGTTGGAAATTTCATCATTTTCCAAAGTCTAAAGCCTTTCTCAAGTATCACAATCCCGTAACACTTTCCAATTTTTCAATCTAACTTTATTTTAGAATTGATGAATGATCTCAAAGGTATGGCTAGATTATTGGACTCAAAATAGGTCCCCAGAATGTTGTGGTTCTCAACAGCTGGAGGGACGTTTTTGCGATATATGAAGATTAATTTACGTTGTGATATCAGACTGATACCTAGGTCCAGGCCAGTACATAAAAATACTGCTACAGCGTGGTATTCATTTCCCAATCTCCTACATAAGAAGGATCAAAGCAATTGTAAACGAAAATGATCTTGCAATGTTATATTCAGACTCATCATTCAGCTAAGTCAATACCAAGTCGTCAGAATTTCTCGTGTACTCGAATAGGGAACTCAAAGTGGCGTGTGATATATCTAGAAGAGTGGCATTGATGAAGGAAAAAACGGGTCACACATAAGCAGGATACATAGTAAAAGTTGGTAGAAAAAAAGGGGTCACAATGGTGTTTTTGGGGTGCCTTAAGGCACACATCCCGATGGGTCTATCTCCACTTTTCTTACTCAGAGAGACCTTCCCTTCTGCATCTCAGACAGTTCATTTGCACTCAGTCCTTTACCCTCTGAATGCCTCATAAGAATAACCGAAGGATATTCAGTTGTCGTCCGGTTCTGGGTGGGGGGATGTTTAATTTCGGGTGAGGCGAATAAGCAAGCCGAGGAGGCAGAGAACCATGGTCCGGTTGGTTCGGATTTCCGCTATTATGCCGATACTATCTCCGTTTCTAGCGCATTTCACTTCCCCATGCCGGCTTTACTTCTTTTTCTCCACATCTGCACTCCAGTTTTGGGCGTCATTTCTAGAACTCCATGCCTCCAAACAGAGAACATAGAGCATCCCAGGCGTGCAGTTATTGCAGGAAGAAAAAAGTGAAATGTGTGCTACAAAACCCCATGGTTGAGTAGCCAGGTACTGATATTATTTCTTTTCACAGGCGATGGTGCTGTACCGTGTGGGAATTGCTCTGTATGTGAGAAGCGGGAAGCGCCAAGATTATGATTTATGACTAAAACTTTCATATAGGATCATGAACAGCAATGCAGATATCCTCCACTGCAGCGAAGAGGTCGAAAAAGTCAGGTAAGATACGTGGGGACCTCACACGATTGTACGGAATCAACAGACCCACCTGTTGAATTGAATAATCGAGAAAGATATACTGTAATCTCACCAAGGTTACCGCCTGCTTCCTTCTCTTTTGTTCTCCCCGAAAGGAGGCAGGCAATAACGGTTTCACAATCCAATGTTTGTGGTCCCTATGTTGATAGGAGAAGGTCGGGAGACCCGTCGACGTCGACGGGAATGGCTACTACCCCAAATTCTACCCCGAGAGATTTACCAATAGCTGCTTGCCAGGATGCTACACATGATTCTAGTGGAATACTCCTGACTCCCCAAGATTCCGAAGTTGATCAAGAAGAAGCCACTATGGAACTCCAAGCTGTATGTTGTCTCTCCTATCTTTGGGATGTTTGCGGCTAACTCGGATTCAAGGTAAATTGGGAGCATCATGGTTAGTCATGGCGAATCTACCTCCAAGATACCCGAATACTGATTGGAAAAGGGCCTGGTTCATGGCTCTCTATTTGTTCAACGCCAGGTCTGCAATGGGTCTCAGCCAGAGCCGGCACTTCCCGATTCCATCAAATTGCTGAGGGTCTGGTCATGGGTTGGACAAACAAGTTGACACTAGGCTCAGAAAGGAACCGCGAAAGATGTCCAGAGCCTGGGGTTAAAGATGCTTGGACATACGTATCAGGTACGTGAAGCCCTGATATCGGTCTCATATCTCACTAAAGTCAAGTTAAAGGATATTTTGAGAACTCGCAAGATAGTGTCTTCGGTGTTGTTATCCGCTCCGACTTTGAGAGTCGGCTCCGTGTTCATTTCCAGGATCCTAACAGGCCAGATGAAGATGTCGCCTGGTATGCTTTGAGAAATGCGGTGTACGCAGTAGGCTGTCGAGCCGCAGCATCAATGGACCGGACTAGAGAATTCGCAGAAATCCAGTCAGAGTCCATGCGATTCTTTCACAATGCCTTTTCCGTTTTATCAGAGCTTCTATTTATGCCCGGTGGTTTGATAGCCATACAGGCGCTGATCGTGATGGTATGTGTGTGTGCTTCAATACTTGATATGCTAATATCTAACGAGCGCCTCAGACTTCTTTCGCCGAGCTTTTAGGAAGTCCGTCCGTTGAGTACATGCTATGCGCTTCCGCAACTCGGCTTGCACAGTCAAAGGGTCTTCACCGAGAGCCATCAAGGGCATGGAATCTTCCAAGATCAGAGACACTACATAGGAAATGTGTCTTTTGGGCCGCATATTGCTACGACAAGAATATTGCGCTAAGGTCGGGCCGACCATCGGTATGTATTACGCTTCGGTTCTTATCACTTGCGGACCTTTTCTAATCCAATCTACCAGGCTTTAGATGATGATGAGATAAGCTGTGAGATGCCCAAGGAGATTCCTGATGGAAGCACATTGGACATTGCAGTGATGACCGCTGCCATTGAGCATGCCCGAATCTGTGCCAAGATAAGTAAGCGTCTTTTATCAGTCCAGGCGTTCAACGAGTCGCCAACTTCGCTCTCTGAGACCATCGATCAGCTAGAGGAGGAACTACGACTGTGGCGAAATTCTCTCCCGAACAATCTTACTTTCCCAAAGCAAAATGATCACCGGCTGTCTAATAACTCTTACCAACTGAAAGCAAACATATTACGGCTACACTGTTCTTACTGGAGCAGCATCATTACTCTACACGCAATCTTTCATTATCCTTGGATATGCTCCGCGGTTACTCATCAAAAGCCTTTCTTTGAAGATAGAATTTTCAAAAGCTCGGCTCGGTCGGCAGAAGCTTCACGACAAATCTTATCTACTCTGAGAGACTTCTGGCTCGACGCGTCCTTTTCATCACCGTGAGTCTGTTCTGTTAAAACACTAACTAGACTCTCGAGATTGATTGCTAACCTGCTAGAACTGTCTTCTACTCCCCCATGCTTGCGGTCATCAACTTATTTATTTACATCCTCAAAGCCCCATTACTTGACACGGTGCAAGCAGACCTGGCGCTCCTCGACCTCACAGCCGGTCATTTTGCCAGGATTCATTTTTTAACTTCATCGCAAGTATCATTCACCTTTGCGAGGGAAACTGTCAGCTTGGCGAATAAAGCAGTAAGAAGGGCGACAACCTCAGCTCCAAACAACGAACCCTCAAGCGCTTATACGCCTGACATTTTTCCATTTAATATTTCTGGAGAAGCAGTAAGCATATGTGCTGGATTTAATATTCATGTTTTTCGGAGCTGATTTTCATTCTTTCTTAGACCTCGGTCTTTGACCCGAACGCTAATTTTGGGGATTTGAATACATTCTCAACTGAATTTTTCGAAAGTCTCTCGACTGCAGGGGACCTAATTTTTTGACGACCTACTCCATCTAGCCTACATGCTAGCTTTAGAATGCTCCTCAAAATCATTTAGCAACAACCGTGCTATCGCTACTTCCAACCCCTTACCGTCTGTATATATGGTCAGCTTCATTATTCTTGATGTGAACGTGTGGTTTTTCATACTTGTAAGACTCTACGAGCTCGGAGGCATCATTTCCATCGGAATTTTCGAATTCGGAGATAAATTGGCAATCTAATGGACGATCCACCTAACGAGGTTTGCCAGGCAACCTGACTCATGTGTCGTGGAAGACAAGTCCTTTGAAAAATCTCTTCAACCAAGCCATGGCAGCAAATATTTCCCATCGTTCGCTAGTTCAAATAGTGTGCCTTTGGAAGAATTGAACTGCTCGAATAATTCTCGCGCGAGTCCATAGTAGGATAGGAAGCTTGAAAGATTCAATCCACAACCGCCGCCCCGGGCGATGGCAACTGCCGTTTCGATTTCCTCCGGCATAGTGACAGAGATAATAGATGATGGGTAATTCAGCTCGTGAAATTTGGAAGAGCCCACGTCATACTCACGCATCAGCGGGATATTATGAGGCTGTCAGGAATCCCGTCAACGTCTGATCATGTGCAGCAAGAAAACACTCTCTTTGATGAGGGTAAATATATGTATAATGCGGGAGAATCTAAGCACTCATAGTACGGAAGTTTTGAGAAATCCAGACATGAACTCCCCGGGGCAAAATATCCATACGAGGGTAGATGTTCTGTACGGTGGAGACTCAATCTTGGAAAGCTCGAACCATTCATGTGACGAACTGGAGTTGGGGCAAGGATTCAATCTGGGTTGGGCCACTCCAACCAAATGGGACGTGGACTGGAATATTTTTATTCTTCTTTCTCTTCATCACTCTCAGAATGCAGAGCCTGCCCATATATTTGCTCCAGGGTCTGTATGCCGTATTCTACCGCCCCTATTTGACCTTGCGCGAGAGTGGCATCCAGCTCCCGACAGGCTTAACAGAGCGAAGGTCTGCTCATTCCTTGCACATAAGATTGGCCGTTCGAGGGCCAATATGTATTAAAATAGGTAGTAAACAGGGGATAGAGGCTACAAACATAGCTGTACGATGAGTACGTTTGCATGCAGAGCAAGGTGTTATATTGCATATATGTGTACTATGGACGGGAGAAAAAAACTAGAAATGGGCTGAGGACAACTTTTGAAGCTGAAGTTGGTGCAAAGTGGATATAATCTCCTATTTCTACCTCTAATCACACTGCCGCTGGAATATCATGTCTAACCCCAATCTCAACCCGTTTTTTCAAGGACTTCTCATCCGCACCCGCCCGTAGCTGGCAAAGCAGCTCACCCGGCTCAAAGTCTGTTCCAATGGGATTTTCGCGGAAGGAATTCGATGTCATAAATTCAGTGGCCTCCTCAACGGTATCAAAATTGTCGACTTGAGTCTCGATACCATTGCCATCCGGGTCTTTATAGTAAACACTAGTTGTAGGGCCATGGTTGACACACCAGGTTGGCTTGATTCCAAGCTTCTCTCTCAGCTCCCAGGCTTTAAGGAGTCCTTGGAGTATATCGTATGTGAAAGCCACATGATGAAGTCCAGCTGCGGTTGCCGAACGAGGGCCTGTGCTTTCGTCATTGATGATAGCGACGCGGTGATGTTCTTCATCATAGCGGAGAAAAGCAATGTACTCGTTTTCGAATACACGCTCTGCACCTAGAAAATTGGACCAGAAATCCACCATCAATTTGATGTTGGCTGTCCTGAAGACGACGTGGGCTAGCCCGCTGGGTCGCAGAATCGAAGCGTCCGACATTGTGGTGCTCATGTTAGTTTGGAACAGACGTGGCTTTATTGACCTTCGAGTTCATATGAGAGGTATTTTCTTTCTAAATATGAAATGAGACAGTCTAATCTCATTGCGTGGGTGCATCATATGACGAAAGATTCAGACCGATGAAAACTTTTGTTGAAATGAAGAGAGCCAATCGGTGGAATGAAGATCATGCACTATTCCATTTCGGCTGGGAAATGAAATGTCAAAAGTACTCTGAGTGATTGAAAATAGTCATCTCAACATTTGCATTTGTTAAACTCTTGCATTTCAGGCATCAGTATGGCGTCCAATGCCGACTGAAAGCAGATGCTTGATATTGCTGCCTGAATCCTTCGTTTCGCTCCAGCTAAATCTCTCTCTCTCTCTCTCTCTCTCTCTCTCTCTCTCTCTCTCTTCCTTCTCCATCCCTCTCGGAATACAGATCTTGTCCGCTTTGTCTGTTTCAGCGCTTTAGCAACTTTCTTCCCCTGGAAGACAGCAGGATCCAGCTGTTGGCAAGCTAGAAATGAATAAATTTCATTCAGATCACTCAAGAGTTAGCGATCTACTTCCCTATCCCCATGACGATAGAGTTTAATGACTTTGGTCTAGGCAGAAGAACGGACTCTAGTAGAGCTACTAGCGCTTACATTTTAACACATCCTACTCCACACATCTGGGCATGTACAATTATCAAAAAAGCCAATATTCACGAAATCACAAGTTCCCGCCATGAGCAACTCAGCAACCTCGGATGCTGTCCCACATCTCCACCGGTAAGGCCCGCCATAGCACTACATCAAGTCAGCCACCATCCCAAATCTGACATTCTCCAACAGCCGACCGGGAGAAAAAGCCCATATCCCTTCACTAATTACGCAATGGTCCAGTCTGATATAATGTTTCTTGGGGCCACCATGGCGCTAGCAATCTATCTCATTAACAAATGCGCAACGCCACCAAACCCCTCGCCCCCACAAAATCGACAAATCAAGGATCGCATGGGTATCCTTTTGGGCCCAGGAATTCGGGTAACCATCGTGCGTCATGCAGCCGTCTTCTGGCTTACATACCACACCCTGGTAACGGTTCTGCCATTATGTGCACCCGAGCGCATGGAGCAATTGTGTCCGAACGCGGGGAATCGTAACCAAGCGCTCTTTGAGTGGAGCACCTCCACAGCGCTGGCCTTGGCGATGATTTATCTTGGAGCTGCCGTTCGGATCGCGGCGTATGGTGGCTTGGGTCGTTTTTTTACTTTTCATCTTGCGCCGCCGGATAGGCTCGTTACGTCGGGTATATATCGATGGATTCAGCATCCGAGCTATTCGGGTTTATTGCTTATTATCGTTGGGAACTTCTTCCTGTTCATACGTTGGGATGGTACATTGGCGTGCTGGATTCCGAGGGAGATGTTGGTGAGGCTTGATGGGTGGGGTGTTGCTACTATTACTGCGGCTGTAGGGTTTGGCATGTTTCTCTTTGCTTTGCGGGTGTGGGATGAAGAGAGTATGTTGAGGAGGAAATTTGGGAGAGAGTGGGAGGAGTGGCATGCCAGAACTAATCGGATTATTCCTGGCATTCTTTGATTCATTCCTGTGGCTTTTACTCTACCTAAAAATAAGTAATTCGAGCTACAAATTTGGTCCACAGCATTTGACACTCGTTCACAAATTGATGCCTGCTCGGTATACTCGAATGGCACCTTTCAAATTTCATCGGCACCCAGGTCAATACGAGGACCAGTATAGTTCTTCCGTCCATCTACAATCCACTGAAAGACTGAGATAATAATAATGACTGCAAATGCAGCGATGCAATAATCTGGTCTTTCGTCAGAAAGTTGTTACTCAGAGGTTGGAATTGACTTACTCATGCTGCTGCCGGTGACAGTACTGGATGGAGGGAAAACGAACAAGACCGTAGTCAATATGATATACGACAAGGAAACCTGTTTGAAATTAGCCAACTGTACCAATCTCATTCGGGTTTAGTGACTCACAATATCAACAAACCACCCCACAGCACGAGGTAATTTCCACTTCCTCTCTGGTAGAGCATTGCGTCCCTGCAGGCAGTTGATCATGATAGGAATTCCATACGACAAGTCAAGCGCCACGACAGACGCGGAGATAATAGCATTAAAAGCACTGATTGGTTAGCCAGGCTCTCAGGTTCCAAATGGATATAGCGCACCTTGAGGAACCGAGGAAAATACACCCAAAGCAAATCACCACAACCACCGTCAGGATGAGGGCATTCAAAGGTAACTGAAGGGTAGGGTGCACCTTGGCGAAGAACTTTGAAGCGGGAAGACCACCATCCCTACTTATGTCAGTTTCGATTTAACAATTCGAATTGAAGGCCAACTTACCGGGCAAAGGCGAAAATCATTCGACTACTGGTAGTCATGACGCTGAGAATCGCAAGAATCAGGCAAACGAGGGGAAGCCTATTTTACATTAGCTGGTACTCAATAAAAGCTTATTCAAACTTACATGAGGAGACAAATGGCACCCGCTTTGTTCTTGGTTGCATCAATCAATATTTGTAGGAGAGGCCCAGCGGCTGAGGTAGTAACTTGCTCCATATTTCCCGCAACGAAGAGAAGGACGATGAGAAATATGCATCCTGTTACTGTGCCAATACCCACACAAGATACCATGATCTTTGGGCCTTCAATCGACGGATTCGGTACCTCTGTTCAAATAAGTAGTTGTCCAGAAACAGGTGATATACAGTTTCATACCTTCGATCATATGAACAACAGCATCCTGCACATGTTAACTTGGAATATAGATTCTCCAAATATGACTTACAAATGCAGTTACACCGAGCCCTCCTTGCAGAAGCTGTAGAGATTTAGCTATCTCCATCGCGTATTCCGTCAGATATCACGTACACCAAGAAGCCAAGCAACACCATCAGGCCCTGTCAAAGTCAGTCTATTTCTTTTGGAATGCGAAATCAATCACTTACATCCTGTTTGATTCACGAAGTTGCAGAACACGAAGCTGCTTACTGTTAGTAAATTTAAACGCAAAAGCATAGCACAACTTACTATGCAGTATTGTAGTCCGGTGAAGCGCAAGCCAAGACTGTAATGGAAACGATCGCAAAACCACCAATTGACCAAGCAACTGTCTCACATTAGTTAGGGAAAATAAAGCTATTCATCATACATACAAGCACCGCGGTAAATGGTTGGCAGGATGGAGTTCATAAAGGCATTAATTATAAATGCACCGAGCGTTAGCCCGATATAGATGAGGAACTGTTGCCAGCGAGTCGACTCGTAGGTCTGTAGTGATGGTTAGTGAGAGAAGCATGTATTGTCAGTTTTCACCTGTGAACTCTTACCGGGTGCATAGCCGAGATGACTCCGACAATTAATTGACTGGAAAGCAAGGAGTTGGTAGCTACTAGAGCAACCTATTCGTTATTAGTGACCTGAATCGAGATACGCTGCCTAGTGGCTTACCCATCCGGCGACATTGATCCAGCCTGTAATCCAGGAGAGAATAGGGACCCATTTTGGCCAGGAAACTAACACAATTAGGGTCATGCAGAATGTTTGGCAGTTATGGAGAACATACTGACTAGGATTCTATTAGCATTTCTTCCATGTCATGACCACCATTTGAAACTTACCCGCAACCCAATGATACTGTCCACCAGCTCTATGAAAGATCAGTACTCAGAGTCTCGTTAAAATCGAACAATTCATACGTTGGATAAGCGGATAAAAATTCAGCCAACGAAGTTGCGATACACAGATTGCAAAACCCCGCAGTGACGAGACCTGGAGAGTGTTACCCGCAATCCCCACTTGGAGCCACTGGAACATATTCACATACCCCATATGACGCTCGTACTACCGCCCGATGTGAGACTTATAGATAAGCTCGCTGATAGAGCCGTCCATGACTAAAAAGCAAATTAAATTCCTGATACCAACCCTTATTCAAATGTTTAAAGCAGGACACTCACATTGAGCACAGCAAACGCCAATCCCAGCATGGCCCTGTTCTTTGATTAGCATCAGATGTCTTCAGCTCCCATTTCGATCTCACCATGTAGAAAATTGTCGTTTTAACTCAGGCCTATGGCCCATCGCAGCCAACTGAGCATCATCATCTTGTATAGGTCCTTCTTTATTCATGGTTGCAGGAAATCACAACAAATCCAAAATATAGTAAAAGTCTAGGGAAAAAATCAAGCGACCTCGGATAACAGGCATTCTAAGTATCTCGCTCCCACGCCACCATGCATCAATCCATGTCAAGTACATGCGGATCGCTCCGACAGCGTTGCAGCTACTAGAATGCGGGGAAATGATCTTGCATTAGCAGACGAACCAATCACGGCGAAACGAGATAATTAGTGGAGATGCGCTGTGGATCCCAAAGGACCAAAACAAGCAAGGTCTTATCAGCTGCTCTGAATCATGGAATTAAGTTTATCAATTGTGTTCAGGAACGGCCCGGCTTGTCCTCCCTGTTTGGTCAGAAGCCGCATGTACTTACCCGAATCTGCGTAGTTGCATTAGTGTCATCGTGGCGCCTGCCTTGGAACTATTATCCCTGTACAGACGATGGTGTCGATCCCTAGGCGGTATCGGATGGACATGCTACCTGATGTATATGAGATGCTCTTGTAATTGATTGTTATAAATATTGGTCTCTGTCTCATACCGAGGTTTCTCCAATTCTTGTACTCACGGGATCTCAGTATATCCGGAACTTTTTGTTTACCTTTTTTCTCCTGGAAACATGCATTCCAAACATGTTTTTGCTGCGGCACTAGCCGTGCAGACATGCACTGCAGCTGTGTCTTCTGCTCGAAGTGACGCGCAGTGCACTAAAACAACGGTCGCAATTCTGTAAGTCATTTTGTGGCTTGTAGATTTGGCTGTCACTAATATTTTGCAGGGGTGGTGGAATGGCTGGTGTTTCTGCTGCAGTACGAATCTTCCTTTGTTATTATCTATTGTCGAAGAAATACTGAGCCTTCATCTATAGCAAGCTCTGTCGAACTCCTCAATACACGATTTTGTTATCATCGAGTATCAAGATAGGCTCGGTGGACGTGTTCATCACACAACCTTTGGCAAGGACAAAAATGGGGATCCGTACACAGTGGAGCTTGGTGCTAACTGGGTAGGAGATTTTATACCATTGCTTCAAATTTTTTATGGCGCTGACAAGTAATAGGTGCAAGGACTGGGATCCCCTGGTGGTCCAGGTATGCTCATACCGTCTATACAGTGCTAATAAGTTGATACTGATTTCTTCCAGAAAACCCCATTTGGACCCTTGCAAAGAAATGGGGCTTGAGCAATACCTACTCAAATTACAGCTCAATTCTCACCTACAACGAGACTGGTTATACGGATTTCTCCGACGTCTTGGATGAGTATGAAAACAAGTTCGACACCGCGTCGGATCTTGCTGGTACCACCCTGGCAGAGAACTACCAAGACATGACCGTCCGTTCTGGTCTTTCTTTAGCCGGCTGGAAGCCCAAGCGTGATGACATGACTGCTCAGGCTGTGGAGTGGTGGGAATGGGGTAAGTAAATCTTCAAATTATTTGCGAGCTCTCGCTAATAGCTTAGATTGGGAGGATGCCTACTCGCCCGAGGAGAGCTCTCTCATTTTCGGCGTCGCCGGTAGCAACCTCACCTTCAACCAGTTCAGCGACGCAAATAACTATGTCTGGGACCAACGTGGCTTCAGCCGCATCATCACTGGCGAAGCTTCAACTTTCTTGAAAAAGAATGATCCCCGAGTGCACCTCAACTCCAAAATTACAAAGATCAACTACTCCGACGACGGCGTCACAATCTACAAAGAAGACGGCAGCTGTGTCTCAGCCGCCTACGCCATCTGCACCTTCTCCTTGGGCGTCCTCCAAAGCGAGACCGTCTCCTTCACCCCCTCCCTCCCATCCTGGAAGAAGACCTCAATCGAGAAGTTCAGCATGGGCACCTATACCAAGATCTTTCTCCAATTCAACGAAACATTCTGGCCAGAAGATACCCAATACTTCCTCTACGCTGACCCAACAACTCGCGGCTACTACCCCGTCTGGCAATCCCTCTCCGCACCAGGCTTCATCCCTGACTCGAATATTATCTTCGTCACAGTCGTCCACGAACAAGCCTACCGCGCTGAGCGCCAATCAGATGATCAAACCAAAGATGAAGTCATGCGTGTCCTTCGCGAAATGTATCCCAATATCACCGTCCCCGAGCCAACAGCTTTCATGTATCCGCGCTGGAGTACCACACCCTGGGCGTATGGCAGTTACTCCAACTGGCCACCGTCCACGACGCTAGAAATGCATGAGAACTTCCGTGCTAATGTGAACCGGCTGTGGTTTGCTGGTGAGGCTACTAGTGCGCAGTACTTTGGGTTCTTGCATGGTGCTTGGTTTGAAGGGAGGAATGCGGGAGAGCAGATTGCGGCTTTGTTGCAGGATAAGTGTGCGAATGTCACGGATACGAGTGACGCTTGTGGGAATTTGAGGCATTATGAGACGCTTTATGGGTCTTCGCCGCTGGCAGATTATAGTGTTTTTGATGGGTGGTCGGTTAGCAGCTTTTACTCTAGTAGTTAAGATGCTGCTCGAACTTGTGTGTTCTTTGGCCACATTTGGTGCTGTGACCTGGTCCGATCTGATGTGTGTTGTATTTAATACCTAGAGTATAGCCTGGAATTACGTGCATATAACATTAAAGTCATCCAGCAATTTTAAGTGCATAGTTACAAATGTATAGTATACTAATAAGGATTTTGAGTTCGCGTGAGTTTGGATACAATATCGTCATAATTAGATCACTATCGAAGCTCATTTCCCCGCATAGCCAATATCAATTCAAAAGATCAACCCTTGCAACTTCCAAGCTTTAACAATATTGGAAGAAAAATGGTGTTCGATATACTATATCGCATCTACTACGGATTCATTAATCCACCCGCAGCGAAGAAAAATAATGACGCCATTCGCTTCGGACTGCTCGGTGCATCCAACATCGCGTAAGTATTTTCAAATGCCATCATCCAATAGTCTTTATAACAAAGCCAAAATAACCCCAACCTTGCTGATACCATTATAGGCCAATTTCCCTAATCGCCCCTGCAACTTCCCACCCAGATGTAATAGTCGCAGCGATCGCAGCACGAGACCGGACTCGAGCAGAGAAATTCGCAAAGAAGCATAATATCCCAATAGTACATTCGACCTACGAAGGTAAATATCAATTCCTTGATCGATTTGAAGCTTGAAGCTTGGATCTTGAATATATCAAAACCCAATCCCTTACATGAAACCCCTCAAGTTCTAACGATTAGAAAGACCTCCTCCAAGACCCAACCATAGATGCAATCTACATCGCCCTTCCAGACAGCAAACACTACGAATACGCCCTTCGCTGCCTCTCGGCAAAAAAGCACGTTCTCTTAGAAAAACCCTCCTGTTCGAATTCCCGCGAAGCAAAATCTCTATTCACACATCCACTCGCCACAGCCTCGACCGCTCCAGTCTTGCTAGAAGCTTTCCACTACCGCTTCCATCCAGCCTGGCAAACATTCCTGAATGTTATTCATAACGCGGCTGAGGTGGGTCCTATCAAGTTTGCTTCTGCGGAACAGTATTTTCCTAAATATGCGTTTGGGAAAGACGATATTCGTTGGCAGTTTGGACTCTCCGGGGGTTGTATGATGGATTTTGGGACTTACCCTATGAATATTCTTAGGCAGGTTTTGAGAGAGGAGCCTGGGGATGAGTTGAAGGCTGAGGCGAGGAGGGTAGGATTGGATGTTGACGGGAAGGAAGAGGTCGATGAGGCTATGATGGCGAGGTATGTTACTAAGGGTGGGGCGGTGGGGAGGATGGTTGCTGATCTGAGGTATGCGAGTTGGGCTTTTCTTCCTGGGCTTGCATGGCCGAAGTGTGAGGTTGAGTGTGGGGAGAAGGAGGTCGAGACTGGGGAAGTGGAGAGGTGTTTTGTGAAGAGGAAGGTTGTGTTTTGGAATCATCTTATGCCGAGTATTTATCATCGGATTGATGTTGAGGATACTTATTCTATTCGAGTGGGAGAGGAGGTTTTAAAGACGTGGAAGGATGAGCGGTACTTGAAGGCTTATACGTGGCCTAGTGGTGATAAAGGAGGGCCTGATAAGGTTGGAAAAGAGTGGTGGTCATCATATTTTTATCAACTTGAGGAGTTCGTGAATAGGGTCAAGGGACGTGAGGGATCGGGGGTCTGGGTGGATGGGGAGGATAGTATCAAGCAGATGGAGGCTATTGACCTGGTGTATAAAAAGGCCGGGATGCAACCGAGGCCTTCTAGTGGGTTTCAACTATAGATCTGTATCTAACTCGATAATATATTTGGATGCAGTAGACAGATCTAGCCATGCTTAGTAGCAGCAGCTATTATCTAGCTTGTCTATCTTTATGAAACAGGACTTGAAGATTCCGAAGACTCATCTGATGAGATTCAGTCACGCACGACATTTAATTGATGGTGAATGATATAGTAAAGAAGGTAGAACCACCGTTTCCAGAAACAGTATATAAAGCAAAATTTACAGTCTATTCATCGTCTCACATGTCTCACTTCCAAGACTTGTCAACAATCCTGTTCATACCAGGACCGCTGACTCATTGGCAATAATAAGCCATTTAAATGTACTCCCAAGCGACGCTGTCAGAGGTAACATTCAAGCCCACAGCGAGCGCATCGAAGCCAAGGCAGTCGCCAACCTTGCCAGTAGGCACAGTAGCGTTCTGCTGGGCAGCATACACTTGCCAAGAGGGAGGAGCAGCAGCGGCAGCACGGCGGGCAGCAGAGGAGCCGGAGGTAGAGGCAGGCACGGGGCAAGCCATGAAGCCGGAAGCGCCTTGGCCGGAGTAAGTCCAGCTGCCGAGGCCGTTGCCAGAGGTGCCAGGGGTGTACACGAAGGGACCCTGGGAAGAGCCGGCGGGAATATATGCGGAGTGGGGGGTTGTGAAGCTCAGGGCGCCCGAGGGGGCGACGTAGATACTTTGACCACCGGGGACTACAACATCCTGGAGTGGCTGTTAGTTTGATGATTCTGAGGATCGTGTTTGGTTAGTGTTGGGTACTTACAAGGGCGGACTGGCCGACGATGATGGTGTCGTTGGTGCGGCCGGCGCAGCCGGGGACGACCTCGCTGGGGCAGTAAGTGGCGCTCGTGCCACCGAGGAAGAAGTTACCTCCGGAGGCTGTCAGGGGGAGGAAGTGGATGGGAGAGCCGGAGCGAGCGGCGGTGACACCGAAGGGAGCATTAACGTCCTTGGCCTTGGTGGTGCCGATGCGCGAGCCGGGTAGGGCAGCGACGAGAGGAACGATGGACAATAGGGCGGAAATCTTCATTTTGAAAGAGGTTGAAGAATAGCGAACGTGGTGAGATTGGAATGGATTAGATGAAAATGGGAATGAAGAGGGATTGAGCTGCTCTTAAATGGAGCTGGGGTGAGATATCATTCCACTGATCCAGGATCCATACAATTCCCCATGTACCGTCTAGGGTCTTGATCGGCAGGGCTTCCACTCGGCTGCCACGGTTCCATCGAATTCTATATCGGTCCTCGGGCCAAGCTTAGCGCACCGGTAGCTTGGTGAAGTCCTTGAGTAAACTCCATCAGAAGTGTCCTGAATGAGGTTAGCGTCGAGCTCACAGCACCGGAAACCAATAGCCGTTATTTAGTCTGGAAGACTGTGACTCCATTCAGGGTCCATAATGAGGGACCGCAAGCTTCTATTGGATGATTCCTATCGGGCCCTGAAACATCCTGCAGAGTCTCCACCACAACTTGAAGTGATCGACAGCACAACCAGGGTTTTGGCAGCTCGGCAAGATGGACGGCGATAACACCTCTTTTAGGGAAGAGTGGCAGTCTGTGTATTCCTTTGCTGAGCACAATTTGAGAATCATAAAATTTGCTCAACTAAAAATCAATTGCGTCGACCAATATCGGGGAATTCTTCTTTGGCTCGATGCGAGCGATCAAAGCGAAGATTCTGACGACGGGACGTTTCAGGGAAAATACATGTGCTGGAATGAGGAGAAGGATCGACAGGTGTCTTACTATAATCTGTGGCAAATATCGCGATGAAGGCGCAGACGAGAAAACCTTACCAGTGACAACTTAGACGATGTTGTTCAAGGCAACCATCGGTCAGTGGTCGGGAAGTCTCCATTCGGGCCCACAATGTCTCAGCGAAGACGATTTTGACATCACATCCGATGCTGCTCCCGATTGCCAATGGGGGTTTCTGTACTCTACTTGACAATGCGATGATCTGGTGGCTTCGAGGATGGCAAATCGGGACTTCATTATTAAATTCTCAACGTTGTAGAATGTTCTGCGATGTGACGAATTGTTTCTGTGGGTACTTCGAGGGCCTCGACTCAATCAAAGTCAATCTGTTTGTGACATGAAAACGAGATGATCATCGTCACGGACTCCGCAGCTGGGCCGAAAAGGAGCCAGTGCGAAAGTCGGCACCGCCACATCGTGTAGTACATGCTGCTCGGTTAATTGGCCATGTGGGGATAAGAATTGAGGCGCAGGAAGAAATAAAAACATTGTCTTACTTGAGTCAGGTCAAGCTCCGTAGGAATAAACCAGACGGAAGTTAAACAAGAACGTCATAAATACGAACAATTTCCGCTCATCTAACTAGGATGATCCATCCATTTTCCACTTTCGAACCCCAAAACAGTCCTGTGAAACCATTTATCGCTATTATACAAGAACGCTATTATACACAACAAAAAGAGGAGCCTAAGCACCTAAAATTCAGCCACCAACGGTAGATCCCGAGAGCTTCTTCCAGCCCAGATACGGAACGAGCCTTCCGTTGGAAGTACCCAGTTCTGTTCTCGGACGCTCCAATAGCTCAGATCTTTCCGCGTCAATGTCATATTGACAAACTTGGTCTCGTTGGGGTCAAGCGACACCTTTGCAAAATTTCGGAGCACCCGGTCGGGGAATTCAATTCGTTCAGGAGTTCTGCCTAACCCGCGGGATTCGACCACATCAGTGGGAAAGGACACATAAATTTGTATGACCTCTTGGCCGGACCTTGAGCCGGTGTTTGTGAGCTCGACGGTGAGCTCTAGCATGGGTTCGTAGAGAGAGGGGTTTCCACCCGGGCCACCTCCTGCGGCGGATGCTTTTTGGCTCTCTGTATATCCATCTGGGTATGGGTAAGAGCCGGCTTTGGTTCCTTCGCGTGACTTCAGGTAGGGGTAGATGTATTTTCCAAGAATATTAAATTCCGAGGGGAAGAGCGCTGAAGAAGGATTTTCGGGCACATTCTCATATTTTGGAGGGTCAAGCTGGTCTTTGGGACGCTTTGCAGGGAGTCGTGACTTGTCCTGTAGCTTCTCAATCTGCAGCGATGCGAACTTGAAGGTAGTGTAGGAAAGCCCAAAACCGAACTCAAAATGGGGGGTGATGTTGAACTTGTCAAAGTACCGGTAGTCAAGATAGAGGCCCTGGGTCAGGAACACCTGCGGTATAGGTTCACCAGACTCGTACAGGATCTGTGCGCCCGGCCCGTAATCTTCTAAAGAGCGGCCGATGGTATACGGTAATCGTCCACTAGCATCGACGTCGCCGAAAAGAACATCGACCAAGGCATTCCCGCTTTCTTGTCCAGGAAGATTACCATATAGAACCGCGTGAACGCCAGTGAGATCAATCCAGGGGTCTAAAATAACAGGTCCAATAGAGTGCACCACCACGATGGTTTTGCCATGGCCATTACCGCAATGATGGGCCACGCCCTCGATCAGGCCGGTGCCATTTCGCTGCAGGAAAAGATCATTCCGGTCTCCATTGATGCCATCATTCTTGATGAAACCTTCGCCTCCGTCGGCGTTGGCAAACACAAGGCAGAGGTCTTGTTCAACTAGATCCTGCACCGCCACATTGTTGTTCAAGTAGCCTCGGACATCAACTGTCTCAGATGACCAAGCAGACTGAAGAGCATCCCAGGGATTGACAAGATACGGGAAGTCCACCGCGCCACTTCCCCAGCCGGACGCCAGGGTTCCCTGGTTGCAGCCTCGGTCAGCGCAGAAATTTGGACCTTGTCCAGGGCCTGCATCCTCCCCGTAGATACCAATGCGGTACTTTCCAGAGGGGCGAGATATGGTACGTGAAAGTGGAAGGATGCCTTCGACGTTTTTCAACAAAACAGTCCCCTCTGCTGCTATCTTGCGGGTTAAGTTCCCGTGTGTCTGGGAGCCTTTTCCTTGTGCGTCGATATAGTAGTTCACCACCTCATTGGTGTGATCATCCGGACTACCAGGATGAAGGCTGCCATTCCTGTCATGAGTCCAGGACGAGAAGTTCGGACCAATTTTGCTCTGCGTCGCAGCGCCATCCCACGTATCTTGGCGGAAGTGGTAATAAGCCGCCACAATACGAGTGACCATATCATTGAGCCGGTCCATAGGAACGGAGGTATTCAGTGCTGCACGAGTCAAATGAGGGCCCCAGAGTGAATCCCCATCTTGCCATTTTAGACCATCTCCAGGCATACTCATGTCAAGACCACTCAAAGCGCTTTGAACCCCTGACCGCTGAGCAAGCCAATCGGATTGAACAAACCCTTGGAATCCAAGCTCCTCCTTGAGAATACCATTCAGGAGCTTGCTGTTCTCACAAGCATAGCTGTTATTCACCATCTGGTAGGCACACATGACACTTGCCACATCTGCCCGAACACTCTCAGCGAACGGCCAAACGAAGACTTCATGCAGCGCCCGATCGTCGATATTTGACGACAACGCGGTCGGGATGCCCCACTCAAAAGCCTGACGGAAGTGCTCTTGTTCATTAAGCACAAAGTGCTTAGCTGTTGCCATCACACCGTTTCGTTGAATACCCCGGATGGTCTCCGCTGCAGCTACAGCTTGCAGCACTGGATCCGATCCAAACGACTCCCAATTCCGACCACCGGCAGGGTTCATTCCCATTGCTCCCATGGAAGGACCAAGGAGAACATTCACTCCTTTCAAACGCGCTTCCCGGCCAAGCGCAATACCCCTGGCTCGCATAAGCTCGCGATTCCATGTAGCACCGGTTGTGATACCAGCAGGGAACGCAGTGATATTATCCGCGTAACGGAGACCCAGGGGACCATCTTGTAAGCAAAGTGAGGGGAAGTTGACACGCGCTGCAGGACCTGGAACAAAAAAGATATTGGCATCAGACCTCAGGGAATAGACTGACAACACTCACCAGTGTTTCCAACACAAAGCCCCATCATCCAGCCCGTGCCCGTCGTGACATTGACTTTCTCTAATAAAGTCATCTCCTTCACAAGCTCATGGGCTTTGCTGTAACTTTCTTGCCACGCAGCATTCGTACCACCTAGTGGCGTAGGATACCAAGGTACAGATTCCTAAAACAGTCAGTTAGTTGCACAATCCAAGACCGACAAGATCAGGCCTTAGGAAACAGTCGTACAAATTCCGCAACCACTTTCTTATTCCACGACCGTCTCAGTCCCATTGCCGAGAGCCACATCACCACAAGTCCAATCGCAAGGAAAGCACATATCTGCCACCAAGGCCGTTGGTGAACGACCGCCTGAATCTTGAATCGAAAATTGGCTCTTCTAGCATTATTCTCATCGTCGGTGTAGGGGCGCTTGTTTGCCGCAACCCCATATAGATCACTGTCGTCATCACTCAAAGCGAGCAGGGATTCCCCATCTTCTAGATCCAAGTTGAAGGACTCCGATAAGAGAGTCCGCTCTCGTTGGTCTTTTTGCAAGAGCTGCTCGATCCGCTCGCCGACGTTATGGGGATCGTCATTGGCCGCAGCCTCATCATCCGAGCTTGTAGATATCCTTCTATCTCGTGTAGTGCGTCGAGAATGATGGGATGTTGATGCGTCTTTCGATTTTAGTGGTAGGAGCTTCAGGTTGGCTTCGTCTTCGACTGAATATTCGTCATCGCTCGATAGGGGCGTGTCGGCGACGTCGGCTCTTGCTCCGGGAAACTTGTCGTGGTCGTTGTGGAATTCATCGTCCGATTTGATCGAGTTCTCGTCTGGATTGTTGGGCTCCAGCGACTTATACCCTGTTCGATTCATGTTTGGAGATCCGCGCTTGGTGTGGGGTGGATGTAGCTATCGCGCTGGGGCCTTGGCGGTGGGAAAATGTGTGATTATCGACGCGTTGAATACATTATTCGATCTGACAACAAGACGTCACTGCACATAAAAGACAATTGATCAATCGTTATTTTTAAGATTCGGAGGGAAACTCTCAGGAGAAGCTATTGATCAATCAAGACAAACACCGCCAAGGTCACCTGACTGCCCAAATACGGGATCGATTCCTCATTCGATTTACATCAATACGCGATTGTTATTGAATTGTCACTTTTATTGACAGTTGAAGTACACGAAGGAAAAGATGGAGATATGAACTTCGAGATCACGATCTGGAGTTAAAATAGTCTATCTTGCAAAATATAATATTAACAATTATCACACTAGAGCACCAACGGGCGCAAGAAAAGAAACGGCCCGTATTTTATATCCAAGTTGCAAACTACGTTTCAACCTAGTTGGTAATACCAGTCTCCTTCTTACCGTTGACCTATTCAAGAAGTTAGTAAGATTTCATCATCCAAAAAGTATCCAAAAAGAATCACTTACGTAACGCCAGTAAGGAATACCAGTGTTGTATCCACTGCGCACATCATACGGCACAGGGCTAATGTAGTTGTAAGTAGGCTTGCGACGGTTGTAAGTCTCCTTGACAACATCCACAATGCCGTGTCCAGCATTGCAGGTCTCCTGGGTAGCAGGAATGGGCCAGTAAGACTCGTACTCGGAGTAAACGTTCTCAGACAGAGGGCCGGGGTAAGTCTCGTTCAAAAGGTTGGGGACGGCAGTGAGGTCAACCTCCCAGTTCACGAAACCAGTCTTCTCAGCGACGAGGCTGAGGATGTTGGCACCGCAGTCCCAGCGACCGAGGGAGGGGGAGACCCCAGTTTGCACTGAGGGAGGCAATGACGGAGTAGTGGGTGTAGAAGGTGCTATCGGTGGTTCCCTTGAGGTGCTCGGGGACGGCGCCGCCAAGGAGAATGCTGTAGACACGGTTCTCCTCAGTGTAGTTGCCCACTTCGTCAAAGGTGACCAGGATCAGACTGTCCTTGGTGAAGTACTCGTTCTTCAGCAGAGGGGGGAGGAAGTCGGCAAGGAAGTCTCCGCCGACGGTGATGTCGGTGTCGTGGCAGTCGTTGGTCATGTCTAGATATGTTAGATCGCTTTCGAAGATAGGGCTTGGTAGACTTACTAGGGGTGATGAAGGAGTACTGGGGGAGGCGCTCGTTCTTCAGGTCATCGTAGAAGGAAGTGAAGTTCTTGATTTGGCGGGGACGAACATCGCTGTTGGTGACAGACTCAAAGATAATGAGAGGATCGTGCTTGCGCATGTAAGAATTGGCATCGGTGTGCTGGTTAGAGAAGTTGTATCCCTGTTTCATGTTTAGCTCTGATCGGTGATAGAGAATGAATCCCGATTCAACTAAAGACTAACCTGGTATCCAGCATAGGGAAGATGCTGTTGGTACTCGCTCCACGCGATGCTCTTGGTATCGAACAGATCGGCGATAGTGGACACATTGGCGGGGATTTGGGTGAATGCGTCATTGTCCATACCAAAGTTATCACCAGCAGCAGAGGCAACGTAGTTGGGCTGCGAAGGGTGGGTGGTGGCAAAATAGTTGGTCAAGAGAATACCCTCCTTGGCAATCTTAGCAAAGTTGGCATCGTCGGCAACAGTTTGATAGTCCTTTTCTCCTGATTAGATTAATTTCTCTAAAATTGATCCGAATGACATACCTGGTTCTCAAACCAGATCTGGGTGAAACGGTCGAAAGCCAGACCCTTGACGTTGGAAACGGGAGAGAGAGGGACAACAGTAGCAGCGGCAGCCTCAACCTCCGCCAATGAGGGCATGGAAGCGGTAGCGGGGATAGTCCTGGCAGAGGCCACGGACAGGGCGCCAATGAAGGCGGAGAAAGTCTGCTTGGTGAACATAGCGACTATTTTGCTTGTTTTATCAACCGATGAAGCTCTGGAGAGAAAGAAAAAAGAAATGATCGCTGGGTGTCGCACGCGATCTTATACTCACTGCGGAGACAAGAATGACCAGTCGGAGATCACACAATTCCACGTAGTTTCGGAGGCTCTTCTCTTGCATTGCAACGGTAAGTATCTCCACATAACGCATAGGTGCAGCACGCTGCATTTCCCGTGCAAATGACTGGCTGAGTCTTTGACCATCGAAGGGCTCATGCTCGCATGGGGCATCAATTAAGTGGGGGGAATGAAAGTAGGTAGTCTTGAGCTGATTGGATGATATAAGTAGTGGAGTTCATCGTACCTGGCACGTTCCGCACCAAAGCATCTTGATTGGGTTGAGAAGTGGATCATTTCTTTTTCATCCGGCTATCAACTGCATAAGCGATATCAACCCCCCGGGACCAAGCTTTACCAAGCATACTCGGCCATCGGTTGTGCCGTCCTTGGCCTCGTGGCTCTAGAACTAGTCACTCATTTCGCTCTGCCGATTGGCGGTCCAAACGAGACGGACATGTCGGATGAATCCGGTTGAATGTTTAGTGTCGAATTTCTTTTTATTTTGCCGACATCGAAATTGCCTTCGGACAACCACCGTCTACCAAACTAAATAGGGATCCTTACTCGCTTGTTGAAAGGTAAAATTAAATCCAATCCAGTGATTCAGTTGACGCACCTGGCATGTAAGCGACATTTCCATATTTTGTGGCGGACCTATAGGTAAATGGTGGCTTATGCAGGTTGGTCTTCTAGAACCTGTTTGTTAGATCTCATGTAGGGTCTGAGCATAAGTCCAAGGGAAAATCAGCCTTGACAATCGTGCAGCTCCTTTGAATTCTCGTTGGCTGCGACTGTCATTCTAGATTCAGCCTTATGGGCAAGAATGTACCGATGGCTACTTTATTACATTTGGCTATCTGCCCTATAAATTTCCTCGCCAATTAAGGTAATCTCATCCGAAATATCGCTCTCAATGTGCACGTGCTATGTATGGATCGTATGTCATATGGTTTAATGGGTCTATGCTTGACTCACTGCTTCCAGACGGGTAATCGCACCGGTGGCTTACCTTAGACCAGAATGAACTTCGGTCACTGTGTTGGCTATCCTCTAAGACTAGAAATTTCATGAAATGTTTTCAAAACTGTCTCAAATCGGCATGTTCATTGAATCATGAATCGTAATGTCGGAATATTCCAGTAGCGTAGACTACGGCTTCGGATCGACAAATAACCCTGTTATAAGTTCTACTTCAACCAATTACATTAGAAGTGCGGTTGCTGATAAACACGTATGCTTAAGGAACTCAAATTACAGCAATAATGTTGAAGAATAAAACGTGAGATTCGAAATAACTTTTGTTCAAGCAATGACTAGCAGGTTTTTCACCAGTCCACAAGCTAAGAATGCATATCTACCAAATGGAGAAGAAAAACTCCGAGCGCCGTCTATTTGAGTCCCATGCAAATCAAAACTGTACCTCTCTGATCAGGTACGCATGCAAGCAAAAATAATCAACATGAATATGAACATGACAAAGCCCATTACACGTCAAAATCTACCAGGTCAATAGCCGGGTACAATTACTCATCATCACTGTCCACAGGCTTGGGGGTACCCTTGGGCGAGTTGAGCCACTCAATGTGTCGCAGACGACGACGGGCCTCACGCTCCTTGAGCTGAGCACGGGTCATCTTCTTCTTCTTCTTGGCACGGAAGTTGAGGTCGCCCTGGTCTTCAGCGCCGGAGTTAACGGCCGAGGCAGCGGCGCTGGTGGCAGCCGAGATAGCAGCGGGGGTACCAGGGGCCGAGGGAGAGTTGTTGGCACTGTCCTCGAAACGGTCGAGGCTGATAGCAGTGTTGGTACGGCTGACAACACGGCCGTCGGCAATGTGCAGCTGCTCGGGGCAGAGAGCACCGACGAACTCCTCGTTGTGAGAAATCATAACCACACCACCCTTGAAGTCACGAATGGCAACAGCCAGACCTCCCAGGGAATCACGATCCAAGAAGTTAGTAGGCTCGTCAAGAACCAACAAGTGGGGGTTGTTCCACATGGCACCGGCAAGCACGACCTTGACTTTCTGACCACCGGACAGACCGGAGATCTCGTTGTGGTTGGCAATCTCGGGGTCGAGACCGATGTCCTCGAAGTGCTTGGAGATGGTGGGGGGGTCAAGGACACGGAATCCCAGACCCTCACGAGAAGCCTCGTGATCGTCGAATTCCTGGACCATCTTGAAGAATCCAAGCGAAATCAGGGTCTCACGGGAGATCATGACGTTGTTCTTGGGGAGCAGGCCAACCCATTTCCTACTCAAGTTAGTAATCATCAATGAAAAAGATTAGGTGACAACGTACACTTCGTACTGGAAGGTCTTCTTCCACTTCTGACGACCCATGATAGCCTCAACACGGCGGGGGCCCTTGCCATCACCCAGATCAACGGGGGTCTCCAGTTGCTTCTTGTCTTCTTCGGTCAAGATACGGGTCTGCTTCAGGAAGACCTCGCGATCATCACCGTTGGCGTAACGCCACTGGAGGTACTGGCTAGGAGTCTTCTCCAAGTGCATCTCAACGTGCTCAAGAGCGTGCTGCTTGATGTATCCGATACGCAGGTTGGGGTGCTTCTCGACCTTACCACCCTGGGGAATGGTCTCACCAGTCAGGATCTTAATGAAAGTGGACTTGCCAGCACCGTTTCCTCCGATGATGGCTACACGGGAGGAGAGGGTCAACGAGAGAGAGGCATCGTGCAGGGAAGGCTTGGGGGCGCCCGGGTATGTGTAGGAAACGTTGGTCATGCGCATGATGGAGCGGGTGGCAGACTTAATACCAGACAGGATACCAGGGGGAGGGAACTTGAACTGAACAGTAGAGGCGGACAGAGTGTAGTAGCTCTTGCCCTCGGGCTTGACTTTAACGAAGGCAGCAAGGTTTCCAGGGTAACAGACAAGCTTCTTGGACTCGTAGTGGTAGATGTCAGTGCAGACCTCATCAAGGAAACCAGAGTCGTGAGAGACGATCAAACTGGTGATATCGGTGTGCTTCTTCAGGTACTCCTGCAGCCACTTAACGTTGGCAACATCGAGGTGGTTAGTCGGCTCGTCAAGCAGCAGGACATCGGCCTTCTGGAGCATGGCACGGGCAAGCGCCAGCTTCATCTTCCAACCACCGGACAGAGAGCCGACAGGCTGGGATTGGCGGCCTTCCGGTCCGTCGGTAAAACCGAACTCGAGAAGGACTTTGGAGATGGCCTCCTTGCCCTCAGCGGCAATCTTGGGATCCTTGGAAACGTACTCCAGGATGCTGAGCTCGGCATCCTCACCCTGGTTGTGCTCAACGAAGCAAGTGCGGACCTCACTCTGAGGGGGGAAGCCTTCAAGCTTCTCGTTGGCAATACTGCGCATCAGAGTGGACTTTCCAGCACCGTTACGACCACACAGGCCGTAACGGTGACCCTTCAGGAGGCGCAGATTGGTGTGCGAGAGCAGGAGCATACCACCGTAGGCGAGCGAGAAATTGGCATTGACGATCTCGACCTCGTTGGGGTCATCGGGGATAGGCTTGCCGTACTTGCGCTCATCCTCTTCCACGTAGTGGGCCTGAATGGCAGTGGCGATAGCCTCGAGCTTCTCGTCTGCCATCATACCACGCAGGTAAGGTGTGATGCAAGAGGGAATACGGTCGTGCATGCGAACGTTGACATCCTCACGGACCATGCTGGCGATGAACATCTTCGCCTGTTCGATGAACTTGGCATCACCAGTCAGGCCGCCGGCCTCCTGGAGCTTGGGGTTCAAGATAGCAAGAACATCCTCGGGGGTGACCTTAACAATTGAGCCGTTGGCGACGTTCTTATCGCTCATGGCAGTCTCCATGACATCCAGGGCCCGGGTAGCGAGCTCACGGACCTCAGGAAGGGAAGCGCGGTCCTTGACGCCCTTCACACCGGGCTGGAGCTTGGGCAAGAAGGTACGAGCCTCAGCGGGGTCGTGAACCAACTTGGTCAAGTTCTCCACGACGACAACGGTCTGACGGAGTGTCTCTTGAGGGGTGGTGGGGGTGTTGAGAGATCGCTCCAGCAGGGGAGTGAGGAGGGCCAGCACGGGAGATGTGACAATGGCGACGAAGGTTGTCTGCGAGAGGGCATGGATGGCCTTCTGCAGAGTCTGGGCGGAGGGCTGCTCGATGGCCTTCAAAAGGAGGGGAATGCGGGGAGCAACATCGTCGTTGGACAGCAAGGTGGTGAGAGCAGTCATGGTCTTGTTGGCCTGCTTGGCGACCTCGGCCTTGAGGTCATGCATACCAGACTCGACGACAGGGATCAACTCCTTCAAGGTCTTGCCCATGGCATCGCGCAGCACATCCTTCTGGCGCTCTTCTTCCAAAGAGCCAGTGCCCATCTGAGCACCGGTAGCCATCTTCTCCAGCAGCTTGAAGCCACCGACGAAACCCTGCCACTTTCCGGAGCCCTTGCTGAGATAAGACTCGAGAGCCGGGATCAAAGCATTGACCTTGGCCTCGGGGCTAAGGCCTGCGAAAAGGGCATCGATGGCATACTGGGCCGCATCGCGAACGACGGTACCCTTGTCGGCCAGGGAGTCCAGAGCAAGGTTGAGAATACCTCCATCCTGCAGCAAGAAGACTTGCTCACTAAGGGGGAACTCCCGGGGGAAGCGCTCGAACAAAGCGCCGATGATCAACATGGCACTCTCACGGCGGGCTCCGTTCTTCTTATCGGTAGCCGCCTTGCGGGTCTCGGCAAGAACATTGTAATTTAACAGACCAGCAACGCCAACGCTCTGGATGAGCAGGTTTGTCAAGGCGTAGGAGGCATCCAGGGACTGCTGGGAGCTCTCGGCTGTGAGGATGGTGGTGAGAAGGGAGGAAATCTCTTCGGACGTGGGGGCGACGCCGGAGGGGGTTTTTGAGACAACGGTCGGCATGGCGGGCGACTCAGAGGAGACGGTGTGTGGCATTTTCTTGATGATAGAAATCCAAAGAGAAGATCTGGTTTGTGTATAAACCAGAATGTGCGACAAGCTGGTGGGGGGAGTTCTCAAACAAAGGGGAGAATCTCGAAGCACAAGAAATCAGAGTCAAAACGCGGGAAATCGTACCAGGCACGATCTGGAAGAAGCTGTACAAAGTCCAGAGACGGCGGTAGATACTCTAATCCACTTGACTTGAAAAGTGAAGGGATAGAGGATGGAGGGGATGGAGGGGAAAGAGGAGGCGTATCAGCGAGCGGGCTTATCCACACAATTTTTTTTTTGTTTGGGCGGCGACAATTGATTTAGACCAATCATATTGTTACCTCTCGCCATGGGGCCGCCACTAACCCAAATTAGGCTAGCCTTATCAGTTGCCACCTCAGGCACGCAATGAAAATTTCAAATGAGGCAGGCGTATTATGTCATACAGCAGCCAATCATAATTTCCGGATTTGGTATGCAAGGGGTCTTTGCCTTACATTTACATTCAGGTCAGACTCCATAGGGATCCATGGATAAGAAATTGCAACTCCAGAGCCGCTTATGTTGTACAGGAGCATAAATTACACACATCCATTTGCCGATCAAATTCATGGATGTTGTTTGCCTACAAGGGTGGTGACCGGTCTCCTGGTCATCTTCAAATGTACATGTGTATTTCAAGGCAATATATGTCTCGTATAGGGTCCACGAGTAGACATCTACAAAAACATGCACCATCATGGGTGCTGATCTTTTCATTTTTTCCTTCTGCTCTCGCCATCTGCTTCTTACACACAATTTTGTCGTGGTATCCTACTCGCGTGGTTCGGTTCATCTACCAAGGCGTTATTACTGCCAGGCGTTTCTCGCAGTAATTCAATTAACCCGGAGCTACTCAGCGAGTAATAAGATGTTAGCTTATCGCGAATAGATGAATCCCCCTCCCATCGAATGATAAAATAACGAATTTTCTTTCGCGTTCACAGCGTTCATATCGGCTTCATGGCGGATCAACAATCTCACTGCCTCGACTTGTCGGAGATTTCTAGCGAGCAGATGCACATGTGAAGAGCCGAGTCGCCGTCCATACCAGCATGTCTTGGATCAGCACCATATGCTATCGGAAGCTCAATCAGAGTAGTGTCAATAGGATCCATGTATATATAGTGATGGATGAATTTGTGGAGAACGGTCTGACCCCTATAGTCTTGTAGACTTGCACCAGCACCCATAACTAGTAAAAACTTGATCACTAGCTTGAAGAGCTTGCTCTCACAAAGTATGGCGTGACGCGCGATAGAATGATAGGAAGGTGTGAGTTCCTCTGCGTCTGGGAGATTAATTGCGCTAGGATGATCGGCCAAGAGAAGCTTACATGTCTTGATGACTCGGGGGTAAAATTTGGTCAGTAGAAAACATGAAGTCGGATGAGTGACATGAGTCAGGACCTATAGCTGCCCAATGTAGTGGTAGTCGTTTGTTGCTGTCGTGAGTGAACACGAGATCTGTGTTGGCACAGTGGTCAAGAATCGCTTTGATCCCTCCACATTCGAAAATAAGCTGCCAAGGTGAAGTACTGTGGCATCCCGCGAAGTTAAAAAGCTCAGACAAGATATGGAAGATTGAAGGGCTTTATGGTTGTGCTGATGCCTAGTGAATACATCGACCCCTTCGTCAATCAACTATCTCACCAAGGAACAGCTAGCGTGACTTATTGCACAGCCAAGAACAGTCTCCTGAGGCTGTCGTGGTTCAATATCGTCACTCTCGTTCATAGGGGTCTTGGATGAGAGAAAAGCATTTTTCACAAAAGCACCTCCGTGAGGAAGAATGCGTATTAAATTCTCGTCCCGGGCAATACGGTCGCAAGCGGAATCTTTGGTGGGAAGTCTATAACCATGGATATGGTCCAAACAATCCATGGGCTTTGCAACTGATAGCAGTGGGGTATCATCATAGTAGACTTTGGCATGGATAGTTCCCAACGGGGGCTGGCTGTCTAGAAGAAATAGTACAGTCTCAACTTCCGCGAATGAGCATGTCACATTTAACAGTGAAAATCTCGGCTGCTCGGATGTTGGATTTCAGGTTGGATCGCCAAATCGTTCAAGTAACTTCAGGGGAGCATCAGTGCTCCCAGATGCGGCGGCAACCCAAACGGATTACTCTCAGGGTAAAATGTTCTCTACCAGAATATGCTAGCGGTCATCCGAGAAGTATCCGACGTTGGAGAAGGTCGCCGATTGTTTAATGATATCGGTGAAGCATAACAAGTCCCTGGATTTAAGGCTGATATCAGATTCACTACCAGTATGTTGCAAAATTTCTACGGTATTTGCAATCGGCTCCGAATCATAGGTGAAGGCAATTTGAAAAGTGTGTCTCTTTAACAATTCAGATATGTCGCTTCGAGACATGATCCGCAAAGAGAATCAAAGTCAGTCCATCGATGAGGGAACTCCCAAAAATAGGTCGTCTTGAGCAGACAGAGATCGTAGACAATATCGGTAGAGCGGTGAAGTGTAAGAAGGCCAAACACGCCGGTATGGGCGAGCTGAAGAACAGAAAGAACCGTCCTATGATTCTTATTGGTGGGTAGGTATGTTTGTTCTGTGACTATTATGATGCTTCAACACTTATGCCTTCAAATGCTTCAGGTCATAATCCATGATATAAGATCTATTTCTTTGGTTTCACCCTTATCGAGATTTTGTAGGTCGAGACAGACTGACTGTGACATGTCGTAACCGACATATCAGCTCTAAACGAGCCTAGAGCTAAAAGGAATCTGAGCTGAATTTGGCAGTACTAAGGAACGAATCATAACTGGTCTTAGAATAATGTGTGGTTCCGGCTAAAGAGATACCAATTCTGAGTTACGGAGGCGCTCAAACTCAATCGCCGTCCGGTTTACGAACGGGGTGTCCGTGTTGATGCCTTAGGCACACGCCCTAGAGGTCTTATCCCCACTTTCCTCACTGAAGAGTCTATGCAGTCTTTCCCTTCTGCATCCCACTCCTTTCGTGTGCACTCGGCCTTTCCCCTCCGTATCTGTCCTTCATACACTAGGAGGATGCATGAAGAATAATACCAGACATCTCCGTGTCATCGCTTACCCTGGGTTTCCTGCAGCTAGATTATAGTTTGATTTCCATGGGTCCGGGTCGAAAGTATGATGAGCTTTCTCCGATCTCTAATCATTATTCACTTGTTCTTGAAACCTGAATGGTTCATCTTTGGTGAACGTGAGATAGAAGTCAGGTAATTACCATTTTTAGACAAGGAATAAACTGAGGATACCTGAATCTATCTCGCTTCAACTCGCCTCATGTTGACTGTCCTGCATGTGGTGATATCATCCCCTAAGAAAAACCTGGGAACGTCCCAGAGTTTCGGCCAAACCCCTCATATTGTGTCCTGGTGCACCTAGACCCTCGAAGACCAAAGTAAAAGCTTCAGTAGGATCTGACCGTTGGTGACACTTACATCCCCGTATCGAGTGAACAAAGGGGTAGACTTCCCTCGTGTAAGAATAGGCTATTAATTAATAAAGCTGGGAAGGCCATTGCGATCGCATACTTCGTATAGTGTTTCACGCTTTGATCAATAAATTGGACAAAAAGTTTTCAATCATGTCTGCTCTCTGTGCACTATTTGTGGTGGTTATTCTGCCTTTGGCAGATTTTACCAACGCTGAAAGGGTCCTCGGGGCCTATATTTTTCAGCGCCATGGGGATCGCACAACCAAAAATTGGCCACCTACTAATTTGACTACTCTGGGTTACAGTCAAGAGTACATGACTGGTACCTTTTTCCATGACCGTTATATCTCATCAAACTCCTCCTATCAGATCGAAGGGATCAGTACCGACACGGTCAATTTGGCCCAGGTTACTGCGAGTGCGCCGCAAGATGATGTTATCGAAAACTCAGGAGAAGGATTTCTACAAGGCCTATATCCTCCCATCGGCTCTGTTGCTACGGAGACTCTGCGCAACGGATCATCAATCCAATCCCCACTGAACGGCTATCAGCTGATCCCGATGTCGGATGTGCAGTCTGGCAGCTCCAGTGAAAACAGCGCTTGGCTCCAGAGCACATCTACCTGCGACAAGGCTGAAATTAGCAGTGATAATTACTTCATCTCAAAATCATACGAGAGCTTGTTGTCATCCACCAAGGATCTGTACCAATCTCTCGAACCGTTGGTCAATGGGACATTCAGCTCCAGTGAACTGAGCTACAAAAATGCTTATCTCATATGGGATCTCCTTTACGTGTCTTTGATCCACAACTCGACCACGAGTTTCCCCACATCCAACCTTCTCACTGATCAGACAATGCAAGAGCTTCTTGTTCTTGCAAACGAGCACGAGTTCAACTTGGCATACAATAGTTCGGATCCAATCCGTGCTGTTGCTGGTAAGACTCTTGCCGCTGAAGTCCTTACAAGCCTGAACAAAACAATTACATCTGGCGGCAAATCCAAACTGAACATCCAGTTCGGTGCGTACAATCCTTTCCTTTCATACTTCGGTCTGGCTGGGCTCTCAACCGTAAATGAGAACTTAACTGGAATGCCCAACTACGCTTCTTCCATGGTATGGGAGCTTGTGACAAACGATACTGGCAACGGAATACCCTCCACATCAGACATCAGTGTGCGTTTTATCTTCCACAATGGAACCAGCATCGAGGGCTCGACACAGCTACAAACATATCCGCTGTTCGGGCAGTCCACCCTCGAGCTCCCTTGGGCACAGTTTGTTGACAAGACGAATGATTTTGCCATTTCATCGCAGCAACAATGGTGTCAGGCCTGTGGAAATACCACTGGAATCTGTGCCTCGTCCTCCGATGCAAGCGGCAGTAATTCATCCTCTAGCTCGTCGTCTTGTTCTAAATCCGGGGGAATGAGCTTAGGAGTGGCGGGTGTTATAGGTGCGATGGTGACTTTGGGTGTTCTTGTGGGACTGCTAGCACTCAGCATGCTCATCTTTGGTTTACGACTTGTGCCAAAGAGTGCGCTCGCCATAAATCATCGGGGATCTGACGCTTCTACTACTCCGGTAATTAAGACGCCAAATTCGGCTTAGGTAGTTCGGGTGGGAACGGATGTTCGTATTACATGAAAATGAAGATGAAAATGATGTGTTGCAAGCAAGCGGTCACAAGGCAACTTGAGGGAGCGTTGCCATGACCAGCTTTGATGTAAGGATGTTAGTGCTGTCATCTTTCACTCTTATTGCTCGCTCATGTTTTATTAACGCACACTATATAACGCAAATCGAAATAAATTCGGTACATAAAATCATAGGGTATGGAGATTAAGGCTTCCCGTCCACTTAGCCGTACTTAAGCCACATGCGAAACCTGACCGTTGCATGTTTGTATATTTTTTATCATTTTTTTTGATTTTAGTGATCTTATCAGCCTGCTTCTTAGCCTCTTCAGCCTCTTCTGAGCATCCTGAGCGCCTCTTTTACACTGAACCTGAAAACCCACCTATTAGGACCCCCATTGTGTTGCATTATTGTCTTTTCGTTCGCAAATTCTTTGTTCTTATTTCTCCTAGATTTTCAGATCCGTCTCCTTGGTTGCTATACCATCGCTTGGTCGAACTGACTGAAGCTAGTACAATACTTGTCAGGTGCCAGTTTTCTTTTTATTAATTTCTGCTTTTGGGGGCCGTTTCAGAATCGGGTTGATTCCCAGGAAAAGGCTCACCGCTAATTGGGAATTCCGACTCAGATGCCAGGGGAACGGGTTTTGTCATGGGCAAATCAGATCTCAAGAACAAAATGACAGGTACACCGTACTTTTGTATCCATGTCAAAAGTGCGCCTCGTTGCGAGTTCTATGCGATTGCAAATTTTTGCGCCCGACCCCTTAGATGACCCAGAGGCGCATAAGTGAAACAACTTTTGCTCTTTTTTCGTTCCTCTCACTAGATACACCTACCTGCTGTTCTATACTCATTCTTTCAGTGAGAGACCATACTGACGCCGCGGACTTGATGGGTCCTGGGATCATGGGCTCAGGCCGTCCTTCGAACTTCACAGTATCCCAAGTTGCCTCTTCTATCATGTCACCAGCTCGAAAATTGGATTGGGAGAAATACAAAAATGCTCTGAGAGTGATGTATCTCCAGGAGAGATTGACCACGAAAGAGGTGCAGAGAAAGATGGATACAGTCTATGATTTCAAAGCATCGTATGTACTTCTGATAAGTTATTTTTGTTGTCGTTTTTGCTGATGCAAAGGAAATTCAAAAGGCAAACCGAATACGAAACTCACTTCAATGCATGGGGTTTTCGCAAGAACCTAGGAAAAGACGTATGGAGGATAGTGGGATACAAAAGTTTGAAAAGAAAACGAGAGCTGGATAAAGAGACAATGATGCTTCATAATGAAATACTATGGAGTCCAAAAAAGTTGAAGCGACAGTCCACCCGATACTTAAGCAGCCTCGAGCTGAATGGCAGCTATCCACAAGGTATCTAGGGTGACTCTTTCTGAGGTCTAATCTGACAAGGTGTTCAATTTAGGACTATCACCAAAAACACCGGAGGGAATTGAACTTCGAACACCGCCACCACTGGAAACGACCCTGACACAAGAGCTCACCTGTGTATCGAAGTCAGTGGGGCTAGATAATGCTACTTTCTCATTTTGTCGACCATGAGACCTGATGTTCAAAGTTTCAACGTACTGCCCTGTGTCAACTTATTCGTTGCTCTTCAAAGAAATGGTAAGACTTTGCGATTGAAGCTTTTTTCAACCCATGTTATGCATGTGGCCGAAGTATTGACTAACTCAATTGCATTTATAGAGACCTACCAAACCCTTTTCAGAGAAAGATTCGATGCAATCAGTCTCCAGCCACCTTCAAATATACCACAAACCCATAGTCTGACCATGATTGATGAAGCAATTACATCAATAAGCCTTGTGAAATACGAGGCTTCTCCTGCCGAGCAATATTACAGAAAGCTCGTGTATCTGATCTCAAACAAAATGATCAAATGGGATAATGTGAATGGAGCGGCTATTTACATGCAAATCAAAGGATTTATTCATCCCACTATTTTGGAATTCATGTTTTCTTTGCAAAGTCCGACGGTAGAAGCGTTCGCTGAGCAGATGTTCCCATTTGCCGTCGAGACTGGAGATGCGGCAACGGTGGAATTTCTTCTCCAGAAGCTCCGTATCAGCCCAAATATCCCTATCCTGTTATCTGGAAAATTGAAATCACCACTGGAGCTAGCATGTCGGCAGAGAAATTTGCAGCTTGTGAGAGCTTTGTTGGATGCTGGCGCAAATGTCAATGAAGCTGGTGTTTGGGCTTCTGCTTCAGAATCGGATTGCACATCTGAGGATGACGAGGACCTATTCAGGATTCTCATCCGAGCTGGATTCGATATAAATCCCAAATATGGCAAGCCTCCACTATGCTTAGCCGCGGATAAAGCGGATACCATTGCAGTGTCAACACTTCTTGATAACGGTGCTAACGTAAACCCTCTGAATTACAGTCCATTGGGCTACGCACTGCAATCCACAGTCTTAGATGATGGCAATATGATTAAAGTCATTCAACTGCTTCTAGAGCATGGTGCAGATGTCCATGCTTCGATTCCCGATGTGGATCCTTCGGAAGATGGATCCGAATCTTCTGATGTTGAAGATAATTACGGATCCGAATTTTCTGATGTTGAAGATAATTACGGATCCGATTCCATCATGGAAACTGCTGTCATGATGGAAAGATCCCCAGAGATAATAAAGCTCCTCATCAAGCACAATGCTCGTATTTCTCCAAGAGCCGTCTATGAAGCATCTGCAAATGGCGATGTGGAATTGACTAGAACTTTGCTCGATCAGAAAGTAGCGATTCCCAAATACTCGGATAAGCTTTCCCCCGAAATGGCCAAGTTAATTTTGGAATATGAGTCAAGCAAAAGTGAGAAAACATTCAAGTTCGCTGCTCGGACTAAGGATTTCGACCTTGTCATGTCATTCCTAGCAGCCGGTGTATCTCTCAACTTATCATCCTTTGAGATCCTTGCAGAATGGGTTGAATCCAGCAGAATAATGGTGCTGTTGAAAAAAGTCCCAGCGCTTCAAAAAGCAGAGTGTTATGTTGTTGCCATGAGAAGAGCTTTTCTCGGGAAAGACTTCCTGTTACTTGATGATCTACAATCATCTGAAGTAGCATTTCCTAAGCTCAGCAGGCATTCTCCACTCTCATTCAGCCTCATGATGGCTATCCATGACGCTGCTAGTGAAAATGATTTGCGTTTTATTAAAGACTGAACAGTGAAGAATTTCCATTTCGATATCTGACTCTTCATCGCATAGAAGGGCTCTTAGTGCAAGCGGTCAACCATGGAAGCAAGGATGTCATACGCTACCTTTTGCATACATTCCCCATGGACAATGTTCGGGATGGCCCAAAACTGATTGTGGCAGCAATTAGAAGGAGAAATGCCGACTTTCTTCGGTATTTTATCGAAGCGGGTGCGCATCTTAATGAGCTCAATACTGAAAGTCTGCATTCCAAGACCAGATCACGCACAGTTCTCTCAGAAGCCGTCAAGGAGCCCTATGATGGTACGCTCACTTATCCAAGCTGGAGCAGATGTCAACGCATTAGCCTTTTGCTCCAATAGAACGGTTCTTGATCTAGCGATCAGTCTAGCAAATTTCACCATCGTGGACATTCTGCTTGAAGCTGGTGCTGATGTGAACAATCCCATTGCCATCGAGCTTGGAGCCAGTGCTCTTGAAGAGGCTGTTCACAAGTCTAATATTCTTCTTGTGCAGAAGTTGCTCAGTCACGGAGCCAATATCGATAATCCAGTTTTGGTAGCGTCCGTTTTTGCCCCGATCCGGATACTCCTGATACTTTTGTCGACTCATCGAACTCGCCACATGTCTGTTTTTCATGGTCAAGGGTGCCATGCACTTCAACTGGCAATCTTAAGAAACGACATAGAGAAAGTGGAGATCTTGCTCGATTTTGGAATTCAAGTGAATTGGATTTCGATGCCAGTGCCTGGCTTCCAACGGAGACATCTACCCGATAATGCTCAGATTGAATATGGAATATCGGCTTTGGGTATCGCCATTGAAAGTATGGGTAAAATCAGTGACTCTGTTGTTCATCTGATTCTCCAAAGGGCAGGCTCAGTCAATCTCCCAGCAAAAGTCTGTCCCTCGACAAGCGCGATATATCTGGCTATTGAAAAAAGCAATGCCCGGGCTGTGGAAATATTGATCAGCTTCGGAGCCAATGTTAATGAAGCTTCTACGTGGGATCTTTCCCGCACGCCCCTTCAATTAGCAGCAGAGAAGGCTCAGTTAAACGTGGTGCAGTTACTTTTGAAAAACACAGCAGATATCAATGCCCCTGCCTTTTTCAAGGGCGGTGCTACTGCTTTGCAACTGGCTAGCATTCGAGGTGATGTCGAGATTCTGCGAGTATTGTTAAATGCTGGGGGTGATTTGAGTGCATCTGGTGCCGAGATTGATGGGAGAACGACTGTTGAAGGAGCGGCAGAACATGGACGCTTGGATAGTTTGATGTTACTTGTTACGTGGGGCGCCTACAATAATATGGGATTCGATGATGCGCATTACAGGAAGGCAAGGAACCTGGCTCGCGAGAATGGACATTTGACTGTTTGTCGTTTCCTAGATTCGATTATCAATAAATGATGGGGAAAGACAGGATATAGCCTTATGGCTAATCATATTAATTTCCAATTCAAGATCGAGTCTCACACCCGGTATAAATATCCCGAATAAACCCATTCATCAAGAACAAACTGATGCAAGAACAAACTGATGAATGAATACTAAAATTGTCCTATGGCTGATTTCTTGTTTGCACATTGGTAGATCTGGTTTTTCGCGCAATAGTATTTATACATTAACTAATTACTCCTCAATATCTTTGACTCCTATGGTGATAGCAAAGGTTTAAACTGGTTGTATTTTTATGTCAACTGAATAATTGAAAACATGCGGAATTAAAATCTCAAACATCAATATAAATCGACCAACAACCCTCCCAACTGACATCAGTGCATCCGACGAATGTGCTCGGCCAGATTATCTTTCCTGCTAAAGGATTTCCGGCAATCTTCTTCAGGACACCCATGTTCCTTTCTTTTGAGATGACCGAATTCTATATGTCGAAACAAGCTGGACTTTCGCGAAAATACCCCTTCGTATTCGCAGCCACTCCACTCGCATCTGAACGGAACAACAGATGATGGTCCATCGCTATCATTTGAGATTTGTTAGACAAAAAAACCTTTCATATGGTACCAGTAGTTTAATTTACCTTTCGGTAGGAGTTTGATTGCTGAGTACCGGATCTGTTGGAAGAATACCACTGTGGTGGGATGGCAAGTTTTCTGTACGATCTGAACCGCGCTGATGGTTGTGATGGATGTGATGGTGTGCCAGGCAGGCTTTGTCCTGGTTTTCTTTACTCCCCTGACAAGTATCACCCTCACAATCAGTTATTTGAGGCATGAGACCCCTGCAAGCGACCCTATTGACCAAATTGGTGATTTCGCTCTCGGCCTCGACATGACTCGCTGTCAGGTGACTGTGAGCAAAAGAAAAGAACCAATTTGAATCATTGTTGTCATAATCATCGACTGGGTAAGTCTCGTTCGAGTCGAAGTTATTTGATGGATGGTAAGAGCTGTGATCGTATAGTGGTCTGGTGCTTGGTAGCGTAGGGCCCAGGCCAAGCTGTTTGCCTCTTCACCGGGCTCATTTATGAAAGATGCATTGGGATCCGACATATTCCGTCCCTCAAGAGGCATATGGAATGTTACTGGAGGACAAATATTAGCAAGTAAACATGGCCTTCATTCAGATACCAGGATTACAAACTTGTGTTCCGCCACCCGTACACGTTTATGTCAATTTCTTCCTCGAGCAAGCTTTCGATGTTCAAGCATCAATCTATCCTGGGGTAGGTAAGTAGAGATTTATATTCCCAGGAAACAAGAGCTAGCCAAAACCGTGTTGAAAGGTGACCGCCGTACTTAGTACTTAGAACAACACCTCGCCGCCTCAAGGTTTTGGTATCTACCAATTATATGTCAGTTTTAGGATCCCGCGGACCCACTGCGGCTTGCAATGGGTTTTGGCAGCGACCAATCATGCCCATTGTTTACACCCTACAGTCTGTTTAATCTGTACGATGTACTCACCTTTCATGGCGACTTCAGATAGTAAGTCACTGAATAGTAGAATACATCACACTTGATTCTCCTTATTTAGCAGCGTGGTGACCGAAGGTCACGATGGCTTTATGACAATCGGCGCGCTTCAAAGGTGAGTTAATAACAAGGCTTCAGCTGTTGACCGAGTCACCTCGCTTGGTAACCAATATTACTTCATGGAGTAAATACGAAGCAGGCAAAAGTCATGAGCTGACAATTCTTAGGGTCTTGTTCCAAACGGTCAAAGCAGTGAAGGAAAAGGCCGAATCCGCCAGTTGAAAATGCCTTGTAGGGATATCTTATTGGTTCCCGGACACGGCGGATCCCATTTCAAACAATCCGAATGTTTTTCACACATCGATAGCAGGTGTTGACTTGTTTTATGAATGAATGAGTCTTATATGACCATGACGCACTATCGAAAAAGACTCGGGCTCGCTCGGGTTATGGATAGAATAATAAAATTAAAAAAAGTAAACGACAGCAGTGCGGTTCGAACGCACGCCTCCGAAGAGATTAGATTACTCGAATTTAGTATTCGTTCAAGTCTAACGCCTTAGACCACTCGGCCATGCTGCCTTATTAATGAAAGATTGAGAACATTCACATTATATATTCAACACTATCTTTATCAGAAATGGTTCAATGAGACAACGCGAAGAGGGAAGATCGGAGGACCTGCCTCGGCAGGCAAGGGACCGCTACTGCAAAGCGCACAGCGAGAGCATTTCAATCGCACATGTCACAATACTTAATAGATAAATTATCGCGCACTCTCGATTGAACCAAAATATATTGACCGTGTGGCTCTTCGCTGGGCTGTTCGATACGGTCGGGGATAGTCCATAATGTCAGCAGACAACACCCGCCCGACCGTTGGTCCGCCTTCTATATTAACTTCAGAACTTCCTTCTATTTATTGATTAAATTTAGAATTTCCGCAAGAGAGCGGTTATTTTTGAATCAAGAATTAACTATAATCAATGTTATGCGCGGTGGTAACTCAGCTTGTAATATCCAGGATGGATTACGAATAGATGCATTACTATGCTTGTCAGTATGGCCGAGTGGTTAAGGCTCTAGACTGTCCGTACTCCTGCTACCTGACTTCCAGATCATAAATACAGTAGTTTTCGAAATCTGCTATACCTCGACAAACATACGAGTCCTTTCCTAGATAATATATTTGCAAAGGAGGGTATAATTGATGGAGGAGAACCTCAGGAGGAACTACATATATATGTACAATGATCGAACCAAAATATACATAATGGGCAATGAATAAACATCCAGCTCTATATCCCTCTTTCTGATTTACAAGCTAAACCCTATTCTTTTCCAGGACCGCCCTGATCCACCGAGTCCCACTACGCCTATCTCTTATATTATCACCATTGACATTAGTCTACTACATCGTTGGCTGTGAAGGTTCATACTCCCATTAATTTCTTCAAGGAAATCTGCCCCAGGGCCGAATACTCTACTTAGTCTCAAAAAAACCATCGTGATAATCATGGTGTCATGCTAGAGTCAGAATGTGATGTGCCGATCTGGAAATTCCGTCTCAATCTACGTCTTGTAGAGCCCACTGCCTGACTATTTGGCACGCACATGTGAGAAATGCATCTCGAGACAAAGGAGGACTGAGATATGTTGGTTGAGAGGTTGTTATCTGGTCGAACAAAACATTTAGAATAGATCGCGATCCAGTCAAGTGGTTTATGCTTCATTATTCAAATACGCATGCAAAACTCTAAGAACAAGGGCTTGTTCGAACGCGTGCGTGCTCCGGGGACTTTCAGAGCTGGGCAGTGGGGCATATCCCCCTTTCTCTCCGCTCTTCGATCCCTTTTCCCTCAATACCACTGCATGTCACCTTTGCCTGCTTCCTTCGACGGAGCTCATTTTTAAAAGGGAGATGTCGCTCCAGACAGCCTCGGAAGGACTTTGCGCGCGTCATCTAGCGTTAGCTCATGCCTGAATATTGAGCTAAATACAGTCTAAACAGCCGGTGTGGCATTCGCGGTGTTGAGTGTTGATACCCAGAAGAAGGACCAATAATGGAATACAGCGAATGCCACCACATCTGCTGACAATCAATAGCTGAGGTCCCCGCCTCGGTTTACGATACTCAGCGCGACTCAGACGAATTACTTCTTCAGTCTTCACACCATCACACAAGGCGTAGCTGGCGGCGATGCCGAGCTCATTGTACGCGCCGACGGTGTCATCCTGTACAAAGACTAGGTACTATTCAGCGCCACATAAGTAGAGCATGGTCGGCCTGACCGAGTCTAACATTTGGCAGGCACCAAAGCGTTGACCAGTCTCTAATTCCACAATGTTCGAGCACTGGTGGCGCAGCGGGCACCAATCGCCAATGCATATTCCCAACTTACGCGAGAATCGGGGTTGGAAATTTGAGGCGACGGTGCTCGGAGCCGACGCCACAGTGGTCTTCAGCTGCTCCACATATGCAGGCACGAGCGTGAAGAAGTTAGGAAGTCCACTGGAGCCGACATGTGGGGCGGCCCGTGCCGAACTACTCACGACAACCGCAGAAAGAATAGCGATGTTTAGACTGCGCGCAATTCGAGCGAAGTTTGTCGAGGCAAGAGATAAGAATACCGAAAAACTATATAAGGAGGGTCAATCCCCGTCGTCAATTCATTCAGACAGCAAGAATCACAAACATCAAGGTTTTCGAACTTCATCAGACAGAAACATCGCAATGGCTCCCTCCATCATGTTAGTTTCCTCTCCTGTGATTAGGAAGCAAAGCGGACATGCTGACCCTTCAAATAGCTCAACCGATCCTTTTAGCCTACCGGTATCAACCAAGGCTGTTCCTGCTACCAAAGATACCAACGGGAACGGTGTCTCGGCTGCGAAGCCAGAAGTTTCAGAGGACATTATCACCGGCGCGACCGACTTGAAAGTCAATGCCAGCGGTTTGAAGACCGAGGGACTACAGATCATGACCGAAATTCGTAGCTTCGAATGTGTAAAGCATTTCAAGCCAGCTGAATTCCCTAAGGTTCTCAGTACTTTGCCATTCCCTAAAGAGCTAGATGCTATGGTTTCCTGGACCGATGCATTTGTCGAACGACTTGGCTTGATCGCCATGGCGGAGAAGCAGGTGAGAATCATCGGAGAGTCCCGCGATCTATTGCTAATATTAATGTTGGAAAACAACAGAAAGCCGAATATCAAAAGGCCACTATCGACCGTATCAATGATGAAAAGGACGGTCTCTACGGAACGATCCAAGACCTCCAGCATGAAAAGAACGGACTCCTTGACGTGAAGTGCAAGTTGGACGCCGAGATATGTTTGCTTAAATCCAAAAACGACAGCCTTGTGCAGCACAATAAGGAGGATGACAAGCGGATCGCAAATTTTGCGAAGAAAAGCGAGAAGGATGTCAAGGCAATCCTGAAATTGACTCGGGAGAAGGAGTGTTTGAACAGAAGGGTGACGAGCCTCAGCAAGAAGGTTGATGAGCTCTGTAAGAAGAATAGCGCAGGGAAGGCCGCTAACAAGGAATTGGTGGAAATGTTCGAGAAGTGGAAGCTAGCAGAAGATCAGGAGGACATCGAACAAGAAGCGGCCCTCCACAAAGTGGAGGAAGAGCTTGCAGCCGAGAAAGCTACAAAAGAAAAGGCACAAGCTGATCTAGATGAAGCCGTTCGGAATCTGAAAGACCTCGTGGATCAGGTCAAGCAGCTTACCACAATGAGCACCCAGCTTCAGGAAATGCTGGGGAGCGTCCGGAAGCAACTCAGTGACACGCAGAAGAACTATGCAGACTCAGAGGCACGGAGACAGACACTGGAGACGTTGTATCTGGAGTTGACAAAGAAAGAAGAACAGTCCACAATCCAGATTCAGAGCCTCCGCAAGCAGCTTAACGATGCTGAGCTCGAAGTCAAGTATGCCAAAGACCAGGTGCTCAATGCAAACAAGCATTCTGAGGACCACTGGAATACTCTCAACAACGTTCGTATCGCTGGTGGTTGGGGGAAGGCGGACAAGGCTGATGAGTGCGAGAAGTTGGTCGCAAAAGTCATCTACTCCCAAGCCGAACAACAGCCCGCTGTTGAGCAGCCTGTTGCTGAGAAAGCCACTGTCGAAGAAACCACCACTGAGGTTGAGAAACCCTTCCACTGATGGAGAGTCTAAATTGGCATTTTTCATCCCTGCTGGAGACATTACTTATTTGTTTGCTTAAGAAATAATGTGTTTTTGTTTTTCACTGATGTTTCATTTTTTCTGATTCTGTCCACATGAGTTTTTTTACGTGAATTCAAACATGTTTTGTTGAATATTTTGGAATCTTTCCTACTCTGTTTGAAGTAATAAGCTAGTTCAATCTTTCCAAATGACCATCTCCATTTTCTTGATCACTTTGGACTAGTGGGGTCAGAGCTCGAATATGCAACAGTTTCACAAAGGATTACATAATATTCTGCCACCCCGTACCGACATCCAGAGTTAAAATCGAATGCCCGGGCCATAAGGCATTGACAGTGACCAAATCGTGCGTCAGGCTTAAAACTCCCTTTATCCAAACTCACCTTCACACTTACTAGGTCACAGACCGAACAAATTTATATCAGTAAATTTCATTCATAGAACAATAAACTCCTAAACAACAAGATCCCTGATCAGTGGGGCGGCTGATCGACCCGAAGAAAAGCGGAGAAGAGGCCCTTGCGCAGTCTCCTCGCACTTTTACAGTTGCCAGGAAGGCTACTTCTTCTTGGGTGTAATATCCACGAATACATGTCCCAAGGGCCCCGCCTCGGGACTCCATCCCCCACACTCAACTCTATACTTGTCACAACTGTCCAACACCTCGACCAAGTTGGCATGCTCTCCTCCACGATTCTCCCAATGAAGCTCACAAATCTTAGCATCATTATGAAAAAGATCAAGGCGACCTTCACTACCACGGCGACCCCCGGCACTGATCTCGCCGATACCATCCGACGGGATCACGATCTCGTCGATCTCCTCTTCGGTGAGGGACTTACGGCGGTCTCCGGGACTAAAGAACTCGCCGCTACTCGGTATTAGTACATATTACAACCATTGGGACCCTGGAAGACGAGGGCAAGGCAAAGGCAGAGGAGAATTACTCTTCAATAACAGTGTGGTGGACTGTGACCTGGCCATCCTCCAGGCGGTCCCGAATGTGGAACTCGACCCATTGAGTATTGTAACGGGTGTCTGTGCTGGTATCCATGTTGTAGGAATTGAATTTGAATGTGTTGAATTGTGTGAGAGGAAAAGCCTGTATTGACGAGCAATGGATAGTAGTGGCCAAGTCTGGGTTAAATATTGGCCGAGAATGCGGGGAAAGCATCGTAAGGTTGTGGTGTGATGACTCTTACATGTAATTCACCTTTCCACCCTGGGGCGATGTTGTTGTCATAACGGATACGGTTACATGACATCATTGGCTGATCCAAGCGTGGTCCATGGTACCGTTATGCTTTCGCCTTTCTAAGGTTTGCGGGGTCAGACAATTGGTCCGGGGGCGCTTTGTTTATTGGTTGGATCGATTGCGTTCCCGTTTTTGACTTTCGAGGAGGCAATACTGGCCATGGGGCAGATTGTTCTAATTGCCAGAACGAAATCAAAAATTGGACCGAACATGTTCAAACATGGTATATTTTGTTTACAAACAAAAAGCATCGCTCTGAATATTCTAAGACTTCTGAATTACCAGAATGGCTGCACTGCTGGCTGCACAAGATACTCGGGGTTTCCCAAAATGGCGGATCCGGTACAGGATCATCCAAAATCCGTTGACCATCAATTGGCCAGTTCCCCGCATTAAATTCTCGACATCTCACTACTCGCGTGACAGGCCTATCACCCATTTGAGATCGTGAGCAAGGGTGTACAAAGGGTCAATTTAGGCCTCTCAAGGCTTTCCGCTGCGACGAGACATACACCTATATGATTTGAATCACTCAATTCATAAAATCAGGCTTAGGACTAGGCAAGAACTATGAGTATACATTGAAATAATCCAATATCGTAAATAAAATAGTATCTCCGTAATTGAACATCCATTTAGACACACCTGGGTAGAGTCATCACGTCCAGAATAGATCCCTTCAATTGCATGCTGCAAACCCCTCGTTGTTTGAAAGATCCGAAGCAAAACTTGCCAGAATGTAGACCTGCCGACAGGAATCGATCAATCAGAGGCCATCCAGGGATTTGCTGACATATTGCTAGACCTGTCACATTCCTCGCAGTTGAGGTCACAAGGACAACGAATCTTGGCTTGCAGATACCTCTCCCCGTCAAAGAGAGATGGACAGTCGGAGCACTAGAATAAGATAGACAAATTCATTAAAGCTTCCAAGGAATTGGTCTGTGGGTATCTGGGTGCCTTTTGAACATTGACTCCTCCGTGTCCAGTAAGTACCATGTACCAACCGGCCACCCATCAGGACGAAATCGATGTCTTTTATAAGCGAAGAATTTCCAGGGTTCTGGGATGGCATATAATCTTTCGGGAATGCGCTTGGGTCGCCCTTTTATATGTGATGGTTTTCACCAAATGTCTAACTCACGACGCCCAGTTCCTGATGTAACTCACTGCCATACTATCTATGTATGTGGAAAGGCAAATATTGGCATAATCTTGTATTCAACTCTTCACCTCCATTATGGAAGATTCCTGATAAGATTTTCTTGTTCGTGGTGGGGTACATCTCAACCACGTCTCCCAAGGGGGCTTTCCCTTTTCATAGGTCCATCTTCATATTCATGCACTCTTATTCTTGCCCCCATATATCGTATCTCGTACAGTCCCAAGGTTGAACCCTACCAAACCATGTGCTATTTCAAGCTGCAGCACTATTCTTTGATCCGCCTTCACATACTACTGTTCCCATTTAGGGAGCATTAGGGAGCTGTGATCATATTAATCTCCCTTGCCAAACAATTTCAGGTAATGATCTACAAGATGGACTTTTCCGGCTAATCCGAGCTTTCTTATAATTGCGGGTCTATTCCGAGGTCTAAAAAAGCCGTCGGTGATTTCATGTTGCAATGATAAGCCTACAATATCTTGGAATATTGCATCGTCCATATTATTAACTGGAATTGGAAGACAATATTTGACGCAAACTGTGCAGCACGTGGCTACAATCGTATCTTAGGTGTGGCCGGAGTAGTAGTGTTGACATGACGAAATCTGGAAAAAAAATATCTCCGACTTCGGCAGCCACGAATTGTTTGACGATAGCGTGTTAGCTTCTTGGAATGATCGTATATCTGAAGCTTTGTCCGGGTCTCGACGCGTACTTGTGTTTGATTTATCGGCCTTGCTTCCCAAATTTGGAATATGACGGTGATGATCTCCGAGATCCACAGTCGGCCCTGATCGCCAAGCTTTAGCCTTAGGTCTAGGAATTCATGATTCTCCTTTGATGCTTCCTGAAATGGTACAATTAATGCAGGTACTAGTCAGATGACGTGGGCAATAACGTACGTTTCAAGTCTCCACAATTTTAATCTGGCTCAGTCTGCAGAAACATGTTTATACACTGTTAGACATTGAGTAAGAGGCTATTTGAAGACACCTTCATCTCCCAGTTCTGAGAATTTCCGACTTCATTCTTTCTTTAAACTATTCAATTTGCTATGTATCTTCGTTCTCTGTTCACTGGGTTGACTCTCGGGTCGGTTCTGGCTACTGCCGAACCAATTCGTCGTTCGACCATGTACCCTGTGATCAAGACCAACAAAGGCTCTGTCCAAGGTATCGCGTCTGAATTCCGCGACGAAGTTACAGTCTATAAGGGTATCCCCTTTGGCGCTACTACTGGTGGCGAGAACCGTTGGAAGGCTCCCAAGCCTCGCGAGGCCTGGTCGGGCGTTCTCAAGGCCGATTCCTGGGGCCCTATGTGCGCTCAGTCTACTTCACCCTCTGCTGGAATCTTCAACAGTGCTTCCAACATCACCAGTGAGGACTGTCTGTTCCTGAATGTCTGGACTCCCACCTACAACGATACCAGCGACTTGACCTCGAAGAACTTGCCTGTCTATTTCTGGATCTATGGAGGTCGCTTTGAAGCCGGATCTGGCGACGTAGTCACCTACGATGGCTCGGGTCTTGCCAGCAAGGATATCATCGTTGTCACCATGAACTACCGTGTCGGTCCTTTCGGATTTTTCGCTCACCCTGAGCTCTCTGCGGAGTCGGGCCACAACAGCTCTGGAAACTACGGCCTTTTGGACCAGCAGTTCGCTCTGCGCTGGGTGCAGGAAAACATTGCCAAGTTCGGTGGAAATCCCAACCAGGTCACTGTTGGTGGGCAGTCTGCTGGATCCTCCAGCTCACTCGATGTGATGTTTTCCCCTCTGGCTAAAGGCCTGGTCAACGGTGTGATTTCCGAGTCTGGTGCTCGCGGTCCTCACGATCCTATCACCGGTAGTGCCGCCACTAGCTATCGCACTAAGGTGGCTGCCGAGGCCCAGGGTGTGGATTTCGCGAAGGAGATGAACACCTCCTCCATCGCCGAGATGCGCAAGGTGCCCATGGAGGACCTAATCAGCTACGGCGGCTCCCTCAGTGATACCATTTTTGAGGGTACGCAGTTCGAGAACCTTACCAGCTCATTCATGGAACCTCCGCTTTGGCGCCCCAACATCGACGGATATGTCCTCACTCACAGCTACGGCCAGGCTCTTAGCTTGAACGCCCACGCTGATGTCCCCATTCTAACCGGTAACAACGCGGACGAGTCCGGTGCCTCCACTACCTCCGACTTCACCGTTGCCCAGTACAAGAAACTATACACCGAAATGTTCGGCGGCTTTGCCGAGGAGTTCTTCTCTCTACCCCGGTCGCAACCAGACTGAAGCCAACGAAAACAGCAACGAGCTTTTCCGCGATCTGAGTCGTGTCGGTACATGGCGCTGGGGTGTTGACTGGACCGCTGGTGGTGCCAAGAGCAACGTCTACACCTACTACTGGAACCACACTCCAGCCGAGGATGCGAGTGCCGGTGCTTATCACGGTAGTGAGCTGTGGTATGTGTTTAACAACATTCCGTACTCTGACTATTCGAATGTCACTTGGACTCCTCTTGACTACAAGATCGAGGAGAAGATGTCCAACTACTGGGCCAACTTTATCAAGACTGGAAACCCCAACGGTGACGGTTTGACCCACTGGCCTGCAACTACCGAGGCCAAGAACGTTATGTGGCTTGGCAACTCCTGGGGTGCTGGTCCTCTGTCCAAGACCGAAGCTCGTATTGACTTCATCAAGCGCTGGGAGCACACTCTCAAGCAGTGGTAAACATTTATTTTCGATAGAAAGATGCGCTTTCCGACCGACTCGGAATATTCATTTAGACAGTGATTTGAGCGACTTGGCCTCTATCACCCCCCTTTACCATTCTTTGATTCTCCTCTTCTCGAGCAGCAGAGAGTTTGTACATATCATTTGTGTATATGTATTATTTGAAAATTGGGAAACTAATTGTGCAATAGAAGAGCTTTCAATTTCGCAAAAGCAATATTTCTCTCTATAAAATGAATGATAACTATATGTATATGCAGATAAATGTACACATTATACAGCATTGTTAGCGCAAGTCCAGCTGGAGTTTGCTGAGCTGTCATGAATGGACTTGCCCGAGACATACAGTCCCAATCCGCACTAATCGACATCTGGAGTCAGCACAATATCCATTCACCTTGTTAAGAGAGATGGATAGGGAAACATACAATAGCACAAGCAACTCCGAAGATAAAGAGGTTGACAAGAGTAAGGAAGATCTTCTTGGGTGTCGACCACAACTGTCCCTTGTTCATATAGAACCAAAACATGGCAGGGAGACCATCTGCTTGAAGTTAGTATAGGTCTGGAGAGAAAATTAAGATTAGGTTGTCGAGCTTACAGCTAAACCAACTTCCAAAGAGTGCACTCTGTGAAAAGAAATTAGCAGGAAACGAATAGAGGTGCAGTGAGAGACATACAATCAAGCTCAACAAATCGTTAAACACCGGAATCGACTCAGCGATAACCCAGGCAATAGTCCATGTGCTCAGGCAGATGGCAACCCAAGTACCCGTAGCGAGAAGACTCCGCTGGTGCATGTGGTGGGAGCGCTCGCCTCGGAAAATGCGGACATAGATGTACTTGCAAGCAACGTGACCGAAAACCACACCGGCAACGATAACCTGTCTATAATTAATATGTGTTTCGAAAGAATTCTGTTCAAGTATGACATACCGTCGGGATCGCAAGACCGTATGCGACCTTCTTCATCACAGGCCCAGCAGCCGAAAGGGCAGGAGATGAAACATCCGGGCCCACATAGCAATAGATAACCATCGCCGCCACGATGTACATAGTAGTATCGACAACCTGCAGCATAGCAAGAGACTTGGGGAACTGGCGCGGGTCCTCCATCTCCGAAATAATACCGAAGAAAGACACGTGAGCGATGAACGCGAAGACAATGTTTGTCACAGCCAGGAAGCCGTTAACAAAAGTTGGATGAGTTGTAATATCATTCACAACATCAGCGGGCGACTGAACAGCAACTGAAATCATGGTAACGATGGTGGCGATGAGAATGCTAGCGGCTGAGATGGTGGACATCAGGAAGACCTTTCCTGATGTTCGCGGGAGGGAAGCAATGGAGCAAGCGACTAGACCCACAACTCCGAAGACGATAGTGCAGGTGCCGTGATTTGTGATGGTGTTAAATGTCACCGTGAAGGTGAGGATGTGGCTAGCCATCAAGAAAATGATAAATAGCAGCTGGCCGAAGTAGCAGATTTCTCGTCCGATAGGACCTAGGATAAGCTCGCCGGCATCACCCATGCTGTGGACTTGAGGAAAGCGCAGTTTGAACTGGCAAAAGATGTAGCCGGTGTACCATGAAATGCCCGATAGGCCAAGAATAAGGATAAGCGCACTAGAAATGTTTAGTGTTCCGTAAACAATGCCAGAGTCGAGATGTGATTTCTTACGGGACAATCCCGAGAGTTGCCACGGCAGATGGTAGAGACATGATACCAAGTGAGATGTTTTCAGCAACCATAACTGGACAATGGTTAGAATGGAGATTAATGCATGTTGACCACCATCAGTCCAATGGTAGATTCTTACGCATTCCAGCTTGCCTGCAATGATGTTAAACTGGGAGCCTCCAGACCCTAGCAAGATTTGAAGAAAGAAAACTTACCACCACTTCATCACACGGTACTTCACTTCCCCGGATTCTTCATTTCCAAACGGATCCTCCACAGGAGGCGGCTTCTCCAAATACTTTTCCGTATCCATCGAGTCATCATATACCTCAAGCTCAGGCTGCGAGCCACGCACTTCCTGGACAGTCATAATGGCTCAAGGAAAAAGGCAGAAAAGACGAAGCCACTAGCCCTTCCAGACTGGAGAAGGAAGGAAACAGAAGGCCAAAAGTCGCGCGACGTGGAGTTTCCAAAGATGGGGAGAATATATCGACCCAATTTTTTGGTCTTGGCGTGTGGCAATCGTAATTACATTAGGGTACAAAATTTGTTACGTTCTTTGATAAGATTAGGATATTTGATTTCGCTATCTCCGGGGTATTGGAGTTCCACTTTGTGGGTTATGTATGTGTTGGTCTATCTGTAGATGGCACCGGTGAATCGCGGCTAGCTACAGTATGAAATGGTTTAACGTGTTCCTGCATCCACAAAGCGGGAGATTTTTCCTGTGGCTTGAGAACCCTTGGTAATTGTTTTACGTGGCGTTGTGGGACTGAGACCACCGGTTCTGGCCGCCCTTGTTGCATGCCGAAGTGCGGTTACACGCGCATTGAAGAAGTGATGAACTGTTAAAAAACACTTCGTGTGGGGGTGTGTTCAATGCAATTCTAATACGTTGGTACTAAAACGTAATTTTCTCCGCAAGATGAGCTATAACAGCCTCATCTTACCCCAATTGACCACGGCGGAATTAGGCTTTTAGGTTGGTCATTAACTTTGGAGTACAACAGGTTAGAAATTTCATGTAATTTACAGTAAGTTTCTGCTCGGACGAGTTTCCTCCCTAATCAATAGCTCCGTTTTAGTGCCCGGCCCGGCCTACAGTATGTAAACAACCGGCCCGGGCTCAACATCCTGAAGCCCCCGGGGGCCCTCCATTTGTTAATGATAGATTGGATAATGCATCATGTTTGTCATTTCTATTACACATGGATTGACTCATCTACTCCAGAAATTCAAGTAAATCCGGGGCTTCAATCTTCTTTTCTGGGGTCATATTCTCGAAGCAGGGCTTAGACCTATGGCCCCACTATAACGCGGGAACTTGGAAGATGCGAACCAGTCGCGGTTGCGTAGCGTGCCTCTCACGTGAGAGGCGCTTCCCTCCCGTAATAAGGGCCATACTTAAAACTAGTTAAAAGTGGCTTCTTCGGGCGGGTCGGGTCTTCTGCTACCCGAGAATTTGATGGCGTGAACATAGTGACTCGAGTGCAAGCTCTGCAGTGAGACTAATCCATGCCAGATAATTGTATCCATCCATGTGATAGAATTTGCATCTATGGTCTGCAGCATCCTAAAATGTGAGATTTTTTGTCATCAATTATGGACGGGATTGGGATTCCAGCGATGGGAGTTTGTTAACCATAATTTGGGGTCAAAGAGAAACTAGTTCGGTCATGATGTTTATATGTGCCTGCAATTGCAGCCTTGTGACCGGTCTTCTTCCCCCAGTACAATTGTTACAGTGTATTTTAGGGCGTTCATCTCTCCTTACAAACATGAGTTATGCTCCTTTTTTCAAAGAAGTGGGTCACGCGAACATTGGTGGATATCGGATTTATAGCGTGGTGATTGGCTGGAATACACACCATCTGGCACGAGGACAGATCGGGGATCTTACTACTTTACATCTACATACATAAGCCTAAATACATAAGCATTTCTGACATGTAATAAACAGACCCAATGATCCAGTCGAAAAATCTATTTGATTAGTCACTCGAGGTTAACCTCTCGCAATGTTTGTACTATTGAATACTTAGATTTATGCACATGAATAAGATTTCATCTTCTCGTTAGACATAAACAGCCTAGCCTAGTGCTATATACAATACACATGTGGAGACAAGAACTATACAAGGTTTAATTAAAATCTATAATATCAATGTTAGCAAATGACACATGCATTGGTCAACGAAAGGAAAACTCACGAGAAATTCTCTCTATGCAACCATAACTCCCGTGCATTACCCGGTTTCTTCGCCAAAATGTGGGTTTGAACCTCTGATGAAGCAGCGCCAACATCATGAGTCATGGATGAAGGACCACAGACGATAACACCTACTGATGTTCCCTCCTGATTGGCCATTTGTCGAGTGGCATTTGGTAAATCCGGTCTGCCAGTGAAGAACTGAATGCCAAAGATCTCACTTGCCAAGGGGCTGCATTCATTGGAATTGACTTCCTGCATCTTCACACTCTCATCAGCCTGAATTTCCTTCCGGTCGGACTCCTGATTTGAGCGTGTCAAGGAGGTCTCATGGATGTGAATTGATAAACCAGCAACAGGTTTCTGTTGAGATTGTCTCGCCGCTAGATCTTCCAACGCTTGTGTGTACCACACCCTCATACCGGGATCGCGTGTGGCAACAATAACCTTCATTTCCTTCTCCTGGGCAGAAGAGAAGCGAACAAAGTCTTCAATCATCGATAATGTCAATCCAGCTCCAGCACCACCGCCGACGACAAGCGATTTATCGAATTCCTGCAGATGACCCGCCGGAATTCCACCGTAGGGACCATCAATAAGGACTGGGATTTGGACGTCTGGGTTCTTTTTTGCTATGCTCATCAAGCGGCCCGTTACGCCCCCGTGTTGCTTGATGTAGAAGACAAGCTGGTTCTTGCCGTCATATTGGGGGACGGAGCAGATTGTGAACGGATGAGAGGTCAAAGAGTGCATGCCACATGTTAAAAATCGCAGGAAAACGTGTTGACCTGGACCCCACTCCATCTTCGTATTGATGGTGACTTTGAATGTTTCTTCGGTCTCGACCACGAGACGGGCTTTGTGTCGAACGCCATGCTCGAACCATGTTCGGCATTGCGCATAGAGCCAGGAGAGTGTGTAAAGTACTCCAGTAGCGATGAAGTAGTCCCATGAGGACATGCGGAAGTCGCAGTGAATGAAGAAAAAGATGACGAAGACCATGGCCATGAAGAAATGGGTGGCTTTGAAGAACTCGTAGTATCGGTTACTTTGAAGATGAACGTAGTTAGTCAGGGAATATCGCCAGGGTGGCAGGGTGGGTGCTGAGCATACCGGATCCAGGGAATGGACATGAAAGTCAGCCATGCTTGCGCGATCAGAGCAACGACTCCAGTGACCCAAACACCACCACTCGTCCATTGTTCTCTTATATCGCCCATCCACATATGGTACACAATAAAAGGGAAGGTATGGACCAATGCTAGCACGAACATGGCCCAAGCAACCCAGTTGTGCCAAACGAAAAGCTTTTCATGAGAGATGCCTGTCAGCAAGGTGATCGGGTTTGTTTTGGCACCGAGGATAATCAGGAACGGCATACACGCGAGAGCCATGAAACCAGCTCGCGTAGCAATGGGCGGAGAGCCGCCGTAACTGAGCTCCATAGTATTAGGCCAGTAATAAGGGTGTGGCCCAAGAGTCATCGCTAATGAGAAAAATGGTCAGTAAAGAGAATATGATTCCTGGAAAGACACGTTCTTACCAAGGAAAAAGATCAGTCCCGCAGCCCCAAGAAGAAAAACACCAAGTGACTGCGAGTTCCATCCCCCAATACGCCAGCTTTTATATGACAGGAATCGAAGAAATGCTATCGGACGCAGCCAGATTGAGCTCTTCTTCGCACTCCGCGGAGTGAGACTTTCCGTTATATGGGCAATAGAGAAAAGAATAATTGCGACCATAAAGAACGCCACGGTTGGTAAGGCATAGCGATAATCTGCTTCATACCAGAACACCCAATATCGATGTTTATAAGCACACTGCTCCGGTGTCATGGTGCACTCCCCCGGGTCACGGTCAGAGTGCAGCAGCACCGGCTGGTCCAAGAACGGAAGCATACCCATCTTGACCTATACCAACGAAAGGTGAGAAAGAAAAAAACCGATAGAGATATAGATAGACTTCAGCTGATCCAAAGAGAAATCTATCATTATTAATACTAATCTAGGGTTCGTGGTCTCAGGTCCGAGTGCAAATCTCCATACGTGTTAGACTCCACTATGACCCCCAGTCTGACAGGTTGAAAGTTCCGATTCATGCTCAATCTATCGCACGCTAATTCCTGCCTCATCCAGACTTGTCAGACTTGTTCAAGGGCATCAAAATCTAGACTGCCAAGAAATGCCAAGATGTGAACCTGAGCAGATTGAAAGAGTCGGAGATGTAACAATTTGCTATAGTTTGGTCCATATAAGCATGCCTCTATAGACAAACATGCTCAATCTATACTGTACAGTATCAAATTCTGGCTACTGCTTCTGATATGGATATTGAGTCAATTTGCGGTGGTTTGTTATGCATTTTTCTCGACTTTTCCGCCCGGCAAAAGTGAGCACATTTGAGAGTATTTCTAATGAGAGTGGACCTTCCCGCTTCGGTTCAGCCCGACTCATGCGCTTGGACTCCACCAGAACACGCGAGGTCTGAATCTCACTGCTTGATGGGTCATCGCGGTTTGGGCTCATGATTGCAAAGCTGATGCTCTGACTCGACTGGTACTGGATTATCAAGGTCCGCAATCGGGTCACCGTGCGTGATTGAAAGGGAAATTTCTCGTGATTGGAAGGGGGATATCTACTCAGGAAAACAATAACGGATCAGTGCATCATATGCTGGAGGTCCAAACCAGCAGACCCACTTGCCAGGATCGCAAGTTTCCGTTGCAAAGATGTGCCAAGAAATCAATCTGGTTACTTTTAAAGAGTGGGGTGACCAATATCTGTCGTGAGTGACATCTTTGTCACAGTTTGAGTTATCTGAGATTCAGGTTGATCAGCTTCCAAGGTTTTACCCCATTCACATATAATAACCTGAGCTGTCGCCACGGAGAATACCCGATTACTCATTTCTCGCTGTGAGAAACATCACACGGCGCAGCCGATCAGCAATCATGATGGATATGTCGGGTACGACCACCTCCATGTCCATGTCCATGGCGACGGCCACAACAACCGCAATGTCCATGGCTACGTCCACATCCTCGAGTGACATGGATTCGAGCATGTCTATGTCCATGTCGGATATGTCAATGACATTCTTCACCTCCTTCAAAACGCCCCTCTACTCCGAAGACTGGACTCCTACATCGAAGGGAACCTACGCCGGTACCTGCATATTTTTGATTGTCCTCGCTGTTATCTTGCGTGTCCTCATTGCCGTACGGCCAGTGCTAGAGGGTCGTCTTTGGACCGACGGAATTAGCCATGGGAGTGAGCCTCTCATCGGGGAACATGATCGTCAGAAACACATCTCAGGTGTGCAAAAGAGCTTCCAAGAATTGGGACGGAGATGGTCCAGATGGCGTGTGAATCCCGCTGCTGGCCGTGCAACTTTTGAATTGATCCTTGCAGGTGTTGCATACTTACTGTAAGTATCTTCTCTATATTTTCACCACTGTATTCCAGACTAACGGCGACTCAGGATGTTAGCGATCATGACAATGAATGTTGGATATTTCCTCTCAGTTCTTGGTGGTATCTGGCTTGGGACGTTCGTCATGGGCAGTGTCGCAGCTGATAGCTCGTGGATGCACTGCTGATGATATCATCGCTATCATTAAAGCCTTTTCGGTATACATATGGAGAATTCAGTCTTGTGGACATGGATTTGAAGATGTCTTTTGTACATAGTATAATACCCACTCGTCGACCTTGATTTCCTATGGTCTTCGCCCAGGGCACTGTTAAAGGGCACTGTTAAACACGTATGCCTTGTCCAAGCTAAACCATGTAGGAATTAATTTGAACGTGCATGACCCAAGAAGTATACTGCAAAATCGATATGAAGAAACTTGGCCGCATACAATTTTCGCAATTTTGTTTTACTAGAGAAGCCCGTGGTCCGGTTAACTTACGCACTTGCGGCGTGGTTTTCGAAAAGCTGTCTCTTACCGCTTTTTTGGGTATGGGTGGTGAGATCATGCACGAGTACAAACACCCCATCCCTGGAGTCGTAACGGATCTCCATCCTTTCTGACCCCATTTTTCTTCCCTCCCCGAGCCTTTTCCGTCGAGATATCCTCGAATCCTAAACCCGACATATTCACGTATGCTGACTTTGTTCTTCAAGCTCTTTGCGGTCAAGCGAGCATGCTGCGGCAGGGTCTTTCATGTGTTTGTGATCAAGATCAAGGTCCAGCCTCGGGAAGTTTCAACTGGGCTATCTTTATTTCATTTGAAGACAGGGTACATGGGATTTAAGATCTCCACACCCTAGAACGTTTATGCCAATGGAAATTGGGGTGAAGCTCCTGGCCAGTGAAGCTGCCACGCTCCGATACCTTAGGGCTCATAGCAAAATTCCAGTCCCAGAAGTATACGACTATTGGTAACGGACTATCCCAGACCAGACTGTTCTAGACTGAGCATGAAACTTGCCGCGGATAAATGCGTTCTCTGTCACCGGGGCTGGGAGCGGAGATTGGGCTACAGGCTATACAGGATGGATTAGTCGCGTTGCTAGATGATACATTGGGTGTTGCGAGCCTCTCCGTTTCGCCTCTCAGGTCAAAGGTTGCTGATATACGACTATCGCACCAACCCGTTGCTATGGATGGAAAGAGTGGTATATGCGATGGTAGTCAATTTGAGCCGCATATTTTATTCCACAGAACAGCACCTTGATAACTGTAAATAATCCACTATTGGATAATTCATTGGAAACACAACGGATAAATCTTCTAGGTGGTCTTGGATCAGATTAGCTTTGGAATAGAGCATCATTGCTTCTCTCGATTTTCCATGAGGATCGAGCATCATGAAATGCAAAGATTCTTTCGCCATGATGTCAACTATTTACAAATGAGCTTTATTCAATCCCGCATCTTCAGCATTTACTTCGAACTTGAATCCAAGCTCCTCGAGGCTTTTGATTTCTCTTCGCCGACTACCTAGTGCCTGCGACGCCTTTTTGATCAATGGGATCTTCTCGCGTGTCCACTTCTCTTTCGCGCCCCAGAATGGTGGCCTTTTTCCCCTTCCATCGTTTTCAAGTCCATCGCGGCGCATCGCTGCCGAGCTTATCTTGTGTAAAGAGTTGATATACTCCGCATCAAGCGGAAAGCCAAGAACGTTGAAATTGCGCCCATCACCGCGCTCAGCCTTCCACTCCTCAATCCACTCCTCCATCACTGCTTGCGAAGGCAACTTCAGCCTCCCAGAAAAGACCCGCGCAACCCACGCCCCTTGTGCCTGGCTAATTGGGAATGGCACGATCCGTTGGGGAAACCCAATCAGAGCCAGTGTCGGCTCTGAGGTGAAGAACACGTGCTGGTATAAATTGTGCGGTCGCAGACCATCGGTAATGATGCTTGGTTGAGTACTTGATAGAAATGGCAAAGAAAAATGATATCCGGTACAAAACACGATGTTATCAACGTCCTTCTCTTCATGGCCGTTCGCAAATAGCACTCGGCTATTTTTCGCATCAAGCAGGCTGATTTCAGGGAGACTCTTTGTGACTGCTGCTTTATTCGGTGGTAAGATTGTTTCTGTTCGTTCTGAGATCAGCAATGGGTGTTGCGATACCTGGCTGATTTGCGACGCAATGTCGATTCCTGAGGCGGAGTGGCCCACCACGATGACTTTCTGTTTCTCTTAGCTAGGTTTCTAGGGTCGAACTTTAGATATGTATTCACAACTTCACGAACCTTGTTAGTAAATGGATCTGCGCGCCGATAAATAGATGAATGGATGATGGACCCTGGGAATTTCTCATCCCAATCAGCCAGACCGGGTATGTTAGGGACTTTAGGGTCATTATGATGACCATTCGCCACAACGACGGCATCAAACCGAGCATTTAAGACCTTTTCGTGTTGAAGATCCCGCCATGTGACCGTCCATTTCGTGCGAGGATGTTTCATAGACACAGATACATCGAGAACAAGCGATCGTAGCTTAATGATACCCCGCAGCTTTTCGGCATATCTGTGCAAATACTCCTTCACCACCACGTGCAAAGGAAATAATGCAGTCCCAGCAGGGAAGGGAAAATCGCAGAATTGCATCATTGAATGGGGAATGTTTGTTTCCAAGGCATCATAAACAGGTGAGATGAACTTCCCGTTCACTGGCTGCTGATTCTCTGAGCTGGGACTGGAATGAGGAATTGAAATGGTATTCTTGCTGGTCCCTTCATCACCAGTGTAATTCCAGACACCACCAGGCTGGTCGCGCTGTTCAAAGATAGTGATAGTTTTGAATTTGTTTTCCGCCAGAAGATACCTGGTCAATTGTCAGTTTATCATTCTTCACAGAACGGTGAGAATGACTTGACTTTGCAACACCAAGGCCACAGGGGCCAGCGCCAATAATGGCTATTCGCTCAATATCCATAGTAGTAGCAGTTGGCAAGAATAAAATGCACAATCAAAATCCGTCCATCAAACAATTCGTGGATGATAGATAACACTAATGGATTTCTAATCTGGCGCCATCGGGCCGGAAGCTCGCGTGGTTACTCTTCGACCCAATTTAGTAAGAATGGCCGGAGTATCTCCGGTCAACCGAGTAGTTCATAATCATTGAGAGGTATTTTGGTTAACAGTAGATATCAACCATTCATGAAATCGAGTTCCTTGTTTCCTATATTTTCTGTGTTTTTGGAATCAATGAAGTGAAATAGTATGTCTCAAATACTTTTCTTTTTCACGTTCCCTTCGTTCCAGTTCACCTAACAAACTTTGTTATTCTTACCAAGCCCTCGCAGAAAATCGAAGTGTCAGTGATGAATCTGTGGTGCTGTGATTCTAGCCTAACTTTCACATGCATTTCATCAAATGTAAATTTATAGCGTGAAATTGGGGCTACCAATTCGCGGCAGAGAAAGTATGGTGCATTATGGTATCTATTATAATGACTCTGGCGTTGAACAGCCTTAATTTCGCGCATAGATCGAGTCACATTGAAGTAGTAGTGACCAAACATTGCACAGAAGATAATTTTACTAACCTAAAGTTTGAATTTTAATAACGATGGGCCTAATCCTTCAAGAGGATCTGATTTAAAATTGATATTCCTTAGAGAAATAATCTTAGTTCCCGGCTTTTAGAAGAACTGATACTATGACTTTCAGTACATTGGACGAATGGCGTCAATGTGATGAGTTTTTAGAATAAGGTCGTCTGATCACCTTCCAAAACAATAACGCATCATTTCCCCGCTGCTGCATAAGCTGATGCGGGTTGCCACAGTAGGAAGTACCGCGGGGTCCCCTAAGCCATGAGTTCGCCATTTCTTTAATCACTGTTCTCACTTCAAAGCTTTCGAGTAGTGTGCTCTTGTTGACCAAAATTCCTTTTATCCAAGGCAATATTTGTCTCTTTACCCCACGATAAGCAAAAGCACGCCAAACTTCAAACAAGAGATTCAATGCTACTAAAATCATCAACAATCTAACCCGATGAAAGATCTGTCTCCATTACCCTGCGACCAAGCCCAAAAAATGACTCCAGAAACTACCAACCCAAAAGCTCCCCCAAGAGGGTCCTACATGGAGAATTCCGATCTCCACGATCAAACTCAACGCCTCTCCTTCCCACGCCTAATCGCAGCCTATCTTTGCCTCTGCGCCTGCTATTTCATATCCTATCTTGACATGAATTCAACCACGACAGCTCTCCCAACTATTTCAGCAGCCCTTTCAGCAGGAACGACAATTACCTGGGCAGGAACTGCCTTTCTACTCGGACAGACAATCTTCCAACCACTATATGGTCGCATATCTGACATCGCTGGTCGCAAACCCGTACTACTCGCATCTGTGGGATGTATCTTTGTGGGCGATCTTCTTTCCGGCTGGGCGCGGAGTGCTCTATGGCTATATATCACGCGTGCACTGAGTGGGATTGGAGCCGGTGGGATTAGTTCGCTGGTTGCCATTATTGTTAGTGATTTGGTCAGCTTGAAGGAGCGTGGGAAGTATCAGGGTATGGTGAGTATTTCACTTGGTTTAGGTGCCCTGACAGGGCCATTTGTTGCTGCTAGTCTTGTACAGAGGGATGAGGATGGCTGGAGGTGGGTGTTTTGGGTTCCTTCTATTCTTGCCTTGGTGTGTGCGGTAGTGCTTGTCTTTGTCTTGCCTTTGAAGCCAGTGGTTGGTAGCTGGCGGGAAAAGGTGAAGAAAATCGATTGGTTTGGGGTTTGTGCTTCTGTTACGGGGATTGTTCTGTTGCTGGTATGATTCCATGATTTGATTGGCAATTCTCATTTACTTGTCTACGACTGATTATCGGCTCGGACAGATTCCAATTAACTCCGGTGGGAGTATCTGGTCCTGGCACAGTGCTTTGATCATTGCGCTCCTCACCCTTGGCGGGGTATTTCTTGTTTTATTTGTCTTCAACGAGGGTCTAGTTGCAAAGATCCCACTCATGCCATTACGTCTATTCCAAAAACGATCTCTAACCATCATGTTGGTTTCTGGTGCACTCCACGACTATGCCTGGCAGGCAACACAGTATTTCATGCCGCTCTACTTTCAGAAAATTCGCGGTTATTCCCCTCTGGAGAGTGCCACCTTGACTTTACCTTACGTGTTGGCGCAAAGTCTTGCTGGTGCCGCGTCTGGGCCTTTGATGAGTCGATCTGCTAGGTATCAGATATATTTCCTATTCCATACTGTACTAACCTGAAAACTTAGATATGCACCGGTCCTGCGAGCAGGATTTCTTCTTTGGACACTCGGAGCAGGTCTGAATCTTTTATTTACCCGACATACTCACGTCGCAATCTATGTTGTGGTCCTTGCGATTGAAGGTGCTGGGGTCGGCTTCGTTCATCAACCGGGTAACCTCTTCTTGTGACTATTTTCGACAACCCCAAGTTTGCTCACCATATTACACTAAGGACTTGTGGCCGTGCAGGCTCTCTCCAGACCAGAGGATCGTGCAGTTGCGACTTCCACTCGGAATTTGTTGCGTTCTCTGGGATCTGTCTTCGGCGTTGCCATTTCCACTGTGGTACAGAACACAGTCATACAATGGGGTTTGCGCGATGCCGTTCCTTCGGACCTTCTGTCAGAAGTGCTGGATGGAAACTGGACTATCAGCGACGCAAGCACCGAGGAATACCGCTCTCAGATTCTCGATGCGAAAATGAAAGGGTTTCGAGTTGTCTTTATCATACTCATTCCTCTGATGTGTCTCTGCTTTATCGGTAATTTCTTTGTTGCCGATACAGTGCTGAAAGGTGATGTGAAGGAGAAGGACCAGGAGAAAAGGACGACCTTAGGTGGTAGAATATTAGAGAATCCAAGTACGAATGGAAACCCCGAGAAACACACAGAGGTTTAAAGATTGAATAGTTATATCGAGTGTCAAGAATCGGTTTACACATGAACCTTCCACAGACCTGCAAACGTCGTTCTCCATCCTCATACTATTCCTTTCAATCTCACAACTCGTCCAGAGTCTTTTCATGAGAACATATGAATCTTGTCTTGAGTTGACCAGTGGCTGTCCAAATTTGGATAAAGCCATTCTTATCGGCGTCAGCGAATTTCGTCTTTCCCGCTAGCAAAGGCTTCAATCCTTTTAAACCCTCAGATGCTCATAGTCATGCTGTTCATTGATCAGACGACGGATTCGAAGCATGAGCGGACCTTTTGTTTTCTGTTCATTTTCATTTTCGTATTCTTTGGTATAAATAATATCCTGCATATCAGTGGTTTGTTTTTGGAGACAGGTAAAAAACGAGATGTGGGACCGGGTCCAAGAGAAAGTAGTGGTATATAACAGGAAATACCGTAGGTATAATGTGAGTTTATATATGCTCCTACCTGCCCCAGGCAGTCTTATTTGATTCATGCACATCATTCACGAGTAGGTAGCATTAACATCAATTTTTGAAAAGACACACCACTGGAAGCTTCTGAGAGCTCTCAAACACACTGCTCTCCTTAAATTGAATGTTCACTGTCTCTCTATGCTCCTCTTCTCATTTTGCATACTTTTTTACGTTCCCTGTCGTCTGCCCTGTTCGTTCCATTAGCCAGTTGCTATCTTGCCCCGTCGAGGCTGAACACCCTCGAAGGAAAAGAAGGTATAGACAAAAGCACGCAGGCTTTGGGGTAAAATATTGTGACTTATTGCTTGGGCTTATGAGCGAGAAGAATTTGCCTTTTAATTAAATAATTGCATTTTTTACTAACATCCGTTTCGCCCAACAGTTGATCATGCTTGCAGGATAACATTGCTTACTCCTGAATCGTTCATCAACTGACTATGGATTCAAACAAATAAGCTCATCCGACCCTTTCCAACCTCTACCAGGGCCAATCTTGGAGATAATTCCATCTCAGTTGGACATCAGCCCCCTCCACGATCTGATTGGAGAACGGCCTACGAGAGCAACTGTCGACAATAGAGCATTTCCAGTGTCCACCACTGTTGGATCCCGAGGGGAAGTATAAAGCGTCAAAGTCGTCCGCGTGTTCAGTGAAATGAGGAACTCATTGTGGCTACCCTCAGCCATTACTATGAATAATCCGCTCAATGACAATGGGATGTCCCGGCACTGGGGTATTCCTTTGCATGCATCTTGGTGGGAGTCGCCAAGAAATGATATAAAGCCCTCCGTATGTCATGGATCTGGACTTAAGCTATAGGAGACAAATGGGGATGGAACTTTTGGGCTCCGTGCAAGGATGTCATGGTCACTCGATTGGACAGCTTTGTTATAATTATTGACAAGTGGACTGCCTTCTTTATTGTATTCAAGACGTCACAGTCCTTAATGCATGTTCAAATAAATGACGGAAGGGCCTAGTATTGAACATGTTCAAGATAAAGCCATGTCCTCATTTCAAGGTAGCTGTCCAGATGTCCCCATTTCATGTAGGCCAAAATTTAATTCCATCCCTTGCGCACTTTCAACCCAGTTGTACCAATCCACGTCACTCCCATCTAAATCCATGGCTGAGTTTGGGAATTCATCTGTCCACAGCCATGGAATGATGTTTCCACTGCTATCATGATCAGACTGGTGCTGCGGGATATCTCGAGCGACATCTTGTACTGGCTGGATATTTTCGCCCGGTAGAAACGGGTTTTCGAGGTTTCGTCTCAGCCAAGATAAACCTTGATCTGCCTGTGAGCCGTGGGAAACAGTGTCAGATGTGGTTTCCGTGTTGGAGTTCACGGTATTTCGCAACTGTACGGATGATCTAGACGGATAGGTAGCCTCCGTGGCATGCAACGTCATATCAGCTGTTGATATTAGGTATCGCCATCTTGCGATCAAGGCAGAGTTTTCGTCGGATTTATCGGAGAAGAAATCAGGGCTTGAAGGCTGTTTGATCTCTCTATCCAGCCTCTCAAGATTTTCCACGGCACTGGGATCCTCTCTGAGTCGGTTCAGCTCAGTCTCACGATGCTGCTGAGCTTTGATCCGTAACTTCCGCAAGGGAACCCAAATACGAAGATCCTTGGTCATGTGGGATTGAGTCGGTATCAGCCAGACACTATGGAGAGCTGCCCAGGCTCTCTCAACGATGGGTGACCACTCGCGCCGGCAAATCTCAATCAGAATGTATACAATTGCGTGCCAATGGGTGTATGTTTGAAAGACCCATCGCCATTGCCGACAAGCCTGTTTGGCATTCAAAGCGTGATTATACTCGGCAACCTCAATCGCCGCGACCAGGAGCTTGTGCCTAAGCTCTTCGGTCAGCTTTTCGTTTGGAGATGCGAATAGGACGGGAACAAAGGCAAGGAGAGTCATTTTCGCCATCACAAGTCGAGTGATGACGACAGATGTCCAATACATGATGTTCGACTCCGCGTCGGTATAATATTGCAGGAAGCCATCCTGGAGATGCTGGTACATCTCATCTAGAAAACGGCTTTGCTCCTCTAAGCTGGTTGACTTGGAGCTTCGGGTCACCATTTGTTTTGAAAGATCGACGATTCTATAGTTGACTCGTGTGAAAGACATATCGGTTAGTCCATCATGCTCTTGTGGCATTTCTTTGGATTGCGGGCTGATGTCGGCATTGTTGATGTTGAGAGGCATTTTTGTATCGAAACTTCCCAAGGCGATCGTATAATCAGTCCCCTGGTCTTCGGAGGCTCTTACATCAATCATGCATAGCGCCCACCAGACTCTTCGACGCATCTCGATTGCAAAAGGGGATAGATGTCCAAAGTGAGAGCCGTCGCGCTGTAGACCAAGGGCAAGTGCCATGCGAATTACAATGCCCGTCATCATCCATATGTACCGAGGGCTATCGTGTCGTCGAGCGAGAAGAAGGAAGTTAGCGAGGGACTGTACCAGGACGAGGTCCGGTGCATTGAGGAAATCGGCCTTGGCTAGGGCGTATTCCAGACCAAGGCGATATTTGAGGTTCAAATCCTGCTTTGACACCCCAAAATTTATCAAGATTTCTTCTTCTTCCATTGAAGTTACAGCACCATAATATATGGAGAACATCAAGGCTTCGTTGGATGGAGTCAGCTTCGACATGTCACCCCGCAGCTCACTGACCATTTTGCTGGTACTAGGCATGTGTACAATCTGGGCAACAACGTTGACGTTTTCCGAGAACATATTAAGCAGAAAGGGTATTTGCGAGGGCAATGGATGAAATTCTTTAGTGTTGGGGGTGTAAGGATTTAAGTTGTGTCGAAATATGAATGCATGTCGGTCTGATGGCGTTCTTCCAAGCTCCTGTGTCGATGGAGTCTTCGAAGACTTCTCGTCATCCGAAGAATCATATGCTCCAGTGGCAAGATTGCCAGTTTCTGTCTTCAGTTCACCGATCTAGAGATCATGAGCAAATTTTCCATCAACATAGTTGTTGTCGACATACCTCATCATTAACCCATGACCAAAAGCCACTCCCAACATAGCGACTTCGGATAGCATCATTGAGAGCGAGTCTGCCGAATTGATTTGGCACGTTGCACGACCCTGAATAGGATGCAGTCCCCTGCGCACCAAGGTCATGGTCATGGGTGGAGCTCCCAGGGGAGTTGGATGACGCAGGAGGGGACTTGGCCGCTGCATGTGCCTGTTCCAACTGGCTAGTCAATTCTTTTACAAGACCTTCAAGGTGATGAAGCCTCTCCATGACTTCCCCGGTAACCGGGCGTTCAAGACGCCGGACCCATCTCGGCGGGCGATCTCCGGACGGATAAATGCAGGCAATATTGGCACGACGGCAATTTGAGCAAGGAGACAATTTGTCGCACCGAACCTTTCGGCTTCGGCAGGTCACGCAACTACGTGGATTCGGCACGCGTGGTGCGACTTTATGGTCTCTCGCGCGTTTCTCGGCGTCTGGGGCCGAGGCGACCGAGCTCCCTGCAGCCGCATCTGACTCACTAGGATGTGACATCTTTGGCCCCTAGGTATGGTCTATGGTCCCCGCTTTCTTCATAACATTCCGACTGGTTAATAATTAGATTCACAATTCGATCATCACCTTCCTGGGTTTAGGTTTTCTCGTTTTTCGAAGATGAACATTTCCGTGCCATAAGCAGCCTCATACCCGATCAGGTATAGTGTGGGTCTGGGCCCAAGATTGATGATTTTCAGCTTCTCATTGGACGCGAGAAAAGAGCGAGATCATCTCACCCAACTTACTTATACTTCGGGCGCCACTCGGCATGTCAGGAAAATGCATATAAAACCCTTGAATCCGGCCGTAGATTCCACACTCCACTAAGATCGATAACTCTACTCAATAAAACCTAATACAATTTTATCACTTCTCTCAAATCGCTAAACCTCCACCATCATGAGCTCCAACAAGACAGTTGCTTTCCTTGGCGGTACCGTTGGCGTCGGCCTGTCTGCGCTCAAGCACACACTTGCAGCTGGCCATCAATGTATAGCCCTTTGCCGCACTCCAGCCAAGCTCGCAGCCCTCATCCCACTTGAATCAACACCCAACCTCAAGATCATCGAAGGCAACGCGCATGATCTCAGTGCAGTCACTAACTGTATCCAAGCTGACGAAAATGGCGAAAGGATGGTCGACATAATCGTCTCCACCATCGGCAGCAGGCCCAAGGGTGGAATAGCTCCCGAAGATCCCGAATGCTGCAGAAAAGGCGCCGCTGTCATGGTCGAGGCCATCAACAATCTTCGAAACAAAGGAGCCACTGGAAACCCGCATATTATCACGTTCAGCACCACCGGTCTATCCAAGTTTGGACGTGATTACCCTTGGGTTCTTTGGCCGATCTACGGGTGGCTCCTTAAAGCTGCGCACGCAGACAAGGAGCTGATGGAGAAACGCTTCATGGAAAGTGGACAGCCATTCACAGTTGTGCGTGCAAGCTTGTTGAATGATGGCGCTACTAATAAGAGGGTCCGCGTTGGAATTGAGGACCCGAAGAATGGACGGGAGTCATTGGAAATTGGATACTTTATTTCCAGGGAGGATGCTGGAAAATGGACAGCAGAAAATCTGATCTTCAAGGAGGAAAAGAAGTATCTGAATAAAATTTTGATGATCACTACCTAAATTATTTTCAAATGTCGACTTTTCCGGGAATTCGGATGGCAAGGTCCATGTTTAGTACTAATGTCATGCTTTGCTCTATATAGTTTATATTTTAAAATCAATCGTTGTGGGCTTATGAATATATATCAAATATAATATCTCCATCATGACAAGAGCTGGTATCAGGGGTGGGATATCTGAATTTGCCTCTTCTTACCGAGTACTAGGAAGATACATTGTGAATAGCCTCTGTTTCACCCATACATGTAGTTACTCCACCCCACAATCGATTTAAGATAAAACCGACTGCATATTATGATCTAGCGAATAAATATTGTAACTAAAATTATTAAAAAAAAAACAGAACATCCAACGCAGAGGGACTTCTCCTGCAGCTTTGATGGCTGCTCTTTGAAGCGTCTGCTCTGGGTCAGTGTTTCCCGGTACTAATCGACAACCGCATACAAGTTGCGTGGGATAGCTTTTTTGGTTACATACAGTGCCTGCTGGTGGGATTATTTACCACTTAACCACGCGGATGTCAATAGTTAATCCTATCCCCGTAAAGGCGGTTTTAACCCAACATTATATTTTGTACTATCTAGGGCCACTCTGCTCCTTCTGCATGGAAAATAGACCAATTATTTAACTACATATATACTCGTGGTAAATTCTTATTCCTTTTAGTGAACATTGAACGATAAAACAGACTCTTGTTGCTCTCTGCGGTGGGTTATGATATACTTCATTTGTGCCTGAATGCCTCAGGCACAAAGCTATTCCCAATCAGGAACTGATCTGACTATTCTCAAGTTCACATCCGCAGCGGACCATTTGATCTTCCCCGACAAAACACCAACCTCAGAACCACCTCACAACCATGCCCCCTTCAAAGCTGGCGACCGGCTTATTCAGCCAGGCAAGCCGTAACCTGGCCGCCATTGAGCCTATCCGATCCCAAAACATCCTCTCCAGCCTTCGAATCACCACCCAATCGCAATGCCGCGCCTACACCCAGGCGCAACGGCCCCGATGCATGAACATCCCAACCATGCTCTCCACCCGGAATAGCACCAATTTCTCGACAACTGCATTCCGAGCTCGTGGCAAGACTATGGGCCAGATCAAGCAGCGCAATTCCACCGGTCCGTTCTCATGGAAGGCGGCTCTTCTGTTTGTCCTCACCGGTGCGGGTATGGTGATTTATTTCCGGGTGGAGAAGGCACGGCTAGAGCGGAAGCGTATTGCTGAGATGAGCAAGGGTGTTGGCAAACCCAAGGTTGGCGGTCCGTTTGTGCTGAAGGATTTGGATGGGAAGGAGTTTACCGCGGAGGATCTGAAGGGGAAATACAGCTTTGTGAGTAGATGGACATGGATGGACCACTAGCTGGGATGTGCGATGCTCATTACTTTCTGTTATAGGTCTATTTTGGCTTCACCCACTGCCCTGATATCTGTCCCGATGAGCTGGACAAGATGGCTGAGATCATTGACAAGGTCAAGGAGGCTACTAAGGATGACAAGCTCTTCTTGCCCGTCTTCATTACCTGTGACCCTGCCCGTGATACCCCCGAGGTTCTGCGTGCTTACCTCCAGGAGTTCCACCCCGACATTATTGGCTTGACTGGTACCTATGAACAGGTCAAGAATGTCTGCAAGCAGTACCGTGTGTACTTCAGCACTCCCAGAGATGCCAAGGCTGGCGAGGACTACTTGGTTGACCACAGCATCTACTTCTACCTGATGGGTAAGTTCGGGACCTTACAAGTATGAGTCAATGTACAATATACTAACTCTCCGCTAGATCCTGACAACGACTTTGTCGAGTGCATTGGCCGACAGGATACCCCCGAATCCGCATCCAAGGTTATCCTGGAGCACATCAACGACTGGAAGCGCGAGGGTCGGCCATTGAAGACTGAGTAATAGTGTTGTGTACGAAAAATGTATTATACTGTCAAATCTAAATACCCTGCTCAACGTATCCATCGAGTGCTGTTATACTAAACTCGCAGTTGACAAATACTAGGAAGTGATTTTGATAAGGTTAGACATTTAGACGCTTCGGAGCTTCGACACTTGTTTGTCCATAAAATAATATACAGCACCAGTCTCAGCGCATTCCAGCAATACCCTTACGCTTTTCAGAAGTCCCCAGCTGTCCAAGTCCAATGCATAATGAACACAAACAAGCCCATCATGAACTTCCAGAAACTAACTTCCCCTCCGCATCCCGATCAGCATTAGCCCTCCACTCCATCCCCCCATCAACAAACTCCTCCCTCTTCCAAATCTCCGCTCTCTCCTTACAATTCTCAAGCACCTCCTCCCCACCCCTCCAAGCCGCTCCCCGATGTCCCGCACTGACCGCGATAGCAATCGAAGCCTCTCCAATAGGTACGATCCCCATGCGATGCGCGATGCTCACACCAATCAGTCCATGTCGCTCGATGGCAGCCTCGGCGATATCCGTAAGCGTTTTTAACGCTAGGGGTGGGTAACAAGTGTAACTAAGTTGTGAAACAGGGCGGCCCTCGAATGTGTCACGTGTTGTACCGAGGAATAGTATGTTTGCGCCGGCTGCCGGGGAGGAAGTTTGTGCGAGGTAGATGTTTGCATCGAGTGGGGTGTAGGTCAGTGTTAGGTGGATGTTTTTTGTTGGGTTGTGGGTGCGGGGGTAGGTATTCGGATCCAAATGGGCTGGGAGGGGGGATTGGGGTTGTGAGGTTGTCATTTTCTATGGGTTGGTTTGTGTCAGGTTTTTAGCGGGCGTTAGGGATTGAGGCACGGTTTGGAATGATACCCAAGTGATGTTGTGTTTCTCTGTGGAATCATTGAGGCTTATCGGGTGCGGGGAACGGTGGATAAGTGAGCTCCGATAGTGGCGGAGGGCACCGAGATTGGTTTTTTTGTGGATTCAGTGGATTCAAGGTTGGTTTGTGATTTATATACTTGAAGCTGGATTGTCTCTAAAACCTGAAATTATCTTTTCAAGTGGTCTTTCTATGTATGTCTGAGTCCCTTGATTGTATCAATTTCACACCAGGAAGACAACAGCCTCGAATGGCCGCAGCGACCATTTCCCGCCAGTGAAGTGATGGGTAGCCTCGGCTGTATCATAGTTATCCAAGAGTACAGCCTTGACGCCGTCAATGCCATTGCTTGTAGCGTCCCAATCAATGGTTTCCTCAGTCCAATTGCACACAACCAAAGCCTTGTCATCTCCATACTGTCTGGTGTAGGCAAAGACCTCTTGATTCGGCTGGTCGATAAGCACCCAGTCACCATAAACAAAGACATCGAGAAACTTCTTGCGAAGTCCCAGAACCTTGCCCCAAAATTGGTAAGGCGAGTTGGGGTCATTTACTTGTGCCTCGGCATTGATAGTCGTGAAATTGGGGTTGACGGACATCCAAGGCTGGACATTAGGACCGGTAAAACCACCGTTTGGAGCAGAGGACCATTGAACGGGAGTTCGGCCGTTGTCACGAGATTTCTTCTGATACTCTACAAGAGCACTGATCCTGGCTGAACTGCCATCGGGCTGTTCTTTTATAACCCTGCAGAAAATTAGATCTCAAAACGAACGCAAAAAGGACCATGAAAGACATTACCTTTCCCAGTGGTTGAGACAGTCAATATCCTTGTAGCTTTCAATGCTCCATGATTTGGGAACATTGCCCATTGCTAGCTCTTGTCCCTGATACACGAAGGGTGTGCCAGATTGCAGTGCCAAAGCAATGGCCAGCATCTTAGACGCAACGAAACGTTTCTCCTCGCTGGCATTCACATAGCGATCAACACACCGAGGCTGGTCGTGATTTTCCCAGTAAAGGGCATTCCAGCCATCGTTGGCATACATGAATGTTTGCCATCGCTGGAAGAAATCTTTCAGGTCCGTAAGCTTCCAGCTACCAGGCTCAAACTTGTCATATGTGCCATGGTCGATATCCACATGCTCGAAATTGAAGATCATGTTAATCTCGTGGCGGTCAAACTGGACAGCTTTGAGAACTTCCTCCTCGTCCTTGACAAATGGCATCTCGCCCACGCTGAAGGCATCATATTCTTGAAGGATCTTCCCCAGTCCCTGGAGATACTCGTGTAGTCGGGGTCCATTTGCGTACCATCTATCACCCCATTGCCACAGCGTACGGGGGTCCTTGATAGGTGCGTCGAGGAAGCGCTGGTCTTTGCTGATGAAGTTGATCACATCCATCCGGAAGCCATCGCAGCCCTTATCCAACCAGAATCTCATAATATCATGTACCGCATCGCGAACGGGTGGGTGTTCCCAGTTCAGATCTGGTTGTTCTGTCGCATACAGGTGGAGGTAGTACTCCTGGGTGAGTTCATCCCACTGCCAAGCGCTCCCTAAATTTAAATCAGCACCAGTAAAATACTTTGTTCTCATTTGAAGAGAAGCATACCCTGGAAGTGCGATACCCAGTTGTTGGGAGGATGACGGTTCCCCTGCTCATCATATCGAGCAGGCTTCCAGACATACCAATTGCGATACTCATTATCTTTAGAGCTTCGCGATCGCTTGAACCATTCATGCTGGTCACTTGTATGATTCACGACCAAATCCATGAGAAGCTTCATTCCCCGATCATGGCAGCCTTTGATAAGCTTCTCGACGTCTGCGACCGTACCATACTCATCAGCAATGCTATAGTAATCGGCAATGTCATATCCCATATCCACTTGAGGGGATTTGTACGATGGGCATAGCCAGACAATATCGACACCGATGTTTTTGATATATTCAAGCTGGGAGATGATTCCAGGAATGTCTCCAATGCCGTCATCGTTAGAGTCTTTATAAGATGCGGGCCAGATCTGATAAACTGAACACTCTTTCCACCAAGCTCGGTGGTTTTGTGGCTTTGTGGTGGTCATGGTGGAGTCGATTAATCTGAGGCAGATATGTAAGTGTTTAAATTGGCGGGGGGTTCTCAGTTATATGTACGAGCATTACCAGGACTGATGCAAGTACCCACGCAGCTCCTCACCGCGGGGCAATGCGGAGAATCATCGGACTCTCTGTAGTTGATATGCCTTTGCCGATCCCTCAGATTTTGGTTGAAAACACCTTGACCCATATATAGTACCAAAGAAATTCACGTTCTGACTGCACTTGCTGTCGTGTCCAAATGATACGATGTAGTAAGTGGATCACCCCCACCGCTACTAGTGACGATGATGCATCACAGAGAGCTTTGACCTCACCACATATGCGTAGCTTTTAAACAAATGGAAGTTATGCAACTTTCTTATCCTTATCATATGATATCATATTGCCTTTCACCTTGATCAGTAGTTTATAGACTTGAGTAAACATTTGTGTATAATCAACAACTATAGCTAGTGGGCTGCGTAACGAAGCTTGAGTGAAAAGTGCGACATAACCTATGTGACATTTCTCTACATTGTATTTTACCATAAATACCAGAGTCTAATACTATCTTAAAGGACTGAAATCAAGTTTTACCACTTCAATGAAAATTAAGACATCAACTACAGCCATTATGACTTGAATGATCAGGTTAGTTCAGTTCATAGTTAGGGCGGTGTACGGTTCTGCCGGATGCTATCGCAAACAGCAGTGAGCTCCGAACCTTTGGAACTCCGTTAACTGTTCCGTATCATTCCTACCTCCTCCATGATTTTACGTTATGGCGCATCCATACAGAGACGATAACAGAGGCTATCTTGGCCCACGGGACAGAAGCCATATACCTCGTGATGGACACGATGAACTGGATGAACGAGACGGTCGTATGTATGACGACTACTCGCGCTCACGATCGCCTGGCGGTATACACACCTCCCAAATACCACTTGAGTTCCGGAACCCTATAGAACGTTTTTTGTTTTTGATGAAAGATGACTGATAACATTCGTTCGCCTCTTTGCTCAAAAGATCAATCTCGCAACCACCAACCTGAAATTCCCGACAACCAAGACACAATGGGTAAACACACATTCAACAGAGAGAAAGGCCAGCGTAGGTCACGGTCACCTCCACGACGAGGGAGGAACTCATATCGAGATCGAGACCGGGAAGGCTACCAGTCGCCTGGGTACAGTGGCAACCGGAGCTTTAGTCGCAGCCGTAGCCGACATGGCCAGCCTCAGTATGGCCAAGAGAGCCTTGATATCATGATGGAGGGCTTCCCTGCCGACATGACAGAAGAAGACGTGAGTTATCACTGCAACATTCGCTAGGCCAGCTCCCTTCTGACTACCTTGGTGGAATTTACGAAACTGACTGTTAGTCCGGACTCGAATAGGTTGCGACCGAGCTTCGCCAGGCATACCGCATTCCTCAGCTTAGCGATATTCGAATCATTCGGGATCGAGAGACGAGTGGGTGATACAATTGAACCGTCAATTTCCTGCTAAATGCTCATGGATGTGATTGTACAGAGGCCTCTAGGCAGCTTGGCTTTCTTCGATTTCACAACATCGAAGATGCCCGGGAGTTTTTAGAGCGAAACTTTCCACACATCTATCTCTACGGACCTACTGCCGAAAAGAGCACCAAAGTTCGTATTGCATACAGCCACGGCAAAGAAGAGAGAGTTCGTTCAAGTGAAGGTGACTGGACTTGCAGAATGGTAAGCTCCATGCCCTATAAGCTAAAGCATTAATTAACATTCTTTTTTCTAGTGTATGGCTGTCACCTATGCCAAACGCTTCAGATGTTACCGGTGCAATGCTCCTCGGCCAGGTTCGTCTATTGTACCCTCTTTGCCACGTATAAATTTAACCCTTCCCAGAAATCCCGCCTCCCGGTGCTCCTGGGGTACCTACAACAAGATCTGTGAATACCGGTGACAATGACGCAGCTTCTGACAATCAGCCGTCTCAATTTCTGCTTTTTCGAGGCCTGGAATCTTCGGTCACCGAAGAAATCTTTGCAAAAGGTGTTGCGAAACTGTACAGGCCAGGATCTGGAAATGATGGCAGCTCTGGGAACCAAAAGAAAGGAGCAAAGGTCATCTCAACAACTGGTGATGCTAACCTAGGTGCTCGTGAAGGCACTATTCGACGTGTCTTGCTCACTCGTGACCGCAAAACAAACGAAAGTTGGCGGTATGGCTTTGCTGAATTTGCAACCGTTATGGTACGTTGCCATGCCGATGTGGCATTGACTTACGCCGGTGCTGACAACTCTTTTCAGGACGCGCAAGCAGCCATCACCCGTTTGCATTCCTTCAACAAGTTCACTATCTCCTCTCGGCCGGTGATGGTTTCGTACATCCACGCAGGTGTCTTTGTACCAGTTCTGCACCCGACAGCCTCCACTCAGAAGTTCACATTCAGTCCCCTCAACAACTCGGCCTTGAAACTCATGTATTGGGATGATAACGCATACGTAACCGAACTCCAAGTTTCAGCTGAAGAGGCCGCACCGAGCCAAAACAAAACCGAGAAATCTACTGGGAATCAAGAGGGTTCTAAGGCAACCAAGGAGACCGAAAAGGCCAAGAAGCGAAAGGCCGAGCCTGTCGATATGGAAAAGGCAAAGAAGCTTGCCATGCCATCCCAACTTCAATTCTGGAGTAACCGTCACGCGGAGCTCCATGGGATTCCTCAAGAGGGTGATGGAGCCCTTCCTGATGAAGGCCCACAGCATGGCGGAATCCCTGAATCTGAAGGTCCACCTACCCAATCATACGCAGACCCGAATCGAAACTGCTGCTATCTCTGTATGACCATGTTCAAATCGGCAGCCGAAGTTAATCGACATGAGCGCCTTAGTGAGCTTCACCGGAAAAACCTCCAGGACGAAGCTTGCAAAACTCGCGCCATGGCGAAGTTGGTTAAACACGGAATCCTGCATCAAGCTTCCGCGGAATATCGGGATCGTGCGAGAGAACGCCGGAAGACTTACGGTCTGGCAAAGACTGGATTCTCACTCAAACCAGCCGCACCAAAGGAAAAGGAAGAGGCTCCGGTGCAGTCTAACTCCAAGGGTGCTTCTCTTCTCAGCAAGATGGGTTGGTCAGAAGGCTCTGGACTGGGCGCACAAGGAACAGGTGTTACGGCCCCAATCGCCACCGAGGTCTACGCACAGGGTGTCGGGCTGGGAGCACAAGGAAGCAAGCTGGGCGATGCAGTTGAGGAAGCAGGACGGAACACTCGGGGTCGCTACGATGAATTCCTGGAGAAGACCAGGGAGACTGCCCGTCAACGATATGATCAGATGAACAAGTGATGATCCATCGTGATTTTTCCGCAGATAGTTTTTAACAATATTGATAGTTTTCCATAGTGATATCCCAAAAACAATAGCCACATCTTCATATGATACAATTTTGTAAAGTCCATGTATCATTTGCAACGGGAACTCCATGCGACCAAGTATATGAGAAATTGTAGTGTACAAGAGTGGTATGGTATCGTATAAAAAAATTATGAGTAGAGTGTATCCAGACGTATGATGCAAGTCTTCCTTTCTCAGCCTGCGCACTTCAATCGCTCTTCTCGCTAGCGACCTGCTGCTGCTTCTTCGCTCGCTCCTGTTCCAACTGCTTCGTGAATCGATCACCAAGTAGACTGGTGACCCACTCAGTCACCTCCTCCTCAAGCTGTTCATCTGACTTTCCGGTCTCATCAATACCGTTCGACATTGCAACTCGCATAAACCGGCGCGCATCGTCAAGTCCATTGATATCGAGGGCATACATAGCCGCTCCGGTGGTCATCATACCGAACGAGAGAACATTGAGAGAGGCCAGACTGAGGGCCTCGAAGGCCTCGCCTGCACCATTGACTGGTGGTTGGTAGTATGTTGAGCTGGAATAGAACGGAGGTATGCATTCGATGCGTTTCCTGATGCTGGCGCGGCGTGTGACCCATACCGAAAGAGAGAAGAAGGCGACGCCGCCGAGGAGGAGAGTGAGGTTTCTGTTGCTGCGTTGTAGGGGTTGTTGAGCTAGTTGTGATGATTCGGACGGCGAGGGTGCTGATTGGAGGGGCTGTGTTTGATTTGTACTTTGGGGTGTTTCTTGAGGTTTCGGAACGTTGGAGTCGTTGGAGTTGGAGCCCCAGCCGAAGAGGGAGACCATTGCTGCAGATGCAAGGTTTTCGTCTGTGATTTCACGTTTACTCTTTCTGTTCTCAAATGCCCGTAGAGACAGCGACCGGATATTTGGAGAAAAGACGATAGTGACAGTTGAATTTGCGGAGGCGGAGCAATAATGCAGATCGGTCAGGTGACCTCGCGGCTTACGGACGAATTTATTCGGTCGAACTCCGGTTTGTTCATGACCTGCGTATATTGGTAATGAGTGTATAAGTGACAGCCTTGCCATTGGAAAAGGATCTTTATTCAGGGCGGAGACAGACTGCTGCTGGCATGGATCAGATTTGAATGTATACTCCGTACAGCCCCGCCTGATGCTGCTCACTAGCCAATTCGAACTAGCAGCGTCCGCCTCAAGCCACTATTCAATCTCCCGGGTTTGACATCATGGTTTATCAAGGAAAACCCAGCACTGGATGCAAAAATTGCCGAACACGGCGTATCAAGGTTGGTTCTCTAAGTACCATCTATGAATCATGGGCCTGATTCTCTTAGTGTGATGAAGCTCGGCCCCACTGCAAAGCATGTCTCAAGACAGGCCGATTATGTCCAGGTTATTTGCATCCATTTGATGTCGTGCTGAGAGACCATACCTCATCTTTCACCAAGAAATCAGTGGCATCTGCTGTGATCTCCAGTTCGAGAAGTAACTCTTGTTCAAGTAAAGACGGAGATGCAGGTTCAGAAGTATCGTCGACAAAATCGTTATCGCCCGCAGTGTCAGACAGATCCCATGGCTCTTGGCCTGTATACTTGCCACCTGCCGATCTCTATCAACCCATGGAAGACACCGTGATCCCTCTATTCTTCAATTCTTATCTTTACCTACCCAAGGATCCCCACATTCGCAATGGCTTCATGGAGATTTTACCTACGTTTTATTCCAATGCAAGCATTGGCTCCCATTTACATACCAGCACATTGGCCGTTGCCTACTTCACTGTCGCAGCGTGGACAGGCCAGGAGTCGTTACTTCGTGCTTCCCATCGATATTTCACTCAGGCGTTGCCGAAGATTAGGGAGACCTTACTGTCTAGCAATGACAATGAATATGGGAACCTTCTCATGTCTATTCTCATGCTGTCAATATATGAGGTATATGCTTGTGTCTTCGATTTGTGATTCCTTGGCTGACTCGATATCAAGGAATTTGTTGCCATGAAAGACTGGAAAAGGCCGGTAAAGGCCCATTTGAAAGGCGCCGTAGCACTGGTCAATAGTCGGAGACCTGAAAAGCTCCAAGATTCTTCATCATCATCCACTCTGCACAATGCCGTTCAAGCTCAAATTGTATGCTCTACCGATCCATGATCTATTATCCTTCTAACAAACTTCCATAGATAAAAACTACTCGTGGCCTGGAGACCCCAATGGTCCCAATACCAGAAACCTGGCCACTATCCCCTCCTAACACCACACCCTCTCCTCGCATGTTCCTTTCAACAGCAGCTTCAGAAATAGTGAGCCTGCGCCAATCATGGGAAAAACTAATATCCCAAGAACACAATGAGACCGATATCATATCACTCATCGACAGAGCAACAAAAATTGATCTCAATCTAGTCTCATGGACCTACCGGGTCCCAGAAAACTGGACTTTCGTTCCTGCAAGCATAATACCTCAATCTGTTCGCGATGCCGGGCTCTACCGTAATTATTGCGATTGCTACTCAGATATGTGGATAGCTTCCACATGGAACTCCTATCGTGATTGCCGGATCCTCGTGCAGAGCATCATGCTCAGCTGTCTCCGTCTCTTGCCCACTCATGATTCTGATGGGAGCAAATCAGCTGCTATACAATCAACGATCAACAAGATGGCTGATGAGGTTTGTGCATCCGTGCCATACTACTTGGGTAGTCAGGTCGAATGTGTACGCTTGCAGCAAGGTCTTATTGCGTATCCTTTCTCCGAGACAAGGCCCGTTACTTCTACGCACAAACAGTCTGCTCCTTTGATGGGCCCTTGGCATATTCTTCCGATTTTGCGAAATCTTCACTCATCGGACCTGCGCTTGCCACCGGAGCAAACCATTTGGGTAGAAAAGCAGGTGAATAGAGCTATGCTCATTTATTTCCAGCGATGAGGGTTCATGGTTCACAATGAATGGGCCTCCTGGTCTTCATCGCTCTCCCCCTTGGTGACCGCTTATAGACCGCTTATAGATGGATACTCGCCGTCATTTTATGAAAAGCTACATAAACTAATAATTATAATAATTCTTATCTCTTTTGATGACAACGTATCGACTGCTTTCATAAGGGCTTGCAAAAATAAACTTGTTGTCATGAATAAGCTTTCCTTCACACCGATAGAAGCCTTATTTAAAGAGGACACTGCTGAATCTAGGTCATAGCTGAATAGTCAATTCCAATTCTGCTCTAGGCCATTAATCTATCTTCGATGTGCATTGCTCAGAGACCGAGAAAACAAAACAAGTATGCAAATGCAAGAGCGCCAAATATGCTATAGAGCAACAACAAGAATAACCGAATAAACACGCTCAAACGTGGACATGAACCAATAGCAGCAAACCAAGGTAGACAAAAAGGAAATGCAACATAACACAAATTTTAAATCACTCGCTCATAAATATATGCAAATCGTAGCAACATAAGGGGCCAAATCAGTGAAAGAAATCATTTCATTGACCCAGTCGTAATTAACATATCAGTTCGGCCAGGTCTCGTAAATCGATCAATACCAAGATGCTCCTTTCCATCTCGACCAACATAGATACCAAATCCATACATCGGTCGTAGACGTTCAGACGGAGGAGCAACAATAAGTCGGGTAACGAGATCAGTCTTGCTTCGCGGCTCGCGAAGCAACTTATCCGCCAGAAGGGGTGATTGATAGAGAAAGCTCATCAGATCAGATAGGGTGGAAATATCATGTGGGAGATAGCGACGACGACCAGGCCACACCACCACAAAGGATACAGCGTATAGGGCACAGAATGCGATGAGGGTGTAGTAAGCCGGCATCACGGCTGAGATACGAACGTCATTGTCAGAGGGATACCAGAGTGCAATGAAGATACCACCTGCGAGTATTGGGATGGCGATGGAAACCAGGCTGATGAAGGATAACCAGGCGACTCTCCAGTGGCCGTTGATGATGGCTTGCATTGTAACTTGGATGGGGAGGGCGGAGGGGTAGGCGAGGAGGATGCTTTTGTCTGCTGAGGCACCGTTTGGGGCGGAGAGGTCGACGAATGGTTGGAGGGCGCGGAAGTATAGGTCGATTGGCTGTAAGGCGAGGAAGAGGAAGTTGCCGATGAGGCCAGGGATAAAGCTGTATAGGAAGTTTGAGGAGGAGAATGCACTGATTGATGGGAGGGTCGGGAGTTTGGGAGGGAAGCCGCCTTTAATTGCGTTGTTGACGAAGCTGACGGCGACGAAAGCGATGAATAGGGCGAAGACGATGGTGATCCAGGTAATCACGGAGCCTTGGCGAAGAAACCATGGTGTCCAGCGGTATCGGGCAGCAGGTGAGTATAGGTGGTGGTCACCTGAGTTGCCATTGTTCTCGAGGTCGAAGCGAACCTTGGTCATTCCTTGAGGTTGCCTATCTCGGCTTTTCTCTGTCTGATGTAGCGAGGGAGTGCGAATCGGTGCGTCCACTTCTCCAACACCGTAGAATATCTCGGGCTTCATGGACAGCTTCCAGTAGCCCAGGCGGAGGACTCGAGAGTCGAGAGTTTCCCGAACACTTGGAACGGTCTCTGAGTGCTCATAGTCATGGAGAATATTGGATCGTTGAATGATCGAGACAAGATCCGCAAGGCAAACTGGGTCCCACATCAAACCAGTCCAACCACGCACAAATCTTAGCAAGATCAGCAACAGACCGATAGTCAGAAGGCCGTAGGATGCAATCAGAGTCCAGCCCACACTTTGAACAGAAGTCCATCTCCATATACCTTGACCATCGATATTGTAGTACTTTGCTTGGAAAAGACAGCTGATAAGAGGGATGGAAAAGAAGTTCGACAACCAGATGGCAAACAACGCAAAACCAAAAAGAGGCTCGCCATATCGAAAGTGCGAAAAATCCGGAAGGACGAAGTTGCGGGGCAGAATGGGCAAACCCTGGAGCACATTTCCCTTCTTCCGGCCTGCAGCCATGATAGCAAAGGGCGCTATGCGATAAACTGCAGCCTGGATCACAAAAGACCAAAGGATAATAAGCGCAGCCAGAATCTGAGGAAGAAACTGCATAACAAAATACCGGCTCCCGCCCTTGCCATCATAATCCCAAATCCCCTTGTGTCGGTGGGACCACACATTGCAGAACGCTAGCCCGGCAATCATGAGACAACAGGATAAGATAGCCAAAAGCAAAGCCCATGATCGAAGTACCACGGGCAGGTAATCAAGAGCAGGGTACATGAGACTCTTCTCCGGGGGATCAACAGCCACAAATGACTCAGGGTCAATTGAGTCCGGTCTTTGTGGCAGAGCCTGGGGTGATGGCGACTTATACTTGGGCCGTTGAGGTGTTTCGGTGTATCTGATCGGGGTTCGAGTGCGAGTGAAATAGCCAAGGCTCTCATCCCAGACGAGACGATCAGCAGGGTACTCGTCTCTGTTCGTAGAGACAGAGTCTTGTCGGCCTACGCCATTCACCTCCTCGTCACGGGTAAGCTGGTTGAGTGCGAATTGGACATACGGTGTGTCATCTAACCCGGGTGTTGGTGCTGGGCCGGCATATTCGTCACTCCTTGGTACACGACGGACAGTCTCGTCAGATCTGGGGCTAATGCGAGCGATTCTGTCTTCTCCAAAACGAACGGTGCTCTCTGTTGGCGGACGAGGTGAGTCCTGGTTTTGAGCAAATTGCGCCTGGTAGTGCTCATTCATGGTAGCGTGCTCGGCCTCTGACGCTCGGGAAGATGGACGAGAATTCGGAGTGGCGTAGTGCATTGCAGTTACTTGACTATCTGGGCTTGCAGTGACTCGATCTGAGAAAGAATAATAATCGTCTGATGCAGCGACAGACTGTGCTGAATCTGTTCGGTAGACTTGAGGTTTGCTTGCTAGGAAATTGTCAGTACATATACCAATTTTAAGACCAGCACTCGAGGATTTCCCAAGTCCTCATATTTGAAATGGGACTCAACGGATTATTCGTACAGTTGACGTTTCGTAGACTAAAGTTTCGTGGACCGGGGAAATTCGACATGTCGGTCACGGCAATGATTCCACTCACAAAGAATTTAATCGAGAAGCATTCCACTGGATTCTCCAGTCAATGATGATCTGAAAAATCTCTGAAGGTGCAACTGAGTGGGTTTTTGTTTGGCTGTCAGTCTTGCGGTGGGCATCCCCCAGCCTCCCCAGCCACCACGCAATCTGAGCACCACAGACCAATGGGGAGGATTGAGACATAGGAGGTTGTCAAGCTAGAGAGATAATTCGATAAACAATAAATATTTGACAGTTCAAATTTAAAATTTAGGCAAGGTGATCTGCCTGACGTCGTGTATAGACTCGCGGCCCGATTCCCGGCGACCATAGATGAGCTGAAGCTTGACCTTGTATTCTCCCAAACTTGCTAATTATTCTTTACATTGAATTATTCGATGATTCAATTACTTAATTCTAGACTAATTGTTCAAATGACTTCATTTAAAAAGATTCCCAGTCTGAGCCAATCTTCCACGGTCGGAACAGCTCTGCGTGTGCTACCCAGAACTACAATATTAATTACCCAAGAAATAATTAATGCCCTAGAGTGTGGCCAAACGCAGGGTCTCACAAAATGATTGAATGATTGAATAATTGACAGGATGACCAAACTTCTAACATGTTCAATGTCAGGTGGATGTAATACAATGATCCTTCTCCCTTGCTGGCCGGCATGGCTGGGCCGCAATACCGATTACCTGCCTGGGATATGAAAACACGAGGCTGCCACATATATAGCTGGATAGGGAGGGTTTCTTGTAAGGTGAAAACTTGAGGTGAAAAAGAAGAAACATTCCTAGGTAAAGTGATTACTGTCTTCATTGGTCATCCCTGGGCATTGTCTTGAATACACTGGATTGTTCTATCTGGGGCTGAATTTGTATTATATGCCCAAGACTACATACGCAGCTACCTAATTCAAGACCACCCTGAAAACATTTGAAAGCTCACTGGGCGCAAACCGCCAGTCTACGCCATTACTTGGACTCTTATCTTTACTAAGGCTGACCGGGATTTGGAAGTTTTTGTCATCCAGTCTTCATTTCTATATATTCCAGATTCTCAGATTCTCTCAACTCCCGCCTATCTAGTCATCAAGAGACATCATCGTGTAATTGGGTGAATAGCTCGCCCATTATGTGATAGAACCCTGCCCAAGTCAGTGGCATTACTACCAACCCATTACTACCAACCACAGATAGGAAAGTGATCCGGACTTGCACATGTTCCCAGCTCCACCAATCCCAAACCGAACATAACGTTGTTGCGTGTTTGATTCCGATCCATGGCGTGGAATGTCATTCTTGAGAGCCATTTCCCATGATTGAATGATTGTCGTTCTCCCGGATAACAGGGAGTCTTCTTCATCGTGGGGCTTCTGGCTCTTCGCCCATGGCCATAATTTCCAGAGACATCGCATGGTGTCTTTGAGATTGGGTTCAGATTTATGCAAGGGGTATGACATATCCCCCTCGTTGGTGCTGGGGTCTCTGGTGAGTCTAGACAGACTGCAAGATCCTGAGCATCTTGCTTTGAAGTCTCGAGCTTTATAGCTTACAGACATCTGAACATTCCAAGCTTTGGGTTACACAATGTCGTATCACAAGCATACTTAGAATATATATGGTCGTTTGTTTCCTGCCTATTCGGTCCACCTACCAGGCTGTTCAGCTCACTTGGGCATGGATGGAGACCCAGAGACAGCGGTAGCACCTGAAAATAGGTAGAATATCAGGAAAGATACAAGGGCATACCTGGCAAGATGCAGGTGAGATTACACTCATTACGTAGCTGGCTTCCTTTACCCCTTTGCTCTGAATGTTGCTACGATATCGTTGTTCGTGTAACCCATCTCTGATCCCCGGAAAGGCTTGTGTAGACCAGGAAAACACTGACACGGAATGAATCAAGTGATCATTGCGAAGGAGTTTCAATAATTACAAGGTTGGCCCATGGTCATAAGCTTAAAATTTCCCCGCCCGATGAATGCAGCTGTTTAGGTTCGCACGCACATGTGGACAATATAAGCTCAAATAGCCGACTGGTCATTGCTAGCTCGCTTACATCTCCTCCTTCCCGTTCCGTAAATCTTATCTGGGTGCGGAGCAATCAAGCTTCCTATTCAAAGAACGGCTAGCGTCCCCCGTCGGAGTGCGGCATGTTTCATTTCAGTGGTCCGTGGGTTGCGACGACATTCAGGTTGAGATGGAGAAATCCATGCAGTTTCCATTCGAGATGTTATACAGAATATGGAGTAAATCAACTGGAAGTTTCAATACCAGTACATGTGCATGACACTTATGGCAGTAGAGTTATCAGATCTTCCGGGGATGATCTACTTCCAACAGTACTCCGCACAGATCTTGTTTCGTATCTATCGCCGGATCCAGCTCGGGTACTTGTCAATTTCGGTGAAAAAAGGATATTCCTTCGACTTTAAACCAGTGGCGAAAGACCGTATTGTACCCGCGGATTAAGCATGCGTAGAACCCCACAAAAAAAGTCATGCAAAAATCCTCCTGTTTATCCATCTCCAGCGTCAAGAGAGGAAAATTCTGGACCTATTATAACTCCGATTTTTGGGGTTGATGGTGGGGCAAGTCGTAATAGCCATGCTATAATCTCCGGTAAAAGTGGTACCTGGCTCCAGCAGCACGCGCGCCATTGGGAGGGGAATGGGCGATTCCACAAAGGCTTGGCGCATCCGGCCCATGGCATCCCGAATCAACGATCTTTTGCAGGCAGTAAGGTAATCCTCGAATTCTGAACAGAGAAAAGCAAGGTGAAATAAAAGGGGGTTGAAGATAGAAACATATAGAAATCAGACATGTAGAACAGAGAAAGGACGAGATATATGATTAAATTATGCCTGAGGCCACATATCTCCGTTCCTTAACTTCGCCTCCACAAACCTTGGAAACCTTGTGCTTATCTGCATCTTTCTTTCATTCTTTAACCTTTTCCCCTCCATTCGCTCCTTTTCTGCTCCTTTTCTGCTCAACTTGTTAAACTACTGTCCTATCTTGTCTTCCTACATCCTTCCGAGTGCAATGTTCCCACAGTTGGGTTGATTTGCGACTTCACCTTTACCCTAATCCGACCCTCCTGCGCTGTAGCAGTACCTGAATTCACGCGCTATTGAGACTGGAGAAACGGCGCATACAGTCGCCTTTCCCCTTCATCATGTTGCTCAAGCCCGCGACACCCCTCACCATCTTGCTATTCATCGCTTTTGCGTTAATGCTAATCACCTGCATCTCCACCCCCATCGTGAAGGGCATTCCCCTCGCGACCTATAAAAATGTCGATTACGGTGTTTTTGGATACTGCGACAAGAATTCGTGTACCGGAATTTCCGTGGGATACACAAGCAGTGAGTTTCTGTGGTTCTTCCTTCAAAGCTTTTATGTCTGCCTAGACGGTTGCTAAGCCTCACCAGCGAACGATGGAAACGAATTCGATCTCCCCTCGAGTACCCGCAAATCTCTCTCGGCCATCCTGGTCGTTCACCCTATCGCTGCCTTCTTGAACCTCATTTGCCTCTGCCTAGCCGCCGCGGCGCACTTCCATGGCCCCTCGCATTCCCCGCGCTTCCTACTGGCCCTACTCATCCTCCTCTTGCCCACACTTCTGGTCACCCTTCTTGCCTTCCTGGTCGACATTCTACTTTTCGTGCCGCATTTGAAATGGGGTGGTTGGATTGTACTCGCGGCGACCATTCTCCTCGTCTCCTGCGCGGTCGTCACTTGCGCTATGCGCCGGACCCTCGTCAGCCGTAAGGCCAGGAAGAACCGCATCGCAGAAAACGCAGAGATGAGTGGAGAGAACTATTACAATCGACAGAACGCAGCCGCAGCAGCGATAACGAACGATTTCCCTCCAATCCCCGATACGAAGGAACCCATGGTATCTGGATCGTCCACCGAAGAGCCATCGTTCGCCGCATTCCGCACCACTACTCGAGAAAGTGATGATGACCGCACGCCGCTCAATACCCGTACTGCATTAAACGATGTTCCCCCGCCCCCAGACCGTCGTGGAACTCCGTACCGCGCACAGGATGAGGGTCTGCCTCCTACCGGCCCTTATGGCGCTGGGCCAGGTGCTGGTCAAATGATGCGTAACCCATCTGACCCTCGTCTTCGTTCTCAGTACTCCGATGGTAGCATAGGCCGACAAGGCACTCCCCCTGGATTCGCTGCACCTGGGTTTGCTCCGCGTGGCCGGGGTGGATACCCTCCCCGCGGCGCCTACCGCGGTGGCCCTTACAACGGTCCCCCTCGAAGCCGCGGCGGCTATATGGGTCCTATGACTCCAAGAGGTCGCGGTGGACCGCCTCGGGGACCACCCCGTGGTGGGTATGGGTATGCGACTCCCCCAAACCGTGGCTTTGATCCGTATAGCCGACCGCTACCTGCCGACCAGGTCTATGAGCCTCATAACATGGCAGCTGCTGGTCCAATGCGCGAACCTTCTCCTGGCCCGATCGGAATGGCGGTGTCACCCGAAGCCGTAGGCCAGGCCATTGAAATGACCCACCAGCCACGGTATCATGCCGACCATGATTCGATGGCCATGCGTTCTGACTCCCAACCTCATGCTGTGTCCGTGGATGGTCACAATATGCCGCTTGAGAGCCCGACAAGCGAATATAGTCGTCCTGAGTAAGTTATCTCCCATGCCATGCCGAGTAATTTCTATTAACCACATTCCTTAGTTCTTTTGTCCCAGCTCGTGCCGCATGGGGTGCAAATGATGGTCGCCGTACTCTTTCACCTCGCCCGCCCCCATCACCCGTGCATACGACAACTCCCGGGGTTGCTTACTACGAGGACGTAGATCCTCGGTTCGACCGTCAACCTTCACCTCAACCTCAGAATGCCCAACATCCTTCGGCTCTCACTCCTGGAGCAGTCCACTGTGAGTTCATCTAACCCGTCTAGCAGAACGTGGTGCTAACACCCTTTTAGTTTGATGAACCGTAATGAGTGGTCCTCAGCCCCAGTTTGCATGTCCCGACGTTACCTTTTATGCGATACCCCTTTCTAATCCTCCGAATACTGCTTGATGATTTGTAATTTTCCTTTCACCTCGACTTCATGGCAATGCGGGTCATTACGCACAGTGGAGTTATGGGTTTGATTTACTCCCTGGAGGCTTTTTATTTTGATGTGGGCTTGATTGTTGTGGTGCTAGCCTGTTCACCTCTGTTGCATTGTTTTGAGTCGTGAGGGCAAAAGCTGGGCTTTTCTCTATCTTCTTACGGATTCCACCTCATCCGAATGTACAGCGACTTAGGATGTACAGAAATCGATTCTACGCCTCTTTTCAATATTAAAAGAATTTTCTGCTTTCGATCTTTAAGGTTCTATCCATTTATTCGGTCCTTGTGGCTTATTTTGACTGTTCGTATTCCTCGAAATCCATGGATCTATATCGATGTGCACGTGATATGACGTTATGCTTCCCTCTCCAGGATTCGAGATCGCGCATTCCTCATGCCGATCATGACGGCCATGCCTGCCATAAAGCTTGATTTCAACATGCGCCACTAATTTTATTTCCTGTGCAGGCTTTCTCCACCGTTTAACGGTCCCTGTTGATTAATTATGCTCTCATCGCAGGAAATGTCATGCCTTCTGCTGTGTACAAACTTGCACATTCTACTGTAGGATCAAGGGTTTAACTGGGTCTGAACAATATGAATGACCCGGGACTTGACGACGCCATTGCTGAGGAGTCAGAAGTTCTAGATCAACATCCCTCCCAAGGCCGCCGGGAAAACAACAGTACCGTTTCCGATAGCAATGGAAAGCCATACCAACAAGACTCATCGAACTCTTTGTCAGCCCGATGGTGGTTCGCAAGCACGGTTTATCCTTTGACAGCTGTACGTACTATCCAAAGGGTTGAAATAATGTCCGGAATGCTAATACATACAGGGAACGTTTGGGCCAATGGCAAGCGCATTCAACGTATGTTGTCTAGCACAAACATGGAGGATGGTTCCAGATGCCCAGGGCGGATATCTCAATGTTACTGATCCAAAATGGTATGCCCGGTCAAATCCATCTCAAATGTATGTCTAATGACACGTTATCCAGGGTCACCTCCGTGAACGCACTATCGCTGCTGTTTGCTCTAATCGCCAACCTCTTCCTGTCGTTGAACATGGCACGTCGGGTTCAATTCAGATTAACCCAGCCAATCATTGTGATTGGATGGTTCCTCTCTTCCGCGCTATTGATTGCCATCCTTATCCCGTTTGGAGTGATGATGTACAGACCCGAGAACTCGAATCACATTTACAGCCAGGCATACTTCTATGGTGCCTTCGCCGCGGGTATATACTTTATCATCGCGTGTTTGTCAACGGTAACCGCATACGGAGCCTATAGAGGTCACTACTCCCGTGAGTACAAATTGAGCACGAGCCAGCGAACTTTGATGCTGCAGACGATTATCTTCTGCATATATCTTCTTGCAGGCGCTGCAGTCTATTCAAAGGTTGAAGGCTGGCGGTTCTTGGACGCGGTCTACTGGGCGGATTACACCCTGTTGACCATCGGCATTGGCAACTTTGCCCCTTCTACTCATCTTGGTCGTGGCCTGCTTTTCCCATACGCTGTTGGTGGAATTGTGATCCTTGGTCTTATCATCTCGTCAATACGAACGCTCATGCTGGAACGGGGACGTCAAATAATGGCCAATTCCCTGGCTGCACGAACTCGCAGGTTTCTTGTAAAACAGGCGACCTCGGACAATAATCGGCTTCGTGGTCTCGTGCCAGACTTACCGCCTCGCGATCAAGAAACGGACGAGATCACTGAGCGCGAGCGACAAAAACGAGAATTCATTACCATGCGAAGGATTCGGCAAGTCGCTACTGTGCAGCATAAGTGGATTTCACTCGCCATTTCCTTGACAGTATGGATGGCCATGTGGCTCATCGGCGCGGTAGTATTCTGGCGATCCGAGCAAAGTCAAGCATGGACATACTTCGAGGCACTCTACTTTGCCTACACAAGTCTCTTGACCATCGGATACGGAGACATATATCCTGAAAGCAGTCTAGGGAAATCATTTTTCGTTTTCTGGTCCCTGCTCGCCGTCCCCTCAATCACCATTCTCATTTCCAGTATCGGCGACACACTTGTTCGGTTCATCCGGGATCTAACCCTTTATATTGGTGAATTGACCATCCTCCCCGGCGATGAGCCCTTCTCGGACCGCCTCAAAGACATTTTCCGCATGTCCTGGTCCGACAAATGGGTGGAAGAAACCCTCGGCGAGAGATCCACTGATGATATCTTGAACGAGAAAAACGAGAAAAGGGACCCCGAAAAAGCCAACGGCGAAGCAACCCGCTATTTCGAAGCAGAAGAGCGCAAGAGACAAGACTCAGCCCATGCCCGCGGTGATGTTGCAGGTGAAAGCCTACATCACTACCATTACCTTCTCTTCCACGAAATCCGAAAGATGATGGAGTACACCAACTCCAACAAAAACAAGGAATTCGATTACCTTGAGTGGGAGTATTACCTGGCTCTTATCTCAGGTAAACATCGGCCTGCATCTGTAGCTGATGAACTCAAGAACTCGAGTGATGAGGAACGAGCACGCGCATTGAAAGAATGGAGCTGGATTGATAAGCGAAATCCGTTAATTGGGGAGAAGAGCGAGGTTGAGTGGTTACTTCATGAGTTAACTGAAGCTCTTGAGAGAGAATTGCGTCGTTCTAGTCGAGGAAATGTTTCTGATGGGTCAGAGGACAGGAGTTTCCAGAGGAGGAAATCAGGTTCTTCGGGGAGTAAAAGTGGTTAGGTTTTTTTTCTAGTTATATGTAGCCTTTCAAGTGTAATAAAATGTTCATTGATCATTGAAATCAAATGGAAAAATTCAACAGAGAAAGCTCAAGTGCAAGTCCATTTCGTCTGCGTAACAATCCTCTGAAACCGCGCCACGTTTACCCTTTTACCAATACCTAGATCCTTCTACCCAAACTTCTCCCAAATCACATCACAAATCTTACCATAAGCATCCATCTCCCTAGGATGAATACCCTCCAACATCTGCCCAAACTTCCAAAATTTTCCAAATAGCTGGCGATAGGGGTCGATAGTTGAAGCAGGGCTGTCAACTGTATGCATGGGTACTAGTGCGTGACATTATATCACTTTCTAACATTTGATACTAGATATTAGATATGACCATGCTAATCTTTTTGATCTTTAAGAGTCCGCGCCGCTTCGGGTGTCTCCTTCCAACTTCGCAACGAAGGGGGCATCCGCACTCTTACAAAGTGGGAGTAAAAGAAGCATACATGTTACATAAAAAATTTTAAGCAGTCCTTATGTGGCTATTTGATTTTGCCTTGTAATTGGACTATGCAGCTTCAAAAGTGATGACTGAAAGAAAGGTGGTAGCTCGTTCACGTTTTGAAGTTGAAATATATATTTCGGGTACATATATAAGGCAAACGTCATTTCCCCCGAAGTTTCGGCCTAGGGCTGGAATCCCAAGCTAGATCCCAATATAAATTCTAAGTTAAAACTACAGGCAGTATTTAAGGGTTCGAGCTAGGTCTTAGTTTTCGACCGAAAGACAAAGGGGTGGGATATATGTGCATGTGCCGAAGGGCAGCGACGAGGATAAGAGAAATCGGAAGAATTTTGAAGGAAATTCAGCGAGGACAACCGGCGAAGACGTCCATGTAAGGTTGTATTTTAACTTGGAGCATTGAAGGGTACCTGGGAGGTTACATGACTGCAACTTTTAGATTCATAAATCGGAGTGAATCGTGAACCAAGGCAATTATGTATTACCATTGAAGACTAATAGCGAACCAAGGAAATAAAACAACGCCAGACGAGTATCAAACATCAGAACAGAAGGAGACAAGAAATGTAGTCTGATAACCTGCCATGAATAAGGAATGGAAAGAAAAGACGCTGTAGATAAATGCTGTGGAACAAATATGGATGCACCGGCCACTTTTCTTCTATGTACGCATCACGTCACATCGCATCGCAAAGATAAGATAAGAGAAGAAAAGGAAACAAGATATAAGGCAAGGACCTAAAGATAATTCTGCTGTCATGCATGACACGCAACGATATCTTAGAACCCGTGCATACTCCGACTTGCCTGGCTGGCTCGGCTGGGAGCCTGGCTAGCGCGGCTCGGACTCGTGCGACTCGGCTCATCCTCCTCGAGGACATCACTCAGCCGTGTAGGGTGACGGTGTCTGGGCGTGACGGCTTCCCAGCCGGACCCAACACCCCATCCTGAACCGCTGTAGTCTGCACCCGTGGTAGGCGGATAGGGGGCGGGTACTGATCCAGAGCTGGCACCAGAAGTGTACGCGCCGTCGGTTACGTACTGATGATCGTCAGCGGGCAATTGGTCGCCGTATTCATCACTTGCCTCTGAGCGAGGAGCTGGGTGTCCGTACGAACGGCCCTGTTGGTCTTGCTGGTAGCTGTACTCTTCTTCGCCAGGTTCGCTGCTGACGTAGGAGCGGTCGTCTGGTTCGGAGGTTGCGGGGCCAGGATAGGCGGCGGGGTTTTCGTGAGAGTACATCTCGCTGGCGTAGGGAGCCTGACTCGACGGGGGGTGTTGGGGTTTCTTGGGCTCTACGAAGGGGTCGGAGCCTGTTGGTGACATCGGGCCCGCTTCATCGTAGTATGAGGTTCCAGTGGAGGGGTTAGTAGGTTTGGCCTGGTAGTCGCCTCCCATGGTGGTGGCCGTTGGCCCGCCGGGGTATGGACCCTCGCGAGTTTGTGGGCGCTGGCGACTGGGCACACCTTGGATCATAGGGACGACCTGGACACCACCTACAAGAGTGGGCTCTCCGTTTCGGAGGGAGTTGGTTCTTTCGCGCTCCTCTTGCTCGCGACGGCCGAGTTCCTCCCACGCCCGACGTGCCTCTTCTTTGGAGATCTGTAGCTCGCGACGCATTTCACGAAGCAATTCCTCTGCACGGTTCTTGTCCTGCTCAGCAGTCTGGGCTGTAGCAAAAGCATCAGCACGGCCTTGCCGTTCAGCCTTGAGTTGTCGTTCAAGGTCTGCTTGCACCTCCTTCGCTCGTTCCTGCTCGGAGCGAGTGTCGAAGAACCATCGCTGGAACTTGCGCTCAGAGGATGCGCGTAAACGTTGCAGTTCAACCACGGCGTGGAATAAATTCGCGCCAGCGGCTGACAGATCCGTGATCTGACGAGCTAGCTGCTTGCTTATCGGGTCTCCTTCCACTTCGCCCTTATTCTCTTCCATTTTCCGAACCCAGTAGCTGGTCAACCCCTCCCAGTGTGAGGATAGGGTTTCCCATCTCTCGAACGCATGAGGAAAGGAGACACGCTGAGGTTGCTGAAGGGATTGCGGTGCGCCAGGCTGGGTAGGGGCCTGAGTCGGCTTGGTGACGCCACTGGTTCCAGTTGGATCCCCCGTTCCAGCCGCAGTGGCGCTTTGCGCACGAGGCGGTGGTACAGAGGGCCCGAATTGTTGGCTGGGCTGTGGTTGATTTGCATAGTCGACTCGACCTTGTGCAGATGGTGTAGCACGGAGGTTTGGTGCGGGCCCAGGAGCAGTACCAGAAGCACCTTCAAATTGGGTCTCTGGTCCTCTGGTTGGGCGTGGCACCCGCGTTCGACGCTGGGACGCTGGATCATTGGCAGGGCCCGCAAACTGCTGTGCTTGGGCCTGGGCCTGAGCTTGAGCAATCGCCTGCTCTTGCTCAAATTGCTGTCTCTCCACCTCTTCCTGTTCCTTCTCGCGGGCTTCTTGTTCGGCTTTCCGACGTGCCTCGCGATCCCGGCGTTGTCTCATGATGTCTGTCGGCGTGCGCATACCACTGGGAGGTTGCGATGGAACCTGCGCAGGGGCTGGGGGTGCGCGTGACGCTCCATTCTGAACGGGCCCGGCGGGACCAGCTACACCTACCATATCTGACATAGAAGCATTCACTTCTGCCCAGTCGAATGTGAAGGGTATAGGGCGGCGGATGGCGTCCTCAAGAGCAAAGAGAATAGCCGACGCAGTGCGCGATGAGACACCGGTGGTTCTCCGTGGCCAATACGAGGAGTTGAGAAGCTGATATGGATCGTCGATAGTCGATCCGTTCTCGTCCGTATGCGCTTCTGAATGAGCTGGGCGTATGGCAGCAATTCCACTCTCCGGAGCTCGTGCGGAGGTCGGGATAGAATGAGCTTGGGGCTGTGCGGGTTGTCTTGTAGAGTGATCAAGGGAGAAGGCTCGGCGATGAGGCAATGGGGTAGCCTCTGGCTGACGGCGAACTCGGCGCAAGGTACGCTGGGAGCCACTGGCCGAGGGTGGGCGGTAATCAGCTGAATGGGAGGATGAAGGACGGTGTGTAGGTTGACGCTGGGGCGCAAAGGTCGTAAACGTTGGCTGGTCGTAGGTATCGTGGACTTCGTTAGACGGTGGACGAGTATGTCGAGACACGTCTGTCAATGGTAGGTGGAACGTAGGAAGGTTGGACAAAACTGCGAGCTTGTTGCGTCACTGGCACTGAAGTTGAGGTATCGCGATCACGGAAGTAGGATCGGAGATTCCTATTTCTCCAGCCCAGCTAGCTTCAGAATTGAACCCTTGAAATTAAGTAGAAAGAAGTGTAAAATAAATCGATTAGGAGCGTAATTGGACTTGAAAGGAGGAGAGGACCCAGTAGTTGAGGACGCGGTGGCTGGTTAATTAGGATGGCTGGGGTTCGCCGCAGCGGCAGCTGCAGCGCACCAAACGTGTCTCGGTGATCATAAAGCACCAATCCAGCTACACCAGTCCAGGTTCAAATCAATGAGGCTTGATGACAGGATGATGGGATTCGAGTTGAGGGAATGGATGTGGATTATCCCGAAGAATGGGCTTAGCTGGAATGTTCCGACTTCTCGTCTTCCGCAACCCGTAGCTATCTGATCTGATCTGATCTGAATCTCCGGAAATTGGGTTAGATAATCTCACTTAATCCAGATTCTGTGAACACAGATATTCGTCAACCCTTGAGTATTCAACGCACGTCGCGCAAGTCCAAACTGAAAACGTCGGGCTTTTTCGGAAAAGCACTTCAATAATTGCCTGCAGCTGAAGTAGATCGGTCGCACAGGTACGAGATAGAGATCTCATCGACTGGTACCTAACTGGTTTAACTTTGGATGAGAAGGTATCGCTATTCAGTATAGCACTTGAGCTTAGGGGAACTGGTTCCTGAAGTCTCAGCAGTTGGCAAAATCGGAAAAACATGATTATCCATTTGATCCATGGTTGGGCTTGGAGACTAGTAATTTATGTTTGTATTTGTCTTGTGCGCTGCTTGTGCACTGATGCGTTGGCAATGCGGGATGTCGGGCATCGATATATATATATATGAGGATCTGGGAATCTCCCAAAAATCAATTGATTCAAAGGAACTTTATTAGAGTCGTTTACTGACACTTCAATGTTGAAGTCTTGTTGAGCTTCTAAGGGACAGGAACAAAACAGAGAGAAAATGGATGGGATCCATTCGTTCCAATGGTTCAATCGGCTCCGGCTCGCAATTGAAATTGATGGCACGAACTATTCTTTCCCCACAAAGTCCCGACTTCCGACTTCTATTCCACCATTGAATCCGCTATTGGTGGAATAGCAACTAGGCTAAATCTGCATCTACGTGGCATTTCGATATAGGACTGTACATTCTACTCGACAGCCTGAAACTCTCTTACTCTCTCATTGTCTTTGCTGAACATCTCGCCCCACAGTGACGTCGATTCAGGCCTAGATCTGATCCCTGAGATCCAGACCCGTCCAAACTTGAGTGCTGCCAATACTGCAATACTACTTGAGGGACTCACAGGTACTGTTCCTAGACACTATCCTAGAAACAACCAAAATAAACACGATCGAGCAAGGGTAACCTCTCGACCAACTCCAATAGACGGAACACGCAAGGGCCGGGATCAGTCCAGGTCGGAAAATTTCAGGCCCGAAGAAACAATAGACTCAGCGGAAGTGGTGCCGTTGCATCGCGGACGCAACATATTTTTTTCCCCGATCATCGAGAAAGGGGAAGGAAGTCCCAATATACAGGTAGGTTTCAAGCATGCCTTGCAGCCTGCAGGTCATCTAAGATCCCCGGGAAGTTTTGGAAGTGAGATGTTTCAGTATCTCCTGTCCACTGGATCGGGTCTCGGAAATCCCGTAAGCCAATCACGGACCTGAGACGAGAGACAGTTTGGCGGGGGATCTGGTTATCCTTTCCGGTCCCTGGGGATCTCAAATTGTATTAGGGGTTTGCTCCTGGACTGGATAGGTACGCCCTCGAATCACCTTGCAATAGGGGCTTTGGGTTTTCCGCGAGGCCCAGCCCTTGGTCTAATTTCGATAGGGAGCTAGAATTGATTGATGTTTGATGAGAATATCAAATTTTTCTAAATGTGGCTGCAATAGACTATCCTCTACAGGCTAGGAATGTGACATTTGGTGGGAGGCGAGGGCCATGCATTGAAAAAGTACATTCAAGCAGAATGTATTCCCAGCGCGCATGAACTGGAGGGAATCGAGGCTCTGGATCCTGTCGATCAGGGGTTGTGAACGCTAGATATATATGATATACTTGGTCACTGCAATATGTGCAGTTGAACGGGAGCCCCGTCTGTATAGCGGGATGCAATGCACGACTAACTTTTCATTGGAATGTGGGGAAGTAGAGAACAGATGGTTTCCAGGGCAAAATAGACAACATTGGAAGTTGATTGTATCAATTTGGGAGTAAATTGACCTGGAAATTGATCTGGATCAGTTTCAGAAAAATTAGTCTGTAGTTCATCATTCCGAGCAGATCAGAATCTGACAGGCAGAGCTTTCTCGTATAATTCGATTGGTCCAATTCTCGAAACATTGATCCCCAGCCAATCAGTGCATCTCGGACTTGCCGGTACCGATCCAATGTGATATATCGAGTGTCAAGCGTGTAACGAGTCGCTTGCTACGGCGCAGCAGCAAAGCCCTTGACGCACACAGAAACCTAGGATCTTGCACCCGGCAAATTGGACGATTCAGAGCACTACGATGGAAAGAACAAACAGCGAATAGGCTGAGACTGATGCAAGATAGCCCGCTGGATGTAGTGTCAGGTTGAACAAGCAATGACGTAGAAGAAGAAAGGCAAAGAAAAGAAGCAAAGAATTCGGGCAATGAAACGTTACAGACGGTACTAGATAGATTGAGGCTCGAGTGTTCAGATAATACGTGGTTGCCAGGAATGAGACTGGAATGGGATAGGATGTGGCTTCGCCTTACGAAGATCATATGGAGTTATGGCGTTAGTGGCTCACCGGAATACATCCGACTGACACATCTCACATTCCCTTTCATGTGCTTCCTACCAGCAAAAGGAGGGGAAAAGAAAAGAAAAGAAAGTACGAGAAAGGAAAATCAAAGCCAAAGGGAAACTATGTAGAGTCGAATGAAGTCGAAGAAATCAACAAAAGTCCCGGATGGCGTTCCGCTCCCTTGCTGAAGCCGCGAACTGGTCCTTGCTGAACATCCCTGCCACGGAAGGGGACGCCATGTAAGGTTGGATAGGTCATGATCGTCCGTTCTTTTGTTTATGCATTTGGTATGCCCTGGGCCAGATTTGGAGGGGGCTTGATACCTCGATGACTTGATGGCTGTAATATGTTATTTTTGGTATAAACTATCCCCTTCCATCCTATTCTCCATTCCTCATTCCTCTCCACTCTATCATCCTTCTATCTTTCTTCACTGCCTGGATCCTTCTTGTTCGTACGGAATCAAAGTCCATGGCTCTAGGAGATTGTTACTGTCCCGGAGAGTTGGACGTGTTGCACGAAGACCGGAACAGATCACAAACAACTATTTGCTTGCCATCACCATCAACGGATCGAGTGTCAACCTACCTGCCCAAGGTAGGACCCAAGGCTCTGGAAGAGTCTAACCAGGATCCATTCTACCTGGAGAAGTCGCTGGCTGCGACACCAATCTGGGACCAACATACACCGACAATCCGCGATGATAGATTCAGTGGTGACAATAGCCAATATTACACCCTTTCTTTGACCAACGGGAATTACAATTCGAATCATCAACAGGATTCATCACAATACACTGGCCCAGATCGATCTACCCTTGCTCAAATCCAATTGGAGAATACCTTACGGTTCCACCGATACACATCCTCGACTGAAGAAGAAGAACGACGACCCCTACACAGCAGCCAGGAGTCGTTCAGCTCAGTGCAGACCGACGCTACTGTGCCAGATTTGACACCGAGCAGCTCGTTCTCATCTACCTATTCTTCCCCTCCTTGCCCTGACGCCGTTATCAAGGCCACCGAGAAGCTCTACCAACACGCCCACCAGGTTCAGATCGAGCCTCGTCGCGCCTACAACCAGCAAGCAACGGCGCCTCCAAAATACTCTCTGCCACCTCCCCCCCAGTGGCTGCGCTCGCCCCGATAACTCGCCCTACCACTCCTGCCGACTGCACATCTACCCACACAATGAAGTACGAGACATCCAGTATGTCATCCTCATCAAGAAGAAGGCACAAGGCACACCCAACTCTGCCAAACCTATCCAATGCATCCAGCTCTCTGAGCTCCCGCAGGAAACAATCAAGCCCTGGAACACGGCCTCCCTTGGATCCATCTATGATCTCACCTCCGAGCTTGATCAACCCGGTGACCATGGAGCCGCATGCCACACACTTCGACCAGGCCTTGTTCATCCCTGCCAATGATGGCGCAAGCCCTATTCCCAGCCCTGTGGCCAGCTCCCCTCCTATTTCGCGCCAGTGGACTGCTACCTCCATGGAGCGTCCGTCTATCTCCACCATGGATGCCTACTGTGAGCAATCCGTTTGGGAATCAGACTCAGAAAACGAGTCAATTAGCAACAAATCACTCTCCCGCAAACCTATCGATACATTACGCAAAGTTCGCAGCAGGGCTAAGTTACGCGCCGCCAAATCTCAACCTCGCCTACGCCAAGCTGTGCTCGATGACCACCTCCCTGAACGCTTCCCATGTATGCCAGATGATGCTCCCATCGAGTTTCATGACCCCTTCCGGGGTGGCAGCATAGATCGCCCTAGCACTGGTCGGCCCAGTATTAGCCGCCCCAGCACCAGCCGGGATGGCTCAAGGGCTCACCCTCTTCAAACCCTCCGGCTAGTTGCACCGTCATCCGTCTCCCTTGTCAAGCCTCGCTCCCAACATAACAGCAGCAGTGGTCTCCATGATAGTGCCACTGAGTCCGAAATGGACTGGTCTGCAGCTGCAGCCATGCAAGCCCAGTACCGTCGTCGTGAACGCTCCGACACACCTGAATTCGCCAAACCAGAAAAAGAGCAGCTCACATCCATGTGCTACGAGCAACACTCCCAGGCCACTTTTCAAGACGCAGCCCAAGAACAGAAGCCCTTTTTCCGCCGCATGCTAGACTCCATTCGATCACTCAACTGCGCCCGCCCTACGAAATCAACCACGACTACTACTATCTGATGCCCATGACTCTAGACGGTGCACGGCGTTCTTTGGCGTTCCCACGTTTGCATGCACTGCAACGATTTCCTATTTGATGCTTCTATGCTCTATGCTTTCTTTTTGTCATGAACTTCCATGATACTGCATCCACCCCTGCCCAAAAATACCCGGGCCTTGGTATACTCTCAATGAAACTTCCGTACCAATGAATTCACGGACGAACACACGAAAACGACACCCCAACGAAAATTGCCTGCGGGCTCTACTGTCTTTAGCTTTCCTTACTGTTTGACCCCGGGGCTCCGCCTCATCCATCTTTATGATTATCCAATATCTATTACCCACAACGCTGTATCATCATCTTTCATATCATTTCTTACGTTCTCACGGTCTACTGATTTTGGGTCTTTACACTCATGTCCACTTTCTCGTTGCCTCATGTATGATCTACTATATAATGATACAAGAACCCAGCTAAGACTGTATTTCCATGGTTTCACGAACCTAACTATGAAGGAATTTGGGGCACAAAAGCATATTGTTAGCATAATGCAAAATGAAAACAAAGTTCAAAGAACATCTCCCTCCCACTTCGATCCTCCCACAGCTGTTGTCTAGGTAATCGATCTACATACTGGAATGCGAAGCACAATCAACTCGTTACCACCACCACTACTACATCAGCTTTGATACCTGCTTCAGGTATTCAAAAATACTACCAAATCATCAAGACATAATTAAATGAACTTCATCCCACCTCCCGTACAGGAATAACCCAAGCCCCCATCTCATCTCTAATTCCAATTTCTTTCAACCCACATCCTTTCGAATGTATCGCATGTAGGGACGACAGCCAATGTATTGATACAATGTCTCGAGTTTATCGGGCTCGATGCATGCAAAAGTACCATGCTGCGTTCCCTGATCCTGGTTACGGGAGGGATGTGATCCCGGGTCCTGGGTCCTGTCAAGGGTGAAATTACAGGTCCGATTTTGATCTGCAGGTAGCCGGTTCCCTTCCGCAGAAGTACGGGTTGGATTTGGGTTTGGGTTTGGGTTTGGGTTTTGTTTCAGCTTGAGGTTGTTATGCTTTGAACATGGGAGCTGAAGTATTTCTTGAATTCATTATCCATGGATACCATGTAGGACGAATGAAATTGGAATTGGATTTGGATCTGGATTTGGAATTGTAAACATTCATTCGATCTTCCTATTCATCACAGTGGCGTGGATGCGTGCTTTAGTGTAGAACCACGACGCATAATCCGTATGGAGTACGCAGTACAAAGTACTTAATTGCTATACGAGGCGCGAAGTACTTTTTCCGGCTGTTTTCTCTTGTTCATGTGCTTGTACGGAGTAGACTAATCATCAAAGCTAAAGCGGCACCACATCTCGATTTGGAGCTCATCTCATCCCTTGCGTTTTTAACGTCTCCACGCCACCGACGCACCCACTAGTTTGTTCGGATTTCACCACGGTCGCGGCAACTTTTGATTTTAGGCAACGCAAATAACATCATTCGGTATCAAAATTCACATCGGATAGGTACGGAGTATGGCAGTCTGATATCATACAGGTCTAGGTGAGGTGCCCGCCACCAATCGATTCCTTAATCACAAATCCAGCACAAAGCAGGTGGGGAATCAGGGTTCTAGTTTTCAATGCTGTTCAAAAGTCCCTCGGAGACGGAGGGTCGGAACCGGTCCGTACAGGCAAGGTTGTTCTGCCTGGTTCCGTCGGCTGCACTCCAAGTATTCCGCGAGACTAACTCCCCAGTGGGTTTCAGATGTATCGGACTTCTTTTTCTAGGATCCACATTGGTCTTGATCGGCCTAGATCGATCCTGCAGTTTGCCAAGGCGCGGTGTTTGATCGGGATCTGGAGTCTGGACAAACAATGGTCTATCATACAACCAGCTGTTCGCCCATCCGAATCCACAAGCCATGGCTTTTGAGAAATCTTGGCGTCGACGCTAAACTTTCTCAAGCGTACTTTGGTACCAATGTACGGATGAGCTTGGAATTATTCGTTCTCGCACAGCTCGATAAACAGCCTCCCTGCGCGAGAGTTTCGTGTCGATACTCCATCATCCTTGCAGCGCGGTTCTTCAGAGGTCTCTCAACAAATGCACCGTGCAGAAAAGCGGGACGGGGACGGGCAGGCAAGCCGGGATAGAACCATAGTCGCCTGGGGGCTGCAGGCCGTTCACCATGGAAACGGGCAAGACATGGTCCCCAGAGCACCATGCAAAAGGTGATAGAGCTTCACCGTAGCAAACCAGATAGGGATAGAGCAGGAGGGCTTCAACTCCGCTCAGCCGCGGCGCCTTTGTCTCCCTGTCCCTGGCCCTGTTCCTGTACATCCTCTTTCATCTCCAAGGCATCCATATTCTCCTCCCAAGCCGGAACAGCAAGTCTCTCCTCCCACCGAGAAATAACCGGATCTCCCTTCCTCCTTAGGTGAACCTCCGGCTTCTCCCCTGCATCCTGGCGCTGAACCTCTCCCGAAGCAGTATCAACCCGCGCCGACGCCCCGGTTTCAAATCCCGTAAACACAGCCTGCACATCTAGAGCTTTCATAGCCTCCCCGTAGATCCGTCGAACCCGCTCGCTGATTTCCCGCCGCGCCTCAGCGCCTTCACTGTCCACAGAAGAAGTCCCAGCACTACCCCGCGCGGCGGGCTTCTTCACCCCCGTTGCACGCTCTTCCAAACCACGCGAGATACCTTCTAAAATACCCAGAATCGTTCCTGCGCGCATGCCTAGTTGTGCTCCGACTGGGAAACCGCCGTCGAAGCCATCTTGGACGCGCTCGCCCTTAGAGACGGAGACGCCGTCGCGGTACCCCGCTGTGACGTGCTGGCGGCGCAGAGAGGGGAGGTCGGAGGGTTCGGTGGTGGTTGTGGATGCTTTGGTAGGTCCTGCAGGTCTGTGATCTCTGGTTTCGGCTGGTGGTGAGGATCCGAAGATGTCGTCGAGGGAATTGTCACCTGCGGGGTGTGCCGCGGCGTCGGTGTGGGAAGACATTGTTGTGGCGGGGGATGCGGGGATAGAGGATTCAGAGCTTGAGTCTGTATTTGGTTTCATCTGAGATAAAGATCCAGATTGAAGCTGAGCTGCTTGATCTCTCGAGGGGTTTAAATCTAAGCAGTGGTGTAGTGGGGTGAAGAGAAAAAGTTGTGATCTGCGGGATCCACTTTGCACGATCCATAGTATGAGCTTCAATACAAATTTGCTTACCACTAGAAATTGCGAATGTGGGTAATTCCGAGCCTGAATGAGGATACACTGCAAGTGATAAATGAGGCCTGGGAATTTGACAGCGAGCGAGTTTAACTTCCTACTCTTGCCTACATCAACGTCAGGTCGAATTGGCTTCTCAAGCTTGGAACTTACCACTCGACTCATCTCACCATTCTGTCGGGAACTCGATGAAAAATTTCAACATCCAATAACCAGATCAGTATTCAGCGAGGGGGTTTGTTCATTGAAAAACCGAAATGACAATCTCGTCTATCTACAAAAACGCCAGAGATGGCAGACTGAATGAAGAAAGTCTAAACCAATACATCAAACTCGGAGAAGACATCAATGCAGCAAGCGGTAACAAACAGTACACACCTCTGATGGCGGCTGTCCTGAATGGCCACAAAAATACCGTGAAGCTTCTCCTCTCAAACAAGGCGGATGTGGATCGACAAGCTCCCAGCGGAGAAACTGCCTTATGGGTAGCAACATCCAACACGAGAAGAAACCGCCTCGCCATCGTTTCACTCCTTTTGGTGGTAACTCCTAGGCCCAATCTCAACGTACAGCCTAAGATCGGCTCCCGTAACACGCCTTTGATGCAAGCGATTGTCAGGTTTGGAGATACCAAGGTCGCCAGCTTGCTTGTGAATGCGGGCGCGTCTCTGGGGGCACTGAATCTGGATGGCAAGACGGCTAATGAGCTTGTTATTGAAGTACAGAGTCATAAGTTGGCGCTGGCTCTGCCCCTGCTGGACGAGAAAATGGAGAACCAAGTTCCTACAACCACGAAGAATGTCAAATTCATTGCCTACGTGATATTCTGGCTGAGCATGATATTCACTTTCATCTTTTGTGCCCTACGTGCCTTGAAGGGTTACTTTGGGGCCAGCAGCTCCCAAAGTGTCCCTGTTTCGAAGTTAGAAAAACCGATGTCTCTATTTCCAAAACGTGACACTTCGACGAGGAAATACAGGAGATACAGGAGATACAGGACTGCGCCACAGCGGATGATTTCAAAGCGATAGCAGCCGGCCACGTCAGTGGGATCAATGTTGAGCGTTTCTCCTCTCAGAACAACGAGTCTTTACAGAAACTAATCGAGGATTTGGTGGTGTTGGAGAACCGAAAAAGCCCACTCAACACACAAGAGAACCTGAAGGCCCTCATCCTACTTAAACTTTATCAGCCAATTTTCTACTGTGGTAAGTATCTTTCACCTCTCTGTGTTTCAAGACCTTAATACCCAGCACCTTAGATGACAGCAGCTTTATGACAAGCCCGACTATCCAGAACATGAAAATCACACGTAAAGCGGCACAGAAAGATATCGTCTAGGATGTCACGCGCATCTTCCGCCTACCTATTCCTGAAGATGATGAGATCCACGTCTGCCTCATCAACAAGGATATCTACTGCGGCAATTCGAATTGCCAGATAATACGGAAGCATTTGGATACCGTTGAGGCTCGGGAAACGGACAGCGGGACAAATTGGAGGCTAATTGCTACCTACAGCCCTACATCTATAGGACAACGGCGAGGATTAACAGGATGGCAAAGGGGGTGACGGCGCCCAGGATTTGGCACTGTTGGCTCTGGGAGATCGCGGTGATCATTGTGACAGAGGTGACCAAAAGTCAGACGACTACAAAGAACAAGAGAGGAGGGGAGCGTACATACAGTATTCTTATCGTTCAATGTTCAATATCAATTGTGGGTCTTGTCCTCGGCCCCCACGTGGGATCCACGGCGGCTCGGCCCCCAACGGAGCACTGGATGTGTGACGCTAATCAATTGCAAAACTGGGCATTAGACTACTGAACTTAGCATTAGTCCAGAGGTCAAGGCGTAGTTCTGTAGTTATGATAAGTTGACGTGCTTGCCAGCGTCTTGCGCTACTTAATATCTCCTCCAAGCCTTCCACCAGCATCAATATCCCATACCCTCACTGACCAAAATGACCGCTTCCAATCCCACCCTGATCTTCTGCCCTGGGGCTTGGTACCCGCCCACAGCCTTTGAGCCCCTAGCCGCCCACTTCCCCGATCATACCACCCATACCGTCGCCTTCCCCTCAATCCAACAGGCCACCAGCGTCCAAGACCTGCAGCCTGACATCGACGCGCTCCGGACCCTGATTGAGCAGGAAGCCAACGCGGGCAAGGAAGTCGTTGTCATTTCGCACAGCTGGTCCGGGCTGCCTGTGAACAGCGCCCTGGACGGCCTCAGCAAGACCGAGCGACAAGCAGCTGGCGAGACCGGCGGGGTGACCAAATTGATCTTCATCTCAGCCTTCATCCCCGATGTCGGTGAGAGTCTGATTGGAGCCTTTGGCGGAGTTCCTCCCGAATGGTATAAGCGCGATGTAAGTCACCTACTCATTTTCTATTCTCTTCCGAGATCCCATCTCACCCCAACCTTAGGAAGCCAATGGCACTGTCAGCGCCGAGGACCCATACAGCCTTTTCTTCCACGATGTCCCCGACGGCGAACAATGGGCCCAGACCCTTCGTCCGCATGCCTGGGCGACTAAAAACTCGCCCGCTACCAGCGCCGCTTACACCCGCATCCCAAGTGCCTATCTCCAGTGCGAGAACGACCGCGCCATCCCACTATTTGTCCAGCAGTTGATGGTGGAGAAAGCCCGCGAAAAGGGCGCCCAAATCACCGCGGAGACTATCGCTACGGGCCATTCGCCGTGGCTGGTTGATCCCGCGCCTGTAGCTGCTTTCATGCAGCGAAGCCTGGCGTGAGTTCCGGTCTGTTGCCAGCATCGATGTGATGAAGACCATAGTTTTTGTTGTTAGAGTAACATGAAAGATTGTGTAATGTATCAGGGCGTTAAAACGAAAAGACACTAGCCATGTCCAGTATTTCTCAGGTCCGGCTAAACAATTCCATAGCTAACGTTTATGGATTGGTATACTTGACATCCACTAATGGATCTTCTGCGCGGTACTTTCTACTGATCAATCGGTCCTTTTATCTTATTCTACAGAGCTAGACCCGTCTTCTCAGCCTCTAGGTAGTACTCTAGTGAATATAATGTTTAGTAGGTAGGTAGTCCAGTAGACAGTCATACTAGGGAGTCTAAAAGGCAGTACAAGACAAAAGGGCAACTGGAATATAATATGAGTTCTTCTACTTTGCGCCACTGTAATCCGAGTTTAGACCAGTACTACTGCTGTGCTTCTAGCATCTGGTATATCGACCTGAATACTTGACTAGATATTAACCTGGGAGCCTGGCATCATGCCTCCAGTTACTATGAAAAACGGGGTGTACATACCTTCAAGTCATACATGTACATATGGGAGATTCGAGGCCTTTTTGAATCGGGTTGGAGAGAATGGGTGAGTAGTTTGGAGAGTGCCTCAAGCAAGTCTCATGAAAGAACTAATTGCTATCAAACTTGAAAATGACTTAGAATCTAAATAGTATTTTAATCTTGTTGAATCTATTAAGGTTACGCTCAATCGTCTTTAACGTACAAAACTGAGCATCATGATGTCCAGTATAAAAGAGCTTTACTCCCGCTGGGGACCTGGCACGAGTCGCCAGGCGCGCAGGGGTAAGCTTTGAAGCTTGGCAGCAGCGGGTTTGATAAACCACACAAACGTGAGAGTGCCAATAAGCACGCAGATAATGTTGGTAATGTAGTAGCCGTCACGGTCGACGATGCAAGTACCGCCGCCGTTTATACAGCGGTTCTTCTCTGGCTCGAGGGCGCAGGAGAATGCAGACGTGACAAGAGCATCTTTCAGCTGGTCACTTGGTGGGGCTGTGGTGGGTGGGAGGCATGTTGCCTTTGTAAAGAGATCGACTAGCTTGAGAACAAAGATACGAGGGAATGTTCCACCCAGGTTGCAGACGCTAAATCTGTGTTAGTGGTGACAATGGAATAGACGGGGCCTGACTTACGTTGCGAGGAGGGTCATGTAGGTGCCACCAATGCTTGGGTCTGCAATACGTGCATGGAATGCTGAAATGGCAACGAACATGACCGTGTTCATAAAGGTAGATACCACATGCTCGAAGATGACAGCCAGCATATACCAAAAGGGTACCTCTGATCCGCTGGGGTAGATCATCACAGTGAACTGAGCAAGTACAGCGGCGGCTAGGCGGCCGACAAAAGCCCAGCCCCAAAGTCGCATGGGTCCATGGTCAGTCGACCACTTGCCAGCATAGTAACCAAGCATGATTTCGAAGGGAAAGTCGATCAAGACGACCAAAGCCATGTTTTCCTGGCCAAAGCCCTTGTCCAAAAGTTTCAAACTGGTGACGCCGTCGTTAGCCTGGAAGCCAATCTTAGCAATCAAATGAATGAGAATGATGGTTTGAATGTTCTTCAGCTTCAAAACGCTCCACATGCTCTTGTACACATCCATGATGCTGTCACGCTCCTTGGTGCGGTCTTCCTTCTTCAGCAAAGCCAGACCCAGGGTTACAATAAGGTAGGCCCAGCCCCAGAAAGTCAAGTATGTGCCGAGCGAGAGCAGACCACCCTCACCAGGGATAGTGCGGAACCACCGATTCGCGAAGTCCTTGGAATTAAATGCCAGGAACACGGTGTATGACAGGAAGTGACCCGCTGTCAAACCAACAGTCTGAGCAGTAGATGCGTAGGAAATATTCGGAGGCGACATAAGGGTAATAGCCCAGCCGTCGACAGCGATATCCTGCGTAGCGCAGAAAAGCACCAGCATGAACCACCAGTATGTGAAGTTCCAGACTCCGGCGCCTCCATTCGCGCCAGCCTGCTCCATCATTTCCCCAATGTGGCGACCCAGGTAGATCATAGCAAGTCCCGCAATAACCTGAACCGGGGTGATCCAGCTCTTCCGGCGACCAAACCGTGGACTCCACACGGCATCAACAATGGGACTCCAGAACAGCTTCAAAGAGTAGGGGTAGGAGGCGAGTGAGAAGATGCCAATCTGGCCATAAGACAGATACGGTTTCAGAAGGAAAGGCACAGATCCGGTCGCAAGACCCATAGGCACGCCCTGCAAGAAATACAGAAGGCATAGCAACAGAAAATTGCGACGGTCACTTGTAGGTAGGTTATGGAAGCTGGTGGTGGTTTGGAGGGGAGTTTGAGGAACGATGACAGGGTCGTCATCGAGGGTGAAGCTAGATCGAGACATGAGACGAGCTGTTGCTTCGGCAGAGGAATCGACGGAGGGAGTATCGCGCTTGCGCATTTCGATGTTGTTCATGTTGCCGTTCGCATGGCCGTTGTGGCCAGTAGCAACTTTGAGGCTCGGTTTGGAACGGCGTTTGGAGATGGAATGGTTTTTCCGTGTCATTGATTTGTATACGTGTGAAATGTAAGCTTGTAAGTGTAGTACAAGTTATTGGCGCAGCCTGGTGAAAGTTGATTGATTTGATTGGGGATCGGGAGCGAGAGTTCAGGTTCGGATGAAAGAAGGGATGCGTCGGGCTGAGTAGTTCGGGATTCAAGGTTGGTCCATGTGAGTCAGGCAGATGAATATGAAGTTGATGACCAATGCATAGAGGGAGAGAAAGAAGGAAAGTCCTCAGGCATGCACGGAGGTGGTGGAGGGGAAGATCCAGATCTTGAGAAAGTCTGGGCAAGACATGGAGAGGCAAGCTGGCCTCTATCGGGCCGGATTGATTATTCATGTGGGGGACTTCTACAAAGGACTATGGACTTTTTAGTTACTTTATCTATTATGGTTTGTCAGCCCCACTAGATTAATTAGTTACTTGATCATTCTATGACTATGAAGTCCCGATTGTTGAGCATGTCCTAGGTAGTACAGTCCATGCACGCGATGAGATCGGCGTTTTGGCTGAAGAACTTCGCGTTTAGATGTATGAAAGTGGGACAGCAACAACATTTGAATGAGGTAATAATAGTCAGACATGGACTGACATGATATTCAGCAATGACGATTCAATGCTTATTAATTAAATTTGATATAGTTATGGACATTGCCACATCGTTAAATGTTCAATAATCCTAAATCTTGACCATGGTCACGTGTCATACAAACAAACAACACAATGCGAACTCTCCGACTTCTCCGCATCTTCCCCGCCATACGATTCCTGGCCTCGGAATAAGGATCAGTGAGAAGCCAACAAAGACATATATACACGGCGACAATACAATCTGTCAGCATGAATACACGCGCCCATCCCTCCGCGTCTCCAGATCCCCAAGCCGAGCACCTAGACAACGACATCGCTTCCATCCGTGCCGAAAGTAAGCACCGCGCATCCCAAAATAGAAGACCAACTGAACTAACTATTTGCGCGAAGTCCACAATCTCCAACGCCAGAAACGATTCCTCTCATCTAGTCTCCTCGCCTCATCTAGCATCCAAAAGCTACTCCGCAAACCCCTCACAACCATCCCCGACGAGATCTCACCCCTCGCACAAGCCGCAGGGAAACACTCCGAAACAAACCACTACCGCATCGCGTTCGGAGCTACAGCCTTCCCATTTAAGGACCCGTCGCCCAGCGCCTCCGCGGAGAATCTACTAGGTCTGCGCATCGATGTCTGCACACGGAGTGGGCGATTCGCGAAGCCCTACTACGTTCTTCTACGGCGAGAGCGCCTCAAGGGCGGGAAGGAGAAAAGTCTACGCGTTTACAGACATACAGTGCCCGCCTTTATCTCGATCGCGAAGCTAGAGAGGGCTTATCTTCCTTTCAAGGGAACCAGCACAAAAACAGCCGACAGCGAAGACGGGAATGAATCCGAGGATCAAATATCGTCGAAGCGAGCACGGAAAGGGAACGGAGTACGGACCCAGGATGTGCGTGGTTTTGCGCGGGAGTTGCGACGCGAGCTTGTGGCGTGGCATTTGCGGTGCGATGCGGTGGATCTATTGCGCGAACGACTGGGATTTAAGGAATCCGAGTCGGAAGCTAGTACTGTGGGTCGGATCTCGCCTGAGAGTAAGGCGGGGATTGTGTCTCTTGACTCTACTGCTATCGAGACGCGGTATGTTCGGCTGGAATGGGAGGATGGTCGTGTTGGGCTATTTAAGGTGTCTAATACCGGGGTGGTTGAGCGGGCTGTTGTTATTGGGGATGAGGGGCGTGATAAGCGTACGGAAAATGCAATGATCCGGGGTGGGGGTAGGATTGAGAGCTTGTTGGAGAGGTTGCAGGAGCTTGCTGCATCCGCTTTGTAATGCTGAAGTGGGATGGATGATGCTTTTGAATTTTAATATTGAACTAATGATACCCCTTTCTGCGAACAATTCCAACTTTTTTTCAAGGAAATAATTTACATTCAATATCTATCAATCGCTGTATCCTATAAATGCATCAAATGCTATGCACATCTAAACTAATAGCCGCCGCAATGCGATATGTAACATGCTAGATCCACATCTAAGCGGAATGCAAGCAAGGAGAAAAGAAAATTACAAGAAGGGTTAAGGGGGCATCAAAGCAAAAGAAGAAGCCAGCGAAAGTGTTCACATGGCCATTGCCAAACGGGGCGAGCCAGACAATAGTGGCAAGCCAATATCAAGCAACATTAAGCAAGGTGGACACCAACTTGCTAATTAAGGATGACCGAAGTCTCATATATCAGATCCGCATTCAAATGCGATTCTCAGTATTAGTATCGTTATCGGGCTCCACAGAAAAGGAGATAGTCGGCAATGGTCCATAAGGTTGACCATGTTCCTCATCAAGCTGGCGACGCAGAATGGCTTCTTCCAAATCCCACCTCTTCCGCATTTCCGTTTGCTTCCCCTGAAGCCCATCTATAAGGGAGCTTTCTTCACGACGGTGCTCAGCCTGAAGCGCAGCAATTTGTTTGCTATGGCGATCACACAGATCATCCAATTCGCCTTCCATCCGCGCAATGGCCTCAGACAGCCTCTTCTCCTGCCGCTCTCGAAGGACTTTGATGCGAGATTCTTGAAGCGCATCCATGGATTCATGGGCATGGTACTGCTGCTCCAATTGTTCGAGTTGTTGTCGTGTAACACGTCGCGGGGGCGTGCCTTCAGATCCGGACATGAAAGACTCGGATGAGCGGTCTCTTGTGCCTGCTGGGGATGGTGGGGGGCTTGCATTCCGGAAATATCCTTCCATATGCTTGATGCGGGTTCGAGAGTTCTGTTTTGCGCGTTCGAATTCTCTTTGCTGTTCCATTTCCACGGCGCATTGGCGTTCTTCTATACGAATGGCATCGAGCTCGTTCTTCGGCAATGTTAGCAAGTGGGTCAACGTGCTGGTTATGAGATGTCTTACTTTTTCGCGCTTCTCCTCCTCCCGGCGCTGGTTCTCGGACTGCGCTTCAGAAACAGCTGTCTGGTGCCGGCGTCGGAGGATCTCTAGGGCGACACCTTGGAATGCCATGTGTCGACTCATTTCCATCTTATGTCTTTCCATCATCTCTTTCAGCTGAGGATCATCTAAACTTCTTTGAAGGGAAGCAGCGTCGAATGTCGGAATTTTGACCTCCACTCTTGGAACTGAGTCTGTCGTGCTGGCACTGGTGATGGAGACTGCGTTGCTGGTGGGCGGCTCGTGGGGACTCTCAATGAAGACACGTTCCACACCTTCCTCGCTCTTGGGTATCACGACTTGTGTATCCGGTGGTGTTGTGGAAGCTGAGGGGACCCGCTTCTTTCGGAAATGGATGCGCCCAATAGCTGACCTCAAGGTGCTCCGCCGTCTCTCTTTCTCTTTGACCTGTTTCTCATCCGGTGTCACAACAAACATGGAACTTCGATTTCCCTTGATCGCAAGTCCATCGTGAATTCCTAGCCCAGCGTTGATTGCACGGCTCTCACTGGAGCAGAACGACGTCGGACGAGTCGACAACGAAGCTAGCGATCGTGTACTGCTCGGCTTCACACGCTCAGAGGCAAAAGTAAGCTGCGAAAGTGACGTAGCTAACTGATCCAGCGGGGTTGGTGACGGAGACGACGGCTCGACGGAGAGGGAGGGAGTGACGGAGCCATCGCAGGCTGAACTTCGGTCGGTGGACGAACCAGACGATAGAACTGGGGACGAGAAATCGGCCATTCCACATGCGATCGGAGTGAGCGGCGCCGCATCCTTCAACCCCAGCTGCTGTGCTTCATCGGAAAGTCGTTGCGCCCGCGCTTTTTCTTCTTCCTCCGATTCAATCTGGAGAACTTCTGATCTGTATTTGTCCTCGTCTAGGACGGGCCTGTTTGTTGATTCCATTTTATGTACAAGTGGCGATGGCGCCTAGCCAGCGGGCGCGCATTGACCGGAGGGGAAGGAACGCTTCAAAGCAATGGACTCGCCCATGCGTAGCCGCTGGACGAGATGGTGGCGCAAACTGACAGCATTCACCCTAGGCGCTTGATTATGTATAGAGTAAACTGGATTGGGTAAGGTGGAAGAAATAAGCACAACCGTAAGGACTGGAGGAGACCTAAAAAAAAAAACTAGAGGAAAAAAGAAAGGGAAAAAGGTAGAGAAAACAAGAATTTACAATCATTCAATGACGATCCTGTTTATTTTTCTTATTTTTTCTCTTTTCTTCTTTAAAATGAGATGAAACCCCGAGTGACCCACGGGGGGGCAACCCTGACACAATCTGCCCGCTTGGCACATGTAATTATTCAAAACTCATTTCTAACATAATTATCCCATGCACTTCTGACCTTATCTATCCGGTTCATCTCCGTATCTCGTTAGGTAGGGTTTAGGGTTGCTTACAGCCGCCGGTCCCTGATCCATGGATTAGCTGGATCAGGTCAGGCACACGCGGCAAGCGGAGACCATTAGGGGCTGAGACAACCAACAATAGGGGGTTCGGCTCGGCCTGAAGGAATTGCGTGGAATCAAGCTATCCGTTAAGCATATCCACCGCTAACTGGTAAGCCCGCTTCTTGGCTTCGTGTAGGTGCTGCGGGGAGTTTGGCCGCGTGGTCTTGTCCCACGCATGAGAACAGCCCACCATGCGTTCACTGACCACATGCGCGCCCTGCAAGTTTTGGACCCGGCCCGCCAGTTCCTCTGCCTCATGCGCGAGATTATCTCCATCAGCGGTGATCATAAGCATGCGGCGTGGGAAGCGGTCTGCTTGCGCGAATGTGGGGGAAATGCGCGGATCGCGCGGATCCATGCTGGCGGGCACATAGCACCGGTTAAAAAGACGGGCTAGAGGCGCGGGAATCTCTGCCGCTTCCGTGGGGTTGGGAGCGACCTTAGTCGCTGTGCCGGTCAGATCAGTCACTGGGTAGAAGGCGACCAAGGAGCGGAAAGTGTGTGGAGCAAATAAATTGGCTGATGCAGCGAGGACGAGGTTGCCACCTGCGCTGAATCCCGACAGAGATAGGCGCGACAGGTCGTATTCCTGCGGGCGGCCTAGGACATAGTTGATGGTGTCTTCAGCATCATTCAACGCGGCAGGGAATGGATACTCTGGCCCGAGGCGATAGCGAACATCAAGGACCGTGCACTTGGTTCGTTGACTGATTTGTCGACAGAACTCATCATCGGAACCGTGGTGAGGGAGCACGAAGCCACTGCCGTGGAAGTTGATCAGGACTGGTGATGGACTTGGAGCTGGTGATGTATACACATGAACCTTGATGGTTCGGCCAGCATCGCGAGATGCGATATGGCGCACTTCATCAGGGTATGCTTTAATGCCACCGCGGGCGAAATAGGATACGATGGCGAAAATAGTCCGTAGAATGACCACGAGACATTTATCGATACAGTATTGGACAGACATGGTGGAGGTGATAAAGTCAAAGGAAAATTAAGCCGAGGCAGGCGGGTTGAGATTGGGACCAGCAAGTACCAGCCTAGCTCCGTCAAACGAATCCCTTTCAGTCTAGAGTATTAACAGGTGGTCTACTTTATGTTCGTACTTTGTTCTTAAGGACATAACGATGGAAGGATCTATCGAAACCTTCTTGCAAATGGCATTAGCATACAAGATGACCAGGTGTTCAGGAAATTAGCTTGTTTGAGCTCATTCTTCAAGTACAATGATCGTCTCCAAGGACCTGTCGATCGGAACTATTAGGTAAATTAGAGCTTTGATATGCAGGACGTGTATTTAAATTTATATGAGTGGCAATATCATATTTCACGCGTATGCCATGGAGGTCTTATCTCGTTATCAATTCATGCCACGGATGTGCTGTGTTCCTTCCATGGAGCTCTCCGACCAATAGCATAACATTCCCGCCGTCTTCACTCTTCTCCATCATCATATCTCATTATCATTATCTGGGTCCTACCTATAGGATACACGAGCACACCTGATTACTTGATCTTCTGAGCATCGAAGCCAGCCTTCTTTGATCCGCGCAATAGAAGCCCCTGGCCCGTTCATTTCCAGGTCATTCGAAGCTTCAAGCTGTCCGTCTAGCTCCGCTCCACGCGATCCGCATCGTCTGCTCCAAATATGGCGACTAAAATCGAACACAAAGAAACCAACTTCACAGTCTTCATTCGTTTACCATTTCCAAGAGGAGACTTTGTCGATCCACCACCGGTATGGAAACCCTTTCATTTAAACGCTGTCTTTACTAACTGATCAGCCGGAATGGAATGCTGCTAAGGACCGGGCGTTGTGGGAGATTCTTTCCCGACCAGCTAAGGGCGATGACATAGATTGTATGTGAAGCTAGAAAGAGTCCGTATACTGTTTTTGATCAGCTAGCTAACTGCTTTACAGGGAAAGCATTGTATACCTCACTCATACCCCCAAAAGCGATATATACTGATACTGACTTGCTGTGAAGGGCTGATAACTTCAATGTCACTTTACAGTTCTTACTACAACAAGCTGCATGGCTTTATGATCGGCAGCTGTCGCAGGTTCGGGCCCAAATGCGGAGATTCGACCCGACCGCGCAGTCAAATCCCCCGTCACCGGTTCCAGGGTCTGTTTCAGGGAGTGCCGCATTGGCAGGAACACCAATGAAAGATGTCCCTATAATCGGTATGCTTGTTTGATATAATAGAAAGTAGATATCATGGGTCGCTAACAAGAATCAGGACCACGCGGGCCTGTCCGACAGGTGTCTCGGCAAAAGGAAACACTTCAGCGAGGCAAGTTCATATACGCATCACGCCATCCACTATGCTATGCGTAACTCTGACGTGTTCTACAGCTAACAGCGGTAATGGTCGGCGCACAAGCTCCACCTCGATCACAACCATTAATCAAATCCGCGGCTCTCGAGACCCTTCTCGCACCGATACCCCAACAGCAGAAGGTAACGAGCAACGATGGGATTCTTATGGCCGACGTCCATCGGCCAACAGACGTGAAACCCAAGTTACTTCATTCTTACGGTCACCTCCTTTAGAGGAGGAAGATCTATCGTCAAGCCCTCAAGAATCAGACTCCGAAGATGAATCAAACCTTCCTGCACAGCGCTTTAGGCGATTTGGACAATACTCCATGCACCAAGCCAGCTTACGAGACGATGACGATGACGAAGATGACACACCGGCCTTCCTGCCAGTACATCGGGAATCCGAACAAGGCTCAAGAGATCGACCAAGCCAGGAACTGAGTGCCACCTTGCGCTTAGATGCGGAACGTGCTGCCATAGCACGGCGACGTATCGCCAATCGATCCGGGGCAAGAATGCCCGTCGCTTCAGAGTCATCAGCGAGCTCCATGAGCTCTAGTGCTCCAGTGGCTGTGCAGGGACGAGTGCCTACATTGGGTCCACAGCGAGCTGGTGAACCGTCACGACTTAGTCCCCGGAAGTCTCATACCTCAGGCCGAGAGACTAGTGATGGTACTCCAAGTATGGGGAGCAGTTTCAGTGATCTAGATGGTGAGTCGGCTTTGAACTGGGCCGATGCACCTTATATTAATTCTCGTCTAGATGCGAGCGTCACACAATCCGCGCTGGAAGAGGCGCTGATGAGCAATATGCAACACGGGGGAATGGCAAGCAGGATGAGCACTATTAGCCAAGCTTTGCGTAGTCGATATTTGCAGTGATATTTCTGGGTTCTTGCTCCATTGGTCAAAGAATTTCTGGATATTCATGATTCATGCTGGCCTTCATGCAGTCCTACAACGTGCACGCCTGTCCATAATCGATTCACCACATACTAGAATGAAGTGCATGATTTCAGTGGAATTGAGTGCCTATCATGAAGATCCACTCCAAGGTTGGAATAAAGACTACAGAGTACATTTTATACTAGACTGGATGCCTCAGCTCAACATTTCCTATTTTAGCCCGTGCTAGATACTTTTAAAGTCCCGAATATCGGACAAAAGGAGCGTTGTCGCTGCTTTCTCGCATTAAAGGGCAAATGGTATAAAAAATACTCGGTACTTTTAATCATTCAAAGCTGACATGATCGGCAGAGATGACTAAAACAAAGCTCATGTGGATTTGCGGATCCATGTTATCGGCCCAGCGGCTACACTAATCCCCTACCAGATATGTCAACTGGGAAAAGCTCAACATTTCTTTGTTGACTGGAGTATCTCATTTTCAATGTTCCCCTTAATTCAAAAAAAAGTGATTCTCATCCCACAGCTGTAGGTACCAACCATCTTAGTCCGTTTGCAATCAAACCCCGGGGATCTGATATCCCGCATTCCTTACCGGTCGCATCCCACCTTCACCCCCACTTGCGATTGGCGGCATCCTCGGCTTCTTTTCTCCTGGACCCTCATTTCCGAACAAAAATTACATGCCAATTGCAAGCTTCCATAGGCTGTGATCTCCTCTACCAATACATACTCGACAGACGTGACAGGCGTTCGTCGCAGCAATGACCCAAGCACTCGGTGACATGGAGCCGGCGGAGGCAGAGTCCGTCTACTTCAATGAATATCCCCCACCCAAGGCCCTCCCCAGACACGAAGCTCTCGCCCGAGCCTTCATCGAACAACATGTCGTAGAAAAGCGGCGCGTGGTACTTGTAACCTCTGGTGGAACCACAGTGCCCCTGGAGGCACAGACAGTGCGATTCATCGACAACTTCTCCGCAGGAACCCGTGGCGCCACATCTGCGGAGTATTTCTTGCAGGAGGGATATGCAGTGATCTTCTTACATCGGCAATACAGTCTGCTGCCTTATTCGCGACACTACAGTCACTCGACAAATTGTTTCCTGGACTTTATGGACGAGGCAGCACCCGCTTCTGATTCGCCGAATGTGGATCACGGGTCAATTCAGGTCCGTAGCGAATATCAAGATGAGATGCGCGATGTCTTGCGCAAGTACCGCTACGCTAAGCAGAACAATCGTCTGCTGTTGTTGCCGTTCACTACGGTCGCAGAGTACATGTTTGAGTTGCGGTCGTTGGCTAAGTTGATGCGACCGCTTGGTCCCAATGCGCTATTCTATCTCGCTGCGGCCGTCAGCGATTTCTTCATCCCGCGCCACCGCATGGCCGAGCACAAGATTCAATCTTCAGAGATACCAGCGAATCTGGAAAATGACACTGCTCTCGGCTCCGATGATATCTACACAGGGGAGAACGAATTCCAGCCTCCTAAGAACTCAAAGAAGCTCGTCGTCAACTTGGATCCGGTCCCGAAGTTCCTGCACCGCTTAGTCGATGGCTGGGCCCCCGATGGAAGTATGGTTGTCTCATTCAAGCTGGAGACTGACCCCTCTCTCTTGGTGTACAAGGCGCGGACGGCGCTGCAGCGCTACTCTCACCACTTGGTTATTGGTAACCTCCTCTCCACTCGGAAATGGGAGGTAGTCTTTATCACGCCAGACCCGCCTTATGAGCGATGGATCCGTGTGCCCAAGACTCGTCGTAGCAAAAGTATTTCTGGGGTCGAGGATCTGGTCGGACTCGCGGAGATTCAAAAGGGCGGGGCTGTTCAACAACCATCACAGACGGTGGAGAACCCGCCACCAGGTGCGAGGGATCATGATGGTATTGAAATTGAGAGCTTGATTATCCCGGAGTTGGTTAAGCTGCACGGACGGATGATTCAAAAGAACACTCCTGATCAACAGGAATCTTAAGGTTGATGGGATGCATGAATGTACATAGACAAGTTTGATGGCAATTCCACTTAAATTATACTACACAGTGCTCAGGAATATGCGGACATAAGTTAGAGTACTGATCCCTGGCTACTACGTATATATATAACGTTATTCTCAGACAAATTGAAACCCGCACCAATCGCCAATTGCGTACGTTAATCTTGTGCAGATCACATTCCACAGCCACAGGAGCGATCGACAGGGATGCGTCGATCAAGGGGTTAAAACACGGTGTCAGGCAATTGCGAACACAAAATCAAGTGAAGAAGATGGACAGCTTAATCCTCAAACAAGGAGTTGAAGTCACGAAACAGGAGCATGTGTCATTGAAAGAACCAACACTTCCCCACAGATCAAAGATCCACCGCTAACGCGTCCCGCTGTGTCAGCCGGAAGGAGACGCGGCCTGGATCGTCATAGCCCGGATTCGAACCCTGTTCTACTGCAGGAGACCTGTCTTCTCACGATGACCTCGAGGCCTGCCCCAGGTCATTGACAGAACCAATCCCAATATGGTGCCCCGGCGAAGATTCAGCCGCCGATACCTCGCTATCGCCGCCATAACCGCCCTCTTCTTCCTCTACCACTTCGCCCAATCCACACCACACCAGTCCCGATTCCGCTACACAGCAACCAGAACAAAATACTCCAATGGCGAAAACACAGGCGAACCACAGCCCATCTGCCCCCCACTCCCAGGCATCGATGATGTCCTCGTGGTGATGAAAACAGGCGTCACAGAAGCCCGCGACAAAGTCCCCATCCACTTCTCCACAACCCTCCGCTGCATCCCCCACTACGTAATCTACTCCGACTTCGAAGAAGAAATTGAAGGCGTCACAATCCACGATGCCTTCCGCACAATGGATCGCAGCGTAACCCAACAAATCCCCGATTTTAACCTCTACAACCGCCTAAAGATCTCGGGCCGCGAAGGTCTCGAACAAGGCGACTTCGCAGACGAAGCCAACTCCGCCATCGGCAAACCCAACAACCCGGGCTGGAAACTCGATAAATGGAAATTTCTCCCAATGGTCCAGGAAGCATACGCTCACAAGCCCGACGCTAAATGGTTCATCTTCATGGAAGCCGATACCTATATCTCCTGGCCAACGGTATTAGCGTGGCTCGCACGGTTCGACCCCAAAGAACCAATTTATCTAGGCACCGAGACGCAGATTGCGGAGACGATCTTCGCGCACGGTGGCTCGGGCTTTATGCTTTCGAATCCGGCGCTGAAGGCTGCTGCTGATGCATATGAGGCTCGGCGCGCGGAGCTGGATGAGTATACGAATGGGCATTGGGCGGGTGATTGTGTGCTTGGTCGGGTGCTTGCGGATGTGGGTGTGGATTTACATTTCTCGTGGCCTATCTTGCAGAATTCGAACCTAGGCGAGCTAGATGAGTTCACTACGGATCTATACCGGCTGCCGTGGTGTTATCCTGCTGTTGCGTTCCATCATCTTTCATCGAGTGATATTGAGAGATTGTGGAAATTCGAACAGAATCGTTGGCATGAAGTGAGTTTCTGCGGGTTTTGAGTTGGGATTGATTCCATTTGCTAACTTTTTTTTTTCCAGAAAAATAAAAATATCCTTCTTCATAGTGAGGTCTTTCGTGAATGGCTGTATCCTGAAATGGCTAGCAAGCCTACGAGATTGAATTGGGATAATTTTTCAGATGAGGATCAGCCATTTGCTACTACCTTTGAAGACTGTCGTGAGGTCTGCGACATCCAGAAAACTTGTGTACAGTTCTCCTTCCGCGATGGTACCTGTTTCACGGGCAGTAGACCCCGTCTTGGTATCTCGCGACCTGGAGGTAATGCTGCTTCTGGATGGCTGCCGAGTCGCATCCGAGACATGATGGATGCTAGTGGGTTTTGTCGGGCTCCTGAGTATGGTGACTGAGTGGACACCATGACAAAACCCTTTGATTTGGTTATTACACTGACATAGTCTGTTGATTTGGTATCTGACATTTTGTCTGATATTGGCTTGTTTTATTATTGTCATGATCGTTTGGACTTGCTTGGGCTTGAATTTGGATTAGATGGATCAACTATATGCATGGCAATCTGGGCTTGGTAAAATCTCTTTTCTCTTTCAGGTGGCTCGTTGCTGTTGTACTTTGCTTTGTTTCTTTCTGGGTTTGTTTTTTTATCATGATTCGGGCTTGGTGTTTGGTTAGCATATCTGTAGCCAAAATAAACATTTGAATTTGGTGGACGAGGAGCTAAAGGTACAAAGCTATACACTAAGAATACATGATATTGCTCAACTTATCAATCTTTCCCATTCGTCTCATTTCCCAAGCTCCAAGTCCCTTACAGAGGCGGACTGTTGGGGTCTTCCAGACATTGATCTATACGCATAATCTTCAAACCAACAGCCTTGACGTGTCGGATGAATTGTGGAAGATATTCCACAGTTGTAGGGTTCAGAAAGTGCAGGACAGCCAGATTTCCGCCCCGCGCGACATTGCGATAGAAAGCCTCCAATTGCTTTTCTGGTTTGGTAGTATTGGCCCAGAGCCAATCTTCGACGTCGACGCTCCAGTTAACAATAAACGGTTCAGGGATTCGTTTGGCAAGTTGCTGTCGCATACGTGCGCCGACGGTTCCAAAAGGGGGACGAAAGTACCGGGCTGTTGAACTTTGTTAACTTGGCTAGTATGAGTGATTGAGCGGTACTTACATTGGAGATTCAGCTCATCGTGGAATACCTGTATGGTTCGAACGATCTCTTCATCAATCTCAGCTATTGTTGACAGTGCTTCCATTCTGTGACTGTTAGCCGATGACTTCAACCGTGTCGAGGAGAAGATTTGACTTAGGATGCGTGTTAGAATGCAAAGCAACCTGGTGCCCCTTCCCCATCATCTCCCGATAGAAGTTGGTAAAGTTGGTCGTTGAATCTGTCAAGCCAGCACCAACAACGAAGAAAGTCGCCCGAACATCCTCCTCATCAAGAATCTGCATAACCTTCTGCGCGTACTGAGGATGGCCATCGTCGATCCCAAACGCAAATGAGTTCGGCCGAGAACAGCGCAGCACGACCGTGCCAGTAGGTGCCTTCTCAGGCATAAAGAAATGATTATTCTCCGGCGAAGGTGGCGGAATAGTCGACACGAACTCAACACGGCGCAGAACCAGCGGCACATTGGTATAGAATCCACTGAAAGAGACCGACACAACACGATTATGGTTAATCCGGAAATGAGAAAGTGGAATGAACAGCTCTGTTCTGTCTGGTGAAGCGGGTCCTTGATCTTCATCGCTTCCATTCCCATCGCCTTCATCGCCATCCTCCACGCAACTCCCATTATTCGCCCGGTGCATGGGTTTCTTGCTCCACCTTCTATGCTTGCGAGTCGTACCCGAAATATCACCATCTGCGGCATTCTTCAATTCGCCCGGCCAAACCTGTGTCCTCATAATATATCGCGAAGCCTGCACGCTATCCGGCACACCGGGAAATGGGCTCCTCAGCGGCTCACATTCAACATTGTGCTCGTTTAAAGAAATAGTGAACTCTTCTGTCCCTTCAAACAACACATGCAGGAACTGTTTCTGCCATGGGATCAAGCTGAAGCATCCGTGGATGTCGAATTGTGTGTGGAAGTTCTGATCAGGGTCCGTGGGGTTAAGGCGCACATATCCCGGCTCGTGGTATACGGACAGGTCCTCGCCTGGACCGTGCCAAAATCCCAGGTCATTGTGGGTCGGGTTTTGGAAGGTATCAATGACCAGCGATGGTATGGGGACTTGGCGTGAAGGTTCGAGCCAGTTTGGGGGATCAACGTATGCGTGGAAGCGGCTTGTTGCTGGTTGGAGGAGGACGAATGTGAGAAAGAAGATACATGAAATTTTGAAGACACGCTGGAACAACATAATGTATCTGGGAGTATCTGGTACTCTTGAAGAATATTGTCAATTGGAAAGGAACCTACAGGGGGAAGTTTACTTTTATCGATTACTTTACTAGCATCTTCTCATTCGAAGAAGGCGCGATGGTCGACATTATCCATACTAAAGGGAAGGAGAGAAGATTTGGCACTTTTCTTTTTTTCTATTTTTGGGGTTTTAGTTTTTCGAAAATGATCTAGTAGATCAAAGGCGTTGGACTAAGGCGGACACTTTCCCCTCCCCTCCCTCACTATAAGAAGTAGAGGATTCGATCGTCCCGAGGAATGATGGACATCCGTCAACCATTTAAGTTGAATGCTCCTCCCATGGGATTCTGGCTGAACGATAGGAACACGCGGAAAAGTCAAGTAAAAAATGCAAGACGCCGAAAGATTCTAACGTATCACTGAAACGCCGGGAGGGGTCGACATTGATATTGGAAACCGATGTCAAGAACAGAAGAAGTTTTTTTCAATTTACTACCATCCAAACGGAAGTAGAAATGTGCGCCACAATGGTCCAAAGATTGTTGCATATCAACTTTTCTTCGACCCCGTTCGCATGAAATGCAGAAGATGCGGACGGAAATGACACTGAAACAACTTTTTACCAGTCCTCGCCTCCACCGGGGACTGGCTCCTCAACAGTCCACGCAGGCTTGTCATCGTCCTGATCAGCAAACTTGATCGACTTGACCGACTTCGCCGATTTCACACTGAAGTTGGACCCCGCGTTGGATGCGACATCATCTTCGCCCTGACTGTCATCCTCGTTATCGGTATCATCGTCGAATTTGATCTCATTATTCTCAGGGCGGTAAGCCTCCAGGAAATCGGGGATAACCTGATTGGTCTCAAGGAGAATCTTAACGAGATCAAAGGCGAGTTCTTCATCGCGTTCATTGTAGAACGAAGTGGCGATGCCCTCGTTTCCGATACGAGCAGTGCGACCTGATAGCTATATGTTAGCGATGGATTAGGGGAAACAAGTAGAACATACCAATGCGGTGGATGTACTCGGTGATACCACCATGCATAGCCTTGGGCAAATCGAAGTTAATAACGTGCATGACGTTCGCGACGTCCAGGCCTCTGGCAGAGAGACCAGTCGCGACAAGGATGGGGCACGCAGCAGACCGGAAGGCGCGACTAAGAATTTATTGGTATATTCGAAGGTAATCAGATAGGACAGATGCTTACATGGCGTCTTCGCGCTCTCGTTGAGTGCGATCTCCGTGGATGGAGGTAGACGGCATTCCACGGTTGAAGAGATAGTCGTCGACAAAGTCGACCTGGGCCTTGCTGTTGACGAAGATCAAGGTACGGCAGGGCAATCTGCTCATCATAAGATCGTAAAGGCATTCCTTCTTCGCACCATTCTCGCAGTAGATAACCTATTCGAAAGTGGTTGGTTAATTTTTGTCTTGTGTACCGCGGTGCGTATATGTATATTTACCGTTTGCTCAACCATCAGGTGGGAGCTACCAGGGCGGCCAACGCGAACCCGAATGTAGTCCTTCATCAGGTATTCGCGAGCGAGCTGGCGACATTCCTTGTTGAAACTAGCAGAGAACATCATGTAGCGGTGGTCATCGTCCTCATTCATATCTAAATGAAGTTAGGGTTGCGACCAGACTATGGTACATGAGGATAACATACCTCCACCGGACATAATCTTCTTGAAATCGTCATGCCAGTCGGAGTGCAGGAGCTCATCAGCTTCATCAATGACAGTGTATCTAATCAAATGTTAGCTAGCAAACTTGAGGTAAGAATGGAGTAAATACCTGACTCGGCGCAGGGACAGCACGTGGGGCTGAGTCATGAAATCGATAATGCGACCGGGGGTTCCAATCAGGATGTCGCATCCCTTCATCAGCTCCTGTCGCTGATGAACAATGGGGGCACCTCCATAGGCGACACAGGGACGAAGCATGGAGCGGTAGCAGAGACGACGAGCCTCATCAAAGATCTGAGTCGCAAGCTCACGAGTGGGGCAGACAATGAGAACCAGAGGCTCAGCAGTGACACCGTGAATGCGAGCATCGAACTCCTCAAGAGGGCTAGGACGAGGCGCAGCCAGCTTCTTAGCCTTTCCCATCAAGTCAGACAGAATAGGAATCAAGAAAGCACCGGTTTTGCCGGATCCTGGAGAATTGAGCGACGGCATTAAATTATGGGTCAAGCAGACACTTACCAGTATGAGCGATGCCGATCAAGTCTTTTCCCTGGCTAATAGCAGGTATGGCGAAGGACTGAATAGCAGTGGGCTTATCATAAAGACAGAGACGGACATTCTCTCTCATGACAGGGTGCAGTCCCGCATCATCCCACTGGAAATTGTCAGAAATCCAGAAGATACAAGTAGATGTAATGGATATGAAGATTAGATACCTCCTTGACAGGCGTGATAGTATCTTCGCTGTCGCAGACAACCGCAGTCTCGCTGGTGACTCTGTCGGAACCATATATCAGTATGATCGACATAATGTATACAGTCGATAAGACATACTCGGCAACTCGAAGACCAGCACGAGGTAGGAGTTCACTCTCAAAAAGCATTATCTCAAGCTCCTCGTTACGCGGACCGATAGCTTGCTCATACTCCTCCTTCCATTCGTAGCGGGCGGCAGTACCAGCCCATTCGTGACCCTCCTTGGAGCTCAAGTCGTCATAGTTGAACGGAGTTCGCTCAATCCAACCCTTGTCACGCACGTCCTGGTGAGGAGAAACACGTCCCCGGTCAATCTCAGCAGTAGGACCGTCGGCAGTGATGGTTTCATCCGGGAGAGCATGAAGCTCGGCCGGATTCTCCACAAAGCCGTCAGAATGCGACATGATTGCAAAGGGGGAACAGAAAAGACAGATACAGAGAAAAAAGAACACAGAAAAGAGGAACAGGATGATACACTTGGGGAAGTTTAGGGATGGGTCAATTGTCTCGGTGCTGACGAATCGATTTGGGAATGGGAAGAGAAACAATGAAAACAAATCCCAATTGGGGTTGATTCAGCGCGAATTGGCGTTTTAAGGCCGACAACAAGGCCGACACGACGGTGAGCAGTGGACCAGAGTCCATATTAGGCAGTATAGCTGGCAGTATAGCTACTACATACCTACGGCGACTAGGGCGGTTAAAATTGACAAGTAGTACTTACCGCACTACTCACCCTACTATGTACTTACCACCCTACTCAGGGCACCTAAGCATAGGAAAGTGAATATTAAACCGGATGTACATGTGTGTGCTCAGTAGGACAATTCAGGATATAGCATCAATTCATTCAACAGGCCTAATGATTCGTGTATAGAATATGCACAAGATATGCACCTCCTCACAATATTAAACCCTGAACTATAGGTATAATATCACATCTGCAAATCTAACATATACTACCTAAGATATTAAGCCAGCTGTGTAACAATGAGAGGCGATGTGCGGATAGCTGCATTTGTACCTGTCGTGCAATTGTTCATGAAAGCTAGAATTGAATTCATTTAGAGACTTCCTACCGTCACTCCCTTTTCTGCTAACGTCACTCCCCTTTCTCCAAATTGGGAAACTGACGAAATGTCAAAAGTTCCACCCGGTCATCGTATGAATATTTTTCTACTACTTTTATTGCAACCCATGACTACTTTATTGAATATCTCCTACCCAGTCAGTCTCCTACTTAGTCTTTTAATTAGTCTTCTACTTGGTCTCCTACTTAGTATCCTACTTAGTATCCTATCAAGAATTCTACCTTCTTTCATATCGTATTAATCTAACAGTCAAAGTTCTCCTAAATCTATAAATAACGATATAGAAAAAGAGAGAGAAAAAAGAAAAGAGAAGAAAAATAAAGTGGAAGGAAAAGGGGAAAAAGCAAAAACCTGGTGGAGGTTTCGAACGTATGTCCAAAAAGTCTGCGGTTTACCCAAGTAATAGAGAGGTAGATAAAGAGTGGTAGTGATACCCTCCCTTATGTTAAACCCCATATTCTAGATTAAATTAGGGTTGGGTAGGTAGACTAGAAAATCTAAGGTTGGAAGGCGCCTGCGAAGGTGGTGTAGACTTGGTGCATTGAAAAAATGAAAGTCATTTCACGGATCTTTTAGGGGAGTGACGGTAGCAGAAAAGGGAGTGACGGTAGAAATTCTTTTCATTTATTGAGATTGACCATTTATTTAAGCTACTCACAGCTGTATCCTAAGTTCAATGCGTTCATCTCATTCTACATACTATCCCGGCTCATACTTTGGTGGTTGCGTTCGGTCAAATGTGGGTCCCGAGGTTCCGGGTAGCAAATGTACGCGGTAAGCGTAGGACCGGAACTGCTCTCTCCCTTGTACTTGATCACACCTCCTTACCATCCACTATCATGGCTTCCGATCGATTGGAAGATGGCCGTCGGAGCCGCCTGGAGGAAGCTATCACAAACCCCGGAGCTGTCAAAATCAATGTGACCGGCGCATTCATTGTCGATGATGAACCTCATGCTCGGGCCCGAAGCCCTGTCGAGACCGATGGTGTGCATTATGAGAATAAAGACATTCGACTCCCTCATCATACTGGGGTGGTTAGCCATGTCGCTGTCGATGTGAGTTCTCCTGCTATCTGCCCCGCACTGCGACCGCTGCCCCGCATTAGAAGAAAAAAAAAAAGAGAGCATGCGACCGGAACACAGAAACCGAAAACCAGGACCAGCACTAACTACAATTTACAAACTTCTAGATCGGTGGATCACTAGCGAAGTTGGTCTACTTTACTCGAGAATTGGACGAGGCCGACAATGGGGGGCGCTTGAACTTCATCAACTTCGAAACCCACCGAATCGACATTTGCATCAATTTCATCCGACAATTAAAAGAGGAACATGAGAAGCGCAATACCTCGGCCCGGGATGAGCTATGTGTTGTAGCTACTGGAGGGGGTGCCTACAAGTTCTATGACAAATTGAAGGCGGCGCTGGACGTGAACATCCTGCGGGAGGAAGAGATGGAATGTTTAATCATTGGTAAGTCCCTCGAGGCTGGATTCATCGGCCCAGCTAACAGTTTAGGTCTGGATTTCTTTATTACCGAGATTCCTAATGAAGTTTTCACCTATAATGACTCCGATACCGAGCCTATGCAATTTGCCGAGGCCCGACCGGATGTCTATCCCTACCTCCTCGTCAATATCGGATCCGGCGTTTCCATGATCAAGGTGTCTGGCCCAAGGCAATTTGAACGAGTTGGAGGCACACACTTGGGTGGTGGTACGTTCTGGGGGATCATGTCCTTGCTTACGGGCGCCCGGACCTTCGACGACATGCTGGCCATGGCGGATATCGGGGATAACAGCGGAGTGGACATGCTGGTCGGAGATATCTATGGTATGGATTACAGCAAGATCGGACTGAAGAGTACGGCGATCGCCAGCACTTTCGGGAAGGTCTTCCGCTTGAAGAATGCGGCCGAGCGGGGAGCCGAAGACGGCGAGGGCTTGATCCGGGACGACGAGGAGCACACGAACGGTGGAGTCAATTTCCGCCATGAAGACATGAGCCGGAGCCTTCTTTACGCTATCAGGTACGTGATAAGATGCTGTCCATTCTAATTCCCAATTAACATCCCCTAGTAACAACATTGGCCAAATTGCCTACTTGCAATCTGAAAAACATCAAGTCAAGCATATATATTTTGGAGGCTCCTTCATTCGTGGTCACCGCCAGACAATGAACACACTCTCATACGCCATTAAATTCTGGTCCAAGGGTGAAAAGCAGGCATATTTCCTGCGACACGAGGGCTACTTAGGCGCTGTCGGCGCCTTCATTCGCCGACAACCGCAGAACTGGGGTCGTCGCAACAGCCTCGACGACGTGGCAGTACCGCAGGCGGTCAAGAACGTCGTCAACAAAGTGTTGAGTGAACAAAATGACAAATCCAGCTCATAGGGCTAAGTTCTCTTTTTCTCCTTAACATTTGAAGAATCCAGATACCCCTTGAACGTCCACTACGTCAATCCTCAGCCTCTAAAATCTGCTGGAGTGAGCCAGTGACAGGATTACAACTATACTGCGTCCTTGTCTGCTTGCCACTTATACGGCTAAACATCTCTATACCCCTGCATCTTCATCAATAGACATTAGAAGATTGTCTGTCAGGTAGAATGGTGATCGAATACACTGTCAGAGTCCATGTGATATTAGATCATGAAAATGTACAACCTTATTCCAATTTTTGTTTTGTTCAATTTATCCCAGACTTTACACCCACTTCTAAGGTTCTCCAGGTCTCTCAAAGGATTTGTTTACATCTGGCGCTGTTCACTCACTCACATTTATCGATACCACGTCCCCTCGTCTTGTTCTCATCACAAAAACTTTTATTCCTTTAATTTCTATCTGTCATTTTCTTTCGTTTTTCACATCAACAGTTTCATCGAACTTGCCAAGATGAGCGACTCTCAGCAACTCCAGTCAGACCTCTGGCTGACTGTTGAAACCGCATACAATGGCCTTGCAGAGATTTGTGCTCAAACTTCTCCAAAGAAGCGACGTCTGAACGATGGCGAAAGCTTACCCATCAAAAAGACGACATCGGACACGGATTCTAACTTGTCCGAAGTCCCCGAGACTTTCGGAGACCTGACACCTTGGCTCTCGCCAGTTCAGAAGCCTGATCAAACAGCAGATATGGCAATCCGAGATGCGGCTCCCGTTATGCCCACGGTGGCACAAGAAGACTTGGGGACCGAGCATGCTTTTCGAGCGTCGACCGACAACTCCGATGCCACCACTGAGATCGATGATGCCATTAAGCATGATGGCGTAAGCCCGCCCTCTGACCAGCTTGTAGCTACAAAAGAGCACTTTGTAGACCCAGATGCCCCGCTAGTGTGCTATGAATTGTCTGAGAAGACCGGACTCTTTGAGATTAAAGAGACACCCATCAAGTCTTTTCAATTGTCAAACTTCGTGACATGGACCCCATCACGTGTGAAGGGAACATGGAGAATCCAGAAATACCGAGGACCTGCCGAGTTTTTCCCTGCTCATCTTCTCACAGTGCTTGAAGAATGGCACCAAGAATATCCTCTTGAAGCGCCCCCCTGTCAATGGAAAGGGCGAAGCGAGGGAGCGCAATGGGTAAACTTCAAGATTTTCGACCACGATGGTGACGAACATGACATTTCTATCTTCAAGGTCACTATCAGCCACCCGAAGGCAAGGAAATACAACATGACGATCCTCCACTCCGAGAATGCCCCAGAGGTGTTTGTTGATTGCGCCATGCAGTGTCGTCCCATGAACTTTAAAGTGTCTGGTTGTCAGTGCCAGTACGTCTTTGCCTGGCTCGGCCTCATAGAGGGATACGAGAATGACAGTTGCGCCATTCGAGTCTGGGGCCCAGAAGGAACCGATATCGATTTCAAATCCAGATGGTTTGGCCCCGACCAAGGCAAGCGCGCGAAGTCTGTAAAGACCGATAAACATCCCAACCCAGCCACACCCATCAAAGGCCCATCACGTCGCTCTGCGAAGCTGTACAACTCAGACTCTGATACTATGCCTACTCCCTACTCCCTGAAGCAACGAGTCGAGTACGACTCGGATGAGGAGGGTGTTGTTGCCCACGATCCCGTCCGCAAAATCCTGTTTTCACCCCCATCGATCCGCTTTAAATTACTTTCGGAGAATTCGCCGAATGTTCGTATTTTCTCTTTCAACGAGCAGATGGACAGCGGACAGATTTTCAAGAAAGCCCGCGAATTCTACCAGGACATCAAGGCACCGAGTGAGATGGCCCTTCTATGCAAAGTTCCTGGACAGCAAGAGCTTCGGTACATCGGAGAAGGATGTGACGACGAGTTTGATATTCTTTGTGACGATATTAAGAGACTTTCTCTACACGAAGGTGATGTTCGAGTTATCGAAGTGAAGCCTGCGTGATTGATTGTTGAGTCCACCTTAGCCCCTGTGTGACGAAATCAGTCGATGGATTGTACATTAGAACATTGAAAGATTGATTGCCAGATTCCAGTAGCAGAGAATGTCAAATTCAATACTTGTACATTTCATCCATGTCAACTACTGTGACATCCTCCCAAATCGGAAATCACCCCGTCGCATCACACGTGACTCCGCATCAACCAGCACGTGGGATTGCGCGTTCTCCAAAACCAATTAACCATCAGCTCAAAACCCCACGCTCGTTCATCATCATCATGAGATGCTAGTTATACCACCTCGATGAATCCCTCACTATCATCGCTCTCAATCCCCCCGCCCATCCCCGTCGACACCCACCCTAACCGTTCCAACCCTTTTGACCAAGACCGAATCCCTGATCCCAGTCGCCTGGCACCAGAAGATGCATACTTTACACCGTCACTCTCCAGAGCACGCTCTGCACCGGGAAATTATAATGAGACCCTTCCAACTGTGAGCAGCGATGGAACCTTACGACCCCCGCGTGGGGCGCTGGATTCCGGGCGGAAGGATCCGCGCAAATTGGGCAGCACGGGTGGACGGCGAAGAAGAAAAGGAGCCTGGAAGAAGTTGTTATGGGTGAAACAGTCTTGTATGTTCCCTCAAGTGACTTAACGTCTTGAATCTAAGCTGTGTGGTGATACTAACGGAGTTGAGTTGTTAGATCCGGACAACTACACCGATACGGAAACGTTCTTGGATCACCTTCAACGAAATCCCCGCGTGCGGCCGTACGACTTTTGGCCACTAGTTTCTGATTCGACTGTCATTGTCCAGCATGTTTGTTCGGTCGTGATCTTCGTATGCTGTTTTGTCGGGATCGTTCAGGACCGCGTGAGTCCTGTTTCGATTCTTTGCTGGGGTAGTGTTGGGACAGCCATGGGATGGATTCTCTGGGATAATTGGATCTGGACCGAACAGACGGAGTTTTCGCAAGTTGTCAATGGTAACATTGGTGATGATGGATCTAGCTCAAGCTCCATGACGAGCGCTGTGAATCCAGGTGCCCATGACTCGCAACCCATTGATGTGAAGACCAATGCCATCCATGGGCTCGGGTTGACGATGTCTGGTAATGAGTCGAAGGAGAACTCGCCAAATCGGAATAACGATGTCAACATTGGTTTGGATGCGGCATCCGCACGGCTGGGCGATTCTGTATCTACATTTGTCCGCAATGCAGATGACCCAGATATGGACCGGTCTTCATTATTTTCTTTGCGCAACCGGCAACGCTTTTCTACTGTCAAGTCTGCGTTTTTAATTTATTTCGCTCTGCTGGGATTGAGTCCCATCTTGAAATCTCTTACCAAATCGACCGCGAGTGACTCAATCTGGGCAATGAGCTGCTGGCTTTTAATCATGAATATATTCTCTTTCGACTATGGAAGCGGTGAGGGCGCAGGCGCCACTACCAAGTTTCCTGCCTCTTTGTCAACCAATGCAGCTGTGATGGCGTCTACTGTGCTTGCTTCTCGCCTGCCGTCTACCACGCATGTGTTCAGTCTCATGCTTTTTTCCATGGAGGTCTTCGGATTGTTTCCCATTTTCCGTCGTCAGCTAAGGCAGAAATCCTGGACTGGTCATGCGATGCTAACGCTCGCTCTGGTCATTATTGCTGGGGGCGCTGTAGGCATGACTCTGAGTGGTGGATGGGCATCTGCCATTATCGGGTCTGTCCTCGGTGGCATCCTCACTGCGCTCGCAATGGGTGGCTGCAGCTGGTGGCTCATCGGCCTTCAGAAATACAAAAATGTGGTTATTGGTCCATGGGACCCAGCCCGGCCAATCATTCGAAGACACTGGAATTAAGTAATTCCAGTTACTTGTTTTCTTCTTTCTTTACCCACTGTTGTCACATAGATGCGGCGTTCTGGATTTTCTCCTTATACCCCTAGATTACTGCGTTTGACAAAGTATTGTCTATGGCTTCAATAATTGGACGTCGGGCCAATATCCTACATCTGTCACACAATAACATTAAAGTTTAGCGAGACCACAGGTCTGGCCAATATTCATGAAATGCGAACCGAACCCCTGGAGCCTAAGTAGCTCTAGTCTAATAATCCATGATGTCAAGGAATGTGTGCGGGAGGGGTATGAATGTGCAAGTCTGGTATGCGGGCGAACCATGCCCTAGCGCGAGTGACCATCGATCGGGTCGACCTTGAACTGCGGAGTGAAAAACTAAACATCTCGAACAAGCTGCAGTCTGAGGCTACATGAACCGATTTGGCCGACATTCCAATGCTTCCCTTCGGCAGAGGCGTCCTTTTGTCGGGGGAATATGTAGATATTAACTCCACCTTGTTGCAGGGATGGTAGACAGACTCCACACTCGGACCCATATTCGACATGCTCTGTACTGCAAATAATGGACGGGGCTCTCTATCGGGTATGATCGACGGGGTCATGTTTTGATAAAAATCCGTTTGGACTGCTTTACATCTCGTCTGATTCTCTTTCATCCTTCTCCTTCTTTACATCTTGGAGAGGCGTCTTGTATTGGCAACTGGGTTTGTCTATAGCGGTCTTTTTGTATCCTTCATATCATTTTTTTTTTCATTCCTTCTACGACTTTCGTGTGCTCAGATATGTTGAAAAATCTCGCTCTAGGCCTCTTGGCCGCTCATGGTGCTGCCGCTTTGCGGTTTGCCATGTATGTTGACGAGTAGGTTTCCATATCGAAAAATCCTACAACCCATCTAACAGGCTATCCAGATGGCACACCGCGGACCTTCCTGGTGCAGACAAGACGACCTACATTGATCATGCCATCATGGGATTTGCGCCATCCTCGTCGTTCAACTCAGACTCGCCACCTTCCTTCACTCCCTTTGAGGCACCTGCTAGCTTCCGCAAGCGCTTCAGTGAGAACACCAAGCTAATGATCGCCATTGGTGGATGGGGCGACGAGGCTGGATTCTCCGCAGGAGCAAAGGACAAGTCCACTCGCGAGCGCTACGCAAAGAACGTCGCTGCAATGCTAGATGCCAACGGCTTCGACGGTGTTGGTAAGCAATAAGCCTCTTCTTCCCCCATACCCAAGTATAAGTATACTAACAAAGCAGACATCGACTGGGAATACCCCGGCGGCAATGGGCAAACTTACAAACAAGTCCCAAACTCCGCCAAGGTTTCTGAAATCGAAACATACCACGAGTTTCTCGCCGAAGTTCGCAAAGCAATCGGCAACAAGACTCTGTCCATCGCCGTCCCAGGGCGCAAACAAGACATGATCGCCTTCACCAAGGAAACTGGCCCCAAGATCTGGGAATCTGTCGACATGGTCAACGTCATGAGCTACGATATCATGAACCGTCGTGACAACGTCACTAACCATCACACCAGCGTGCAGGGCTCGCTGGATGCTATTAACGAATACCTCGACATGGGACTGGATCCCCAGAAGATCAATCTCGGTTTCGCCTTCTACGCGAAGTGGTTCACTACCGACCCGAACTCAGATTGCGATACCAACCCTATTGGATGTGCGACTGTCAAGCTTGAGAACGACGATGGAAGTGATAACGGAAAGTCTGGCGCGATTACATTTGAAGCTAGTAACGAAGCACCCGCCCCTCAGGATCTTACTACTTCGTACAATGGCAGGTGTGGTGCTAGTGAGAAGACCAAGTGCCCTGCTGGACAGTGCTGCAGCCAGTACGGAAACTGGTATGTAATTCCATCCTCCAACCTACCCCAGCATCCATCTATGTATATTCAATAGCTAACGTAATGGTCAGTGGTACCGGTGACGACTTCTGCCAGGCTGGCTGTCTCTCTGACTACGGAACCTGCAAGGGCATCTCCATTACTGATTCGTGGCGCCGTGCCCAGAAAGATGGAAAGACTGATGACAAGCTCGGTGGTCAGTACTACTGGGATAGCCAAGTCAACCTCTTCTGGACATGGGATACTCCTGATCTCATTGGCAAGAAGTTCCAGGATATTGTGAACGCCAAGAACCTGGGTGGTGTTATGGCTTGGAGCTTGGGTGAGGATACCTACAAGTTTGAGCATGTTGGTGCTATGCAGAATGGCATTAAGGCTGCTACTACGCAGACCCCTGCTGATGTGTCTCCTGCTGATGATGAGGAGGAGTAAATGCATATTGCTTGTGAGTTTGGGGTTGGAGCTAGGAGTACCACTGAGTGGTTGTTCCAAGTTGTGTGTTGTCGGTGGTTCATCCTTCGGGTTCTCTAAAATTAATTTCTTAATCGATGATTATTCCGCTTCCTATATCGGGCTGATCTGTTTATACCCTCGGTCCATTCATTGCCAAATCATATAAGATAAATGCACCAAGACAAAACTGTCATCTTAACATCCTCGAGCAAAACCCTCTCTACTCTGACGACTCGAATTCCCGGCTCCGCCAAGTTGAGAAAATAGGGGATTGTTTCCACAAGGGAAGCACCTTCAAAACCTACGAGCATGACCAAGACTGAGTGACAGTAATTCCAAGGTTTTTGACTATTGCCAGTTGACATGAAAGTACGAGCGACCTCTCAAGACATCAGTTGGACCATTCAAAAGCAGCGATAATTGCGCGCATTGGACAGAGGATATTGAAGTCAAGAGGAGGTCCAGAAAGTCCTCCGTACTTTGGACCCGATTCCAAGGGAGCATATAAGAACCTTCCTCAAGTCATGTGTATAGGATCAATACATGTAGGCTCAAGATAAAAATCAGCTTCGTGTCCGGAAAATCACGTCTCATAAAAACTAGATGAAAGCAGATAATTTTTGTACAACTTCATGCTTCTCATCGATTTTGTGTCGAAGCCTGACCTTATATAGATATGTCTTGGTATTTCTGTTGTCTCTGTGCGAAGGAGGTCCTTTCTTCATGGAGACGCAGGTGTAAAAAGATTCCCAGGTGGGTAGGAAGAGGGGAGTTGAACAATGTTTTTGAAATTGGTGTAAATTACCATCTAATAGTAGTGAAACCGACAGATAACTCGAATGAAACGTCTTATTCAATAGTATTTTATTGCTTTCAAAATCCGCTGTATGGTAGGTTTGACCAGAATACTTAACGGAACTTAGGAGCCATATTTCAATTTAGCTATCTATTCTACTTCAGATTATAGAACAAGAACTAACCTTCTGAGTTTTGATATTAAGAGCACCGAAAAGGCTACAACGGGGACCCTTGGTGTTTTAACTGATCTCTCTAAGTATAAAGACGATTGGACAAAGATCAACATCCATTCAATGATTTCTACGCATTCTAGGATTAGAATATCAAACTCATACATAAAAAGAAATATCGCATTAGAGATGGGTATCATGTAAAAACCGAAACAAACCAAAATCAAAACCAGCAAAGCACACCAGCACCCTCAATTCCTCGACCGCCTCGGCTGCCACCACCGTTTCTCACCCTGAACCACCTTCTCGCGCTCCCAATTGCTAACAGTACGAAGCTGTCGCTCCGGACCTAACAGTTGCAGGCGATCTCGGCCGCGGTGTGGAAACCGTTCTCGAACAAAGTATTTGAGCACAATCTCCAACAATTCGAGAACAAAGTAGGCGATTGGAACGAGGACAAAAATCACCAGCGCAAGGCAGATCGGGGCGTACTTTTCCATGATATCGAGAAGATCAAGTGGTTTGAGATAGGTCACCGTGTGTACTTCTGTGGATTTGCATTGGTGGTTTTGATCTTCGAAAGGGAGCCATTTGCCCAGGAATACGCCGTAGGAAGAGGCGCTTTTGTGATAATCAGATTGGGAAAAGGGTCCTGGGTTTGATGGAGTGGGTTTGAGGTTTGGTAGATTAAATTCCTTCTTGTTGGAGCGGAGGAAGCCTAGTTCTTCTCGTCGGTGACTTATGTATTGCTGGATTGTTGGTGCTTGTGTTTGTGGTTCTGTTTCTGTTTCTGTTGAGTCGGCGTCTGGGTCTGAAGCATCCAAAACAAGCTGCTGTGTTGATAGGAAGACATTCCGTGAATTGGCTAGGGCTGTTTGTACCGTAGAAACAGTCTCATGGACAGGTAATGCCAGCCCGAGCGAAGCACCCAGTAGCACGAAAACAGTGAGCTTCATAGTAGATTTGAGGTTGATTACCCCTAAAGACCAGCATTTCAAGGAAGAAGGAATACATAATATAAAAGGAGCCGAAAGCGAGATTATAACTCCAGAGACCAAAAGACCAAAAGCCCGTCGGTCTATTTGGCTACTCAAGACCAGCAACTGCGGCATGTGGAATTTACGAGCTTCTGATTGGTGGACCGGGACCGCGTCCGGTAAAATGACGGAACCGGAAGGGCTTGGCAATCGACACTAGTCAACAACTGTCGAATTGCAAAAACAGGCCGTCTTTGTATTTCTCTTTTGTCGGGGCTTTATTGGCGATCCTGGCGTTTCAAGGCTCTTTCTTACGCGTTTTATTGGTCGCTGGCTGGACCCCTATGGCGACACGGAGCGGAGATGTTGGCACCGTGGCCACGAGAGTTTAAAGCACATCAGGTGCATGAAGATAATCCTTGGCAGCTTGGCAGTTATCGTGATGGGGGAAAAAATAAGCATTGATTTATTTATTTTCATTGGTTGTGAGTTAACTTGGCTATGACCATGTAGGGAAAGAAAATATCGACTCCACTTGACATAGTATAAGGCAGCAGAATTCCACAATTAGCTCGGAACACTACCCTTCAGCATAATGTTCTGGATCATTCCGGTGAATCCTTCACCGATACGTGTCAGCGGTGCCTCTACTCCTATAGGCGCCCATACAAATGAGTTCCCATCGACCCCAATGTTCGTGAGGAACTCCATCGTTGTAGATGTGCCCTTGCCTGATACGGTAAGGAGGGTGGCGTTACCATTACCGATTAAGCTTACTTCTGTCCATACATTTATAGGCAGAGTATAGTTCAATGAGTAGGGATTGCCGCCGCTGATGAGAGTTGCGTTGGTAATTGTGCCATTTCCATTTACGAATGTGGAGTCAGGTCCAGCGAAGAGAGTGCCCGGGGTGTGGGAGGTGGGTTTGACTCGGAAGGATAGCGTGTAATCGCGTCCCTTGCTGCCTAGAGGTGTCTCAACATAGCAACCATCTGCCAGGTATAGAGTGTTGTCGGCTACCTTGCATCCATGCACTGTTCCATGGTACCCATTGCCAGACTGGTCGGCAAGTGAGGTTGGCTTGTAATCATCAAAGGTGTAGTGCAGGATGGTATCGGAGGTGCTGGGGATAGCGCGATCCAGGTTCTGGTCTGGCACGGCGGCGTGGAGCGAATCGAACACGGACAGGTACTCTTCTTCGGTGATGTTGCCACCCCATTGTTTATCAGCGAGAGCGGGAAGAGCATCGCGCCAGGAATAGTACGCCTGCAAAACGGTGGTGGCGTTCGGGCCAAAGTCATTCCACAATGCCGCGACTTCACCCAATACTCGAGAGTTGTTCCGAGAAGGGTTATCAGTCTTGTTGGAACTGTCGAATACCACGGGTGAGTACGGCGCGTCGTACGGACCGTTGAATATCTTGTCCGTGCTGAGTTTCTGCGGGTATGAACCACTCCACCCTCCTACAAGGTAGCAGTAGTCATCAGAGTTGAGGACATTGTATCCATTTTCGATATAATCAAAGTATGGGCTGTCCTCATAGACTTCCCAGTGCTGGTACGAGACGGACTTGGAGACATTGGCACCTTCCTTCGGGGTGAACGTACCCCAGATGCGCATTGACTTGCTTTCAGATGTCTCCTGTTGAATAAAAGTGTTCATCTCGTTCACAAAGCTCGTATAGTCTGCCACTAAGCTGCTCTCATACTCATCAGCGCCAATGTGGACAACCTTGCTGTGGAACCATGGCAAGAAGGTACTCCAGATTGTCTTCATCGTCGGGAGAGTATCCGGGTGACTGATGTTGAGCATGCTCAGATCGTCCAGGCCCAGCTCTGGCTTCCACTGTACAATGACAAGTGCGTGACCAGGGGCCTCAATCTCGGGGATAATGGTGACTCCGCGATTTGCGCATTTTGTTTGGATATTGTCGAATTGCTCACGAGTGTATGACTCGTTGGCCCGACGGTTCAACCCTGCAACAGAATCGTCATCGGACCACAGCCGGAATGCGGCGTAGAGATCTAGGCTCCTTTCTCGGGAGTACAGGTCAACATTGTTGTAAAGATTATCGCTAATGTGAAGGTGGAAGGTGTTTTGCTTGAAGAAGGACAGATAAGAGCACATCTCAATCAGGAAATCTGCGGGGTAGAAGTGTCGACCAGCGTCGAGCTAGTGATGTCTTAGCAGCGAAAAGTAGACTAGAGATATGGCACTTACCATAACTCCCCGAGTTCCCCATCCCGGAGCATCCACGCCAGATCCCCTAGGAAGCGTCGAGTCTCCTGTCGCAGCTTGGATGATCGAACGGGTGGCCCACCACGCACCCAAGGGACTCGCTCCAGTAACGACGACTCCATCATTATCAACCTTGAGTTCGTATCCTTCCGAAGTGAATCTGCCAGCAGCATCCTTGAATCCGGTATTATTCCCAAGCGTTAGGAAAATAGTATTTTCCGTTCGCTTCGCACCCTTAGTGAGCTTCAAATCCAAACCAAAGACCGATTTCAAGTCCCCTTGAAAAGTCTCCGCAAACTCTCCCAGCGTCGGCGGAATCAAAGTCTGTCCCTGATTATCCACCTCATCAAAATAACGAGAATCAACAACAATCCCCGTTATCTGTGAGAGATCATAACTCCCGCCCGTCTCGGTAAAAGGAACAATAGGGACCGTAAGAAGACGAGCCCGAACTAGAAAACGAGTCAATTCCAACACTCATCCCAAAATAATCAAAAAAAATCCTGACATCCATACCTTCACTCGTTAGAGCACCGATCGTGCATAAAAGCCAGCCCAATTTCATGACGTGTCGGTGGTAGATAACAAACAGATTAATTTAGATTCCCCGCACCGGCATTGAGTGTGCGCAATCAGCTTCCACGGCCTGACTATTTATGTTGGAAGACACAAACATCATCAGATATTAAATTGCGGAGAACAATACCCATGTAACATGACAATCGATTTGATAGAGTCACATTGTGTCGAGGAGACCTTGCAGTGTGACTTTGGAGAGGGGGAAGTGATCGACAGGTGGTTGCATGGGTATGCGTCGATAGCTGCGACGATCGTCGGGTATTGGCCAACCAGTGTATAAATAATTATCCGGGGCTTCAAGGTTGCAAGCGAGTGGGCGATGTGACTGAGACAGTTTGATATGGACGTTTGTTGATGTATGTAGCCGGTGAGGGGGCTCGGCAGTAAGGATCAAGAGACATTTGAACGGATGAGCTTTGACTTGACCGTTGGTTACAGAAGCGCTCGAATCAGTTGAGATTTTTGTTCTCTGTAGTTAAAGTATGGTAAACAAGCTCTACTCCTCTACAGGATTCTGAAATGTCTGATTTGGTCTGATTGATTCTGCAGTAAGATATGGAAATGTTTGTTTTGCTATACCCGATTGGTGGGACTATGTATGCCATAGTCCATATAATTGTTCATTAATCTAATTAGAGAATGTTGTGCCAGTGCAACTTGAATAACATATAACATCAATTTAGACTTGCACCTTGGCTATTCATCAGGACCAGTAGAAGTAAACATTGTCTTTCTAGATGCATAGTAAGATCAAAGTGATTGGTTCCTTGAGCGCCCAAAAGAATCACCTGATAACAATATACGAGATCTAACAACACCTAATGGGCACGTGCCGGAGCGGGGTAAAAAGAGCTGTCAGAGCTTTGATATAGTGAGACTATTATTAAAATCCTAATTGAACGGTCCTGGATATGTCTTCAAATGACTTGGGGCTCCTGGAAGTCTGTTCACCAGAAAAGCCACCATCCACATCGTCCTGATTCATGGACTCAATGGTGGTCGAAGCAAAACCTGGACGAATAAGCAAAATCAGTTCTGGCCTACCTGGATTGGACAACAGATCCCAGGTGCTCGTGTCTGGGTCTATGGTTATAACGCTAACGTCTGGTTCAATGGGAGCCAAGATCATATCGTCTTGCATGCAAAAAAGCTGCTCAGTGGGTTAGCGGAAGCTAAAATAGGCTTGATGGACAAAACACTCATTCCAACCGTATTGATCGGTCATAGCCTCGGAGGCATCCTTATCAAGCAGGTATGACTCTCGGTCAAAGGCTACATATGCTCTCTGACTTAAATTCCTTAGGCTATGGTGCTAGCATCTTCCCAAAAGACATTGATTTACTCCTATTTACTCGATGCAGTCGTATCAGTGGCCTTTTGTGGAACACCACATCGCGGATCTATTTGGGCTAATCGCCTCTTTGCCCTTTCACTGAAGCAGGCGCCGTTATTTGTGAATTTGTTGAGACGCGGTACTCCCCATTCACTATCGGATATCGCCGATAAGTTCAACAATGTATGGGGTCAAAAGCCTGTCTTGACATTTATTGAACAGAAAGGTGTACCGGTACTGGGCATAGTCAGTTCTCTGCACTCCTCTCCCTTTCCTCTTTATTAATGGCCTCTAGATTGTCCGGGAAAGCGACGCGGTCACAAATTGCTCCAGGGAAACAACTTTTTATATTCAAAAAGATCATCGCGAAATGGTGAAACCAGATAGTCCAATGGATCTATTTTTCGCAAATCTCAAGACGGAGTTAGAAAACTTGCAAAGAGTCATACCACGTACAGACAGTCAGTATTTCTAGGTGATCATTTGTGATTAAAACGCTCATATCAAGACTTCAGACTATCCAAGCACATTATCTGGTCCCTCATCAACCAGTATTCGAACAACAACTGATGGCATGCGCAGTGGAACTCGAAAGAGACTATATCTTGAATTCTGCCATGGTTCCAACTGCGCTTGGGAGAATAGGCTATACCCATCCGGAGATCTGGAAATAGGACCAGATGACCGCAGCTCTGGTATCACAAAGGATGATTTCGAGGGCGGAGTTTTCTATTACAATTGGCCTCCCGGATCAACAACCTGCGTTACCATGATAGTTGACCTTACCACATTCACCTTTGAATGGAGCATCACATCACCCGACTCACTGTATTATCCTGGTCGACATGCGGGTACGATCGTCGTCTCTCCCCACTATCCGTTTCAGGATAGAGGCATAGTAGTGCGTCCAACATGGATGACACCCCGTCTTTGTCCATTTGTCTCTTCGAACGGCTTTCTCTGCCCTGCATCTGGGAATTGGGGCGATATTTGGACCCCAGCTATGAAACTTGACGAACTCACCTCGACCTTGGCCTCTATTATACACTACGGACCATTACTGGAAAGGATGCCACCATCAATCCAACAGAGATATATCGCATTGCAGCCTTTTGATCAACGGGCTTGGATTTACATGACGAAAGAAGCGTGGTTTCAAAATGCAACAAACTTCTTTTGCCGTGCATATAACATGGACACCTCGGCATTGGAAGACGGTTCAGATTCCGATGAGATGAGCTCGGAGGTGGGCTCGGAGGATAGTGAGTTTATAAATTCCGAAGCTACGGATGATCTGCTCCGTAGCTCTATCAATGCGATTGGCGAATTGCTGCTGTACACACGAGGTAGTCGAGATGTGCCACCAGAGCTGAATCCTGGAGGTCTGAGAGCGAACATGAGCTTGGAAGAATGTTTTTCGAGTCAGAGGGTAAAGACCAGGAAGAATTGGATGATAGAAGAGAGGATCTGGGCGAATGCTTTGGCCCAAGATTATCGAGTGAAGACACATGGATACAGCTTCCGGTACTAGATGAATGGAGAACAGTGGATTATACCTGAGAATTCAGCAGGGAGATCTCTGTCGATGTTTAGGTTGTGTTTCGTGATTCTAGTTAGTAAACACCTGAAAATGACATACATACGAGAATTTCTCTTACTTAGTCTGATCTGCGCGTCCCGGGGAGAAGTATCTAAATGCTGTATATATTTACCTATGAACAATTGGGATCAACACGGATCCAAGATAATCAAGCATATACACTCGACGAATATAAAGGCTCCCTGGCTTAAATACGACAAAGACGTCCATTCTGGTCAGGGAGACCATCCAAACTTCTCACCTCCCACTTCTCGCTACCCACACCAGTGGGAGCATAGAACAAGAAAGCTGGATCATACCGCTGCTTCAATTTGCACAAACGGTCATAGTTGGTACCGTAGAATGCCTGCTGGAAATTGGGTTCCAAAATATCCGACTCAGACATATAGGCACCAGATTCAGGGCAAACGCCCCGCCACTTACCCAAAGCATCGTAGGTAAGTTTATTCATTGTGGAATTAATCTCCGCATTGGTCGCGTTAGCCTCCCAGCTGGTGGAGGTTATAGCATGCATGAGAGTGTCTCTGAAAGCCGGGTTTGCAGAGTCATCTGGATAGCCTGCTGGAAGCTCAGCCTTCAGATTAAAGGCGAGCAGTGGATATCCGGCGCTGACGGTAGATCGAATCGCAGCGAGTGTGGCGTTGAATTTTGTCGAATTTTGCCAGTTCTCGCGAGGGAAGAGACGGCTTCCTGTCATCATGGATACGCTTCCGATTGTCTCGAGAGGGAACCCGGCGTCCCAGCCTGAGTAGAACGAGTCATGGTAGGTGGAGTTGGGAGTAAAGGGGATACCGAGTGCTTTTAGGTCATCGAACCACGGCTTGACCAAGGTGTTGAACTCGTCTAGTGTGTGATTCACGGCAAAGAATGGGTTCATGAGGAACTTGAAGGAGTTTTCCCCCGTGTTCATTATCCAGAAGTAGGAGTATGTGCCGGCATCGGCATGAGCGGGGAATCGTTGGAAGTATGAGTAGACTCCCATCCAGAATGTATCTACTGAGACATTGGAGCTGGTGGCGAAGTTGAAGGTCGATACTGTGACGCCAACCTTTGGATGCACACGCGAGATCACCGAGGTGACAACTCCGTAGGTGCCTGAATGATATTAGCAAGTTGTTCTGCAGGGGATATCAAAGGGACTTACCACCACCGCCACCACGAATTGCCCAGAAAAGATCGGGGTCGGTTTCCTCAGTCACAGTAACGAATCGACCGCTGGCAAGGACAACCTCGAGGGCCAGAACCTGATCAGCGGCTAGACCGTACATACTGGACATGGGGGAATGGCCACCACCTAGAACATAGCCACCAGCAACACCAACGGTCTAAAGGGTCAGTAAAGGTCCAGAATGAGGAAAGTGTCAACGTACTTTTCCCTCTCCACCGACGGCAGTGAACCCAAGCTCTTCACCCTTTTCATAGACTTCAAAGGCTTGAATACCGGCGCCCATTTTGACAGCCGGGCCCTGGTAGCTTGAACTGTTGTACTTCTCAATGTATTCAAACTCCTTGAGATTGTGTGTCCAGATTCCAAGACCACCAGCACCAGTGGACTTACCATTAAAATCATGACCGGTGTTCTTAACCACAAGTCTCAAATTCGCATTGCGAGCGAAGTTCACCGCAAGTTGTACTTGGGCCACGGTGCTTATATTGACGGCATAGCTACTGTATCCGCCAATCGTGCAGGAAGACGAGGTGTTTAGCCCTGTAGGCAAACAGGACCTGCCTTCAAAGAAGGGCCACATGATAGATGCAGGATCAGCCACACTGCTGAGTATTAGTCGATAATAACGACCAATGGTAAGGTAGTACATACTGGAGATATGAAACCGTCCAATCGTTAGTAACATTCTTGCACCTGTCGCTATCAAATTGCGGCCACGAGGGATAGCAGGCCGCCGCTAGGGGTACCGTTTTGATAAGCGCACCACCCAAAAAATCATCGAACTGTTCCCAAACAGAGTCTAATGGCCAATCTTTGTCGCCCGGCAATAACCTACACTCGCCCTTATGCAGAGACGGGTACGAGACATTCTTGCCAAAGCCAAACAGAGCAGTTTGGTTAGAATTGAGAGTCGAGAGCGACTTGTTTGTCAGCTGCACTGTCTCACTTTTGAAAAGCGGTGCGCCAGCCTGAGAAGCATCGGAGACTTGCTGCCCAACAGTTGCATCTCCAGGTGCAGCCAAGTATAGGCCCACCAAAATCGTGAAAAACGAACGCGACACCATCTCGGAAGGGTTAGAGACGTGACAAGGTTGAGATTCGAGGGATCGGCGAGATGATTACCTGAAAGTAAGTCTCGGGACTCTTTTTAAAAGATCGGAATTAGGCTCTACCACGATGGTAAAGCAAGGCTCCAATTCTACCCGAGAGAAGAGGCCTTGCCACTGTGATGCAGTCGACCCACATAATGGTACCGAAATGACCCCTTGCCAGGTCCACTTTTCTATGATTCCCACAGATCAAGTTCATCTCGGTAGATCAACTTCCGTATTTTCTCAGTATCCGAGAGTATTGGAGGTGTTCGGATTTGGTTGTTTTCAGTTGTACGATCAAGGGGCATTTCAAGTGTGTGGCTATGTGATCGATATTCACCAGTACGAAGTACCTGCGTGTGGCTTTCTCTAGCGTAGAAGTCTCATGAACAAACTTCAGTACGCGTCTTTCCATATTGACTTCCAACTAAACCTTCATCGGAAAAGGTAGCCTTTTGGTCCCGGATCAGCCTTCCCGATCATCTCCACTTTCGATCCCTGACCCACTCAACTGGAGGATCTACATGGCAAAAAGAAAAAGAAAATCAATATTATAATGTTCAAAATTGGTACGAACCACCAACCCAACTCTTTCCAGGGGTATCTTTTCGGCAGTGGCTACGGAACCAACATGAACAAAGTCAAGTTCGACCAGCAACCGAGATTGATTTCCGACTAAAATCCATGTGGAGTCGATCAATCCTTTGGAAGTTTAATGAAGTTATTTCCCAAATTCAATTAGATTTCCAAGGTTCGTGAGTGAAGTTGAATCGAGGATGACTAAGGGCGCAAGGGTTCAATTCAATGTAACATGTCAAACCCTTTTGAGCTATGTTGACATTCTTTGGACTCCTTAAATGCAGTGTGTTTGACTTGACCACGCGAAAGTTTGACACGTTTATGTTCTTATAATCTGAATCATTTGACCCTCGTCGGTGGTTGACTAAGTCGAACCCTTTCCAAGGGTCTTCCAGCATATCACAAAGTGGGGATGAACTTCCTCCACATTTCATAATTGGCCAACTCATCACAAACCATGGAAATCTCTTTGAAAGAGGACCAGGTCTGAAAGTCTATTGGGTCGGCATTTGTGTTTCTTTCAGGAACCCGCAACCTTGGACGATCTGCCCTGGCTTTTGTGATTGTGGCGGAATCGGTCGCTCCATTTTATAAGACTTCTCACCTACCTGAAATGCTTTTCTTCTTCTAGCGAGCAGGACAATGATTGACGATCACCAACAGCAGATTGCTCTGGGAATTGTGGTCGCATTCCCGATTTTAGGCGGTATTGCTATTGTTCTACGACTCTGGGCTAGATCTTTGTCGAGATCTGCACTGACAAGTGGTATGTCTTGACTCTACCCGTTGATCTTCATGACCTACTGAGATTTTCCTAATGCTGCAACAGATGACTACTTGATTATCGCGGGATATGTACGGCATTTGATTTATTTTTTGCTAGAACCCTATAAACTGATATGATTGTATAGATTCTTGCCGCCTCGCAATCAGTTACTTCGTGGTACTACATAAAAACCAACTATGTCGGTATTCACCAGTGGGATGTACCCAAGGACTATGATGTTAAACTGGGTCTTATTGTTAGTCCAATCATCCCTATACTTATACTTTCTTCCAAAACACCTACTCATCCATTCCTAGTGGAACTACGCCAACCAACTCCTCTACAACCCATGCTTAACGCTCATCAAAGTCTCAATCCTGGCGTTCCTACGCCGACTGGAATCGCGTTCTCGGGTCGTCAATATCCTCATCTGGACCTCCTTGGCTATAGTAATGGCCCTCTTCATTTCCGTCCTCTTCGTCGACATCTTTCAATGCCACCCCATCGCCTACAACTGGGATATGACAATCAGAGGCGGCAAATGCATCAACCAAGGCGCCTTCTACGTATCAACCGCAGCACTCAACCTCTTCACCGACCTGATGGTTATCTCAATCCCCATCATAATCACATGGAACCTCCATATGCCCCTTCGAAGAAAAATAGCCGTATGCTTAATCCTATGCCTCGGCGGAGTGTAAGTACCCAATACCCACCATCTCAACCACCACTAACATTGATCAAACAGAGCCACGGCCATCGGCGTCTGGCGCATAGTTATCCTCGCAAAGGCCTTCTTCCCAAAAGGTCCCGTAAGCGACAGAACCTACCAAATAGGCTTCTGCAGCTCCGCCGTCGAAGTAAACGTCGCAGTCATCACAGCTTGTGCCCCCTCCATGAAGGCAATCGCAAGCAAATTCCTCCCACGTCTCCTCGGTACATCCAAAAATGGAAAGTCGAGCTACGCGGCCGATGCGAGTGGTGGGTCGCGGGGGATCTGGAAATCGCGCTTCTTTCACAGCAGTGGGAAGTCGAGTCAGTTGCAGTCTGGTACTGAGGAAGGGTATGAGATGGCGGATCCGAAGCGTGGGAATCGGGTGGATGTTGTGGGCGCTGGGGACTTTAATATGCGGAAGTATCGACGAGGTGGTGATAGTCCGTCTATATCTAGTGGGAGTATAGAGCTTGGGCCGCCTGGGATTGTTAAGACTACGGATGTTTCTGTGCAGTATAGTATGGGGGAGGTCACGCCTTCACATACTGAGGATGGGATATCGCGTGATGAGAAACAAGGTAGTGTAGATAGTTTGGTTTAGATATATCATACTTTTGATTTTACTGTTTTGATGCTTATTCGTTGCTAGATGTCATTGCGTCATTGGGTGAAACATAAGCTAGGGACTATGTTCTTGGTACATATCTGCGTCGTTCAAATTTGTGAATTATCGGGGTATGGCCAAGGTTATACACGAGAATATATAGATAACAATATAGCCTATCTGATACGACAAGTCGCCGAGAGTTCGGCATGTGGCAACGCGACATCTGGATGAGGGGTTTGAGCTTCCCCACTTGACTACCGAGTACAACATGTAAGGTTGACCTTCAATATTTCTCTTTCCCTTTCCCTTTTCATTTCCAAGATTCTTCCAAATCTTTCATTTCGTGAAGCAACATTTGAATAAATCTGATTGTATCATTTACACTATGGGTCAACACGAGCTACCGTTCAAGGTAAACTACTCGTGGTCTCTACCTCACAAGCGGACACTCGGCGAGATGTCCGAAGCAGCTGAAGAGCTTCCTTATACAGCAAGTTCCAGAGACTAACACACATCTAGCTATCCGACCCTACGCTTCTACACTTCGACTCATTCATCGGCAACAAATGGGTCGAATCAAAGAGCGGCCAGCGCTTTGAAGTCCTCGGTATACTCTAGAAACCCAATATACACTACAACATTCACTAACTCATCTAGATCCCGGCACCGACAAAGCCTGGGCTAGCTGCCCAGCAAGTACAATCGACGATGTCCCAGCAGCTGTCGAAATAGCCCACACGGCATTCGAATCATTCCGCAAAGTGAACCCCCGACAGCGCGCAAAGTGGTTACTAAAATGGCACGACCTCGCCACCCAAGCAAGAGATGATCTCGCTCAAATTGTCACACACGAAACAGGCAAACCACTCGCAGAAGCATACGGCGAGCTCGACTACTCACTCGGCTTTCTCTGGTGGTTCGCCGGCGAAGCAGAGCGCATCCATGGCACAGTATCGATAGCCGCGGCGCCGAACCGCCGTATCTTCACCGTGAAGCAGCCTATCGGCGTAGCAGCAGCGCTCGTACCGTGGAATTTCCCGGTCGCGATGGTTCTTCGCAAAGTCGGTGCTGCGTTAGCGGCAGGCTGCACGATGGTAGTGAAGCCGAGTCCTGAAACGCCCATCTCAGCACTCGTTCTTGCTGAATTGGCGCACCGGGCGGGCATTCCTGCTGGCGTGTTTAACGTCCTAACTACCGATTTAGAGAATACGCCTTCCCTGAGCGAGGCGCTCTGTAAGCATCCGCTTGTTAAGAAGGTGACATTCACGGGCTCGACGCGGGTGGGTAAGCTTGTTGCGTCACACTGTGCGCACGGGCTTAAGAAGGTAACGCTCGAGTTGGGCGGGAACTGTCCTTTTATCGTTTTTGATGATGCGAATCTGGACCAGGCGCTGGATCAGCTCATGACTCTGAAATGGCGCCATGCGGGCCAGGCGTGTATCACTGCGAACAGGATATATGTCCAGGCGGGGATTTATGATCGCTTTGCTGCGCTTTTGACGGAGCGGACTGCGGCCCTGGTCGTTGGGCATGGATCTGCTAAGGATACCACGATGGGGCCGCTGACTACGCCGCGCAGTATTGATAAGGCCATTGCTCAGGTGGAGGATGCGCGTAGTCTTGGCGCGAAGATTCTGCTCGGTGGAAAAGCACGAAGCTCGGAACCGGGGTATTTCTTCGAGCCGACCATTCTCTCTGGTATGACGAAGGATATGCAGATTTCGCATGAGGAGTCATTTGCCCCCATTGCTGCACTCTATCGCTTTGAGACTGAGGATGAAGCGGTGACGATGGCGAATGCTACTAGCATGGGATTGGCAAGTTATGCATTCACGAAGAACATCGATCGAATGTGGCGTCTGTTGGAAAATCTTGAGGCGGGTATGATTGGAATGAACACCGGTGAGTTCAGAGTGATGAATCCTGCATATGATGTGTAAATTTTGTTGACGGATAGGTCTAGGGAACCAATCAGCGGCCGAGTCGCCGTTTGGTGGAATGAAGGAATCGGGTTATGGTAAGGAGAGCGGCAAGGATGTTGCGGTGCAGGAGTACCTGATCACTAAGACGGGAACTTTGACGATTGAGGGGCAATATTAGTGTGAATTATCTCAATTGCTTCATGTTTTACTGGGAGAATAGATTAGCTTACCGATACCAAGGAATCGGATTTGAAGTGGATTGTGCTAGCTTTTACAAGTCGTGTGTTGGCCAAATTGAGTATGGTCGATAGAAAGTCAAGAATGTACAAGGTACTTTCTACAAAGTTAAACATTTGGCATTATTAAAGGTATTTAATACTTTGTTGAATCTTTTGTAGGACTGCTTGCCTAAGTTACTGTAATGTTGTGATGTAGCTATCTTCGCTGGCAGAAAATGACTTGGCTTAATTCTACTCTGGTTGGGCCCATATTGTCATCTTCCCCCCTCCATCATCACCATGGATTCCCTGGATTCTCTCCGCCATCTCATTGCAAACCACCCGCTAATTGACAATCATGCGCATAATATTTTGAGTCGCGATGTGGCCGCCGACTACGATTGCTACCCGTTGGAATCCATAACATCCGAGGCCCACGGTCGCGCGTTGGAAAATGCGCGATTCACTCTACCCTTACTGCGGGCCACCAACCAACTCACCGAGCTCTACGGGAGTCCCTGTGCGGAATGGTCAGATGTCTTGGCCGCCCACACTAGATGGGTAGAGCATGATTATGAAGGTCTAATCAAACGAAGTTTGGAAGGCACACATGTCCTCCTTCTCGATGATCTCTTATCAGACGACGACGTCGAGTCGTACGAGTGGCATGACTCCTTTACCGTCTCGGCGACAAAACGCATTGTCCGAATCGAGGCGATGGCATCTTCCTTGCTCGTGGAGCTGATGGGCAAGCAACGCAAAGAAGGCGAAACCGTGTGGGCTCTATTCCGGAAGGAATTCCTTGACAGACTCTCGGACGCAATGGACGATCCTGCGGTAGTGGGGTTCAAATCAGTGATTTGTTACCGAACCGGTCTGGATGTTGACCCCCACACGCCAGACGAGGATCAATTGATAGCTTCGCTCCACCGGACTTTGGATCTTGGAACCAGGAGATCTGGATACCGGATCGAGCAAAAACCGCTGAACGATTGGCTGGTTCAGCAGACGCTGAAACTGATTACTTGGAGGAAAAGGGCTGGTATTGTGAAGCCTCTTCAGTTTCATACTGGGTTGGGCGACAACGATATCAATCTTGTGCGCGCGAACCCGGCTTATCTTCAGCCGCTGATCGTTCAATACCCTGATGCGGATATTGTGCTGCTTCACTCAGCGTATCCGTATACTCGGGACGCCGGATATCTGGCTTGTGTATACCCAAACGTGTATCTTGATCTTGGGGAGGTTTTCCCAATGGTTAGCCGACAGGCCCAGGAATCCATTTTACGGGCGAGTCTGGAGATCACACCGACCAACCGTCTTCTCTGGAGTACAGATGGTCATTTTCATCCGGAGACCTTTTGGCTCGCCAACAAACAATTTCGACAGGCGCTAGAGAAGGTAAGCTGTCCGAGTATCTCTTCCTGAACGCTACTGACATTTCAAATAGGTTTTTGTTGACCTTGTGCAGCAAGGCGACTTCACTGTTTCACAAGCCAAGGCAGCGGCTGCTGACATCCTATTCCATAACTCGAATCGTCTGTACAAATTGGGCTTGGAGCCACAGTATACCTCTGGATGTAAACGATCTGTGGTTGCCTGTAGCCAGTTATGCTCCACATCTAACCCATTGGACGCATTCCTGCAAGCCAACCCGCAGATCGAGTACGTGTGGATGCAATGGGTGGATTACACAGCAACAGTCCGACTACGCATGTTCCCACTCCAAGAGTTTATGGGTATTGCCCGGAATGAACGGCGGGTCGGAATCGCGATGGCTGCATTGCACATGCTCCAAGATGACAAAATTCTCCCCGAAGGCTCAACAACGGGGCAGTTCTACTTACAGCCTGACTTTGACAGTCTTTACCTCAATGGAAGCATGGTAGCACCGGCTGCACCCAGCGCCACTATCATGAATTTTTGGAAATCGGAAGAGGGCAAACCTTTGGAAGGCTGCCCAAGGGGTACTTTGCAAGCTGTTGTTGATAAGTTGCAGAAGTACAAGATCGACGTCCTGTGTGGATTTGAAGTGGAGGTGGTATTCCTCAAGTCCCAGACAGATCCGGTAACTGGGCAAAAGAAGGCTTACGGCCCTGCGACAAGCATCCATTCGTGGTCGCAAATGACTGTAGAAACAAGACGGATGGTACCCCTTCTTGAAGAAATCTCGAGGGTGTTGGCAGGCATGGGGATCAAACTCCAGCAATTCCACGCCGAGTCTGCCCTCGGCCAGTTTGAATTCATTCTCCCACCACTCGCACCCCTAGCCGCCGTGGATTGCCTCATTGCGACTCGCCAAGTCATTTACACTATCGCTGATCGACATGGGTTGCGCGCAACCCTCTACCCACGTCCTTCTCCCGAGACAGCTGGAACTGCTGCTCACACACACATATCGATCAACCCCCCGACGCTGGAGGACTCCTTCCTAGCTGGCATGCTCGCCCACTATCGATCCATCATCGCATTTACCCTGTCGCAAGATGCTAGCTACGAGCGTGTCTGCTCGGGTATCTGGTCAGGATCCGAATGGGTAGCATGGGGCCTGCAGAACCGCGAGGCTCCAGTACGCAAGATCAGCCCCGGTCACTGGGAGATCAAGTCGATGGATGGCCTCGCGAACCCTTATTTCGCCATGGCTGCCCTCCTAGCTGGAGGCTATCTGGGCCTGGAGGCAAAGGCACCTCTGACCGTGAAGAATTGCCCTGGTATGTCTTCCAGAGCCAACAACTCACTAACTCCACTGACTTGAACTACAGTTGATGCCTCAACACTTTCCGATTCCCAGCGCTCTGAGCTGGGAATTACCACACATATCCCCAGATCCTTGAACGAAAGCCTCCTCGCACTCGAAAATGACCTGTCGTTGCAGGCGTTGCTTGGGCCAGGATTTGTTCGGAACTATGCCCTCGTCAAGCGGGCGGAATCTTCTCGCTTAGCAGCTATGTCAGAGGAAGAGCGACGCCAGTGGGTTGTGGACAGATATTGATTGGCACAAATGCAGGCTCAAAGGCTCAAGAGAAGGTGCTTACAAGCTTATGCGACCGTCTGACAGCTAGACCTATTTTAGATTGAAAGACCGTTCTACCGGGTCGAGGTTCTTTAAAAGTAACCACTGAAACCTTAGAACACTTGGGAACCCGAGGGGAACAAGATTCGTTCAGCTGATGATGTGGCCTACAGGATGGCCACATGTTACAGAAGTGTTCACCAGTCACGACAAGAATGACATCCAATCGCCCCATTCTTCCATCATCGGGACTACCCATTTCCACTTTTGCCATCCGATCTCGAATGGATTGTCGATCAATGGCCATATTTGGTCTAGATGGCTGTAGCGTCATGTTTCTTATTTGTAGGCCAAGCAGGACGTTTCATACAATGCACACTGCCACTTTTCGGACTTTATTTGGCCCAATCATCTTTCGAACAAACTTCCCCGCGATCTAATTTGTACAATGATTACGCCAGTTTCTAAGATGAACAAATCATCTATGAAAGCCATGATACACCCAAGAGCCAAGGATCTACTCCAGTCCTCCCTAGCCTATGAAGGACCATCTGGCCGCGTCACCACCCCCAGTGGGGCGTTTCCCAGCTGATGTTGTTTTTCCAGAAAACCTTGGAAAGCATAACTTTTTGAACCTTTTAAAACATATAAAACCATATGAAACCTCTAGATCCCTAATACACCCTTACAAACGAGTCCAAGCATTGAACAATGAAGCTCACCACCTTTCCCTCCTTGGCCTTGGCCTCCAGTACCCTCGCAGCACCATCACTAGCCATCTCAAAGCGCGACCCATCCGGTTCCTTCGAACTCCTCGCCTACGACGTCACCGACGATGGCATAAAACTATTTTACTCCGACGGTATGTGGAATCTCCCCTCCCAACCAAACCCACCTAACAAATTTAGGCCTCGCATACGCCGGCGACTCCTCCCTTTGGACATATGGCTCTGTCACAACAGACGTAACCTGTAAGATCAACTTCAAACCAAACATATCATCACTCAATCTAACTCAATCTCCTATTCAGTCAAACTCACAGATTCAAAGCTTGTCACTACCGCCACCACATCGGGTGTGACACTCGACTCGGATACTCTACTCTACATCCGGCCTACGGCCGACAAAGTCCTACCCGTCGGGTTTACGGGTAATGATTATGACACGCCGTCTGATGCGTCGACAGATAGTTTCTTGTTCTATGGCACGTATTTGATGTGGGAGGAATCGGATGGGAATATCGCGGATGTTTTCAGGCTGAAGGAGAGTAACGTTTCGGGGATTTACGAGGTTTATTGGGATACTTCTAGTTTGGATCTTGATGGGTATTATTATCCTGCTATTCAGGATGTTACTGTTTGATTCGAATGGGATTTGAGGTTGGATTTGGGGTTTTGTTTTGGCATGCTGGTACATGTTCAAGTTCAAAGCTTCAGATATGGTTTGTGATGTTGTACTTGGCGTAGAGACAAGTGGGTTCCCTTGTTTCTTTTCTTCTTCCTTCGGCATCTTTCAAAAATACAGGGGGTTGTCTATTATTTGCTTCTGCATCTGGATTGGGTATTTCTGTTTCGTCTTCTGTCTGGTGTTTGGGTCGATCGAATTAGGAACTCAAAAATAACAGAGAGATGTAGCATATGAGGAGAATGAAGAGGGTTGATCAGGAAGTTTTGTAATCACAATGTTGGGCATTTTCGGAGTTGAACATGTCGGATTTTGAGATTTGCACTGCACTCTTTCATCTTATTCTAATCTTTCTTTTATCAAGAAAGAAGTATGTAAGGATTGTTCTCGACATTTCTTTTCTTTCTTTCACAACTCCTTGATACGGCCAATATCGCATTGGCAGTGCGCGTTATGAAACCAATGGTGGTGACATGATCCTAAAGCCCCCCGAATGAAATGCCAATACCAGCAGAAGAAGTGTTAATTCACGGACCAGGCAAAATGACCGGCGGTCAACAATCTGAAGGATGGAATTTTCGTGTGCGGAACTGATGTTATTTTGATTCTGTCGGTATTCGAGATCAAATTGTTGAGATGAGCCTTGTCGGCCGCAAGATGTCCTCGACCCATAGTGCGGGGGAAAGAAAGAAACTAAAGTGAGAGGATGAAGGACAAAGAGATGAAGACTAGAAAGACCCTTTTATAGCAATTGGATGGCAACAGGAATACGTCGACGCACGAAGCAACGTAGAACTGCTCTAGGTGTCTCTACCTAGGGAGCTATCCTGCGGCTCGAAGGCCGCTTACTCAACTGGCCGATCTCACGGCTTCTGAATGAAGACACTTGTGCCCCACAGGTAGAGGGCAAGGTGCTCGCAAATCGGTGCCCAGGTCAGTATGCGGGTGAATACGACTGATATTACCACCGCGCAAGTCGCCCAGGCGCATGGATGGCTAGTGAGATTCAAGTAATTAAGGGTCATGAATGGGTTTGTGGGGGAATGTATGAGTAAGGTTCTGCAGAATATACTGTTCAGCGACGACTGGTCTGATCCACGTGGCGTGGCGATCGTGCAGTTCTTCTCATCGTGCTTCCAGTTCCCATTTGAGAATGTCTTTCGTCGAAGAAAGTCAATTTGTCTCCGTCTCCTATCATGATGGCGTTGACCCCGACTACTGATGCGCCCGAGGACGCTACCCGGTTGCCTTGGACTGGCCCTTCCAGAATGAGTGATAAAGCTGCCGCCTTGCGCAATTTGCAAATCTGAACGAAATATGACAGTGGACTTGGCTGGGTAGAAACATGAAGGCCTGAATGAGATGAATGAATGTTTCCATGTTTAGTTTTCATGCCTCATCTGATCGGACTGTCATCTTTAAGGGAATTTTAGTATACCCTAGATTGATGATAACGTCGAAAAATGCTCTCGGGGGGAGATAAGCAAAAGAATGAACAACCTAACGACCATTTTCCGGCTTTTGGCAAGATTACTTTTTCCAGGCCTCAAAACTTCACGAAAAACCCATTAATTACTATTTGTTCATTGTGTGTGGCTGGGTCATCCCTTTAGACATCATCAACACTGATCAAAACACTCTTAGTCTCCAAGTAATTCCCAATACTAACAGTCCACCCCTCACGACCAACTCCACTCCCCTTATAGCCGCCAAACGGCATATCCCAAGCTCCAGTCGGACTAGTACAGTTGACACCCACGTTTCCAGCCTCCAGCTTCTTAGCCATACGAAGCGCCCGACTAACATCCTTCGTGTAGACAGAAGCATAAAGACCAAATTCAGTATCGTTAGCCTTCGCCACAACTTCATCCTCATCCTTGAACGTATTAATAGCAACAACCGGGCCGAAGATCTCTTCCTTCATGAACCTGGAGTCCTCCGGTGTATCCAAGAACACAGTAGGTTGGATGAAGTACCCAATCGTGTGCTTGGAAGGATTGGATCCAAGTGTCATCTTGCCGACCTTCTTTCCTTCTTCGATGAATGCTTGCACTTGCTTGAATTGAATTTCGTCTGCTTGTGGGCCGTGGTTTGTGCTGGGTAGGAGAGGGTCGCCGCTCTCCACGACGAAGAGTCTTTGGAACTTCTCGATGAAAGTGGCGGCGATGGATTCGTGGACGTAGATTCTGGAATTTGCCATGCAAACCTGGCCGCTGTTCCATTGAATAGAGTGTTTTGTCTCTTTGACAGCTTTATCGAGATTGGCATCTTCGAAGATAATCGCCGGTGACTTTCCTCCTAATTCGAGGATGACGTTCTTTAAGTTGGACTTCGCCGATGCAGCTTGAATGAGACGACCTGTTCGGCCCGAGCCTGTGAAGCTCAACACCCGAATATCCATATGGTGGGAGAGGACATTGCCGGAGGTAGGGCCGTGGCCGGAAATAATGTTGATGACTCCAGGTGGAAAGCCCACCTTCTCAATAAGAGTAGCAACCTTGGCAGACTAGAGAAATATTCAGTAAATAATAACAGGAGGGCCGCCGTTCAACTTACAGTCAATGGCGCTTTCTCACTCGTCTTCACAACGACCGTATTTCCTGCAATCAGCGCAGGGGCAGACTTGCCGATAAGGAACAACACGGGCACATTCCAAGGAATAATAGCCCCCACCACACCGAATGGCTGTCTCAATGTCATATTGACATAGCCAGGGGTATTTAAACTTGAAGTTCCAAGACATTGAATGCCAGCCTCGGCATAGTGATTCAAATAATTCGCTGCCACAGTGGACTCGAAGTAATTTGACACGGGACGACCCATCGACAATGCTTCCAGCTCTGCAAGTTCATCATGCGACTCTAGAATGAGAGGAGCAAGCTTCTTGAGATACGCACCTCTGTCGACTGGGGAGAGTGCGGACCATGATGGGAATGCAGCCTTGGCAGCTGCGACGGCGGCGTTGGCATCGTCTTCGGAAGCTTCGGAGACTGATTATTTTTAGTTTGGATATTTTTCTTATGATGGGGGAACTATACCTTTGGTGAATTTTTCACCTGTTGCGGGTGAAATCAAATCGAATTTGCCTCCGTCGGATGCTTCGACAAACTTGAGAATTGTTCAGCGAGGCTTTTATATTCCAGGAGTAAACAAACCTTGCCATTAATAAACAGGCGAGTCTCAAAAGACTTTACGTTTGGGGTTTGTGTGATGCTCATTTCGAAGCCTGCTTGTCAACCTTTCAAATGATCGAGAGGTTGGGATTGTGAAGGTGTAGCAAGAGCAAAATGTGGCGACTTTGACTTTCATTTTGGGGGCCTTCAGTGTACCCAAGTCCAACCCCGCACCCATTAACATTCGTCGTGACTAGATTTAGTTGTTAGTGTTTCAGTTGGTTACACTGCGCATATTCCCCCACTTCCCTAATGTGGCCATGAACCGACACAGTATTGAGAGACGGACGAGATTTGATACGACATCAAGACAGTAGATTATTCTTTTTTGTATAAGCACCTACACGTTCCACTGCGTGTATAGGTAAGAGTTTTTGAAGATATGCCAAGAAGACATTGAGACTGAAAAAACCCCCTAGGAACGGTATCATCAAAACTGTCAAAAGTAAAAACATGAAACCAACAAAAACATTAAGGAAGAAGAGGAAAGTCAATCTCAGTTAGCCATTTATTCAGCTGAGGGTCATTATGCAATGCGTTGGATTGTGGATAGTCATCCACTTTGGCTGAAAACAGGAAAATAAGTAAAAAAAGACAACAATAACGCGGAGATATTCCAGTAGTAAGCATATTAATATTGAAAATGGTATGATAACATCATCAATAATAATTGCTCACTTCGGCTAAGCGCGATGAACATTGTGTCTTGTATAGGCTGGAAGTTCAAGCGAACGAGTATATCCAGAGAATGTATGTTCGTAAGGTGCCTGGGGAGACTTCGTAAAATAGTTGCGGTGCGAGAATCATAGATGACAGAAGTTGCAGGACTAGAACGCTGAGTATCATGCCGCTAAAGCGTGGACAATTTTAATTGCCCGTCTTCCGCTCGTCCCTTAACCCGTTCTTCTCCCATTCATCAAGAAGGCGTGAGACTTCCTTGAAAGATACTGGCTTGGTAAGGAACATATCTACACCAGATGCCAGAGCCTCGGATTCATCGCGAGAGCTGCTCAGGCCGGTCAAGGCGATGATGACGGCTGGCCTGCGGCCGTTATCTTCTCTCTCCATCGAGCGAATGGCTCGGGTAGCCTCAAAGCCATTCATGACGGGCATGGACATATCCATGAAAATTATGTCAAAGCCATTTTGCGACTGCTCGACCGCTTCAACGGCCACTTTGCCATTTTCCGCGGCCATCAATTCGGTCAGTTTGCGTTTCTTCATGAATGTAACCATCAGATTGAGATTGATGCGGTTATCGTCAACGACGAGAACACGGGATGTTCGCAAAGGGGGGACAGCGGTTTCAGCCAAGGGCGCCGGTAGTGGAGCGGCGACTATCTCCTCTGGTGGGGCGGTGATAACTGAAGGTGAGATAGGGGGGGTATCACCTGTATCACCTGTGTCACCTGTGTCACCTGTCGACACTGGACTGCCAACATCCCCCGGGTGGGTGATTTCTGCTGGGGGAGGAGATGCAACAGGTGAGATGATAGGAGACCCAACTACGGTTGAAGGGGGTGCGCTTCGAATGGGCAGATCCATAGGGTCATGCAGCATAGAAGCTGGAGTCAGGACCGCTGGCTGTCCATGTTGGAGACATTTTAATATACTCCGGGCTAGCTTATGTGGTCCGCATGGGCGTCGAACAATGTCAACAGACGAGGACAGAGGTAACCATTCGGAGCGTGCGATACTGTAGTCCACCGACCTGTGGCACAGAATGAGAAGGGCTGGGAGTGTGGTGGACATCCCATTACGCAACTCAGGCAAATCAGACTCCTGAACGAGCAAAATGTCAATTGTCGTGGGAGGCGGCCAGCTGACAATTTCCAGACCAAACCATTCAGTTATATACCTCGCAATATCAATCCAAGGCTCTGCCAAATTTGATGGATCGGTAGCCCAGATAGCAACTTTCTTGTTGGAATACCCTTCACGAAGAAACATGGTCTGCGTGAGAATTTCCCTTTGCTGCAGATTAAACGCATGTGGGTCAACAGGTGGGCTCTCTTCGCCTACTGGTCTTGCTAATGGCAGTGATACCCGAACCACAGTACCTTCGTTAGGGCGACTACGGACGCGGATGTGTCCATTCAAAGCCTTGACAAGACTGCGTACGATAGAAAGTCCCAAACCTGTTCCCACGGCAAGCGAATCCTCCTGCGCGAAAGGAGTGTACAGGCGACCTCGAAGAAATTCTTCCGAAATTCCTCTTCCAGTGTCGGAAACTGTCAGTGTCACGAGGTCCTCCAAGCCTTGACGTCTAGAGCGGCCTTCTGAATGGCTCGAAGCATCCAAACTAATGGTGACATGCCCTTGGTCAGTGTACTTCATGGCATTTCCAAATAAGTTCATAATGATGCGGCGGAGAGCCCCTGGCTGAGTGCGATACACCCAATCGCGTTGCGCGATATCGATAATCACATCCACGTTGGCATTTGACTGAACCTTAGGGCCATTGTGCGACAACAGAACCGGGATATCGGCGGCCGCAGTTGATTTCAGGCCGTATGCATGTCCCAAACAAATACCCTCTACAACTTCTTCCGCCAGGATAGCAAGGTCTGTGGCTACATAGCTATCCAAATGGGAAGCCAGCGTGTCTGTGCCTTTAAAATCCAGCGGCGACTCCTTTCGCTGTTTCATGGACTTCCACGTTCGCTCAAGTGAAACAACTTTGCTAAAATCAAGCACCTGGTTCATGGTGTCCAGCAGGGTCCTGCCGCAGGCATTGACTGTCTCAAGCAACGAATCCTGGAATTCGCTGAGCTGCGTGCCGTTCAAAAACTCAGCTGCCGCCAAGATACCATGAAGAGGACTTCGAAGCTCGTGGGAGATGCTGCCAATAAAATCTCCCTTTTGCCGATCCGCGATGAGCGACTCCACACGGCTGTATTCTGCCATTACAGATGACCCAAATCCAAGAACCGAGCTAAGCTCCACGGCTGATGTAAAGACCTGGGTCTCCACAGTGGTCCAGCAAAAGCATCCAGAGAACCATTGAGAGTTGACAGCATTCCACAGAGGCACAAAAATGATCTGCGTTGCGTTGGGGAAGTATTGATTGAGCATCGTATTCTCCGCGGCTTTTCGGCGCTTAGCCATGGGTTTCGAAATATTGGTCTGTGCTAAGTCCGGTGACCGATTTGGACCAGGAGATCCCCAGTAGCGAGGAACATAATCATCGTCATCATCCGAGGTCGAAAGCTGACCATCTCGGTGGAAAGACCAAAGCTTGCCTTTGGGGTATCGTCGGAGCAACAGCGATAGAAATGATCGATCAAGGTTGGCAACAGGGATGGTCACAGAAGCGTCACTTTGGCTAAAAGAAAACGGCTCATCATGGGTGGACAATGAGAATATCGTTGCAGGTCCACTCAAGTCGGCAGAACAATCGCTTCCACTATCGGTGTCCATCAAAGGGTTGTTGTTCGCTTCAAAGAATGCTACACCACCATCCCTGCTGAGGTCTAAACTCTCGCGGAGGAGATTTGCAGCACGGCGAAAACACCATGAGTTTCCCTGGGAGTCGTCTGGTGGTAGTCGATTACGGCTACTGCTGGTGACCCATTCTGGTAGAGAGCTTGCGACACCAGAAGTTCCCGTGTCAACTTTCGACTCGGAGGCATCTGAGCTGATAGATTGCGCCTCGTTGCTAGGAGATCGGGCGTACGGTGGGCCCGGGGATGTGTGGCATGCGCTTTCACGGGCGCTTTCACGGGATCCACTTTTTTGCGATGTATGATCTGCGCTGTTGCCCTCGCGAGAGTCACCAAACGTACTAACGCGATTGTTCGTGGACGGTGGAGTCATAGAGAATGGGCCAGTACTATCAGCTCGTGAGGGATCAACAGTATCGACGAAGCTTGAGCTACCCTCAACGAAGTAGCTCAATCCTCTTGATAGACGCGCAGCTCGTCGTCCTTCAGAAGCTTGGCGACAAATCTTCATGTAATCTAAGATCAAAGCTGACAGCGATCCCAGCGTGTCTCTCTCCAATCCAGATAGCCCATCGCGAGGGTTCGTGTCCAGCACAAAAAGGCATCCCAAATTGATATTATTTTGGGTCGTCAACGGCGTACCGGCGTAAAATTTGAATTTCGGTTCGTTCTCAACGAATGGAAGGTGTTTATATCGATCGTGTTGGCTCAGGTCGTTAACGGTAAGCAATTCGTAATGGGCGTTTTCGCGATCGGATGGGGGCAAGGCGGTGGTATCCTGGGCTTGGTCAAAACGATGCTGGAGACAAAGCGTGAACGCAGGCTACCGCTATTCAGCAGCCCAGCAGGCATGTATGCACTCACCTGACACAGACTCCAGGCCTTTTGGCCTCCAGTTGATCCCATCCAGATTGCATCATGGCGATCGTGTAATGACGAATCGTTTAAATTCACGGACTTCGTTGCTTCGGCCAAGACGTACTGCTTGTCTCGATCGAGCACGCAAATGAAAGCGCGTTCCACATTCAGGCGCAATGCTGCTAGTTGCGCAAAAGACGTTAATGTATTGTTCGATGTGCCTAAGACCAGAGCCTCGGGGCCCTTTGCCGTTGATGGGCTAGAAGTAGTGCTGCTGTTCGAACCGCTCGACCCATCTTGAACTGGGGGTGTTGTAACTGGAGGGGTTCCGGGTGAGGTAGACGATGTTAGACCTTCCGCAGCAAGCCAGGAGGGGATTACGCCAACTGGTGTCGCGGGCTGGTAATAACGGTAAAGCTCCCTCGCCCTCCGGTCCGCAGTATGCTGGGTCTTCTGTCCTTTCCCATTTGGCTGAGGCCGAAGCATGTTTGTCTCCCAGGATGTTTCAAATAGCACTTGTCCTGCGCCACAGTTGCTAGCAATGTTGGAGCAAGCGGAGGGAGGATGCGAGGGTATGCGAACGTATGCGATGATCTGTCAATCCCTTTTTGAGACGTCCGAGACGTCCGAGACGATCAGTCGGACACAAAGCCCAGGGCAAGTTTTAGTCACCGCTTGCGAGGTGCGAGGGAAAAAAAAGTGGACAACCCCGACGGCGACCCCACTAGCTTCACTAGATTAGCAAAGACAGATGAAACGGGAACCACGGACAGGTAGGGCAGGGAGCACCACACAAGGGCACCATCTGTCAGGTGGAGACGGGGTTAAGGGGGGGAAATAAGTCCCCGTCGATCTGATTAGCGAGATCGAGGCCGATGCGCATTGTGACTCGATCGGCTGTACATTCTGTACCCACCGCTTCATAAGCTCCTGGAGGTCAAGGAGGGGCGCACGGTAATTTCGACTTTCCCCCCTTGTAGCCATGGGCAATGCAGGGTGCCATGTATCCAACCAGAAAAGCAGATGCTAATGGACACGAAAGCCACAATGGGACCATGATCAGCGTGGAAAGGTTGGGTGGAGGTGAAAATCAACGGAAAAGGAAAGAGAAAGACCAAGTGGACCTGAAATGTCGAATCACGGGCTTTAACAATTGACACCTCAGGCAACAATGTCTGACCACCATTGCCAGATTTCAGGAACGAAGTGGGACCTTGTCACTGCATCATCCACCCAGGATTTGAATTTAGAAAAACCCGAGGTGGTGGGCCATTGTGGCACGGGAAAGAACCAATAATCGTTAACCATATGAATACCCAACCAGACCAGGAACAAAATGTAAACCAAAGTACAGATCGGGGACTTACTAAGGGGGCTGAAAAGTCAAGCCATCCGCGTCACTGCGCGTTTGGGTGACTACTAGCGCCCGTTCCCGCTGATCCAACAATTGAAGGGAAACGCCCCTGTCGCAAGTGGCGGTGGCGACTTTCCCGAACGCGTACCGACACCAGAAAAATAAGCATGTTATGCTAGGGGCTGATCCTCCCCACGAGGTACCAATACAATGGGTCCTCAAATCTATCCTCCAAATTTACGCCACCCATACGCCTACCGTTAGTAAAAGCGCCCCAACGCATCCTTCATCTCACGGAAATTACCCAGGTTCGGTGAGTATGTATCACGAGACTTGCCATTTTGTTTGGATGATCTCAGCCCCTGATGTCAGTCGCTTTTGATGAGTCCGTTGGGTGGCAGTAAATATTGACTCACGATTGATCCGATCAACAGGGCATCTCCGATGACCAGAGACTCGTCGGCCATGAAGCGGTGCACTCGTACCACATGGTTGTAGGAGTTGTCATCGGCATCCTGCAATGTGTCCGTGATAATCCCGAGAATGATACTCTTTTTATCGCTATTTAGTGAGATTATTATGAGGCGGATACCTATCGACACTCACGCGTTGCTCATTGTGACTTTTCAGGGAATTTGCGGATCCAAAGATGGACCTGTTCCAGATGGGTGTGCGAATACTGTCGATGACTGATGTCAGGCCGAATGACTTCAAAGGATGCTCCGGTCCCAGCCTTGGATGGTGTAAATTTGAAAGGACTATGCTGAGCAGCATCCTAAGTCCACGGGAAAGTCATAATACTCAGAAGCTTTGCATACTGACGGATGCTCTATCTCCAAGAACGTCCGCTCGATAATGGAACCAGAGGGCAACCTAAAGATTTTGTCCCCGAACAATCACAGGGAAAGAGGAAGTCACACCTGCCTACTCTGACAACAAAGTTTACCATCCGGCTTTGATGGATTTCACATGGAATCGTTGCTCGGCCATTTCCGTGACATTCATGCTGAATGCAGAAGCAGTGCTAGAGTGGAAAATGGAAAAGGCCATTACTGACCAAAATATTCCAGGTATTTCGGATATATTTCGGAGCTCGAATTTCTTGTTCTTGTCCGTGAGCTGTTCGTTTGTCGCATCAATTGATTGTCCCGCCGCCCGCTGAAGTGTCGATCTATCATGCGGACAGATCAGCTAAATCACACGACTGGGCTTCATTGTCATCCACAACTCTGTTTTGTATTGTCCTTCGATATCCACAATTGGATCATGCATAAAATCCACCCAAGTCTACCCAGAACCATACGAATAGTGACCTAGCCGATAGTCTTATCTTATTTTAAGATTGAAGGATCAACTACCTAGGTAGGTAAGTAGCTTAGAGGAGCAACTCTCATTTGCTTTTGTTTTGCGATTTTTGTTTATTCGACAAGAGTATGAGCATCATTAATAGGATCTAGATTAGGACTAGCGCGCTCCCCTACTGCTTCCTTTTCTTCCTTCCTTTCCTCTCTCTCTAGCCTTGGTTTTCCAACGAATGGACATAGCATACTTCATGATGTCGAATAGGCGGTATAAAGATGGCAAGATGTCTTGTTTGCTAACTAATCTTGGGCGCTTGCTGATGTTGGACTTGATGTTAATTTATAAGCTTGTAAATTGCGGTTGCTGAAATTTCGGTATTTCTGATTTCTCCCATTTATGTATAATTTTAGATGATCGGTCGGAATGATAGGTATGGCCCACTGTAGTCGATCCCCAAATTTGTTGAAGAACCAGGGTCTAAAGGTAATAGACGCATTTGTGAACAGAAATCCAAATCGGTCAGGCGAGGTTACCAGTATTCTGAAATCATCAGCAAACATGTTCAGTTTCGTTCTCTGCAACAGACCTAGGTGGTAATATTGGTAGTGGACTTGCTAATAAATCTGATGACTTTACCATGGCCAACTCAAATGCCAGGGTGGATGCCAAGCCATTACTCGGCGCAAACCAAGACGATGACATATTATAAAACGCAATCAGCATAGATACCGCCAAACATCCAAGTTTGGAAGCCAGATAGTTAAAGAATGAAACAAACACCTCATATGTGTATTAGGTGTCATCAAGGGCCAGACTAGTTACTCATGCCTGTTGATACCCATATCAAGTATGTATATATATCTCCCAACCCTGTTCACTTAATTTGAGCCCCATGACCTCGGCAGTTATAAGTACAAATGATACTCGGACACAATTTCATGAAATGCATTCATGATAGCATTCTCGCGGCACTTGGCCTCCGGAAAGCTTCCCTGGGCTGTTTTTTTTCCCGGCTCTCCACTTGAATTCCCCGCCCGATCCCACTATGTCACTCACTACCTCTCACTACCTCTCTTCCCGCAATGACCCTCTTGGCGTTTCCCTCGGGTTGAATCTTTACCCGAGTCAGGCCGCCTCTATTCACATCCTTATTTAAGGCCAGCAAAGGAGGGGTAGTATTTGATTCTCTTTCGCAAGTATTCGAACATCAAGTGTCGTCACAAAGATATCGCAATGTCTGAATCATCACTGCCATCATTCGCACCGCCGAAGCCGATTCCAAATCGCCTGCAAGGGATTGTAGCGCTAATCACCGGTGCTGCAGGAAATATTGGCTTCGAGACCGCTCGACGATATCTTCTTGAGGGTGCAAAGGTCACCCTTGTTGACATTGATGAGGATAGACTGATTCAATCCAAAAAGGCACTATTTGAGGCATTGAAGGGATCTTCATTGAATGATCAGCACCCAGATGATTTAATCCTCACTGTACAGGCAGATGTCACTGCCGAGGAAGACGTCCAACGTTATGTGAATGAAACGACCGCAAAGTTCGGCAGCTTGGATGCTGCTTTGCTCTGTGCGGGTATCTCATATTCCTCTACGAGTATCCTGGAGACCGATGTCAATCAGTATGAAAAGGTGATGCAGGTCAATACCAGATCAGGTAAGCTTTGCCCATTTTCAAATAAATTTAAGTCAACATAACTGACAGTGAAATCAGCTTTCCTTGGTGTTAAGCACTGTGGCCGTGCCATGAAAGACTCTGGAAAGGGCGGAAGCATCATTTTGGTATCTTCCATTGCTGGCCTCCGCGCGACACCAGGCCTCTCGGCATACTCTACATCTAAGTTTGCATTACGGGGTCTATGCCTGACCGCTGCATCCGAGCTAGGTCAGCACAACATTCGTGTCAACACAGTTCATCCGTGCGGAGTCAATACCCCCATGTTCCTGGCCACATGGCCTCCAGAAAAGATGAAGAGTATGCTGGAGACTGTACCTCTTGGTCGATGGGCGGAGGTTACGGATGTTGCTGCCTTGTGCTCCTTTTTGGCCAGCCCCGATGCCCGCTTTATGACTGGCGGAGCTCTCAAGGTGGATGGGGGTATCGTGATGTATTGAAAATAGGATTTACCAAGAGTAACTAACGCACCATAAATTTATCTGGGCTGTGTGTTGACCTCGTTCAATGATCATGGATATATAGAATAGCATAATAAATGAGTATATATATACTAACAGACCAGCTGACAATTCAGGCTTGCATGCATTCACAGCACATTTGAAACTTTCTCTGACCTGACTGTTTGCTTGTTCAAAGGTATCTTTCCTCTTCTTTCCTTTCCGTCAACTGTACCCAGCAGCTGGATATTGTCATCTCCAATGAGAAGAGGACCTTGAATAAACTCAATTTCCCCATTATCTTTCCGGCTATACAACCCTCCCGCTGTGGCCATTGCAGGTCCGTCCAGATTTGGCATGTTACCCCATTTCCATCTTAAGCTGCCTCCATATTCCTCAGGAAGATTTTCAGGTGCGATATGAGTCAAGAGAGTAGCTTTCGTCTCGGAGGGTGATAAAATATTAATCTTCAAAAGAGTCGGAGGGTCAAACCATTTCTTCACCATATCCCATATTGTGATGAAAAATGGAGATGCGCCGATGATCTAGTACCCCAGTCTGTTAGCTGATGTGGAGGTGAATTGAAAAATCCAGGAAAATACGCACGAAAACATGACCAAGAGTTTCTGGATAATAACTGGATGCCAATGTAGAGGCCGCTTGTAAATACACCCTGATTTTCCAAAAATTTGAGAGACCCATCCCTGTGATGTCGATTATATGAGTGGAGGCAGATATCGGAACTTCCATATTGGGCCTTGGCAGCCGGGAACACAACGGCAGTACAAATTGCAATAAATTGTCCAATAAAGCTTCAAAGTGAAGAATATGGGGAGGCACTGAGCCATGTTCCTGGGCGGATGATGAAGAATTTAGCATCGAGATCCAGCTTTCTATCTTTCTTTTAGTAAAATTCTTGAGTGGAAAGATATAGATTGGGAATCCGCGATAGTCTCGTCGTCCTGTCCATTGTGCAAACTGTCCCATTCCGAAAATGGGCACAGGTTAGTAACAAGAAACAAACAAATTCGGTAGTGAAAATTTGCTGCTCACCATTTTCCTTGACATTTCATATAACGAAATATCCACATTTTGGTAAAACAATTCAAGACCATGTTTGTTTCTCCTCTGCTCCGCGATACAGAAACGAGAAAGGGCACGATCAACATCAAAATTCACAGAGCGCAAAAACCTCCTGAAACCGAGAGATTAGCAATCTGACAGTGATATATTCTTGTACAGAATATCTGATTTCTCCTGCGAGAAAGCTCGTCTAATACTCACAGAATTGTTGCGTCAGAGACATCTAATGATGCATTGTTTCGTGTGCTTTCGACCACGGTCTTGTCACACTGACTCTTGAACTGTGAGAGTTTCTCCTTCTGATCTGGTGTCAGATGATTTGGATGACCCTCAGTCCAGTCCCTAGGATTATTTTCCGGTGGCGATGGATAATCTGAAGTAGAAGATGCACATCTTGCATTATCTTCCGTGGTATGCTTGATTACCGGCAATGCTTTGAACATTGGTAACATTTTTCTGGTATAGAGAGCACTGGTACAAATTCGAGATCTCAATGTTTATACTGGCGCTAATCAAATTTTGGACTAGCTGAGTTGTCGAAAGCTTTATATCATGAATTGAAAGGGTTGCCACACTAAAACCGGGAGAGAATCCGGGCTGGAACGAGAAGACTACTTGACCGCGGAGAGTCTCTCCGCGGATGAATTTGGAAAGAGCTCGGCAGTCGGGCTCCATGGGGCCTCTTCCCTACTGGTGCTTACGTAATCCACATCGCCCTTCCATCTAGTTACCGAGGTCCCTCAACGCAGTATCTTCTGGCTTTCTGCTTTCCTGAGTCCATTCCTTGTTTATGGGGGTCGAAAGAGCGGTTCGTCGTGAAGATCATGGTCCCCGCAAATCAAATTCCCCGAGCCCGCCGCCACAGGTCTGCCGTAGCGTGTCAGGCCTGTCGCCAACGCAAAGTACGATGCAGTCTGACCGTCACTGGCATTCCTTGCGCCGGATGTACTCAGGATGGTTCCCAGTGTATTGTGAACAAAAGGCGAGGGAAAGTGTGAGAGATCTCCGAATAAATGCCCTATTTTTAGATATACTGAAGTTTCAAATATCTTCTCAGCACGGAACAGGTGGCCCAGTCACCTGCCCAGCGTCGGCAGAGACCGCACGAAACTATTGACCCGAATTTTATTCCCGGCATGAACCAAGATTCTTCATTTACAAGCGCACCTGGCCCTACACATGTCTCTAACTTCCGTATCCAATCAGAACACTCTACTCATAGTTCGAGGAGAGCTTCTCCGGATTCCAGACTGAGCAACTTTGAAGAAGAAGAGCGCAATGGGCTCGAAATAGCATCCGCGGCCCTCGGGCAACCGGAAAGAGCGGGCGAAGTTCCCTTTTATACTGGTAGGGAGAACAAAAGCAGGGGGCAATGCAAAAAATAACGTCACTCACTTTCATTTAGGAGAACGTACCGGGCCCACATCAGCACTAGATGTCTGCTTACCAGATCAGTCGTTACCGAGACATTTTCTCATCCCGCTTCACAGGACGGATCTATCTGACGAAGACCAAGAGTTTCTCCGCAAAAAGGGGGTTTTCACACTTCCCGGGAAAAACGCCTGTGACAGCCTGATCGAGGCATACCTTCTCCATGTACACCCTGTGCTGCCAGTGATAGAAGCAGATGTGCTTTTGCGTCATCACAAAGCGGAGAAACTCGCAGAGTACAACCTCTTGCTCCTGTGGAGTCTTTTCTTCGTTGCTGTCAATGTATGTCCGTGAAAGGACTGCTCCCCTCCTGCCTTGTAGGGGTAGCTGACAAATTCAGTTTATCCCAACACACATATGCGATCAGGAGGGCTTTATATCGAAAAGAGAAATGAGATATGCATTGTACTCCCGAGCCAAGGAAAGAAAAAATCTCTGCCCATCGTGATCTGGAAGAATTTTTCAACTAACATTGAATCCTTGTGTTTCTTTGGAATAGTGCTTATACAATAACGGAAACGAACGGAACAAAATCGTGCTTTTGCAGTCCTCACTTTTGCTGGGCTTCTGGCACTCGGACATGGACGAACATGCACAACCGTGGTACTGGACAGGTATTGCAGTAAGTCTGTGCCAGATTCTTGGCTTGCACCGGGACCCTGGCACGATTCACAATCCCTCCGTAACTGCTCGACAACGATCTTTTTGGCGTCGTCTTTGGTGGAGCTGCTTTTTCCGTGATACTTGGCTCGGTCTCACATTGGGAAGGCCGCTGCGGATCAATCTGGAGGACTGTGACATTCCCATGCCATTAGTGGATGATATGCTGTTTGATATCGATAGCCGAGAAGAGCTATCTCTTACTACCCACTTGCCGAGCGACATGCAAAGATTGGCTGGATACTGGATCATGCTCATTGAATTAAGCCGCAAATTGAGCAACATTCTGGCTACGAATTATCGCACTGCTCGATCCAGGCCGTCACTTGATGAAATTGAAGAGCTCGAGAAGCAGCTTTTACAGAGTGCACTTCCAGATCAATACGAAAAAGGTCTGACGCGTATTTCAAGATTTTGCTCCAATCATGTTCATTTGCATTACCAGTCAGTGCTGTCTACCCTCAATAATTCCGTCTCTTAACATAAAGCCGCAGAGCAATGCTGATTACCTTCTATCGGCCTTGGGGAACGGAATTCCCTGATGGCATCCATCCCAACGCGAAGCAAGAATGGCAACATCAAATGCGACTAAGAGCTGACCTTGCCGCCTCTCGAACTAACGAAATCGCGGATGCGCTCGTTCAAGACAACCTGCTTGGATTTGCAGGACCTATGACGTCAGTATATCCAATCAGTCGGCTGCTTCTGTTGTTTTGCTACGCTGCTCCCGGCTAACTCGTGTTCAAATGATCAAGACCGCCGCTCCTCGTTCCTGCAATGCAAACACACCTGCTTCATTGCAAATCGGGGCGATCCCCTCTCCAAACGCATCAGGCTCAATAAGCTTGAAATGTGCATGCTAGTCATGGAAGAACTCCAGAAAACATATACTGTCGCTTCGATATACCGTGGAATTTTCACGAAGGCTATTCAACAAATCTTTCCGGGTTACTCGCCCCCCGTGGCACCTTTTAGCTATTCAGCCAAAGCTGCCGCGGTTCCTGAGACTGAAAATCATGCCGAGGTTCCACTTGCGAGCCCAGAAAATCTTGGTGATAACAGTCAGTTCAATGATGCCGTATTTGGTGTCGCAGACGAGGGGGACATGATGAGCGCGTTAATGGATGAGTCTTCTCTTTTCAGCCTTTGGGAGACGTGGAATCAAGTTTGAGACTTGTTGAACATTGTTTGACCAAGAATTTCGCGTAGGGGTTAAGGAGGCTGAAAGAAAAATAGGGCCTCTGTGCTCTTTTGTTCTTTAGAGAGATTTAGGTTTCAGCTTGGTCGATGACGCAGCAGGCCGTTTCTCAATAATATGGAAGGGCCTGAATGGCGGTTGAATTAACTGCAATCATGTTATCGAATTAGCTGATAGTTCATGAGCTCAAGAAGGACTCACGAGGATAGCTCTGGACTAATCTTCTCGTCCTTTCCTGAGACATCTGGTTCGCTTGTGCCTGGCAATTGGTGATGTGCGATTCCCACATCTAGCTGTGGAGTTAGGAAGCAGGGTTGAGACGCAGCTTGATCAATTCCACGTTTGGGAATTACCCGGAGACATTCCCTTAAAGCTTATTTTTTTGCACCACCTCTGGTGAATAAAGGGTCAATTTCAAACCGAAGTTATTGGCAGCTGATCTGCCGTCCAGGGGAAGAAAGGGCTACATGGTAGCGTGGAAACAGAAGAAAGGGACAAGATCTGTATTCCGAGAGGGATGGAGGAGAGAAAGAGAAGGAGAGAGAGATTTAGCTAAAGACATGCACGCGTTGACAAACGGAGGGGGTCAGCTGACCCCATACTCCAATAGAAGTGAAATCGCATTAACAGTGGCCAGGGAACCAAGCACCTTCTAAGAACCTCTGTTTCGTGTAAGCTCATGAAGAGCCATCAAAGCTCATGTGTGGTAGTCTTTTGTATGCATTTATGATAGTCTTATGATAGTCTTGAAAGACAGCACAAAGGAATTTCCATTGATGCTCGTGAAACATATTTCGTTTCACTTCAAGGCGTCCTCGTAGAATCGCGCGGAACATTCTCGTCAATGGTCGTATGAATGACGCTGTCTCGTCGGTTCAACAGCTCTGTCAGTCGGGCTCGTAGTCCTGAGCCGCTCCTCATATGTGGCCGGTATAAATACTAACAATCAGCATATCATGCCGCTACTCACATCAGTAACCCTTGAACAGGAGCACAATTTTCAGCGGGCCTTAGATTCGGCCTGTTGAGACCCCAGTTACCCTTCGAAATTTGCCCGTCTCTGAAGTGTGCCGTTTAGGATGGCACAGGGCTCCATATTTGCACTGTTTCTGGACCTTGAGGTTTGAATACAAGAATCCGATTCGGGTCGCGACTTCTGACGAGGCCTGGTTCTCACACAAACGAGTTAATGAAACAATATGAAACTAGCTCTTAGCCTTGTTTTTCATATTGGTTAAGGCTCTGCAGCCAATAGGAAATGTTATTTTACCTCGGATCTTTCGTCGGCCCACTTGCCCCATATCGCGTCATTGAGCCGAGGTATTCGAAGAGACCTTAGATACGGAGTACTTACTAATAACTCTATTTTTTTCTTATCTCATCACGGCAACTCTTCCGAGACGAAGCCGACTTCCTCGCTAACGAGTTGTAGTTCCGAGCCTAGCATGTCGGAGCCAGAGGCGAAATGGAGCACTTGTATATAAGTTGGGCATATGTTAATCATTTGATGAGCACCCCATCAGCAAATCAATCAAATTACCAGACATCCAATCATCTTAAATATTGGAACAATCCGAAGTCCCTTCTTTTTCCACGAAATGACTGTCTCTTGGCAAACACCCGCTGATTACGCCAACCGGCCTGTTGCCATCCTTGGTGCTGGTGTGCTTGGTCGCAGAATTGGTATTCCAACCCCCATTCCTAACCGAGCACTTTGAAGTGCAAGACTAATAGCTGTTTCCAGCATGCATCTGGGCCTCTGCTGGATATAATGTACGAGTTCGAGACCCCAGCCTCCAACAACGTGTCGACTGTGCTGCCTATGTGGAGGAAAATGTTGCCTCGTACGCCGAAAAAACCGGAATTGTTCCTGGCAAAGCAGAGACCTTTGAAGACATCAGGTCTGCCGTACAAAATGCTTGGCTCGTTATCGAAGCTGTCCCAGAGAAAATCCAGTTGAAGATCGATACATTTGCTGAGCTTGACGCACTTTCCCCTGCTGACTGTATCTTGGCAACCAACTCATCCTCCTACAAGTCTTCTGAAATGCTCGAGAAGGTCTCTGCAGCTAGAAAGGCTCAGGTTCTGAACATGCATTATTATATGCCCCCGACCTGTATGATTGTTGAACTTATGACCTGTGGCTTGACGAATCCGCAGATTTTTCCCTTCTTGGTTGAACGCACTAAAGAGGGCGCGACTATACCATATGTTGCCAGGAAAGAGTCCACCGGCTTCATCTTTAACCGTCTTTGGGCTGCCGTGAAGCGCGAGGCTTTGACTATTATGTCAGAGGGAGTTTCTGCTCCCGCGGAAATTGACGCCATGTGGGAGGAGATGTTCATCAAGGGTCGCACCCTCCCCTGCAAGATGATGGATAGTAAGTACAGCTCCAAATTTCTTAATGTGAGGTATACTAAAACCTACGTGTCTAGACGTGGGCCTTGACACCGTTGCCTTTATTGAGGGGCATTACATCCAAGAGCGTGGCCTGTCCTCTGTTCACACTGTCGATTTCTTGAAGAAGAACTATCTGGATAAAGACAAGCTGGGCACCAAGAGTTCTAATGGCGGACTTTACCCTCCTATCAATACCACAGTCACGCCTAGTGGACCCCGTATTGTTGTCCTGGACATTGGCCTCGCTTCCAATGCTCTCGATTCCAAGCCAGGCCAAATTCTTGAAATCACTTTGGATGGTCAACTTAAGCAGGTTCTGGTTTCCCACCAGCATTATCCGGACGGTATTGATGTCGACTATGAGAGTGATCGGATGTTCTGGACCACTATGGGCATTCCAGGGGAGGATGATGGCTCCGTCTACTCCGCCAAGACTGATGGGACAGACATTCGCCAAATTATTCCTTCGGGTGCGGTCAACACCCCCAAGCAACTTGTTGTTGTGGCGGAACACAAGAAGCTTTATTTCTGCGACCGCGAAGGTCTCCGCGTTTTCCGATGCAACTACGATGGTTCCTCCTTGGAACTGCTAATCGACAACCGTTCATCCGATATGTCTCATAAAGCCCCCGATCATTCTAAGTGGTGTGTTGGAGTCACTGTGTCCCCTAAGCTGGGCAAATTCTTCTGGACTCAGAAGGGGGTTTCCAAGGGAGGCAAGGGCCGTATTTTTGCTGCCAATATTGAGATGCCAGAAGGTCAGTCTGCTAAGACAAGAGATGATATCAAGTGTCTTTTAGCGGATCTCCCGGAGCCAATTGACCTTGAAGTGAACGAAGATACCCTACAGCTTTACTGGACTGACCGCGGCGAGCTTCCCTTCGGTAACACTTTGAACCGATGTCAATTGACGGAATCGGGCCTTCTGATGAATACTTGCCCGCAGAAGCATGAGATTCTCACCAAGCATCTTCACGAGGCAATTGGACTGAAGCTCGATACTAAGAACGGTCACATTTATATGACTGATCTGGGTGGCAGCATTTACCAGTGCGATCTGGAAGGCAAGAGGAAGAAGGTCATCTATTCTGATGAGACACGGGCTTTCACTGGAATGACCCTCCTCCTATAGACGCGTCGCGTTTCAATAGACTTGCTACAAGCCTTGCATTTTTGACTTTGTGATAAGGATTTCGGTTATCTTTGACCCCTACTGTTACTATAGAATTGCCTTAAGAATATAGACATGTCACGACGTGATACTGCATAGACCCTGCTCACAAGCTTACGTCAATGTAGAGGAGAGTATGATAGTATCTCATGTCACGACGCCAAACCCCCGTCTAAGACCTCGCTGATTCCTCCTACGAAATATATCTGCAATTATTCTTCATCATATCCCAAGATCTAAGCCGTCCTAAATGTATTCAGCGTGCCAGTCCATCATCGATCAAGGCCTGTCTAGTACGGCCGCACCCAAAGCAACGCCATATGCTTGGGCCGAATAGACTACTAGGTTAGGAGTCGAGACTGAAATGCCGAGGACTGATAGATTAAGTAGCGGACTCTACTTTAAGATCACCAATTTATATTATCATTATCCTTGTGATTGGGGGAACTCTACTTACACTCCAACCTAGGGCACATGTGCAAGAACCAACTGTGCAAGCGGCCTTGAAGTGCTACCGAGCCTTAGATGACAATAATAATAGTAGTCTCATGCTTACTCATATCCCAAGTAAAGAGTGCGCGTAGCGGTTGTCAGGAAGCATTCTTAAAAATTTACAAGCAACCAGATACAATAATAAATTATTGAAACTAAGATCTTGAGAGATTTAGTAGATGATATTCATTCGAGTCAAAGGGAAGCCTCTCCATTGAGCTACAGAAAACAATATATAAAAAATCTATTTCTAAAAGCAAAATATAAGTACAAAAGTGGCAAAGTAAATGGAACAACAGTAGAAGCACACGATGGAAAGAAACAGAAATGGTCTAGAAGAGGAATATTTGATCTGTCATTTTGGCAACAGATCCGGGGGCCTGGAAGCCCATGGATATCAAAGCAGTCTGAGCAGCCTTGACCATTCCAGGAGGCCCGCATAGCATGATTTGGGTGTCAGGAGAAGGGGCTGGGAGCCTGTCAGCCATGACAGCTTTGGTGACGAAACCCTTGCCATATGCCCATTTCTGCGGAGGATGGTCGAGCATATACCAGAGCTTGAAGTTCTTGGGATACTTCCTAGCGAAGGCTTCGAGTTCCATTCGGAGAAGAATATCTTCTTCTGTGCGGTTGGCGAGAATCAAGCTAACTTCCGTTGTGTCATTTTCGTCTTCGCAAATAGCGCGAATAAGCTGGTACATAGGTGTAATTCCGGTGCCGCCAGCAACCATTCCGATGTTTTTGCAAAGACCTCTCTTGTACTTCATTGCACCCTTGGGACCGCGGAATAGAGTCTTATCGCCGACCTTCAGGTTAGCGAGGTACTTTCCAGTCAGGGCGCCGTCTGAATAGCACTTGATAACCAGCTCCAGCCTGCCTAGGTCTGTATTATTGGAAACGGGGGTATATGACCGGGCGACATCTTTTCCATCAATACTTGCTCTGATAGCGCAATGCTGGCCAATTGGAATACCAATAACGTCTCGTTCGTTGGGCAGCTGATATACAAAGCGGAAGACGCTCGGCGAAAGCTGCTCTTTCTTGACGAGGGGAAGCGCCTGGTATTCCTTAGGCTGCAGGAAACCCCGGGCAAGCCCAGGATCCGCCTTCACAAGTGGTTGAATCTTCACTCGAGAAGGATATTTGGTGAATCCAGACTCGATTTGTATGATTTTCGAAAGCTTGGCTGCAAAAGCCGCACCAATGGTGGCACACATGGAGGTAGCAGCAGCAAATCCGAGAGAGAACCCTCTCTGTGGCAATGTAAGAGTCGACGTAGACCGTATTGATGGCGCAGATGGCAGAGCAAGTTTTGGAAACAGATCTTGTAGCTTTGGATGATGCCGGTACGTAAAGTAAAGCGCTACGCCACCAGCAAGCGCGCCCAGAACCAAGGTAACTGTGCCAGCAGAAGAACTCGCTTCCAATGAGGTCTCCTTTGTTGGGGTATTTTGCTGGACTAAGCGAACAACCCTCTTGGCTGGTTTGATCTCCTGGACATCCTTGACTGTGCCAATCAAAAATGTCTCCAAGATCTCATCGGCATCCTCTGAATGGCCAACTTCGTCGTATGCCTCGGTCGCATCGAGTCCAGCAACATCGTACAAGACATCCGCTCCGCCAGGGTGATCTCGCACGTACTTCGTAAGGTCATAGACTAAAATATCTTGTTAATGACAACTTTCCAACTGACTTAGTGACTGGGATATCACCTTTCCCGTGAATTATGACCCACAAGTCAGTTCTGGTGTTGTGGGCGGCGACATCAGCCACATTAAAAACCGAGTCGGTGGCCATCTGTGAGGCTTAATATCCCGTTGGAGAAAAGGGATATTATTTTTCACAAGATAGCAAATACCCTCTCCCTTCGGGGCAGGCGGTAGCAACAAAGGATTCTTCGAATTGGAAAACCCCCGCTAAGGAAATCAAAGATCGTGGAGGATAAATTGTCGTTTGAGACAACCCAAAAAAGGTGGGTAGAACACACGACCACTTAATATATGTAATCACATCTCGCCGTGGCTCGGATGGGCATATCCCGCACGGTGTCTTCCGTTGAGAGATGCGCATATAGAGTGAACCACGACGGCTAGAGCGAGGTATGATGAAACGCTTACCGAGAAGGGCGTCAGTGATAGATATTTACCGAGGAAGCCAAAATTTTCAATTCTAACCGAAGGACCTTGAAGTGTAGTTGGAGTATCTTGCCGCTATATCCGTAAACCGAGCTGTTTACATAAACCGAGCTATCTGCCCACCGACTCGACATATGCCGAGATAAAAAGGGTAGTTCTGTGCCGAGTCAATGGAAAGTTCTCACAGCCTCGCTCGTCGGATTTAATCGCTGCTGAATTTGTCGGAAATGTAGTCAACCATAGGCCTATATTTAAACCAGAAATCATGCAATCTGACATTTCCCCGAGCCGGACACTCGATTGTTTTTTTTTTATCAACACTTTTAAGACATCATGCCTGTACAGAAGTTTTATCTCCTTGGTGATCATGTCACGTCCGCAAAAGAGATTGAAATCGAGACGAATACCGACCTCGACGGACTAAAGCACTTGATTGCCGCGCACTTCGCCATCGTTGAGCCAAATGGTAGGTAACACCGGCATTCATCATTATACACTTCGAATCAAAATCTCTGACACTGCAATAGGAATTGCCTTTCAGTTCGAAGATGTGGAAATCGTCGAAGTACAAGACGTCATTTGTGCTCAGGGATGTGTAGCGATCACCATCGATGGCCATGCCGTCCGTGATCCCCCAGGTCCAAAGGGTTTACCTGTCCTGGGAAACTATTTGGAGATATACCCTGATCACCTAGGCAATCACCAGCGACTTTTTGAGCGACTCGGTCCCGTTATACAAACTAATAACATGGGGCGCGTGACCTACCACACGAATGATCCAAACATCGCCGCAATTGCCTTCGCCGAATCCGACTTTTTCACCAAAGAAATCAACAAAGCCCATCCTCTTTATGCCCTGAAGACTCCCAATGCCGGGGTCTTCTTGGGTGATACCGATACACCTGAGTGGAGAGTGGCTCATAAATTTTTGCCCCCTGCACTGGGTCCTAAGGCCGTTCGCCATTACGCACCTACCATGCAAAAGACAGTCGAAGATGCCTGCAAAGTATTCGATAGGCTAGATGAGCAGGGCGAAGCTTGGAATGTCTATCAGTATATGCTCAAGCTCGGTGCTCAGGCCGTGGGCAAACTCACTCTTGGCTTGGACTTTGAGCACTTTACTTCGCCTGACGCACCTCTTCACGAAATGGTCCACCTGATTGCTGAATTGCTTTCTTTGAATAAGAAGGTAACTTCCAAGGGTAACTGGTACAGTAGTCTGCCATTTGGTGACCCTGCCCGCCTCAAACAAGTCAAAAGCCGTATCGAGGGTATGATCGAACAGTCTATCCAGAATGCTGCTAGAGGTGGTGTAGACGATCTGCCTTTACAAGATGCTGCATTGAAAGCATCAAATATGGTTGGTTAGTATTTTCAGTCACCGTTGCTGATAATATAATTTAACAATACTTTAATCTAGACTATGCCATTCGTGCTACTGATAACAAGGGTGAGAAATTGCCGAAGGAAAGCCTTGTCTGGGCTCTTGCCGTTGCGACTGGTGCCGGTTTCACAACGACGAGTTCCCTACTTTCATGGCTTATCTACGGCCTGGTCACCTACCCAGGCATGCAGGAGAGACTTCTCCAGGAGCTGATTGATAACGATTTCAACGATGAGACAGAGATCACTGCCGATTTCACTGAGAGGTTGGTCTTCCATGATAAGTATATCAAGGAAATGCAACGCAGACACAACCCATCTTTCCAACCTGGGCGGACCGCAAAGACCGACCTTATCCTTCCAGGTGGCTACAGACTCCCGAAGGATGCGGTTATTATTCCTGCTCTCCACCACATTCATAACAACCCGGAACTGTGGGACAATCCTCACAAGTTCGACCCTGACCGTTGGGATACTCCGGAGGTCAAGAACCGACACAAGGCTTCCTACTTACCATTTGCTGCTGGTCCACGAATGTGTATCGGGTTCAACTTTGCGCTCCAGGAGATCAAGGTCTTCCTACCAAAGCTGATCTACAACTATAAGTTTGTTCGTGAGGGTGATGGACCCATCGAATATGATCCGATGTTCCAGCTTATTCGCCCCAACAACTTGTATGTTCGTGCTCAGAAGCGCGTCAAGTGGCCCCCAAAGTCCGAGGCTGCTGTTTAAAAAGCTCTTCTTCAGATCCCTGGTCTAGCTTTGATCTCAAGCTTGCTCTGCACTTAAGAACGAGTGCGTTGTTATTGTTTCATTGTCTGGGAAGTCGTTATTTTCTTTTGTTGGGCTCTTTGTTTCATTATGCTGTGTTCAATTACAACGCGCCATTGATTCCCTTAGATCCCTTCTCTACAGAGCCAATTATCTTTAGATTTTCAAAGGTCGCCAAGTCGGCAAATGCTCTATGTACCGCCCAAATTACTCTTGTACTCACTAACGCCGATGCAGGAACATACCCATGGCTCCGAATTCATTGGCACCCTACAATATCAACCTTTCAAAATTTGCTTTTTTACTGCAAAATTTTACATATATGGATACGTTGGAAATACGTTCATAGTCTACTTTAGCTAAAGGGGTATGTACAGGAGTAGATGCACAGATGCACTTGACACTACAAAGTACTTTCAAAGGGTAGGTATACTTGAGCCCTGGAGCCCTGGAGGCTGACTGGTTAGGCTGTATAAAACTTTGTTTGGTCGAGTACTTGCCATGGATACATACGTTCCTGATCAGTCAACGGTGTCTAAGAGTTATTTAGAGGGTACGTGGAGCCATCTCCGCCGAACCAAGACTTCCCCGAACTGAATTATTCTCCAATACGGATTATTTAAGGAGCAGCGTGGCCGCGGTGTCCCCCAGTAGGAAATCTGTGGGTATTCGAAGGCCACTAATAACGTGTTTTGGCGGCTAACCACCAGAAATTCAGTTTTAGTAACCGCCGTTCTCGCCGTCCATAGTAATCAACATTCCGGCCATATGCCGATATAATAGTACTAACAATTTGCCGCGAAGAATAGCATTCTGCAATGTTCCGTTGCCAGAAAGAGACTGTGAATAAGCTGTTATCGACTATCTTGACATGGTAACTGTCAAGGATGATGAGCATCATATTGCAGTATATGGTATTCTTTGTCAATCCTTGAAATACTTGATGACAGGATCTACCTAGAAGCAAAGAATACCGCAAGTATTACAAAAATTGAATGATGGCTTCTAAGATATCAAGGTCTAGAGCCGGGATCGCTCGGCGATCAGGCTGGAAGAGTTGGGTAGACTATCGATAGCTGAACGATCGATCTGGTCGATCGTCTGAAAGCCGGCTTCCTCCATCAGAATATCGAATTCCGCAAGGAAGCTTTTCATCACATGTCGCACGCCATGCTCACCTGCAATGCTAAGTCCCCATACCCAAAGGCGTCCCAGAAACACGAATTTGGCTCCTAACGCAAGGGCCTTGAAAGCATCGGCAGCGCTACGGACTCCAGAATCGAACATGATCTGTAATTAGTGATTAGTTCTTGATTTTAGATTGAAATTCAGGTCAGGCATCTGGGTCTCCCGAAAACATACGTAGATGCTATCTCCGACAGCGTCGACAATCTTCTCCAGTGCATCAAGGCTAGCGATAGCGCCATCAACTTGTCGACCAGCGTGGTTTGTGACAACGATGCCATCGATACCACTAATCTACCGGTTAACATACTTCAGAAATAGTCCGTAGTGATCAGCGACGTACATTTCAACGCATTTCTTCGCAGATTCGACGCTCTGGATACCCTTCAGGCAGAATGGCCGACCACCACTGATTCTCTTCCACTGGGCCATCGTCCACTGGACCTTCTCCCAGGTATGAGCACGGCCATGCCAGATGTTCTCGTCGATCCACTTGGCACCCGCCTCTTTAGGGTGTGTCTTGGGATCGATACCGGCCTCTTTCAGGCGCCTTTGGAAGACAGGGTCTTGTAGACCAAGATCGCCTGCTCCATGTTCATGATAAAATGCATAATTTCCGGTGAAAATGTCATTGTGGCGCCATCCAAGAGACCAGGTATCGGTGGTCAGCATACAAGCATCAAAACCAGAGTCCCAAGCACGCTGTAGCATGGAAATTGTCTGCTCGTCATCATGACTTTGATACAGCTGGAAGAAGCGAGGTCCTTTTTCGTTGGCCTTTCCAACATCCTCGATACTGTAGCTGCCGGCAGAAGAAAGGCAATAGGCCAAATTCAATTCTTCAGCAATCTTTGCAACAGAGAGCTCACCAGTTGGATGATAGATGCGGTTAATGCCAATGGGAGCAAAACCGATAGGAGCCGACACTTTGTGGCCGAAAATCTCCGTGGCCGTGTCCCGGGTATTTGTGTCAACTAGAGTTCGCGGTATGATACGGTGACGGTAAAATGCCTGGCGATTTGCCAAATGGGTCCAGGAGAGACCTGCATTGCACGAGGAGTAATACCTAGAAATATCCTGTTAAGAACCTTGGCAACATTTATGGCAAAGTGTAGCTGAGAAACAGAGTAACACTGACCAACCTCCTTGAGACAACTTCTCCTTTGCGAGTTTTTCAATCTCAGCTGGATCTGTTCCACCATTGCCAAGGGCAACACATTAGGTCATCATAATAAAAATAAATGCAGAGACGCTTCATACCAGTATTGAAGATCGGGTACTGGCCAAAGTTTGAGTTCCAGAAGGCATCACGCCGATAAAGCGACCACTGAGGGGTGGTTCTCAGCTTGATGTTGGGGTTGTTCGGGTCGGACATATTTGACGCGACTGTACTGAAGAACGCTTTGGGAAATCTTTCGGTGAAAAAGAAGCTCTCAGGGTGGTGAGATTAGACTAACTTGTTGTAGTTGAGACTGGAAGGCAAGGGATCGGTATTTATAGGGAAACGCTACGCGAGAAAGATATCAGAGCTAGCTACTATCAAGTTCCCCCTGGTCATTATGTTCGTAGTGGGCCGGCAAATTGAGATACTTTTGACGTCACAGTTTTTCAAGTGACTGGATATCAACCGTAGTTACTAATGACGACCGCAGGTCATAGATTCGTAACTCAGGACGGGACTCGTGGGGCGGTGTATAACGCTCGGAATCTGTCGGCCGAGAGGGAGATGAACCTACTCTGCTCTTGCTAGATACCTTGGACTGCTAAGCATCCCGGAATAAGGGTCTAACTATTATTGACTTTTGAGAATACAAGTTCATTTTCTGCGTGGTATTTGTTCAAGACCTCGTTTAATGATTCCTGGAATCAGTCGAGTCAGCAGCTGCTGGGTGATATCCCACCGTTTTTCTTACTTGGATAAAGCTTTGTTTTCAATCCCCTGTCCAGTCGATCTTGCGCTTGGAAAGTTGTACTCGTCGTCCCAATGCTCTTTAGCTGGTAATAACGGCCCCCATTCTTTCTTGAACCTTTTCCAGCGAGTTTTGAGTTTCGTGGAAAGCTGTATGGGTGCTGATCCCTTCTTGGTACCGATGTCCTCAATATTCCTTACAGTCGACTTGTTCATGTCCTGATATGGTCCCAAGTCAGTGATGCGTATGCTAGTGGCTGAGAATACCACTTACGTTAGAAAAGTGGTTATTGGTTTTGGGAGAATGTGTAATTCCAGAGTATGGGCTCCGGCTGGCGATTGTGCCGCGTCAGGCCGATTTATACCCGCCCCAATTTCACATAGCAGCCACCACCTTACTAGCTTGAGTCAGTGCACATGAAATCTCAATGGTAGAGATTCTCAGAATAGCTTGCCTTGCCTCACCAGGCTTCACACGCTCAATTTTTCTTGTTCTCCTATTGCAAGGTCATCACTTGCGCAATGTGTTGATAAATCTTTGCATCACGTATTATAAATGGAGCTCAACGTTTCTGCTCCAGTTCGACGTTGCATATATCTTCCTCAATAAACATACGAATTACATTCTCGTACCGCTTTGGTCCGAGTTTCCCTTACCTTCAGTTTCGCATAGTGACTGGGCATTAGAAGTGAACAACCTTTGGGAGTTCTGACAGCAAGTTCTTCACAGCGTCCACTACAATGAAGAATGAGGTCATACATGCTATGCAGGCAAACTAAAAGAGGAGGCTTTGATCAGAACGAGCAAGCTCCAATATAATATACTAGAGGAAAGGTTTTCCTCGTTTCCTCTTACTCAACCACTTATGTTAGAAGGTGCTGTTAAGAAAGTAACCAGAATAACTTGAAGGACTAATATTCTAAAAATAGATCTCTCAAAGTCTGAAGATTCGAGACTAATCACTCGGCCGAGTACTTGGCTCTTCTTGACCCCGAGTCTCTGCCGGTGGGTAGCTTCCACTTTTTGGACCGAAAATATTCATCTCGTGTGGTAGGTGCTGGTCAAAAGATATATCATTCATAGATGCTCAGTCCAATAAATCATGTTGACTGTCAATAGACCTTGAGCTCGATTCCATTATCCAAAGGATCTTTACTTTCGATGTATTGAATTCAGTCGATTGCATCACTCCTGTGTATGAGTCGAATTTCAATTACGGAACCTCTACTGAGACCCCATTCAACTCATTGCAATTCATCATGGCTTACTGTTGAAACTTACATCATAGCATTTGTTCGGCCGATAGTTGTTCAAGCTTACCCTTGAAAACTGATGGTCGAGCCGAGGTGAGTCTTCGCTGCGTGGTACAGCTCCATTGAAACCCATCCTGTTCTTAGCGGCTATTGGGTAGGCCCGATGATGTGAGGCTGAGAATTTCCATTGACTGGTAGATTTCACTCTCATTGATGAACGTCTAGAGAATCTTCTGTCCTATGATGAGGTGAAGGCTACCAACGGAGGTCTTGATCTCGTTAACTCTGCGGGTGATCCTCACTTTGGGCTCGATTTTATCGGTATTTTAAGCACTGCCGTCTAGTGGCACTGCCTGATTTCCGAAGCAGGTAACTATATGATAGTCGATGTCGATCTTCTACAGCCCGTATCGCAAGGCGAGTCACCCTAAACCTTTCTAATCCCTTAGTGTAGCCAAATATTAACCTGAACTTCTTTGCTAATGACCTGGATCTTCTGGCAATGTGTGAGGGCGTTCGCTGGATCTACGGTGTCTTGACTAACGAAACTGGCTTCAAAGGTATCATAGTCAAAGAATATCCATGGAAGATGGCTCTCCATTCCGATGAAGAAATGAGGACATGAGGAGGGCTGTGCTGGTCCAAAGACAGACTAGATCTCGTAAGTACGCCCCCTGATAATGCTGAAGGAAGCATTGACTTCTTCTCTAGATCACTGCGGGACGGCACGAATTCACTTGGGTGTTGTTGATTGTGAACTCCGACTGCACAAAGTAACTCCGACTGCACAGAGTGTACAATCTCAGGATTGTGGATTTGTCCATAATTCCCGTGACCCCTGATTGCTGAATTTAACACTCTGCCGGGTCATGATCTGGAATTTGGGTATATCTAGAGTATTCTGGCTTAGATTCACGCCTTTCAAGCTCGCTTCTCCCATTTGGTCAAGCTTGCGTAGAGAGATTTCGTTTGTAGTTATGCATAGTTCGCGTAGTCCGGCTAGCCACAGCTAAACGATATCTTGTATGAGCTGTACAATATCTTTCCGTACGGTGGGTTCTCCGCCCATTAGACGAATCTTTTAACGCCCCGAAACATGAGAGATGAAAGATAAAGAATTTCCGGCGAAGTCAAAAGGCGGGCCTGTGGCGATACGTATAACTCTGAGTCGGGCATGCAGGACAAAGACCGCAGATCCTACCGTTCTGTGACGCTGATCCGGGTACAATCATTCTGACGAAACTTTTTTCCATAAGTAAGTCAGAAAAAGGCTTGATCTATTCGTTGAACGATCAGTGACGCCGAGATGTCTATAGAAGTAGCCTGGTCAGGCTATGTGACTGCCATGGTTCTCTTCTCGAGGATGCACAATTGACTATCTCAGTTGGTGTAGACGCCTTCTTCCTAGCCTGGAAATTCGGATAGCTCGTTGGGTTTCAAAAATTTCGAGATACCTGACGTGAATGCCTCCACCTTGTGAGGTCTGAGCGCAAAGCCAGCGCATAGGTGCATCATGCATTCCTTACCCCAATCGGATGTCAACGCTGTGCCACATTCTTGCCGGCGGTGAGTCTCTCTGATACGCTCCCATCGGTCAGAAAAAAGCTGAAACAGAATGAGGCAGCAAGATCCTTATTCGGAGGAAAAGCGTGGGGGCAAGAGCATAGAGAACCTAGACAAACAAGCACTGGTGTAAACAGAGGTCACCTGACACCCATACCCAATATGGAATCTCGTATTTTGATAATCAATTACTCTCAATCTAAAGCAGAGCTTGCTTTGCCGCCGCAGAGTTTCCAGTGGAATGAGTTCGTATCGGTCTCAAGGTTTTCACCGATCAGTCAACGCAAGGGATGTGACCCCACCCTTCGACGCCCCTCCAGCACGAAGCTGCAGCTAGCTAATGTAGTATGTTTGCTGGGAATGGCTCCTCGAATTGCTCGTCGACAAAAACTCCTGTTTATTTTTCGTCCTTTTGACAGTTCCCATTATCTTGCAGGGCGTCTTATCGATAGCCAATAAAATGGGTTTCAACATTTGAAGTAATTGGGTTTTACGATAGTGCTTATGAGTCGTGACGTAATTCAAATGCCAGCGCCACGGTATGAAGTTAATTGGATGAGATGTATGTTCTCTATCCGGGGAAGAACTGTTAGCGGCCGCAAGGGGGACCTGCTTGTTGGAAATTCCCACTCCAACAATTATTCCAACACTGAAGGATGACCTAAATATAAAGAAGCTTCCGCGCGGGATTTTCCATCCAATTTCCTGCTCAACTTCTGAATCCAATAGCACTAAAATTACCTACCCCTCAATATTATTTTGGAGTGCACTTTGATATCTATTCACAATGGCAATGGAGCTGCCAGCGTCGTTGGACACTACCAATCGTCCAGATGAGTGGAAGATTGAACAAGGCATGGCAGGCCACAAGCTGCCCATCCTTGATCAAACTGGAAGCGACACCGTCCACATTTATCCTCCAAAGGAGGCAAAAGTGACTAAAGATCAAGAGGCCATCGCATCGGTGGGGAATCGTACCAAGTTATTCGCCCGCGAACGTGTAGGTTGGAAAGGGTACTGTTGCCCCATTTATTATCCATGATTTCATAATAATAGGAAGAAGCTAATGATGAATTATACTGAAGATACATTGAGTGGGAAAACTATCCTGAGAAAAAGGCCAAAGCACACAAGATCCTCACTTCGCAGACATTCGCTCCATGTCCTGATTTCAATTTCGGTCCAATTCCAGACACCAACCCAGTCCTTCCGGGTAATGACTTCAAGGATTGGCATGCTGCTATCGGAGGTGAACTCGCCACTACAGCAGACGATTCTTGGAGATGTGTTCTCCGTGAGAAGCATCCGGATATGCTGCATCTTCTGCAATTCCCTTACAATGGGGAGCCCCCCAAGCGGCTGGTCACCTCGAAGGCAATAACACCCAATCCTCTGCACTTTGTTCGGAACCATGGCGGCATCCCGGTAATCGACAAAGACAAGTGGGAACTTTCGCTCGATGGGTTGGTGAACAATCCCAAGACCTATAAATTCAAAGATCTCCTGAACGAGAGCAAATTCCCACGCATTGAGAAGACGGTGACAATCCAGTGCTCGGGAACCCGTCGTATTGAGCAAATTACCCTGTACGGCGGTCAGGGAGATGAGGTTCCCCAAGCACCATGGGCTGAGGGAGCTATAGGTACAGCACGCTACCACGGTATCAGCTTGAAGAAGCTGATTAAGGATTGTGGGGGTCTCGTTAAGCCAGCTAAACACCTCGAACTCTACGGTGCTGAGACCTACTTCAAAGATCTAGAGGTGGGCAACTATGTTGTCAGTGTCCCATGGTCCAAGGTCAAGGCCAACGAAGTCATCCTGGCATGGGAGATGAACGGTGAACCTCTGCCAAAGATCCACGGGTATCCATTGCGTGTAGTAGTACTGGGATACATTGGAGCCCGAAGCGTCAAATGGCTCTACCGCATCAAGGCGATTGAGAACCCGTCTATCGCACCAGTCCAGTCCAAAGAGTACCTTTACTTCAACCAACAGGTCGGAAAGTACAACCTGCGACCCACAGACGGCATCCAAATCCAGGAAATGCCTGTCAGTTCAGCAATCATGTCCCCCTTCACAAAACAAGCAGTCCTCCACACAGGAAGGATCCGATGCAAAGGCTGGGCATACTCTGGCGGTGGTCGATGGCCCGAACGAGTCGAACTGTCAGCAGATGGTGGTTTCACCTGGTACGACGTGCCACCGGAGAACCTATCAAAGAAGGGAAAATGGACCTGGCGTACCTGGGAATTCGACTTACCTTGTGATGTTGAAGGATGGATTGAGATTGTATGTCGGTGCTGGGACAACTCCCTCAACACGCAGCCCCTTAATGTCCGAGCGGCGTGGAATTGGGGTCTGCATGTCACGTCCTCGGCTCATCGCATCAAGGTCTATAGTATCAACAAGAGTCGGGAAAGAACGAAACAGCGTTTGGATAAGTTTGAGCAGCTGGGTATCCCCTTGGCTCCTCTTACTCACTATGATGATGTCCCAGGTCAGACACAGGAGGAATACAAGCAGTACTGGAAGGTGCATGAGCCACGGGATGTCGATGAATGATTTCTTGCAACCGTGCTCGTTTGGATAACCTTGCAGTATTTGCAGTGTTTACTTTCAAAAATGGAATTCAATAATCACTTTCTAGTTAATTAATTGCGAATGACCAGATCGTATCATATTCTTGAATGTTTATCGCGGTTTTGCCGTCTGGGCACCAGGTGCAAAGCCACTCAAATATAGTCTATGAAAATCGGACTTGTGATAACTTTCTCTCCACTCCACTCTCGACCAACAAAATATATCGAGCGTGACTCTATTTCTTGACCATTGAACAACGCTCTTCCCTGTATCCTTCGTGGTAGCTCCACGCTTGGGATTGCTTCAACACGGATAAATAGCTCCGCACCACCAAGAATATCTACCAGCTTTCCATCTGGACGTTTGACCTCCTCCCAAGATGTCTCGAGCTCAAATGTAGGTTGGGCTTTGTGAGGGTTCTCGGCTAATGCGTCTCCAACCTTGACATATCCCCCCAGTGAGCCTGCCACGCGTATCGTTCGCGGGAAGCTCTCGCCTTGCAAAACAACATTGACCCCGTCGATGTCACCACTTGTCTTGCTCGAAAATTCCACTGAATTTCCTCCTCTTTCCCGAGCAAAGTCTTCTGTGTTGTCCTCGAGACCTCCGAACGGCACAACATCCTGCACAACACTTCCCGAAACAGTAATAGTTCCATTCCAGACAGCTTCACGGTACCGGTCATACAATCTCGCTCCACCCCAAGTTACCCGCAAGATTGTAGCAGGCACGTCAGACTCCGACCAAAAGTGTCTTCGCCAGATTAAACCGGATGCATCAAAAGCCTCGATAGAGGAGAACCCCTTCTCACCAAGGAAATGGTAATCCAGCTCTAGCGTTTCTTGATTTGAGATTTTGATCTCGTCGCCCTGCATGGCAGACCCATCGGCAGTTTTCACCAGCCCTACTAATCGCTGACCAGTAGTTGCGAAAGTGCGACGGGCTCGTAAAGCATCGGCCACATCTTGACGCTCGAGTCTCGAAGCCAGAATCCCCGTGAGACCTCCTCGAGTACCGAATACTGCAGTTCCGGGAACACCACCGCCACATCGACCGCGATGCTCATCGGAATTGGCGCAGACTCCGAGTCTCCAACCCCTACGGACGGCATCACGCAGTAGCCACTCAAACTGGCCCCATGCACTGCCAATTTCGACAAGGCGCTCTAGTCGAGGATGATTCCATGCCAAATTACAGCGACGACCGCCAACATGAGGGATAAGGAGATGGTTCTCTGCTTCCCTGGCGTAGATGCAGTAAACCTCATCCAGTGGCCAAGCTCCAGGGACAAGATCTTTGGGGCCATGCTCAGACCATTCAAATGAGCGGGCAACATTACCATGGCGATCGAACGGGAACTCGGGTGGATTTATTGCTGGATCAGCGAGAAAGACAACATTGTGATCTCCTCCTGCTGCGGAGTTTCCGCACCACTCGTTACCAGGGAAGATGACGAACTCGCCAGGCTTGTTGAGTGATTTTATCAACTCCGTTGTCCCGTCCCAGCGGTCTTTTGTGATTTGGAAGTCATTGGCAGTGTATCCAAGAACATCAAGCGCAGCAATTTCCCGGCCATATGAGAAGTTATATATGGATGACTCGGTTCCCACAGTGTCGTCGGAGTGGACGTGTAAGTCACCGAAGAGGGCCTTTGGGACTGAGAGGTCAGAGCATACTGTAATCAGGGTTCTTTGAGATGCAATGATATTGGTATCCTGAGCTTTCAAGGTCACATCAACCGTGTAATCCCCGTCGGATTCTATGCTCAGGTTGGAAAATATCGCGTTGGTCCAGCCGTGGCTTGAGAGAGAAACTTCACGTGCCCTCACGACCTTTAAGTGTTTGTCTGAAATTTTCAACTCAAAGGACAAATCTCCAAGGTCGCTGGTCACATTTCCCCAGATATCCTCGGCGTGCGAGTGAACTGGAAATGGAACAGAAGGTTGCAGGACTCTAGGAGAAACAGTTTGAATGCGATGGATAGGACCAGCCAAGATGTCCCAAGAGATGTCGGGTTGAATTGGCGCGAAACGACTGTTACGAAAGTCAGTTTCTCATGCTTGTGCAAAACTAAATCGATAAATACTCACGAAGTCCCGACAGGATCAATATAAAATCTCCAACGGAAGTCCTTTTCTACAAAGGTTTGAGCTCGCGTTCCTCTTGCCCCATAGCGACGGTCTCCCAGGCGAATGACAATCCGATCACCAGGATTCATGTAACCGTCTTGAACATCCACAATAACAGCCTTTTGAAAGGGTCGCTCGTGGCCCTTTTGGTCGAATCGGATCCCCAGTGACTGTACTGTCGCTGGGGTCTGATCGGGGAAAAGGGTGTTCGGAATATACTCCGCGCTGACATAGTTGTCTTTTGTACGGTCTGATGTCTGAAACAGCGCCCAGTCCTAACAATCCTTTGGTCAGGTTAAGCTGTCTTCTTTAGAAATATCAATTATACTAATGATAACTAACCGAGTAAAATTTGAAAGTACCCTTGATCCAAGCCCCATCTGCTAGTCCAGAAGCGCCAACTTCATAGTCGAGCATGACTTCTGTCCACTCACCCGCCACAAGAGATTTCACATTACTTTTGACTCGACCAGTGAAGGGCAGACTTTGGTGTACTCATAGAGTCCTTTCGGTGCAGAGTAATCTCCTGCTAGCTGGAATCGGTCATCGGCGGTGAGGTTCTTCATACTGCAGATACCCACTTGCGTTAATATAAACTGGAATGAGTCGATTGATGTACAGAAACAAAATATTAGATTCTTCACTTTATTATATCAACTAAAGAGCGACCTCGGGACGAGGGGTAAGAGGATCGCCAACGTAAGCGCCCCACGCCTGTACCCACAAAGGTTGATATTGCGCCATAATAAGACGGCATTTCAACATTTTTGCTGGCCTATTGCGATTAAAACTAGGTATTGAAACTACCTATGACTGGTCATTTCACATATATTTGCTATGAGTATCATTGAATATAAGCTTATTTCATATTTAAAAGAACAAGCTCCTGGGATGGTGCACAATCTTCAAAGAACTCAGTGCTGTCAATGGACTCACTATTGGCTTCGACAACGACTTTCTCTTCGACTAAAATAAGGACTGTCACGCAGAGCCATCAGACTTCATTCTCGCTGGTGTCGACTGAGAGGGTCTAGTCCTCACTTTGACAGGCAGCTAGGGCCATGGTCGGCTCTAGGAATTGGACAGAGCTACTTAGATTGTACCAGTACCCCGAGGCACTTGTTTGTTTCAAGATGTTTCTGTATCTTGGCCAAGAGTATTCGGAGCGAATGATACAAACATGAAGTATGCCCGGGAGAAATTTGCAATTCTCGATTTGCAGCTCGTGAGTTCTTTAAAATATGTGAAGACTCAAGGGCTAATCGCGCGATCCAGAGACGAAACGGGATTATGTGTCCCCGAGCGCAAGGAAGACCCAATACAAATTCTGGCATTGGTATTTGATCTAAGTCATGATTAAATTGAGAATTCCTTTGGTTGGGGTAAGAATGGCTTTGATAAGACCATGATCAGTCAATTGACTGCATAGATGCTCCATGGTAAAGTGTTGAATCTACCTATCTCTTGAGGAACAAAGACTTTTGCTTCTCAAGTATGCAAAGATGTCTTTTGGCTTGATCAATCCAGCTAAAGCGCTTGCGACTTTTTTAACTTGTTCTATTCATTTTTACAGTGGGGGCAACTTCCCACAAAAATAAAACAAAACAAAAACATACAACAGTCAGGATTCGCATGTGGTCACCCACCATACTACTAACTAACCGGCGTGTGGCTTAAGTACGGCTGAGCGGACGGGAAGCCCTGTTCTCCACACCCTATGGTCGTATGTACTGAGCATCACTTTTATTTGAATTATATCTTGCACAAAAATGTTCGATTTCCACATACCTCTTTGGTCTGAATTGGCTTTTGATGCTTGTCTCGATTTTTTTAGTAGCTCTAGAGAGTGACGTGCAATCCCTCTCGTCCTGTCTTTTGACCAAGGCTACTATACTAACAAAGTATTATGTCTAGGAAGGAAGGAAACCCTCGAAAATAGGCCTCGTTTAAAGTATGACGACATGCCATCAGTGTGACTTGAGAATGGCGCTCACAATAAATACAATCGCCAGGCTCCAGCGCCTGAAATGCAAGGTTATCAAGGCAATCGTTCGGCTGAACAAGTGGCCATATGAAAAAGAATAGTAATAATTAGCGACACACTTCATTAGGTCGGTGAGAGGAAATTAGCCATTCTAGAAATATTTCCCATCCAGATACTAGAACTCCCAGCCCGAAGTATCATGATCCCACTCATCACCCAAGGGATATTTATCTTTTGGAACCTTGACGGGGTCAAATGCAACCAGTGTGGCTTCATTCCAGAGAATTGGCTTAGCGCGGATCCACTCGCGAAATCCAACCCCAAAGCTCAAGATGAGTCAGTTCATAAAAACGTAAAAGAAAGATAGAAAGGATATACTTACAGGGTCGTACTATCCCCACCCAGACCAGTTTACTTGGGCCAAGCAGCTTGTGGAGAACACCGACCTTAAGGAGTTTTCTAAACGTGCTGTGGTTAGCAAGGATCAATTTTCAATAAAATACTCACTTATAGGTCCGCTGAAAGAGATCTCGAATCAAATCGCGGTCCTTTCTGTCCTCGATGATTTTCCAGAAGCCAGTCGCAATTGACGATTCGTCCCCTAGCCGCAGTCCAGGGACAACTTGCCACACAATGAAGGTGAGAAATACGCCGGGGACAAGCCCAATGCTAGGCTGCCTTATTTAGCAATATGAAAGAGGTTTGGGTGTAAACTGTGATGACTACGGATTCTCACTGAGAATTTCGTATGCACGGCGCTCCAGAGGCCTAAATGACATAACTTGCGCAGCACGACTTGCAGAGTCTTCATATTCAGTATGGTTGTATGGTATCTGTGCATAGACACGCATCATAGCCTTCACACTTGGGTCATCAGAATTCTCGCATGATAGCTTGATTGACGCGTAAGATGGGGTATCCTTTCAAACAGTGTCCTTTTCCATCTGACTATCATGGTCTTTGATTAACTTGACTGTTTTCCACCTTGTTATACCGATTGTAATGGAATTTCCCGGTGCAGAATCAAGATGTTGGAGCATTTGCGGCCGGCGAAACCAGGCGCTTGGGGTGGCCATCTTGAATGGATGGAAAGGTGAGTTGGGAAGGAAGGTGCGGATGGTGGGTGGATGATTTTCTTTAGTGGAAAGTCAATCTGCAGGGAGTTAAGTAAGTTCTCAAGGTTAATAATATACATATACCGTCTAGTGCTCCGACACCCCATTGGTGATCAGATCTAGTAAGAAATGCCTACAGAGTTTCTGCTATGTTTTCAATGTTCTTGTCGCCTGGAAATGCAGCCAGAATCACAGGCATGCCTTGAGGTCAATGATACTAATAAGTTTAGATTTCTTACTGCCTATCTGGACACGCGGAAGGATACGTTTAAAGCAATGAAATTTCAAAATAGCTACTAAGTAACTGGGAAATCAATATATGAGCCTGTATAATTGCTTTTGAAGTTCAGTGTCAATCTGAAGATTATACAGGAGCAAGATTTGATAGAATGAAGCGTTCAAACTCAGGCCTACTATAACATGATCAGGACAAAGTACAGTAGGTTATATAGTGGATTAAAAGATAAAATCGAACGAACATGACAGTTATTCAAGAAATGAAATTAATTTTCAAATATATGAAACCAAGTAATTTGTGAATTAACTGCATGTTGAAGAGTTGAACACTCGAAGTAGGCAAGCACAGTCAGAATGTGCTGGTAGATCCACTTAGGAAAACCCACAACAACAACAATAACACACTCATAAAGCAGAGTAGTAGAATAAGACCAGTAGGCCAAAAATAAGGGGAGTGGCAGGTGTCCATTCTATATCTTTCCTAACATCTAGTTATAAACATGGCCGGCGGATCTGCTAAGCGGGTAGTGAATCTAGATAGTGATGATCCAGCCTGGGTAATTGACATAACATAGAAGAGGCCTATCTCCCCAAACCAATTTATAATTTATATTCAATTAACGGCCAGATACCTAGGTAGTGAATGAAACCCTAAGCCTTGGATAAAAACCCTCATGAGGTCTTTCCTCACCTATTCTTTTATTCCTTCTTCAAACTTGATAAATTCACAGCCACAAAGGCAATCGACAGGGATACATCGCATATCTTAATGATTGGAAAAGGATGACAGATGAACCGATTTTCCAGCCCTCAGTTATGAACCTGCCTAAGAGGCTTCCTCCCCCTTCCCATTTTGTGCTCTCTATTCGTCAGCTAAGAAATTCAAAAATAGACCAAAAGTCGTAATGATGACATCAACCCTATAGTACATCTCATTCAAGCCTACAGATAAGTGACCTACAAATGACCTCTTTGTGGTTATTGCTCGAAAATACAAGATATATAAGTACCATGTTCCAACAGTGATCTCCCATAGGACGGATAGAAAGTATCACAACTCTAATATCAGTGACGTAATGGATCTATGGCATATAACCTACAGCTCCTCAGCAATTTTCTAGAAAAAAGAAAACTTTGCGAATTTGACTTTATCTGGCGGATTACGAACCAGAGAAAATCCACAGAAGTTTTACAAAGCCACTAAACCTCCTGCTCCAAGTATTCGAAAGAGGTCTATCTCGTTCGAAAGAAAATGCAGCTAAGGTATATCAATTTCTGCTATTTCATACCATCCACACAAAATAGGGCTAAAAGTTGATGACGCAGGAGATTTTATCCAGCAGCTGTCAGCATTGGCGGCGTTTGGGGAGGGACCTATCTTATGTTTAGGTATTTGTCGCCCAACAAGGACGGGTCTTTTGTTTCTGATAAAGAGCGTCAAGACGTTCGGGGAGGATCCAATGGACTGTCTCCTATGGGAACTAGAACTGCAAGGTCGCCGCGAGGTACAAGTGGCTCACCACATGCATAAGACACATTTCGTTCCGCTGTTAAAAAGGCTTCCGGACTGTTTTTCTTTGAGACATTATTACTTGAAGTTATGAAATGCATAATTGATGAGTTTCAATCCAGAAATGCATGCTAATAATAACGCGGTCGTCTCCATGACAGATCCTTTTATCATGAAATGATATGATATAGCCCTGTGGCGAACAATAGTAATAAGAGCAGAAGCATAGTTGAAGCTTCGAATCCCAACGGTCTTCTTGTCTTCGAATAATCCGATATTATATTCTCGGCGACAACCTTGGCACTAGAAAGCGCCACTGGAACCCCTGCCCCAGGATGTGTACTTGCACCCACAAAGTACAGGCCTTGGATCTTAGAATGTCTAATATGGGGTCTGAAGCTGAGGACGTTGAAAAACGAATGAGAAAGACCAAGAATCGCGCCGCGGTCAAGGTTGAACTTCGTCTTCCAGCTCATAGGCGTTTCAATCGATTCATGAATCAAGGAGTCACGCAACTGAGAGGCTCCTGTTCGAGATTCAATTGTCTTCAGCACGACCTCACGAGCATGACTTATCAACCGATCCCAGTCTTGAGGGTTTGATGGATCATCCACAAGGTGGCCGACAGGCACTAGTACCACGACTGCATCTTTCCCTTCAGGCGCTGCGGTTGGATCGATCCGGCTTGGAACATTGACATAGAAAGATGGCTCATCGGGTAGCTGGTGCCGGTGGAATATAGCATCGAAGCTCTCTTTGTATTCCTCTGCTAGGAAAACATTATGCACTTGCAACTCTGGGATTATTCTGTCAAAAGACCAGAAAAATGAGATGCTACTGCAAGATGCTGCACGCTTCGTCAAGCTTCGAGAATAAGAGTCGGGGGGTAAAAGATTGTTGTAGGAATAGACAAGGTCTGAATTGATGACAACCAGATCTGCAAAAAGCTCCTCGTCCGTTTTCAGCCGTATGCCTTGGATTTTGTTCTGTGATGAATAGATGATCGATGCGACTTCCGTATTTAAGCGGTACTCGACACCCAGTCGATTACCGACATTGGCCAAAGCTTCGAGCACCTGCAGGGATAGATTAGCATTTAGGAGATGGGGGAATATTCGGGTAGTAAATACTGACCTTTACAAATCCTCCTTCAGGATAAAGAATTCCATGGGCCAACTCGGTGTACTGAAGCAGAGAATATGTCCCAGGAGCTTCGAAGGGGTTCATGCCAAGATACATGCTAGCAAAGGTGAAAGCACGTCGAAGTTTATCTGAGGTGAAGTGCCGCTTTATACGGCTCCACATACTTTCAAATGGATGCAGGAAAGGGAGCGACAAAAGCAGTTTCGGGCGCAGCATGGCCAACAGGTTAGGGAAATCCTGTGATAGAACGTGCTTCATGGAAAGATCATAATGCCGACCCGACTCTCTTAGAAATCGGAAGAAATGCTGCATGCCATCCTTCCCCTCGTAGCGCTCTATTTGCGGCTTCATTTTGCAAATGTCCGTTGACGCTTCGAAGTAGTCATGGTCCGAGAACCAAATACGATAGTTGGGTTCACATTTCAGCAAACGTAAACCCTCATCCTCGAGGGATGTGCCCAGATCGTCAAATGTCCGATAGAATACCTCTGGCATCAGTAATAGTGACGGACCTTGGTCGAATCGCTGTGTATGGTCAGAATCACACACAATTGGAAAGGAAAGCATCATAACATACATATTCCTCATGACGAATGATAGAGCATCGACCTCCAACGAAGCCATTCTTTTCAACAACTGTGACTTTATATCCGGCTTTTGCTAGGCGAGCAGCCGTAGCGATTCCACCGGCCCCAGCTCCTAGAATATGTGAGTGAATGTTTGACAAGATTCGCGGACAATATCGGGTTTACTCACCTACAACAATAGCGCTAGGAGGTTGCATCTTGTACTGAACGGAGGTTAGATACTATTCCAACCCGTACTATATCAACAAATCCAGTGGTGTTTCTCAAAACCGGCTTGGGATTTACCTTGGATATTACCTTGGCATGTGACGCTTACATGGCTTACATGCGGGGATCCACAATTCCCGATCTGGATAGTGTACGGTATTCCTTCATTTCCATGCTTTGCAAGGCCTGCATTCTGCAAGGGGTGGGGAAGTGCAAGGAATGGGGGAAGTGCAAGGGACAGGGGAGAAGAGAGAGAGACCATCTAGCCATGCGGCGCTAGGAAACGGAGTGCCCAGGTGTCGCCTGACTTTCACAATCCAATGGTCTAGTCTTATCTACACTTATTTTGTATGAATTTGTCGTGTCTTTTTACCAGTCAATTGCGCTTGATCTCACTGATAGAATTGTCCCATAGTATTTGATATATCCAGTATGTTCGAACATTTTGAAGTTGCTGGACAGGCTGTTTCACTAAACAAGATCCTAATTGCTACCATTCATCTCCCACCACGCTAGCCTCAGTCTTCGCCATAAAGCTATTTTCAATTTTCCTTCCTCTTTGATTCCAGATTGGCGCCTCTTACGGACCATCTCCCCAATCATCATATAGCTCTCAATTGTTGTCTTGATAGGTCGTCGCGCCTCTTCAGGTAGTTCATCAATGGCTCGCACGCTATGTTTATATGCCTCAGTCGCTTTGCGCAACATGCGATCTTCGAATATCGCAAGCCTGTCATGATCCGGACTCGATAGTACATCGCTTGGAGTGATTCCCTCCTGTGCTAACCACGAAGTCGGGATATAAACTCGGCCGATCGCTGCATCGCGTTTGATGTCGCGCGCAATATTCACATACTGTAAAGCCTGTCCCATATGCTGCCCAGAGTTGATGATTCTGTCTCGTTGGGCTTGATCGTATATTATTTCGCCCATGTCGTAATGATGGAATACCAATTCAAGAAGAGACGATGCGACCGTGCCAGCGACACGGTGGGAATAAATTTCCAAGTCCGATTCGGTTGCGATTGGAAATTTCTTGCTTTCAGCAGAAAACTCAAGATCCATTTCAAATCCGGACAGAAGTTCGAGTAGTGGTTTCAAGGTGAGACGAGAGATAGGCAATAGTGCTATAGAGGAAAGCAAAGGGGACAGAGCACTAGTCTGTTCGGGGCTTCTTTCAACATCCAAATAGTCATAAAGAGGCTTTGATGGTGGCTTGGTTGAAAATATCCAGTTTAACACTCGAGATGCTTCCTTGATCTTCGCCTGCGCTGTTTCGCGGTCTTTAGCTTCATCAACCAGGTCGTCCATTACCCGACAAAATGAGTATCTGTGACTGAATTAATTTTGACCACTTTGGGGATGAAGTTGAACCTTACAGCATAATAAGATCAATACGCAGTCTATCGTGGAACATCGCGCTGCCTAAATACATTGTTTGGCTCTTTTGTGATAGCTTTTCAATGGCGGCATTCAACCCCTGGAGAAACTGGATATCGAAACATCTTGCTTGGCTGGTCATATATGACCGGCCTATCTGGAAGACGGAAGGTGAATGTCTGTCAGCTGACTTGCAAATTACCGCATCATACTCGTCTATCGCAAGAGCATGATCAATGGTTACCAGACCAAAAATGATCATAATATTGGTGACAAGAAAGAACAATGCCTCTCTGTAAAATCATCAAAGGAATATATTAGCCAATTCCACGACTGCAATCTGAATGGGACTTACTCCAAGTCCAGGGATCCTCCAATGCGGATATCCAGCTTCGTTCCATTTTCAATCACCCATGTGCCACGTTGAAGCGAAAAGAAGTCCACGATCCATAGATATAAAGTTGGCAACAAGATGGAAATCAAAATAGGTTTCTTGGGCAATGCAAGAAGAAAGTTACCGCAAAGAAGGCTGGTAATACCCCTTGTTAGCCTCCACATTATTCAATTTCAGCGTTCGTCACAGCCTCACCATTGAGATATCAGTACCGGCAGAGCCCATACTAGGATCAAACCCATATATGTGAAATGGTTCCTAATGAATACGCAGATCATACCGATGCCCGTTCCAGCTATCAATGTCGCGGACCCAAGAGCCTTTTTCAAATCGTTCTTCCTCGGCAGCAGGTATGCCGGTAGCACCAAATGCTTGGTGAATATAGTATACAGCAAGCTCGTGCAGTATGTCTGAATGACGAAAAAGAACAATTCCTCGAACGGAATATCAAATAAAGTATATCCGACAATTGCGCTAGGTGGATAAGACCAGATACGATTGCGAATCAGATATGAGTCCCATGGTATGGTGAAGGAGACCGCGATCTGAGATTGTCAATAGCTATTTTCAAAGCAAGAACGTAAACCTCTTACGCTGATCAGAATGAATATTTTGGTAATTTCCAGTCGTGTGAAGAAAGGCCAATATGCCGCTGTCAATAATACCGCGGGCGGGATGGTCCAGGTCGAATGGCTATAATGAATCTTTAGTTTAGTTCTGAAAATTGAGTACCTGTTTCACATAGCATACACGAGACAGTATTCAAACCCCATTATGGCGAATGTCGATTTGAAGCACTCAAAGCCTTCGCCGGCCCGATGCAATTATTCGTGTAAGAGTGGCGGTGATGAAAGGGCCACGGCTTTCTCTATAAATGCTAGATCCAATCGATATTTCCGCTTAAGGGGTAACCGATTTGGATAACGGAAGGAAGATAGGAAAGCTTGCTGTGTGGAACGCCCTTGCTTTTCCAAACCTGGCATGAACTACGACTCGGATCAAGGTTCACACGCAACATTCCAATTTGAAATTCTGACACCCGGGTGACGAAAAGACAGCTGGAAACCACTAATGCACATAAGACAAGTAAATCAGGGAAATTGTATTCTCATCTCTGGTCCTCATCCGCTGTTCCCGGTTGATCGATCGATCGCTGATTCAGCGACCCATATAGTTTTAGCTTCTGACAAAGCAAACTAGCAATCAAACATTGTTTAATAAACTCTCCGATGCATTTATATTACGATAATGAAACAAAGATAAACAGTATGAGAGGGAGGCTAAATTTATAATTTCCAAAAAAAGCCTGCCAACGCTATCCCGATGAAAAAAACAAATAGGACCCATTTCCATGAAGAATGATTGGATATTGGCGTGAAAAATCGCGACCAAGCATAGTTGCGTTTGGGGGTGGGAATTTCCCAGGGAATAGGAACATCAAGGTCTTTCAATACTCTCTCCGCAGTGAGTCTTGCACCCGCAAGACAAGTGGGAACCCCAGCTCCGGGATGTGTGCTGGCACCAACGAAATATACACCTTCAACACTTTCGTGTTTGATCTTTGGTCGGAAAGACAGTATATTGAAAAAACTGTGGTCAATGCCAAATATTCCGCCTTTGTCTGAGTTGAATTCCCCTTGCCATGTCAATGGTGTGTTAACAATCTCATGGTCGATGAGCTTCTTGACACCGATGGCCCCCGTTCGCTGCTGAATAGAGGAAATCACATGGTCACGGACATAAGAGACCAGATTCGTATCGTTAATCACTTCACCGCATGATTCTAACCCTGCGAGATTGTCGACCAAAACGAGGACAACTAGCGCATCTTTTCCTGCTGGTGCAGCTGATGGGTCTATTCTTGAGGGAACATGGACATAAAAAGAAGCTTTCATCGACCCTTGGCGTTTCAAGTAAATTTGCGTGGATTGCTGTCCAAATGAACTTTCCACGAACATGTTATGGGTCTCCAGTTGGGGTATGGTCGTCGAAAGTGACCAGTAAAAGGATATGCTGCTGCAGGAGACCTTATTGCCCTTCTTAAATGTAGCCCAGCTTGATGAATCCGATGGAAGGAGCGATTTGTAGGCGTAAGTCAAATCGGCGTTTATGACAACAGCATCTGCCTTCAAAAGTTTGTCGAAGTCCACAGAGACACCCAAAGCCTTTCCACGAGATACGGTCACTGCCTTCACTGGATGTGAAAGATGATATTCAACGCCAAGCCTTTTACCAATGAGAACCAATTTTTCAACCACCTTTGAATTTTAGTTTGAGTGTTCAAAGGAATGGACGGTGACTTACCTTATGAAAGCCACCCCGAGGGTACCAAACTCCACCTGCCAGCTCAGCATATTGGAGAAGCGTGTAAGTTCCTGGGATCTCAAAGGGTGACATGCCAAGGTACATACTCCCAATGCTGAAGACTTGGCGGACTTTGTGGGATGTGAAAAAGACGGAAGCCCGTTGCCAAACATTCTGAAAGGGATGGAGTTGAAACAAGTAAGGTAAAAAGGCGGGCCTGAGAAGTGAAAGGAAACTAGGGAAGTCTTTTTTCAACACATGGATCAAACTCTGCTCATAATGTCTCTGACACTCTTCAAGAAATGCAACAAAACGCTCAAACCCGCTTGGTCCTTCAACGTCCTCGATTTCAAGCTTCATGTGCGCGATGTCTGTAGAAGTTGCAAAGCATCCTTCGTCTTCGAACCAAATCTTGCAGTTTGGCTCACATTTGAGAAGCTCGATGCCTTCAGAAGACATGCATGTGCCCAGATGCTGAAATGTTTCTTCGAATATCTCAGTCATGAGCATGATTGATGGTCCGCGATCAAAGCGCTAAAAAGGTCAACAAGAGTTCCCAAAAAAACTTCGAAAAGCTTACATAGCCATTGTGAAGGATGTTGCTGCATTTCCCTCCGTGATATTCGTTTTTCTCGTAAACTGATACTTTTAATCCAGCTTTGGCCAGTCGGGCGGCTACTGCGACACCTCCAACTCCAGCTCCTATAATTATGTCCTTGTCAGCTTGAAATCTTGATGCAAGAAATGGAATTCGAGCCCTATACCAACAACCACTACTCTTTTTTCCATCTCCTTTCTATCGCTCATTTTAATCTCAATTTGCACTATCTGCTCACGCAGTGTCTCCTTATAAAATGCAAGGATCTATAAACGGGGCCGTGCGTGCGGGTAGTAAATTAGGATCGACGTCATGCAACCCATGCATGCCGATAAGGTTCCCGATTTGTATCAGACGTCGAGAAAAGGGAAAAGCTCACATTTAGTTACCTTTTCTGACTCACCATGTTAGCTGTTTTCTCCTCTTCGTTTTCGTATAATCTTTCCCCGGTTCCACTAATGTTCCAACTTTTTGTCTGACATGCAGATTGAGTACAATTCATCGATGCCACGATTAGCCAATACTTGGAAAGAATAGTACTGATCGGTTTGCCCTGTGCTTATAACTTGCAAGCTTTTTGAAGCGAGAAAATTGTGTTCGTATCGTCCTCGTTTATCCTCGTTTGTCCTCAGTGTCATGATCGTGACGTCATCAGTTTAGGCAACTTACTCTTGAAAGCCTTGAACAGCTCTATACGGCAACAGCCTGTGTATTTTCTAGGCCCAGGCATCTAATCCAGGCTGAGTGTCAGGTTCAGAGTGTTTGCTGGTTAGGCCTTTGTTGTCATCCTAATCGGGACTAGTGTGATATATGGGCTCAACACATTCTTCCTTCCTTCCTCTCCCCATACCTTTCAGGAAGAAAACCGTTGACCATATCGTACTACTGCGTACTATTCCGTCTTTCACGAGTGTCCCGAAGTGAGCACTGAATATCTCCCATGTTCTCTGGCTATATAGGGCTGCATCTCTTAGCAGAGCAAGTTGAAATTGGTTTATGTCATGGCAGATATAGTGGATGATAAACAAGGCCCAACACGAAAGCCTCATCGGTATATCTCAAGAACCAACTTCCGGGAAATTACTTAGAAGACAAGCTTACAAGTTCCAAGATGCCTTAAAGGAAACTTTGCACCAATTCAACGACAACTCGACCTAGAGCCGTGCACATACTCGGGGGAAATTCCCGTTGAGCTCCATGGTGGCCAGTATGTTCGAAATGGCGGGAATCCGACCTTTGGAGACGATCTCACCGACCATGCTCATATGTTCGACGGTGACGGGATGCTAGCTGGCGTCTTATTTCGAGTATCTGAAAATCCCCGAGAAGTTGAGCCCTATTTTGTCAATAGGTATATCTTGACCGATGTTTACCTTGCTACAAAATCAATGCCACGAGTCTCTTCTTCGATATTGCCAAGTATCGCGACCTTGATCCATCCATTCGCCTCTACAATTTCAACATTCTACCAGCTTTGCCGCTTTGTGTTTCTCATCCTTTGGTCCCACTTGACGTTTTACGGAGTACCAGTGCGGAGAATAAGTGTTGCAAATACGGCAATCCTTTACCATGACAAGAGGACATTGGCAACATGTCAGACTGGACCGCCGATGAGGGTGCAGTTGCCAAACTTGGATACCGTTGGCTGGTATAATGGAAGTTCAGCCGAGAATGAGTATAAAACTCCTACTTCCGGTAAAGATTTACTTGGTCGCAATGGACTTTTTGGGTTTTTGAAGGATTGGACGACGGCACATGTGAGTAGCAATGCTTTATAATCAATGACCATCGCTCATATGAAGAATAGCCACATGTCGACCGAATCACCGGTGAGCTTATATCATTTCAGTCATCTTTTATGCCTCCATTTGTCTGGTACTCTATCATTCCACGTACAAGTGAAACAAAATCTCAGCAATCGCCATTACATTCCGCCATACCAGGCATATCGAGCCCAAAGATGATGCATGACTTTGGCGTTTCATCCAAACACACGCTCATAATGGATCTTCCAATGTCATTGGACCCCATCAATATGCTGAGAGGAAGACCCATCATTCATTATGATCAGGATTCGCCGTCACGATTTGGCATTTTCCCCCGTCACAATCCTGCCATGGTTCGATGGTTTGAATCAGAAGCTTGCTTCATTTTCCATACCGCCAGCACTTGGGATGAACATTCCCCAAAGTCTGATAGCGACGGCGAAGTGGAAGCAGTAAACATGGTTGCATGTCGCTACACTAGCGCTGAAATGCTATATTCTTTGGGGGCCATCAATACAAGCTCGATTACGAAGGCCCCCAAGGAACAAGGGAGTGACAGTCGACTATACTACTACAGATTTTTGCTGTCGGACCACACCCAGAATCGAATTACTCACCAGTGGGCTCTGTCTGCTATCCCCTTTGAGATGCCGGTTGTCTCACCCTCCACAGATACGCCGAGGTTCATATACGGATGTTCTTCGAAAAGTGAAATGTTTGGATCGAGTACAGGCGAGCCCATGAAGAATGATTGCCTTGTCAAGGTCGATATCAAAATCTTGATTCGTCAAGGAATCGAAAAAGAAAAGAAAGGAGTCTTCGGCTGCGTGGATGAGAGATCCATCGGCGAGATACTGAAAAGCGAAGGCATTTCAGATTGTATCAATGTGTTCCAAGCCCCGGAAGGGTGGTATGCCCAAGAACCTTTGTTTGTTCCTCGAAATAATGCGCAGTCTGAAGATGATGGGTACATTTTGACTCTCATGTTTGACGAGTCCCAGCTAAGGGAAGACGGACGTGCTTTGGATGACGCCAGAAGTGAGTTGTGGATTATCAAGGCCAGCGATATGACAACTGTGGTGGCGAGGATTTTTCTTCCGCAGAGAGTGCCTTATGGATTTCATGGCAACTGGTTTACGCGCGAGCAGATTGAAAGACAAAGACCCTATCAGTCTTCGCGCATGGAACGGTAGCTTGGAGTATAAGTCAATTGGAATTATCGAACTATCTATGAACGTATGTATTCCGCTTTCCAATGTTACTTGGTGCAGTCAAACATGGCATGTAGAGAAATATAGATGTCGTATTGTCTCAAGATGCACGCGGCCAACCCCGTCTCTCTAATACTTCAGACCCAGATGCAGTTCTGAATACGGAAGTTGACGATGGCATTGGATGAAGGGATATTGGTTCCTGTGAAGTCTCAGGTCTCTTTGAGTGCGTCTTAAGCCAAGGCAAGAGATTGAATACACCGCCGCAGGCGAATATGCCCAACCAAAGTACCAACTCAGTCCCATATATGACCATTCCAAGTATGTTGATACTCGATCCGAACACTTTCAGATACTACTGTTAGCCCGGTCGGCCATTCCCACATTTAGAAGGACTTACAAATGGAAATGAGTGAGAACAAATCACCAGCGGCGTCAATTCCGACAAAAAAGAAACTGATCCCTCGAACAGTTCGATGAACATAAATATCCCAGTAATGTGTCAGTACTCCTGCTGCAAGCAGCGATGCGCTTAGGACAGCCATCAATATGAGAGGCCACCTCAAGTCATGATGTTTGGCTTCTTTCAACGCAAATATCAACCCGGTTTCAATGCCACCAAAGATAAGAAGGAGGGGAGCAACCGCAGCAATGCATTTGGTGACAGAATAGCTCTAGTTCCAATTAATGCCCGGTAGATAATGAGACTAGAAAACAGTTTATAAAGAAACCGTGGCTTACCTTTCCGTAGTAGAGGCACTGAGCCCATGTAACAAGGCTTAAAGATGTAAGTATTTGAGGCTGTATTCTCAACGCAACCTTGAACTCTTCCACAATGTTGTATACCCCAAGAGGGACCCCTGCCGCAGCCCAAAGGAGCATCATTGAGCCTTGTAGACCTTCAGTGTTGTGTCTTCTGTAATTGATGATGATCTGGGGAGAAGCTGAGAAACATAAGATTAACTGAGTACGACCATAGGGCCAAATTTTAGATATCCAACAACAGCCTACCTGGATAGACCAACAAACCTGTGTTCCGTGGACGTCGTTAGTGGGACAGATTGAATTGTTCATGTGGATTAACTAACCGCGCCAAGGGTGCCCAGCACGGTTTCCGCCACGGGGATGTCCATTCTGAGAAGATACAAAGTATCAGGCCTGGAAGAGAGTATTTGAATGCATCGGGGTTGAATATGTTAGCGGTTCGATAAGTGGATACCCAGGCAATATTTGGCGGTGACGGCGGTTTGTGGAGCGTTAATTCTGCCACTGTTGGTTCTCCCTGATTGTTGAGATGATTAACATCACAACTCAGGGGTTCGGGAATCATTGGGAAATGAGAATGGATTTCATGTTTAATTCAATTATGCTCGAAATCATTCGTGATGATCACGATATGGCTGCTCTTGAAAAGTATATACGGTAATATTGGGAGAAAAAACCGTGCAGGTCGCACTATGACTCTTGAATTCCACCTGGAAAAGATCAAATACTTCAGAGGAGAAATTCAGCCTATTGTGTCCCCAATGAGCTTCACCTGGACAAGGGATGTGTTCCAATTTGGGGAAGAATTGCAGTTTTTCAGAAGCTTGCTGCCTTGGTACATCGACAAATTCAGGGACATGTTCACCCACATCCGCCAGGGCAAACTTCCACAAGCAATTTCAGCCGCTGAAGAAGGCCTGCGATTAGCAGAGAATGATGTTCATGTCCTCGTGGCTGCCAATTTTCGTCAAATCTGCAGTCGACTGGGCGATCTCGACTGCTGAAGCGATTGTGACGCACACCAGGCCCAGATCATACGCGCAACGGACTACTTGTCCCCGTTTTTCAGTGAGATATAAGATTGTCTAGTGAGTCACGTTAGCCCACTGGCCTACATCAAAGCGATACCCGCAAATGCAGAGATGAACTTGGGGGTTGGCCTTCTGTCTAGAGTTTTGCCGTTTGTTCAGGGACAGCTTCAACAGCCCATGCAGGACCTGGTGGAGAATATGCCAGAGCGAATGGTTGCTCTAAAAGGACTAGAGTGGTTTTTAGCGCGGTTGGAGCCATACAAGGAACCTGCCTTGGAAGACAGGAAAGAGTGGAATCCAGTTGCTTCAGAGCATTTGGGATCTCACAGCAGATCTTGTTAGTCGAACCACGCCGGAATATTCGAACTAAATGATGGACGTGTGTGAGAAGTTCCAACGAGACAGAATTAGGTCATGTCAGTTTAGAGGAAAATTCACCACTCGTGAAGAATGGCTGGGGACATCTGAATGGGATTCACCCTTAATTTCCTCCATCTCCCCAAGGCGTCGGCCACAGCCGCCTAGTCTGCATATACGGATACTAATAATATTCATCGTACTATTTTTACTATGTTCTCTTATCTCTATGTTCAGGCTGCGCCTCGTGCCCTTGTGATGACGCGTCCCCTGAGCTGCACGTTTAAGGTGCTTCACACTCTAGTGCAGGATAATGCACTTTGTGTCATTCATATAATTGGACGGTGATGAGCCTGTGCATTAGCGCTCGGGTGAAACTAGCCACAAGCGCTTCAGCCCGTAGTTGAAGGCGCTCACATGGGTGGAACCGGAGGTTTGGGCGTGGGGGCCAGATCAACAGTTCCGGTTGACTAGATCTACATCAGTGTCAACGTGGTCACTCGTTATAGTTGTTAGTTAAAGCCCCCCGGAAGACTTAAGCTGTTACTCTTATCGCTGATTCTTTTCTTCATATTTGACTGGAAAGATCTATTTCAAAATTATCACAGTGAATCCAATTTCACGATGTCCACATCAAGTTCGAATGGTGAAGAGGTGTTCTCGCAACATTGCGATGAAGAGACCCCGTTGGATACACCCGAGCTTGTTCATGATGAGAAAGATGACAAAAATGAGGAAAGACCCGAGTCCGAGTGTGGTGATGATTCTGATGATGAGGTGTTGAGGAGCATCGGCACCGTGGAGGGAGAAGAGCTTCTTGCCTTCTTCGACAATGTCAGAAGTGCCTACCAAATTGACACTAGCAGTCTTTCTCTCCCCCAGGTAAGTAGAGAGCATGTCGAAAAATTCTCTGATACTCATGTCGCTGACCAAAGTCAAGCTGGTCGTCGTTGGAAGCACCAGTTGCGGGAAGTCATCGCTTTTACAGGGTCTCACAAAGCTCCCATTCCCAGTGGACAATGGGATATGCACCCTTTTTGCGACAGAAACTATGATTCACCGCTGCGATCCATCTGTGAATCCACACTACTCAATTACCATACAAACAACCGAGCCAAATGACTTCGTGCCCCGCGAATATTCCAATGAATCGTGGTCAAATGTTTCTCTGCACCTCAAAAGCGACCTTGAGGATATATTCAGCCAACAGCATGCGAAGACTAACATACCGCGACGACTGATCAATAATAAAAGAATTGATCGCCTTCACGACCAGGTGATGAAAGTCAATGTCTACAAGCATGATCAAGCCCACTTCAGTGTGATTGATATCCCGGGACTTATTAGTGGTATCATTCAGTCATTCGCCTCTCACTCAGCTTGATTGCGGTCTTCTAACTTTTCATTCATATAGGTGGCTCGAAGTCGGATCAGAGACTATCTGAAAATCTCGCACGCCAGTATATGAGCAACCCTCGTGCTATAATTCTGTGAGTTAGAGCGGAATGATATTTTAAGATAACCACTGACTTTTCAGGGCCGTCATGCCTGCCGTTGACGACATTCACAACCAAGCTGTTCTACGTCTTGCGAGAGAGGAAGGGGCCATGAAACGGACAATTGGAGTGGTTACCAAGTGTGACATGCTACAAAAGCACGATGAGGCAAAGGTAAATCCCCAACCAGAGTTATTAATATAATCCATCCTGACCTTTTTATTAGACAATTACCCTTCTCAAGAATCAAGATCCGGAGCATAGGCTTGAACTAGGATGGTTTGCTGTTCGCAACCGAACCACCGAAGAAATCGAGCAGGGGCTTACGTATCGAGAGCGAGACGAGAAGGAATATCGGCTGTTCAACCAGAAGCCTTGGTCGACTTTGCATACCAACTTCGCGGGAATTGCCAATCTGAAGAACTGTGTTTCTGATATCATGTACAAGCATGTCAAGGCAAGTTTTCCTGCTGTGCAGAAGGATATCGTCGAAAAGCTCCAATCGGCTAAGCACAACTTGGATTTGCTGGGCGCTGCCAGGGACAGTGAGAAGATGCAGTCCCTATACCTGGATGATGTCCAGAGAAAGTTCGAAGACTTGGCTCAAAAAAGGCTTTCCGGACTTTACGATGACTGTTCCCTTGATCACCCATCACGGCTGAGATATCATTTAGACAAGCTCGTGGGGGAGCTTCAAAAGACCGTCGAAGAGGATGGGATTGAGCACAGATACCCGACCGATGAAGAATTCGGGAAGCGGATAAACGAGCTCGAATATAAAGAAAGCCCTGCTGATTGGGAAGCAAAGATCCTGGCGCCGGGCGATATATTTAGCTGGATGCTACGGTTCTGGAACGAAAACAGGGGTGATGGCTTATGGTACATACCGCCACAAGACTACGAGAATAGGCTTTGGAAAAGTCAGATCAAATCTTGGAACGGAATTGCGAGCAATTTCCTTTTCAAGACGCGTCAACTGATCCAAGCCTTCTCAGATTCTTTGCTAGAGGAGTTGTGCCCTGACAAGCAAATTTATGAAAAGATCAGAAACGCCCTGCAAGCACAAAAAGATGAGGCTATTCTCCGGGCAGAGCAGGAACTTGATGCCATTTTGAGTGAGATTGGCAGAATGAATACCTATGATCGAAGCTATGTACAAAGAGTACAACAGAAACATCAAGATTGGAACGCATTCCTCGAAACTTGTGATATCAAACTTCGGTATATTGGTACAACGTTTTTCAATCTCACGGCATTCCAAGATCTCGCTCAGTGGCGATTTGTGGACAATGTGATGATTCAGGTTGTTGAACGCCACTTGTTAGGTCCGTCGGGACTTATCTTCTGTTTCAGCTCGAAATGGATTCGAAACCTCTCCGGTCTTCAACTTGATGATCTTGTTGGGGAGGATGAGGGACGGAAGCGAACGCGTGCCGATCTACAAACCGAGATCAAAGAGTTAGATCAAATTCTTGGGCAAGCTCAAGCTCTCCAGTATAGGTAGGAGATCTACGTGTGGGTACCAGGTCTAATGTTGTGCACGCTATATGTGGGTTTTGTGGTCAAGAATGGATGACGGTTTTCCAATATCGCCATGTGATTTTAGTGAATTATCTGCAATGCCATTATCGAATAACACAAATTCCATTGAGACTCCGCGTACTACATTCTTGTCCATCTGGTCTAATGCCAGTATCTATAAGTCCCCGAAATACCCTTCCATCCCTTGTCTAACGCCTGCACAATCTCCTCTGGTAGCGGCCCCTTTTCGAAATCGAGCAGGTTTTTCTCCAGCTGAGCAGGGCTAGACGCCCCAATGAGAACAGCATCCCCAAGCTCCTTCTTCAAAGCACTGTGATGCATCATCCAACGCAACCCACACTCTGCCTCGGTAAGACCATACTTTTCTCCAAGCGAACGGAGAAGCTCCAGGGCATCAAAATTACGATCCGTCAAATACCGATCGTGATAGATAAGGTTACTCTTCGTCTTAGGATCGAAGCGAGATCCGGCCTCATACTCCTCTTGGTTTCTCTGGTAGCGCGATGTCAAAAGCCCCGCGGCCAAAGGCTGGAATGCATATAAACAAATTCCGTAATGGCGGAGACAAGGAAGGAGTTCAGCCTCGACGGACCTCTGGTACGCATTATACACCCCCTGGTAGGTGGCGGGCTTGATGAATCCATTCTTATCGCAGATCTCACAGATCCGAGCCACTTCCCATGACTGGAAGTTGGAGATGCCGAAGCGTCGAAAGTGTCCTTCTCGGTACAGTCTGTCCACCTCAGCGAGCGTCTCTTCAATCGGTGTCGATCTATCCGGGCCATGAAGGTAGAACATCTCGATGCCGGTCTTCTCTGCCTGCAGCGCCTTCAAACTTCGCATTAGACCTTTGCAGGTATCGGCCGCACTGAGGGTATACAGCTCGGATGTGATCCAGGTCAAATCGTGGCGTGCAGAGGGGTAAAGCTTCGTATCCATAAGTAGTCCTCGTCCCTGCCAGTTGGCCTCGCCGAGATATTCCTCGGTCGACCCTGCACCATAGACGCGGGCAGTGTCAATCTCTTTGTGTCCGTGTTTCTGGAATGTATCAAGCATGGCGTTGGCACCGGCAACCCCATTATCAATTCGCACATGAGCCGTGCCTGGAAATATCACTTATTAGTTTCTCGGTAGTTGGCCTTTGAGATTGATCGTCCTTACCCGCCTTGCCTATTGTCATTGATCCCAAGACGATTGGAACAGCGGTTGTGGGAGACATCTTTGAATGGTAATAATGTTTGTTTGCTAAATTAGCCAAAGCTGAACGTCTTGTTGGTTGTGAATCCCAAGTGCTGGATTCTGGGATATTGGATAAACAAATCAAAAATAATCACCGATCTGGGACTGGGTTTTAAAGAAGAGATAATTGGTGATGTCACCAAATCAGTCCTTGATATCCACATGTCAGCTATTCGCACGAAAGTAGAAAGGAGAAAAAATGCTTTATCTCCAGTGCTTAACTCCACTTGGCGGCCTGCTTATTTTCTTGATCAACTCTAATTGGTTGTATGGTATCCACTTTTATCCCCGTTACATCCCACCAATAAATATACTTGAAGTGGATACTTTGCTGACACTCTAACCCAAAAATGTTAATTAGTAGTTAATCAACTAAATGTTAAATGTTCAAACAAGAAGGATCGACGGAAACATGCGGAGGTAATGACGGAGTATAAGATTAGGCGATAATGGGACGACTTAGTATAGCTGCCATGAGCCAAGCTTCCAAGCTTTGACTTTTGCTTACTCACCCGATGTTTCAAAAATGGCTAAATAAGGCGGACCTAGTGGTCATCATGTTTAAAGTTTTCCACCACGCTGATGAATCCCGCGGGCCATTACAGACAGCTACTTTTGTCTGAATTATGGGAACAATGCCAACCATGTTAGCCTCTCTAGAAAGCATATATTCCATGCAGTCGACCCCAGCATTGAACGTTTAGGCACGTATATCGATGTTCTCCAGATTCATCATTTGGATCGTGATATGCCCGTAGAGAAGATCATGATGGCGCTCTACGATTTTGTCGACAGTGGAAAAGTGAGATACATCGGTACAATCTCGGTATCTATTTTCTTCGACATTCGAAGAGGGATCATTGGAACTGACAATATATTCGTGTTAGATGGCCACATGGGAATAAAAGATGCTACAGAACATCGCTAAGTATAATGGCTGGCACAAGTTCATATCCATGCAAGGCTTGAACAACTACAACCTTCTCTATCGGGAAGAGGAGCGGGAGAATTTTACTTACTGCCACGCTACTATCGTTTGACTTATGCCTTGGTCGCCTGCTGCGGCTGGTGTTTTATCTCATGCCTGGACAGATCGTGCCGACAAACGGGAAGATCAAGATAGCCTGTTGAATTTGCTCTTCCTTAATGGAAAAAACTAGGTTCCCAAGGCTAAATTTGAGAAATTGGAATTCATCATCTCAAGTTACGTTGCCCAATACCAATACAATTTTCCATAGATAAGGTACCCACATATTTGAACGAAAAGCCACTTCAGTTCCGCAAACTATGATAAATCGGTTCGCACCTCAATCAGCCAAGTCTGAATTCCGTCGGGCGTTTTCTCCTTGCACATGAATAGAGGACATGACCGACGCCATAGTTGCTTTGCTCTGCCAATTTCAAACAGCAAGGATAATTCAGAGTTCGATATCCCCACATGATCTACAAGGATTATGCGCTTTTGAGCCCGTTCCGTAACTTAATGCTGCTTGCTTATTCATAAGTAAACTCGCGGGGGTGGGGTTCTTCCGCTCGTCAGATGACTTTAGCTTGAAGAAATCTCGCCAAGAGCCCGACTTTTCTATGGTGTTTTTGTTCTTGGCTCACGCGACGGACCATTGTCAGAAGATTATCGGCTTCCAGAGCTATATGCTACGATAGGAATCTATATGTGCCAAGGCTTGCCAAGGCATGCCGAGATCTTCAGGTCGGTGGTACGCATTTGGAATTAAGTCTATGATCAACCCATCAATGGTTTCTCAGGACTAAAGGTTCTACTGTACTATATATGAAATGACCGAGTGTGTGATCAAATAAACCTTTTAAATTTTCTCGGATCATGATGGGAAAACATGTAAGAGTAATCAATGCGGGCATGCTTTCCAGTCCACAGGAAATAGGAGCCAAGCAGCGTGTATCCATCGCGGGTATTCTGTTCAGAAAGACATCTTGGCCAAAATGATGACTACTACCATTCTCACGTTGGCAAATTTTGTCCTCCGTCAGTGGTCATGGGTACTTGACCATTCCTTCCAGTCGTACCAGGCTGGGATTCGAGGTAATCGGTGGTCCACTTTTTCAACTTCATTTCATCTTGACAAGTTTTGCGGAAAAACGTTCAAATAGAGGTGGAAAAAGGGATATCATAAAATCTGGACGCTATTCAAAAGCAAGTTGGTAATGCAAGGCTAAAAAGTCAGGCCATGGGATGAGAATTAGTCATCTAGGCTCGATTCAATGGAACAGCCTTCAAGTATAGTTGCAATATATTGATCCGGTCGCAGTAGATACGCAGCATCTTTCTTGAAGCCAACTTCGCCGTGGTACGGATCCCACTCGAAGAAGGTGAGATTAACACTTTTGACATTACACCAGTTTGCCAGGCCTGGTCGCTGGTCACCATAAACATGTAGCTGCCATGATATATGCTGAATTGTCGAGTAATTGTCTGAAGACTGAGTTTTTGCCCATGGTAGACGATCACCTGGCTGGACTGTTCCGGATCCTCCAGTGGGCTGGCTTAGTGAACTTGAGCGATAATTGCAGATGAGTTGGGAGACACCACGGAAGATTTGATTCTGTGCAAAATTGAACTTTATGACGAACGGAACAAAGTATGGAATTATCCAGTTGCGCAAAATATGAGGAAAATATCCTCGGCCTGTCAAAACGGTGAAGCCGTGGTCTGTTGCGCCGACCACTTTGAGCGCAAAAGCACGGCGTTCGATCTCGTAGGAATCCAGGAGGTTTTTCTTTGAGTCATCGTTCATCTCGGGGGTTTTAATCACGGTCGCAAGCTTCCAAGCCAGATTGATTGCGTCCATAATACCGGTGTTCATACCTTGCCCACCCACAGGGCTGTGGATGTGGGCGGCATCACCAACAAGAAATGCCCGGTCGCTGCGAAACCGTTCGGCAATACGATGATGGCTTCGATACGTCGAGAACCAGTTCAGTTTTCTTATCTCAATTCCAGAAGTTCTCTTGATATCTGGCACCACATCCTCGAAAGCGATGTGTGGTTGAGGACTTAACATGTCAGGCGTTTGGTCTCCGCCGTCTGGAATGATTGTGCCTATTAATCTCACACGCCTACCATCAGAAAATGGAAGTATCAATGTGACTTTCTCATCCATTATTCTCAAATGTCCCTCTCCATTGAATAATGGGCTGTCGTTATCCTCGGCTTCGAGGTCAGCAATATAGAAAAGGGGAGCATAGGTATCACCCTCGAATTTGGCACCAACGCCAAGTCGAACTGCTGAATGCGCTCCGTCACAGCCAACAATGTATGCCGCTTCTCCGCTTATTTCAACTCCATCTCATTTTCGGAGAAAGCTTGCAGTAACGCTGGACCCACGATCTACAAATTGCAGAAGTTCTGTGCGACGTTCCACGAAGACTCCGAAGGATTGAAGTTTGTTTTCAAGTATTCGTTCATGATCGTCTTGCGAAATCATCAGCAGGTATGGATATGGCGTCAAATTTTCGCCGAGTTCTGCTAGCTCGAGGTGCGCCCGATGTTGGCCCTCAACCCAGATGTTGGTTGCGGGGAGTTGGTATCCACTAGCTTGTAATTCCTCGACCAGGTCGAGCTGCCGATACAGTTCCAGGATGCGTGCATGGACGACAAGGGCTCGGGAATGTTTTGCTGGGCCTTCTGCTTGGTCAACAATACGAACTTTGATGCCCTGTTTATGAAGCCAAAGAGCGAGAACAAGACCCGTTGGCCCTGCACCAATGATGAGAACGTCTATTTGGTCCATAGCATTGATGATGACGGTATGGTCATTGTAGAAGGCAAATGACGAGGAGGATTCAAGATGAAAACACGCTTCCAAACTTATCGAATATGATGTTCAGCTGCTTTATAACAAAAGATTTAAGGCGTCCCAGCTGATTTTGTTTACCCCAGTTCCCAGAGTTGAGACGGGCAAACGGGGCGGGCAAACCCGCGAACGGGCGTAATAAACACGGATGCTGACACAATGTGGCGTAATTTGATGCACCCCGACTCGGTTTCTTGCATCAAGACGTAAGACAAGCAAGGTCGCGGTCCGCGGAATATCCTGTGATCTTCCGTTGTAATATGCTTGTTTTACTTGCTTTCGGCTTTCTCCACGCGTCATCAAAGATTTGTGAAGTTAACAATGTCGTCCATTAGCGATGCCTGGAACTGAGTTAAAAGACCATCCCACTCATTCCAATCCATTGAGCTTCTATCTTGAAACAAAAGATCAAAATCTCCGTTGTCCTCTGGTGCCTCTTGATGAAATTCATCTATAGAAATGTTTGTTTGCTGTCTCGCTTGTGACTCGGTGTCACCTTTGTTGCCAATTAAAGTAGCAAGTATGGTCGGACATGGGGTTGGGGCACGATGCTGATTGTCACACTCCTCGGTATACACTTTCCAGGCCTTAACCATAAGATTTTGCAAGGCCAGGTGAAGAGGCATCACTGCACCATTTCGTGTTTGAGCAACATGGCGAGAATAAATATTGCCGACGAGCTCCCAGACCTTGCTCTTCTCTTCTGGGTCTGTTCGAAAGCGCATTTCGGACAGCATGAAAATCATCGCGTCCCAAGGCATGTGGTGCGTAGTGTGCCATCCAAATCGTTGGACGTCGGGATTGGTTTGAGGGTAGTCTGCATATTCAGCCATCTTCAGGCAATTTTCAAAAATAATGTCCTTTTCACCCGGTGGGATTTCATCCTGGCAGACTTGATATTGCCGTGGATGATGCGCTGTAAGTCTGGTATAATGTATGGCTGAGCGAGCCATCCCTATGGTAGCCAGATGAAGAGGAATGGACCGATCGCAGTATTGCAGAAATTTCTTCTCCATGGTGCTCTCAAGTTCATCGATGGCCCTATCTTTTTGTCTGAGCGACATCGATGAAGAAGATAGAAAAGCCCAAGGAGAATTGGAGGGGCCTACATCCTTGCTCCAGGAACTAAGCCATCTGCCGAACTCGCTACGAGCAAGGCAAAATATCATTTCCGTTGGACCCTGCTTTTCATGGGGTGCCTCCGTCATGCGCGGATCCAGATCGCTATCGTTTATGTTCATCGGTGGCTTGGTATCGGTATTAGCAGGCAATGAACTGGAAGCGACACCACAGAACTGCGCACATGTGGAATCGATAATCACTAGTTGAAGCCATATCCTGCGTCTAATCTCGCATTCAAATTCGTTCAGTCCGTATCCAGAACCATCTCGATGAAGGCCCATTCTCTGGGCAATTCGTAAGGCAACACCGCTCATAGTCCAGGTGGTATGTGGGTCAGATAATGCACGCATTGACAACTGACAAAGGTTAGAATAGGTTCACTAGGACGAGATTTTAAGCTCACTAGGTAAAGCACGAATGCCTGCAAGATCATGAGGTTGGAGGTCCGAAGAAACGAGGCGTTGCTCAGAGCCAGCTGAGCTCCTCGTCGGCATCTTGACAGGAGCTTCGTTTTGCTCTCTCCGAACGATCTTTCGACCTCGGTAGCCTGTAATGATACCAATGCAATGCAGTAGATGGCAAACATCAACGCCTCTAGCTCTTTCGATATTTTTGGGAGATCACCAGTGGCCTCTAGTATCTGTGGCTGAAGAGTTGGTGTATGCAAAATCTTGATCAAGGGATTGACGTTTTCAAGAAACGTCTGCCACAGTTTGAATATATGCAAAGGTTTTGGGTGTATTATGGTGAGGCTCTCTTGAGTCGCAAGCCCCATGAGCATCATGGGTTCATTGATATCCTCTTCTTGAGACAAGTCAACATTGCGACTATCGGATGTATTATCTAGAATACCTGCGGCATCCGGTAGCTGTTTCAGATCATTAGAAAAAATTTGGAACTTATCAAATACGGCAGGGCACAAACCTCATAGCTAACACTTGTCCAAAGGGTACTATTTGAGTGTTAAGCAAGGCCCTCAGTTAGTCCAGTAGATAACTAACTTATCGAGATAAAGGGAATTTCCTTCCCTCATAATCATCCTTCCCGATGATTTCCGCTTGGATTCCACCTTGGACGGCTGATTCCTAGCCGGTGATGCGCATTTGCTGAGTTGATCAAGTCGGGGAGGCTCCGGCGTCATTCGCCGAAGTGACTTGTCGCGTTCCCGAGACGCGCTTGCACTCGCGCCACGCTCTCTCTTGCGACGACGCGGTGGTGGCGGTGGACGATATATGCATTCTACATTGGCCTTTGCACAATTTGAGCATCGCTCTTTGCGATCACACTTGACCTTTCTGTTGTGGCAGATCACACAAGAGTATGGCTTTGGTGGATATGATGGCGAGTCCATGGTGGGCTGGACATCAGCCTCGCAGCCCAGGTCTCCTAATGGTGAATGTTAGTCTGGAAATCACGACCGTATATCAAGGTTCATGGTCGGATAAAGTGACTGTGTATCTGAACTGTTGCATAGAAATGCTCTGGATCCGTGAGAATGATGGGGTAAATGACGCCTGAGGCAATAATGCTGCTTGCCTGAATTATGAGGCGTAAATTATATCACGAGTGTGATCTCACGTGTTTCAGATTTTGATATGACCCCCCACTGTCTCCCCTCATATCATTGCCTCCAGGGTTCTGGAATAAAAATGGGTCATTATTAGTCACAGGCAATCGGATAACAAAGTGCCTGAGACTTATTACAAAATTGCGGCATTTTAATGCTCCTATCTCACACCACCGCCGGCATGATTGATAAGTAAACCCCCAAATCATGCCACCAATATTTAGCCGACTTCGCACCGCCCTCTCTCGACGGGATAAAGCGTTGTCTTTCTCCGTCGGATCGAAGGAATCGATATGGAAACGACTTCCTGACAATGCATTGATCAGATTGGTCTCACTATGTGAGCTAGATGACATTGCGTCGCTAGCATTGACATGTCGTTTGTTACACCGGCGGATCTTTAAGAATGAATTGGCTATATCGCATGCATACATGAACCTCCACCGACGAGAAACCTTTGGTTTCAGAAACGATACAATTCTCTCGCCAGGCGATGATTTGACCTTCATATCGGAACTATTCCCACCACCTCCACCTCATTATGCCATCGGTGACAGTCACGACGATGCCGATTATTCTTTCGCCTATCTATCTGATCTAAAACGGTGCTGGACAACCTGTATACAGCTGTCATATCATTTGGCCGATCATGCAGTTCGGCATCATCTCGACACGGACCCCATTGCTCGACTGCTTTGGACTTCTTCGAAAACCGAGAAAGAAGTTGTATACAGTAGAGCCGTGGCGACACTTCACTCTAAACTTCTCTATCCAATGTATGAACTCTGAACATCTAGTTAGCAGACAAATGGCTAATACTGACAAGGGCGTACGCCATCTTCTTCCTCGAGTCGTGTGCAGCAGATGCTCATAGTTCAGACTCCTCGGTCCAGATCACCAATCTTTTCAAGTTAATTGAAGATCAGAAGTCCATTCTTCAATCATCACCGTTTACGAATACTCAAACTCTTCTTTCGACCCAGCACTGCCTGGAACTTCTTTGTGCGACTGTCCGTCGACTCATGCACCCCGAATTCCCTTATTCATCCTCCGAAAGCTGGGTCAGTCTGCTCCTTATGACATCTACTTTGGAACGAATACTTCAGTTCTTCATCGCGGTTGCGCACGATGAAGAGAAAAGAGAGTCTCCATCTCGTACCTCGAGCTGGTCACGTCGTAGAGAGTTTATGTGGCAGATGCGTGATGATCTAGGCCATTATGTGGCTAGTTCAGCCTTAACTTCCAATCGGGTCTCTCACGCTCCTCTGGCTCTTGAGAACGTCTGGTTCGGAGCTTGTCATCACGAAATGCTTCGTCGAGGGGGCGTCCCGCATAAGACTGAGGAGCCTGTTCCGGTCCTCCATGGGTCGGCGATAAAACTACATTGTAAATACTGTTACATCGAGGAATAGAGTTCTCTTTTGATTTGGCACAGGTACTATTCCCACAAGGTTTACCAAGAAGTTTTATAGAGAGCATAGGCCAGGATATGCTTTCGCTCGCACTAACCTTTCTCGTTCGGATCTCGGCTTTTCGGAGATCTCCGACATTTCCCAATTTCCCAGGCTAAGGACAACTTCACTTCTCAACGTCAACTTCGCCAATAGCATCATTAGACTCGCAGTAATCATTAATCAGTTTAGACCAGTCTGGATGTTCTGTGTCTCCAATTCTGGTGTCCCCTTGATTTCAGTATAATGATGGCTACAATGCCCGCAGTAAGTCACACGACGGCCACAGGTACCTTCAATTAACTTCTTGGTAGTGTGACTTGTGCCATACAAGAAAGGTCCGATACAATGATTAAAAAATATCTTGGCTCTACTGAATCAGCTCTTGTTAGGTGAAATGCGATCGACAAGATCCATGCATGAACTGTACAGATGCACGGGTTGAATGCTGTCGCGTCCGTCAGGCGAGGGTTCATCGGCCTAGAGTCTCTCGGTATGTATCCCTGACAAGTTACCATCTACAGATGTACCTGACTATCAACAGTCTCGAGGCGTTGTCCGACCGACTAGCAAAGCTTGAGAAGTCAAATGAGGGCACTTCGGTTTTCTCATCGCCTTCCCCGGCTATCGGAAGCAACGAGACAAATCAAACTGTGTCGTTATCTCCACGAACAAAGCCAATAGATGCCACTAAACTATCTTCAAAAAGAAAAGTCCATTCTGATCATGTCACAAATGAAATCAGTCCCTCTCGTCCACACGAGACAAAGCGGAAGATATTACAGAACATCGTAACGAATATCCACGGCGAGCGACATTTACCAGGATCCGCACGACACGCCAGTGAGGCTAGAGAATATATCGAACATGAACTCCAATGCAACCCAGCTCTCTCAAAGGACAGGCGAATGGCACTTGAAATGGCCCAGAAGTTTGTCAGTCAACTCTCAAATCCGGGAATTCATCGATATGAGACCGCTGCTGCCGAGGAGTTAGAGATTTTGGATATAGCGCCTCCTAATTTTACGCCAGAGTTGCTGTACATGATGCTACCAGGTGAGAATTCCCGAAAAACTGCAGTCTGTCCGGTACTGCTAAAATTGAACTGTTTCAGGTTCCGACAAAAAGACCAGTTCTCAAGGAACCATTGTGTGGCCAGATCACATATCAGAAAAGACCCTCGAGCGAATGGGCCTTGCCATTATCGAGCGTAGTGAGAGTGAGCAGGTACTGCAACTCTACCGAATCTCAGTATGGGTGAAGGCCATTTCGTTTATCTCAAAATTGGCGCCTTTCATATCAAGTCAACCATTAAAAGTACATTTCAGGACGCTGAAGAAGCAGTATGAAATTGCCGCTATCGAAGAACTTAATTCAGTCCCTTTGACAGCTTCTCCAAGTCTGACCTTGCTACAAGCATTATTGTCTGGTGTAAGTAAAGTAACGGCCCATAGTTATTTGATGCCTGCTGATTCTATTTTGATTAGAAACGATTGATGCAATATTTGGGAAACATGTCCCGTTGTTGGATGTTCACAGCCCACGCCTCGAGAGTTATTGTCGCCTTGAACTACCACAACATTAACAATCCCATACCTCAAAATGAAGTCGAAGAAGATATCCATGCCTGTGTTTACACATGCTACTATTTTGACAAAACTCTCGGCTTGCTTCTTCTTCGACCACCGTCTTTACCAGAGCTGAAAGTCGAGCCAGCGCAGCTGATTCACTTGGATCCAGAGATACCCACAACAGCAATGATAGGAGGAATTGTCGAGTTAGCACGTCTCAAGAACACCCTCTTACAGGTTCTCTTGGATACGAAAGAAACAAGCGACAAGGATAAGGCAAGTCTTTTGTCTGATCTTGTGGTTCGAGCACAGAAAATTCATTTCAACCTACAGTTAGTAAGTTTGCATGGCCCCGTATGAATTTAGGCTAGATAGCTAATTCATGTATAGCACCGAAGTCGGCAGGAGATAGAATTCTCGGCTTCATGGCCAATTCTGCGTCGCGAATGGCTCTCGATGGATTTCAACTACTACTCCATTCTAACCACGATAATTCGGGCACGGTCTTCGGTCCTGAAATCTCGCTTGGTCTGTGAGGACTGTCTTTACGCAGCTCGAGAGGCACTTATCACTCTTCGAGCCTTGCAAGAGGCGTTTTCCACTGATGAGATATCGGTAAATTCCTACCCATACTTCCTAACCTGGTATGTTCTTTTTGATTTTCTTCCTTCGTTCAAGATCGAGACACTAAACGAATTCAACTTCAGGACCATGCTCCTCTTCCCACTTTCTCCATTCTTTGTTCTATTCTGCAACGTTGTCGCGACATCTGACCACCGCGATTTTGAAATGATCAAGGAGATCACTGGTAACCTGCGCCAGTTTGCCAAAGCAAATGCCTCCATTGGCAAGCTTTATGGTCTTTTTTCTAAATTTTTAGATCTTTGCACGCCACTGATCAAGGAAAGGGATATATGGTCTTCTTCTGAAGAAACCGAGCCTAGTTTTCCAGGTGGTGTCACTGGTGGGAGAGAGCCTGCGCAGCTCAGTCCCTACACTGAGATGTTTAGCCGGGCTTCTGATCACGCTCTAAATACATTGCCGAATCCGGGTCCCAGTAGGGCAGTCTCTGACGTCCCCCAATCAGTGCCTTCCGTGGAAGGGTGGGGTGACAATCTTATGTGGGAGTTGTTCGATAACCAACCATCACTCGGGTGGGCAGAGTCGGAGTTGTGGGATACGATAACACAATTGAATACTACGTGAAGGAACACCTGAACTACATGATGACTTTTTGGATGTTCCTTAGAGAAATTCGAAGGATAAATAGTAGGCAGTTCGTGGGGATTGTGAATTATTACATGATGTATTTACTGGGTGGCTCTTGAAAAGGACTCAGTCCCGTGAAGAGAAAAGGTAAAAATAGAGCGAGTGACAGACATCCAGAGTCTAATCGCAAGACACAAAGGGGGAAATGCTGGATGAGGTGGACATGCAGAAGGGAGGCCGTTATCTGTCTGGGGGAAGAAACAGCCAAGTATTATAATACAGTGCTGGAGAAAGGTAGGGGGAAACAAGGTGTCTATCACGAAATCAAGACCCAAAGAAGGAAGAAAATCTATAAAAATTAGTATTATCACAAATGATCAGTCGGAAGGAAAGAACACGCACCATCAGAACGCCAAACATTTTGGCGATGAGCCATCTGTTGCCAGAAACACGTGTCCAGTACTTCATCAGTTCTCGCTGTGCACCCTCCACGTTGTCCACAACATCTTCTGTGTTGGCATCGATACGCTGAATCATTTCAGATTGCTCGCTGACCATCTGGGCTAATTGACCGAAAATACCCCCGAGTTCACTGATTGTTCGTTCAATGGCCTCAATGGCCTCTCCACGGGCCTGGGTGTAGCTGTTGCTCGACTGGGCCTCCTCCATAACCATAAGCTGTTGGTCTGACTGGAAAGAGGAGCGTCCCAGTGGTGAAGGATTTGATGGGTCCAAAGTCAGAAGATCTGAAGAGTTGCCTTGGTATCCACCAGGCTGAGGGGTTCGTCTTCCCGAAGGATTGTATAAAGGCGAATCGGAGCGTTGGGAATCGAGTGCACCTTGCGACTTAGATGACACAGAGGAGACAAAATTCTCGGTCCTTGTGCGGGATGCTTGGATATTCTTCGTGCGGACTTCCAGAACGTCTTTAAAGCTGGCGCCCACATCTGCCAATTTACCCTGTAGCATGACAACAACCTGGGACCAATTAGCAGTGGCCCGAGCGCGCGTTCTCCAGAAACCCCACTTACGTTATCATTGTGTTCACCTTCCTGGTCTGTCTTCGAGCGGTTCATTTTCGGGTGTTGTGCCTGAGTCAAGGCGGATAAAGACGCGATCTGCTGGTTCAGGGACGCCAGGTCTTGCTTGATCACGTATGTCAATTCGGAAATTTCAACGGGTCGGTCATCGAACAGCGTTTTCCGCTTTGCCACTAGTTACTGTCAGTTCCTCGCTTTCTCATATCTGTCGCATTGAGCGAGCAACACTCACACTCCGCGAGTCGCTGCAGTTTTGCTGTTGTGCCGGTGATCCCCTTTCCAATGTCCCTCGCCCTTCGCGCAAATTCCGAGCGCCCCGTTTTCCCCTCCTGCGCACCAGATGGTGAGCCATTGGCTTGTCGCCGCTGAGTATCCGTCAACAGCGCCTGGCGCTGTGATCCAACTTTCGAGGCTCCTTGCCGTTTTTGGGCTTGGCTCAAGATAGAGCTAAACTCGCTGGTGCGATCTTGGATTGACGGGCCGGTCATTATGTAGATATGGCAAGTTTCGATGGGAATAGGATATTATGTATGGCGTATCGCTCGTGCGCCCAGGAGACTGAGATTCGAGGAACTCGGTTGGTGTTTTGGGGTGGTTGTAATCCAACTATCTGTAATCGATAAGGGGGCAGTGTGGCCGGTTGCAGTAGTCGGGTGGTTCAGGACGGAATTCGGGGAATCGTAGGTCGATGACTAGACCTGACCGTTTGAAACTATGACTTAACAATTCCAGGCCTTTGTTATTTTCCAGAGTTGCCTTGATTCTATCAATTTCAGGGACTAACAACTCAAAACGAAACACGTTGATAAGTCCACGTGACCCGCTCCCTGCGCCACCGCTTACATCACCGTCTGCACCGCCTTGGTATAATTTTAGCAGTAAAACAGTTACATAACGGATGTATGCGTATGCCACTTGCCTTCCTTTCCCCGGATGCAAATCAGGGGAAAAGCTGATATAAACTATTCCTCTTTCGCTGCCTTTTGTTTTCTTTTTTCTCATGACTACATATCTTTCTTTTGGTGGACAACGTCAACTCCGAACATTGTTCAGAGTACAATAATCTTGTTTCTGCCCCGTACTCAATCAACTAACCGATCTGATCGGCGCGCCCGCATTAGCAACGTTGCTCACGCCACCCCCCGTCCTCCCTCATACCCTAGCTGTCCACTCAGATTGATTGCCTGGGCATTCTTGCTTCAAAGCTTTCCCAAGTTTCATCTTGCAATAGGTGAAGGGTGAAGTGCAAGGTCAATACTTGCGAGCTAGCAGGCAACAATCGATGTTGAATATTTATCCTACCGGTGACCTTTCGGACGTTTCTAACTAATGGCAAATCCTAATCTGCAGGGCCGCGCAGGCCAGAATATGTGAGTTACAGTCTATTTTTCCCCCATTTGCTCTTCGTCGTACATGCTCTAAGACATTTTGCCAGCCCGTCGCCGCCTATTGCGAACAGCCCTCTCACCCCAGCAAGCGCAGGAAGCAACCCAATTTCTTTCCGAACAAACGTGAACCGCTCAAAGACAAAACGTTGGGTAGAAGCTAAACAATACTCGTACGATGGTGGTGACTGGGGTGACGAAGACGACGACGAGGAGGAAGAGGAAGCCCCTCCTATACCCCGACCACCATATGCAACGCACAGAACTGGCAGCTCATCCGAGTTGAGCTCCAGACGTTTGTCTGGGATGGGTTTTGGAGCCGAAAATGAGTCTCGCGGGAGCCTAAATTTAGACGCTGGTACCGATCAACAAAAGACCATTCCCTTCGTCAGGCCCGCAGATCTATACAAGCGCATGCATGAAGGGAAGACACCGACCGACCCTCCACAGATGGTGTCCTCCCCAATCTCTTTGCAGTCTGGAACTCAAGTACCGGTTGTTGCCACCAACACTTTCTCAGAGCCAGCACAGGATGTGCCTGCCATTGGACTACCTGACATAAAGAGAATGTCCTCGTTCGGAACCGATTTTCTGGGATCGGGTGACTCGAATATCCCGTCAGCTAGCCCAGAAACCAGGGAGCCAACTTTGCAGCACAATTCTTCACAGGCCTCTCAGGCATCAGACGCTTCTCAAGGATTCACATCGGTGGTTCATCAGGCTTTCGATGTCCCAGAAACTCCAAATTCCACTGCTGGCAGTGTGGCACGTTCGAACAGCGATGGTACCTCATTGATCAGTCCCATCATTAGTAATCAACCTCATGGAGGCACAACACCCACTATCCCTGAGGAGCCTGCCGAGTCGAGTACCCCTACTGCCCTCAATGATTTGCCTGCTTTTATTCCAGGCCACCGACGTGATCTGAGTATTCCAAGCCGGGAGAACAGCCCCTCAAAGAAACCGGTTCTTACCGAACAGGAGCCACCTTCGGAAGGCCAAGCAGAGGTGTCTTCTATCTCTCCAGGTCAGATTCAGCAAGCCCTGGATGTAACAACCCCAGCTTCTGATAAAGACTTTGTTGCACCACTGAAATTTGGTGACAGGAAGATGTCTGAGCAATCTGCATTTGAGGGGTACCGCGGCAGCGTCCCAACGATTATTCCATCTATGGAATCCCCAGAAACGGAAGACAATGACCGGCTGCGAGAGGAAATAATTCGTTCTTTGAGCAGAGAGGGCTCGCAAGAGCCAGAGCATATCCCCCAAGCCGGTGAATCCAAGGAGGAATCCATTCCACACCAGTATGAGAAATATTGGGATGGACAAACCGGACCAGGTTCTGTTGAGACTCCCAAGGCTTTGGTTTCTGATTCCCACCCAGATTGGACTAGTTCCCATCCCCTGGCCTCTCAAGATCCATACGCAACTTATAAAATACCTGAGCCTCCTTCGACGGCAGATGAGTTGCCACAGAAACCTCGCTTGGGAAGACGATTCTCGTGGGAATCGGTTTCTTCTACTGGTCAGCCAGCTCAAGCTTCTTCTGGTGGTGATGCTCCTTTAACCTCGCAACCACCTGTGCCTCTTTCTGAAGATCCCGTGACTCGTACACCGGGAAGTGTTGATAGGGAACTGCCAGCCTATGATAGCGAATGCTCTGACAGCCAGCGCGTTGAGAAACCCAGACTCTCGATTGTTCCCCCAATTCCGGAGAACACCTTGCCTCCAGTGCAGGTGATGGGGCCGGTCGATAACCAAGGACCCAAGAGCAATGCTTCTTCTATGCATGTGGGGACTTCATCTATTGACGAAAACAAACTTCAAGGTTTCCGCGAAATCCTCAATCTTACGTCCCCCAGTCAACGTACCAAAGCTTTTGACAAAACAAGAGATCAATTTGCTGCCCTTAATACCGGTTTGAACCACTGGCTTCAAGTCACTATTCACGATCACCCAGAGCATGCCGAGTTGATTCACTCGAGTCAGAGCTTATCTGGTATACCTCGAAGCTCTCCAAACAGAAGCAGGTTCCCCAAACTCACATCCATCGGAAACCTAACTACTCCCAAAGAGGACGGAGACCCAGCTAACGCCACTCATGTAAGGCGACCCTCTGGTAACATTGGGACTATCATGAACAAGTCAAATGTTGAACAGCGTGGCAAAGATCTTCTGCATACGGCTGGCACATTCGGCGGCAAGGCTGGTGAAGCTGCTAAGGGCTTCTTTGCCAAAGGTAGAAGCAAGTTCCGGGCAGGCGGAGACAAGGTAGATACATGATCTTTTTTTCTCGGTTCCGGGATTTTGTTTCACTTTTTCAATCGCACCAGGCGATCAGCGCAGGGGTTGCTTCATTTCTGCTTCTTTTTATTCCAAACTTTCTTATACCACGATGTAATTCCCATCACGCTGGCACTGGACACTAGAATGCGACACGATTGATGCATCTCTCTATTGACTCTTCCATCTCCTCTCATTCCATCATCTCACTCTTAGTTTGTGCCCGTTTCTAATGTTGGTAATGTTGTAGGGTCAGCCTTCGACTTCTCGGCCCAGAAGTCTTCACTATGGCTTGCAATCAGAGTCCAATGGGTCACAGGGTAACTCTTCATTCCGCAAATCTGTCAATCTGGGCAGTCTGCCTGTTTTCAAGTTTGGACAAACTAAAAATACAACTGCCCTTTCTGACGACGATGCGCAGAATGTGGAGCCTTCTGGTAAACTCCTCAAGTCTACCGGGTCAATGAGTCTGCGAGGCCTTCAGGCTGATGTTGAAAATCCATCTGGAAAAGCCACTTCCCATGCTTTCCCGCCATTGTCGCTGGACCAAGATCGAGCTCGAAAGGCAAATACGAGGAATTCGGGCATGGTTGGCGACCTCGAACAGGAAATGATTGCTGCCCTGGGCCTTTCTCCGACTAAAGATTTACCTGACCCGCTTGCCAACACGAAGCCGGCACTGGACTTCAACGAACGTGAACGGCAGCCTCAGGATGACGCTGCAGCGACTCGGAAAGATGCAGTATATAGCAATCAGCCTTTACTTAGAGAAAAGAGCCTTCCGGTGATGCTTATCAAGAATTCGAATGATTCGGGCGCCCCCAAGACAAAAAATACAAATGCAGAACCTGCTATAGGAACGCCGCAGGTCTTGTTTCCCTCAATTCGCCCTGTGGTTGAGACCGAGCCCGCTACTCCGCCCAGGTCTCCACCAGAAGCTCTCTTCCCAAGCGACATTCCGCCAACCATCCCACCAAAGGATCTCGTCCCTCCTAAGGAAGGACATACACGCCAGCGATCTGTCTCAACTCTTGGGGCTGATGAGCGAAGTACGAGCGATCAGCAGGATGATATGCCACCTTCCCCGTTACAGCCATTGTCGCCAGGAACAGAACACCCTATCTATGGCAATCCTCCCCCTCGGGCCAAGACTTCATCTTCTTCCGCGCCTCCTGCGGAAGAAAACTCACCAGACTTTGAGTCAGTATTTCAGCGGAGACCGGCTACATCTGCAGAAGTTCTTGATGCAAAGCGAAAGTCGATTAGCGGACTTCCGCCATCTGCGCCGAACATGCAAAGTCCCTTGCGAAATGAAGTCAGATACTCACCAGCAACCCGAAGTAGCATGTTGAGCTTTGGGAGCTGGGGCAATAACAGAGGTACTCGGCCGCCCACTCCTGCCAATGAGCTGTCATCGCGTGTTGAGATAAATTCTTCGGCGCAGAATGGCGAATCCAAGATGGACAAGTTGAAGAGCTTTGGGAAACGACGTCGTGCTTCCATGGGTGACCTTTTATCGGGTATTCAAGGAGGTCTTAGAGGGCTTCATGAGAAAATTAATCAGCCAGAGCCTCAGGAGAAGGAGAAGATGCATCAACGGAAACGAAGCTTCAGCAAACTTAGTGTACGTGCTTCATTCAAAGACTGCTCCTTTTTGAATTGATAGTCTAACAATACACAGAGCTTCTTTACTCGCTCCGAGTCTCAGCCTCTAGTGGGAAAGAATAGCCGCCCAGAGTCTGTCGCCAATGATCTCGAAGACAAAGATCTGCCAGCTCCCCCTTTGGCTGGGCACACACGCTTGTCGGATTCACAAGATGGACGTAAGCATCTTGATGAGGATACTCCGTCCGAAGCACCGGCCACTGGATTTGGACCGACGGGGCGACTATCAAGCGACGCCACATCTCGACAACGCGCAAGTACACATATTCCGCCCAGTACATCTACCGATGCTCTGGCATCCGGCCGTTTCTATTCCCAGGCTCCATCTATCGATCGCCCGCCTTCAGTTCAACACTCTCGAGTTAAGAGCATGCCTTTAATTAGCCAACCCCTATCTTCTCAACCACACTCTGAGTCAAATCACATTGGCTCCATGGACCCTTTGCCTCATAGGCCTAATGGCCGAGTGTCTCAAGAGGAGCAGATGCATCAGTCTCCTGAGCAGTACCCACGCAGCTCCCCAGAATTTGAGGAGCATCAACCTCCCCAGCCAGCGCTCAAGCCCAGTGTCAGCGTTCAATCCCGCAATCCTATCGATACTCAACCCGAGTCTACAATCTTTATCGAGCCTAAAAATATTGTCGTGTCGGGTATGTCTACTGCGACTCTTTCGGAGCATCCCCACCGCGATGAGACCAGGATATTGAACCGCAATAACGAGCCTGTCGAGCTCGCCCTCAAAGACGATGACAGTGATGAGATCATCATGTCCTCCACTGCTTACCCTGGACAGGAATGGACACCTATGCATATGTAGCGATTCTTTTTCAGCGATCATACAATGATACCCTTGTTGATTCCCAACCGGACTCGTTGATTACTTTGTCTCAGGTTGTTGTATTATTTACGTCATGTGTGTTTTTAGGGTTTCTTTGCATGTATCATTTAGCAATAAAAATTCAAACTCCTTTTTCCGTTCATAGATGACTTGTGGTTTTAGCGGGGCTATCAAAGAGACATGTACCTGCGCACCGCCAACTGAAACTGAGTTCCACCAAACAAGCGATGTCGCTACTCTCAATGTTCCTAAAACCACATTTTCATCAGAACAACAAGCTGAGCTGCTAGTCGCCATCCCAGGATTTAGATTATTCCTTCCTGATCGGCAACCTACACCCTAGGCTATTTTGCCCCGCAATTCCAATATTCCCGCTTTTTTGTTCCAGATAAAGGCGGAGGGGCAAGGCTCCAGACTGAGCTATTTGGAACCTTAAAGCTGACCGTGATTCTGATATTCATCATTATTCTTTCAACAAATCATCGCAAGTCAAGTCTTTACTCGCGCACCATGGATGATCTGTTACATATAAATCTTCAAGAAGTGGACTCGCTCGAAGCCACCGTGATCATTGACAATGAGCTCGATCCCTTGTCGCCCCCGGCCCCTGATACGGTCCAGGTGACAGGGCAGATGGGTAGCCTTATGTTTAAGCCCGGTAATGAAACCACGGGTCGAGGGGATGCAAGCAGGGAGTTGCGAATGAGTGATATTTGTTGCGCTGCGCATGGCTTGTCTATTCTGGTGGTAAGACGTCATATCATTTCAAGATTCCATGCCACCTCCACTATTGTCTGAAGTACATGGGGATTTATGATCGATTAATGCTTATTTTCTGTAGACAGCAAGAAAGGGGGATACGAAACACTCTGTTCTTTTCGATGTCGGTCCTGAGGAAGATGTATGGGAACGCAATGTAAAACGATTGCGTCCGGATCTTGCTTCCGTGGAGGTCATTCAGCTGTCACATTGGCACCGGGACCACTCAGGTGAGTTCCATAATTGTTTTCTTTCAGGGCTTGAGATTAGGTTAATCTGACTTTGATAGGTGGCCTTCTGCGAGCTATCCGTATGATCAAAGATGCCAAAAAGGCTCAAGGCCGTTCCGACGATCTCGTCATTGACCTTCATCCCGATCGACCTGCTTACCGGGGTATTGCTACCACTACCGTTGAGACGATAGTCTCCCTCGAAGCGGATCCTACATTCGAGGAAATATCCGATGCAGGCGCCACAGTGAAGAAGAGCAGTGAAGCTCATACTATCCTCGATGACATGTTCCTCATCTCCGGCGAGATTCCACGGGTAACACCGTATGAAACCGGTCTGAGAGGCTCAGTACGGTTCGATCCCGAGACTAAAGATTGGTACTCCGATGAGCAAATCGCCGACGAGCGCTTTCTCGCCGTTCATCTCAAGGGTAAGTTCCCCGGGCATCTACCGAGATCCACGGTATTCATTCAATAATAGGAAAGGGTCTCGTCGTGTTTACGGGATGCAGTCACGGCGGCGTAGTTAACGCCGCAAAGCATGCCATGGAACTTGTTCCCAAAACCACTCTTCTCCATGCCGTCGTGGGCGGCTTCCATCTTGCCACAAGCGACGAGCTACAGGTACAGAAGACAGTCGCCGACCTCAAGCGCTTAGATCCAGCTGTGCTGATGCCTGGTCACTGCTCTGGCTGGCGATCCAAATTTGCCATTGAGAAAGCTATGCCAGGGACTCTTGTGCCATGCACTGTTGGTATTAGTATTACTTTCTAGTGATGTGACGGTCGCCCACACGTCTTGAAATAATTGGCATGTGCACGGTTCCTTACAGGCGTATCTGCACGTGGGAAGGAAGGGTTTAACCAAAAAATCAATTGCATGCCGCTAGTTTTTCGTTACAGCTTGACATTCCGTCAAGGGGTGAAAATTGGGGGTATCTCGGCTAACTCGACTGTTTTCATTCCGATCATCTGTAATCGTACCTTCCCTTGCATTTTTGCCAGACGTTTGGGAGTATGTAGATTAGAGATTAGAATTGAGCTGTGCTTATTTGGCTTTTCCTGTTCTAGGCTTTCAAGATTGTGGGGTGGTTCAATCTTGATTGTAAGAATGCTCAGCGGAGGCAATGACGATGAATTTCGCGTTAGTGATTGAGGATGAGCGTGGCATTTGTATTGGCTTCAAATTTTCGGACATGAGTTTCTTTGCATTCTTGAATTTGAATTTCTTTTGAATTGAATCGAGGCTTCTGTAGAGATATAAGCATTTTCTGGCCTGAGGCACCAACCACGGCGGTCGCACACCTTCAATGTTGGATACGGTCAATGAAAATTTCTACAAAGGTGATAATTTAAGTGAAGATCCCTTCAACTTCAACCCATAGCACAAAGTATGATTAAAAGATATGAAAAATTATGGTCGTGACATCATAGAACGGGAGATCACCTGCATGATCTAGAGCCTTGACGAACGGTTGAACCCATCACATCAACATCTCAGTTCAGGGCTCTTCCCGAAAATGTTGGCTAGAAATTTGAACTCAAGATGTTTATTCTCAGCTGAACCATGGAAACAGAACATGCGTTGGATGGGAATCATATTTCAACGTTCAAATGTTGGCTCATACGCAATGGCTGCGACTAGTATATATATTTTGTGCACCTTCACACAAGAGAGGAGATATGTAAACTCCACATGAAGACCATCGAGTTGTTCAATGTTAACTAAATGATAATTTCAACCAGGAACGTTGTACTCCTGGCCTAATCTTCCAGATGGTCAGATATGCCAAACCGTTATTCACATGGTCACGACCAAAATACGCACAACTAACCTTGAAGCCACCAGACATCTGGAGCTGAACGTTTCATATGTTTACCAAGATCTTCCACTTACGTCTTCAATTAATTTGCGACTCCTGATCCATGGATCATGACCTTGGGACCAAGATACCAAGATGATACAGTGTAACCTCTATCAGCAGCTAACCCCCAAACCTTGGTTCTCAGTGATACAGCCAAGAACCACAGAATCAGCGTATCTAAAAGACCACAAAAATACCAAACATTAGAAATGCCAAACTAAACGGCCCAATTCCTCTTTTTCAGCGTGATCACCCAGGCAATAATATCAACATTTGAGGAACATTAACACCATCTCGTATCTCAATTTAACCCCCTCTTCCGCAGCATCTAAGACCAACGGACACCTACACCTACACCTACACCTACAAATTGACATCAAGGTCATTAGAAAACCCTCAAGTATCGTCGACCCGCCAAGAACCGATTTATCAACCAAATCAGCCGTCATTGCCAACAACTCCTTACTCATGTCCATGTCTTCCACCCTAGTTCCCTATCGCACTCTACTTCCCCTCGCTTGGGGCGCAGATAAGAGAGTGTGCCGAGAACAAAATGTCCGCCAAGACGATAATGCAAGTGGGATGCACGGCGCGTCTTGGCGGACTTCAGGGGCGGAGTGAACTCTGGTGTATTGATCTAAGTTATTACGAATACACTGTGCAGTCGATCAAGGGGCGGGAAGTCTGCAACGGGCATCAGTGCATGCATGCATAGCCATGGATTGTTTGGGGTTGACGGACCTATGACGTTGTAGTTGTTGTCGTATCTGTATACCAAGACCTGCAAAGGCGATCCTGACTAGGATTGACATATTAGGCGACCATTGGCGCCAAGATTGGTTACCTTTCTGGGTATTAGGGTGGTTTTGTGGCGGGCTTCAGAGTTACTATTGATCGAGAGTTTATCGATGTATATGTTGTCTTGTGATGGCATTGAAGTTTACTCCGTAGTGGACTGGGTCTATCTGTTTTGCATTCCTACTCTGGATAGAACTGGATAGATATTGATCATGGGTGTTTCTTGGCATGCACAATAGTCTCCTTTATCCGTTCTCATTTATGGACTGCTGACTCGCTCCGCCTGGCCAAGCATCATGTGGAACTTGATTTCAATGGTTGTTTTGATACATTACGCTTCTAGGGATAGTGTTTTGGTCTCTGTATGATCGTCAGGAACCGTTCTTCTGGGCGGTGATGCTTCATGCTGTATGAAAACTTGGCGCAATAATGTATAATGTTAAGAACAGAAACTTTGTCTGCGAGAGGGATGGTCGCCAGGACCCTGCGCACCAATAAAGGCATCCCTGTCTTTCTTGGCTAAATGACTTCGCACGGCCAAGACGAAATTTATGTACCAGTACCTGAGATATTTTGCCTGCTTAAAGAGCCTACGTCTGGTTTGCTCGGGACGTTGGATATCGGATACCATGCGATAGTCAGTATACTTCTGATTTACACAGCCCCTGTCTCGAGCAGTAGCAATAAGTCGCAGCCTGTCAGGCAATTGAATCATCTCATAATAGTAACACAACTACCCCACGAATTGCGTCATTGGAATCATAGCCATGGCTTGGCTAGGGTCTAGGATCACCGACTATTTGTAAGTGATCGGCCACTAATTTTTTATTGTAGATGTCAGATAGTCTGCGCCCGAATCCTAGGCATGGGCCAACTGCCGTCATGCATTTACGGTTTCAAATTGACGTACAAACTATACGGAGACAATTTTTTATTAAGCTTCGGTACCTGACACAGTTGTATGATGTCGTGATGTCGGCCTACCTACCCAAACAAGCCGGCGTTAAAGACACGCGCCGATCAACGCGTCTCTATCTTTCTCCAATTGTGTCACAGGGGGTCGCATTGATAGCCAACTTGGACAGGTGAACAGGAACTACACACCACTATAATCAACACAAGTATCCTAACTTAGTAACCATCAGGTACCCGTGCCCAGGTCCAAGATCCAATTTCAATTGACAAGAAACCTGATTCCAGATACGCCAGCCCACCCATCTTTGATAGTGATATGCACTATGGAGCAAGCCCCTCGCGAAGCGAATACGGGCTACAGCCAAAAAAAGGTTCACATCGCCTGAAAGACCAAAGCAAGCTCTCGGCGACGCGCAGTGTGGGGATTGTTATGGTAAGTTAATAATTGCAACGAACCTCCCATTTCGGGAGGTTTCTCCTGTCGATCAAGGGCCAAAAATGGACCGGCATACGACATAGCATGTGGCCTTGATTTCTCACCCTTCGTATGATGATTAAGTTTGTTTGTTTTCGTGTTTACTCCGTATATGTATTTGAATTTCACTTCTTCCCAAGAATCAGCAATCCTTCGGACCTTCGGCATGTTGATGTCATCGCCACGCTCTGATTACACATTTTATCGTGCGACGATAAGCATGTTTTGCCAAGGTGATCATGTGTGACTGCAATGTGCCAAGGTAGAGACTATTGGGTGAAAACGGTTCTATTGTAACCACACTACCGGTGGGTACCCGTGTCCTAAAGGGGGTCAGTTCAGTTTCGGATTTAGTGTGGGAGGTCTGAAAAGGGGAATACCCCGAACGTTCACTACGGAGTAAATACTGGGGATTCGGTGAATGGCTTCAAAAGCCATGATTGATTTGATGATAAGTACGGAGTACACTTTGTCGTGTTCATTTGGATGGTGCGTGTACCGGTCAAATTTGCCGGTGCCGATCGGCACAGGGGTTTGTATGCAGCCAAGAGAATTGTCATAACCCTACGGAGCATTCTAGCCATCTACAGTACGTCGTAGCGTAGGAGAAGACAATCAATCTATTTACTCAGTGAATGATACTTACATCAACTAGTGACTCATTATCAGCCCATAGGGCTGGAATAACCAATGAATAAATCCCGCTATGCGACATAATTTTATGATATTACCCGGTCCCTGACCCGGAGAAACATTGAATCCCAAATTGAAACCCCCACACTGTACCAATAATCATGCAAGTCGAGATTCCGTCGAGGTTCGATGGTGCCGACTCCCGTGTTGCCGCGTAGGCCGAGTCGGGATTCCGACCTGTCTCGACCCTGATAAAATTTTCGTACAGAAGTTGCCTCGGCTTGAAAGCCGAAGTCATGCCGATTAATATCCTCCTAGTCGGCCTTCCCGAGCCAGTAGCCAGCTAGATTATGGAGCAATATGGGGTTTGAGTGGTTCAAAAAATTTTGGGGTGGGATCTACCACAATAGCGTGTCCAGATATACTTAGGGTGTACGGAGTACTGTAGGGAAAGAAAGAGAAAGAAGAAAAAAAAGCACAGACACCCTAAAGCCGTTCCAATTGTCAAGCGATGACGATGCGTGCAGGGACCACAATCCGTTTCGGGCACATAATAAGAAATAGTAGGATTTAGTGTGGGCTGAACATATGTTTCTGGTTCTGGTTCGCTGCCAAAATTAGTTAATGTGCATACTGTACGGCGTACTAGGACGCACTTAATGGGAGCGCGATTTTTGTTCTGTCCCGATCAGCCGATATACTGTATACGTATACGTACATGTACCATATACTCGGGAGTACAACTAACAGCTTACAAGTACGGTCTAATTCCCCCGCTAAACCACGTTCATCCCTTGCATTTGCATGTCACTGCAGTCACGGAGTCGGGCGGAAACGTTCGAATATCCAAAACCTTAAAGCTTCCCTGCAGGCGCGGGAACCGCAGTCGAGTCAAGATTCAAACCGGGCAGATCACTGAGAGTAGTCACCGGGCTCTCCGGCTCTCCAGACTTTTGTTCTCCATGGGCAAGTGAACCTGGGGTGAAATAGTAACGCTGGGATCGCTTGGCGAACCCAAGCGTTGGGTCTAATGAAATTAAGCAGTACTACTGGTACTAAGGTACTAACTAGGTACTAGATCCTGATTGA